CCCCCCCCCCCACACAGCGGTGCACCAAATGGCACGTCCGTAGCTTGTGTGGTCGATTTGCATTGCCTCCACGCCCCCCTCCCCACAGATTTTTATTTTTTGTGCACTTTATAGCGCTTGCCAAACCGCTGGCCGTTACCGACAGCCTGGTAAACTCAGACGGCGCCACGGTCAGTACATGCGCTATGTACTTTGTGCACACACCTGTTGTGCAGTACGCACAACCTGCACACCTTACTTGACACAAATAAAAAGCTCTACAACCCCCGCCCCCCAAATCAGTCATTATGAAACCATATAGATGCAGTAATAACAATGATGATGATATAAATGTACATTTATATTTGCCTCTTGCTGGGTGGCCCCAGCCGTCAGATGCGCCAAGTGGCTAGCTATCCAGACGGATGTGTCTTATCTACCCAGTTACTAAACAACCGCAATAGAAGACATCAAAACAAAGTAAAACCCCTTGCATGTAAATGAAGGTCGGATACAGATGCAGCAAACAAACTCCAACAACAGCTAACAGCACAAAATCCAAAATGCTTTCAACGCCAAGAAATGTATCTCTCTGAATTCCACGCCAGCACTCCTCCACTTTAAACTGGTCCATCGCTAGCCACGTCTTGCTTGCCGTGGCTCACGACTTGACGTAGAATTTTTAGCTTTTCCTCCGTCACTCGGATGGCCTCTTGGACGTCTCGCTCATCCATGCGAGCCTCTCGCAACCTCTCCTCGACCGATTGTGGCTCCATGGCGCGCTTTCGGATCTGCAAAGCCTCCGAACCCAAGCGCTCGAGCCCAGATCGTTCCTCAAGCCAGTCCCACAGCTGGCTATCCTCTCGTCGCCACATTTCTTCAAAGGCGCTCATTCGGTCCGACCCGTACATGTCCGATTCTCTGCTGAACTGGTTCGGGTATCGATTCGGTGAAAACCCAAACCCAAACCATGAAGCCACCAACAGACCAACGAGCAACCCGTACATGACATTGCCCGTCATCGCCGGCTTCAAGATATCCAAGAGTGGCTCCAATAGGCTTCTAGCCGGTTCAAGGGGGCCCCAGTTGGATTTGTTAGCAACAACCTTCTTGGAATCGTTCTCATCAGCACCCTTTGATATCGAGTTGGCCTTGCTCTTTCTGCTCTTCTTCTTCGACTTTGTAAGAGTAGATGCCCGGCCTCTAGCGGATACTGCTGCTTTTACGGCTGCTGCCAGCTCTCTGCAGTAACTACCCTGGCCATCCTCAACGCTCTTCTCAATGATGCCTAATTAGTGCGTTAGTTGTAAGTCATACTCTACCAAAAGTCTTGGCATCACTCTAGTAGAGGAAGATCTGCACATACCTTTGATCCAACTCTTGCCAGACCACTCCACCGTGCAGTTGATTTGCAGGCGGGTTGCATTCTTCTCTGCCCAAGACAGACAGTATTTGGTCTTGACGGCAAACACGTTTCCAGACGGTACTTCAGGAGTAGTCGACGATCCGCTAATGTTAATGGACTTTTCAAAGTCTAGAGTGTCAATGGTTTCAGACACAACACACTTAGTCTGCTTTGGCCCAAACGAACCAGGGAGCGGCTTCATGTAAGTGTATGTTCTGGTTTTATTGTCAAGATTGATGCCCTTTTTCTCGTCCAGAGTGATGTCCCAACATTTCTGGTCATTAGAAAGAAACTTTGAGAGCCAGGCAGTTGAGCCTGCGCCAAATAGTAGATGATATACTTTACCCAAGGGGGCTGGGATGATTTCATCACACATAAATTTGTCGTAGTGTGAAGCTGCATCACCACAATCTGTGGGAGCATGCGTAGCTGGGCCGGGAAAGTCGGCGCCAAGTCCAGGCGATCCTGGGGCGTCCTTCTCTGCATCGCCAGCGGCACCATTGGTCGTCATTGACGAGACCTTTCGTGATACGGGCTTCTCTCGTTCGTTTTCAATGGTGCTCACGTCGGTTGGCTGCGTATCGGCCGCGCCATCCATGTCATCCTCCTCATAAAACTCGTCATCGTCGTCCTCATCGCTGGACGCCTCCGAATCAGATCCCGCAGCACTGTTGGCATCGATGCCCAACTCGTCGTCCGGCTCAGCATCAATCTTTTCAGTCTTGTCTCCACCTGTACCCTCGAGCTGCACACCGTTGAGACTGCTCTTCAGAGTCGGGTGTCCAAGCTTCCAGATATTCACAATCAGATCGTATGTGGCGTCTCTGCTGGTGAAACTAGCAAAAATGTGCTTTGCATGTAGGGTTGAGATCATCAATCCGTTCTTGAACACGAGGGCCGTGCTTCTCTTTTCGACAGAAACAATCTCGTCAAAGCTCATAACCAATGTGGTAGTCCAGCCAAGAATGTTGCTACTGAAGCAGAGGTGACCTTCCGACACATATAGTCGCCCATGTGCGAGAATTTCACGCTGCAAAGCACAGCTATAGTCTTCGATGAGGTAATCGTCGTCGGGAACACTTTTGAAGAAAGAGTGGAAATCGCGGTTTCGTTTCTTGCTGGCAATGGCAAAGCCTGTGAGCTTCGGTACTGAGAGGGATGGAGTATTAGACATGGCTCCAGCTACACCTGCGGCAATAATAGCACCAGTAGTGACAGAACTGCCACGGCCTCGGTGCGACTTCATTGCGCTACGGACACTTGAGGTCCTTTGTACGCCCGCGGCCTTGGGGTCGGGTTCTGGCGTAGATACCCGCTCGTCGCCACTAGGAGCATCGAGCAGAGAACGTGGTCGACTGCCCGGTAGGTCCTCAATGGCAGGAGGATCAGCATGGGCTGACTCGACAGGCGCCGATTCTGATCGTAGTCGTGTATCTACAATTTCGGGAAACTTCAAGCTTGCTGGGGAAACGACATTGCTACCTGGCTCAGCTAGGCCAAGTTGACTGAGGCTAAGCTCACCCGTGCCAAGCGTCTGCACAGCAGATCCTTTAGGCCGTTCCATATCGTCGTCATGCGAGGGTTCAGTATGGGATTCGGGGTCGGCTAGATCAGATGATGCTGGCAAGCTCTGTGACTTTGGAATCGAGGATGACTTTCTATTACCCAGACTAATGTTGGTGCCCGGAATCGAAGTGAGTGTTGTTGCCGCGTTCTGCGCAGCAGAGAAGACCGATGAGAAGAAGCCACCACCGGCGTTGGAGTTCTCGACAGCGTCGGGGGTTGGCGTGGTGGGAAGTGTTGTGCTATGCGAGAGTTTGCTTGGTACAACAGTGGTGCTAGATCCGGATTTCGTCCGATGGTGGAAGGTAGAGGATCGAGTAGGCGAGCCGCCTCGGGTAGGGAGCTTCCCACCCCAAGGCGAGCGTTTGTCCGGAGACGATGCTGCGCTTGTTTGGAAGGGTTCGACGGGAGTCGGAGGGGTGCTGATGATGGTAGGGGCTGGCTTGTCGCCAGAAGGCGGAGTGCGTGGCGTTTCGGTTGTAATCTTGACGGATGGAGGGTTTGAAAAGCGCGAGGCTGTTTTGGCGGGCACGGCAAGCTCTGGCGATTGCGTGGCCGCGGCTTCGCTAGAGCTGGTAGTGCGTTTAGCGGAGGGACTACGGCCAGAGGGAGATGGTTGCCGATAGCCCGTCGATGAGGAGGACGTGTCGAGATGCGCAGCTTGAATGGCGGGAGATGACGTCGTCAAGTAGCCAATCAACGAAGGATGGGCGGATGGAATGCCTGGGCGTGTTGGATGAGCGCTGGTAGAGGGGCGATGTCTAAGGAGAGGGGGACGCGCGGTTGGTCAGCGAGATGGCACTAGACGTGAGACACAAAGACGGTGGGTAGATTGGAAAAAGCCGATCGCTAAAGCTGAATCAATGGCGGATGTTATGAACAATGAAAAAGAAAACAAGTTGAAATGAACGTGGCGGGAAGAGAAGAGTAGAGATGGGGGACAACGGCCAAAAAGTCAAAGAGCGCACGCACAGCATGCAGCTCGAATGCAAGGGATGACACGAGGTGGTGGTGCAGGCGGGCTCCAGCTGTGTCCTCAGGCGCAGTGGGCGGGCTACAGCCTAAAAGGGGAGGGGGGGTTTGCTTGTTGGCAAGCCTGACGCAAAACTTACGAGCCTGTGCTGCTGGATGCCATGGAGCTAAAGCTTTTCGCATCAGCAGTATCATCTTCTCCCAAGTCTCTATTTATCGAACTGCCCCTGCTGCTGCCATTGTGTCGTGTCGATGTGCGTCCTCGTCCGCGTGCGTCACTGGGCTCTAGCAGGCTATTGGCGTCCTTGTTTGGGCTGCCAGGAGCACTGGAGCCATCCTTTCTAAGCGACTTGCTTCGACGCCGTGACAGCGCTTTCGGGATGAGTTTGCGTGCCTCCATGGTCACGGAGCAGTGCAATTGGAGGTTGTATTTCGGTACCGACTGGGGGAGTGGAAGAGAAAGTGGACGTTTGCTGCCTTTCAAACGCCGCAGCCTTGTTACGGTGCTCCTGCAGGTCGCCTTGGTGCAGGTGCTTGGGCGCTGGAAATAGAACGGTGGAGTCGTCGCTGACGGCTTCCATAGGCGGTCTTCTTTAGCGGATGGGGCCGTTGTAGTGGTTCGGTGGGCACGGAGAAATTGCTGGCTTGTCGTGTTTGGAGATTAAGTTAACGGCGTTAGGCCCCTTTACGACAGATTTGGGTCAGGAAAGTAGGCAAATGCAGAGTAAGCACATTCTTATATTTGTAGAGTGTCATTGGCGTTTCTTCACTTCTGAAACGCAATGAGCAGCATGCTCTTCTTCTTATACTCCGTTTCCTACAGCCGTGGCGCTACACAACCAGTGTGGAGAGCAGCGCCACAAATTCGTTGGTCAACGTCATGACATCGACGATCCGAGCGCTAGGCCTGAGCATCAGCCCGGCTCGGTAGCGCCAGAGTATAGGAATCTGAGTGGACAGTCACGCCCCTCGTGGCCAACTGGGTATGGGATACATCTTCAGTTTTGGTATTTCCTCCGCTATCATTACGAGGTATGCTAAAATCTGTTCCGGCCAGTTCGTAGAGTCAATTTTATAAAAGCAAAGCCACCTCTCTGCCACATCTTGTGTGTGACTACCGGTTCGCATATTACTGCCTTCTCATGGCGAGGTATCTGCTCCAACAAAAAAGACAAATCATGTTAGCCTTTCTGATAGGTTTAAAACATCAACGTAGAGAGCCTTACCTTCGTCCGACTCAATGTCAAGGTCTATTTCGTGGCCTGTAGTTCTCGAAAATGGTGTCCAAATTCTTTCGTTCGAGTCTCGCGAGACTGGAATCTTTTTCCATATGACGTAGTCGGTACCCTTGGGTTGATCACTTTGAGTGGTTGCTGGAGCTAGGATGCCCAATGGCCGGCGGGGATCATCTAGATCGTCAAAGTGATGGAAGTGGTCGTCAAGCATTTCAGAATCCGAACTCGACTCATGGTCGCCCTGCTTCCAACATCGGATAACCTTGGAGCTCCACCCCCTTGGGCTATCAGGAAGAGTGTGTAAGCTGCCTTTGAGGGCAATATACGTCGGTAGACCATCCAAATACAAGCCATCATCTTTCAGGAGACCAGCCAGCTCAGCTTCCGCTCTGACGCCTGCCTCATCGCTTGGCATTCCCGTCACACTCAGCTCATCTAATGAGCACGACATCTCGTGGCATGCCATATCATGCAAATTAAGAGACGGATAAGGTAGGTCTTCAGTAAAATTCACCAGATCTAGCCGAAGAGATTGGATGGATGGGAATAACTTTGGTTCGGGCTTGAGTCCCTGGCCGGACAATGGGTCGAATGGCGTTCGCATCGCATAGAGAAAGTCGACAACCTGATTCCAGCTGTAGCAGCGAAAGCCTCCTCGTACCAATAACGACTCCTTTGGTCTCCGAGAAACAGCTAATGTATGACTCTTCTTTACAGCAAGGTGGTAGCTGCGTCCTATTTTCCGCCTCTGAGGACGGGTTTCGTCGTCGTAGTACTTTGCGACCACCCTGAATGTAACATGCTTGATAGGTTGTCGAAATCGAATATTGAGTTCTCCGAAGCGTCGTACCGACTCTGGGGATGTAAATACAAACTGATTCTGTTCCCACAAGTACCGTGTGCCTTCGGTGTGCAAGGCGGAGCACGTCGCAAGAAAGTGGATGGCAATCTGATTGCCTCTCTGTTTCTCGTTTTTAGTAAGTGTGCTGGGCTCCAAAGGTGATAATGGGTCTATAATAGGATGCGGGCTTAGAAGGGCAAAGCGCATAATGTTTAACACGGCCTCCATAGGAAGAGCCGGTAGTTGACCAGATATGCTTTGCACTGAGGAGCGAGTCCGGCGTCGCGGGATACCGTTTTGGGATAAGTATGCGCTAGAAATTGGTGACCATGAGATTCCATTTTGAATTAGAAGCCGTTTCAGTGTGGCATTTTCATCTTCTAGCGCCTTGATAGACGCACGAAGCGGAACATTGTATATTGCTCGGGCTGAATCATACTTGTCACGACAATCCCATGGGGGAAGGGCGCGAAGCTAAACGCACGTTAGATGACCGTTACTTAGGCATGGTAATATTCTTACGTTGGACATGGTGTAGCAGTAGTGCGCAGCACCTCTTTAGCATTCCAAAAAAACCAACGATCCAGGTTCCGGCCGAATACCTTGAGAGGTACAGGGTGGCTCTGGCGCTAGTCCTCTGGTACTGATACCGGCAAACGACAAATATTTCTCAAGTTTTACAGAGAAAATGCGTGAAGAGCAATAACAATAACAAAGTGCAGTCCGGCTTCAAGGGCGACCGGTATGGTGCGGTGGTTTTTCGTGGGTGCCCTTTTTCAACCAACAAGTTGTGTAGAGCCGAATGGTTATGGCTGATCAACGCACATACAGTAAATCAATCGTTTGACAGGTATCGTTGGTGGGTGAGCTTCCAAAAATGATGGAAATAGTAGAGAGGATGAAGTAGAAAGGTTCTGGAGAAGGAGGAAGATTGCCAGCTGGCAATTAAATAGCCGGTGGTTATGGACTTGTCTGGAGGTCGGATGTCTGCCGTGCGTGTCGCTTGTTCAAAAGGAAGGTCATCGCCGTGGTCAAATGGCGGGCGCTAGCCTAATTGCCTCAAGGTTGCGGCGGGGAGACCGCATCACAGGCTAACGCAAGGCCTAGACTTACAGTAACAGCACCTTGTTGGGCGGACATAGTCCTTGTGGGGAACACTGGACGTGATGCGACTGCACAGATGCATACGGCCAGTGGTTGGGCATCGGCTTAAACTGTAGACAGCTTCCGACTGACCAGGTAATGGAGCAGTGCTTATTTTAGAATAACCAGAATATCCTAATTGAAACGCTTTTGAATTGTAAAATGGCTAGCCCAAACGCAGTCGTTGAGAACACATCGTTTGCTCCATGTTGTCCCGATCATTGCTTGCCATATTCTTCCTTCGCTATTCTATCCCACTTCTCCTTGTCAACAGCAAACTGTCTGACATAATCCATCTCAAGCTCGTGAGTTCTGCGGCCGAGCAAAACTAAGCTGTGCAGAGGGGGGCCGAGGGCATCATCGGCAGAACAGAGCTCCTCCAGTGTTCCGGCAACAAACTTTTCGGTAAGTCCACCAACTCTTGCTGCACCAATGGCCAGACTATCCTTGGTGTACACCTTTTCTTGACGGTCGTTTTCAACTTCAATCATCTGCTGCGCGCACTGACCAACAGTCATGTATCTTGGTGGCTCATAAACAATGCGACCTCGGGCCATGCTCTCCATGTTCGGCTCCTTCACCTTGATGTCTACCAGGACAAGAGTGTGGAGACCGATATCGCGGTTTTCCTTTATTCTATCGTAAAACGAGGCTGGTCTCCAGTTGTCTGTGAAGAACACCATGGAGACGGTCTGGCCAAACGAATACAATTGCAAGCCACAGGCGCCAATACCGGACAGGATCGAAGCGTTGGGGACTGTCTGGACGGGGATGCCCAGCTCACGAGCGCGAAGGACAAGGTCTGTGTGAGTAGTGGCACTGTTTTAAGACCGGTTAGTAGTCAGCATTTATGACAGTTTGTATAGTCTCTGTCCTTACCCAAAGGGATCTCCAACAACGAGGAACGCAACGTCCTCAGTCTGTGCATTTCGGAGGATTTCTTCGCTGTTCGATTCCACCATTTCGCGATCGGCAACGGTTATGGAACGGCCATAGTATTTTTCCTATTTAACAGTTAGTATATTAGTGTTTAAGGTTCGAGAGCAACCGTCATACCAAGACAGCTTGGTCTACTAGGAGGATGCTCGTGTACGCCTCGAGGTAGACTCTGGAGGCCTTTTTGACAATCTCCAAACCTTTGACGGTAATATCCGTCTCATCAGAGAGACCTAGTCCGACAAGGAACAACATTTTGGGCTTATGACGATAAAATATGCAAAAGATGTCGCTGCTTGGTTCCAAAAAGTTGCGAAAATGAAGACTTTGCCCCGCCGCGGGGCAATCGATAAGATGAGCCCCGTAAGTTTAGCGTTGCGCGGTGACAGACTTTCTCTGTTTCTGCTGCATGCAACCGAAACCTTCTATTTCCCATCAAGCTACACATCGACCAAACCAACAATGGCCGAGCCGAAAAATGGCAGCGCTTATGGCGCACCTGCCAGCGATACTGACTTTCGAAAAAATTGGGATTTGGACGAATATGCCGCCAAGGCCAAAGAGCGCGAAGCTAAGGAGAAGGATGAAGCGAAGGCGCGATATGAGGCAAAGCTTGCAGGCAAAAAATACTACAAACCGCTTACGGGCAACGAAACATATACGTCGGCGAGGCGAGATATTCTCGATGTAACAGCACAAGTGGGAAAGACCCAACTCGTTGCGGCTGGCGCTGGCGTCGGCAAGCGAGGACGCAGTGCTGGTTTCTACTGCGAAGCCTGCGACCTTACGTTCAAAGACAACAAACAATATATCGAACACATAAACACCCCTCAGCATCTCTTTAACACAGGCCAAACAACAGAAGTCAAGCGTGCAACGGTGGAGGAGGTACATGACAGAATTACCTTTTATATTCAACGCAAAGCCGACTTGGAGAAGGAAAAGACGATCAGCTTGCAAGACAGACTACAGATTCGCGAGGAGGAGAATGAGAAGGAGGCCGAAGCAAAACGACTGAAACGACGTGAAGAAGCCGAGAAGAAGAGGATGGCTAAAGAAGAGGCTGCCAAGGTGAAGACGGAATACGGCGACGACGTTCGCATTGACGGTGAACATGATGAAGATGACATGATGGCGCAAATGGGATTCACGGCGTTTGGAACGTCTAAAAAGTGAGCAAGTTAGTTATTTTTATTTGGTCGGCAGAGAGAGTCTGCTATTCTGCATACATTGTACATTACGATATCTTTGGCTAGCACGTTTGAATACCTGGCGACAAACGCCATGCCTCCCAATCTGATTTAAGTCGAACTATTAAAGCCCTAAAATAAGTGAATCAAGTAGCAATTATGAAAAGATATTTATTCCTGGTGAGTTCATTACTTTCAAAGATTTGCTTTTAGCAGTTGTATTTGGTAGACATTGCCAACCCAACCAAATGATACCCCATCCAGGGTCTACGCCAGGCGCCTCCAACAGCGGTGGATCTCGCCCCGCGAGTGGCGGGGGTTTCAATTCTCCAAACCTGCTCCCTTGGACAACCTTGGCCATACTCTCCCACTTGCGTCTTCCAGGCCTCTACCGATACAAATCAAGACTTCATTGCACGCCCGCCATCATGGCCGCATCACAATCCGCCGCCGCAGCTTCCCTGCTCAAGAGACAGCTGAAAGAGATCCAGGCTAGTAAGGACTTGCCAGGCATCTCTTGCGGTCTGGTTAGCGACAGCAACATGCTGGAGTGGGAGGTTATGCTTATGATCAATGATGATTGCAAATATTACGGAGGTACGTGTAGCATCAGTGCGTATTTCGACGGTCCTTAACTAACTGGGCCTTCTAGGCGGCAACTTTCGCGCCCGACTCGTCTTCCCACCGACATATCCTCTGATGCCGCCCTCGCTGACCTTCCAAGACCCGATCCCCTTCCACCCTAACATTTATGAAAACGGCACGCTCTGTATCTCGATTTTACATCCACCAGAAGAGGACCAGTATGGCTACGAAGCAGCGTCAGAACGCTGGAGTCCCGTGCAGACACCAGAGACCATCCTGGTGAGCACGCTGAGTCTCTTCCACAGCCCAAACGACGAGAGTCCAGCCAATGTGGAAGCTGCTAGAATGTTGCGTGAGGAGAAGGAGGGCAAGCACAAAGATTTCCGCAAGAGAGTTCGCAAGTGTGTACGTGAGAGTCTGGGAGAGGACTGAACGCGGCTGTCACGTTTATACTTTGAAAGGAAGACGTAGCCACGCGCTAGGGCACTTGTGGACTGTGTGATACGTGGCAACCAAGGCGTTTTGTATCATCTTAATAGGTGAGAAAGGGAAACGTATGGATATTTGCATGGAGCTGGCGCATTACTATTCGGATGGCGTGTTTGGCTCGTCAACCATGGATGGGGGTTTAAGCGGGCATCGTTCTTGCTGGTCTCAAATTGCACGGGGACAAAATACAAGAGGCGCGTATATTAGTATGATATAATGAATTATTTCTTTTTTACAGGACTATGTCTACTCAAGATCCATGAGCTTTGGAACCACACTCGTCCACTGCTCGTCCCATCGTAGGCTACCTTCCTTGACTGCACCTTGTTTGAGGGTTGACAGCTCCTTGGCACCCTCGTCACTAAGCAGCCTTCTAAAGATCGCAGTAAGCTCATTTGCGTTGACAAAACCGCATCCGTTTTGGCCCTCTTTAACCAGCTCGCCGAAGCTCTCAAAGTCTGAGTAGGCTGCGACGGGCAAACCAGCTCCGAACATGTCGACCACCTTCATGGGGAGATCAACGCCGGAAGACGACTTGTGGAGAGAGATGCCTAGATCTGAGGCAGCAAGTAGGCCTGCATAATCACGGTTAGACAACCATGCCGTTGTGACCTGGATACCGGGGAGCTTGCCCGCCTCCGTTAATTCCTTAATCTTGGCAAGATAGGCCTCTTTCTGGGGGCCCTTTCCGGTGATAATGGCGAGAATGGGGACTGGAAAATCCTTCTTCTCAGCGACTACTTCAGGAATAGCGTAGGCCATGAGAGCATCCAGGAGCATGCCAAAGTCTTCGTCGGCAGTCCATGACGTGCTGCTGACAATCAGACGCACGCTGCCGCTGAGGATATCCTTGGCCATTTTTTTGGTTTCGGGGATGCGCTGGAGAATGGCCATGCGGTCGCTATCGGATTGGACGGGTTCAAAGATGGCTGCTGGGCGATCATGCAAGGTGCGTATGGGTCCTTTGAGCTTGTATTTGGCGCCCTGGAGTTGGGCGGTCATGGCATCCGTGACAGCCAGATTGGCGTTGCCAAGGAACCGTCCAATGCGCATCTCATACCATCTATAGATTGGAACAAATAGGGAATAGAGCTTATTCTGCGCAAGAATGGTGTGTCCGTAGTTGTGCCAGTCGACGACGATCTTGCTGCCACGCATCCACGACACAAAGAGGGCGATGTGAAAGAGAGGAATTGAGGGAGGATTCTATGCAGATGTTAGTGATGTATTCTCGATGTTCGGTTAATATGTGTCTTACCTGCAAGACCATCCATTTGGCAGCCGGCGCAGTATACATGAGTGTGCAGTAAAGCGTGTAGAATTGCTGAAGAACTTTGCAGGGAATGTTGATAAAGAAGGGCAAGTTGTTCCACGCAATCCATTCAGGCACCGGGGTTAGAGGGAAAACATTGACGTTAGGGTTACCGATTAATTCAGGGTGTCTTGCGGTTTCTATATTCGCAGGCGGTTAGCATCCCATGTGCATCGACTGTCTTCAGGCTGCTCACCTCGGAAGCCGACAATGTCGACCATTCTATTGAGTTTCGCAAAGCTAATTGCATGGTACTGCATGCGCGGACTGCGTCCAATGTCACCCACAACGACTATCTGGATATGGTCATCTTCCGGGTTCTCGGTGGCAATGTATTTGGTCGGGATTAGGCTTGCGAGGTAGTTTGCAAGCACCCTGAGCCCGCGCAAGCTCCAAATTAGAACAATCACCGCGAGGCCACCGGCGATGGTAGAGAGGATAAATGCTACAACCATGGTTGCTGCGCGCAATTGGCCGACTGCAAAGTCTAGCAAGTTAGACTGGCAATTGGCTGGTGAGCTTCAAGCTGGACCTGTGCGGCGCAAGAAGGAGGTGCGGCGCGTGGTGTTGCGTTGTCGCCAGCTGGCGGGCAGCTGGTGGAGTTTGCCGGTTTGGCGTTAGGGGGGGAAGGTTACCTCAACTGGCACACTTGGAGTGTAGTGCTCGATTGCAACAACAACAAAGCAGCACAGCGCAGCGACAATTTGAAATTCAAACTGAAAAAAAGAAGAACGGAACAGAAGGCAGAATAGACAGGTGACAGAAGTGCTCCTTGTGAATATGCGGGGAAACGAGGCGCTTGGTTTATACATATTTCAATGCCCGTGTGCCCTCCTCCCCCAAGGCTGCGACACAATTCACCAACGCCCTGCCTCTACTATCATGCTTTAACTGATGCCAAGAATAAGCCACGACGGCGCCACAGGGCCTGCGCAGGCATTCAGCGGGAACCTTTGCGCAGACGATGGGGTATCATGCGCTGTGCTGAAGGCCTGGACGCCTTTGCCAAGCGGCCACAAGAACCATAGAGGACGCTTGTTGCGCCGCAAAATTAAGACTATGGGGTGGCGTCGACCATTAGGAACCTTTTTTCCACGTCTTATAGGCCCGTTAGCATTGGGCCCAAGCCAAGCGGAGCCAAGAACGGTGTCGTTTTCCAGCGCTCTCTTGACTCGCTCATACGGTGCTTAGAAGCCACCGACTACAGGCGATGTGTGATGTGTGATCATGTCTTGTGGCAACGATTTTTTGAGGCTCTATGTTCCTATGAAGAGTTCGAAGAGGGAACTACAAGGGGTATACGAGAATGGTTTGGTCCAGGACTTCAGCAGATTAGCATTCATGGTTTGCCAGTTCTGGATCCAGTGATCTACTGCTACATCGTCTAGTGCCGCTGACAAGGGTGCAACAGGAACCAATCTCTATAACGAGGAGGGCGATGACGAAGATGCCGCAACAATTATGAAATGGAAAGACAAAACGAAAGCCTTGCGACAGTTCTTGTTACAGAATGATCACAGATGATGTGCCAGTCCTACAAAATGTTGTCCGAGTTCGATGGACAGTTCCAGGCACGGGCAACGACAGCGTTAACAGCGTTTCATTATAGGGAGGCCAGATTGCCCAATGCTACGCTCTCGACGTAGCGTCGTGGTCTGGCAGAAACTACCCGCGTCTAGCTGTGCTAAACATAAAAGCAGTGATTATTGCCTGTCTTGCTTCTGCCAATTTTATGAAAACTTGCACTTTTCAAGGAATTAAAACAACATTTTTGCGAGCAAAACACTACTATCCTATCTTGCGCCAAACTATCGTATTCGCCGCCTCTCAGTGGCTCGTCGGCTTCCCCCCAAAAACACAGAACAGGGGCCGCCTGCTGGTGCCCCACGTGCACCCCTCCCACTGCTGCCACCACACACGCGCCGCCCGCGACTCGCCTCCTATTCCAGGCAAGGGCCCAGTTGCCGGGATCTGAGAAAGACTACTTTGGCCAGATCAACAAACGCACCAGCACGCCGCTCAAGCCCTGTCTTTCCGCCCGGCCAGCTTACGAGGTTCTCGGGGCACTTCTGTTTCTTTAAAAAGGCAGCAGTTTCCATTTAGCAGCGACGTTTACTACTTGTTTTGACGTTTGCTGCTCTCTCGTTTGCGCTGGCGTGGGTAATCGAAACCTTGCCTCCTCCACAACCCGCTTCCGTCGAAATTCCCCTTCAGCTCGAACCATTCGCCTGGCGAACTGAGCCATGGCAGCACACAATGCTTTGCCAGTAGCTTCTATACCGGTACCGCATGAACACCGTCGGATAGATTCGGCCTCCAACGCCAATCGAGAGTCGTGGAGATCATCAATGTCGAGCGATCAGCTGCCTGGGTCGTTTCAAGACCGAGCCTTTGAGCAACATCACGCCAGTCAGCACTCTCATAGCCACTCCAACGGCCACGCGCACGATCACGGCCACGACCACAGCCACGATCATGGACACTATCATGGGCATGATCACGGCCACGACCATTCCCATGCCCATAACTCCAGCAACAGCCACTCCTACGCGCAACCTCAACCTCGCGATAGAACAGGATCCCAAGCCTCGTATCTGAGCGCACGTCCCGGGTCCATGGCACTGGACGGCTGGACGCTCGAGAAGACGGCAAGCGGCAAGAGCGTCATTGCCCCCGGCTTTGAGACCGAATCGGCGCCTTATACACCCCCGAAGCCCACGCAAAAACAAGAAATGATTGACCGTAGCGTGGAACGGTCGTGGTTCACAAATGCTCTATTGCCATACACATCTAACTATCCTCTGATTCATGCAATCATGCTAGAGAAGGACTCTCGGCGCATCTTTTACTTTATGACGTACGTTGTGACGATGAATTAGGCCACACAGTTTGACATGTACTAACGTGAACGATGCTGATAGACTCAACTTTGCATTTATGCTTATACAAGCTTTCTACGGATACGTTACCGATTCACTGGGCCTGCTGAGCGACAGTATACACATGTTTTTCGACTGCGTTGCGCTGCTTGTTGGATTGGTTGCTGCTGTAATGAGCAAGTGGCCGCCCAGCCAGAGGTTTCCGTATGGATTTGGAAAGATTGAAACACTGAGCGGATTTGGCAACGGAGTATTACTCATGTAAGCAAGCACGCGAGCAAGAGCAGCTTGGCAACAGTAGCATCAAATGATGGCGAAGCTAACCTTTGAATATAGGCTCCTGAGTCTTGAGATTGCGTTCGAAGCATTTGAGCGGCTGTGGGAAGGCACACAGACAAAGCGTCTCAGCGAACTGCTAATTGTTAGCTCCATGGGTCTTGCGGTTAACCTGGTTGGCATGATGGCATTTGGACATCACCATCACCACGGTCATGGACATGATCATGGCCATAGCCACTCCCATGCGCCGGCGCAAAACCACGGACACAGTCACGGCCACGATCATAGCCACGACCATGCGAGCGAAACGAAAGGCCACGACTGCCGATCACACGACAATGAGAATATGCACGGCATCTACTTGCACGTTTTGGCAGATACTCTTGGTAGTGTCTCCGTTATTGTGTCTACAATCCTTACCAGCCTTTGGGGTTGGTCAGGATGGGATCCGCTGGCGTCTTGCTTCATTGCCACCCTCATCTTCCTGTCGTCCCTGCCGCTGGTTGTGTCGTGTGCGAAGCGCCTGCTACTGACAGTGCCAGAAGACACCGAATACACGTTGCGCAATCTGCTGAGTGGAATCAGCGAACAGCGCGGCGTCGTAAGCTACTCCGTGCCCAAGTTTTGGCGTGATGACCGATTTGGCGGCGACGAAGGCGACAAGCTCGTTGGTGTTGTGCATGTATCGGCGGCTCGAGGCTACGCTCTGGACGAGGTACGCGATAGAGTACGCGACTACCTTGTGCAAGAAGGCATTGATGTCGTCGTGCAAGTTGAGCGAGAAGGCGACAATGCGTGCTGGTGCGCGCGAGAACGAGGCTTAGTACCGCCTACGCCGAAGCCTTACTAGAAGGAGCTTCCAAGGGGCGGTGGAGGAGGAAGAGGACGAAATACGACTTCTTGGGTAGCTCACGGCCTGCTGAGTGGACGGATGCGCGCTGTGACAACCAGATATGACCTAGCAACCATATTGGAAGGCCAGGCTTGATGCTCTCAGACGGAGCGTAGGCATGGCTGAACCGATTTTGGGATAGCAGCGGCTGCTTTGGTTTCCATATGCAAGCGGATCGCCCACTCTAGCTTGTCAATACTCGAGATAATTGTCTTTTGGTATATTATGTTTTTGTTTTTGAATGGAGGGCATTTTTGGAGGTATTCTTTTACGGCGCCTGTTTTGTATTTTGCAAACTCTCGCGAGAGATGCGGCGTTGGTCTGGTCCGTCTGGAGTACACGCGCAGGGTTTAGACACACAAAGAAATAAAAATTAAAGAGCCAAAAAATACACACACCATTGTATATGTTATACACAGTCCACCATAAACAGTGATACATGAATGCAACGGTAGCCGAACTCATCGGCCGCTTAAGCATCTGGTCTTTGCGCGAAAAGGCGTTGGCCGTTCCGGCCGGCCGGCTGCGGTGACCGGAGTTTTGGGGGAGCGCAGCGGCCCACCGGCGCAAGTAGCCGAGGTCCAACGCTGTGTGTGGAACACCCCATACAGCGGGTGTCAACTAGCGAAATCTAGGTTTTTTAGGTCTCGCAACAGGGGCCATTTGTACTGGGAAAGTTGGAGAAAGTGAGATAGCAAAGCGTGGAGACCCCGCGGCACATGCTTTCTTTGCGTGCGCTATGAAAAGGTCTGAAGTGAAGCGAGCAGACGAAGCGCAGTTGACCAGACAGTTAAAACAGGCCAAGTAGGATAGAAACAGAGGCATAGAGGTATCTATCCTTTGCTCAATTCGCGCATCTTTTCATCTATTTTCTCTTCGCTCCATGCAGGCGCATGCAGGCTGTCTGTCTGTCCATCTATGACAACGGCGCCGCCATGCATTACCCGTGGCTGCGTAATAGCGCTACTGGGCCCGTAAGCCACACATATCTCACTAATCCTCGGCATCTCAGGCACCGTGGGCCGCCTAAAACGAAAAAAGTAGCGAGCCGCCACAGGACCTGTCGAACCGCTGGAACCCCAAAACTCCGGGCACTTCCCTAGCGGTACCAGCAAGAAATGACGACACCGCCTGCCTACTGTTGGTGAGACACCGATAGGACAGCCCCAAGTCACCTTACCCTTTTTTTTCCCTCGTGTATCTTTGCCAGCTTCCTTTCTTCCCCCTCTTCTTCCATCTCTCTTGTTTTTTCTCCAATTCGCTCCTCTCCCCTCTCTTTCCTTCTAGACCGTTGCTTCGTTTGGTTTCGCTAGCAGTTGGCCCGCCCTCGTCGAAACATCTCCACCCGCGGTCTTCTCTCGCCAACACAACAAACACACACACAAGCCCGCATCATGTCGTCCGCCGAGATCCCCTCCCCCAAGGCGGTTGCCCAGAAGATCGAGGCAGCTCTACCGTCGCCCCAAGAGGTCAAGAAGGACGCTGCGTCCGGCCTCGCGAGCCAATTGCGCTCCTTTGCCGCCGGCGGCTTCGGCGGTGTCTGCGCCGTCATTGTCGGCCACCCGTTCGATCTCGTCAAGGTCAGACTGCAGACTGCTGAGCGAGGCGTCTACTCTGGTGCCATTGATGTCGTGCGCAAGTCGATAGCTCGCGATGGCATGCGCAGAGGCCTCTACGCTGGTGTCAGCGCGCCTCTGGTCGGTGTCACGCCCATGTGTACGTCTTTTCGCTACTGTGTTGCCAAAACTTCAGAAAATGCTAACTCTGTAATCTCATCTAGTCGCCGTCTCCTTCTGGGGCTACGAACTCGGCAAGCAGATTGTTTCCAAGGTCAGTACCGTTGGCCCCGACGGCCTCACCACTGCCCAGATCTCCGCCGCCGGTTTCTTCTCCGCCATTCCCATGACCGCCATTACCGCGCCCTTCGAACGTGTCAAGGTTATTCTCCAGGTCCAGGGCCAGAAGCAGCTTGCTCCTGGCGAGAAGCCCAAGTACAGCGGTGGTCTCGACGTTGTCCGCCAGCTCTACCGCGAGGGCGGCGTCCGCTCTGTCTTCCGTGGCACCGTTGCTACTCTTGCTCGTGACGGTCCCGGTTCCGCCTGTTACTTTGCTGCCTACGAAATCATCAAGCGCAAGCTTTCCCCCAAGGACGAGAACGGCAAGCCCACTGGCCAGCTGAGCGTCAGCGCCATCATGGCTGCTGGTGCCGGTGCCGGTGTTGCCATGTGGATTCCCATCTTCCCCATTGATACCATCAAGTCGCGTCTCCAGACTGCCGAGGGCAATGTTACTTTGGGCGGTGTCGTTCGCGAGCTCTACGGCAAGGGTGGTGTCAAGGCCTTCTTCCCCGGCTTTGGCCCTGCTCTGGCTAGAGCTGTTCCCGCCAACGCCGCTACGTTCCTTGGTGTTGAGCTGGCTCACAAGGCCATGACCCAGGTCTTTGGTTAAATCTGTCACTGGTAGAAAACGGAGAAAAAAAAAAGGATAAAAGCAACGAAATTTTCCATTTGCGACAATCACAGGAGAGTCCAAAACACCACGAACATCGATCTTCGACGCTTTTGCAAGCGATATAAAGAATTATAGAACAAATTATTGCCACATACTAGCGGTAGCGCCGGCATGAACAAATGGCAGCAATACTAGACGTCTAAAACTACGATGTGCACCACCCGAGCTGGCACATGCTGGGTATAGATTTTTTTTATTCGAGCGTTTCAACCAGTTTACAAGTCGAGCTGGTAGCATTCTTTATCAAATAAAAATACATTCTAAACTAAATATCCAAGAAGTATTTACCGTGAGCTGAAAAATACATGGTACTGAGTGTGAAAAGGCAGGTTAAAGACGTTGGCGAATGGTATTAAATAGTGGTTCGTATGGGGTATATATAAGTTCGTAGTGTACATTTGCATTCCTTTATAGGCTTGCTTTTAAACAGATTCATTCATCGTCCATCGCCTCTTAGTATGGCTCATATCGCGTATGGGTTCCGTCTCGCTCGCAGGCGGTGGTTGTCCCCAAAATCCCCCCAAGCCATTTCCTAGAGGCGTAACAGAAACCTCTTCCACTACCACATCGTCGGTCAAATCAGTCTGAACTCTGATAGGGCCTGCAAGCATCGGGCTAGAAGGGAACGTAGCTGATGGCACCAAGCTTCCGCCAAACGTGAAGAATGGCGCGGCGGGTGCTGGCTCAGTCGGTTTACTCGGCGCTGCTGGTTGGAATCTAGCATTGTCAAAATCTGGAAACATGCCGCCGCCGAAAGCATGTTTGTCTTCGTTGTTATCTGAGAACAAACTGCTCTGTTTCTTCAGAGCGCTTGACGCGAAGATGCTCTCCGCTGTAACCGGCGCTGGTGCAGGCTCTGAGGTTGACTGAGATGGAGTTGACGGCGCCCAGAGCCCAGACGATGTTGGTCGTTCGCCATTCGAGGTAGTCTGTGAAACACTGTCGCTCATTTCGCTGGCGCCCCTTAATGAACGTTCTGATGCTTCTTTTCGCAACGTGGGGGGAGGTCCAGAGGCACTAGCAGAGATGCTTCTGCTCGCCAAACTGAAGTAGTCTGTCGCAACAAATGGTCCGATAACGGTGCCCGAGTTGGTAAAAGTCGCCGTCCTTCCCCTGGAAGATGGTAACGGGCGAGTGCCATTTGCCGTCGAGGCAGACCGTCCGGACCGGCCGGAGAGCGGAGTGGAAGAAGTGGACTGCAGATGTTCGGTGCTAGCTGACATGCGCATTTGATATATTTGATCAACTGTAACATAGTCAACAGAGGGATCCGTTGCTTTTGCTGTTTCTAACAGCTTCTTGTAGTCGAGATCAGGCTTCGTAACGGCCATGGATAGAGATGCTGTAGCAACGTCCATCAGGACTGGCTGGTGAGTGATGGCACCCATAAGAGCGTTGCATCCTGCACCATGCGATACGAGCACCAATACGGTTTCAACATCCTCTTCCTCGACAACAGAACCAGATTCATTGGAGCAAGACTCAGTGGCCCCCACAGATGTCACCATGTTGTCGGCTGCTTCGTTGGTAGCATACCAGTTGACAAGCTTTCGCAGTCCCAGCCTGAACCGTTTGTGCATAGCTGCCCACTCTTCTCCAAACTTTCCACCATCACCAAAGTCTAATGGCTCCCTCATAGAATCCCATTGATAGTCGACGGTAGTGCAAGCATCGCGAGCGTGGGCAACGAAGCCCTCTGGAATCTTACCAGAGCCCTGCGCCGGCTGAATTGGTCTTGGGGGCGCATATCCTTTGCGTCTCTCCACCGGAAGTGCTGCTGCCAATGATGAAACATTTAATGCCCCTTCGCTCTCTGAGTTGGGGAGCGGGGTAACCGTTGGACTGGCAGAAGGCGACCCCTGCCAGAGTGATCTGGATAATCTCGGTGCCGGCTGCTCATCGGCAGTCGTCTCTGTATACATGCTGTAATCTTCCCGGCGGAGCAGCTCTGCCTTTGCGCCACCCAGCATGAGAGCCGGGCCCGGGGGAGGCGTAATCAATTCAAAGTATTCGGGGCTAAGCCATTCTCCGAGGAAAGAGTCGATGCGGAGCAGCGCAGTGCGGTGTGCTGGCGACTTGCCAGCAGGGGTGAATGGCGGCACTATAATATCGGAAGACTTGTATATAGAATCGTGGGTTGTTTGTGCCAGACCGGAGCTAATACCGACCGAAGTTTGGACGCATCGTAGAAACGGAGACGAGTGGATGATGACCTTGAATCGTTTACGACGAGTTTCGCCATTGCGAACCTCCTCTTCCAGCTTTGTCTGTTCGAGGAGATTTATAATTTGATTACCAACCGCGCGGGCCTGCAGAAATCCGCTGTAGGTGATTGGCGTATCGTAAGGGGTCGGCGAGGAGAGATGCCATTGCTTATCGGCAGCATCCAAGCGATTGCCGTGACTAGACGGGGAGCGGCAATGGTTAGTACTGTGCTGCGGCACGAGAACAACATAAGCAGGAGACAAACCGGACAAGGAATATATGAGACGGAGGCCCTCCCATGATAGAAAGAGGCCAGGCAAAGGGCCTAGCACCAGCTGCTGGGTGAAGTGTGGCGATTACCAACGGCGCTCGTCCTCGTGAATTGGGGTAACGCGGGTCGTCGGCGGGAGCTTGCTGAGGGTACAAGCTATCGTGGCGTTTATAAACAGAGAATTAATTGGAACAATCACCGAAGTAATCCAAGCCTCTGACAACGTGTAAATAGGTGTTACGTGTGAAGAAGGGAGAGAGGGGGAAACCCGAATCGATGGTGTTTTAGAAGGCACCAGGGTACATCGGGCGGAAGCTGCAGCGCAAAAAGTGTCAAGTGACGAGCGAAGCTTGCAAGCGGAGACGTTAATTATTTTTTTGGAGGGTCCCTGGGGTACGGTAGGGGCCAGCTTCTAGTGGATGTGTTGGCGTCAGCACCTTGTTTTTTTAGAGGCCTGAATGCGGATAAGAGTACGGGTGTCGAGGGGAATCAGATACAGCATCAGGAGCTGTAGAGAAGACGAAAATATTTATAGAGAAGTTATCATAGGAGATTAAAATACATGGAATTCGGTTTACAATAGCTGCAAAATATTTTCAAAAAACAGAAATCCACTTGTGTGCGATTCAAATCTCCGCCTGGGCGCAAACATCTTCTTTCGCCATGTGACAGCGCCGTAGGCATCCTTTGCTGTCCGCATCCGATTTCTCGTGTACAAAGCCGCTTGTCGTCATCGCACGTGTCGCTGGGAAAGGCAAGTTGCGGTCCACTGCAAGGCACCTATAGGTACGGCTAAGGGCACTATAACTGTGCGAGCCGGCGCTAGATTCGGAGTTGCAGTGGCTGTCGCACAGACGACGGAAGTTATACCTTCACAGTAGTGGCGACAGCCTGTCACTGCCACTGCCACTCACTGTACCTTGCTGCACGCACTAGCCACAGCACAGCGCACGCTCCTCTCTGGCTGCCCCCGCCGATTTGTAAGCCCGCCCACACTGCTAGCTAAGCTACCCTCTGTGCCCGCAAAGGACACGCCTTTTGAGGCGCGCCACCTGGTTTCCCCTTTACACGCCACTTCGCCAGCGTCTTATCGACGACCACGATACCAACGCCTCTGCTCCCGACGTCGCCCATTTTCAGTACAGCGACGCGTCCATTCGTTCAATTGTCCTTTCTTGTTTTATTAGGTCGCTATACCGCAGCATCCGCCCGCCATGCAGCTCTCCAGCCTGGAGCTCAACGCCCTTCTCGCCACTGTCGTCTTCTTTGCCGTCCTCGCCACGGCTGAACACACCAGCAACTGGGCCGTGCTTGTGTGCACGTCGCGATTCTGGTTCAACTATCGCCATCTGGCCAATGTGCTATCAATGTACCGTACCGTTAAACGCCTCGGCATTCCCGATTCGCAAATCATCCTCATGCTTCCCGATGACATGGCCTGCAACCCTCGCAACGCCTTCCCTGGCACCGTCTACAGCAACTCAGACCGTGCTGTAGACCTTTACGGCGACAATATCGAAGTAGATTATAGAGGATACGAAGTCACCGTCGAAAACTTTATCCGACTCTTGACAGATCGCGTCGGCGCCGAGATGCCCAGAAGCAAGCGCCTGCTAACGGATGACCGAAGCAACATTCTCATCTACATGACTGGTCACGGCGGAAACGAATTCCTCAAGTTCCAGGATGCCGAGGAGATTGGCGCTTTTGACTTGGCTGATGCATTTGAACAAATGTGGGAAAAGAAGAGGTACGACCTGCCCATAGCTCCCGCGCGCGGCGCAGCCTTGCAGGTGGCTAGATTACTAACCGGGTGAACAGATACCACGAAATGCTCTTTATGATCGATACTTGCCAGGCAAACACAATGTACAGCCGTATTTACTCGCCCAATATTATTGCCACTGGCTCGTCCGAGCTCGATCAATCTTCATACTCGCACCACGCCGACAACGACGTTGGCGTCGCCGTCATTGATCGCTACACATATTACAACCTCGAGTTCCTCGAAACGCAGGTACGCGATCTTAGCAGCCAAAAGACTGTCGGCGATCTGTTTGACAGCTACGACTTCGAAAAGATCCACTCGGACCCTGGCTTCCGTTACGACCTGTTCCCCGGAGGCGCCGACGCTGCGCGCAGCCGCCTCATTACCGATTTCTTCGGCAATGTGCAAAACGTCGAGGTTGACCGAGCAAAGGACTCTGCGTTGGAAGAGGATCTCCTTGGTCTTAGCAAGAAGATCGCCGAGCTGCGCCGCAAGCACGAAGAGCTCCAGGCTGCGCAGAACAACGCCTCGTCAGTCCCCGCCAGCGCACCTACAGCACCCGTGCCACGCAAGACCCCGGGAGCCATGCCCCTCAACAAGGAGAACTGGTTGAACAAGCAGCTGGTTGGCGGAACCGCTTTGCTGGGTTGCGCACTCCTCTGGGGAATCGGGGCATTCATGGAGAAGTAACAGTCTTTCTTAGTTTACACTCTGATGCAAAAACGGCGTTCTTTTGGGAAGGATATCGTGCATTTGTCACGTCATGACGGTTTACTCTGCCAAGCTTTGATTTTTTTTAGAATGAATATCAACATTGTACATTACAAGATATAATCTGCCTTCAAGGACCTATCCCCAAATTGTCACTATTCCTCTTCGTACTCTTGAGGTAGCCGGAAATCGCCAGGGCCGTAAGGCGTATCTCGTCGGCCTTGAGGCACCATATCCAATAGGGCAAACGTAGGTATGAGCACCTCGAGCCCCCTCTCCCAAGTAGAGTACGTGTGGTATATGGCGCCGTCGTGCTTGAAGAATACGCTTAGACCGGGTATATCGCCCGAATCCGTTACGTATCTACCTCCAGCCTTCCTTTCATCTTTGGTCTCAAAGTTCATCAATGGTTCCGCAACGGCAGGATCAACTGTAGCGTTGAAATCTGTGTTAAAATCGGTACCACCGCTAGAGTACCACTTCCACTTCCAACCGGCGACCTGTTTCCGTGCCTCCAGCGCATCCGCATCCCCGCGGGATACACAGACAATGTTGACGTTTTTGTGTCTCATGTGAGCTGGGTCAGGTAGCGACTCTCCTACATGCGTGCAGCCATAGCACCCCTTGTCTTCACCGGGGCCAAACATGAAGTGATAGACGATGAGTTGGTCCTTGCCGTCGAACAGGTCTGCAAGCGTGACGGTCTCACCACCGGGGCCTTTGAATGTGTATTCCTTGTCCACTTTGACCATGGGCAAGGCGCGGCGTTCTTTAGCAAGTGCCGCACGGGCTTTTGTCAGCTCCTTTTCCTTTTGCAACAGCACCTTACTAGCGACGAGCCATTCCTGGCGGGAGACGGCAACCACCTGGTATAGTTAGCCGCTAGAGGAATTCCTAATATAATGGAGATGAAGGTATGCTTACTTGTGGTGATGAAGACATTTTTTAAGAAAGTATACAGATGAAGAGGAAAAAACGTTGGATGTTGTAATGATGTAAAAGAGAGGTTACCGTGAATAGTTGTGCCGTGAACTTTAAACGCGGGGTCCCCTTCACCAAGTTAACGGTCTAGTCAAGACGTCCGCTTCGGATCTGCAATGTTCATTACTTACCTCACCCTGTCACTTCTGGCCATTTCTCTCCAATAATTTTAAACAGTGTACTATCATCATTTTTAATTCTGGCATTCGAATACGTACTTAATTCAGAGTAATACCGGTACATATATGCTTAGCTGCTACCGTTGTTCTACATTTGCTTGTCTTGCACCTCTAATGAGTTCGGAATACTCCTCGTCTGAAACTAAGCTCCGCCATCCCGACTGCCAGTGATCGAAGTTTAGTGGAAATGGATATATAATTGTTGGATTATGCATTCTGCTTGCAAGACCTATCGCCAACATTCGATTGTTATCCCACAGAGCTAGCCCATGCTGTCTGAAAATACCGACTGAGGTCTCTTGAAAAGGATGCACATCATTGCTCACGAGGCTTGCCGGTTCTCGAAAAGTTAAGTCTCGCCGGGAAAGTGTTGTCGGAACGTATCCTTCCCCAGCAGGCTCACTTTTCCAACGAAGATCGTAAGCTGTGCTTGGAATCAGCTCAGGCACGTGGACCGACGCTGGCTGTACATTGACACCTAACAAGCTGTCGACTTTCGAGTTACGTCTCCTGCTTTTGATATAATCCGAAATAGTTAACATCTCTTGGCCTTGAAGACTTTTTGGTCGAATGTGTCTGCTAACAAGATCCGCTACAGGCATTGTAATGAGTTCTTGTATGACGCTTTCATCCCGGCTCGTCGTTGGCTGACTCCATTTCGTAGCCGCCTCTTTGAGCTCAAGAAGCATTTGGTACCTCCAAAAGGCCCGGATGACAACCTGTTCCTCAACCCAAGATGCTGGACCAAGGGCTATACGCAACCGAGCTTGATTTTCAGGATCCGTGCGCTCCCTGTGGGCGAAGGGGCCTGGGCCTGGCTCTTTGCTGAACTTTGCCGCTGTAAGACGGTCCAGCTGGGGCACGACTTGGACGGAAGTCAACCAGAAGATCCCATAGGCACACTTGGATCCAGTCCTGTACTCTACTAGCAGTAGCTAATATGCCGAGAGGCACCGAGCCTGGCCTGGGCGGTATGAACTGTTCCCATGGCGTCCTATCGCTTATGCTCTCATCCATCAGCTCATCCCAGAAGAGCGACACAGGCCATGGCGGACATGTCGAAAGACGCAAAAGCACCACTGTCCATATGACGTAACGGGTCTGTGGCGTGGCTTTTCCTACATCCAACGTGATAGCGTTGCAGACCTCTGCTACTCGTCTCGAGTCAAGAAACAGCCTGTATACGTGTGAACAAGATTGAGCAAAGGCATACACGGAGCGGAGGTCGGGTAGTTGCTTGCTAATCTCCAAAACCACCTCAGCTGGCAGCTGGTGAAAGGGGCCTTGCTCCATAGCGACGAATAGAAAGCTCTCGAACGGAATCTGGTGCAAGACTAACGGTTGATTGATCGGAGCAAGAAGGAGGAATTCAGTCACCTATAAGAAAAGTGATCTACTTCTTCACCCCCGCTTCCCTGCTTGGTGGCGGATTGTCTATACATCGTATTCATGGGCCTCGCAGCCTGATTCTGCAGCGTCTATGGTGGATTTTAATCGCTAGTGCATCTTGGCCTGCATCTTGACAAAACCCTGGTTAGAACACTTGGCGCGAGCGGTCCCTTGGAAGAGCATCGGCAGCATTCTGGTGGTGGATGTGCTGGCTCTTGGTGTGAACTTGTATCAGGACGTCAACGCAGTGTCGTTCACGGGAGCTGACGTACCGCCATCTTCGCGAGATTAGCCCATCAGAAATCAAGCAAATAAAAAATAAATAAATTGGGAGACTCAAATTTTCCTTTTCTTTCTCCTTCGTGATTAAGTACAATGAAGTTTTGTGTTGTTGTAGGTGACTGACCTACGGCTCCGTACCGACCAATGCCTAATTTAAGTAAGCATATTTTGCATACCTAAACTCACACCTTGTAAACTCCATCACCAGATCAAATTGCAACGCCTGCACGCCTGACCACCAGCCAATATAATGTACAGCAGTTTACGTACATGATGAAAGCATACACATTAGATATTTCGTCTACAGCCTAAGCGTCCTTTCTGCAAGATGGAGACTTCACGGGTAAGGTTGCTGGAAACACGCGTCAGGACAACCCTGCACAGTCAACTAACACTTCACTAGATACCGCAACTCCAGTCAATTGCCCTCAAATCACGGCCTATTTCACCACTAGCAATCTCTTGGTCATGTGATGCTGAACTCGCCATAGCTACTGATGACGGTATTTACATCTACCTGCCAGTCTACCCCAACTTCAACGACGCGACGCACACCAACCCAGATGCACTTCCACCGCAGCTATCACTCTCCCTGCAAACAACAGCTGTATTTAAACCAAATCCAGCAATCAATGCAAAGCTATGCGCGTTTGCTGGGGCCGCCGTGCCGACTCTAGGCGCCGAGAGCAAGGGTAACTCAGGCCCTATTGCGGAAGACCTGATATCGGCGTCGGCGTCGGCGATTGGCCAGGCTGCCAAGGTCGAATGGTCCCCAAACATGCTTGGGTTTAACAGGCGCCCAGTATTGGCGGTGCTAACAACCCACGGCGAACTTATTGTGGTTGGGGAGGACGCCACGGATGCGGATACTCTTGGAGCTACGCAACGAACGCGAAACTTCAAAAACTGGAAGCTTCTCTGGGGAATTGGGCCCAACATGCCCCTCCCGGTGCAAGTTCCAGGAGTTGCAACAAAACTTCAAACTACAGATGAGCGTATAGTGTCGTTCGCCTGGGCCAAGGAGACCACGCCGGGTACAGCGTTGCTCGCTGTGCTCACTCATTTAGACGATGTCGTCGCGTTTTCCGTACAACTCACCTCCAGTGCTCATGAGCCCCAAAAGAATGGATGGCGAGTAGATGAAGTGGTCCGTTTTAAGGCTGATGGACCACACGAAGTACGTGAAACTGACAAACATGCCCCTTTCTCAGCTCCCTTTACTAACGAATTTAATAGAAACGTGACGAGTTCGACGTGGACTTTGTCCCCTCACAGACTGCTTTCTCTCTGAGCTGGAGCCCTTGGGTGCCGCTCCCAAACGGAGGGCAAAGCAGCACATTATCATACACTGCCAACAATTACATTGGATTTCGTAGAGTCACAATCACCACCCCGTTTGAAAACGGCCAAGTTGCCCCAGTGGAGATAGAATCTCATGACACTCTAAGCATATGCCTCCATTTGCATCCCAACGCGTTTGTAACTTGGGAAAACGCGGTAAGTTTTCTTAATTCCATAAACTTATTAGAAAAGGCACTGACTCTATCGTTTAGATCTGGCCACAGAAAGACTACCTCATCGCCCGTGGAATAATATGCACACCCTTTGTATCAAAACCTTTTCAGGTAGCCCTTACTGGCCCTGTCGGAGAGCCATTTCAGCCCCATGATACCGAGACTTGCGCTACCACATATAGCCCCGAGGATGAAGATTATACAAACCCCATTACAGGTTTGTAAACACCCTCCGCCAATAATACCCTGATTTCCATCTAACACTTGCCACTAGGTCTCATTATACACCAGCCTAATCCATCAAAAAAGCCAGACGCGCCCGTATATACACTCGTGCGACTCTCAGCCACCGCCTCAAATGATGATTGGTTTGAAACGACGCTGAATGAGGACTTCCCCGTACCGCAATGGGCCGAAGATATTAGCCAGCGTGTCTCGCGGCGAGTAGCGCGCTCAACAGCCCTTCAAGACCAGGACTCTGACTCAGATTCTGAAGAGGACGACGGTAATCGTACAGATGTCGATGCAGTAGAGGTTGATGAACGAGAAAGTCAGGTCTATCCTCACATGTATCGATTCTGGGGTCTTGCGTCATCGCCTGGCGATGGAACAACGGTTGTCTTGGTATCCCGTCATAAAACACAACATGCGGACCGAAAAGGCTTGTCGAAACTCCAATTTGGCTGGTATGTTGCTGAAGAAAATTCACCGGTACAGCCTAAACTCCCCATGGCAACTACGCTTTCGACCGAAGCAAAACTTTGGGAATGGATGTACGGAAATGGCGAAGGTGTACCTGGTACGGGCACACTCGATGAAGCAAACGACCAGCCGGCTACAAGTAAGCTCAAGAGTCAGTTTAAGAGTGCTCTTGAGCATTCAAAATGCACGTTTTGTGACGAGAAGCTGGAAATCAAAGATGACAATGCGATTTGTGTCAACCGTCACGCCTTTAGTAAGTCTGCCGCCGCCCTGGTGATGCTTCTTTGTTAACGTCTCTGACAGTCCTTTGCGTTTCATCCGGTTTACCCATAATGGCACCGGGGACGTCCCGGCTCTGTGCTGTATGTAAATCACGTTGTTTGATGCCATCTGAGTTGGAACGAATCGCCAAGGAATACCTCAAATCCGACAGAGGGTTAGACATGGTTAACGAGCTTTGTGGTGGTTGTAAGGGCAAATTTGTGATGTGATGAGAGCTACGAGAAAGTTTTATAAATGTATGAATGAATGAATTAATAGATCACATTGAGTCCTTTTTAATTCGAACGTCTTTGTTTCGGAGAACATTCTGGTCGTCCTATTTTTGGTAAAGTAGTAACACGGAGTCTACAAAAAGGGACTCTTGGTGCCATTGTAAGAGCCGCATGTGAACTGCGCACCGACAGGCTTCACAGCCAGCACATCATCCACTACATCGCCAGGTGTGTCAGTTAATGAACCAGAAGCCCCATGTCGTAACGTACCCATAGTGCCAATTTGGAGTGATGTATACATTGGCACTGCGCCTGGCTTCTCTAGACAATTGCATTTGAGAAGAACATCTTTGCCGGGCTGTGTACCATCGATGAAGCAAGGTCGACAGGTCTTATCAAAATTGCCACTAAAGATCTGTTAATCAAGTAGAAGATGAAAGATACTATAGATGACAGACCCGGGAGAGTACACTAAACTGCCGTGACTGTTTCCGATACAATTATTCAAGTTAATCGCGGTATGCCACCACACCCCATGCCTGTCCTTGCAGTCAGCCTCCAATGTGGTCTCGCCAACTCTGCCATATCCATTAAGAGTGACGTGTCTGCAGGTTGCATTGAAGGCAGCGTCTGCTGGGACAGTCGAGTCTGTTGGCGGGTCGCTCGTCTGAATCATGTTGTTGAATCCCGGGAACTTTGCAGGCCGCGGCATATTATCCTGATCTTGAACATCATCTACGGCCAGGTCGTCTGTGGGTTGGCTACTTGCTTGCATTCTTTGGGATGGCATAGCCACACATAATGCAAGGAGCGAGCCTTGCAGCAGCTGTGAGAGAAGGATTTTCATCTTCAAGGCAAGCAAGCGAGCGGTGTTCTTAGACGGACAACTAAAGTTAACAGTAATAAGATGCAAGAGCTGAAAAGAATTAGAGCAAAAGAAATATTGGCAAGTGACGCGGCGGTTGATGAACACTTGCCAGCTGTGACACCTGGGCCAGCTGGCAATTGTCCGTTTCGCCGGAACAAACATGGTATTCACGCGTAGCTATGAAAAGCCCCGACATTGGCGGTCTGCGAGGCAATTGGGGTATTTATGCAGGCTGAAACATGATCTCGCTTACCTTGTGAAACCGTGAATCGGAATGTGTTCTGTAACAGACTTTCGGCGATGCAGTGGTGGCTTCTATAAAACAATGGGTTGTCGACAATCGCCGACTTGAAGCCTTGTCTTGGCCTTTAAACAACACACTGAAATTACAAGCAGTAACTTTGACACGAATTAAAAAAAGGGCGGGCGCGTTATTTGAACGTTTTGTTCTCATTCCTATCTAATATATCATCATAGAACCTAAACTTCGTACTCGCTCCATCAGCATTCCAACCAAACACCTATGCGGCACGTGGCTCAGCCTAACCGCTTCCCAGCAATTTGTTCCAATGATAGCTTTGTAACCTTAAAAACAGGAGAGAAAAGAAAAAAGAAGAAGAGGACCCACCGCAGAACAAAGACTGAGCCTTGTCCCGCTGGGCAAACCTGGACAAGAGTCGCCTCTGTTCAAGCTGTACCCCCAATTGCCACGCCATAGTACGCCATGGTCTGAGCTTGTAAATGAAATCATATATCAACAGAAAAGATTGTCGTGTGACAATTTAGTTCATGCCATGAACTAATAAATATGTATAAAAGAGAGTCGAGAAAAGAAAAAGAAATGTCGAAAAGACGGAAGTGGCCGGATTGTTGAAAACAAGAATCAAAATCAAAAGAAAGATGTCACAGCATAGCTCGCTGCCTGGTCGGACAACAAAGTGCTAGATGAGCCCAGTTGACAGAACACAAGAAGCAAAGTTATGCAGATGCTCGCAGGTATATAAAACGCCGAACCCCATTTTCCTTTCCCGCCAGACAGTGGGGGATGAACCAAAATGATAGCCAATGAGATACATTGGAAGCATCCCAAGCCTAGTATGCCTGGCCAGGAACTGGTTTTCTACCAACAATTGCCTCGGGCGGGCTATGCGGCGGCGAGGGCTGGTTCATGCGAGATGCGGCAGGATGACCAGGAGGAGTTACACGGCGTGCCATAACGTTCGGGCTCTGAGGGCGCATGCTGGGGCTTTGAGGGCGCATGACGCTGGGGCTTTGAGGGCGAGATGGAGGTCCATATGGACGAGGACCTGGAGGACCTGGAGGGCCTGGAGGACCGGGAGGACCGTTGCGCATTCCCTGGGGAGTCATACGACCCTGGTTATAGTTGGGACCGGGGCCGGGACCGGGGCCGGGGCCACGAGGGAAGCCGCCCTGAGGGTTTACAGGAGGGCCGTTGCGGTTGGCTCCAGGTGGGGGACGAGGCTTAACAGGGCGGGTTGACAGGCAAGTTCGAGGAACAACGCCTTGTTGTGTGCGATCGAGGCGAATGCACAGGGCCCATCCATCGTCGTATTCATGGAGGAGTCGGACTAGGTCACCAGCACGAAGCTCCATCTCATCATCTAGAGTAGGCTTAAAGTCAAGCTGGACTCGGTGCACAGTAGACAAAGGAGGACCACCGGCGGCAGCAATGGCAGCGGCGCTTTGAGACGGTCCGGGGTTTGCACCGGGAGGCAAAGACGATACACTGAACTCAGTACCGGTAGGGCTGGCAGGCTGAGGTCCGCCACCGATAACGGGGGGTAGAGTGTAGTCATTTGCATGCTGACCCTCGCGTCGAATTGAAGTGTTACGGGTCAAGCCAGGGCCATTAGAGGTGGCAGTGGCAGCAGCAGCAGCAGCGGCAGGACCGCCAGCGACAATGGGGCCATGAGCAGTCATGGGATCATCAAAGGGGCTGGGGCCGTGAGCATCATCGGAGATGGCAGGAAGAGCCTTCTCACCAAAGGGGCTAGGGACACGCTCAGCAGTAGATCCGAATGGGTTGGCAGGGTTAGAGCTAGCACTGGTAGAGGGGCGATCCCAGGCACCGGCAGCAGCAGGCGCAAGGGCAACCTGACCAGCCTTGCTTCCACGCTTCTCCACGTTCCAGTTAGGAAGGAATTGAGTTACGGGACGAAGGCTGATGCGGGGGGCATTGAGTGGCATGGCATCCAAGTGGTCTGGGTTGCCGCTGGAAGCACCAAACTTTTCACCACCTTCGACATTGTTGTCTGAGTTCTTGCGCTTGCGGCTCTGGACGATGGCGAAGATGATGAGGCCAAGAACAAGCAGACCACCAAGAGCACCAAAGGCGATACCAGCCTTGGCTCCAGCACTGAGACCATCAGAAGAGGCTCCAGAATCACTGCTAATACCCGTGGCGGTTGGCGATGAGGTAGATAGGTCGGCGGTTCCAGTGTTGCGGTTTGGAGTATCTGGAACAGTAGCCGAGCCAGATGCTTGCGCGAGTGTTGAGACTCCTGATGTCTGCTGGGGGCGGCGGATTTCACTGGGGACAGCAGATGTGTGCTTCTGTTCTGTCTGTGACGAGGACTGGTTGTCGTCCTTCTTGGGTTGGGGCTTGGGTTGAGGCGAGGGCTTAGAGATGGGTGTGGTTTGTGTGACGTAGCCGCCGACTTCTCCGGGAAAGTCCTTGGGTCGTGTGGAATATACGGTTGCGATAACTGTGACAACGTCTGGAGTATATTTGTTAGTATTTCCCGTCACGTCTGTTGTGAGGGCTCGCTCAGGGAAAGGAATTACCTCTAGCTTGGTGCAAGTTAGGCGCATCGGTTGGTTGAGGTTGCTCGTTGTTGAGGTCGCCGACTATAGCCTGGATGTCCTCCATGACATCCCGCTGTTTGTGCAGGTGCTTATGAGAAAGAGGCATATTGGAGTCCTTTTCTTTGTTGGAAGCGCGCTCTACTAGGTGGCAGGTTGAACAAGGTGAAGAACAAAAAGAAGAAAATCGTCCCAAAAGGCGTCTCGTGTGGGTTTGCCGGGAGGGCTGTAGATATTCTACGGCCTTGGCTGCGTGGTTGTGCGGAGTACGAGGGCTAGTGTCGATGGATTGGAATGCAATCGACCGATATAGAGGGAGCAAAATCGAATCGATCTCGGACTTCTAGGGCGAAGCTATTGGTGTATCGAGGGCGAATAGACTAGCCGGGCCGAATGTCTCAGAGTCCTATAGGGTTTGGGATGGCGCAAATGTTTTGCTGCGAAAAACCAGGTCAAAGAGTCGAAAGAGGGAAAGGGAAAAACAAAGGTCGGAGTTGTGCTCGCAAGGAGTGTCTCGGGGAATCAAAATGGTCGTGAGGACGGCGTTTCAAGGTGAGATGTGTCGTCAAAAAGAAAGAAAGCTGGTCGTCGCAGTTGTCTCGTAAGCAACGGCGTCGGAGCAGGTAAAAGGCCTTGCGCACAGCACGAGTTGTTGTTGTAAGTGAAAAAAAAGAAGGAAAGAAGAAAGAAGGCGTTTGTAAAAGAACGAAAATTTCTGTTCTTGCTGGGAACCGAAAAACACCGCCAGGCCTTTTTGTAACTGTCTGAATGAGAGTCGAAGCTGGTGATGTTGATGGTGAGGAAGGGAAGCAGCAAAGCGTCCAAACGTGGAGGCGAGGGATGGGCCAGGGAAAAAGTAGAAGGGCAGCGGAGAAAGGGCAGGCGACAACGTCCCAACACAGCGTCGTTTGTACGACAGCAGCGGTAAATTGAGCTCGTCCCAGCGGCCGTTTGCTAGGGGAGGGGGGGGGGTAAGAGTGGGTTTGGGGGGATCGGGGATAGGCTGGGCTGGCTGGGCTATGCCGCTGTTGGGTATTCATGCGGAAAGCGAGGGGGCGTAGTGGTGGGTAACTTTTATCACACCAGCCAACATTACTGTACACAAAGGACTCTGTAGCGGACGTTGTGACTTTTTGTTTTTGTGCATGCCCCTGGCATAACTCATCAAGTTGTGCACCCGGGCGTTCCCAAAGCGGTTTAAGATCCGCAAAGGAAGCTAATGCAGTTGCTCAAACGCAAGGCACAGCAGCAGCATGCATTCGGCAATTCTCTTTTTACTTTCTAGCCCAACAACCTGTACATTAAAAAAGACAGTCGTGAGAAACGTACGTCAGTACACGCACGCAGTAAGCCTAACGTCACAGCCGTCTGAGAACCACAGGAGGGGCCCGCATCGCAAGGGAAACAAAGGGCGCTGCTTGCAGATGTTTGAAACATGTGTCTCTTTGTTTCCTTTTTTCCCTCCTATTGTCCTCCCCACGCGCCACTCTAAGCTTCCTTTTTTTTGGGGGTTCTGTCCACCTTTGTGATGTGTCCGATTTTTTTTATACTTGTTTATTTCAGAGGCTGTAAAAACATAGCACACACACAACTACTCACTCCTGTGAAAACTCTTCTTCTTTTTTAGTCCCGCATTAGGCAGTGCCCGGAAGCAGACACACTTCGATTCTTCACCGGCTTGAGGCGCGCCCCTTTTTTTTTATGCACAACCTCAATCCTGCCAGGCACAAAAAAGATAGGATCGCCGTCCTCTGCCACAGCTGCTGTCATTGGCTGACTGTTGGCGCTAGCTCAGGAACAGGCTTCCTTGCTCCTTTTTGGGTGCGGGTCCGTGCACGCCTTAGCTTTCCCACCCACAATCGCAGGTCTCGCTTGCCCAAGCCTCTCTCCCTGCGTCCAACGCAAATGTCGTCACTGCGCATTCAACCGAACACATGGCTTGCACGTATTGCTGCCACGGCAATAATTTGTGGTTTTGCTTTTTTGCCTCATACTAAAATGATTAACATATTCGTTCTGGTGTATTCTTAGGGTTCGCAACTTTTTTTGGTCAAACGCGGCTCGCTCCCGCGCTTTGGTCGCGTCGTCCACTATCACAATCACGCCAGGCTCTAAAGGTTCAACCACGCTAACCGGGCTGGACGAAAAGTGCCTTTGCCGGATTAGACTTAACTCAGTCCTACGAGCTAAAGGATTTTTTTCCTTTCTACTCTTTGACAGTATGCAGCTAACAGGTCTGCGACAGGACGTGGCTCAGCAGAATCAGCCTATCCTGTCTGTGCTGCTCACGAACTGTTCCATGGTGAACTTCCGAGGCGTTCTTCTACGGCTGTTCCGTGCTTAAACGTAAGCTGCTGTCGATCACCTACAAGCGTCCCCTGGCAACATTTACAAACTAAGGCTTGTGTGCACCAGCTTTGTCCCCGCTCCCCAGCCATGGGCTGATGTTCCCCCCTGTCAACCAAAAGAACAGCTCAAGCCGCCGTCTTGGGTCAAAACGGAATGCTGGAGTCTTCTATTCCACCGCTCACCCGACTAGGCCTGTTCCGGCAATTGTTTGAATTAGCATCATATCCCAGTCGAGTAACATCCGAGTCGCACACCTGGCGAATCTTTTGCATATATTGCAGGAACCACAAAGGGCAATGATACGACGCGGCTGGCAGCATGCATTCGCGCATTGTATTATAGCCGTCATTATTGTAAACCCTCTTTTCTTCTTTTCTTGTGTCTTTATTTTATGCAAGGCGGAAAGCCAGTCCAACCCGCCCGGTTGCAACCCACCGGGAATTGCGACGCTGCAAATCTGGATGTCACCGTTGGTTATTGCGTCGTCACATTTGGCACGTCGCCAGCAGTGCAATTGTGTCTTGTTATTCTCAACATCGCGTGTCTCTTTGAAATTATGTTTATCCAGCCTGTAGCATTGCAAAATGTAGGAATTGCGGTGAGCCCAATCTCGCCGAAATCATGTTATTGTCCAAGTTGACAGTACCATTGCCACCACCATCACCATCACCAGCACCACCAAATTACCGCGCGCATCTACCAGTCCAGACTACCCGAGCAGAGTCTGCTTACCGAAGCAGGGTCTTGAAACGCGTCGCCGCCTCGGATTTTTCATATCCTAGAAAACCCACGGTAGTCGGAAATGGACGGCGGTCGGGGAAATTTGAAGTGCAAAGTGCGGAAATGGGCAAGGAAAAAGCAATTATCAGCCTGTCAAGATGGCGCAGGGCGATACACTACCCGATCGTGACCCATGTTGTTTGCTTTTTTCGTAGAATTGAAATCTTAAATTAGACCATTGTGAAACGCCACAAAACCGGCAAAAGCATACAACAGAGTTTCGTGCGGTATGTACAAGCAGTCGCTGTTAAACACGCCCAACTTCGGACGAGTGTGCTATTAATATACACTCAGGCGGGCGTATACCTCGTGGCTTTAAGTTCAACACGGTTTGCAACACGATCTGCTTTGGTTTTGTATTTGGGCTCATTACTCACCCGTGGGCTGGTCATCATCCTCTTCTCCTACTTGTGCATCGTAATCACCTATCGTAACCTTAGTATCTGGCCCCAGTCACAATCCAAGTGTAGATGTCCAAATATAGATATACGATATATATTGTTGTATTTCTACATAACGCCGCGGCCAAAAAAAAGCCCGATGCATAGATGCTCTTTGTTGCTGTATATGCTTGATGAATCCCCCATCCCAAATGCTCACATGGAATCTTCAAGCTGCCTACTTCTCGTCTTGGTCCAGCTTTCTTTGTTCTCTTTACCACCTTGGCTCTCCAGGCCCATACCACGCTCAACCCACTCCTTACTCTCCATATGGCTCAGACGGCTTAGAGCACGCGCAAATGCAAATGCTTCCTCCTCTCCCGCAAACAGATTCGACTTCTTCAGGTGCTCGGCACCCTTATCAACATCATTCACCACTGCGTCCATGACTGCATCAACATCTTCTTTCGACTTGCTCTGCTTGTTCTGTGTTGCTAAGCTCTCGGCAATTTCGTCACGCGAAACAAACAGCTCTGCCAGCGGCTTCTCTGTTGTAAGAACAAGCTTTGCGTTTCCCTCATATACAGCATCGATAAAGGTAATAAACCGGCGAGCCAAGTCTCGCTCACGTATCGTCATGCCTGGCACGTCTGAAACAATGAAGGCGTCATAGCTTCGCACCAATTCCAAGTAGTCAGCTGCCGATTTCGGCTGCCGAATCAATTCGTCAAAGGTAAACCACGCGCACCGGCCGCTTACACGGGGAACGTAGATTTCACGGCCCCAAACCTTTTGTGTCTCTGGGTGAGGTGCAAAATTTTCCGAATCACCCAAGAATCGGAACCACTTCTCCGCATGCGAATTGGCGTGTTTATCCAATGGAGTGTGGTATACGCCTGAAGCCGGTCTCGGGATTTTGCGGTAATCAGTTGGTGAATCAAGGTTGATGACGTGTAGGCGTGTCTTGAGCAGCTTAATAGCCGGTATAAATGACTCTCTCTGGATGCCATTTTTGTATAATTCGTCAGGGTGTCGGTTAGAAGTGGTGACCAGAACCACGCCGTGTGACATTAAGCACTCGAGCAATCTAACATTGGTTAGCGGTTACGAATTCCTTGATACAGGAAAAGGCATCTCACCTTCGCAAAATCATAGCGTCAGCAACATCGGTGCATTGGAACTCGTCAAAACAAAGGACATTGCCTTGGTCTGCGATATCAGCGGCAACGAAAGGAACACCGTCCACATCGCTGCCGTGCTCCATTTTGATCTTGTGTAGCCGTTTATGGACATCCTGCATAAAGTTATGGAAATGTATGCGGGTTTTGGTCTTGACCGACTTCGGGAGCGTGTCGTAGAACAGGTCCATGAGCATCGTTTTGCCGCTGCCAACGTCTCCATAGAGGTACAAGCCGCGGGGTAAGTTGTCGGGAATGTCGGCTATGCCCGTCTGTTGTTTGGAGCCGCCACCAAAGAGCGACTGAAACATCGACTTTTTCGGCTTTAGTGACTCCATTATTGGTTTGATAACGTCGGGCGCATGGTAATCACGAAGTTCGTTGTGCAGGTGTTGTAAACTCTCGATGATTCCTAATAATGTTAGCAGAATGCCCCATGGCTATAATGCAACATAAATGAGCACACCTCGCTGATGTTCGTCATTTTTCAAAGTTCCCTCTATTACCCGCCTGTCATATTCCTCCAGAGGGCCATGGTCCTGGTTGAGTGCGCTCGACGAAAACAGTCGAGCCGGGACGGCGTGTCGAGACGGGCCTTGTATCAGCGAGCGGTAGCTATTTCTGAAGGCAGTCGTTGAAAATGAGGTTGTACAGTTTCTTTGTATCTGTAATCTGTAAATCCCTCGCCTCGGGTGCGCTCGGTAAGGCCAAGCACCGGCTATTCGAACTCGGCCCCAAGATCTTGAAGCCGAACCGCCATGCATCATGTTGGTGGAATCGCCCCGGTCCCAAATTCAACAAGTATTTTGCTGTCGCAGGTGTCCTACCCGGTGCAATTCAAAATCATGAGCTGTTTGCGGCGATCGGTAGCACGGAGGCTAATCGAAAATGGTGTTGAATGTGTCGGGAAGTGTGATGGCCCGACGTCATGACGTTCCGGCGCATACTCGCGATATCCACTAGCGTTGATACAGCATTCCGTGGTTTAAGCGAACCTACCCGGCAGCCACATTTTCGCAATGCATATTCAATGGCCTTTGACATCAATTAATTTTGGATACTTGATTTTACAAATCATGGTTTAAAAAGGATCATATGATATTAAATGCTAATTTAGACAGAGTTTCACGGTTGGTAGATCGTTGGAGACACAGCAAAAGATTAATCAGAAAAAAGTCATGGATTGATTATTATCATACTAGAAAAAAGTGTCGGTACAGCTTGATGACATCTCCAATTCCCATCGGGCAGAAAGAGAGAGATGAAAACATCAATATCAAATAAGTCACATCATCAACATCGCAATCAGAACACCAGCCATTGCGGCAAGAGATGTATGGGTTGTCGCTGCCTGTGCAGTCGTCACGCCGCCAATGGGGCTACCATCAATGTTTGTCAGGTTTGATACGGGAGGCGCTACCGTAGAGCTGCTTGAGGGATGTGCTGGATATTGGCTTGGTTCAACTGGCGTGCAGTCTTCTGTAGTATCGGCAGAAGCTTCGGGGAGGGCAGAATAAGCTGCGCTTGTCTTTGATAGCACCTCTCCTCCGAACGGCTCATTAGAAGGGCTGACAGCCATGCTCAAGGAGCTAGCACGGGCCTTGTAGTCACCCAGATTCTTTTCGCCATTGGGGTTAATCATGCCGTTCATGCCATGTGCGCATTCGAGGCCTTGGGATGAGTAGAATGCCATGGGTTCAGTGTCGTTGATCTTGACGCGGAAAACATTTGGCTATTTACTTTGTTAATATTAGTAATGAGGATAATATTTTAAAAACTTACGGAATCACCAGCGTCGGTGGGAAAGAAACCGGAGAAAAAGCCAGTACCGAGATTCATGGGAGCACAGGCATTGTTGTAATCACCCGCGACAACGCTGTGGTTGCCTGCCTGGAAATGGAATTCAAGCACGTCACCAGGACGAGGATGCACTGTATCAGGATGGAAGACACCATCTGATTGAGCGGTGATCTTGATGATGTGAGCCTGGGCAAGACTTGCAAGGCCAACCGTGGCGGCGACAATTGTCTTCATTGATGGCATTTTCGGTGCTGTGGTAGACAAAGATGCGTGTCTGAGTATATGGAATACAATGAATAAGCTAAGAGTCCCTAAGATAAAGTGGTTATGAATGAGAAAGCTGCCTGGGAGATGGAGAATTCGGCTGCTTCATCGACGGCGAGACTAGCACAGTTAATAAAGGTTTGACCTCCATGTTGAAGAGGCAAGAACCAAGGGAACCATTTTCGATTTTAGCATCTTTTAGGAATGCCCTAGCACGATATTGTTTGAACTATTCACCAGGGAGACTGCTGTTTCTGGAAGTCTGTTGGCTGACACCTGCCCAAGTGAATGGTGAAGAGCAGCAAAGGGAGGCGCGGGGTTAAGACATTGACAATCAGCAAAGGGAAACTGGCAATAGAGGGCAAATGATTGCTTCTACTAGAAATATTTTTTTCAGTCAAACGGCAAATAATATCGGCATTTACCGAATCGGTATAGAATTTTTAAAATGCGAATTGGAAGCAACGTTAACTGTGCCAAGCGTTGATGGGCTGGGCTTCTCATGGCAGCGCAACCCTAGTCTGATATAACTGCCATCGAGATTGCCGCAAGTCTTGGACAGTTGGCAAAGAAGGGATGACTGCTGAGAGGTAAGTAAAATGATACAAAAATCACCTGATGGAACAAGATGCGAAGGCAAGAGTTGGCTAGAACCCTTTGCACGTGCGCGAGCACGGGAACTAAACTGGTTCGCCAAGCCAAGGCAAGAGGGTTCGTGGCTGAAGAACTCGCTCGCCAATGCCATCTGTTAATCAGAGGAGAGCTAGGCTGACCGAAATGGCCTGACTTTTCTGAATGAGGAAAGTGAGGTGAAGACCAAGCCGGAGAAATTCCCTGTCAAACTTGGAAACTCGTGTCACAGTTCGGCTGTCTTGGCCGGATTGAGTCAGGATTGCGCGCCACTCGGCTGTCGGCACAGTCAAGCCAGATGACCACCAGGATGTGGGCAAAACCTTAATGGACGTCATATTTACGATACAGGGTTACATGAAACTGTTAATATAAAAGAAACGAAATTTGGTGTGAATCACGGGAATATTTGCGATTTGGATGCATGAACTTGCAGCAGCAGCAGCAGCAGCAACCGCTCGCTGCGCTGGCGTGGTGTACTGGGACGGCTGAACAGCCGCTTTCAATCTTCAAAGCCTGCTCATTAGAATAATCATTTGTTCATGGCGTCTTCGCATTGACGTGGGGGGTGATGGTGCTATCTTTAGCCCACATAACAAAGTAAAACCAGGTTGGCATGTGGGTGTAAATGATGGAGAAGATTAGCGGAACTCCATAACCTCGTTCCGACGGTGCCATGCTGGTATTTCCGGAGCTGTGTTTAACGCGGAACGCGCGCGGGGCAGGTAGATCTTCTGATATGAGTGGAATTGTACTGTTTCTTAAGACAAGTAGTTGTCCCGTATATGCTCTACGTGGGAGGTAACAGGAGGAGGTGGCCATTGTACATGCCGTTTTGACCCTGTATAAGCTACATTTTTTTCAGTGCTTCGCTTTGGAGTTGACTGAATATGCTAGTAAATATCATATATTGACGCTGAAATGAAGGCTGATAAATATGGCGTTGATGAATTATATAATTTTCTTTTTAATATATACGACGCATGTGCCAAGCTCGCCGAGCTCCAGCCGTATTCTGGGTGTAGAGGAGGCTACAAGGCGGATTTCCAGGCCGACATGTCGGTGTGCGGCGGTGAGAGCCGCAGCAAGCACAAGCACCAGTCGCATCTGATGTAATTAGAGCGTACGATCGGGGCAAGGATTAAATTGGTGTTTATGGCCGTACTTCGGGCCCAGCTACAACGGAGGCTGCTTACTCGCGTATCCAAATAGCGTGGGTTCTGGTGGAGAGCCGTCAAAGCGGCCGAGACGGAGACTGGCCAGAGCCAATGGGAAGGGGTATAGAGAGAAGTGCAGAGGTCATGTATCCATCTTGAATAATGCATCCACTGCGGCGCAATTCACGTCATCGTTACATGCAGCAGACTAACGTACCAAGTTGGGGTCTCGTGCGCATATCAACAGCCGCGGGGCAGACGGGCAAAGCAACGGACAAGCGCACCAACAGGTTCTAGACGTATGCTGGGTCCCTGTGGAGGCGGGATGGAAGCCGAGGCCGCGGCTGAGCGACTAGTCGTCATAATGTTGCAGCTGGGAGCAGGGATGAAGCGGCGGCCGCTAGCAGAGCAAAGCGAGCGACGAGAAAACAACGGGTTTTTAATATATGACGTGGGGGAAGAGGGGGGGCACTGATTCTGCATGTCTCTGGATCTAGCGTTTGGGCGGCGGGATTATTTTTACCTTGTAGGCGCTGGTGCAGCAGCTGTTAGCGGCACCAGCAGCAAGCAGCAGGTATGGGCAAGGGTGTATGTGGCTGAAGAGACGACAAATGCGAGATAAAGGGCTTGGGAAGATGCAGCAGAGCAAAGCAAGCAAACAAGTAAACCAACTCGGCGTGCATGCCGAAGAAGACAAGCGTGTAGTGTGCTGCTGCTGCTGCTGCTACTGCTACTGCTACGGGAGATTCCAACCCTTTTGCCGTCCTTTTCCTGAGTCGCGGACTGCATAAACACGAAATGTCGGCGTTGTTCCGAAAGCAAATCCGTCTCAGGCGAAGCATCCAGCCAGCCAGCCAGCCCGCAGCTAGCGGAGAGAGGAGAGAAAATCGGGCTGCGACATGCGCCGGCGCTCCATGAGTTGATCGTCGCCGTTGGTTGCCAACGTCTAACAAGGGCCTCTTTGAGACATGACGGCGTCGTGGCCACGGTAAACAAGGAAAAAAAACACCGCAAAACATGCAGACACAGCAACAACCATCACAACAAAAGAGAAAGCCGACAACAAACATGCAGGGCAGATATTATTGGATCTGGACTGGCCCTGGGCTGGATTCCGAGTTGCGGTGGCGCTCAAGGTTGCCGTAATTCCACCAAACAGAAGAGCCGCATAGCAATAGGAAACACGAGTAGCAGAAGAAACGAGGCGAACAGCCAGGCAAGGCTAACAAGAAATGACGAAAGAGACTAAGAACAAGGAAGGACACGGCTAGCGTCACGGGCATCATCATCAGCATCGCCTGGCCGGCGAACGGGTCTGGCTTACACGGCCACCTGCCCTAACGAACGCCCCGCCGCATGGCCCAAGGGGACGCTAATTAGCAACGGCGGCGCGTGCTTACCACCCATCAAAGCAAGGCTGGCGTGGCAAAGGGACCCTAAGAATTACCTAGAGCGGTTTAACGTGCTTCGCTAGGCAGCCGCCATAGAGATGAGATAGTGGTGCCATTATTGGCGCTAACAGATTTTGGGCAGAGTCAGTTATGTGCAGAAGAGTTGTTCTATTGCAGCCAGCAGTAGTAAACAGCAAGCAACAGAAGAGTAGCCATATTGGGAGAGTACCCTGGAAAGCTGCCGGTAAAAGGGCCGAGAGTCAGCGTGGGTCACTTTTTCTTCTTGTCCGGCTTGTGTCCTGTGTCATTGTTTTACTCGCTCTTCATTTCCCTTTGGCCTGTTACTATTCTGGCTCCAGATCGGTGTCTATTGTCTATTGCCCCCTCAGGTGCCACAATGGGCCCATGTAGCCCACTCTCGGTCTTGTACCAAGCCTCAGAGTCTACCGAGGCAAGACACGGTAAACCGAGAGGGAAAAAAAAAAGAAAAACAAAGAAAAACAGAAAAGAAGCAGGCTGGAGGTTGTCGGGTGGCCGAGCAGTGCCGAGAGAGAGAGGCAGACTTCGGGATTCCAGAGAGGCTGGAGAAGATCGTCTTTGTGTCTGAGAGGGACAGGACAGGAGGCGGCGGCGGCATCTATAGAGGGAGGGAACAATAGATGCGATGCAATGCATTGGGGGCAGACAAACCAAGTCCAGCAACTAAATGGAGAGCAAACTGCATACTACAACAGTGCGCTCCCTGCAGCAGCATCAGCAGTAGCATCAGCAATGGCCAGCAAGCAAGCACCAAGCAGCAAGCAGCGCGCCGAAGGCCGGGGGCGCAAACATTGGCTTTAGCAGTTGGCTTGGCTGGGGTCTGCTCCTCTTTTTTTTTCCCGCTGGCCTGCAGCAAGCGGCAAGCATCAAGCACAACATACAGCGTGGCAACGCAGAAAAAGCACGCCCGCCGTTTTATTTTATTTTTGACAGCATGCATGGTGCTGCGTGTACCTAGCCACGGCTGGGACGCAGAGGTGTACTTTGCACATGGAGCAAGCAGCCGCAGCAGTGCAGCAGCAGAAACAACAACATCAACATCAACAATAACACGCAGTAGAGTGCCACCACACACACTCACCGGGGAGGCTTGCTGGCTTTTTCCTGAACGAGCCAGCCGCGCGGGCGGGCGCGGGGTGAGGCCAATAGCCTAGATTTGGACAGGGCCACAATGCTACTGTACTGAATTCGTAAGTACAGCGCAGTGTGGTTGGTGCGGGTGCCAGCAGCAGCCAGCCCGCCCCAGTGCCGCAAGCCCACTGTAAAGAACCCACTGAGCGAGACACTGAGCGAGCTGTACAGTACCTTAGTGGAACGTATTCGTTTGTTAAGAGATATTCCATGCTACATGAAAACGTATACTATTCTAGAATAGGTGTGATTATTTCTAATATTCTAAAATATAACGCTGGTTCTGTCTATATAAACAAAACGTCGTTTTCTCGGTAAACGTCTGGAAAGTCAGCAGCCCTCCGCTAAAGGTAGGTTCACAGCTGTAGGCGGGCGGCGGGCCCTTTTGGAAACAACACTGCCCGCGCCTCGTAGGCGCACACCTCGCCCATCTGGGGACGCTTTGCCTCGTTTCCCTGGCTCTTCTCCCGCTCTTCTTTTCGCCTGCGCACGTTGTCATGGCGCGCCTCGCCCCCCGTTTCCAGTGGATTCTCTTACCTACAACTCTACTCGATGTCACATTTGGCCTTGCCTCTTGCCTTGCCGGGCCTTGCCTGGCCGTGGACACTGATGTGCTCTTGAATCGCCGTACCGCTTTGGCGGCGGGCCACCTTGTAAACCCTTTTCCCGCCTGAGAGCTGCTGCTTCTTCCACTTCTTCCCCGCCCACACTCCTCACTTTGGCTTTTTTTTAATTTCTTTTTTTTTATTTTCGGTTTTTGAGTTAACCTCGTTTTTCCGGGCAGCAAAGACCCTTCAGCTTTTATCGGACCCGACAGCATCTCTCTCAGGAACACACACCCAGCAGCGAGCTAGATGGCGTTGGCATACCCGTAGCCCGGCTAGTAGGGAGTTCCTGTAGTAGCGTCCTTTCTCTAAGCCCGTGGCGCAACCATCCAGTCAGCGGCACCAGAAGATCACAATCTGCCCCCAAAGACAAGACATAAAAAAAAAATTCAGTTACAAAAAAAGAACAGCCAGACCCGGTACGCTCATCTTCTGCGGCGATCCATTATCCCCTGCCGAATCCCAAACCCGGAAGCGCCGTTCCCCGCCTGGCGTCTGGCAATCACCACCAGGCCTATTCATGGTTTCATCGCCAACGGCCGACTGGCTCTTGGCGTTTGCGCCCTGTGCTATTGCTTCTGTTGATTGCAAGTCTTCTTCGACAAGCCTCTTGGTTGACTCGACGAAATCTAGCACTGACTAGAAAATCACAAGAGAACGTTGCAATCTAGTTCTTGGAATTTATCCACCTCGGACGACTTGGAGCGGAGCTTCTTAGTATCGCCTGATTTCTGGCCAACAACACTCTTCCAAAAACTCTATATAGTATTGCCAAAAAAAGCCAAAAGACTTTGGGATATACCTGACTAGCAGCGAGCATAGTACACAAAGTTCTCAAAACACAAAAGAAACAGACACTCGCCCATTTGCGCTACTACTACACCCCAACAACCAATACACTACCAGAGAAGACGACGCAAAAACAGCTGGTCGTCTGTTATTGGCACACCAACACGAGACAATGTCAACACCAGAGGTAAGTGAACCCCCTTACAAATGATATACATGCATCTCCTTTTGCTTACAGATACAATTAGCACCAGGCAAACCTGGCCCGCATCAGAGACAATCAGAGACGGTCAAGGGCCCGCAAACGGGAATATGTACAGGAATTGGAGCAGCGCCTGCGGATGTTTGAAATGCAGGGTGTAGAAGCATCTGCAGAAGTACAAGTTGCCGCCAGAAAGGTTGCCGAAGAAAACAAGAAACTCCGAGACTTGCTGCTCGAGCACGGCTTCAGTGACGAGTACATTGCACGCTACTTGCAGCGCCCTGATCGACAGCAACAGCCATCCTCCTCGACCCAACTCGACCCAAGTGCTACAGTACAGTCTCTACACCAAGTTATAGCACCGCGGCGGTTAGCAAGCTTGGAATCTAGCTCGCCGTTTATGCTTCCTAGCCAGATCATGCCATCCACATCGCCAGGTAGCGTCGCCACCATCCAAACATCAGCATCGTGGGACAGCCTGTCAGGCGACACTTCGTCGAGCTACAACCAGCAGCAGGATTCCCAGTTGGACGGATCATCTCTCAGCAGCAGCGAGAACCAGATGTATTCAGCTGGCATGTTTAGCGGCCCCAACTCGATGCAGAGCGGCACTGGAGCGTACACGACACAGCCACCCGCGGCTTACACGCAACAACTCCATCGTGTGTTCGCTACCACCTCCTCCATGCACACAAACGCACATACCGCTGGCAATTATAACGACAACTCTGAAATCTACTCCCAACACCAAAGTGGGAACTTCAGTCACCCACCAGGATACTTATGATGCCTGCGTCCAATCCTCAGCGCGCGGGTGGGCGTACGCTGACTTGGACTGGATATTTCTCTTCTTGTACACTACGCTATGGGCCATTGGCCTGTTTTCTTTTGCGAGTTTTCTTGCCTCTTTTCCCTTTTTTTCATGACGAGTCTTTCAGAGACCAAGTTAGTACATTCTTCTGGAAGCCAGACCAGAATTTACATAGAGTAACCGACGGCGGATGACAGGGTGCCTTTTACAATGCTTTTTGTTATGACCTGTTCTGTTGACACTTCTTCATATACCTCATTTTCCGCGGCATAGACAAAATCAAAGCTTTTCTTCTTCTATTTCTTCACAGGCCACAACGTCTACATCTGTGCAATCGTTCACTTTTTCCCAAGTCAAAGTTTCCAGGTAAATTTTAAAGTGATTCAAAACAAAGTGTAATAGAAAAAAATAAGAATAAACTCCATGCTAATTTGTCCCCGTACCCTAAGTCAATCCTGTATTTCACACGATTCCTTTTCGCCAGTCTAAGCCGAGCCATGGATTTCCCACAGCATGAGCCCAAAAGGACTGCAAAAGAAAGAGAAAAGCAAAAGCCGGTGGTAAGCCAGCTCGCTGTAAACGCCGCTGTAGACATAATTTCATCTCCGCCAGAGAAGGTGTCATTTCATTTTACAAAAAGTAGTCAGCAACGGGCTTCTTGGCCGGCATTCCGCGGGAATCCTGCGGCGCTGCCTGGAAGACCCGGTACCGTCTTGCTGGGCCGCTTCTAAGCCCGTCCTCGGATTCCATCAATAAGCCCCTACCCGCGGCGCCTCCGTCACTGCGGCCGACGTCGCCGTTGCTGCGCGCAAAGACGCCCGTGCCCGACTCGTCCTCGCAGAGCTCCAGCACCGCGGCGACGTTGCCGCACCGGTAGCAGTAGTTGGGCGCCGACCACACTGTGACAATGGAGCTGTCAAACATCTCCTTGAAGCCCTCCATAACAAGCTGGTGAGCGCGCGCAATCAAGCTGAGATCGTTGCGGTGGTTGAAGACCTTGACAATGTCGGCGCCAAACAGGAAGCCTGCGCCGCGGGGCGACAGGCCCCAGCCGTCAATGTCGTCGGGGTCGGACCACAGCAGGTCGCACATAGCGCCCTCGTGAGGCACCTCTTGCTTGCGGTCGATGAGGCGGATCTTGTCGACGGTGTCAATGAGCGGGCTCAGGCCGCCGTGCACGCAGAGCACCGCGCCGGCGGGGTTGCCCACGCTGCCGCTACTTGAGCCTGATGCGCCGGAGCCCGGAGGACCTGTCTTGTCGCCAGAGCTGCCGCTGGCGCCATTGGGGCTTTGCTGCTGCTGTTCTTGGGAGCCGTCGCCAGGCTGGTTGCGCTGCCGCGCGAAGCGGCTGATGATGGAGCCGTTTTGGTCGCAGACTTCAATCTCTGTGGTGTCATCGACAGGCTCGTCCTGGCTTGGCGAGAGTGTGTTGGAGGCGCCGAGGACAATGGCACCGAGGGCGAGGTAGTCAAAGACATCGCAGCAGTAGCGCCATACGTTGGCGCTGCCGTATTTGCGAAGACATTCGTCGTAGAATCCGTACACGGTGGTGATTTGGCGTGATTCGTGGTTGCCGCGGATCAGAGTCATGCGGTCGGGGTATCGTACTTTGAGACAGAGGAGGAGGAGGAAGGATTCGAGTGAGTAGAAGCCGCGGTCGACAAAGTCGCCTGGGAACAATAATTAGTATAGTCATGGCTGGTGTGGGGGATGGATAGATATATGTACCCATGAAGAGGTAGTTTGTGTCGGGCACATCACCACCGACGCGGAAGAGCTCCATTAGGTCATGGAATTGGCCGTGAATATCGCCGCATATCTATGCAACGGGTTAGATATTTCGTGGCAGATACGTATTCAAGTGCATATTAGCTACCGTTACGGGTGCTGAGACTGTGACTACGTTGCCCTCTTCAATCAGCAGTTCTCGGGCACGGTGACAAAGCTCTCGGACTTGAGCCTCGGGAATCGGTCTGCAAGCGCGCAATTGCGCAATAGCCCTGTAAATGAAACTATTAGCTCAGGAAACACTCAGCGAGGGGCTCGGAGCATGCCATACTTGTCAAGATCGCTCATGATCGCGATCTCCAGAGAGTTTTACGGCGACGAGCCACGTTGTCGCGCGACCGTGAATTTCAGTCGAAGCCAGGACGCCAGCAGTATGTAACCATACGATAACAGAAATATGACACCTAAATAGTCCTGCTGCAGGGGAAATGTGCCTAGAAATTCGTGGTTGGTGTTAGAAGCAGACAATCGGAGTGAAGCGTGCTATGGCAGCAGTACCAAGCCGACCACTGTTGTGAGGCGTTGGCGTTGAGGGACGGACCACACAAGCCCCGCCACTAGCAAATGGCCAAATTGGTCGCCAGAAAAAACATGTGCGGATCTATTTTCGCACCATGGCCGGCACAGGGCATCGCTGGCCAATCAGAGGCCCGCAATTCAGACTTCGGTAATCGCGAAGAAAAGACTCAGGAGCCTTGGAAAAAGACGGGCAACGACAATCAACATCACCACAAACAGCCGCTACCTGCACCACCGCGCGCATTGTGCAATTCCAGTCGCTTTATCCAATTCTCACTGCGATAATCACATCAATTGCTGCAACCAATTGACCGCACGGCCTCGCACGAGCACTGCTGCTGGACTGCAGCATCCGAAACAAACAAATCTTCCACCATCGCCGACACATATACACATACAACATGCCTCCTCATCTGCACCCGAGGTCGCGAATGACCTCGTCCCTATTCGCCACTACAGTTCTGGCCAGCTTCTTCGTTGTTGCCATGCCACATCTGCTGCCGTGCCCAGTACCGCGGACGAAATACGCCGACGGAGAGGTGGTTGTCGATGAGAACGGCCGACGACGACGATGGAGACGGAGAGAAACAGTCGAGACACAGAATGGAATTGTCCAGTTCAACCAAACCTCAGACGATGCATCACCCGAATCAACAAGCCGTGTGTGCCCGGTGCCCAAGCCTGGCGGCATCCTCGGCGAATGGCTAGGATTTCACAAAGCAGATGATCAACTATCAAGGCGAGCCGACAGATGATGGAATAAAGGAAATAAACATAAAGGGAAACACAAAAGCATAATCATTTACTTTGTCATTAGAAGCGTCTGTACACCACATTGTTTTCAAATATATATACACTGATACCCTCTTACTGGACGACTACTATTCAACCCCATGTGACCTGGATATGCGATTTGCCCAATGTGCGGGCGCCGACCAATATTAATACAGCAAATTTAGGATTCGCCAGCTAGGAACATACTTTTCCGATCCGAAAAGCAAAAAAAGAAACCTAGTGTTAATCATCGGCAGCTGCCAAACCTCTAACACGGGGTTCACGAACATGAAACGCGCCCAAGCGCATGCATTCTCTGCTTACGGGCCACGCAAACCGCCGATCATAGCAACGAACAAGACGAACTCTGCTCTGAAAAGAGAGCCCCCTGAAGCAGTTTAATTTCCCTTTAAACATTTTGCTCAGCCCCGATGCGGGTGAATCTCTCTCGACACTGGTTGGTTAGTGCCCGCGCTCACCTGCTCCTACATGGTCCAATATCAAAGCGTGCGCGAATGTTGAGACAAGATGACAAGGCGCAGCTCTCAGACTGAATTGGCCGTGCCTGCTTGTGAATCAGGAAAATCCCTGAGATCGACAGATGATCCATTCAGGGCAGCGGCTGTCGGCAGCATGGTTTGTCAAGTGTTGTCTTGCAAGTGCCGGCGGCCGGCGTATATACATATGTATATGGCGTTGATGGCATCGCGCACGCATTTGCATGACTAGACTCTAAACGCTCGAGGCCAATATAGACAGTCCGGCGTAATAACTTAGAAGACTAAACAGGTCTGGCCATTTCTGTTAGGGTCTACCAATCAGAGCGGCGTTCTAGAAGGGCTAGGCTGATGGCCTCAAACGCGTCCTGTGTCTGAAACGCCGACGCAACAGCACCGCTTGAAGGGACGTCGTAGTCTGCAAGGTGCAATGACCATGCCATAGCTTTGTGTAGAGACGATGGCGGGAGACATCGGATCCTCAGCGTAAGGTGTGCGTGCTATTCATGACGGAATCGCTCTTTGCCAGAATGAAAGGGGCTAATATAATAATTAAGCTCATGGCTTTATCGGCAACAACAACGAGTGTAAATCTTGGGTAGGCAAAGACGGCAAGCCTCATACCCGAATATACAGCATCATGCACCTGGGCTACAGGAAAAAAACCAAGCACCTGGTGGGCATTATGCGTTGCTGCAGGACAACCCCATCGTCGGTTGAGGCATGATCCGGCCCTACACGGACCACTTAGACGACGAAGCAGCACCATCTCGCCAAGGGAGGTTGTGCTTCACATCATGGACTCCTCGTTTTACTCTGGCAAACTCAAAACAACATGCCAGAGCGGGATACTCCTGGATCCTGTTTCCAGGCTGTATCATCTCTTGTTTCTCACCGGAATCTGAATGTTTGCTAGGCATGCAGAGGGGCTGGGGGAGCATAATGGAGGCAGTGCGAGAGTCGATGACTAGCCTCGGTCTATAAGAAGACACTGTCCGGACTCGATGGTGTTGATCCCTTTTCTTTTGGTTCGTCTCCATCCACAAACATCACCACCACTCTTCTCATCTACTCTCTCTTCTTAGAGGTAGGCCGAAGCCCTTCTCACCGCATACTCCGAATAATCAGAAGTACTAACCACCAAGTCTATAGCTGTGCTCTTCCCTCTTTTTTTCGTTTTTCATCTTCTTTCTTTAACAACGAGCTGTGCTCACCAGATTACTGTCCTTGACGCCTATACCCTTTTCTTTCTTTGAAACAGTTTATACCCAACCACCACCATCATCATGAAGTTCACCACTCTCTTTGCCGGCGTCTTTGCCGCTGTTGCCGTTGCCGCCCCTACCACCTCTGAGCCTGAAGTTTCTACTGCTGTCGAGAAGCGCACTGCCATCCCTGTTGGCCAGCTCAACAACCTGAACCTCAAGCAGCAGGACCTCCGCTACTTGTTGGGTGTCAACAAGGTTGACCTTGCCCTCTTCCAGCAGCTTGGTCTTCAGAACAATCTCAACCTCCTCCAGTTTCAGAACCTCTTCAACGTGCAGACCTTTGACATCAACGCTCTGCTCCAGTTCCAGCAGCTGCACACGCTGCTCGCCATTGCCCAGACCGGTGTCCTCAACAGATTTGATCTGTCTTCTCTGGTCTTGGGCAATGTCAACCTGGCCCTGATCCAGCCCATTGGTGGTGTCAACCTTGGCCAGTTTATTGACGTTGCTGTCGTCCCCCAGGTTCAGACCATTGCCAACGGAGGTAAGCATACTTCTTTATAGCATTCCCTTGAATCAGCCGCTAACTTTGGATACCCAGTTGCCACTACCATCATCATTCAGTAAATAGCAAAATAAGAGGTGTTTTTATTTCGGTTTATATCCTTTACAGCGTTATTTTAGCGGCGCAACACAGCATCATCCCATCTTTTAGACTGCGGCTCCAGGTTATGGTGCTGATAGCGGTCTGGGGAATGTCGCTCGGGAGACATTTGCTCTTTGTCGGAGTAAGCGCAGGCGCAGATATAGTTTGAATTCACATGTTGAAATTCCCCCAAAATGATTATCACTTCTACCAAGCGCGGTGACAACCGTTGCGCGAGGCTGTGGACTAGACTAGCAAACAGTGTCGATCACTCTGCTGGATTGGGAAGTAAGTCTTGAGATTGTAGCGGTCACAGCGCAGCCTTTGCTGGGAGCCTTCTCGCAAGCAGCTCGGGCATAGCACGGGTCAGCAGGCTGCGGCCACATATACAACGGAGCATTAAACAAAATTGTCCGCGGGGACTTTAGCAAGCGAATGTGACGCTGTGCAAGCTTTCTTGGCTAAAGTGGTAGCGGACAGAGTTGTAACGGGAACGGGCGCCGTTTACCAAAGCCAAATGTAATTGAAAATACAGTGTCGCCGCTTACATGGCCACTGCACTGCCCAAATGGGTCAAAGCGAGAGTGCGATGTGCGAAAAGGTGCCTTGGCTGAAGACTAGGGGCGTTCCTCGTTTCCTCTCGCAACGGTTAGCGTAAACTCAAATGGCAGGGCCTGAGGTGGAAGAACGGCGAGGATAAAACGCTTTGGGCGTGTGGCTGCAGTCGGTCCAGGACAAGAATAGCATCTCGGCACACGAGCGAGCGCTAGCTAGCAGCCTTTCACCGTAGGCTCCGTGGCGGCGGCTGAGTTTTGGTGTACTAGGGATAGGGCTCCTTGAACGCCACGGCTAACGCAAACCGAGAGAGCATCATTTCGCGAGCAATCTTGTTGAAACAGGTGTAGCCAAGGCGTGTCCATGCACAGCCGCCACCTCTGCGCACCTCATCTTATGCTCAGGATACGACGGATGAACTGCGCGGTACAACGGCGAACATGGTCGCCAGGGGGGTCAAGAAGAACAGCGCCACTGACACAGGTTGCTCCGCAGGCCAAGAAAGGGTTGTTTGGAGTAGCTGGTCATGGCAGCGTAGCTATGAGACTACCATGTTTGGCTTGCTGTGCTAGACGGCGACTAAACAGCAAGCAACATCAGCGCTATTGGACAATGGTGTCAAAAAAAGGGCTCATGTTTTAGCGTGGTCGTGGCCCGAGAGCGTGTGCGTGAGCAATTAACCTTGACAGCAGCCAACTAACACCAACCAACCGACTATCAGCTCTAGTTTATACAATGCCATTCTAAGCAGTCAGCGCACAATTGACAATTCCGGCTATTTGAGATGCTGCAACCTCGCTTCTGGAGCGTTCCCGGCATGCAGGCTAGTCAGCGTTGAGCAGATTTGGGTGGTATTTCGATTCAGCCGGGACGAGGATCGCATGCAATCGCAAAGGGTCGAGAATCGACGCTGGGTCCAGCTAGCGGCAGGCCACTCCGAAAAGGACGCTGCATCTCAGCAGCAAGTTCATCCAGAAGCGTGGGCCGGTTTACAGGCCGCCGTGTATCGTCGGAGGACCCTCTGTTTCTGGCCTCACTTGCAGCGGGGCGCCGCGATGTTTGATTTTTTTTTTCAGCGCTGATGGTTCTTAGTGCGATGCAGTGCGATAAGCTCCATCTGAGGCGATTGTCATCTCACATGCGTGGGCCGCGGCGATTCATTGTCTAGACCCTTTATTGCTGTCGTGTCAACATGTGGTGGTGGACAGCGAGCAGCAGCAGCAGCGCCATCGGCAAAGAACAGCTCACCGAGCGTAAATGTAGATGAACCAGCGGCGCAGTAGACAGATGGACAAGCAAAACCAGCGCAACCTGCCTGCCCAGTCTCTCCTTTGCGTGGTGTTGGAGGCAGATAACGCCGCAGAGCAGGGGCAGGGACACAGCAAACAAGACTAGGCCAACCTGACCTTGTCTCGGGCTGGCAGGCCAGGGGTCGCTTTGGGTGTCGGCGTTGCTGCCATGTTAGGTTTCTTTGCTGCTGTGCTAGGTCCCCTTTTTGAGCTAAGGGTGTGCTAAAGAAGGGACGGCGCAGCGTGGTGTTGGCTCGTCTTGGGGCCCAATGCGGGTGCAGGCGTTCCGTAAGCTGGACGGCCCAGAACGTCCCACCCATGGGTGTAATGGGATTGCAGGCTGCATCGATCTGCTGCGAGAGCGTCCAAGGGAGCGAGAGATTTCGCCTTGCGGGCCCCAGTGCTGTGCTGCAGTACGAGGTGCATGGATATATAATATGAATCGAGGTGCAGCCGCACACGCCATCTTCCCTTCTTGTATGTCCCGTATGTTTGTTCGATTTCGCAGTTAATAAATCGTCTTCTTCTTCGCTCGTCATCCGATTATTCGCAAGACACATACATACTCGCGTGGTTTGACCTAGCGTTTCAAATCAGGAGCAGTCTTGTTGCAGCTACGCGTTATGAACACGACACCGTCACAGCAAGCAGTACCAGAGACACGGCGCCCATGAGACAATAGGAAAAAAAACACGAGAGGCCATCCTCAGGAAGAAAAGTAAAATAAAACGAAAAGCAACCGCACTCATCTTTGTCCTCTTGTCACTTTTCGTCTGCCAACATTCTCACCACCACCACCATGAAGAGGCAGCAACAGCACCAGCACGACGCAGCTGCGGCTCCAGCAAGCCAAGCGGCCCTAGACACCGCCTTTTTCACCTACAAGCCACTATCGAATCTCCCCACCCCGCCCCCGAGCTACAGGGGCTCCAGTGGAGTGGCATCGCCCCTGTGCAACACCGCCTGGGATGTTGGTCCAGAGCTCTTATCAGACCACTATCGAGGTTCGTATTTATTTTTTCTCCATCTTGCTTTTCCGTGTATTTGGATATGCCATTTCCACAAAAAATACTGCTTTGTACTCCCCGGCTCGGAATTTAGCCGTTTTATTTTATTTATTTATTCATTTATTTTCTCATGCTAACAAAGGGCTGCTGCTCTTCTCAGGTTCCGCCATCCACCTCGTCAACCTCATCCCTTCAGCTGCATCCCTCGCCGATGCTTCCGTTTCCCTCGTCCAGGCCATCCTGGCACGTGCAAATCTCCCGCTAGAGACAATTGCCCTTGCGGTTTGCATCCTCGATAGCCTCAACTCTCGCTTTGCCCGGAAATGGCGTCTCTCGTGCCCCCTTGTGCCCGCCTCACCGGCTGTTCCTAGCGACTCCTCCTTTGCTACTTCGTCATCCTCGTCATCCAAGCGCCACAGTCTCCCGCAGTCGTCTAAGGCGGCTGCAAGAAAGCTTGAGAAGCGCAACAAGCAGCCGCAACTGCACATTGACTCGGTCAATCCCGAAATCATTGTTCTCGCCGCCCTCGTTATCGCCGTCAAGTTCACCGAAGACCCCGAACAGGCTTCCCAGTTCTACTGCGACGACTGGGGCCAAGGGCTCTGGTCCAGCAGCCAGCTTAACACCACCGAGCGATGTGTCATAGAGAATCTTAACTATCGCATCATGCCGCTGTGCGACGAGGAGTTGATTGCCGACGCCATGGCTGACATGCAGCTGGCCGGCGCCCATGCCACGCCATACCACCTCCACGAGCCAACTCCTCCAGACAGCGATGGCGAAGAACAAAGCAATGACGGCTATGTCTTGGGCCACTCCCGCTCAAAGACTATGGCCCCGATAACCAGCAGATATGACGATCTGGGTCTTGGCCTGGGTGCTGGCTGGGCCATGTAGACGGAACATAAACCCATCCTTCTCTCTCTCTCTCTCTCTCTCACCACATTATATGTCTACTTTTGGCGCATTACGATTCTGCATTTACTCTGGCGTTTATCATCAATTGTTCTACTTTTCTTTGCTTAGTTTGCTTTTGCAACGTTATATGGACGCATGGATCTATTTTAGGCGGCTGGCTGCCTCATCACACCACCGCGGCCTGGAATTCTGTCATTTCTGCACATCGATACCCCCCCTCTGGCGACGCATCATGATTTAGGCATAGTTTTTTTGTTGTCCTGGTTATAAATTCTGCTACTGCTTTTCATTATTCTATAGCATTGTTATTGCGTGTAACACAGCAGCCTGTGCAAACGGTGTGTTGTTTCTTCTGAGGCTGAATACAACATGATTTCTTCGTTAATTCTTTACATATCCAATGCTTTGTTCATGGGCTCAGGCGCTCCAACTTCCAGTTACCCTGTCCACCATCACTCTCTTCCTGTCGCTCGTACACAAAGCGGTCGTGCAGCCTACTATGGCGGCCCTGCCAAAACTCTATCCTTTGAGGCACAATACAGAGACCACCCCAAAAGTCCGGTACCGGGATCTTTTCGACATCTTTGAATCGCTCTTCTGTCTCCTTGACCCAACCTTCTAGCTGCTCTCGCCCGTCATCGGCTGCATCGTCCTTGTTGGGTTGTAGCACAGCACTCTGCTTGCTGGACCAGGCGCCAATGCGGCTGCCTCTCGCACGCGTGTCAAAATATAGCTGGCTCTCTTCGGCTGTGTTTCGCGCCGCTACACCCTCAACACGGACCTGACGGTTAATCTCTTTCCAGTAAAACACTAATGATGCGTGCGGGTTTGTCGCGAGATCCTCCGCCTTGCGTGACGTGCCAAAGTTGGAGTAGATGACGAAACCCTTGTCATCCAACTCCTTTAGATATACAACCCGCGAAGATACTCGCCCTGTGGGGAGCTGTGCCGTAGATAGAGTGCATGCTTCGACTTGTTTGATGCCTGCCTTTTGTGCCTCAGAGAACCAGCTGTTGAACTGCGTCACCGGTGACTTTGGATCGAGATCAGTCCGCATCAACGCATCTCCATTAAACTGCGCTGCCTGTGCGCCATGGCTTTTTCCTTCACCAGGTGCAACTAAGAGCCATAGTTAATCCAATTGATACTCTTTTTGTGCTTGCAGTACAGGAACAGGATAGGTTCTTACAAATGAGCTTTTCCGTCTTTGTAGCTTGATGCAGCGCCATTCTGCCGGCAGTAAAGGCTCGACGTCCAAAAACACGATTCATGCAATGAATATACTTCGCAACGGATACAAAAACGGCGTATCAACGGTGATAGAACCTATCTTGGCCGCTGTGTCTTTAAGTTTGCGTGTTCGTGAAGTTGGCCAAATGCAGACACTCGGCGGACTACCGCCTGTGACTGTGGCGGGGCGGCCGGCCAGGTCGGCGAGTCAGCCAATACTGAAAAGCCTCCGAAACACACAATACAATACACATATACACATACACATACAAAACACACGAAACGTAAATCATTAAAAATACATTAAATACATAAAACGCATACATCATATAAATACGTAAAAGCGTAAACAGAAATAACGCCACGTACATATACGGCTGCGTTGGCTCTTAAGAGCACCGTCTACGATCCCAGGGAAGCAAAAACGCCGACGCTAAATAGTAGTAAAACCCCAGGTATATAGTAAACAAAAGGAAGTCCAAAGATAAATATCTGAGGTACGGTAATCGTAACAAGTGTAAATCGCAAACTTTTTCTAGAAAAAAACAACAATTGTTGTCCCGCATCAAACATCGTCTACCGTGTATGCACACAATACATAGTAAGAAGAACCTTTACCAAGCACCGGGCGAGTGCTTGGCTAAGGAGATACAGGAAAGCATTGCATCAAGTCATGGAAGATCTTACGATCTAGACATGACGAGAGCAAGCAGAGCCATTCGGCAGTAAAGTCCATATCGCATCTAGTAAATGTTAGTCATCCTGTTTGCTGGGTATATGTCTGGGAGGGTTGCTTACCTGTCTAAAGTACGCCGCGCGCTGGTCAAAGTCCACCTCTTCAGCAACCTCCTCGTTTCGGGGAAGAGGGTGCATGACAACCGTCGAGGCCTTGGCATTCTTGAGGGTCGCGTTGTCAACTCTGTAGGAGTTCTTGACAGCGAGGTATTGCTCCTCGCTCTGGAAGCGCTCACGCTGCACGCGAGTGCAGTACAAAACGTCGCTGCGGGCCAGGATCTCAGGAGTGAGAGTCTCAGACTCGCAGAGCAGCTGGCCAGAGGCAACCAGCTGGTCGCGGACGTTGGCAGGCAAGCTCAAGCCCTTGGGGGCAACAAGCTGCACCTGGACCTGGTAGTGCTGAAGCAGAGCAACCAGGGAGTGTACGGTTCTACCGTAGAGAAGATCACCAAGGAAGGTGATGGTCAGGCCCTGGACGGTACCAAGCTCTTCACGGATGGTGAAGAGGTCAAGGAAGGCCTGGGTAGGGTGCTCCTTGCTTCCGTTGCCACCGTTGATGACGGGGACAGGGCAGAACTTCTCAGCAACATCTACAGACTCCTCCGAGGGGTGGCGCATAACAACGGCGTCACCGTAGCAGGCAAGAGTTCGAAGGGTGTCCTGCAGAGTCTCGCCCTTCTTGACGGAAGATGAGTCGGTGGCAATGGCAATGGTGCGTCCACCGAGGCGCTGCATAGCGGCGTCAAAGCTGGCAGAGGTTCTGGTCGAGGGTTCGTAGAACAAGGTGCACAGGACACGGCCACGGAGCAAGTCCAAAACGCCTTCGCGCTGAACACCAAGGCGCATCTCCTGGGCAATGGTGAAGAGCAAGTGGAGGTCAGCACGAGAGTACTGCTTGACGGACAGAACGTGGGCGTTCTTGAAAGCAGAAGGTCTGGCGATGAGCTGCTGGAGAGAAGAGGTAGCACTGGGCTGGAGTTGCAGACCAAGACCGAGCTCCTCAATGGGGCCAGGGCGACCAGAAGAGGCGGCAGCGATGGGGGACTTGGCAGCATCGAAGCCACGAAGACGGTTAGTGGGCTTGGCAGTGCCAAAGGAAGCCTGCTGGCGAGCCTTGGGACTCTCAGTGATCTGGCTAATGGCAGTCGTGGGTCTAACCGAGGGAGACTTGGGAGGGGCCAGGTGAGCGGACATGTCCTTGCCCAGAGGGTGGACAGGGAGGACTTCGCCGTCCAGGCAGAGAGTGGTGCCCTGGAAGACAACACGGCGGACAGATCCGCGCATGACGCGACCTTCCAGAGGAGACCAGAAGGCGCCACGCTTAACCTCGTAGGCGCGGTCGATTTCAACCTCGAGGCTGGTGCTGCTCTGCTCGTGGAGTTCAAAGACTTCAATGGGCTTGTAGAACATGCGGGCCTTGATGTCGTCAATGGTCAATTTGCCTTCGCTGACAGAGGTCAGGAGGAGAGGAAGAGCATCGGCAATACCAGCAGAGGCATCGACCTTGTGTCCCAGAGAAGTGGCAAGCTGGTAAGGCAAGCTGCCAACAGAGAAGATGTCGATTGTCTCGAGGTTATCCCAGAGAGCAGCCTGGTCGTCGGGGCTAGGGAGACGATCGAAATCGGCAAAGTCCTTGGTGGAGAGGTACAGGGAGTATACGCAAACGTCGCAGGTGACCTGGAGACCCTTTTGCTTGCTGAGAGCAATCAGGCGAATGTCATCCTTCTTGGTGACAGAGGTGACGTGGATCTTGCGGTTGTGCAGACTGGCCAAGAGCAAGATGGAAGCCAAATCAGTACCCTGAGCGTCAGTGACGATGGGCTTGTAGGAAGGCCAGGCGTCAAAGTGGGCAGTGACGGCAGCAACCTTGCTAATGTTGCCAGACAAGTGGTTGAAGGGGATGAAGAGCGATCCAACCTCGCCAGCAACGGTGGCAATCTGCTCGGCATTGTCGCTGGTAGCGGCAATGGAGAAGTTGTAGTCGCAGTAGCCACCAGCTAAGCTGTTCTGCTGAGCAGTCTTGAGGGTCAGAGCATCAGTGATGGAACCCTCAAGACCAAGGGGCATGAGGCGAACCATACTGAAGCCAGCAGTGATGGAGGCCTTGGTAACAGCCTGGATGTCTTCGTTCTTGGCGGAGACAAGGCCGGGAACAAAGGTGGCGACGTTGATGAGACCAGGGAGAGTGATTGTCTGGTGGCTGGTCTGGTAATCGCGGGTGGACACGGCAAGCTCAAAGTGACGAGACAGAGCCTCAACCAAGATCTTGGCGTTCTTGACGTTGGTAACCAGAGGGATCTGGTAGTCAACAGCCATACGACGAGTCTGGTAACCCTTGGACATGTAGTTGGCAGGACGGCGGTACTTGTTGTTGGAGGGCAAGTTGATGTACAAGTCAATCATGTTGTTGGCAAGGTGCTGGCTGAGGGAGAACTCGGAGCTTCTGTCCTCATCGCTGCCAAGGACTTCGAGGTACTGGACAGGAACATCGTGCTCCTGCAAGAAATCGGCAGTACCGGCAGTAGCGAAGAGCTTGTAGCCAAGACGCTGGAGCTTCTGGACAGAGGGGAGCATCTCCTTCTTATCCTTGTAGGAACCAATGGACAAGAGAATGTTGCGCTTGGGGATCTTAAAGCCAGTGGATAGCAAAGCCTTGAGGTAGGCCTCGTTCTTGTCCACACCGAAACAAGCAACCTCACCAGTGGAAGCCATCTCAACACCAAGGACAGGGTCAGCACCAGAGAGACGCGAGAAACTGAACTGGGGAACCTTGACAGCAACCATGTTGTTGGGGGCAGGGATCGAATCGGGGAATTCCTCAAGAGGGAGTCCCATAATAGCCTTAGTAGCCATCTCAATAAGATCGACGCCCATGGTCTTGGAGACGAAGGGGAACGAACGAGAAGCACGAACGTTGCACTCAATGACCTTGATATCGTTGTCCTTGGCAATGAACTGGATGTTGAAGGGACCAGTGACGTTGAGAGCAGCACCAATCTTGCGAGTAGCATCCTCGATGCGCTCAATGGTGGTGCGCTCAAGGTCCTGAGGAGGTAGGATGAGAGTAGCGTCACCAGAGTGGACACCGGCGTTTTCAACGTGCTCGGAAATGACGTGGCCAATAACCTTGCCGTTCTGAGCAACAGCATCCATCTCAATCTCCTTGGCGTTCTCAATGTACTTTGTGATGACGACAGGGTGCTCGCGGGACACCTCGGCAGCCTGGGCCAGGTAGGATTCCAAATCCTTCTCAGAGTACACAGTGTTCATGGCAGCACCAGAGAGGACGTAGGAAGGACGGACAAGCACAGGGTAAGTGACTCTGTTGCAGAAGTCCTTGGCTTCGTCGAAGCTGGTAAGCTCCTTCCAGGTGGGCTGGTCGACACCGATGCGATCCAACATGCGCGAGAACTTGTATCTGTTCTCAGCGCCGTCAATCATTTCGGGGGAGGTACCGAGGACCTTGACACCAGCACGGTGAAGGGGCAGAGCAATGTTGTTGGGCAGCTGACCACCCATGGCAGCCAAGATACCCGAAGCTTGCTCGAGTCCATAGATGTCAAGAATGACTTCAAGCGTCGTAGGCTCAAAGAATAGCTTATCGCACGTGTCGTAGTCTGTCGAATAGGTCTCCGGATTAGACGAAAATGGGTGTTAGTACCAATAGTATAAAAATAAATGTGTCACGAACAAAAGAAAGCGTTTTGTGGTGTTGTGGTAAGGTTTTTGCGTGTAAGTGGTGATCTGGGGCTATGCGCTGCGTACAGGCGGCACCGACGAGCCTTGTGCAGAGCGACGAGCGCTGTAAACGCTGCAAATGCGCACTACACTGTAGCTAGGCCCTCGCTGACGGTATCCACGACATGGGAGTCGTGCAAGTACTGCAAACGCTGCGTACGAGCGCTGGCCGTCGGGATGGGCGCTGTGGGCGCTGTATACAGGTGCCGTTGGCGGTGTGTACGGGGGTCGGCTTGCAGGCCTTCACGGTGGAAGAGCGCTGTAAGTCGTCGCCACAGGGGATGGATACGCACTGTGAAGCCACCGAGCAAGACGGAACAAAAGAGAAAAAGGGAGGAATAAGTGACAGACAAAAATAGACTTACGTTAACCATGATAGTCTTGAAGCCAGACTTGCGGAGAGTCTGGACGGCGCGAACAGAGCACCAATCGAATTCGACGGATGAACCAATGCGGTATACACCGGATCCAAGAACCATGACACCGTGGTCGTTAAAGTCAACGTCATGCTCGGTGGCATTGTATGTCGTGTAGAGGTAGTTGGTCTGGGCAGGGAATTCAGCAGCGACAGTATCAATCTGCTTGACCCAAGGGTGGATGCCAGCATCCAGGCGGATGCTGCGGATGGCCATTTCGTTGGAGCTCAAGAATTTGGCAAGCTGACGATCACTGAAACCAACGCGCTTAGCCTGCAGCAACAGGCTAGGCTTGGTGGCGAATTCAGCAGTAGTCAACTTCGAAATGTTCTTGGAGAGGTCACTGAGACCCTTGAGCTTGGTCAAGAACCACTTGTCAATCTTGGTGAGGTCGTGGATCTTGTCGACGGTGTAGCCCTCGTACATAGCGTTGGCAATGGCGAACAGACGCTGGTCAGAGGGAGTCTGGAGCTCATCGTCAATCGCCATGAGAGCAGGAGTCTCGTTGAAGCCAAGGTTGTGGAAGTCAATGGCACGGATGGCCTTCTGAATAGCTTCCTCAAAGTTGCGACCAATGCTCATGACTTCACCAACACTCTTCATGGCAGAACCAAGTTGAGTAGAGACACGGGTGAACTTCTTGAGATCCCATCGGGGCATCTTGACGACGCAGTAGTCGAGGGAGGGCTCGAAGCAGGCGCAAGTAACTTGCGTGACCGAGTTCTTAATATCCTTAAGGGGAATGTTAAGACCGAGCTTAGCAGCAATGAAAGCAAGAGGGTAACCAGTGGCCTTGGAAGCGAGAGCAGAAGAACGCGAGAGACGGGCATTGACTTCAATAATGCAGTACTCCTTGGAGTAGGGGTTCAGGGCGTACTGAATGTTGCATTCACCAACAACGCCAAGGTGGCGAATGACGTTGACAGCGGTGGTACGGAGCATGTTGTAGTCTTCATCGGACAGAGTCTGAGAGGGGGCAACAACGATAGAGTCACCGGTGTGGATACCGAGAGGATCAAAGTTCTCCATGTTACAGACAGTGATACAGTTGTCCTGAGCATCACGGACGACTTCGTACTCGATTTCTTTCCAGCCCTTCATGGAGCGCTCGATAAGGACCTGGGGACTGGCGGCAAAAGCCTTGTTGCAGAGCTCAAGAAGCTCCTCATCGTTGTTGGCGAAACCACTGCCGAGACCACCAAGAGCATAAGCAGCACGAACAATAACGGGGTAGCCAATGTCCTTGACGGCAGCCATAGCCTCCTCGACGTTGTTAGCGGAGGCAGACTGGGCGCACTTCTCACCAATGGACTCCATGCTGCGAGCAAAGAGTTCACGATCCTCGGTGGTGATAATGGTCTCAATGGGGGTACCAAGAACCTTGACACCGAGAGCCTCAAACTCGTCCTTAAGCTGAATACCGACCTGCAGGGCAGTCTGGCCACCAAAGGTGACGTAGATGGCATCAGGGCGCTCGTACTTGATGACCTTGCGAACAAAGTCGGCGTTGACAGGCAAGAAGTAGACCTTGTCAGCGAGACCCTTGGAAGTCTGAATAGTGGCAATGTTGGGGTTGATAAGGACAGTGTAAATGCCCTCTTCCTTGAGAGCCTTGATGGCTTGACTACCAGAGTAATCAAACTCACCAGCCTGACCAATGCTCAGACCACCACTGCCGAGGACAAGAATCTTCTTGACAGAGACACGAGGGCTGAGTCTCTCGTTCTCCTCAATAGTGCCACCAGGGAAGCTGACAGAGGCCTGAAGAAGAGCAGGGTTCTCGGCACAGCTGGCCATGGTGTTGATAAAGACATCAAAGAGGTACTCAGTGTCGCGGGGACCGGGAGTGCTCTCGGGGTGGAACTGAACACTGAAGTAGGGTTTCTCAGTGTGCATAATACCCTCGTTACTGCCATCGTTGGCGTTGACGAAGAGCTCCTTCCAACCAGTAGGGAGGGTGGCGGAATCGACAGCGTAACCGTGGTTCTGAGAAGTGATGTGGCACTTTCCAGAGACCATGCTGGTGCAGGGAATGTTGTGACCGCGGTTACCAAACTTCATCTTGAGAGTCTTGGCGCCAGAAGCACGAGCGAGCAGTTGGTGGCCCAAGCAGATACCGAAGACGGGGGTCTTGTTCTTGGCCATGACGGCAGAAATGTTGGTAGCAGTAATATCGAGAACCGAGGGGTCACCGGGACCGTTGGAGACGAAGAGACCATCGTACTCGTCGCCGGCGGCGGAAACAAGATCGTGATCCCAAGGGACGACGAGAACTTCGACACCGCGTCTAAGAAAGCAGCGGAGCTGGTTGTACTTCATACCGACATCGACGCAGAGAACGCGCAGGGTGCGGCCGTTGGGGTGCTTGCGAGCGACGACGGAAGCAGGCGGCTTGTAGAGCTTGGGGGTCTTGATGGAAACTGTAAAAACACTAATTGTTAGCGTGTCATGGTGAATAATAGAATGGAATCTTGCTTACCCTGTGCGACAAGGTTCTTCTCGTTGGGGTTAACCCAGTCAATGGTCTCGTAGGCGTCAATGGAAGAGTGGCCGAGGATCTCGTCGGCAGAGCCGTTAGCAAGAGCCTTGCTCTCAAGGCGCATCTTGCCGAGCATGCTACCAGTCTCACGGATCTTCTTGGTCAGAGCGCGGGTGTCGACACCGTACATGGCGGGGACGCCCTGCTCCTTAAGCCAAGTGCCGAGGGAGGAGGAAGCGAGGAAGTGGCTGTAGTCTTCGCCGCAGTAAGAAGCAACGACAAGACCAGCAACATGAATCTGGGAAGATTCAAAGTGAGCAGGGAGCTCAGTAAGGAGGTCGTCCATGGCCTCGCGGGAGGGAACGCCGTAGTTTCCGACGAGAGGGAATGTGACAACCAGAATCTGACCTCGGTAGGAGGGATCGGTGACAGATTCAGGGTAGCCAACCATGCCGGTCTGGAAAACCAGTTCACCGGCGATGCTCTTCTTAGCACCGAAGCTGTAGCCCTGGTAGGCGGAGCCGTCCTCGAGCTCGAGGCAGACGAGGCCGTCGTTCTGGGCATCGCTCAGGCGAGCAGTGGCGGGAGGCTGGATCTTGAAGGAAGCCATTTTCAGTGTTGATTGGCGTGTTCAGAGTTTGATTCGAATTGAAAAAGAGAAGGAGGAGTGTCGCCGCAGACGAATTGGTAGTGTAGTCTGGTTCGATTGAGAAAAGTCTATGGTGTAATGGCCGATAGTCGCGCGCAATGGAGTGTGTGCTTCCAAGGCAGGCAAAGATATGGCGATCAGACTTGTGTTCTCAGGCTCCTTCGATCAATGTTTCAAGCTACCTCTTTCTAAATCATCTGCCCTGATGATTATAGCGTAAGAGGATCACAAAGAATCAGTGTTGATTTGATAGAAGGAGGAGGAGGAGGAAGAAAGAGAAGGAAAAAATTTTGGCGGGGAAGGACATAAAAAAAAAAAGCTTCCCACTAGCACCATTAAGCCGCGAGCGGGACTCGACGCAACTTTTTTTTCTTGCTACAGCGCCGCACTACCGCCAAAAAAAACAACGCTGCACCCCAAATCTAGCCAGTGAGGGGCCAAGGTGTGTTGGAGAACCCTTGCTGATTGGTCAATGCTCAGCTTTTCTGCCAGGGGTCCCCACCACCACACAGGTCCACTAGCTGCATTTGGGGGTTGTCCAACCCCTCCATGCAGTGGCCTGCAGGCGCCCCAAAGCCCTGTTCCATCGCCGCTGTAGGCGCTGTAACCCGCTATAACATCCCGAATGCCGGCCCTGTAGCAGGATGCCCCAGCGCCTCAACCAAACCATCCCCCAGCACGTTCATCCGTCCCAGGCAGAGCCCCAACGCCTATAATGCCCTGTGGCGATGGCCGCTAAGGCAGGGGACCTGGTCGTGGTTCGGTCGCCGGTTGATCGCTTCCTTCACCGCCTGCAAGCACCAATCATGGCCTGTGCCAAGTTCGGCTGGCATTCGTTATCAACCAAAGACAAAACACAAACGAGCTCCAAGAATACATGCATCAAATAGCGCTTATCCAGTTGGTCACGCCGAAAGAGACAGTAGCATCCAGCGTCTCCGATACAAGAGGAAGAAAAAAAAGCTTCTTATCGGCACACGACCACCCAGCGCTGTGGATACACGGATCTAGACAGCGCACGCAGGGCTAGTAGCAGCCTCATTACTCGTGTCCAGCGTACCCAGAAAAAAAAAGCTGCTGCAGATATGTCAAAAGAGAGAGCCGTCCACTATATGGAGAGATTCCTCTTACACACGTCACGCGACACTAACGCGCAGAAGACTCACCGGCTTCACCCGAGAGCAACAGGACATGGTCACTATATTTAGTTCATTATGTTTAGTCACGATAACTTTCTTTCCCAATTTCGCCTATGGCATAATAATAGCCTATATAAATACAATTGATAAGCTCCCATTGCCTCTCGACGCCTATGGATATTTGCAACAAAGCCGCACAAAGTCAAAAACCACGCTGCGCAGTTCTTCCATCCTGATGCACGCCCTCTCTAGTCCCTCATCTCATCTCTTCTTCTGTTTTTTGTATGCATAGCTAGTACTAGTTGCTCGGCATAGGCGCATTGGGCAGCTGGGGCGTCTTTTGCGGCGCTGGGCTGCCTTGGACGCCCATTGCATTGGCTACCTTGCCTGTCGGCGGCATTCTATATGGCGGCTCCTTTTTGGGATCCAAGCCAGGGAATGCAGCTTGCAATCTGCTATACAAGTCCTTGATGGTCTTGTCACGCTCTTCTCGGTCCGCTATCGGATCGACCTTGACATCTGACCCTTCAGCAGTTGAAGGCTGAGCACGAGGGCGTAGGGTCATATTTAGTGGCGGAGCGCTCAAGAACGCTGGACTAGGCGGCACCTTGGCATCGGGTTTGCGATCAGCCATGGCAGCCATATAAGCCAGATTGGCCTGTAGTCGTTTCATGCAGCTGCTGCTGTTAGCAAAAAATGAACAATAGAGATTCCTGCGATCTGCGCAGCTTTAGGCATACTTACTGGAAATAATCTTGTTGAAACTGGCCCTCTTCTTCAGCAGGCTTCTTGTCTCCCGCAGTACCATTGGCAGCAGCCTTTTCCTTCTTGAGCTCCTGTTGCGTCATCTGTAAGAGGATAGACTCATACAGGAGTTCCTGGTTAATATCCAAAAGGAGTGCGAATCTCTCCTTCTCCCTTGCTTCTGAGCCTGGGCTCATTGGCGCTGTGGGTGTCGAAGCACTTCCAGGTCCTTGGCTACCTGGGAAGCCTGGTGTCTGGGGGGTGCCTACGCCTCCGGGTCCCGGCTGAGGCTGGTTTCCTGGTGTTTGGAGCTGTGGGGGAGGTTGTGTGGGAGAGAATTGAGCTTGAGGCGTTTGCATAGGGTTCGGTGTTCCCTGGGCGGCGCTGGGCGGTCTTTGAGGTGTTCCGGCCTGCATCATTGGGTGGTTGCCCTGCTGCTGCTGTTGTTGTGCCTGTTGCATCTGTTGCATCTGCTGTGGTGTAGGTGGTTGCTGCTGCTGTTGTTGCTGGGGGTGTCCTTGTTGGTGCTGTCCAGGATGCTGTTGTTGCTGCTGCTGCTGGTGTTGCTGTTGCTGTTGTTGTTGTGCTTGAAGCTGTGCCTGTGCCGCCTGCTGCTGCTGAAGGCGTTGCTGCATCATCTGAGCCTGCTGAGGGGTCATTCCTTGCGGATTCATGGGGAATCCTTGCATTCCGCCAGCAGCCATCATAAAGTTATTAGGCGCAAAATTCGGCTGCCCAGAGGACTGCAGAACCTGCCCGTACTGGGCTGCAAACTGCTGTGGATAGCCTTGCACTACAAATTTTCCGTTAGTATACCGAGGTAGCAGGCGATGTGTACGATGCTCCCGACTTACTTTGACCGTTAGGGGGCATATTTCCCATGCCTGGGTTCTGCATCATGCCCGGTTGTCCATGCATCATCTGGGGGTTTGCGCCAGGTGGGAAGGCTCCCTGTGGTGCCATACCCGCAAACTGTTGCTGCTGCTGTTGCTGCTGGTTGAACATCATTTGTTGCTGTTGTTGTTGCTGTTGAGTATTCGGTTGGCCGCCTTGCTGTTGTGCAGCAGCAGGATTGAACTGCTGGCCTCCGTTGTTGAAGGCGTAGCCTCCGTTAAACATGGCTGTATGGTGGTAGAGCCCTCGACTGGCTCCTATGAACGCCTTTGATGAGAAGCTCCAATTATAACCTTTGATCGCAACGCGGAATAACTTCGGTTTCGATAGAACTGTCGGTCTCGATTCACAATGTGATCAAATTCGAGTCGCGACACGTTGATGAGCGGGCGCTGCGCGCTTATGGGAGCTCGTGGGTTGGGGACAATCGAGCGGCGCACGCCAACGAAGAATGCTCCGGATAATGATGATGATCCCGTATTCGAGCCGCTTTAGATAGCAATTCGTGCTAGCTGCAAGAGCGATCGCGTGTCGGCGGTGGGTGATTTGTTGGTGCAAGAATCGGGCTGTGAGCTGAATGCGACGTGGAAGGATGGAAGCACCACCTAGACCTCTACAGACGTCGCGTCGACAAAACAATTCGCGGCAACAAAATCTAAAGAGAAAATCTTCGGGCCAGCGGAATGCTTTTGCTCCGGAGCGATGCGGTGGAGGGAATCGCGGATGTCGGTAATGCGCAGTTCATGTGCAAAAGGCCAAATGTGGTGAGAGGGAGAGAGGCTGGCGGGAGCATGCGGCCCACCCGCCGAAAAGAGACAGGCGGTGGTGGAGGGCGGGTGCGCCAGAGCCGGCGGAGAACGGCGGCGGAGGTCTTTTTGTATGTGGTGCAGCACATGGTGATAATAAAAGATAATTGGTAATTGGCAAATAAATTTAAATAAAATTTTCATATAGACAATATCAGTATTTAGACGCATATATAAGAGAAACTATCCACAAAAAACCAAGTTTCGATTCAAACACGGCCTGCGGAGCTATCAATGGTAGTATGTTCCGTACTTGGAGCTACCCTTTACAACATCGACAAAATTCGTAGCAATGATTTGGTCGGTTCTTTCAGAAGGATGAAGGCCATCAAACCTGTCACAATTTGTTAGTTTCCATCTTAGCTTGTAAAATCCTCATACTAACCAAAGATAGCCGGACAATGGATCCTTGGCGTCAACGCATCCATTGGCACCGCAAGTACGGTAGGGTTTGTCTACCACTGCTGGCGGGGTAAGATACTGCGATGGGTTGTTGTGAATGTCAAGCATGAGATCGTGGACATTGAAAATGGTAAAGTAGGCTCCGGGCCATCTCTTCTTCACCAACAGTTGGAATGGTGCACCATAGTCGAACATGGTGTTGACGCTCATCGTGTACTCAAACATCTTCTGCTCGGATTCGGTGGAATTGCATGCTGAAGCCTTGTTTGGCCAGTACTGGTCAAGTTGCTCGCCACCATTCTTGGGTGCAGCATACATGGGCGAGACTTGAAGTGGTGCCTGGTTCAACAACACAAAACGCCGACCACCTGTCTGGTAGACGGCGTCAAAGGTCTCCCACACACACTCGACAAAGTCGGGCAAGCTCTTGCCAGGCTCCTGTTTATCACTCAAGAAACCGTCGATACCAAGATCATTGGTTCCAATCCACTGTGCATAGACAGTGTTTTCCGGCTTCCTGTTGGGGTACAGGCTGTTGAACTTAACATCAGCCTGGTAGGCAGGGGCCTGGTATTCCTTGACCGGAGGGAACGTTCCGTTGTCAAAGTAGTGCTTGGAGACTTTGTCTGAGCACATGGCACCTGCAACAGCATAGTTGTAGTACCTGGCACCTGTAGCTTCGGCGACGAAGCGTCCCCACGCCTTACCACCACTGCTTGTCTGGTTGCTCGGAGGAAGCAAGGTCCCGGGTGGCGGAGCCTGGCCATTGTGGTCAATAAAGTACTTCAACCGAGACTCATCAGTATAGCTATCGCCAAAGGTGACCAAGTTTTCCATCTTGGTTGGCGCGCATTTTGTTGTCGCTGCTGCCGACAATGCCGCGGATGTCAGGAGGAGTGTAAGACGCATCTCAGAAGTATGGTTGTTCTATGGACGGTGATTAAACAATGCTACACAAACACAACCAAGACACACTTGCACGGGATCAACAGTCCTTAAGTAGCCTCGTGTTTATTTCTCTCCGCCTACCGGCTCGTACTTTTGACGTTCCCCGCATACATGCACTAGCTCTGACGCTGGCATATTGCAACCCTACCGGGACATGCTGGAAACCAGGTAATGCCGGGCCTCGTTTAAGGCAATTGTGTTGGGAAGAAACATGGGATGACTGCAAAATTAATCGAATGACTTTATTCAGTTTCAACTTGAATAAAAGTAGGCAATTGGAAAGCCCCATCCGAGTTGAACGCTAACAACCTGCAAGCCGCATCCCCAAAACGCCGAGTTACGGCCTAGCGCGTGAATGACGAGGAGCGATGGACAGGAGATTGCTTGACTAGCATCGCCCTCCCTACCCGAGTACCATTTGGTTCATCGACCTATTGTGTCAGACGAGAAGCTGTTCATTTCCGTATCATTTCTAGCGTATCGTCGTCTGCTGCCCGACATCTGCAATTGACGCGTATGGCCGGTTTCGTGCAAACACTGGGTCGCCGCTGGTAACAATCCATTGTTAGCTTGAGGGCTATTGTTGTAGTGACGGCACGGCTCCACCACCACCACCAACACTTACTGTAGGGATTCCGACGCCCAGGGTCCTCCTCCTCAGCCGCGTTCTTCAAATAATTCTTGATTGCCTTGTACCCGACCGACATTAATTGGGCAAGACCGATAAAGAATGGTATAAATTGCCCAGGCGAGTTCAGTGAGTAGACATCGGATATTTGGTTCCAGCGAATGGTTAACTCGACAAAGAGAATGACACCGATATTGAGTGCAAGATCCACGCTTCGGTAGTCATTTGTATACTGTTCCACTTGATCAATCGGCTCAACGGGGCGATTGAAGGCTCGCAGGATGGCTCGATGTAGATAAAATCCGAGAAGGAACGTGTACGCTAGTAGCTGTGCTTAGCATGCGGATTCAGAAGGGAAGAAAACGGAGGAAATATAGCACAACGTACCGACGCCGTAGACCATGGCACTCATGGCGCCAGCGAGACCAGCAAAGACAGTCAACACCTTGTTAAAGGTTCGGAACCATCCCCAGAGGCTGACATTGGCGAAAAAGAAGGCCCTGTCGTCTGGACAGCTACGGCCTAATTGGTCCATACCAACCCACCAGAACCAAATGTAAATACCAATCAAGCCAAGCATCTCAATGCCGTAGAGCATCTGGACGAGACCCTTGAGCTGGTTTGCTTGACGATAAGAGTTGACCAGGGCGGTCAACAGCGTAATCATGAAGGCGACTTCGATGGCTTCAATTTGGCGTATAACAATCTGTCGCACAAGTACTGTACCAACAGACATGACAAATACGACGGCTGTCTCTGCAATGTTGTCCTCGGCCCGGAGAAAATATGAAAAGAGGCCTGACGACTGGACTGTGAGCATCTGAAAGTAGATACCCAGACGAATGCCCAGGCCATACAAGTCTGGATTTCCCTGAACATGACAATGCTGATTGTCCATGGCTGCAAAGGTAAACAAAAGAGTGTGAATTTGGTGTAATTTGCAATGCTATCGCATTCTTTCTGTTGCTTAGCCGCCGTCAGCGAGCAGAAGAGGATTCTAAGCCCCTCATATTCCAGCAGAGCTGCCGAGTCACGCTTGCAAATCGCCCAGCCCGTGCTCTCGCCAAAAACAACCTCATCAGCTCGCTTTGCCGGGGTGGCTGAGTGGCGCCGGTGCTCTTTGCAGTGGGCTTTCCGCTGGGCTGAAGCAAGGACCCAATGGCATACGCGTAGCAGGGTTACGTTCATGCTGTGTGCCGAAGGTATCGAGTCAGCCGCACATTGATAAAAACCTTCAGGATAAAACCAAAATTAGTGGTGTCGCAAAAAGCATTATCAAAAACGCCAACCTGAACAATATTTGGCAAGACCTGGCCGCCACACGAGGCGACCAACAACATCACAAGGACACCGCACCCGGGCGTGCATCACTGTCGCCTGGTGGCTGTGTCTGGACCCAGGCTGCTGAAACCTGGGGCGTTGTGCGGCTGTTCCCGCGCGCTACAGTGGTGGAGTGCCTAGAATTGACGCCTGATATTGAATAAGAGGGCGGTGGAAGCTACTGCAGAAATCAGCTGCTGATTGAAATCTCCAACCATTCGCTCCCCCTACCGATCCGTATATTCACCAAGACACACCGTCCAAAAGTCGTCATGGATGCTGTGCAAGATGCCTGCCAGATTAAAGGTGCCGACGATCTGTACGGCATAGGCGTCCGCGCTGGTCTCTATACGCAATGGGTTGCGACTCTCATTGCGACGTTGTTTGACCCGGAAACCGAAAGCGATATTCGACTCGCCAACATTATCATCCAGTGTTCCATCTTCCTGGGTCTATGTACTGAAAGCAGAAACGATGGTGCGAGCGCCGTTGGTGCCATCGTGACGCAAGTGCTGCTGTGCGGCTCTCTCAGCAGCCTCACTGGCGACGGATTCAACCACGCCGGCAAGGTGTCTGGGATTATGCGTTTCCTCTTTTATACGGGATTATCGGCATACGGTTGCTGGTTCTGGTTTTACGGCATTGACAGCATGATGCGGCCAGGGTGCAACGAGGTGGCCTTTTTTGGACTCACCAGCTTCCATGGCTGGTTCCGTACGTTGGGCAAGGTTCTTTCTATCATCGGTGTTGTCCTGTGCAGTATACTGGATATTTATAGCCTCTATGCCCTGGGAGTAAGATTCTCGCAGGGTATGGAAGCATTTGCTCCCCCGCCCAAGCAGCGGCCTCAGGTGGAGCTGTCGTTGCTGGTTATATCGACAGGGCTTCTGGTGTTTTCCATTGTCCTGATTGAATATATCCTAGACCACAACCGTATCGAACTAGACAACAGTCCGATCTCTGTCGGACAGCTGATTCCGTTGATTGCTGGTGGCTTGGCAGCCCTGTTGGTGCTCTGGAAGGTGATTATGAATGGGTTGATGTGGAAAGGCCGATGCTGGTTCCTATTTGGAAAACATCTCTAAGGGAATAAATGAAAGATGTAAAGTTAATGTATGACGATATATTTGTAGTAATAATAGCAAACAAGCCTCTACTGTACCTACAACGCAAAGGCGTGTTTTAGTGCAAACGCAAGTCACTACGGCGCACCCACGGCAGTCACTGTCTGTCCCTCACGGTTGCAACAGCAGCCCCACCGGCTCCGGCATCGCCCATGACTCTTTGCCCCTCCATGACCTCCCGCGATTTTTTAAAAAAGAAGACCAGTTGGATTTAACTCCTTTCTTAACCATTTCTATCACGGGCATCCCAAGCTAATCAATTGAATCCACAAACTGCCCATAATGTCGCCCTTCAACTTGGAAACCTGCGCACGACCAAATATCCTCGCGCTACAGCCGTACCGCTGCGCCAGAGAGTACGCTTTCACTATACAAACCGCCAAAGACGAGCCCTTCTTGCTAACCATGATCAAGTGACTACAAAGACGACGGCAAAAATGTCCTGCTTGACGCCAACGAAAACGCATACGGCCCTTCGCTCCCTGCTGACCTCCCTACCGATGACTTCCTCGGTCTCAACCGCTACCCCGACCCTCACCAAGAACCTCTAAAGCAGCTGCTCTGCAACCTGCGTACCACCCACGCTCACACACAAAAGACCCTGACACCTGAGAACCTCTTTGTAGGTGTCGGCTCAGACGAGGCCATTGATGCCCTTCTGCGATGCTTCTGCATTCCTGGCAAAGATAGCATTCTGACCTGCCCGCCTACATACGGCATGTACTCTGTGTCAGCCCAAGTAAACGATGTCGCCATTGTCAAGGTGCCTCTGCTGCCCGCCCCCGACTTTGCTCTCGATGTCGAAGCTATCAACGCCACGCTCTCTGGACCCGAGAGTGCCAATATTAAGTTGGCGTACTTCTGCTCGCCTGGCAACCCAACCGGCTCGCTCTTGGCCAAATCAGATATTGAAAAGGTGCTCGCTCACCCTACCTGGAATGGCGTTGTTGTCGTCGACGAAGCATACATCGATTTTGCCCCTTCACCAAACGACTCGCTTGCTGAGCTTGTCACTGAGTACCCTAACCTCGTGGTTATGCAGACATTATCAAAGGCCTTTGGTATGGCAGGAATCCGTCTGGGCGCTGCCTTCACAGCAGCCCCAATTGCCCGTCTCTTGAACAATCTCAAAGCCCCATACAACATCTCCAGCCCTACCAGCGCACTTGCTTCTACTGCTGTTGGCGAAAAGGGACTCGCAGTTATGCACGCAAACCGCGACTTGATCCAGGCGCAGCGAGACCGCCTCATTGCTGAGCTGCCCAAGATTGAGGGAGTTGGCCGCCTTCGTGGTGGTAAGGAAAGCAACTTTTTGCTATTTGAGATGTTAAATGCCCAAGGCGAACCCGATAACACTACAGCCCTCGCTGTGTACGGGGGACTCGCTGAGAACAAGGGAGTAGTTGTTCGCTTCCGTGGAAAGGAGCATGGATGTCTTGGATGCCTTCGAATCACTGTTGGCACTGAAGCTGAGGTAACTCGCTTCTTGGAGTCCATCAAGAGCATGCTTGCAACAGTAAGAGCTGCTTAATACGCACATAAAATACGCACATAGATATAAAACCTTCAATAATAAGTAAAGAGATACCATACGTATAATATGTATTGAGTCTTGTTGTAGAAGCAGGCATTTTGGACATGGTATGTCCTACGCGTGCGAATTGATACAGCTATTTACATAGAGAAAAGATATTCCAAATCTAACGTCTTTTCAAGAAAGAAAATAAAAACCAAAAAAAAGGAAATTCGTTAACTTCATGGAGCGTAAGAACATCATCAGGTGTGCCGAGATCGCTTCCGGCCCCTGTATTTCTTTACTTTTATCACGTATTTCATAACGGGAGTGTGCTTATACGACGGTTAAGCCAAGCTCCAGATTGCAATGATAGTTCCGAAGCTGACGGTGGTCAGCGTCCAGATGTTGGTAGTCAGAGCAATACCGGCCGCGGCCTCGGGGGGGCGCGAGGGTGCCGACGAGGCTGGAGGAGGAGGCGCCTCTGTATAAGTGGTTAGATTAGGTCGCGTATACGCTGTGGAAACAGAGCAGGGCGAAACAGAGATGGGTGCAGTGGTGGAATTGATACGAAGTGAAGTGGCAAAACAAAGGGTAGTGGGTGATGGTGATAGTGAACTCGTGTCGGGAACGGTGGACTCGGATGGGCAGTCGGAAGAAGTGTCGTCGGAAGTGGTGGCGGGGGCACTGGTTTTGATGGTGTTGGAAGGGGCAGATTCGGAGGGTTCATTTGGACAGGGTGTGTCTGTTGTGCTTGTGCTGGGGTCTGTTGGCGTTGGTAACGTACTGGTTTCGTCATTACTGTTGGTTGTAGTAGAGCTTAGTAGTAGTTCAGAAGAAGTGGTGGTGGCGAATGTGCTAGAAGAGGGTGTGGAAGAAGTGGTCGGCGGGATATCAACTGACGATGATTCTGATGTCGAAGAAGAAGTGCTTGGCTCGGCAGAGGTCGTGGTTGATTCCGTGCTGGATGTCGTCGAGGGGGGTGCCTCTGTCGTTGACGGAGGGGGAGGTGGTGGAGTGGACGTTGTGGATGGCGGAGGAGGCGCGGCAGACGAAGTGACGGGGTCCGGGCGGTTGGGGTCCATTGCTTTGAAGGTGGCATCGCTGTTACGTTTGATATCGCTAGCCTTGAATGGTTTGTCATTTTCGTCCGCGAGAAGACCCTGGATAGTGGCCAGAGCGCACATCTGAGGACCGAGACCAGTCTTGCCTTCAAACTTTTCCGTATACCATCGCTCACCACAAGCTGTTCCGGTTGAGCCACCGGTGCAGGACTGAGAGGCTGCCTTTGTAGTAGGAAGCATGTACTGCTCAACCTTGTCGCGAAGGTTGGGTAGTAGAATAGCCGTCTTCCACATGAACTGGGAAAAGAAGCCCTTGAAAGTAGTCATATCGGCATTGGCTAACCAGCACCTGTCCACGGCTTCGCAACTGGCCTCGTACAAGACGCCCTTCTGACCACCAGAGTCCTGATTCCAAAAGAACCACGATGCACCGTCCAGAAGCTTCTCTGTTCGATCAGCCCATTCAGACTTGCCGGTATGCTCAGCCAAGATTGCAGCACCGTACATGATGATGCCATGGGTATACGTATACGACTGTGGGTTAGTCTTTGTGCAATCACTGTCGATACCCGCGCCATCATAGATATGGTAGTTTCTGTTGTCAATCCAATTGAGCTTCCACATCCAATCCCAGACTTCTTGTGCCGTCTGAAGATACTTATCATCACCCGTAGCTCTCGCCAGACGGGCGGCGAGCTGAAAGTATCCTCCGTTGCTAATGCTGTTCTTGTATGTCAAGCCGTTGGGGTTGTCGGCCCGGATCTGCCAGAAGATGCCACCACCGCAGTGCTTGGTATCCCAACGACTCTGCAGTTGGTCGAAGACGTTCTTGGCCATGTCTAGCCAGGAAGGTAGGTTGCCTTGTGGCTGAGGAAAGTTGTGTTCGGCAGCAGACAGGACAGCTGAGCCCCAGAAGAACAAGTCATCGTTGCCTTCTTCAAGAGCGTGCTCAGGGGGCATGTAATTGTTCTCGGGGCCCAGATTGACCTTGGCTAGAAGAGCTTGTAGCAAAGCATCGTTGTAGCTGGGATCTTTGGTGTATCTGTAGTAATCAAGCATGACACCCCAAAGACCACCTGCTACCCACCAGTAGTAGGGTTTTTGAACATTGCCGACATCCTAAAAAGTATATTAGCTTCATGAAAATTTCTCAGCGAGCCATTACAATACAATATTACTTACAACTGCGTTGGAAGTTGCGTTGCCATTGTAATAGCTCATGGTGCCATGGGCAATAGTGGCAGCAACGTTTCTAATGGACTTTTGGCTCTCGGGATCAAGGTCTTTGGGAGCCAAGGCGGCTGCCATGCCCAAACTTTGGGCAAGCAAAGTCAATCTCATGTTGGCGGTGATACAGTATTGATATCAAGGCGTAACGAGGAACAAGTGTAATGTGGCTTGGGTGACGGGAGGACAGCTAACAGCGAGGAGTAGGATGGTGCGAGGTGGAATTCGTTTGTTATTGAATGTTCGACCGAGGGGCCAGGCAGAGTGCAGAAGAAATAGAATAAATCGACGAGCAAAGAATGATGAAGAGCAAATCTATGCAGAAGAAAAAGAACCCTTGTTTGGTGTAGTGGGCTTCTATTTGCAGCGTGTTAGTGTTCTAAGCCAGAAGGCACGTTCCTAAGCAAAGGACGAGACAACAGGCGTAACAGCACGGTATATAAACAAAAGAAAGAAAAAAGGAAAAAAGAAACCCAATTCACAGAATATATAGACAAAGAAAAGGGGTAGAAACTCCTAAACCGAAAAAAAAAATGGAGGAGGTGCAGAACACGCAATGGGAGGCGGGTAGAGGCTGGCGGCAATACGAAGTATAATGGGTAGCCAAAGGGAGGAGAAAAGGTTGGTCGATTGGCTGGGAGTGTTCGAGACAAAGCTTTTTATCAATGATTTGTTGCATAGACCGGGGATCCGACCATCTGGTTTTCAGTCGGCTATTTTTATTTTTATTTTTATTTTTATTTTTATTTTTATTTTTCATTATTTTATTATTTTCGTTCTTTTGGAACGCTCGTATTCATTGGCCACCGTCTGTTTCGGAGCCACCTCTGTGCGGGTGGTGGTGCAGAGCGAGCCTTGGCTGGCTGTCCTCCACGCACTAGCGACCTGTGGTCAGGCTTACAGCGGGTCACGGAGGCGCCTGCTAAAGCAAAGGAAGGAGCGCCCCGCCTGGCTGCCGCGTGTTGCAGTGGCCCAGCTGGGAGCGAGCGTGCACGTCAGCGTCCGCCTACATACAGTACAGTAACAGTGGTCTGCTTGCACAGTGTTGGCTGGCAACTGCGCGCAAACTGGGCTCTGCCACCTGTGCCAGCTGCCCCAGCTGCGCAGCCAAGCGGATCGCTCGGACTAGGTGCCATTCCTCTTTGCTTCATCGTTGTCCGTGTATGGTCCGTGTTTGGTCCAAGATCAAACGACATTTGTTTGAATGACGCCTCTATGCATACGCTTGCATTCTGGCAGCTGAATACCCTGTGAGTTATTTTTCTCTTTTCTCTTGCTCGCCTTGCCTCCCTGCCACCAGGCATTTGCTGCTTTGCTGGCTTCCAAGGCTCGCGGCGCACACTGTGGGCTATCACGCATGCATACACCCAAACTCAAAAAAAAGGAACAAAGAGGCGTTAAACTTCAATACCAGCCATTCAAAACCCCTAGCCCTTTACCTCGCTGATAATCTCCTTTTCATAGAGTATTCACCTTCTTTTGTTTCATCGCCACCGGGATGATCCGCTAGAGCCAGAGAGCGCGCGGTTAAGAAGCTTTTTGAAACGAAGCGCCCATAGCCAGTCGATTGTTTGATGAAACACTAGAATCTAGCGAGCCATAGCCAACCAAAGCCCCTGGCGGCTGGCCGCTGAAAATGGGCCGTGTCGTTGAGAACCCTGTCCACCACGGTCCCCACAGCAAACCTATTTTAACGACAGAGGCAAGCGGTTAGGCTGGTGGCTGGTGCTAACTCTCCCAAAGCTTCTCTAGCTTCTCGAGCTTCCATCAGCGGGGTCCGCCTGAACCCATTCGTTGTCTCTGGGGTGGCGTTCAACTCCCCTAGCCCAATATGCAGCACCACCACCACCACCACCACCACGAAGTTGATACGACGGTGGCTACAGTACTGGTTTTCCTCCGAGATACCTAGCACCACTATTGGATATGCGATGCGAATCAGCCTCGATAACTAAGCCATCCTTCCAGCAGAGAGGCCGACGCCTTCGTTCCGGCCTGGTTGATTCCGAGGATCGCATGCATGTCTCAATTTGGCAACCCGCTCCGTAGCGTACAAATCCAAGCCGTGGAGAGCTCGTTTGATCGGACTTAGCAGAGCGAGCTGGCCCATGCCATGCATTGGTCACGTAGGCCTTTGCATTAACCGAATCAATTTCCTTGTTGGTCTGGTCAGGAAACATGAAGCATATAGTCGATGATGTGCGTCTTGCACGCTCAGTATTTTGGCAAGTGTATGATATGCAGCCGAGGCAATGATTCCGCATCACCCCAACCACACGCCTGCCACCTGGCACCAACATGGTTGCCTCCGAGATCTGTAGCTGTTTTTACGCTAATGCAAGACACCTGCAGCTCCAACCGTAGGTGTGGTTCCGTTGATGGCCGCTTTCCACGTATTCCGTACTCTGCAAGCCTTACCTGCTCTAGTGGAGTGGTTGCTCAGTCAATAGTGCGTCTGCATCACCGAAGCAAGCCACCGGTCAAGCTAACAAGAGCCTGACTGATTGCAAGGAGAAGGCTATGACTACGCCAAAATGGAAAGCCTTTCACCGCAGCGAGGCCGAGCTTTTTTGCGAATCCATCGCTCCATTCCCCCGCACTGGGGAGGCTTACAGAACGCCAACTTGCATGCACGGCGGAGCCCACCAAGGTTGGCGCAGATGCCGCTCTAATGTATGAGGGGTTGTTGTGCATGCTTAGACGCCACCAGCTAAACCTCCTCGGCCCAACACGAGAAATATTGAGGGTGTGAAGCTTGTGATGCTGCAATCCGATTCGGGAGTGTTTTCGGCGGCGCCGCATGATGGTTCTCTCACTCCCTCCTCCGGGTGCTCCGCATTGGTTAGGTTCGCGGCTTCTATGTTGGTAGAACTCTGCCACAAAACCTGGCTTGCCAAAAAATACGCCATTTCTACTACAGAAGGGATGAATTAGTCCCTCGATGACCCGTTATTCGATCATCGCGTATCCATTATCAAATAATGATCAAGTAGGACGGCCATTGAACGACGTTGGCCCACCGGACATCAGCTCCGCAGTCGCTAGCCCGCCGTAAACAGCGGGGATCCATGTTGTTGCAAACAAGGAAAGCGGTACTACAGAGCAGACGACGACCAGGCTAGCTTGCTTGGCACCGCTATATTCGTATTAGACGAGCCGGCTTGCTTTGTAAGACTCATTGACTCCAAAATCACGTTATACGTTACTGATCCAACCAAGTTCTCCAAGCTCGATCCAAATCCAACCATACACACAACAGAACGATCCTTCTTTGATGCCGCTGATACCCATTCGTCGATTCATCATACCAACGGCAGGGTCATTGAGCAGGCTCTCAGTCCATCTCTAAAACACTTCCACTCCCTTCTCCCAGCCTTGACCTCATATTCACGGTCGACTTGGCGCACACACAGTCTTCTGATATAATCGTCTTCTATTGGTTATCGTAACAAGTTCAAACAAAACCTACCCATTCCCAAACGCCATGCAAGTGCAAAATATATTACCAAAATATCAACAAAAGCCAACCCATATCCGTCTCTCTGAGCTCCCCACAAAACACAGTGGGTAGTTCCAATTCTATAAATGCAAGGGTATATTCTAGTCCACGACGTCATCATCAAGGCTTTCAGTCCTCATTGGCCACGCAACATGTACTCCAAACTGCCGTGTCTATACCAGGATTCCAATGATTCCCGTTGCAAGAGCAGCAAGCCAGACGGAGGCCGAATCTATCGCAGGTCGGGCGGCAGCACCATCCTTGGACGCTTGGCTGGTTACGTAGTATAACGCGGTGTTTGTGGGTTGTACGCCTGTTGCAGCACCGCCATCGCCGCCAGATTCGTCCGTAGTAGTCGGTACATCTGTGAGAGTAAGGGCACCCCATTGTACGTCCTGGTCGCTAAAAGTCGATGTCCAGCGAATCTCTGTTGGACCTGTCTGTTTTCCCATTGTGTAGCCTGATGTGAGGCTCGTGTAGCCAGAGCAAGTAGCGGCCGTTGTGCCATTAAGATTACATCCAATATTTGCAATGCTGGACAGAAACTATTAGTAAAGGGGACAAGTTTGCAACGCAGGCCGAATGAGGAACGAACAATGTAGACGTATATGTGCCGTGGAATTGCACGGTTTTGGGGCCTTCGGTAAACACAAAGGGGAAGTTTATGGCGAGTTTGCAGACATTTGTAGTCTGCGTCGGACAGAAGATTGTATATGTTGTCAAGTTTGCCTTGGGATCCTGTGCAATTGTGTTAGTTGGGCACAATAAAATGGCCAGAGGTTGTTTGCTGGCCACACGAGCGACTCTTCACTACTTACGCTTGCGACGACACTTCCACGGACAGCTGACCACGAGGACTCATTGTAATACGGTAGATAAACTGGTGCTGTTGTCACAGGCACAACAGGAGACGGTGTGATGAGTGAGCTTGCTGGTGCTGTCGTGACGCTGGCAGCCAGCACTGGCGTTGTGACGGGGACCATGGAGCTCGGCGCCGCCTGAACAGCGGCAGCACATATAGAAACGGCGCCAGTCAGGAGCGCCGTCCAGGCTATTCTCTCCGACATGTTTCGATATGTATAGTTTGTGTGTATCTATAAAAAGGGGGCCGATCGTTCAGGTGATCGTCGCCTCCGGTGGGCGGGCGTCGAGCGTTCGATGGGGGATGGATTGATGCGCCAGACGCCGTGAGGACACAATGCAGTGTAGTGCACAGGACAGACTCGGGGCTTGCTTCGCAAGAAAAATTATAGCGTCGGACACTATATCGGTCGCAGCCTATTCGGTGAGCAGTGCACAGGCGAGAGTTGCGGAAGAATGGAAAGAAGAGGAGGAGGGGCGGCCAACGGGGTTGAAATGAGCGTGCGGCTCGTGGGTGCTCAGTCGCGATACAGCTGGGCAAGTCTTGGAAAAAAAGCTCCTTTGGGGGGCGAACAGGGTCCAAGGAAGGCTTAGGCCCGTCGCCGCTTTTGCAGTGGACCGCTGGGCGGGCCCTGGAAAGACAGCACGCTGGCCCCCGTAGCAAACGCCCCGGGGCCGGCCAGGCCAGAGATGAGGCTAAAGCGGCACGACGCCTGCCGTGCCAGCCCCGAACACGGATGCCGGGGCCGTTTAACGGCGAGCGGTGCGATCCGGGGCAGCGTTGTTCTGGGTCGGCTGTACTTGGCTTGTTTGTTTTGGCACCGTATTTTCCGAATATATAGATATATATATTTCGCTATTCAAGTGTACTCAGAAATACTTCTATACGGCTAATCACTGGGCCTTTTGTCGCCTTTTTCCCACTTCCCAAGCAAACGCCTTGCTGCCAAGACTCGCACAGCAGGGAGACCGGCGCGCTGGCCAATAGCAGGACGGCGCCAAGACTGACACAAGCAGCTCGCCAAGCCTGTTGACTGGATGCCCTGCCGCGTAGCCAGCGGTGCCAATTCTCTTGTGTGTTCTTGGTCTTTTTCCTTTGTATTATCATGTGGTGGTTTGTGTATATTCTGCGTATTCGCTTCTCAGAGGCCTCTCGTTGCTTGAATATGCGTCATCACTCCTGCTGATTTTTTAGTCCTTGTGCTCTTTCCCCAGACCACGCTCATCATGCGTGGAATGTCACAGTGTCGATCTCTAAGCCCGAAGCTGCACTAGCGGATATAATCTGCGCCCTCTGGCGCGTTTATGTCCCTTAAATTATGCCCGCTGAATACTGGCGCTTCGGCAGTTCTGCACCGCTGTCGGCTGATAATCATCGTCCCATTATATAAATTTCGTCTGTTAGAACAGACTCAACTCTGCATTGAGCCGCTCTTTTCCTCTCTGCCATCTTGCCAACTCGTGCATTCGACGCAGCGGAGAGCCTGTAATTTTTTTGCCCTACAGTCAGCCTGTGGTCGAAGAAGCCCGGCATGAGAAAGGGCTTACCCGCATGTTAATCTTCTTGCGACAATATGCGCATTTCTTGGTGTATTTAATAACAGGGTCGGTAGACAGTGCCGTGTATATTTGTGCCAGTAGATACAGCGCCACACCCACCATGAAGAATGACACGAGTTGGTAGGCAAACTGCCCGTAGGCCATGATGATGGCCCCGTCATCCAATGCTTGATGCAGCGTGTTGTATCCTCCGGAGAGCGATGCGTTATAGCTCGGCCCTGCGCGCAATACAGCAAACTTTTCTTCAATATTCTTGTTCAGCGGCAAAACGATCGACAACGGTGGCATAAGAATGGCACTGACAAAGGTTTTGACCAAATCTGTAAATGCGGCCGCGATGCTAAATTGAACAAAGATCCCTGTGCGTGAGCAATTGTGATTCCCCGCAATCGCTCTCTTCTACAGGGACAACCACTTACATGAGCCCAAATGCAATCTGCAAAATATGGCCTTGAAAGGCAAAGTCAATGAAGCCTTCCCAAAATGCATATACCCTTTCTCTCCCCCGACTCAGCAACGAGTCCGTCTCCTGCGACCCAATCTCTTCGTCGTGTGGCATGGCCGTTGCGGATGCTGGGCTGGATCGTGTCCTCGTTTCGTCGTATGTCGGTCTTCTGTTTCCCTTCTAGTAAGGGGTCTCAATAGGAATATATATATTGTATTTATAGATGTAGGTTCTAAAGAATTAAGAAAGAGCCGCGCCAAAGTCGGGGCAGTCAACCATTGACCAACCTAAAACATGACGTCGGTGGGAGTGTTCACGTGTGACACTGACGCCGCCCCCTGCTACAGCCTTTGGATGCAACCAAATTTAGCCATCTCGCGTGACAGGTGTTTTTGCAAGGACTCTATTTATTCATTATCGTTGTTCTATGTATGTTTACTTTTTTTTTGCGTCGTTTTGGAAAGCGTTTGCCAATTCATGTTAAAGACGGCATTGCTGCGTTCAATCGTACATATACATCATTAGCCAATCCCCTCCAAGCTATACTCCGTTATCGGTCTGTATCTGTCTTGGATCCGTAAACTACACTGTTACCTGCTTTGGTCGCTGCCATCTCTGGCGGCGCTTAAGAATTGTTGCGTGGCTTAGCCAGTAGCTAGACGCAAGAATCATGCATCCCGATGCAACCCAAGTAATGATGAGGAACTTTGTTCCCTTTTCAGCAACAATGCCAGCTCGATGTCCGATAGCATTCAGTTCGTCCACTCCTTTGATGGTGGCAATAGTAATCACAATACTACCAGCAGTGGTTGCAATAGCTGCCACGATGGCAAGGGCTAGATTAAGAAGTACCAGACCGCGACTCTCCGGAGACGTCAACGTGAAGAGGCTGCAGAGGAAGGTCAAGGCACACACTCCGAAGCCAATAGCATAAAGTGAAAACAGTGCTAGCAGTGCGTCATTGAGAATGTCGAGCTTTTCTTGTATGGAGTCAGGCCAATCTAGATCGGCTAGGTTGATGTGCAATGGACCTGCCTTGATTTGATGATCCAACATTTGGGTGAGATTGAAGCGGTCTATCCATCTTGTTAGCAGACATTCGTTCAACAAAACACCATCATCGAGCAAAACATACATTTTGGTGATGGGTCTGTGCAATTAGTAACATTGAGACTGGCTCCAATGTCAGTCGCCTTTGGTGAGTACTGTCCATGACAAGAATTCATGACATGTAGCGAATACCAGTCAGCAACACCGATCTTATCGGCAATGTCATCAGCAATATTGGCAGTGATCTGGTTGACCTTATCTCTAGTATCGTCCTTGAGATCTTGCCATTTGCCTCGTAGAATATCAAAAACGTCCCCCTTTCCCTTGTCTTTGTCCTTGTCCTTGTCTTGCGCACCCTTGGCGAAGACATCATGCCCTATCATGGACGTGTTGAGCTATTGAGAATTAGTATTCTGGCTATTTCCCTTTTTATCTCACCTCCACTAATACGTACCCTGGCAATAGCATAGTCTTCTAGAAACCCTTGCTGCCTTCCGGAGAAGAGGGCGAGACCTGTGAGGATCACGGCAGCGATGGACAGGAAGACCGGCAAAAGGATGGAGAATTTCGAAAAGGCTGGCATGATGGCGATTCTATCCGTTTAGTTGGCTTAAATATAGATATGGTTTTAACGATTGGCCAAATGCGGTGACCTTGGAGAAAAGGATGCTGGTTAAAAAATAATTGGTAGAAAGGGGTATCACGACAAGCGCGAGGCGTCGACCAGGAACCCGTAGTCAGCCGAGACGAAGATGCGATGTCTATTTTGGTATTTTCGAATGAATAATTGTATTGGTAAAGCAAATTGAAGATGAAAAATCAACACCACAGCGCAGTGGCAGGTAGCTGGCAATCTTGATTCAAAAACGGAAGGAGGCACCTGGTGCTCTTTGTACTGGGACGCCAGGTGGCCAGCTGGCAAGGGTTCGCCGCGTAGCGATGGAGACGGACAAAGGAAAACGATTGGCGGACACAATGGTACTCTAGCAATATAAAGGCGAAAACGTGGACGAACAACGGCGAGGCGACTAGTAAAAAAACAAGGAAGTTTGGTAGCGCCAGTCTAATTTGGTTGGTGATAAGCAGGGGTGTTTGTAGATGTACTTTGTAGTGCGAGAGGGTTGAATTGGGCGGCAAAAAGCCTTGGCTTGGGCGCCGTTTCGTGTGCATCTGTGGCATTCACGGGTGATTTCTAATAGGCCAAAAATTAGACAGCTAAAACAAGGAAATCAAAGCCCAAGAAATTCATTTATTCGTTGTTACGGCGCCTGGCGTTGGAGGTGCAGAGGTGGTCGGTCTACGAGAGCCAATCATTTTACATGGCTGTGTGCGGGCTGGCGCTTCTGTAGCAGAAGGGAAAACAGGCTTTAGCGCATCGACGACTACCGAGAAGGCGGTTGTCTCGTGCTCCACAGTGGCACAGTGGGAGAGCTAGGTCGACGAATGTGTACAGTGGAGTAGCAAGAAAATGCGTATATATGTTCTTATATTTCAGTATATATAATGGAGAGGCTCAGTTTGGTTAATGATGTGACTGGGGAATTAATCAACTCGTACGTCGAAAAATAGATCGTCTTGACTGTATCAGTCTGAACCTGCTAGTACTTCGATATGTCCACGCTGGATTATCATCGCCGCGTACATAAGCGACGTGACAAAATCTCAACAATAAATTTACGGCAAGCTTATTGACCGAGACTAATTTTACTCTTTGAATACATTTTATAGCAAATAAAATACCTAAATTAGGACTATCAAGACATCGAGGAGTGGCACTGCCTTGTACCGGGTAGCTGATGCCCTCATGTACGCCGTTGCACACCCGTAATAGATCTGAAGATTAAACACACGCTGTTTATAAATCTCCCAGTACTTCTATACAATAAAAATAATAATCACTCCGAACTCCCATGTCTTCTGTTTGCTCTTTGCGCCTCTTATCGCTATTTGCGGTAATGTGTGTGCTCCCGGCGCAACGGTCATGCTGCCGCACATCATCTGACCAGTGTCGTCATTTGCATATCTTGTCTGTATATGTCAGTCCTCTTTTCAGCGGCATTTTACTTGTGATTTAATCCCATTTTCCTCAGAATCCCATCCCGCTCTTACTGCCCGTCCTTTCTCTATTTTTATTATTCTTTTGTTTTTTCAGCTTCACCACCTTTTAATCCCTCTGCAAATCTCCCTCGGCTTACGCTAATCTTCCTGCACCCGTCTCCCTCGCCCGTTTTGCCAAAACAAGAAACGCGTCCCCTGTAATTTACCGGTCACCCATCTTGCTTTAGGGCATCGCGCCGCGCGCTGTAGCCTCCTTCCCAGTGCTGCAGGACCTTTCTGAGAGCACTGTATTTTCTGCTTTGCACTTGATTTATTGTCCTTCCAGAACCAGAAAAAAACACCACACCTGGCATCTGCAATATCGCGTCTTTTTTTTGTCGACTCCCGCAGCTCTTGTTATGGTAGCATCATTTTACAGCCTCGCAACTCCGACTGCCAGCTAGCCTCGATTTCAATTTACCCCTCCCGTTTCTAGCGTATTAGCTCTCCAAAACGCAACAGCACGTACCAACACCAGCACAGCGCCGCCCACCGAAACCACCCCTCCTCGTCCCGCCACCGCCAAAGTATCCCTGCTCAGCTGCTGTTACTGCTTTGCTTTCCTTTTTTCTCTTCGCTTTCCCTCCCAACTCCTCAGACATTCATACTGTTTTGCTCGTCCTTTCAGCGTCCCTCCATTCGTGGGCGGCGCCTCAGTTTCTCACAGCGTCATAAGACATCATTAATCCTGTCAACCGAGCAATCACCATTAACATGTCGGCGCTCGAGGCAAAGATTGTCGTCCTCGGCGCCCAGAATGTCGGCAAAACGTCCCTCGTCATGCGCTATTGCAAGGGTTCCTTCAAGCCCTCCCAGATAGCCTCTACCGTTGGCGCCAGCTTCCTTACAAAGCGCGTTGTTGATACAGACACCGACACTGTCGTACGCTTACAGATTTGGGATACAGGTAAGCATCCCCCAGATACCTTTGCTATACGCGTTTTTGTTCTCATAGCATCTTGCTCACGAACCTTCTCCCACCTACAGCCGGCCAGGAGCGCTTCCGCTCTATTTCACGCCTATACTACAGGGGTGCCAACGCCTGCATTCTCTGCTATGACATCACAGACGCCCAATCTTTCATCGATATGGGAGTCTGGCTGACCGAGCTCCGCCAAAATCTCCCCCAGGATGTTGTTCTTCATGTTGTTGGCACCAAGGCAGATATCGTCGCTCGTGATCCCGGTGCTCGACAGGTCCCCTTTGAGCGTTGCATAGCCTACGTCGCCGAGAACCTGGCCCCTGGCGTCGGAAGTACACCTCCCCCAACCGCCACTCACACCCCCCTTGGCCTAACGTCGAATGCCTCGTCCACCTTTGCAGGTATTGATCAGCCGCGCAGCCCTAGCTCCAAGCGAAGCTCTGGCTTCTGGGGCCAGGAGGTGGGCTGGGATGCGTGTCACGAGATTAGCGCAGAGAGTGGCGAGGGTGTTGAGGAAGTCTTTCGGGTCGTTGCCAGGAAGCTGGTCGAGCAGAATCGCAAGATGCAACAGGCACTTCTTCTGGCCACGGCTGTCCCAGGAACGCCAGGATACGAGGCCGGTATGGATGGCGGATATTTTGATGGCGCAAACAACAAGGGAAGCTTCAGAGTAGGCAGAGACCGAAGGAGCTGGCTCTTCTCGCCTGCCTTCTCACCAGCCATCACGATTGAAAGAGCTGGTACCCAAGAGATGGACCAGCCACGAGAACAGCAGCCAAAGCAAACTCGCGGAAAATGTTGCTAAGTCGACATTTAGTCCCGAGCACCTATACCATGCCTTCTTTCACAGCAACCTCGCAACAAACACCCGTTTAGAATCACCTGTGTTGGATATACCCCTTTTTCTCGATTCCACGTTGGCATATCACTGCATTCATGCTTGGGCCATAACCCAGACTACAATGACGCCTTGCTATGCCCTATATACGGCTTCTTATCGCTTTCAAACAAGTAGAGCCGCTCACGTTTAAACTCTTTGACATTTGCTTTTCCTTCTCGGCTCTCGATACCGTCTATTTACGCACACCGCCATCATCATCATATCATCTAAATCTGGCGTTGGGGTTACAGCCTTGGTTTTCGTTTTCTTTTTTTGGCATTTATACGGCATGTACGGAGCATCTTGGTTCACTTTCAACTACACGTTTTGGTCTTTTCTTGTAACTAATTTAATATCAACTGGAAGCTTCTTTATCCAAAGGTCCTATTTCATAGTATTTATTGTCCACCTGCTGCTTTCTTGGAAGCTACGTCGTCATCAACAGACGGCGGCGCCGGAATGTCCACGTTTATAACACGGTGTTCCATTCCCACGTATGCATCGCTCAGAACAATAATGTCTACATTTCGTGCTATGCCAGCTTCCGGCTGAGGAAGCTTAATCGTGGCCCTAGCCATAGGCTTTGCGTCGACCTTTCTCTTGCCTGTAGCTGTTGGCGAGCCCCATGCGAGGCGCTTCACTGCAATAACTTCGTCCTTGGCAACGTCAGCGACAACGATGAACCAGCCCTCAGATTGCGGCTTAGGTAGCTTCGGGGCGTAGATTCGAGCCTCTCGATCAACTAAAGCGTTGTGACGTTTGATATGCACTGCAAGTGACAGTGCTGTCTTGTCTCCAATCGAAACACTAATGTTAGGGAGCATAGAGGCGGCACGCGAGAAACGGGTGAATACACCCTTGGGCACATTCAGACGATTGGCAAGCTTCGAGAGCTCCTGGGGCTCCATAGCGCTGACCTTGGATAGTGGTGTCACGTCCTTGCAAGTTTCGGGTTCTATTCCGGGAAGGATAGACACGGGAGCGTCCGTGGGCCATCGGGCACTCTTGATAGATTGAAGGAGTCGAATCATTTGCAAGCAGCTGGAGAGGAAGCCCATCTCAGTCAAGACGTCAATAGATGCCTGAATAATACGGATGGCCTGGTCCAAGACGCTCGTTTGATCGCCAACATAATCGGTGATAGGCAGGTCAATGCGAGACATGTGAGCTTGTAGAAGCAGGAAGGCCTTGACGTGTGGGCTCCACATAGGCAGTCCAAATGTATGGCCCGGGAATGGCAGGTTTTGAGATAGAGTTTCATTCACAAGATCCTCGTTGTGACGGACAGGAAGCTCGTCGTACTCGGAAGCGCGAGACATCCAAGAGAGAACATCCACAAACTCGGCGCCCGCTTTGGCGTGCTTACTCAGATGGCGAATTGTCATGTGAGACAAGTAGTAGTAACTCATAATCTTTCCAAGAGGCGTAGGATCGACATCGCCATTAGGGAAGACTTCGACACAGCTAGATTCGGCGAGCTCGTCCAAGGACTTATTTACCAGCTCAATCATGTATTCGTTAGCCACCTGCTGAGCAACTATGCTGCTGTTTTCTTCAGCAGAAATCTCTAAGCCATAGTAAGATGGGTTCTTGTGTAGACGTCTGAAGAAGAACGTCCATGTCAAGTAGTCCAGTGCGTCTTGCTTGGTGAGGACTGTCTCGGCCGAGACTTCAGCACACAAATGGTTGTCCAAGACTGTGTGCAACGATGATTCGACAGGGAAGCCAGTGTGCAGGAAATGTTTGTAAAAGTCCTTCTTGGAGTCTTGCGTAAAGATGCGAGCGACACCAGAATTGTCAAACTGCGGGCGACCAGCACGACCCAACATCTGAAGGACATCAGTCAAGTCCATGTCCTTGTAACCCTCCATTTTGGCATCGTAGAACTGAGTTCCCTTGACAACTACCAAATGGGCTGGCAAGTTGACACCCCAAGCAAGTGTACTGGTTGCAACAAGGATTTGAATCTTATTGTTCAAAAACAGCTCTTCGGCGAGCTGGCGATCCGATTCAACCAAACCGGCGTGATGGAGGCCGATACCAAAGTTGATTGCCTCCTTGAGAGCATCGTCCTTTACTCTGGCAAGGTTCAGCTGCAAATCCTCTTCATCCATGCGGAGGAATCTTCTTGGGTTGTCTTCCATGCCGCAAAAGTTGATTAGATCCTTGGCAGTGAGGCGGGTTTGTCGACGAGATGCCACAAAGACAATGACTGGTTTGTCAGGACTGTGATTCTTGATGGCAAGGAATGTTGGGCGGTTCATGGACTGCATCAGCGGACAGAAACCTCTTATTTCAGGAAACCCGTCAATGTACAACTCCAAAGGAACAGGTCTGACCGAATGTCTAAAGTTGAACAATCCTTCTTTGACACCCAGCCAGCTCGCAAGATCTGTAGCATTGGCACAGGCGGTTGACATACCTAACAGGCGAACCGCGTTCTTCGTCGACTCAGCAATGTAGTTCATACGAGAGACAATGATCTCGAGAATTGGACCTCTGTCACCAGCGAGCAGATGAATCTCATCAATGATGACCAGGCTGACTTGTCGGACATATCCTCTGGTCTGCCACGAACGAGAGATACCATCCCACTTTTCAGGAGTCGTGATAATGATGTCCGCATCCTTGATGGTCTTAGTATCAGGAGTGTTGTCACCAGTTAACTCAACAAGCTTCAGACCAAGCGGCTTGGCCAGTCTCACGCCCCAATCCTTTACTCGCTCTCGGACGAGGGCCTTCATCGGGGCAATATAAACAACCTTGGACTTTGGCCGCTCTCGGAATGCCCACCACATTGCCAGCTCAGCAGCAACGGTTTTACCACTTCCGGTTGGCGATCCCAGGAGGACGTTTGCAGCTGTATTGTAAAGGGTGTGAAAGATTTGTGTTTGCATAGGATTGAAGAACTGGAATCGCTGCGCGTAGAGTTCCTCTAGGCCAGGGTTCTTGAGCGCGGAGATGGGTAAAGGTTGCAAATTCAGCAGATCGGTGTATACACTCTCTGTATCGGGCCGGATCAAGTGTTGGAATGACACGGGCGTCACAGTCTCAGCACCCAACCACCTATCGGACACTGCTCGGACGTAAATTTGTGTGGGAAGCGGGTCGGAAAGCGGAATAGTAAAGTTCAGTTCATGATCGTCATGGAGCTTTCTCCTACTGATAATGAAGAACTCGTGGTGATAGATCTCTGACGTCTCTGAGTTTTCGACCCAGATGTAGAATGATTCTGAGGTGCCGTGAACATGATCCTTCCAAGAAAAGTCAGGAATCACATAAAGCTTGATGCGCAACACATCACGATTCAATGGTGCAATCTCTGCTTCTACATGCACTGTGGGAAACGAGTTCAAGATCTTGGTGATGGTCTTGCCCGCGCCATGGTTGTGCACCAAAGCACCAATCTCAGCCGGCTCCATCTCTTTCATAGCCTCAATTGTCAAATTCTCCTTGGAGTCAAGTTGATTCAAGAGTGGCTTGGCAAGGTCAAATTGGTGCAAGGGATGCTGAAATGGCCAAATGCGTTTTTCAATAGACTTGGAAAGAGTCAGCAGAACGAGGCATTGGTGACCCCAGCGGCGGTTGAGAGCTAGCATAAAGAGGGCGCGGCAAATTCTGCCTGATTGTTGAGCGACATAGTTCATGTCGTTGGTCAGCGCGAAGTCTTCTGGCTGTGTTCTAGAAATGTACGACTGGAGCAAGATGTTCGTTTTGGCTTGTGGTGTGTCAATGCCTCCATCGACATCGCAAGGAATAACTTCGTTCTTGAGATGTGTAAGTTCCTTGGCCTCCGTGTCTCGCGATTGCACATTATCGAATTCGCCACTCATGCTAATCATCTTGAGAATATCGGCCTCTGTTGCATGAGGACGCATCATCTGGTTAAAGACTTGAATGCTGGTATGCAAGATGTAATATTGGCTTGCAATACGTCCAATATCTTTGCTTCGCAGTTCTTCCGTAGTTTCGTTGTAAACAATCATCTGACATTGCTGGAGGGTCTTGGCTGCCTGGATTGCGAGTTGTCTTCGGCGCTGCACCAGAGTTGGATCGTCGCGAATTTCAGACCACTCGATGCCGTACGTGATTGGACTCCTTTGCATACGCACGAAAAGATAAGAATAACCAATCCATTGAACCGCATCGGGAATAGAGGTGACAGTGCCAAGTGAGATCTCGGCGTTGAGATTATCAACCAACTTGGTCGAAAACTTGGACTCAATTGGTTGCTGTTCAGTAATCGCTGTCAGATAATGCTGAAGTTTATCTTGGGTAGTGCAAATCATGCCGATACCAGTGTCTTCGAACTGCGGTCTACCAGCACGACCAAAGATCTGCAAGACATCAAGAATGCCCAGATCAACAAATTTACCGTCTTGGGCACTATAAACCTGTGTGCCTTTGATGACAACTGCTGCGGCGGGCAAGTTCACACCCCATGCAAGCGTCGCAGTACAGCAGAGAACTTTCAGGACACCATCGGCAAAGAGGCGTTCCATTAGGTTTCTGTCAGATCTTGCCATACCGGCATGATGAACACCGATACCTTTAGACAGAAGATCTCTGATTTCTTTGGATCTCGACTGTTTGATATCCCGTTGGGCCTGCTCAAACTTGGGGTGCATAGTTGGGTCGAATAAGTCGAGGGCGAATTGCTCCGTTGCCTTTTTGTGAAGCATTGTCGCGGTTACCATCGTATCCCTGCGGGAGTGGACAAAGACCATAACCTGGTGATCACGCTCCAACATTTCCTTTGTTTTTTCAAAAGCAACTGTATCCAGATTCTCCTTTGATTGTTTGCTTCCCGCTTTGCCTTTAACACCGATGAAGTGCTGCTCCAGTGGTACTGGACGAAATGAGGCATCAAAGTAAAATAGACCAGCATACTTGTTGACCTTGAGAAAGTCTGCTACGTCAACATAGTTTGGTAGCGTGGCTGAAAGACCAACAATTCGAATGAGAGACTGGGTGCTCTCTACTTGGCGCTCGGTACGTGCTACCAGTGATTCAAGCACAGCACCACGCTCGTCATGGAGCATATGGACTTCGTCAATGATGAGAAGACGAACTTTTTGAACCAACTCAGTGTCGCCAGTTCCTTTTCTTGTGACAACATCCCATTTTTCCGGCGTCGTAACAATGATTTGTGTCTGAACAATTTCGGATTTGGTGAGTTGCATATCACCAGTATACTCACGACACTTAATTCCAAGCCAGGCGAGGCGTTTTCCAAGCTTTTCAGTGACTTCAGCTGCCAATGCCTTCATCGGGGCGACATATACAATCTTGAAATCATCTGCATTTACCGAAAATTCAGTCGCGAGAAGCTCTTCCATCGGGTTCGGAAAGACATGCTGTCCAATAGTATGAAGAATAGTAAGCATGGCTGCATCAGTTTTACCCTACTCAAATTAGCGATAGATCATAACCAAATCGAAAGAAAACGTACAGCACCAGTTGGTGCACAGATCAACATGTTCTCATTTGTCTTGTAGCCAACTGGGTAGACCAGACTCTGCATGCGGTTGAGCGTCTTGTAGCCTTTGAAGGTGTTTCTGCAGAGTCCATCCAATTCTGAAATCTTAACAAGCCTCTCCCCTGGACCAGGCACTCCTTTCTTTCCAGCCGGCACAGAGTATTCTTCGTACTTTTCGAATTGTTTGCGTTCACTACCAACAGGAAGGCCGTACTTCTTGCCAGAAGAACTCAGAGTGTTGCCGGCATTATACGCTCGATAAACATGAGGGTACTGAGCTTCCCGCTTAATGCTAGGAGCAAGAGTGGCGTTCTTATGTTGGTAGTCTCTCTGACGTAGCTGCTCCTCTCGCTCTGCCTTTGACAAGAGTCGACCAGAAGGTTCCTGATCCTGTGGCTGGCTAGCCGCTGCAAGGATTTGGTCCTTGTAGCTCAGTAAATCGATAATAAAGTCGAGATCATCGTATCCTACGAGATCTGTCAACTGTGTCTGGAGCTCATCCTCAGACCTACCAGACCCGAGGACGCTGGTGATTTGAGCTTCAAAGACATCTGGTGTCATGCCATTCTTGCTAGCAATGTCAAAACTCTTTTGCCGTAGCCAAGCAGCCCCATATGGGCTTGTGTCTTGATCATGCATTGGCTCTTCGACAGAATCACTGCCAAACGTGTCTACGTCTTCGTCAGAGATGAAATCCCAGACGTCCTGGCCGCTGGTGCCAGAAGAGTATCCTTCAAAGTCGGCATCATCAAAGTCGAGATCATCCACGGAATTTAACTGTGTATCAAGCTTCAATGAGCTCAATGCATCCTGCATTGCAGCAAACTGTTCTCGCCATTGTGCCTCAGCAGCAAGCAGCTTCTCAGACGCCATGTTGCAGTGCTCGTTGTGTTTCACTCTTAGAAAAGACTGTGTATCCGACTTTAGGCTATCTTGTAGTATTTTTCAAGTATTGAATGCAAAGGCTAAAATATTAAAGGAAGATGAATTCATATACGTTGGTGTATATATGCTGTCGTCGTGCCACTTGTGTGAGAAAAGAGTCACTCCTTGGAGCAGCCTCGTGTTGAAGAGTCACGCCGCCCCGCACACTAAAGCGGTGACCTGGACTGCTGCAAGGCACAATCGGATTCTCGCGTAAGGATCAATTTAATCCGGCAAATACGTTTATAAATTCATATAATTTACCGAAATAAAATTTTAAAGCTTGTGATACGATTGATTCAGAATAGAAGGACTACTTAAGAAATGGCAGCTAACATATTCCAAGAATAGCAAGTTTCAGAGACCAAACACAACACAGGACAAATCCTCCGCATCCTCCGCACTTGTATCTGTATCCGACTTATTTAACTTTGGACAAAGCGTGGTCCACCAGCATCTCTCGAGCTTCGGCGGCCATTGCTCGAACACTGCGTAGCGTCGCTACGGCTTGCCTACAAGATGCATTGTTCCATAGTGACACCGAGTCCATCCTAAATGTGTGAATGGTATCGGTTATCGTGCCTCCGTCTGGATCTGCAGCCAGCTGGTAGTGTAGGAAGATGTCCAAATGGTAATCTTCTACACCGAACACAGCAGAGAACACGTAGGCGTTCCCACCGTAGACCGGCTTCTCTTTGCCATAGTTCTTAAGAAACTCCATGGCACGAACCCCATATGTGCCGACATACTGCGCCTTGATGTGCGAGAAAATTTTGCTCACGGGTTGAGGAGGCGCTATCTCCAGAAAGAAGTTGGGCGCTGCCGGCTGCTTGCCATCCAGGCTAGGCATCAGAACTTTGTCGGCGCCGGGTTGCTTCAGCAGGGCCTGCAACGTCGACGGTTCACTGCCATCGTACAGAGCTGGCCTTGGTGTCAGTGGACAGCATTCGGTGATGGGGGAGAGCCCGTCAAAAAGGACGTTTCGGCCGCTTAGTATGTTTTCATCTCCAACTAGGGCTTGGATCACGCCGCTGTAGTCTTGTGCCTCGTCCTCGAGAGCTTCCTCACAAGCTTTGTGCAATTGTGCGGGTAGTTCAGCAGGGAGAGCTCCCTTTAAATTGGTAATCCGGCCTGCCAACTCTTGGGACAACCTAGCTTGGTTTACATGATGGAAGTCTTGGCCTTCATCAAAGACGATTGCGTTCAATTTCATGTATTTGAACACATCCTGGGCGTAGAACTGATGCGACCACACCAGCTTTGCTTCTTCGTCATCATAGAGCGGCTGCGGAGGAACAGAATCGTAACTCAGCTATTGCCTAGTTAGCATTCACTGTGTTCAGAGTTCCTCAAAATTACTTACACCAAGACAATGGGACATATCAGGTCCACCATGTCGTACATATCTGGCGAGGTCCATGGGAATCATCGGCTTGTCGTAGAAAGGTGTCCTGTCGATTGTGAGATCCTTGCGTCGGCCCATTACCCTCAAGAAGTTGGCAGTGATGGGCAGCGTTGGAAATTCCTCAAAATACCTTATCCACACGTCGTCATATCCGTCATCCACAACACCCGTAACACGTCTTGGAGGCATGATTTTGATAGAGTAATGGTATTGAGAGTAGTTTTCCTTGTGGCAAGAGAGCAGAGGGCATGAAGTGATGCAGCCGTTGTTGCTTTTACCCTCTCGTCGCTGCGGCGAGGGTCCTGTTCTTTTAATAGCCCATTAAAAGCAAACGTTGAACCAGTTTGCATTCACTCTTAGAGTCATTGCGGGCGTTATGGTGTGCGTCGCGGGCTGCTTTGTTGCGCCCGCTCTTAGAGAAGCTGGACAAAGAACAGCGGGCACCGACTAAAGCAAGAAATCATGATGTCCGATTATTGGGAAAGTCAAATAAATATCGTCCCTTATTCCAGATATCTGGTGCAGAGTGGCAAGTCTTCGCAATCTCATCTTCCAACCGCTATATTGTAAAGAAATCATTGAAATCATTAAATGATGCCGCGCCACAAGCGAAACCACGTAGACATGACCGATGTAAGTATTGCAGCCCCCCGCCCCCCTCATAACATTACTGACACACCACATCTAAATAGGTCATTGTGGGCGACCAGTATCATATTCTCTGTCATATCGGTAAGGGGGGCTTTGGAGCGGTCTACACAGGTTTGTCTTCCCAACACTCTCGATGCAAACGTCCAGAGCTGACCATGACATCCCGATTCCACAGGCGTCAACCTTCTTACAGATGAACTCGTTGCTGTCAAGTTCAATACGAGTTGTGACGAACTTAGAACGTTCGCAGTCGAGGAGAGACATATGAAAACGTTAGCCAAGGTGACTGGAATACCCAAATGTCATTGGTTCGGATGGCATGAAGACGCGCAGATATTGGTAATGGACCTTTTGGGTCCTAGTATGAAGGACTACCTACGTTTGTGTGGTGGAAGATTCACTGTCAAGACATGCTACCTTATAGCAGGCCAGCTTATTCGCCGCCTTCGAGATATCCACAAGCGAGGTATCATCCACTTTGATCTACAACCTGGTAATATTTGCACCGGAAACGCACTCGGCTCTCATGTTCTTTGCTTACTTGACTTTGGCCTCGCCAAAACGATCTCGCTCGACGACGGACTCGGTCACGACACAGAGAACTTCAACCGTCCCACGGCATCATTTGGCAGCCGCAACCTTGCGCTGGGTTACCGTGAGTATTAAGAGCCGACGCCTACTGTTTGGAATTAGGGCTAACGAACTGATTTACAGCTCCGGGCCGGGTTGACGATTTGCAGAGTCTGGCATATATGCTTGTCTTTTTCGCAAATGGCTCTCTGCCCTGGTCAGGCATGAAGAATTATGAAGCCGCGCTTCAGAGCAAGTTGAGGTATACGGTGGATGAGATTTGCAGCACGTTACCCCGTGCTTTTGGTGATTTCATGCAGTATACATGGGATCTTGAGCCAAATGCAACACCCAACTATACGAAGCTGTTGAAGCTGTTCGAGATCAACATCGCTGAGCCAGGCTGGGACTATGTTCTAGACTGGACCGAAATCTCGTTCCGCAACTACCAAATGACCCTAGCGCTACAGCTACAGAACGAGACCGACCGCTCCAAGTCCGAGGGTTAAACCAGGGTGCTTTGTCGTTGATTGCCTTTTGCGGAAATCTGTTTGATTTTGTTGCGTCTTTGCTTCTTAGTCTTTCAAATGCTAGTATTCAATAGAAAGTCGACGTTCTTTCGGAAGCAGTGTTGTTCGTTTCAGGACTGGTAAACGCCCCAATCGAACAAAGGGGGGGAGAATGAAAGGGCTTTGCGCATCTGCCTTGCAACGAAATGCATTGTCAGACATTGGCAACGCTGGTTGACGTTGACAAAAGACAAAAGGCTTTGTTGAAGCCTAGAGCGCTGTGTGTTGCGGGCGCCGGCCCTTGTGTTTGCGTGGGGCATGTGACGCGGAACAAAGTCGTCACCGTCACCGACTTCCCTGCTCCCCGCTGCTTTTAGCATCCAAGCTTCTCTTCCACGACCAAACATTTCCGTGCCATCGCCGCCTGCAGCGAAGAACAACAAACACAACGTCTGCTTTATTCTTGTCGCAAGCCATCAGCCCGCACCAAAACAAAAACAGCCACTATGAAGCTCCACTACATTGGTGTACGTGCCTGGAGGACAGCGCCCCCTCGCCAGATCGCTCCCCGCCCAGAGATCCCCCCGCGATTCGTCTTTTTACTGACTTGAGGACGCCATAGATTGTCCGCAACGAGGGCAAGCCTGCCCATGAGATTGCTGCCGAAAAGGAACTCAGCGCCTACTCTCGCTTCACAAGAAACAAGTCCGTTCCCTTTGTGCACAGCGCCCGCTGGTGCCGCGCCTCTACACATTCTCTTATTTGCTAACGTGCGGCGCAGCTATGGCGAATTCATGACGCTGTTTGCAAAGACAGTTGCCGAGCGCACCCGACCCGGCCAGAGACAGGACGTTGAGGAGCAAGGTAGGCTATGCGTTTCCTCGACTGAGTACCCCCGACAGAGGCTGACAAGTTGGGCTTCAATTTAGACTACACCTTCCATGCCTACGGCCGAACAGAGGGCGTCTGCGGTATCATCATCTCCGATCACCAGTACCCTGCCCTCGTGGCTCATCAGCTTCTCAGCAAGGTGGTAGATGAGTTTCTCGCCAAGAACCCGCGCTCATCTTGGGCCACTGGAGAGCCTCAGTTGCCCATGCCCGAGCTCAAGGAATACCTGACCAAGTACCAAGATCCTCAACAAGCCGACAGCATCATGAAGATCCAAAAGGAGCTCGACGAGACCAAGATTGTCCTACACAAGACTATTGAAAGCGTTTTGCAACGTGGAGAGAAGATTGACGACTTGGTTGCCAAGAGCGATGGACTTAGCGCTCAAAGTAAAATGTTCTACCGTAAGTATTCCGGTTCTTCCCTCATTACATATTGGATACGTGGAATTCTTGGGGTGAGTTCCTTTGCTAACACATTACAAAATAGAGCAAGCAAAGAAGCAGAACTCCTGCTGTATTCTTATGTAATCGGCCTGGCACGCCTTTTTAATGGTTATATCCCAGGATGGCTTGGGATGACCACCTTGCCGTTTCACAATAATCCCAAACGTACCAGTTTTCTACACACTCCAGCGCTAACCCCGGTTCATGCATGGGGCTGAAAGCGCCTCGGCCTCGGCATGATGGTGCACTGCATACCGCCAATCAGACCACTCTATACCAAGGACCTTGCACATTCACTGCATCAACTCCTCGTTTGAACTTCGACAAAATGCGCTTCCCCCCCCCCCCCCTTTTCTTGGATCAAATATCCCCCGTTACGTTGATAAACTTCATGCTGGGTAAACATGCCTAGCTCTTACGGCGCTCATTCTTCCTAAGTAGTTAATATCATTTGAAAAGGATAAAGCAGCAGCAAGCTACTAAATAATTCCGTCTATTGCTAAAACAAATCTTAATGTGCGATGAATGTATAGTTCTCATGCTATAAAAAGGCTTCTCATAAAATCGTAACGCATAAACTCGATATGCTGGGGGCAATCGATATCAGGCTCAAATCATCATGGCAAATCCAAATTTTGGCTATGAAACATAGTTTACCATGCTATATGTCTTGTCGTCTCATGTAAATAATGACTCCAGGTCACACGCGCTCTATAATTGCCCTTTCGCCGTGGGGCAACATATCTGGGCTGCCACAAGACTCTGCAGATGGACGTACCACCGTAGGAGTAGAGGTGTTGTTCTCCGCTACCAGTGTGCTTGTTCCCAAAGCTATCCGTGCTGCCGCGTCTCGTTGGTTCGGACTCCGCGGGCCTCGTCTTGACGTAGAACCAAGCAGCGGCCCCAGCATGGTGCGCTGTTGTCTCGATATGCTCACTTGCCTAGCAATGGCAACTTCGTATATACTTTCCTGCTCTTCAACTTTCGGCTTCACCACCGGCTTGGTCAAGTCCGGATAGTCTTGACGCAAAGAAGCTGACCGCGCTTGTCTAACCTCAGTATCAGATGCTCCTGTGAGAGCAGAATGATGAGAATTTGTAGAGCTCTCGAGTATTTGCACAGCGTCTCCTTCGGAATGCTCACTCGACGGCTTGGGCTGATCGAGAGACTTTTCTATAGTGGGCAATGTATGACTCCATATGCTGTCTGGAGATCGAGTTGGTCGATGAAATTTGGAGACGAGTGGCTGACGTTGTTCCCCGTTGACGCTAGACAAGCGCCCATCGGCAGAATTGGCTGATGTGCCAGATGTAGGTCTCTGCGATGTCCTCGGCGGTTCATGTGTGTATTCGGAGGACTCATTTGACATAACGTCAGAGCCTGTGTTTGCTCTACTCCTCGAATACATGGGCTGAACTCTTTGAGATTGCTGCTGCTGTTGTTGTGGAACCCGTTCAATGTTCATCTTCTCTCCCTCACCCTCTTCGATCGTATTTAACGCAGATGAGCTGAGCGTCAAATGACTAGATGTCACCGGTTCTTTTTGAGCCCTGTTAAGAACTTCACTAAACATGACACTGTAACGCTCCATCCTCATCGTTGGTATCGTGATATTGAGGACCGGGGTGTCTGGCAGGGGTTTGAACAACTCGAGAGACGACATAGAATTCCGCTCTCTTGTATGTAGGTCTCTGTAATCGTGTCGTGATGATGGGGATAGAGGAGGGCCGCTGTGCCTTTCGTATGGATTGCCAGTTGCAGCGAGGTCTTCCTGGTGTCGACCGAACACTGGTTTAGCCCGCGATCGCATGCTGGCTGCCCGGCCAAGTTGCGAGGTCACCTTTTCGTGAAAAGGCAAATCGGAAGACGGGTTTGTTACGGCTCTCCCTCTGCTAGATGTGGAATCACTAGCAAGACGCTTGGAGATTGATCTTGTCAGAAATCCCCATTTCTTGGACTTTTGCTTCGTCCCTTGCCCTGATTCATCCACTGGAGCAGCTGTGATTGATGTTGTGATCTCGGCTTGTAAGGCGCCTGCTGGGATGTATTGTCGCATTTCTGATGGGCTGCTTACAGCAATACCAATCTCTGTAATCTTGGGGTTCGCCTGAGAAATGTCGAGGTCAGGTTGTGAGCGTGGCACGGATTGCGACAGCGGCAAGGCCATGTTGAGACGAATAAGCGTCGAGGCCCACGTCCGGTGGTGATGGATATGTGACAAAGAAAAATCGCTGGTCTGTCTGAGATCCGAAACAGAGCGCTTTGGTAGTAGGAAAGAGGCAGGACAATGAAAGAATAATCTGTTAAATACAGGGCCAGTGTTGACAAATGAATATGTAGGCTTCACCGGCTTTCGGAGGATAAATCGCAATGGGCGCCAGCTCTGGCTTTCAACGGAGATTGAATGCGGGCGAGTCGCTAACTAAAAGCAATGCAAGTGGCACTGCCCTTGGCAAATGCATAGAAACCAAAGCCTTCCGACAAGGGTCTGCGGGCTCTGACAGCCTGGTATTAGCCCTTTAGCGTCCGACCTCACACGGCGCGTAGCTGTTGCGCTGGTTTCGAGAGATCTGCAGAGCATGCCGCTTGTGCTGAACAGGCAGGCGACGACATGGCTGCCCGCTCAGGTATGACTAGGGCGGCAAGGGTCTGCAGCCGGCCATGATGCCCACAAGTTGGTGTACGCCAGGCCCCTCCAATTTTACTTGACATAGAGGGTCATGGCTGGGCGGTTCGCCGGTGCGTGGAAGCAGTTGCGTCGCGCGTCGCCGAAGATCTTGTCAGGGGAAAAGCCAGTGGCTCCGTTTGAGGTTGATAGGTTGTCGAGAAGGATAAACTGGCGCGGTCTCTGTTCTCGGCCTCGCTACTTGACTAGTCATTTTGACAATCTTACGACTTCGTTAGCGTTCTTTACAAACCCGTTGTCCTTCTCGCAGCACTTAATACGTATAACGTAGTTCTTTCCAGAAGATGCAGAGATATGGCGGAGTCCCCATGGCGTGTAAAACAACCCGTCCTTATTCCTCCACTCCGCCAGGCTTCCAGTGAACAATACGCCTGCTATTGTCCTGCTTTCGGCCATGTGTTTCGCTGCACCGAAAGACCATCCAAATCTTGCGTGCTTTACTTGGCAAACGACCAAACAACCGGATCAGCTTCCTCTGCATGCCGATGTGTCATGTCGATTGCCAAATCCCACAGTTGAGAGGGGCATGTTGAAACCTCCACAAGGGGCCGCTAACCCACTAGCTTCGAGCTTCAAACAGCTATTACAACATGTCGCTTTGGAACGGGGGCGAAGTCTAGCCGACCGACAGCGGCTTACCCGCCAGCGTAACCGTGACGCCCCGCCCCTGAAGAGCCTAGCATGCTGCTGTTGTCGGCTAAAACGTCGCCAAATACTCACCAGTGTCTCGGCTATTTCTCTGTTGAAGACTAGTTGCATGGCAAGGTATTTGGCATAAATCAACGGTGTCGTCTGCTCAGACGACTCTAACTGCCGTCTTGCTCGGATGTTAAATCCGCATCCCGGAAGGTATTCGCCTTTATGCATTTCTACAAGAAAGGCTTCTCTGGGTAACAGTGACGCTCTAGGTTTCGTTTCAGAGCGCTTCGGCCACTGCAAGCACCCGGCAGTAGAGTCAGCCAACAAGAGGCTCGGGCCCGAAAAGGGGCTGCAGCAAGGAAGATCTGTAGTTGGCAGATGATGATATTATACGGATTGAAGACAAACCAGTTTCCTTGTCTGTTTGACGCTTAATTCTGTCATCAGCCCCCAACATCAGCTGTAGTTGTTTCCCCTGGTCCGGCATATTCTATGCGTTTGACTTGGCGATTTGATATTTTTTCGGTACGCTTTCAATTCTGCATTCTATCCCAAATCCAGCCGAGTACGTGGCAGCAATGACTAGCAGTGACAATGCTCATGTACTGAGTGCAGACTGCATGCATGTTATAACTAGGCTGTGGACGAACAAATAGCCACCTCGCGCGATGGTGAAAGATGTGTGTGCCTTTAACTCAGCCAGCCGTAGTGGGGTACAAACATGGCAACGGAAAAAAGTCGCTCTGGCGGCCCGTCATTGCTGCCCCGCTTTGAGCTGCTTGCTGAAGCCTGGAGGGGCAACAGGCAACGCATCTCCATCACACAAACACCAGGCAACGACGATTCCGATTTAACTGTACGAATCCACGGTTAGCATTACGAGGAGCAAAGTGCAATAAACTGTTGCTAATAGTCGCAGATATAGCCGTTTCTATTCCATCACACATCTCCGAAGAAAACAAAATGTCGTGGCAAGGTTCGTCCACCGCCCCCGTCTCCTCCGGCTGAGCTCGTCAGACTCGTTGCATATTGTTGGTATTCAGGACTATGGCTAACCACAAGTTCCATTTTTACAGCTTATATCGATACCAGGTAATTAGCCTCTCTCAATTCGCGATCCGGTCGGTCTCATAGCATACGAACCCCGCCACTAACGTGCTTATCAGCCTCGTCGGCTCTGGCCACATTGACAAGGCCGCCATTATCGATGCTGCCGGTGCTAGCTCTTGGGCTGCATCTGCTGGGTTCACTGTACGGAATTCCCACGATTAAATCGAACCGTCCCTCTGAAGCCGCCTTGATATAGTTGCTAACTACGATACCGCCTCTAGCTCAAGCCCGAAGAGATGACTGCTATCGCCAACATCTTGTCCGGAAACGCTGCGGCCAAGGATGGCGCGTTTGCTGATGGTCTTTACATTGGTGGCGAGAGATTTGTCATGACCAAGGCTGAGGACCGTAGCCTCTATGCCCGCAAAGGCAACGACGGTGTTGCCATCGCAAAGACAAAGCAAGCCATTATCATTGGCCATCACAACAAGGACCAGATTGCCGGAAACGCTACGTCTACTGTCGAAACACTTGCCGACTACCTCATTGGCCAGAACTATTAATCTTGGGGTAGAATGGCGGTGTAAGGGGATGGGCGGCGAGCATCATAAAAAGTCGTCGAGTGGAGGCGGTCATATGAACTTGAACAAGGGTCTGCTTGACTCCAGGCTTGTAGACAGCAACCGCAATTCAGCATGGCAGCGAATTAAAATGAAATAGTATGGAAAATAGAGCGTGTTAGTTTAAGCATACACAGGGCCGCTCCAATGCTATAACAAACTGGTTTAGCATTGCTGCCAAGTCTCTGATAATTCTAGCATATTTGCAAAAGTCATCAATATCCTTCGTGACCGAAGACAACATATGGGCTCAATGTTAATTTTTGTTGTTATTAAAATATTACTATCGAATTGTTTCGTATCGTTCATACACATGCCCTGTAGGCTCCGTCATATTAGTATTATTTCTGCCAAAGACTAGAGGTTTCCATTTTCAATACACCAACGCCGATTTCGCCGAACTCTTCAGAAATTGTCTGCAAGTTTGTAATTTTTGTGTTCGCCTTGAGCTGCGCCAGTGTTGCGTTGTATCGTGTGCATATCGTTCGTCAAAGCTCTTAGACAGGAAGCTCATTGCGATTGCCGAGGCCAAGTCGATCAATGGCCATGCCGATATAAGGTCCAACTACGGGAATACCACGGCCGACCCCGAGAACGGTTCCAAAGAAGTCGCCAAATAGAATAGCAATGCCGTAGGCTTCGACGAAGAAGCCGATAAACGTCCACTTCAGGAAGATGAGAGCAAGACCCGCGAAGAACGCTGCCGTGCCCTTGGCTTTCTGTTTGCGAGCAAAGAAGAGCATCGTCTTGTGGGGGCCAATTATGATGGTAAGACCGATAAGGAGTAGAATCTATGTATGTGTTAGCTGTCGAGATGTAACAAAGTCGCACGGTGGTGTGGTTCGCATACGTTGCCCATGGCCAACCTGCAGGAAATGATTAGCGCCAGAATATTAAACAAGTAGACAGTGAGAAGCAACGTACATGGCACGATCAAAGAAGAGCATGACACCTCCGATAAGGAACAGCGCGCCTATACATCTGGGTTAGCTGTGGACGTGGAGATGTTGCCGTCGCGCCAGGATGCGCCTTCGCGAACAGCCATCGCCTGCGTACCTCCAGAGCAGAAAATCGCACCGATTTCTATAGTCCATGTCAGTTTCACACTATCCGCATCACTAATTCGTCATCCACTCCTCGTTGCAGTGTGTGCCCGCCTTGCGTCGTCGGCCAATCCCAGGCGCGTGACATGCCGAGGTGGGATGAGTCCAGAGCAGAGCTTACTCTGAGAATCGGATAACCACATAGAAGACATGTTGACGGAAATATCCCAATAAAGACGTGTATTAAAAAGGGTTTACTTGAATCGAGGAGATCGAATAGAAGGCGACAAATTTGGTTTGCTTAGGATTGGGTGGGCGAAAAAAAAAAGTTTACGGAAAAGGGATTTGGAAACGTTTTATGACGACTGCCAGGGCCAGGGGAACTAAATTTAGGAGATCAATTTCACAGGCATGCGCTAGCATCGTGCTTGATAGCGAACGGCGCCGCTTTAGGATTTTATTTTTTCGGGCTGCTGCTGTGCCCCTGTCTGCGAAAGACGGATTGGTTCAAGGGGCTAAAGCGGCGTCAGGCTTGTGGCAAAAGCTTCTAGTGGGTTGGCGCGCTGATTGGACGCTCTGTAGAGGCCACAGGGCAGAAAGGGATTTTTTTCCCGTGCTTGATTTTCCTGCCCTTGCACCAAGTTCCGGCTATCCCCCTTTCAAAGGCCGTTGCCGACAGCGGGAACAGTTACGAGCTCGAGAGGCAAAAACTACACACTGTAATGTGTAACTGATACGCTTACTGACGATGTGCCTGCAAACAAAGCAATAGTATTGGTGGCAATCTGTCACCACCTAGATGGCCACTACGACCTGCTCATGCTCCCAGGCTTCCGTCAAGCGCCATGACACTATGTCAAGTATTTGGCTGGATGGGTGAGGCTGTTGTTAACTACGCCGAAGCGTCTGTCTTTTTAATGCCCGCGAAGCTACAAACGGTAGGTCAATCCCTTGTGAGGGACTCACTTCTGAACCGACCATCTTCGTACGTGGTCGAAATGTGAAGCAACTCATGCCTCGACAGCCTTAGCTTTGCTTTGGCAACTGAGGGACAGTCCATGTCTCTTTCGGTATCCGTCGAATCTTTTTTGGCAAAGAACAGACTTATTACATGATCACGATTAAGCCGGAGCGTCAACTGCCATCCCTCCGTCGAAAGGTGGAGGGTGCATAGTCGAAGCTTGACTTTGTTGGTCGGACAGTTTTGTAAACCAGTAGTTTGTTAACAAAGATAAAATTCATAATGCTCTATGGAATAACCAACGCCCGCAATGTAAAGAACCAAAAAAAAACGTATCCCAAACGCCAGCGGCGTGTCCCGTTACACAACAAGACACGGCATACTTTTTGTCTTGTGCCCCTTCGTCTATTTGAGAATTGTGTGAGCTCCGCGAGCCTCGAGGTACAACTCCGCTGTTGATTGCGGTACAGATCGGATAAATCCAAAGATCTCCTTGTTATGATATCGCAATCGGCTCTTTGGATCCATGTAAGGACCTGGCAAACCGGTGACGTCGCAGTAGTGCTTGGGATGCGCAAGCGACGGCGCAGATTCGATGTTTGTGTATGTAGCAGACGGCGCGCTGCCAGCAATACCTGGAGGCTTAAGAGACTTTTCCAAAACCAGCTTCGATAGGCTCTGTGATGCTTGTGCTAAGTTAGGTTGATCTCTGCCGTTGCTGCTCATTGCTGGTGTCGTAGTACCGCTCGTGGATAGGCCGCCATCAGCTCCTGGAGTAACATTGCCGCTGCCATCTTGGGGAGTAGCCATAGCAGAGGCTTCTCGTTTTGTCGCATCGCCAACAATGGCTTTGAGGTTCTTGTTTCGGCGCTGGTTTGGTTTCCAGTTGGCGCTTCGGAACGACTTGTGGATGGCGTGAGTGTCGAGCTTCTCCAGCAGCTCGATGTGCTCGATCTGGGCTTCGGTAAGAGCAGCCATGTCGTCCGCTTGCGATTATTTGATCGATTGTCTTTGATAGTTTTGCTACACAAGGTGGTAGAGATGGGATCAACGTCGATGCGACAACATGTCGTTGGAGCGGGCGACTGACTGCCGGCTGGGTCTGGGTTCTGCCGGAGCTCACCGCGCCGCGTTTCCAACTACTGGGCGTGGAGCACGCGCTTGATGACAGCCGCCCTTTCCAGTGCGCACTTACATTACGACTCTTGTACCGCACTTGCACAACTCAAATTTAAATCAAGACAAAAATGGTAAAAATAATACTCATTTTCAACATCCTAAAGCGAAAGGTTCACCTTGCCAACTCTTACAATAGGAAAGCCCCCACGCACATCAGCAGAACCTGTTGCTGTCGCGTATCATCACAAACGTCGTACGTATATGACTGCACCAACCATGGAAACGCAACAAATTCGTTGCTAATGTTAGAAAAACAAAAACAGGAGAAGCTAAATGAGGCTGTTGTTGTCATGAACAAAAGTTTGCAGGTATGCAATTGTGACCCAGTTGTACTTATTTCCGTGGTTAACATGCTGTGTAGGACATCAACATCCAGAACATGAACGTCGAACTGGTTGCACAAATGTTCAAAAACTACCAGTCCAATGTTCTATTCCACTTGGAAGGTTTGTCGAGCATCACACGATACATTCATTTCAAATACATTCTAACTAGTCTCCCAGCTACGGATAGCCTCAAGCCGCCGGCATAATGGTCTGGCACCAGCCCAGCATGACGCACGTTCACGACCCTAAGTCCTTACCGATGATATGAATTTTATGACTTGTAATTTTTTATATAAATTAATGAAGTTATTTGAAACAAGATATAATTTTACAATAATTTCTTTGATACTTACTACCCGCAGCAGCATCTGCCCATTGTATCTTACTACTGTACGTGACCCACTCAGCGCAAGGGAACTCTAGACGATCAGCCTCGCAGTCGCTCCTCTGTCAACTTGACACCCGCCGCACGCAACAAACACCACCTTTGCATCACCAATTCGTCGGCAACGGGCAGCCGCACGAGCTCATATCATCAATAAACCGTCTATACGGGTTATGAATACGCGCTCTGCCATCTAATCACGAGCCCCATCGACGCCATGGCGCCCTCAGCAGTGGAGGAGCAGCAGGCGCCGCTGCCAAATGCGCAAACCTACCCCCCGGCCAAGATCTATCCTGTCAACGAGACGCGCTTTGAAAAGATTATCGAACAGACAAATGACGGACATGCCAAGGCCCTCAGCTCGCAGAATGGAGCGGCTATCGTCATTGACAACGGTAGGCACGGCCGATTCTTCCATATGTTCTGACCAAACTAACCCATTGTGCAGGTTCCCATGCTGTTCGAGCTGGTTGGTCCTTTGACGAGAGCCCCCGATTCACAATCCCACCCATTATGGCCAAATACCGTGATCGCAAGGCTGGAAAGACGTTTTCGTTTGCGGGTTCCGACTGCTACGCTGACACGACCGCGCGAAGCCACATCCGACCAGCGTTTGAGGTTGGCACGGGCATCGTAAGCAACTGGGATGTTATGGAACATGTACTGGACTACGTCTTCTTAAAGCTGGGTATGAATGGGGACAGTGATTCGATCGACGTCCCCATCGTCATGACAGAGGCAGTTGCTAACCTGCCCTATTCAAGAAAATGTGAGTAGAGCCGTAACGGAAGCGACCATACCTTGTTTTGCTAACCAATCCTCCCTACCTTAGCAATGACAGAGATTATCTTCGAATGTTACGGCGCGCCTTCCCTCGCTTACGGCATTGATTCTTTGTTCTCATACCGACATAATAACGGACGAACGGGTGTGGTCGTATCTTCAGCGCATACATCGACACATGTCATTCCCGTATACAACGGCAAAGTTATGCTTGGACATGCGACAAGATTGAACTGGGGTGGTTATCAAGCCTCGGAATATCTTCTCAAGCTCCTCCGTCTCAAATACCCCATGTTTACGGGAAAATCAAACGCTTCCCAGACCGAACATATGCTCAAGGAATATTGCTACAACTCAAAAGACTACGAAAACGAATTGAAAGGGTATCTAAACTGGGAAGGCCTCGAAGACCGAGACATTGTCATTCAGTATCCTTTCACAGAAGAGATCGTTGTAGAGAAGAGCGAGGAAGAACTTGCACGCATCGCTGAGAGAAAGAAGGAGAGCGGCAGAAGACTCCAGGAGCAGGCCGCCAAGCTGCGATTGGAAAGGCTTATCAAGAAAGAGCAGGATCTTGAATACTACAAGAACCTCCATGCCAAGATTGCGGACGAAACGAAAAAAGAGACCCGTAGATTGCTCGATAGCAACGATCTTAAGGATGAGACTGAGCTTGAGCGCATCATGCGGGACTTGGAAAAGGCCATCAAGAAGGCTAGAACGAAAGATGTCGGTGGAGATGTTGAAGAAGACCAGGAAGCTCCAAACTTTGACTTATTGGAGGTACCTGACGAGGAGCTTGATGAAGTACAACTCAAGGCCAAGCGCCAACAGAAACTTATGAAGTCAAATTACGATGCTCGCCAACGCGCCAAGGCCGAAAAGGAAGCCGAGCGTGCTCGAATCGCCGAGGAAGAGAGACTTGATACGGAACGTCGAGAAAACGACCTCGATAGCTGGCTTGACGAGAAGCGCCAAGCCAGATTCGATACCTTGGAGAAGATTAAGGAGCGCGACCGACTCAAAGCCGATTTGGGCAACCGTAAATCGTTAGCTTCGCAAATACGTATGAAGAGTATCGCCAACCTCGCATCCGACACTCCCACCAAGAAGCGAAGACGCGGCGGCGACGACGATGATTTCGGTGCCAACGATGACGATTGGGGTGTGTACCGACAAATCACAGTGGGCGAAAACAGTGACGACGAGCACGAAGAAGAAGATCTTGCCGCCACCCTCAAGTCCCTTGAACAAGAGCTGCTGCAATACGATCCCCAGTTTGACTACGACCAGACGCAGGAGGCGCAATCCGACTGGTCTAGATCACTACTGCACGCATTTGCCCGCGGCCCGCGGCCCTTTGACCCTGCGTCTCAAGCCGAGCTGAACCAGCTGCATCTGAACGTGGAGCGCATCCGAGTGCCCGAAGTCGTCTTCCGGCCATCGATTGCGGGCGTGGATCAGTCCGGAATCGTTGAGATTGCTGGAGATGTTCTGAACCAGCGCCTAAGTGGCATGCCAAACCGTGACGAGTTCCTGCGCGATGTGTTCCTGACTGGCGGCAACACCCTCTTTGAGAACTTTGATGAGCGTGTGCGCGGCGGTTTGCGTCCGCTCTTGTCTGCAGATGTAGAACTCCATGTTCGCCGAGCCAAGGATGCTCTACTGGATGCTTGGAGAGGTGCCGCGAGCTGGGTTGGCACACCCGCTTGGAAGGAAGCTGCCATCTCTAGAGAAGAGTATCTTGAGAAGGGCGCTGAGTATATCAAGGTTAGTACACTAAGCAAGCTGATTTGACTGACGATCATTGACTAATACGTTACACAGGAACACGACATGGGCAATTCGTACGTTTGAGAGTGGCTAAGGCGCCTCAGAGTGTAGACTGCGTCCTTTACTTTCTTGTTAAGCTTTTTTTTGTGTTTGTGTAATTTGGTATTGGTATGTTTCAAGGTGTTTGAGTTATTCTAAGGAGCAGATTTTGAGAAAAACAAAAGAATAGAGTCACTTGATATTTCGCACTGAATAAGTATTAGAGATGTCGATTTCATGCGCAGTGCGCCTATGGACCATACATGGGGCATTGCGAAAGTCGCACGTTTAGCCATGTTATAAAAGAAAGAGTTCGAACAAATATAAATCACAAGTAATAAATCCCAAACAGAGAGCGATTAGCCCGTTGTTTTCTCCGAAACGCCGCTGGTCCCAAATATTCATGTCAGGTATGCTCCCCATCATCACACTGGCTCACGCAAATGCAGCATCTCAGTGTTACGCGGGGGTTTCGTCTGAAGCCAGTACCCGATTGATCTCGTCTGGAGACCGGGTATCCTCATCGATGCGTTCGGCCTTGAGGCCGAGATATGAGCTATGTCTCTCCTCGTTCAGCTGCTCCTGGGCAGCAAGACCAGCAACAGCTTGGGCGACGGCTTCGAGCGGCGTACCAGCACCATCACTGGGGCCAGCTTCTCCTAGATGCGAATGCTCGCCGGTATGGCTTTGCTGAGAGAGATTAACGTTTGGTGGGGGAGGAGGCACCTCGCCTTGTGTGTCGAGCAGTCTAGATTGTAGGTGGATAACGTATTCGCGGAGGGCATAGTTTTCACTTTGCAGCTGTTTGAAGGAGTTTTCCATTTCCAGAAACTCGCGGACCTGTGACTCAAGCTTCTTGATGTATCCTTCTTTCCTTTGACGGAAGGCTCGCTATTATGCTTCAGTTAGACCACAGCTTCGTATATGGGGCACAAGTGTCAGGTGTAGTCTTACCTGTGCTGCACGATTTTGGGCTGCACGCTTGGACTGTGATAGTTCTCTCTTCGGTTTGCGATCGACTTCCATAGCAGAGCCTGAGGGCATAGGGCCAGCCTGGTGTTGGGCGCTTGGGTCTGTTGGCGACAGCATCATGGGTGAATGCCCGTGGGTGGGAGAGGCGCGCAGGTCGGGGTGAATATGAGCTTCACCAGCAGCTTTTGATGCTATAGCACGGATGGCGTCTTGTGAGGCTATTTGGAGTTGCTCGTAGCCATTGGCAGCTTGGTCGGAAGTGGTCTGATGATCGCGCGACGCGGTAGCTTCGGCGTCGTGGTTTTGCAGAAGCTCAAGCTGAGCGCGTAGGTGCTGCTCTATTTAGGGTGAATAGAATGTTAGCGGCGATTGTCACAGTAGGTGGTGCTGTTGATCCAAGGTGGCCATGACGCTGCTGGCAGAGGAACGGGGCGAGGCTTTGGGGTCGAAACGCACGCGGCGCTGAGTTGGGGGTAGGGGAGCGCAGTGATGTTGGACTATCGCATCAAAGAACCCCGCGTACAACGAAAGAAGAGGCTCGCGACCCAAAATGTAGCCGAGGCCGGCTTTGCGACAATGCCAAACACCGGGCGCCTCTACATCGAGGTGCGCAAGCAGGCGCGAGACAGGCTGCACAATTTGATGGTCGCGGAGAAGACTCGGGGGGAAGAAGCAGCCACTGAAGCAAACTGGCGATGTGGCTCCGCGGCACAGGCAAAGCGAAAGTCGACAGGAAATAAAAGAAATACTAACCTTGATTGCTGGCACCATTGGGAGACTGCATTGTTGGCGGTTTTCTGACTCAGCAGTCGCGATGATGACATGCAAGCCTGGAATAAAAAGAAGGACGGGATTAGGATGGGATTTTGGGGAAAACGGGTGCGGAGAAAAAGCAGGCAGATCGGCCGTATCAGGGATTAAGAATCCGATATACTAGCCCAATGCCGATGCTATAAGCTGAATGGATTGGCGACCACGGTGTAAGAGATGGCTGCTTGCTGACGTGAAGCTGGGGTGTCGATGAATATTATGTAACCAGAGAAGAAAGAAGGGGAGGAGGCGGGAGGCTGCGAGAGGGAGAAAAAAAAAGGTGGGAGGGGAGGAGAGGGCGGGAAAAAAAATTAAAGTGGGCAGCGACTGGAAGCACGCTGAAGGGTGCAAAAGCAGGGAATTACAGGCGAGGTGCAAACAGTAATAGCGTGTCCCGTTAGGCGGTTTTGCTTCGTGGTGCTTGTGGTTGCAGTATAGGAGCAGCGGGTGGCCGCTGAGCCGCAAAGGCGATAATTAGCGTGGCTGGGCGGGCAGTGCGGGCAGTGCGGGCAGGGCGCTAAGTAGGAACAGAAGGGGAGGGGGTCCGTGTTGCGTGCTGTTTGCGGCATCAACGAGGTGCCGCTTTACTCGCTGTGTGTGCTCTGACGCAGACAAGTCGGCCGGCAATGCACGCTGCAGGTTCCGCCAGGTGGCTAAAGCGGCAGGCCTTTTACAGCTCTTACCCACTGAACCGACGGCTCGCTTCAGCACTCTACAGCGCCAAGAAATTATGCCACCTGGCATGGCACTGGCAGGCACCTCGTAGGGCACTGGCAAGGCACTGCCAACCAACGCGCAGATCGCCCAGCTGCCACGCCGACATCGCCAACTGCCAGTCTCCCATTCTCACCATCTTCACATCATCACGTCTTCTCATCCAACTGTGCCTTGCCCCTCTTTCTTGCTCACAGGCCGCGTAATCCCCTCTGTCAACTGCCTTGTCGTTTTACTCGGCTTCGTTCCACCGGGTACCGCTTGGCCCTTGCGTCACAGATCTATAGGCCAAGCCCCATCGGATTTCGGATTTCGATGCCCATGTGCGGGTAGTCGGCTGCCACCTGCGCTACGCAACCGCCAGCCCTCATGCGTGGTCCCACGGTAAATCACTACTAATCAGGAAGTCGTTCATTTTGTACCCACCGCCATAATATCAACTACCGCTGCAGACATGCCGCCCGCAGTCCAGCACATCCACAGCCTCGTCAGCCTCCCCTGGTGGTGCGTCACAGCGGGCAAAGTCGGCTCTGTCTGGATGCCCAAGAGATCATGTCCCGTGGCGCTCAATCGACCTCATTGAACCGTTGTCAGCTTTGTAAATCAGTGCTCAATTGGCATAGATGGCTTTGGAGATCAACCATTGGCCCTCGGTTCGTTACATGCAGGTGATTCGGCGACGCACCCACTTACACGCGTTGGCTCCCCTTGGCGTACCTACCCCGTCTGTCCACCGTTGAGCAACAGAAGCCGTTCTGCGACCGGATTTACAAGCACTGCAGACCAAGAGCCAAGCCACGCACATACATCATCACCGCTAATCTGGATACCCCCTCTTTTGTCGTGTCCTGCAGCCGTAGACGCGCGTTCCTCGCCTGGCTCTCGGGCCTTGGCTCTTGTGATACCGTCGTTCATGTCGGCCAGGGTCACAAGATACCAAGGCTTTCTGTCTCAGCCTACTGCAGAAGATCCTCAGTTATACGAAAGGGGGACTGTACCTTCAACTACTCCTCAAGACGCATTGACATCCTACACGTGGCAAACACGGCCAACATCGCCCGATCTGCGTGTGGTGGGTTGCACCACATCTCAGCTCCCACGCGATAGCCTTGCTCCAGCTGAAACCTGAGCTGTAAGCACTGCGCCGTGACATAATTACTTCATGCCTCTCCCCATTAGAAGAGACGAATTACCTGTTTCAGAGCGTAGCGTGCGTGAAATGGAAGTCCGGGACACGGCACAGCCGCAGTAGACATCACACTGAACTTTGGTCGACGAGCAGGTTACTCAATTGAGACTAGATACAAAGTCTAGCTATCCATTGGCAATCCCTCTAGCTTGTGCGCAAGCGATGGTTTCTTGAACAGCTGTCCACCCTTCCAGACATGGGTAATGTTGTTTGAGTCACCCAGCACAGCAATATTGTCAAGAGGGTTGTGGCTAACACCGATTATGTCCGCATCATAGCCAGCTTTCAGCTGGCCGCTTAGCGGTGCCATAGGCCCAAGCGTCTCGGGACCATTGGCTGTGGCGGATTCAATGGCCTTTAGGGTCGTCATGCCTAGGTCCACGGCGTGAGCTAGTTCACGTCCATTGTTGCCGTGAGAGAGCTTGGAGTTTCGAGCGCTGCTAACCATGTCAGTACCCATGGCAATCTTGACACCCTTTTTTATCGCAATTTTGTACGACTGAGTGGCCTGGTCGTGTACATGTAGCAATTTTTGTTTCGAGGGCTCCGGGAGCGTGTCCAGATAGTCGCTCATAAGCGTGCGGATGATGTGCTGCGTGCCGACAAAGTAGGTGCCTTTTTCAACCATTAAATCTGCCACTTCTTCGTCCAGGTAGATTCCATGCTCAATGCTTGTAACACCAGCGCGAAGGGCAGCCACAATTCCAGGCTTGCCAATGGCATGGGCTGCCACCGCACGCTTGCTTCTGGCCGCCTCCTGCACAATGGCCGACAGCTCCTCGTCTGAAAATTGCTGGCACTCGGGATCATCATTCAGACTAAGAACTCCTCCACTAGAGCAGACTTTAATAACCTTAGCCCCGCGTCGCACCATGCGGCGAACAGTCTTCAGGCAGTCTTCTACACCATCGCAGACAGCCAATGCAGCACTGCCGTGGGCTTGAGCGTTAGTGATAATATCCAATGGGCATGCATGATCATCGCCATGGCCTCCGGTGATGGAGATGGGCGCCACAGCTCCGTAAATGTTGGGTCCCACGATGACACCCTTCTCAATCGCTGGCAGGACGTCAGTGCCAAAGCCTCCAAGCTCGCGAACACTGGTGTAGCCGGCCATCAGCGTAGCACGCAGATCTTCTACAGTGATGGCGCCAACCAAGGCTGCGTGTCCTGGTAGGAAGCTCTGTATTCCAGAAGCTAGAGAAGCTGCGACGTCGAGGCCAAAGTAGTGCACATGGCAGTCCCACAAGCCAGGCATTAGACAGGTTGCATAGGCAGCGGTGGGCAGTTTGCGATACTTGGACGGTACATCAAGCATACTTCCTACCCACTCAATCTTTCCTTCTCGGATAATAACAACGCCATTGGGGATGGGATATCCTCTGCCAGGAATCAGAATGGTTGAGCGCAAGAGTGTGAGACCGGCGGTGTCATCCGATGCGGTGGTCGTCTGGAGAGTTGCCGGCTTTCCACTGTTGGCAGATGAGACTGGGACACGCATTTTAAAGTCACGGAGTAATAATTGGATTTCAATGAGATAATTGCCAGTTACAGATGAATCATGTAACAGTCAACACACCGTCTGCCAAAATGCGGGGAGGTCACTGCAGGATTTAAGTGCGGAGACAAACCGTCCGGAAGCAGGTCCGCGTATAACTAGTCCGTACCCTACGATGGATGCAACCTCTCGTTTGATGGTAACAATTTTTAATTATTGTTTGTAGTTTCTGACATCTAGAGTAATACCTTTTAGTATAATTCAGCATAGTTTGTCGGTTTTCAATACCACTCAGCTATCTTACCGACGCGTCCAACTAAACGTACCCTCCTAAGTGGTTGTCATCGGCACTAAGCGAGGGAGATTGAACGTCTCCCCCCAAAAAAACACGACCCTCTTTAAAACAGCGCCTCATCATCACAGCATCCCGCAGAAGCCATCAGTGAAGGTCTAGAGCAATCGAGGTCCTGCAAAATGAACCCAATCCGATCAATTGGGTCATCTGTATTATCTCATTCAACCAAACCATCTATCCGCTGCCCCACGATAGCCCGCGCCCTCTCGGTCATGTCACAGCCACGCTTTTCCCCTGGGACCAACGAAGCTGCTGCAGCAGAGACAGTATCGGGCTTAGTTACGCCAATGGGGCTATGGTCACTCACAAAGGATGGCCAGGCGCTGGAAAGGACATTCAAATTCAAAACTTTTGGCAAGACATGGGTAGGTAGTGGTGCGAGTGAAGAGATTGTCCAAGCTGGCTAACGATGCATCAGGACTTTATGACAGCCGTATCGCTGCAGTGCAAGTTGAAGAATCATCATCCTGAATGGTCAAACGTAAGCTTAGAAGCTATCACTTGCGAAGCTAGTTCTATATGCTAACAAGGCGAAGGTTTACAACACTACGTTTATCCGATGGACAACACACAGCCCAAAGGGCCTGTCTGAAAAGGACATCACCCTGGCATCGCTCTGTGATGCTATTGCCAAGGACTTTGGCGAACTAGAACCTGAATCTGGCTCACAGAGTTGCTCATTAACAGGGTTGGCGGACCAGGTAGTTACATCGGCGGGGACGGATTGCTGTACACCAAAGAAGTAAGCGAGGGAAGTGGACTGAAACAACCGACTGTGAGTAGTATTAAAGTGATTTTCTAAGAGCGTGTCTATCTGAAAGATCATGCGCGTGTATTATATACAAAAAGTAGTCAAAAGAGCGAGAAACGGAAGCAACGTCTTTCTACTCATTGGTCGAATCCCAAAACGCCAGGTGTGCATGCAATGCCATCGACCGCTTCCACGGTCCGTTTTTGTTGTTTCTGTTGGCAAACAGCCGCCGATGCACCCAAAACACCCATTGATATGATATTACTCCATACGAGTTATGGATCGATTGCGTTCGGTGCGGTCTGCACTGTTCGAGTAAGCAGGCATTTACTGCTCCTTCTTGGCTGCACGGATCGCGGCAAGCTTCTTGTCACGGCGGCGCTTGTGAGCCTCAGGGCCGGCCTCAGTGTCCAAGAAGTAGTCCCACCAGCGGAAGCTCGATGAGTAGTTGCCAATGAACTTCTCGTGGTGCATGTCGTGGTGGTCGGCACCAGCCCAGACGGGGAGGAAGTGGCGCAAGCTCCAGGGGAAGTCAAAACCGCTGTGTGCGTCGATGGCCTGGAAGAGACGGAGGATGATCCAAACGTACATGGTGATGAGGTGGAGATCACCAGTGACCTTGAGCAGGAAAATAGGCGAGCCAACAACACCAATACCAAGAAGCATGGTCTCAATTGGGGAAGCGTACTCGGCGGCAAGACCAAAGGGAGCAGAGTAGGTGTGGTGCATCTTGTGGATGGCCTTGTAGAGAGGACCGTAGTGAAGGCAGCGGTGGAACCAGTAGTGCCAGGTATCCTCCATGACGAAGAGAATGGAGATCTGAATAGCCATCTTGAGCAGCGAAGGGAAGGGAACACCGTAATCCATGCCGAAGTAGGTGGCGATAGGGTGGAAGAACCAGATCTGGGGCAGCTCAGCGGTGAAATGGCTGATGAGGACGATGGCGGCGCAGTCCCACTGCTCCTTGAGAGTAGGAATCTTCTGGTGCTGAATCTTGTACTGCTGGAAGTAGGGGATCTTGTCCATGATCATGAAGGGGATGCAGCGGCCGAAGTAGACAAGTTCGTGCATGACAAAGCTCATGATGCCGGTAGCGAGGGTATCGTTCTGCATAAAGAGGTACCAAGCCTATGAGATCTGGTGGTTAGCAACGGTGAGGAACGTCGCGTCGGCTGGGTATAGTGTCAACTTACGGCCCAAAGGCGCTCGGCGTAGTTGAGGTGAACATGTTGCTTGCCAACTTCCTCAAGAACAGACCAGTAGTTCTGTGTCTGGTTGGCGATGCTGAAGGTCGCGTTGCTAGAAAAAAGGAGTCGCTGTTAGCGCGTGTGGGCGAGAAGGTGTTTGTTGGGGTAGATGAGCCCAACTTACAAGACGTCCATAGTGCCGGTTTTTCAGAGCAAACGGACGGCGATGCTTGCTTCTGTGATGGATGAAGAGACAGGAAAAGAAAGAAAGGAGGTAGAGAGGAGACAAGGCCAGTGATTTAGGGGATTCCCAGTGTGGGGGGGTCTTGTACCGCAATGGAGATTTTATCGCAATTAATCCAACTTTTTTTTTTGCTTAGGGGGAGACCGATCAACCAGTGGGCAGTGGCGGATTTGGAGGCAAGGATTGGCCAGGAACCAGGCAGATTGGAATGTACCTTCGCAGGCAACACACTATGGGCGGGTACATGGAGAGAGGGGCAGGACAGATGATACCACTCTCACGGCGCGTCTTCCGCCTTCCGGGCGACGGCAGCCGAGAACGAGGCTCTCCGAGTTACGATTTCGTGGATGAGATAGCAACGGAACGAGAACGAGGATAATTATATTAAAATGGAGATAGCAATGCGTAAGATATGAATTATAGTCATTGACTTTTTTACATTTTTAATTGTATTTCTAAAATGACGTCCAATGCAAAAAGGATTCTTCTCCGAGGTGTACCTCTCGTTTTCGCATTACCAACAAGCGACACCATTTCCACGTAGTTACAGGTAGTGTCTACAGTGCATGTTTTAGCGCCTGTTATAGGGGGCCAGATGCGCTGTCCCTGATGAACCCGAGTACGAGCGCCCGCCAATGCAGCCGCCACCACACCTGTATGACGCCCAAGCTCTGTAGCTCGCTGGCCCCACTTACCTCCGAGTGCCCTACCAGCGCATTTTCCACACGCAATTAGACACGGCCTGCTTCCAAACAACCTTCTTTCTTCCCGAGCTTGAGCCCCCATCTAACCAGTGGCGCGTGATGACGACACCACCAGCCGTTGCTGCCCCGTTTATCGTCTGAAACCTCAATTCCACGTTGTTTTGCATCAATTGAGCCTCCGGTATCATCTAGGGCTCATATTTTTGGTGTCTCCGCCATGTCCCTTGTCTCTGAGTGCGTACATCCGAATACGGCGTCACTGTAGCGCCAAAACCCGCCATGCTAATCATCAGTTCTTACACAGCCAGGTCCGACGTTTGGATGCATATCTAGACCGGCTCCCTGTACTATCCGAGACGCCCTCAGAGGAAGATGGAGCTTCCGAGCATGGTCATCATGACCTGATTACGGCCGATTCTCTGGCAACGCCCAAGCTGAACGAACTGCTCCCGCTTGTCCGAGCCCTTAGCACCACATCGACTTCTGAGCCGTTATTGCCGGTAGACCGTGTCAAGTCTCTTTTGCTTCAATCGGGAATAGCTTCAATCGATATAGCAACGACAAAGGGCACCGACAATGATGTGGAGAGCAAAACACCTTACGAAGAAGAAATCGAATGGCTTTTGGTTAGCAAAGCTACGGTACATATATACGGATCAGTCCTCAACACCCTCCTCGACCGCATTATACCTTTAAGCGATGATATATGGTACTGGTCTGAGATCCTCAACTCGTACACATACAGTAGTGTCTATACAGTTCAAACATCGCCGCTGCGACTATGGGCTTGGACATTGGATGTATACTCGACAAGCAAGGCTCGCATGCGATCTCTTTCAATGAGACAAGTTCCGGGCGACTTTGTTGAATCTACAAGCTCTGGTATGACCCAGCAATGGAGCCAGTTTTATAACATTGTCCGTGAGAGCATCACTGAACGATCTCTGGCTAATGTCCAGCGTAAAGTGTTGTCGCCTCTTGCACTGTGCCGGTCCGTGGCCAGAAAGAAGCAGGCATCACTGCAAAGGCTCCGCGAGATTACTGCAAGTGGTCTTGGTGTGCTGATGGACGAAGGACTCCAGTTTGACCATGAGGACGAACCCAAATCCGCCCAGCTGCACTCGCCTGACTTGAAAGGAATCGTTGAGCGCAGTGTTGCTCTAATTGATATGGTACTGAAGGAGGTCTGTTCCCTGGACACTCCACTGGGCGACTTTGAGGACAAGGTTTTTGCTGGTGTCGAAGAGGACCCTGAACTCTCCATTCATTTGGAAGAGTCTGCCACGCCAGAGCGGCCTGCAGTTTTGGCGCGACGCCTACTCCGCATCATCGACAAGAGCCTACCCCAGCACATGATATCAATGCAGGCTCTAGCCACAAACAACGGACGACCTAGCACGCTTGTTCGATGGTGGTTACCAGCTTTGATAGGTTTGGTGTCCTCAACGACAGTCCTCCGAGTGCTCACAAATCGACGCGCGGAAATCATCGAATGGGTAACTGATTTGGGAAGTACAATCCGCGATTTTTGGTTCAACTGGATCGTTGAGCCCACTCAGAAAGTTATCAAAACGATTCGACACGACGAAACGAGCGAGATTGCAATCATGAGCCGCGACAGCCTAAAGGCGGACCGTGAGAGTTTGGAGAGAATGGTGGTTGAGTTTGCTGTTGATAAGCCTCACTTTGCAGGTGCAGCATCAAGCTTGACTGAGTCTCACATTGATGAAATCCGACGAAAGGTGGCCGAAGGTGATGTCACACCTGTCTTACGAGCCTATGAAAAAGACCTAAAGAGCCCATTCATGGGTGCGCTTCGAGGTGACCTTGTCCGATCGCTGCTCATTCAAGTTCAAAAGACAAAGGTTGACTTGGAGGTTGCTATGACTGGTATTGACTCGCTTCTTAAGAGCCAGGAGCTTGTGTTTGGCTTCGTCGGCCTCACGCCGGGTGTGCTAGTCTCTATTGGAAGCGTCCAGTATCTGCGAGGCGTGTTTGGCGGCCGCAGTGGTCGCCGCCAGAGCCTCCAGGCAAGTCGGGTCGTTCGAACACTTCGAAACATTGATCGCATTTTGTCAGAGGCGCAGCCAACACAGAATAACGTGCTCTCATACAAGGATCACGGTCTGCTTCTGTGTGAGGTTCACGTACTACGAAGTATGGTGACGAGGCTCATGCCTCGCGATATTAGAAAGGAGTTTCTGGAAGATTTGGATGACCTGGCGAATATCAAAGGCATCCCCACGCAGGCCAAGGCGCTTGAGAGAATTCGATGGGCCTATGCAAGATGGCTCTAGCAGAAGAATGAACAGTATCTAGCATATTCCGAGGCGTTATTAGATTTGATTTATCATTTGCCAAATACGGCAATCGGCCAAAAGCAAAAGTAGACGTATGTTGGCCATGCTTTCAATTATATATGCCAAAATCCAGGGACTTCCCGTATACTTGCTCCAAACAAAATGTACCAGAACGCCATCACTTAGTTGATAAGAAAGTATAAAAGTTCTGTACGGTGATTTAGACAATCTTAGTGTCGTCTTTCACGGTGACTGGCTTCTCCTTCAGCTCCTTTAGACATGGTGCAACAAACATGTCGCCGGTAATGACCATGTAAGTCGTTCTCGTTGCAACCATGATCCAGAGAGCTACAACCGACAAGGAGATTATCTAGCAAGTAATATTAGTAACCTGCTACTATTTTGTTTTGCAGTAGATGCTGTAATCGGAGAGAAGAAATTAGCTTACCATGGTAGCAACCTTGAAAAAGTCACTGTTGACATTTGCTGCCAGCCCGCCTGTACATGTGCCCCAGACACCAAGAGGGAAGGTAAATCCCCACCACCCCATGTTAAATGGGAAGTTTTGCGTAGTAGCCAGACTGATGAGGGCAAAGGACACCCAGACGAGGGCAAATCCCCACATGAGGAGGGCGAGGAAGACTCCGACAACGTAGAGGATCTCGGCGCCACGTGTAGCGTCTACACCGGCGACATTGAACATTTGGCTTTCATGTAAGCGCTGAACGGCAACCTTGCCCAACTGCTGAATGCCAAATCCTCCCTGACCTAGAAATCCAACAGGCAAGAAGACGGAGACGATGACCTCGCGGGGGGGGAGCGAGTGGACTGTTAGGCGGTGGAAGTACAAGGCCAAAACACAGGCGGAAAGCGTCTGGCCGATTCCCCAAAGGATGTAAGAGATGATGAGAGTGGTAAAGGCATGGTCCGGGTTAGGCAGAACTTCGGCAACGATACCGCCAGTCGCAGCCGCGACGACCACGGGGACAATGGGCAGCAGAAGGGCGGCTGTTGTATTCTTCAGGCCGGGTTTGTGGCGGTGCATTACGATAAAGGGCATAGAGATGCATGTGGCCATGGAGAGGAATGTATCAATCCACCAAAAGGCCCAAGCGAGATGAACGACCCAAGTGCCCCATGGCCGCAAGCAAAAGATCATCATGTTGATGATGGCTAGAAAGAGGCAGCGTGTTAGCAGATGTTTTATAAACGATGATGTCAAATGAGCCCTGTTAGTCCAGGATAGGGACGCAACATACTAGCAAATCCCATTGGGAAGCAGCCGAGAAATAGAGACTGAGCTGGATGGGAAATCATGGCGCCCCAAATCTCAGGGAACAGGGCGTATCTTGCCACAGAGATGAGTGTAAAGGCCGTAAACAAGAGCACATTGAGTGCAAAGAAGATGTAGGAGATGTATTGGATCCAGTTGGCATTATAGGGGAGGTTGTGTAGGAGAATGGAGACGATGCCAGTGCCCATGATGACGGAGAACCAACTGTAGAAGCACACATTATGTTAGTAACATGCTCGCCACTACTGTGACAGGCTGTAAAAGGACTTACGAAGGCGTAAAGTTGCGAACAATCTTGCGCCATCCTCGCTTATTCTTACACGGCCGCTGCGACAGAGCCGCTACGGTGGACGAGTCGTCGACAATGGATGATTGGGACACTGGTCGTTGGTCGTGATGTTGCTGTTGTTGGAGTTGCTGCTGGCAGGGTGTGATTTCACATGCGGGCGTAGCCGTAGCAGCAGCAGCACACACCTGCATATTAGTCGAGTCTGCCATTGTATTTTGGGCCTGAGAAAGAAATACTTGGTGAAACAATGCCCAAAAGAACAATCTTTGAAAAGTAAGAATGAAGAACAAATAAATGGAGTGGTTTTTAAACACTAGAGAAAAAAAAAAGCTTCCCGCCGCACTTGTCATGTGGCGCCGAGTGCTTCGTTTTCCAGCGCCAGTTCTAGCGCGTGCCACAGCGAGTTTTTTTTCTTTTTTCCTCTTCTGGAGACCGCCAACACGAAAAGGTGGAGAGCAATGATGTGACTGAATCACCCAATGCGCCGATGTGCGGAGAATCCGGGTCGTCGCAGTCAAACGGCAGGTCGGGAATTCATAGATGAAAGAATGTAAGGCGTAACAGAAAGCCTAGTTTCTTTCTTTTTCTATTCAAAAAGTCGGGCTGGCGGCTGCAGATCATAGTGGTGGTCACGCGAAGCTGTAGACGACTACGCCATCCCATTGTCCGAATGCCGAGTTATCGCAGCATCGCCATCCCATCGCGCCAACATGCGGTCAAGAAGGAGAAAATAGAGGCATGCGGCTCTGCGGGAATAGCGGAAGGAAAAAAGAAGCCAATCGAAGTGCATTCCATTGGCCAGGTCAATGCAAAGAGTTGCATCTGCTTCGGCTTGGACGGCAGTCTTCAGTGTGTCTACAGCGCCGGGTTCCCCAGCACGGCGGGCGGGCAATGCTACGTCAGGGCGGCACAGGAATGCCGCCGGGTCCTCGGGGGTTGATGCCCGGAGCGATGGGCCGGGGCGATGACGACGGAAACCCGGGAATGAGTTTCGTAGTAGAAGAATTAGAAAGAAAAGATTGCAAAGTACACAGCTGGCGGCTATTTTCTTTCTTTTTCTTTGAACTTTGTTGTTCCCAGGTGTTGTAAATCATTGCTGTTTTACGGCACACGGCTACTGTACCATCCTTCTAGAGCGCAGGCCTTCCAGCGGGTTCACAGGCGGGTTTTAGGCGCTGGGTCCCTTTTCCCCGGGGGCGATTGCCGAAGCACAGCACTGCACGTCAGGCAGATCAATCGTCAAACCGCTAAATTTCAATATCAAAAAGTTCATTTTGTATTGAATTTGGCTATTTTCAACTTCTGGTCATTTGGGAAAATTTACGAGGAATTTTCTACGCATTTCGTTCTACAGTCACAGCACTCAGTCGAAACAAGTGAAAAAAAACTTCTTACGTCTCACTCAGAAGCGTCCACAGGAACGTGCGTGCACTGTGTTTGACAGAACAAGCCCAGCCAACCACAGCGCCGTCCACTTTTCCATCCAACCAGCAGACGCAAAACCTTCTCAAAGCCGTAATGACAACGAGGCGCAGAGACTTGTCTGTGGTCTGACGCAGCCGAACTGCAAGAAAACAAAACGTTGGCACTTTGTGACCAGGGGACCTTGCGCCCCCCGTCTACGCTTGGCTGACTTGCTTAGGCCGTCGGGCATCTGCCGCATCGGTTGGTGTTCCCTTTCTCATTCCTTGATGCTTCCCGTCGTAACTGTCGTCCATCTCCATGTCGTCGCATGACTGGTTTTCGTAGTGAGAGTTCGTCAATAAGAGGCGTTAAAAATATCACGCCTCCCATTTCATCGATTTTATTTTCATCCGTCGCTTGTCGCGCTTTTTCGTCCATGTCACTGCCGCCCCTCGCCCAATGTTCTTTTGTTGACCCCACCAGACCCGACACCGGCCGTCGCTGCGCCGGCGTAATCCGCCTGCTCACCTGACCCGCACTCGGCGCTGCAGAGGGACAATGCGGCCAAGCAAGAAAGAACCTTGAGAAATCGTAATGCCCCCGCCGCCCATCAACGTGTCCACCATCCAAGAAAGCCTGCCGGTTTTATTTTTTGTTGTTCAAGATCTCCTGCTAGGCTCACGACGTCACCAAAAGCATTCATCGCCATCCACTTGAACAGATCTAGTAGTAGCAAATCATGGCTCTCAATGTCCTTCCCACCGCTGTCCCCATCGACTTTGGGCCCATCGACCTGCCCTTTGTCGAGCAGAACCTCTTCGATGACTTGGTCGTGTTGCTAAAGGAGGCTCTCGGTCCGTCGTCGGGACTGACGTCTGCCGACGTCAACGTGAATTTTCTGGCTCGTCTCATGAAGTTGTATGATAGTCGAGACATGAACTGGTCCAAGTATGCCTTTGGCGATCGCAGTCGGGGGTACACCAGAAACCTCGTCGATGAGGGCAACGGTAAAAGCAATCTGGTAAGAAGCAGCAGCAGCAGCAACGCACAATGTGAAGCAGCAAAGGGATAAATGTGCTAACTGTCTTTCAACAGCTCGTCCTCGTATGGTCGCCAGGAAAGGGTAGCCCTATCCATGACCACGGCAATGCCCACTGCCTCATGAAGATTCTCAAGGGCAATCTCACCGAGACTCGCTATGAGTTTCCCCAAGAGGGCAGCGCCCCAGGCTCAATGAAGGTCATCTCTGAAAAGACATACCAAGAGAACCAAGTCGCCTACATGGCGGACGAACTTGGCCTCCACCGCATATCCAACCAGGGCGACGACTTCGCCGTGTCCCTCCACCGTAAGAAAAACCCCTCAACCAAAACCACAACAACATTTGTCGGTCGCAGCTAACGTCTTTCTCTTCAGTGTACACTCCTCCCAACGTAGCCAAAAAGGGATGCCACATCTTTGACGAAAAGACGGGCAGACGGAGTCATGTGCCCGGTTGCGCGTACTACTCGGCGTACGGCAGGCTGCTCAAGGAGTAGGAAGGGGGGATGAGATGGTTGTGTATCTCATGATCGAGTAAGGGTTTATTGCATAAGGGCGTTTTCTTTTTTCCTTTGATTTTCGCAAGTATTTCTTTTGCTGTCTTTCTTGTTTAGCTGCTTGCCGTCCTCATTCAGGCCACAAGGCGGCAAAATCTGCGGCCCCACAGTGTTGATGAGGTGGTGATGATGAGCGACGACTTTCCATAGCGATACATGTAGCCTTTTAGGTATGAAATAGAATGTTTCCAAGACCTTCAAGACCTCCAAACATGCTCTGACGACTAAAACTGATGTAACAGAGAAGAAAGTGGAGGAACAGGCGTCGTTGACTTGAAGTCCTGGGCCTCTGAGAGGGCTCAACGATTGCGTGATTGACGCTAGTCCGGATTGGGACACACTGCAAATGCGCCTGTCCTTGGGACCACTGACAAGTCCGTGGTCACGTGTGGAGGCCTACCCGGTATACGTCGTTGGGCAAACCAGTGGGCGCGGTGCACCGAAGAGAATGTATTCGAGTTAAATTTGTATGAAGAAAAGCGTTTCTTGAGGGTTTTCTCTGTTATTGGGTATGGAAATACTTCTCCTGGTAGGATGTATTTGGTATGTGCAGAACTATATACTGATATGGGGGACACGCCGTACACTATCAATGTTCAACGTCCGGCGCCAACTATGATGACAATGTACAGCTAAATAGGGCCGTTTGTAGGAATAGCAGTGCAGGATACATTTTTATACACAACTCTGAGATATTAATCACTCTTAGGCCAGAGACATCCTCGTGCTGTCCTCTGAGCACCGCTTGGCCCAGTATAACACCAATGGTTGTAGACTGCTGCCGACATTAAAACCTGATATAAAATATTAGCAACCCTAGAAATTATCTTAACATGAATATACACCCATTTACTTATGTGCAAACAACCAGCCTGCTGTGACAATATCAAATTAGGTCCAACCAATTACAGGCGCTGTAAATGCGCTATACTACAGTTAGTGAAGCAGCTGCCCTGTCGTGTGGTGGCCCCGCCAAAAATATTTCCGCCGTGGGGACTTTTCGATGGCCTTCAACCTCCAACAGTGATATATCCAGGCCCCTTCTACGCTTAAACAGGGCTCTATCAGCGCAAGTCATTGCCAGCAATCACAATGTCTGGTAGCTGGATAGGCGGTCTTGCCAGCAGTAAGCACAATACCAATACCAGTCAACAATGAAACTGCTAACAAAAACACAGATGCTGTGGAAGGCTGGCATGCGCATCGCACACCCATCATTCTTTGCACACTGGCAACGCTTGCCGCACTCCGTGTGTATTTGCACCTCAACGATGATGGAGTTGAGCTGAATGCTTTGCCAAAGTTATACGAAAAGGAAAAGACAGGCACCAAGCCCAAGGAGGCTTCGCCCACGACAAAGGCTAGCGGTCCGAAGAGAATAAAAGGCGGTTTGGCCAAAAAGCCTAGCACTGAGTCGAACGAAGTTGACTTGACCAAGCCCATCAAAGTTCTGGTCTTCTTCTCTTCAATTACAACAAAGACGGAAAAGCTGGCTACCGCCTACGTCGAGTCTCTCAGCAAGCGCCTGGCTGAAATCACCGCCTCGACTGGACGAAAGACACTTGCGCCAGAGTTGCTCGACCTCGCGGAAGTTGATTTTGATGACTACTTCATCAGCCCCCCGAAAGAAGCCGAACCAACCGCGTACCTCTATCTCTTCCTGCTGCCTAGCTACAACATCGACTCCATCAACGACACATTTCTCGAGCACTTGCAAGAAACACACCACGACTTCCGTATCGACACTGCGCCTCTTGCTCCCTTGCTTGGCTACGCAGTCTTCGGATATGGTGATAAGGAGGGTTGGCCCAACGAGAACGAGGGTTTCTGCTTCCAGGCAAAGGATGTTGATAAGTGGATGGCCAAGCTGACTGGCAGAAAGAGAGCCTACCCTGTCGGTATGGGCGATATGAAGAGTGACCATGTTGAGCGCTTCGCAGAATGGGCTTCAGGAATTGAAGACACTATTCGCCATATCGCTACCACTGGCCTCCTCGGCGAAGGAATTCCCGGCAGCGGAGCCGCAGATGAAAGTGATGCTGACGTAGAAGAGGAATATGACGACGGCGAAGTTGTCTTTGACGACGAAGAGGTTGCAACACAAAAGAACAGTAGCTCCAGGGGCTTAGACGACTTGGAAGACCTTGGCAAAATGATCAATTCCTCTACTGCAGGCGACAAGAAGAGCAAAAAGGCACCCATCGCCGTTGACTTTACCACCTACGGAAAAACAACCGCCAAGCCTAACCACCCCAGCGGCGCCAAAGAAATGGTGGCTAAAAACTCGCCTACATATACCGCTCTTACCAAGCAAGGTTATGCCATTGTCGGCTCTCACTCCGGCGTCAAGATTTGCCGCTGGACCAAATCCGCCCTCCGTGGTCGAGGCAGTTGCTACAAGTATTCCCTCTACGGCATCAACTCCCACCAGTGCATGGAGACTACCCCGTCTCTCTCATGCTCCAACAAGTGCGTCTTCTGCTGGAGACACGGCACAAACCCTGTCGGAACCAACTGGCGCTGGGTTGTTGACCCGCCTGACATGATCTTTGACGGCGTCAAGGAGAACCATTACAAGAAAATCAAGATGATGAAGGGTGTGCCCGGTGTCCGAGCAGAACGTTATTCAGAGGCGCTTCAAATTCGCCACTGTGCTCTCTCCCTCGTTGGTGAACCCATCTTCTATCCTCATATCAATGAGTTTCTCGCTCTACTTCACGCGGAGCGAATCTCTTCTTTCCTCGTCTGCAACGCCCAGCATCCCGATGAGCTAGCGGCGCTCAAGGCTGTCACTCAGTTGTATGTCTCCATTGATGCATCCAACAAGGAGTCGTTGAAAAAGATTGACCGTCCTCTCCATCGCGACTTCTGGGAGCGTTTCCAGCGCTGCTTGGATATCTTGAGAGAGAAGCGCTTCCGTCACCGCACTGTCTTCCGATTGACCCTTGTCAAGGGCTTCAACATTGAAGACGAAGCCGAAGGTTATGCCCAGCTTGTGGAGCGCGGCCTGCCATGCTTTGTCGAGATTAAAGGTGTAACATACTGCGGAACATCGACGTCGTCGAATGCAGGCTTGAGCATGTCCAACGTTCCCTTCTACTGGGAAGTCTGCGAGTTTGCTCGTGCTCTTGAGAAGCGCCTGGAAGCAAAGGGCCTCAAGTACGGCATTGCTGCGGAACATGCCCACAGTTGCTGCATTCTCTTAGCGAGTGAGCGTTTCAAGGTGGACGGCAAATGGCATACCCACATCGACTACAAGCGCTTCTTTGAGCTGCTGGAGGAGAGAGGTGCAGATGGAGACTGGACCCCAGAGGACTACATGGGCCCCCCTACACCAGAATGGGCGCTCTGGGGTAACGGCGGTTTTGACCCCAGAGATGACCGTGTTGACCGTAAGGGTCGCAAGAAGGAGGCCATTGTTGTTCGAGAAGCACCAGAGTAGCTTCTATGACAAAATGAGGAACCTGTTTAGCATGTACATCACCTTCTAGCAGCAAAATTTATGTATTTACTGTGGTTTCTTTTGCGGAAATATAAAATCATGAATATTTTGATGGAAAAAACCTAACCATAACTGTCTTTCCCAAGCCCCCTTTACCGCGTATAATGTTTACACAAAGCTCTAAAATTTTTCGTGAAGCTTGAAAGATGACAATATGGTACATTTGGCTTTGGTGGTATGCCCAAGCCGTTTTACAAAGAGATTTGTTGTGGCATTTTGGCAAGACTGCGGATCATTTTAAGTTCCGCAACATCTCTTCTGCCGTTCGAGTCGAGTGGCGCATTGGATGCTGTGTTATACCAAAAAGATGTGTTTGGTATTACATGTAGTGTTGGCGTTGTACGCTTTAGTCGAGGCCGACGTTGGGGATCTCGCTGAGGTTGATGCCGGCGGGCATGGGGCGAGAGTTAATGTCGAGGGAAGAGTCGTAGGCAATCATCTCGGCCAGAATGTCTAATACGGGCTAAAGAGGAAACGTTATGTCAGTAACGCATAACGAACAAATGGCAGGGAACAGCCATTGACGAACCTTGGGAACGGTACTATCGTAGATCTTGATCAGGTCACCCGGGGCAGGGTAGACCTTGAGGCCCTTGTAGAAGGCGAGGGCGGACTCGATGGCTTGGGAGGCTATTAGGAGCAGCTGTTAGTATTGCGTGTGGGAGGCGGATTGACCGTTGATAGACTTACGATCCTGGCTCATCATTTCACCAGTCATGACCTGCTCGTTGAAGTAAGCTTCACGCTCCTCAACGCCAGCAGGGAAGCCCTCCTCCTTGGCCTCATCGACTCTCTGCTTGATGGAATCGCGCTGGCGCTGGGTGGAAGCAGCAGCCTCCTCCTTCTCGGCGCGGGCTTGTCTGCGCTCGTTTCTTCGGAGGTCGCGACGGAAGCCGGCTTGCGTGCGGCGGCGGTAATCAAAGTAGACGGCGTAAGCTGGAGATACAGAGTTAGCATTGGCGACTGATTCATATCAAATTATAACCGGATAGATGATCGAATTGGAACTTACCGACGATGGCAGTGGCAGCCGTTGCGACGGTTGCCGTCACGACAGTGGAAGTTTGCACCATTTTGTAGGTAGGGAGAGGACAAGAGGGATAGAATTAAAGAAGGAGAATTAAAATTGTCGAAATGAAGATCGAAATGGCGCAACTGCAAAGAAAGCGCGGATGCAAACGTCGTCGAAAGGAGGCAAGGGGAATAGAATACAAAGGGTTATGAGGTTGATGCGTTCATAGGACGCCCAATTTTTTTGAGCCTGCCCACCTCAGGGGAGCTCCGGGAGTTGTCGGCAGAATGTCGGAGGTATGGGCTTCTAAGAGGGTTCACACTGAGCGCGGGAAAGGGAATTTATTGAAAAATTAAATAGTCAGGAAAAAAATTAGAAGAGTGCCAATTTAGAAGTGAAAAAAAATTAAAATAATATTCTGCAGTATTCTATATCAGAGTCGGACAGACATGTACCGCTTGTCAAGGGATATCAGAAGCCGTTCTCTGCACACGTGACTGCGTCGTACTACTCAGCGCTTCAGCGGATTGCGGGCCAGCCTTAGCGGGGCGTAGCTGCCATGCGCTCACTGTAGCTACATAGGTGCCCGTTTGGCGACGCTCAGCTTCATCAGCACAACAACGAGCCCGTGACGCTCCCAACGACTGGGGAACGCCAATCTCAACAAGTGAAAGCCATATTCAGACGCCAAATTGTGTTTTTATAGCGGACTGAAACTAGCATTACGTTGCTCCGCCTGGCCACGACCACGCAACTCACATAGCCATCATGTCGGAGGAACGAAGCAAGATCTCGCTCCGTAGCGGCGGCAAACGAAAGGCCAGACCCGTCATCAGTGCCCCAAAGAAGATTTCGGGACCGATTCTTCAAAATGATGGCGTCAAAGGAGGAGTGCCAGCGCAAGCTGAGCCTCAAGTTCGCCCTCGTTTACGGCCACCGCCAATGGCTGGCGGCAAGGTATGCGTTGCTCGTCAGGGCATCCCACGAGAACAATGCTAACAAGAATGTCAGACATCCGATTTGGTGAAGCAAAGATACTCGACAAGATTCAATAACCTTCCCAGTGATTTCGACGCGTCTATTCCGGCGATGCCATCGCTGCCGCCTCTCGAAAAGTTTCAGCCTAATAACAGACGCCCTTCAACGGCTCGGGGACCCGTTCCCGTGGTGGATGTGAAGGCACTCAGAGATCCTCATCTTTTGCCTGATAAATATGTGGCCAGTGTTCTCGGTGACGCATCCGATGACCAGATCCGCGAGTTTGAAGATTCCCTGCGACAACTCAAGACTCGTGCAGGTGCCGACTTGCAGCAAAACCTTGTGCAGAATCGAACGCAGTTTATCAAGATCACTAAGGAGGCAGAGAAGCTCAAGACCGAAATGCGCACACTGCGAAATCTCATGACGGAGCTCAAGACCAACACGACTGCGCTGCGCACGGCAGCTTCCAAGGACGACGAACCGCTGGCAATACCAGATGGCCGACCCCCCGGCCTCAGTAAGCGAGACAAGCGAAGCTCGGTTGCCGATAGAAGCGCCTTGTGGAATTCACAGATGCAAGCGCTCTACAAGAATGTGGAAGGCTCTCAGAAATTTCTGCCCAATTCGGCAGGGCGACATGTCGTTCAGAATGCTGGCCCTTGGGTCGAGCTGGACAACGCTACGTACAAGTCGAGACGAGCTATGCAAATCTTCCTACTCAATGACCATCTGCTCATTGCTTCTCGCAAAAAGCGCAAGGCTGATGCTCCTACTGGAGATGGACGGGCCCCGTTAATTAAGCTGGTTGCGGACCGTTGCTGGTCGCTTTTAGATATTGAGGTTATTGACATGCCGGGAAATAACGAATCATCTGGTGGTCGGAATAAACTTGCCGACGCCATCATGGTTCGAGGTGGTGGACAGGACTCCTTCATCTACCGAACCGAAAAGGTAGAGGATGATGCTAAGAAGTCGTTGCTTTTAAATGTTCGCAAAGCCATTGAGGAACTGCGCAAGGGTCTCGAGTCGGAAATGGAAGCCAACAACAAGGCTAAGGAGACAATCAACTACTTCGCCTCCCGAGACCCCGGTCTGCTGCAAAAAACGGAGCTTCTAGAGACGCTCTCTGATATCAAGGATATGCTGATTGAAGTAGACGGAAAACAGCAGAACCTTCGCTGGGTTGAAAGCCAAATGGATGAGCTGGACATTGATATTGCACTTCAGCGTTTTGAGCCGGCTGTAGCTACTATTGAAAAGCTTAAAAGCTTGGCTCGGGGTCTGAAAGGCAACATTGTTGCCCAAGATTTCATCAACTTCAAGGTGGACGAGCGGGCCAGCAGACTGGGTGATGTGTTGATTCGCGAGTTGGAGATTACGCATAATGAGAAGACCAAGTCGAACCAGCACGTAACCTGGCTGTCTCGTCTTGGGTTCGAGGACCGGGCAAGAGAGGCGTACCTGGCCGCCCGAAGCGACATTATTCACAAGCGAGCTAGGTAAGTGAAGCTGACCCATCGGCTCTCAGAGAGATACAGGCTAACACATGTATAGACAATGTATTTTCCAAGGTGACTTGCATCTTTACATCTGGCAGATCTCGTTTGTCTACTTTACCATTATCCACAACACGGTAGAGTGCTTTCAAAGCTGCTTTCCTCCACCCATGATGAGCGCCTGTGTCAAGTGGGCGAAGCAGGAAGTCGAAGCATTCAACATCATCCTTTCGCGTCAACTTAGTAGTACGGAGCGTGGTGGCCCTGTATGGACACAGTGCATGGAGAGAGCAAAGGAACATGGCAAGAAGCTGGCCGCCGTTGGGCTGGATTTTGGTGATTTAGTTGGCAGGGAGGCTGAGGTGCTCGACTTCAACATTGGCAGCCCTGTGCCCGTTGGATTGGGACTGGAATAACGAATATGGATGATGCCGCATGTGTGGTGTGTTTTTCTTTTTTGCAGAGTCTCTTTTTAGAATATTTACGACATTGTTGAGATTAAAAGGAACTGGAGTCTGTGCTGTGAAATGTTGTGACGTTTTGATGTGATGTGTGTGCTATTGTGCGATGGATTCAATGCTGTAATTACCTGGACGCATAATTTGGCGTGGACAAAGAAAACGTAGTGACAGATTCAAAGCCATCGTCATAGCAATCAGCCAGTACGTAGTAATGTAGCAATGGGCAGCATTGGATTGCGGAGAGCAAGAGAACAGGTGTTTCATTTTCATGGCGATGGCATTTGACAGACGGCGGCTGTGGAGCAGGCTACCAGCGCCACCCAAGCGCTGGCACATAAGCGAAAGACGCAATGCAATCTCCCCGTCCGGGCGCGGGCGTGCCACCAGCTCCCCCCTTCCCCTCCTTCTTACTGTTCAGTAGGCTACACGCTCAGTGCGGTCCCCCCCAGCGCTAGTGGACACTCAGGCCGCCCATCCCACCAGCAGGAGACAGCTACGGCAGCTTCCCACCACAAACCACCACGTCTTCCAGCATCACCACCAAAACAAGCCCTTCCTCTTTCACACAGCACACCCGCCTACACACCCACGATCTGCATCCGCACCCGCGCCCGCAGCTGCATCTGAGCATCATCGAATAGCATAATCGTCAATTTCACGTCGATCGCATTTGTCTATTCCTTCAGCCCGCCCGCAGCTTCACCTCCAAACAGGCCTCTCGTCGCGCTGTTTTTCTCTTTTCGCCCATCCCTCCTCCCTGCCCCACCGCCACCCAAACCCCCCCCAAGCTTCGTCGTGACGGGAATCTAACAGCTTCCCCTGCTTACGCCTGCCGCTTGCAATACAGCTTCGAATCCGCGACGAGGCTAGAGACCGAGCCTCGAAATTATAATGGACACCAACATGGAGGATGTCGGGCGCGTCCCGTCCGACCTGCCCTCTGTCCAGACCGAGCCTGCGACCGTCGGAACCCTCGACGGCTGGATCGAGAGCTTGATGAATTGCAAGCAACTGTCCGAGGTGGACGTTCAGAGACTCTGCGACAAGGTGAGAATTATCGCGTTGGACAGGCCATGCGAGAGGTTGGAACATGATGAGCATTGGGCCCTACGGCGACCATCTGTGATGCTGTCGCGAACCCTTTGGTGCCTTTTTTGCCGCCCTACCCCTCGCGTGACTGCTTGACTGGCATTGCTGACTTTTTTCGTTACCAACGCAGGCTCGCGAAGTATTGCAAGAAGAGTCGAACGTGCAACCTGTGGTGAGTATCGAGTCTCTTTTGAACCATTATCGTGATGCATGGCCGCTTACGCTGGTGATAGAAATGCCCCGTCACAGTCTGTGGTGACATCCACGGTCAGTTCCACGACTTGATGGAACTCTTCAAGATTGGTGGCCCCAATCCCGACACAAACTACCTCTTTATGGGTATGGATGCGATGGAAGATTCCCGCCGATGAATTGAAACTGACACAATCTCCTCCAGGTGACTATGTCGACCGAGGCTACTATTCCGTAGAAACAGTCACTCTGTTGGTCGCTCTTAAAATCAGATACCCCCAGCGCATCACCATTCTTCGTGGCAACCACGAGTCTAGACAGATTACCCAGGTCTACGGCTTCTATGACGAGTGCCTCCGCAAATACGGCAATGCCAATGTCTGGAAATACTTTACAGACCTCTTCGATTACTTGCCCTTGACCGCCTTGATCGACAACCAGATTTTCTGTCTCCACGGAGGCCTTTCACCCAGCATTGATACTCTAGATAACATTAGAGCCTTGGACAGAATCCAAGAGGTTCCCCATGAAGGTCCCATGTGTGACCTCTTGTGGTCCGATCCTGATGACCGCTGCGGCTGGGGCATATCGCCTCGAGGTGCGGGGTACACCTTTGGCCAGGACATTTCGGAAGCATTCAACCACAACAACGGCCTAACACTGATTGCCAGAGCGCATCAGCTTGTCATGGAAGGATACAACTGGTCGCAGGACCGCAACGTCGTCACCATCTTCTCAGGTAAGTTTTGAGCTCCCCACCCCCCCTTCTCCCCCACTACATCCGCAAAAGTATCATGGAAATGCTAACATTTTTACGCAACACAGCTCCCAATTACTGCTACAGATGCGGTAACCAAGCCGCAATTATGGAGATTGACGAGCACCTGAAATACACATTGTAAGCAACACCGCTTGCAACCCAGCACGGAGCCTCTGCTAATAACAGTAATAGCTTGCAATTCGACCCGTGCCCCAGAGCAGGCGAGCCTATGGTTTCTAGAAGTAAGCCGCTATCCGAATTACGGATTTTGTTTTATACTCACGATACTAACCTCTGTAGGGACACCTGACTACTTCCTTTAATCTTCGTGCTTTCGCTGTAGAGTGGGTAGCAGGACGCCGGCGGCTGACTGGGGCCACAAGGAGGCGAATAGACTGGGTCAAATGGATTTATTCAAAGTATTCTGCTAATACAAGAGGGTGCTTTCTAGAAGGAATTGCACCGAAAGACACGAACGAGCTACGCACGTTTTGTAGCTGGCGGTTGCAACTCTGGAATAGCACGACGGCGTGGATGTGCGTGGGTGGCTAGTGGCCTGTCGTTCCGACCTGTTACATTATAGAGTTTTACGAAGCACAGAGGTTCAAGGAAACGGTAAAGATAAAAAAAGAAAATAAAAGGAAGGAGTTTATAATCCATCACTGTGCCCTTGCCTACAGCGTTGTTTATTATGTGAGTAATGGCTGGATAGGAATCCATCGATGATTTTTTAAATACGCGATTGCAATGAAAGATGCGTGATATTTTGATGAATGTCGTTGTATATAGATTAAAACTATCTGATTAACTTCCAGTTGTCTCTTCTAGCTAGATACTGAAATGATAATACAATGCATCAATGTACATATAATGCTCTTTATATTCGTGATTGTGTGGAATTGTGTACAGGAATCATAAGAAGGTGGTGTATCATGGTTAGGCATCGGCTTCGCGCTTCTCGAGTTCAGACTGGAGTCTGTTTTCCCACTGACGCTCCTGTTGGCGTTGCTCAGCGGCTGTGATGGGACGATCTTCAGTTACTGCCTCCTCATCGGTCTTGGCATTGGTGGAGTTGGCGAGACGGCTATAGTCTCCCGGGGCCTTGCTGCCATTGGGGATAAGGAAGAGGCGATCGAAGCGATTGAGAGCGTAGGTAAAGACGACAACGAGTTCAATGACGTAGTTGAAGCAGTAGTAGCAAGCCTTGCTATGGAACCAAGCGGGATCAGTCTTTGGGCGGACATAGTAGGCAATGCCTGCGCGGAAGCCAGCGCCGAGAGTGAGGAGCGCTGCGGTGAAGAGGACGAGGAAGACCTTGAAGCGCATGGAGCCGGTGCCAAAGTTGTCAATGGGAGCTGTGCGAGGCACGGCAAAGTTGACGGCCAGGATTGGTATGGGGAGAAAAGCGAGGACGGCGAGATATGTGACCGCAAAGAGCTGTACATTACGGATCTTGCTGAGAACGGTCGTATCAAGCGTGTAGAAGCCGTAGACGGAGGCGATGATGACCATGATGAGCATGCCAACAATGCTGAAGAGGAAAAATCGGAAGAAGATCCTGCCAGGCGTGCTCCAGCCAAAGGTTGGATGGTGGGCGCGCACTATACGCTGTGTGAGGAGCAAATTGACAATGAAGAGCAGGACGACACCGGCGCTGGTGAGAACACCAGCAGCAATGGCAATGCTGGCGTTGCGAGGGTATCCAGCCCAGACTATGCGCATGACGTTGGCGGCGATTCGCGCCATGGAGAAACCGAAGACAACAGCCGACAGGACGAATTTTATGCCGCGTTTTCTATTGCGTTGGAATATCGTCATGTTGAGTGCGGCAGAGCATATGAAGAGCGCAATTAGGACTGCTGAGATTGGTGCGTCCACGTCCAGCGTCGGTTGGCCACCGAGACCTGCACCCTGTGGTGCATAAGGAGGACCTGGAGGCGGGCCTTGCATGGCGCTTGGCTGGGAGCCGGGACGTTGTTGCGGCGAGCTCATTGTGACTGTGACTGTGGAATTGTGATTTGTTGGTGTTGAAAAGAGGAGGGCCAGCTGGCAGCAGGTGCTGTGCGGCCGACAAGGGAGAAAAGCTGCTGGCGGTAATTGGCCGTGCTGTTAGGCGGTTTGCAATGCAACTGGGGCGATTGCCGATCAGGCGATGCGGAGATAGATGGGAGAGGCTCTGTTGCGGGTGGTGTCCGAAACAGTGCGTGCGGACTTGGATAAATTCTGAGAATAGGACTTTGTTCGTTTCAAAGGAGGATGTTTTAGAAGTCGGGGATTGCGAGGGGGGCGGACAATGGGATGAATTTATTGTTCGGACAGAGGGGAGGCTAAAACCGAGTTTGTTCGCTGCGTGCGGGTGCAACATGGGAACAAGAACGCATGCTCGCTGTGGTGACGGTGCTTTGGGGGCCGCTTTCAGCTGTTAAGGGCGCTGGAAGAGCGTGTCGGTGGTCGGTGGTGGGCAGCGCCGTGGTGCCGATCTTGGTGCTGGGAGCTGCATTTGGGAACAGTAGCTTGCTTAGCGTGGTTTGGAGGGCGCTGGAATGCTGGGCAATCTATTACCACCTGCAGAGTGCGACAAGCAAGAAACTTGGGTTGCAGCCTTGTGCGACCAACCTCTTTTGACATTTTTTATAATAGTAAAATTTTATAGCAATTTGTAAATTTATGGACAAATGTAGTATATTATTTCTTTTTACACTGGTACTGTTAGCTGCTATCACCTGTCGAACACGACCACATGGTGACGCCCACAATGTCGGAGGTCGGCATTTCGCGTCGACGCGAAAATGGACGACTGTCCATCGGACCTAGCTTAGCTCCACCAAACGGCGCTCGCTCCGACGAGTGACGCTGGATGCTGCGGAGTAAGGCTGATAAATAGAGAGCTGTACCGTGGCGTTTAAGCAAAAAAATTACTTTAAATCTTTTGACAATCGCTGCTTGGTAGGACGGATCTGTCGGAGATTTCTGACGCGGGCAACCTTCTCGAAACGACTGCTCGGCTGTCCGAGGAGGACGAAATCTCGTCATCTCCTGATTTCTCTCCGACATCATACGCTTGCGGAGGTGGTGGCAAGATACTATTAGAGTCTGGATTTTTGTAGTATGTGTGTGTGCATTACACAATCACCGCAAGGTGATGATCAGTAATATGGCTTACACATCTGGAGTAAAAGCATCTAGATCAGCAGCATCACGTTGGAGAGCCCTATTCGGTAGGGGCATCGTCCATCCATCCAGGAACACAATGCACTGGAATGTAAATGCGGCCGAAAAAAGCCCTATGTAGAGTCCTCTGCTTCCAGATTGGGCTGCTTTTGTCTCCTTGTATGGCGAGACATGTCTCACTCCCTGCATCTGCATCTACATGCGGGCTGCATATCTGATACCGCCAGCGTCTGTAGTCTCCAAGTGCAGTATGGACTTTGGGCGAACTGCCTATGCCGAAATTCATGCCGCAGTGTACAAGGTATAAATCAGGTTGCTTGAGACGGAAATCCAAGTCGTGAATAAGACAGACAGCAGAGTTGCATAAGACAAATGAACCACGTGCATTTCCCAAGCTGCTTTTGCCGACGGGAGAATGCATGATGTGTTGTCTACAAATGCGATATCGCGCTTTGACTACTAGTGTTGTATTGCTTCTTTGGCCCCTTTGTTTTAACTCACACATTGCACACGTCCTTTTTGTCTTGCAGCTCTCTGGGTCATGCGTCCAACCTCTGCATCGCCGCGCATGAAACATAGACACCGTGCCGCTCTTGGCATATAGACTCAACCATCATATCAGGTAGAAGACAAAAAAAGAGGGGATAACTCCTTTTCTATTCTATACAGATATGGGAAATCACGAGCTTGTGGTGCAGACTGCATCGATACATTGGCGGTGGTTGTTAGCGACCTGAACTAGTATATGCCCACTGGCCACCTATGCAGGTAGGGGCTTTGCGTATTGAATTTTCTTGGGCGACGACTCAGGCGATGCTGCAGCCAGCACTCAACTATTCCAGCGGGGTTTCTTGTTATGCTTGTCTGCGCAGGGCAAAGACGGTGGTTTCATGCATGCATAAGCGAGTTAACGCATTGTAGGGAAGGGGCTGGATGCTTAGCTGGCTTTAAGTTCTAATAGGCGTTAACGTGGTCCCGGAATGCGGCCGTTGTTTCTGCTTTCTTGCCCGCTACGAGGCGGTTGTAAAAGTAAGTTAGTGCATTGGGCATGGTCCGCACGCTATTCTGGCCCTCTCCCCACCCCTCCATGCTAATGCTGCACGCCAATGACAAAGGTATCGTGACATTTGGGCTGTGGTTTGTCCACTGGGCGCCGGTGGAAATCGCTAGTGCAGCGGGGGGCGCGGTCGCCCGGCTGTTCATGTTCAGGTACCCGTTGCGTGCGTGGGCGGGATCGCAGGGGTTCGCGTGTGTGGTGCGCGATGGGCTATCCGCCAAACAGGGACACAGGAAAAACGAAGACAGCCAAAGTAATCTCGGTGAGCCTCTACGCCTGTCGATGCGTATTTTATTTTGTTGCGCGGCGATTGGGTCTGCCGAGACCTCTAGCCGTCATTTTGTATATACAATTGGTGATACGTGTTTTTTTCTAGTCGCTATTTTTCTTTTTCTTCCTCCCGTCTTTGCTTCTTTCAGTGGCAAGCTAGACGATGTTACCACTGAGTAGTGCTGTGGCCCTCTGTAAGCATGAGTGACTCGAGCCGGTACTGGGACTCCAAAAAAGCGTTGCTTGGTAGCAACCCCCCCTGGTCACCCTTCTCTATCTCAAATTTTCCCCTTCTGCTTTTGGGGGGCCAGGGCTTGGATGGCGTTTTCTGTGTTTTAAACACCAATTAATAAAGCGTCTTTTCCAATTTCCCAAATTTAAACTACGCTGTTCCCGCGCACTTTGTGCTGCCACCTCCATCACCTTCAACCCCCCCTTTTTTTTCGTCCTCTCTTTTAGTTAGCGCCTACAACTCTGGTCTAATAGCGCTAAACCGTCGCCTTTTTTCCTTTTTCTTTCTCTTCGACCATACACTTAGCGCCTATATCCACTGTAGCCCGTCACTAGCTTCTCCCCCCCGGCGCATCCACTTCTGCCGGCCTGGTCCACTCTAACTCTGTGGTGGACAAACCAGAGGCTGCCGTGGCCCCCTGCACAACACAGCACAGCACCCGCGGAGCTCACCCGCAGCGCACTGCAACGACCCAGCCCGCCCATTGTTTCTTTCTCTCTCTCTCGTGCTTCTCCTCCTTTGTTCCTCCGCCGTTGTTGCTTTTGTCTCACTTTAGCCTGGTCGTCCCACAAACCAGGCTTTTCAAAGAAGGCATTTTTTTCTTTTCTTCTGCTTCTTTTGCGCTCAAAAGACCACGGCTGCTCTCGTTTGCCGCTTTTTTTTCTCTCCGTCATTCTTTGTCCTCACTCTTTCTAGTTGGCAAATCTCGCTTCTGGCGTCGCATCGTCGCATCTGCTGCTGCTCCCGTCCCATCAACGGGCACCAACGGTTTCCTGGCCTACAAAGCTTTACCACAGCCTTTTCATTTTTTTCCGGCTCGAACCAACCGAAGGAACGACCGACTACATCTAGGAATTAAGCATTTGTTGTACCCGAGACGCTATTCCAGTCTTGTATCTTTAACAAACATTGATGCCATCTATTGCGCCCTTTTACGACGACTGCCCTGCATTTCTTTGACGGGAGCTTACCATCGCTTCTCCTTATTCACCAAGCTACTCCGAGACGACCAACTTCCTCAGCTCGGCTCCCTTTGAATGGATTTCTGACAGCTCGTGTGTATATTGAAGGCTTTTCAGGTACACTCCGGCTGATTCAAAGCTCGGACTGTTACAAGCTTGACTCTACGACTCTGCCTTTGGCCTCCAACCACATCGATTTATTAGGATCGGGATCGGAAGCTTTCTCATCTCTATCATTATCACACCAAAAGTCACATCTCAACGTCGTCACCCGATGGAACATTCAATTCATGGCGCTTTGGCGTCAACGCGGCGCATGAGGCGTCAACAGCAGCGCGCAGCTAAACTGGCCGTCCTACTTCTGTTACCTTCTCTACCAGATATGGCATCCGCACAAGCTTCCAAGTGCGTTTCACTGCAAGGCTCAAAAAGCTGCCCAGCATTTCAGTCCGCCTCCGTATCAACTTCCAGCCAAGAGCTTTTGAGTCACTAGTAAGCCTACCATGCATACGCATATCTATAACCAAAACAAGCCCACTGACAATTGATTCTGCAGCAACTTCCTTCAATTCGTATCTGACGCCAAGAGTTTTGATGATCAAATGGACAGCTTTATCAAGACGGCATATATCCAGCAGCAATTCCAGAATCGATTTGGATGCAATGACGTAGATTTGCGAAATTCCAGCAGCATGTATGCGAGATGGACAACCACAGTCATTTGTAATGTCATGGTTCAGATGTCTCACCAACCATGCTCTCTATCAGACGATGCAGCCCGCCCTATATGTGCCGACACTTGTGCCGAGTACGCTCAGAGTGAAGCATGGATTACTGCTAATAGCAATCTTTGCAAAAACCCAAACAAGAACATCAACGACCTTATCCGCGCAGACTTTACGACCTGTGGCCTGCCTGACCGCTCTCTCAGTGGACGATGCATATCTGGTGTCGAAAACGAATCCAATAACTGTGGTTTTGGAGCCAACACAATAGGACTGTGCACGTACTGCGGAGCTGGTGGAATTAACTCTACAGATACTTGCTGCTATGCCTCCAAAGCTGAATCTCGATGCGAGGGAGTCAAGCTCCCAAAAGTTACGCCCACGGTTACGTTCCTTACTCAGACCCCATCTGCAACATCCAGCTCAACTGCCGGCGCCGCCCCAACCCACGAAACCGATGATGCAAAGACTGGAGGTAGTGGCAAGTTAAGCGGCGGCGCCATTGCTGGCATTGTCATAGGTGCTATTGCTGGCGTGGCTCTCCTAGCCTTCTTGCTATTCTTTTGCCTACGCACCTCGCGCAACCGCAAAGGTAGCCAACGTGGCAGCGTCTTTAACCAGCCAGCACCTTCACGTAAGGCTGCCCCTCCTATGCAGCAACAAACTCCTGCTCCACAGGGATATGAAGTGCTTCCCGGCGGCCGAATTGCGCGTATGTCTGCTCTTGAAGGCCACTCTGGCCAATCCCCGGCGGCGAACCGCGCGAGCCGATCCAACAGTGCCTACACAGGCAGCCGCAAGAAGGGAGGCAGCGATGACTCGTCGTCAGACGAGTATGGTGATGCCCAAGAATACGAACATCACTCTGCCCTGCGACCTCCTCCAACCACCTCTAGAAGACTTGGATCTCTGTCTAGCGCGTCAGCCCTTCATAGCGATGGCCAGCTCTCTCCCGTGACTTCGGGCGGCTTTTCTTCACCCCAGCAAATGACCAGCCAACAATCCGAACAGCTTCCCTTCTTCAAAGATTACTACTCGCAGGACGATATCCACCCTAGTGATCGTGTGTCTGTCCTCTGGGCATACCAACCTCGGGCTGGCGATGAGTTCATGCTTGAGCGCGGCGATATGCTCAAGGTGGTCGGCATCTGGGACGACGGCTGGGCGACAGGTATTATGCTAGACGAACGAGCTGAAGACTATGAAGCAAGGAGACAAGCTCAGCGGGACAGCGGCGTCTCTAGCTCCTCTCAGGGCCCATCGGCATCTGATGGACCAAGAAGCGAGATGAAGGCATTCCCGCTTGTCTGCGTTTGCGTACCTCAGCATTGGAAAAAGATTATTGAAGGAGACGGGTCTACGGAATCCGGCACAGCTGTTGCTCATGCTCCTTCACGAGTTCCTTGATTGACAATAATGCTCCCCAACCTTTGCTCGTTCTCGTCTCACTATTCTCCCTCCTTCTATTTCTCTCACTGTCTTTTTTGGAATAAGCTACATTACGTAGCACACCAGACGATTGGCTACACTCCGTTTCCCTTGACATTTGTCTCTTTGACTTTCGGCGCTATCATCTTTGCGACGAGCCGATCATAACGAAGCGCAAGCAGCTCTTCTCTCTTTCACATGCGTATTTGCATATCCCCGACACACCTTTAACGAAATATGACTTGCGGGTAGTATTTATTAATCCCGTTACTCTGTACATTCTTCTTTTGTTGTTACTTTTTTTGGGCACTCTGGCGTTTACACCGTTTCGATTATGTGGCGAGTAGTCGACTGAGAGGCTCACGATTGATATTTTCATAAGCACCGAGATACCTGGAGGCTCCAGTTTGAATTTATTTAGCTAGTTCAGATACCAATACCAGTTTCTTTTCTTTTTTGAACACACTTTTCCAATTTATACTTGTTCACATATGCTGGCTGTTGTAGTTTGCCATGACGTAGAGCAAAGTGCAGTGTGAGACTTGCTCCGTATTATGCATGCGGAGGTGGGGGTGAAGCGAGGGGCAATGCACCATCCACCAGCTTCAAACGTAGCAACTTCAAAATCGCTACTATTCACTGTACTCACCACTGCATTTACAATCGTTGACCATGACGGAAACATTAAATGCTGCCATGGAGGCAGCCGTCTCCCGATTCAAGCTCGAGAGAGTCCTGAACCAAGGTAATCAACAGGTGTCCGCCGTTTTCCCTCGGAACCCTCCAAGATGGATGTGATGATACTAAGGCCGCATTGCGCTATAGATCAAGCTGGACGACGCACATCCATGTACGGAACGATAGATGATAAGCCTGCGCTTTTGGTGGTAGAGAGAGCCACATTCCCCGAAGAACAAGCCTACTTTGCGACGCTGCCTTCGACGCTGGCGCGCGTCAAGAACCTCGGAGCAAACGACATTTACAGCTGGCACATGGCGCTCAACGGCGATGCGAAAACGATGGCTACCGAGGGCGAGTTCTACCCCGACTTGAAGATTAATTTGATATATCCTTGCACGGAGACACACATTAAAAAGTACAGCAAGCAGGGCGTGCGGTTTGTTACGGAAACGGCCGAGATTTACAAGGACCGTGTTCGACCATACATGCTAAAGAAGAGAGAAGAAGGACGTTTAAACTGGGTATTTAACATTATTGAAGGCAAGAAGGAGGTAGAAGACGTTATATACAGAACGAAGCTAGGTGAGGCCGGCGACGAGGGCTTCTTGATGCTGCCGGATCTGAACTGGGACCGCAAGACATTGGATGCCTTGCATCTGCTGGCGATTGTGGAGAGGCGTGATATCTGGTCGCTGCGCGATCTCAAGAAGAAGCACATTGCGTGGCTCGAGCACATGAAGGCGAAGCTGCTGGCTGCCACAGTGGCCACGTACCCGACCATCGAGGCGGACCAGCTGAAGCTTTACGTCCACTACCAGCCGACATACTATCACTTCCACATCCACATTGTGCACGTGCAGCTCGAGGCCGGCGCAACCCAGGCCACGGGCAAGGCCGTGGGACTGGAAAGCATCATGGAGACTCTCAAGGCTATGGCGGGAGATGGCGAGGCTGGTATGGACTCGGTGGCTATGAGCTACACGCTGGGCGAGGCGAGCGAGTTATGGAACGAGGTGTATGCGCCGCTTAAGAGTGGCGATGGTAAAGCTTCTCAATAGCAATGACGAGATCGTTGACGCCAGCACCATGGGGGCAGTCAACCCACTCCCCGCCATCGCGGATGCAGTATATTTCGTTGTCGAGTCGGACGGTGCAGCTAAGAGTGACATTTGCCTGCTAGAGGTTAGCCTTGTTCTCGTCCGTAACCTAGAAATTACAAGCCTATCTAGAATTAAACTTACGTCCGATGTGCGTTGTACGCTGGCGCGTAGCAGGCCCAGGCCATGAGCGCCGTCATCACGAGTAGCACACTCGTTGAGCTTTTGAATGTCTATGGCATGCTCGAGAGCGCAGTCCTCGACCAGAGTGCGGTCTGGGATGCTCTGGTATTCCTTCGTAAGGCACATAACGAAGCCAAGGTTGGTTTTGGGATCGGGGTAAAGCTCGCGAGCGCACAGCTCGATAATATTGCCCATGCACTCCGAGGGCCCATGCTTGCAGTTGATTCCATCATCAGGGGCAGGTCTATAAGGAATATGAGTTAGTATGGTTTGCGATTTAGGTAAGGTGGCGAGAGTGTCTTACGAGCCAATGTACGAAAGCGTAAAGTTGACCTTGTCGTGGATCTTCTGCATAACAGGGAGGACAAGCTGGCGCATGGCATCCTAGAAGCTGGTTAGCGGTGATGCGAGAACAATATCTTCCCCATGATGGCAAGTGCATACTCTAGTATCAGGGCATTTGCTGATAATGTGCGCTTCTAAGGGTACCAGATAGCCGGGTTTGGTAGTGGCCCCAGCGGTAGCTAGCTTGTTATCGCTCAGGCCGTGATAGCAGCCCGACAAGAGACCCGAGCCATTATGAAACGAAAAGTATACGACGGAGATGAGCGCGAGGGCGATGACGAGGATCCGGGTTCGGCGGAGGCGGCTGGGGATATGAATGTTGGGCATGTCGCGGACAGCAGAGCGCTTCTCATCCATGGCTAGCTGGGAGCAAATGAAGCGGATGCCTGAATACGAGCGGTTATGGGCGAGAGGGCAAAATGCAGGTGGGATCGTCAAGAGGACAGCGATGTTAATCTGGCGATGATGGACGGCGGGTGGTAACGGAGGGAGACTCGCACAGTGAAGCTGGGGAAATGCCGTCGGGCAAAGGCTTAGAGAAGGAAAGTGGAGGCCAGGTGATGGTGCAACGCTGGGGTACGCTTTAAGCGGGCGGAGTCCAGTGGATGCCGTACCGTATGCGTGACTAGTTTACAGTGGGCAAAAGAAGAAGGTCACAGGCGGGGGGGCAGATGACCGCTGTACTAAAAATTTCGGGGGCAATTCGGGCGGTGGCTTGGGGCGATGCGTCGGAGATGCGGCGGGAAAGATTAGCTGGAAACGTTGCACTGGGGAAAGGCAGAAGGAAGAGGAAGAAGGAGGGGGGATAGAATATATGGAGAGGAACAATTATTATTATTTCTTGAGGCAAAGGGGAGTAGAACTAATGCTGTTGAATATACTTCCGTACGGTACCTGTCCTGTTGTAAAGTACACTGCTGATTAGCGGACGCATGCACTAAACCATTGGCAAACCGGCTACTGGAACAGTACAGCCCAACAAGTAACAGCCCTATAGCAAACCCCCTAATTTCGACCCCGCCCTTCTAAAACCTCGCTGCCTAAACCCGCAGAACAGACTTGCCCCGCCGACGCTAACTCGCACCTTCCTCCAGCGCCTGAAGCGAACCGCAACGTCACACTTGCTTCTCCCCCAAACTCGCTGCCCGCCACAAAACTCGTCCCTCCGCATCGCCGCTAATAAAACACGGGGCCAACCCTGGGCTATTTTATGCCCTGTCGTTGTTTTTCTAGTCTCCAGATCTGCAATTCCCTTTCCAAGCTAACGGGGTACCACCTTCTGCGACGTTGTTTAGCGCTTACGCAACCGCTATAAACCCCGACAGCTCATTGCCATATACATAAAACCCTCCCCAAAACCAACCTTGTCTAGCGACTATGCAGCCTTGAGCTCACCGTTCATCCCACCTTCGTCACAGATCTAAGACACGCCGCCGCTTCGACGCACGCCTGCACACAATGTTGACGCCGCCGCAAGACCCCGTGCTGCAGGAGTTCTTGCAGCCGCTTGCCATTGACCTGCAGACCTCGTACAGGCTCTCGTCCCTCTTCCTCAACAACTTTACATATTTGGCCGCACAATCTCCCGACCAATTTCTGCCGACTCCTATATCAGAATCGATCCTGCGCCCAATTGCCAACACTGGCAGTGGCCGACATTTGGCAATCGACATGTAAGACAACATAACAATCCGTTAGCCTGACTGTGGCGGTAATACTAACAAGACATGGCAGTGGCGGCACAAATCTCAGAGTAGGCTTCATCGAGCTAGTCGGGAATGACCTCCGTAACGGCCATTACAATGGGGATGCAAAGCCTCACCTGAACGGCAACTCCCACCCCGGCGAACGCATCCGCCGTCTATTTGAAAAGTCATGGCCCATTTCCAACCATCTTAAGAACCAAAACGCAGAGAGTCTCTTCCAGTGGATCGGAGAATGTATCGCACAAGTTGTGGAGTCGGCACGCAAAGATCTCAATATACCCAGCGATGTTAAGCTGCCTCTTGGTGTAACATTTAGCTTCCCAGCACAGCAGAGCTCTCTTTCACAAGCATCTGTGACATCAATGGGCAAGGGTTTTGCTATTTCTGAAGGAGCTGACCTGGGAATCTGCATTCAAGAGGGCTATGCGAAATTCAAAACACCGGAGTTACCAGAGATCCAAGTTACCGCCATTGCAAACGACTCCGTCTCGACCCTTGTCTCCTTCATCTTCAACTTTGACGCCAGTGAACGCCGCCGTGCCAGCATGGGTCTCATTCTAGGAACAGGGTCCAACGCCACCGTACCCTTGAAGCTTAACCGATTGCACCCCAGCAAGTGGCCCAAGAACGTCAGCATGCTGGATGGCGAGAATGTAAACCATACCAGAATTGCCGTTAATACCGAATGGAGCATAAATGGCACTGAATCGCCCATGCGTGAGCTGAGCCTCATTACAAAGTGGGATGATGTTCTATCAGCCCAGAACGAACGACCAGGGTTCCAGCCGTTGGAGTATATGACTGCGGGCCGATATCTTGGCGAGCTTGGCCGTCTGATGCTCGTCGACTACCTAACAATTACGCTGTCCATTGCTAAAGACACGCTGCCGGAAAAGATTCTTCAACCCGGAGCGCTCACTACCACCTTCCTGAGCCACTTCAAACCTTTGGAGACGACGACACTTCTCGCCTTGCTACAGGCTGAAATTCCCACCACAGGGCAATTCACGTGGACGGAGCAATACGCGGCCGCTCTTTACCATATCGCCAAGGCTATTGAGTACCGCGCAGCCGGTATTATTGCCGCTGCAATTATTGCACTTCTTACGCTAGCAGAAGAACTTCCTGTATCCGCCGCTGACCAAGCAACTGCGCCTTCAGCCGACCTTGGTGTAGGATATACCGGTGGCTGTATTGTTCATTTCCAGGATTATTTGGTCGACTGTCAACAATTCCTGGACGACATCCTGGCTCTCAAATTTGATGGCGCCCTGCCTGCAAAGGTAGTACTGAGCCCTTGCCATGACGGTGGCATTAGCGGCGCTGGCATATTGGCTGCGGCTTCCTTGTCTAGCAGCGAAGCTGGCACGGCGTAAACCATCCTCTGAAAAGAAAAAGACAATAAACGAGGAACTAGAACGCCACTATTACAGAGGAAGAGAGCTGTATATAGCATCACAAGCATGTATAGGGTTGCATGTTTGGCATATTTCTACCCTCCAGTGACGAAATTCATCGCGTTTATCATTGTGCGGCAACATTTAACGAATATAGACTCTTTTCTTGTATTGGGAATAATGCCAACTCTTTAGCATATTCAAGTCATTTTAATAGATACATAGGCCCTAATGTCCGGGGAATACAATACATGCTACTTCCTCCCACATATTGTCCTGCTGCTTTTCAAAATTCCAAAAGCGCTAAATTACATGCATTAATGAACTCCGTTTACACCACCTGCTGTTAACGCCTCGAGCTCCTCCTTTGCGCGGCGATAGTTTTCTTGCGCCTCTCGTTCTCTTCTGCTCACGTATGCTACCTCTTCACGGAGCGCGCCAAGGCGACGCTCAATGGCGCTCTCTTCAGAGATGGCCAGCATCTTGAAGCCAGACAGGGCGACGCGAGCCTTTTCAAGGGCATCTGCGGCATCGCCAATCTTATCCTTCAGCAGTGTCTGGCGCTTCTGGTAACCGCCAAGGTGCAACTTAAGCTTGGATTCTACCTTGGCTCCCTTTTCGGCGGAACTCATGAGGCTTTCTTGGGCGACCTGTGAAATATGGTTAGCAACTATTGCTTTGGTTACGGCTACAGAATCGACAAAGTGACTTACTTCAAATGCAGCACGCATGATTTTCAGCTCATCGGGCTCTGATGTTTGCGCGTAGCACCCGAGGCCGAGACGAGTCGTGTCAGCGGCCCTGCTCTCGAACATGGCTTGGATGTCGTCGAGCTTGGGCAGCTTGGCGGCCTCAGACAGAATTAGGAGTCGCGCATCGGCCAGCGAAGCGTCGTCAATCTGCGCCAGTGGGCGTCCACCGCGCTGCGGTTGCGATCCTGGCAGCGGGTATCTGGCAGCGTCGTTGGCCATTAGGGCCGCGGCTTCGAGGGCAATGAGGCGCTCGGCATCGTTTTCAATCGCCTCTGCTCGCTTAATCATGGCATTGAGATCGACCTTTGCGGGACGCGGAAGCTCCTTCTGCATTACTTGCGTGCGGCGGCGTCGCTCTAGCTCGTCAACAGCAGCTTGACGCTCGCGCTCGCGGCGATCTCGTTCAGCCGAATCCTCTTCAAGTCCAGTACCCGTCGGGTCCACTTCTTCCTGCTGCTCAGGCAGAGCAAATTCAATCTCCTGAGGTCGAGGGAGAGCGGCAAGTCCGGATCTGAGCTGCTCGCGCATAGCCAATTTTCTCATTTTGACATCGCGTGGCGTCGCACCCCCCGACGAGCCATCGTCTTGGTTAAGAGCAAATGTATCTCGTGGCGTCCGCAACGGTGTCTGTCCAGGTCGCCCAGATTCACCACCTCGCATAGGTGTGGCCATGGGGTTTGGCGTAGCCATGACATGATTGCGTGGTGTAATGCCGCCAAAGCCTAGCGACTCGGACGTTTCACCACGCAGAGGTGTGTTTTCACCACCCAACAGGGCAGATTGTGTATCGTTGAGGGCTCGAATCGCGCGGATTTCGTTGGCAATGTGATCCTCCTCCTCGGGTGCTTTTGGCGTGCGGATAGAAGCATTGGTATTTAATGTGGAATAGCTGTTGACAAATCCGCGGGTGGCATCGTTGTCGCTCTCTCTCGCTCGCATATTGGCAGCCTCTCCCATCTTGCCCATCTTGACAATGTCGTCGAGCTCGCCATCTCCGACTTGAGGCGCTGGGAGGTTGAGCGAACGGCGCTTGCTCATCTGCTCAGCCTCTCGAATCTTTTGTAGTTGTCCGGCCTTCATGGCTGCCTTTTGGGAGTCTGATGGTCCTTCTTTTTCGTTCTTTCTTCTCTTTCTCTCGTTATCTTCGTCACCGTCGCCTTTGCGCTTGTTGGCCAGATGCTGCTTCTGAGGATCGAATGCTTTGCGCATAGCCTCGTTTTCTGCCAGTTCCTCCGATGTATCATAGAATCCAGGTGCAGCCTTCTTCTCAAACGGAATATCGGCATTGTAGTCCATCTCGCCCTTCTTACGCGTGACGACCTTGACGTTGATGCCGGCCGTCTTGAGTTCACGGCGCTTCTGCAGTGTAGCCAAGCGGCGCGACTCCTCCTGTTGTCGCTCACGAGCCTTTCTCTTTGCCTTTTTGCCTTGTGTGTTTGCTAAACGGGCTCGAGCCTCGCTCAACATCTCCTTTTCGTCCTCATCGAGATCAATAGTATCGGGGCGAGCCGGTTTCGTTTCGGGATCGGGATCAAGCTCTCCAGGTCGTAATCGTCGCACATCGTCTGCACTTGGAGCAGAGGCCTCGCCACCATCGACACCTGTCAGACCAAAAGCCGACGACTCTCGCGCTTCGGCTTCGTCGAGGAGCTTCTGGTAGCGTTCGAGGCACTGGTTCGCAGTGCGACCGACAATGGGGGCAATTGTGCGCCATTGCGTCGGCATAATCTTGGCAAGATGCAGCAGCTTTTCATCTTCCTCTCTGCTCCATTCTATCTTCTTGATGCTCGGGTCGAGCCATTCGTTCCAGCGAGCTTTGCACTGCTTGGCCGTCTTCCTGGCGAGCAGGGACGAGACACGCGCCCACTGGTTGAGGCCATATTTGGAGACGGACGCCTTGAGGATCTCGTCCTCAATGTTTGTCCAGACACCTCCTTTAACGACCGGCATGATGGCGGCTGCTGAGTGATGGGAAGATTTGGCGATCGCGCGGATGGTTTCGTCGAGGTTGAGGCGCTGAGCAACGCGATCCGCAAAATATTCTGGCAACCTAAAAATCCGCTGAGTCATCATTCGGGGACAACCAAAGTTGGGCGACATGGCGATGAACTTTATAAGAAGACGGGTTGAAAATGTTAAATTGTAGCTTGATTTGAAAGTTTATTATAGATTTTAGGCAGTTACATAATTTTTTTTAAATATTTAATCTATATTATTGCAGGTAAAATGTGTGACAGGACAACGATATCGTACAATGTAACAACTACTGCCATGCTAACGTGTAGAATGAGAGCCAGTGCGCCGCTATAGTGATTTTTTACAAGTAGCTGACCGGCATAGCCAAAGATGAGAACGTTCAATGTTCTATAGCGCGCCGTTGAAAACACCCAACACGACTGCACTGACGAGAAGCAAAGGACCAAGCTTGGTCTGCTGAGCAGCGGACCTGCTGCTGCTTGGGGACGCAGTCGCTTGCGTAGTGGGCTGGCTACCAGATTCACCTTTGGGTAAAGTTGTAGCTCCAGCAGGACTAGCAACCGGGGTTGTTGTCGCCGTGCACCCCTTAGACTTGAGAGCAGAAGAGTACGCTGAGAGCTGCTCTTCAGGGGACTTCTTTGGCGTGCTTTCAACCTTGCGCCATTCGTCAAGCCCAGCCGTCACGAAAAGCATCTTTGATCTCGCATCGACATCACACTCGGCGAGGGTCTCAGTTGCTGTTGCCAATGTATTACCACTTGGCCCAACCGTGACATGGGTGCAGTTGCGACCATTCTCTATGGTTTTGCCTTGAGTAACATAGGCACCAGAGCCCAAATCACAACCCCAGGAGGTTGTGGTACCCGAAACGGCGTATTGGCCCTCCCAGATTGACCCGGACCGGTGCGTGATGGTCTGCTGAGGAAAGTTGACGGACGTAGGGCAGGGCGATGCGCATGTTACGAGCAGGGTGGCTTCTCGCTCTTCAAACTCCTTGGTCGCGGCCGAAATGACGGAGCCGACCAACGATTGCGGTGCGTTTTGATCGTAAAGAAAGGCCAATCGATAATCGTTGGATGGGTGATTGATAGCAGGGCCTGTAGGAGCAGCCATTGTAGATGTGCCGGAGATGATGGTTTAAAGTGTCTTCTGTACGGGGATACGAAAGGATCGGTGAATAAAGGTTAGCCAAATAAAGGGAATTGGAAACAAAGAGTGTAAGACTAGAACAAGATATAGTAGAATCAGAAGAATAAAACAACCCACCAGTTCGCTTAGAGGTGCGGTGCTATAGGGGTCTTTTTAAACAGCAAAGCTCCTGAGTCGCGCGTTTGCCGGCTGGCAAGTGGGGGCGATTATTAGAGGAGACTGAAATAAAATAACAAGGCTGCAGCTCTAGGAAGGTCATTTTTTATTCGGCCGCCATCCTAATTCGGCTTTGGGCTGCTCAAGGGCTGGATATTGCCAGAGCCTGATTCTGGTTGTATGGTGGAGTTTGCTGATGAGAGTGTGTGCCCGCCCACTGAGCGAACAGTAACCGAAGACCTGCAAGTGTTGTATTAAGCTCCGCTCTACTGTTGCATTCTATAACGCGGTGCCTGCATTTTCTATGCAGCATGGTGGAATAAGGTACCTGATACATGTTGCATATGCACGACAAATTCAAAGCAGATTTGTTTGCGCGGGCTTGTACCAGTGTCTTTAAGGGGGATGGAACCGGCTTTTCTTTTTTCTTGGTAAGCACACACTACGGCTTCTGTCCGCAAAGGGAGCTAAAATGGCCAACAGGTCAACTGAGAGCCGCTAGTGATTCTCCCTCCCGCACCATTCTCCACTGCATTAGCGGATTTGAATTCCACTCCGGCTAACCTGGCTTACCCATCACACGATACAAATGGTCTAGATTCCCGTCCGTCGTCAATCAAAGCATCTTGATCTTGCACAATTCACAAACGCGAAACACATCGATTTGATACTCGCCGATACGATACCGCACCGGCACATACCGACACAAGATTTCTACCTTTTACAACCGCATCACCGACATACGGCTAAGCATACCGTTGACCTCACATACCAGAAGCTTATTGCCGGGTTGCGGAGTTGCATAACTGCGAAGCACAAAGCGTCGCAAACGCCGCGCCATGGCTCCAGGAACTCGTGCCGGTGCAGAGCCAACCGACAACAGCCCGGCGACGCATACACACCACGAGCCGACGATTGCAGACGAGTTTACCAGCTTGCTGGCTGGCCAAATTGCCAATGATGAAGAAGCTAGCTCGGACGCGACTCTCAACAGCGAGGGCGTCACTGTCGTCGACGAGTTTGTCGGCTATCCATGGTGGCGACGACCGTCAGTATTCTGGCTGCTAGGCCCCTATCTGCTCTTTACACTAGCATTCGGTGGTGTTGTCATCCCCAAGATCAACCTGATTCTGGATTTGGTTTGCCGACAGTACTTTAACGAGCAGCAAAAGCAGAATCCCAACCTGAAATACCCGCCCATTATTTTCGGAGCAGACAACCCACAATGCGAAAATAGCGACATCCAAAAGAGAATGGCCTTTTTCACAGGCGTTTTGAACCTAGTTACGGGAGGTATTGCCGCCTTTGTTGTGCCCAAAGTTGGCCATCTATCGGATCGCTTCGGTCGAACTAGACTGTTGGCCTTGGCTTCCTGTGGCGGCCTGCTCAACGAGCTCATTACCGTGCTTGCTGGAACATTCCCAAACACGATTGACTACCGGTGGTTGGTTCTGGGAGCCATTTTTGATGGAATGACAGGCTCTTTTACTGCTGGCGCTGTCCTCACCCAGTCTTATGCCAGCGACTGTACATTGCCATCGAAGCGAGCCGTCACCATTGGCTACATCCACGCCTGCCTGTTTGCTGGTTTGGCCTTTGGGCCCCTCCTGGCTGCTCAGCTTATCAAACTTACTGGCCAGGTCATGATTGTGTTTTATATAGTTATGGCCTGCCACTTGTTCTTCATCTTGTTTACCGGCTTTGTTATCCCCGACTCGCTTTCTGCAAAGAAGAAGCTTTTAGCTAAAGAGAAGTGGAGGCTAGCCAAGCAAGGCCACCAAGGCGGTCTCTTGTCTAATTTGCGCAAGTCTCACCCGTTGCAGTCCTTCCAGGCTCTCTGGCCCCAAGGTCCGGGAACATCGAGTACCCTGAGACGCAACCTTGTATCACTTGCTTTCACAGACATGGTCCTTATGGGAGCCATGGTTGCTATTTCACCTGTCCTCGTCATATACACGGGCTATGTGCTTCACTGGGGAACAGTAGACATATCCATGTATGTGTCCGCCGTCTGCATGGCCCGCGTTGTTGTCTTACTTGGCATTCTACCCACCATCAATTACTTTGCCAGAACCTTACCAGCTCGGCGACGAGGGGAAGGTGTTGATATACATACGGAGAAACGTCGCGGTGCAGATCGCTTGGATCTAATTATTCTGCGGGTTGCTCTCTTGTCTGATGTAATTGGAAGCACTGGTTACGTTTTTGCTCGCAACGGCCATGCTTTTTATGCTAGTGGCCTTATGACTGCGTTCGGCGGCATGGGTAGTGCTACTATCGGATCTATCATCACAAAGCATGTTCCACAGAATCGAGTCGGCGAAACACTGGGCGCCGTGGGAATGCTGCACGCTTTGGCTAGAGTTGCCGGTCCCCTCCTGTTTAATGCACTCTACTATGTCACCGTGGATACATTCACACAAGCAGTCTTTGTGCTGCTAGCTTCTATCTTTGGCACCGCGCTGCTCAATTCGCTATTCATTAAACCATTTGGTATGTATCAAGTTGTCGATCCGGCTCCGGCGCACCCATCACTAACACAAACTCTAGTATTCTGGGATGATCCCCATGAGCATGAGCATGAAGAAGACGAGAGATCTCAGCATGCTGTTCCCGAGCGTGATGCCCTTATCTTGGGGCAAAATTCCATTGATGCAGCCGTTGCATCCGCTTAAATATCAATACCATTTTGATACACGCCGATTTTGTATATACGCCCTTGGAAACGTAGATGACCGCTGTTTCTGCTTGTCAATACATATTTTATACTCATTTACGTTTTCTTTTTTCATATCCTGAATATTTAGAGTTGAATTTATTTTCATTTATTTACGACTCTGTCTGCTACTGTGATTCCGTAGGGCTGTTTGAATGGTGGTCCTTTGCTGGCCAGACACCTCTACGGACTCACTGCCGCCTCACGGCTCCACGCTCCAAGTCTATGCCACTAGCATCTCATAATCTCCCCCCGTGGCATCCAACAGCTGCGGCTGACTTGCAATACGAAAGACCGATTGAAAAAGGCGTTTTTACAGCTGCAACCAATTGGTCATGCTTAAAATAGCGACAAGAAGCCTTATTCCCCAAACATTATCGCGAATCCCGCTTCTTTCTCATCGCGCAGCGCGAGCAAATATGTCGTCCATCACAACCAACATTGAGGGCGATGCCATCAAATTTGGCCCATTTGAAGTTACAAAGCAAGTGTTTCTTAAGACACAGCATGTATTCGGCCTGGTGAACCTCAAGCCTATTGTCCCGGGCCACGTCCTAGTGTGCCCGCTAAAGCCGCACCGTCGCCTTACGGACCTATCTCCCGAAGAGACAGCAGATTTGTTTACGACTGTGCAGCAGACCCAGCGGATGCTGGCTCGAATTTACTTTAAAACAGACAACTTGGAAGCAGGAAGCTTTACAGTGGCTGTGCAAGACGGCCCCGAAGCCGGTCAAACGGTGCCGCATGTTCACGTACATGTGCTCCCGCGAACCAAGGACGATTTGGGCAAGGAACCAGACGAGGTGTACGTCGAGATGGCTAGTGAAACGGGAAATGTAGGCGGCGCGTTGTGGGATCGCGAACTCGGCCGCCGTCCTTCACCGGGCGGCAGCATGCCTCGCATCGAAGACCTCTCGCGAGTGGCACGCACGGCAGAGGACATGCATGAGGAGGCGGACCAGTACAAGGCCGTCCTTGGAGAGATGCTACAGTAATAGAATTATTGGGGTATTGCAAGGAGATGTTAGTCGAGCTTGTCCCATGTGTGGTTGAAAGTAGCAGATAGTGTAAGAAACGGGTATTGCAGTACTACGAAACCTGATTGAAATCCCGTGTATGTTAGTTTCATTACCGATTGTACGTTATGAATGTTAGGCCTGTTTAATTGTATTAGCCCACAGAGACAAGTGCAATCTTATGTGAGAATGCCCTCTGGCGGGGGGCGGAAAGCTCTCCGTTGGCCTCTGCAGTCTGTACTTGGTGCGAAGATGGTCAGGTGAGGCCGAGCAACATTAGCGTCAATCACCGCCATGTCATTCTGATAGCTTTTTGTGTGCTACTGTTTACAATAATATTTTTTTTTTTTGAAAAATCGGAGTATCCAGTAAACCGGCTCCCGAGTTACTCATAGAAACCGTACTAGCAGTAGATAGACACAAAGTTGGAAAATGTGTTGAATGTCCTATATACAGAGAGGCACAGTTGATGCAGCTACCGAGTTACTTAGTGCCACTTGTCTGAGGCAAACAAGAGGCGAGGCCCATTGCGGCTGCTGTGCTAGGTGTGGTTTGCGTAAATGCATACGCAGCAACGCGCCATGATCCAAGCGAAGATCGGCGCGAGATGCAAAAGGTGGGATGCAGACCAACGACGAGGAGGGGCTTGGCTATTCGCAGTAAGAGGGGTTTGGAATTCATACTGTGTATTGTATGCACGTAAACCAAACATATAGCAATGTCACCCGCCTTATCATTGCCACCAACGGTCCGGCAGCGGCGCCGTAACGCTCGAATTTTACAGCGGGTCGTCGGCGCCGTGGCCAACGACAATACAACGACGAGAAGCAAATAACAGCGATTTTTGCACAATACACTCCATGCAGGCAAATATTTTTGGTTCCGTCTGTTTGGTTGGTGCGTCAGCTCCCAGTAGAGATATCGGTCGGGGTATCTTTTTGTTTTGATTTGCTCCCACGATTACACAGCTGTTCTGCTGGTGCTGCTGCACAATAACATCACCTGTGTCGTTGAAATTACAGCTGCTTGTCTGGTGGGGGGGTTATTGGTGCTGGAACCCCCCACCACCTCGCGTGTAAGGGCGGCGCGCGGGGGCAGGCAGCCAAGTAAAGAGAAGGCGAGGCTACCACTATTACGGGGGGGCACACCTCTGAGACAGGGCATGCGGGCAACACGACCACCTGCCAATGAGCGCTGGAACAAGCCCACCACAATGGAGAAAAAAGTTTTCCAGTGCATACACCATGCCTCTCAGGCGGTGCCACGGCGGTTCCACTTGCGGTTATCGAGGGACCAGGGGCCCCTGGCTGCATGCGCCGGCCGCTAGCGTCGCCTAAAACGCACGCTGCAGCGGTGTTCGGCCACTAAAGACCACCCAGATACGTCTTCTAGGCAATTCCGGTAGCAAGGCCCGTACAGTGCACACTACTGTGCCATCTGCCATGTGAGCAAGCTGACTCCTTCCCACCTTTGGGACTGAAAAAACACGGCCTCCCACCTTTCTGGCTCTTTTGCCTCGTTCTATTTTTTGTCTTCTCTTTGTGTTGCAGATTCTTCTTTTCCTTTTGCTTCATCTGATTTCCTCTGCTGCTAATAGCATTGCATCTTTTCTTTTACTGCCTTGACGGTCTTTTTTGTAAAAGCGTTGAAGCTCGCATCTTGTTGCGCATCACACAACGCCGCCCCTCCATCCACCACGTCTTCTCTGCCCTGCTAGAGACAAGAACAACACCACCACCAAAAGCAACACTATATATACGCACACATTCACACGCATTTCATACACCCTCGCCGTCTGGTGCCTGTGTCTGTTGTCGTAAGCTCTCACACGGTCCTAAAGGCCATGGCCCTAACAAAGCAGGCGTACTACCGAAACCCTGATGACTTTCCCACCCTCCAACTCTTCCTCCTCGGTAAGTCCTTGTTGTAATCGTCAAAGGTAATACTAGAGTCACCATTGTTAACTGGCATCTCAAAGCCATTGTGCGACTAGCTGAACCCATTGCTCTCACATCCATCTACCCCTACGCCTGGGCTCTCGTCAAGAAGTTTGGAATTGGTACCGAGCAAGATGCATCCTTCTACTCGGGTCTCCTCATCTCCTCCTTCTCACTGGCCGAGGCCTTGATGGGTATGTACTGGGGAGGGCTTTCAGATCGTATTGGCCGAAAGCCTGTTCTCATGATTGGTTGCGTCGGCACCATGTTCAGCATGGTTATGGTCGGCTTCGCCTCCAACATTTGGATCGCTCTACTTGGCCGTGCCATTGGTGGTTTCCTCAACGGCAACATTGGTGTTATCCAGACCATGGTTGGCGAACTCGTCACTAAGCAAGAACATGAACGTAAGTTACAGATGGCAAGTTTTGTTTCTCTGTCTCCTTTTGGCTAATCCGACAAACAGCACGTGCATTTGCTGTCATGCCATTCGTATGGAGCATTGGCACCATCATTGGTCCTTGTATTGGTGGAACATTTGCTGATCCACACTCCGCATGGCCTGAAATCTTTCCCAAGGGCAGCATCTTTGATCGCTACCCGTACCTCCTACCTAACCTGATGTGCTCCTTTCTCATGCTCGTCAGTATTGTGCTGGGTCTCGTCCTCCTTGACGAGACGCACCCTGACATGCAACCCCGTTCCAATCTCCCTGCAGACACATACGTCTCGGAGGAAACCCCTCTAATGGAGACGTCCGACGCAATCAAGCGCCCTGCTGTCGACCTGCGTGCCGAAACGTATGGAACGATTCGCGAACTAAACGATGATTGTGAGCATGAATGGCGCTATGAGACTCCTCGTGAAGAAAAGTCTCTTTTCCTAGCCAATGTATGGAACAAGCGTGTCGTGGGATTCATCATTGCCCTGTCCATCTTCACATACCACTCCATGACGTACGACCACCTGATGCCCATCTTCTTCGAAGACCGTCGCGTATCTCCCACATCCATTCTCCAACTCAGCAGCCCACCCTTGCTATACTCGCCTGGCGGCCTTGGCCTTTCACTACGTGATGTTGGTATGATCATGGCTGTCAATGGCGTCATCGCCCTTGTTATCCAGGCCGTGGTCTTCCCCATTGCAGCAGAGAGAGTTGGCGTTTACAAACTCTTCCTCATTGTCACGGTACTGCATCCCATTGTGTACGCCATTGTACCTTTTCTTCTCTACGTCCCCGAATCCCTCATCTTCCCGGCCATTTACGTCTGCTTGGCCGTACGAAACACCCTATCTATTATCCTCTACCCGCTTCTTCTTATCCTCATTAAGGAAGCTACTCCTTCCAGCAGCGCTCTCGGAAAGATCAATGGTCTTGCCGCCAGCGCTGGTGCCGCATGCCGTATGATTGCTCCCCCAATCGCCGGTTACCTCTACATGTTTGGCAGCAAGCACAACTTCACTGCTCTCGCCTGGTATGGAAGTGCTGTGGTCGCCGTTGTAGGCTCCATCCAATGCTTCATGGTACCCAGAGCCCACAACGAATGCTTTGAGGAAGACTCTATGGACTCGTCCTCTGAAGTGTCAGAGGAAGACCTGGAGTAAGTTTCTCTACTTTCCCTTGTCCGCTTTGCAGAGCAACACCATTTTCTCGTGGCTTTATCTCTGCATCCCCCTTAATTGTGAAAGTAGAGCCTGACGATGCAGGCTCTACCCTAAACGCTTTTGATAACTTTGAACAGATTTGACGACTTGCCAATGTGTGTTGGTACGTTGGAGAGTCTCATTCCATGATGATTTAATGTTTGTGTTGCATTTTTGGCACGGCGTCTATTGTTTGGCGCATACTAACGGTCCATATTATTGCATAATCTTGTTTTTTGTTCTTTTTTTTTTGTTTCTTTTGGATATGGCGCGGGCGTTGGTTGAGCCCGAAAAAGTTGTACTTTATCATAGATTATTGCCGTAGCTTCTTGGGCGCTTTTGTCCACTCCTCGAAGAATAAACGAGGCTTAGGATAAATTAGCTTAGTTGAAATGGAATGAGCGGGATTCTTTCTTACTTTTTTCCAAAAATAAAACAAAATATTTTAATCTTGCAGGTTCAAACCGCTGGTAAATCATGCTTTGGCATACAATTGTGTCGTTGATCTCGCAGTGGAGAATTTTTGCCACGGCGAAATCTGGACGCCGGCCCAAGACGGAAGCGGCTCGAAACTTTTGGACGCAGAATCAACACTTTTGCTTTTCTGTTTTTCCTTTCTGTTCTCTTCACAACCAACAACCTAATTTGCCAATTGAGAATTACGATATTTATACATAATTCTCAGCTGCCGGAGCTATAGCCCGGACAACTACAGCCATGCACATTGAAGAGATTACCGACCAGCTTGAGGCGGCGATGAACCAGTCAAACCTCAACGACCAGCAGCCGGCCACTGGCGCTGAGGCTACGGCTCCGTCTCTGCCGCCAGCTTTGGCTATGGCAAAGGGAAAGACAGCAGATGAGATTCTGGCAGACTTGAACAAATCGCCGTTGTTCATGACGGAGATGGAGGACAATGACGACATTGCCGCTTTGCAAGCCCTCAACTACGAGGGAACAGCCTCGGAAAACGGCGCTGATTTCAAGGAGCGAGGAAACGAGTGCTTCAAGGTCCGAGGTTACGTAGATGCTAGGGAGTTCTACACAAAAGGCATCAACATCCTTTTCATAGAACACAGGAAACGAGCACGTGGCGAAATCACCAAAGACCCAGAGGGAGTACCAGATACTGAAGAGGAAATTAAGGAGCAAAAGACTATGCTGGAGTCTCTCTATGTCAACAGAGCCGCTTGTAACTTGGAGCTGGACAACTACCGTGCCTGCTGGCTCGACTGCACAGCCGCGCTTCGCCTCAACCCCGTCAACATCAAAGCATACTACCGCGCATCCAAGGCCCTTCTTGCCGTCGACCGCATTGAAGAGGCTGATGACATGTGCGCGCGTGGTCTCGCGCTCGATACTGAGAACAAGGGCTTGAAGACGGTGGCCGAGTCCATCATCAAGCGCGCCAAGGTCCTTGACGACAAGAAGAAGAAGGAAGAGGAGCGACGCCTCACGACTAAGCGCCGCGAGATGCTGGTCCAAACTGCGCTCAAAGCCCGCAACATCCCTACCCGCTCAACAGAGAAGCCGCCCGAGATGGAGGACGCAAAGATCATGCTTCTCCCTGATGAGGACGACCCTCGCAGCCGGCTTACGTTCCCTACCGTCTTGCTGTACCCCAACGACCTCAAGTCGGACTTTATCAAGTCCTTTGAGGAGACACACACCGTCGAGGACCATTTGAGTTATGTGTTCCCCTTGCCTTGGGACAAGAACGGCGCCTACAATCTTGCCGGTGTGACATGTTATGTCGAGACCAAGGACGGTGGACTCTTGAAGATGGGCAAGAAGGCGACGCTGCTGAAAGTTCTGAGCACAGGCAAGGTCGAGATTGTCGACCAAGTTATGAAGATTTTCGTGTTGCCGACAAGTCAAGCCGACGCATGGATTGTCAAGTTTAAGGAGCAAAAAGCCAAGGAAATGGCGGTACGAAAGTAGACTGGGGGTATGTTAATGATTCAATGAAATAAAACAAAATTCAAAACAATGCTTTTCTATAGTAACAACTCTATCCAATGTTGCTAATATGGTGGTCTATCAAGAAATAACTGCTAAAATTACATGTTTGGGAATAGCTGTACAATAATGCTGGCCAACATGGCGATGTGATCATCTATGTATATCTTTTCGATTTGTCTGCAGTCCCATCAAGGCTGACGCCACTGACATGTCCTCCCGCCTGGATTGCTCCCTCTGGTAGATGCTGTTCTCATCTCCCCGCGGGTTTCTAGACAGGTGAGGAACTTGGAAGCCCGTCCGTCTGCGCTTTGCCAAAGATGAATCGTAGCCATTCTGCCTGTCAGCGGCTTGGGGGCTTGGGTTATGGCTGTTTGGATGATTCAAAGATCTAAGCGGTGGTCCTAGATCTCTTAGATTCATGTTTGGTCGCTCTTCTACCAGTGGACGGCGCCTCGGGGTTACAATGCTCATTGTCCTTGGCAGATTTGCACCACTTGAGGCGTCCCCCGGGCATGTCCGGGTATTGATTGGATTCCATGACCCTCGTTGCATGCTAGACACTCGGTGATGCGGTACATTGGGAGGCATCGATGTGTTTAATGTTGCAATGCTTGGAAGACGCGGTCGTGGTGGTGACTTGCAGCTGCCCTGTAGTCGATTCAGCCTTCCAAGCTCATTTCTTCGAGACTGCACAGCTTCCAATGTTGCATATTCTATTATTTTCGGGTCTATGCGCATGTCTCGGAACCTTGGGCTGTTTGGCTTTATACAGTCGTGCGGAAATGACTGTCCGAATATGGGTATTAGGGCGCCGGCAATGGGATAACAGAACGTGGCACAGATAGCTCGAGCACAACGGAATGGCATCCAATATCCTTTTTTAACGGGGTTAGAAGTTGAGTAAGATTTTTAAACTCGGGCCAACACACCTTGAGCCGATACTGACCCTCCGGTAACACTGGGTGAGATATCTCGTAGTCCCGGATTTCTGTCAAGCATCTGCGACGGCTTGGTCTACACCACGCGGCACAAGTTAATACACACTTTCACACATATCAAGGATTGAGAAATGTCACCTTTGAATATCCAAGACACTTGAAGAAGGGGGTCATACGGACAAGTCCAACGTTATAGTCCCACATGACAGTATAAGTGGTGTGCCCTCCAGGCACACAGAATTCATACCGAAACACTCCATCACCAGCATTAGCTGAAGCATAGAGATGGAGAACAACCGGGAACTTACCTTCTATGCTCTCTCGTCCTGTTTTCTCAAAGAAGTCTTTCTTAGCGCTATTGTATGGAATGTGTTCACATACGTTTGCAATGTTCCTGAACGTGCCAATAGAAAACTTGGCAATTTCTTGAGCGCTGTGCTCGTCAACGTCCTCAAATGGACGGTAGTTAATAGGACCGTTAGGTTTGCTACGATCCAGCTCACGAGGAGCAAAAGCAGTCGCTCGTCCAAATTGAGGCGAAACGCCTTGACAACTTAATGGTCTATTAGACAGAGGAAGCGACCGATCTTCCACCAGATGACGTGCAATCGAATTTGGTGACAACTGTGAAGGACTTGGCGGAGCAGGGTTTAGTAACGCGTGGATTGGAAGCATATTGAAGCTGTATAATGGGATTCGTTAATCCATCAGACGGGTCATTCACAAGAGCGGCTTCTAGACATCAGCAACATGCAAATACCTACAGTAGAAATTCGAGGAGTGGGCTGTGTACTTGATATATCGGTTCGAGCAGTGCTAGGCTCTTTCAAGTAGCTGTACCCTCGTCAAGATTGCTAGACAAACAAAGGGATATTCTATTGCTCTGATAATCAAGGGGTGATCAGGATCCTGGGCCAGAATATCCGTGGCGGATCCCGGAACTTAATACCGTTGACCAGGAACAGTGAATTGATACTATGAGCGTACACTCCAGTCGACAGGAAACACTGGGCAGTAGGTGCTGAGGAGGTAGCACCACACCAAGCCAGTATGACAACTCAGAGCACTACGAGCACAGATTCGTTTGTGGCCCCTCCCATGAGGACTTGTGAATGAGACCGACAAATATAACCTCAAATGTTACATGTGGTATGGCAGACAAAGAGACGGTGTGGATGGCACCTCTTCATTAGCAACCACCGCAGCATCAGCATCGAGTGGTGATTCAGTGGCAGCATTAGGGGTCGCTCCGAAACGCACTTTTGGCACAAAGCCGTGATCACCGGCATACGCTTGCCACCGGTTTCCTTACTAGTGACATGCCCAGGGTCCGGCGCTGTCAGGCTGTAGCAAGGTCCTTTGAGCCATAAAGTTGACCCATAATACAGAAGCTTCAAAGGATATGTGTTTGAAAGAAGCAAATACAAAGCAATGGCTCCGCTAGCACCCTTTGTTCAGTGGCTCGCAAACACGGAACGGCTACGTCGCCAAGAGCAACCGCGGCTAAGAAGAAGAGCCGGCAACATCCGCCACTTTCTGTATGGATTCAGACATTCTTTGGCCTTGTCTCCTTTGTAGCATCGCATGGGTATCTTCGATACTAAGATGTCACCCGTCCTAAAGGCATGGATTGAAAAGCAAGGCTTCTCCCGCCAATGTCGAGACGCCGCTGGGCATCGGGAAGCTGCATGCTACTTGCATATTGTGTGTAGGATGGGCATGCTGTTCGACCTCTCTGTCATAACAAGTCCTGTTTGGCATTTTTGACAGCCTGTTGCGTAGAAAATTGCTCCCGATATGAGTATCTTTGCTAGGTCGGTAGGCAATCTCGGCACGTCGACGGACCAACAGAGCGCTTTGCTCGTTGACTGCTCAACAAAACAAGTACCGAAATTTGCTGCAGCGTAGCAAGGTTCAAAGCAAACCTCCAGTATCATAGGCATACCGCAGCCGGCCTTAACTGGCGTTCGTCATGCCAGCGGTACACATGTTCGACGAAAATTCCCCGACGGAGCACAGCGCAGGTCGATTGCATACACAGCAGGGCCAACACTTTGCTATTATTCGCTCCGGAACGCCCTGTCGCCATCGCAGGCATTGTCGAGGGACTAGCTGGTACGCCGTTACTCGGAAATTCTCCGAGTGACGCAACAGTCTTCGTTCACTTTATCACTCGACTCGTCGGTAGAGGGTACTGTCGTACGGCATTAGGATCGTGTAGCATTGGGCTCTGTCTGCTTTCAGCTAACTCCCATCAGGCAACGGCTATAATTTCATCTGTGATGCGGCGACAGATATCATACGAGTTTAGAAGAACCGCATGCCCATTACTGGATTGCTGTGTTTCCGAGGTATGTCTGTGGTTGGCGAGAGCCTGGTCATGTTCATCGTTACTGGCTGTCTTCTTGTGCTAACTTTGGTAGCGTTACGCACTTTGAGTGGTGTTACAACTCAGCACAGTATGAAACATGCGTTTAGTACATGAAGCCATCTTCCATCATAAACTTGCACTGTACAATCGCTGCTCTTCTTCGATAACCCGAGACATGCGTGGTGCTACCCTGTCATGGACAGTGTGTTGAGGCTCCAGAAAACTGACGGTTACAGCGTTTAATTTTATCATCCATAGATGATGCGAAGAATTATAGATAGATTTCTTAATAATTTTAATTCATCACAGTCAATGTATAACGATATCGGCAGTGAATAATAAATCCCTTTGTTAGTGTGAGAGACAAGAGCTGTATTGAAGCGCAGTCCAGCTCTTTCTTGGTGGGGGCGGGGCACCAGGCGGAAACATGCCGCGCCTCTCGAAAAGGGAAGCAAAATGAATTTGTCACCACCAACATCCAGCTCCGACAACCACATAACAAAACAATTCACCGGTAAACCACAGGCTCAATGGATGCATCAGACGAGCCGCAATCGGTCAAGGCTCTCTTCGAGACCGCCGAGGCTAAACGACAGGCCTTTGAGGCCGCACCCGATGCCCGATCGCCAGCGTATGCTGCGGAGCTCCAAGCAACGCTGGCATTATACTCCAAGACACGAGACCAGATTGCTGGAGTGTCTCTGTTTTCCGCAAACGAGGGTATTGAAGATATCGCCACTTCCTCTTTGCCATACATGCTAGTAGACTTCCAAGCGGCGGAGCTCATCCAGCGAACACAGTTTGTTGACATGCCCCAGCGTGGACGAACCTTACGCCAGGCGCGAGCAGCCTACGAGAGCTTCCTAAGCCTACTGGATGGATATGGTCTTATTACTGGAACATACGCCAAGATGCTCGAACGATACTACGACGACAGAGAGCAGTTTGCCGCCGTCGCCGCCACAGACGCAGCTGGTCGAAGAGATGGCAAAATCGCAAGCTTCAAGGCAGAGAAAGAGCTGCGCAACAAGCTAGAGACGTTAAAGAGAAACCCGAGATACCTCGAGAACGGCGATGAAGAATTAGTCAGAGAGGTTCACCTCACTAACATCTCGTTTGCCACACACACAACATTCCAAGCACTCGACTCAATGAACCGCGAACTACCAATGATAGCACAAGCCCCTACTGCTCCACCTCCATCGACGACTCCTGCACAAGGCGGCAACGAAAGAAGTCGCCAGAAAGAAGATGAATCGTCGTGGCGATTAGACCAGCCCTTCTCACAGCGCATAGGCGGCGGCGGACCGCTTCTGTCCAAGGAAGGAAAACCGTTACAGCCCTTTACTCTGGTTGGCTCCAGGAAAGACTTGGCAAAGGGCGTCTTCCGACCCGGCCACAATCTCCCTACAATGTCGATAGACGAGTACTTGGAGGAAGAAAAGCGTCGGGGCGGTATTCTGGAAGGCGGCACAGATCCCCAGAAGCCGCAAGTGGATGAAGACGATATGGATGCCGTGGACCGCGAGACTTATAAAGCTAGAGAGTGGGATGACTACAAGGACGATAATCGCCGTGGCGCTGGTAACACGCTGAACATGGGATAAAGGGCAATTGAAAAATAAAATAAAAGCAGAGCATAATGACTTTTTATTGCAAATTGTATCCTCAAATGAGGTCTTTCTTATTATATATAACGCCCGCGTATCTCCAATGCTACATATATATTCCTCCACGGATGTTTTTCTTGGGAATTGTAGTAGATGTAATTATCGTAAATTCGTGTACAGCAACGACCCTCCATCGCTCATTCAAACATATCCAGGTCGCTGTCAAAATTGTCCTCGCCAATCGTAGATGTTGAGTCGTCGTCACTCAGATCCTCCATGAATTCCACACTCTGGCTATTCGTAGACTGCTCGCTAGCAGCCTCCGCCTCTTCCGCGGCAAGACGAGCCTCAATGTAATCGTTGTCGACGGAGAAAGAATCTGACGGCGCAATAGATACGTCATCAGCAATGACTTCATCTGGCCGGTAAATAGTCGAGATGCTGCCATTGACACCGATCGATGCTAGCGTGTCTGTTCCTCTCATCTCTAGAGCGTTCATCTCACCCACAAACGAGCTGGCAATGCTCGAGGCGTCCGAGCCCACCGTCATTCCGGTGCGGTAGCATGGGCCAGGGCCGATTGGTCCCATGGAAGCAGGTGGCAGGATATCCTCGAATACACCACCGGTGTCGTCATTGCAGCCACCAGCCCACAGGGGTAGAAATCGCAGTTCATTGGTTGTTAGATTCAATAGCATGTGTTGCGTCATATTCAACGGCGGTGTTAAGTCGTGCCGCTGCCACATCCGGGCAATGGGATACATGTAGTCTTTCAGCTGTTGGTAAAAGTCTAGACCTTTGAACCAAGGCTCCTCAGCCGTCGTCGGAAATGCAGAGCTGGTCTCAAGCAGCAGGTTGCGAGCTTCTTCTCCCAAAAGGCAAGCGGAATCTGCATGAAGCAGCTTCCGCTTAATCTCAGTCAATGCCGAATTGAGGACAATGGCGTGGATGGATAGACTGCTGGGCTCGAATAGACGGTCAAAGGCTAAAGCATCCTCAAGCCCTTCATAAACATAAGGCAAGAGAAACTTTTGTGCAGTGTTAAAGCCAGACACAATGGACCGCATAAACTCCCAATTTTTAGGCTCAACATATTTTGCCCTGTCGAAATCAACAGACGCATAACGCGCGATGCCGGCAGTCTTTTTGTAGAACACATATCGCATCTCCTCCTCAATACGCTGCTTGATTGTCTTCTTTAGTGAACGAGCTCCGTCCAAGGCAGTGGAGCTTAATTCGCCCGGTTCTTGGGTCAGAAGACTCTCCAGAGTGCAGAGCCGGCCCCATTCTGGTATATCCCAATTGTCTGGTGCGTCGTCGCTGGTCACTTGGTTCGCCGTCATAGTTGCCCTTTCTACCATGGCACGCGCGCCATGTTGAATGAGGTTACTGATTTCGTCACCCGGATCTCCCTTTGTTCGGCCAAAGATTGTCACCCTGTGGAACCTACTACGTGGGATTGTGGTGTTCGCATTTTCTAGCGCCAGCTCATTCACTAGGATCCTATAAGCAGAGATGGCAATCGTGGCATCTTGAATGTGGAAGGCAATTTTGATGGCTTCTTCTGGGAGAACCTCGATGAAAACCGTGTTGGACTTGGCCAGCATCCAAGAGGAGACTGTGTTTGAAACCACTAGAGGACAGTCAAAGATTTTAGCAACTCCAACAAGCGTCCACATGGTTGGAGCTGAGTGTAGCGGCACGTAATGTCCATGAATGAGTAGCATGAGCCGTATGATTGAGTTTCGGTGGCGAATAGCGCAGTAGTCTTTAAAGCCATAATGCTCCGGAACCGTGAAAGGTTCTTTCGGGGCTGCTGATTTGCGCAGGTATTCCACATCGTGTCCACTCAGAGGGAGGTTTAGCGAGCGCTGCTCGTTCGCTTGATTGCTATCATATGCCAGGATGTCGCCTGCGAAACCACTGACTTCGGGATCGGCTTCCACGACCAGTTTCGCTACGCAGTCGCAAACATCGTCATGGCCTTTGACTAGATGCGGCGCAGTCCGATGTACTTTGAATGATCGCCACCAGTTTTGGATTCCTGGTGTTAAAGAAAGCTCCGTCACTTGGAAGACGAGATCATCACCTTCAGTTGGGGGCGTAAGGTCCAAGACATATTTCACTCCCTCGGGTAGTTTGTTGACAAGCTTGCGCCGGCGCATCACGCGAAATTGGTAGGTGGGTTTAAGCATTTCGGCAAACTTGGAAGATCCTGTATCGAGAAGCCGGTTGGAATGGACTCGGAATGTTTGCGAAACCCAAGGATAGCGGTAGCAGTCGCGGGCAACTGTGGTATCGTTTCGTTCACCCGGGTAATCTATATAAACCAGGGTGTCGCCAGTTTGGAGCTCGAGACTGGAAAAGTGCAGAGCATTGAACTCAACTCTACGGGACCTTTCGTGTATTTCCATTGGATCTGTCAAGGACGGTGCGTCTGGGTGTGTGTAGGAGGTCCAAGTAGGTTCAGGAATATTTGAAGCCATATTTAATGCCATATTTACGACATGTGCTGCTGATATCTGTGCAGTAGCATCTATTGACATGGCTGCCTTTGATGTATCTGCAATTGCCGCCTCTGTTGCCTTTTCCTTTGCTGCGTCTGATGCGTTCTCTTTGTTGAGGCGGTCCATCATTTGGTTTAGCCGTTGAATATTCTGAGTCGCCTCATCCCTTTCTTCAGCGGTTCCGACGCCGAGGTCTCTTTGGCGGCGATATCGCACATAGGATCGAATTTGTGATATAGTCATATCTACAGGAATCTTGGCAGGGGGCTCGTCGTCTTGTGCTTTCAGACTCCATTTGGTTGCCTGAGAATCCTCTGGAGGCAATTCGCTAGCCTGTTCCATTGGTTCATACAGGTCAGCGGATGTTAGTGGAAATACCATGGGCTCAGCGATGTAGGAGTCGATTCCTGACGATACCGCTGTTGTTGTTTCGTCAGGATTCGCATCACTGGCAGACTGCTGCTGGCCAGCTGTACGCAGAGTCATTCCCTCCATGATATCGATCAAGTTGGGGTCGTATTGGGCGTGTCAGTAGAACGTCGCCTTGGTTCGCTGGACAATCATCCGCTTAAAGAGCTGCTGTTGCTGCTGGCCGCTGTTCCGAACCGCTGCGAGAATTGCTTGAAGCTGAGCATGTTGAAGGAAAACGTGAAACAAGGCTGGCGGTGGCAGGGACACTTAAATACCACAGAGTCCGCGGTCGCCCGCCTTGTGTCCGCCCACGAGCCAAGAAGACTGCATCTGGTGACTGCGGGACAGAGCAGCCACACTGTCTGGAAGAGGGTAGAAAACGCCCATCAGGCCCCGCTGCTGCCTGGGATGTTGGGATTATAGTGCCACGCTAGGCACGCCCGAATCCGCCTTGAGTCACTAAATGCGGCTCCACGCCGCGAATCCCAGCGCCCTAAATCTGGTTCGCACGCAGATTGATTGGCGCCTGGATGCAGGCAGAGGCGACAGGCGGCGGGCGACCCGCCCTGCAGTCAGGAGGAGTCATACCTGCATTTTAGCTGCATCTGGAACCTGCACAGGGCCAACAAACCGTACAAGACGCCGAAGGGGGACCTTTTCCCTTCTCTACAGAAAATGCAATGCTACAAATGTCAAGACCAACACAAGAATCGCAATGCTAACAGTCACAATATCAAACAAGTGGTAATATTCACAGCCCCATGGCTCTGTTCTGTACTTTGCCGCGTGTTACATGCCAACACATCTGCCAAAATAACCACCCTTCACAGCCTGCAGATAACCCAGACTAACATCAACGCCTATAAATGCAAAAAAAGGACGAGAAGAAAAAAAAAGAATAAAGCAACCCCTGTGCATAGATACATACGGCATAGGCTCAGTCAATCGAAAAGTTTCAAAGCGACGTTCCCTTCTTCAGAAAGCTCTGCTCATCCTCCATATCCTCACCATCGCTGGAGTGAATCACTGCCTGCACATGTCCCATGCTGTCTCGTGGTCTGCCAAACGCTGGCTTCGCCTCGCGTAGACTCCTGCGACTCACGGGCCGCTTCCCGTGAGGTCGTCTTGGAGTGATATCTCCCCGTGTTCGACTCGCAGGTCCTGGTCCGACATCATCTGCAATAACACTGCCTCGTCTACTGCGCGGGTCCTCACCAGAAGAGTTCCACCTTGTCACCGGAGTAGAATGATGCTTAATGTCTCGGACTTCTTTAATCATATCCGCAAAGCTCTCCTCCAGCGTCTTCATACGCGCGAGCACCAGTCGCCCCATTCTATCTCGATCAGCAGCTTCTCCACTGTTGCCTGCGCGCATTCGATTGTCTCTCATTATGGCCATGGCCATTTGTGTCTGAAAGCTGCCAGCTAGCGGTGCATCAGCAGCGCCCGCAAAAGCCAGATTCGATTGGTCTGAGAGAACGCTCATATCAACAGACGAGAGTCTCCTGGCCTCCCCAGGGCGGTTGCGTGGATCTATGCTTAGCAGAGCTGTTCGACTAACACCGCCGATTCCGCTTGTCTCTGTAATTCTGCGTGGGGGAGCAATAGGCCGAGGTCTGACATCAGATGAGGCAGCTGTTTGCCGCATTGGGCTCTTGGTGCCGCTGCAGGAGCCTTGACCGGCGCTGGTTTTACCACTACTGCCAGGTTTGCGCAATAGCGTGCGCTTGGGAGGCGATTTTGCCAACGGGGGATGTGGCGGTGAAGGCGGTTGTTGTGTCTCTTCTTCTGGGTTGTACAGTATCGTATTAGACGATATGGTCCTCTTATGCATACCTCGTCTATTGCTTGGTGGACGAGGCGGTACCAGCTTCGCGGCGGCACCACCTGACCCTTGAGAAGATGCAAGAGCACCCAGCCTTGCGCCTTGTACGGCATCAAAATAACCTGGCCTGAAAGATAAGCTTGATTTCTCGTCTAACCCGAATCTTTCAGCATTGGTGCCGACGTCGTCTTCATCTTCGTCGTTGGTAACTAGTTCGTCATCGCCATCACCGTCAGTGTGATCCTTGTACTCTGCCGATGCCATAGAGGCGAAACGGGAAGGCAGGTGCTTAGGAGTGACGAACGAGGCACCGGGGTTAGATATGAATTCCGCTGGATCGCTTGCAACTGATCTCATATCTGATACTTGGCGCATGTTTGAGCCGCGATCCCAACCCATGCTCAATCGTCGCTGCCATTCTGGGACAGCGCGACTGTCCACAGTTGGCCACTGTGTCGATAGGCCATCTTCGTCGTGTTGCTCCATCCAATGCCGAATAGCAGTCTGAGTCTTTCGTCGTTCCTGTCGCCGCTGCGTTCGAAAAGTTGTGGAATCTGGTAAACGCAGGAACACCTCTTCAAGAGCACGGTCTTTCTGGAAGCCTGCAACTGATTCCTCCCTGACACGCACATTTGGGCTGAAAATCGCAGTCCTACTGGCAGGGTCTCCAAAAGAGATGGCTCGACGGCGACGGCGACCATGGTTATCCACCAGGTCGGTAGGCTCGAACATCGATGGTGCGAGCCAAAACCGCTCGTAAAGATAGATGCAGATCAAGATGGGGAAGTGTGTGACTTTAATGATTGTGCGATTAAGCCAAACAAACTGCCGCAGAGGTATGCAGTATCGTAAAGGCATCAGAAGCCAAGCAAAAATGTTTGTCGGCGCAATGTATGAAAATAAGGCGTCATTCTTAACCATGGAAATGGTGTTAATGGCGAAGAGAAACCTATACATGTTAGCATATATCATCCATCTGGGCCGAGAAATGCGTACTGATGCTCTTCATTGGCGTTGGAAGCGATCGCCATAAACGAGTTGGTTAAGACAGTAATTAGAATAGTACTGCAACGAGATTAGGGAATATGTGTGTATAAAGAGCCTGTCAAGAGGTACTTACACAACCAGAAAGTGGCAAATAATCAGAAATATCATCATAAGCATTCTTGCAAGCCAATTATACGTTGGCCATCTATTAAGTATTAGCATTACATCCACTGGGTGCAAAAAGCGACGTTTGAGAACTTACACATCCCAAGCTGCTGGCGTAAATCCCATCAAGATTTGGAAGATCTTATAGGCCACCTCAGCGCCGTCGCTTTGGTTATTAGACAGCGTAAAGAAGACGTAAAATCCGCTGCACATGATCAATACCAGGAAAAAGACGGCGGCAAGGTCAACTGCCATGAGTCGAAAGGCAATTAGCAGCTGCGAAAAGTACTGATAGTGGTCCAGAATACTGAAAATGCGAGGCAGTAGCAAAATTGCGTTTGCAGCCAAAACATCGTACGCCATGTCGTTCCAGTGATGCGGGTCGGCAACGAAGATTCCATACACACGCATAAAATAATAGACTATAAGGAGAACAAGAATACCCAAATCAAAGATATTCCAGAAACTCATGATATAAAGTGCAAATCCCTGCTCGTTAAAGCCTACCAGCTCATCGAGCATGAATCCGGCACTCCAGAACCAGAAGACTAGCTCAAGTCCAGTAATTTGGACTGATCGCTCAATGAGAACGGCAAGAAAAAGGCCTATCAGCACCGCCAATGATAATGTCGATAGAAATGAGCGATAACGTGGGACTCGGAGGCGGGATAGCTTGAAAACAGAGGCTTGTCTAGGGTCATATAGAGTAACAGTCCGACGAAGTGGTGGCACCTGTTGATTGCTCGGCCGTGAAGACGTAGCTCCTAGCAGTGGTGTTCGGGCATCAGGTTTTGACCTCGTTCGCGGCGCAGTGTTTTCCATTTGTGGCGCTTCATCGCGATGCAGAGTGTCAGCAGAGGAATAAAATGATATAGCACCGTTCCATATAGCTTCCAACTGCTGTACAATAACAGGATGGGCCAAGAAATGTTTGGCAGAGGCGCGAATGGCGACTTCGAGCGTCGAGGTTCGAGAAGCGGTAGAAGGTATAGCGCCTGATGCGGAAGTCCTCATCTGCTGTTCTGGTAATGAAATACCTGGAAGACCTTGAAGTGGGTAAAAGTCGTAAGCAAGGGCGTCAATCAGCTCCCTAGTTGAGTACTCTTTAAGCATCTTCAGCGCCAGTAGCTCGCAAACCTTGGCCCTTGTGTTGCTAATACCAGCGTTGGCCGCATATCTCTGGCCCTCTTTGCTGAATTGTAAACAGTTGGCCATCAGAGCGTACAGAGTTGCACGGGAGAAGTGCAGCGTCCGTATCTGCTGCTGCATGGGCTTTACCAGAAACTGGGATACTTGAGGGGATCTAAGCTGCTCCCATGATAATGTGGTTTCGGTCCGGGCTGACACAATGATTCGAATAGCATGTGTCGTGTTGTATATAGGCAGTGAGTCTATATAGAGGGCACCAGGTTAGTGTATGAGCAGTCCGATGAACAGTGGCTGTAAAGTGCTAACCAAGATGTGTGGTTGAGAAGAGTGGCAATACGGGGAGACCAGACGGTTCACCCTCGTCCTCGTCGACATCACCGCCATGGTCTTCATGATATGCGCTCACGCCTTCTCCGTTGAAGTCACCGTCATCGTCTTCATCATCTTCGTCGTCGTCGTCGGCCTCTGTAAAATCGGCTGTGGCGTGGGTTCGCGATGTGAAACGGCGTGGCATGTTGCGCGCAGATGGCGAGATACTAGCGTCTCGCCCTTCGTCCCGGCGGCTATTGGGCCGCTTTCGATGCAGCAGAGAAGAAAACATAACGGCTCGTGCTGTTGATATCTCAGAAGGAGATCGTCTTTGATCGGATTCTAGGGAGCCATTGGACGGCTACGAGGGAGAATGTCTTCGATGCTAACGGTCGATGGGGGTGTTGCTGCTGCTGCTGGTGCTGCCGCGACAGTCCGGGTATAGCGAGCAATACCGTTTTAATTTTTGTGTCAACCGCGGCACCAATAGGGCAAATAGAATATTTCAGATGCTTCCAAGCGATAAAAGTACAAAATAGTCCAGCGGAAAGAGGACGATGAGGGGGCGAGAGCGTGTGTCGAACCGCTAGCTGGACAGGAGGGAGGCTTGGAGGTGGTGTCCCTGATTACACGGGGGGGAAGGACCCGCGTGTATTGGAGACCCAGCGATGCACCTAGTCAGTCGGCCAAGGAAACTCCGCCATATGAAATACAAGTCTTGGGTTTGCCTATGTTGTCAACCTATGGTTTTTATTTTCTGAGCTAAATTTGCGTTGGTCTTACATGACCGTCATCCGCCGTAGGCTCTTTGACTTTTGTTTTACACGCGAAATTTGAATGTGCCAAATGTTAGCAGCCTCTTTGCTGCAGTGCAAGTCCATGCCGTAAAGCATCCCGTCATTCACCAGAATCTGCTGCAGCGGACTCCATCCCACTAAAGCAGTTCATTTGGTAGGAGGGGCATAGTAAATTACAAGCACTGTATTCGAAAATCCATTCCCCTCTCATTCAGAGGTTTTGCTTTTTATTAAAAAAAATCATCTATCTACTAGACGTTTTTCTTTGGTTGCTTTCCGGCAAACCTGCTTAACGAGAAAATTCTGGCTCGATCGGCACTTTGTCTCATGCATAATGATATCAAGCCAGCCAAAATAGTGACAGTTACTACCACTGTATATGGACTGCGTCATGCACAAAGCTGCAAGCCTTTTGCCCACATGATGTACTGGTGCACGCATGACACCACGCCTCCAGGATGCAGCTCCACCGCTACACATCGGAGGGCGACAGGCGCAAGGGAAGCAGGACGAGGCAATCTGTAATCCGACTATGCTATTTACTTCTCAATCCTGGAGCAAGGACGGCAAGATAGGGTGGGCAAGGTGAGCAGCGATGCCGCCGTCTGCTAACATATGGAACATCAAAAGCTCGTAACTGACAGCGGCGTATAGACTGCTGGCGTGCCTTCACGGGTCACTTGTCAACGATTAGGGTGTCTGGGGAACTATGGCTTGCCGGGCTTAGCGTACATATTATTCGCAATCTATTGTGCATGGGAGTAGAGTGCATTGGCCAACGAGCGGCGCCCACTGGAAATAGCCGACTTGGCTGCACGATTCATTACCGATGTTAATCGAGCTGCTGCATCAATTCACTATGCGAGCCTCGCTTTCGATACAGAGTACAAATCGTCACTTCATAGCCAGCCTGGCCAGATACTGTTGCATCACGTTATCGTTGCTCCGTTGCATGCACTAATATTAGCACGGTGGTATGCTACAGATAACGCAGATGTACACAGCTTGTTTGCTCTCCAGGCGTACTCATCACCGTTGCATCTAACCGTGCGACATCAAAACTAATCGATGCAACGGTATCTAATACAGATAAGAACACAACGGGCATCCAATTCCGTAATGAGCAGCGACAAAAACGAAATAAAGAAAAAGCACACCTGTATTCTGAGACATCGATGCCCATTCTGCCGGCCACCCCAGCCGTCCTGCGATAACGGACTGCCGCGACGCGATACTGACGCGCTGTAGGTAGAAAGAGCGTTTATACTTTTCAGTGGAGCTACAGCGCGCCCCTCCGGAGCCGAAAGAGGCCCTGTGGCGTTTGACACGGCCTCCGTAGCAGAGCCACAGTGCACCAGGAGGCGGCTCCGGTGTTGGGTGGGGCACTGGATCGGGGGATGTCATGACGCTGGAGGTGTTTCTGTTTCTGTTTCTACAAACTTACAACGTACCAGCGTATGGGCGGCGTAGCCTCGTCCATCAGCCGCTCTGCACTACGGTACCGACATTGGACGTTTTGAACAAGAAACATTCAACAGGAAAAGTTAAAATCAAGCAGCAGCTAATGGCATGTCTCACAGCCCGACTGCCAGAGCAGCGGTATCAGCACCGCCATACCGTGGTCTCGGTCTCGTCTGGCATGTAATTGAGCGCTATATTATAGACAATGGGCTCCGTCACGTTCCATGCGGGAACAATTGAAGCCAACCACGGCGCGCACACAGACAGAGACGCACGTATTGTTGGCCCTCTCCAACGCTGCTTCATTATTAAACTCCTCCCTCCAGCGGGGGCCGACAGGGCGTTTCACTAGCCAATGCCTTGGAGACAGTGTTGGTGTTGGTGGGGCGGGGTTGGGTTTCGCCACACCAAAGGGAGTCGGCGCCTCCATTCTTCGGCGGTTCAGGGGTACTCCTTTCGGGGGGCCTTTAGCGCCCTTTTAGTGCCATCGTGTGCCTTGGCTTCCCCTGGAAGGGACCGCCGTCGTGTCCTGAAGAAACTGCCAGTTCAAGGTTTATTTGCTGTCGACATTGCAGGCTTGCCCCTGTCTCTATCCAGGTGACCATTTGCCATTGCCTGGCCTCTTCATCTAATTTGCCCATCTTCGCTTCCTTTTCCCTCTTTTTTTTCCCTTTGGTTCTCTCCCTCGCGTTTTCTATCACTGTCCCCCCCAGAAACCTTTGTTGCCAAAGAACCAGCGCTCCCTGGCCCTTTCCAGCCTTTGCCAAAACTGTGGAAACCTTATCACCCACTCCTGTCTCAAACCGAACCTCAGTCCAGCAGCGCTTAGATGAAACGGATCTCTGGCCGTTGCCGAACTGGCCCGCTCTTTCTCATGCTCTAACGGATTATTCTTCTCACTTTTGACGCGTTAAACTAGAAACGCCAAACAATTAAGGCTATATACAGCATACAGTGAGAACAAAAGGCCCCGAGCACGCGTAACACAGGGCCGGCACTAGCTGCAGCAGAAAGGGTTGCTCCCTACGCCACATCCGAACAAGCTCTGAATTCCACGCCTGTTTGAAACTATGGATGCAGCCGTCAAGGACGCCGTCGACAGCCATGCGGCGGACCTGGTAACCTCCCACGAGAATGCTCAAGAAACATCCACCGAAGAAAGGATTGTCGCGGAAAGCGTTCCACTCCCTCCTGACGAAACCGATGAGGAAGTGGAAGTTGAGACCCCGAAGCTGACACATGATTCCATGGTCACCGTTCGACTATCTGAACCTCCTTCCCTCATCCTCAACACCACAGACGCTACCTCTCCAAACCATCACGACGAAGACGAGCAGGAGCAGGAGCAGGAACCGGCAACATCCAACGACAAGCAGGACGCTGATGATAAGCTTGACGACCAAGAAACAAGTAGCGAACCAGACACCGTAATCACCAACGACGCGGATAACACCGATACAGCCAGAGCTAGTAGTAGCACTAATAACAGCACGGCTCCTTCGCCGACGGACGAAGAAGACATGGCTCGACTCACTCGAATAACGCTGGAGCGGATCGACACTAGTCGAACGCTTCGAGACGAATTGGATAACTTTGACTCCCACAGCCATGCCAGCGACTCCTCCTCCGATTTCGAAGAGGTCAACTGGGAACAACTTGAAAAGACGGAAGACGAACAGCCCAAGGATGAAGAATCAGATGTGAGTACACCTTTAACCTAGCATACTACAGCCAACCTAACCATCTTACGCTACAGTCAACTGCCCTCCTCCTCGCCCGATTAGAACAAGAAAATGCCAAACTGGCAACAAACCCCAAAACAGCCAAGGTACAGGCTGTTGAACGGCTACAATCTTCGAAGTCGAGACCTCCATCAATAGCAAAGCTACGGCAAATGGTGAACGAGCCAACATCGTCCGCCCTTCGATATTCATTAGTCCCGCCGCCGCCAATGACTGATCTCGAATTTTATGCTGCCCTCGTCAAAGATTATCAACAGACAGCTGCTCGACTGCCTACATTATTATCGAATAAAATACGAAAGGGTATACCGCCACCACTACGAGGTGTCGTCTGGCAAAGTATGTCAGGTGCCCGCGACGTCAGCCTTGAGCGCCAATACGACCGACTCTCTGGAGAATCTAGCCCCTACGAACTATTAATCGGCAAAGATCTAGGTCGCAGTTTCCCCGGCGTAGACATGTTTCGCGAAGCAGATGGTGAAGGACAGCTCATGCTTGGACGCGTTTTAAAATGCTTTAGCTTGTATGACACCAAAATTGGCTACTGCCAGGGACTTGCTTTTCTCGTTGGTCCCTTGTTGATGCATATGCCCGATAAGCAAGCCTTTTGCGTTCTTGTCCGGTAAGTCGAAGAGAAGAGGGGTTGGCTTTAAATATAACACAGACTAACAGAGTGCCAGGCTTATGGAACAATACGATTTGAGAGCATGCTTTTTGCCCGACCTTTCTGGACTTCATGTACGCATCTATCAGTTCCGTGAATTACTACGCCAACATCTACCCGGTCTCGCCGCCCATATGGAAGAACTCCAGGTTGAGACAGCATATGTATCACAGTGGTTCTTGAGCTTCTTTGCCGTCACCTGTCCACTGCCCATGCTCTTCCGTATTTACGATGTGCTATTCGCTGAAGGTGCCTCTGAGACTCTTATGCGGGTTGCCCTTTCTCTTATGCGAAAGAACGAGGCCCGACTCTTGGCTTGTACAGAGCTGGAAGATGTTATGCAGTTGCTGCTCTCCCGTGGCCTATGGGATTGCTACCACTACGACGCGGACGACTTTGTGCAAGACTTTGCAAGCTTGTCCGGAGCAGTTACTCGGGAGAGGCTTGCGCAGCTTGAGCAGGGTTACAAGGAGTCGCTCATTGCCACGGCCAATGCCGCTCGAGTTTCGGACATCACAACCGCAGCAACTCGCTTCTTAGGTCGTCTCTGGGCCTCGACACCAGCCACCACTACAAAGACGCCTACCCTGACACCGGGTCTCAGTGCACCTGGTCGCCCTTTGAGCATCTTAAAGCGAAGCCCATCGAAACAAAGTATTGCATCTACATTGAACTCAGTGGAAGCAAGCTCTGCCAGCCTAACAAGCTCCTTATCGACTGACGAAACTGCCATGTCTCGCGACTTTACAACAGATGAATCAAGCCGAGAGTCTACCCCGGTAGCACCGAAAGGTCTTGGTCATGGAAAAAGCACCGACGATCGTTACTTGCACAGCCAGATAGAGGATCTTCTGACTGCTCTCACAGAGCTTCAGCGAAACCAGGCACTTTTGGCAAATCAACTTCAACGTGAGCGGGAGGAGCGTGACGAAGACAAGCGCGCCGTCCAATCACTGTTAGAAGGACTTCGACGGAAAGCGAGTACCAACGATGCCACTACTGAGGCATCCGAAGAGTCCGAAGATGACAGCGACGAAGCTGATACCGAATCGGATGATGCAGCCACTACGCCACTCTCGGATAACACTGAAAAGCCACTCGCAGCGCCTGTCAGCGAGGCGGAGGATGCACCATCCACCGAAGACCTCTCTGAGCTGCTGGATCGCGTTGAAAAGCGGTTCGCATTGACAGATGGAAACAAGCATCGGTCGTCTATGATGATGACAAAGTCGCAGTTGCGGGAAGAATTGATGCATGCAAAGGGTGAACTGGCAATTGTGTCTACGCAATGTCAAGATTTGAACCGCCGTGTACATGACATGGATGAGGAAATGATTACTCTAAAGGAACAGCTACGCGAGCGCCATGGACACGTTCGAACACTCCATAACGATAAGCAAAGACTGGAGAAGCAGCTACAAATGATGCGGGCAACCTCCAATGGCCCTGACTCTGATGTATGGCCAAAGGAGATGGACCCAGATTGGGGAGCCAAGAGCGTGGCAGCTGGGCTAAGAGAGCTGAAGCTAGGACGAAGCAAGTCCACACCCAACTCGCAACCTGGCAAACGCATCTCATCTATGCCACTTGTGCACGACTTTGGTTCCGACGACGCCGCATCAGAGCACGATGCATTGCTCGTGGAACTAGCACAGGCCAAAACGGCGGAGGCCATGGCCAAACAGGATGCGGAAGAGGCAAAACAGAAGCTAGAAGCGATGCGCAAGGCTTATGGTATACCTGTGGGAGATTCGCCGACAACAGCTACGACTCCAACAGGTGCTATGGGTGTATTCAGCCGGTTTGCCGGGCCAGCTGCCGCGCCAACTAATGATACACCGCCCAAAGCAGCAGCATCAGCGGGTGCGAATATGGCAGCTACAGTTACCGGTGCATTTTGGGGATGGAGACGATAAGTAAAAAAGCATCTCTTGACCAGAAGCATGGCAGATGCTGGGCACAGCAGAAGAAAATGGGGGGCAGGCTAGAGACGGATATGCGCACTTATGCGCAGTTGCGAAGAAGGACACATTATCACGGCGTTTGGATACATCTTTATTTACACACCTTGGGCATGGCTTGTTTTTGAATTCTAAAGGAAGACATTTATCTACACAGAGATGAGCATAGCATTCATTATTATTCACATAGATACCACACATTTGAATTGTATACATTACAAAGCATCAACTCCCGTTGACATGAGCGCATTCTTTCTATTCCATGTCAACTGCTGGTGTATGGTTGTATCTACCAGCATATAGCTTGCCATTTGACGTTCCTCGGAATCAAACTGGCGTTTCGGAAGTGGATTCTAACCATCCGACCAACCAGTGATGTTGGTCGGATGTGGGGACGACGTGCAGATCAGGGCGACTACACACACCCCGCGTGGCGTAGCCGTTCAACTTGGGTGCCGTAATTTAGAAGGTTGCGTTGCAGGAAAACAGCTAAGTTGGCTTATAAAGACGCTAGGGGCGCCACCCCTCATGCCTAAAAGCATGATGATGTCGGCAGCACTGCGGGGTCCAGCATCCGACACATCATGGCAGTCGAACAGCAGATTGAATACGCCATTGTCGGCGGCGGCATCTCCGGCCTCACGCTGGCCATTGCGCTCCTCGAGCGTGGGCTGTCTGTCCACATTTACGAACAAGCGAAGGAATTTGGAGAGATTGGAGCAGGTGTATCGTTTACGCCCAACTCTGTCCAAGCTATGAAGCTGTGCCATCCGGGCATATACGACGCCTTTGAGAAGGTCTGCACTCGAAATCTATGGCCGTCGAAGCAAGGCGTGTGGTTTGACTTCTACGACGGCTTGGATACGGACAAGAACGCATCGTCGGTCTTCTCGATCCGTAACGACCTGGGACAAAATGCTGTGCACAGGGCCAACTTCTTGGACGAACTTGTCAAGCTTATGCCTGAGGGTAAAGCGTCCTTTGGCAAGCGATTAGACGACATTATACAAAACGAAGACGGACGATATACTCTTAAATTCCTTGACGGAAGCTCAGCTATTGCTGATGCCGTTCTTGGTTGCGACGGTATCAAGTCTAAGGCGAGAGAAATCATGTTTGGTAGCGACCACCCCTGTGTCGTGCCATCGTATACATTCAAGAATGCATACAGAGCTATGCTTCCCATGGAGACAGCTATTGCGGCGATTGGGAAAGAAAAGGCAGAAAACGCGTGCATGCATGTAAGTCTCAGACAGCCACATGCTGGTGCACCTATTAAATGATGCGTGTTCTTTGTGCTAACAGAGTAATAGCTTGGACGCGGCGCTCATCTCCTCACATTTCCAGTTCGACACGGGCAGATGATGAATGTAGTCGGCTTCTGTGGAACAGACCAGCCTTGGAAAGACATGCGCAAATTGACGGCACCAGCAACAAGAGAAGACGCTTTACGAGACTTTGCTGGCTTTGGTCCGGTAGTGACTAGCCTGCTCCAGTTAGCAGAACCAACACTGGAGATAGTAAGTTGCTTTCTGTTGTGTATTGCATGCAATAGTCGACAACAGCAGACCGCTCTAACACAATCTAGTGGGGTATCTTTGATCTGGGCGTCAACCCGCCTCCATCGTATGTGAAGGACAGAATATGCTTAGTAGGCGATGCTGCTCACGCAACCACTCCGCATCACGGCGCAGGAGCCGGTATGTGCATAGAGGATGCCGCCGTACTCTGCGCTCTTCTTGCAGACGAGCGAGCACAGACGCGTTCTGGAGCCCAAGCGGCTATTGCAACTTTTGAAGCCGTTCGAAAAGAGCGCGGTGATTGGCTAGTACAAAGCAGTCGTTTCAACGCCAACGTTTACCAACGTCAGGCGCCTGGTATCGGCGACGACTTTGCCAAGATCGAGGCGGAGCTCAACCGTAAGAATGGCATGGTTGCCAATGTGAATGTCGAGGAAATGTGCAGAGAGGCAATAAAGGAGTTTTCCAAGCGCTTATAGTGCTGGTATGGCGTTTGTGCAGCATAAGCTCTAACAAGAAAGATGGAAGACGGAATTCCTACCTTACATCATCCGTAGTATAGTGCAGCCTAAGACACCAACCAAACTGAGCCTTTGAGACGGCTGAAAGAGCTCTTACCGCCAGAAGCATGTACTTACTTTTGTGCACAGTGAACAGTGAAAATACTTTTGTCGGTCTGGCTGCCAGGTGGCAGATACGCTCTTATCAACCCATGGCGGCACGTGCCGTGGATGAGCGCAAGATAGCACGGCCAGGTGACCGCCAGTTGGGAACTAGGGCAAAACTTCAAAGCCAGTACAGGCAGTTCGGTACAGGGAAGTCGTAAGAATTTACAGGAAGATTACGGTCTGCTAGCCCGGTTTCCCTTGTTTTTGAAGCGAATAAAGGGAGATGGGAGGGCCTTGTAGCAGTACCAGTTGGTCGTGATGTCACAGGCGGTGGCGTTGAGCCCATGCGCTGTAGCTACAAGTACTCTTACACTGCGCTTTCTCTCTTTTCGGCAGAAAAAGAAAAGAAATCCCATCCAATAATATATTATTTTCAGATCCCGTTTGCGTCCTAATCCGGATTCGTCTCTCTTCCTAGCTTCTTAGCGCTGCGACGGTATCATCTCCCGTTAAAGTGAAGTTAATTTCGTTTTCTTTTTCGTCTCCTTTCTTGGGTACACTCGTCGTGCATTGGCCCATCGCCCGCTTATCGCTGCCACCTCTCCTGACGTAGTGCATTGTGGCCAGCGACGCAAGCCGCGGGAGGGGCGGCCCCCGGGCAACCGGATCCAATAGGCAGCCAAACAAAACAATACAGTGCTGGGCAATAACAACAATAGGCGACGAGATGGGACCGATAGGTGGGTTTCTTCTTTTTTTCACTGTGATGATTATTTTTGGGCGAGGCCCCGCCAGCAAAAACAATAGCGAAGAAAAAAATGTGACAGGTGGAGGCCACAGCACCAGTTCCTCCTGTTCGTTTCCCTTTTAGGGGTCCTCGCGAACCATTTAGGCGTAGCTCGGAGCCTAGGGTCATTGTCTAGGTGGTGCTGGCGGTCGCTAAACATCGTGATGGGCCCTCTTCTGAAGCTAAGAGAGCTTGAGCGGGCCAGGTGCCGTGCCCCTGTGATGGGATATGCCACAGAGGCTGCCGTGCCACATGTCCCATCCCAACTCTGTGTGTCTGTACTGTATAGTTAGTCATGAAATTTTTGATGTAATTTTTTGCTATGAATCAATAGTCTTTTGTTTTATGGTAAATTTGCGAGCAATAAATAAATAACCCTTTTGTGGTTGGTGTAGTCAGTGTATAAGATTAACATGCCTTCCGGTTTTACATGGCCGCCTACTGTGGCCACGAGTATGGTGGCGGTTAGGCGTCGTCAGTGGCTAATTTGTGTAGCCCGTAGCCCCCTAAAAACAGCTTCAGAGTACTGTAAATGTACTGTAGCTGTGTACCATACTGTGGCGCCCACAGCTACAAGCTACAGGCAGCTCTCGCTTCAGAACCTGTTGCCCTGCACCAGAGCAACGCAGCCCGCCGCGACGCATCCTTGCTTTCCCGCCGGCCCCTGCTATCTCTCCCACGCCAGATTTTTTTTCCCTCTCGCCCCCGTCTTCCCCTCCTCTGAAAGTTAAAGAAATACATAAAACTGTCTTCTTCATACAAACAAGCAAACAAAACACCTCATCTCTATCCTCTGATCTCGAACACTCAAACCTCATCTGGTACGTCATCCGCCACAGCTACCAAGCTTCACGTCTCCCTATGTTTACTAGCACCACGCTACTGCTCCTACACTACAAGCTTCATCAAGCCCCTTTCCCTTCATCCCCTTGCATCACCACATCGCATCCCGATCCAGAAAGCTAACTTGGGACCTCTTTCCATCGATTCTTAGACATTTACCAAGTCCAGACACTTGGTACCTAGAACCACATCACAAAAAAAACATAGCTTAGTCCCTAATACGCAATGTCCGACTTTGCCGATTCGCCTGTGGCGGTCAACGGTGATGCCGCTGCCCACGACATCAAGACTAGTAAGGTAAGCTCATATGATTCCTCTGGCCTCTTGCGACGATGCCCTCATGCTGGTTTTTTAAACTGGCGTTGTGCGTGTGCGCGTCCAGCGGCGGCGTGATAATTTTTATGCGTCTAGCTAACGGCTGGTCTAGTTTGGCATGTGACGACCTCGCTTCTGACGCACTACTGACGCAGCCCTCTCTCCCTTTTTAACAGACGCCTCCGCTGCCTACGATTCCATCGCGAATGGTAAGTGCTTTCGTTTGTTTCTTGCCCCTGACACAATATACTTGCCACCTACGCAACTCCGTCGAGTTTTACACACAAAGCTTGCCGCAACAATATTTTTACCCCAATCTATCTATTTTCTACTGCTAACCCACCGTCACCACACACCGAGAGAATATTACAATGGCTCACTCTAAGAAATCAGGACCCGTCGCCACCAAGGCCAAGGAACAGCAGGAGAAGGCTTCCGCTGAGCTCTCCGACCTCGCTGCCTCCCGCCAGACTCCCGCTACGCCCGCCGCCACTGGCCAGCCTCTTACACACTACCACTCATTCTTCTCTGAGCTCCTGTCCTGGAAGAACCCTCGTAAGTCTTGTCTTTTGGCAGCGAAGCGCGCTAGCTCGCGCTCGCGTGACCACCCAACTAACTAACATGTCCTCTCGCAGGTGCCACCGGAATCGCCTATGCCTCTATTGTCAGCTTGATCATCGCCGCTCGTTATCTCGATGTTATTCGCTGGGCTTTCAAGCTCTCATGGATCTCGCTTGCCGTTACTGTCGCCGCCGAAGCTGCTGGCAAGCTTGTCCTTAACAAGGGTCTTGCTTCTCAGCTTCGCCCTCGCCGATACTACACAGTTTCCCGCGAAACTCTGGACAACCTTATTGGCGATGTCCATGAGCTCGTAAATTTCTTTGTGATTGAGGCCCAGCGCATCCTCTTTGCCGAAAACATCTTTGCTTCCGCTGCCGTAAGTATATTCATTTGCACATACACCCCGCACCTCGACTAATACTGACTTCTACCAGGCTTGCGCTGCCGCTTTCTTCTCCTACTTCCTTGTCAAGCTCGTCCCTTACTGGGGTCTTGCTATCATCGCTACCACCATTGCCTTCTTCGTTCCTCTCGTCTACACCACGAACCAGGAGCTCATCGACGCCCACATCAAGAACGCCTCTGATGCCATCAACGCCCAGACTGCTCAGGTCCGTGAGCTCGCTCAGAAGCAGGCTGACCAGATCACCACCATGGGCAAGCAATATGCTGGTGATTACAGCGAAAAGGTCCAGGAGATGCTCCGCGGTCGCAATGCTCCTGCCCCCGCCGCCGCCCCTGCTACTTCTACTCCTACTGCCAAGCCCACAGTCAAGGAGGTCGTTCCCGTCCTTCCCACCGCCCCTACCGAGGAGCCCGTTGTTGAGAAGATCCCCGAGATGCCCACCGCCCCTGAAGAGGAGCCTCTGATTGCTGCTTAAACAATACGACCAAGCACGATTTAGGACTTTCATGTGTACACGACTTACCAACAATGACGCGCATGATTGAAACTTGACAGTGCCGGCACCGGTCCCAATATTTTTTTTCATGATACGACATACCTTGACGACTGGGACCGGGCCGTGCAGAGTTCTCTTTTTGTTCAGTTTTGCCTTCGGCTTTCCTTCCTACTCTTCTTTTTCGACGCTTGTTTGCTGTTGTTCATCGCAAAAGCACACAGGTTGATGCATGCCACCGACAGAGGACCAATGCAGCGCATTTCTTTTATAGAATTGTCAGTCTGTTCCTCTGCCGGTGCAACATGAGCGTTCTTGCGGGATAAAATTTGATTTTCTTTGGGTTCCATGGTACATTGGAGGGAGCTTCTGGTTTATTTAATTGCGGAGGTTATGAACAAATGCGTGTTTGTTCTTCTTTCTTCGTGACTCAAGCAAGTTTCTTGACGGAAACTGAGCAATCGTAGCTGCTAGTTTGCACTATGAGACTGTATAGCACCTGTTTTCGCTGTTGCTTGTTTGCTTGCGACTCAATTCTATTTTAATTTTTGTCATGCCGATTGCCCACATTGATTATAACCCGTGCATGTAAGAATGAATGTGAAATTTTTTCTTTAATTCGCTTTTCGACAAAATATAGCTATGCATTTCTTCTTCCTATTTACAAGCCTAAATGCAACCCATGGATGAAAAAAATAATGCAATACAGCAACGGCCAATCCCCAAGAATAAATACACCAACCACCCTCTGCGTACACTTTCTACTTTCTGCTTCGCTTGCCACCGCCTCCTCCTTCGCTGGCAGCTCGCTTGCGGCCGTTTTTGCGCCAAAAGTCCTTGGACTCTCGCTTCTCTCGGGCCTCCTTCTTAGCCTCGTTATCAGCCATCTTCTTTTGGAACTCGGCTCTCGACTCGTCCTTCTTGACGCGGCGCTTGGCAGCAGCATCATTGCGGATAGTGAGCAGCTGCTGCATGACGGCGCGGGCCTTCTTTTCCTCGCCGCCCACAATAACCGCTCTCTTTTGCATGTAGGTCTGGCGCTTCTGTGCCTTGGTCGTAGTGATTTGAGACTTGTAAGGAAGTTCAGCAGCAAGAGCACGAGGCACCTTGAGAGAGTTGAAATGACGGGTCTCGCGCTCAATCTTGCGGTACTGACTGTTCTTGAGCTGCGGCGCAGTAAGACCTTGGTCGCGACGGACTTCACCAGTCAAACGCATAGGCTGCCAGCCAATCAAGTTGGTGACCGGGTTGTAGAAGCGGTGCGGCTTGATGGGGTACCATGCGCGTAGGAAGACAATGTCACTGAGGAGGACCTTGTCTTCAAAGGTTGCACGGAAGTGGCCTTCAGGCTTGGACAAGGCACGCTTGATTTGACCGCGAATGCCAGAGACTGTCTTGATGGAGGCGCCTTCAAACTTGGCGATTTCCAGTGACGAGTTGAACATGTCCTTGATGAAGGCTGTGTTCTTGAAGATCTTGTATGGCGTACCGGTCAACTTGAGCTTCTTGACAATCTCGGTGGACTCGTCAACGCTCAGCACGGTACCCGTCGCAGCAATGCGGAATCCAGCATTTGACGAAGCGAGGTTATTGAAACAGACGAAACCACTGTTGGGGGCAATAAGCGGTGCGTACATGGTGCCAAAACAGTGCATGTGTTCTGGCGTGTACTTTAGCATACGGTTGCGTGTACGCGAGTCTGATATAGAGTAGATGGGTAAACTCTGGAATCGACGCCAGCCCAGCGAGAAGATGAGAGGGTCGTTGGTTTTGAGGATCTTCTTGTGCCAGCGGTGACGCTTGATACGCACTTGAACAAAGCCCCAGCGGTCTTCAGTGGGCGTCAGACCACCGACGATAATGGGCATACGAGAGTTGAACTTGTTGACAAACTCCGCGGGCACGCCCTCGAGAACAATGCTGGCATATTTACCAGCACGGAAGCCCTCGACAGCAGAGCGCTGGCGTTCATCGAGTCCGTCAAACTCTTCCTTGTTGATATCGAGCTGCCTCTGAATCATTGCCTTTTGTGCGTCGTACCAATCGTCTTCTCCAAACTCTTCATCATCGCCGCCTTCCTTGCGGGCAATAGCCTTATCATTAAGGAAACCGTCTCGATCTTCTTCTTCGAAACGTTGCTTAAGCTCTTCTTTGCGTTTGGCGTTCTTTTCACGTTCAGCCTCGAGATCCTCAGCAGTTTCTTGTTTGGCCTGCTCCTCAGTGCCGTCGGCTTCGAGATCTTCGAACACGCCGTCGCCTTCGTCATCCTCATCGTCAAAACCGTCAAAGTCGTCATCATCCCCGTCCTCATCATCTCCGTCGTCATTACCGCGAGACCCAGAAGTAAACTTGCGACGAAGAGCGCTGATGTTCTCCTCGGCTGCCCACTTAGCTGCAAGATCCTCGTAGTCGTAGTCCGGAATTGCTCTATCTTCAATGAGATCTTCTTTGTCCTTTGATGACTTCTTAAAGAAATCTTCATCGTCAGAGTCGTCTTCAATGTTCTCTTCTTCAGACTCATCATCCTTGCCACGCCACTTGCTCAATGCCTCCTCAGGCGTAATAGCCAGGTCGTACATGTATCTTGCGAGGTCGGGTGTGTGATATGAGCGTCTCTTGCCGTGCATCCGGCTAGCTTTTCCAGCTAAATCGTCTTTCCAGCGCAGAGCTGCGGCATCTTCATCTGAGTCGTAGTCGTCCTCATCATCGCCTGATATCGATCCCAGATCAGAATCACTATCGGCGAACGCAAAGTCGTCCTCTCCACCACCATTTTCTGCATCCTTGCGGAACATGCTTCCGAGCTTCGTTTCGTCAAACTCAGCCTCAGCTTCAGAGTCTTCCTCGCCGCTCACAAAGCCTTCGTCTTCGTCGTCTTCGTCGTCGATATCTTCGTCGTCATTTCCTTTGTCTGCAACTCTAGCCTTTCTGTGGGTTTTTCGTCCAGTGTCCGCTTCGTTGTCTACTTCTGTGATGCGGTCGCCGCCTTCGAAAAGCTGAAGTCCTTCATCAGTCTGACCAAGCAGACGACGTTCTCCCTGGAGACCGATGATCATTTCTTCACCTTCTCCACGCTCAACACCCTCAGCATCCTTGTCAAAAGTGAAACCCTTTTCTCTGGTAATCCAGATAGCATCACCATCGATTTTAAGACCACTACGATCAGACATTGGCGCGTGCAACTTCTTCTCCTTCTCATCGAGTCTCCGTCTACCTGTTTTACCGGTAATTTTGGCCATAGCCTGTTCCATGGCTGGGGTTGGGCATGGATCAGGGAGAACCTCCATGTTGGAAATGGTAAAGTCTCCCAGACCAGGAACGTGGACTCGTTGGCCCTGCGAGGCGAAGTTGGTGCCACGCAAGTAACCGGAAAGGACGATAGAGCGATCGCACTTGGCGTTCTCTTCAATCTTTGTAGGATGTGTGATGTCTCGGAAGCTGTCGATGATAGAGTAAGGGTGGGAGTTGCGCCAGATCAGAGGTCGAGGGTTCTTCATAATGGAAAGGAAGCGGCTCAAGTTGTGAATCTCGCGATCGGGGTACCGTCCATTCATAACACCAGAGAGGTAAAAAAGGTGAGCACCCTGGTACAGTTCGGTCCACAGACGGCGCTTGAGTCTCTTCTTGGCGTCCTTGAGGGCCTGGGGCTTGCGGAAGAGATCGAGATGGGTCAAAATGCCGAAGACGTTGCCAGGCATACCAGTGGCGGCAAGGATATTGAGGAACTCCATAGTTTCCATTTCGAATCCGTAGTTTCCGTCAATGAGTAGCAGAACAATGTCTGCCACCTTGGCAACGTCCACCATGGCCTCGAGTTCGTTGGCGCATTCCATAAAGGTGAGTCTCTGCTTCTTCGAGGTAACAACAGTAACAGGTCCCTGGGGGTCCGCAATCGTTTCTTTTGCATATCTTCGAATAAGGGACTTCATTAGGGTCGTTTTGCCAACGCCAGGCGGGCCAACAATGGCGACCAGGCGAGGCGGCGCCTCGTCCGGCAATCGATCGACAAGAGGAACATGGAATCGTTTTTCTTTAATCTGGAAGGGATTGAAGGTTAGATTGCTTTCAATTAAACATGAGAGACGGGGTTTCCTACATCTTGAGATCTCGCTGCTGTTCTTTGAAGTCGGCCTGGGTTCGCAAAGGCGAAAGCCTTAGGATTGCGATCTTTTGCAGAGTTAGCAGGGCCTTCGTAACAATATCGGTAATAGTACAAACCTCCAGAATGCTGCTTCTTCTCCTTTGACTTCCGGTGCGGCTTATGCACCTGGTCCTCCATGGCTGCGGTGTGGTAGGATTGCAGTCCTGGTTAGATATCACGACTGAAAAAAAAACGTTGAGCTGCTCTTTCCGTAGCAATTGAAGGTTGAAAAAAAAACAGGTATCGATAAAGATTGTTATCGATACGGCTATTGCCTTTTTGTGGGGCCGATTACCGTATTAGGTAGTGCCTCTGGTTAGGTCCCGTTCACAACCACCACAGGTAGTAGACGACGTCTGTAAGGCAAGGATACTGAGATGAGATTGATTTAAGTTTTTTACCTATTTAGAGAATTTCATATCTTTAGTAATCTTAATTTTAGTTTATTTGTTTGGATTATAATGTATGGCGGCGGTACAAGATGGTAGCTGATGCACACCTTGAGTAGGAAGATCCGTCTCGTCTACGTAGCTTGCTTCAAACGAACAGGCCAAACGAACATAGCCGCAAGTTTTACACCCCCTCTCGTCAATGTCAAGAGATGATTAGATGGTCAACCGGGCACATGATTCGCTATGAAAGTCGCTTCGTTTAGGACATTGATATCATATCTGTCCGTGGCTAATTGTTCAGCTGAAAGGCTCAAAACCATAGGGTAGTTGGCGCTCCGACAACGGTATTCACGAGGATTCGGATGGGTGAACTAGTACCGTTGTACTGCTGATGGCTTGATTATGGTATAACGCTAAGGTGATGAACCGCGACTGGATGAATGAACTGAGGCGGTGCATGCATATCGAAGCCAAGCCCCGCGGGCCCGCGGCAACTACTTATTCATGTCCTCCGCGGGGTCTGCAGCGTATAGTAAAGTAGAAAGTCGGACTCTAAATCAATGAAGCGACATGAAAGGCAAAAAAACAAGAGCACTGCCTGGCTGATGTGATGATTATCCATAGTAGGAGAGCCTTGATCGCCTTGCCGTTTTTGTGGTGGGCGCAGTCGTGATTACCCCGGATACTTACTTTACAGATAAGACGATGGTGTGTAACTTGTGATGGGTGCGGATGCTAGGTCGGCGAAACAGATGCCGTTGATACAGTAATGCAACAACGGTCCTCGTCTCTATTCTAATCCCAAGTCAGCCAAAAGAAGACTTGTTGAAAAAGATAAGCTTTTGTTCCTTTTTTGGTATACTTGCACCTGGTCGTGAGTCACCGCACAGACGAAGGCGCTGATCTGGGCTAATATGAGTTCGGGAGTGAACAACTTCCCGACGACAGCTTTTGTGGCGGTGGCTTGGGACTAGTGGCATGTTCGGGTTGAAGCAGCAGCCTGTTCACTGACTTTTGCGCTAGCGGGCTTGGTAAGCTATCTAACTTAACCTGGCGAATATTTTTGACTTCAGCCCTGCAGCCTGTGTTGCGCAATTCCCTACGCGGCGGTCATGTTAGTGGGAAAGGCGGCTGTGCGGGCGTGGAAACGAGGCGTATACTGTTGCCGGACGCCGCCCCGATACATGGTGATGATGGCAGGCGGACCAGTTTTCACGATGGTGACCTATATCGACGAAGCGAGACGAGGCATACGCATGTCTCGTGCGGCAGGTTGGATCGGCCGTGTGCACCCTGGTCAGGCAGCCATTTGGTCGGCGAGAAGTGAGATATGGTGCAGGTAGTGCACGCATTAGTGTGAGGATCTGAAACTAAGTAGAGGAAAAAGAAACCCCGAGAAAGAGCGAGAGAGAGATTTAGACAGTGTTGGGGAAAGGTACTTGAAAGTACATGGAGTTGGATTGGTGGGGAGACGACAACTGAGGAATGATGTGGTGGGGGAGGCCAGAGAAAGCGAACATTTTTTACAGTGTATGGATTGCGTGGCAGACAGGCTGCCATTAATGTACAGTACCATACTGCAGCAAGCAGGCAGACAGCGTAGAACACAAAACGAGCTCTAAAATCGAGAAGAGAAATATCAATTCTCATAAGCACTAACAATACTTTAAATTTTTTTTCCAATCTTATAAAAATCAACCATGTTCAATATAAGCAGTGGTTCTCTAATTTACGTATTTGAGTCACTCCGAAAGGGTGACATGCAGACTCAGGATGACTTGTCAGGCTTATGCATGCTAAACCTGAAACGTCTTGTTTGCCAGCGAAACAAAGAAGCCGCAGCGTCATCAGGGTCATTCTGATAGGCGCATGCAGCTAGCTAGCTACCTGCAGACTATTACGACGCAGCATCTACTTCTTTTTGTTGTTTACAGCAAACTCCCTCGGTTGTGGATTAGCGTATACGTATACACTGCCGGGGAGCGGGCCAGCACTCGAACACCGACGGTTCAGAAGGCACTGCGGCAGAAGGAAGGGCGACAATACAATAGAGGGGAAAGAAAAGAAACAGTAGCAGTAGTCTCTTTTCTTTTACTCGGGCCCCAGCTAGCCGAGAAAACTAGCAGCGCCAGTAGACACATCTCATAGACAGAAGCCTGCAACCCCAGGAGGGGGGTGTGCCAGTAACGAACCAACAAACAACTCTGCTGTCTTGCATGTCTTGCATGTCTTTTCCACTCCAGTGACAGACCCCATTGAATGAATGAATAAAAAAAAAAGGCTGGATCCGCATACCTCTCTTGTTCCAGCCTGGGCTGCGCAGCTCTTCAGGGGAATAATGCACAGTGTGGTGGTGACAAAAAAGCTTGGTATTTGCGATCCGATCGAACTTTTGTCCGCTGCCCAGGCGAATGGATCGGGGTTACAGTGGGTATTTTGTAGGAGGCAGCGCCGGACTGGCTGCATTCTTGCCATCCACTCTTTTGGTTGACAGGGGCGAGGGGGTGTGCTTTAAAAATAATAATTATAGTGGACAAGATGAAGAAAACCTTTTCATCTTTTTCATTGTGTCGTATTTTTCGTCTGGGGCTCTGCTTTGTTGAATTGTTTCTCCTGCGCCACTGCTGCTGGAGACACTATATGTAAACGCTGCAGGGAATATCGAGTCACCAGCTAGCGCGGTGAGATGCTACAGTTGACTCAGGGTCTGTCAGTGAGGACTAGCAAATTGTGCAGGTTGCCCCGCCATAGTGGTGCTGCTGCGGCCGGTGGTGGTTTCACGGTGGCCGTTGTGAGCTGCACTGCGCAGTGACGGAGCCGCCAACGGGACTGAAATCAGACGCCGAAGGTTTCGGAGCTCGGCCGTTGTCCGAAGGAAGAAAGTCTGCCAGCTGCTGTGCCTTACAGGGAAGCCATCATGGTGCGAATTTAAGAAAAATAAAAAAAATAAAAGTAATTAATTATGGCAATTACCGTTTATAGCAACAGGCTGGGTTGAGCAAGTTGAGCAAACAATTGTCAGCCAGACGGATAAACGGTATCTGTGGTGGTCTGATCGCAGGCAGGCAGTAAGCATTTATCAACAAGATCAGGCTTCCAGGTAAAAAGAAAGACACTGAGTGAGGGCACCCTAGGCGACAGCATTGCAACTACACGCAAAATGAAAACGAAGACGACTACGATAATACAGACGGATATAGCCAAAAATCACCAAAAAAAAAAAAGAGATAGTATCAAGCCACAATGGCGGAGTCAACAAGGTGCCCGAGCACTGACGACTGGCGTTCTGTCTGCTGCCGACGTCATGACCATGCACCCAGCCTTGCGCATGTAAATTGAGTTTGCGTAAGGCACGCGCGGTCCGCACTACGCCCGTCGCATCGAACCACGGGGTGTACAACAGGGCGCGAAATACATCGGCTCTTTCCGGTAGAAAATAGACAGATACTATACGAACTATACTATACTATACTATACTATACTGTACTTCTCTACCATCTTTCTCTTGTGACGGTGGTCGTCGTGAATTAGATCTTGGCAACGTCTCGTCCACTAACAACGGCCGACTTACTGTAATCCAAAATAGAAACAAAACTACCTAAGCCTTACTTTACTCTACCGTCCGAGTCCAACATCGTAATCTAGCCTCCGTCGTCTAGGTGGAAATTGAATTTTTGAATTTTCTTTTGCTGTTCATTGCCTTGGCGGTCTGTTCCGCCATGCCTACCTACACGCACAATACGATAAGCCCGCCTTGACAGTCTGCTTTTCGGGGCTTGTTTTGTGGTCCCACTCGGTGATGACTCCTTAGGCTTAGTCCCGAAAGAAAAGAAATGGGGCCTATACTCTGGCTGGTCCTAGTTTGTTACCGCATTTTGCTACTGCAGAGGGCGCTAGCTGGGTGACGGATGAGTCGTCGTGTGCGGCTGCGTGGTGGCCTGACGCGCAAGGCCCACCATCCACTTTCTAGCTGCCGGCTTGACTCACAGCGGGTCCGTGGTCTCTCTCTACTTTACCGTTTGGCGCTAAATTGCTTGTCTCTGTAGGTACCTGGGCCTACAGATACTCTACAGTACCTACTGTACAGTACGATCCCCCCCTGCGGGCCTCGCTAACTTGCGTGTCCCCGGCCGCGCGGTGGGGTCGCCCGGGGCGCACACCACGCACCACACCACTACGTCTTTGCTGTCGCAACCCGCGCAGTGTCCCGGAGCGCCACCAGCTCGGGAGTCCGTACCTGCGCTCACACCCGCCGTGCACCCTGGTGACCGTCTTGCAACCGTGCAGGTTTTTCTTTCCTTCTCTTGTCTTGGAGTAGTAGAAGATCGTCTATATAACTTCCCTTCTCCTCCCTCTCCATTGTTCACTTTTTTTCTTTTAGGTCATCCACAAAAGATTTACACACACATTCAAAGCCTGCTCTTCAAAGCTTCGCTTTCCCACTTACACAATTCTCTACTACTACTCCCAACTCAACAACAACCACCAATAAGCCTTCATCATGAACCACGCTGGTCTTTCCATCAACAGCTACGGCCACATGCACATTGCTTGCACTGATCGTCAGCACATCAGCCCCATGCTTGAAGCTCTTGCACCCGCCTCAAGAAGAGCCCAGGCTTACATCTACGCCAACAGCCGCCGCCCTTCTGCCGCCGCTACTGAAGCTAGCGAAGCCGATAACGCTTCTCTCTACTCTGTCGATAGCCTCCAGAAGCCCGAGCCCAAACCTGCCAAGAAGTCTCGCCGCCATTTTTGGTCAAAGAAGCAGTAAATAAGACGCCACCAGTCTTGAACTAGCAGCTGCTCTACCACTTCTTTCTTCACTACAGGAGCTAAGCTGGCTTGCGAGATCTGATATCTACGATTTTCACAAGCTCGCTTTCTTCTGAAACCAGAAAAACAACGACACGATGAATACATGACTTTTTTTCAGGCAGGCCAGAGCCCAGCTGCTCTCGACACCTATGCATCGAGAGCTCGCTGCCTCTGGCCCGAGCCACTATCAACAGCATTGGGAAGCATAGGCGTTTTTGGAATCGTAGACGGGAAATTTTGAGTCCAATTTGGACATTGCTTTTATGTACTAGAATTGCTTTCTTCTTGCTTTTCCTTTTCTTTCTATTTTGTTACAGTATCAGTCAGACCCGTCTATCTTTTCATTCCGAAAGACGCGAGAAGGACATCCTGCGAAATGGGGCCTTTTTCAGATCAGTTTACAATAATCGATTAGTTTAATACTCTCTAAACCAGTTCATTCTTAAAACCTGTGCCATACAATGTGACATGTGCTTTAATGATAAAATAAAGACAAAAAATGGTATTTGAAGTAAATAAAACAAAGAATCGTATAATTCGTCATATAGCCAGCCATTTTGCTTGTCAACCGCCTGTTTGCCCAGCCCAGCACAACCACCTACTTTGAACTAAAAGCTGTCGTCTAGGATATCCCGGTTCGGTTTTACCATTGATGGGCTATACTCGGATGAATCAGGGTTGATTCCGGCGTTAAGCAAGATATCATCCACGATCCGCTTGCTGGCATCACGCGCTGGAGCCCTTCGGTTAGTGTCATTTTTTTTACTCGGCGATGCTTTGTACATACCTGGTGTCTGCAGCAGCTTGGAAGGCGGTAGGGCAAATTGAATTGTCTTGGGAGGACTTCTGCCTGCCATGAGATCATCATCGTCGCTCTCCCATGTAATCTCATCTACGGCCGTCTTCTTGCCCATACCGGGCGTTTGGACGCTCACACCAGGCGTATGGGGCCTATGTGACGCAGCCTCGAACCGCTGCCTTGCTGTAGACTTGTACGGAGACATAAAGGCCTCGCTGCGCATTTTGGGTACAGCCATTTCAGGTGACGACCCAGGTGAGTCTGCCCAGCTGGGCTTGGCCGGTGACTTTTCGTGCCTTGACTTGACAGGTGTGCCTCGCGAGGTCGACTTGTGTGGCGTCGCTTGTAGGCGGTAGTTTTTGTCGAGGACGCGATGCAGCAGCGGATTCTTGCCTGCTTGTCCTTCTTGTACTTCTTGCTCTCGGTTGCGCCTCTCTATTAGTGCCTGTGGCGTCATCGTCATGTCTGGTAGTCTGGCAGTTCGTTGCGCGAACATGATACTGGAGTCTTCGTCTTCGAGAACAGTCGTCTGGTCTTCCTCTTGTTTATTCTTCATTTCGCGGCGCATAGTCTCGTACGGCGACTCAATGTCGGACATGTTGGCCCGTACCACCTTGCCACCAGCTGGGCGCGGTGTGCTTCCTAACAAGTCTGCGTCGTCAAGCATCGACTCGTCTACTGTTATGAGATCGTGGTGCGGCGCGGGGGTCGATGATGGCTCAGGCGCTGGCTCTTCGACCGGGCTGTCCTGCCGCATAGCTGTGCTCTCCTCCATCATGGTTGATTCGTCATCATTTGCCAATTCTTCGTATCCTGATAGCGAAACGTTGGCAGATGCCTCGAAGAATTGTTTCCAAAACTGTTACAACCCGGGTTAACTTCTGGCGTAGCGCAGAGCGCATATTGGGTCACCATACCTTTGATGCTTCCCAGATGGATCTTGAATGGTTTCCATACTGCTCAACCACGGGAATAATACTAGTTGTCACAATTCTGTGCGCCTTGCTAAAGTTGTGGTCGATTTCTGTGGCGGTTGAGTTTAGCTCATATAACACCAATTGTATCTCTCTCCGCGTGCTAGCCTACCTTGCAGAGTAAGAGTGATGGACTGCTCAAGCCTCTCAAGCTCTTCTGTCAGGCTCAAATTTCGAGCTGCAACGCTTGGGCGTGCCATGGTTGTGGTTGGTCGATGCTGCTTGTGCTGGTGATGTCGCCTGCTTTCTGCTGGAAGACGCGTCGAGCAACTTTAGTCGGCGCGTGCCTGCCACCAATGAGGGGCTGCTGCCAATGGTGGGAAACCGCCAGCAAGTGGGCGTGTGACGTAGATAGACAACATTGTAGTGAACGAACCATAAGATGGACTATTTAGTAAAAATAACGTTATAAGTATATAATATCAGAATTAAATATTGCATTGCGGAATTTTACCAAATAATATATCCGTAATTATTACGAGGTAACTGTGACATTCTCCCACTCGCTGCCTTCCTTACCTTCACAGAAGATTCCGGAAGCCAATGCGCCCTGTCACTACATTTTTGACACGCCTTAGCGCAACATTTACAGTGGGCTTTACTACCCACGCACAAAGGCAGTTGTCACTATTTGATCCACGGCTTTCCCTGGACGCATTCAACCTCTACTATCGGCATATTTCGACCCCAGCATACATCTTATAGACCTCCTTATAATCCAATTGACATTATCTTCCTACAATGGCGACTGCCGCGAGAACGTTTCTTGCGTTCCACCACAATGCCAAACTCTACCGGCTCAAGACTCAAATCCTTTCCATCCGCCCATTCTCAGCGCTGGAAGAAACAAACCAAGGACTCTTCAAGCAAGCAAGCCCCGACGAAGACCACGTTGTCGTCACCAAAGAGACTGTATTCCACCCCCAAGGTGGTGGTCAGCCCTCAGATGAAGGATACATGACCCCGGCTGCGGAAAACGATGCAAGCTCACCTGCTGGCCCCTCAGATCCATCATTTCAAGTCCGCTCCGTCAGAATGGATGCTGTGAATGATGGACAAGTTCTGCATGTCGGCCGCTTCGTCAACGGTGCCTCATTAGCAGCATATCAGCCCGGCAGCCTCGTCGAACAGGCCATTGACGTCGAAAAGCGACTGCTCTACTCGCGATTTCACACAGCAGGCCATGTTCTCGGCGCTGCAGTCCGCCATCTTCTTGAAAGTCAAATTGAGGGGTTCGATGAGCTCAAGGCTTCACACTTCCCGGACAACGCATCCTGTGAGTTCCAAGGCCTGATTGACGGCAAGTGGAAGCCAGAGATCCAACAGCGAGTCAACGACTACGTCAAGAAAGCCATGTCTGTCGAAATCGATTTCTGGACTGCTGAGGATTTCCGCAAGGCTGGTCTGGAGCGATTGATCCCAGATAGCAGCTTCCTCGGCCCAGGAGAAGACAAATTCCGCGTTGTCAAGATTGTCGGTGCCGAAACGTATCCTTGTGGTGGAACGCACGTTGACACCACCGATTTGTGTGGTGAGACAACTGTTAAGAAGATTTCGAGAAACAAGGGAATGAGCAAAGTAAGCTACACGGTAGCCTCTGCATAATTGTACGACGTATATATAAGTCTTTTAAGAGTTGAGGTTAGACGAGAGATGAATGATGACATATAGATAGTTTAGATGAATGCGTTGATAGATATAGACATTTCAATTGAGTTGGTTATGGACGGTATTTCTTTTAGAAAACAAGACATTCGTTTCTTCATTCCTTCGTTAATTTGTGTAGTAGTCGTAAAGGTCTAGCTTTGTGAGGAGTTGTGAGAGTAGGCTAGCATCAGCTGTATCCCGTGCTGAATCTCGATCTCTGCTGCCTGCAGACAACCTGGCTTTCTCAGATAGTTCCCGGCATACAATCAGAAACATCTGAACATGCTTCTTGAAATCATTGTAAATGGCAGCCGGCTCTTCGAGCCCTTTAAGCTCTTGATGTCTGCGTAGTTCCTCAAGGCGTGTGTACTTTGCATATCGCAAGATGCAACCAAACATGCCTTCGAGAAGTTCTAGAATTGGCTGCTGGCGCTTTCTCAAAAACAGATTCTGTGTGATTTGGTCCAGCATAGTTTCTTGCAGCTCGCATACCTGCTGAGGGCCAATGACTGCGGAAGTAGCAGCTTGCTGAGCAAACGGGATATCCAACTCAGATCGGACTCTGTCCAAACCTTGTTCGAATTTAGTCCACGGAATACTCACACCACTGTCCAAGAAATATGCTGATATACATGTGACAATATGATGCGCTTCTCGAACAAATCGATATCGTACGTCGTCAACATAGCTGAAACGGCCCCAGCCAAAGTTGATGTCACGGAATATCATGTTAACCGCGTAAAGCATGCGCAAAACGCGGAGCAATAGTCTGAATATTCTGTCATACTGAAGCAATGTCATTGGTGTAATAATTGCACTGAGTTCTGGAGGGCTGGTATATGAAAGGCGTAAGAAATCCAGGGCTTCTAATGAGTCGACGTCCCTACACTTTTGAATATCATCTTCTGATAGATCCCGGATGGCAAAGCTGAGGTCTCCTGGCAATTCCTGCTGGCCCCTAGCATGACTGGACTTTTCTGCTGTGACCGTAACTGAATCGCAAGTCTCTTTTAATACGCCCATCAATGCTAGGCGAAGCTCCGAGCTTGCTGGTGGCCATGTGTCACGACCACCTAGACGCAGGCCCATCAGGCCACCCTCACGAGCGACACCAGCACGTCTCTCTGTTGTCTCAAGATCCGGGTCAAACAAGGCATGAGAAAGTCGACTGCAGAATAAGCCATTGCCGAGGAGCTGAAATTGATGTTGAAGCTTTAGATGCATATGCAGCCCATGCTTATCGAATAGCAACTTCAAGCTCTCTCGTCCCACGAGCTGCGCCTGGATTAGAGCAAGGTTACCAAAGGAGAGCGCAGGCACGAGTGACCAGTGAGGTTCCTGTCCTGCAGTTACGGCAGACGCCGTTTCTGCTTGAAGACGTCGTTGTATAATATCAGCCAATGCACCATCGCGCTGCGGATACTGAGGGGGCATGCTAAGAGTTTGCATAGATGCTTGTAACCGCGCTTCCAGCTTGTCGTCTGAACAACCGAAGAAGGTTAAAGCGGAGGCAGCAGAACCTGACACCGGTACCTCTTGTGCTGACTTGTTTTGAGGAGCTGATTCTATGGCTTCGACAGCTCGGTCTCGGTAAGCTGCAGCCTCAGATCCAAGTTGCAAAATATCGGACCAATTATAAAGCCAGCTAGCTTTTGGCGGTCCCAGCTCTGATAGGACATCATCCCGCGCCAGAATGTGCTGTGGGTGAAATTCTTTTATAAAACGCAAACTCCGACCAGTCTGGAATATAGACGCTGCAATTTCAGGTGGCATGAACTCGGGGATATTGGCTTCGACCAGGACAAAATCGACATCCTGTATTTCGCGCCCAAAATCATCGATGAAAGTCTGAGTACCGACCTTTACAAAACCCTTGCTTGTGCCGCCATCCTTTTTGGATAATGGGATACCACGCTCGGGTCTGGTCCCAATCCACTCTTCGATGAATTCGACCCACGTGCAAGAAACAATTTGTAATATCTCTCTGCTGATGTCTCTCGTGTAGGTATCACTGTTGTCAGATATAGATGCGTAGTTGAAGAGAATGGTCAGCACCTCTTCGTCTGTGCTGCTGTAGTTCATTTCGCGTGACAGGATTTCGAGGGGTCTTAGTATGGAAGCCATACTGCGAATCGTATTTTGGAGTCCTAGAATCGACTTTGGGGTGGGGGTATCGACAACTGCGTGCTTGCGAATGACATCCAAGACTTGGGTAACCGTGCTGGCGAAAGCAATAGCGCAATGACTTGGTTGCTGAGAATATACCTTCTTGGCGAATGTCGCTAAATCTATTGCAAGCTTTCCACAAGCAGCGCATTCTTTCTCCACGGCGTCTAGAACTTGTCGAGAGTACCCAGGTATCCTTATATTGGCCAATGTGGAAGTGAACTCGGCGGACCGCTCGTCTTTCTTGAAAAGCTCCGACTCTTGAGCCAGGGCCACGTGAAGGAGACAAGAAAAGTACGCTTGCTGATTGACCAAGCGAATGTCCGAGTTTCCTAGCTGAAGATAATCCTCTGGCTCTTGTAGTAAAGAATCATATGCAGACGATCCCGCCTCTGATAAGAACATGGGGCGGTGGGCAACTGTTCGACGGTCGTTGAAATCCTCCCATGTTTTGCAGTTTGGCTTTTCTGGAACAAATTCAAGGTCCTCCCATATTTTATCAGCATTATTGTCGTCTTCGATGGCTTCTTCCGCCGTAGATTTATCATTGTCGTCTGGTATTTGAGTTGTAGTGGCATCAGAGCCAAGAGCTGCTGGCAATTTAAAGAAGCCTTCTTCTGAAAGGCCGACATCGGGATATGGCAGGAAATCAAACTCTCGCGGGTGATCGTTACCTGTAAATGTCGTTTAATACACAGCTCGAGGCTGTACAGAAATAAAGAAAACATACTCTCTATATCCAAGGCAAAAAACGAACCCGCAGGATCAACGTTTGCTTGGGTCAGCCATTTTGACGGCCTCCAGAATTCTGGTATGGCGAATATGTCGCCTTCGTTGTCTTTTGCCGCCATATCATCAGAATCTGCCTAAATAATCGAAATTCATTAGATGTCGGGCCAGCTATTTACGCTGGTGATGCAGGTTGAAAGCTGGGGAGACGCGCCCGTCGCGTGCATACAAGATGCCCCGCGCTAGGCTGAATCGGCAGTAGCTTTTTCGAGAGCAGCGCTTGGCGACACTGCATCTTCGCCCAAACATAAAACTACGCCTCTGCAAAATTTCGTTAAATTCAGCATCTCCTGCATCAATCAAATTCATCACAGCGCACGCTCTGGGAAACATTTGCTGTATCGACTCATCAATACAGCGCTTTAAATAATATTAGAGAATTATTACACAGCACACCGCGGCGCAATTCATCGCCTCCGCCATGCCTCCCCGAAAGAAAGCGCGTGGCCAACGTGCCGCAACCGACGACGATGCTATGGATATCGACACACCTAAAAGCCGCCGTAACAAACCAGTGCATAACGACGATCCGGAAATCAATGGCCTCTGGACAGACGATCAAGTAGCCTCGCTATTCAAAGGTGTCATTAGGTGGAAACCTGCTGGTACGTGAAGGAGTCCCAACACCAGACCAAGATGTTTGCTAACAAAGCGTTCCAAGGGATGCACAAACACTTTCGAATGATTGCGATATCAGAACATCTCAGAAACCACGGAATCGACCCTGATCTTCATCAACACACGCGCATCCCACACATCTGGGCAAAGCTCCGAAGCTACTACAACCTAGATTTCATCGACGAGCGAGAGAACTTTGACGACGAGGATGCGGAGGACCGATATCTCGACTTTTCATTGCCAACCGAAGATTATAAAGTATCCATGTTGCAGCGCGCTGTTGCCGACGTAAGCGAGGCCCCGACATCACCGCCCGAATTGGACATGTCACCTCCACCACCATCGCACGGTGGCAAGCGCAAGCGAGGCAACGCTCGCTCAAAGACTAGAGCAGCCTCCGCTGAGGACACAGAAGATGGGACAGATGCCGCATCACCAGTCGCGAAACCTACTCGTGGCAAGCGTGGACGAACGCGCGCAGCAAGTCGAGCTGGCAAGGCCGAGACAACCGAAGAGGAAGACTCAGAAGAAGGCGGCGAGAGTGGCGGCGAAGACGAGGACGAGGACGAAGATGACGAAGACAGCGACCAAGAAGAAGAGGAGGAAGCAGAAGAGGGCACTACAGCTACACGGGGACGCAGGCCGACTCGAGGTCGACCGCCTGCGCGAGGCAAGAGACGTGGTAGAGGAAGGTGAAAGTGCCACCGGCTATATTATAGTGGAATTTTATGTAAAAGGCTTTAGTAAAAGTACAAGATACCCCATGCTCAGAAAGTATTTGTCCGAAATAAATCATGGTGCCAGTAAATCATGATGACTCCTCTCCTTCGCTAGAGGTGCCCATATCTTCGTCATTCGTTAATAAGTCTCTCTCATCCCCCCCTTCTTCTTCCTCTCCGTCACCAGGGTCGTCATCCGAAGAGTCGCTCTGAATGCTGTGGTTTTGCAACGTTTCCCACGGTGCACAGTATTGCGTAGCTTCTGCCCAGCCCTCCTTCGAAGCGTCAAGATCGCTTACTCTCAAGATCGATCTTGGGATAGGAACCGCCTTTTTTAACTTGGGAAGTGGATGTGACGGCGTCCTTTCCAGTGTCTTCCACATCTGTGCTTCGGCTTGAGCGCTTGCACGCGCATCTACCTGTTCTGCGACTTCTTCAGCTTCGCGCTCAGCTAGAACCCGGAGTGTTAGGGCTTCTCTGAATTTCGTTACGTCGCGGATAGTCGTGACAGAGTATTGTAAGCCTTCTTTAACTTCAGCCTCGACAAAAGGGCCATGCTTGCCATCTTCAATCTCTGAAGATGACGATTCATCGTCTTCAAGGTCTGAATCGTCGTCCATGCTGGTTTCATCAACTGCAGATGATATTCCGCGCGTGTGCCGTCCAGATGCTGTGCGTGCATCTGACGCTCGGGGATCTGGTACCCCATGCGAAAAGAGACGAGCTTCCACAGTCTCGTAAGAAAGAATATCAGGATCCGTAGCATCGTCATTTATATCTGCCAAGGGGTCATCGTGTATATTCAGACGAAGCCTTCGTGCCGCGGTCGCCCAAAACTTGGAGGAATCTCGGGTTAGTCCCAGGGAGGCCACGGCTGCACGAACATCTCTAGCCCGGACCCTCATCTGCATATCAGGGGTCGCAGAAGACTGAGTCCTTATCCTAGACGATGCGATGTATAGTGCCGTTTGCATGATCCGTCGGGTCAAACTCAAGGCCAGCGAGTGGAAATCCTCCAGACATGTTGCCCATATCGACGGGGGAGATGAGTCGATGTTGACCCAATTTCCTTCAGGGACTGTCGAGTTCATAAAGACCCGTCTGGATAAAGCTAGCCAGTCTGTGAGGCTAAAGAGTGGTGTAAAGACAAAGTCTGGCAGATCAGATCCTGGTGTCCTTTTGTCCAGCGCGGCAGCAATGTTTGGGGTAATGTCCCAGTAACTTCCCCATTTTGCGCTCTCGCGCAGTTGTTCATGTCGTTCCTGTTTCAGAGATATGGCATCTGCCGCCTCTTCTTGAGCCTGGCAACATTCATTGCTCAACTCGACCGCGGCCGGTAGCTCTGCCAAAGCAAGCATCTTCGACTTGCCCCTCAGCTGACCCTGGCGCGCCTCGAAGGTCTGCTGCAGAAACCGTAGGTAGTGTTTTACCTCCAATACGTCTTTTGTGTCGATTCTAGCTGCTATTGCGTCCAAATTTGAGACTCCGAGGCGGGAAACAGCTTCATACAACTGTGTCTTCTCCAAGGTTGACCAGTATGTGAGTCCAACCTGGCCGGGAACTGGTGCCTCATCATCGTCTAGCGACACACCCAAGGCAGCATCCTCGATATCATGGTTGAGTAATTCCAGATACGCGGGATTCATTGGTCGTTTTTGGCGCTTGAACCGCGGTTCATCTGTGCGCCCACCCGCCGACTCTTGAAGCTGTCTCTTAGCGCGGCGTTTGTCGGCACCACCCTCTACTGAGGTGCTGCTCCGCCGCCGATGCTTTGTACCAGTTTGAGCATCATGGCTCGCCTGTGTATTGATCAAGGCTTCTTCGATATCCTCTGGTAAATATTCTTCATTCCCGTCTTCCATGGTTGCTTTGCAGAGGCTGGTGACGGCGATTCTTTAGCGGTAATGCTCATTGTAAACCAAACGGCTGAAAAGTGGCAAATATTGTAGTGTGCCGTAAATAAGTAAACATCAAGATGGTATTATACAATTATCTTTTATTAAATAGTCGCCAACGTGTAAATGAAACAAGCGCCAGTCAAGATGTTACTGTGTTGTATGAGTTATGTGAAGGTTGTCCTTCCGAGTGCAAAGCTAAATCTACCATAGAAATGTGATTACATAAGATTTCTACCAACGTCACGAAATTCTCCCCCTTTGGACAACTGGCAGGCGACTCACAAAGAACAACAATCCTACAACCACCAATGTTTTTTTTTAATAAAGTAAAATGAATAGACATGTGGTCGCTACTGCATCGCAATCTTGTGCGGTCTGGCCCAAAGCCATTCAGACTCACTCCTGAAATCGCAAGGGGGAGGGCGTTTGCATCCACTGAGAGCAACACCGACAAGCTACAACTACGAGATTACCAGCAAGAATGTATTCGATCAGTTCTATCATCGTTGAAGAGGGGTCATAAGAGAGTTGGCATTTCTTTGGCTACCGGTAGTGGAAAAACAGTAAGATTAGACAAACCGATTGCCCTGCATTACTTCACTAACAGTGATATTAAAGGTCATCTTCACTCAGCTCATCGACAAGGTCCACAGTCGGCCTGGAGGCGCTGATAAGTCACTAATTCTGGCTCACCGCCGTGAGCTTGTTGAACAAGCCGCTGTTCACTGCCAGAGAGCCTACCCAGACAAGCGCATTGAGATTGAGATGGGGTCGCTGCACGCGTCTGGACAGGCAGATATCACTATCGCAAGCGTTCAGAGCATCACCTCCAAGGGCCGACTAGAAAAGTTTGACCCGGCACTTTACAAGCTTGTGCTGGTGGATGAGGCACACCATATCGTTGCGTCAAGCTACCTCAAAACACTAAAGCACTTTGGGTTGGAGCAAAAGAACAAGGACTCGCCAAATCTCATTGGCGTTTCGGCTACCTTTTCGAGATTCGATGGCGTCAAACTCGGGGCTGCGATTGATGAGATTGTCTATCATAAAGATTATGTCGACATGATCTCCGACAAATGGCTATCGGACGTCGTATTTACAACTGTCGAGTCCTCAGCGAACCTTTCGTCGGTCAAAGCGGGCGCCTTTGGTGACTTCCAAACTGGAGAACTATCCAAGGCTGTCAATACCCACGAGGTGAACGACATGACAGTCAAGAGTTGGCTTACCAAAGCGTCGGACCGATTATCAACGCTTGTCTTTTGCGTCGACTTGGCGCATGTTGCTGGCTTGACCGAAACATTTCGCAGCTACGGATACGACACCAAGTTCGTTACAGGAGATACGCCCAAGCTAGAGCGTACAGCTATCCTCGACTCTTTCAAAAGACGTGAATTCCCTGTTCTCATCAACTGTGGAGTCTTCACGGAAGGGACAGATATTCCCAATATTGACTGTATTCTTCTCGCCAGACCGACAAGATCTCGAAACTTGCTGGTCCAGATGATAGGACGTGGCATGCGATTATACCCAGGCAAAAAGAACTGCCACATCATTGACATGGTTTCAAGTCTAGAGACTGGCATAGTAACAACCCCAACACTTTTCGGGCTGGACCCAAACGAGTTGGTCAACGCCGCGTCAGTCAAAGAAATGCGCAAGCTGAGCAGCCGCCGAGAAGCAGCCAAAGATAAGCAAGCTGCTGCAGCATCCTCTCTCCTTACGCCACAGTCACCATCACGAGCTGTCACCTTTACGGACTACTCGTCAGTTCTTGATCTGATAGCCGACACGTCTGGCGAAAAGCATATACGGCAAGCCAGCAAATACTCGTGGGTGCAGGTCGGCCCAGAGAGATTTGTACTATCAGCGCCAAGCGGATCGTACCTACGAATAGAGCGTATGACGGAGTCGAGGGGCCAAAATATGCCAGCTTACCGTGCTGTGGAGGTGCGGGCTCTCCCTGCTGGCATGTCCAAGTCGCCCTTTGCTGCTCCTCGCGAGCTTCTCTCCGCTGCAACATTTAGTGATGCAGTTCATGGAGCAGACAGCTATGCAGCCCAGGCATTCCCGCATACGTTTATCCACCGCCATCAACCTTGGCGCAACCTGCCGCCAACACAGGGCCAGCTCGATTTCATCAACAAGATGAGAGGCGGTGCTAGGGAATTGCAAGCAAAGGACTTGACCAAAGGCAAGGCCGCAGACATGATCACCAAGCTGAAGCATGGCGCAAGAGGGCAGTTCGCTCGCATAGAGGCCGAGCAAAAGCGTAGGCAGCGACAAGTTAGTGTTGCGGACGAAAGACAAAACAGAGAAACCGTCCGTGTTGGACCGCTTCGCACTTAGGGGCCACAGAGCTCTATTGTATTATACTGTTGTACAATATTGTATATTTATTACATTAAATGGCCGTTCTCTAGACGAAACGACTACCCTTGAATATGAGCAGGTTAAACATTCCATACCGTCTACTTAAACAGCAATTATTCAATCTTTTTACAGGCGCTATTCAGATAAACAAGCAATAGCACTGTCATCGTCACAATGAAAGTAGCAACTTAGGCACGACTGTAGACGCTTTGTATTCAGATTCGAGCCCATAGATAACGGCTAGCAAAAGTATACTCTCTCCCAGCTATCTCTCCAAACGCACCAGGGGTATTTTATTTTGCTTCTCACCAAAGAAGCATAGTTTCCATCCTTCAAAAGCAAATGGTATGGGGTATAAAAAGACGATGACCAACTGTCATCAGCGCTGGCCATGCCGTCGTTGCCGGCGTCGTCGCCATTTCTCCTGATAATCCATCTCATCATAATAATAAACAAAAACAATGAAACAGAAAGGCAGCACGATGTGCTGCATGAGGTTAAAAAAACAAATAAGGTATAAAAACAATACATAAACAAGAACAAAGCAGTCCATTTGCGGTGTCGGATACCGCCAAATGCCTGCGGGTATTTCATTTTCTGCGCCTTGGTATTTCTAGCTGGGGTGCGTGATGCATGTCGTCTAACTCGGGATTTAACGGAATGGTGCAACGGGAGCATGGAATCCTGAATTCAAAGAATGAGAAGTTGATGGCCGCCCGCTGTCGCCAGATGCCCGCGTACTGTGTCGAGGGGTAACGTCGCCGGCGACGGGGATGGTCAACTTGTTGTCCATTTGCATACCAAAGTGGCGAGGAGCCCAGGGGTTCTCTTCATCTGGCAAGTTCACGCCGCTGTCATTCCAAGGGTTGCGGTCGGCGTTAAAACTTCTAGTCGACTCGATAGAGATGAGAGAAGACTTGGAAACGTTGGTGGAGCCCTTGAAGAAGCTGGCATGAGCCGAGTGAGAGCTGTTCTTTCTGCGGTCTAGGAAAGAAGAGATGGAAGTCATACTTCCAGGTTTGCGAAGTCTGTCGAGGATGCTGCTACGTTCACGGGCAATATCCGCACCGAAGCTTGCCTTGGATGGGGAATCAGTGCCGACAGCAGCAGGAGCATGCTGAAGCAACTTAGAATCGAAGTACTGGAGCGAGTCCTCGAAAGAGTCCGACTGGGGTCGAGGGATGGATCCCTTTACCACAAGAGCGTCAACAGTGGCCGTGGCAAATTGAGCTTGAAGGAAGTCGACCGCGTCGCGCAGACCACCAGCATTGTTGCGGGTGAAGCCCCAGACAAGGGTGATGGTTGGCTTGCCATCCTCGGTAACCTCATCGGGATTCTGGTATACGGTGACTTCGACTTCATACTGAGCTTTGAGCTTGGGGATGAGATCATGGACAAACTCGGGCGACTCGAGGAACTGAACAAGATCCGGGTTCCTGGCAAACACGAGTTCGTGTTTATCAGGAACCATTCCGAGGAACTCATCCACACAATGGGGCACCTGCCATTGTGGACCTGTCACAGCGACCTCGTCACTTGCCTGTTCGGTGCTAGGGAAGCTAATCTTGCAGTTATACTTTTGCTCGACCTCATCGATCTGTGAAAGACGGGCAATGAGTTCACGGTGGTACAGACGATCGACGTTGACAATTTGAGAAGTGTACTCGGAATCCTTGAATACGGTTAGCATTTTATTCAACCCTGTGCGTGGTGTCAGTTTCAACTTACAGCACGGTCAACCATTTCGAGAATTTCGTTCTTGACAGCGTCCAAGTTCTGCGCATTACGAGCAGGAGTACGACAGATGACGTTATCAACTTTGAGGTCGTCATCTTCACGCCCCATGCCACCCCTGTCCATTGCATTGGAAAACTTGACAAAGACGGAGTGCTTCTTCATAATACGCTGAATATGTTGGCCACCAATACCGATGATTCGCTTGTGGTACTGGTCGGGGACGTGGAACGAGATTGAGGCCGGCATCTCCTGTTCGACCAAGGACAAGCCTTGCTTGAGTGAATCGTAGCTCGCAGCCATAACGTCGATGTTGAAATTGTATTCGTTGAAGCCATCAAAAATAATCTGAACATTGCCTGTAAATACATGTTAGAAGGAGGCGCCTGTGATAAAACAAAGAAAAAAACGTACTCTGTCCCATGATTTTGTTGATCTTGCCATTCTTCTTTCCGCTTACAAATTCCTTATGCTCATTGGCCAATTCAATCTTGACGCGAATTTGATACTGGGTTTGGGTGACGAATTTCATTCCGGCGATAACGGTTAAAGCAGATTTAACAGCGTCATCCGAGCCCGTGATGGTAAATGTAGCCTTGTCGAAGGAAACATCGGCATCAGAGGTTGCGCAAATTTCGCTGAGCATTGCCTGCGCATCGTCTTGGTTGAGCATCTGTCTAGCCTCAGCTTGTTGGATAAACCAGCCAGCGCTGTAAAATTGGCCAGCCAGTGACATGAGCTCTCGAACAGTGCGCTCTACAGGAAGGCCCTCGCTGCCGTGCACTCTGACCATGGTGCGCTGGCAAGCAAGTGGGGGGAACATGATGTAGGTTCCATTGGCCTCGAGAATCTTGCGAACCTTATCAAGACGTTCAAGCAGAATGCTATCAATCTTAGCCGCAGGGATAGTAACATCCTTAACATAGAGGCGGATTCGTGAGACCGTCTCGTGAAGCTTTTGCTTGGCAAGTTCAATAGCCTGCGTGGATTCGCCAGTAATGAAGATTTCGGAAGGATCGCGACGAGTTGCATTTGCGGGGCAAAATCGGTACATCTGTGAGACGATGGGGGGGAAGTAGATGGCAGTACCGGTGGATGACTCGATAAGTTTAATTGTCTTACGGTGTCGACCACAGACAAGTTGGTGAAGCGATAGCTCAACTCTTGTTACATCAACAAGTCGACCGAGCTACGATAGACATTAGTATCCAGATCACAATGCATGTTCATCTTTGGAGGGCAAAGCTTACCAAAGTATCAATGTGAATCAACACGCGAGCTTTTGCATGCTCAGAAGACAAAATGTCTCCATAGATGGCAATTCTCCAACGCTGATCCATGCGCATCTCAGAGTCGCCAGTGACACCGTCAAGCATAGGCGTGAGCTTTGGGCCAAGAAGGAAGATGTCTACGCCGCAAAATGCAGAAATCTTATCAAGAGTCTCTGTGACAGGCGTTTTGAGGACGCCTGCGTTGAGGTCACATACAAGTTTGCCGTCAATGTCAATGACAGTGCAGCGCTGCAGACATGGTTAGTATTCTCTTGGTGTGAATGTAATGTTTTGTAGGCGTCGTCTCACCATGGCTATGGGGATCTCATTGAGGATTGTTTCTCTGCTCTTGTTAACCAACTCGGGTGAGCCGGAGAGGCAGACGGTGGTGACCTGGCCGCGGCCATTCTTCGGCGTTGTAGATAGCACGGAGGCCTCGATGGGCAACGGGCCGCCTGATAGATCTCGACATAGTCTATGCAGGTTGGTCAGGTTCTGGGCGTGAACGGGGAGTTCGTGGACCTGGACATCATCGGGAGCGTCTTCGGGGTGAGTCCAGCGGAGAACGGCGTCGGTGGTAGCATGGAGAATATCCTCGGTGTTGGGGCCAACCAGATCTGAAGCGAATGGGACGTTGAAAGAATATTGAATCGTGGCGTCGGCGGCCTGCGGCGAGGGCACGGGAGCGCCAGCTTGGGCAGCGTTCTTCCCATGAGGGTTCATGGCGTTCATGGCCAGGTTGGGGTTGGGGCGGCCCATTCCGAAATTGGGGCTCATCCTCTCGGACCAGTGACGCATGTTGGCCAATTTATTCATGATAAAGGATCGAAGCGTCGAACTGCTAGCTTCGGAAACGGGCAGCTGAGAGGTGCATGCGATGGACGAGTCGACGACAACGAGCGTGGAGGGCAATCAAGAAAGCGGAGACGAGGGAAAAGCCCAGCTACTACCAAAACGAGTGCAAAGAAATAGAGTACGATGGAAAAGGGTATCAATCAAGGAGGAGAGAGGCGAATCGAAGATGTTAAAAAAAAAGAGGCCGAAGAGATGCGAGGGGGAAAGAAACGAAGAAGAAAATAAGAAGGTTGAGCCGGCTCCTTGAATTTTCTAAATGTGTCGATGGGAGGAGAAGGTGCAGGAAGAAAGAGGAGATGTGGAACGGGCTCGTTGGAGAGGGATGACAAGATGTGTCCCAATATGGAGCTTTGCTCAGCGCGGCGCGGGCGGGTGGGTGTGTGTGTGGTGCGGGTGCGCGTATGTTCCAGGCACTGGCGGGTGCTGTACTGTGCCCTCCTGTCTTTCTCTGTAGCGGCAACGGCAGCGGCGGAGCGAGGGGCCCCTGTCGACAGTGCACTACTGTATCCATCTAGTGAGTGGCTGTAGGGATACGGAGCCCGGCTTATGGGGGAGACCCAATCCACTCGCACCCGCTGGGCTGTAGGAGCCAAAGGCAAACAAGCGCTATGCGAGATGCTGCAGCAGCGACACAGCAAAAGTAGCCGTATAGAAGCAGGCAGAAGAAAACAAGATAAATTTACAATATGCCGGAGATAGTAGCCACGCGCATTCTACAACGCCAAATCACAAATGGGAAACCAGCAAAAAAGAAAATCACAGGTGGCTCAAGCACTTGGTGTGGACAAGACGCAGATGGGCTCGACTGTGCCACCCACTGCACACGACATCGGCAGCCGCTTGTAAATTGTCTCCGTGCCTGACGTTGCCCCCCCCCCCCCCCCAAAGCAAAGGGAAAAAAAGCAACGCAGCCTCTGGAAAAGGCCCAGACCTGTCCCCGTACTGCCGGTCCAGGGGGTGGTGATTCGCTGATGGCCCCGTGTTCCAGCGCCGTGACTGGACCACTGGGGTAGCAGGGCCGGGCGGGGCGCAGCACGCAGCCCCAAGGCAAGGCAAGGTAAGGCGACGGACCAGGCAGAGACAGACACACAGACCCAAAAGGGGAGGAGAGGGCGGCCACCAGAAACTCGACGTCAAGCTTGTGGCCTCCAACACGCCTCTGGTCTTAGCTTACTCGCCGCCGTCAGGGCAGTCTAACCCGTTATGCTGCTTTCTATCTTCTTGTTTCTTCCTTGGCTGGCTTATAGCCAGATCGTCCATCGGTGGAATCCATCCTCCATCTAAGGAAACGCCAGAATCGCCTGACTTTCACAGCAGCTGGCCTTTGCTTCAGCAAGCCACATTGCATACCCCATGGGATGCCCGTTCCATCTGCCAGGCAGAAACTCTAATCACCCTCGCATTGTCAGCTCGGCGTGTTTCTATGTAAAACATAGCTAGCTTAATACACATTCAAGAGAATAGCTCAGAAAGCTACACGAACTCAGAGCAGCACATTCAACTAGCTCTGGACGCCATCAAGCGATCGCTTGCGAGATGGCCGGTGTATCTCGACATTAGCCGGTTTGCATTGCTTTTATCGAGTTCTGGCGGCGCTCCTCGGTTTCTTGGCACACAACACACGGACATGGAAACCCGCAGGACCAACACGTAGTATGTCGTATCATTGGCTTATGCAGCTCGCCTGCCGCGGAGGATGCACAAAAGTCTAGTATCCACCACACTGTTCTTCTCAAACGTCCGCACTATGGCCGTCATCAGCCAAATATGCTCGATCCGGCTCAATTCCATCCTGCCACAATTTGGTTTTATACAGAAGGTATTTCTGTAGAATCAAGGCGACAATGTTGGAACAGAATATTCGAAAGATTTTACTTCTACTAAGCAACATCTGTTGAAACGATGCCTCAAAGTGGCAGCTCGGGAATCTGGGTCAGCTCCACCAGAACAAGGTTCAGACTTGAAACGTGCACCTCGCTAGCTGTCCGTCGCTAGAAAGCTAAGGATCTAGCTCAAAAGCTATTATGAGTAGTGTTGTCTGGTTGGCCTGTCTGACCATACAGCAACGTGCACACAAAGCAACTAATGGTTGTTTCACATTAAATATGCATTCATCATTATTATTTTCCCCATCAACCAACAATAACGCCATATAATGTTTGTTACAAGTTCCCCTACCGATACATCGGCTCTCGTGACGCATCAGAATATGGAAGCTGATGCCCTACATCTCTTGGTTGCTCCACGTATGCTACACCATGCGATGCATATCCATCTCTTACAGATTCGGCTTGTCGGCCGTTGTAGTCTACACCAGTCGGGTGTCCGGGAATCTGGCCATAGGTACGCAGATATGGGGGAATATTCCCTGCATCATGACCTTGGGCACCTGGGTGCGCACTCGTCGCGCGCAACGCAGGGTTAGACGCCATCTCCGATCCTTGTTGTGCAGCCTGGATGACCAGCTGTGCCTGAGACATAGGGTGCTCTGAATAACCTCTAAATCGGTTGTCACCCCCTTGGCTTTCGCCCCTAACAATTCCGCCGCTATGTTGCGGAGCGTATGGCGCTGTATGGCCTCCATATACTGCTCGTCCACTGTCAAATTGTCGATCGACTTGCTGCCCAGCCATCGATCGCTGCAGTATAGCGTTATATCCCTGTTCAGTAGTCAAGGGTGCTGCCGTCTGATGAATCACTTGTGGCTGGGGCTCGATATATTCTCGACCGTACCCGTCCACATAAATGCGCGTTGGTTGAGCGTGGACTGCTGGATACCCCTCTGCTGCAACCCTTGGCGGGTAGTGGCGGACTTCAAGGGACTCTCCTTGGCCAAGTCTAGGGTCTCGGTAGCCGGCCTGCTGGGTAGTTTCTGAGGATGATTGATGAACATTAGCAGCACCTGATGCATGCCGCGAGCCGTAAGCATTAGAATACTCCACTGGCTCGCCTGCATACCCACCATCATGTTCAACCCATCTTGGAGGCATTGTTTCCGTCAAATATCTCGGCTGAGGCACCACCGTTGCGTTGGTAGATCGCGACGCAGGTTCGTTATGTCGTTGATAGTTCCCTTGCACATTAGCACCGGATAGGTTGGAATGTGAAGGGTCATACCCAACATCCTGTCCTTGGTCGTGCATCTGTCTCTGACGTTTACTAGGTCGGATTTGAGAGGGGCCAGCAACTGGTGAGACTGAACGCGGCTCAGCCTTGATGCGTGGTGAAGGTGCTGCGTTCATCGCTTCGCGGTCAGCCTTACGCTTCTTCTTTTTCGACTTCTTCCTGTCTGACCCATGACCGCCTCTGGTACTCTCCTCCGCCGGTACGCCTGTGTATGGATTACCACCTTGTGTAGCGCCGTAGGCTGAGGCGACGTTTGGAGCGTGGCCAGCGTTTATCGCCTGGCCGCTAGTTTGAACCATTGCCAAATAGGACGAAATCCATTGTTGAATATTGGCGGTGCCCGGATTGTACGCGTTAAGCCCAGGTACCTGCACAGGGTTGGTTGGCACACTGACTGGCTGCGCTGGCGCATTGTAAACAGGAGAATATGGGGATGAGTCCCTTGCATCGTTCGCAGCATTCGAAGATGGATTGCCTTTTGCCTTGTCGTTGCGGTTATGGGAATGTGGAGTTGGTTGAGAAGTGACAAAGTCATCGTTGGACGAGTAGAAGGTGTTATCATCAAAGGAATCACTTGCATTATCATTGTTAGCACGTTTTGGTCCACTTGGCACTCCATTTTCGGCGTCATCGGCTCCTGTCATGGCAAGGGCCTTTGATAAAATACCCGACAAATCGAGAGAACTCCAAGCCTCGGAGGGCACATGCTTGGTGGCTCGCTGCTCTTCCAGCTCGTCCCGAAGGCTGCGCTCAAGTCGTTGCCGCTCCAGCTGGATCTCGGCACAAATCAGTTCCTCGGATTTCTCAAGGAAGATTGGATTGGCTCTTGTGGGCTGCTTTGACGCGGAGAAACGGTTTTCTTCGGCGCGCTTGCTTGCGTTGCGAAGAGCAGTTTCAATACTGGCTGCATCTATTGGTGTTCGATCGGCCGGAAGCTTGATGCTCGGATGTTCTCCTGCGAAAATGGCGTTGCAAAATTGCACGATCTTGTCGTACTGGCTCAGCTCATATCGCTCGCTCTGGGAGAGTTCTCCGGCCATGTCTTGCGCGCCGCGCGTTACCAAATGGCTGCTCGCCATCATCATCGAATTCTCGAGGCCAGGTGGTGGCTCAGACAAATATTCCGTTTTAAAGGGGATGGGCTTCTGTTATAACAACATTGCCTGCAAGCCGCACGGCTAGTCAACGGAGTCTGTCCTGGAGCTGATCACGGCGATTGATGGTGATGTGGTCAGACGCTAGGGGGAAGGACGCCTGCCAGTTTGAACGAGAAATTTGGCGGTGGACCTGGCAGAATTCGCGCCACGCCAGAACAACACTACCAAAAGTTACAGCTGCAGGGATATTCCCGTCCAACCTTTTTAGCCTGTGTCATAATTTCATACTTTGATACATTCACTACAAACTAGGACTATTGGCTACCGGAAATTTCTAACCACACTTTTTTTTAAAGTACAGTGAATTTTCTAAAGGTTAATCACGTAGCCAGCACCAGTAGCGTCTTCCATTGGTATGCTCACTTGCAGAGCCCAGCGTTTGTCCCACGTGACGGAACCATTGGACCATCGCCGTAACACAATGAATAGACGTTCACGGACGGAGTGGCAAGATGGATCAGCAGCCTTTTGTAGTTATAACCCAAGTCCATTGGTCCGAATAAACTAAGCCACCTGCACGATCGCCAGGGCGAAATCTGAAAACAAGTAAACACCGCACTGCACCGTGTGTCCGAATCACTACTTACTGCCTCGCGTGAGTCAACCGGCAAATCAGACGCCGCTATCGCTTCTCTGCCAACAAACAGTCTCGTCCCACCGCCTGGAAACCTCGCACGCAGCGATCTTCTCTGGTCCATCTTCTATGATTTTCACGAGACCCCAACTATTATCAACACTAGGACTTCGTCAAGCTAGCCATTTTGTAAAGGCCAGGCATCTGCCCGTCAGCACATCTCTGCTTGCAGCCCGCATTCAACTCGTATCGCCTACCCTCAGATACCGAATCTCATTCGCTACTATGACAGCCACAAATGGTGTAAAGGCTACAAAGCCTGTATTGTTCTTGTAAGACTACAATTATTCCTAGCAAAGGCTGCTTAGGTACGGGGACTAACCATACATCTAGCGACATTGACAACTGTCTTTACCCACGAAGTAAGTATCAAAGGTGACGTTTAAGAATATTTAGACTAATCAAAATTACAGGTTCCAATATCCAGGAGCTCATGTCGGACCTTATCGATGATTATTTCGCCAAGCATCTTAGCCTTCCCCGCCAAGAAGCTGTCCGTCTTCACAAGGAATACTACTCAAACTATGGACTCGCTATAGAAGGTCTCGTCCGCCATCACCAAATTGATCCTCTTGAATACAACGCTCAGGTTGACGATGCTCTTCCGCTTGAGAATATCATCAAGCCTAATGCAGAACTCCGCAAACTACTTGAAGATATTGACCGAAGCAAGGTTACCGTCTGGCTCTTTACCAACGCCTACAAGACTCATGGACAGCGTGTTGTCAAGTTGCTCGGCATTGATGATCTTTTCGACGGTCTTACATACTGCAATTACGCCGAAGTGCCGTTTGTTTGCAAGCCGCAACCTGACTCATACAAGAAAGCAATGGCAGAGGCTGGCATCGAGAAAACAGAGGATTGCTACTTTGTCGGTGAGTGACAACACACGATAGTTATACAGATTAAGTTACTGACGAAATACCAGACGACTCATACGCCAATTGCAAGAATGCCAAGGCGTACGGATGGACTGCCGCCCACTTGGTAGAGGAGGGAATCTCGTCGCCCAAAACCCAGGCCTCACAGTATCAGATCAGTCATCTTCAAGAACTGCGCCAGGTTTACGCCCAGTTCTTCAAGTCATCATAGATATATGTAGATGATAGAATTCAAAAATAGAACATAGATCTATAATTTGAGTCGTGCTCCTAAATTGTACACTAGTTTGGAGGAACGATATAAAGAAGCTTACCAACGCCACGCTATGCAATTAAAATCAACCCTGTTTTTCCGACGAATGCATTCAAGGTCGCCTGATGCTGCGGATTACTGAATCCAACTGGGAGAGAATACGGTCCCTCTCTTTCAGGGCTTCCTGCCTTTGCGCCTCGGCAACCTTCAGTTCTTCTTCCAATTCCTTGACGGTTTGCTCCTGGTCCTGCTCGCTTTTGTTCAGTCCCGGAAGTAGCGATATTAAAACTTCGATTTGCTGCTCCTTTAGTATTAAGTCGCATGACAGCTCCTCAAGACCAGCACGGAACTCGTCGTTCGGCAAAGCGTCCACTAGGTCCAACAGTTAGCACACTCGGATCAGCGACACGATTGTGTGCCTTGTGCTCACCTTCATTGGCGCCTTGATCCTGTTTAACATCGCGAACTTGGTCGTTCGGCCCAAGAGTCTCGAGATCGTGCCGACGGTGGACGAAGTGCAAGCTTGCAACAAACTGCTGGGCGAGCTTTGATGGTTTCATTAGCTAGGTAGAGCTTTCAGGAGTCTGGAATTGAGTCTTACTTGGTCAACTGCATCCTGCAGCTGTGTCAGACTGTCACCCATTGTATTTTATTGTAACGAAACTGACGCGCAAATGACGAATGCGAGATGACGAGACACAGTTAGCCAGTGGGGGAGAGAGATGCGACATTGGAGAGAATGGATGCACAGTGTGTATTCTACAGTCTGTAGCGATAATCCCCACCGTACATTTTTCTTAGGTGGATCGCGGGGAATAAACGATCCGGCCGGCCAAAGCCACCTGGTCTCTCAGGGCGCTGGCACCTGAAATGAACACCCTGTTGTCTACTGGGAGAGGGTAAGCAGCGGTAACCTTTGGCCCTAGATCCATCCCGTGGCACAACCTTCTCTACAACATCATCTACACTTTGCATCACGCGCACCACGCCGGCATTTTAAAGGTGCTAGCACTTGGCTCTTCAACGCCACTACATTTCTTTTCTCAAAAGCCATTCTTTACTTTGCCTATCTCGAGCCGGTTATCTTACAATGGCCGCACAACCTCCACCCTTCCCTGGTGGGATGCCCATGCCTGGGCAGCAGCCGACACCAGAACAGATTGCAGAGCTGCAACGCCGCATCGCCGAGGATGCTCAGCGAGCCGGCATGACGGTGCCTGAATTTATCGAACACATCAAGGAGCAACGTATGCGCGCAATGCAGCAGCACGCCGCCCAGCAACAAGCTGCTCAACAAGCGGCCGCTCAGCAAGGACATGAACACAGCCACGAGGGAGGAGACCATGGCCATGACCATGGACACGACCACGATCATGATGGTCACACACATTCTCACCCCCATCAGCAGCAGGGTCAGCCCCAACCGATCACCCCGGGCCCTCCTAACCCCAAGGCCATCGCGCTCGCAAAGTTCCTGAAGAGCCAGGATCTGAAGCCCAGAACCGTTATTCTCAATGGTGAACGAAAGGACATGTTCCGAGGTACTATATCCCAAGCTTGCGGCTATGCGGTCATCTCCAGATATGCTAACAACTCAATAGTCAAGCGTGCTCTCCGCGCTCTCCAGACCCCTGCGTACGAGAAGGCGCGCAAGAAGAACCCTCTGCTGCCCGAAGTCACCGACCGTGCGTCTCTCGAGAACACATTCAAGCTCCTGCCCCTCAGCATGTTGGCGCTCCGCGTCAACAAGATTGAGCCCGCTGTCGGCGAGAACGGAAAAAAGGCCAAGCGTGTCAAGGGTCAATGGAACGTCCGAATCGAGCAACAGCAGGACGCCGCCGACGACATGTACTACATCTGGCTCTGGGAAGGCAGCCAGATTAAGCGCCAGCTCTACGCTGCCCTCGCCCTGGTTATCATTTTCGCCATCGTCTTGTACCCTCTCTGGCCATTGAAGCTGCGACAGGGTGTCTACTACCTCAGTTGGGGTCTCCTGGGTCTCCTTGGTCTCTTCTTTGCCATGGCCATCTTCCGTGTTATCCTGTTCTGCATCACCTACTTTGCCGTCCCCCCTGGTCTGTGGCTTTACCCCAACCTCTGGGAAGACGTCTCCTTCATGGACAGTTTCCGACCGGTCTGGGCATGGCACGAGGTAAGTTTAGATGCCACAATAGAAGCTATTAATTACCGTCTGCTAACTGTTTCTAGACTACCAAGCCTAAGAAGAAGAAGAAGTCCGCTGCCAATGCTACCAACGCCACCGTCGCTGCCGCAGCTGGTCAAGTAGGACCTACAACTGCTACCACAACAGGAACCGACACGCAAGTAAACACCGGCCTCCAGCAGCGCTCATATCACGCTCCTGCGGTCGGGGAGCTCGGAGATGATGAATAAGCTATTCTAGCAACAAGGTCGAATTTTATTTCAAAAGCACAAATGTCAGCACGGTTAATGGAACAGTGTGGAGGAGTAAACGGGATGATCATGGGTGGAACGGGTGTAGCATAGACTGTAACCTATTTACGGGACAAATTTATTATGTTTTGTAAGAATATGTGTTGTTTCTTTTTAACATTTAGATAACATGACTCATTACTAGTAGATTATATCCCAACATCTACTGGCGCCAGAGGACCTTACTTGGAAGAACAGCCGCGCTGGCTACCCTTGGCACGCTCATAGTACCAAACAGCCTTGTCAGCCTTGGCGCAAGTGGTCAAGAAGTTTCCAGCAGCGGTAGCAGGCAGTCTCTTGGCATCGATGCGCTGGGGAGCGCCGTAGACAGTGTGGTAGTACCAGACCTCGCTAAGCTGGGTGCGTCCGTTATCAAGGGAGCCCTTGCCAGCAGCAGTCTCATTGAAACGAGGGCCAGAGCAACCAAGGAAAGGAAGCTGGCCAAACTCCTTTGTCAAAACACCCTGGATATCAGAGAGGGTGTAGGAGGTAGTGTTGGATGGGCGGATGCCAGCATTGGCGAGCCAGCTCCAAGTAGGTACTTGACGGAAGTAGTAAATGACAGTCTCGAAGAACTCGAAGAGGTCAGCGTACTTGGGAGCCTTAGGACCCTATAATTATAGTTTAGTATGTTGTGTGGTTTCGAACTGACAATGCCTAGTTTGTCACTTACGTAGCATTCGGTCTGGAAGGTAGAGAAGCAAGTGGCATGCTTCGAGTACTCGTGAGCCCAGAGCATCCAGTTAGGGTCGTACTGGTTGATCCAGAACTTCTCCATGTATGCAAGAAGGTCCTCCTTGCCGTAAGGAGCAAACCAGTTGGCAATGGATTCTCCGGTATAAGCGGGCACAGGCGTACCATCAGGCTTGCCATTGGTGGTGTTGGGAGACGGCTTAGGGTCGTACTGGCGGCTCAAGTCGCAGTATTGGGTGTAGGATCCTATGAGAGGGGTTAGAAGGAAGCCGAACTATCAAAGATCTTCGATTTCATACCATTGCAAAAGTCTATAGAAGCATGTTAGCCCAATGCTAAAAAAAAAACCCCCATAGAACAAGAAACTCACCAGGCCAAAGACCGTGGATTCCCCAGGAGGCTCTGGGGAGGAGCTGGCCTTCGCTTTCGCGACCAGTAAATGTGCTCCAGAACTGTGTTTGCAGCTAGCATGGGAGAATAGGTCGTTAGTTTTAGGAGCCGCGTTAGCCAGCAAAGGGGGTCACTCACAACAAGGCCGCCAAAGGTCTCAACACAGCAGGTATCAACCTTGTCCGGGTTTGCGCCAGGAGAGCAAGAAAGGATAGGGTCAGCTAGTCACAAGAGGTTAGTCTGAATGTCGTGTGCCAATGGCGAGCCCAATTGTAATCTTACCCAGAGCGCAAGTGTGGTTGTAGAGCGTGATACCGGGGTAGAGACCAGCCAGCACGACTTGGCCCATGGCAAGGGTGGAGATGGCAACAGTTTGGCGCATTGTGACGGAGTCCTCTGGTGTTTGCGATTTGAAGTCTCAACCGAATTGACAGACACAATTGATCGAACGTGGAGCGCGGAACAAGAAGGAGAGAGGAGCTGTCGATCCCCGGGGCTGGGAACCGCGAGTGATTTGTATCCTAAGCCTGTCGGCCGGTCGGCCTTTCCGCACGGGGATATCCCCTTGCTTCTGCGCTAAACAGGCGCAACAACGTGGGATACATTTTTTTCTTCAGCGGCCCCAGTGCCCCAGCCAGCCTCTGTTTAGTGCTTAAAGCTACACCGAACTGAGAACGGGAAGGCTGCCTGTTTTGGATAGCGGCCCCATCAGACAATGACCACCTGGGATAAATGCACGACGTGGTAGGCCAATTGATTTTCGGTGGCGTCAGGGACCTTTGGACGAGGCGTTGCACTAATGAGAGCCAGCAATACGTTAAGCGTTGCAACAGGTAACGGCCTTCCGCTGGAGCTAGAACCTGTAGAGCAAAGCTCATTGTTCTAGGCGCTCTCAGCTGGAATTGGCTTTTATTTATGGGTCAATAAAGTCAAAAGCAGTTGTAGTTGAGGTCCTCGCATATGAAATCTATTAGAAAGCGTGTTGGTCTAGTGAACCCCGTTACAAGTCGTCTACCCAGCCGTACTGGACCCGAGTCAGTAAAATCATAGCAGTGAATATTTCGTTCATCATAATTGCTTGTAAAAAAACGTTCCGTCCTTGAGCTCGCCCGTGGGACTGATTCCATACTTGGGCACCTTGCCCAATTCCGTCCACCCAAGCTTTGTATAAACAGCTTCTGCTGGGCTGTCAGTCTCGGTGTCAAGAAGCTATGGTTTTTGTTAGCTACTATTATGAAAACAAAAGTAACGCGCGGTAGGTTCAAGCTTACCAAAAGTCCTCGTCCGCGTTCCAATGCATCAGCTTCCAATGCGTCCATGAGTGCCCTGGCACCACCTCTCCCACGAAAGCTTTTGTGGACCAGAAGCTTCTCAACTATACCACGGAACGGCCCAGTTTCTGATGGCGGCATATAGAGCATCACAACGCCCATAATTTCGGGGCCCTTAAGCTTGCCCGTGGTGTCGGCATCGAGTAGTAGATACATCACTCTAGTTCCATCGTTGATCTCTGCGATACGTTGTTTCCACCATGTAAGAAGCTTATCGTGTGACAGTGGTGGCAAAAAAGTCGCAATCGTCCTATCTTGTGTGATGCACGAGGCATGAATCGCCGCCAAATACGGTATCGCTGCGCTATGTTCCGCTGGGTCGAAACGCAGTACGACACCCTTTCCAGCCATTTTGGGTTGTCGATCCCACTGTATGATTCAAATAAATCCTACCAGTATTGAAAGTAGGGCTCAATGTCGAGTCGATGGTAAAGATGAAGCTACACAGCTGATAACAGTGTGAATGCAAGTAGCCTGAGTCGCCTTGTTCATGCCAGAACTGTTGTGGTCCGCGATAAACAAAGAACACTTGGCTTATTGATGTACTTATAAGTAAATGAATTGAGAGTGATAATAATTCAAACAATATTGGCCTGATTCGATATTGGTGAGATGGGTGAATACTTGCAGTTTGAGAGTTCACGGTTAGCAGAAGGTGAATCATTTCAACTCACGTGGTCCACTTTTTGGCATCGGAGCGTGAACCTTTGAAAGCAGGCTGGCAAAAACACAAACGCAAATATTTCGATAATGGTCAATGACATAGCCTTAATGTTCATTTTATCATTTGGATGATTTCATATCGTATAGTACAGAGGTAATGGTCATGAAACAAGCCATACTTACCAACCATGATATGGCAACTTTGGTATAGGTTAAGCTCCATCAACGACATGGTGCATAAAAAACATAGGAAGAGCCACGTAATTTACTTGTTATAGATGCTTGTGGTTAATGTTTAAGCAATAGAATCCAGTAGCATCGGCTTAAGCCTTGTCCTTATATACCTGTGCTTCGCTGATACTAGCCCTATCACACGTCCGTCGTACCAGAGGCTTTGAAGGTATGTATGTATTGTATTGTTGAGGACCAAAAAAGATATTTCCTCAAAACGACTAAATATGCTTATGTCCACAAATTCGTAGAAATAGAATATGAAGACCAAGGTACTCACTCGTCCGAGGACGAAAAAACTAAAAAAGAGAGAAATGCGTGATCTGGGAATCGAACCCAGGGCTCCCCGACGTTGCGGATGGCAACGGAGAATTTTACCACTAAACCAATCACGCCTTCATATCCTATAGGTCGCATATTATTCTATAAGAACATTCACCGACGTCAGATGGGCTCTCTTCATATTAATATTGTGACAGACGCGTTCACTCCGCTCGTATTTTCGCAAACTTCATGCGACAGGATCAGTAATTCATCCACCAAAATAAGTTCCTAATTAGGAACGGACACATCATGAAATTAGAAAGGTTCCATCTTCGTAACCTGTCGCTTTCCATTCGACATGCACATGGTTGTGTTGTGAAGCCCACTCTGTCTCGTACGGTTCTCTTTTTTGCCGCTCCATTTCATCTGCCATCTCCTATTGCGATATTTCTGACGTATTATTTCTGGTTTAGACACAGTTTCAAGGTACCCTACTCAGTCCGAATTACGACTTATGCCCGTTGGAGGTTCTGTTACGCACGGCGTTGGGTCCTCAACTCAGAATGGGTACCGAGAGCCTCTTCTTAAACTCCTCCAAAGCCAAGGCACAAATATCCGTATGGTTGGATCGCGACGCACAGGCAACTTTGAGAATAATCACCATGAAGGATGGCGAGGTTTCCGGATTGATCAAATTGAGACAAAAGCAAGACGCGCAACGGAGAGATTTTTGCCGCATGTGGTCACCTTATACGCCGGCTCCAACGACTGTCTACAAGACTTCAAGCTCATAGAAGCAGCAAACAGAATAAGTCATTTGACCGACACTATTTGGCAACTTTCTCCGGGGTGCACAATAATATTGTCAAGCTTACTCATAAACCGAGAGCCGACTGTCGACCAAAGAATTCAGGCTCTAAATACCGAGATACAGGCGCTTACATGCCGAAAAGCATCCGAGGGAAGACGAATAGTGTTTGTAAATATGCATGGGGACCAAGGGCCTATCCTGGAAGATCTTGTGGAAGACGGCACGCATCCCAATGACGAGGGATACCAAAAGATGGCCAAGATCTGGTTTCATGGGATACGAGGGGCTATATCAAAAGGGCTCATACAAAGTACCAGCCAATCAAACGAAGCAAAGAAGTGAGCACTGCGGTTGAGTAGCATGCCCTTTATTATATATATGAGTAGTCCGTATCTGGAATATGAACCCTTTGTCTTACTAATTGCTACCGTAGATGACAAAGAAAATACACCACTAGTATACATATATGCGCTGGCATAATGTTTAGCACAGATAAACCTATACTGCAACAGCAGCACAAGCCCCCATTATCGGTAAAATGTGCCCCCAGTCGAGGGCTCGTCTCTTTTGGCTGCTGTTAGCCCGTGGCGTTGACTCTGGTCGTGACGATGGTACGCATTCACCAGTTACGCCCGTCTTCTGCTGATCACAACTGTCCTCGTTAGTTGCAAATACTACCTTGAGTTCTATCGTCGCATATTTGAAACCGGGATCTGTGCGCCAAGAAGGCTCATTCGGAAGTCTGTCAATCGCATATGGCAACATAACAGTAGAATTTTGGGCCATGTCGACATAGGAGTCTAGAATAAGGGTCTGCCGCCACACTTCAATCGTCGCATCGTATGCTGGCTTGTCCTTAGTCGGTTGAAATTGAAAATAGTCCTTCTCTACTAAAACCTTGGGTGATGACTGATGAAGCACGCCGTGATCATCGAGTGTGGCGTTGCCACGAAGCGCTTTGTAGAATATGACACTGTCTGCCCCAATCTGCATGAATGTAATGTACCGAGCTGTCCCTTCAACGTGAGGTATATTAGACAAAGTAAATTCAGGATCTCCGGTCATATTTCGTAGATTCAGGACTTGTTTCGGTGCTGGAGGAGATGTCGTTGACAATTGCTGATTGTCAAATTTGACAGTGAAATCGAAGTCGTGACCAGGCGGAAGAGTGTCTTCGCGCGATGCCGCTACGAGCGTCGCTAATGATAGGAGGGCTTTCCAAATATGCATATTGCCGTTATTGCGTATGTAGCAAATGGGAATAAGGCGCAGCTGATGAAGGGGGTTCAGGCACGAATGGTGGAAGACGCGGCTCCAGCACAAAAGTTTTGTAGCAGGCTGGGCTATGTTGCCACACCACTACTACGACAAGGAGGATACAGTAGACCGCCAATTTTAAGCAAAAGGGGATAAAGAGCGACAACTCTCTTCTTAGGTTTACAAAAATTTCTGGCATCTGTAAATTAATTGCATATCCTTAGCATATTGTATGACGTGGCACACATCAGTGACGCTGATGTTGATTTTTGAAGTGCTGATGTGCCTCTTCTAACTTATAAGGCTCATAGGGCTACCGAGCAAAGAGAGACGTGAATGTAAATATGTATTTGTAAACAACGCAAATATATTAATAAAAGAGAGGCAAAGTGCAATCCGCGCCATCACGTGGAACCCCCAAACTCCTGTCGAGCTGCTTGTGTATATGCTCTTGGCGGCTTCTGTCGTCTCGACCAAGAGCACATCACCGTCGGCATAATTCTTGAGATGGCTCTGCCTCAGGATTGCAGTGTCGGTAACGCGGTATGAGACCCCCAAAAACATAAAAAGACACACTGGCAAAGCGATGTGATTCATATCCAAGATCCCCTGATTGTCTCTTTTCCCATTCTTCTTCTTTTTTTTTACAAGCCATCCATCCAGCTGAAAGGTAATTAATCAGACTTCTGGTTACCATTTGAAACGCTTCCCAATAGGCCGTCCTTCATGTCCTTCATTCCGCGGGGATCATCGGCACGGAACGATACACCACGGGCACGGCCACGACCACGGTTGCGACCCCGGTACCATGTGAAAGCAATGTATCCTACAATGCCGATGCAAAGCAAGGTAACGAAGGTGTGCTCAACAAACATCTCACGAATGTCAAGGAAAAACTTCTCGACAAAGCCAACAGTGTACTTGGGCTTGATGGGATTGGGACCGTTGACGATCTTGTCAAGCGTCTCCATGATGGATGTTCGGCTAACCATGATGTAGTTTCCTGTGGCGGTGGTGTCAAAGTATTTACGGGCCTGATGTGGGAGAAGAAGTGGTTAGTAACAATCTACGTCATATTATGGGTTTACTCACATGCTGATCATTGATGATAATGCGTTCTCCGTCCTTGACATCGATACCGTACGTGGTACGGATCCACCGCTGCCAGAAAGCACCATCAGCCCATGCGAAAGACACCTCCTTGCGGCTTGAGGTGTCCATGTTGATGCGGAGCGCCTTGGCGGCACGGAGAGCACGCTGGTCGTCTCGGTCTTCGGCTTCCTCAATTCTCATCTGCTTGGCATCACGCAGCTTCTTTCGCTCGAGCTGGAATTCTTGAATTTGTCGGTCCATCCACTCGTTGGCAGCTGACTTCATTTCCTTGAGGGAGCCTTCAAAAGTACGATCATTGTTGCGGTCCAAGATGCCAAGAACAACCAGCTTGTTATCCATGATCTGTCTAGCGTTCGTGACCGTGAGCTCTGGAATCAGTGGCAGCCATACCGACTTCATCCAGGTCAAGACTGCACGCACATCGCGCATCTCGTTGGGGGTAAGGGGAGAATAGTAGGTTGCGCGGCCCTCTCTAGCAACCATCAAGCGTGGCCAGGTGCTGATCTTGAAGCGGTTGACCAACTCGCGATCCTTTGTCTTGACAAGCTTGGCGTGGCCCACAAGGCTCAAAGGGATGCGGTCCAGGGCCTGGAAATCCTCGCTGGTGGTAGCCTGGTCGTAAAAGTACACAAAGATAACGGGTTCCTTCGCCTCAAGCTGGGCAAATTGTTTGGCATCGACGTCGGGAATCCCGTTTGCTAAATCAAGAGCATCGCTTGCGTACTTTGTCAAGTCGCTGAAGCCACGGAGTCCTTCATACTCGGAGCGCTGGCCATTCTGGAAGTAAAAGATGCTAGGGTAACCTTTGACGCCGACATCTTTGCACAGACGCTTCTCCTGGTCACAGTTGACCTCACCGATATTGAGCTTGTCGCGCATGTTTTCTGCCAGCTGTGCCCAGGTGGGAGCAAGGTTCTGGCAATGATGGCACCAAGGGGCGTAAAACTTGATAAACCAAGGGTCTTGAGTCAAAGTAACGTGCTTCTGGAAAGTCTCACCGGTGAGCGACATGGACAGTCCATCTGCGTTCATGTTCTTGGCAGCCTTAAGGTTTTGAGACGATGCTTGAACCGGGGAAGTCTTATCTCCAGGCTCAGGGAGAGCGAGGGACTTGGGGCGCGATCCGGGCATGGCCCCGTTGAGGACCTTTTCAATGGCTTCGCTAAGTTCGTTCATGGTCTTTCCACCGGCGATGCTTTCGACGGGCTTTCCATCAGCGTATATGACGGTCGTGGGGTAACGCTCTACCTTGTGCTCGATGCACAGATCGCTGTAAACATTGCAGTCGACGGCGGCGAATCGGAAACCGTAATAGTCTGTGAATGAGCCTTCCTCCTTGCCATTATGACCAGGCTTCGATGTGTAGTAAAACTCGTAAAGAGTCTGGAAGGTAGGGGCAAATGCTTGACAGTGGGCACACCACGGGCTACAGCGGTTGTTAGATCGTAGACTTCACTTTCGTACTTTCGTAGGGAGGTGCACAAACCTAAAGTGCTTAACCATTATGAACTTGGACTTTTTCATTTCATCATCCCAAGTTGTGGGAGTGAGTTCGATGAATTCAGGCACGGAAACACCATCGAACAAAGTTTCTGTGGCCGTCTCAGCCCATGCAACAAGGGCTGAGCTGGCAACGAGGGCAAAGTGAAGAGGTCGCATGTTGGGCTCTAGAGACCAGTCGGGTATTCGGCGTCACGGTGAGGGTTTCAGGTTGGAATTTAGAGCTAAAGTCGAATATAACACCTTATCAGGTATGACAGAATCAAGAACAGTGTCGGGACACAGCGCTAACTTGTATACAATAGGAGCTGTCGCAAAGCCCGTGGTCGTCAGGGGTCGTCGGAGAATACGATCGGCTCTGTCGTCGCTAGAAATAAAGGAGAGATTATTTATCTGCTCGCAGATAATATGTGAAAACCGTCGCGCACTTTTTAGAGGCTTCAAAGTGGAAGCAGACGGCAGTGGAAGCAAACAAAAGGAAAGAAAAGAAAGGGCAAGAGTTGTCAGTGTGCTCACAGGGGACGACTTGAGATCACCCAAGATGTGGAACATGCTCAGAGCGCACGTTTTCAGCCACTGCTCGATGGGGACACGAAGGCCAAACTTCCCACTTTGCACCAAGGCCATTGTGGCGGCAGGTGTGGCTGGTGGGCCACCACCTGAAATGCGCCCAGTGTACTTCGTATATGCCTGAGCGACCCCTCCCTTTACAACACCACCACAACCGTTGTGTGGGCGGACAGTGGCCGTCGGTGGTGCAAGCTAAATCAACTTTTCTGCTCTGAATTTTAGAACCAGACTCTTGTACATCGCATTCCTTTCTTCAACCCTCGATTATTTTGTGCTCTTTTCCTTTGACTGCGGAAAGACTAGTAATGGATCATGGAGAAACGCGGACGAGGAGAATCAGAGGCAATTGCTTCGCTCTCACGTTCTATTAGTCCGCCTAGAAAACGCCAGCGTCAGCTGACCATTGTTAAATCTCCTTGGCAGCTCACTTGGATACGAGACTTGCCCGATTCAGAAAACAAAGATGCTATGACTCTGAATGACCTTCTAGGAGATCCGCTAATCTCCGAATGTTGGCAGTTTAACTATCTCCATGACTTGGACTTTGTTATGAATGCCTTTGACCCTGATACTCGGCATCTTGTTAAAGTCAATATTGTTCATGGATTTTGGAAGCGCGAAGATGCAAATCGGCTCCGTATCCTGGTTGGTGGAGCTGGTTGTAGTACTTACATGGCACTGCTAATGGACTTTAGGAACAAGCAAGCCGGTTCCCCAATGTAAGCCTGCATGTGGCTCCTATGCCAGAAGCATTTGGAACACATCATTCCAAAATGATGATCTTGTTCCGCCATGATGAGACAGCCCAAGTTATCATACACACAGCAAACATGATTGAAAAAGACTGGACAAACATGACCAACGGCGTATGGAAGACACCTCTTCTACCGCCAATAAATCCCCACAAAGTTTTACCAGGTCCAAAAACAGAAGTAGGGGATGGAAGGCAGTTCCAGCATGATTTACTTCGCTATCTCCGATGCTACAATGCAAGAAACGCATTCTGTATTCCCTTAATTGACCGGCTGGCCAGCCACGATTTCGGCGCTGTGCAGGGAATTCTGATAGCCAGCGTACCTGGTAGGCATGATTTGGAGGATGCTAATGCAAGATGGGGATGGAATGCCTTACAAAAGTCGTTGATACAGCTACCCAAAAAGGAGTCTCAATGTACCATTGCAGTACAAGTATCTTCGATAGCCACATTGGGAGCAACAGATGGGTGGCTTCGGAATACGTTGTTTAAATCTTTGTCTGGATCTACCAGCTCTGAATTGTGCAAATTTCAGATCGTGTTTCCGACTGCAGACGAGATCCGTCGCAGTCTTGACGGATATGCATCTGGCGCGTCGATCCATACGAAAGTTCAATCGAAACAGCAGGCATCCCAACTTCAATATTTGAAGCCACTTCTTCACCACTGGGCAAATGATTCCCTCGACGGACAAGGTAAGTCTCGGACTTGACAAATGGCATATGGGTGTCTTACATGACGGCACATAGATCTTTCTATCGGTGCGCCAAAATTCGCCGGAGGTCGAGATAGAGCCGCACCGCATATAAAAACTTACATAAGATACAACGAGGCCGGTAACATCGACTGGGCCCTGCTTACATCCGCAAACATGTCTAAACAAGCTTGGGGCGAGGCGGTAAACTCAGCAGGAGATATGCGAGTTGCGTCGTGGGAGATTGGCGTTCTTATGTGGCCAGAGCTCTATGAAAACAACTGCGTCATGAAGGGTACATTTCGTACCGATAGCCCGGAGGAGTCTGATACTGACACCACTGAACTCCATCGGGTAGGCTTGCGTGTTCCATACAGCCTACCACTCCAACGGTATGGTTCTAGCGAAATTCCGTGGGTAGCCACTGTGTCCCACCCAACTCCCGACTGTTTTGGAAGGCAATGGATAGTTGATTAATGAGAGAGCCAACGTTTATCTTCATAAGTAAAACGGGGTCATCTTGAGTCAACCGCGACGTCACAACTATCTGAGCGGTTGTTTTGCACTGGTAGTGTCTGCGCGCGGGCGCCGAGCGCCGAGCGCAACCACGGAGAGGAGTCACAGCACCGGCACGGGTGACGGCACGGCTTCAGTGGGGAACGCTGTTACTAAAGCGGCCATCCTCCATTAGAGGGACGTTTCATTCGCTCGCCTGTCCGCGGGACCCAGCTGCACAGCGACGAGACCTCTCAGTGGCTAACGTCCCATCAGCGCCTTGCATTAGCGCGTTTGCTGGGCAGGCCGAGCAGCTCCAGCGAAAAGTTTGCCCATTTTTAGGCTGCCGCTCTAAGCCTTTCGGAGGGGCCAGTGACAGCGGAACCGTCCATCAGCCAAGGATTAGATTTTTTTTTCGTCCCAGGTTTGCTCATTCTCTTCCTCTACATTCTGTCGCCTCTAGACTCCATTGTTTGCTTTCGCTGGTTTACAGTGGCTTGCAATCACCTCTCTCACAGTCTTGTCCTTTAGCAAAGTCGCTATTGGAGCCTTTGACCTAGACAGTTCCCTCCGAACCAGCTCTGATTTCCTCGGCACAAGCTTCGCATAGCTTGGTCCTAACAACGCTCGCGACACCTAAAACGTCATATTCTTTTTGAAGAGAATGGTTTTTACTATCACAATAGCTAGAAACCATTCGTGATCTGATCTTTAGGAAACAAGAGTTGTCGGCCTCATTAAACCAACATCTCAGCGGCTGCTGAACCACCGCTTTCAGCAACCTCCTCAATATCACACAATGCCCACGCAAGCTTCCTCCAATGCCCGCGGCACGAAGCCACAGGGCAACAACCATGGCTTGAATGGTTCTGAGACGCGAGCCGCTCTGTCATCCTCTCTCAGAGTCGGCTCGCCCATCGCACAAGCCCTTGCTCGCGACATTGCCGAGTGTTCCGATGACGATCTCGTCGAACCCGCCGTTGACGGTACCACCGATACTGATCGGCCTCCAGGCCATGCTTTATATGCTCGTCGCGCAAGTAGTGTCGCATACGGAGCTTCACGCCCGGTCATCAACGACACCAGCGCCGAGGACGCACCGTTTACACAGCACGACCTGCGCCAATCTCGGGAAGCAGAACGCAGCCTTCTCAGAGATAACCACATTCTCCCACCCAAGCACCAGAAGCAGAGCAAAGGCATTTTTGCCCGTATTTACCGTCAACTATTCAGCACAAAGATACCCGTCGATGATGACCATGGCGACGATGTAGCACCAACCGAAACATCTCCACTGCTCAACGGCCAAAATCAGGCGCCACCAAGCATCAGCAGCGACCATTTAGAGGAACAATGGGAAGAAGCTGTGACCTCGGGCCGTATCCGCACTACCTGGCGGCGTGAGGCCAAAACTCTCATCCAATACTCTGTTCCTCTGATTCTTACGTTTATGCTCCAATACTCTATCAACGTCACAAGTATCTTTGCTGTTGGCCATATCGGCAAGATTGAACTCGGCGCGGTATCCTGTAAGTTACCAGCTGCTCTGCTCCATTTATTCAACAACTAACATATTTAGTGGCAAACATGTCTCAGGGCATCACCTGTCTCGCACCCTTTCAGGGCCTCGCTACAAGTCTCGACACGCTCTGCGCTCAGGCGTTTGGCTCCGGTCACAAACATCTCGTTGGACTCCAGTGTCAGCGCATGGCTGCATTCCTCTTGATGCTATCCGGACCAGTTATCTTGATTTGGTGCTTCTCCGAGTCGATTTTACTTCGCGTCGTGCCCGATGCAGAGACTGCCCGTCTTGCAGGCCTGTATCTGAAAATCATGATTCCCAGCATTCCGGGCATGATTCTCTTCGAATGCGGTAAACGATTTACACAAGCACAAGGGCTCTTCAATGCCACAACCTACGTTCTCATCATTGCCGCCCCGATCAACATCTTTGTCAGCTGGTTCTTGGTTTGGCACCTAAAGCTAGGCTTTATTGGCGCACCCATTGCAGTGGCCTTCACGGAGAGTCTTCTGCCCATCCTTCTCTTCCTCTATGTTGTCCTCATTGATGGCCGCCAATGCTGGGGTGGCTTCAGTAAGCGAGCATTCACGAACTGGGGCATCATGATTAAACTGGCACTCCCTGGAATGATTATGGTTGAAGCAGAATGGCTTGCCTTTGAAATCATGACCCTCTTAGCCAGTCGCTTTGGCTCTTCGTACTTGGCAGCGCAGAGCGTGCTCACTACTCTGGGTACTATCACCTACCAGATCCCATTTGCTACCTCGATCGCTTCGTCTACGCGTGTTGCCAACCTCATCGGCGCCAGCCTTGTGGATGCAGCTATTACGTCGTCCAAAGTCGTAAGTTTATTCTCACAGCAACGCAACCGCAACGTCTCGGGTAAACTGACTTTTATTCTTTCTAGACTTTTTACATGTCCATCATAGTGGGCTTGGTGAATTTTGCCGTCTTCAGCTCGCTCCGATTCCATCTTCCTCTCCTCTTCACAAACGACCCCGAGGTCATTGCTATTGTTGCAAAGGTACTGCCTACACTCGCCGGCGTGCAAATATTCGATGGTCTTGCAGCTAGTGCTCACGGCCTGCTCCGTGGCATTGGCCGACAGGCCATTGGTGGCCCGGTGAACCTCATAGCTTACTACGTCATTTCGCTCCCAATCTCGCTGGCCATGGCATTCTGGCTGGGCTGGAAGCTAGATGGACTCTGGGTTGGTGTGGCCGTGGGTCTCATCTGTGTTGCCGTTTTCGAATACATTTACTTGATACGAACAGACTGGCACCACGCTTCACGTGAGGCTGCTCACCGAAACCAAGCTGGTTAGTTCAGATAGAGCGGAGTTTATTCCGGCCGCATCGCCATTGGCGGTCCTTGTAATGTGGCATGCCCTTTTTATATATAATGGTTTGAAACAATTGCATATTTTATCTCTTCTTTCTTTCACAACATCCTTAACTCTCTCATAAAGTGGGCACTGTTAGTCGGTTTATGTTTATGCAGCTTGTAGATATCACATTTAGTAAGAGTAGATAGGTCGCTTAAATACGATTGATTACACGGTTGCCTTACTATCAAATCAAATCCCAACTCCGATTGGCCAACACCAACAAAATACACAGCTTGGGCAACTAGCCACATCTACCGGTATTTCTCATACCTTTTTGTCTTTCTGTATACTCTGTACGTAGCCATCATACAACTCCATGATCGTCATGAAGCAGCGTTGCCTGTCCCCAGAATCTAAGACAGTAGACTTAGCCCAGCATAGAGTGGCTTCTGATGCCCTTGGGGCCCAATTCGCTAGAAGCAATTGTTAGTAATGTCGCTGCCTTCGTTGACTTCCAATCCATAAACTTACTTGTAGTCTACTCTGCTAAGACTCATTTGGCGCTGAGCCTCGATAGCCTGTGCATCCAAGTTGCTGTGCAAGCAGAATGCAATGCGGGCTGCAACTTGCGCACCCAGAAACATGGACTCTTCAAAGCCGTGTTTCGACCACTCGCTCAGGTACGACGGTATAGTGACTGTCTTGATAGAAGTGGGAGTCTGACTGTGGAAGTGATGACCAGTAGGTCCAGCAGCGTCGGAGCCGGCCTGTGGCGTGGCCAAAACACCAGCACCAAAAGTGTTGGCTGTAGTGGCTGCTTGCAACAGAGGGTTCACGCCACTTGCAGAGAGCTGATGAGGAACGCCGTTGAATGCGCCAACGGGAGTTTGAGAGCCAGTGCCGCTCGGCGTCGCCATGTTGGACGGGAGCTCCGACGTGAACATGGTGGCGGTAGACGGGGAGATGAGGTGGCGAGCGTTAAGTGTCTGCAAGATATTGTCCTTCAGGCCGCGTAGGCGAGATCCGTTGCCGACGAATACGAGGTTGTCCCAGCAGGCAGGTCGCATGTACATGTCATCAACACCCTGGACCGTCTTGTAAATGGCGCTGACGATGCGGTCAATTTCATGTCGATCAGCAAAGGTGAAACGCTCGAGGCCGACCTCGATGTCGCGACGCACTCGCTTAGCACGGTATTCAGGTGTATCTGGAAGCGCGTTCGGGTCAGCTTCAGTAGGAGGGGCTTCGACTTCCGCCGGGGCTGCCTTACGCTCCTCTTTGGGCTCCTCTTTGACTTCTTCCTTGACCTCCTCCTTGGGGGCCGTAGTCGAATCTTGGGCGCCGCTTTCTGCGTTTGTGCCCTCAGCAGGAGCTGGCGCATCTCCAGTCTGCATCACGGAATCCTCAGTTGACGCCTGGGCAGGCTCTGTTGTAGCTTCGGGTTGTGTCTGTGAGACTTCAGCTGCACCGTTTACGGGCTCAGCGGGAACGTGCTTCTCTTTAGGCTCGGGAGGGACCTCTTCCTGAATAATCTCTTCGTAGAAGAATGTGTTGTGTGTTCTCTTGGAGTTGGGAAGTCGGACGGGGCGAGCAGGTGCAGCCTCCTCTTGAACCTTTGGTTTTCGGCCAGGCTTGCCCTTTTCCTTCTGCTGCGCTTTTTCTTGCTCCTTCTTGGCCAGGAACTCCTTTGTCTGGCCACTTGTGACAATAGCGGCAACATCAAGAACACCGTCATCTTCCTTCTCGGCTGGAGTCTCTGTGCCTCCGTTATCAAGTGCAGCACTAGATGCGGAGATCTTGGATGCATCTTGCATAACGGTATCGGCAGCAGGCGCAGAGTTTGCACCCGACGCTGGGGCACCTTGCGTTACCTCGATGGGTAGCTCAACGAGGTTCTCAGCATTTGCGGCGTAAGGCAAAACTTCGCAGATGTTGCTGTGTTTGAGCTGCTCAGCCATGTCGTGGTTGAATGTCTTGGCCTTAAGAAGCTGCATTAGGCGCTGCGTAAACGCTTCACCGCCGCTAATCTGCTCACCATCTTCAGATGCGCCAACATCCATGTGGTTAACAACACGACCGTCGTGGATAGCCGTCACGTCGACCTTTTCGTAGCCAATATCGACAACTGTCATGCTGGGCCATTTCAGACCATATTGCGTCGCGAGAGCGCTGTGGAGGAGGCAAAGCGCAGGAGTTCGCGTTTTCTCAAAGATATAACGAGCAATAGTTTCGCAGTCGGGCCGTGTCCATTGAGGAGAAGCCATGAGCATGATGGGGGTGTTGTGGTAGGTCGTGGTCAGGAGTCCGTGAACGTGGTCGAGGAACGCGAGAAAAGCCTCCATCTCGACAATGTGGCCACCTGATTCTAGAGTTAGCATCGCTTGCGAGTTTCAAGACCGGGAAATCGCTGTAATTGAAGCCGTGGCGAACAACAAACCTTTGATAGGGTAAACGGCGCCCTCGTCCGAGTCAACATCTTCGACCCATTCCTCCTGCTCTACGCCGCCAACGACCTTCTTGCGCAGATACGTGTGGTATGGTCGCCATTCATCGCCGTCCTTAAACATTCGCGTAGGTAGGCGATGGGTTGGGAGTGTCAATTCGCTGCATCCAATCTGCGCAAGGGTAGTCTTGCTGCCGGGGCAGACGATGAGAATCTGCTCCTCACGCCATCGACCGACGGAAGACATGGTGAGCGATTGTGCTAGCAACGCAAATGGAGCTTGTCGTATTAAATATAATGGTTGAGATGCACGGTCGCTTTGTGTGAACTTGTCGCTGTGCCGCGTGGGAGGCTGCCTGTCGCGACGAGGGATGGTTGGAGAGCTTGCGCGAAGGTGTTCTGTGCAAGTGTGGCGCCCAAACGCGCCGCCCTGCAATGTGTGGCTGCCGTGGCTGACAACCGTTCACGGCTAACACGTGACCACAATGCGCCAGACACTAATACAATGCAAATGTTAGGAGAAATCATGAACAGATAAAATAATTCGAGGTTACGCTACATCAGAAAAAGAGGGAAATTTTCGTGAAAATTCGTCCTTTAATTGAATTGAAATTTCTATCTATTAGCTGTGCTAAATGCGACCCATCCCAGATCGGTGATATAAACGCCGTCCCTAGATCTTTGTGCTGCCATGGATATCGTATGTAATAGAAAGGAATAAGAATAAAGAATAAAATCATTTCGTGGGAAAATAAACATATTTGATGCATATGGTACAGATGCAAGTCAATGATATGTAAATGCCCTGAGAGGCAGTCAAAAAAGATTAACAGATCTTCTTAATGCCAGTTTCAAACATATGATTACCGGTGTCTCCAATTGCTGTACATGTTGCTTCGCCTTCGTGTGTGGTGCTGAATTAGGCAATTCCAAGAGCTGTCGGTGTGCTCTCTCCCGAGTCGCTAACAGTCTTTGTTCTTTCTAGCGTGTCGTGTGTACTATGTCGCTCTAATAACAACGCCTTCTTCGGCGTTCCTTCATCGGCCACGTCGCTGGCTACCGAGGCAGGGCGATCGGATGTTGGGGTTGTCATGGATGAGCCATTATAGCTCCATCGGTCCTCTCTGGCACCCGTAAAGATGGAGGAGGTGTGTTTGGTGTGCGAAGCGGTGTCAGAGAGCTCAGCTGACTCGTTCTGAGGTGTGCTTGGCTGGCTTTCGTCCTCATCCTTCGTCTCATCTGCCTCGTCAGTGTTGGCAAGAGAAAGCGCCGGCTCGACAACATCTTCATCTTTGTCCTCGTCCTCTGAATCATTCACCGAGGAACCAGTCACATCATCCAAATCGAAAAGATCAGAAGTCTCCTGCAAAGCCTTTAGAAGCCCATCCTCATCCACAACCGGCTCAGAGATTACGGTTGAGGCAGGGGCAGTCTTATCCTCGTGCTGTTGCTCAACGGCATGAACCTCGTCGACTGTTGGCTTTGCGTTAACTGACAGACGCGCTGCGCTGCGTGCTGGGATAGCTACTACTGGTTCGGCCAGGCTTTCTGAGGTTTCGGTAGCGTCGGATACTTTGAGCGTAATGTCGGAAGCTGCTTCGGCTTCTTCCATCACTGGCTTGCTCTCAGCTTCCTCAGTAGTAATCACCGGTGTGGCTTGTGTCGGTGAAGCTGGGGCCGATGGAACGCTTTCCGTTGTGATGCTCTTAGACTCAGTGGGCTGGTCCACCTCTGCTTCGGTGACAGTGGGAGTTGGAGCTTCCACAACCTCGTTCTTGGTGGCCTGTTTGGCGGCATCTGCTTCAAATTTAGCAATGCGTTCAGCGATAGCACTTCGTTTGGCCGGGGCCTTCGCAGGTGGTTCGGCGAAAGTCTGCTCAACCTTGTCTAAGCCATCGGGAAGGCTACCACTTTTGACAAGGTGTGCAGTCTGTTTGACAGGCTTTGGTGAACTAGGAGAGGAGTCCGCATCGTCCACGCCTTCAGCGCGAAGATCAGCTTCACTAAAGGTCTCACGCAGGGGGCTGCTCAGAAGCTTGAGTTCCGCTGGTACATCATTGGCAAACGCGCCTGATGATCTCGCCGGGCTGCGACGAGGAACGGGTGGTGGAGGGCCGCGCTTGGCAATGGTGACCACATTTCCTCTAGCATGAATAACCCTGGAGGCCACAGCTTGCGTTCGAGCAGGCTGGATGGCGGCGACTTCAAAAACGACGGGCTCTTCCTCGTCGTCATCTTCTTCGAAATCCTCCTCCTCGACGTCTTGTGTTTCCTTCTCTTCATCGTCTTTAATTTCTTCATGTTCTTGAGATGGCAGGCTCTCGCCATCACCACTTTCATCATTATCGTTGGCGGTATTGTCGTTAATATCATCAATATGGTCAGTTATCATTTGGGTAAGGTCCACGGTATTGTTGGCCCCCATATCAGTACTGCTCTCTACGTCTGCGGTAGTTTCAGGAGCAGGTAGCGTTTGTTCTTCCTCTTCTTCGATTATTGCTGGTGGCGGCACTAGCCCGTATTCTTGGCTGAGATGCTGCAATGCAGAGGTATCCACAGCTGTGTAGTCGACTTCGGATGTCTCATCAATCGAGTCTGCGCTAGTGTTTGAGCGAATGTCATCTCCACTGCGACGAGATGTTGGGCTTGACAAGGGAGAGTTGGCGGTCTCAGTCTGAGTTGCGACATCAGTAGCCTGGCTTTTCACTGTACGCGCAGACATGTGACTAGCTCTGTTGCTTCGCGATAGTGAAGTATCCATGCTTTGGCGGGGGAATTTAGATTGGCCAGGGCTGAGAGGCCCAAATCCAAAATCAAACTGGTTGCTTGCAGGGCGAACGGCTGCTCCAGCTTCGCGGATTTCCATACCAGCCATCTCGAGTGCCAGTAATCCAAATGGATCTGGGTCGTCGACCTTCGGTATTCCAAACGACGTGGCTCGTGATGAGACTGGCGTGGCGCTCGGCGTAGCAATGACTGCGTCACCAGGCGCTGGTTGGATTGCAGTTTTGTCGATAACAGCCTGGTCAAAATCTTTCCGCCCCTCCGCCATTTTGATAACCTCAAAGAGAGGCTTTGTTTCTTCGACGTGACGAGCCACGCTGCCCGAGAGAATCTCCATCTGAGAAACAGCGGAGCCGTAGAAGCGCTCGTTTTCGTTTGCTCTTTCCGTCAGAATGCATCCATTGAGGTTAACAGTTTGTTGCTGGCCGCGCGATTTCATATACATCATCACTTTGCCGCTTGTGTCTTTCCAGCTGGATCGAACCTCATCCGCAGACAAGGGTATCGAAGGTCCGTCAAGAAGTGTAATATCCTCACCAAGAGTCACTGAGGGTCTCGTGAGAAGCTCTAGGGCGATCAAATCAGTCACAACGAGGACACAATCGTACACATCCACACCCATAATGAAGCTTAGCGTTGGCGTGTGTAACATGATGCCAGACGGTGGTGACCAGGTGCCATCTGACTTTCGAGCAATAAGAATTCCGGAGCCACCGGATCCTGTCATCCAGAGGCCATTGCGCATGCAGGTAAAAACAGCAATACCAGCGGCATTCTGAATGATGTATTTCGGTACAGTTTGAATGGCTTGCACGATGGCAGACTTTTCACTTGCCGAGTCTGCCGTTGGGGAATCGCTGTTTGGTTGGGCTAGATATCCATCGACTATAACCAGTTAGTTAGCGGCTTCAAAGTAGGGCCACTGGAAGAGCAGACGTACCACAAAACGACTTCAAAATGCGCGCCGCCTTCTCACATTCTTGATCGAGTGTCGCTGGCCAAAACGCCTCACGCTGGACACGGCCAGAGTTAGCGGCTGCCACATTTATATGTGCCAGCTTCTTGACAGAAAGAGTATTGGAATCGTTGGGTACACTTGGAGCTCGGGCTCCCCATCCAAAGAAGGCACTGGCAAGGCCGCCGTTGCTGCTGATCCTGTTGGTGAAGCTATTTGCTGGCGGTTGAGCGCTGGCCTTGGAAGCTGAAGGCCGCCTCTCCCATGAGGGTAGAAACCCCGAGACGCGCTGCATGGCGTCTCGTCTGCCTCTCCGCCGTCGCCAAAGTCAAGGCGGGAAAACGACAGAGAGGATTGAAGTCGGTGGCGCAGACCAGCGGTAGGTCTTCCGATGCGTTTGTCGGTTGGTGATATCCGCCGGGGATGGAGATTGGCCGAGGGAAAGTGAATATTATTGGTTTCCCTGTATGCTAGAGTCGTGATGCCCAACAAAATCAAACAAATATAGGGGCAATAAGAAGGGGGGAGGATGTCAAAGAAGAAAGGAAACGAGCGAACAGAACTGGTATGTACGAAGGAGTTTAGGCTAGGAGGGGGGGTGACGTGACTCGGAGAAAAAGCGTGCAGGGCGTTTTGGGCCTGTCTGTCCAGCGCCAGAAAAGGCTTTTACGGTGCGCTATGTTGTGGCCTGCCAGCGTCCACGTACAGCGAACAGGGCGCAAAAAAATGCAGTGAAAGCGCAATGGCCCCCCTGACTGCGAGGCGGTAGGAGCTTGCATTGGAGCGCTGGAGCCCACTGCGCCCGCTAACGCCCACTAAGAGCACGACGTGCGCTGCGCGGACAGCGCCACTTTGGTACCGCTAAGACCTCCCCGCTGCATGCTGCACACTGTTCCGGTGCGTGCTCCACCCTCCTTGGTGGGCAAGCACAGGCCCGTCCGCCGTGCGGCAGCGGCAGTCTGTTGGCGCTGGTGGAGACCAGATTGCCTGCTGCAGGGCCACTGCCGCTGTGCCACGGCTTCCTTGCTTTTGCCTGATTCTTCCCCTTGCACTGCTCATTTCGTTTCCACTTAGCCTTGCATGGGACGACGCTACTGTACTCTTTCTTTTTTTCTTGGTGGTGTGCAGTGTAGCATCAGGCAAATCCCCCTGCATTGCTTGCTTTTTCGATCCTCGCTTCCCATCACATCCAGGAAAGAGAAAACTACCTACCCAGCGTTGGGTTGTCCGCGGAGCTGAACCTACTACCACATATAACAAACCAAGGACACGGAATATACTCCAGACTCATGTCCAGAACGACTATTGTCCTGTCTATCTCAACAACGCCGAGGTCTGCTCCAGAACACATAATGATATTCAAGTTCGCTATAACAGGGGTCTCTCGGTGATGCGCTAGTGAAGGTAGCCCCTCCCTTGCCCATGTATCTAAGAGGGGGTACACAAAGTCGCGGACGTGGCGCGCATCTGGAATGCGACATCCACATTGGTCCCAGGGGCGGACCACTTTGCCGAACGTCTCCCTTGCTACAGTATCCTTTCTTGGCCAAACTCTATGCTCTAGAGTGCGTTCATGAAACAGCTTGGTTTAGTGTAGTGCTGGTTGGCGATACGAGATTGATTGTTCAGCATGCCTCGCTAACTCACTCCTTTTTGACAGGTCAGGAGGCGGTTCTCGACTGCAACATGTTAAGCATACACCACAGCTAGTAGCGCTGTTGCAGAATGAAACGCAGAGCATAGTGGAAAGAGCTGATGGTCGTCTGTCTATTTCCTCTTGTCTCATTGAAGCTATAGCAGCCACTCGTCCCAGTTGTCTATTAATGGCGTCATCCAGTCATTACCCATGCTTAGCTGTGCCAGAATCCTTGTTCCAGTCTGCTCGAGGGCCTGGGTTTGGCCAACAGAGTGCCCTTGAAAAGCTTTGGCTAAGGCTATCCTTGCACTTTGTATCATCCGTCGTACATCATGGCCATTATTCCCAATCCTTCGCTTTGCCCTGCTCAAACGGCTTATGCAAGGCAGCCAATCTGGCGAGATCGGCAAATCGGATTGGGTTGTGGGACCCCTCGACCCACGAGCCCCTGCACGCCTAGTGCCCCTTCATCTCCAATTCTGGCGTCATTGGAAAGCGAGTCGACGGAAATAAGCCATAGCTGATGCAGAACTTTCTCTCTTTGGAAGGAATAATGGCGTGACAATGACAGGTCCTTTGAAATGGTAGAAGCAATTGCCAGTTGACTTGATGTCAGTATAGATCTGGCGCAGATCGCTGCTGCTCCGTGGTGGGTTACCAGTCGTGGATTGGAATACAGGAATAGTATCTCGAGATGTCAGGCCCCAAACTATGCGTCACCAGCTCTTAAGAAAAAGAAATTCAGTTTCTAATAGGACCATCATCTAAAAAACGATTCACCGCCTCAGCATGTACAGACACCTCAAGCATCCAAACACAGTGCGGGTGTGCCAGAAACGACGTCATTTACCGTAAAAATATCGATAAAGTAAAGCTTTGGGGCATTAGTCGCGCTTTACTCCGTTCATAAGCCAGTATAACTAAATATAACTGAAAACAGTGTTTGTTTTGTCCATATTGGCGAGAGGATGGATGTCATGTGGAGAGGTGGGCCGGCCATGTGCTGTGTTAGCGACTGGTCTGGCTACCCCATACCAAATTTTTGCGCCAACGCCGCAACTCTCTCCATCCAACCGTTAATCGGGTCGCGCGTCAACCGTCCAGCCGTCACAATCCAGGGCAACAGACTTGGGATGAATCATCCTGACAATTCACTTCTCGGTTGCGCTTTTATTCATTCCCACCCCGCTTAGTGTGCTACCAGTGCCCTTATTGGCGAACCCCTTTTCAATCAAACAACAGATAATCATGTTCAAGTGAGTCAATCCAACCATAGTCGCAGAGTGGCGCATAAGACCCTAACCGATTAAACACATAGAGCATATAAAAACCTTTCATCAAAAGGCAAACTTGGCCTCGGTGTCGGTGTCATCACCTGGGGCGCCGTCGGGTTGTATCTGTCAGACAAAGCCGAGGAGAAGTTGGGATATACGCCGTCGGAGGAAGATAAAGAAGAGCTAAGAAGTCTCAAGCCGCATATTGTTACAGTTGATAAGCCAATTAAATAAGTCACTTTAATCAATCACTCTGTAAACAATATTGTGAAAGGTGTCAGTGTATTACATCATATGGACGGCCGCGCGCACCTTAATGGTGAACATTTCAACCTCACGGACAGCATAATTTCACAAAACAGGTAGACAATCACGTAGCAAGCATTGAACAATGTATAACAGTAAAGCATATCTTTTGATCCGGCCCAGGCCACGGGGCGATGAGCCAATAACCGAGAGTCCTATCATGGCCAGTTTGTACCTCCGTCTCTATCGTGATCGAAAAGTCTAAGAAAAAAAACACGCAAAACCGAGTCGTAAAAGGATTAACTCCACTTCCCGTCTATTCCGTAAAATGAAATGCAATGGCAAACCAAAAAATCCACCTGTACCGACTCACATCGATAGACGGCCGCCTGAAGCAGCCAGAAGCAGGAGTGCGTACTGCGCAGCGGCCCTCCGCATCGTGAGTAAAATGATCCCCCTCCCATCCTGTAACGTGCTTCGGGCGAAACGTACATTGCGAAGCGTAAAAAATCAAAAGCACCAAAACCGACATTATAACAAAGCAAGTCGCAACGCCTCCGAATGTGTCCTCAATCGTAGGAAACTTTCCCTATTTTCAACTTTTTTCGCATAATTTTGTATTTCTCTTTCGTGTTTTTTTCCCTTTTTTATAAAAACAGCAGCGGTCATAAGAGCCCGCCTGCATAACCTTGAGTTAAATCCAGTGTGAGTGGATCACGGCACAGGGTTCGGCAGCATCGAGCCGACCAGATGCGACCCCACTCAAAAGTACACCAGAGCAAAACTTGGTGAGTTCGTTATTAAGAGCGCCAAAGTCGGGCACAGCGCTGCTCGGATCGAATTGATTGGCAGCTGCAGATGCGGGGTTTCGAACATCAGCTATCAATAACGCCGCGATAGCGCATTTAGGCGCGGTTCTGGTTGCGGTCTAAAATAACAGGCGTTAGAAGGTTGAAATCGACGAAGCATATACAGCGTCTTTACATACCATGGAACATCTGGGACCAGTCGAGGTTGGACTGCTGGCCCGAGTTGGAGCCCATGTAGGGCTGGACACCGTATGGTGGCATCTGCTGTCCGTTCATGGAGCCGGCAACCTCGCCCTCGTAAGGCTGGGAGCCGCCCATTACGGGAGCCATGTTTCTGCGATCACCATTGGCGCCGTTGCCGTTAACATCCTGAACGGGGACCATGCCAAAGGGGTGGACCATGCCGTTGGTGGGCATGCCGTTCAGCCCGTTAAGCTGGTTCATGTCACCCTCACCACCCATGCCGCCAGCCTTCTGAGCCTGGGCGTTCTTCTTAACGTGAGCCTGGGGGTGAGAGAGGTGGCTGGCTCCGGTAGGGTTACCGCGGCGAATGGAGCACTTCTGGAAGTGGCGCTTGAGAATATCACTACGAGAGAAAGTGTCGCGGCACAGAACACACATGTAAGGACGGTCACCAGTGTCTATGTCGATTGGGTTAGTGAATCCCTTGTTGAGCAATGGGCTGCAAAGGAAGAGTAAAACTTACGTCTGAGAAGGTGACGCTTCAAGTGCTTAGCGTGCAGGTACGTCTTGGTGCAGTGAGGGCAGGGGAATTTGCCATCGGCATCCTTAACAGGGATGACGGTGTTCTTGGAACCAGCGGCAGGGGCAGCAGGTCGGCCAGGCGCACTGGGCAGGATACCACGACGGCCCTGGGAGCCAACAACATGAGTGGGCTGCTCGCTCTCACCCAAGACACCAGCAGGCTGCATCATGGAAGCGCCGTAGGGAGAGGACATGCCGGGTTGACCGACGATGCCACCAGGAGGCATGGGACGAAGAATAGGAGGAGCACGCCCACCAGCGGGAGCGGGCGCAATGGGTTGAGGGCCGCCAGAAGACTGAGGCATCATACCACTGGAGCCGTAGCTAGGGTGGGGAGGGTACGGGTTCTGGGCCATCGAGTAGACACCACGGCCACCACCCTGAGAAGGCTGAGGATAGCTAGGAGGCAAGTTGGCCGAGTTGGGAGTGTTGGGAGTACCCGGCGCAGTGCGCGGGGTGTGTGGGTGGCTGCCATAGAGCGGCTGCATCGCCGTAGTGGAGGGCTGCAGAGGAGGGAGGCTCTGTGGGAGAGGAGACTCGAACGCGGCGGGAGAAGGGTAGGCGTGCGGTGTAGAGGTGCCGTTTATGCCATTGGAGGGGTACTGAGAGCCGTCCATCTTGATGCGCGCGGAAACGCGTCGGTAAAATTACTTTTGAAGGTGTGGTTGTGGTGTTGCGGTTGGAGAGGCGGATTCGGTCCAATGTCGCTCGTCACGTCCGTGGCGACAAACAAGACGCGGTAGGGGAAATTTTTTTCAGAGTTGGAATCTAGAAGAGGAAAGGAGAGTTCGAAATCGAGACGATATGTGTCCGAGATCAAGATTTGGTATTCCTGGTAAAGCGAATGTAGTTTTGGGCCACGCGAAAAGGTGTAGAAAAAAAAGCGGCGTCGTTGCTGCGAAGTGGATTTTTTGTGAGGCTCGTTGGACGCAGCTTTGGTGGTGTTTCTGGGAGAGTGGAGAAACTGGGGCCTTTCGAAGTTTTGTACTTTTTTGCCCTTGACTGGGAACTGGCGTGCCCCTGGTTGAAAAGTCGACCGGGTGCGAAAGTGGCGACCGGGTGCTAAGAGGGCGTGGCAGCAGTCGAACGCAGTGGAAGCCGTTGGCAGCGAGCACCGAGGGAAAGAGCCCAGTGCGTGTTTTTTTCGTGGCTTATTCAGTGCAAATAGAGAAAAGTGGGCCCAGTTGCTTCAGTTCGTTCACCTACGGCTCACAGCGCCTGCTAAGGTATGGTGTCTTTTTTTCCTCTACGCCGGCTTGCCGGCCGCAACCAGCAAATAGGGTTAGCAAATCTGGTTGCCGAGGGAAGACCGTGAGAGCGAAAAAATTTGTGTGGCAAAGTCCGTGAAACTTTACTGCATTTCTTGTTTACCAAATCGACGGGTTATTCCTTTTAGCACACTACAAGCGAAGGCAAAATATCAAAAGGAAAAAAAACTGCTAGTTCAGGTAGCCCTTCTTAGTGTACCATGCAAGAGACGTCACGTCACGCCTAGTGGGCTCTTCAGATGGTTTGGAGCGCTGAAAACGGGGATCACAACTAGCCACCGTCGCTGGCTCGTTCCAGGGCATGATAGGTGCTGAATTACAGGCGCTTAGCGTTGCCTTACAGCGCACGCCCCAAGAGGTGTGCCTGCAGCGGCTTAGCGATGGTCCGTCTACCTACCTGAAGACGGCGCCTGAGGGGGCAGGGAGTAAGAACGCGCTCGCCGCCACGCCCAGCCATTGTTCTGTCGACCAACTGACATGCCAGTTGTAGCGCAATTAGACAATACTGGGAAGCAGGCCAGCCATGTTTAACACTCTTCCTGACTACCGTTTGAGACTGGTTTACTCTGCAAGCTATGATAATTTAAAAATGCTTCGGCCTATAGTGAAGATTTGGTTTTGATCCTGAGGCAGAGCATTCAGACTCTTTTTTTTTTTTTGGCAGTTGTTGATTAGTAGATATGCCGAAGGCACTAGGGACAGAATAGCAGGCACTAATTCCGCACTTGGTACTTGGCAGTCACCTGCCGCATCCAGCAATTTACACTGTGTCGACTCTGCCCTTACAGGTATCGTACGCGTACCAAAGTCAACCACCTTACTCGCGCCTACAGCAGAGTTTTCGCCTCAGCGAGTCGGTGCGCTGACGTGCTTGGCTGTGCGCGCTCTCGGAGAGAAGAGCGCTGGAGAGGCATTGAGGGAGAGCAGCATGGCAATTGGGAGCGCACACACTATAAAATTAGAAGTAAAATTTTGCACGCACCAAGGCAAATGCTAGTAATTATTCCGTAGGCTATTTGACAAGAAATCATTATCCAAATTCTCGCAAAGCACTTGTCCAGCGCTGCAACCTTTGCGTAATATGTCAAAGGCACCTCTGGCCATCATTTTGGCACCCGGTGTGTTCCTCTTATGACATAAAGCAAAGGCACTTTTCGAGCGCGCTTCAGACGGGGCTTGTTTGCAGGGGGTGCTACGGTAGACATGCCGACGTTCGTTTGGTGGGGGTTCAATGACGAAGGCACGCCACTCGTAGGCCTTGCTTCGACAACGTTGCGGCGCCAGTATTGTCTGCGGCCATCGCATACAGATGCTGTCAATGATAGTATTGAGCGCGGCGCAGGCTGTTTCCTAACAAGCAAGGTGACTATGATTCTGTGCCCAGCGTCATGCGTTTCAAACCCCCTCTTTTTAGCTGCGTTCTTAAATGACACTGGTTCAATATCAAGGGCAGTATGCACACGATAGAAACTTTGCACGGTAGACTTGCAAATGCTTTGATCCAGAAACAACATTTATTCTCCCCTTGTCATTTCCCAATTAGCAGCTTACCTGCATAGCAATAGCAAAAACAAAGTTATTATGCAGGATGCTGGCCGATATTCTGTAACTGAGACTGGCCCAAGTACAAACACCGACAATAGGCCGAGGCCTATCTATCCCACGCGTAGTTGCCCTACATACACTGCAGCGCGTGGCGGGCTTCATTTACGGTGACAGCTGCAGCGCGTGCACTTCTGAACCGTGCTTGGCGTCAGATACAGCGCTAAACTTTCCAGCATGATTATGGTGTACTGTACTGGAGCGCAGCGCACGCCGCTATAAGCCCCGCTCTGGCCGACGGAACACTTGCTGGTTAAGACATGGCGCGATGGGCCACCGCACACACCACCGCACCACTAACGCTCTTTGTAACGCCAGAGATACAGACATTACTGTCTTGTGCTTTGAGAAATAACTGGGAATTATTACGTCTGGCACCATATGTTTGGCCAGTACACACATATGCCATGGACGTATCTGGTACAGCGGAAAGGACACCGGCGTCACATGGAAAGCCCTGCTGGCGGGAGAACACGCCCTGCCTTGTTTTCTCGTCGGATTTCCGCGGGCACGCGCTTCCGTGCTTTGCCAATGTATTGGTACATTGGTGACATTGGCCTGCCCTATGCGTCGGTGAGCACCGTCCAAGGCCACATCGTCACTTGCGTCGAATTGTTGCAGACCGTTTTCTCTCTACTCTTCTCCAATGCCAGCGTAGGGACAATGGTGTTCTTTTTATATTCCAACCGTGCCACACTCCAAGCAGCAGCGAGAACCGAAGAGTGGATAGAGAGGGGCACAGGGTATGATGCGCAGGCCCCACGGCCTACCTTGATCTTGGTTGGCATTGCCAGTGCGTGTGCGTGCTGTAATAGCGTTCTTTGACCGCACCACACCATCTTCTTTCTAGCCTGGTGGCGCAACCACCAAGGCGTGCTACTGTTCCGATTCTGCACCATGACAAACCGAAAGCAAAGGTTTAGCGTTGCGTTATGATAGTGCTCATTGGCCAAATGCCGAATCCGGCGGTACGTACTCGGATTCAGTTGAATGGCGCATGGGCGCATTGCGTCGGCAACGTCGCTGTCGCCCAACCCGAAGGCGTCAGTCCTTTGGCCCGCGCTCCCAAAAAAACAAACTACAAACTCGTTGGCAGCAGCGCTGTCGTGATGGCATCGCAACAACACCAACAGCCTTTGCAGAGGATACACTGGCGGCGCAGGGACCCATAAACCCCCAACGGCGGCAAGCTGGGCACTCGCTACGGCGTGCCAGTGGGCCCCTAACACACGCGCAACACACCTCCTGTACAGGCGCCACAGGCCCCCATTTAACCCCTAAATGCCATTGATCCAGAAGCCATTCAGAACGTGTACAGTGGAGTCAGGCCGCTTCGGCTTGCGGTTATAGTGTGGTTTGGCCTGCCCGGGGCGCCTGTGGTGCGGCTCTGCCTTGCGGGAATCCACACCAACCTCGCGCGACCGTTTTGATAGAAGCGACACGAAAAACCCATTTTCGTATATTGCAGAGACACGTTACAGATGAAGCATCTTTGGGGCGCATCAGCTGACAAGCAGAGGCCAATGACAAGTCAGCATAGCGCCGCAGAGGAAATTAGAAATTGTGCGCTCTTTTTTAGTGTGAGGTTGGTGAATGGCGGAATACGATGGAAATACCCGGCCAAAGAAAATTTGCTAGGCGCACGCCAGGTTCATTTGGCTGCCTGGACCACCACCGCACCAGCCAAAAAGACACAGGATGCATATTCGCGCCCCCGTCCGATTTCGGTTCTCTTGGTCACAGACGGAGCAGAGTTTTCTGTTGTATCAGATTGCGCAGCCATAAGACAGACGGCGCAGAGCAAAGCGGTTTTCACAAACGGCTCTTGCCTTTTAACGAGTCGACCGCGATAAAGTTGGCACAATGTAGACACAAGTTCATTAGCCGTTCAAAATAGCGGCCGATGTATGACGGCTTTGCCCGGCGCTCTCACCGACGACGGCGTGATTAATAGCAATTTTTTTGGCCCATGGACTGTGTCAGTCCTCCTGGGTCAGCGAAACGCGAATAGCGCGAGTCAATACCCCCCAAGGGAAAAAAAATTAGGCCCTGATTATTTAGAGGGAGCTCACTGCACTGATCGCATTGCAAAACGACAGAGGCGTGACTAGTGGCATGGGTGCGAAACTGGCACCGGGTCTAGTCCCTTTTAGGAATTCATATCCGTTTGCGCACTAGGGCACCTGCCGGAGTTTGCCAGCAGCGCTCAGAAGTCTCACTGCTCCCTAGATTAATGCATGCCAGTGATCGCTGCCCGCAAAGGTGCCTTCATTGCCACAGCAATTCCGTCATTATCGCTTGCGGAAGGATTGAGCAGCGCCTAGTGCTACCGCTGCGTGGTTGTGCACCGTAACCAACTCGGCGATTGCTATCTTGGACAAGGTGCTCGGTTCGGAACTGCGCCAAGCATATTCCGAAGCAGAAGAACATGTTGTCAGCTCGCTTTCAGTGTATCTGGCCCCAATGCAATACTTGCACACCGAGTTTGTAGCCAATCTAGTTAACCGATTGCTTGTTTCTTCATCGCTAATATTCATTATATCCCATCATATCATAGCAACCCACGTTGGTTGTTCCCACATAAGCTTGCTCGGTTCCTGAACTACGCAGCGGGCCTCGAAGTGGATGAGACCCATTCAAACTGGATTCGACGTTACCCTGTGATGAGATCCTAGGATCTGGGTTTTTGGCCCCCGTATGGTGGACAATGGTGTCTTATTTCCAACGCTACCGGAATGGGTCCAGAAGAGCTCTGTACCAACAGCAAAAGCGATACAATATTGGGGAAACAGAACGACGATGGTGTCCCGTTGGCAACAGGCGATAATTCTGCAGTGCATGGGGCTACAAGTTTGTGCCACAGAGAGTGCGTCATTTGACGGAGCTTTTGCCGACGGTTCTTTTGTCTCGAAATAACAGTGACATTTGCAGCCAAAAAGGGCCGTATGAGTTAGTACTAGCGTCGTTGTTGATAGTGCTGCGAGCGAACCGATGGCGCCAACGCAAGCCAGCACAACCGAAAACCCCACCCCCCTCCGAGTTTAAATCTGGTTGGTGATTGCTCACACGCTATCGATTGGGAGACATTAAGTGGGAGAGAGGTGCGCTGCCTGCCCAGCCATCTTTCACCTAACTTGGGATACATTGTAGCCGTCGCAGGATTTTTCCTTGATGTGGTCAACCCCCTCACACCCAAGTCTCTCATTTGAGCCACCACTGAGGCTGGCGAAATATGATACATTGCTAGCTGCAGGTATATTAGCTTTTGGTAACCCTGCCAGGTCGGCGACTTCAACAAGGCTAGGGGGAAATGTCGCCTGTGCCCGCATTCCTATCACACAGCGTCATAGAAGCAGTAAAATGAACGAGTAAAATAACGGTGGCGCATCACCGCCTGGCTGCAGGATTGATTATTAGTAAGTGGTACAGTCTACATCTTATACAATTATTCATGATTACCCATTGGGGTTACGGTATTAAATCCATGAATATGTACATGTCTGCAAAGATTGCATCTCGGCCAGGTGGGATAAATAAATTCCCTGGTCACTCACTATTGGACTCGAAGCCTCCTCATAGTATCGCGTAGGCCTCGGAGCGAAGGCCGCGGCTTCATGGCACTATCGGTAAAATAGCCATATAAATTTATGTTTATATGCCATGGCAATACGAGCGACCTATTGATTTAGACGATTACAAATGATTACATTGCTTTACAATAGATCCGACTCATTATCATGATCATTTTCACCTAGATACGCGGAACCGGTTCAAACCTCAATCACAGTCAGTCGCTACAAAGAGCCGTCAATACACAGTATTCGCTACTCAGTGAAGTTGTTAGCTTCAGTTTCGGGCGGAGAATCCGCACCTGTAGGAGTGCAAGGATACAGCCTAAGCAAAATGTAACACCCCTTGTGGCTGCATGGTTCGGCCGCTGTACCGCTCGTATCAGAGAAGAGCGAGTGGTTCGTTTCATCCAAGAAAAAACAATGTGATGTACCCAACACCGTAAATACTACACAAGACCTCAAAGCTATACAGTCGCAAATATGCTGGTCTACCTGACACGTCAATCCAGACAAGTCGCGTGGTGTAGCCGCCCAGCCCAAGCCATACAGCATGCAAGACTTTGTCAATTTTTGTCGCTCGTTGTTCCAGCCAGCTTTACACATGAACGCCCATCATTACGTGACACTTGCAGCAGTAAACACCCAGTACGTTCTACCAACAACTGACGTAGCGCTGCGGCTACTCTCGTATGATCAACCGCCAGAACTATACGTGATACATTTTCGGTATCGCATAGTGTATGCTAGGAGTCAATTAAGCATTATATAGTAGATTTTAGCTCTTAAAAGCCGTATTCGCTATTACTTGGATGATACAAGACAACTGCTAAACGTAAACTCGAAGGCATAACCACGAATGCAGCCTCGCAACGGTGGTGGCGCTTCTGGTGGGTGTGAACCAACAAAAGCTACCTGCATGATGTATGCAACCCTCTGTCTAACCTTTTGCCACACTAGCAAGGATCTTGCGCGTCGAAGTACCCATGTGCGAATTTCCATCCAGTGTAGCTTCGCCATCTCAAGTGAACCAGGCAGCAGCAGTGAGTTGAATGGTTATAAAGACTCTAAGCAAATAGTGATCGTATACCTGTGGCTTCTTCACCGTTTGATATGATATTTCGGGGAGGCATAATTAACATTACCATCCAGAACGCTTGGATTTCGCCACGGGTTTGAAAACGAGATCGGCCATGTTAACGTGCTACCAGATACCCTGTAGTGGTCAAACAGCGTCACACCAATCGTTACTTGGCTTTACTAGAGGGTTTTTGCCCTTTATCTGAATTCGTATCATCTGCTAGTCCTCGTCTACACCCCTATATTTCTTAATCTGCATAGAAAAGGGCACTGTTGATAGCCATGTGGTGTTGGTGGAGCTAGGTGGTGCATACTAGCGGCGAACGATCTCTGAAGATCTAGGTCCGCATCGCGCCCCTTTCTAGAAAACCCCACAACTACCGGTTAGAAGAATAGTGGTCTATATGAGGTCTGACAGTCCAAATTACGAGGCGTTGTATTGGTAAAAGGCACAGGATTTTAGAGGTGCGGTGTTATGTCGAACTGGTGTAGGTGGATCAAATCATCCGAGGCAAATGTACTGAGACTGATCCGACGGTGGAGGAAACGGGGTGTCGCCTTCGTCCATTTATTGTAAGTATAATGCAGTTTATCGCTACATGATATTCAAGTAGATGACTCAATAGAGCCAATCTCTTTTGGTTAGATCAAGTCGTACAACATCGTTCGTTCGGTATAAGGTAGCAGTGATTGGTCATTGGTTTTGATCTCAGTGGCCGTTGGAAACGGTATCAGTTAATATCTTGGCCATTAAAACTTGATTGAAAAAGATCGCCACAGTTAATTAAAAAGAAAAACCAAACCCTCCAGATAATACCATGCTTCCGCAAAGTACAAATCGCACAGTGTTGCTTGGTAGCTGGTGTTGACTTCGTGCGGGGTTGTTGTGAGAGTCACACAGTCCGGACACAAACCTGTACAACAACTAAAATATACTGAATATATTAAGAGAATAAGTTCAATTTTATAAATTTTCTATTTAATTTTTTCTTACCTGTTAGCAGTATCACAGGCTGGAGGTGATTACCAAATCCAAGTCGTGTGATGTGGGGCGCCAGGGGCAGCGTTCATTGGCCGTTGTAGTTTGAACTGGCCCGTCGTAATTTTTGCTTCAAGCCAGCAACAAGTGAGGATCCCTATTCGCATCTTGCTTGTCGTGGTCGCCATTACTTTTCTGCGACGATGTCATCAATTCAAAGGCTACGTCCCAGTGCGACATGCGCACTCAGACGCAATGCATCCAGCGTTGCGGCTGCCCTCTCACAGAACAGCGGCTCCGGCGCCGCCCCTTTCTCGACGAGCGCTGCCCTCTGCAAGCGCAAAACCAAAGACAGCAACAAGAAACGAGGCGTGAGCAGCCTGTACGCGTCTGGACCTAGAGAACCGCTATCTATGTCTGGAATCCCCTTGCCGAAGCCGCGTGATTTCAAACCGACGATCAAGGTCGACGATAAGCACGGTCTCTGGGGATTCTTTCCTGAGCCGAAGAAGCTTGTTTGGACACCAAGCGAGACTGAGCGACACGGCCGCGCATGGACTGTGGAGGAATTGCGAAGGAAATCATGGGAAGATTTACATGCTCTGTGGTGGGTGTGCTGCAAAGAGCGAAATATGATTGCCACTAGCCGCACCGAGTTGATTCGTGCGAAGCTTGGATTTGGTGAAGCTGAGTTTGACCAGCGTGACGAAGAGGTTAGTTTGAACATTGATTGTATACCATTGGTATGAACACTACTGACTGAGTTTTGCTTCAGGTTCGACACACCATGCGTGCCATTAAGCATGCCCTAACCGAGCGATACTACACATGGGAAGATGCTGTCAAGGTTGCAGAGACCGATCCCGAAATCAACATGGATGGCGAGGAAGGCCAGGTTTATAACCCATCGTCATACGAAGAAGAATACACGGAGCCAGAGGCATGGGAAGAGACCGAGGGTGTAGCTCCGGATGCCGCTGGGGAAGCGAACAAAGCAGCACCAAAGGAAGCTCTCCGATGAACCAGCATTATAGGATAACGATCCCAAGCCCCCAGCTTTGAGATGGAGAATTTCTTTTTTGGTAAAGAGAGCGATTTAGGTGGATGTGCCGCGAGGCTGCGGACGTGTACAAACTGCTTTGCATGGGGAGCTCTGTATGATATAGATTTGAAATGGCGCGTCCCATTTGTACAACATCGGGTTTAAATAAAAACTTTTGCATTAACCAGATGCAGCCTACACTGATCGATAGTTGTTTATGATTGTTTTTTCTGGGCAAGAGTTGTTATTCCGGTACACATCTAGTTTCGGTGTCAGACCGGTGTAGTCAACTCTACCTTTAAACAGGAAGCCGCTTCTCACCAAGACATGGAACCAACGGAGCGGGACCTGTATCTAACACTCTCACCGCATAATCCAATCATGGAGGAGCAAGATACAGCAAAGTGGAGGACTGCCAACCAACCGAGCGTCAAGCAGACATAGGTATGGGTACAGCATACGTATCCCGCTGGCAGTGGCCTGGCATAGTCAATGAGTCCTGCAGAGTAGCGAGCAAGCTAACTTGAACCAGGCCTAAACCTGGCTGGCCAACCCTCGTTACTGCACCGCGGTCCCCTGCAAATACAGGGCCTATAGAGGCTAACACAGCGCCGAATGGGACGTCGACAGGCCGCCCCAACAGGGGCCTACAGCACCAAAAAGCACGAGCACCAGCAAATCCCACCGCCACTTGAGACACAATCGCCTCCGCGCCTGCCACTGCGTTTTTCTGGCCGCAACCCCGCCACTTTTCTTCGACCCCGCCAGACTACATCCCCAAAACCAGCTCCTCTCCTTCCCCGACTTTTGCTCTCCATCCATCCACCTTTTTCTGCTTTTTAAACACAAGGCCTGTTTCGACACAAACAATATTCACAATGGACGAGATTGCAAAGGAGTATGACGTTATCGTCCTTGGCACTGGTGCGTGACAAAACCCGATGCCCATGGCAGCTCAGAGCTCCCAAGGCCCCCTCCTTTTGTCTCCTCAGAGGATACGTAGCTGACCGCATCTTTCCAACACATAGGCTTGACCGAGTGCATCCTTTCTGGGTATGTTGTCATATATCGCCCAAGTCAACATGACGATGCTGGCAATTTTGGCACCGATACTAATTGCGATTTGTGCACAGTGTCCTCAGTGTAAAGGGCAAGAAGGTCCTCCACATTGACCGCAACGACCACTACGGCGGGTGCGTAGTTTGTCCTTGGTTTGAAACTGACGAATACCAGAAGCTGACCATTGCTACAGTGAAGCCGCTTCCGTTAACCTTGAGACAGTAAGAAGCTATACGCACCGTCATTTACAGGAGCAGCATCTCTAACCCGTGAACCCCTGACAGCTCTTCAAGAAGTACGGCAACGTTACCGAGGGCGACAAGCCCTGGGAGAAGTATGGCCGCCTTAACGACTGGAACATTGATCTGGTTCCCAAGTTCCTCATGTCCTCCGGTGAACTGACCAACATTCTCGTCTCTACCGATGTTACCCGCTATCTCGAATTCAAGCAGGTCGCTGGCAGCTACGTCCAGCAGGGCGCTGGCTCCAAGGCCACCGTTGCTAAGGTTCCCTCTGATGCTGGCGAGGCTCTTAAGTCCCCTTTGATGGGCATTTTCGAGAAGCGCCGCATGAAGTCTTTCATTGAGTGGGTTGGAACCTTCGACCCCAAGGATCCCGCCACCCACAAGGGTCAGTCAATTACTACCGTTTTGTTTACACCACTCATGTAACCTGCAACATGCTAACCCTTCTTTCAGGCCTTGATATGAACACTTGCACTATGAAGGAGGTCTTTGACAAGTTCGGCCTTGAGGCTGGTACTAAGGATTTCATTGGCCATGCCATGGCCCTTTACCTTGCCGATGACTACATTACCAACCCCGGCCAGGCTCCTGAAGCTATCGAGAGAATCCGCCTCTACGGAAACTCTGTTGCCCGCTACGGCAAGTCGCCCTACATCTACCCTCTATACGGCTTGGGTGAACTTCCCCAGGGCTTCGCCCGTCTGTCCGCCATCTACGGTGGCACTTACATGCTCAACACCAACATCGACGAGATCCAGTATGAAGGCGACAAGGCCGTTGGTATCAAGGCCACCATGACTGGTGTCGAAGAGATGAAATTTGAGACCAAGGCTAAGATGATCTTGGGTGATCCCTCTTACTTCCCTGGCAAGACCAAGGTCGTCGGACACGTCCTCCGCGCCATCTGCATTCTCAAGCACCCTCTTGCAGGTACTAGCGACAGCGACTCTGCTCAGCTCATCATTCCTCAATCCCAGGTTGGCCGCAAGAACGGTATGTCTTCCTTATGATGTTGTGTACACCGGTTTACTAATATTTGCAGATATCTACATTGCCTGCGTGTCCTCCGCCCACAACGTTTGCCCCAAGGGCTACTACGTTGCCATCGTTTCCACGATTGCCGAAAGTTCTGCCAACCACCACCTCGAGCTTGAGCCCGGATTGGAGCGTCTCGGAAAGATCGAAGAACAATTCATGGTATGTAGATATTTTGAGACTTCTTGCAACGCCCTCACTAACTGGTTTAATACAGGGTGCTCCCATCCCTATCTACGAGCCCCTTGAAAATGGCACCAAGGATAACATCTTCATCTCTAAGAGCTACGACGCTACTAGCCACTTCGAGACTACTACAGATGATGTCAAGGATATCTACCAGCGCTGCGCTGGCGAAGAGCTGAAGGTGGAGGGCCTGAGAGAGGGCATCACCGTCGCTGAAGAACAATAAATATCTCAAACAAGAGCAATTTAATGCTAATAGCCAGTACCAAATCACCCCAGTATAAATCTATCGAGATTGGCAACTCCAAAAAAGAGGCAATCCCTTGTAATTTTCACTTGGGCTACATTCCTGTTATTGAAATCTTGCGACAAGTAATGGACAGCAAATCAAGCACTGTATACAGAATGAGTAAATAGGACAGGGTATCCGAGCAAATATCATGATCATCATTGCTGTTAACTATATGCATTCTAATATCTTCGCCAAGCAGCGGCGATACGCTTTTTCAACCCCTCTGGGAACCAATTCTCGAAACATCATCCCGTTGTTGGTGCCCATGGTAGTTGGTGAATCAAAGGTAGGGCAATGGTGCATGGTGCACCAGTCACCCTATGAACGAATATACTGTGACGCCAACAACGCCTGAGAAAGTAAGAAGCAAGAAAAATCACGCCACAGACCCATCCATAAATGAAACAAGACCCAAATTTGCTGGAAGAGTTTAGCAAGGGCAAAGGTAGTGAAACTTTGGACGCGTGAAAAAAAACTCTGCCAGCCAATGCAGTATGGTAAGTGTTTTAGATGCGCTGCGTCTTGCCGATACCACGCTTGCCGGAGAACTGTAGGAAGGTTGTTAGCGTTGAAGAACAGAGATACGTTAATTATCAAACAAGTACTTACCAAATGCTTGGGAAGCTTGGTGGTGGTGTGACGATCACCTTCACCCTGTCTGGCCATGCGGTTCATCTTTCTCTGGTTGAGCTTAGCAATACGCTCAGCCTTGGTACGAGCGCCCTCATCCTTGACACCATCGTCCTTGCGGCTGACAACAGGGTTTCTGGAAGCAGGTCTGCTCTTGGATCGGAGACGCTCGCGCGCCGACTTGGGCTCATCAACATCCATGGAGTCTGCGTCAGCAGTGCCAGCGCGGCTTCTGGTGAGCGAACGGCCACGGCCACGGGATTGGGCGCGGGCTCTCTCGGCAATCTCGGTAGTGTCGACACCAAGGGAGTCGAGGGCATCCTCGAATTCCGAGAGAGGCTTCTTCATCATCTTGCGAGGGATGATGGCCTGGTTCTTGAGGCGCTTCTTCATTCTGGCCTCGTTGCGGATGAGCTGCTGCTTCTCGCGGATCAGCTCAGCCTTGCGCATGACCTCGGCCTCTTCATCATCCTCAATCTCCTCGTCAGAGTCGTAGTAGCCCTCCTGTTCAAGCTTCTCCTCTTCCTCCTCAAGAGCGGCAAGCTTGGCCTCGATATCGGGGTCGATGAAGTCGTAGACGTTCTGGCCATCAAACAGCTCGGGAATCTTGTCGTACTTCCACTCGGGGTTCTTGAGAAGGTAGTCGGCGTTCATGTCGACGTTGTAAACACCAGCACCGCCATTCTCGAGCTCGATATCGCGAGCGAGGGTGATACGCTCAGGGTCGTTCTTGTCGTACTTCTTCTTGGTCTTGGCAGCTTCGGGAATGAAGGTCTCGAGGCTCTTGCCACCCATGGGCTGAGCAACGTGAATACGGGCCATAACATCAGCCAAGCGACCACCCACAGCACCGCTGTTGGATGATCCAGCCTTGAGCTTCTGGCTTACTCTTTCGGCAATCAGACGCTCGCAAGCGGCGTTCTTGACATCTTGGACGCCTTCCTGGGTGTTGCAGGAGAGCTGGAGCATTTCGACGCCGTCAGACTTGAGCAGGTTCTGGAGCTCCTCCTGAACCTCAGGAGTGAGATCCTCGGGACGGGTAACGTCAATCTTGTTAATGACGATAAAGACGAGCTTGTTGGAGAAGAGAGGCTTGATGCTTCGGAAGAGCTGCATCTGGGCCTGGACGGTGTAGCCACACTGCTCGGACAGATCCATGAAGTAGAGAATGGCAGAGCGCAAGTGAGCAATAGCAGTGATACTCTGCATTTCAATAGTGTTCATCTCTTCAAGAGGGTGGTCAAGAATACCAGGGGTATCGATGGCCTGGAATCTGAGGTACTTGTAGTCGAAGTGACCGACGAACAAACTCTTGGTGGTGAAAGCGTAAGGCTGGACGTCGACATCCGCGCGGGTGACGCTGCGCAAGAAGCTGGACTTGCCAACATTGGGGTAACCGCAAATGAGCAGGGTTCTGGTGTTGGGATCGATGGAAGGCAGACGACCAAGATGCTGGCGAACCTGGTCAAGGTAGAGCAAAGGATCCTTGAGACGCTTGACTAGTGTGGCCATGCGACCGAGGGCGGCTCTCTTGAGCTGCTTGCACTGGAACAAAGACTGGCCATACTTCAAAAGACGGACGTAATCTCTGGAGATGGTCTCAACAAGATGTTTGGCGGTCGAGATCTGGCCGAGCGCAATGCGGAAATGGTCGGAGTCGTAGAGGGTGTTGAGAAGATCCTTGTGGAACGGATGAATATCCTGAAGTCTGGGGAAGCTGTCGAGGATGGCGGCGAACTTTTCCGAGAAAGTCTCTTGAGTGAACTTGACCTTTCTGGTGTAGAAACCTGTTTGTAGGAAGCCATGGTCAGTCAAAAATGAAGACATGCGGGCGCCGTAAACGAATTTTTCACATACCTCGAATTCTGCCAATCTTGAAGCCGGCACGAATCTGCGTGGGCAGTTTTCGCTGGGTTCTGCTCAGAACAATGTCCAAAAACTCCTGCTGAGTAGGGACGGGAGCGATGTCCTTCCAAGTGGTTTTCATGATGGGCGATTCTGGGTCGGGGACGCAGAGTTTGTCAATATGAAAGGCCCTTTGTGGTGAAGAAGCTGGAAAGAGATCAGAAAATTTCCAGCGGCTACTGCACTATGCCTACCAAAAGGGCCTCTGGCGGTCAATTTTTTTTTCTTTTGGAGCCTATCGAGTGGGTGGAGCCCATTTTTTGTTATCGATAACAAATGCCCGTTCGGTGGCACCCGGAGGCTGGGGCAAGGTATCTGGTCCACACAATTCCGCTGTAGAGGTACCTGTGTCCCACCTGGTCGATTTTTTTTTCGCTCGCGAGGACCCCGCCAAATGCGTGACTGAAGGAGCCTCAGCCCAAGAAGGTAGTTTATGAAACTTCCTTTAACACTGCTTGCATATTCGATTTAAATCGTCAGACTGTCTTTATTTGCCTTCTTTTCCCTTGATAAATATCTCGGAACCGCATTTAACAACGATTATCGACACTGCATAACGTCTACCAACTACCCCTCCACTTATACTCGAACCAGCAAAATCACAGAAAAGATGGCCAACGATCTCCCTCAATTCAAGCAGGACTTCCTCAAGTCTTGCCACTCTGGAGGTGTCCTGAAGTTTGGCAGCTTTGAGCTCAAGTCCAAGAGAATTTCCCCCTACTTCTTTAACGCCGGTCTCTTCCACACTGCTAGACTGGCCAATGCCATCGCCACAGCCTTTGCTCACACCATCATTGATGCCCAGAAGAATGACGGCCTCGAGTACGACATTGTCTTCGGCCCTGCCTACAAGGGCATTCCTTTGGCTTCTGCCATCACTGTGAAGCTTGGTGAACTTGACCCCAAGCTGCTCGATACGATCTCTTACTCCTTTGATCGTAAGGAGGCCAAGGACCACGGCGAGGGCGGCAACATTGTCGGTGCCCCTCTAAAGGGAAAGCGCGTCCTTATTGTTGACGATGTCATCACTGCCGGAACAGCTAAGAGAGAGGCCATCGAGAAGATTCAGAAGGAGGGTGGTACTGTTGTTGGTATTGCCGTTGCCTTGGACCGCAAGGAGAAGCTGCCCGCCGCTGATGGCGACGACTCCAAGCCCGGCCCCAGCGCTATCGGAGAGCTCAAGAAGGAATATGGTATCCCCATCTACGCCATTCTCAACCTCGACGATATCATTGAGGGCATGAAGGGCTTTGCCTCTCCCGAGGACATTAAGAGCACCGAGGAGTACCGCCAGAAGTACAAGGCTACCGACTAAGTTGTCAAATTATGAGCTAGGACAAACCTACACGGGAAGCGTAGATAGCGATGTTGGAGTTGAAGAAAACAAAAGAAAAGAAATAGAGCTTCACAGTGCTCTTGAGACGGTTTGATTTACTAGAACATTCAACTTAAGTGACGGAGCGTAAAAAGCGACGTGTCTTTTTAATGATCATGAGTATGTATCTATATTTGTTTATGTATTATCTATGTATTATATAATTATGTATTATCTTATCTGTTTAAACTATGTTTAATACCCAAATCGTTTATATTAGCTTCTAACTATTCTGAGTGTTCTTGTCATAATCTGCTCTGACTAGGTTAATATCTTCTACAGTCAGCACATTCACCAAGGCCAAATCAACCCGGGCCCGAGTAGTCTGAGACTCGTCAGTGTCTGGAGCTCGGTTGGGAACAAGTCAAACGAGCTACTTTCTGGGACTGATTTTTGATGTATTTTTTTGGGATACATATTACTAGTAGCGTATTGATATGGCTGGAAGGATGATGTGTGCACCAAATAGCATAACGCGCTTAGGGTTGCTTCATAACTCTAGGCTTTATTTCGGTGTAGCGTTTAATAAACATGCGTACCCATTCCTCACCGACCGGACATTTGCGTCGTCCAATAAGCAGTTATCCGGTGTACGTCACGGTCAACCTGTTTTCGCTCGTCCATCAATACTAGGATCCATTAAACAGTTGGGAGTGAATCTCCTCTGTCACCAGCAAGGTTCGATTGTGACGCCGGGCATCGCTGCAGTATGAAAGTGGCTTCTCAAAATTTGTGCTTTTTAACCATTGCCTCCTCGCTATGCAAGCAGGACTTTGTGATGATTCACCCACTGATGATTGGGCGGAGGTTTAAGCCATCTGCTGCGTGTGTGCCTGGCTTGGCGGGGTTGCGCGATTGGCCTACGTAGTTTGGTGGCTACCTACCCCAACCTTGCGCCAGCTCATGGCCCACCTAAGCATGATGGGATGCCGATGCCCTTCGACTAACTTCCACCTTGCGTGCAACCTTTCTCTCTTGTCATCATCACCCATTCCCCCAACCACCGTCACTTTGGAGGATACTTTGGATAAAATATCAGCTATACAGAGTTTGCTCTTTCGACAGAGCACCTGACCGTCTGACTTGAGCTCGCCTTTCGTTTGCTCCAACCTTACTTTGTCAGCTATGTAAGCACTGGCGGATTTGCGTGGTTGTGAGAGATAATTACGTTGCGGTAGCTAACTTATTATGCTATAAAGGCGTATCACTATTAGCATTTACAATCCCCAAGGGGATGACCAAGACAACCTCTTGACCTTAGAGATCTTTCCCGACATGACCTTAGCTACCCTTCGCGAATCAATCGAGGCTGAGACACGAATCCCGGTGGCTTCGCAGCACATCTACCATAATGGTAAACTTACATCGGACGACTCAAAAACTATGGAAGGCTTGGAGATCAAAGATGGAGATATGCTAGCTATGCACGTCCGAGGAGCGACAAACACGCAAGCGGCGGCGACCCAGCGTGCGAACCAGCCGCCGCCACAGCAGCATCAGCAGCCAGCCGCACAACGAGCTGCTGGAGCAAACGATCCAGAGCTAGTTCGTCTCCAGATTCTTGGTGACCCCAATTTCAGACAGCAGCTACAGCAACAGCAACCAGAACTTGCCGCCGCACTGAACGACCCTGCTCGGTTTGCGGAGCTGCTGCGGAACAACCAGGAGCGTGAACAGCGGGAGCGGGCGGAGAGACAACGCGAGATAGCACGACTAAACGATGACCCTTTCAATGTTGAGAATCAACAACGCATCGAAGAGATGATTCGACAAGAGCGAGTCATGGAGAACCTACAGAACGCCATGGAACACAACCCCGAAGGTAGGGCAATATTGTTGTCAGGTATCATAAATCTTACTAAATCGGACTCTAGTGTTTGGTCGGGTTCATATGCTGTATGTCAATGTCGAAGTCAATGGCCACAAAGTTAAGGCATTTGTCGATTCCGGAGCCCAAGCTACCATTATGTCACCTGCATGCGCAGAGAACTGTGGTGTCATGAGACTTGTCGATACACGGTTTGCCGGTGTAGCTCGAGGTGTTGGAACGGCGAAGATTATCGGCCGCGTTCATTCTGCACAGATCAAGATTGGCACCCAGCATTTGCCGTGCAGCTTTACAGTCATGGAAGGGAAGGGCATTGATCTGCTCCTCGGACTTGACATGTTGAAGCGCTACCAAGCTTGTATTGATTTATCTCGCGACATGCTCGTCATTCAAGGACAGGAAATCCCATTTCTCGGTGAAGCAGAAATTCCAAAAGAAGAGGAGCCAAACCAAGACGAGCCCACGATTCCTGGGCCAGCTGGCACCGCAATCGGGCAGCATTCTGGTGCTGTTCAAGCGCCATCATCAGCGCCAACGCAGGCTCCTGCCCAACCATCACAGTCAACACCTGTTCCAGCAGCTCAGTCGGCCACACAGCCTGCAAGCACAGCCAGCAGCCTCTCGCCCGAACATATCGATACTTTGGTAGGGATGGGTGCAACACGAGAACAAGCCATTCAGGCCCTTCAAGCCGCTGACAATAATGTCGATGTGGCAGCAGGCTTGATTTTCTTTTGATTTCTCATGATAAGTTATGATTAGACGCATTTACAAGCCGGGTCTGTGGTGATTGAATTTTGAAAGGATACTCAACGCCGGAGGGATATAGTTAAAGTAGGTATCAACAACCCATTACGAATACAAGAATCGGAATATATTACGTTATTGAAGTTCATAAACCCATACCGTGATTGTGTGCAACTACCTAATCTTATATACACAAGGCTTGAGAATAGCAGCTTCGTTGCTGTTATCCTGATCGTTTTGCTCTTGATCGATTCTCGGTGCAAATACCTTCTTTCTTCCCTTGGTGGCTCCCCCTTTATCTTCTGAGGCACCCTTGCCCTTGGTCGGGCTGGCACCTTTGATAAAGCGCATTTTGACAAACATCTTGTTTGACAGATCCACTGACTCAGTTCGCTCGCCGTTCAAGACAAATCCTCGTTTTTGTAAAGCTTCCACGAACGCTGATACATCGGTCTCCCGACGACGGTCATCAGCACCGTCGACTTCAACCGCTAGATCGTTGTCATGCGCTGCAGAGGAACCACTCTCCTTGCCCTTAGCCTTGGCTGCCTTTTTGCGATTGCCAACGCTGTGCTCGACAACAGCGCTCTTGTTGCGCACCGGGCCAAAACGACTCTTAATCTCAGCCACCCACAATTCACCCTTCCAATGCAAGACACGATAAGCCTCCTCGATGAAATCGATCCAGTTAGTGCCCATGAGAGCGAGGCAGAAAATGGCAAGGTTGACGTCTCCATCCTGGAGAGGAAGATTGGCAATGTCGGCTTTGGTGACAAGTGGAATAGGGCTCTGTAAATCGTAACTTCTGATATTGAGATTCAACTTTGCCTTGCTCGCCTGGAGAGATTGACTAAGTTGGGCATCACCACAACCAAGATCGGCAATGGTGCAAACACCTTCCGTTCGGGGTAGTGGGGTGGTGGCTAGTGATGAAGGCTTTGATCCTGGCTTTCCTCTGAATGGTTGCTTGATCTTGCCGCGTGTCTGGATATCTTTAAGGAAGCTGTCGACCGGGTTCTCGGGCCACACCTTCACCTGCTGTCTGAATCCTTCGTGGTATTCGCTGAACATCTCGGGGGACTCTTGGAAGAGGTTGAAGGATTCTTCAGAGGGTCGTGTGTATAGAGTTTCGTTCAGGTGACGGAAGCGAGCAGAAATCAGCTTGTCACGCATTGCGGCCTGGAGAGGCGTGAGCTTTTGACCAGCTGGTACGGGGAATGAATCGGCAGATGAGGCTGATGTAGGCTGTTCTACTTGTTTTGGGAGTTTTGCACCATGCTCGTCTCTGTTGGCCTTGCTCTTCTTTCCCTTCTTTCCCTTCTTGGCTGTGTCTCTAGGAGCAGCTGTGTCGGTGACTGGTGCATCGTCTTGCTTGGATTCATCCTTGACATTGTCGACCGATTTGCCCTCCTTTTGAGGCTTCTCCTTTTTCGATCGCTTCGCTGATTTATCTGCATTAGGACTGCTCCTACCCTCGACAACACTCTCCCAGAGTGAGGTGACGTTGGAGCTATTGACTTCTGGCGTGCTGTTGGGTCTCTTGCGTTTCTTGGACTTGCCGCCCTCTTTGGAAGGATTGGAATTGGATTTTTCAACCTTTAATGCGTCTGATGATACAGACCATCCTGGAACGGCGAACATGATGTCCGATGCGAAGTGACCGGTTTGCTGTAGTTTTATTGTTAAACTTGGCTGGGCTTTGCGACGCTACTCTAAACTTTTTTTTTTCTGATGGACGACTTTGGCCTTATCCGATAAGCCCTTTGCGCTGAGGTGGGGCATTCTTTAATCATTGTGCTGTGGGTGAGCTATCTGGACGAAGAGGGAATATACTTGATATAAGTTATACAAAGGAAAATAAAATAAATATAAAATAATTCACTTATTTTCCCGAAGCGATCTTGGTATGCGCCGTTCGGGGTTTCCTATTTGCGAGCAAACGTCGCTGTGTATGCTGCGTGGCTAGTCCTGGGCAGGTAACTGAGCTGAAGACCACTTGCCGGAGGCAAAGATGCTCTCTTTAACCTATGATGGAATAACCAACTTCAAGACGGCTTTGGTTTATATGTAGTTCTATGCATTGCCTTTTGTTAATCTATAACCTGCGGAGTTGGGGGTGGCACTCCTTCTGCATCACCGGTGCCACTCTTAGAAGGCAAGAATCTACATATGCAGTAAACAAACATCTCTTGCTCTGATTTAATAACGCCCGTCTCAATGTACAGAGACGGCTTAGCAACATTGCTACTATTTTATTGGGGGCTGCTGCCAAACCTGGACCTGTTTGTTGGGGGAGGTGCGCCATGGTGCCTCCGCTAGCGTTTAAAACGCAGCGTTACAGTGGACACAAACCGTTTTAACCCACTAACCCACCCTGTCGCAGAGTTAGGGCAGGATCAGGCGGGGTTTACGGAGTATTCAGGTGCTGTATCGACGGATTTGGAACAAAGAAGACCAGCAGCTGCATGAGAGTCTAAACGATTGGATGGAGAAAAAAAAGATGCTTAAACTATGAATCCAATATTTCTACTGCTCGAACTTAACCAATGCTCGTGAAATATCCACAACTTTAAACCAGATTAGCTCCCTAGATGACTGCCACAACGCCCCAGGGACCTCGATCAGCCAGTGGAGGTTGGTACATCTCCGGCTAGAAAAGCCGCTCTCCATGCACCTTCCTCGCTCAGCAGGTCACCTCACCTGCCACTCGCCTTGTACCACAAATCTTTCTGTTACAGCATCGCAAATTCAAAAGCCGAAAAGTCGCTGTCTCTTGCAGTCGTACTCGATTTCTATCAAGCACTTTGTAATTCAATCATCATCTTCCTCTTTATCTATACTATGGGCCTCATCTTTACGCTACTATTGTCGAGCCTCTCTTAGCGACAATTTCAACACACAGCTGTGGATAGATACCCCAAACACGACACAGTAGCAACCCTCACGGCGAAGGAATTCAGGGGCCTCTGAGAAAGTCATCCTTCTTCTACGGAATACAACTACGCAATTTACTGGAAGGGCTACCCACCTTGCGTTGCTCCACGCTGCGTGCCGTTCAGTCCCCTTCCATCCTCCTTTACCACGCCTACCGAGAGTTACACCAAACTCGTTTCACATTTTGTCGTTGTGATTCTTGATTAACTTTTCATGCTCTACCTCTTTCTCTCACATCAGACTGCTACAGCAAACGATAAATCGAGATAGCCTTCTTAAGTCAATGTTGGCTCCTCGACCATACTCACTCTTGACCTGGTTGAAGCTTGAAAACTAACGTTGAGTTTGTTGAGAAAGCTGACCTGGAAAAATATCATTTTATTTCAGTATAAAAGTTGTCAAAACACACAAGGGCCGGCGAATTTCAACCTGGCCAGTGTGTCTTTGTCCCCAATATGTCTGGGAAAACGGAAGCGCGATTGCCTTCCGATCTCAAATCACATATGAGGAGCGACAAGAGTCCAGCCGATGACGATAACGATGATCCTAATGACTCAAAACGCAGAGTTAAACGGAGAACAAAAACAGGTTGCCTTAGTAAGTAACGACACTCTGAAATACCGGCCTACTAATGACATGTTGCTGACGATATTATTACCACAGCCTGTAGAACCCGCCGAGTCAAATGTGACGAAGCCAGGCCAACATGTAACAATTGCGCAAAAGGAAACCGACTATGCGAGTACGCTCCCAAGAGGGTCATATTCAAGGAGCCCATGGCCCCATCTAGTGTTCATATGCCACCGCGAATAATGCATACTCAACCGCCTTTTTTGTCTGGATTCGATACCGGCCAGGGTCGTTCAAATACTTCATCTACATTACCCATGTTGGCACCAAAACCGCCGTCATGGAATTCTCAGCAGCAATATCCCCAGTCGGCACATCCTATTCCCCAAAACTATTCTAGTTCACAGCCGCCCGCTCAACCGGGTCCTTCAAATTTGCCTTTTAGTTACAGGTATAACCCGCCTACAGCCGAAGCAAGTTCTGCATATAGTACGCTCCCAAATCCTCTAAGGCCAGCAGCTCGCTCTTCTCAGGAGCCATCACTTCCCCAGCAAAGTAATAGTTTCCCGTCGACCACACAACAACCTGATCCCTGGACCGGTAATACGCCACAGCTTGCCACTACGGTTAACGCAAATGCGAGAACGAACCCTACTCCCGAAACCCCTGATGCAATGGTTGATGAAGAGACTATCGACTTAGGAATGTCTGATGATGATTTACCTGATGCTACTGACGATTCAGCCCCCAATATTGGTATTCTCACTCGAGCGTGGAATGCCATTGGAACCACCAAGGTTTTGGACTCATTTTTGGAGAACAAGGCTCTCTTTTCGTACATGGAACATCCCAATCAACCAGAACTCCATAACAGTGGCCTTCGGGCGGTTGTATGGTATTTTGTCAACGTTACCAGTCCTTCAATCTCTCTGTATGAGAGAGAACCGTATGAACTGACAAAGACCAACCCAGACAAGAGCAGCAAAGGGATTGGTGGAAATGATCTCTGGTGTCGTGAGTTCACATCGATATCAGCCAATTTCTCCTACTATTATACTGACAATGTAGGCACAATTCCTATAATGGCGTTCCATAACCCCGGATTGCTCCAAGCCGTGTTAGCATTGGCAAGTTTGCAACTTGCTAATCTTCAAAATGCGCCACCAACAACAGCAATGAAACACTACCACCTAGCTATTGTAAGGGTAAAAAGGAATGTTATGAGCTCTACCAGAAGAAAAAGGTTGGCAACCCTAGCAACCCTTCTTTTACTCTCATTTTTTGAAGTTTGGGCCGCCGATCATTCGAAATGGTGTCAGCACCTTTTCGGCGCTAGCATCCTAATTAAGGAAATAAAGTTCCAAAAGATGGTTCAGCGATGCCTACCTGCCAAACGAAGGAGAGAACTACAAAGCATCCCGGCTAGTGAGAGGCACCTTTACATTGGGGATACGAGTTTGAACTATGAACTACTCCAAGCCATCACTGGCCTTGCTGTCAACGCTGAAGATTATGGCCTCGGAGAAAATCAGCCACTCGTTGACCCCCATTTGCCTGCTTCCGAAAGAGACATTAAGAACTTTGAAAACCATGCAGATTTATTTTGGTGGTTTTGTAAGATGGATGTCTATCAAAGCTTTTTAGGAGGCACCAAGTTGCTGTGAGCGATACACTCTCATTTTCGCTTTTATGTCTACTGACCGTGTCAATTCTTTCTAGGATGAACTACGAAAGATGGTTGCATTGCCCACCAAGAACACCTATTGCAAAAGCTAAGCAAGTGTAAGTGCTTCTCGTTAGCAGATCTAATGACCTGATGGATGTCCTATTCCCAATGCTAAATTTACAAAGTTACGGAACATATGATCATGTGGTCTTGTTGCTTGGTCGGCTCGCCAATTTTTCAGCAAAAGATCGGGTACGCAAAAACAAAGAAAATGCTGCACAGGCGTCACCACAAACACGAGCATCACCACCATTTCCTGGAATCGTTCCGACACAAGGTAAAGTCCGGCCTCCTACGGGGTTTAGCCCACCTCCTGGAGTGTCTCCTCAGAGCGAGTCTACAGCAGAAGAGTTTGAGGCAACTTGGACTCTTGAGACTGCCTTGCAAGAGTGGGAGCAAATACGCAGAGCATTTGCTCTGCTTAAAACATGGTTCTCCCCAGAGTTTCAGCCCTTGAGTACCGAATACGCTGACCGCAGAAACTCACCTTTTGGTACAGTCATCCAATACCGGTCTTACGCGGTTGCTGGTGTATGGATGAACTACTACATGGGTCTTATCCATCTTTATAGATGTCATCCAAGAATGCCCTGGGCGGCATTGCAGGCTGTGGGAAGAGCCGCTCAGGAGACATCGACATATGCAAATCAGATTGGGAGGATTTCTTGTGGCCTTCTCCCTGACACGACGCATATGCTTGATGCAAATCCCCTGGTTGCTGCGGCATTGATTGAGTGCGCATTTTGTCTTTTTGTTGCTGGTGTACAGGTACGGAGCCTTTTGCTTGATGTTTAGGTCACTCCATGTTAACCGTTTACAGTTCCAAGAAGCTTCCCAGAGATTATGGCTTGTGAAACGGATGCACGATACCACAAGACTGACTGGATGGAAAACAGCAGCTCAAATTGCTGAAGGCTGCGAATCTGCCTGGATCAAGGCGGCGCAGCTTAACGGAGGCGCCCCGTATAAGAGTCACTTCAATCTTGGAAACGATCGCATTTCAATCTGGCAAAACCCTCGCCGAGTGGACAGGATGATCCATGAATCGGACGAAGGAGATAATGACAAGCGAATAGTTCTTGCAACACATCAGCGCGCCCATTATGCGCTGGGACTCTTGGGCGTTGAGCAAGATATGCAGGTATTGGACCTAGACGAAGATAACGATGCACATCATTGAAGGAGTGGAAAGTTACTATGGGCGTCGGAGGCAAGAATAGAATCAATGAACCTTTGTAGTAGAAATGGCCGAGACTTAGCGAGGATCAGCACCTGTCTCACCACCAACGGTCGGCAGGCTTGACTGTGGGCACTGCAGAACTTGGAATAATAGTCAAGGTCGAAGCGAAATATGAATACTTTACTCAACCACTAGTCCCTGTTTATATAAGGCTTGTTTTACAGATAAGCGAATGAAACGATACAAGTGGCTCCCCTTTGGGCATGGAGTCGAAGACTTGAAGAATATAATGTCATTAAAAGAAGCTCGTATTTTTCTTAATCAGGTTTAGTTTGTAGGCAATCGCTCAACAACTGCAGCCATCTCCTCGTCTGTGTATATTCTGAAACCCTTTTCCTTGGTGACGCTTGCAAGCTGCACATTCTTGGAATCTAGCTTTTCCTCCATGACCTGCTTAAGGGTCTTCAGTACCAAAGTTTCGGCATCTGCGATTGTGAGGGACTATACAGTACCCTTGATCAGCATGCAGATATAAGACCGGTGTTATTATAGTGACTCACCTTGTGGTATTCGTTCTGCAACTCGGCTTGCGCTCCTTCGGATCCCGAGCCAATGGCCTTTGCGTCGTAGCGGTAAAAGGTGCCACTGGGCTCAGCGTGGAACAGTTGAGGCCCGTTTTCATCATAACCAGCAATAAGAAGAGCAACACCAAAGGGTCTGCTCATGATGGTTTCTTCTCCGTCAGCACCTTCACCAAATCGAAGGGCAAGATCGCAAATAGCCTGAGTGCAGCTCTCTACGCCGAGAGGTTCGTTGTAGTTGAAGTAGTGGCTCTGACTCTCGACACGAGCGTGTTCCACCATAGATCGTGCATCGGCCTGAAGACCAGACATGGCACATCCAATATGGCGATCAATCTCGACAATCTTTTCGACCGATGATGTTTCGAGAAGGGTCGACGTCACTCGCTTCTCGACACCGAGGATAACGCCCTCGGACGTGGCGACACCGATGGCGGTAGAGCCGAGCTTGATGGCCTCGAGAGAATATTCGACTTGGAAAAGACGGCCTTCGGGGGAGAATGTGTTGATCCCGCGATCTGGGGCGGAGGGCAGAGTGTCAGTAGTTGCGTTGCTGATGAGCTCTGAGGGACTGGGCATCCAGCGGCTTACCATATTCAGATCTTGACATAAACATGGCGGCGGTATGTGCGGTTCGATGCTTAGGCTAGAGTAGTTGATATTTTACAGGTGCAGTATGCGAGATTCGAGACTGTCGTGGCGAATTGGGTAGGTGATGGCGAGATCAAGAGTTTCGAAGTGACGCGGAGCTGTCGCAAGTGGTTGGAGCTGCTGGCGGTGCTAGGCAAGCACCTGGAGTACGAAGCCTGTGCCAGCCTGTGGGGCGGTCGCCGCTTTACGACTCTGTGTGGTCGAGGGGCGGGTTGGGCTTAAAGCAGCGTGTCACCAACTCTTTGGCTGCGGAGCCATAATTAATCCGTTGCTGTAGGCTGTAGGCTGCGTAACGGTGAATCGGCATCGTCGCAGGCAAGTTATAGCTGAAGAGGACTTGTCTACAAATTTAAAACGTTATATTTTCAAGGAACTTGTATATTTTAAATTATGCATAAATTTTCTCAGCATTCTCATGTATCATACTGAGTTGCTTCACACGGCGTCACTATAGGCATGTTCAACAGAGCATCACGCTGCTGCTTACTGTACGATGCACACTAACAAAAGCCGCTGTAAGCAGTTATTCAGTAACTTCGCTAGCGTACAGTAGGCGGGTGTGGCATCTGTTGGTGGGGTGGTGCCCTGTTTTGCGGGCTATTGGCCAAGGAAGGCACGACCCAGGAAACAAAGAACCCCACGTCCACTGGCGCGTCTCCCTCGCTGTGGCTGCGCGTGTGTGTTAAACAAGCGAACGGCAGCCGTTTGCTACACAAAACAACGACAGAGCATCGCCACTGCAACAGCCACTGCTTATCCTTGGATTTCATATTGATGCTAGTAAACTGTTAGCTTCACTGGCAAGTGTGCTAGGCGTCATGTCTTCCACTACAAGAGCTTCGAGTCGCGCTACTGCATACGAAGAACAACGGCGGGGCATGAGCGCAAGCGCAAATACCAGAATGGACAAACCAGACGACAGAAACGGACCCAAAACGCACTCACAAAGCTTCCAAACTAGCTTTGGTCATAAGCGTACAGCATCTGGAAACCCTCGGCCTGTCAACCGTTCCCTGGAGGAGCGACGTTACGAGAGCAGAAGAATCACAGAAAAGACGTACGAGGTACAGGCCGAGCGTCTTATACCTCATTCGAACAGCCAAGACAAACCACAGAGCCGGACAGGGACCAGAGATGGAACCAGGCAAAATTCTTCAGAATGGCGACCGCGAGACTCGAAATCAGAGCCGCTGCATCGTAAGTTATCGCCGCTCTGGTCATCACAGCTTGTAGCGAAACGAAGAGCTAATCATGGCATATCAGCAAACTCGCATGTGCCTTGGAATCCGGCAGTCACCCTTTTGCCACGAACGACAGCACCGCTTGCTTCCAGAGTATCTCTACCGCCAGCAGCTTATACGGTCCCGCAGGCCCCTCAGCCCCCGCCTCTAAACGAAATGTCGCTCGAGGCGCAGGAAGCAGCCATCGTCGAAGACCTTCTTTTCGCTTTTATGGGATATGAAGGCCAATACATTCGCTTCGCAAAAGGATATAACCCTTTAGAGGAACGTGACCGCCTCTCCGGCCCAGACTTTAGTATTCTGCCTGGCCTCGATCCAAGCTTACACGATCTTACAAAAGGAATGCTGAAAATGGCTACCTACTACTCAGCACTGGAAGCTTTCGTTGACGTCCAGAGTCGTAATGAGTTTGGTGCTGTCAATCATGCCCTGTGTGCGTCAATTCGAAAGCTTCTACAGGATTATCTTGTCATGGTTGCTCAGTTGGAAACCCAGTTCCTGACAAACGACACATTCACCGTCCACGTGCTCAATATCCACACATTATCTACGAGTCAAATGCTATTTCAACTCTACTCTCTAGCACAAGAACTACTCAAGAAGAACGCTCTCTTGGATGACGAGAGTGAGGAAGACGATAGCGAAGAGGACGACGATCTAATCATAGAACGCCTTAGAGATGGCGGAGAATTCATGCCAGGAAACATGACCGGCAAGAAGATTTGCAAGGGTGGCGTTGTGCTTGGCCTCGTTACCAAGCGCCTAGAATCGATGGCTGGCGATCCTGCTGCTCGCGCTCTTCTAACCTCCCTTTTGCGCGATGCCAGTCGCCCATATATGGTCATGTTAAACGAATGGCTGCACTATGGTTCCATCTACGATCCACATGCGGAGTTTATTATTAAAGAACAAAAGAGTATCAGGCGTGAACGCCTCGAGCAGGACTATACGGATGAGTATTGGGAGCGCCGCTACACCGTCCGCGATCACGATGTTCCGCCACAGCTTGAGGGAGTCAAGGAGAAGGTTCTACTTGCAGGAAAGTACCTGAATGTAGTCAGAGAATGTGGAGGCGTCGATGTCAGCAAGAGCGTAACCGATGTGCCTCTTTCTTTTGAGGACAGTCGCTTCCTGGAGAACATCAACAACGCCTACGCCAAAGCTAACCAGTCCCTCATGCAGCTTCTTCTGACGTCACATGCACTCCCTGCCCGTCTCCAATCGCTGAAGCACTACTTTTTCCTTCATCCCTCTGACTACTTTTCCTACTTTATGGAGCTGGGAGCGTCGGAACTGCGCAAGCCTGTGGAGAAAGTTAACACAAGCAAACTTCAGTCGTTGCTAGATCTTGTCCTCCGCCAGCCAGGCAGCATCGTTGCTCTTGACCCGTTCAAGGAAGATGTCAAGGTTGAAATGAACGAAATTACTTTAACAAAGTCCCTTCAACGGGTTGTTAATATCACAGGCATTGAGCAGGGTGAGGCTCTTCAGCCTCTTCCGAATCAACCAACAGACAGCGATAAAAATGCCAAGGGATTCAGCTCGCTCCAGCTCGATTATACAGTACCATTTCCAGTATCATTGGTCATCAGCCGCAAAACTATCTGGCGATACCAAGCTTTGTTTCGATACTTGCTATCGCTTCGGTATCTCGAGTCACAGCTGTCGACAACATGGCAGACTCAAACCCGTGGCTTAAGCTGGTCCATCCGCAGCGCCAACTCTGATTTGGAAATTTGGAAAAGACGTGCTTGGACACTTCGAGCTAGGATGCTTATATTTGTCCAGCAACTCTTATATTTTTGCACTGCGGAGGTTATCGAACCAAACTGGGCCAAGTTCATGTCGAGGCTAAATACAGCCGAAACTCAGCATCAGAACACTCCAGGAGTAGCTCGAACTGTTGACGAGCTTATGCAAGACCATGTTGATTTCCTAGACACATGTCTGAAGGAATGTATGCTTACAAACAGCAAACTCCTCAAAGTACGTGTTTCGTATTAATGTTGTGATGCAAGTTTATTCTGATGCTAACCCTCCATATAGATACACTCTAAACTAATGCAAACCTGCACCATCTTCGCCGAGTACACAAACTGGCTCACCAAGGAACTAGAAAAGGCCGACCCTGATATTTCGGCAAACAATAAGCCGCCAATAGTCACCGAAGATCAGTGGAAGTACTTCATTGCAACAAAGTCAACTTCGTCACGCTCTGCATCCAACCCCGATGCCTCCATGCAGAATGATGCCGAGGCCCGCATTGCCCATTTGTCTGAGATTATCCGCAAATGGGAGACGAATTTCAGCAGACACCTGCAGATTCTATTGGACGCCTTGAACCACTACGCTGCTACCGAAACAGTCGTCTTGCTCAGCCTGTGTGCAAGACTCAGTACTGCAAACCAGGGTACAGAGTATGCTGATCTAAGAGCTGATGATGAGGCTTCTGTTGTGGCAGCCGCAATGGCTAGCTAAATGACAAAAAGAAAACGGTGTCGAGGCTAGATCGCCATGAAGAATAATGAGCCATGAGATATCCATGTATTCAGAGTAAATGACGTTCCAACAAATCATATATAAAACGCAGAGAATGGAGTTTTTGCATTTCATTTTTGTGCAACTTTTCTTTGGTAATATCTATTATATCACCATTATCTGTGGAAATTTGCTTCTATACGCATGAGAGGAGTACTTTAAAGATAGTATGAAAAATGAATTGTGCATCCACAAGCCAACCCCATTTTGTGTCATAATCGCCTGCTAAATACCCGATATACAAAGTAACAGAAAGTAAGTCGTTGTCAAAGCTCTACCAATCACTGCTCGTTGAACACCACTTCCAAATCATCGGGCAATTCCCCATAAAGCAATAAAGAGAAGACAAATCGCCCGCCAAAATCCCCCGTAGTTAGATCGTAAAGAAAGGATGCAGTCTAAGAACTGATGGTTTGAAAGAAGGCCGTATCAAGAGAAACTTGTGCTGAAAGAAAAAAGAGCAAATGTAGCCATGAGGAGCATGGTAGTGGGGGTATCATGATGTCGTTGGTGTCGTTACTTGAATAAACTTCGAATGTCCAGAAGCTTCTGCCTTGCGGCTTCATCCTTATCCAGCCTCTTCTGTCCGTCAATACTGAGGCTGGCAAGCATCATCTTCTTCTGCTGCAATTCAACCATCTTTTCTTCAAAGCTGTCGCGCATAATGTATCTGACTGTGCGCACTGGGCGCTTCTGTCCGAGTCGATGCACACGGTCAACAGCCTGGGCTTCAGCCGCAGGGTTAAACTGCGGCTCCATGACGTACACGCTATTTCCAGAGGTTAGGTTAAGACCAAGACCTCCTGCGGTAATAGACACCAGTATCACATGTACGCTGTCATCTTCCCTGAATGAATCCATTGCTGCGGTTCGTGCTGGGCGAAGCATAGTACCATCGAGACGTACAAATTTGATATTCACACTCTTGAGGGCCAACTCGATCAGATCTAAATGAGAAGTCCATCCTGAAAAGACAACCGATTTGTACGGCTTTTCGATGGGATTTTCTCGTGTCTTGTCTTCGGATTTGAGCAACTCTGCAAGCAGAGCCTTTGTCTTGGTATGAGGGCCTTCATATCGATCAAACGTCTTCGCACGGGATTTGCGTTTGGTAGAGACTTCGGGTTCAGCTTCTGCCTCTGATCGGCGGAGGGCAATAAACTCCAGTCTAACGTGCGCCGAACAGACGTGGCAGGGTCCAGAGAGCTGACCAGGTATAAGCATGGACTGCGCTCTGGCCTTGTATGCCTTAATACACGAATGGCAGACAACATGGTAACATGCTGTCATGTATCCAAGAGTATCTTCGTTCATCTCAGATTCTGTATCGTCGTTGGAGCCCAGCTTCCTGCTACACTCGATACAGGCGTCATTGTTTGTGTCTTGCATCAAGCGAAACATTTCGTGTGCTTTTTGCTGCGAAAGCGAGGGGCCGCTATCCTCATCGTCGTCGTCAATTGAAATAGCCATTTCTGCTGACATGCCTTGCAACGCAGACAGGTCGTTCTCGTTCAATAAATCTTTACCATGTGCGCAGAGCAATCGCAACCTTAGAATTGCCTTTAATATGTGAATGTAGCTGTTGCCACCAAGAACCTTTCCTTGGCCAGAGTTAGACAACACCAATACACGGTCTTGCGCATTGCGAGCAAACATGTCATAAACTTGACGTTCATCAGGGCTAAAGTCAAGCTTAATAACAACATCTTCTCTGGGAGGTAGATCGATCTTATCCTTCAGCCTACGCAGAGTAATGGTATCAACAAGCACTCGCATCTTGGGTACAATCTCCGGGTCACAAGCCTTGAATGGCTCGATGACAAAGCGGTTAAACTTGGAGCGATCATGGAAGGGTTCAAGGCGCAGAAAAGCGAGTAGAGCAGCCAAGTCATCCAATCGGTTCTGGACTGGTGTTCCAGTTACTGCCCACTTTCGGTGAGCCGAGAGGCGGCATATCGACTTGAACATAAGCGTGGTTTGCTCACGAATAGTGTGTGCCTCGTCTAGAACAATGCGAAACCAGCCAATTTCTTCTAAGGGATAGAGGCCCTCTTTGCCCTTTCTTCGCGCAGTCAGCTCATTAGAGACTGAGCCGTACGTCGTAATTACGAGGTCGTAAGACGCAAGAACCTCTGGATCTTTTATTCTGTTAGGTCCATGGTAAATGTGGAAGGATAGGCTTCCGTCTTTAACGTGTTGCTTGATTTGCTCTTCCCAGTTGGTAATGGTGCTAACTGGGCATACGAGGAGTGTTGTCTTCGCATTTCGTGTCGCTGCCGTCAGGCCAAATGCTGTGTGGGTGGGGAATACGCTATTCTTGTTAGAGGCTGCACTGTCATTGGAAACCTGCAGTGGTGCTTGATGCTGGAACTCGCGCGCCGCATCTAAGGTACTCATGACAAGAGAGAGTATAGACAGTGTCTTTCCCAGACCCATCATATCTGCCAAGATGCCTCCTCTGGTTTCCTGTGGAGGCTGGGCTTGTGTGTGTCCTGTAATGACGTTGACATACTTCTTTTGGCCGAGACCATCCACTTTTTGTTGCCAGAAAGACACCATACCGGTGCTGTTGATACTTTCTGCCCGGCTAAGTTCTCTCGACATCATAAAATATAATCCCTGTTTCTGATGTTTGAGTAGAGGCGTTGTAATAGTAGGCGGCGGTGTTAGCTCAGGCAAATCTTCACTTCTCGTGAGAGAGTCGAACACGCCCATGACTTCAGATCGAACCTCTTCAACTGTTCGTGTTGCAATAGTGGAATAATTCGTTGAGTGGCCGTTTGTTGGTGTCGATGTCCTGGTCACTGTTGCTGGCTTATATTCTACCACATGAGGGTTGTGAACCTTGATTCCTTTTTGGACAATGTATGGCGCCACAAGCAATAGCTTAGATTTCTTCAAATGGCCACCAACACTTCTGACGTATTTGAGCGGTCCGTATAGAATGATATCAAGATGATGAGCGCGGGACACCGGCTGACCGGGCTCCTGGCCAGCTGTTTTGGGGTGTGTAGGTATTCGACATTCGGTTCGCAGTCGAATATTGGCATCCAGCAAAGGACACATAGCGGCTGCAGTTTTAGACTCGACATAGCCGATAATATCGCGAGTGTGGTCCGAGGCTGGGATCTTCAACGAGTTATCGCCGGCCAGACGCTTGAGGTTAATTTTGATGCCGGGAACATAGCCTGGGCCCATAAGACTCTGCATGCCAGGCTTTGGTGACGGCACTTTTGTGCAGTTTAGGCGGCTCTTAAGCATACCATAGCAAACTTCTTCTTCTCGAGGGTCTTCGATTTCGCGGACATCGGCGTCCTCGTCTTCGGTACCTAAAAGATATTAGCATTCACTAATCATAGATGATAGGCCTCAAACTGATTGGATATACCGTTTGTCAAGTCAACCATCATGGTATCCGACGTGGGCGTGCTTGATCCCTGTCTTTGTTGTTCCTTGATATAACCTCCTAGCATTGAACTTCCACTGCGAACAGCTTGTTGGGCGCTGTTAGCTCCAACTTCTTGCATTTCCTCGTCAACCTTGCGACGCTTGGCTTGCGGGATACTGTCTCGATGTTGCACGTTATTCATTCTTTCAACAAAGCTGCCAACACCATTGACAGATGTCATATGAATACTGCCAGGTGTTGAAGCTCCACTCGGAATAGCGTCTGATGCGCTATCATTTGTACTAGCAAACTGAAATACCACCGAGCCGTTCAAATCAGAATCCGATCTATCGCGGCTGACGGGTGGCGTTTGCATGCCTGAACTTGTTCGGGAACCGTTACTACGGTTGTTGGATGTAGGCTGTAGAAGGGCGGCTGGATTCCACGCCATCGGCCGGCTCGGTGGGTGATGATTACCTGATATGGAGAATTAGCTGTTGTTCTGTGCGAAAGGATGTCAAGTATGCCTCTGCTTCTATGACAAAAAAAATAACAGGCTGTGGTGAGTAGAAAGAGGGTATTCACGAACCGTTAGTAGTCATGATGTAGGTTGTAGACGGCGCTCTCTGCGACTCTGGTAAAGAAATTGGGCAGACGAAAGGGGAAGGCGCCTAAAAGGCGGAAGGGTGTATATTCATCGCAGTGTCATGAAACTGAAGCCGAGTTCGTTTGTATAGACGTGGGAGTTTGTGAAAACTGGCCGTGACAGCTCGGGCGACTACTGCGAGAGTTGGTGAACAAGCCGAGGGCACGGCGGCTTAGCGGGTAGCGTGTTCGCTGGACAAGCAGCGTTTGTAGGCGGAGGGATGTGCTGGCGGGCGAAGCGTGTGCAGACAAGGCGGGAAAAAAGATGAATAAAAAAGAGAAGCAGTGCTGAAGCGAGGAAGAAAACAAGAAAAAGAAATCACCAGGGCGTGCAACTTGAAGGAAAACACTCGAGAGTCATACCGACGCGAACAAGGCGGCCAAAGAAAGATAAGGAAAAATGACAAGTGCATCATAGCCTCCTCTGGCCGCAATCCAGCGCAACTTACAGCACCTCACATGCCCCCCATGGCGCTCAACCTAACCGCCTACCGTCCGCTGTAAACTCTACTATACTGCGCAATGCAACCCACTCCCAGGTCACCTGGACATTTCGTGTTTTCCTGTTTCAGCGGGGCCCGCTTCTATCTTTCAGCGCCTTGCTCGCCCTTGCCGCCTGCAACGATGCCGCTACACTACTTGCCCTGCTGCCGCAAATCGCCCCGCCGCCAGCGCCGCATTAGTGCTCCCGCTCCACTGCAAAAATGTACCACGTGAGCATGCCTTGCGATAAGCAAACCACCACTGGCCAGCACTACGATGACGCCAGCTTTGCCTCAGCCCCTGTCGGTTGACACATTGTGCTGGTGTGTAATAAACTTTGGAAATGCTGGGCAGTCGGTTTTTGGATGAAACCCGTTCGTAGATCTGCCGTCGTTGGCTTCGGGGCCTCTCGGCCACTCGAGCTGTTTAGTTTGCACGCGCAGGCCAGCCATGGGACTTATCTCGAAACTTTAAAAAAAAAAATTAGTAACATCAGAAACGACACAGCAACTGACAAGTTGGATAGCTGTCTAACCTTAAAAATAGCTGATGGGCTTGATGATGGGTTGTTGGGTTGTCCAAGTCTCACTGCTAATCTCAGATTGCGGTAGTAATACCTCGAACAATCCAGAAAATTGGTAGCAATTTACTTCTGCTCTCTCTCAAAGAATCCAGCAGGGCAAGATGACCGCCAACAAATTTTTGGGTTCTGATAGGAACTTAAAAACATCGTCGACTAGACACAGATATCGAAGCTAGACAGATGCCCATCCACAAGCCTTGCATAAGCGAATAATAGCACAAACACATATTACGGGTTAAAAATAAGATAAAAACATTCAAAAGTTCAATACCGATTTTCCCTTTTATAATCATATTCAATATATATATTTTATAAGCCACTCTTAAACTTGACTCGCTCAAGCCGCCAGCCGTCAACGCCCACGCACGAAGCTTACATAACTTTTTCGCCCACACACTTTCCAACAACCAATTTTGCCCCGCCATTAATCCCCCGCTAGAGAGAGCAGCAACAGAGCGTCTGCATATCCGTTGTCCACTACACTTGTTCGATTGAGACAAATCGCCTTCTTGTTTCAAGAAGAATATCAACCGGGCAAGATGGATATAACCACATTCATCACCCAAGGCCGGGAGAAGGCTCTCCTTTACGGCGACCACTCCACGTACCACGCGCAGCTCTCCAAGCGACTCTTGGGATGTCGCAAGAAGCTGGGCATCGTAACCAAGAATCGCGGCAAATTTCAGAAGAAGGACGCAGTAACTGCTGAGAACATTGCTGAAAATGCACAGTAAGCATTCGTTGCGGGCAGCTGGAGGTTCTCCCCTCGCTAACGCAGGCGCACAGATATCTCCATCTTCTTCTACTGACGAGCGAGCGAGCCTGGGCTCAGGCAATGAGCATGAAAACCATCCACTCCAATGGTCCAAAAGGCATTGTCGGAAGAACACGATCGCACATTATATCACGCCTTGACAAGGCCGCTCGTTGCGCGCAACATCTCGTTGATATTCTCTCGGATACGGCTGCCAGCGGAGCCAACGTCCAAGATATCCTCGAAGCAAAAGGATACACCGCTGTCATTCGCGGCTCAAAGCTATTTGAATGCCAATCTTGGCAGACCTGTCTGGAGAATTACTCCATAGCCCGCGTCATTTACAGCGCTTTATCATCGAAAGGAAATGCCGATTTATACAAGGACCTACTCTCCGAAACCATCGACCCTTCCATCCGATATGCCGCATACCAGCTGAAAACTCCACGAACCGTCCCTATTCCCGCTATTGCTCGAAAGGCGTTCCCACAGTCCGACTCAACATTGGTTGCCCAGGTCAATGAAGTAGAACCCGGAGCCCTGACTGGGCAGCTGGATGCCGATGAAGGCCTTCCATCTGGCGAAGACACACCTCGAACACTGACTTGGCGTTCTCGTGAGGTCAAGATTGAGGACGCACAGATTGCTTTGGCATGGGCTAAAGTGAAGCTGGCAAAGACAGCCCTTGGTGCAAACCTTTCCGAGCAGAGCGAGCGAGCGCCTCATCAAGTCGCTGCTTCGTACGATGACATCCTCACCGCGACCCAAGACGCAGTCGATGCAACCAAGCAGGCTATTGATGAGATGCGAGGAGAGGGTGTTGCCCAGAGTGATCCTCGAATGCAGAGCCTCCAAATTACAAGAACGGCTGTCAACTACGAAATGATTAGCTGGAGGATTGGACGTAACCGTGTCTTGACTGGTGAACAGGATGGCGCCGTCGAAAACTACGCCTCCAAAAAGAAAGCCAAGAAGACAGAGGAGACTGCGGAGAGCGATGAGCACAAGCTCAAGGATGCATCTGCTTCCAAGAAGCTTACCAAGTTGAAGGAGAAGGTTGCCCTCTACGAAGGCACCCTGCAGAACATCCAATCTATAAAGGAACTCCCTGGTGTAGCGGCTGATGAGGGTCTATCTGCTAAGCTAGCGGCCTTTGAAAGTTACTTCAAGTCTCTCAAGTAAGTCAACCAAACGTTTTTTCACTTGGCCAATCATGACAATCACTAACAACCGATATAGGGCCCTAGCCATTGCACGATCCCACGCCATCACTGATAACGCCAGCAATGCCCTTGCTTTGATTCAGTATGCCTTTGACGAGTGCCAGCAGGCTTCTCAACTTCCCAAGGACAGCGAGCCGGCCGCCAGCACGCCATTGGACATTGAAGTCACAAGCGCCTCTGTCAACTTTTTGGGTAGACTAATCCACGGCGAATTGCAGAGATACCGCGCCATTGTGCACATTGACAACCTGCGCAGCGAGCAGAAGAGTCACTCCAGCACGGACAAAGTGCCTCTTGCCGAGCGCCTGCACACGTATCCCATCGACGGAGCCGACATGACCAAAATTGCCCAGTTCCCTCCCAAAAAGTCGTTTATCCCCATGAAGCCTCTGTTCCTCGACATCGCTTGGAACTACATCAACTATCCCTCCAAGCAGGATAAGGGAGCCGCCCAGCCATCACCGGCAAAAGCAGCTGCCAGCGAAGGAGCTCAGGAGCAGAAGAGAGGCTGGTTTGGCTTTGGCCGATAATGGATTTATTACATGTGCTTGGCTAAATAAAACTAAATTTCTCTCCAATTACCAATTAATCACTGTCGCTGTCTGTGTTAAAGCGGCCCTGGAATGCCGTTGGGATGTACGACAACGTAGGAATGGAGCCCCTCCGAGTCACGAGTTGGTCGGCGCGCGGAAGAGCATACGATTAGGCGCGCGCTGCTATGTAGACGCTCGACTTTAACATCAGACCATTTATTTGAGCGATAAGGCTCTTACTTCGCAACTTAGCATGCCACCGGCTGTATTCGCCGATCAACTTGTGGTGGCGCGACCGCTGGTGTCGAAACGCGACGGCTTGTTCAGCTTCTGCCAGACTATAGCGCAGAATACAACACCGTTTTTGGCGATATCATCAGCCATTCTCATCGTCTCTATCGCTTTCACAATTGTCTTTTATACGCAACTCCCAAGACCTACATCTTTAGGCACATTCACAGGCATCGGATACAGCCGGTGCTCTGTGCTCGGTGACGGAGACTCTCAACCGAATCGACACAAAAATACGCAGCATCACAACTCTGATCTTCACTTGCAGCCGTGCAATCATCATAGCTCAGCTCCTTGGCTAGGAGCAAACACACTCAATACGACTTGGGGCTTCACGACATAGACAACACAAGAAATGGTGGAAATTTGATGTAATAGAAGAGGGGAGATGGTATTAAACCTCTACCGAATCAGAACAAAGAAACGTTTTATACATTGCAAAACAAAACAGTTATCCCCCATAGGGTCCATGTAAATCATTCGTGAACACCCGTAGAACTTTTTTTTCTCTTTCCGTCAGGGAGTTCAATCTAATGCTCCAACGCCTGTTCCGCCAACCATGATATAAAGGACATGGGTGAATATGTGGCTGCATAGCAGTCAAAGTTGAAATAAGAGTACAGTGAAAATACAATGAGAAAAGATACATGCGCCGCTCTCCACGCGTTGTCGGTAATGGGAGCACATGTACCTTCTCTTCTTTTAGTTGGCTGGGGGTGGCAAAAAAATTATTCAAACAAAACGAGCTTCAGTCAAATTAAGGCTTGGGCTCATCCTTCTTCTCGCCCTCGGCGTTCTGCTGCTGCTCGCCGGAAGCCTGCTGGGCCTCGCCGCTCTCGTTGCGGGCCTTGTGCATCTTGTCGAAGAGGTTCAAGCTGGCAACCTGGAGCTCGTCGGTCTTCTCCTTGATCTCAGCAGCGGTGGCAGAGCCCTCGCCAGACTGGTTCTTGGCGATGAACTCACGGAGAGAAGCGATCTTCTCCTTGATGCTATCAGCCTCGGTCTTGTCAAGCTTGTCGGCGTACTCGTTGAGGGCCTTGTCGGTATCGTTCAAGACGCTGTCGGCGCGGTTGGCAGCTTCGATGGCAGCCTTGCGCTCCTTATCAGCCTCAGCGTACTTCTCAGAGTCCTCAACCATCTGCTGGATCTCGTTATCAGAGAGACCAGAGCCGGAGGCAATGGTGATGGACTGGTCCTTGTTGGTGGACTTGTCCTTGGCGTGAACGTGGACAATGGAATCGGCATCAATGTCGAAGGTGACCTCGACCTGAGGGACGCCACGGTGGGCAGGGGGGATACCAACAAGCTGGAAGTTACCGAGGAGCTTGTTGTCGCGGACAAGCTCACGCTCACCCTGGTAGACCTTGATCTCGACAGCAGTCTGGAAGTCAGCAGCAGTGGAGAAGACCTGAGACTTCTTGGTGGGGATGGTGGTGTTTCGGTTGATCAGACGAGTGAAAACACCACCGAGGGTCTCGATACCAAGAGAGAGAGGGGTGACATCAAGGAGGAGGAGATCCTTGACCTCACCAGAGAGAACGGCACCCTGGACAGCAGCACCGATAGCGACAGCCTCATCGGGGTTGACAGACTTGGCAGGGTCGCGGCCGAAGATGCCCTTAACGGACTCGGCAACCTTGGGCATACGGGTCATACCACCAACAAGGATGACCTCCTGGATGTCCTTGGCCTGGAGGTTGGCGTCCTTGAGGGCCTTGCGGACAGGCTCGATGGTGCGGGTGATAAGAGGGTCAACCATGTTCTCAAGCTGAGCACGGGTAAGCTTCATGTTGATGTGCTTGGGGCCGGAAGCATCGGCAGTAATGAAGGGAAGGTTGATGTCAGTCTGGAGAGAGGAGGAAAGCTCAATCTTGGCCTTCTCAGCAGCCTCACGGATACGCTGGATAGCCATGCGGTCGCCAGAGAGGTCGAGGCCAGAAGTCTTCTTGAAGTCAGCAACCATGTGGCGGACCAGGTGGATATCGAAATCTTCACCACCAAGGTGGGTGTCACCGTTGGTAGACTTAACCTCGAAAACACCGTTCTGGATCTCGAGGATAGAGATATCGAAAGTACCACCACCCAAATCGTAGACAGCGACGACACGGTCAGCCTCCTTCTCGAGACCGTAGGCAAGAGCAGCAGCAGTGGGCTCGTTAACGACACGGAGAACGTTGAGGCCAGCAATCTGACCAGCGTCCTTGGTGCTCTGACGCTGAGCATCGTTGAAGTAAGCAGGGACAGTGACGACGGCGTTCTTAACAGGCTTGGAGAGGTAAGCCTCAGCGGTCTCCTTCATCTTGTTGAGAACGAAACCACCAATCTGGGAGGGAGAGTACTTCTGGTCGCGAGCAGAGACCCAGGCATCTCCGTTGGTGTGCTGGACGATCTTGTAGGGGACCTCCTTAATATCACGCTGAACCTCAGCATCGGTGAACTTGCGACCAATCAAACGCTTGGTAGCGAAGAGAGTGTTCTCGGGGTTGACGACAGCCTGGCGCTTGGCAGCGACACCGACAAGACGCTCACCATCTTCGGCGAAAGCAACGACCGATGGAGTTGTGCGGGCACCTATTTAAGCCATTGTTAGCGGACAATCCATGCGCAAGTCAATTGCGGTGTTTCTAATTACCTTCGGAGTTCTCAATGATGCGAGGGACCTTGCCCTCCATGATGGCGACGGCAGAGTTGGTGGTACCCAAATCGATACCGATGACGGCACCCTGGACCTTGCCATCGCCCTCAGCAGCAGCCGTCGACTCATAGCGAGCGAAACGGGTAGCGAGGGGGGCTCTGTTAATGGCAGCCGAACGAGCGGCAAAGGGGGTAGCTCGGGGAAGCTGTGAGGAGAACAATTGTTAGCTTTGCGGATTGCGGCAGAAAGGGGCAAGCTCGGAGGAGGCGCGAAAACTTACAGCTCTGGAGATGCGCGAGGCAAACATCTTTAAATATTACAGATGGTGTAAAATTAACAAAAGGTAATAAGAAAAGAAGAAATAATAATGACACGCGCGACAGGAAAGAAAGGAACTGGCGCTTGAGGAAGATAGATGGGAGGAGGAGAATGGAGAAGGAATGTTCAAGAGAAGGAAGGGGAGAAGCCAGCGAATTTTTCTGGCCCGAAAAAAATGACGGCCCCCGGTCGTAGAAGCGGAAAGAAGGAGGCAAGGCCGATGTGACTCTGCTATGTGAGGCTCATTAGGGGCATTGGCCCCAGCTAATAGGAGCCGGTCCCACCCGCGGCCGTCCTCTTTTTTTTTGCCGCAGCAACGGAAAAATTGTTAGTCCCGAATTAGGCCTTGGCGGGAAGGCCGTATGGTCACGTGGTGCATGGTGTCTCGCGTGCTCCTTTTCTGTAGTGGGAGAGAGTTGCGATTGCGGCGGCAAGAGGCGCTGAAAAATAACAAGTAAATTATATCGAGTAAGTATAGATGTTCAATTAATTTATTTCCTAACTCAGTCGTCCATCAGCCCTCATTGGGTGATACAATATGAAGCAAATATGTCGCTGTGTCGCTGGGATATCCAGAGCCACCCTACACGATGTCCTGATATTCGTATTTATCGCAATAAGCAAGCCATCGTAATAGTAAGAACTATCGGTATTATTTATACGTGCGTGTTAATTTGAATTTTATACGCGTACTTGTTCTCTCTACGGTCTATATTGCCCTCAGTATGCATATATTGAGCCAATCCATACTCTACTTAGTTGCACATACGTAACAGTAACATGCGTGCACCCAACAAGGTAAAGGGAGAGTTACTACTGTAGCCCTAGTAACTCAGTTAATGAGCAAAAAAGTACCAAAAGGCCTGCTTAACAAAGAAACGCAAGAGAAAGAAAACAAACTGAAAAGAGAAGGATGGATTTACATATTTTTTAAAGCACAGTCAACAGCCAATAGCACCCACTTGACTCTCTCTCAGTCACAACCCGTTCCCCATATCTCCGTTTTCTTGACTTCTTGCTTTTGCCTGGGCTATTTTGTGGGGAAAGGCTCCCCAGCGAGCAACAGTAACAGCGCAATTCGCACCGTAGCTTAGCGTTGATCTGGGTCCCCGGACTGCACTAATTTCTGCTCGCCGCCCGCTGCATTCAATCGCACAACCGCTGGCAAGGACGTCATTCCTGCTGCGACTCGCCTCCTCCGCATCTCCTCCCAACACACCACGCTCTTTCTCCCGCCACCGTCGACATCATCATCACCAACAACAGAGCTCTCCTCGTGCTACATCATATTGCCTTTATCTGCAGCTGCCAGCCCTCCTCGTTCGCTACCTGACACATCACCAGAGCGCCCAGCCTGTGGTTCGCCCCGCCCGACAGCACAAGGCAACTTGGGACCATCTTCCTGCCGCCTATGCGGTCGCTGCACGTCGACGCTATCTTTATTTAATCTCGTCACGATATAAAGCAGTCATATTTGCGCTGTAAAAAGGCCGTTGCAATTTTGAACAGCGCTTCGGCTGGAGCTCCGTCGACATGGCGGTAAAAGAGGACAATGTGTTGGTTCTTCCATTTGTCCTATCCGTGATCATGCTCTAATATGTTGTACAATAGCTATTACCCGACCGATTCCATCATCTCCAAACGTGGTAGGCGCCACTATCGGGTTCCTGTTCGCTCGCAGTACGGTTTGATGATGCCCAAAATTGATAGTTGAGCTTACTGACCCAAACGCAGACACTGGCAGCTTCGGTCCCTCATCAGCGCTGAGCGACGGCACTTGATATATTTTCCCGGTGGCACCCACAGCAAACAAATACAACGCCTCAATACAATGACACATGAATGCGAAACTCTCAAGGTGCTCAACTTTGCGCCCAGATGTCTCGTCGCCGATAATGGCTGGCTATGTTGCGGGAGTGAAAAAGGTGACTTTGTTGCTATGCGGTTAGACGAAGATATTGACGGTGATGCTGTTGGGGCATCTCTGGGTCTCGATCTTGACACCGCTCTTGATACAAGAATGGAGATATCCAGGGAGGAAAGCCTTCTATCACTCATTACACAAGGCAGACGACCGAACAAGAACCTCAACGCAAAGAGCATGAGACTTGCGAAGGAGCGAGTCAACTGCATCACGCTATGGTTTCCAGACTTGCGTGTGCCTGCGGGCGAAGGTGCATACAAGGAATCGGTGGCTGTGCTGGCTGACAATGTTGGTAATGTCACACTGATTGGCCTCAGAGATTTTGAGCAGAATGATAAGGCTGAGCCACTGGACGTCATCAACTACCCAGATTTCGTCAACAGAGCACTCTTATCACCGGATGGTCGCATGCTTATTGCGATACTGGACGATCCATATTTATACATTCACGTCAGAGAGGAAAAACCCCTCGATGCCTCATCGACATCACGCACGCCTCAATATCACTGGCGCCAGCGCCAGCGAATCTTTCTCACCAGCCAGCTGAAGGAGGATAGATCTGACAGTCGCGGCAGTTTTGCGGCTTGCTTCTCGAACTCTGGGGCACTCCTGGCTGTGGGAACGCAACACGGCACCATTTCCATATTCGACACGACGCTGTTGGATAACCCGTTGGCCGACCCTCTCATCACAACCTTCAAGTCGTCACGACCTGAAAGTGGTCCAGGTGCAATTCGAGACATGTCCTTTTGTCCAGGACCGTTTGATATTCTGGCATGGACTGAAGATCGTGGTCATGTTGGCATAGCCGATGTGAGAGCCAACTTCAACATGCGCCAGATTCTGGATATCGCAGTTGAGGCTGAGTTTGATCATATCAACATTTTTGACCGCAACACCATTGACCCAAGATTGTTGGATTCTCAAACCGCTACCAGGCGTGATCTTCTTGCGATGCAAGCCAACAATGCTGGCTCGCCTCGTCATGGTGAATCATCGGAATCTTTCAACCAGCCTTTGACTGCTACAGAAACAGTCGTTCTTGAAGCGTTGCAAGATGATCGCCTTCGCAGAGATCGTGCAAGAGGAGGTACAGATGGTGGAGAACGGCCTGTGCCGGATTTGTCATGGACCTATCTATCGAGTCTCCGCCCCCCAGCAGATGGAGATACGGGAAGCCGACTCCCTAGACGCAGCACATCAGTAACCCGTGGCGTTCGTAGCACCTCGTCCTCTCGGGCACAACGAAGTGCTCTTGATGACTATCTAGACCAGCGAGAAAGGGCGCGAAATAGGCAGCAAGGCGCTCGTGACTCAACTGAGCGCCTGCCTGCTATGCGTCGAACCGATCCTCGGTGGATTGATCGCCTGGGCGAAACCGTTGCTGCTATGCGTGATCAACGTGATAGAAACCAGCGAGACGGGCAAGATCGATCTGATGCATCATATCTGAATGTTCTGGAGATTTTGCAAGCCCGAGAGCGAGCTACCGCCGATGGCGAAAATGAAGACGGATCACTCTTGGTTCCGCTTGTGAACCAAGTGGTCAATCGATGGGAGGAGAGCGCTATGCGAAACACGCTACCTGTTGGAACAGCAGTGGCTATTGATCACGGCGTGTTTGAAGTTCCCCCATCTCGAGATAACACGGCCGGGCTGGCCTGGAGCGAAGATGGGCGTACCATGTAAGTTATCATGAATGCTACCAACACCTGACGATGTCTGTGACTGACCTTGTATAACTAGGTTTGTGGGAGCGCAAGACGGTATATATGAATTCCACGTCAACACACATAATCGCAAGTTCTTCCCAGGCTTCAGGTTGAGCTAAGCCCCCTTTTGTACAACACAACCAGCAACTGTTGTTCGTCTCCCACGGCGAAAACATTCCTCTACAGTATCATTACTTTACCTTGTAGCTTTGCGCTCTTGCGCAAGGCTCTGTACTATGGCATGCTATATGACGACTAGGCGATCTGATGAGATTTCGACTTGCTACTTTTTTTGGTCAAATATTTTGTTTCTTTTTAACGTTCGTTTCTTTTTCTTTTTTGGCAAGGCGGCTATGATACCTCAGAATACTTTATTTCCAATTATATGCATAATCTTACAAACATTAGTTAACTTGTCTACCGTGGAGTAAACTATCAACCATCTCGGCAATCGCCAGACTGCTCGTTAAACCAGGGCTCTCGATACCCAAAAGATTTACCCAGCCCTCGTAGCCCTCTTCCTTGCGGATGATGAAGTCATGGAAACCACCAGCTTGGCCGACGGCGCCCGGGCCAGCCAGTTTCGGTCGCATCCCAGCGTAATCTGGCTCTAGAGCAGATGCATCGATGCTAGGCAGGTACTTTTTGATCTCAGCTACGGCTTCCGTCAACCGAGATGCGTTGACGGCCAAGTCGTCAGGAGACTCTACCCATTCTACATCTGGACCAAAGCGCATTCGCCCGCCTAGGTCAAGTGTAAGATGTGTTCCCAAGCCGCCCACACTCGGGTCTGGAGCGGGATATATCAGACGCGAGACGGACGGCGAGGACGCCGAATATGAAAAGTAGTTGCCCTTGGCGTAGGATAAATGTTTCTGAAATGTCTCTGGCACAATCATGTTGTGGATATGTGCTGCCCCGAGTCCTGCAGAGTTGATAATTGTTTCTGCCGTAATCGTCGACAGCTCGCCCGTAGACCCGTCCGTCACATCCGCCTCCCAACCAGAACTTCCTGGCACAGCACTACCCAGCGGACGTACACCTTGCACAAGAGAATTGAGGGCGACAACCCCGCCATCCTCCTCAAACAGACCTAGCAAGCTAGTCATGAGTCCGTGCGAGTCTACAATGCCCGTTGTAGGACTCTCTAGTGCACCCGCATCAGCTCGGACGCCCTCGCCATTGCGCGCTATCTCTTGCTGTGAGACCCAACGGACCGGAACACCGATGTCATCTGTGCAGAGCTTGTACACCTTCTCGAGCGCCTCTCTTTGGCGGTCATTCTGCGCCACTATCCACTTGCCGGTCCGTCTGTGAGCGACATTGTGCTTTTCGCAGTGGTCATAGAGCAGCCCCTTGCCGCGGATGCAAAGCCGCGACTTGAGCGACGTAGCGCCGTAGTAGATGCCCGCATGGATGACCTCACTGTTTCGGGCGCTGGTTTCGGTACCAACGGCACCATGGCGTTCAATTAGGACAACTGAAGAGCCGGTACGGCGTGCCAATTGTCTCGCCGTAGCGATGCCGACGACGCCACCGCCGATGACCTGCAGGCGAGGTTAGCACATTTGCTGGAACGATGTTGTTGCCGTCTGCATGGAGCATAGTATGAAAAGGTGTATGAAACATAGACAGCGAGTGCCGATTATCCATGGCAGATTGGGGGGAACTTTATGCCATCGGCGCGGCTCTTGTGGTCTCCGGCATCTGGGCTGTGGGTGATGAAACACTATTCGCAACGGGCGTTCGCGGACGGGGGCCACTGGGTAAGGATCGATATGTAACTTACAGCGTGTGTAAAGTCTGCTCTGGCGGCCGATGTCGAGCTGAAGCAGGCCGTTTGCCGACAGCATGATGAAACTTGAGCTTTTATAACTCTAGCTCGCACTGCCAGCATCGTGACGCGTGAGTGGATTGTTGATGTCTGGTTTAAGTTTATGGGGCGGCCGGCGAGAGCCGGCCTCTCGGGCTAGAGACACAGCTAAACGGCTGTTGACCCAAAAAATAAAAGTAATGCGTAGTTACTTGATGCGATGAATTTACGGATAGTTAATATTGGAGAAGAAACCATTAAAACCAACTGCGTTTTCCCTCCGATGTCGCAGGCGGAGCACGCCGTCTCATACACCATAATGACGAGTCTTGTACAGAGACGCTCGTATAAAATATGAATAAATAGACGTATGAGACGATGATGGAAATTGTAATGTATGGGACATGAAAGAAATAAAGAAAAGGGTCTATTATGAATGTATACTGATTCGTTGAATGTGCCGATCAAGTGCGGCTTGCAAGTCCGGAAACGCCATAAAGCAAGACCAAAGTCATACAGCAACAACGCCGAAAGGAGAGATTTTCTTCGAACATACACCTAAGGATTTCATCTGAAACATTGGATGCTCACGAGCTTATTTGGAGGCTTGAGCACCCTCCGCACTAACTGCTGTTGTCTGAGCCAGCTGTGAGGGGACCACCGGTTCTGTCGAGGTTGTCGTTACACTCGAGTCACCCAATTGTTTCTCTGTAAGTAGTGTGTTAGTTTTAATGCTCTCTATCAAGATATTGTGTAGTGGTGATACGTACCGAGCTCTCGAATGCGATGCTTCAGCATCTGGTTTTCCCGCACCAGCATCTGCGTCTCAGCCTGGTAAAAAGCGCTCTCATCACGCATCCCTAACACCCATTCACCGCTCTCTTGGCTGATTGAAGTAGCCCGGAGACGGGGAGAGGCGCCACGGCTGGGAGTCCTTGACCTTCTAGCCAGGTCCATGGAACTGCGTGGGTGATGAAAGACGGGTGATCGAGAGTAGGAGCCAACGGGAATACCGGCAGACATGCCGCTTTGAGACGTAGGGATAGCTTGGCTGGATCTGTCGGACACAGCGCTGGTCTCATCAGCAGAGGGGCCGCCTTGGGCCGCCTGAATGCGCTGGAGCTCAAGCTGCTGCTGTCGGATTACTTGAAGCAAGCGATTCTATATAGAAGTCACTGTTAGTGGGAAGCCTGTTGAATAAGGAACGGTCGCTGTGAGCATACCACTTGACTCTCTTGCTCAGCCTCTAGCTCTTGATGCAGTTCGCCCAAACTGGGAGCTCGGTGGTGACTGGGGTCAACGCTTGAGGGCGATCTGCTTCGCAGGCCGGGGCTCAACCTGCTCTGAGCACCGCCATCGGCGACCATTTCGCCGGGCCCAGGAATCGAGGGGTCGTTGAGCTGTAAGTTGAGGAGAACGTTTGAGCGTCGTCTATTGGCAGACTGGGACGACAGACTTTGGCGGGCAAGCGAGCCTGAGGAGGAGCCTAGAAAGAAACAGCTAGTGTCAGTAAAGCATGCGGCGGTGGACTGGGATGTGACCCGTGGCTGCTGCACTGCAGACGGGTAAAGCATACGTGGAGAGGGCTCTCTCTGGAGACCGGCATTCATGGTGGCGGCTGCCTGGAGCGACACAGAGGCAGAGCGTGCTGGTGAACCGGGAGGCGAGGCGGCCTTGGCTGGTAAGCCGTTGGATGCCATGAGGTTGAAGCGAGCGTCGCAGCGGGGTTGGGGCTTGCAGCAGGTTGCGGGTTTGGCGGGGCGGGCAGCGAGGCAATAATAAGTAGTTGCTCGTCTCTGCAGCCGGAGCAGGTAGGAGTAGCAGGAGACGGCGCAGCGGTAGACAGGTGGCGTGTTAGAATTGTTGGTGATGACGGAGTGAGTCAAGGCATCAGGCAACGGCGTGCTGCTGCAGAAGAACAAGTTGGAAGCTACTGTAGCGTGATCCGGGCGACGCGGCAAGCAATGACGACGGTCACCAGATCGAGAAAGCCGTTTTGGGGCTTGCAGGTGGTGTGCCGGGCGCTGCGGAAGCTTCTGCTGGCGGGGCGCAGCCACTGAAGAAGCGCTATTGCTGCTGCTGGTGGGGGCTTCCGGCGGGCTTGGAGCCATTTTTACGGGACACGCACGCCGTTTTCGGCCACTGAAAGTCAGTCAGCGCCACCGGAGCGACCGCTGAGGAACGCAGGAACACAGGGCGCGTCTGGCCCCAGTGGAGCAAGCTTTCTCACCAGGGCACTAATCAGCAGACAGCGGGTGGCCGAGCTTGGTAAAAGAGGACAGACTGTGTTGAAAGCTTGTTATGCGCGAAAAGTCAAGTAGGAGAAAATGTAGAGCGTCTGAATTTATTGAACTTCAAGCCTTGGATTTTTAAGTACAGTACAGCGTTTCTTTTAAGCATTGTTTTTATGAACAATTTTGTCTCGATGTTGCGTCTGTCGCCTAGAGCATCTGTGCTTGTCTCTCTGCAAACGGTGCCAAAAATAGGCGTCCTACAACCAGGCATCCCGCCGACAGGGCTCCGTTTACAAGGACCGTCCACATGAGTTTGTCCGCCCGCGTCGAGAACTGAAACAGTTCAGACGGTGGTTATGGAAGCCGGATCTCAGGTCTTGCTGATTGATCACACTGTAGCAAGCCGAAAAAACAGTAAAAAAAGGGAGAAAAGGAAACAGGATTTTAGGACGCTGTTCGGTATTTATTGTGGCAGTAATGCGGCTTGGAGAGAGAGCACTGAGAGTCTAAGTAGAAGGAAGATGATACGGATATATAGCCATAGAGGCAATACAGCAGACCTGTAGAAGCTGAGCTAACTGGGTCATTACATTGAGCGCTCTATATTTTTAAGAGAAAATTTTCTCGCTTAGTTTCCCGTCTCCGGATACCTAGTGAGGGCGATATCAAGAAGCATCACTGGCCGCAGGTTGGTTTCAAAGCCGCCCCGAAGCGGTGGAATTTCGGCCTCGTCGGAGGTTTCATTCGGCAGTCGAGCGCAAAAATAGCAGTCTGGATAGGTCGGTCCTACGGGAGATGCGACTCGAGATATATTACCAAGGATTTTGCTTACTGGCTACTCCCGTGGACTGAACTGCGGGAGCCGATCCCAGGTCCCTGTTGGGAATTTTACCCCCTGGTGCATAGAACCACTTCAGTTGCAGAAGCAGTGGGTGCAAAAGAGTTTGCCGCCTAGGCGCGCCGAGTTTGATTATCTAGGAGATTGGAGATTGGCCGAGATATTGCAGGGCAGAAGAGAATGGAGCCAAATGTCAGTTGCGAAACAAGGAGGAAATACAAGGCGAGTGTGCGAATCATGACAAAATGGACAAGTCCTTAATTGAGCGCTGCGGTGACATCGGCGTGTGGTAGACATTGGCTCAGCGAAATTGACCACCTGGCACCACAGCCAGCCTAAAGGCAGAGGCGGGGGCGTTTTTGTCACTGAGACGATGTCATACTACTACTACCGCCGGTGTTGACTTGACCTTGGCTGAGCGTTAAGAGAGCGAGAGGGCGAGCAAGGGCAAAGACATGTAGGGCGGGTGGATGACAAGGGCAAAATGATTGCAAGGAAAAAAGAGTTGGGGCGACAGAGAGATCTGGCGTGAGGCCATGGACTGACTGGTGGGCAACCAACACAGCGAAGTTGCGGCGAACCTGCCAGGCAATAACACCACCACCGCAACAACAGCAGCAACGCTGTAAACAGATATATCAAAACATGCAGCCGGGTTTAAAACGTTGCGTGTAGTTATGAAGCACTACAAAATAGACCGAACCCGGCAAAGCGGCTCTGCACTAGCGCGAGACACAAACACACGCACGCCCCAAGTAAGATGAGGCAAGGCGACAGACAGCAAGGGAGACGGGCAAAATAGCGACAATTGCATGTACAACACAAAATGAAGTTTGACAGGATTGGTTGAGCTTGGCGGGGGCTGATCCACGACAAGTTTATTTTTTGCTCTCAGCGTTGTGTCTTTCAGCTTTGCGTGCGGCCGCCCGCCACCCACTGCCTCATACAAATGCTACGGTGTGATGGAGAGGCCATCCACCTGTCCTGAAGTCATCTCGGGGGCAACGTATCTTGACTAAGGCGATGATGGGGACCCTACCTGTCAGGACAGCTTTATTTACTTGAAGCTCCAAGGGGGCGGATGAGGGAGAAGAGAGAGCCTTCGACAGAGCCTGTCGTCTTACCAGGGGGCAACGCAGACAATGAGACATGCCTGGCTTCGCTTACAAGACCCCCTGGCGATCCGGCCGACAGTACTGTACAAACAGGGCGCACGCCCCCCTACAAGGGATGCCCAACTGCGTACTGAATTGACAGTTTTGGGTTGTTTGGATACTGTAGCGGTTTCTGTGCAGTGCGTGGCGGTATTGTTTGTCGTTTCCTCTTTTTTTTTTTCGCCCGGGGCAATGTTTGTTGATTGGTTTCTTTGATACCCAGATTTCTCTTACCTGATATATACGAAGCCTACTAACGGCGTGCAGGCTCGTCATGCACTGTACTTTACAAAAAAATATAGTGCCTACTAGCCAGAGGCGAAAGGTTCCAGCGCACATAGTTAGTACGCGGTGCTCGGACGCTAGCAAAGTAAGGCTAAGCTAGCTTAACCATGGGCTCGGCGCGGAACCTGCGTCCCGGAGCGATGCGGAGCCCCGGCAGTGACAATTCAATTTAGAAAAACCCCCAAAACGGGTCTGGGCTGCTGTGGTGCTTGCCTGTGGCGTGCGATAGCGGGCTCCTTCTCACGCAGTAGTGACCAGAAACCCCCTGTTGGCGTCCCACTAAACGCCGCCACCCCACCTCTTGTCTCTGGTCTCGCCCATTGTTCGCTCATTGTCCGCGTTGGTGTGCCACCTTGTATTGTACTGTAGTGCAGTGCAGTTCATCCTGGACCGACCACGGTTATGCTGCCAACGGTCCCCTCTTTATTTTATTTTTCCTTTTCCCTCACACAACAACGCATACATCGCTCTTTGGGTGCATTTTTTTCCTTCCTTTTGGGCCTCATCAGTTGCTTTTTCTTCTCCCTCGTCCAAACACACACCCCTCTTTTTTCCTGTTTCTCTTACGACACACTGTCTCTCAAGCAACCGCATATCCAATCTCGTTGCTACTGCAGCCCACCATCGAGGATCTATCTCGCCCACTGCAACCCCACCAATCGCACCTTGGACACGCCTCGAATACAACGCATCAGTTTTGGCCCAGCACCATCTCATTTGCTCTCGCGGGCACCGTTGCCTTCCCACCTCTCCCTCTGAAAGCACAGGGCGCAATCCGAAGCGCATCGCACCACAAATTGCCCGCCTTCCCTATATCCCACTCCCTCGCCTTGCCCAACTTGGCGGCGCTGCAACTCCACATCGCCGTCTTTCCAGATCACGCTAATCCTCTTTCTCGCTACTCTCACGGTGCCGCGTCGTGGTCGTGTCGTGTCCCACACCCAAGAGGGCAAAGGAAAAAAGCCTGCTTCCATTACGCTGGCCCTAGGCATATCGACTCGCTGCCATCACCACCCCCCTCTTCCTCTCTTGGCCATCCTACCTAGCACCTTCACCAGCTCAATCTCACCTCCCCGCGTGACTTCGAAACTTGACCGTAGCATCGGTTTCGCCTGCCATTTCTCTGGAACAGGCCAATTGACGTGCTGCTCAGCCTTTACACGCTGCTGTCCCATCCCGTGGCCACAGTTTTTGTCTTGGACAATAATAACTGACACCCCTCCTCCATCTCATCCTTTGCTTTCCTTTCTCCTTTTGCTCCCCTCTTTTCGTCTGCACTGCCAAAGTTCTCGAAACATCACCAATCTTTCCTGAATGGCTTCAGCAAAACCTTCGACCGTCTGCTAAACTTACGTCGTCGCCACCGGCGAGTGCTGCTTCTGATCATGTCGCCCAGCAATGTGTCCACCACGCACCTCGCCGTGCCCGAGAGCAACCGCTACTTCCCCAGCTTCTCTTTACGATCTCGAAAGTCAGAGTTCTCACTCTCGCAACTTAAAACCACCCAGGAGCAGGCACCGGAACCACCAAAGCTTGCCAAGCGCGAATCTCGACTTGGTCTCCGTCGCATGTTCAGCCGATCCAAGCTAAAGCCCGAAGACTCTGCGCCCCCTCCTGTGCCACCAGTCCCAGTCTATACCGAACGTACTTCTCTCGGCGCATCTCGAAGCACTGTCTACTTGAACCAACCCAACCCATCCGAAACCGCACTCTCAGTCATGTCTGGATCTGCTGCTGCTGCCTCCGATACCAACCTGCCTGGCACCTCCCGCACCTTTGGATCCATCGGACGCGGCTCAAGACGAAGCTTTATGCCACGTCCCTTGCTCGGAGGCAAGTCCGCAGCTGATGAACTTGAAATCCCAGCTCTGTATTCAGCGTACCATCAATCTATCCGCCAAGCAACCCTTCAGGCCCCTACGATATCTGGAGATGCAGTGCTAAGCCTGCAAGAGGCACCAAGCTCGCAGCCGCAGGACGGCGATGTGCAGGATGACACCTCTAGGCTTACCAAGCGATCCAAGGACAAAGCCAAAAAGGGAGATGACAAGTCGTCACCTTTTGAATGGACAAGCAAGATCTATCTTCTTACAACGAGCGCCAACCTGCTCCAATATACCGCCGACGGTCACTATGAGAGAGTCCCTGAAAGAGTTTTGAAGCTTACCGCCAACTCTGCCGCTTTTGTTACGGATTGTATCCCAGGAAAGCACTGGGTACTTCGTATCTCGGCAGACGTTCTCACTACACTCACACCAGATCCAGCTTCAATGGTTGACCACAGGTCGTTGTTTAGCAAAGAGCCCAACCGCCGTGCCTCCAATTTCCTAATGGTTTTCGACAATGCCGATGACATGGATGGATGGATTGTTGCTGTGCGCTCTGAAATCCTCAAACTGAAGGATGCTGAAACGCAAGATACTGTTGGGGAGCGCCAAATCCGAGAGCGTGCTAGTCAGCGCACGCTCACAGCCCGCGACTTATCGCGCCTTGAGAGCAGCGAAACCGTTCAATGCTATCCCACTTCTGAGCGCAAACAGTCCACTGCCGCCATTACCGTTTCGGATTATGACAAGACCAATGAGCAATGCCTGGACGATGTCTCTGTCACAAATAGTGTCGTATCCCAGGAAGGACAACAGCTCGAAAGCTTACGGGACAGCAACCACCGCCTCTCTGTCATGTCGACTAGCCAAGACACATTTGGCACATCGGCTGCATCAAGCCCCGCTACATCTCCAACTATAGAAAGCTTCCCTCGACAATCTGATGATGCACACCGCAAAGAGTCCATCATAGATAAAGCAGTTGAAATGGTCCGGCAATCCAGCAGCGGTAGCTACAATGCATCCCCGGTTCAGCCAGTTGCGCCCTTTATGGGACTGCCAGAGATTCACCCTTCAACGTCACCACTCTATACCGCACCTCCTCCAGGTCCCCTCACTACACCCAAGGCTGCTCTTAACGTCCCAATGTTCTGTAAACCAACTCCACCTGTTCCTGAGATGCCAATCTCACCACCAAGAGAAAACTTGGCACGCAGAAACTTCCGCTCAAAGCCGCCAACGTCACTCAAGGATTCACGACCCCTCTCAGTCGTTGCGGATTGCCCATCGCCTCAGGTTGTCCCCTCCGAAACGATGGGTGGCCACTCGCAGTTCAATTCGCTGGCGTCATTCAAGCCTACATTTAAGGGTCGATACTCCATCACCCCCAAGGCAATCCCCGCCCGCCAGGCAAGCATGTCCACAATAATCCAAGCCAACAAGCAGCTGTCCCGAAGCTCATCGCACTCTCACCTGGACCGCCTCGCTCCGAGAACGCCAAACGACGTCGTCTCTCTGCAGACGGATGACCTTGCTGGAGAAGCCAACCAAGAACTCAATGCACTATCGTCTTATACTTGGAAAAACGGCCGTCGCCCAAGTCTCGTCCCTTTTGAGGAAGAAGGCTCACGCCCAAGCAGCAGCCATTCGGCAGCACCACCTCCACCACCTCGCGCACCTCCACCTTCAACACCTCTCCCTCCTATCCCAACCTCGACAGGCGCTTCCAACTCGGCACTGGGCCAGCGCAAGTCGCTCTCAGTACGTCGCAGCATGCCTCAGATTATCGTCTCGTTGCAGGCTCAGGGCCCTCGCGCCTCACGAATGATTCCATCTGTTCCCCAGATGTAAACGCCTTGAACATATTGCATACGCATAGCATTGCTGCCCAACAGCGCAGTAGAATTTCACGAACACACCTCTAAAAGATCTCAATGACATGATCATAGACACCAGAATTTGTTTAATGATCCTTTCTTTTGACCTTTCCTTGTTTTGTCTCCTACTGATACTCGACTGAATGTATCATTTCCACCACAGATTTATACCCCGACTCGTGTGCAGCTCGCTACCGCCCACCGGTTTTCCTTTCTTTTCAACCTACATTCTTTGTACTGGATACATACTTTTTTTTATATTTTTGGTCATGAACTGGCTGTTCTGTCAATCTTGGACAACCATTTCCTTTTTACTGTCTTAGCTGGGATACGACCATTTTACGGTATTTTGATGACGCGATTTTGTAATAACTGGGATGAAGGACGGCGCATGTTTCTAGAAGGTCGTCCAATGGGTTTAGATATTTGGGTTCAATTATTTATGAACGGGCTAAGAATTCAGTGCATTATCTGAATAAATTGAATATCAAGTTTAAAATAAAAAAGCGTATCATTATCGTGTACATGCTTCTTCTTACAGTGAAAGTTGGCTTTGCGCAACTCTTCTACCCATGACTCCAATCTTCTTCTCAAGATTCTGCTTGCCTCTTGTGCCAGTGACAACATATAGTTCTCCTGTAGAGTCACTAGTCATAAAGACTCGCTGCTTATCATCAATAGTGAGACCCACGGGGCGGAAGCATTTGCCAGGGCATTTGGACTCATCACTGTTCCACAAAAGCTTCTCCTCTGCATCGGGAGCATTGGAAGGGCGGATGGGCATACCGTCCTTGAACGAAACTCGGCTGAGGCGGTAACCATTAGGGGGCTGACGGTTCCTGTTTACATTTTGTTAGCAAGTGTATAAAAAGGTGCCATATTAGACCAAGTTTCTTACCAGCTGCCGTGGAAGGAAATGAGAGCCGACGAGCCATCGTCGTGGAAGTGAATATCCAATGGAGCGAGATGTGAGCCAAAAGTGATTTTGGGAGCTACAGTCTTCTGGCAAAACTCATCCTTGACATTCTTAAGGTGGTCACCGGCCATCTGCTTGCCAACGTCGGCACCACCAGGATACTCTTTGACGTTGCTGGGGTCGTAAATGGCAACACAGCCGGGGTAGCCGTAGTTCTTACCATAGACCTCAGACGATGTGTCGTTGGGACGGCCATGGAAGTTGAGCTCCTCGCCTGGGTTTGTGTTGTGGATGTCGATGCCACGACGGTTCATGTTATCCAGGGAATTTTCGACAGTCCAGATGTTGCCAGTGGTAGGATCGTCAGCGACGCCAACACTGTTACGCAAGCCCCAGGCAATGACCTCACCCTTGGCGTATTCTACGGGTGCCTCGGAGGCAAGGAGGGAATCAATAGTGAAGCTGCGCAACTGGCTTCTGGCAGACTTGATCTCCTGGGTGGGTTCGTCAACATTGCCGTCGGAGCCACGGGAAACCAGGAGCAGGCCCGGGTTGTTCTGGGGAATGAGAAGGGTACGGGTAGAGTGGCCACCTTGATTCATGGCCGTGACGATTGTCTTGGCCGAGCCGACGGTACCTTTGGTAGCGTCGTAAGGATAGGCAAAGACGGTAGTGGAAGAGGACACGAAGAGAGTCTTGCCGTCAGCCGATAGAGCAATGCCATGGTTTAACTAGCGAGATGTTAACCACGGATATGATGTAGTTCAAACTCGGCAGTCCTTACAGATGAGTCTTTAATAAGCTGTGATGACGAGCCTACACAGACGTCCAAGCCATCGGCGTCATTCAGGACAACTCTTCGAACACCTTTGCTACTAGCCTCGACAATAAGCAGGTTGCCTTCCGAGTCGAGGACGACACCTCTGGGCTTTTGCAAGTCGTTAGCGAGGACCTTGTACTCAACACCAGGAGCAGCTCGCGGATCGGCCTTTGGCTTTGGTGCCTGGCAAGCAGGGTCCGTAGCTCCGGCAGTGGAGAGGACGGCGAGAAGACCGAGGCCAATAGAAACGATAGACGAAGGCATTTTATACGATGAGGCCGTCACACACGGGACGAGATTTGGGATGGAGAGGATGAGACGAGAAACACTATCCGTGCTTGTGGGCACACCGGGACTAATAAGGGAAAAACACAAACCCCAACCTTGATTCAAGTGCCAGGTGTATCTGTAGGTAGCAAGCGCGTTATCCGTTTCTTGGCTGCTGACAAGCCAGCAGGAAGGTCCATGCCGAATACCACCAAAAGTCTCTAGTGCCGGAGGAAGCCCGACCTTGCAGCGAAAGAAGCGTGCGGATCGACAGGCGGCGCTTTATCCCAATATGACGAAATAGTTCCTTATTCGCTTTTTTTTAATTTACTCTAAAAAAATAGAGTAAAGCCAAACCCACTCGCTTCGCCATGGTGGCCCTCCCCCGCATGGCTTCTGTCATGGTGGTTCAGGTTGACTAATTGCCACCACAGCGCCTCTTTTTGGCCGGTAGGCGAGAGCTCCGTTGGAGCGTGGAATGCGGCAAAGGTTCGATGCTTGCGATTTTAGTTAGCTCCGGAAGTTTGTACGGTGGAGAGCCACGCCGTCTTTTGTTTCCTCCGCAGGGCGGGACAATTGCAATACATAGGCAGAGACCAAGTCTGGTGGTTGGGTTCACAGTCCAGTTGGCGACGGCAAATGTGGCCTCTGTTTACCTTTATGCACCGTTGCATTTTCGTCCGTGAGCAGCATAGCTTCTAATAAATTCGCCATCCCTAAAGACCGAACCTAGATTGCAACGGTGGGATGGCGGGACGTTGCATTGCGTCAATGGTATCACTTGCTGCAGCTGCAGGAGGCTTTAATACATCCGAGGCAGCTAGATGATGGGGTCTACTCTGCGGTTTCTGGTCATTTCTCCGGTAATGATGGTAATGGGTTTTGCTTCCTATACTTTTTCGGAAAATTTACGTCGTGTTGCAGAGAACATTGTCAAAGTGCAGGTTCTGCCTTTTTGTAAAAGCGCGGGGCTGGTGCTGGTGCCAGTGCTCGCTACCACAAGTTTGCCAGCTGCCAGAAAATTGGCGTGGCTGGTGAACAATGAGAATCCCGCCACACTGCCGGCAGCAGCCACATCGACAGCCGCCAGTGTCACCACAGCTACCCCTTCATCCTGCATAAACATATTTTTTTTTTCCCTTCCAAGACGACAAGTCTCTGCTATTTACGCTCATTAACTCGAATCGCATTCTCTCTCCGATTCCACCATTCTTCAGCACCAGCTTGTGCCTTCCTCTCCTCAGCTACTTATCCTCGAATCCACTACGACTGCGCAAACACACGACTGTCGTCACCATTACCCGCCACTAGCAGACCCGAGCTAGCAACAGCGCAGGCAATAATTGCTCTCGACTCGATTCCAATATCTCTCATTGTTTTCAAACCTCTACTTAAATACGTCAACTATAACTATAATGCTCGATACTATCCTCCTTTGACCAAGCACCAACTTCACCGCTTCTCAACTTACAGCTGCCGTGTTGCAGACCACCACGGTACCAGCTTCAAAGCGCAACACGACAATATTCCATACAATTACACATTATTCAGCGCTATGCCTGCGATATTCCCTCGCGACACTGTCGTAATACCTGCGACATACTCTTCTCAATATAGCTCGCCTCAACCGGGCGTTGTTGTTGGCATTGTTTTGGCATGCGTCGGAGGCTTCTTGCTATGTCTCGCTCTCCTCTATTCATGTCTAGGATGGGCACCTATAACGTTGTTTTCGTCATCCTCAGATGATGTCACTACGGTGTCGTCGTCGTTTCACTCTAGCGTACTCAGTCGACGTACACGAAGCATTCTACGAGAGGGCAAAAGTCGATACAAGCCTGCCTCTACAGTGAGCGGCGATACCGAAATGTACGAAGTCCGCACCACCAAAACTACTCGCCGAACGGAACCACCAGTCGTGCTAGTTCCCGGCCCGAGCCGCTCATCCCGCCCACCCCCACGTGTTATTGAAGAATCCGATGATGATGAGGTGGTGGTTATTGAAGAGAATGACCCGCCACGACGACACAGCCGACGCGAGAGCTCGAGTCGACACAGCGACGATCGTCGATACAGAGACTCGGATCGCGGCTCTAGAAGAGATAGCAGACGCTATAGCAGAGGGTAGTTGGAGATTTACAACTTCTAAGCTGGTCATAATCATCGACCATCTTCTTCTTCCGTTTTTTCGTTTCATTTTGGTTGTATTCACATTGCAAAGCAACATTATATATAATTTAGGGGCAACCGACATTTATTGGAGTTACGAGGTATATGGGCGTTTAGCGAAAAATGTCGACGACTTAACGTCAAGGTTGAGAATCTATTTCTTTTAGTATTTGACAATGAATTTAGAATGAAAAGTAGGAACATAATGCAAAGCATTTACAACACTCTACAATGCGAATTCTTTGACGACTCGAAACTGGTCATTTGCAATACAAAATGGGGTATATTGAAACGCATAGCGATACAAGCTAGTCATTACAAAGGGAGCACTTCCCTACATTCATTCATATCCTTCCCTTCCATCAACATATATACACCAGATACAGACTTTTACAAAACACATGTCAATCTATCCAAAGTAATCGTCGACCTGCCAGCTCTATAATGCGTAAAAAGCGGGCTGATATGCGACACAACATGTCTATACGTTTCCATTCGGTGGCCCACCGAAAAAGAACGGCCCAAATGGGTTAAACGTAGATGACCCGTCCGTAAAGTCGTTGTTAACACCATCCCATGGCATACCGTAGCCTAGATCCATAGGATCCAAGGTACCAAAGTCTCCATTTGATCCGGCCCCCATATTTTGCAGCAAATCCAGACTGCCGTCAGCATTATCGAGCAGACCTTGAGCACTAAAGGGCTGATTTGAGAAGCCATCGCCAGCCTGTCCCGTCATGGCACGAACCAACGCCGGAGAAGAAGTGTGTGACTGATTCATACTGGTTGCGTCTTGGCTTCCCGATAAATCGCCGGGGCTGATGCCTGATGGTCTTCTGAAGGCATCATTTGTTCCGCTCATAGGCGGGGTTCCACCATTTGAGATATCCCCAGCAGTTGATAACCCTGGCGAGGACAGATTATCTGTGTTGGAGAAGTCGGAAAATGTGAACTTTTGGGTTTGTGAGTCAGCTGCCGCATCACCACCTGCTGTATTCGTCATGTTAAGAGCCAAAGAAGCACTGTTGGATAGATCCAGTGAACCTGAGGTAGCGGCTCGTCCTCTTTGCTTCCGAGGCTTGGTCTTATGCACTCGGAAGCCTCCATTTCGACTTGCCATTTTGATCGTTGCTTTGGCTGTTCGATCGAACGCATCTCGGCATGTTTCGGCAGGTGGGCATTTGTCAATCATATCATTAAGTACGGATTTGGCAGCCAAGACTGTAAAGTCCACATCATCCATTGTCTGTTATGTGTTAGCTTGAGCTACCGTAGTTGATAGGTAGTGTAGATACTTACAAATCGGCTGCGCACATACTGCGAGTGCCAAAGTGCATATAAGTAGGATATACCTGCCATGAATAGGTGGTGTGTTGAGAGATACGTGTAGCTGACCAGGCCGTCAATATGCAACTTCCTGTAGATTCGCAGAATCTTCTGACCCGCCTCAGCAATCTTCATGTATATGCGGTCTTCATCTTCCCTAGGCTCTGCTGTGTATGTTGACGGGCTATTGACTTCATTGGATGTGTTATACTCGCCGCGGAATTCGACTGGGACGCTCAGGCTTTGTCTGTAGAGCATTATGATGGCCTGCCAGTAGTTGAGCTCCAGAAACTCTGTAGAAAATGCGACGTCGGTTTCTTCTCTAGATGGCGCGGCCTCTTTCCATGCGAGCAAGCGGTCATCCATACCAGCACGCCATGAGTAAAATGAGTCAATATCGGAAAGAAATGGACAAGGTAAATTGCCATGCATCTCGGGATACATTGCTGGCGCATTGCCTTCGCGTGCAGATTGCGCATGATTGTGCTGCAGAACCTGTAGAATTTCTGACTGCAGCATACGAAGACGAAAGTAGTGATGGGCTACACGTTTGTAGCTGACAAGGTTCGAATCGGCCGGAGCATCGATGAAGCCGTCGGTGGAGATGTATTTGTCGTCTAAAAGAGATGGTAAACTGGTTGTGATTACTTGGTCGCTGATTCCAAAAGGTCGACCAACACATGTGCTGACGAGCCTGTCAAAGGAATACGTGCACCAGAACAGCCGCCGGCGCATGTCGCGAATCCAAAGTCTGCGCCCACGACCTTGTGCTGCACCGTCGTCTGGGAGCTGGGGGTCGCCAGTGGGATGGACAATATCAAGGTCACCACCTTCTTCGTGGTGCAGGCCAAGATCCACAGCAAGGCGAACGGCCACACCAGTAATATACCACAAACCAGGAGGCACTGGCCGCAGAAGGGCAAAGTTGGCTAACAGCAGAATGGCTTGCAGTACCTCGAGGTAACCACCGCTCTGGCTCAGACAAGCCTCCAGATGGACAATGGCACTAGCATGGTATTCTTCGGGTGTAGACACATCCTTCATCTGAGCCAGTGTTTTGTCGTTGGAATTGAACGAGGGCTTCACAGGCTCGCCAACGATGACACCAGAACCGATGGCAAAGACCATGTTGAGCATATAGAGTTCTCGTGCTGAGAGCGAGTCAGTTCCCGATTCGTATGCTCGCTCAAACATTCGCAAAAAGTCGACGCGGTGAAGAATGGGAATCTGCGGATTGGCATGTTCGAAATATAGACTGATTAGTTTAGAGGCGACAGCCTTTCGGGGAATTGGCGCAGGTTGAATGTTTGGTTTCGTATGAAGACCGAAAAATGAATCGCGCATGGTTGTTACCCCTTGGCTGCGGTCAAATGCTTGCCCATTATCGGACACAGAATGTTGGACAGCAGCAAGCACAACCCTGGCAAAAGAAACTCCTGATGCGGCTGCTAAAGATCTAGGTTTGGCAGAGCTAACAATATTGACCATGGCAGGGCTTCTCTCACTTCCGTCAGATTTGATAGCCGCTACTGCATGGTGATTGACAGCAAGCGGTTGACCCGTGGGGTTTCTTGTGGCATTATTCGCGGCCACTGAAGGAACAGACGCTGTTTCTGATGTCGGCCTGGAACAAAGTCCTAGATATTGAGCTGCGGGGTATGAGATGTTGTTGGTAGATAGCAATTGCTCTAGCGCTTGAACGCGTGTTTCGAGGTAGTATACATAGCTGCGGGGAACTTCGTTTTTGGTTATCGGATCGAAGCCAACACAGTTGACACCAGCGCGCTCGCAGGTGGCACAACTAGGCAACTTCTGGTCACATCGATTCTTGCGCTGCCGGCACCTATTGCAGGCGCTGACACTGCGAAAATTGCTACTTTGACCTGGAACGCCTCCTGTGGAAGAAGAGGCGTTAGGATCGCCTGTAGCGCCTTTGCTCGAGTCGATATCTGCGCTGGAATCCTGATCTGTGGTAGGAGGGACATCGTCGTCAGCGGACATCTGGCGCTGGCGCTTCACACTCGGCTGCGAGGCTGTCTGCGGAGCTGCATGTCTGGGCATATTTCCAGAGGGAGATGTTGCTATAGGCGATTAAGCAAGCAACGAGCTTAAAGTGTTGGTGTTGGAATTGAAGAGGGCTCAACCGTGTCGGATGGGCGTCAGCGATGAAGCGGACGAGGTGCGATGCAACCGTTGAGCTCTGCTGGTTGTACGTCTTGGAGCAGGAAGTGGGAGACTAGCATTTGCGATATTGGAGAGAGGTATTGCCCATTGTCTGTCGCCAGAAACGGTGATGCTCGCAGCCAAAGTTTCTCACGGATTGGTGGTTTGCGATGAAAAATGCAGCGACGACGCCGAGGCTGCAGGCGGAAAGTGCGGATTGTCTGGGGCAAGCACTTGGGGGACGCTGGAGCTCCGGTGTGGGGGCGCTGCCGATAGAGCGAAGAAGAGTCGAGTTCGAGATGGGCGGCGATTGCGGATTGGAGCGACAAGAAGGTGAAGGCGAATTGCACCAACAAAGACAGGGCGAAGAGTTGGGGGATGCCAATTGCAAGGGCAGATCACGAAAACATGCAAAAGAGATGAACTACTTTGTTGATGGAAGGTATACGCGGAGCCGCTGAAAAGGTGGCTGAGAAGAAAAAGAGAGAAGGCCCGGCAAAGAATTTGGGGGAAGGAGCCGTGGAGCAACTGCAGGGTGGCACCGACGCCCAGACAGGGAAAGAGCGCGATGCCCCAGAGTATTACTTTATTGGGGCTGCTAATGCACGTCTACGGGCGACGGAACCTGACCAACGCCTTCGATTTTAGTGGTATGTTTGATTTCTACAATAGGGCACAACAGCGCAAGTATCTCGGCAGGCGTGGGTTAGGGGTGGTGAAGAGGCCAGCCGTGACCGGAATGAGGAGGAGCAACGTTCTGCAGTAACGTGCAGTAACTTAACAAGCCTGCAAGGGCTGCAATTGACAGCCGGCACCACAGTGAACCCAGCAACTTAAACAAAGACACAACCGCCTACTTACAGAACACGATCCTAAAAAGTTCCTCCTACAAAATACACTCCTATTCTCTCCCGTAACTCAACCTAGCAATTAACAAAACAAAAAACACCCCAATACTCCTCCCAGCACTCAGTCCACACGAACGGAGCATGTCGGAGCGCGAGTGCGGGGAACTACAGCGTGGCTGAAAGCCGCTGTAAACAAGTGGCCCACAGCGGCGTTCTCCCCCCTCTCCCAGCTCCAATACTGTGTCTGGCATTACCCACTACTGGCGCTAGAAGTGAACCCTTTGAAGAAAGCTGGAGTCGTCTATTGAACCGTGCAGCCAGTGGATCAAGGAAGGGCAAGCTAGCTCAGTCTAACGGAGAAAACGAACAGGCGTTCCATAGGGCAGCAAAAGTCTACTGTTGTTCACCATCGCCCCAGTCAAAGTTAGGCTCTCCAAATGCAGAGCATGGAGCCCAGAATGAGGCGTCAACGCCCTGGGTTCCCTACTCCAGCGGCAAGCTGTGGCTTTAACCGGCTGAAGCTCAAACAGGCCAACTTCGCACCCCTGATCTGGCTGTAATGTCGTGGAGGTTCATTTAGGTAAGGATAGGCAAGAGTTAATAGTTGTTGGTGTTATTCCTATTAATCATCACACTGCTCTCTCTATGTTGCCCATTGTGTAAAGACGTGGGGATGGATCAACAGATGGATGACTACCGGCCTATGTTTACTGGATCCCTTGAGTAATGGAAACCTTGTTAACGTTTGGCACTTTATTTTGCAAAATTAGAATTTCGCTTGTACTCTCCGTCCAAAACCCGGCTTAGCCTCAGACAATACACTTTGAGTGGCACGCGACCCGTTGCCTAATTCGTTACAGGCCAGCCTCCTGCTCCGGACTCCACCAGTGCTCGGTGGCCGGTCTTGGGCCGTGCAACGCCGGACTCTGCAGTATATTGCTATACATAGTACGATGGCGGACTAGGCTTGCTGTACAGCATCTCCCAAGCACCAATATAGAAGGGAAATTGACTTGGTTAAGAGACTTTTGCCTTGCAAAATTCGTTTTCTACGAAGGACGAGATTTCTTGAAGTTTGCATTTCCATTTTGCTCTCATACATAAGTGAAGCCCAACTCTAAACCATGTCCTCTTTTGGCAAATAAACCTTCGCAGAAATTTCTAGACAATGCCACGCTGCATTTCAATTAAAAGTATAAAAGTGCTTAACACTATTTCTTGAACCAAGAGACAACGACAACCACGTGGCTAAGCGAAACTTAGAAGTAGCCAGCCAGAAAACCTAGCTTGTCAACTGTACTTTATAGCAAACTAGCCTTTTTTGTTCAGAACAAAAATGAAAAGTTGGTATTCGCGTCTCTGTATAAAAACGAAGCAATTTCCTGTAATGATTTTCCTTTCAACCATTACATCTCCAGCCTTTACCTATCCCTCATACAAAGACACACTACACCAAGTACTCCTGTACCTCAACACTTTACCTAACCAAAACCGAAGCCAAACTTCAACATGGGTTGCTTTCAGTCCAAAGAGGTCATTGATGAGGACATTCCTCGTTTCGATAAGCACAACATGCCCCATCCCGTCAAGGGTCTGGAGAGCGGTGCTATTCGCTACGAAGACACAAAGCCTGGCCCAAAGCCCATCTACTTCAACCCTTACAGTGGCCATACCCACACACGCACCAACTCCGCATCTTTTGATAGCTGGAGTTCAGTAAAATACGCCAATGCTACAAAGTACTATCCTCCGGGTGGTGAGCATGGTACTTACAAGCCTATGAAGAAATAGAGCCCTCTTACCAGAGGATGCAATATTCTAGGGCGAGTGGATATTGAATTAAGCAAGTTTTTCGTTTGGAATAGAAAGAAGGTTTGCATCATTCTTGACTAACCCGATACGGGTCAGTCACACTCATTATAATAAAGCGGCCTACGAAAATACCAGACCATTCCCTTTGTTAGGTTTCCCTCTGTCAGATAGTTTATACGTACGAAGTAGATGTTTTTAATACAGTAGTACATTCCATAAACCTCTGCAGCTGTTCATTCTGGTCACACATGAGTAGATATTAACTGGTCATACGCAAGTAGACTTTTGATGAGATATTTTGCTTAATATTGGTTGCCCTTGCGAGCAGTATTCTGGATCAATCCTACTCCAACGCTGCTACATAAACGCAATATAATAATAATAAAACAATAGGCCCGGAGGCTTTCCCGTCCGAGTATATCCAAGAAAATAGAAAAAGGGAATCTTGCCAAGTATTACATGGATTCTGCGCAGCCCTTCTCTCTATCACTTTCGCAGAACCGTAACCCCCCCCAAAAAAACAACGTTTGAGGTGGTCCCGACCAACCTCTTGCTTCGCTAGCCGGAGTTGCACCCGTTTCTCTAGCCGAAAAATCTCGAAAGCAAAATGACAAGAAAAAAAAGAGAACCCTTTCAGTAGGGTTCAAGAATCCCGTCCTAATTGGCAGACATGCAAAATATCATGTCGGCTATTTGGTCGTGGATGCAGTAATAAGGATAGGCTCCCGGCCTGCTAATGAAGAGAATAGAATGTGTATCGTCAAGTCGTCAGAATATACCAAGTCTTTATACTTGGTTGTCGCTTTCGCTGTCGTCCTCCAAGACAAGTTCGTCGTCATCGTCGCAGGTTGCCGATCCAAGAGGAGTGTCGGCAATGTACAGGGTCAAGATAGCACCGCCAATGCTGACGAGTCCGTTTACCCACCAAGCAAGGCCAGAGTAACCGCTCGATAGGCCCAATGAGTAGAAGACTCCAGAGACAAGGGGACCCAAAGCACGGCACAGGCTTGCAGTGGAAGCAGCAGCTCCGTTGATTGTTCCGAGAACTTTTCTTGAAGAGGCGCTGTTGGCCAATAGGATGGCGTTGTTTGGGTAGGCCATCGTCGCGTAGGTGCACTTCCAAATAACCAAAATGTAGACGGCCGGCATCACAAGTTTGGTTGGTAGAATGACGATGTACGGTGTGACGAAGTACAGCATGAAATAAGAAAAGGCAAGCATTCTAAAGAGTCGGAGCGAGCCGAATCGGCGAGTGGCTGGTGCAACTAGGACGTAGTTTGAAAAAAGTGAGTAAGCGCCTTGGACCGCAATGATGACACCGACAGTTGCAGTACTGTATTGAAGGCCGACGACAAATTTGAATGGCAATTCGTAGACAGGGGTCTTGGGCGGCGCCATTTCGAGAAATACGGGGAAGAGTTGATCGAATGTCATGGTATGGCTATCTGCGGTTAGCGTGCGTAACATGGGATTGGTGACTGGTACTCACAAAGCAAGGATGCCGTACGACACAATGTTCAAGATGACGGGCTTGGTGAAGATTACTTGGGGTGCAGGCTCGCTATCAGCCAAAACTTCACCATCAATCATCTGCTCGGAATCTTCCTGAGGAGCCAGGAGTGGCGAACTTTCGTGGCTCTGGTATCTTGGTAGAGGCTCGTCGCTATCAGACATTGAATCGGTAGTATCGTAGCCGCAGAGTCGGTTGTCCTCTAAGAGGCCCTGTTTCTCAGTATTGCGCCAGTTGCAAGAGCTATTCTTTTGGAAAAAGGCAGCCAGGCGCCGGCCAGCGTCGCGGCATGGGTCGCGTTGCAGTTTCTTATCCGGGTGCGTCTCGTCGAGGAAGAGCAGGCCAACGGTGACACCGACCAGTACCATGAAGGCGCTAAAGAGATTCGGCAGTAAAAATGGGTATTGTTCCCATAGTGTACCTGTCGGGAAGATATTCGAGAAGCTTTTGCACGGGTTTGCTAGAGCGCCTCCGATGACGGGACCAAGTACAGAACTATTCGCTGCATTAGTATCGAGTTGTGGATTCCTCTGGTGGCGGATACTTACCCGATGCACCAAACCATGGGCATGATGGTATATGCGCGTGCTATAACCCAATAGTTAATACGAATGGCCTTGTATCTGATTTCAAATATGTTCAACTTACGCTGATGCTCTCGCACAGTCACAAGTTCTGCAACTGTTGTTTGGAGAACGCCAATGTTGCTGTGCGTGTGTTAGCAGCGAACTCGAGGTTCCACGGCAATGCATTGTACTCACCCATTGAGCAATCCTCCCAGAGCACGAGCAAAGAGTGCAAGGTAAAAGTTCTTGGCAAAGCCAAAGAGCAAAACGCTAATGGCAGTTCCAATGAGTCCACAGAGAAGAATGGGCTTGCGGCCCACGCGGTCACTCATCTTGCCCCAAAGAAAACCGGTGCTGAACTCTGCTAGTGTAAAGGCCGAAGTAATCATACCTGCATAGAGGGCGACTTGGCTTTCGTTATCTGTCATGTTGAAGCTCTTGATCATCTCTGAAACATAGGGAAAGATCGACATAAAGGCGATGGGTTCGCATATTCTGCAGCAGGCTGGTTGCGAGACGTTAGCTAGAGTGAACATGGGTAACTTGAAGAAAACAAGTTTGGGTAAGCCTTACCAAGAACAAACATCTGTTGGGCTGGGAATGTCGGCTTCGATTTGGAGCCGCGAGAGGCTAGACGCCGAGAGGCGCCGGGTTCTGGCGTTGTTCGGCGCATGATGGCAATTGTGAAGAAAGTATGCGTCTGTGTGTAGAGTATTCAAGCAAAATGCTGAACAAGAAAGCCGTATTCAACAAATGACGTCGTAGCTGGCTGTGGAAGGGTGGTCAAAGTGGTTTCTAGCGGCCAGGATGCGGTTGGTGGTTCGAAAGCGTAGTGTGTCTACAAGAGGAAGGCGGACGTAAAGGCAATGGATGTTTCTTTGTAGATGTCGTGCCAGGTCGTATAGATATAGAGGAGAGAGGCGTGAAGGGGAGAATTAGAGACGGTTTGTACCAAGAGAGAGTAATGGGGTGAGGAAAGGGAAGGAGGGTGGACACTGGTCTGTATAAGAGCGAGGAGAATGACGAATCGGGCTGTCGACAAAGCCAAAGGCGGCCCTGCTCCGGCAAACTTGGCCGACACGGACACACAGATTAAGACGGGCGGTGGCATGAGCCCAACCTAGCGGCGCCAAAGGACTCCCACAGAAAGGGAAAAACGGGCTGATCTCCCTGTAATCTGGTGCTAAAAACGAGCGTGACAAGGATAGACAGCCCCGGGGGGGAGGGGTGCGCCAGGTGCTGTGTGAGGCCAAAAAAAAAGCACTAAAAAAGAAACCTTCCAGCCAATGCGCTGCTGGAATCTCCAGTGCGGTGCCCGCCGTCTCCAGTGCGCTGGGTCGCTAGCGGTGGCCCGGTCTCCCCGTCGTGTGCCCGCCGCGCGAACCAGCTGAGGCTGGTACTGACGAGGTACCATTCTGCTGGGCGCCTTTCCTTTTCCGAGGGACGCCAGGCACCTGGGCTTGTGGGGAGCTGGCAGGGATGGCGGTGACGGCAGCCGTCCACGGTCCACTACTGGCTGTCGAATGGGCGGCTTCACGCTGCCTGCTGCTGGGTTTTTAGCGGTTGGGAAAAGGGGCAGGGGCGTGTGTCGCTGCGGAAAAGCGCATCTCCGGCGTGCACCGTCGACCACAGCCCTGCGTATATCCCCCTTCCCCTCCCCCCTCCCACCCCCATGGCCAAGCCCTGCAAACCCGAGCTGTTGGGCTTGACACGCAAGGCTCAGAGGCAGCCACCATCGCTCACATGCCCTGGAAGCTGCTGCTGTGGTCTTAGGCGTGTCCAGACGAGGCGTTTGTTGCTGGCGGCGGCGGCGGCGCTCAACTTGGCAATCCTTAGTCTTCGCTTCACGATTCACGGCCGCTGTCAACGGATGCGATTGGCTCGTCCACGGCTTCTTCTCTCACTTTGGATCCTTCTCTCACTCCTTCTTACGCATCCAGAGCCTTGTTTGTAATCCCATAGTCCACAATATTCCTCCGAACGACTATGCGGCCCGGTTCTCCGGACGGGCACTACCGCAGCTTGTTGCCATGGCCAAATGCAGAGTTGACTCACTCTTCTTTTTTCCCTGTAACAAATTACTACCTGATGAAGCGTGATTCGCCTCACGTCACACAAGAAAAGGCGGCCAAGTCACCGCCTCGATATGCTGCGCCGCGGCATCAGCGGTCGACTATACTTGACGTATATTTCAGAAACCCTTGGTCGATTGTTGACGTCGGTGCGCTGCAGACTGCAGGCTGCCACTTCGGGCTGCAAATAGATCATAGCGTGTTTCTATCATGGGCGTGCAGTACAGAGTATGCCCCAACCCACTTGCTGCAGCAAACCGTATTATTCGGCCCAAGGCGTTGTTGCGGCGTTTCAGTCGCCGTCTCCGCCGTTGTCCTCACCGGAAGCACCCGTTTTGGACGGCTTTGTCGCGTGATCACGCCTTTAATTTGAATCATCTCAAGCCGGTGAGTGTCTATTTGGCAGATATCATTTATCATTTGATCTGTAATGCATGTATATCAGGGCGGCTCGCTAGTAGGACTGCGTTGACCGGTCCGGCGACACAACCAGATAGCGGTGCCACTCGGCGGGGCTGACGTCGTCAGGCTGCCGGTGTCGATCCAATATGTAGAATACCGGCGGAAATGCCACAGAAGCGATTGCATTATGATATCGGCCTACGTTTGGTAGCACAATAACAGGAGCCTATACGAAAATCCTGCGCCGAACTCTTGCGTCTTCTTGTTACACGGGTGTCCCGTCATTGTGCAGGCGGTGTTGAACCGGTCAGGCAAGTGTCGCAGATATTATGCTGCTGCAAGCCTGCAGATGTATGTTGATTCGACGACCGACTACGATAACTCGGCCAAAATGCAAACATGATGACCATCAGGTGTTGGCCCTTGTCTTCTAATTTTCCCCCTTTTGGCAATCTGTGCAGTGTTGCATGCGCTTCGGGTTTCCTCTGGAAGGATGGCAAATGTAGCCGCCGAGGCGAGGGAAACACCAACAACCAGGATCCATCCAGCTGGCTCAATATTCAAGAGACTGTTGGACGTCAACGACCAAGAACGGGGCGAATACCGAGGCGCTGGTGCCGATTCGGACCGTTCAATCTCGCTAGACAACTCGCCGACCATTGACCCGTAGGATACTCTACTTAGTGCGATGCGCGGTGTTCCATAGAGAGTGACATGTCCATTGTGACAGAAAATTAAATAAGGGGGGAAGCTACGCAACTAGTGTAGCACCCCGTCTGTTCCGAAATGGCGGTCATCCTCAGCATGCTAGGCTTTGCTTTAGCAACTCCGGCGGCGGCCCAACTTAGCGCAAAAGGGGCCTTGTTCCAGGCACTAAGCGAGGTATCAACTGTTCTGGGGAGCAGCAGCTGGGTGCGTTGAGTCATTGCCATTCGGCGGACAATGCACCGTGGACAAAGGCCGCGAGTGGAATAAAAAAAGAGGACAATCGCCGATAGGTGCAGTAAGCAACAGGGCGAATTCTCGAATTAGAAACATCCGCATCAGCAGCAGCAGCAGTGGCAGTAGAGGCGTGTTCAACGGTGCTAGACGCGCATGCATGAGCTGCGAACAGGTGATTGGCACCTTGGCACGCCAGCACTGGGCGGCGACCAGCTTGCCAGGCGTCATCTGTACAACACAGTACCTCTATTTGGCACAGCAGTCTGGTACAACCTATTGTAAGGTGTAGAGTAGGCACTGGCCCAGTGCACGCACGCCTGCCTGCTCCGACAAAGGCGCTAAGTTTGGTTTGCTGTACTGTGGGCACCTCCAGTATGGCGCCCTCCCCTCCCGGAAAGCCTCCCCGGGAAGCCGGCCGTAGGCCATGCTTCGTCCATCCCAGCTTCCCAACGTACCTGATTTGTACCATTGGCCAAGCCCCTCTCTAAGCCCACTACGTGTCTCCACGGCCACTCGTTGACGACTCTTTGCGTCCTTCCAGAACATTGCTTTTTTCTGATTGCCTCTTTGTTGTCTTCTGTTTTCTTTGTCCTGGTTATTGCCCAGACACCCACCCCCCATTTTTTCCCTTTTAATTAGCTTCGCCACCACGACGGATGCGACCTCCGCGTTCATTTAGCATGCGCTTCCGCGGGGGACTTGGCTCCAAGCTAATGGAAATTACCAGTTTGGTATGATGAAACAATGTTTCGGCACTTGGGATCTGTTACAATGGAATCCCCATGCATCGCAACGCTGCTGGCCCAGAATGGCCTGCGCAGGTCCACCAGTTGACTCAAAGCACGTTCACCGAGTCTCATGGTGATGCTGCGCAGAAATCGTCAGCAGACCTCGTGCCTAGCTGCGTTCATTGCACCGGTCAACGGCACCAGGCATAATTTTCCCTCACCCTGGCTCGTTGCACAGCATCAGGCTCGGCGTCCGCTCCAAACATCATGGCCGCCTCAAGCAAGAAAAAAATACGCCGAATCGACCGCCTATCCAGACACGCATACACATACACATTCTTGCATCTACTGTAGCATATGAAGTTGCAGTGCAAATCCAGTGCAAATTGGCATGCAAGCTCAAGACGTCGTAAGGCAGCATGCACAAGGATGACATGCAGGCACAGCCAACGACACCCCGTCAGTTCCGCGATAGACGCCGCACCAAGCACTGCGCTTCCCCTTTGGTCTGCTGGCATCTGGAATTTTTGGCACCTTGGGGTACTACAATGCACGCCGGATACTATGGCTTGTCGTGCCGTATAGCAGCTGGTACATCAGCTATGACCTGATCGTCATATGTGCCATTATATTTTAAATTGTCCTTTCTTCGGTACTCACCGCCAACTCCCCTCGTGATCCCATGGCGAGTTACAAAATTGATACCAGTAGCGAGCGGGGCGAGCCAAAAGTTGGGCACACCAGAGGTTTACCCGTGGCGTCATTGTCAGGAGGCCCCTGCCCAATGACAGCTCTAGGAAGCGTTGCCACTCGAATTCTGAGGCCACTCTTCCCTGCTTACCGGAGAGCCGGTTAAGCATCCGGCGCTGTCTGCCAAAGCCCCCTCTCCCCGGAAGATTGGGCGACCCTAGGCGCCATGGCGCAACAACCAAACAGCTTGTCCACGCTAAGCTACCAGGGGCCGGGCCGCCAAGGCCCAATCGCATCCTTCTCTATCCTCCACCATCAACTAGGTCGCGACGCGACAACGCCTTTGGGAACAAGAAACATCAGCGCCGATGGGGGATCTACAGACGTCGCCGTTGTCAGCACCCCGCCAGCACGCGTTGGTTTGTGCTCAGCAGAGAGGTTACTAATGCGCCATGATAGGCCGATGCACGTTGCTCCCGACTTTAGCCTCGATTCTAGGACGGTTTTGATACGAAGAGCTCTCTCCTTTGTCAATTACAGGCGGAAAATAACCCATTCATTGGGGGCTTCATTGTCGTAATTGACTAAATAGGGTTATTTGGAAGGCCTTCCGGACAAATGGTCGTTTGTGGCTGCTCTTGCGAGCCAGCGATCCTTCTCGCCTCCTAACTGTAATATATGATGTATCAGTTTTCCTATGTTGTTCCTAGGCGGCAGGGCGTTGCTCATCCACACAACCTTCAGTTCTCGGCGTACAAGGGCATCGGATTCTGCGGACCAGACCAAAATACGATGAACAAAGGATTTTTTATCTCGCAGGGAATGCCCCAGACCTCTTGGTTAGAAACGAAGCCACGGGCGGAAACCTGCTTGTCCGTGGAGACGTATGAGGCTGGGATGAATTCCGACAATCATCACTAAAATGGTGGCTATTCTGGGAGTCCAACTGGAGCCTGGAAAACGGATGAATCTGTCCACGATCCTGGGCCCTGTACCCTCACCATGTTGATATCCCTGTTCCAGCTGCTCTTCCCCGCGCACTGGCCGCTTCAGAGCCTTGCAATACCCGTCACTCACTCGTGTTGGTTGGCACTTTCAGGGGGATGGGCCTTCCAGTGACCGAAGCTTCATGCGAGTTACCGAGCCTGCTTCACTCGGGCCTGCATGAAGGAGGGCTGCCAGTAGCCTTGCGACCAACGCCATGACATTCAGCTGCGCAAAAGCGGTACAAACGGCATCTCCCTGACTCGTATTGATTTCTCTTGGATTCTCAAATGGCAAACAGATTTAATTCCTCTAGAGAGGCATTATGCCGCCAAGTCTTTTTTTCCGGGATGCGAATCGCACGTTCAGCCCGGTTGACTCGACTACACCTACAAACTACAAAAGAAACATTGTCCAGAAAACTTCGGTCCAAGATGCCAAAATACATATGAAAAGCTTAACTTAAGTGTAGGCTTCAATGAAATATAGCATAAAAAAGAAAGCGGGTAAGCGTATCTCCAGATGCATCCAAGCGACGCTTGAATGTGGAGGCCGCCATTCGCGCACATGAGCTCCAATGTAGTATAAAATTCAATGGCAAGAAAACTTTACTAAAGTAAGCTAGCGATATATAAAACTCTAAATAGCTATTGACCAGAGATTGAGGCCAAAAACTCGTTAAGTTTGCAGCACGCGATGCGCCGACGCCTTATCAGATCGCATGACGTCCATTCCCACCAGGCGGCACAAGCTCGGCTCCACTTCTGCAACCTGACTCACCAAAGCATTTTCCTAGAAACTTCTCATAGACAACAGTTTAGCTTTCTCCTACAAACCCTATATATCGCATCCTATATACATAGTGCCTTTGTCGCACTGCTTTCGTTCGACACAATCCCGACAAAAGACTCAGCACTTCCCCACATATACGGTCGACTAGATACTAGCCAAGATGCCCGGAAAGAAGGTTGAAAATAGCAAAAAGGTTGCCGGCAACGCCAGAAAGGCGGAGGCTGCGGCGAGGAAGTCCGCTGCAGAGGACGCAGTTAGAGAACAAGAGGAGTCTGAAAGATGGAACAAGGGCTCCAAGAACAATTCTAAGAAGTAAGCGTTATATCAAGATGGAACTGGCAAGACACCCCACTAATCATGCTGTGCAACAGGGAGGCCGAAGAGGCAAAGAAGGCCGAACAAGCACGAAAGAAGGCTGAGAGAGATGCCCTTATGAAGGAAGAGGAAGCTAGCAACGGCGGACGGGCCGAAGCCAAGAAATCCAAGGCACCTGTCAAGAGAGCCCGTGGCCTGGATCTCTCTCAGCTGGACGACAAGCCTGCCGACCTCAACGCCTCTGGTATCGACAACGCCCTCGACGCCCTGACTTTGACCTCAGGTGGCGGCGATACTGCCATCGACAAGCACCCCGAACGCCGATTTGCGGCAGCATACCGCCAATACGAGGACCGTCGATTGGCTGAAATGAAGGCGGACGGCAGCGGCACAGGTCTCCGACTTGACCAGCGCAAGCAACGTATAAGAAAGGAGTTCGACAAGAGTCCAGAGAACCCCTTCAACCAGGTTACAGCTGCCTACAACGCCACTCGGGAAGACATTAAGCAGGTCCGAGAAGAGGAAATGAGAAAGATTGAAAAGAGACTCGGTTAGAGCGTTTTAGGCTCGGCGCTACGTCTTTATTGGATGGAGAAAATTCTAAAATGCATTCATGTTTCTTTGCAGTTTCTAAGTTAAAGTTTGGAGTTTTCAATAGACTAAGGTTGTCACATAAAAATGTATTTTTGTTTCATTTGTTTCCACCGTGGGCTGCGATGACGTTTGTGTCGAATCTCCAACTCCTACCCCGCCAACCCCACGATGTCCAAGCGGGCAGAATACACACCGCTTTCATTGACCGCCAGGTAGGCTTCGGCAACACAAGCATCTCTACTCTTACTACACGAAGGTTTTCCTCCCTCCTCTAACAGAGATTATAATGTTTTTACTATGTCCTCATTAAATTTATCCAAACTTCCTTCGTTACGAAAGCAGCAGCTGCTGTCCGAATTGTATGGAACGAAGCTACCAGTTGACATTGGTGACATTGCTAACGCGTTTCGCAGCTCCGGACTTAAACAAGCATGTCCATCCGGCGTCTTTGTTAGCCTAACTCCAGGTGACCCGAGTCTTTGGTCTGCCGTATTATTTATGAGAGAAGGTATTCAATCCAATCCGGGGCTCTTGTTGGCGGAGATTCTAACGCGTAATCAAGGACCTTACTCGCCAGCCGTCTTGCGATTCCAGATACTCTTTCCGTCGTCCTACCCGCATCTACCACCCCTTATTACATTCGCAACCGATATATTTCATCCACTGATTACACCATTAACTACATACATGTATACGACAGACATCCATGATAATGGCACCGTGAGCGCTACTGACGCCGAACGTCTGCCTCCTGGCGGCTTCAGCCTAAGACATGGCTTCCCCGAATGGTTCGGCAGAGGCCGAAGAGCAACTCTAGAAAGAGCCATGAGCCCCACGAACGATCCCTCTGTACACCAAACCCCTACACCCATGTCGCCCGATGTCAACACTTTTCGTCTATCAATGCAACCTACGACGCCGCGGCAAACACCATCCATTTACACGATCCTAAAGTACATCAAAAGCACATTTAGCGACGCAGAGGTTCTTGACTCGGTTCCGCTAGATGCTGCTGGAAATCCTGGTGCTTGGCATGCCTGGCGCACACACCGAAGAAAATTGGGCAAGCTGCCTGGAGAAAAACCGACCCCCGCTGAACCGCCATCAACACCACCCGCTGCTGCTGTTGAGCAAGTGACAGCATCGCCGTCCAAGCTGAAGACTAACCAGCATGCTGTTCGAAAGCCTGGAGAATGGAACTGGGATGGGGTTTGGGAAGACCGTGTAAAAAAAGGAATCTCCGCCAGTTTGTCTGAACCGGTTCTCTACGGAGGCGCGACAGCAACTGATGAGCTTGTAAGTCCTTGATTTCACACGTTGTAGGGCGAATTGCTAATTTTATAGATTCGATTCTTGGCGTTAGATGAGTCCGAAATCGAATCGATAAAGGATAACTTACAACGAACATTGGGGGCATCGACATGACATCGCGGCACCGCTGCATCTGCGACCCAACGCACCTGCACTCTGTATATACCACATACAACCGAAATACAAAAGTAAGCGCGAACATGAAACGTTTGCCAGATTTATACTCTCCATTTCCATTATCATTTGCTTTTGTATGGTGACATCATATTCAATTTCGATACCCGCTCATCGCATTTTTAGTGTGGCTCTTCTTAATGGTCTTCTTCTTAGCCTCGCGTGTTTCTAATAGGCCATATCGGATTTAAGGTATTGTCCATAGAGCTGCGCATCACGTCTTATCCAAGTTTTCGTTACGACACCCGCATTTATATCAATTAGATATTCACCAACATGTCACCTAACCCTTTCTTTGGAGGACAAGGCGGACGCACAGAGCTTGAATGTATACCTTTGGTCCATCTCAACACCTTGGAAAAGCCAAGTCCCCTTAGAATAATCAAGAAGAAATCCAGATTAGACAGCCGACCTTCTCACCAAGATAGACGGGGGGTTGTCAGTTCAGGAATGACGAAAGCTAGAGCGCCTTCAGTCTCAGATTGCTTGACGCCCACGAAACATATTCCATCCAACTTACAACCTTGGTTACAAAGTATTCGAAGCGCTGAAATTCCACAATTTCAATACACCAATCGAAACATCGTAGCTCGAGCCAATTACCAAGATGCGCAAAATCACGCCACAATTGAAACACGTCATTCGTCCTCTCAATCGAGCAATTCCTACGAAGGCGCCTCGTTTCCAAACTCATCGGGCTTCAGCAACAATCGGACACGAGACACTTCGTTAGAATTTGAACAATCCAGGCTTATTGGATCTGATGGTTTAATGCGGCAGACATCGTTAGGCGACGATCAGGATATGGGCTTTCAGGGCATCTTACCACAGGTACTCGCGCCGCATGTTGATATTACCACAAATACTGGTGGCTTACTTTATGATGGTTCTGAGTACATCTGGGCCGCAGTAGAGATATCTGGCAAATTGTCTCATACGTACTCGGCAGATGCCGTACCGAACACTACCACCAGCTTTGATAACGCAACCAGCGACGCTATTGACGACCAGCTAGGTAGGATGCGTTCGACTACTTTTGTTAATCTATACTAACTGATAACAGATTGCTTCTTTAAGCATGGCCGCTTGTACGATCTCTCAGTAGAAATACTCTCGTCTTCGGATACAGAGATTTCCCAAGTTCTACACCATCATAAGTTTCCAACGTAAGCCTGTTTGTAAAATCTAGACTATTTTGGTCGCCAGCTAATATCTCAGTGCTATTTACTCCGGCTCAACTATACTGTTACTGGTAAAAGTTCGCTTTTGTCAGCAATGGTACACTTCTTATCCAATTACAGGACACGACAAGCCAAGGTCTGACCAGCTGATTGAAGACCTAGAGTCACAACTAGGCAATACCTCAGTACCGTATATGCAGATTAGAATAACATATTCTCATTCTGCATTTGCGGAATACTCTGAAACACTATGCCCCAATGGTGTCTCCTACCTGTCTAGCCGCTTGGAAACAACCGCAACGGCGTCGCTGAAACGACATAACCGGCAATCAAACTGGTGCTCACCACCTCTAGCAAATACAGATGCATTATTTGAAGTGATGAAGCGCCATTGGGATATTGAAAGAGCCAGTCGTATCTTTGAACAAATACAATCACAGAAGGGTGTAAACCCATCACTGACACCACGGCATACGAGCAGCTGTAGAGTAGATGGGACATCATTGTCGCCTTCAAATTTCCCATCACAACTCTCTCCACCCCGGCTTAGTCTAAAAGAGACAATACAACTTTCCAAGAAACGAGTCAGTGGGAAGAGTCGCCGAACAGTTTCTCAAGCACCACAGCGAACGGAGCCAGAAGATCACAAGGTTACTAAACGACGCTCGCTCGGCAACGAGTTCTTGCGGGGGTTAATGCCAGCATTTGGTGGACTATCGGTGGAATATGACGAAAGATGCCTTACAAATGAGCTATCTGGCACACCAATCTTTGCGCAGAGCAGAAAAGATGCTTGGGTATGGGACTGGGGCTCGTGGTTTTAATGTGTTAGAACATGGGTAGAGTTATATTGTTTCCTGCCCAACAGCAGATTCTATCTACATGGAATTAAGTTACTGCAACTCGTCCTTCCAAGGAATGGATACCTGTGCTCCTCTACGAGACACTGTAATTGCAGAAGCAGCCGTAGCTGACTTGAGAGCCGACTCAATATCAAATTTCTGGCCGTCTGCCTCTACGACAGACAGGGCATAAGATCCAACAAATGTATCTCCTGCAGCAGTAGTATCCACGACATTCGCCTTGAGAGCTGGGATCAGAGCACTCTTTCCATCGCTTGTGGCAAAGTAGACACCGCGTCCGCCCAAGGTAATGACAACGTTTTTGACACCTCTCTCGAGGAAGATCTTTCCTACTTTGTTGAGTCCGGCTAAATCGTCAAGGTCAGATTCTGGGCATCCCGAGAGGATAGCTGCCTCAGTCTCGTTCACGACCAAGTGGGCGAGGCCCTTGTAGGCATGTTCGGGTAGAGGTTGCGCTGGGGCAGGGTTCAATAGCACCGGCACTCCAGTATCCCGAGCAGCGGACAGAGCTTGCATAACTGTATCGAAAGGAATTTCTAGCTGCATAATGAGCAGGTCAGGTCGCGGTTCGGGGAGGGTAGAGAACTCGGTGGGCAGCAAGCTGTGGTTGGATTCGGGGGATAGGATGATTCTGTTCTGGCCAGACGGCTCGTCAACGACAATAATAGCAATACCAGTCTTGCCGTCCTCGCGGACAGCAACACCAGTAGTGTCGACTCCAAAGGATGTCAAGCTTTCGCGAAGCTGGGAGCCATAGGCATCAGAGCCTACGGCGCCAACCATCAGGATATCGGCCGAAGGGTCGGCGAGATTAGATGTGCGGGAGAGTTTGCCACATGCCACGGCCTGGTTGGCGCCTTTTCCGCCTGGGGATACATTGAAGTGGTTTGCCGTAAGAGTCTCGCCTGGTAGCGGGTGGTGAGGTACGTAGGAGACAAGGTCAATGTTGAGAGAGCCGAGGACGGTAATGCGAGGGCGAGCCATTGTTGGTGTTGGTTGCTGTGTTCAAATATAGAGAATATGACGTATGATATGGTTTTCAGGCGAGATTTACTGGTATTTTAGAAGATACACCAGCGGGGAGAGGAATTGGTCAGTGGCTGATTGGGGGAGAAGACGTTTGTTGCAAGACGGCAAATTTGGCATCGGAGCTCAGCGACGACGAAAACGGTCCCCGCCTGCCCCGCCATGACGAGGTGGGGAGGAAGAAATAGCAGGTGGCCCCCAACAATTAACGGGCAGCCCCGCTATAAAAGGTGGCCACAGCCCGCTAAAAGGACCGCACACAGAGAATTACAGGCGCTGCCACAGGTCTGCATTACTGTAATGTAATTGAGAACATATGTCTGGTGGCGGGGTATCGAAACCGCGGCAATGCTCTGTATGCTGCAGCGTATGTAAAACTGGGAGTTGGTATCCCTTTGCTTATCAAGAGGTTTGCAACTTGCCGCAGAGCACTACATCTTCTCCAAATGGAATCCAGCTTACATCGCAGAGGCGTGCAGCGGCTGCTGGTGTTCCTTTCTCGTCATGAACTCGTTCAGGCGAAACCACCACCCCGCCTTGACCTAGCCACGTAGGTGCAATAGTCACAATGACAGAGTCAACGAGGCTGTGGTAGTCGGGATGTAGTAGCGAGTTGATAATGTTCGCTCCTCCTTCCACCATCACACTGGACAGCCCGGTCTCGTGCAAAGCGGTCATGATATCCCGCCAGTCAAACCGTGACCGTGAGGTAGCTTTGTCCGGTTGCGCTGGAATCTGTATATATCTCCCTCCATGACTTTCAAGGACCTCTCGGCTGGCGGTTGGTATGCCGTCGTGGTGCTGAGTTGTGATGATGAATGGAGCGAGCCCCCGCCCAAACTTGCATGTCTGTAACACTTTATCCGTAGCTTGTGGGGTCCAGCGTAGATGGGGGTCAATAATGATTGGTCTTGGTTGAGAATTGGCTCCTTGGATGCGGCAGTTGAGCGCTGGGTCGTCGGCTAGCATTGTTGATACACCTACTAAGATGGCGTCGTGGCGCGAGCGCAGATAGTGCGTCATGGCCTTCGAGTCAGGGCCAGATAAACGGGTTCTGACACCGGGTGCTAATGATAAAGATGAATCGAGGGATGTCGCGAATGTTAATGTGACAAATGGCCGGCTCTGTGGTTGCTCTGTTGATGTGCGAGCTGAGGAGGGGTTTGGCGGCAGTCTTGGCTCTAAATTGAGAGCCGATGCGGCGGAAAAGGTAAGCGTATCAGACATATTGAGAGGCTATTAAACAGGTTTGAAGTGGTTGGTAGAAAATTTTAGGTTTAAATAAACACCAGAGAGTTGCGCTTCCTTTGCGTTGTTGATGCAAGACGTCGGTTCCATCCACGTTAGCTCTGGTCGAAGTTTTGTCGTCGTAGACCCGCACCACGCAACAAGAACCTCGCATAAAGACTAGAACCAACGGAAAGAGATGCGAGATTATCAACAATAGTACAATATTTTTTTTTAGCTTCATTCGCTACTTTTGATATTTTTATTATTTGTTCAAATATTTATTCTATGTATCTGATAGTCATTAGTAGCGTTATATAATCATGATAACGTGATCGTCCTCCATTAGCAGAACTAGGCAGTCATCGCTTCCCATATATTGGGTTGCCGTCATTGTCAAACTCTGCCCATTGGAAATGGCTACAGCCTTCCTTATCCGGGATATTCCCCGCATGGCACATCCAAAAGTATTTGCCAAAGTTCTCCCGCTTCCTGGTCACCACACGCAACACGCACGGGATATTGCATTTGCACTTTGGCGTGTACCTTGGATGCATATTCGCCCGGTAGTCGCGATATGTGATATTTATTCGCTTATTTCCAGCTATCGGATGCGGATCAATCGATAGTGCTGGTGCAATACTGTGTTTCCATTCTTCCTGCATCTCAGCATGCATCACAAGTAGAGAGTTGTGTGGTAGGTGAATAGATATTTGCCCCTCTGCGTCGGAGTCTTCTGGCCGTCTAGTGTCCTCATCCTTTGGTAGAACTCGGCGGACACGGAATTCGCGAGCCACGCCCAGCGATATAGACCCTATAATAGCTCGAGGGCCCAAATACGTCAGATGGTCACTATGCCACCCAACACTCTGCTGCGCTCCGTCGTAACAGTTTACAAAAGCAGCATTGGGAATCCATGTGTTTGGAGACTGATATTTAAGTTTTTTGCCGCCCGGATACGTCGTCTTTATTCGATCTTGGACCTCGCTGTTGACGGCATCTTGGACCAGCGGGCGCACTTTTGTGAGTTGGGGTGTCAATTGCCGAATATCCTATAACACGGTCAGCCATTATTTTTTGTAGTGTTTGAAAGATCCACTGCGTTGGAATTACATTCAGTTTTGATCCATTATAATAGTAGTCCGTTTTGAGTGTCTGAATCTCGCTCGTACTGCCAACATAGAAGCTGGACGTATGGGGGCTTGACACCACATTATCAAACAGTTTAAATGTAATTTGTTCAAACGTAGGCGCTTCGTCAAGCAGTTCTTTTAACAGATCATTCGCTAGATCGGGTGGTAGAAAGTTGTGTATGATTGTGCACGGTGTATGTTCTGCGACATCGGCAGGGTCGAATAAATGCAGGGTTGCGCCCTTCCTTGATTTGACCTTTTTCTTTACTGGTGAAGTGGAAGATGCTCCTCCAACAGCGAAATGTCTGAGCGATTGTTGCTGTCCAATAACGCCCGTCTTTTTGCCTCCGGGTTTGAAGTTTTGGAGAGACGCCGATGCATCTGCTACTGATCCGTCATGCGCCAGAAGAACATCCATAAGCGTCTCTTGGTCAATGTCGGAATGAAGAGATGCGAGCATAGCCAGTTTAAGCTCGGTGGAATCTTCCGCGTCTTCTGCAGGCGGCGGAGTACTGGCCTTTCTCTTCGGCCGATTCAGAACGGCCTTCATGATGTCATGCTTCTCAGCATGCTCGGAACAGCACTGCAGCTGCGTAGGTCCTGTCTATAGGGAACGATGGGAAAATGAAATGCCAGCTAGGAGTGCGAAAGGAACGAATACAAATGTGGGTTTGGTTTGGCCAAAGCCAAGTACGGATGTATGAACGCACATTAGTTTTGCGCTAAGCCGCCACTTCGAAAGCAACAGCGACCACTCTAGCGCGTCTTGCACTGTAGCGAAGAGAACACGACCCGGCGCGGTGTCATGTGACGGGCTGCGGACCATGGCGCCCAAGGTCACTGAATTTACAGCGGGCTCTTCAGCGGTCTGCTCCAGGTTACAGTGGGGCGACGTAGCCGAGGCACATGCTGGAGCAGCCACAAAGCTATCAACTCGAACGTCAGAAGCAATTGTTGAGAGCTGATTTGCTGGCTTGTGCACCAATTGAAACCCGACTGTATTCTCCGACTACCCGCTCTCTTGTCTTCTTGTTCCCTTTCAACATTCAACAACATTACAAAAAAGAAAGTACAACGCCTCCAGAAACAGCGTTTGTCCAGTCTTATCTACCCCTCCCATAACATCCCGGCCCCTCTTCCAAGATGGCGGCTATGCTCGAGTTCCGTACGCAGGGCTACAACCCATATGCGGTTAAATATTCACCATATTACGATTCGCGCATAGCAGTTGCTGCTTCCTCGAACTTTGGTATTGTCGGCAATGGCCGCCTCTTCACTCTGGGCCTCACGGCGCAAGGCATACAGGTCGAAAAGGCGTAAGCACCCTGCTGGTCCTCCCGGTAATCCAACACCAATCGCAATACTGATCTCTGTCTAGATTCGATACAAACGATGCACTATATGACCTTGCGTGGTCTGAAATCAACGAAAACCAGGTCATTGTCGCTTGCGGAGATGGCTCTCTCAAGCTGTTTGATCTCGGCGTTAACGACTTCCCCGTCATGAACTTCCACGAGCACAAGCGCGAGACCTTTTCGGTCTGCTGGAATCCTGTAACAAAAGATACATTCATTTCTAGCTCTTGGGACGGAACTGTAAAGATTGTGAGTCTCCTTTCTTAGAGCTGACAAGGCGCTTGGCCATATTGCTAACAGGCTCCAGTGGTCGCCAACAAGAAGCCATTCTATCAAGACGCTCCCCATTGGCAACTGCACATATAGTACATCGTTTTGTCCCTCAAATCCAGCCCTTATATCAGCCGTCTCCTCTGACTCTCATCTGAGACTTTTCGACCTCCGTACACCCTCGTCTGCCAAATACCACCTAGTTTCCACAATACCAGTCCATTCCGCCGGCCCGTCGGGCGGTAGCCCTCCTGCCGAAGTACTGACGCACGATTGGAACAAGTACAACGATACTGTGGTTGCTACGGGTGGCGTTGATAGGCTCCTGCGAACCTTTGATATTCGAAACCCGACAGGTGGGCCCTTGACACTGATGCAGGGCCATGAATATGCCGTTCGCAAGGTCGCTTGGAGCCCTCATTCAGCTGACATCCTCCTCTCTGCCAGCTACGACATGACCGTACGATTATGGAATGATGGATCCGGTGGACAGCCGAGTATTGCTCCTCAAGGACCACAAGGCCTGCGTCTGGGTCAGCAGATGGGCATCATGAACCGACACACTGAATTTGCCACTGGCGTAGACTGGTGTCTCTTTGGTGCAGGCGGCTGGGTCGCATCAGTTGGATGGGATGAGCGGGTGTTACTCTGGGATGCCAATATGCTCATGGCCCAGCGCTAAGCTTGGGTAGGCCCAGAAAGAAGAAGATGTTCATAAAAATTGGCGGTGGCGAGGGTGTCCTTACTACCCAGTTTTGTTTTTTTCGATATAACCATAGCGTTGCTGGCTGCCCTCTTATTCATAGAAAAGATATAGGAAGGGAATTGATTTTATAAAGTCTATATGCAAACAGCTTTTTGGAGCTTTTCAAGTGCTAGGAGAGATTGTCGTTGCTTTTCTGGTTGCCCCCCGGATACGCCAAACAAACAACCCAGAGAGTGTGTCTATAATACAAAATATGTCGTGCCATACGACTCAAAGATCCCATCGTTTGCGATGTAGCGGAAAAGAAAATGAAATATAGAATACAGGGAATTGTGAGGCAAACAACCATGCCAACGTATGGAGTGGCCGGTGTGCTGATTGCCTCTATTCCAATAAATAGTACAAGTCTTTACCAGCTAGACTCCTCCTCTTTGTGTCGAGGGTATGAGTCTCGTCGAGAGAAGCGCTCTCTTCGCTTAGAAGGGAAACGGCCAGAGTCGCGTCCCCGACCACCAAATCTGTCGGAACCTCTGCCACGGTCATCTCGGCGGACGTTTCGACGCATGTTGTCGAATGCGTCACCACGATTACCTCGGTCGTCTCGGTCATCCCGATCGTCGCGGCTGGATCTCTCATCTCGAGAGAATCCTGTCCGAGGTGGTGAGTTGATGTTCAGATAGCGGGTGCTGATTCCAAGGTTTCTGGCCCACGATGTCGAAACTGGAGGTGGTGCCTCCCAACCCCAGCCTTCAACGACCCACTGCTGTAATTCTTGTGCAAGCTCTTCTCGGCTTCCCATGTGAGCACCGAAAACAGAAGTGTATGTGCTTCCGAGAAGGTTCGAGGGCAAACGAGAATAGAGCTGAGCGGTATCATCCACATAGCTGGTTTCTCCAGCAGCACCAGGGCTTGCCGTCGCACTCTCTAACGATTCATTGGGCTTGATGGGTAAGCCCTTTAACATGTTTCTTGTTGTTCGAAGGGATGACGGAGGGAGAAGAATCCAGCCTTCACCATCCTTTCCTTGGCGACCGGTCCTGCCGAGACGGTGGATGTAGGATTCACGATCACGAGGGCAGTCGACCTGGATAACGTGTGTGACATCTGGGAAGTCCATTCCGCGGGCGGTGACGTCGCTAGAAAACAGAATGGCGCTGGATGCTGAGCGGAAGAAGTCGGCAGCGCGAGTTCGCTGGTTCTGGGTGAGTGCTGAATGAATCGCGTACGTCTGGACATTCATGTCGCCAGACTTGCGGCGCATGTAAGCTAATTCGCCAGCCATCTGCACAAGCGCCGTTGTATTAAAGTAGACAATGGCCTTGAAAGGCTTAGCATCAGGCTTGGATTTTGCCTTGGCTGATTCACGGTCGATCAGCTCAAAGACGCTGGGGAAGACATTCTTCCAGCCATCTAACTTGACAATATTCTGAGGAATTCGGTCGTGCGTGAGAGACTCATTCTCAGGAATAGTCTGAATAAACTCAAAGTCGTCTGGGCGGACCATTGTACGGGCGAGACGGATGACGTTGTCGGGGATCGTAGCGGACACAAGCATCGTCTGGCGAACCTTTTGGTCGGGGCTCGGCAAAAGATCGACAATGCTCTTCAGTTCTTGCTCAAAACCAGTATCGAGCATACGATCAGCCTCATCCAAGACCATTGCGGCCAGGTTAGGGGCTTCTATGCCACTTCGAGGGTCGCTAAGCAGATCATGAAGACGGCCAGGGGTAGCAATCAGTAGGTGGCAACCCATACGGCGCGCTCTTCGGAGCATTTCACTTTTTTGGGTACCACCAACAGCGATCTGCACAACCAATCCAGTGTTCTTAACAAGCATCTTAGCTTCCTCGGCAATCTGCATTGCCAGCTCACGGGTTGGCGAGAGAACAATACCGCGGATATCGTCGCATCGAGCCTGGCGGAGGGCTTTTCTGTGGGCAAGGGAGGGATCTTCGTGTAGCATACGCTGGAGGAGAGGGAGCAGGAACGCAATTGTCTTGCCAGTTCCAGTCTTAGCTTGGGCAACGCTGTATGTCCTGTTAGCAGGGTTACGACGAATAGTAGCTAGCCACAGTTAGAGCTTACATGTCAGTGCCTTTCAGTGCCGGGGCAATGGTCTTAGCCTGTACCGGAGACATCGTTTCGTATCCCAGGCCGTCTGTAATGTTGGACAGGATTGTCGGGTTCAGATCAAGGCGGGAGAGTTCGTCGAAGCGCATCGATTCTTCAGACTCGGCTGGCGCTGCTGATTCGTCGCGCTCAGTGCTATACTGCTTGAAGTGAACAAATGATGACAGCTTGGGTGTAACCGAATATAACGGAGTAGCAGCCGTCTGCGAAATCGTCCAGCGTTGGGCAGTTAATCGCATCGATGGCGTCGCGGTGATGCGACTGGCGGCCGAGGCGCACCGACGCATGCCTTGTCGGAACATGGCTGAAGTGGGAATTAAAGAGAAGTTTCCTCGTATTGCATTCAACACAGATGATATCTTCTATATTATAATAGTAGAGATGCAAAAAAAGCCTCAAAGATGGCGCACTCTGATGTGAATGTTGTAGGGGCAACTTTCTATTGATGTAGCAACTTTTTTTTTTCGCCTGGCGTCCTTCGTCCGTAAAGGGAAAGGGGTCGCCCAGGCTCCACTGCCGGCAAGGGGCACCGATGCAAAAGGTACACTAGGCGGGTGGATCACGTGCTGGTATAACAGAAGCATACATAAGAAGAAAACAACAGCTCTAATAAAGCTCAGAAAATAAATATAAGAATATGCTATGCGTGGAAATTCTAACGCCTGATTAGAGTTACGCCCCAATAAAATACGAAAAAAGAAGAAGAAAACTTCTTGCGCCATGTCCCGTTGCTCCATGTCGTTTATCATCACCAAACCTGTGGCAACAAGGATTGATAGCCACTTACAGCATATCGCGACTCATTTCGTAAGACCATCCGCCTTCACGGCGCAGCTTCTCTCTTGCCGCCATATCCTTTCGTACATCGTCCTCTGTTAAGCGATCTAACCCACTCCAATTGGCACTGGAGGTTCTTGCACGGAACTTCCCCCATCGTTCCTTGTGCTTGTTAAACACTTCTTCCATGTTAAGCGGACCTGGTGCACCAAAGATTTGTAAAGGATCCAAAGTCTCCTGGTGAACGAGAGACTGGTGGAGAGCCGGTGAGTTTGCCCAATCTGCAATCTGCATGCCAGGATCATCATCCTCATCCTCATCATCTGTTTGGATCTCCGGCAACTCGATAGACTCGCCATTCTGAAACTGCGGTGAGGGTCGGGACACTGATTTTGCTGTTGACTTGGCAAGCAATGCGTGTCCTGTCCTTGCTGGTGTCTTAAATGCTGAACTTGCACCATTCTGATTAGGTGCGAAGGGGATGCCTCCCTTCGAAATTTGAGCCATGTCTAGAGGATGGCCACCCTTTTGTGCGCCTTGTTGAGAAGCCACTGAAGCCTTGAAGATGTCGCGCGTGGCACTCGCTGGTGCATTAGAGTATCCGCTTTGGAAAATACCCTTTGGCATATCCTACATCGTGTTAGTGCAGTGCAATCTCAGGAAGTTCGGGTTAGTGCTTACCTTCTTAAAGCCTGGGGAGGGTCGAACTGGCGGCCCTTTCATATGCTGACTACTGGATTCGCTATCGTCAAAGTTTTCGCTTGTTCGGCGTCGCTTTGCATCCTTATCATTCGTCTCAAGAATGCGCTTCTGTCCAGCAGCCAGACTGCTGACTACAGATCCTGCAAGTCGTGGGTTACCATTCTCAGGAGGTCCCATACGAGATGGGGGTCGGCTTGCGTGAGCGCTCGCCTTTTGTGCAGAAGGTGGGACAGATTTCTGTTGACTGAGACTGAAATCTGGAGGTCCATTCGGCTGAGCACGTACTGCGGGGGGCGGTGCGCGTGTTTGTTTCGCCTTCTCAATTGCCGCTTGACGTTGTGCATGCTTCTTCTCTTCCGCCGCTTCTCGTTCTTTTTGTTTTTGGCGTTCGATTTCAGCTCGGCGCTGCTGCTCCTGTCGTCGAGCTTCCTCCTGAGCCGCAATCTTCTTGCGATCCGCTTCAGCCTTAGCCTCTCGTTTACGTTGAGCTTCTCGTTCTTCTTGCTCCTTCTTCTTCGCCGCTGACAGTGATCGCAGGCTCTGTGTCGATGGTTTAGCCTGTAGGGCAGCTTTGCTAGCTTTGCTGGCAAGTTGAGGAGGTTGTGTTATTATTGGCGTCGGGATAGTCTCTGGCTGGCCCGTTGATTGGCGGCTAGATGGGCGATATTGAGAGTGCTGGGACCCCGTATTAACCCGAATGACTGTAGGAATAAGCTTGGTTTTGACTAAAGGCTCCCTGCTGGGTTTGACGGGACGCTTGCTCTCCTTATTTCGAAGTGCGTGACCAGTCGTAGAGGTCGCCTTCGCTGCAGAGGAGGGCATTGGCAGTGGTGCATCAGCCATTGGGAGATCTCCATCATGCGCATCGTTGTCTTCACCAAGCCTCGGCTTACGGGGGCTGCTTCGGTTTACCCGAGGTGTTTGGCTTGGAAGTGCTTTGCGCTCAATGTGCTTCTTTTGCGCAATCTCATTTTCCATCGCCGCAATTCGATCCTGTTCTTTGCTAAAAACATGTGCCTTCTCACGTTCTTGTTCTCGAGCTTGTTCGAGCTTAGCCAGCTGGTCAGCAGCCTTTGCTTTGGCCTCCGCTTCACGATTAGAGTCAACCTTCGGTTCCGGTGCCGCATATACTGATCGGGTAGTTGATCGAGCTGGGCTGGCAGGTACAGCAAGATCCGCACTTCGCAAGGTCTTAGATGCGCCTCGCTGTGGCGATGAGATCGATTCTACAGACGGCGTAGAGTGGAGCCCAAGGCGTAGAGTAGATGGTGACAGGATAGACTTGCTTTCAGCACTAATGGCAGCACTGCTTGCAAGCAACCCTCGCGAGCTCTTGAGAATCGAGGATAACTTGTTTTTTACCTGCTTTAGAGGGCTCTCTCGGAACAAGCGAGATGGTGACTCGGGGCGCGTCTCGGTGCTCTTCAATACGTCCCTAAAGTCTGCGTCCGAAGTAGATGGAATTTGGGTCAAGGCTGTCTCTGAGTAGGTGGCCGGAATCCTAGACACAACAGGGCTGGCAGGTGCAGCACCAGGTGTTGCAAGGATGCCTTGCGTGAAGTTATCTTCAGGCTCAGCATCCCTAGAAAAGTCTGGCTGTCCAATAGTGTTTTTATCACGAATACCCTCCATCACGTCGGCAGAGTAACTCTTTGGTAGCCCAGGTCTAACAGTCGTAGGCGGCTCAATCCAATCATCATCGTCATCGTCTTGGGGGAAGGCTCCTGGTGTTGTCTGTATAGTTTGTTGAATGCTTTCTCTTCTCTGAGGGGAAACAATCTTAGTTCCGGCAAATGTCTTCGATACAGCTTGAGCTGGTGGTTGAGTCATTGGTGGAGGCGCGTTATTTCCATCAGAGTGTCCAAGGCGTTTGATTTGATCCTGCAATCGTTGTGTATATGTCTTAGAAGGATCTGGTGACTCAATACCGTTTTTAGGAGCGTCATAATCATCTTGAATTTCCTCCGTCTGCTCAACCTCGACCTTGCCCGTGTTATTCCTGTCGCTGCCAAGTCGCGGATATTGTGTTGCTTTGGAATAGCTGAGTCGGGAGGTGCGCCCACCTGACATTGCTTTAGCTGCTGGTAGTGGTTCCCGGGCTGGAAGAGATGCAAAGTTTAGACTGCTCTTCCGCGTCATCTGTCGAACCGGGCTTGACGCTTCCGAGGGAGACCTCGTCCCTATACGCTTGACGTTCACGTCATCATCAAAATCTGACTCATCGTCTACATCTAATAATGGAGATGAGTCGATATCGCGGGTTTCTTTGTAATTATTTGTTGATGATATCGATTTTGTCGTGGTATTGTCGTCATGTGTTGGGACGAAATGTTGCTGGGGGGAGTCCACAGCCACGACTCCGGGAGTGCTTTGTTTGGCTGGACTAGACTCTTTCTCTTCCTCGTGCATAGGACTGCTAATCGGATCCACGAATGTCGGATCCACGTACGATGCCTCATCATATTTCTGGGTTCCATATCCAGAATCTTGAGTCTGCTGTGACGCGGCATCTGGTTTGAATGGTTTTACTGGGACTGATTGGGTAACCGGCTTCTTCAGCAGCTCTGCATGTGCGGGAGATCGCATTTGGTTGAACTTGGTGGCAGTTCCGTTTGGCGTCGAAGTAAAAATATCAGATAATGGCTGCGCGATGTTAGCGTAGAGACCAATAATCAGCGAGAAAGACAGTCTTACCGCTCTATTCTGGACGACATCTTTCTTGTTTATCGTGCGCGGTGTTCGCCCGCGAAGCTTTCCGGGTGTTTTAAAGGTTTCAGCAAAGTTTCTAGTTATAGGTAAGCATACTGTGATGCCGCGGCGGAGGGCAATGTCGACTCACATCTCATTCTCGTTGAAAACACCGGCGAGGTGTTCATTCAGCCACTCAACCTCGTTTCTAACAGAGAAGGTAAATTCTTCCACTTCTGACTGAACGATCTGAAGGGCAGATGATCGCTCTTCCTCAACCCAAGCAGCTGAGCCGACTTGAAGACGCGGCCCTCGCATAGCAGCCATGGTGAAGTAGCTGTGCTACGCGTTTCCGAGTCCCTCGAGGGATATTTCTGACTTTGAGTGGTTGGTATAAACGAGCAAATGTAATAAGCTCTTATAAATGAGTCGTAGTCACCAACATTTGATGGATTTGGTCGAACTGTGTGATATTGTGAAGCTGGCGGGACTACACAGTAGTGACCCATAGTCTGTCGTGGTGCTCAATGTTTTGATTCAACCCCAATTGGGTTAGCGCGGTGCTGGCCGCCAAACGTTGCGTCCCGTCGCGTCCACGCATCGGGGGACAATGTGGCCGCACGTGACGATAAGTCCTTATCAGAAACTAAACAAGGTATTGTTTACTTGCCCGCGCGTCTCCCTCCAGAGTGGCCTTGCGACACAAGGGAACCAAGGCAAGCAACATCGACCCCGGATTATTGCCAGAGGTACATCTGCAGTCATGAGAGTAATAGAAGTCGTCATTGACGTACGTATTGGTTTGTTTTCTAGAGGGCATAGATAATGTTTATTAACGCGACAAACAGGGCTTCAAGTCGTACGCCGTGCGAACGGTTATTTCAGGATGGTACGGGCATTTACTGCGTGTCAAGGCGTGTTGAATAGACTCGGCCAGCTAACATGAATAAACCTAGGGATGAGGCATTCAACTCCATTACTGGTCTTAACGGCAGTGGCAAATCCAATATCCTCGACGCCATCTGCTTTGTTCTCGGCATCACCAACATGTCCACGGTGCGAGCGCAGAACCTCCAAGATCTTATTTACAAGCGCGGACAGGCTGGTGTGACAAAAGCAAGCGTAACGATTGTGTTCGATAACCGCGATACGAAGAAGTCACCCATCGGATTCGAGGAGTACGCCACTATCAGCGTCACCCGTCAGATTGTCCTTGGCGGAACTTCGAAGTACCTCATCAACGGTCACAGAGCACAACAGCAAACCGTTCAAAACCTCTTCCAATCTGTCCAACTCAACATCAACAATCCCAACTTCTTGATTATGCAGGGCCGTATCACCAAGGTTCTCAACATGAAGGCTGTCGAGATTCTGGCTATGATTGAAGAAGCTGCTGGTACCCGAATGTTCGAAGATAGACGAGACAAGGCCCTGAAAACAATGTCAAAGAAGGAGATCAAGCTTCAGGAGCTTCGAGAGTTGTTGAAGGATGAAATTGAACCGAAGCTGGAGAAACTTCGCACTGAAAAGCGTGCATTCCTCGACTACCAACAAACACAGAATGATCTGGAAAGGTTAACTAAGCTAGTCGTAGCGTATGATTACCTACGCGGGCAAGAGAAACTTCGCCAGTCAGCCGCAGACCTTGAGGCTAAAAAGCAACGCCACAGTGCTCTTGAAGAATCAGCAACACGCTTGCGTACTGAGATCTCCCATCTGGAAGAGGACGTCGCCCGAGTCAAGGCTCAACGGGAGAAGGAAGTTAAGAAGGGTGGCAAGGGCCAAGCGTTGGAGGATACAGTCAAGAAACATGCCAACGAAATCGTTCGTCTTGCAACTCTAATGGACTTGAACAAGTCTAGTCTGGCGGAAGAGAAGGAGAAGAAGACTGCACTCGAAACCTCCGTCATTGAGCTGGAGGCTGCACTGAAGGATAAGAATGCAGCATATGAGCAAGCAAAGGCTAAGAGCGATGCAGCAAAGGAAGACTTGGCAAAGCAGAGTGCCGACGTTGAATCAAAAGAAGAGCTTCTTCAGACCCTGCAGACTGGTGTTGCCTCCAAAGATGGCCAAGAGAATGGATATCAAGGACAACTACAAGACGCGAAGAGCCGTGCTACAACGGCTGCTACTGTTCAGGAGCAAGCCAAGATCAAAATTGCGCATTTCAAGTCGAGGCTCAAGGAAGAGGAGCCCCGCGCGAAGAAGGCCAAGGAGCAGAATGCGGATTTAATACGTGATCTTGACGGTATGAAGAGCAAAACTCAGAAGCTTGAGCAGCAGCTTGCCAAGCTTGGTTTTGAACCTGGCCAAGAAAAGCAAATGTACAAGGATGAGTCAGATCTACAGCAAAAGGTTCGCACTTTGCGCCAAGAAGCCGATAAGCTCAAACGTCAAGTTGCCAACATCGACTTCAACTACACCGATCCTGCTCCCAACTTTGACCGCTCTAAAGTCAAAGGTCTCGTCGCTCAACTTTTCACCCTCGATAAGAACCACACCAAAGCTGGCACAGCGCTTGAGATTTGTGCTGGTGGCCGACTATACAACGTGGTTGTCGATTCTGAGGTGACTTCATCTCAGCTGATTCAGAATGGCAAGCTTCGAAAGCGAGTGACTATCATTCCATTGAACAAGGTCTCAGCCTTCAAGGCCTCTGCACAGGCAATTGCCACTGCTCAAAAGATTGCTCCTGGAAAGGTCGACCTTGCGCTTTCGCTAGTTGGATACGACAAGGAGGTCTCTGCTGCTATGGAGTATGTATTCGGCAGTACCTTAGTATGTGCTGATGCAGAAACCGCAAAGCGCGTTACATTCGACCCCGAGGTGCGCTTAAAGAGTGTCACCCTTGAGGGTGATTCGTATGATCCATCTGGCACTTTGTCCGGTGGCAGCTCAGCGAGCTCTAGCGGTGTCTTGGTAACCCTCCAAAAGCTTAATGCGTTGACAAAAGAGCTTGAGACATCTCAGACAAGCCTTCAGGAATTGAAGATTCGGATAGCACAAGAAAAGACGAAGTTGGACCAGGCTCGAAGCATCAATCAAGAGTTGGATTTGAAGAATCACGAGATTAAACTGGCTGAGGAACAAATCAACGGCAACGCTTCGTCCTCGATTATTCAAGAAGTTGAGAACATGAAGTCAGGCATTATTGAGCTCGAGAACAATATCAAAGAAGCCAAGGCCAAGCAGACTGAGGCTACTGCCGATGTCAAGCGAATTGAAAAGGATATGAAGGACTTTGACAACAACAAGGACGCAAAGCTTGTAGAGCTGCAAAAGTCTCTAGATAAGCTGCGTAGTGGGCTGCAAAAGAATTCCAACAATGTCAAGGCGCTTCAGAAAGAGCTCCAAGGCGCACAGTTGGATTTGGAGCAAGTCAAATCAGAACTATCCACGGCTCGTGATCAGGTTGGCGAAGCTGAGGTCGCTATCAAGACTCAGGACAAAGGCATACAAGACTTGAACAAGCAACAAGCGCAGCTACAAGACACACATGATGCTGCACAGACCCAGCTCGAAGACGAGAGAGCCAAGTTACATTTGTTTGATGATGAGCTAAGGGCGCTAGACGAGGCAACCCGCTCAAAGAATGCCCGCATCGCCGAAGAAGGTTTAGAAATGCAGAAGCTTGGACACCAGGTTGAAAAGTTCCACAAGGAGCAGCAAGGTGCTGCAGAGAATGTGGCTCGACTTGAGGCTGATCATGACTGGATCCATGAGGAAAAGGATAGTTTTGGCAAGAATGGTACTCCTTACGACTTCCACGGTCAAAACATTTCTGAGTGCAAGTCAACATTAAAGAACCTCACCGAGCGTTCTCAAGGCATGAAGAAGAAGATCAACCCCAAGGTTATGAACATGATTGACAGCGTGGAAAAGAAGGAGGTGGCCCTGAAACACATGATCAAGACAGTCATTCGAGATAAGCGAAAGATTGAGGAGACCATTGTCAGTTTGGATGACTACAAGAAGAAGGCTCTGCACGAAACTTGGGAAAAGGTCAACCGAGACTTTGGCCAAATCTTCTCTGAGCTGCTGCCAGGAGGCAGTTTTGCCCAGCTGGATCCTCCTGAAGGCAAGACCATTAACAACGGCCTAGAGGTCAAGGTCAAGCTCGGTAAGGTGTGGAAACAGAGTCTTACGGAACTCAGTGGTGGTCAAAGGTACGTATATCTCGGTTGATGTGATGATAATCCGCAGGGGCTAACAGTATTTCAGATCACTCATTGCCTTGTCGCTCATTATGGCGCTGCTGCAATTCAAACCTGCGCCCATGTACATTCTTGACGAGGTTGACGCTGCTCTCGATCCATCACATACACAGAACATTGGTCACTTGATCAAGACGCGCTTCAAGGGATCTCAGTTCATCGTGGTCAGTCTCAAGGACGGCATGTTCCAGAACGCAAATAGAATCTTCAAGACGCGCTTCAGTGAAGGTACCAGTATGGTGCAGGCGCTGACACCTGCGGATATGAAATAAAGCAGCCCGTATTGGCCGCCTACTAATTGTATGATTCACGATACCTCGAGCGTTTATGTTTGGTGTCAGGGGAGGCCGGAATATATGTATTATTTGATTACACTTTTGGTTATTTTCATTTAATTGACCGTAATACTCATAACTGACATTACATGTATAAACACCTCAGAGATACATGTGTGATCCCCGGGAAAGAATATCGACTTCCATACCCACCCGAAGATGCAGCTTCAATGCGTCCTCTCGGGAAGGGTCTGGAAAGAGTGGACATAGTTGCATGCCAAGGCATCCTTTCTTTGCCGCTCCTGCATCAATCTCACGATACTTGCGCAGCGAGTGATCTGGTTCAACCTTGTGCCGCAAGCCTGTAGCGGGATCAACATTAGGAAGCTTGCAGCGAACCGTACGGCACGAGACTGCAAATTTGGCCTCGTCGGTCTTGCCACCTTCTGAGCTGCGGAACGCGACACCTTTCCAGTCATCCTCATCATATGCCGGTAAACCAGAGACTATATATAATTATGTTAGCCACTTATGTCTGTATTTAGTACTAATGTAGAGGGACTTACGGATGATATTTGGGCGGAATCTGCGGGCGTCCAGATGGGTAATGGCGTCGTCTTTGTTGATATTGGATTCTAAGGCGCAGACACTTGCGAGACTGAGCATATGTAATGGGTACTATAAGCCATGTTAGCGTGACGTCCCATTATTTCACCATAAAATACGGCTCAGTAATATGAGCAATCTTACCCCGTCTTGAAAATCGACAACAGGCTGATATCCCACATCGTCGCTTTTCGGAGCGCACCGGAACACTTTTCGTCTGTTTGAGGGGTCCATTCGGAACAACCCAACTGGATTTGTCGCTCCAAGATACTTGGAAAGCTCGGGTGGTAGCTCTGCACTCATGTTGAGTGCATTGGCGGTGTTTTTGAATATCTTGACATCATCATATGTGAACCCACGCTCTTTGATATCAGCAATGGATGGGAACTCCAGAGGCAGCATAAACTCCTTTTCCGAAACAGCGCTGAATCCCCTGCTAAGCTTGGCAGCAATAGTCTGGATTAGTCCTCGAATACCTCCGTCCTTCCAAGGGAAGCGGATGAGGAGAAACCCGCCGTCAATCGGGCCCAAGAGGCGGCTCGCCTTGTTTGGATCAGGGAGCCACACGTCCACGACAACATTAGCAAGATATCCCAGTTGGCGCAATGTCAATATCTCCCATCCCTGGACCGTCTTGAATTGGTCTGAATCAGGGATGGGGACTCGCATTTCTCTGAGCTGGGTGAATGAGTATAGGCGATCCAGCTCGAAGCCCTTGGGTAGCACCTTGACTTCGGTGAGTTCCACGCCTTTGCATGACTTTATAGGGTATATATGCAAACTTTGAATTCTAGGTGCTTGTCCCTGGTGCGGTTGTCGAAGAGCATCAGACCGCTGCTCAGCGAGATTGCTCTTCTCTTGTGGGAGGCCAAGCTTGTAGTGAGTTTGACTGAGGGCATCGCGGTGCTCAACAGGCAGTGGCGGGAATATGACGAAGACGGGGATGAAGAATGCCAACAGAGTGACTGTTAATAGGATAAGAGTTGAGCTGTCAAGTGCCGCTACGGCTTCCATTAGTGATGCAGCCATGCTCTTCGGTTGTCGGCGAAGAATTCAGCGTCGGATGCTTTTGGAGAGCTTGCGCAGCTAGAATCCCTGGCCTATTCCAGTCTATCACGAGCCACGGGTTAGTTGTGTGATCAATTCATGTTATCTTTTTTCTTTTCTTTTTTTTTGGATTACAGCGTCGCGTCGATGTCTTGCGGACACTTTTTTTGACACTTGTTGGGTTTCATCGACTAAGCGTGGACGCAACAGTACAATACACTCACCAGATTCGCGAGAGAATTGACGCGTTTATGTTTATGCTGCTCTATTTTATAATAGATAAAAAGCGGTGTAGTAATGATGATGTTAAAGTAGCCTTTTGATTTGACCGCTTTTTACAAACAAAACCAACGCTGTAAGCCTTGCACTGGATGTGCGGCACAGAGTGTTTGGTAATGTTGTTGGTGGCTTGACAGGAAGTCTCGTTTGCTTGGGCTATTACGCAATGCACAAGCCGTATTTATTCAATGGAGCGAAATAACGTCCAAATATAATCACAAACCTCATAAAAGCATTTCCAGCACTTATTCAATATATTCCATGATTTTTTCCCCGCCTTCCCTCCACACTTCCTAATGTACTGCAATGCATTTTATCGTAACCTGGCTGCAGGGTAGCTATGCCACACAGTCAATGCCCACGCGCAGAGCCTCATTCCGGGCCCTGACCCGCTGAAGTCGGCGGGAATATCTTTGAGCCTGTCCCGGCACTACGGATCCGACTGGCGCCGCCATTGGCTAGCGACCCAATATGAACTTGCAGCAAGATGCGGTTGGGTTTCTCATCCGCTCCGAAGGCTTGGCTTTGGCAGCCACGTGCGAGCGCGTGTATGTTCAACCGTTTTAATTAGCGCTGGGCATCGTTCTTGGCTTTTATTTAGGCGTTGCCCGTTAAGCTGCGTTTGATATGGAATGCGCGTCGCCCGCGGAGTCTCCGAATGTGTTTGCGCTGGACCAAGACGCCAAAACCACAGGGCGCCGCCCAAAACGCCAAACAAGACGGCGTTGATATCTCCATGGCGTACACAGCCTCCCTTAAAATGGACTCAATTAGCCGCTAGAGTCACAGGCGCAAACCCAAGCCATGACATTTGCTGCTGCAACCGGGCCCTCGCTGTTGTCTCTGGCTGTATGCGGCAGACAATATCGCGCAAGGCAAATGCAGGCGGACACGCTGGTTACAGATCTTGAGACGACCGGCCATCAGCCCAGTTTGGCCGTTGCGCCCAACTTTTAGGCGCCCGGCTTGTAATCAATTGGGCGGTCATCTGCTCTCGGTGGCTCAGCTAGTGAGGCCCTTGCTCATGCATCAATTAGCTTCGTTGTCTCCGCTTGTGGTGGATTGCCTCTAACTGTATTTGCGCCCTAGCGTGTGGATAGTATCCTTATGCGCGAGATGAATCAGTCGCTACGTCTCTTTTCTTCATAATTATGCCCTCTTTTAATTTTGACGCAATACCCCCTGTGCCCCATCGCTTGGCTGCCTATGCACCTTGTACGTTGTACCATCGCCGCGGATGTTGGAAATTCGACATCAATTTCGGATTTCCGTCATCCCCTGTGTAGTTGGCGCCGCCGTAGCCTAGTCTGTACTGTACTGCAACAGGCAAAGGGCGTTGAAAACGAAACGGCATTTGCCGGGCCTCGTCCACGCGTACCGGCCCCAGTAGTAATTAAAAGAGATGATCATCTTGGAGGTAGCCCAAATTGGCGCCTTGTCAAATAAGCTCCGCCCTAACAACGTACCAGCACCATAATTCCCTGTCTCAAGTCTCATTGCACGCTACCCCGGTCCGCGCTTCCACCGAGACTACTGGGCTTTAACACTATTTAGCTCATGGTAACTTTCTAGACACCGAGACCGCCTTCTTGGCGCAACCGGCGCTACTGCGAAGCTTGTTGATTCGTGCCTATCACAGCGATTCATCGCTCAGGTTTTGGTCTGCATATAGCCGATCTTCTCACCTTAGCCCTTCCCCTCAACCAAAGCTGGGAGGAGAGACCAGTTCATCTGGAAAGAGACAAGCCAGTTCCCACACCCCCATGTCTTCGCAAGACTGGGCCGATCTGAGATTTCTGCGCTTGTGGGCGAGATACACAGCCGTAGCTGGGTTCTTCTGGTCCGAGGCTCGATATTGGGGTGCATGTATCCCCAAGAAGCCGGAGAATAGGAGCTTTTTGGACGATCATTGCCTCTATTATCAAACTTTTTAGCCATAGTGTTGATCTCTGAAACAAAACAAGGCGGACCACGAGTATATTCTGATAACTGTGGCTGTGATCTTATCACAACCGTTGCGTTATACACCGTTAACCAAATGTGATATGTCAATAAACTGCTCGGCAGTGCAAATGTATCAATACAGAAGGGTTGACACAGCCATAAAAAAGCCAGAAGTGGCGGACTTGGATCGTGCCATTTTCAAATGAACCCGCTCAGGCCGCTATGTGCGAAGCTTCTATTGTTGTGAGTTGCGACAAGATACCACCTGGTCGTTCGTTTTAGTAAAGAGCTACAAAGGAAAGCTAATCAAGGCTCTCAATGCATAATTCGGCGCCGACGGTTATTATTCGGGCCTATCTACCCCATTACCGAGAGTCCGAGATCTTGTTCGGATGGGGTGTGGATATGCTGTCATCAGTGTCTGCTCTGAGTGCCAGGCAACTTGGTGGAAAGACTGTCAAGCAACTTGACTCGCTGTATGGACTAGCCTCGTAACCCACAATTCTCCTAATGTACCAGCGGCCGCTCACTGTGCTTCTGGTTCAACTACAGTCCAGTAGATTCATCCACTACCACCAGTTGACGCGTAACGTATTAGCGGGCATATCAACATTAAAGTATCATCTGTGAACAGCATAACATATCGTGAATATGTGTTTTGCCGCCGGGAACGATATAAAATAGCTGATATACGACGAAAGAACGATTGTAATCCGCTTCACCAGAATAGGCCCGAGCTGCCCCGAAGATTGGTACTCTCAAGACCAGGGGGGGAGGGGTGCCACCTCCATCTCTTGTGCTCTGGACCACCCGAGTGGGTGTTTCATCTTGACAATAACAGCAGGTAGCAGGTAGCAGTGAGGCGATTATTGCAATGTAGTAGTCGCTGTTTTGAAACTGCAGGTCATCAAGTTTTCCTGTTGCCTCTTTGGGCTATTGCCTCACATGAAGGTTTCCTGATCATGGCGCCGAGACCCACTAACAATGCAACGCCAGCTCAAGTGTCCCGGCATTGAGGGATGCCAGTTCGCGGGCGCCAGTGCACAAAGGGCTCCTAGGCTGGAACCGTGTCCAGGGATTCTACGCCACGAGCAGCCCGCCAAGATGCAGAAGCCCCTGCGCGTGCATATATATATGCTGGCGAGGATATCTATGCACTGTTGCCTTTCCAGGTGATCATGTCTTTTGGCGCAGCGATGGTGCCCGACCTACCGTAAGGATATGCATCCAACAGCCCGGCATAAAGGCTACCGAAAAGCCTGTAGAAGCCGAGTTGCTTAGGCTAGCATCATCTGTATCTGTGGGCCAAGGCCACTGACAAGCCCGGTTCAGTGTGAACCGTTTACTAAATCCCCCCCGCGGGCACCGTCGCGCTGACTCGTACGGCGTTAGCCCCGAGCCGGCCAGAGAGGATCAGGGCACGTCAGTTGGATGGCAGCCCAGGCACACCAGGACGAAAAAGAGCAAGTGCGCTATGCACGTTTTGGCCCATGTCTGGCTCGGTTAGCTAGCGCAGGCTCATGGTGCATGCAGGGATGCACGCTGAGCATGGCAGCATGGCTCCACGCAATTGAATGGCGGCGGTGACCAGCGCCTGCTTTATGAGCTGGGGATGCAGTTTGATGAGCGGGCGATCAGCAGCACCAGACAATCGACAGCCCATCGCAGGGCTTGCTTTCAAAGACCTTAGTTGAACACTCTGTACCCACTATGACGGGAGGTTGTGCTCATTTGTAGGGCCATAGCGGTGCATACCTGTGGCAAGCCAACACCATCAGAGTTCGTCGAATTCATTTGCCGGCAATTGATAGGGCTACAGCGCTAACGTTGAAAAAAGTGAAACGTCCCAAATTCTGTACAGGGGCCGCCCCCGCCGCGCGACTCGCTGATGTGGCCAAGAGCATGGTGTATGGTGGAAAAACGACATAAGAGACGAACAAGCTTGCGCTAGACAAGAAAAGCAGGCAAGCAGCGCGAGGAGCATGCGCCAACTGCCCGATGTGGAGGCGGGCGTGCTATCTCGATGCGCCATTCAGACTGGCCTTGTGGTGGAGTTGAGGCCACCTGCCACCACAAAATGCCCCCTCCACCGGCCCTCTTTTCCCCTGCTTGTTCCTTCCTTCCTCCCCTGGCAGCTGGCACACCCGCCAGAAATCAAACATCAGCATTCCATCGTGAATGATTCGCTACTTCGATAGTGCACCGAAACAAGGATTTCCGGTTCTCGTCGTTTTCTTTTTTATGACTCTCCGGGGGCTGAGCTCGGAAATATGGGGAAGGATAGGGGCCCAGCCTGCCTTGCGTGCTGCTCGTCTTTTACATTGCCTTTGCCGCCTGCCAATTCTGTCCAAGACCATGGCGCCTCCTGGAGACCGACCTCCACGAAATTAGGAAAAAATCACCAGCGATCGTTTATTGCGCAAACTGGAGCGCTGAGCGTTTATCGCCCCATGTGAGTTTTGCAATCACCGCCTCGGCGCTGTCAAAGAAAGCCCTGCGTTCCGTGGAGGGAGACCCGAGCAGCTAACTTAAAGGAGGGGTGGGGGGGCGTAGAGTTAGTGTGAACGACACACTGGGTCTACATTACAACTCTTTTGGGTGAACATATCACATTGCATTGCATGCAGGCAAGCAAGCAGGACTGACATGCGAAAGGGATTTTTTTTTCCAGATCAGCCACATCTGGCCCCCTCAGCTGTTAGAGCTTTTGATCTTGTGCGGCCTCATCAGAGTCTTCCCACCGGCCCCGAATACGACAGCCAGCGCCTCTTTGGCTACGACAGCAGACTGAGGTTCTTGAATCTCGGATGTAAATGTGTAATCCGAGTAGCGTTGTTAGTGGACGTAATGCCCCATCAGCGTTCCATATGTGCGTAGCGCGCTGTCACATTTCAATTGCCTGATTGCCGACACCAACCAAAGACGGATAGCACCAAAGTCAACTTGCCTGATGCTACTAAGCGCAGAAAAAAAAAAAACGACGCTTACCTACCGGCTGCGGAAGGACGATACAACTTTGAACGCAACCCCACACACACCACCAGCATTTCCCCAGCCCAGCCTTAGTGGTGGGCGGTCTCCTTCCGCAGGCGGTTATGCTCCTCGGGGCGTGGCCTCTATGTGGTGTGTGGAATAGAGTCGGAGTTCGATGGGATGGCTACCACGTACACACTGTTTTTCTTCTAACTTACAGCATGGTTAGGGAGCGAGCGTGTGCTAGCTCCCCCCACTACAGCCCGCCAACAGTGTAGGGAAAACGAGACGACTCCATATGCGTTGGCCATACTTAGTCAAGCTGCCTGGGACGCTGTTGTTGTATTGGTTCGTCTGCGCCGTTCGGTCCACCAGCCTCAGCCTGCGCCGAACTTTTTAATCTCTGGCGCTGCGGCTCCCGGATGGACCCCTTGTCATGTCTCTATCCCACGATAGCGGATGTCCCTCAAAGCGCGCTGAAAAAAAAGAGGGTGCTCTGCCGACCTGTGCCGTGCAGCTTTGTCCATATGGATCCGGTTTCCAAAATGACGCTTAGTCCACAGCCACACCCCTGGAGCGCCTTGGAACAAATGGGTCTATCCTTCTCCCGCAGACCCAGCCAATCTGAGGCCCGCAAGCCATTGTACAAGTCCACAACTCATGGGGCTAACAACGCGCTGGGCTTTTCCCTTGCTCGGGGTCTAAGTACTTTGTAGCGGCAACGCTAGTTGGCTTAAGAATGTACAACTGTTACATGCCTGTAAAGCTGAGCGTGTACAAAATAGGGAAGACGCTAACGGATGGAGCCGTGGTATTCACCTTGCTGAGGTTGTTATCAAGACACCTGTTAGACGTAGCCAGCATATGTCTTCAACCCTTGACACATACTGTTTTGTCTTGTAAATCCACATCACCATCAGTGGACTTTGAAGCTGAATCAGGTCCTTGGGCAGACGACCCAGCCAACCCGGGTAGACGCCGAACCGCGACCACGTTGCGTTCGACTACCTGTGGAAACGTTCCCCGCAGCGATTCAATTCGCCGGGAGGGACTTTAGACCCGGCGCCAGGATTACTGATTGCCTGAGCTCTTGCTGCTCTTTCCCTTTTGGTTGGCTTGCTGTGGAACGCCTTGGGTCCCTCTACATGCCGAGCAAGGCCCTTGTTCAAAAGCATGGGTAGCCCCATTAAAGCATCTCTTTGCCCAAACAACCACTATTACTTGTCTATAGTGTCCCTCGAAATAAGGTGAGCAAGAATCTCAAGAAACGCTGCGTGGCTATTCTACAAACCACCATCAACACTTCCGCATCGCCTTCCTCTTTCTAAACATCGACCTTCCCAGCTGTGATAGCAGCTGCTTGAACTATTCGGGTGTTGAGTATCATACTAGAGTTCTTTAGCCGTCGGCACCAGCTATACGACACCTCTTCATCCGTCGTCAAATTGATTCAGTTCCACGCTCAGCCTCGAATTCCTAGGTTGCTCCTGAGCTCCATGCGGGAATGTACAGAGCACCAAACATTACTGCATATTCCTGACCACCACAAACAGAAAAGTTGGTAGAACGCTTTTGACGCCATCAGCCACAGTACCTATTCGAAAAGCAAGCCATCCCCTGAGCTCCCCTACTCATAATCTCAACTTCTTGGAAGCCCCAGCAGAGCTGAGCCACCACAGGTCGACTGTCACATCAACCAACTAATACAAACGAACGACGGAAGTGTTGAGAACGATATCATTCACTCGTTAATTACAACCAAGCTCTCAGCATCTTTTATTCTTATCTCCGAAAGAATGCACTTGATTTGCCAACGCCCAAGATTATAGCAGAACGACAACCAGAGGGTACGATCCACCGCTCTCCCGAACTAGTGTATGTGTATGTTCGCGACCTTACTTTCTGTGGATAGAACATGGATGAATACTACCAGCACTTTCTCTCCAATATGGCTGGCGCCAATAGCCAGCCGATGAGGATCCCCGACAGTATTAATCAGTCCCCTATCTCTCCTACAGCTGGGTCGACGACTTTTCACAACTTCAGTTACCTTCCTGATTTTTCAGAAATCTCTGGAACCGGATCTTCAAAAGCCCAAAAAGGGAGGCGAAAGTCTGCATCAAGCGCTTCCGGTGTCGATGCTGTTAAACATCGGCGCACAAGATCAGGATGCTTTACATGCCGAAGCAGAAGGGTAAAGGTAACGCTGTCCTCAACTAGTCTACAACAATCACCATAAAAGACTTTTGCGCTGACGATTTATAGTGTGACGAGACTCGACCTATCTGTGAACGTAAGTTACACAAAAAGTTCCGGCATTTTGCTTAGTATGCTTACCGTTTTACCAGGCTGCCGCAAAGGCAGCCGTGATTGTGTCTACCCTGATCCCCCAGTGACCAAGACATCGAAAACGAAAGACAGCGCCCCGGGTGCTACCCAGACGACACCGACCTCATCGAATGGTGACATAGATGAAGAAAAGGACGAAGAAGGGGATGTCAAGCTGGCTACTATTGTTGATGAAGACGAACATGACGAGAGGGAAGGGTTAACGACAACCCCTAGCACTACTAGTGGGATACAAGCTTCATCTTTCCGCTTTGGCAACACATCAGATGATAAATCATTGTCTCCCACGACAATGGCTGTCGCTGCAAACTCAGGCCATTTGGCAACAGACATGGCACAGTTGGCAGACGAACTTTCCGGACATCCCAACTGGTCCCATTTAATGCCAGAGTTTCAACATTATCTGGAAGTGTTCAGATCCAAAATGTCCAGCTACGATTACGGTATTACAAACGATTCAGATGGATTCTTTCAAACCACTCTTCTGAATCTTGCGGTTCGCGACGAAGGGTTACTCAACGCTGTAACAGCCTTCGCTGCATACCATGAGGTGCTCCAAGAACCACACGGCCAACTGTCAATCTTTTTGAAGTACTACAACAGGAGTGTTAAGATTTTAATTGAAAGTCTGAAGCGCACTGATTCCTACAGCATTACAACACTGTTGACGATACTGCAGCTCGCAACTATAGAAGTAAGTGACTCTTGTATACTATGAAAATGTTTTGCGCAGGGATATTAACTCTCAACCAAAGGAATACCTAGGTGATTGGGCCAACCTGATGGGACACCAGAAGGCTGCCTACGAGATTATCGTGAAGCTTTTTAACCCCACTACTATCATGCAAAGTTCCATCGGGAGAATGACTTTGCAGTGGTACGTTCAGTATGACGTGATTGTTGCTTTGCTAGGCGCATTTCCGACAGCGTTGCCAGATCCGTGGTTCACGACAGCTGTACGCTTTTACCAAGAACAAATCGCACTTCATCCGACGGATGTTAACTGGAAAATCGACGAACTCAACGCCAGCATGTACATAATTCAAAGGGACATGGCACATCTTTATTCTCGGATAGCAAAACAGCAAATCCCGGAGAATGTTGCGGTTCTAGAACATGACACCATCACACGCCAGCTCTTAGAATGGAAGCAATCCTGGGACCCAAGCCTTGTCGACTCACGATTCGCCGTTCCAGAAGAAGCCTTAGCTGGATCAGCTATGCCAGGCGATATTGTGGACGTATTTACACCAGGGATTCTCTTTGACAACCCTCTTCTGAGCACTACGATCAATACAGCTCACTGGCACGGCCAAATGCTGTTGCACAAGACACAGCATCCCCTCAGTACCCCAGACTCAATACGAGAAGAACTGGCATCCTATGCTTACATTATTTGCCAAATAATTGCAAGTCTGGAAGCTTGGCCAAAGACACCGTCTGGTGTACTTCCGATGATGCACCACAACCTATCGATGGCCGCTTATTTTCTTCCACGAGACGCGCGCCACATTGCGTGGCTTGGCCGAAGATTCGCCCTTGTAGAATCACTGGGGTAAGCGATTTTAATACCGGTTAGAAATGTATTTGGACTAACAAACGCGCTTAGTTATGTTTGCTCAACTACTCGTCGTGAACAGGTGGCAGTGCTCTTAGAACAGCCCCTTTTCCGTCATTGGTGGTTGCCAAATGAGGAGGGCTTTACCCCAATTTTGAAATCGATCCGAGCATTTGCTGCGGAACGCAACTCTATTAGACTTACGGAAGAGCAAGAGCTTGTTCGTGAAGTTGGACACTTGTTCCGCAAGCTTCAGCCGTAAAGGAGACTACTATTTCGGAAGGGGGATGTTGGACGTGGTTCTCTTTCTCTAACCAAAAGCAGCAGTACGTTTCCTGTCAACAAAAGACTTTGGCAAGTCAGAATATTCAAAACCATCCAGTCAGTTTCTATGCTTCCAATACTGTTGTGAGATTGACGAAAGTCCTCACACAGCTGTCAATGACAACTGCCGTCTTTGTAGCCTTTTGAAATACGGTCCCCTTTCTGGACCGGGCTACACTGACGCGGTATGGGGATCATTAAATTCTTTTTGATCTATGCATAGATGACTCGCTAGCTGGGTTTGGCATAATAAGGACCACGGTTCTGGTTTATGACTATTCGACAGCCATTTATAATGTAGCTGGATGAATAACACTTGCTCTTGATAGAGAGCGTACGTTGATATTAGAAAAAAAATACTATAATACTTAATTGTTCACGCTACAACACCCCCTAATATGTAATTATAGTCACTCATTTTCTGTTGATACACTTTGTTGGTTCACAAAAAGAATTGCCGGGCCTGGTAAATTAAGCAGCATCCTTTGCGGATTCGTCGGCTGCATCGCCAGTCGTTACTTTGTTCAAGTCAGACTCCTCACTTTTGGATGTTTCCAAAGTTCCAGATTCGTTAGCTTTGGCGTGCTTAGTAGTTTGTCCCTCGCCTTGGTTGGTGGTAGGGTTGGTGGGTTTTGTGGCATCCGCAGTCGCATCATCTGTGATGCTAGTCACCGTGGCCACTATGTGCTCCTCTGTATCCTCAGTCTTTTTGGCATGTCCTTCCTCTTCGCTACCTTCGTCATTCTTCGCATCACTGGCACTGGGCACCGTTGGTGGGTGGGTGTCAACAGTAGCTGGCGCCTCCTCTTCCTCTGATGGGTCCGGTGGTGGAAGCTTCTGGTGGGTAGCAGACGGGGGCAATTCTGGTTCGTCATACTTTGAATCTAGAATCATTTCTAGGGTCTTTGCTTCAGAAGGAATAGCGGATGGCAAAGGGGTAACGTCGTCCGGCGCGATGCTCGCGATCGACATGCTGTCAATTCCTCTCGACAAAGCATCTGCCTCATCTTCATCAGCTTCAATGACGGTGGTTACTGCACTGCCAGTCGAGGGACTGCTTCTAATGTGTCTTCTCGTGTTCGTGCGAGCGGCAGAGAGGTGGCTGTTGTCGGTCTCCTCTGATTCAGGTTCAGCCACAGAAGGCTCCAATGGAGGTTTCAGAATAGTTGGTCGCAGCTGCTGTTCCGAGTCCTCCTCTGCGCTTTCAGCCTCCAGGCCCTCAGCCTCAGGGGGCAATTTGTAGTTTTCGGCGGGTAACAGGTCGTAAATGTCACAAACGGTTTTGAAGAAGACATAGAGGCCAGTTTGACCTTCGACGGTCCAGAATACGTCGCGGTGCTGGAACCAAGCATGCGCGAATATCCTGTGCAGGCGGCGAAAGACATTGACCAAGTTTTTGACGCCGACGTTCTTGCTGTGCGGATCGCTGACAACCAAGCATCGGCTGGGGAAGAGTTTTTGATCGGAGACTACATTGGCGGCCCAGTCAAGAGTATGGCAGCAGTAGTCGATGGCGCAGCAGCTCTTGGGTTGCTCATGTACAGCACATAAGAATTGCCATTCAGACGCACGCATCTCGGGGCATGTGCTGGCGCTGCAAGGAGGCGTGTCGAAGAGGAAGCCCACCACCAACGTGTTGCATTGGGCGATGAGAAATCGGCAGAGTTCGTAGAGCCATAGTGTTCTGTCAATGCCAGTGGGTGGTTGTGTCAGCTGAAGCGCTGTTGTTCGATCGACCTGGCGTGTGCCTTGGGCAGTGTGGTGGTAATGCAGGGCGGCTAAATGCTCTTGCAACGAAAACGCAGAGTCAAGCTGTCACGAGTCGGTTAGCGTGGCGAGGGCGGACGGTGCAATGACGATGAATACAAACCTCGGCGAGGGGGACTAAAGGCGGCCCGGTTGCCATGTCGGCGGACTTGGTGCCGGGGTGAATTCGTCGCTTCGAATGCGCATCGATGACTGTCTGTTCCATCTCGGTAGCTTGCAGCGTAGCCGCCGGACCCCCCGACGGCGAGTTTGGCGTAACCTGAATTTCTGCAGCCGGCGGAGGGCTTGGTAAGCGTGGGGAGCTTGGTGGCATCGACATTGTGGGCGGAGCGGTGTGGTGATGTCAAGCAGAGGATGCTCGAGTGCAAACGAGGAGAGAGGTTGGGCGTTGGGCGGTCGATGGGACGCGGCTGCAGCTCCCCCAGTTTGGTGCTGATGGAGTAAGCGCATAAAATTCGCCCCGACGGTTGGCAGAACGAGTTAGCGGGGCAGTGCCGTCATAGTCGTTTTGGTTTTTGGAGCTGTCAAATTTACATTTTGATTTATTCATCTAAGCTTTTGCTCGATCAACGGTACACGAAACAGTTGATTGTAACAGAACAATTGAAGAATCCAACATTTTATCTGCATATCAACAATAGCCGTTAGAAAACCCGAGACCATGTCAGACATCGATCTAGACGACGAAGCTCCTCCCAATCTTGTGGAGGTTGGCACGGACGGGCAGCTCGAAGAAATCACGGTAAAAGTGCCAATTACAATCGTTACGGGTGAGTAAATATGCATCTTACAACTTTGGCATGGATTTGGGTTCTAATGGATATGCCGTAGGCTATCTGGGGGCTGGCAAGACCACCTTGCTCAATTACATTTTGACTGCCCAGCATGGCAAGAAGATTGCTGTTATAATGAATGGTGTGTATATTGATATCCCCCTCCCCTTCAAAGCTCTTATATATGAAAACGTTTTCTAACACACAATTTTTCTATGAAACAGAATTTGGCGACTGTAAGATGAGACCCTGCAAACACCTTAGTCACTCTGCTAACAAAGCACCAGCACTTGACATTGAAAAATCCCTAACAATCAATAAGGGAGATGAAAAAGTTGAAGAGTGGCTTGAAGTCGGTAATGGATGTATCTGCTGCTCCGTCAAGTAAGGCATTGTACTGGAATGTCTTCGAGCATGTATGCTAACGTTTACAGGGATACGGGTGTCAATGCCATTGAATCGCTAATGATGAAGAAGGGCGCATTTGACTACATTTTACTAGAAACAACCGGCCTGGCAGATCCTGGAAACCTTGCCCCCCTATTTTGGGTCGATGATGGCTTGGGGAGCAGCATCTATCTAGACGGAATCGTGACGTTGGTGGACGCCAAAAACATTCTCAAGAGTCTGGACAATGAAGGTGGAAAGGTTGATGACCATGAACAAGACGACCATGGGCCTGTTATGACCACAGCGCACGTGCAAATTTCTCACGCCGATGTTATTGTTATTAACAAGGCCGATCTGGTTACTGGGGCGGAGCTGCAGCAAGTGAAGGATAGGATATCATCCATCAACGGCGTCGCAAAGCTTCACGTCACGGAACGCAGCGAGGTCCCCAAGCTTGAAGGCCTTCTGCTCGACTTGCATGCCTACGACCAATTTCAGGAGCCAGAGCCCAAAACCCAGCTGCACAGTCACTTGGACCCTGTAAGAGTTGAACCAACAATGCACGGAGCGCTGTACTTTGCTGACACATTTTGTTTTTCTTCACAGACTATATCAACAGTTACGGTGCCATTCTCTGCCCTAAAAACGGAACAACTGGACAAAGTGGACAAATGGCTACGTGAAATTCTGTGGGATGCTCGCTTGCCAGGGTCTGACGCTGAGCAAAAGTTTGAAATCCACCGCTCCAAGGGTCGCTTGGTCTTTCAGGACGGGCCCGTTAAACTATTACAAGGCGTACGGGAGATTTTTGAGCTTATAGACATACAAGAAGAGGAAGATGATGGTGATAGAAAAGCTACAGCTGGTGATGGGAAGATCATTTTTATAGGACGAAATGTGGCGGGCGTTGATTTCAAAAAGAGCTTTGATGGCTTTGTGGGATGAGTTACATGGCGTGTGTTGGTTTTTTTTTCTAAATAAGCTTTATTATGATGATGGAATGAAGCTAAATCAAATACGAGTGATACTCAAAGATTGGTGAATTAATGTGACCAATTTTCTGTGTATTTATTTGTTTACAATCAAATATCGGCCGAGCATCTCTATGAAATGCACATGGCGCTGCTTGCAGGCGATTGTTTGCTCGCATCGAGATTAGCGCAGAGGCTCACAGGCGTCCAGTGGCAGTCGCGTGATTGGCCACAGCGCACAAGTCGGGGCAGACCCACTTGCGTCCGGACAGCATTTCCCATGCGGCCAGACCTTATTCGGGCTTCCATCTCGACTAAAACAATCATCATCGAATGAGCACGGCTGCCCGCGATTGACGCCCTCGATTACGAATAGCCGTCGTATAATATTTTGCGACCAAAGATACCTCTTCTAACAATCGATTTCTCTCGCTGCGGGACGCGCACGAAGCCACAGACATGAACCGGCCAGGTACACATAACCCCGATCGAACGCATCCGCCACCCTGCATTATGGCCTTTCAAACATGGCTAGGAGGAAGGAGAAGTGCGAAAAAGAGACAAAGGAGATTCAGAAAACAGTGTGCGGTCTGCTGAAGTAGTGGCGGAAGACCAGCTTGCACCCGACATGTGCCTGCTGGGTTGGCCGCCCTGCTTTGCCGTCAGCAGACGCCCGCACCTGAAGACTGACAACACAAGCCTGCAGCCTTGTATCCTTTCTTTCTAGCGTCTACCTTGCTCCTCTCCTTTGAGATGTGCCACTTGCGAAATTAGATGTCGCTCTAGCTTATCTTGCGCATCGTCGTATCCGTCGAGTATCGAGGCTGACAGTTTAAACTTGCAGGAGCAGCGCCGCAAACAATGCGAGGCATGCCAGGCGGATTTGGAGGGCAACAACAACCCTTACAGTCTAACCGTTCCGCATCGAACCGATTACCGAATGGGAAAATGGGTACGAAAGTCGCAGATTTGCTGGACTAGGAGTGAATGCTAACCAGGTTGTCTAGCGGTCAATAACAACGGCGGTTGGGCGTTAGCAGGTGCCGCGCCAATGGGTGGTGCCTCTTTCCAGAACCAGTCGAGGCAAGCGGGAAGCAATGTCAGCTTTGCGCAGAGCCTGGGCGGATCGCAATCGGTAGCCCCCCTCGACCCTTCGTATGTTCTTTCCCCGTCAGAACCTCCAGCAGATATTTGAAGCGGCGAATAACGTAAACGCTCTTACGGCTTCTGAGAGTTGACTGACCAAACCTGTGTCGCACGGGCAATCTGGCAACGGAAACATGGCTGGCCGTGCACCAGCGGGTTTGGCGTACTCGGCAGTGCTGAAGGGGTATTTACTCACGTTGCTGTTTTGTTATCACAGCTTTCAAAACCAGGATGCCTGAATTTCGCAACTGACCATGATCATAGTGAATTCCCCTCCCTATCCAACAACCCGCAACTGGGTAATGCCCAGTCTGCGTCGATGTGGGCATCAGGAGCAGCGAGAAATGTCAGCGCCCCCATCCAAAGAAATCAGGCGACAACCGGTTCGCTGCAACACCCGAATCACGATGATGTGTTTCACTCATCATCCTCAAGAGCGGGGCAGGGCAGCTTCAGGTTTGGCAGCCACGGTGCTGCGACACCATCTGTACAACAGCAAACAACCGCCGTCGAAGAGTTTCCGCCGTTGAACCGTACAGCAAACGGAGAATCTGGTGTGGACAGAACGGCAAACTTAATGTCGTCTCTAGGGATTAGCAGTCTGGGACAAGGTTCCATTGGTGCCCAAAATAGAGGTAACGGTCTATTGAATGCGGTATCGGCTAACAGTCGCGCCTCCGAGCCGCGATCACCTCCTGGCGTTGGATCTTGTAAGTATTCGATAATAGACCAACAGTCAAAGTCAGATATGACTAACAGTCATCTTTTAGCATCCAGACGGCAAGGAGAACATGAAGGGCAGGGAGATACTGATGGTGGCGACCTTGACCGACACCGACACTTTGCAGAGGAGTTGGCAAATAAGCACGCGATGGCGGAGGACTCCGAATTCGATCAGCGATTTCCTGCTTCTGATCCTAAGGAGGCTACCAATGGCAAACAAAAACAAGCCGATGACGTTGTTGATCCACTGGAGGGCATGGCAGAAATCGACAGATGGGGTATTAAAGGCCTGCGAACTTTGATGAACAATTACCCAGACTACCATGCCATGGTAGTCGGTATGGACCCTACATCGCTCGGGCTCGATATGAGTTCGCCAGAGTACGTTTAAAATGCTTCCCAGTTTTATGACGTACCAGATGCGCTAACAGATGCAGGCTTATCTCAACCCAAATCTACTCTCTCTTTGACGAGACGCTGCCGCGGCCTACTGTACATGGCAGCAACTTCAGGCTGCCTGAATGCTATAACGTCACAAATGTGCAGCCCATTGAGAGCAAGATCGTGAGCTTCAATGAAGAAACTCTATTCTGGATTTTCTACAGCTGCCCTGGAGATGCCAAGCAGCAAATGGCGGCGATCGAACTGTAAGATTGGTACTCTGTAACGCTATTTAGTAGTTCAAAGCTAACAACCAGACGAAGATACTCGAGAAATTGGAGATGGCATAGAAAGCTGCAACTTTGGCTCACTAAGGATGACATGCTGACGCCTCAGCCCCTCGGCCCTAGCCATGAGCGCGGCTTTTACATTGTCTGGGATGCTAGCAATTGGAGGAAAGACAGAGTATGTGCATAAAATCCCTCGTGACATCTTGTCCGACCAACCTCGTATCGATATCTAACCATGTGATGTAGCGCGAGATCACCCTCAACTATAGCGAACTGGACACATCGAACCAGCCTCAAGGGGCAGTTTAATTTGGGTATCGGATTTGGTGATGCATTGGATTTTGGTTTGTGGGGTGTATAAACGTTGTGTGAAATTCATCGCCGGTTTGATTGGCGTTAGGTACTGTCTATGAGGAGCTTGGTTTCCGTGTTGAACATGGAGATCAACATGTCGGTTCAATTAGGTACTGGTGGCATATCAACGGTTTGGGTGCTCAGCTCTTGGCAGGCTATCTCATTGGATTCAAAGCTCTTGGGCCGCATGGACAAAAATTTAACTCTTGACGATGTGCCTGAATCAGCCTAGCCCATTGAATACAAAGCGACTAGCGTGACTTTCTACCTTTTCTGGATGCGAATTGCTCGCGTGTACATGTAGCCATTGATACATGCAATTAACCGAGGTTCCACCCCAGGCCAGCACCGCCCCAGCACACTTAGTTCCCTACAGCACGCCGCAGCATCCACAGTCGCAACGACACCTATCCTGTAAAGAACGCCACTCCAGTTGCTTTGCATTTTTATGATGAATTTGTTACTTAAATCATATTAACCACAGAAAAGGACACTTACATTCAACCTTGTATTCCAAGACATCCCTCTTCTAGCGACACTTGTACTCTACGAACCCCGATCTACAATCCCAACTCCTTAGTCACAGACCATGGCTGACGATCAAGTGCCGGTCACATACTTTTTGGCCATCATCGTGTTGGCGATATTCGCATTCCGATACTTCCTCTCTTCTCCCGCCGCTACGACCGAACAGCAGATTGCCGCAGCTCGGCGTGGGCAGGCCGCCAATACTCGTGCGCGCGAGCTGGCGGCCCTGCAAATCCAACAGATGCTCCCACAGGCCGACACGCGCACAATAATGTGGAATCTTCAGCGTCAAGGAGGAGATTCAACCCGCGTTATTGACTTAATTCTTGCCGGGAGACTCGAAGCAGTAAGCTCTTCTATAGCCGTACAGATTCGGTAAGCCGAACTAATCCATTGCGCAGCCACCAATTACCTTTCAGCCTGTTCTACAATCGACGCAACAAAGCACACCAGCGGCTTCGCGACAGCCAGGCAAGCCATCCCAACCTGATCTTATTACGCGATACAACTTGAAGGATAAGCTTGAGTCGGAGACAGATGCAGCAGCGCCGAAAGGCAAGGCCTGGAGCTCAAGTCGCGAAGAAAGAGAGGCATCCCTACAGCGCCGGCGGGATGAGATGGTTCTGGCTGCGAGAAAAAAGATGGAGGCAAAGTTAGCAGCACAAAAGGCTGCCAAGCAAGCATAGACTAGATACCCCCTTTCACCAATGTACATAACTTTAGCCGAGCTGTGATATTTTGAGAGCGCTTGATATCCATGTACAATTTCGCCAAATGAATGGGTTATCTCTCAAGGGCAAGATGACCAGCATTAGTATGACAAGGATTTATACCTCTATGTACATTCTGATATTGACAGAGTTAGGAACAATAGTAAGACAAGTACATCTCCCTTTTTGAAGAGGGGACTGATGCTAGAACTCTAACAAGTATTGGGCCCGCGGTGCAAGTAATAAGATAAACACCTCGGCAAATTTTGGATGTCTTAAATTAATTAAGAAGATTTTTTCCCTCTCGACATCGATAGCACGACGCCAGTTAAGGCGCATTTATATCGTGGCAGCCCCCATATCAGACGTCACCACACCTAAGCCAGCGCACGCAAAGCCTCACTGCTGCGTCACCGCGGGGACCCGTTCTGCCTTGCCCCACGCTCACCAAACTTGGCCACCGCGATTCAGCTCGCATACGCGTCTCGATTAACAAAAGAAGGCAACTCCTTCGACAGACGACAGTTTTGTTAGCAGACGCGTGCCGCTTTGGAGCAACTAACTTGTACATAGCCGCTGTAGGCCTCGTGAAGCCGCTGTAGCCTTCCGACAAAACTTGGTGCTTGTGAGGCGCACCAGAAGGCTGTTTTGAAAGGCAACCATTCCGCTACTAGCGACGTCTCCTTCAGGACGAAATCTTGAATGAATCTTATGATCTCAAGTAGTATCAAATGCAAAGACAGAATATCCTACATCGATAGTATAAGACGCCTACCATGACGGACACACGCGATTATTATGCGGATCTGGAGCTACCGCCTAACGCAGACGAACAAGAAATTAAAAAGCAGTTTCGAAAACTAGGTAAGTATATGGTTTTTTGGTGTGAAGTATATGATGTGATGCTTACAGGTACTTTCAGCTCTGAAATACCACCCAGACAGAAACCCTGGCCGCGAAGCCGAAGTCAACTCAAAGTTTCAAGTCATTCAGACCGCCCACGAAGTCCTTAGCGACTCCGAAAGTAAAGCCAAGTACGATGCCAGCCGTAATCGCGCCGGCAGCAGGTATCCCACATCCTCAGGTGTAAGGGGAAATCCTTGGGCGAATGCGGCCTCCAACTTTCCCCCACCTCCGCGTCGAAATGCGAACCCTAGTGCTTCTTCCGCGAGGGCATCAGCATCAGCATCGGGCGGTGCGCAACGCTGGCAGACACGATTTGCACAAGGAGTCCCCCCAACGGCCAAACAATACAACTCTGCTGATCCCAAGACGAAAGAAAATGCTGCCAAAGCATTTGATCACATGCGCAAAGCCCAGGCGCAGACTGCAAAGAAGACCAGCCGCCCAACGGAACCCCCACCACCTCCACCACGATCTGCCACGGCAAGACAAAGAAAGGAGGCTGCATTTGGAACGAAAAAGACAACTGCACAAAGACCACCGTCAAGAGATGACCACGCAGCTCACCCTTACCCAGCTGATCGTCCTGTGCCGGATCCTCTGAGCCAGTTTCGCGAAACCAAGACGCCTGCTGATGGTAGGCAGAGTGCTCCGTACACACGCCATGGAGGTGAAAAGACAGACCCATTCGATGGAAGACCAATGAATCGTACCAGAAGCTCTAGAAAAGCTGAAAAGTCCGAAGATGGCACACAATCTGCAGCCAAGGGCACAGAAACTCAGACAAACGCGAACCCGCCAAGCGAAGGTAAGTTTTCATTCGCCGTGTCTAGGCTCACAGTTTTGAATCTTTACATCTAACTGTGAACCATAGAACAAATTAAAGACCAAGCTACAACAGATGGCCCCTCTATGTATGAAGACTCCCCACAAAGAAACGAAAACGATGACCGTTACGGCACTAGTCACTGGAAAAACAAAACACCTGGTGGCCCATTCATCCGCTATAACAACTTGCCGCTCATATATAACCCGAATGAATCATCAGCATCTAGTGGATGCCACCCTGGACAGCCGAAAGCCAGTCGCTTTGAACAACAACAGCATGATGTGATAGCGTTGCTAATCAACAACATGGCTGCTAGTAGTTCACCTGCTGCTCCATCCCAGCCACCACACAGTACTGTTTATGAACCAACTGCTAACGGTGAATCTTATCACAGCTTTAATTTCGATGTCAACGATGACACCTTTGTCCGAACTTCACCGCACCAAGCCAATTTTGCGAAGAACAGCGTTGATGACATCAATACCCAGTTCAGCCAGGACAATGGTCCCGAAACATGGAGATTCAGTGCCGGAACCCCTACCCAGGATGGAACTGGCTCTCAGGCGTCTCCAAAACGTCAGCAAGGACCTGGCGCTGACCAGGGCGCAGCTGATTCAGACAACCCCGAAGGCTTTAATGCCACTGGTTGGGCTGAAAAGTTTGGACCACAGACCTTTGCACCACCTCAAAACCCTGCCAACAATGCATCACCCACAAGAACCAGCCGGGCAAACTCTAAGAAGTCGAAGCCAGGCAAGCCCATCCCCGGAAATGCGACTGTTATCGACATTAGCAGTGATGAGGATACTTATGAGTGGAACGGGAGGAAACCTGCGAAAGACGGACTTGTCAGCAGCCCACAAGCGATGGAGATTGACTCGCCGCCATCTCGGCCGCCTGGCATGCCTTCTCGAACCAACTCAGCAAGGAATATAAATGTTGAGCCATCCCGACCAGAGTGGCGATCAGGAGACTTTGAAAATAAACCTCCGCTACCCGAGCGACCTAGATCGCCAATCAAGCCTACTGTGGGTGGCTCTGAGGATAGTGAAGAGTTTAGAACCACTTTGGGTGATTTTAAAAACGTTCCGCCTTTTACTCAACCAAACGCTGGGCTCAAATCGTTTATTGATTTGAAAGATAATTTGCCCTTTGAGAGTAGGTCGTCTGCGGAGTCGCCAGCGAAGCTTCCCAAAGCACAGCCGCTAGTCTTTCCACAGCCCCCAGTTGCTCCAAGACTGCCTCCTACGGTGGCAGTCGATTCGATAAAGCCAACCGTTGCTGCTTGGAATCAGTACTTGGCAGAATTCAAAACGTATCTTGCAGAGTGGGAGGCATTCAACTCCAAGGTGGTAGATCACTTTTCAGCCAGAAACTCACGTACTGCTACTCTTCGAGCTGCTAAAGGCTACGAATTTCTTGGTTCGCGACGGGACGACGAGATTCAGGAGTACTACAATTGGATTGAACAGGACAATGATGTAAGGAGGCGCTGGAATGCAGCTTGTGATGGTCATGAGATGCATGTCCGTGAACTTATGGCGTTTAGAGAGAAGATGAAATGATGATAGCGGCGAGAGCCATGAAAGGGAGCAGCATATGATGAGTCGAGGAGCGGAGAAATGACTGGGTATTGACGCAGGCCGCCGGTCAAACGCATTGGAGATGTTACAGTTATCATATACCCTTCGTTGATGGTGCATTCGATAAGAAGCGTGGCGTTTATCAATTATGCTAGCATTAAATTTCAAAAAGTCTGGTCTTGAAGCAGCTGTTGAACGGTCAAATGATATTCTGGTGACATGATAGTGATAGTAGTTCCTCTTCTGCATGGGTCCTCTTTAAGAGCAACAGCTTGTGAGGGTTTCAAAGAGAATTAATTGCAAAGCAAAGCAGGCAGACGTTTGAACAGACGCCGTTTTGAAAGATAGGAAACGGGGAGGTGTTAGCAGAAAATCCGATAGGCGACTGTCATTGTCACTTACACGGAGTTCTGGCCATGCGGAGCTGCCTCACTTCCCTCTCAGCTACACTGATCCCCGTTTGCAACCCGTTAGAAACTCACCCTTCCACAACATACTCGCTTGAATCTACCATCTTTATCCCAAGCATCACCAATATTTTAACGACTATATCTATAGTATTCTCCGAAATGGATCAAGATGAAGCATCTCCTAAAGGAGCCACCCGCGCTTGGACGGAAGAGGAAAAGGTTTTTTGGTCATTGTTAAACCTCTTGGATATCAATCACTAATCTTCCACATCCAGACTGGCCTTTTGCTCCGAGTAATCATACAACTTACCACCCATGGTTCGATAAAATGGAAAGAGGTTCACATGCCTGGTCGTACAGCGAAATCCATTGAAGGGCAATGGACCAAGGTGAAAACATCTCTGAACACTCTCAAGGAGTCCATGGGCTTGCCAGTAGACGTAAAATCTACCCCTAGGAAATCACCCGGTATGAGTAGACTCTCTGAACGCTCCCATGGGCGTGTAAGTTAATACTAATACCAAGTCACAGCCAAGAGAAAGGTGGTCAAATTGGAAGCTGATGACGATATCTTTAACAACCTTTCGTCATCCTCTGGGAGGAAGAAGAAAAAGGTTGATACGACTGGTAACTGTTATTGTTGTCACTACTCAAGGCAAAGTCACTAATACATTTCACTAGCTGCGCCCGAGAATGACGACACTCCCGGGGAACTGATAAAGGAGGAGGCTGATTAGGTGCCACTAGCTTAGTATTCGTATGCGACGTGATATCCTTAGGCTCAGACAGAGAGGGTTCAGTAACGTCAAGGCATATCGTTTAGCCATGCGCCACATCAACCTTGACATGCGCCTTAGCTAGGAATCTACCCACTTGAGATGGAAACCCGTCCACACTATATGCGCGAGATGGCGTTAGGGAGATGCAGGTGCGCATGTGGATCGCATAGCGTCCTTTGGCGCACCCATCATTATGTATCTTGCCTGTTTGCATGACCTGGTTTACTGTGCACTAATACGATTGCCGCCCATCCCTCTCCATATGCTAAGACGGGATAAACGGTTGGGGCCGCAGGTTTTGGTTGGTGACATCTTTATCCTAGACACGCAATGTCGTTGAATCGAGATACGGGACTGAATAGCTTACAACTCAGATGGCACCCTCACACCAAATCAAGTATAAGATTGTCAGTGTTACCATCAGCGTAGATGGAGATGGGATAGTGCACTGAGAATCACCCAAGCTCAAGATATCTTTGGTCGCTGTTGGTGCCGCATCAGTGTTCGCCATAATGGCAGGCCGCGATGGATGTAGTCTCGTATCGCTGATCGGTGCATATATTGCATATTCTACGGCACTAAGGGGATGATTGGTGACCAAAGCCCGTTGGTGGTCGCCTGACTAGTGGGAGGTATTGGCGAGGTCTGGTGAGCAACCAACCACCGCGTAGTGGTTGCTAATGTACTGTACTTTCTACTGTAGCAAACTTACATAATCAGAAGCATTGGGGCGCTACAGCGCGGCGCAGGCCATCAATGGACACAGACCTGCAGGTGCTTTTTCGCTGTAGGTCCGCTGTAGTCTCCGCTGTGGTGTAGCGTCGCAGGGAGGGGCGTTGCACCTGCGCCTTGCGTGCCTGGGCCCTTTCCCAGGTGGGCGCCAGCCCGTGTGATCCACTCTTTTTTTGGACCAATGCAAAGTCGTCCATCTTTTCACAACCACCTTTGTAGGCCAGACATCACATGGGCCACTCTTTTCTTCCACCTATTTCCATTTTCTGCCTTGTTTCCTCGTTTTGTTAGACGATAGAGGCGCATTGTCACTGTGCCCCTTAATAATCCTGTCATATTGCCGACTGCTTCTATATCTTGACACGTACGGACCGCGATCCCAATCGGCTTCTTCCCCGTTTGCGCAGGCCACAACCTGACCTAGTCAGCCAACCATCGCCTGTAGTTGGTTGCCAAAAACACACACAAATCCGTTTTTGCATCCCCAATCTCCCATAGAATCCAAGAGAGACGCCTCAACGACGAAACACCGCGAACATGAACGGAACTCTAACCCCCGCAGGGGGCAAGAGAAAGCCCTCCGACTTTGAGGACGAGGGGCCGCCAACCAAGCGCTTTACCAATGGCAAGCTTTCCGCCGACGACAACACGCCCGACGTCGAGGACATGGTCTATGTCGAAGAATCAGATGTCGATGGCGATGTTGATGCGCGCGATGTTGTCTTCGTCGGCACACCAGCTAGCCTGGGCGAGTGGCAAGACACCATCCAGAAGGTTGTTCGCAACGTCGTCGCGATCCGATTCTGCCAGACATGCGCCTTCGATACCGACCCTGCATTGACAAGTGAAGCCACCGGTTTCGTTGTTGATGCCGAGCGAGGATACATTCTCACTAACCGCCACGTTGTTGGCTCTGGGCCGTTCTGGGGCCACTGTGTCTTTGACAACCACGAGGAGGTGGATTGCTATCCCGTCTACCGCGACCCTGTTCACGATTTCGGCATTCTTAGATACGACCCCAAAGCAATCAAATATATGAATGTCGATGGTCTCGCTTTGACTCCTGAGCAAGCCAAGGGTACGTACACACGGTCACCTTTCGTCTACAATACGCGGAATGCTAACCCTGTTCATAGTCGGTGTCGAGATCCGAGTCGTTGGTAACGATGCCGGTGAAAAGCTCAGTATTCTGTCCGGCGTCATCAGTCGATTGGATAGAAATGCCCCGGAATATGGCGACGGATACAGCGACTTCAACACATGCTACTACCAGGCCAATGCCGCTGCTAGCGGTGGTAGTTCTGGCAGTCCCGTTGTTAGCAAGGACGGAACGGCTGTTGCTCTCCAAGCCGGTGGCCGATCGGACGGAGCATCCACCGATTATTTCCTACCACTTGATCGACCTCTCCGCGCTCTGCAGTGCATCCAGGAGGGAAAGCCTGTGACACGTGGTGACATCCAGTGCCAGTTCTTGCTCAAGCCCTTTGATGAATGCCGACGCCTTGGTCTTAGCCCGGAGTGGGAAGCCGCTATGCGACAAGAGTTTCCTGATGAGACGAACATGCTCGTCGCTGAAATCGTTCTGCCCGATGGCCCGGCTCACCAGAAGATTGAAGAAGGTGATGTCCTGATTAAAGTCAACGATCAGCTTCTGACACAGTTCATCCGACTCGACGATATTCTGGATTCTAGCGTTGGAAAACCTGTTAAGATGCTTCTTCAGCGTGGTGGCGAGGATGTTGAAATCGAGATCGAGGTCGGAGACCTGCACAAGATCACTCCAGACAGATTCGTCAGCGTTGCAGGTGCAAGCTTTCACGACATCTCTTACCAGCAAGCCCGACTTTACGCTGTCGCGGTCAAGGGCGTCTATGTCTGCGAAGCTGCTGGTTCTTTGAGCCTGGATAGCAGCGATAATGGCTGGATTCTTCAAACTCTGGATCACAAAAAGGTCCCCGATCTGGCTACTTTCATTGAGGTAGCTAAAGCCATTCCAGACAAGGCCCGCGTTGTGCTTACCTACAAGCATCTTCGTGATTTGCACACACTCAACACCTCAGTCATTTACATTGATCGTCACTGGTCATCCAAGATGAAGATGGCTATTCGAAATGACGAGACTGGCTTGTGGGATTTCACAGACCTTGGCGATCCTCTTCCGCCAGTCCCGCCTGTCCGCAGATCCGCAGCCTTCATTGAGCTCGACCACATGCCTCATCCTAACATCGCCGAGTTGATCCACAGCTTCGTCCATGTCAACTGCACTATGCCCATGAAGTTGGATGGCTTTCCTAAGAACCGCAGATGGGGCATGGGACTTGTCATTGACGCCGAAAAAGGTCTTGTTATCATCTCTCGTGCCATCGTTCCTTATGACCTTTGCGACATCACCATCACCATTGCCGACTCCGTCTTTGTAGAAGGAAAGGTGGTCTTCCTACACCCGCTGCAGAACTACACCATCATCAAGTATGACCCTTCCCTGGTTGATGCGCCAGTAAAGAGCGCTCGCCTTAGCTCCGAGAAGCTGTCACAAGGTGCCAAGACTTACTTCTTGGGTCATAACCGCATCGGCCGTGTTGTGCACGCCTCGACAACAGTGACTGAAATCACTGCCGTCGCTATTCCTGCCAACTCTGCCGCTCCTAGATACCGCGCCGTCAACGTCGATGCTATCACCATCGACAGCAACTTGGGCTCGTCCTGCAACAGTGGTGTACTTGTTGCGGAGGACGGTACAGTTCAAGCCTTGTGGCTATCGTATCTAGGTGAGCGTTCTGGCTGCAGCCAACGTGATGAGGAATACTACCTTGGCCTTGGAACGCCGACATTGCTGCCAGTTCTATCCACCATCCAGAAGGGCGAGGTTCCCAAGCTACGATTGCTCCCTGTCGAGTTCCGTGCTATGCAAATGGCACAGGCTTCGGTTATGGGAGTATCAGACGAATGGATCAAGAAGGTTACCGAAGCCAACCGCTCTCATCATCAACTCTTCATGGTTAGCAAACGAACATTTGAGCGAGGCAGCCAAGGACCGTCGTTGATCGAAGGTGACATTGTTCTTACTCTGAATGGCAAGATTTGCACAACAATTTCTGACTTTGATGTCATGTATAACAATGAGGTTTTGGATGCCGTTATTGTACGAGACTGCGAAGAGATCAAACTTCAGCTACCTACTGTCGCTGCTGAAGATATGGAGACGACTCATGCAGTGTCTTTCTGTGGTGCCATCCTCCACCGCCCTCATCAGGCCGTGCGCCAACAGATTAGCAAGTTGCACAGCGAGGTTTATGTATCTAGCAGAATCCGTGGTTCGCCCGCCTACCAGTATGGCGTAGCTCCAACAAACTTCATCACTCATGTCAATGGACAGCCAACGCCAGACTTGGATAGCTTCATCGCTGCCACACGAAAGATTCCTGACAACACTTGTAAGTTCAACCGGCGTTAAAGCGGCCAGTAAGCTGCCTTTGCTAACCACTCGTTTTTTTAATAGATTTCCGATTGAAGGCGGTTACATTTGACTGTGTTCCGTGGGTTATTACCATGAAGAAGAATGACCACTACTTCCCGACAGTCGAATGGGTCAAGGACAGCTCCGAAGCTTGCGGGTGGAAGCGAACTACTTATGAAGGAGGTGCGACAATCCAAGGCGAAGCGACAGATGGAGTCCCTACTATGGGAGAGGACTCTGTGATGGAGGTATAATCTGCCGACATCCATCAAATACTGTGATGGTGCGAATAGAAGGGATATGCTTTGTATAATTAGACTGCTTTTGGAAGGGCAGCATCAATTGGCGTTTATAGGCAAAGAAGGATAACATGGAAGTCTGCTGGAGCTGTATCTATTACATGACATGGCCAATATAGTATCTTGCTTACGAAATAGGGAAAAGAGACTTTGATCTTTATCTGTGACGCCATTGATATTTGTGAAACACCGGTATTTATTAAAGGAAGCCTTCTCGTCGTCAGCTTAGGATTGGCGACGGCGGCGGGCGGGTGGGCCTGGCCCCGCAAGACAGCCGCGGGGCAAATGCGCCGCGTAGCTAGAAAGTGCTACTAACCTCGCATTGCTGCAGCCTAGTCGACAAACTCACAAACACCAAAGTTCCTTTGACGGCAGCCTTGGACGATAGAATATCGCGGATTTTGTTAACCAACGCTAGCATCACCCTGAGACACAACATGGCTCCTGGAGCAACGCTCTTGGTAAGTCGCGACAACCGAATGACGTCGAAAGCGATGACGACATAGGCACAGAGGCTAACGTCTACAGACCAAGCTAAAGGTCCAGCTTAAGCTGACCATAGCAAGACTCAGAATGGTCCAGCAACGTGATGAGCAATTAGGAAAGACACAGCGCCGGGCTATGGCCCAGCTCCTGGAAGCTGGAAAGGTCGACTCCGCCACCATCCGAGTCGAGAACATCATTCGATCCGATATAACGAGCGAGCTCCATGAGATCCTGGAGCTATACTGTGAATTATTACTAGCAAGAGCCGGGCTTATGGAGGGCAGTGTGTGTGATCCGGGCTTGGAGGAAGCTATTCACAGTCTGATATACGCCGCACCCAAGACCGAGATTAAAGAGTTAAGCACTGTGCGCTCATTACTAGCGGAAAAGTACGGCAAGGAGTTTGTGTTGGGAGCCATGGAGAATTCTGAAGGCAAGGTAAATGAGAAGGTTGTTAAGAAGCTCAGTGTAGAGCCGCCTCGCAAAGAATTGGTCCAGGGATATTTGGAAGAGATTGCGCGAGCCTATGGTGTTGACTGGCCAAAACGCGACGGACCGTCACCACCTCCTGAGTTTACTGATGATGACGAAGATGATGACGAGCCATCCGACGGGCAAAAGGTGCTCGCGGATCCATTAGCTGCGGAACAGAAGTCGCTATCTAACGTGGACACTCCCAACAAGCCCAAGCCAGCCAGGAGTGTTAACTTGGCTAGTCCTGTGACAGTGACACCGCCGCGCATGACTACTGATAATATTCATCCCAAAGTCACACTGGACTCGGTAGAACTGAAACCAAAGGCTGGTGCCAGACGGGGTTCGGCCGGCCAGAAGAAGAATGAACCAGAAGGGTCGGTGCCTGACATTAGTGATCTGGAGGCGAGATTTGCAGCTCTTAAGAAGCGATAAACATTTAACATCATATTATTATAAAAGAATACAATTACATAATGTCGTCATCGGTTCCTGGATATAGTATCATAAGTAACTTGTACGCTTGGAAAGGCAACTGTGACGCGTGTTACCGCTTGCCAGCTGCCAGCTGCCGCTTATGCAGCCCACTCTACCTTTCTTCCATCAGAAACAACCTTTATTGCTACCTCAACTTCTTCCTTTTCCCTGTTTATCTTGGACCAAGAACACTCCGGCGTGCGTGGCTCTGCATGTTTTCATGGATCCGACAGCGCTGATTCTGTCCAACATCCGCAATGTCCTTGGTTGCAACGGGATCCAAAACTTCTACCGCTTCTCTGAGTTGCGACTTCAAACCCTCGAGAAGCGAATGAAGTTGTCCGAGCCAAGGAAACTTTCGCCGCGGAGCAAAGCTTCCATAGGTGCAGTGTGGTTGTTGGAAAATGCTACCAGGCTGCAGCCGCATCAGCGATTGGCTGTTTTAGAGGGATGGCTCCGGCTTCTGTTTAATCTGGGTTGCTCCTACAACATTATTATGGAAGTATGGAAGTCCAATATGAAGAATCGAGCACGATTGGTGAAGGAGACGTCCCAATTTCAGAGTAAGGCGAAAGAAATGACACTGGACATTGAGAGACTTATAACCAAATACATCAATACAAAAAGGCAGTCTCCTTTATCACAAAAGTCGACCGCTGGTAAAGCACCGAGAGCTGTGGCTGCCAAATCGACATTGAGTAAGTTTGAGGCAACGATGCTGAAATTCAAGTGCTAATTGCGCTCCATAGCTTCTAAGAGTAACTCAGCTCTTGCTACGACAACCTATAACATCCAAGAAGGCCCTATTGACTTGGGACAAGTAGGAATTGTTACCGGTTTGGGTGGTAGTGGTACGGGAGACCATCCTGACGCCGCTACCGGAAGGCCAGTAGGCCCAACCTTTCGTCTTTTGCGGATGGATATAGGTCAACTGGTAAAGATACGAACTGTTCTGTAATCTAACACAGACTAAGCTAATACGTTTTAGGTGAATGGCAACACGGCAGAAGCCCCGACATCCGCCGCCAACAAGAGCTTCGTTGAGTCTTATGCGGCTGCGGAAAAGTTACTAAGTGACCTTGTTGCTCAAATTCCGCGTCAAGAGATCGGGACTTCTGGAGAAAGCTCTAGCACAAGCACCTACATAGGGCTGCCCCCGAGTACGAAGCAGGCTGCCACAGAAAGAGCCGATGGTACACCGCCAGGACGCAACAATACAAGTCCTGGAACGGGTTTTACCCACTCCTATCACCCTATGGCCTTTTCTCTGCGACTAGGGGAGCACGTAAACTACCCTACCCAGATACGCTTGACGGCTTTGGACTTTTGGGGCCCCCAAGAGGGTGAATGTGACGGTGCCGAGAGACCAAACACACAGGATAAATGAACTAATGTGGTGGTTCTATATGTGATATCGTTATTGCTGTATATTGAAATAAACACGATTGAGATCGCTAGATAACAAAATAGTTGTCCTATGCGGAACTATGAAGAGCAAACCGTGAACCCAAGACTCCAAAGACTCCTTCCTATAAAGCCAGCCAAATGCGGGGGCTAAAATTGCAGTCCGTAACCATATGTACACGAATATAGAGGCTGATGTGATGACTATTCGAGCTTGTCGAGGTGTTCTAATCGGGTTAAAACAACCTGTTTGCTGGTTTCTTCGATCTCGCCAGCCAAGAATACTTCGTCAAGGATCGCGTAGACTTTGTAGAAGTTGAAGACAAGGTCGAGCTCGCAGACATTGCCAAAGAAGGCATCCAGAACCTCAACAAAGAAGTGAATAGCCTCTAGGTATGCAAGTTCGTTATCGTTGGTGTCGACGCAGACGCAGAAGAAGAGGCCAGCATATCTTCGGTATACGATTTTATGGTTTCGGAACTCGACAAAGTTGGATTGGTACTTTTGGTCTCGGGGGGCGACGAGTCGGTGAACCTCGCCTTTAAGCTTAATCTTTTCCTCGTCGGTGAACGGCGCATACCACTTGGCTAAACGGGTTTTGCCTCTGCATCGAAGGAAGAAGCAGTTAGCCACCGGGGTCTGGCGGACGCAACAGAAGCGGGCGGTAAGTTCGCGCTACTCACTGGCGATTTTGTATCAGGATGTAGGACAGCATTGTGACAAGTGCTATGCTGGAAGTTGGCGGTTGTGGTCGTGGTTTGTGCTGGTGCAAGGTCGAGGTGGCGTGCCGCCGGTCCAAGGGGTTAGCGATAGACAGGCTGTGTGGGGTTTTGGGTTTGCGTGGTGGTCGTAGCTCATAGTGGAGGAGAGGCCATCTGGTTAGCGCCGCAGTGGCTGAAGAAAAAGGCTGATTGGTAGCCGTTGAGCAAGCATATTTGTAAAGTGGGAAACCTTGAATTCAGGGTAGTTCTGAAGGGAGAAAATAATAATCAAGAAGAGATATGAAGACATACTTCAATATCAGCACATCGCTTTTTAAAAGGCATTAGGGTTCTTCATTAGCAGGTGCAGGTTAAGCTGCACGCTGTAGCATGCTCTGATTTCTTCAGCGGCTTTAGCGCATGTTCGTAGCGGGCTGTAGCGAACCAGAGATCGTGTAAGTGTTGGCTGTGGTTGTTCTCTGCGCCACTGCCTTCCGTAAAGTGATATATTATGTTGATAGACTTACATTTTTACCAAATATGGTTTATATGTTTTCGTTATTTTATCACGAAAAATTATACGGAATTATTCACTCTCGTGAAACTTGCCTCCTTCGCCTCACCGTCTAAACCCGGCAATCGGCATCCGTGCCAAGACAACCTGGTAGCTCCACTGGCGTCATTTGTACTACGCTGCCCAAAAAAAAAGACGGACAAAAAACCGTCGTTACAACTGTCAACCAGCCAGCTTCGTGTTTTTCTCTCCTTGCATCCTCTGACACGCTCTAGCTCGCTTCATCTTTCCCACAGCAACATCTTCCTTTTTATACATGTTCACAACTTGGGCCAACACCATGACACAACAGCTACGTCAGTGACCACGCGCCACAATCTCCGACGGTGATCTAGCATGTGTGGCTCGCTGTGCATAGCGACGCAGCTATCCCCGTCATGGCTTCTTCAAATCCTCTGAAAAAGCTGGTGACCCTCATCTGGGGAGACTGGCAGACAAATCAGACATGGCAACGCATTGTCAAGTACTCTGTAGCCTGTACCTTGGCTCTCATCATCGCCATCCTCCCCTCGTTAGCCAGCAGAGCGACCTTTCTTATCCCTATGGTGATTGTCTTTGCACATCCCGGCCAGAGGATGGGGTTGATGATAGAAGCCCTTCTCATGATTCTTATTGGCTCCTTTCTCGGCCTGGTCTGGTCTATGCTCGGGCTATATCTGGCACATCTCGTCACCGACACGAACCGCTCCGCTGCTTATACGATAAGAGGCATATTCCTGGTTTTAGCGGTTCTTCTACACGGTATCCTTCGATCATCTAGCCCCAGGCTCTTTAATTTCGTTCTCTTTATGCTGGTGGCCGTTCTGACGACCCTTGAGGTTCCAACCAATTCCACCGTCATCCTCTTCACCAACATATACGTCCCCGTCCTCATCGGTGGTGCTATTCTGCTGGTTACCAATTTGACTATATTTCCAGAGCTTTCTAGCAGCCATCTGGGAACTTCTACGATAACCTCGATTAGCGAAGCTGTCGAAACGCTCAATCGTGCAACGCACTGGTTCATCACGCCAGGTGGCGACGGGCCGGAAGCTCGCGGGGCACGACTCCAACGCACTACAACAGTTTCTACAGTCAGCCATAAGCCATACTCAAAAAGACTGTCTGCAATGTTCAACTTCAAAAGCAAACGCTGGCAAAGATTTCTAGCCGAGTTTCCGAATCCTTTCTCAGACGGGACTGCCGCAGACATCTTCCTCACACAACCTCTCTCAACTGTCTCTCTCGCGACATTGACGGACCGCAAATCTAACCTTCGAAGCCGTTTAAGAAACTGCAAGGCTGTTCAAAATGAGGTGAATTTTGAAATATCTCTGTCATCCTTGCCGCCAGCGTCAATGAAGTTGATCAGCAACGATTACATGACAAATCTTGTACAGGAGGTAGTGACAGTTATCGGCGCCTGCGAAAACAAGTTTGTCCTCCTTGTAGCCAAGGATGCCCCTGCTGCATCTGATACGTCCGATGGTCCTTACACAACTTCATCCAATGCACATGACGGCTCGAGTAGGCCGCGCGCCAAACAAAGGAGGTCCAGAATTGATGACGTTAGGCCAGTGCGAGAGATTAAATCAGGGAATGCTGAACTATTAGAATCTATCCTAACTCGCATTCGGGAACCAGTGCTGGACTGCCAGGAAGCTTTGAAAAACACCGTTGAAACACTCATTGCATGTCTAGCATTTTGTATGGATGTTTCGACGCTACCCTCTGGTGAACCGGCTCCCAAACACATCATCTTGGGCGATCTAGATAGCTGCATTGACAGATGGTCGGAAGCTTTGCAGACCTTTGACGCCCAATCGGCAGCTGCTCTCAAACGGGCCGCGCGGGATCGGCCGGGCCAGTCGCTCGATTTCACACCGCGGATGGAAACATTTCTGATATCATCGTTTCTCTTGGCGTTTCGACAAGTCGGCGCAGAGATTATGCATATGACACAGCATATACGTGATCTGGTGGAAGTAAAACAAAACAAGCGCAGCAAACTTTTCGTTTGGCTCCCGACCATTGTCAGCATTAGACAATGGCTCGAAACCGATAGCGACTCTGATGCAACCATTGCTCCTGGGCCCTCGAGCGCAATGAACACTGTAGAAGAAGCGATTCCATCTCCGTCCGAGGCCCCAACACCTCGTGGATCAATTTTAAGCCGCCATAGCCGTGTCAACTCATACGATGAAGAAGTGACAAGAGCTGCCACCGACTCTGCCACAGCCAACAACTTACCAGAAGCTAGTCGGACAACACGTATGTCGCTGGCTTCTTGGTTACAGAAGCAACGCCAAAATGCAGCCGATGCAATTGAATGGGTACAGAAGTCCAGCGATCTGGTATATGCAGCTAAGCTCTGCATTGCCGTGATGCTCGTCAGCTGGCCCGCATTGGTGCCTTCCTGGAATCAGTGGTATACAGAGGTTAGAGGTATCTGGGCCCCTTTGCAGCTGGTACTGGTATTTGAGCTTGCCATTGGAACTTCCTTCATCGTCTTCTTTGTACGACTATTCGGTGTCGTGCTAGGTGGTATAGTTGGGTACCTTTCTTATGAGATTGCGCGAGGAAATCGTGTCGGCATCACAGTGATTCTCTTATTTGGTATTATCCCATCCATCTATATCCAGCTGACGACAAAGTACGTGAAAGCGGGAATGATTTCCATTGTGTCCATGACTGTTGTTGCTCTCGGTAAGTCACACAAATCAAATGTCTTCTGGCACGTATGCTAAACTGGTACTCAGCCACCGTTGATTCCGATTCTCCTGGCCACGAAGTCTTCTATAAGCGCCTTGTTGCGTTCCTAATTGGAGGCCTAGCTGCCATGCTTATCGAAATTATACTCTACCCTGTCCGAGCAAGAGACAAACTGATTGACTCATTGAATGACTCGGTTAGATATATTGAAGTCATGCAGGCTGCTGTTGCAGTCGGTATTGACCACCCCGAAAGACCCGATTTTCGGTCGAAGGTGATGCATTCTCGCTTCAACAGGGCTCGGAACAAGGCTCAAGCATCTCTGAACGATGCAGAGACCTATTTGCCTTTCTGCTTGGCGGAGCCAAGACTAAAAGGCAGTTTTAAACCTTTGGCGCCTATTTACGCCGAGATCATATATGTGCTCCATCAGATCATTGACCGCATGGTTAATGTGGTACAACTCAGAAGAGCATATGGTTCATCCATTCTGGAGGACTTGAATTCCAAAGTCCATACACATAGACGGAATGTTGCAGGCAGTTGTACCCTTATTCTATTCTCTATAAGCGAGGCTCTGACAGCCTGGCTACCACTACCGCAGTTCCTACCGTCAGCTAGACTGGCCCAGCTGCGTCTTGTTAACCGCGTCCGAGAAATTCTCGGCTCTGAAAGGGCTCGAGGTCCAACCGTATTATTCCGGCGACACTTCAAGCCTGGGCGAGAACTCAACGAATCAACAGCAACGGTCCTGACTCAGCGCAAGTTCTTGGCCTGGAACGCTGCTAGTTCGGGTCAAATGGAAATCATCGAATATTTGGAAGAGTTGATTGACTTGGTCAAACTTCTCGTTGGAGTAAACGCTTTCCAAAGCGGATTGCTCGAAACACCGACATACAAAGAGTACATGCGCCGCGTCGAAGCCGAACATGCCAGCGGCGCACAAAGTTGGGACGCAGACGACCAGGAGATCGATAATGGAAATGGCGATATAGAGCTTGGTACCCACGGCCAAACAACCCAACAACCGTCCGCATCGACCACTCACCGAAGACGTGCAGCAACGATTGGTGACCGAAGCAGGAGTACGGCTTTGCAGGTTTTGCAACGAGAAACACAAGATGGAAACGACGATGATACTAGTGGCAACGACGAGAACATGGAGGATATACCCCTAAGCTTACAACGAATAGGCACAAGACTTCGCCGTGAGAATGCTGTGGCTAGGAAGCGTGCATTTACCACCAGTGACACACGGCGCTAGAGGAGGACGACATTGTTAATGATACCCCCAGCACATACAGTATATAATCGCTAGCAATGGGCACAAAATAATCATTTAATATAATCACAACCAAGACAGAGAATGTACATGACTCCAGTGACCTTAAAACCCAGTAATAGAAACGCCTTTGCCTAGCAACTCCTTCATCTCAAACTCATAACGACCGTACACTCGCCGATTGGTTTCAGCCACCCGCTCAAATGATGTTGAGGGGCGTCTTCTGAGCAAGTCGAGTGCCATTGAGCATTGCTCGTGACTTGTTTGGCCGTTGCTGAAAGCGACGAAAGGCTTCTTGCACATGGCGCGGCTCAATGGGTGTTCTTCCTTCACTAGGGGGATCAAACAGGCCCTGCTGATGCTTGCGCTTCTTCGTGCCAGCGGCATTATCACCTCCGTTTTGGGCGCGGGCCATGTCCTCCTGCTCCTTGGCCTTGAGAGCCGTCTCGGTAAGGGTCTGAACCATTTCAAAGGTCAGGAAACCAAGAATATCGACTATATCGTCAGACGGTTTGCTATCCGTGACGATTCCGAAGCCAGCCCATTCGCGGAAACGCTTGCCTTTGCGCCATGTAAACGATGCTTGGCGGTATTCAGACCAGGTGACGTATTCCTCTTTGGTCATCACTTTTGTACGCTCATCAGCCTTGCGGAGTCGCTGCAACGTGATGTAGTTCATCTCTTCCTCCTCTTCGTCTTCTTCATCGTCACGCTCAGGTACTTCTACACTGTAAAACGACGACGGCTCCCAGGGTAATCCAACTTTTGCTTTCTTGTTCTTCTTGGCGGCTTCATCAACGGGGCCAACTGCTGGGTCATCACCGGCAGCGATATCACCGTCTGCGCCTTTGTCATCAGAGTCCTTGATATTCTTGCGGACATCTTTCCAGGACAGAAAGGTTCGTAGTCGTGATACTTTGGCAGAGTCCTGACGAATCTGAAAGATGAGGTCGTTTGTGCTGATTGATTTGGAGCCTCGTCTTGAGGCCAACTCTGTACAGTTCTTGAGCTACAATAGCGGTTAGTAGGTTAACGCGACGGACTGCAGTGAAGTTGATCGTACCAATTCAATAACCTGCTGTCTAACAATATCTTCTATAATACTTGTAGTCTCGACAGAAGGCTCGCCGGTTTCGCCAGAGACGTACATCATCTGTTTGAAAGTGTCAGCTATAATCACTTTGAAATACGGTGGCAGCTCTCGAAACTGTTTGGCATCTTTGGAGAAGGCAGCCAGCGTTGGTAAATAGAGAGACTCGAAAAACATGGTGTAAGGTCTGTAGCTCGGTAATGAATGAAACACAAGAACTGCTGTAGACGCGGTGGAAATTCATAATAGCCCAAAGGCACAGTGCCAATTGAACGCTGTGGTTTGCCAGGTGTCGCCAGCTGCCACGCATGGCAACCGGGAGCTACAGCAACTTCTGCCAATTGGGAACCGCATCTGCAGCAGTGACATATGTTATATACTTCATATCCAGATGATAACAGATATTTGCTGGCTAGTACGTGACGTCTAGAAACGCAAGTGCCAAAGTGACCATGTGAAGCCAGTCTCTTGAAGCGCACGCTCCGGCTGCCCATCGGACGCTTTGCGCATAGCCCTCCGGCTATGCGCCTCCGCTGCCAGACTGCGCAAAGAGCATATGTTCGAGAATCGATAGGCCGTAGTGAATCTTACCTGACTAATCTCCTGACGGTACTTGTAGACCTTGTCCTTGTCCGCCATCGTCGCGGCTTGGCTTTGGCTGCAGCCGAATCGCTAAGCAGCGTCCTCAGTCGTATGGTTGTACAATAGCAATAGCAAATATAAGAGATTCAATAATCTACTCAGATGAACGTGTTTCAACTTCCAATGCTTCGGTCACCGTCCGTTATCGCGTCAAGGGCTGTTTCGCAAAGGTAGCCAATGGTAGTGTGGTCGGCGCTTTCGCGTTGTTCGATATGTTCTGAGTATGATGCAATTCCTTGTATCTGATCGTTTCGAGGAAGGTTTGTTCGTTAACGCACTCTTCAAGCTTTTTATTTGGTATTGAAAGATGACGCCGTTGTAGAGGAGGATTGGGGTTGGAAAGGCGAGATCTACCAGCCGGTCGCAGCCGTGAGATGAAGATGGCATCACTGCGATTCAGCTCCACGTGACTAACCTAGCGTTCAACATCGATTCACAGCCAAACTTTTACACCGAAAGTCAAATGCACTTGATAATTATGTATGATAAAATTCAAATCATACTTTGGTATGATTTTGGCTTTTATTTTCCCTTGATATTCCACATGCGGGTAAACCCTTCTCCTCTATATCCCCATGCAACAATGTAATGGCCAGCGAGCAGCTTCCACTCTTCAACCTCATCTAGGCCTTCAAGCTGATGGACTCTCTCTTTTTCATCCTGTGAGACCCAATCTTCCCAAGCATCATCAATGGTCATATATTTCGCAGTACTAAATCCGGCGCCGATAAGACGACCTATCTGGTCCTTTGCGTTGCGATAAGCTTGCAGTCCTGGCATGGAAATATGGCGTGCGGCCAAGTTGGACACCATGGTGTCTCCAAAGGCATCATCCAGATGCATTGGCTCGTAGAGCACTATCGATAAGTTTGATATTCTAGACGTGAAATACTGTATCACTCGCTCGCTCTCAGCACGTTGTACGTAGCAGAGACAGCATTCCGACAGAATAAGTGTCGGTACATCTGAACGAAGTCCCGGCAGTTGGTTTTCGTCCTGCAAGCTACGTAGATCAATGCCATGTGCGTGGTATTCGCCTCCAGCAGCAGGGTGACTTGTCCAACTGCCTGTATCATTGGTGCTTATATCCGTAAGAATTTTCGACAAGACTGGGATCCCTCGAACCAGCTGCAACTTCTTTTTGCTGGTAACGTCGAAGTCAAGCTCATGGTAAATGATGTGCGAGGAATCAGATGAGTTAAAAAGCTTAAAAGGTCGTGTATCAGTTCCCGCTCCAAGCGAGATGATTTGCCTAGTGGATTTTAACGCATCACTCCCATCTGTAGCAATAAATGCGTCAATTAGATTATCGAGAGCTTGTGTCCTTGTATATGTTCCTAATGAGGCGTCAATTCAGTTTGGTCCAACCACGATAACCAAATTGACAGCTCCATACCTCTATTAATTATGGGTAATCGTCTTGGATTCGGTCCATCCATCTGAGATATAAAATATTTTGCGTAAGGATCTGTGAGATAGCCGAGATCAACGGCACTCATTCGAGAAACCGCCGCGTCAGTGTCTGTTCCTTGGATGGCTGTATCAGCCCTTGACCCTGATGGTAGTGCGCCACCCCTGCGGCTTCGTAGACCACCCCGTCCTCCTCCTCGGCCGCGGGAGGAAAGAAGATTAGGTATTGATGGGGCGGACATTATTGTGTCTTGATTGTGTTGATGGATGATTATAAGGGTGGTATTGGTTAGGTGAGAAGCCACACCTTACTGCCCAGGCGTACCTGGAAATGTATAGCGGGGCATCCTGTGCAAGCCTCCAACAACAACGAGGCTATGTTCGTTATAGAGTGTGCATTAACAATGGCAGGAAAATAAAATTGTCGAAATAGCATGGATAACAATCTAATGTGTGTATATTTTTTATATAAGCTCAGTGTTTTGAAATCATGCAAAAAGCAATTTGACATGAAACAGTAGGTCACTGCTTGACGCCGGCAGACGCTACAGACAGTCAATTTCAACAAGCAACAGTGCATAGTAGGCAAAAATTTGTAATTAATATCGTTCATCATTATTACGGCATTATTCATCTCGATGCTCGAGAATATCTCTCTGGCTTGAGTTTCGCGATGCCGGCTCTCGCTGTTCGGGTATCTGTTTGTATGTCCTCAACTCTATCCTGTCCCCTTCCCTCGATTCTGACACCATAGTTTGGCTAAGAGACCATAGCTTTGCAGACGGTCTGTTTTTCCGCTGATTGCTTCCATCTCCACCTCCAATCGTAGGGTTTTGAATGTTTTGACGGTCGCTGCCGCCCGGCGTCTTGCCGCCACTCCCGCTAGATTTGTCTCTTTGCCGTTTATTCCACAGTCCCCAAATGGCTGTTGCGTTAACAACAATTGCAGCGGTAAGCAGCTCAGTAGTGGCCCATAGGGTCCTATTGTCCTGGCTATCCTTGTGGAGGGAATTAATTGGTAGGCGAATCGCGGTAATAAGAATAATGAAGATGCCCAAGGTGAAGAGGGCAATGAGCTGTACCTTACGGCGCACAGGAACCGTCAGTCCTATGACATAGGGCAGCGGTAGTACGAGCAGCATAAAATCGGTAACAATGTTCAGAATCCCTAGCACAAGAAGTTGAACCTGTGCCTTTGCGCATGGGCCTGTCGAGCCTAGTTAGTTATGATGTTGGTGTATAAAAAGTCACGGCTTCAGAAACATACCTGGGTCAGGCTGAACTTGCCAATATAAATATACCGGATTACACTCGCTAACGTTGAGTACTTGCACAGTGACGTACGTGCAAAAGAACACAAACAAGTAGCTGCGAATAATCAAGATAGAATGCGGCATATCTCGAATCAGCCTAGAATATAGGTCAAGTAGAACGAGCTTTTGTAGCCACAAGCTGTCAACAAAGTCAGTACCAGTGCGGAGGGACTGCAGTGGAGAGAGGGGTCGACATACTAAGAATTGTAAAAGAAGCGGTTCGCAATGGAAAATTTGCTACCAATCTCACGCTGATAAATTTCCTCTGGCGTAAAGGTATGCGATTTGCGCAACGCCGGGGAAATGTTGCTTGTACCCCATATCAGAACAACATGGATGAGAGCGAGTCGTGTGACGGCGCATATAATAGCTCCCACTGTAAACCAGTCGCCTGCTGTATATGTATGCTTGCCAATTCTGCGGCCGACAAGACGAACCGTCATAATAAGGATGGCGATGCAGCTAAAGACCCAATGGATCACCAACGTCACGTCAACCATGGTGAGGAATGTATGTAGTGACGACGCCTATACGGCGAGGTCGATTATGTAGGTATGTACAAATAGAGGCGAGAAGTAAGAAGAGGAAGAAGAAAAGAGTGTGAGGAGAAAGAGAGACGGGGGGAGACGAGAGAAGCACAGGCCTCCTTGGATCCAGGGACCACGGCTCTCGCTGCGCAATGTAAAGTGGTAGCGCGTTGATTAATTTGTGGCCATTCGCATTGCAGTGTGCTGCTTTGTCGATACCGCGGCGAGTCGAGGCACGCGCTGGCGTCTACGATCGGTTTTCTTAGACCGTGCCGAAGAGGAAGACGAGGAAGAAAGTGTTCGAGAGAGCGATTCCCAACGGCGGCTGGGGTTTTCTTAGTTCATCGAGCGCGGAGATGCAGGGCCCTTCTCCGTAGCGGCAGAGCAGGAGCGGGGAGTGGATAAAAAGAAACCGTCTCAGTCCGGTCTAGCGCTGATATGAGCCCTGTAAAGTAGACCCGACGCCGCTGAAATGCCCGCCTGTCACATCTAGCCAAGACATAAGGAAGATAGAACAAGTGCGCTGACGAGGCTGTGATCTGGAAGCATCTGTGAGGTGAGATTCGCTTTAAGGTTACCATTACAAAGTAGAATCCAAAGTCGTGTTTTTTTGCGCTTAGAAGCACCACCTGCGCGCCATCTCACGATCGGAAGGGCAGCGACAGAGACAAGAAAAATTAGGCGTGTGGCTTTGCGCCCAGAAAACGCCCAGCGGCGGACGAAAAAAAATTAGCATAGCCAATAATGCAGGCGGCGGGTACTCACTGCAATTGCCGTTGTGTACGCTGCTCCTTTGTACTGTTTTGGGGGCGGGCGGCAAGTTCCTTTGCAATGCGGTGGAGACCTCCTCCTGCAAGCACAGAGCCATTCTTCCCTAGAAGGGACCCGGTGCATGCACTAAAATGCTCTTATAGTGCCTGTTGCAGCACAAGTCCAGCAGAGCATAATTCCGTATCCACTCGCCAACTAACTGCCGGGGCGGCGGCGGGGGTGCCGCTGCTGCATCGGAAGATAGCGCCTCCAGTCTCACCTCATACGTTTGACGGGAAACACATTTCGAGAAAACAAAATAGAGTTTGGTGTGCGAAGCAAACATAGTGATCTATGTATAGGATTTTTTTCGATCGGCCGATGGCATCAGCACATCATGTCTCCATAATCAGCTAACTAAGCAGACCGTGTTTCTTCCCAATGCTACGCAATCACATCGCTCCTTCCCCCCCAAAACGCAAATCGTAGCCCGCCAATTTCCTAGCCCCAACTCCCCTTATCCACACCCCAATCTATGCACACGACCCTCACTGTATGCAGATGTACATGCAATTACCCTTTGCAGCAGCATACGCAATGTTTTCTTTCGTCAGCGGCGTAAGAAGCAACCGGCAAAGACGGAATAGCCGAACAATGCAGCAGAACATTCCATTACCCTTCCGATTCTCCTCCGAAGCGACCCTAACACGTGGAAGAGCCGCATATTAGATCAGCCAATGCGACAAGAGACGAACCCCCCAGGAGCGGAGGCTCCGTCCGGTTCCTTGGTCATTCCCTGGTATTTAATACCGCTGTTGTCCTGGCCATTCTGGAGAGTTGCTGGTCGTTATACTGCTATCCTCAACCTACTCATCATGCACTTTATAGCGAGTTTAGTCGCCTCTGCGGCCCTCGCAGTCCTTGCCTCCAGTGCAGACATTGCCTCCTCCTCTTGGTCAACGGAGTACCCCGCGATCCGTTCCTACTCCTATGTTGGGGGCCGATACGCTGACAACGGCGCTGGAGGACATGTATTTGTCGACCAAATGTACGTCGAGAGGCTACAGCCCGTCGGAGGTATCCAGCACTCTACTCCTATAATATTTATACATGGTCAGGCCCAAACCGGCACCGTAAGTAGCAAAATCGTCGTCATACGCCAGACGCGTAATCGCATCTCTAGCAAAACCAGCACTCACTCACTCACTCCTAACAGAACTTTCTTAACAAACCAGATGGCGGACGTGGCTGGGCATCCCGCTTTGTTGAACAAGGCTACGAGGTGTTCATCATCGACCAAACACTTCGCGGCCGCTCAGCATGGTTCCCAGGAAACGGTGCAAGCACACCGTCAACTTACTCTGCGGAGATTATTCAGCAGCGATTTACCGCGCCACAGCTGTACAATCTCTGGCCGCAGGCTCACCTCCATACCCAGTGGGCCGGTAGTGGTGTCATGGGTGACGCCATCTTTGACGCCTTCTACAGCTCCAACGTCCAGTTCATCTCCAACGCGACGTATCAGCAAACAACAGTGCAGAATGCCGGCGCCAAGCTCTTGGACAAGATTGGCAAACCTGCCATTGTTGTCGGCCATAGCCAAGGCGGCATTATGCCTCTCCTGTTGGCCGATGCTCGCCCGTCACTGGTCGCCGGGCTTGTCCTTCTCGAGCCTACGGGACCGCCCTTCCGCGATGCCGTATTTAGCACAGGACGGGCACGACCTTGGGGCTTGACTGATATCCCGGTGAAATACTCCCCAGCTGTTCAAGATCCTGCTGTGGACCTCACGATCGCGAGGGTCCCGCCACGAGACGCCAACTCCGTCGAGTGCCTTTTGCAAGCTACAAACCCACCCCCTCGAAAGCTTGCCAATTTGGCAAACAAGCCGATGCTATTCATAACATCCGAGGCGTCTTATCATGCACCATACGATTATTGCTCTGTGGAGTTCTTGCGCCAAGCAGGTTGCCACAAGCTAAAGTTTGTGGAGCTGGGGCGTGAGCGCATTCACGGCAACGGGCACATGTTCTTTATGGAGAAGAACAGCGATGATATCCAGGCTATTGTCCGATCATGGATTGAAGACATTTAATCCACATGCCGGGCAAATATGCATAGACGTCATCACCATACATACCCTCACTCACAAGGAGGGCGAAACGAATATTACGACAGATGAACATTCATAGAGCATTTGCTGTACATAGAGCACCATAGACATTGCATATCAGTACATATCAAAAATATTCCTACCAATTCACCGATTCTTTACAGACAACGCTGGCCAACCAATGGATCTTTGCTCGTTGTTGCCTTGTTGCGAACCATTATGCGTAGGCAGCATTGCCCCGCTGTACCATACGCTTCAGCGTTAGTGTGCGCCCAGTCTCGCTTGAGTACAGCGCTGCAACGCGCTAACGAACCGCCACCTTGCTCGGGCCTAAGGGCCGCTATGAACGTATCAAAAGCGCCGCACGAGCACCGCACAGCCTCGTATTACAAACTCCCATCGCCACTTAAACCTGGCAAGCCTCCTCCCAGCTCCTCCCAGCTAGCGCCGACCTTGCCGTCTTCAACTCTGGAAGTTCATCGATTTTCATCCAAAAGTCGTCCATAGCTCACCTTTCCTTCGACTCTTTTTCGTTTTATTTCCCTTTCGTATTTTTGTCGACTCATCTAGCCGTGCCGCCCGATTTTCCTATCTTTAGCACAGTGACGACATCATCGCCGCCATGGTCAGCGTCACGCAGCTCTTCCCTCGCAGCGTGGGCGAAGGCGCTACCGATGGCGTTGTATACAACGCTCCTTCATGGGTTTTCCTTCTAGTTGTCGCCAACTTTATTGTGTTCAGTCCGCTTCTCCTTTATGTAAGTTTTCTGGCACACCACCCACGGCCCGCGTAATCCAGACCACTAACCATTCGTGCTTCCTTTGCAGATGCTCTACACTCTCGAGTGTGTCTACCCTGCCCTTGCCATCGTCGAGAATGAGAACCCTCCCGCCTACGAACCCGTTGCCCTAGACGAGGATGGCCCCGGTCATGCTAACGCCGCAGCTGTGGCCAGCGCTGATGGCAAGCCCATCACTACTTCTCTTCGTGCCACGGATCGCCTTATGGGCGCGACTGGTGGCTTCTTTGCCAGATTCCGCGGATTGTTTGTCCTTTGGGTCACCAGTTTCTTCAATCAAATCCTTATCGGTATCTTCGCTGGTGCGTTGGGCAAGGCATTCACCCCTCTCGCTACGTTGTTGGCCGCTTTAACCACCGTCCAATTCTCAACTGCCTGGCTTCACATTGTCATCTCTCACCCCAAGGACGTATCCAACTGGAAGAGACTCCCCTCGTTCAAGCGCGCGTTTGACGCCACATGGAAGCCTACGGTAATCTTTTGGGTCGCCTACGAGATTTCCCGCTGGGTACCGGAGCTACTATCTGTCATTCTGAACTACCAAGGTCCTACCCTGGTGGATGATGGAGACAAGATGCCATACTGGCAGACCCGCCCTGGAGACCTCTGGAAGAGCATCGTCGTCCTCGTCATCACCCTTCTCATCAATTTGGCTATTATCATCCCTGCCAAGATTGTGCTTGTTCGCATCCAAGCTTCGCTGCTTCCTGAGGATGATGACCCCATCGTTCCCTTTGACCGCTCGTTCCAGGGCCAGGTTGATCCCGCTGTTGTCGACGGTAAGGGCTATGCCACATTGGCTGTTGCTTGGTCGAGCGTAACACCATCCTCATGGCGCCGCATCATCATCCTTCAGGCCAAGATCTTTGCGACCATTCTCGGAATGATATCTCTCATGTTCTTGATCATGATCCCGCAGATGTGGTTCATCATGGAGAGAGTTGACAAGGACAGCGGCGAACTTTGAGATCGCCACCATTTTGTTATTCCAATCTCGGCTCTACCACAATACATTCAAGTTTTGTTTTGCAAATAAGAACTGCGTCATTTAGTCAATTATATGCCTTCATTCTCTATATACCGGTGTGGACTATCCTATAATGACAGAACACAACCGAAGAACGTGCTGTCTCTTTGTAAAAATGCCCCAATTCCGATTTTCAAACCATCCAGCCTACGCCGTGCACCTCCATCGCTTAGTTGGTCTCGTCGCCCAGCGTCAAGTTCATACACAGGTAAAACAAAATAAAATCCAAATTATCGTGGCCAATCGATAACCGCTTCCTCATCCCGAAGGAGCGATTAACAAAGTATCATACAGGCTTTTTTGTAATTCATGTAAGTGGGAAAGGCAATCAAGCCCAATGTTTTTGAGTCTCAACTCCTTCCCTTCAACAATATGTGCATAGTGCATGAATGCAAGCCAAATCATCTATGCAAACAAGGCGGAGGACAAAGATCGACGACTTGCTTACAGAATAGAGCATAGCTAGTCGACGTAGCTTAGTCCATAATCTAGGCTTTGTTGAAGAACCAGCTGCTTCGCTTGTTGGTGGCACCCTCGCCTTGGAGGTTTTGAATCGCCGGGTTAGCGGGAGCATCGCCACCGCCGCCTCGCAATGGCTTGGCAATACGGCTTCCAGCATTGCTAAAGCTAAAGCCGCCGCCTTCAGCACTCAGGCCGCGGGTGCTACCAGCCTTGGCTGCCTCGAGGCGATCCTTCACAGACGCCAGTTGGACTTCAAACTTGTGGTTGGCCGCAGCCATCTTCTCCTGGCTGTCCTGAAGAAGACTCTCCAGGCTCTGGATTCTCTCATTGCGGGCAATAAGCTTACGCTCAGCAATGGCAACTTCCTTCTTCAGTGCAGAGTTCTGTTCGACTAGTTGGCGTTGCACTTGAGTAAGCTGCTCCAGGTTGCGCTCCAGGAATGCCATCTTCTTCTGCTGCGCTCTGTTGTTTGATGAGCGCAGGACGTTGTTGTATTGCTCTCTAGTCTCGTCAAGTGAGATTTCAAGCTCTACGACACGCTCACAGCGGTTTTGCAGGTCCCTCATGAGACTCTTCTTCATGACATCAAACTCAGCAATCTGCTGTTGAATGGTCTTTCCGTTTGCCATTGGCGCCGCACCGTTAGATTTAGCGTGCTGTTGTAATTCGTCAATCAAAGTCTTCATACGAGTATTTTCGGCAGCCTTTTGTGCAATATCTGCCTTCAGGCCTTCAACGAGTTCCACTTGAGAGGCCTCACGGTTAGAGTGAGCCTTTTCAAGGCGCGCCTTAATTTCCTCAGCATCTTCAGCGCCGAGGTTCTTCGTCAATAGCTCCTCGTATTCAAGCTGCATAGTTTCCAGACGTTCTTCCAGATCTTGTCTTCGTCGGCTGTCCATGTCATTTGATGAGCCGCTGTACATGGAAAGCTCTGCCTGGCGAACGATTCCTTGTGTTTCTACCAGCTTTGCCTTAAGAGCCTTCAGCTCGTCAGGCGCCACGTGGTTGCCTGTGCTGCTTTGTTCGTAGAGAGCCTCAACCTGGATGATGGTATCAGCGATGGACTTTTCGTTATCGCTAAAGACATCGCCACCGAGATCAAAGCCGGCCATCATCTTGGCCATCTTTTCTGCCTTGCGTTTCTCCTTCTCATCAAAGGCGGCACCCGTTTCCTTGGCGCTCATCTTGGCATCCAGCAGCTGCTGCTTGATATCATCAAGCTCAACAGTGAGTTCAGAGTTTGCTTCCTTCAAAGCATCCATGGTGATTTGTGCTTCTTTACTCTCAAAAGTAAGACGCTCAAGCTGCATCTTAAATTCGTTGACTTCAGACGTGAGTCTTTCATTTTCTTTGCCCATTTTGCTGTCGTGCTCTTTCAGGAAGGTCAGCTCCTCTTTGGTCTCGCGCAATTGCTTTTCCGCGGCAGATGCCTGTGATTCGCGTTCCGCAAGCTGATCCTGAAGCTCATTTTCCCGGCGAAGGAATTCTTCCCTCTCGTCCTTTTCCAAGCTGATGCTTGGTGTTCCAGCACGCTCAGTCAATACAGGTGTTTCTGATCGGCTCTCTGCAGCAAGTCGTGCTGGTTTGGCGGCGTCACCCTTTGTTCTAGCATCTGGATTAGCAGATGTGACCCATTCTTCCTTGGGCACGGCTTCACCGGATCGCCAAAGCTGAATTTCTGATTCAAGGTTCGAAATGTAACTCTCGAAATTCGTGACCTGTCCTTGAGCCTTCTTGAGAAGAGCCTTAAGCTCAGCAGGGCTGAGTTCTGCGTTGACCTTGGCCTTGTTTTTAATTGACTTTGCTCGAGTACCAAAACGCAGCGTACCAAGGGTTTCTGCGTCGTTGTAACTACTTGGCGAACAATTAACGATAAGGGTTGTGCGACTGTTACCACCCAGGGACTCTTGCAAGATACGAGTCAATTTTGAGTCTCGGTAAGGAATATGTGAAGACTTTCCATCAGTTAAGGCGTTAATAACCATACCAAGAGCACTCAAACTCTTGTTGATCTTTTTGGCTTCCTCAAGCGTCTGTCCACTGGCACCAGTTTTGCCAACCTTTTCGCTACCAGCCAAATCGACGAGGAAGAGCTGGCCACTTTTCGCGGAACCAGTTTCAACGTTCTTTTGTGTAATAGTAATGACGAAGATGGAGTGTGAACGGGATGACTCCTGGTTCATATTTGTGGCTGCAACGGCTCGAGCAGCACCGCCTCGTCTCATAACCTCATAAACTTCTTGTACGCTAGAAACGTAAATCTCTAGCAAACCCTTGACGTAGACGCCACGGTTCTTTTCTTCATGGACTGGTAGGTTGTCGTTCTGAGGGGCTAGCAAATCTCGAATGCGCTCCATGTAAATTTCCATGTAGCTCACACGAACGGTATATTCGATGGTGCTAGGACTGGACATGATGCTGGCGAAGATCTGCTCGACAATGCGAGGAATAACACCTCTGCCTTCTTCGTCATCAATGCTCGTACCCATCATGGTATATGATTTACCGGCACCGGTTTGACCGTAAGCAAAGACTGTGCCGTTATAACCATTTAGAATATCGTCAACGGTAGGTCGAATAGAAAAGTCGAAGATGTCTTGCTGTCGGCACTCCATGTCGAACACTCTATCGAAAGTAAATGAGCCTTGAGCATCTTTAGACTGTGGCCAGAAATGTTAGTAAAGAGGATTATTATGTAGGCATTCTAGATAATAGCCCATAGAGAAGAAAAAGAATGATGAGAACATACATCTAGGGAGCAAGTGTCGTCGCCATCGAAAGTTACAATAGGTTTACCGCCAGACTCCAGTTCCACCCTATTCTGAGGGCGGAAACGGGCGACGACCTTGATGCTATTTGCGGCAGACATGATGGACGTGTGATGTGCGTAAAATGATTGGGGACGTTAAAACGGAGCCGCTGCTATCACACGAAAAGCGAGGCGGACGTTGAAATAGAAAAACCCCGCGAGTTGGGAGCAAGATCGGTGTCGGTAAGGGAGGGGTGGTGATGAGAAGGTCCAAGAGGCACGAGAGGAGCCAAATGAGGAGGAGCGTCCAAGCTAGGCCTTTAGCGGTCGGGGGCTAACTATTTTCTCTGCTGCTCCAATAACCAACAAGCGGTAACCGGCTGTTGCGGGTCGTCTAGAGGGGAGAGTTGGCAAAGAAGCGAGCAACACAGTGGATGTGGACAAATAGGCGGTCAGAGCATCCGATGCCCAAGGACTGGTGCGGTTGCTGGTGGTGCCCTGCAGAAGGAGAGCCACAGAAGAACTGGGCAAAGAGGAGATGAAGAAAGAAGAGATTATAAGTTGTGGCTGGGAAGCAGAAAGTTTCCAGAGTTGCACGAATGTGAAAAGCCGCGAAAAGGTGAGGCAGTGACGCGGGATGTTTACCAGACCTCCTTTAGTTTCAGCCACTTGCAACTTGCTCTTGACCACAGCTGCGTTTTCAGGGCTCTTCCAGGGCAGCTCTAGCGCTGTACGCGTTGATAGGCGTGGCGCGTGTGGGCTGGGAAAGTCAACTTTGCCCCACCTGTGGCCGCCCGTGGGGGGAGCGAGGGCCTCCTGTAGTAGCGTCGCTCACCTGTGACACAACAGCGGTCCAAGGCGTGCTGCGCAGACTAATAGTGCTGTTACTAGAAATTTACATGGAAGCCAAAATTGCAGATAAGGCTGGACGATCTTATGTCGATAGTATTTGAGCGCAGCCTATCAGCCCCTGATTTTGCATCCATTTGGGAGGCCCGAGGAGGCGTCCCAACAAAATTACACCTTTTCACACGCAGGCTACAAGCAAAGTACTGGCACGCGGGGTCGTCATTGTCTTCCACTGCGGGGTCCTTGGTGAACACACTAAGAGAGGGGCAGCCCAGGTCACGCAACGCAGGACAAGTTTAGAAGAAAAAAAGAAATATAATAATACTAATTGAAAATGAAATCATGGTCGATGAAGAATTTAAGAGGATTTCCCTAAAATCAACCAACACCAACACCTGATACCCAAACGCCAGCAAGACTCTTTAAACAAGTAAAATCTGTATGCGCAAAGCTCCCCGTGGTCTATCAGTCAAAAACTACCATGGCGCCCACTGCAAACCAGTAGCGTGACTGTAGTGGTGTTCGTTACTTGTGAAAAGGTATTGAGTTTCGTTGTTTTAATCTTCCCAGCTCTTCTCGACTGTCTCGCGGACTCGTTTTGTATATTCTTTTCGGTTATCCTTATACAGGTTGGACGCTTCTACGTTTGCCGGAGATCCTGTGTTGGGGTCGTTGAGAAGACTGCAAGGTATTGGTCAGCATTATATCCTTGAATAGAAAAAGAGTTTTGTTGTACCTTTGAATACTTGTAAGCACAGCGGCCACATCGTATGTCGGACTCCAACGGTTTTGAAGGATATCTAAGCAAAGCTCGCCTGTCGCATATACGTTGGGGTGGAACATTTGGCTAATAAATTTGACTTGTGGTGGCTTATTCGGGTACTGTTCTTCAAATTGCATGACGAGTCGAAAGGTGCCGTCCTCAAACGGTGTGTCGGCAGGGCCAATAATGACGGCGTTCCTGGACAGCACGGGTTAGCCCTTGCATCACAAACAAGACTTTTGAGGCCGCATACCAGGTCATAACATTATCGGGAATGGGTGAAGCAGAAACTCCAGCGGGAGGGTCGGTTTGCATACGCTAAGAGAGCATTGTTAGCGAAACTAAGGCCAGTTTCGAGGGACAAGATAGAGGGAGATGCGAACCTTGAAGTCGCGCATCAAGCGACGACGTGCGGCTGTGGACATGTTGACGGCGGTTTATAGTAGAAGATATGAACTTATGGTACCTATGCTATGCGCACAGTTGGTTTCGGATGTCACAGAACGATTATCGCGATGCTGCTAAAGTTGAAAGCAGTGGCAAGCTGAAGACTCTAGTGGTCGTCTTGGGCGGCGATTTCACAAGCCGGCACCCAGATGGTTCAGCAATTCGGGGTCCCATATAAATGGCTTGTAGGGGCCAATCACGCGACACTGGGTGGTTCACTGTGAGTGATAACATTGGTCACGTGACCATGTTGAAAGCAATGATCTGGCGCTGGAGGCGTTTGGTGGTTGGAACTTGTCACAGTATATACAATAATTACTAGGTATTATAAAGACAATTTCATAATTCAAACCTAAATAGTGTCTATGCACCACCCAATGGCCAACCTTTTGTACTGTTGGTGGCGTCGTCCCCCGTTGCATCCGCTTCACCCGCCGTTGCCTCTCACTACGACGGCGCCCCCAGCTAACTAAACTCGCCTGGCAGCCGACCAAATAAAGCCGGGGAAGCTCCCCACGCCCTAAGCCGAAGACGCCCGGCATAGTAATAAAGCGTGCATGTCCCACCTCTGACGCCTGCATCATCGCTTCGTGGCTGTTTCTCTTTCTTCAAAAGTCCATCTGCTGTGTATTTTCGTTTCTTCCAGCACATACAGACCCCAGCCTACGACATCATGCCCTTCACTCAGATTCGATCGGCCGGGCTCCCTAGCCACATCGCCAAGCATGTGATGGCAGCCCGCCGCTTTTCCACAGCTCCCGTCTTGCGCAAGGAGATCCAGGACGCTTATATCCTCAGTGCTGCTAGAACACCCACTGCCAAGGTAAGCACGCGCTTAATGAATATCCATTTCGAATTGCGTCCGCTAATTGCTCATTCAAGTTCAACGGATCCTTCCTCAACGTTTCCGCTCCCGAGCTCGGCGCCACGGCGATCAAGGCTGCTCTGGAGAAGTCCAAGGTCCCCGTGGAGAAGATTACCGATGTATATATGGGCAATGTCATTGCTGGTTCGATTGGCCAAGCCCCCGCTCGCCAGGCTTCCGTGTTCGCCGGCCTCCCCAAGACCGTCGAAGCCATCACTATCAACAAGGTCTGCTCTTCTGGTCTCAAGGCTGTCGCCTTTGCCGCTCAGAACATCCAGCTTGGTCTCTCTGAGGCTCAGATTGCCGGTGGCATGGAGAACATGTCGCGCGTTCCTTATTACGTTAACCGCTCCAGCAGCCTTCCCGCCTTTGGCCACGCCAAGCTTGAGGATGGTCTGATCAAGGACGGTCTGACTGATGTCTACGACCAGGTCCACATGGGCAACTGCTGCGAAAACACTGTCAAGAAGCACAACATCACCAGAGAGCAGCAGGATGAGTACGCTATCCAGTCTTACCGCAACGCCCAGAAGGCTTGGGCCGACAAGGCCTTTGCCGACGAAATCGCCCCCGTTACCGTCAAGTCTCGCAAGGGCGAGGTTGTCATCGATACCGACGAGGGTTTCATGGACGTCAAGTTTGACAAGGTCCCTACTCTCAAGCCCGCCTTTGTCCGCGACGGCACCGGCACAGTCACTGCCGCCAACTCTTCCACCCTCAACGACGGTGCTTCCGCTCTCGTCCTCGCCAGCAAGGCTATTGCTCAGCAGTACGGCAAGGATTCCCGCGTTCTTGCCAAGATTTGCAGCTACGCTGATGCTGCCATGGACCCCATTGACTTCCCCATTGCCCCCGCCAAGGCTGTCCCCATTGCTCTTGAGCGCGCCGGCATCACCAAGGACCAGGTTGCCATCTGGGAGTTCAACGAGGCCTTTGCCGGTGTCATCCTCGCCAACGCAAAGATCCTCGGTCTTGAGAACGCCAAGGTCAACCCTCTGGGTGGTGCCATCTCCCTCGGCCACGCCCTGGGCAGCTCTGGATCTCGTATCCTTACCACTCTCCTGCACCAGCTGAAGCCTGGAGAGTACGGTGTTGCTGCCATCTGCAACGGTGGTGGCGCTGCCTCGGCCATGGTCGTCCAGCGTGTCGAATCTGTATAATTAGCAAACTGGTAGCGAAAAAAAGATGTGATGAAAATAGTCGTTATGTAACCAAGGCATGATTTTTAGCATTAGATATCCTAGCCGAAGAAAATACACAAACAAATGTTAAAACTCACCGATCTCCGCTTGACATGTTATCAACACGTTTAATTTCCCCTCTATAAATTTACACATTATTTTACCATTCGTCTCCGCGACGTTGTGCTGATATTCAAGCGTACTGAAGCTGGTCGCAGACCCAACGTGCCAGGCGCATACATCACGGCCGCCCCCAACCTCCACTCCACCAAAGCTTGTCCTGCCTACATCATCAACCCAACTGGCTTCCACAGCCCGCGCCATGTCGCTTATCAACCAATTCCTCGGCCAAATCCGGCAGCATGTGCGTGGCCAGCGAGGTGATCTGCTTCGGTCGTGGCTCCAAGTCGAGCCCGGCTCAGCAAAGCAGTACTTTGACCTCAAGGCCGAGCTTCAGAGCAAGCTTCGCGACCCGGCCAAGCTCGAAAAGGTAGTCGAGACAGGCCTTCCGCAGGACGATGACGTTGCAGATGGAGAGGCTACATCATGGCCTGGTTTATTAAGCTTCATCAAGGACTATTTCATCTTTTGGAGAGACGTCAACTTCGACGACCTACTCGGCGCACACCAGCTGCTGAGTGGCCTGGTAAAGTACGAATTGATGCCAACGCTGCAGAGCAAAAGAACTACCGCTAATCTGAATTTAGCTCTTGTGCCACTGCCTTTGCACATCCCACATACGGCGGCATGCTGCTGCAGACGAGCATGTCGCTGTCGGAGACGTTGGCTCGGCTGACCATGACACTGAGCCGCCGGCCAGACCTCACGCGACGACTCAACGTCGGCGACGAGGACAACCGCAAGTCTGTTGCCGAGTCTTCAGCAGAAATTATCCAGAAAATATTCACAACCTGTCTAACTGACAGAACGAGCGGGCGCTACAGCAAGCCAGAGGGCAAAAAGATTGGCGTGTACATGTTTGCCAACCTCGTGCTCAAGCTCCTCTTCACAGTACGTTTACGCCTGCCCGGTCCTACTGCCAAAAGAAATAATCCTAACGGCAGCTTCTAGTGTCGAAGGACAAACCTAGCCAAGATGATGTTTGTCAACATCTCAACAATCTCCCCGCCTCTATCCTTATACCCAGCCAGCCAGCGCGTCACGTTCCTCTACTACCTCGGGCGCTTCAACTTCGCCAACCAGCACTACCTGCGCGCCTCTCTCTGTCTTCAAGAAGCATACATGCAAACACCCACGCACCTCGTATCCCATCGGACCAAAATCCTAACATACCTCATGCCATGCAACATTCTTCTCGGCCGATTCCCCTCTCCACAGCTGCTCCAGCGGCCCGAAGCCCGGACGCTGCAACCCATCTTCGTGCCTCTCTGCCAAGCGATCCGGAGCGGAAATTTCATTCAATTCCAAGCGCATCTCGCGACACACGAGCAGTGGCTCTTTGACAAGGGCCTGCTTCTCGCGCTAACCCATCGTTTGCGGCCGCTGCTTTGGCGGGCCCTCAGTCGCAAGACATTCCTCCTAACATACATCCCGCCCACCGACGCGACATCGCGTAAAGCGGCCACTTTAGATTTGGCCGACCTCTACACAGTGGCAGTCTATCTGCAGCGCCGTCTCGAGGGATGGCTTCCGGGGCAGGGCGGCTCAAAAGCTCGGCCGCCGCACGTTAACGCGCTCTTCATGAAAGCTGTGAAGAACAGCGCGCAGAACCCAGATGCCACCACACTCTCGCCGCCGCCAGCAGGCGTCAAGAAGCTTCGGCCGAACGAGGGAATGGTGTGGGGGAATGCGGAAATAACACCAGATGATGTGGAAATGATGGTGGCCACGCTGATCCAGCAAGGCTTAATGCATGGGTTCGTGGCCCATGGCCAGTCCAGGTTCGCCATCATAGGCGCCAAGGCCAAGGGTAGTCCGCTGCTAGCAGGGTGGCCCAACGTTTGGCAGACGATCCTAGACAGAAGGTATGAAGAAGAGTTTGACCCTCAAGAGGTGCCTGGTTGGGTCAAGGATGCCTAGACAGATCTATATACATATACCCCGGATATGTACATATGATGAATATTGAGCCCTGTCCATCACCTTTATCATGTAAATCACTAGTAGTTGTTATCACAATGGAACACACTGAAGTTGACAAAAAACATGTCTTCATTTGTTTCTACCTAAAAAGTTCATAAAATCTATAGCCGCTCCCACATAAACATCATGAGAATGAACAGCTAAACGTCTCTTGCAAGACGTGAAAAAAAGCAGGCTGTACCACATATACAAGGTGCAGCAAGCTAAACATCGCTTTCGCTTTTTTGTTTCCTCAAAAAACGCTGGACTCCGAATATATCCAAAAGATAAAAAAAAAATCTCCAAATGCTGGAAAGGGGTATCTACCATGAAAAGAATAAAAGGCGGTTAACCGATGGCGCGGCAGTAACCATAAATAGAGGCTGAAGCAGTCCTTTTTAAGAGTTGCTCAGCAACGAAAAATTGTTCAAGTGAACTGAAAGAAGAGGGTAAAGAGTAAATACTTCCGTCTGCAAAGCGCAGACGAAGTCGGCGAACATCTACCGAGGCAGAGTGCTCAAGAATATGTAAGACCGAGCTGGCTGCAATGTATACAGGCGACAGCCACCCGCTTTTCTTCCTCTAGAAGAAGCAGACAGTAGCGACGACGGCAACAATGAGGCCGACAAAAGCAGCGCTTCCTTGCTGGCGTCCAGCATCGTTCTTCTTGTCAACAACAGCAGGGGCGCTGTGGGAGGCAGAAGGGACAACGGCAATGGTGGATGAAGCATCAGTAGAGCTGTTGCTGTTCTCGTGGAAGATACCACCGAAAGCGCTGGAAGCAGCCTGGGAAGAGGAAGAAGCACTCTGCTCAGTGGCAGAAGAGCTGGGAGCAGCAGCAGTGGTAGCCGGGGCAGAGGGAGTCTCGGTCTTGGGAGGAGCAGGAGTAGGGGCAGGCTTGTCCTCGTGAGTCTCCTTGGGCTTGGGGGTCTCAGGAGCAGAGTGGCCGCCAGAGCCATCGAAGGCAACAATGTGAGCAGTCTTGCCCTTGGGGACGGTGACAACGCAGAAGGCAGAGCCACCAGCGCCGACAGCTCCGTTGTTGCTCTCGACAGAGCCACCAGGGTTGATCATGCAGGGAAGACCGTTGCAGCCACCATCGGGGCACTCAATCTTGAGACCGTAAGAGGGAGCCTGGGAACCAAGACCAGACGACTGCCAGACGGGGTTGTAGGCAATCTTGACAAAGGTATCGCCGTTGGCGACAGTGTTGGCACCAGCAACGTAGGGAGCCCAGTTACCAATAGGGTGGCTGTCAGTGCCCCATTTGCAGCCGTCGCTGCCAACACCAGGAGGGTTGAGGTAGTAGTGAGCAGCGGTGCTCTGCCAGTAGCTCATGTCAGGAACAGCAAGAGTAGAAATGGACTCGATGACGGTGGGGATAAGCATGGCCTCGTTACCAGGCAGGACAGTCTGGCAAGCAGAGATCAACTTGTTGCACTTGTTGACGAGCTTGACAGCGCCGGTACCAGGGACACAGAGGGGCTTGCCGGGGAAGGGCTTCTTGACGTTGCCATCGTGATCGCAGTAGAGACCACCGTTCATGGAGGCAGGGTAAGTGTAGGCAGAAGAGGGATCCCATTGAGTGCCAACCATGCCAGAAGCGCAGGCGTAGGGGCAGTACATTCCAGGCTTGCAAGATTGGTCGGGGCTCATGGCCCAACCAGCGTTCTGAGCATCAGGAGTGATGGCGACGACATTGTCACCACCGGGGAACTGGCAGACACCACGCTTAGCGACCTTGGCAGAGGCGACGGGAGCGCGCTGTTCTTTAGCACCACCGTGGATGTGAGCGAGAGAGTGGCGCTTGTCAAGGAGGTGAAGCTGACGGTGAGCAAGAGAGGCATCGACGGGAGCTGCGGTGAGCAGGACCAAGGCCGAGCCGAGGAGAGTGTGAAGCGATTCGAACTTCATTGCGATGTAGCGCGTTTAGCGTTTTAAGGTTTTGAAAGCGAGGTAAGCTCAACGGCGATGCGCAGGTGGATATGCGTTGACGAAGTTTAAACAGCGACTTGCTGATGCGATGCGAAAGAGAGTGTTTTGTATCGGCACCAAAAGACTGGGTAGTCGAGAGCGAAATGAGAGAGAGGGCTGATCGCGTCGAGAGAGATTGTAAAGCTGAAAAGCTAAAGAGCGTGATATCTCGGTGTGTTGAGATGTTGTTGGTCGTAAAGACGGTAGATATGGCGTTGTGCTAGCGTAGGATTCAAAGAGCGATGAGCAATGGGCCGTGAGGTTGTTAAATAAATAAAAAAGGAAGGAAACGGGGAAAGCTTAAAGAACGGAGGAAAACGATGACTCGGGAGGGAAAAAAGAAGGACCAGTACAGAGAGATACAAGAGAGAGTGTGTGTGGAAGAATCAGTATCTTCTTTGGGCTGAGAAGAAGACGGGCCGGGGGAGACTAGTCAAGGGACAAGTGAGTGACACGCGTGGAAGATGACAGGTACGGTACCTGATGGAAAGCGCCGCCTGGGAACAACACAGCGGGCGCGGGCACGCCAGGTACCTGTAAAACGGTGTAATTGACTTGTTCCCTTTTGGGGGGCATAGTGGAGGGTGGAGTGGGGGAACAAAGGGGACTCGGGAAATTGACTTGTGCTCAGGCGGGCAACGCAGGCATTTAGCAAGTCTCACATGGAACCCACCCAGGTAATCAAAGCCTGCCAGCCAGTGGGCGGGCGCCAGTAGCCAGCTGCTGGTTGTCGCTGCCGCTCTGCGTTTTTTTGCTCATTTAACTTTTTAGCGGACGGGGACGCTATTGCCGGCCCAGCCAATCGGGGCTCGCCCCGGATCCAATGTTGGCCAATCAACACTGCTTACCGTGCAAAAACGAAATGAAAGCGGGGCGGCCACCGCTGACGGCGCAGGTACAGCGCCTTGCCGGGCCTGAGCAGCGCCAGGCACAGCGCTAGACAAGCATTATCGCGTGCGTGGCAGCTCTTTGGCCTGCTCCAAGCACAAGCTCAACGGGTGAGGGAAGCAATTAAGCGCTAGCCCTGAATAAATGAGACAGCCCAAAGGGCGAGAGGAAAGTGGTGGTGTCATAGAGTACAGTACATTGAAAAAAAAAGTATGTACAAGTAATAAATGTGAGGGAGGGTAAGTGCATTCTCTTTCTCTGCCAATTTGCTTGACGCAACCGTGGCGCACGATAGCGCAGTCGCAAAGTAATTGAGCAACTAAAGTGCATTAGAAGAGCTTCCTCCTTCTGCCCAACCGCTGTAGCACAGCGCTCGGACAGCCTGAAGAGCTTACGAGAAAAGAACAAAGCACCCTGTCTGCCCTGGCGGCAATTGTTAGCACCGCTACAAAAGATACCTTGGAAAACTCTGCACGCACAAGTACCCTAGAAGTCACTGTGGCTCAAGAACCACTGGATGCTAACGTGGCGATTCATCGGTGTTTGTCCCCGGCGCCCAGGTACCAGCGCTAGGCCAGTGGTCTGGACCGCCAGAAAACTGGGGCCTGTAGTGCCCAACCGGCTATGCCTTGGCCGCTGTTTGTGCGCGCTGGAGCCTGCCTGTTTGTCCGTGCTAATAGACTTTCGGCCTGCCATGTGCATTTTACTGGTTGCTGTAGCGTAACTTTCCATTGTCCCCCGCCTACTGTTAAGCTTTTCAGAGCGGGTATCGGGGGCGGCGCATGGCAAAATCTCTGTACCGTTGCTATTTTTGACCGCTACGATAAGAGTTTTTTTCTTTGCCGAGAAAGTCTAGAATTTACACGTCGGGCAATTAGCAGGCCTATTCACCGCATTTGCACAAGTATCTTTTGATTTTGATTTTTTCAAGGTTTCTTTTTCTTGAACCCGAGCACAAGGCTCGGCTCTGGCCAAATTACCCGATTCGGCCACACCACGATCACGCCTGTTAGCACATGCCAGTGTCCGTCCAGTACTGTACTGTACCTGTAGAAAAGTACTGTACACGAGAGAAGCTTCCAGGCGCGTAAACGGGAAGTCAGTTAAATTGGAAGGAAGAGAGAAAATGTACGTATTCGGCTTATTTCCATTCTCCCGTTTTCTCTCTATTTTTTTTTTCTCTTTTCTCTCCGCTCCGGGCTCTCCTGCAAATGGTGGACGTGCCGCATTCCAGCGCCGTACCCGCGCCGCTTTGTTTAGGTGCCTATTGTTCAGCGTGCTTACAGTGCACTTTCAGCTGCGCCGTTCCCGCTGTTAATTCCGCAAGGCCTGGGGAAACATTTGCTTTGCCGCACCTTCAGTGGCTTGCTCGCTTGCTGATCCCACCGCGTTCTGCATACCGCAACAAATTGCCCATCAACACGACGCTCGCCTCGCTTCGCTTAAAGAGCCTCTGTACACTTAGAGTGCCTCTGTAGAGTACCTCTGTAGTATTACATCGCGTCCGCCCATTCTTTGTTTTACAGCGGGAAAGTGAGCTTAACGCGGTATTGGCGCAACGCCAGCCTGCCATCCCACCTCGTCGGCACCGTAGCACGCGTGGAGCCCAACCTACCCTGCATGGTTTCAATGCCGACAGCGAGACCACCTCCGATGCGCCCCTGCAAAATCTACGACGTGGCAATCGAATATGACCGAATTAGACCCTTCTACTATTTATTTTGTGTTGTTTTTTGGCCACCATGTTTACCCTAGAGTACGGTGATTTGGTCGAGGCGGTAAGTGCCGTGACCTCGGTTAGAGCGTGTAAGTCATCTCGATGACAAGTACACTCCGAAGCGTGTCAAATTCAGGAATTTGAGAAACACACTAGTCAACTATTTAAAATGTCATGATAAGTTCCTTAGAACATCACGTTCGTCAACAAATGAGACGCGTTTTCAGCCTTAATGATGTTCTACACTTTTGGCCCTATAGACCCAAAACACAGCTCGTGGGGTTCATTAAACCCCCATCGCTAATGACTCTGAGCCACGCCGCCGGCAAACCTTCTAAATCACTTAAAAATTTACCGAGAAGCATTTTCATCGTGTGATTCTTCCGGCATATCAATTAAAATAGCATTTTAAAGGGTAGTTGTGTGGTGCAAGTCCCTTAGATGTACCCGCGAACGGCTCAGCGCCCACTCGACGATGTACGCCCACCCTACGATGTGGTATGGGACGCGTTATGGGCATCCGCAATCAGCTCGTTCTCCTCTCGCTCTGGCTCCCATCCTGCTCCCGTATCCCTAAACTTGCATCTCCGCTGTCGTGACCACTGTACAGCGTACACTTCGCAGTCTTTGGGGCTCAATGGTGCATCCAGTGCCAATAGACCCTCCATCTGCATGCAGGCGACTGGATGCTCGTCTATGAGATCCCTATGCCAATAAGGGGACCTCTTATACCAGGGGCCTGGATCGATTTTTTGCCCCTGCTTCGAACCTCTGGTTGCCAATCAACATGCCTGTCATCCCATCCCCGACCGCTTGCGTGAGTTGAGGAAATCCTGGTAGATTCAGTCCGATCCAATAACCGCCAGACCCCCTGCCTGGTAATGTCACAGCGACCGCAATGTTTGTTGCATTCGACCCGCATAATACAGCTCCAGTTCGTTTCACATCCTCTAGTCGGCGAGGGACGAGCCGTCCCGGCGTTGCTTTGCTCTGTGCTCCTTTGCTAGTAGAATGATTTCGACTATGATGCTTCATCCCGAGTCACACAAAAGTTGACGAGTCACGAATTGTAACCATGGACCGGCTGTAGAAGGTAGCAGCTGTGTTGTTCTATTGTTTATCTATTGTTCATATTTTGTTACATTATACTCCTTTCTCACGGTGGCCAACCACTCTAGCAAACGAGTCAAAGGACATCGTCATGGAGTGGCGACCCGCAGTTTTGCTGCGTAGATGCTCGTCATAGTTAAGCATCTCCTTGTAGGGGACCTTGGCTACAATCTCAACTGCACGAGCAGTAGATTTCTTGCCACGCAGCGATGTGACGGCATCATATGGGTCTGGAGGCGTGTAAATCTTGGACACATCGATAAACTCATCGCCTGTAGATTCGGCGGATCGATCATTGACCTCCAATACCTGACCTCCTGCACCGCTCGTGATGTCATGTTGCACGACACCTGCGGCTGTCTCTGGGCATGTTATGTGTACCAGCATAATAGGCTCCAAAACGCCAATCTGTTGTCGGTCAAAGGCGTCTCGCAGCGCACCTTGTACTGCTTGACGTGCAGCGGAGCTAAAGTGGCCACCAGAGGGGGTCTCCAATGCGCCATCGGATGCATCGAGCTTCAAGTCCACGAAGCAACTATGCATAGGGGAGGCTCGTCGAGGGCCGCGCGCCAATCCGGCAACAGCACCGTTCAAAAGGTGCTGTTCGGCTTCATCGAAGTCAACTGATAGAGTCGCTGACCGGCTCAAATCACTCATCGATATCTGGAAGACATTGCCATCTCGCTCCAAAGTATCGCTCAGCTCAGCATGATGTTCCTCCAGTGGCTCGATTGTAGCTATGCAAGTAACTTTGCCAGCCTTGTTTGCTACAGGTCGATCAAAAACGCTCGTAAACGGTCCTAGGCTTTGCGTGACAGTTTCTTTATAATCGACCTCAATCGGACCAAAGTCTGCGTCAATCTTGTTTTTCTGTCTCATGTTGTGCAAGGAAACATCGAGATGCAGTTTACCCATACCTTGGATAGTAAACTGGTCCGTCTTTGGATCTCGGCTCCAGCGTAAGCTGGGATCTTGTCGAGTGGCGCTGTCTAGAACTCTCTCGAGTTCCTGCGCAGCAACATTTCCGTACGGATCGACCTGGAGAAAAGCAACGGGAGGTGGGATCTCAGGAGGTCGAACTTGCACTTGGCGAAATGCCTCTGCGACCGGGTTGCCGTTCAACGTAGTAATCAGTGTATCTCCTGTTCTAGCCTTTTTGAGTCCACGAATAGCTCCGATTTGGCCGACAGAGAGTTCAGGGACTTCATCGGCTTTGGATGCCGATATTTGGAGAAGGCCCATAGGGCGCTCTGGTTGTTGTATGTTTGTGTTAAATGTCGAAGCGTTTCTCGATAGTGTTCCGTGATATACTCGTACATAGCTGATGACTCCTTCTTTTGGGTGCTCAAACACTTTGAACACGGAGGAAACAGAAGCAATATTGTTGCTCTTTTTCGACTTTGACAGGCTTGTCAGAGCATCACCAAGCTTCTTTGCAGTACCCCCTACTCGAACATCAACATCGGGGCGATCCGAGGGGTTGGGGAGGTAGTCTGTAATGGCGTCCATCAGTGGTTCGACACCAATGTGTCGGAAGCTTGAGCCTGCAAAGACAGGAATGGCACGTCCGTCGCCATTCAATATCGATCGTCGTATGGCAGCCTTGATTATGGAGCTGTCAATGTTTTCGTTTTCCGCTAAGAACTCGTCCATAATCTCTTCGTCGAATTCTGCTAGACCCTCAATCAGTCGCTGGCGAGCGACTTTAATCTCCCCAGCAAGGGCGCTATTTGAGGCTTCCAACTTCTTTTGTAGTTCCTCACTCCCGTACCGGACTTTTTTCTTGTCAGCTCCGTATCGGTATCCTACGCCGTCCACGACGTCGATAACACCAACGAATTCATCCTTCTCCCACCATGGAATCTGGCATACCAGAGGCCACCCCTTGAGCCTGGTGCCTATTTCAAGCACAGCCTTTTTGAACGAAGCGCCCTCACGGTCCAGTTTGTTGCAGTAGACCACGCGTGGGATACGAAATTCGTCAGCGGAACCCCAAACTCTCTCGGTGTGTGCTTCAACGCCCTTGACTGAGTCGATGATGCATACTGCGCCGTCGAGAATAGGCAAACATCGGTCCACTTCGAATCGGAAGTCTTGATGGCCTGGGGTGTCTATTAAGTTGATAGTCTTTGGCATTTCGCCCTTTGCACAGCTTTGAGCAAGCGGCCAGTGAAATGTAATCGCAGCAGATTGAATTGTAATTCCGCGTTCGCGTTCGAGTTCGAGGAAATCGGTCACGGTATTTCCAGAGTCAACGTCTATGTCCGATGTTAGCAACCGAACCACCCTCCTCTGCCTGCGAGGTTGACATGGAGCCTTCTACCCACCTCCTACTCGCTGTGTAACACCACTGTAGTATAGCATGCGCTCTGTCGTAGTAGTTTTTCCCTAGTACTTGTTAGATGTAGTCGTTCGCATTGAATATGGGTTCAATCGTACAGCGTCGACATGGGCAATGATGCCAATGTTGCGAATACCGTTGAGTTTGGTGTCCTGGGATCGATAGAAGGTACTCTGACTGAATCTAGCTCTCTGTGTCAATGCCGTATAGACGAGTTGCAGTCTACAAGCAAATGAATATTGGCGCAACATCCCTGAGGATGCCTGTCTTTGTATCATGGCGGCGTTGGCGCGGCGGGTAATGCGCCAATCGAGGACGCGACTATCGATAAGTAGTCGTCGATTTGGTTATAAAAATACTATCATTATCGATTTATAGCGTCCATATAAAATAAGAGCCAATTTTTGGCCGTAAAAGCCGTTTCGTTCGATGGTCGGCCCGTACACCAATCAGCCTGCCACCAGGAAGCTGTAACTTTTGTGGCAGAAGCATTTGGTAGTTCGCTGGTCCCCCAATGCGGAAGGCGGTGAGTCCGTTTTGCGCCTGTGGAACCGCCAACCGCCAGCCCCTGGGAACATACGTAATGGAGCTGCCAGCTTTCCGTTCTTGGAGGACGCCAACCTTGCGACTTCATCTTCTCCTCTTCAAAACAACAAATACAAGAAAATTTTTCTACTGACGACTAGGCTTGCATCGACAAATTCCTAGTTTACCTCGATCGCCCTACACCACAACCTGCTACATATTTAATACACATCGCTACAATGGAGCTGTCTGAGATCTTGTATGTTATGCGCCGGAACGGAAATCACCGTACAGCATTGGGGAAACTTGGCTAACTCCATCGCAGTCGCATTGTCAACTTGGTTGTCGGCGTTATCACTCTTCTCGGTGGTATCGTGCACATCTTTGGCTTCAACGTGTACGTATAGCTAACCCAGCAAATGGTTGACGCACCACCAAATCCCCCCTGTCGCATCGACCGATCGCCATCAATGCAAAGATGATTGCTAACCTTGGTGTAGTACCTCCATCATCGTCGGTGCCTACATGATCCTCTTTGGTCTCGCTGTTGGTGTCCTGGGTACGTATTTGATGCCGGTATAGTGCTTGCGACAGGGTCCTAAACCTAACGCTTTTACAGAGTTCCAGATCCCTCCCCAGCTGTCTCGCCACGCCAACTTTTTGTTCTCCTTCATTGGCCGTGGTATTTGTAAGTTGCTGACTATATCGGCCGTGGCTGTTACATTTACTTACGCATGCTAGTCTACATCTTCCTCGGCGGTCTCCTCTTTGGCACAACCACCCTCAGCTACATTGCTGGTGGTATCGTCGCCCTTGTCGGTGTTGCGTACGTCGGCCTCGAATTTGTCCCCTCGATTGAGCCCCCACACAACATGCGTGATGCTGAGGCCGCTGGATGGGGCGCCGAGCAGGTTTAAGACCAATCGACCACATTTCGAGACAAGCGACGCATCCTCCGACAGAAACGGACGACCAGCGCACATGACGACCTAAGCTTGCACTTGAGTAGGGCTGTTTGCCCTGAGTCTTCTTCAAGAACGATGGAAATAAACATAATACATGTATAATGATGCAGGTGGTGTTTTTAGAAAAGTTACAGAGTATAACCACACAGTGGTACCAGTCAAGTTGTGCTAAGTTTCGGTTTGTGATTCGATTATTTATTGCTTTGTTACTTTGGTATCTGTAGTATCCGATGCAACTGGGCTCTTCCATTGGCCAGCATTTTCAACACCTTTTGCCAAACCGCCCATGCCGTTGTTGACGCCGGCTCCGAGAGATCCTATGGCGTTACCAAGTGGTTTACCAGTTTCCCCCGTGACATTCGTAATTGTATCTCCCAGACCTTTCGTAGCCGCACCAGTAATGTTTCCTGCTGTGCGGGACACGCCGCCTATTGTGTTGCCAATTGCGCCTGTGAAGAATTTGGCAGCACCCATGGTCTTATCCGTGACGGTGTTTCCAGAGGCGTCAGTGGAAGGGTTTGTGTTTGAGTTGTCCGCCATTTTTGTTAAAAGAGTAGGATAAAAGATTGAATTGTGTGTTTTAGTAAATGCATGGTGTCTCCTATAGGAATTGTCTGTTCTTTTATACCCAGTTGTGATACATAGACACCCGTTGTTGCTAGCTGCATCTCTGACGTATATGACGTCACAAGTGATGCGCGATCGTCAGGCACCCTGCTACACATTGACGCTCTTATTGGCTAATAATGGCCGTAAACAATGATTTGCATTGAATTATTCGTACTCGTAATAAGTGGTAATGGACTCGCTGATGCAATATAAACGTCTAGAATATCTAACCAATGTTGAACTCGTCCGCGCCGGTCATCAGCATCTTGCCCTTCTTCTTCAGAATATCGCGACCCTCTCTGATATCCACAGTCGCCTCGGGTTCATCCTTTGCACCTGAAGATGTCTTTGATTGTGACGTCTTCTTGCCCTTCTTTGTCTTGCGGTCGATGCCAGAGCCAACGCCACGAGGTGGTTCACGAAGGGCGAAGCTCTTGGCAATATGTCCCAAGTGTAGCTGGGTAATATCGAAATGAACACGCTCTTCACGAGTGTGTGTTGCGTAAGCTCTGATGTGAGATTTGAAGCCATTTCGTGCAAGGTCCAGTCGGATGTGGTCTTGCAGCAGGCGTTGCTCCAGATGGAGTTGCATCGTCTCAGCCTTGTCATGGTAGTTCTGGTCGTCTGTAATTTTGGCATTTGTTTCGACGGGGAATTCCAGTTTCGACATAAGGCCCTTCTTCAAAATCTCTTCGTACGATTGTGCTGTGGGTTGTGTAGAGGCCTTGAGAAGCTCAATGTAGCCTTCCTCACTGCCTGGCAACAAGAACAAAACAGCCTCACCGGAACGGCCAGCACGAGCTGTTCGTCCAACTCTGTGAATGTGGTCGTCAAAGGCAAACGCCGGATCATATTCAATAACCATATCAACGGAAGGGATATCAAGACCTCTTGATGATACATCGGTGGTAATTAATACCGAAGGTGATTTGCAGGCTGTGAAAGAGCGTAGAGTAGCGGTACGAATCGGTTGCGAAAGTGAGCCGTGCATCCTGTGTAGGACTACGTCAGGGCTAGCCTGCGATGTCATGTAAGCGGCCTTTGCCACTGTTTTCGACACAAGCTCTCGATCTTTTTCTGGGACTGGAGATGGCTCGGAAGTATCTGGATTGCGAAGCAGCTCAAAGTGAAAGTCGACAGAGTCGGCGCAGGAAATAAAGATGATGACCTTCATTGTCTGACCTCTGCGAGAAAATATCGATTTGAGCAAGCATATTAATGTAACAAGACGCAATTTAGCAGGCACAATGACATGTGACTGGTGAAGCTGTGCGGGCGCTTTGTGAGTGGCAGGCTCTTCTTCAATCTTTTCCGTCTCCTTGTCAGCTGCTAGGAATGTGGCATCCGCAAGACTCATCTCTCCCAACTTTTGGACGTTCATCTTCATTGTAGCGGAACACAAAACAGTTACTCTGCGCTCTGGGAGAGTCTCTAGAGAGACACCACTAGTCGTTCGATTGAGCACATTGACTCGTTTCAGGGCGTTGATAGCCTTCTTTAGATCGTCCTCAAAGCCGAGATCCATAAGACGATCTCCTTCATCAAGCACCAGCCATCGTACTGTGCCAAAGGAGAGCGCCTGTGTGTTTTCGATATGATCTGCTAGTCGGCCCGGGGTTGCAACAAGAAAGTTGACGCCTTTTCGGATGCGAGACTTTTCTGCCCTCTTTGATTCACCACCTGTGATTGCGGTTGAGACTAGCCAGGGAAACGGTCTAAGCAGTTGCTCAAGTACGGTATGGGTTTGCTTGGCTAATTCTCGAGTCGGGGAAACAATGATGGCAAAGACGCCACAGTCGCGGTGTATTTGTTTGCCGTCGCCCTTGGCGCTGAGTTGCAGAACGCGGTGCAGGATAGGAAGTAGATAAGCAAAAGTTTTGCCAGAACCGGTTTGAGCTTGTACAAATGCGTCTGTACTACTCTGAAGAAGATGTGGGATGACCTTTTGTTGAATGGCCGTCGGGCGCTCCAGGTTCAACTTTGTCAACTCGTCGACCAGGCGAGACGAAAGGGTCAGAGACCCAAAGTTGGCCACGTCTGCCAATGGGGCATTTGTTGCTTTCGGAGCGGCCCATTCTGTGTCTTCGAAAGTTGTCTTTTGAGTTGGATTGAAGCTAAATAGAGAAGAAATAACTTGTCTATTGCCTTTGCCGCCAAGAGGGCCGCCTTGTTCTCGTCGGGGCTGGGAGCCAGAGCGGTCCTCAGAATCATGGTCCCCAGAGGAGAAATGAGACCGGGGTCGAGGGCGAAATTCAGCAGGGGAGGCATCGGAGTCGTCGAATCTTCGCTTCTTGAATGTTCGGGGAGAGTCATCGTAGTCTCTTCGGCGTGGGCCATCTTCTCCAGAGGCTATCTTGACGCCTCGCTCGGCCCTTTTTCGCTCTCGCCACGATCCGCCCTTGAACTTGACTTGCGGCTTTATAGGCCCGCTGCCAATTTCAAAATTCAATTCCATGCCATCGTCCGCCATTTTGACTGTCGGTCGCTTGGTGTTGGAGTGTGGGGTTTGATACTGTCACGATGGCTGGCCCAAAGGCTTGGATTTTTTTTTCGCTGGAGTCGCACCGATAAGATCGATTAGATAACAACGCCATGCTGGCCCACTCTACTACACGGCCTTCTACAGCTAACTAACACGCGAAGAGTATACCTATCCCAGCTCGATTTACAAGTATGGAAACCGAGAGGTTGGAATCATATTATTGCTGCCTTGTAAGTAAGGCCTGCGACAATGATGTACACAGAAGCAGACCCTAGCTTTGAATATCCCGATAAAATTGATTGGACAATGGGCACCGACGAACATGTTTCGGAGCGGGAAGGTCAGCAGGCCATTAAAAGCGTAACGGCCTCAGGCTCGGCGACAACGTTAGCCTCAGCTTACCAAAACAGATAGGCCTTGGTTTGACCTGGCTGGGTACGTTTGGAATAGAATGAGAAATATTCGCAATATATACAGGGAATCTCTTGTTGAATTCTCCCAAAGGACAACGTTTCAACTACAATTGAATGTCTTGGAATGCCATATGACTCTACATCTTGAAAAAGCTCTGTTACATAGACAAAGTATTCGGTGCCTTGTTTCTGCTACTGATGCCAGGCACACGTGCGTCTGTCAATCCGATCGCGTTTCTTGCCTGGCGCGCTGGCACCCTTGCATGAGCGCCCGGAAGCTACGGATGCCTTGGAAAGTTGATGCCCCCTCATTTACGGGGAGCCTCATCTTTCTCGATATCCGAACGAGTTCGGGATATTCAATAAGCCGCGCCTGTATGGACGCGGGATCTGCGTTCCCTTGTGACTGTTTGCGCTTGCGAGGTCAGGATGCATTGGACGGAGCCCTCGATATCTCCCCGGGAGGCGAAGCATTCCTGCTGGCGTCGCCGTTCCTGATCGATGGACTCAACCAAATTAACTAAAAACAGTCGATATTAGAGTTATTTGTTCCGCGCAACGCCGCGCATGATCCCTCTGCCATAAAGTAAGCCTTAGCAATTATATTCGTCTCGTTGGCGACCGTTTGGTTCTCTGGCAAAGCAGAGACCACCACTGACTGGGGCCACCTTGATAGTGGAACTGGGCTGACAGCCGGCTTCTCCCTGAGAACCCACCACACTAAATTTTTTTGTCGTGTCATCTGCGTGCAAGAGTGCCCAATGCGGTAGGGGAAACTAACGTTGAGTGCCGGTTTGTTCTCGCCACGGGATGGGAGCCAGGGCCTGTGGCGCCCCGTACCCACGCCTGTAGCGACACGAATGCTGGGAAGCCTTAGTGCTCGCGTGCGTGGACTTTGTCGTCATGGACACCTAAGGTCGATTCCTTTTCTTTTTCGACCCGTTGCCCGGCGCTGAGTGGTCGAGACGACTGGGTGCTGGCTTGAATGTTGTTGGCGATGCTTTTACTGCGCGTATCTTCCTTTGTGCCCATTCGACAGTGACCCTATTCAATATTAGACTTATTTTAAGCACCTCCGCGCTGCCCACATTGTGCTCACGTCGCATGTGCAATCTTAGCATAGGGGAAATTGCCCCGTGGACTTGCTGCTGTTGCTGCCCGCCAAGGTGGTGCGCCAGAATGTTCTTTTTCTTCCAGCGGGTGGGGAGCAACGAGAACAGCGCACGCTTGGTGGAGCTTGGCCCCCTTCCCATTGAGTCATTCCGGCAGCTGGTCCCATTGGCAGTGCCCGGAAACTCCCCTGCACACGCTGAAATGAGGCCCCTGGAAGGCGGATTTTGGCAGCTTTATCCCCGCAAACCACGGGTCTTACAGCGGATGCCTCAGTGGACTTTCAGGCCATCCCTGCTCTTTCCTTAGCTGCCCCTCCCCTACGCTGCGTGCTGTGCCCCCCTTCAGCGCGAGTCTTCCCGCCTGGGCAAAGTCAAAACCATTCTGCGCCCCCGGTTTTCAAGGCTGCCGTGAACCTTTACGACTCTTTTTTTATTATTTGTTTCTCGACAAATACCTTGACACGCCAGAACAATAACGCCGCGCTGCCCTCTTTTGTTTATTTTTTTTCTTTCTTCTAGTATTGAATTTAATATCCAAAGGGCTGCGTTTTACCAATTGCACCAAGAGTACTCTCATTCACACGCTTCATTATTCTTTCATTTCTCGCCACAACTTGGAATATTCTTTTCAACCTCAAAACGCGCGTTTGTTTGACGGCCAATTCGCTGTCAAATGAACCTGCAATAGTCGCCTATCATTAATTCCGTCCGTCGTCAACTCTGCCGCACATACTCTGCGCGTTGTTGCTAACCTTCACTTACAGCTTTAATCCCCCTCCCCGGCTCTCTAAATGCCCGCCTACTCATCCTTGTACTCCAACTTCATCCGTCAGGGATCTACCTTCGCCAAGTCGATTACTGCTCACGGTTACGCCCAATCCGTCGTAGCTGCTACACATCCCCATGTTCTAAACTCACAGAACCGCCCGGTCTTCGGCCGCCGATACACAAAGCGCCAGAACAGGCTCTCTGTCTTCCAGCTTCACAACCCGTTCCATACCGACCGAGCCCATAGCACTCTCGCCGACCATCGCCATGGATTCAACCATGGTGGGCTTGATGCCTACTTCGAGGCGCTGCAGCAGAAGGAAGCTGATGGCGAGAACGACGAAGAATGGACACAGTTTGAATTTCCCAAGCGTCTCGAGTGGAAGCCTGAGACTGAGGATGTTCTCGCTTCTGAGCCTGCCGAGACTGCTCCCTCTGGCATGACTCTTGAGGACCAAGCTGTCCTTGCACATATCGATGCTGCCTTGGCGAAGGAAATCGAGGTCCGACGCCTCATTGATGCTGGAGAAACCGACAACGATCTTGTTCGATCCGCAACCCCGAAGCGAGCCTCGCCCATTGTCACACCCCCCGTGGTCGACCCTCAATCGCAATCTTATGCCGACTATCTCTACAAGCTGTCAGCTTCTGGTCGCTATGCTGAGATTCCTGCCGTCTTCGAGGCGATGCTCGCCACCGGCGTCCCGCCTATCGCTGGCGCCTACAATGCTTTGCTCATTGCGGCTATCCACATTCCCATGAAGAAGATTGAGGTTGTCTCCAAGGCTCTTGATATCTATGCCGACATGCTCCGTCGACGTGTATCGCCTGATGGAGAAACTTACGATATTCTTGTCGATCTGCTGGCCTCACGATCCATTGAGGTCTCTGCCATGAAGAATGCTCTCGAAGATAAGCGCAGGCGCTTTGGTGGTATGGATGAACCTGGAAAGTTCATGTTTGCCTCTCACGAACTCGAGCATGCCATCCTCTGCGAAGATGATAGACTTGATCTGGCTATGAAGCTGTTTGAGACTGCCACAGATGCTTCCACCGCAACATTCTCCCCTGAAACATACTGCCAAATTATTTCCGCATGCGCTAAGGCTGGACGAGTGTCAGATATGGTTAGCCTGTTTGAGCACATGGAGGACAGCCGCATTGCCCCATACGCGGCCGTATTCCCAACTATGATCTCTGCTTACGCCGCCAATGGTGATTTGATCAGCGCTGTTGAATGCTACAGCGAGTACCGCGCGTTGGCGGTTGCCAACGACAATGGGCATGCTACTCTGCTGGATAGACAGGATGCTCAAGTGTACGCGTCCGTCATCAATGCCTACGTTGTCTCGGACAAGATCGAAGGTGCCATGAAGTTCTTCAAGAAGATTGTGGATGAATATGGAGTCCAGGTCGCCGACATCAAGGATGCTCTCATTACTGGCGGCTTTGTTGATGGGTTTGTCAACCGTGGCATTCTCCAAGAGGCCCTGCACTGGGCTGAGTCCATCGAGGCCAAGTCTCGTGCTAGAACTTTGATCAACATTGCTACAAAGGCTGCTGATGCTGATGAGCAGTCTACTGCTGTCGAGGCATTCAACAGCATATCTTCTGATGTGCAGTCCTTAGCGAAGCCTGCCATGGCCATGCTTGCTATGAGCGTCCGCGCTGGAGACGTCGCATCTGCTACCAAGTACTGGCATGTGCTGGTGAACCCTGAGATGCGCGCTACCACCTCTTTCATTGAACCTGCTACGATGTACGCCGTTGCTCTCATTGGATCCGGTCAAGTCGCCGAAGGTTTGTCTCAGGCAGAGATGATGTTCCAGAGAGTTCGTGCATCAGAACCTGACCTCTGTGAAGAGATTGACGAAGGCGTCGACTTCATTTCGCGTTACATGCAGTCCCGAGGTGTCTCTGACCCTCGTGAGCTCTCCTCCCCTGTTTCAACCATCCAGCAGCAGCCTTCCACTGCGTCGCCTTTCCTGTCGACCCCTACCGTGTCTAGCTTTGAGGACAGCTTTGATCCCCATGCTCAGAACACCGATTTCAAGGGTTCATCGATGATTGCTGATGATCTTGAGGGTAGCCATGGCCGCAAGGGCCCTCGCCTAGGTGATGCCCTCAACAGATTCCGCAACATGCGCCGCGCCGGTCGCCACCCAAGATACATTACATACGCCAAACTCATCACTGCCGCTGCAAAGGAAGGCAAGATGGACCTCTGTCAAGAAATTCTAGCTATGGCTCGCAACGACGTCCCTCTTCTTACCCAGTACGCCGTTGTTCGCTATGGATGGTCGTCTATTCTTGATGCTATGGTTGGCGCTTGCTTGACCCTTGGCAACCGTGGCCGTGCTGAACAGTATCACCAGGAGTTGCTGGAGATGGGCTCTGCCCCCTCTGCCAACACCTTCGGCCTGTACATCACCACACTCAAGGAGTCGACCAAGACCTTCGACGAAGCCTCAGAGGCTGTGCGCATCTTCCACCGTGCTAAGAGCGAGGGAGTTGAGCCTAGCTCATTCCTCTACAACGCTTTGATTGGCAAGCTTGGCAAGGCTCGTCGCATTGACGACTGCCTGTTCTACTTTGCTGAGATGCGCGCTCTTGGTATCAAGCCTACCTCTGTTACATACGGTACTATTGTCAATGCCCTTTGCCGTGTGAGTGACGAAAAGTTTGCCGAAGAGCTGTTTGACGAGATGGAGGCCATGCCTAACTACAAGGCTCGCCCTGCTCCCTACAACAGCATGATGCAGTTCTTCCTCACCACCAAGCGTGATAAGTCCAAGGTCCTCGCTTACTATGAGCGCATGAAGTCCAAGGGCATCGCCCCGACCTCGCACACATTCAAGTTACTCATTGATACACATGCAACTCTGGAGCCCATCGATATGGGTGCTGCTGAGGAGGTTTTGGCCTCCATGACTTCCGCTGGCCAGCAACCGGAGCCTGTCCACTACGCATCGCTTATTCATGCCCGTGGATGTACAATGCATGATCTTGCTGGTGCTCGCAAGACGTTTGACTCTGTTGTTGCGCAGTCTAATGTCCCGGTCAATACCAGCATGTACCAGGCCATGTTCGAGGCCATGGTTGCCAACCACGAAGTCGGCCAGACCGAGTCTCTTCTTCAGCAGATGCGCCAGGCTCAAATCGAGCTCACTCCATATATTGCCAACACCCTGATTCACGGTTGGGCCGCTGAGCACGACATTGTCAAGGCACAAGCTGTGTACGATGCTGTGCCACGCGAGAGGAGAGAGCCCTCTACCTACGAGGCGATGACCAGGGCCCTTTTGGCAACTGAGCGCCGCGAACAAGCCAACGTTGTCGTTGCTGAGATGCTTACTCGCGGCTACCCCAGCGCCGTCGTCAACAAAGTACTGGAACTGCTCGGTGGTGGAAACCAGGAGCAGACCGTCCAGTAAACACCACAATTCACACAAAAAGTTTCATGTCTGGCCATGGCCATACGTTGTCTTCTTTTTTATTCTCCGATAGCCTCTTTTTGATACCCCGTTTTTCTGCTTTCTGTTCTAGCATCCATTTTATATCTTGCTTCGTTTTTTTGTCGGGGTGTTTTCCAGCAAAGAGGCTAGATGCCGCTGTTGAAAGAATCTTGCATATCCAATTTGGACATTTGGCGTTCTGGCGGCATTTCATATTTATCTGTTTAGCAACATCAGGAAGGTTTCCCTGTGGGATGGGACGGTTACGGTTGGGCTTCATGGGCAGGTGTTTGCCCTTTATTATAGACAATCTCCACTCGGCAACAAAAAATTGCCACAAAACATGTATCGACTTGCAAGCAATCACCTCGCTATCTGAGTGTAGGTGTAAGTTGTTGGTCGATTGTACCATATATATAGCAAGCAATGGACAAAGTTCCTCCCTACAAAGTGTTCCCCAGTTAACCATTGTGTTTAAAATGTAGTAAACAAGGCTATAATAATACGTTCTATATTGTATGACATTGAGGGTCTGCTTTGTGCTTCGTGCTTCGTGAGACGCCTCACGTTTAGTGGTCTGTGCAGTGCAGATGACGATATGTACTGTATTGGCGCACTGTCCCCTCACTTGCACCCCACCGCTAGCTAACGACGACCTTGTCATCCCGCTAACCCTCCCCCTGTTGAGACCTCACTCTCCTCATAAAAGCGTCTCTTTTCTTCAGCTAGTCATATACAGGGAAAGGCTTCGTTTGATTCTAATACTCGCAATCCTCATGTCTTTACCGATAAAGCCCGCCGTGGCGGTTTCTGCGCCTGGCAAAGTTCTCCTCGCTGGTGGCTACCTTGTCCTTGACCGAAAGTATACTGGTCTTGTGTTTGGCCTCAGCGCGCGAATCAATGTCATTGCCGGAACAGAAAATAACTCCAGCGAATCGAGCAATTCCGAAATAATAGTAGACAGCCCTCAATTCCTCGGCGCACAGTGGCGCTACGCATACACTACAGCTTCTCAAGATGGCGGTATCAAGGTCTCTCAAGTTCAATCGTAAGAACAGTTTTATTGTTTCCACAAGAACCAAGGTTAAGACTTGTTTATGATTCTAACCCAAATATTCACAGAGAAACTCCTACCAGCGCCAACCCGTTTGTTGAAACAACCCTCAACTACGGTCTCACCTATATCAACGCACTCAGCAAAAAGTCCATCACACCCGCTCGCCTGGTCATCCTAGCTGACAACGATTACTACTCACAGTCTGGTATGCAAAAGTCAAACGGCAGCCGCTTCGCGGAGTTTGGAGTGACTCTCAAAGATGCCAATAAGACTGGTCTTGGATCGTCTGCCGCGCTGGTCACCTCGCTGACCGCTACTCTTTTGAGCTACTACCTACCAACGGAGCTTTTCGATATCACCAGTGCCAGTGGAAAGACGACATTACATAACTTGGCACAAGCAGCGCACTGCGCTGCGCAAGGCAAGGTGGGATCTGGATTTGATGTCGCTGCAGCAGTCTACGGATCTTGCATGTACCGTCGCTTCTCGCCGAGCATTCTGAGCAGTGTTCCTGAGGCAGGTGCTTCAGGATTTGCGGAGAAGTTGATGTCGGTTATCGACAAAGAGGCATGGGATGTTGAGGTTGAGGGAGAGGATCTGTCTTTACCTAGCGGCGTCGCTCTGCTCATGTGTGACGTAGATTGTGGCAGCCAAACTGTAGGCATGGTCAAGAAGGTTCTTGCTTGGAGGGCCGAGGACAAGGAGCAGTCACGTCAGCTTTGGGACGACTTGCAGAGCCGAAATGAGACTCTTGCATCGGCTTTGAAGCAAGAGGACCTTGACGTCCTGCCTGCCAAGGTAGAGAGCATCCGTGAGCTTATTCGTAAGATGAGTGAGCTCAGTGACGTCCCTATTGAACCTGAGAGCCAGACCAAGCTCTTAGATGCCATCACCAAGGTTGATGGTGTATATGGTGGCGTTGTCCCTGGCGCTGGTGGCTTTGATGCCCTTGCATTGCTTGTCAAGGATGATTCTTCGACAAAGGCAAGACTAGAAGAATTCTTGGCCAAGTGGTCAAGCGATACAGACTCAAAAGTTAAGCTCCTATCTGTCAAGGGTGAGATGGAGGGTGCCAAACGGGAGGACTTGGCGGTCTACGACGGGTGGTTTGCCTAAGACATTTGGCAACACGACATGTGCATACATAAAAGTAACTTAGTCGCTCTTAATACGGAGGGCAAAGCAATTCCAAAGATAATAATTATGTCAATTTTGATATTCAAAACGCAAAACTAGGGGACCTGACACCCTGTACACCGTTGTCCGAACAAACGACCGTTTTCATGACTGGGCACACAATCCGGTCAACCTCGTTCGATATTGCGCCGTCTGATTAATAATAATAATACATGTTCCGCACCAAAAGGACCAGCCCAAACATGGTTTGACAATGTATGAAGGTTTGACAAGAACAGGGAGTGAGCTGTGTTGTCGGGGTATATGGGGCTATTTTCATCATTGTCGTGGAAAGGCGTGCACATTATAGACTATGCACGACATGTCGTTTAGAAATAAGCCCAACTACCAAGCAGCGCGGCTGGCAGAGATGTTGTGGCGGGATTCCCACGAAGTCATGGAAGAAGATGAGCTGGGAACGGTTTCGATGGTTCCGACACGGCTGGCAGCGGCGTGGTCGCGGAGAATGGCGAGCCTGTACAAATCGAGTTAGTCTACAACGTTGAAGCCTTGTCTATTTCATTTCATATTACATACTCATCTTGAGAAACTCCGGGGAGAGAAACAGGCTCGAGCTTGAGATCGAAAGGAGCAGACTGCAGCCAGGGTGTTAGTGCTAACGTTGCTTACTTGATGGTGACGATGCGGCTTACAATCTCAAGGGTTCTCTTGGGCTTGGTGGTACGGTAGCGCTGGAACATGTTCTGAACACGAGTGCAGAACAAGACAACGTTGTTCTTGACCTGAGTAGACTCCATTTTTGTTGATATTATTAAAGCGGTTGGGTGCTTTTTGGTTGGTGTAGAGAGGGAGCAGTCGAACGAGAATTCAGCGGTGCTCAGAAGAAAAGGTGTCTAATGTGACGAGAGAAAGAGTCGATAATAAGAGGTCGCCGGCGAGTGATGCTAGCGAAGTAGAGAATTAAATAGGTGCTGGGAAGCAAAAGTGAATAGTTAAAGCAGTCGAAGTTTCGTTTGGTGATGATGTGTTGCTGAACAAGGGTGTGTTGGGCACAGGAAACGAGAGTTGTACCACGGTATAGAAAATAAAGAGCGATCAGAATTAAAGAGTGAATGAATGACTAAAAGGAACGAAAGTCGAAAAGGTTTGCTGGGAACAAAGAACGTAGCGATGAGGAGGAAACGGAAGCATGGGCAGAGGAGGAGAGGTGAGGCAGGTGAATATATAAAAGAAGCCAGCTTGGAGGCCGGGTGTCAGACACGAGCCTCCATTCCCAACGCGGGAAAGGAAAAAAGGTGAGTGCAGCACAATGTCACGGTACGCATAGATTTAATGGATTTTTTATTTTCATTTGTTTTATTTTAATCCGGCTGAAGGCGCCCGAGGTCTTGGGTCGCGGCGGTGCGTTGTCTCAGCGCGGGCCACAGGGCATCTATAGCGGCCGATTAGAGCAGTAGTAGCAGGGGGGAGGTACCGTAGCGGTAGGTTGGTGGTAGCGGTGGTGCAAGATGGGGGTGGCTGGGCGGGCAGAGTGAAGGGGGGATTTCACTGAATGTGGACTAGCCTGATCGATCTTTTTTTCTTTTTCTTTTTATTTAAATGTATTTCCTTATATTGGAAGTGATGCACAAGGTTTAAGAGGCGATTGGAATGGAATGCCAGCTTACCCGCCCTTGCAGGCAATGCTGCGCCTGAACGGGCTTTTTGGGGAATGGTGTCTCAGTGAATGGACGAGGCGAAGGAAGCTCTCCTTTTCGTTTGTCTGCCTGCATATGTGCTGAAGAAAAACGAGGGTATTCCTTCATGTTTGTTTGAGCCCCGTATACAGGGAAAAAAGAGAAGGAAAAAAAGAGGCGGAGGACAGACGAGGTCCGTGGGCTTGTGCAGCAAGGCAACCTTTGTCGCACCATCGTCTGGTGTTTCGTGATGATGACTGCTGCTCACGGACGCGGGTAGGCGAATCGGAAGAGCCGAGGGAGCAAGATGCACGATATGAAACTAGCCAGTGACGATGATGCGAGAAAAAAATAGAATTAATATTAAAAAGGAATAAATGGAGGAATACCTGCCGTGGCTTCGTCACAAGCCAAGAGCGCAGATTGGCTGTTGCCAAGCACATGCTATAGCGGCTAGGGCTCTGCTCGGAGGCTCTGCACTGCACCTGTAAATTTACAGCAGCGTTACCATGCAGCACTGTACTGTACCTGGCGTTATCAGCCCATTGGTGAGCTGTCACAGCCCATCAGCCAACTTGAACCTGTCACTCGCAAATTAGCCCCGGTACTAAAGAGAAATACACGCATGATTTGTAGCAATCACACTCTATTGCATTCACAAGCCATCTCCCTTTCTGTTCTATTTTATTTTATTTTTGTTTTTCCATTTACACGCTAGACACGTCTACGTCAGCCTAGCCGCTTGAAGAGCAAAAGGGAGAAGAACTACCACTCGCGTAGTAGCCCTTGAACCCCGAGACATTGCCTGGTTCTCAGCTTCTCTAGTCCGTTAATTTTTATACCCTCCTCGTTGAATATTCCGCATTGGATATTGCCTTGATTTATTTTAATTTCTTTTTTTCTAGCAAAAGTTTCTTCATTTCCTTTTTCAGCCTGGCTGTGCAACAGTTTGACGCCACGATAGCACCATCAAAAGACACCTGGCGAGTCTGGTGGGTTGCGATGTGACTCTCCATTACCCAACATGTATCATCTCGCCTGGACATGGTTCTTTTTTTCCCATGCTCTTACTGGGCAGAGCATATTCCACGCGGGCAAAACAAGTGCCGCAGATCAGAAATGAAAGGCTATGCCGATCAGGGCCCTGCCTCCGAGAGCGTCAATGCGTACCGCCGCCACTATTATGCCGTTGCTTTAACCCTAGCCGCATAGACTTGTGCGCTGGCTATGTAATACTCTCTCTTACGTTTAAGCAAAGCAAGCTCCTCTCTTACACGCGCAGTCTGCGGCCCGGGCTTCACCGACGCTCTCACCATGTGGTAAACAAGAACAGCACACTCCGCCGGTCTCCTCGGCTGCTTCTCTGCGGCCGCATCTGCCCTGCTGGTTAATTTGCGCCCTGTGATGCATTCCCTTTTGCCTTGTCCTACCCTCACCGTCCCAATACGCTGGTCCCTGCGTCTTCCGAACAAGATCGGGCCTCGACGCCTCATATCTCATCCCAGCTAGCACACCACCCATCGTCTTTACACAGTAGCACAAATTTAACACCCGCCCTCGTAGGCTTTTTCAATTGTTGAATGGCGCGCTAAGCCACATTACCAGCTAGCCAGTCTCGCTAATCGCTCTGGACCGCGTTCCTGGGTTGAATGTTTGCTTCTTTTGCTCAGCCAGGGCAAAATCCAGACCAAGCCGCCGCCTCCGTTCGTACGTTGTCGTTCGGCGATTCCAAATTCAAATGAGCAATCTGCTGCCATCGGCAATTACTTTTTTTTTCAGCTTACTTCTACACCGGTGCTCTTCTGGCCAGGTGTAAAGTTACGTCATAGCTTTCTCGCTTCTGCCTCGTGTGTCAAACCCGTACATCTTCTGTCTCCCTTCGATACGAGAAAAACGCGCCAGTCAGCTTCTTCAATACTTTTGATTCATCTATAGCGTTGCAAACATTAAAAAAATAGGCCATGAAAAAAACACACAGAGACAGAGCTAACCGAGCCCTAAAGAACGCGATTTGATCGTTGTAAAACCAAGTGTCTCTCCTTTGGGTTGGTTCTAGTCTATTTTGGGTAGTCCTTCAAGTGGAAGCTCTTTGACTTGACAAAGGCCTCGAAGCCGAATCGACCAAGTGTCTGGCCACGTCCGGAATTCTTCCATCCCGTCCATGCAAGGTCCTAAATTGTTCCAAAAGAATCACGGTTAGTCAAAGGTCCCTGAGAAAGTAACTAGTCGGCATTTCTACTGCCGAAAACAACATCATCAATTTGCACTTACCGGGCTGGGGAAGTCACAGCGGTTGACAAAAACGGTGCCTGCTTCCACGTCCTCGGCCAATTCGTAGCCCTTTGCCGTATCCTTGGTCCAGATGCTAGCAGTCAGGCCAAATTCACTATCGTTCATCAGCTGGATGGCCTCGGCATCGCTCGACACCTTCATCACTGGAATAACGGGGCCAAATGTCTCTTCCGTCATAACCGTCATGGTGTGGTCGACGCCGGTCAGCAGCGTTGGTTTCACAAAGTTGCCCTTGCTTGGGGGGTTAGCGAATGTCTCATTCTCAGGTGTCGCATCCTTGGCACCCTTGGCCACCGCGTCCGCGATGTGCGCCTCAATCGCTTCCTTGGAACGCTTCGAGATCACTGGTCCGATGTGTGTGTTCTTATCAGAAGGATCGCCAAGCTTGTAGCCCTTGAGCACGTTCTGCACCGCCTCGACAAACGCGTCGTGAACCTTGGCATCAACGTAGATTCTCTCTAGAGAGCAGCAGCTCTGGCCAGAGTTGAAAATGGCTCCGTCCACAATTTCTTCAGCAGCCCACGCAATATCAACGTCATCGCGGATGTAGGCGGGGTCCTTTCCACCCAACTCAAGACCGACATTTACGATGCGATCAGCAGCGGCCTTTTGCACGGCAAGACCTCCAGCGACGGAGCCTGTAAAGCACACCAGGGCAATCTTGGGGTCACGCACGATGGTCTCCATGGTGGTAGGCGAGCCGCAGTGGAAATACTGGACAACGCCATCGGGGAGTCCAGCCTCTGTGAACAATTTGGCAACATGCTCCACAATCGTTGGGGTCTGAGGCGATGGTTTCAAGATCACCGTGTTTCCGGCAAGGATAGCGGGGATCAGAGAGTTGACGAGGATAAGGTATGGGTACTGAGACAGCCGGTCAGTCAGCGCGTAAAGTGGTTTCACGGTCGACAAGGACCACTTACATTCCAAGCAAAAATGATGAGCACAGGACCAACGGGAGCCTTGCGGATGAATCGCTTGAACCCTTGTTCAGGTTCGCCGTCGGTATCCTTGAGCACCTCATCACTGATCTTTAGCAGATACTCTCCTCGCTTGACTGCAGTCTGGATTTCCTTGCCAGTGTAGGCGATGGGTCGTCCCATCTGTGTTGTGAGCTCTTCCGCAAGCTCAGCTTCATGGTCAAGAAGACTCTTGAGGAACTTCTTGACGATTTCCTGACGCTCCTTAAGTGTGGTCTTGCGGAACTTCTGGAACGCCTCTGTGGCGACCTTGGGGAGGAGCTCTAAGTCAGCTGCGGAAGCTCCATTCCTTGTGAGGACGGGCTCGTTGGTGGTGGGGGAGATTGTAGTAATAACTTCAACAGACATGATGAATATCTTGAATTCCCTACAAGTGGATGTTTACCAGAGGTTGGCTGGGTTGTTGCTGGTGAGGGGAAGACTGATGACTTTAAGCTTGACATTGAAGGACAGTGCCCCACGCTGAACGCGGACCGAATAGCGGAGTATTAGCCGCGATGATACAACTAAGCCACTTGAGGGCTGAAAAAGGAAGTAGCAAGGCGGTAAAATCGAACGTCTCTATGTCAGATGATGCTAGACAAGAAGGGTAATATTAATTTTGAACTAAAACTAGAGTAGGAGGCGAAGCTGAAAACGCGGAAATGGTACAGGGTAGTGACACTGGCGCGCGGTTCTGATAAGCCAATATGCCCCGTTTCAATGTTATCGATAAGACATACAGTAACTTTTTTCTGGTGGCAGTTCAACCACTGCCAAACTATCTACACGCTCGACGCTCACACATTATTCACCCAAAATGGCCCCTGCTAGGGCTGATGATTTCCTTGGACTATCCGACAGTGAAGGAGAAGATGTTGGAGGTTACAATTCCGATGCTGAAGTCCAAAAGGGTATCCGCAGTGCTAAGCGCAGAAGGCTGAGCGACGACGAGGATGCTGGCAGCGACTCGGAAGACGAAGCCAAGGCACTCAAATTCACAGATGAGAAAGTCGACGAGGACGAAGAACAAGAAACAGTCGCCAATGACGAATCGAAATCAAAGTCGAAAAAAGCCGACGTGAAGATTCCCGAACTCAAAACAGCACTTCCCGATATCACAAGACCTGCAACCAAAAAGAACCTGGTGGCTACAGAGGCTGCTATCAAAAAGTCTGGCGTCGTGTACATGTCTCGCATACCGCCGTTCATGAAGCCCGCCAAGGTACGGTCCCTGCTGGAACCATATGGCACGATCAACCGCATCTTTCTCGCACCAGAAGATCCTGCCGCCCATGCGCGCAGAGTAAAGGCGGGCGGCAACAAGAAGAAGTCATACACAGAGGGTTGGGTGGAATTTGTCAAGAAAAAGGAAGCCAAGGCAGCCTGCGAGCTCCTCAATGCGCGCACCATTGGAGGCAAGAAGGGTAGCTACTACCGTGACGATATCTGGAACCTGCTCTACCTCAACGGCTTCAAGTGGAACAACCTGACCCAGCAGATTGCTGCTGAAGATGCCGAGCGAGCAAGCAGAATGCGTGCCGAAATCAGCAAGACGACCAAGGAAAACAAGGAGTTTGTGCGCAACGTGGAAAGGGCCAAGATGCTGGACGGCATGCAGGCCAAGTCGAAGAAGAGAAAGGCAGACGCTGGCGAGGACGCTTCAACGGCGCCGCTGGAAGAAGGAAGCAGAACATTCAAGCAGATTCCATTGGCAAAGAAGGCCAAGGAGACAGACGAGCCTTCAGAACGGGTTTCTCGCGTGCTCAGCAAGATCTTTTAGAGCGTTGGCGGCGTACTCTGTTGCATGTTTTGGTTTGCTTTGTCCTGGAGTTAAGCTTTTTGTATATAAACTGGTACATATCACGCATAAGCCTCATGATTCAATCTACAATTCTTCCATTTTACATATACTGTCGTATTTACAGTGACATCAATCTTTGCTGCGTTCTCCATGTCGCGTGCTCAGTGACACCCCTTCAGCGCTTAACGCCTGTAATTACAGGGACCTTATGCCCCACCTGGGCTCGCCTCTGCGGCGCTGGGGAGGCGATAAGCCCAACTCGGCGCACTAAAACTGCTTATCAAGCAGCGGGGCAAAGAGTTTTTTGAAAGTTTCCTACCACCACTATTTACTGCCAGCGGCGAGTCACCACCAAAACCCGATTCGACATCTTCACCACGGACATTTTGCGTTTCAACACAAACCACCCGAAATGTCTATGGATTTGGATGACGCCCCCGTGTCCATTGCACCGGTGGGCATGCAGCAGAACACAGCAACGTATGTTTTTTATTCCTGCAACCCAGCAGCCGTGACGGTTGTTGCCCAACCGGCTTGTACCCCGCCACTAACAAAAGATTTTTTTTCTTCGCCTGCAGTATTCTGTGTTGCAACTGCGGTGCCGCCATCGATGGAACCCAAGCGACCGGCGCCCTCTGCTTTGACTGTGTCAAGCTCACGATCGATATTTCCGCCGGAGTCCAACGCGAATCCAACCTCCAGTTCTGCCGTGACTGCAACCGATGGCTGACGCCGCCAACCAGCTGGGTTGTCGCCAACCCCGAATCTCGAGAGCTTCTCGCCCTGTGCCTTAAGAAACTGCGAGGTCTTGCCAAAGTGCGCATCGTAGATGCCTCGTTTGTCTGGACCGAAGCCCACTCCCGAAGAATCAAAGTCAAAATCACAATCCAAGACTCCGTCCAGGACGGCGTCCTGCTTCAACAGACGTTTGAAGTCGTCTACATTGTCACAACTCAGCAGTGCCCCGAATGCGCCAAATCTTATACCGCTAACGTCTGGAGAGCTTGCGTTCAAGTTCGTCAAAAGGTCCTACACAAGCGTACTTTCCTGTTCCTCGAGCAGTTGATTATGAAGCACCAAGCCCACAGAGAAACCCTCAACATCAAGGAAGCCAAGGACGGTATTGATTTCTTCTTCTCTGCCAAGAACCAAGCCGACAAGTTTGTTGACTTCCTCAACTCCGTGGTGCCTATCCGCATGAAGAAGGCCCAGGAACTCATCTCTCATGACACACACACCTCCAAGCGCTCTTACAAATTCACGTACTCTGCCGAACTGGTACCTATCTGCAAAGATGACCTGGTCGCCCTGCCCATCAAAATCGCCAAGCAATACGGCAACATTTCTCCTCTGGTCCTTTGCCACAAGATTGGTACCTCCATTTACCTGCTCGACCCCCAGACCCTCCAGACTGCTGATATCAGCGCTTCCATCTACTGGAGAGCGCCGTTTTTGGGCCTAGCCGATACACAATCCCTGGTGGAATTTATCATTATGGATGTTGAGCTTACTGGCAAGCAAAACGGAAAGTGGCGATTTGCAGAGGTTACTGTTGCCCGCGCTGTTGATCTCGGAGTCAACGACAAGACATACTTTACAAGAACACATCTTGGTGGATTGTTGCAAGCCGGTGATAGCGCCATGGGATATCTTCTTGAGGGTACTGTCTTCAACAACCCCGAATTCGATGCCATGGAAGCCTCCAGCGTATACTCATCAACAATTCCGGATGTTGTCCTAGTCAAGAAACACTACCCCCGCAAGCGCAGAAACAGACGCCGCAACTGGCGCCTTAAGCGCATGGCCAAGGATGAAGGCGAACTTCTCCCTAAGAAGGCTGACCAGGAGCGTATGGATAACGAGTACGAAATGTTCTTGCGTGATGTAGAGGAAGATGAGGAGCTTCGTGCTGCTCTTGCTCTGTACAAGAACGAGCAGCAAGAACAAGTAGAGGAGGAGGAAGAGATGAGCATGGCTGACTCTGACGAAGGCGTCGACGCAGCTCCTCATGTTGACATGGATGAATTGCTAGACGACTTTGATGAGCTTACGATGCAGGACGCATAGATACTGGGATTTCCGTTTTTATTTAAAGGGTATTTATGAGTTACAAAAAGAAATGCAAAATTCGTTAAATGATCATAATATTTTGATTCCCCAGGACGCCTTCTTCCAGGCATGTTGTATGGTGTTGTATTAGAGGAAGTGTGGCACCACGCTTTCAATCGGTGATGGTTCCTTTTTAGGCGTCCGTGAGCTGAACTGCTCCCGAGAAGCGTTTCGTTTTACATTGCGCTTCTTTAAGCCGAACGGATCATCCACGTCGATATCATCATCGACGAGGTTCACGACAGTTGCTCGGCTCGCACTGCTGTTTGACGGGCCAGGCGTCGCTGGGCTAGGCTGATTCGAGGTGTGGGTTGGTATGCGTCTCCGTATCGGAGTAGCAAAGGGCGATATCCGCGAAGACGACGGGCCGACACCTGGAGAACTCTGTATAGCAGGTTGTGGTCTGCGTTGTGGCCTTGCCGAAGCTGGGGTGCGTGCGGCAGTGCTTGGTCGTGGAGCTAGAGAGGAGATGGACTGCTCTTGCTGACTGGGTGCATCTAGCAAGTTCCGCAAACCAGTGGCTGGACGGGGAGACGAGCTGCTGGCATCTTCACCCGGGACCGAGCGCTGCTTGATCCGTTGAGCGACGCGATCATGACGTCTGCGGGCTTCCATGGTAGGGGTCCCGATGACAGGGCGTTCAATTTCGCGAATGGAGTCTGCGTTTTGTGATCTTGCTAGCCGCTTGAGACGTTCGTACTCTGCGCGATGCAGATGCGTGGTGAATCGCTGAGCCGCACGGAGGAGTTCATCTTCAACCATACGGTACCGATCATCGCCTTCAATCATAAATCTATGCGAGCTTCTTAGAGTCTTGGTTTCTGCGGCGTGTGAAGGCCGATTCTTACTGTTCTAGAGGGGCATCAGGTGGAGGTGATACTGATGAACGGGATTCACGATCTGTCGGCAGCAGTTAGCTTCATGATAAAACCCCAGTACTTGGTTCGATCACTCACTGGATATCGGCAATCTGCGCCGTGGAGTATGAGATGCACTGTTGATGCTGCCAGGCAGGGAGTCTGCCTGAGGCTGTGGACTTGAGCTCTCTTCTTTCTTGGCCCGTCTCGACGCTGGTGAAGCAGCCGGGCTAGACTGCCACCTGGCTGTGTTCCACGGGAGGCGTCTGGTCATGACGATGTGGATGCAGTGATGCGCATTGTAAACAGTATTTGATGGTGGTGTAGCTGCTCGTTTGATTAACACACAAGAGGGCTTTTACCGCAGGAGCATCATGAATCGTATAATTGCAATGCTAGACGTTTTATTTATTTCTCCTCTTTTGTTGGATTTCTCCTTTGTGAAGTAATATCGATCTGCAGTGTTTGTCACGGCGCAGAGTTGTTGCAGGTGGTGCGATGGCTGCCTTGGGTTTGTTGTGGCGCTAAAACTAATTACGTATCGGAAGTGGAAGTCGGGTGTGCTGTAGCGAATAGCGGCCCATCGATATATAACAAGTAATCAAACTCTAAATTTTTCATTGATAATTACCATAAAAAAAATCTAAATTATATATTTCATGTAGATTTCCCAACATGGCTCAAAATAACTTAATTAGAAAAAACAGATTGAATTAGTTTACTCAACCACCTCAAGCCCGAATACGATGCCATTAAACCGCATCTCGTACCCCACTACGAATTTCTGCCGGCCCCTCTTCGAATTCGCCAGGGTTCTTCACCGACCAGTGACCGGTGAACTTTCCCTTGTACACAACAGCCATCTGCTATTTTTACTGTGTTGTTGGTAATTGGAAAACTCTTATCCGCTGCTATACAAACCAGCGTTTGTATTAACCTGTTTGTTAGCCTACAATGTCGACCACTACCACCGTCACAACTACCGAGCCTATCACGGCCACCAACATCTTGCGACTTTTCCCCGAGATCGATAGCACTGCCACCGATTCCTCACTCGAAGGCTACGATGAGGAGCAGATCCGCTTGATGGACGAAGTCTGCATCGTCTTGGATGAGAACGATTTGCCCATCGGCAAGGCTAGCAAGAAGATTTGTATGAGCGCCCCTCCTCCCGCCACACGCACCACACAACTCTAACCTTCAGGAACAGGCCACTTGATGACCAACATCGACAAGGGTCTCTTGCACCGCGCATTCTCCCTCTTCCTCTTCAACGACAAGAACGAGCTCCTCCTCCAGCAGCGCGCCTCCGAGAAGATCACCTTCCCCGACCTGTGGACAAACACATGCTGCTCCCACCCTCTTGGCATCCCCGGCGAGACTGGCTCTAACTTGCCTGATGCTATCATGGGTGTTAAGCGTGCTGCCCAGCGCAAGTTGGACCAGGAACTCGGTATTAAGAAGGAGCAGGTCCCTCTTGAAGACTTCCACTTCCTTACCCGCATCCACTACAAGGCTCCCAGCGACGGCAAATGGGGCGAGCACGAGAGTAAGCTTCCCACATTGGAAACCTTTTGAACCGTGCATATTCTAACCAACTTCGTACACAGTCGATTACATCCTCTTTATCAAGGCAAACGTCGATCTCAGCATCAACCCTAACGAGGTCCAGGCCACTCAATACGTCACTCCCGAGACGCTCAAGGCCCAGTTCCAAGACCCCAAGCTCAAGTTCACTCCCTGGTTTAAGCTCATTTGCGACTCCATGCTGTTTGAGTGGTGGGCTAACCTTGACTCTGGTCTTGATAAATACCTTAACGAGCAACAGATCCGCCGCATGTAAATTGGATCTCCCTGTTCGATATAACAAGACGACGACCTATCGGAACAACAGAGTCTTGACGACGAAAGAAAAAGTTTCAACATACCTATTTATGCTTGCCTAATAATAGAATTTCATCTTTACTATATTTTAAAGCTAGCGGCGTTGCGTGAAGAAGGTCAGGTACAGTGGCGCGGCTGTACAAGTAGATGAGGCTGGCAAATCTTCAATACAAACGACTCCATTTGGATTCCGATTAAACGGCCAATGACGTCGTAGTTCAATTCCAATACGTCAATGACGTCGTAGTCCAATTCCGACACTTACATATATAGCCATTACGGAATTGGTATATAACCACACCTTTTTGGTCGGCGATATATTCACTCGATGCGGCCTTTCAAACTTCCGCTCTAGCAACTGCACTTGTTGCTGACGTGCATCCACCACTTACGCTACGACGCTGGCCTGCGACGTTGTATAGCGCCATTTTGCTAGCCTTGTGGGCTGAAAGCGCCTCTAATGGCATATATGGACGAATCATAACCGCAAGCCGCAACATGGCGCTCGATAGTGATGACCATCTGCCGGCTAGATCAGGTCGACCACATAGGTCCCGGAAGTTTATGGCGGCGTCATCTTCCCACCAATATAACGTCCTTGAAATTTCAGGCCACCTTCTCTTTCATATGCACAACACCCCTGGTTCGCACGGGAACCACAACGGATGGAACCTGAGCTTAACCGGCATCCCCAGTCAGGAGCACGGCTCGCTTGATTAGCGACTCTCAACCAACACCTTGAACCACATGCGCGGCATTTGAAGACGCCGTCTCCACGAATTACCCCGGATTTACTCGTTAATACGAACCAGCGGGGTGCATCCATCCGTACCAGGGTTTCTCTATATAAGTTCCTTGTCACCGCCTATCACCTGGCCCTGTCTTGACCAGACCCATCGACATCAACCCCCTACTCTCAGACATCTGCAACTTTCCATCATGAAGTTTTTCGGATTGGCTCTTGCCACCTTTATCTTGGGCTCTTCAGCCTCCCCTGCCCAGCTTGACCCCCGCGCCGTCTCCAAATCATGGGGCGGCACGAGCAACTACTTCATCCAGGGCATGGCTGATGACCTGCAGGAGAAGTATATCAAGGCTCTTGCAGCTACTGGTGCTCGCGTCATCCGCGTTTGGGTTAACGCTCAACCCGGCAACAATGCCTGCGTCAAGGGAAGCCGCAGTGTAACGAAGCTGCTCGACTTTGAGACGACTATTGGCCAGTACAACTGGGCAACCCTGGACGCCCTTGACAAGACCCTTGTCCTTGTCGAGAAGTACGGCATGAAGGCCCTGGTTTCTCCCCACGATGCCAATGCTCTCCACGGAGCCAATGGGTAAATTCCCACACCCAGACTCAAAGCAGTTCTTATAAAGACTAACATTGGAAACTAGCAATGACATCTACGGCCAAACTTGGGGCCCTGGATACTTCTATGAGAAACAGGAGGCCATTGATGCCTTTGAGGCCCGCCTCCGTGCCATCTTCACGTACAAGGGCAAATACTCCGGCAAGGTCTGGAAGGACTGGAACTCCACCATCATGGCCTTTGACATTGAAAACGAGCCGTTCAGCTCCAAAACGGAGGAGTGCAAGTACAGCAGTGCCCCTACCTGGGTATGTGGCCGTTCCAAGACCATGCGTGACATTCTAGGCGCAAACAACCCCATTAAGATTGCTACCGGTGGTTTCGGCGGCGATATCAGCCAGGGCTGCACCTTTGAGGCTGGCGCTACTAGCTGCCCAAGCGTAGACATTGTCTCTGGTAAGTGAAAAAGAGCGTCCTAGTACACCTCTGCTAGTACATGTAAACTAACTGCAATAGTCCACCGCTACGCTGGTCCGGAGTCCAGCAATCCCAGCCAGTGGACCAACAGCTACAACAGCTGGCTGAAGCAGACCAACGGCAAGCTTGTCTTTGTTGAGGAATGGGGCATCAATGGCACCAAATACAGCCAGAAGGACGAGTTTGCCTCCAACACCAAGGACATGAACGCTGGCGGGCTGCCCTTCCTGTACTGGCAAATCTTGCCTGAGAAGGTCTGCGATGTCAGTGACGGCGACCCCTTTGGCTTCTTCATCAACAGCGGTGTTGATATTTCTACACCCATGAACAACGCCAAGGCTACCAACAGTAAGCAGGACTGGTCTGGAATCGTTTAATGCGCTTTTGCAAGACCGCTGCCATATCAGTAAGAGTAAATATGAGTTGATGACACTTACATATATAAATCAAGCACAATATCCCAATTCTCGCCGGCGATGGGATGGATATCTGTACATAGCTAGTCATGGAATATATCAATCACACAACACCGTATTTGATCCAGGTACAGATAGAGATACTGTTCTTCAATACAGATGATAATCCAATCACGATTCTATTAATAACCAAAAAGGATGTGTATCTATGTAGGGACGGCTAATACTGCCGGAGTTGTTCCCAACCCTGTTGGTTTTGTCTTCATTATAATTCATACAGCTGCTTGGAAACCACCATGACAGCGTCGCAGTCATCTCCAGGGCGCAGATTGGGATGCTTTAATTTTTCTTTTGTTTCTTTCATTCTCGTTCGTCTCCATTGATGGGTGCTTTTTGGTATGGCAAAGGGGTCACAAATATTTACTGGGATTCGCTAACAACCTTGCAGAAGGCCTCGGCAACACGTTCAACGTTGGAGGTGTTAAGACCGGCCATGCTGATACGGCCGTTGGTGGTCATGTAAATGTGGTACTCGTCACGGAGCTTCTTGACCTGATCAGGGTTAAGACCAGTGAAGCTGAACATGCCAATCTGATCTGTGATGTGGTTCCAGGTTCCAGGGGTGTTGAGGGCCTCAAGCTTGGAGCGCAGAGCAGCGCGCATATCCTTGATACGGTTGGACATGGTGAGGAGGTTCTCCTCCCACTCGGCAAAGAGCTTCTCATCGTTCAGGACAGTAGAAACAATGCGGCCGGCGTACAGAGGAGGGTTGGAGATCTCAACACGCTGAAGAAGGGCGAGCTGAGAGCTAATTCTGGTGATGGTAGCCTCAGCCTGGGGGCTGGGACCAGTGACAAGGTGGAAGCAGCCGGCACGCTCACCGTAGAGACCAAAGTTCTTGGCGAAACTCTGAGCAACGACAAGCTCAAAGCCCTGTTCGATGAAGTAGCGAACAGAGGCAGCGTCACGGGCAAGGCTGCCACTGGCGAAGCCCTGGTAGGCGCAGTCGAAGAAGGGGAAGTGGTTCTTGCTGCGGATGATGGTGGCAAGCTCCTTCCACTGGTCGAGCGTAGGATCGACACCAGTAGGGTTGTGGGCGCAAGGGTGAAGAAGAATGATGGAGCCCTCGGGAGCCTCCTGGATACCGCGCTTCATGCCCTCAAAGTCGAGGCCGCGGGTCTGCTTGTCGAAGTAAGGGTAGTCGACGCATTGGAAACCGACATTCTCGAAGATGGGCTTGTGGTTAGCCCATGTAGGGTTGGAGACGTAAACCTTGGCACCAGCCTTGTAGAATCTGGCAAGGAAGAGAGCGCCGAAGTGGACGGCACCGGTACCGGAGATGGACTGGACAGAGGTCACACGCTTCTCCTTGATGGCGGGGGAGTCGGCGCCGAGCATGAGCTCAGCAGCCTTGGAGGTGAAATCGGGAGTACCAGCGATAGGGCCATATTCGTGGTTGAGGGCAGCATTGTTGCGGAGAATTTCATCGGCCTAGAGTGGTAAGAGAAGCCAAGAGGTCAGCATGCGTAAGGTGTGAGTGTTAATACCGGGGCGAAGTAAGCCAGAGCTAATGGTGCAGAAATAAGCTTGTAAAGAGGATAATGGTCCCCGCATGTACTCTCGATGCAGGGATTTGGGCAAAAAGCTCAAAAAAGACAGGAGGTGAAGTCATGATTGATGTATGAGGGAAATTGACGATGTTTTCGCAATGCGCAAATACTGCCCGCAGCTGCGCAAGTTGCGGCTGCATCGCCGTTGGGCGAGCGTCGTACGACGGAGCATGGTAGCGCATGGCGGGGTACGAGCTCGGATGAGGGACGCAGAAAAATGCGCCACGGCTGCTGTCAAAGGGCGCGGCTCGCCGATGTGTGTAAAACGTGGTAGAAAAACATGAAATAAAAAGTATGCATACCTTTTTTACGACGGGGAGAACCCAGGGCTTAGCATCGTTATCGCGGTAGGCACCGACACCCTATGAGAGACGGCATGGTTAGCTATAGAATGTTGGAGATGGAGAGGCGCGGGGGAACTCACAAGATCGACTTTCAGGGCGTCAGTATCGGCTCTGAAGGCGCGAGTAAGACCGAACATGCCATCCTCAGGAGCCTGAGGGACGACGCTTTCGGGGAAATTGGTAGTAGACATGGCGGGAGAGATGTGGTTTGCGATGTTGTTGAGGCGGGCGAGGGAGGATGAAGAAGAGGAAGAAGTGGAAGGGGCCATGATGGGCTGTAAATCTTTTTTGACTCGTCCAGGCGGCTTCGGGGGGTGATGACACAAGGCGCGCGGTTGGCTGGGCTGCTCAGCAGGCAAAGGTGGGCGGGCTACTACAGCGTGGTAGTGGGCTGTTGTAGCGCCTGTAGTGGGGAGTTTGCAGCGGGGGTCGGTTGCTGGAGCTGGAGCTGCTGCCAAAGTTGGACGAATAAGCCTACAGATAATTGGTCAGTCTCAGGTTTTTTTTTTCTCAAATCACATTGTACCTGGCGCAGCTGATGCAGGTGACGTTGGCAAGGAAGCGAACAAGGGAAGAAAAAAGACGCATATAAAACAGATTGCCAGTGGTGAAGCTGACAAAAAGTTCCAAAAAACCAGGGAAGGAAAGAACGGATTGAACAAAAGGACACCCCGTTCACACACACAGCCACCAGCTGTTTGACACCTGCGCCAGCTGCCAATCGGTACTCTGCCAGTGCGCGCAAACCAGCTGGAGCAGCTGCGCGGTCCTCTCGTCTCCGGTGGCGCCCGACCCGGTTGGCGCCGAGCAGGACCGGCTTGCGGCGGACACCCGCCCACTTTGGGCAGGTACGGCTTGTTCGACCGTTGCTAGCCCTTGTGGTTTGGCAGCAGTAGCCGGGCCCTAATTGCGATCCCAAAGGCGTGTTTGATATAAAGGATGTTGCGCCGGGGTCCGCGGCTGGAAGACCAGATTGAACAGTGTGAGGCCGCGGTATCCGACCTGGGGAACGGCTTCGCAAAAGGACGGAAGCGGACCCGACGACTTTGTGTAGGAGAGTGCTTTTGGTGCTAATGCAAGGGCGCTGCGCTGCGTGTTACTTACAGTACAATGACGTTGTGCAGGAATCGGGACAGGCCGGGGGAGTCGAAGAGGCGGGTGTCGGCGTGAAGATTGTGCGACGGTGCTTGAATGCAAAAGACGAGGTTTAGCAGGAAGCAATGTAAAGGATAAAATACAAACGACGAAAATCGCTGGCGTTTACCAAAGGCGTTTGCGGCGGGTGGCCTCGTGGGTTTTATGGCGTGGGGTCTCCATTCCCGGCTCTGCCTTGCCTTTCACAGAGGCCGAGGCTGCTTCGGCTACGCCAGTATGGCGGGTGGGTGGTCACTGGCATGAGCTTGCGACACTTGTAGTAGCGCACGCAACTGTGCCTGCGTAATGCTTGCAAGTAAGGTAGCGAAGGGGAACATGAGAAAAATTCCGACAAGTCATGTACCAATTGTAGAGCGGAGATTTACAATTGCAAATAGTTTCTCCCTCATACTACAAAGACCTTAGCCACCTCTACAACCGCCGTTCCAGTTCCCATGCTCAGCCAAGTGAATGTATATGCCGGATAACAAAGCATGAAGACGGTAAATATTTATGTATCATTTCTCTCTTCTTTTTTCGTTGAAGCCATCTACACAATGATCACCATCCCGCGCAGCAAAGGATCCTACCCCCCGCCTGGGGGTGCCGGCGCCACATGCACTACGGCCCGTCTCCAACATTCACATGCCCGCTTGGACTACCTACACGTGCAGCGACTAGTGACGGACGGAGTTCTTTACATCTTCAAAACAACAGGCATCTCATGTACAAGCATAATAATATTTCAAAATGGGGTTCTATAGTACGCATTATATGATCAGATCCCAAATAATCAAGAAAGCACAAAGTCCACTCGCGGCGAAAAAAGTGTATCTCGCTGCGCTGGGTCTCTGGGTAGCCTTTTTGAGCTCCTTGTTACCGCCGCCAACGTTATCCGTAGTAGACAAGGAGTCTGTAACAAGTTGCTCGATATGTGCGGATTGTATCTCGAGGTTGCTCACGAGCATCGTTTGTAATTCGGCAATTTCGACCAACGATTTTTCGGCAGTTCTATGTCCATGTTAGTCTCGTTTTCTTCACCATCATCATCCTGTATCGTCGTAAAATACATACCTGACCTTGTCGAGGGTTCCTTCGTAATATTTCATCATGTCTTGGTTTCCTTCTTCAAACATTTGCATTTGTTCGTCCGTCAAGTCTTGTCGCGGTAGGGAAGGGGTAGCGTCGTCCGAGTGCCCGCTTGTCGCCTGGGGTGCCGATGGTGCAACGAATTGCTCAAAGTCGGCCGCAGAGGGCATCATGAATCCCTTCGTCTTCTCCAGCTCACGCTTTAGTCGTGTTTCCATCATGTCTTGTTGCGTACGGCAGCACGACTCCAGTCGCTGACGTAAAAACCAGAGCACGCCGTCTCGATGTATTTCGGTCTGTTGTGCCATAGCCTCAGCCTCTTCTTGCTCTGGAGACTTTCCAGTGGCGATGCCTCCCGAAGCCCATGAGCCAAGCACGCCAAACGCGCTACCAAACTTCTTTTGTACAATAGCATATTCTGTCTCGCGTCGCAACGTTTCGGCCTCGTCCAGTGCGCGGATGCTCGCATTGAGCTCCCGGATCATCTGTTTCGCATTTGCATCGACATCTTCGCGGTCTCGGTCCGTCATTACTCGCGACTGTCCCGGGTTGTGTTTTGCTAGACCCTTTCGAGGTTGGGCTGTGGAGAGGTAGGCCTGTCGTACATCCTGGAGTTCTTTGTGAAGGGTTGTGATGTGGGAGTTCTAGAGCGTGTCAGCGTTGGGCTGGCGCCATGAATAAACACAAAGTATACTTACAATACGATAGGCTTCCTTGAGAAAGCCATCAATCTCATCAATGGAGAGCTTTGCCCTGCAGGGCTTCGCATTTCGTTGTTGCAGAAGTTCGTTGAACTTGGGCGTCAGGTCTAGTGACGGCGCAAGGCCGGGCGCCATGTTGACTTGTGTGGCTTGAGTCAAAATAACCAAATACTCGGGTAGCCTGCTAGCGATTTATTGATGCGTCGTAACAATTAAAGTCAGACGAGGGGGAGTCAAGGCTTGAGGCTCGATGACGATGTTGGTGGGTAACGAACAGCTGTCCCTGAGCTAGGCTAAAAATCCCGATTAGTCACCGCTTTCTGGGCTTCTACGCCGTGTAAGTGGGCAGCAATCGCTCAAGATTGAAAAAGCAGCGGGATTTTTTTTTAGATTAATGAAAAGATTGTATTGTTAAAAAAAACTATCAAGTTATTGATATCGAACATTGATACTCCAAACTCCATGCAAATTGGCCAAAAGAAAGACTGCTGTGATGACACAGACGCTGGCCGACGGGGCATCAGAAATAACGCCGAAGAACAAATGCTGTGCGGCAAAGCGCCGAGAAAAAAAAATTAAATAATCGCAAAAAAGTCAAATCGTTTTATAGCTGAAATCAAAGTGGGTTGTGCAACAACAATGAAGAAGAAGGGTCGTGTAAGGTGTAGAGTGAGAGACATGGTATAGGTCGCATAAAGAAGGTGGTTGACGATAGATAACTGCATGATATACAGACGGAAAAGACTGAGTAATAATGGAAAGTCGACAATAAATGAATGTGGAGTTCGATAGTGATTGATTGAAAAACGAGCGGATATAGAAAGTTGCAGTGGAAACGAATGAATGGTTGCTGCGAGTTGAGAGCGAAGGACGGGCCGTATTAGGATGGCAAGGTATAAGCGAATGACTAGTTGTAGCAAGTTGATAGCGAAGGACAGATCGTTGGCAGAGTATAAAGGAATGACTGGTTGTAAACGAAAGTAGTATAATGAGGGTGAAGATTGCGACATGCGTAGTTTAAAGAGTGACTTTTTGTAGCAAGAATGAAACGACTAGCTGTGTTGAGAAGTGAAAACGAGGGTGGGTTGATGTCATAAGCAGGGTATCGTCAAAAAAGAAGGAGCGTCAAACGAATGGCCGAAGTCAGGTATTATGGCGGTTGTTAAGGAGCGAGTCTGAGAGATATTAGGCGAGTGTTATCGAAGAGCGAAGGTAAGTTGGAACGGAAGGTTTTGAAGAGAGAGGTGATGTCAAAGGAGCGAATCGACGTTGTTAAGAGAGTGAAGCGTTCCGAGGAGAAGTTTTTGAAAGATAGAAAGTTTAAAAGAGTGACAAGATCATTGTTGTTGGAGACATTCCGCAGGATACTGATGCATTTACTGGAAGCCAGCAGGGCAGGGAGCACAGCCTTCAGGGCGAGGAGCAGCGGGAGGAGGAGGAGCAGCATTCGCAGGAGGGACATCTGCAGGAGGAGCGTCGGCAGGAGGAGAGTCAGCCGGAGGAGCATCAGCCGGAGGAGCATCAGCCGGGGGGGCATCAGTAGCAGGAGCATCAGCAGGAGGAGCGGGAGGAGCATCAGCAGGAGGAGTGGCGGGAGCATTGGCGGGAGGGGGAGTCGCTGCACCGGCACCTCCGTAAGGGAAACCACATCCACGCTTGCCGGCAGCGTTGCCAACGGCGGGACCGGAGCAGACGGCAGTGTCACCGAGGCCGGCGCAGCAACCGGAGGCACAGTCGCTGTTGTCCTTGCAGCGACCAAAGATGAACTGGAGACCCTTTCCGTTGGCAAAATTCTTCTCACCAGCAGGGTCAACGCCAGTAGCCATGGTGATGGCGGCAACTGTGATCATGTTAGTGGTTGTCTTGGTGTAAGTGGCAAGAGAGCAGAGCGTGGTAGCGTACAAGCAAGGACAGCGGCGATAGTAGTGCGGACCATGTTGATGATTGGAGAAACGAGTGAAGCTTTTTTGCTTGTTTGTAAGAGAAAGTGGCGGTGTTTGGAAAGGAGAGTAGTGTAGAGAGAGTGTGTTGTAGTATTTGTTGTGAGTGATGATGAAAAGGAGGATGGTAACAGAGGGGATATCGTGAACTGTTTATATAACTCCTCTGGTGCCTCCACAAACTCTCGACTCTAACTCTCTTTCCACCTATCCTTCTCCTAATCGTTATAATCGTCTCACATCTTGCCTCAATCCCCTGGTGATGCAGCTAATGATACAGTTGGCTGCTACATGGAGAGCTGGGATTGCTGGCGGAGACGAGACGAATTAAACGCGAAAGAAACCGCCAGCGCGGCTACCTAGGAGTTCCCTGTGCCTGAAAACAGGTCCCTGTGTTTTGTTCCCATTGTTTTCGGCCTGCACGAGGCTATCTTTGCCATGTCTGTTGGCTGCACGAGATATGCAACTTGTTCTGTGCCGTGACAAAACATGCGACGTCAGAGGCTGGTCTCAGCGGTACGGATGCGCTGTAAACGGTCTAGCGCTGCAGCCACCATCCCCCAAGAGGGTGCCCTGCAACCTGCAGCAACACCGGCCTCGCTAGGTCTACAGAGGGGAAATAGCGCTAAAACTGGCTACGCGACTGCTAGTTACTGGCAATTCCCAGTAAAAGCCGGGCCTGGCTGGCCTTTGCTCCGAACCCCCGACGTCGGCCGAACCACAGCGAGCCTGCAACCTCTCAGAAATCAAACTTGCGCCTTTGCGGTGGAGGGTAGTAGTAGCCTGCTTATTTACTCTCCGTCTTCGCTTTTGACATTTGATTTTGGCTTCTTCCCAAACCGTTCCATTTCCCCCCGTTGGCGAATGTGCGGCAAACACAAGTTGGAGACACAATTCCTGTCCCCGCCTCTACTGCTTCGCTTTCATCATCCCTAATCCTTGTCTCTATACAAGGCTTCATTGTTTTTTTTTTTACTCGTTTCATCGCTATGGCTTCCAGTGGGACTGCCTCCGGCCCAGTCTCCGGCGACAGCGCCGGTGTCATGCCCGTTGCCAATGAGCCGCCTTCTGACGCAGTAGCACACGATCAAGTGTCGCTGGTGCTGGACCATGCTGAGACGGTCAAATTAAATGATCCTGTGCAAGACCAGGCAATATTTGTCAATGATACGGAATTGAATCGTGTTGCATCGGCGCCGTATAGTGTCTTCTCAGTCACTACGCGCCGCTGGGTCGTCTTCATGATTACCATTGGCAGCATCATCTCACCCATGACGGCAAACATCTATTTTCCCGCCATTGTTTCCATCTCCAAGGATCTCAATGTCTCTCTTAGTCTCATCAATTTGTCCCTTACAACGTATATGATTTTTCAAGGACTCTCACCTCCCATCTTTGGCGATTTCGGTGACATGGCTGGGCGCCGGCCTGCGTACATCGTCTCGCTTACCATGTACACCATTATCAACATTGCCCTGGCTTTGCAGCGAAACTATGCAGCTCTTCTTGTCTTGCGCTGTTTGCAATCTGCAGGTAGCAGCGGCACCCTTGCTCTGGGATACGCTGTTGTGGCAGATTTGGTACCACGGTCTGACCGGGGCCGCTACATGGGCATTATCGGCGCCGGCATCAACGCCGGTCCAACGCTGGGCCCGTTCCTGGGTGGCTTGCTCTCGCAATTCCTCGGTTGGCCAGCGCTCTTTTGGTTTCTGGCCATTTTTGCCTTTGCCTGGCTTGTGCCCTGGATCCTATTTGTCCCCGAAACATGCCGCAACGTTGTCGGAAACGGCTCCGCTGCTCCGCAGAGCTGGAACTACCCCGTGATTCAGTATCTCGTCAAACGGCGTCAAAGCACCGAGGCGGAATCGGGCACGACGCGCAAACTGCGGATACCAAATCCTCTCAAGACATTGGCATTGTCATTTGAGAAGGAAATGGGACAGATTTTAATTATTGCTACCGCTATCTACTTGGACTTTATTTTGGTTGCCGCTACCCTCTCACCATTGTTCAAGAAGATATATGGCTTCAGTGATCTTCAAATCGGCCTCTGCTACTTGCCATATGGCGTTGGATGCTGCATAACCAGCATCTTGCAAGGGTATGTGCTCGACTGGAACTATCGCCGCATTGCGAAGAAGGTCGGCTTCGGTATGGTACAAAAGTCAAAGGAAGAAATGTTAAAATTCCCCATTGAATCGGCGAGGATGCAACCACTTTACCCTACATTGGCCGTCGGATCCGCAGCTGTTATTGCATACGGTTGGGCGCTGCACATGCAGACTACAGTTGCTGTACCTCTGGCTATGCTGTTCATTATTGGCATGACAGTGCCAAGCTCGTTCAATGCACTGACTACACTCATCGTGGACATCTTCCCAGAGGCACCTGCGACTGCTGCCGCTGCGAACAATTTGGTTCGATGCCTCTTTGGTGCCGCTGCCACTTCGATCATTGACTTTATGCTCCAGGGTATGGGCATTGGTGGCTGTTTCACCTTTCTAGCAAGCTTAATGATTACCAGTATCCCGTGGCTGTGGGTGATTCAAAGTCGAGGCCCGCGGTGGAGGGCAGAGAAGGAGAAAGCGATTGAGCTTAAAGAGCTCAACAAGTCGCAGGCCGCCAACCAAGCAAAGTAGACGCTACATGAACGTATGACCAATAATGATAATCCACATTTATTAACCAGGACCTATTTGAAAATACTTTTACAATGCAGGTATCGCAAACTCCACCGGTTCTCTCTGTGCTTCCCACATAAGCCAGTCTGACCGCGTCGTCCTATCAAGTTTCATATTAGCATCATAAACATCACATAGATGGTGCACGAATACTTACGGTAGTAATCCCATGCCGTTAATTTTCCAAATACCCACGCCAAGTGCCAAAAGCTGCATAACAATGTAGATAAGCTTTGTTTGAAGGATCTTGCCAGAATTCGTCTCTGTCTGGAAGCGCTCAAACGCCTGGTTTGTAGCCATCAAGCCAACAATGGGGTTCTTGAAAGCCATAAACACCATCATGATGCTGAAAATCTGTAGCGAGTTGCCTGACATGTACATCATGATGAAGGTCATGGGCAGACCCTTGACGGGGCCGAGAGCGACTTCCCACGCCTTCTTGACCTTTAGCGTATCCATCTCGTCTTGTGTCGGCTGCTTTCGCGGTTGTGTCTTGGAGTCTTTCTGCTTCTATACCGCAACGATTAGCCAAGTCCAATTGTGAAGCACAGCCCGATAGCACGTACCTTGTTACCAGAAGGGCCACCGAAGCCGACGGGGTCGACGATGCCGGGAATCTTGGACTTGGCCGCAGGTGGCGCCTCAAGCTGAGAAACCCAGCTGGGCATTTTAGACTCGGAGACTGCCATTTTATATGTGTCCTAGGCGATGGCGGATGCGCTGTCGTGATGATGATTGGCTTTGGCGGCGCAGAAGAGCTGTTGTGGCCCTCGTGTAGCCTTGGGGGATGGCGGCAACGTTGGAGGCCCGCTTAAACGCAAGTGCTGTTGAGTTGCGTTATCGATAGCGGCCGCCTCGGGTGCTCCAGGTTGTGGCCAACCCCTTTCCGCTGGTTACTACAAAAGTCGTCAACACCATTTCTCGATCTTACCAACGCCCCAAAGACCAGTGCCGACGCCGAATTTGTCAATCCATCTCTTCCGAGACGCTCAAACTTGCTACAGTCGCAAGCGCGGGCACGCTGGACCAGCACCGCAGACACCGCCTCTGCTGAAGATTCCCCCGCTACCAAAAACTACATCCACCTAACGAGACACAAAGCCCCCCAGTTGGGCCATAGTCGGAATACAAGGCATCCGAAGCCTACCAACAGTCCTAGGCTCTGAAACCACGGCCGCCCGGCTTCCTTAGCCGCCTGCGTTTTTTAGGTGCACTAAACAAACACAATCGTTCAGCTTAGCTTCCCGTCGCGTGACAGAGCGCCTGCGTGGCTTGATAATCGCATACCCCGCGGGGTTAAATAAAAGACAACCACCATGTCGTCTGCTGCGGCCGCCACTGGCGACTCCAAGCTCTTCGCCCGAGTAAGCATTTATTCTGCCCTTTTATCCGTACCATCATCGGCCTGCGGTAGCTGCATTGCAAAGCCAGTATTTCGCTGCTCGAATGCAGTCTACATCGCACCGCGCTCATGTGAAATGAGCCAGCTTGCCAACCATGGCTCTCTTCATGACATACAATCCTCCGTTCACGCTCGATAAACTAAGACAGACTCGACAGGGAAAAGTAGCGGAACTCCGACTCGAGCTGAACAGCGGAGGAAAAAAAGATAAGAATTATGGCGCCAAGAAAATCGCCCTCAAGAGGATTGTCGCCAACATGACCATGAGCAACAACGATATGGTGGCCCTTTTCCCAGATATCATTGGCTGCATGACCATTTCCAGTCTGGAGATTAAGAAGATGTAGGTGTAGAACGCCAGTTGACGATTCTTCCGACGACTCTAACATGGCAATAGGTGCTTCCTTTACCTAGTAAACTATGCGCGAGTGCGTCCAGAGGTTGGTGTAAAAGCAATCCCGATTCTCGAACAGGTACATATCGAAAACAATATCGCAGCTAGGTTAGTACTAACAAATCATATAGGATATGCTAGATAGCAACCCTCTTGTCCGAGCGCTGGCCCTTCGAACCATGTCATACATTCACGTACGAGAATATGTGGCAGCAACGGTGCCGGTCGTCAAACGCATGCTCCGCGATGCCGATCCATATGTCCGAAAGACAGCAGCCTTCTGTGTCGCCAAGCTTTACGATCATGATCGAAAAATGGTGGAAGCATCCGATTTAATTGATAGATTGAACGCCCTGCTACGAGATGATAACCCTACGGTCGTTGCGAGCGCCTTGGCCAGTCTTATGGATATATGGGAGCGCAGTGACGCTATCAAATTAACCATCGATTACAGCAATGCTTCCAAGATGGTTGCTATTCTACCGGATTGCTCCGAGTAAGTTGACTGGCATATATGGAGGAGCCTTGGTACTAACAGAGGCTAGATGGGGACAAACCTACATCCTGGAAGCGCTCATGTCTTATGTTCCGCAGGATTCTGGAGAGGCGGCTTTACTTGCCGAACGCATATCACCACGACTATCACACTCCAACTCAGCGGTTGTCCTAACATGTACACGAGTCATCCTCTACTTGATGAACTACATTGCCGATCAAAAGCAAATCTCAACGCTGTGCAAGAAGCTTTCGCCACCTCTTGTAACGCTGTTATCAAAGGGTGCAGAAGTCCAGTATCTGGCCCTCAGAAACGCTCTTCTTATTCTTCAACGTCGACCCGAGGTTCTTCGAAACGATATTCGCGTATTCTTTTGCAAGTACAACGACCCCATTTACGTCAAAGTCACCAAGCTCGAGCTCATCTTTATGCTTGCCAATGAAGAAAACATTGGCGAGGTTCTTACGGAGCTGAGAGAGTATGCCACTGAAATTGATGTTCACTTTGTGAGAAAGGCTGTGCGAGCGATCGGAAAGCTGGCCATTAAGATTGAGCCTGCCGCCACACGCTGCATCAACCTCCTTTTGGAGTTGGTAGCGACCAAGGTTACCTACATTGTCCAGGAGGCTACGGTTGTCATTCGGAACATTTTCCGCCGATACCCCAACCAGTATGAATCTATTATTGGGACCTTGTGTGAGCATCTCGATTCTCTGGATGAACCAGAAGCCAAGGCTGCCATGGTTTGGGTGATTGGAGAGTATGCCGACCGAATCGAAAATAGCGACGCTTTGCTGGAAGACTTCCTCTATGGGTTCAATGAGGAACCAGTCGAGGTTCAATTAGCACTTCTCACAGCCACGGTTAAGCTGTTCATCCAGCGACCAACCAAGGGACAAGAGCTCGTGCCCAAAGTCTTGAAATGGGCTACTGAAGAGACGGATAACCCAGATTTGCGAGATCGCGCCTACATGTACTGGCGGTTGTTATCCACCGACATTGAAGCAGCAAAGCAAATTGTCATGGGTGAGAAGCCGCCAATCACATCAGAAACGGAAAATCTTGAGCCAGCAACACTGGAGGAGATGTGTCTCGTCGTGGGCACCCTCGCTACTATTTATCTTAAGCCGGTCCAGAGCGTGTTCCGATCGGCGCGACCAAGAAAGCTTCCGGCGTCGCCAGCATTGCAAAAGCAAAGCGAGTTCGACATTGACGCGCAGAAGACGTTGAGCATGTTTGGTCACGCCGGCGATGCCACCAACATGGACCTTCGAACACGCAACGCATCTGCCGCCAATGGAAACGGCAATTTGGCACAGGCTGTGAGTGACGCCGACGCCTACTTTGCAAGTGCCGGATCACAGCAGTTGGCGGCGATGAAGATTAGCCAGGCGGACGATCTTTTCGGAGGCGGTGGGATGAATGGAACGGGTTACGTCGTGAGCGCACACGCTCCGCAGGCTGTGATGCAGCCAACAGAGGGATCCGGAAGCAATGGCGACTTGTTGATGCTGTAGTGTTTGTCGCCTAGAATAGTCACACCGAGGACCGAGATGCGAGCGCCTTAGGCGATGCAACTACAACTGTACATATGATAATTTCCCCAGACCTGTTATCCCCCCACAAACAAACAATAAGTGACCCTTGCTAGTTCGTTGTCTGAACGAAGCACCCCAAAAGGACATACTGTATCCACGGAGCATGCACGAAGGACAGCGCTAGGCTCACGCTAGAAAGAGGAGCTGAAAGCCTCAGCACTAGCCTGACTCCAGCACCGTTGAAGGGCCGGGTTAGGCGGGGATGACTGACAGCGAGCGCTAGGGGAGGGATGGCATCCAAGAAAAAAAAAGTTCCCGAACGCTCAGAAGTTGGGGTTCTTTGTCAAGCCTCGGCCCCATTGGGCAGTTGTGGCGTTCCCCGTGGCGAGCGCCTCTCCAGAGCAAGCATAAAAAGAGCATAAAAAGAAACTCGGGGGCGGCAGACGCCAAGCGGCGCTGTTGGAGGAGCTGGCGCTGCTCCCGTGGCATGGATATTTCTTGCATTCAGACGGTACCTTTTTGAGAGGACGCCATGCTAGCCAAGCTTTCCCAAGCACAAATGGCGTTACGGAAACAGGATGCCGCATACTCTCGGCGATGGTTCATGATTTTTCTCCCGGTAACAGATCAAAGAGAAGATGTTCTCTTGGCATGTCACCTTCCGCTGTTTGCCTGTCAAGATAGCGAGATGGGGGGATAAGAGTCCAGGCTTACCCGGGAACGGCGATAAAGCGCGACGAGTCGCTACCCCCGCGCGCAAGCGGGTACTCTCCGTAGAGTGAAAGGCGTGAATGGGGATTTTCAGCAATAGCAGTGGGCCTCATTGTGTTTGGGGGAGGGGGAGAAGCAACGGTGTCTATCCCATCTTTTTGCAAAGGGACCGGCCTAATTCCCGTTTACGGAAATGTATTTGTGGCGTTCACACCGGCCAATTTCCAATTGTCAGAGGATGGGTCGACATTAGCTACCAAAGTACCACCAGGTCAGTTTTCAATGGCATTATCTCTGCATGGTCCCGTGTGACACGGCTCGGGCCCTCTTGCTATCAGGCTCCCACCGTTTTTGAGGCTTCACGTGTGATGCAGCGCTAAAGCGTCTATTGGGAAGCGATTCCAAGTCTGGGATGAGGCTATGGCCAGTAGCGGAGGAGGAGTTGCAGTGCAGCGAGCGGATGTAACCCTCCTTAGCTGCAGCTGGGCCTGTCTCCCAAAGGGCATGAGGATAGGGCCTATTGCAAGGCAAAATACGGGGACGACAGAACGAGGCGGCCGCCGGGGGGCAAATGCGCTAGGGAAGGGAGGGTCCTACAGCTAATATCCGTATTGGCATTCGTAATACTCTCCGTTTGGCGCACCCATCAGCTTACGGCAAACAAATCAAGTCAAAACGCTGTTATACAGAAAATAAAGGGAACCGAAAAAAAGGGGCGCTATTGGCGTGGCTGCGCTGGTGTTGGTTGGTTCGTGGTGTTGGGCGGCGGATATCTGCCACTACCAATCATGCCCCGTCATAATCACTGTAGTGGCCACTGGTAGGCGAATCCCCCCCAGAACAGGCTCTCCAATTATGTGGACCACATCATTTGGAGAACGGAACGAACCTTTGTGTGCAGCACAGCGCACGTTGGTTGGTTCCTGCGCTGCAGAAGGCGAGGCTCGGGTGGGTGGGCCTGGGCCCTCTTTCTACGGAGGGTCGAACTGGGTTGGGAAATCAGTACGATAGCGTGCAGTGTCAGTGTGGTTCAGCGGCCGCCGCCCGCTAACGAACTACGCGTAGCGTCGGGCAGCCCGCTCTATTCTTGTTTGTGGTGGTGCACAGCGCCACCAACCAGAAGCAGCAGGGAGAGTAAAAAAAAAGTTCCCAGGGCGAAATGCAGCATTGTGGCGTGACTGGCAGATCCTGGTCACCACGCATCTCGGCCAGCCTCACACCAGTGTGGGAACGGTCGCGTGGGGATTGCCCATGGAGTATCTGGGGCTGACTCCAGCTGTCTCCAAAAAAAATTGTGCATAGCAGGAAGGAGCCACGGCCATGTCGCTTTTTTTCAAATGGGGAAGGTAAGGGACTTTTTGTCCCCAGACTCAAGCCTGACTCGCTGGCCAGTGGTCTAGACAGGGTCCCCCTCATAAGAAGAACCAACGCGCTCGTCCCACGTTTTTTTCCTTGGTGAGATTAGTTCCTTTTCTTTTTCCCCTCACGTTCCCTTCGACTCAGACTCTTGTTTCTTCAAACAAGAACTGTTGGTCGCTACCCGCTTGCAGAATCTCACCTGCAAGACATTGAAGGCGATCACTGCCCTTTCGCCCCCAAAAATCGCAGCCGTCCCCGGCTAGAAAATTGGAAACTATGGGTGCCGACGCCGCCATTTCCTCTGGCCACGAGGCTTACAACCCCGACGGTCAGGTCGTGGAGAAGCGAGGACCTGGCGTCGACGACTACGAGACCAAGTCTATCTCCAGCCAGGAAGATGAGGCCATCACGGATCTCTTCACCAGCTTCCCCCCCATCAAGGGCGCCGCTCCTGAGCTCAACCCTCTGACCTTTCGCGCTGTCTTCGTCGGCGTTGTTCTCGGTTCTCTAGTTAACGCTTCCAACGTTTACCTTGGTCTCAAGACTGGCTTCACCTTCAGCGCCACCCTTTTCGGCGCCATCTTTGGTTATGGTGTCATCACCCTTCTCTGCAAGGCTCTCCCCAACACTCCTGTTCTTGGTATGCCTTTTGGTCCTCAGGAAAACTCCATCATCCAGGCTGCTGCCAGTGGTGCTGGTGGTATTGCTGGTCCTTTTGTTGCCGGCTTCCCCGCCATGTACCGTCTCGGTGTCATGACCATTTCCGCAGACGGCCAGACAACACTTCCACAACAGCCCAAGAGCGACTACGGTCGCATTGTCAGCATTACAGTCATCTGCGCCCTCTTCGGTCTCTTCGCTGCCATCCCCCTCCGCAAGTTTTTCATCATCAACGTCGCCCGCGAGCTCAACCTTGTCTTCCCGACCCCTACAGCCACCGCCCTGAGCATCCGCTCCATGCACGCTGCTGGTACTGGTGCTGCTGAGGCTGCCAAGAAGATCAAGGCTCTCTGCGCTGCCTTTGCCGGCGCCATCACCATCATTGTTGCCGGATCCTACGCTGATGGTATTTTGCACAACTGGCACCCCTTCACCTGGTTCTACCTCTGGGGTGGACGCAAGAACAGGACCCTCATGGCTATTGAAAGCTGGGGCTGGTACATTCAGCTTACTCCCGCCTTCTTTGGATCGGGTCTTCTTGTCGGTATGAACGCTGCTCTCTCATGGTGGGGTGGTACTTTCGTGGCCTGGGCCATTATTGGTCCTGTCTTAGTTTACTACGGCGAATGCAAGGGTAATGGCGGCGACGACGAAGGCTGGGAAGGTCTTGTCGACTACAACTCGCTGAAAAATCTCGCAAAGCCGGGCTATGTAGCATCGCCTCGCTTCTGGATGCTCTGGCCTGGTGTCGTTGTTCTCATTGTTTACAGCTTGGTGGAGTTCGTCATGCATATCAACATTGTCTGGGACGGTCTTGTTTACGCTTTCCGCTCCATTTGCGCATCTATCCAGGCTCGAAGCAAGTCACCCAACTCCGACTCCTTCATTGCCAGACAGGCCGCCAAGATCAACAACGACAGCAGTCTTGTTGAAGATTTCGCTACCAAGGACCAGCAGGTTCCCGGCTGGTTGTGGTCGATTGGTGCTCTCGTCATGGTCGTCGTTGCTATGCTTGTGTGCCACTTTGAGTTCGGCATGAACCCTGGCCTGGCAGTCCTTGCTTGTGTTTTGGCCATCATCTTTGCCTTCCTGTCTATCCACGGTGGTGCTGTCACTGATAACACACCTCTTACCGCCTCCTCCAAGGCCTCCCAGCTTGTCTTTGGTGGTGTTACCAAGAACTCTGGCCATACCATCCTAGAAGCCCAACAGATTAACCTCATTGCTGGCAATCTTGCTTCAGGATGCGCCAACGTTGCCACGGATCTAGTCAGCGATTTCCGTGTTGGATTCCTGCTCAAGACCCCTCCTAAGCTACAGTTTTATGCCCAAGCTGTTGGTACCATTGTTGCCATCTTTTTGGCCCCGGCTATCTTTGTGCTGTTCATGGCTGCTTACCCTTGCGTCTGGGACCAGGCCGTCATTGAAGAGTTCTCAAACACTCACCAGAAGTGTGCTTTCGCAGCACCTTCCGTTGCTGCTTGGGCGGCTGTTGCTCAGGCTGTTACCCTCCCTAGTATTCCTATTCCCCACAGCTGTGTCATCTTCACCATCGTCATGGGTGTTGCTTGCGCTCTTCAAGCAGTGGTCAAGAACCTTTGGCTCACTGGACCTCGTGAGAAGTACCGCAACTACTTGCCCAACTGGATGAGTATTGGTGTCGCCTGGGTTATTGGCACTGACAGTGGCTACGCCAACGCTGTCATGGCTGGTGCTGTTGTTGCCCACTTCTGGAGGAGATGGAACAATGCCCATTTTGACCTTTACGGCTATGCTGTAGCTGCTGGTCTGCTTGCTGGTGAGGGTCTTGGTGGCGTCATCAACGCTGCATTGACACTGGGAGGCGTTTCTGGCGATAAGAAGGGAACCAAGATTGCTCTTCCCGGTGAAACGTGGTAGACCTGTATTTACATAAAAATGTTATTAGTAGAACAAATACCAACTTGATTTCATGCGCCTGCCATGGCCTCATCTAAGCTCGTGCCAAGGATCAGCAGGAACCGTTTTATGATGTAACGGACGTAATAGAGCTGTAACTGAATCCCGATGCGCTACACAAGGAAGATGAGGAAGATGGTTAAAGGCATCAGCGTCATCGTTTGCCATTATCTAGCAGATGCTGTTGGGAGCCGCTTGTCTCTAACTTTTGAGGCTGGCGTGGCATGGCGCCGCGCCGCGCCGCAGCTTGTGCTCTGCAGTGGAGTCGTGTTGTGTTGTATAACCCCGCAGTAGAATCAATGACCTAGCAAAAACAATTCCGAGGTTGAAAAAGACACTGTTTAGATTTGAAATGGGCGCACAAATAAGGCGAACCACTACGTTGACCAAGCAGCGCGCGTCACGAAAGGAGCTTCAGCGGCTTCTACAGTAGGGGTGTCACTACGGGGCCAGGTCGTCGCAACGCTATGCGTGGAAGAAGGAGGGGCGGATTACAGTGGATTAGCTCCCTGAACGCTGCCCAATGAGCGCCTGCAGCCTCGGACCATAGGCCTCCACCACCACTATGGTGCGCTGTAAATGGGGGGAGGCGACAGCCCCAGCTCGTGTGTGGTGGACAGCGGAAGGAGAAACGGCTCATCCGCTTTTCCCCAGCCTTGGTCGCTCGCCAGTTTCCACATCTGCACATGTCGCTTCTCCTCTTGTTCGTCATTTCCATTCTACGCACGCCAACCCCAGCGATTCTATCTATTTGCCGTCGTCTGTCATCGCCAGAAGACAGCCAATATTCTTACGGCACCGTCCTTTAACTTTTAAGCATCGACATTACCCCTCGTCTGCCTCGCCGTCGTCCCCCGGGCTGCGCCCCTTTGGTCGCTCGCTGTCGTTTCGCCACTATTCAAACCCCAACCCTTTGCTGCGGGTTATCATCGTCAACGCTTGATCTATCTCGGCAAGATAAATACCGACTGGAACTCACTGGATTCATACGCTAGTTTCTCAGCCATCGGTTATATTTCTTAGCCTCGACCTCGTCTTCGAATAATTGCCGTCTACAACTACCCGACACCACCGACCAACTTTCGCCATTGTTTCTTCCCTAGATTGCAATATTGTCTTAATTCAAACGTATATAACATGTCTACTTCGAAAGATACGACGGCCGCGGAGACCTCAACCCAACCTGTTGATGCTCCGGCCACTGCCGATATTGCTGCCGGTTCTGAGCCGACGATGCCGTCTGCGTCAAACGATGAGACGACAGCGCTGAATAACAAGGCTACTTCACAACAAACCGAGGACGCAGAATCTGTGCCAAATGCTGATCTGAAGGGCAAGCAAAAGGAGGAGACACCTGCACCACAATCAACAGAGAAAGACGACGATGGTGCGATCGCCATTGGTCCGGCTCAAGATGAAATCAAAGCGCCTGCAGCCGAGCCCAACAGTCCGCCTGTCTGTAATATTACTCTTCTCCTGACTACTGGAAGCCGTCACCCATACAAACTCGATGCGAAATACCTGACCCGACGAAATGTGGTTGTACCCGAGACAACCGCGGCCGGCCATCCCGATCCATTTAGCATCAGCATTTATACATTGAAGGAGCTCATCCTCCGCGAGTGGCGCAATGACTGGGAAGCAAAGCCTGCCAGTCCGAGCAGCATTAGACTGATCCATTTCGGTAAACTTTTGGATGACAAGGAACCGCTAAAGAGTATGCCGTACCATCATAACTCCTCATAACACCCCGCTGACCAACTATTTAGAATATCAATTCAGTACAGAGACGCCCAACGTTGTACACATGAGCATACGCCCGCAAGATCTGGATGAGGAAGAGCCCAAAACTGGAAGCAAGACGCTTCCAGGTGGCCTTGCTGATGACAGCCACACACCGAGCCGCGGCCTTTGCTGCGTCATTTTGTAAACAACAATGACAAGACGCGGATGCGTCCGTCCTTCACACTACTGGAATCCCCAACTTTAGCGGCTGCCTCGTGCTTAGTGCGGCGTAGGCAGTCGCTGAGCACATACACACAGCAATCTAGTCACAATGTGCATCCCATGGTGCCGGGACTAGGTCTGCTGATCCATACTTGATTTGCCTTTTTTTTTTTGATACAGCGACTATTATCTACGTTGGAATTAGCGCGGGGTTAGACGCCCCGATACCTACTCTCATTTATATATGACATGGGGACTTTTGTTTGCATCAGAAAACCTTGGAAATACTTCTTAGGTCAGCGCCTGTGCCGCGACAGACGGCGCAGCATATACGATGCGAATTCTCCGAGCCTGTTTATGGCGTCCTGTTTGCGGATTTTGTTTCTCTTTTGAATTGGGACACACGTGTATCTTCTACCTATTTCCTCAAACCAACCAGCTTGGGGCGGGCAGGCTTGCTGGACTCCAAGGTGTGTATATATCACCATGATAGACCTTTTTTTCACATCCAAGCCAGAGTTTTATAAATACAAGAGCGTTTGTTGTACGATTGTTATTTTTTAATTGCTTTTCATTTTATGTTATCCGTAGAAAGGACAGCTGTTGTACACGATTTATGTCCATATGCTAAACCCTAGCCCAACCATCTACGGCTGGATCTTGAGCTTCTTCTCCATCTCGTCGTGGAATCCAGCAATGGGTTTTGTGTCGTCGCCAGTGTAGATGTCCTCCCATGTGATAATGTCCTCGCGTCCTCTCAAGATCTCCTCGTGCACGCTGGGCAGCCCGTTGCCGAGCGCCAGAGGGCGCCACTCGCTATCGCGCACCATCTTGAGCTCCATGCCGCGGCGGATAGGCTCGGCCATGCCAAATGTGCGGCGGAGCGTCTCCATGCGGACAGCCTCCTGTGTAGCCTCCCAGTTCTTCAGGCGCGCCTCGAGGGGGTGTGCGGACACGGGCTTCGACGACTTGGCTTCGAGAGGGGTCTGGCCGAGGCCGTGGCGGAGCGTGTCGTGGACGCCGGGGGCAGACGGGGCCGATGTCGTCTGTTCGGCATTGTGCGAGAAGGAGGAGGAGGTGTTGGCCTCGGGGATGATGCGCATTGACTGTGGTTTTGCTACGTTAGCTGGGCGAGGAAGATGGGCGATGGAAGCTTCGAACACGAACCATGATGGCGGGCGGCGCTCAAGGGCAGCGGGTTGTAGAGTCGAGGGTTGTGGCGATGAGAAGGAGTTTGTGTGCTGGCTTGTGATTCGGATGCTGCACAGCGGCGATTGGAGATGCGCGATTGATAGGTCGGGGTTGTGATGGTTGATGGCGGCGTCGGAGGTGGTGATGAAGCTCAGGTTGCCTGTAGGCTGCGAGAGAGACTCGCGTCGAGCTGCTATTGGCTGAGCGTGGTTGGTGTGGGGCGGGTCTGGCGGTGCAGCAGTGGGTGATGTCCAAACAGATTCGTTGTTGCTTCTGTGTGGGACATTTAGCATGCTTATTAATTTATTTTGTATTTTTGAGTTAAATAATGGATTTATTTGGGAAGCAAAAAGACTGTAAACACGCCCAAAATAGGTTGAACCGAAGCATCCTCAAGTTGTTTTACGTTTGGGGTTGACGGCCTCGTTCAGGAAACCACGTAGCTCACATGTACCGCTACTGGCGATCGATCCCTTAAAAGGTATGGATATGTACAGGGTTGTACATTTGTCTTTTGAGAGGCTCTGAGTTGCGTTACAAGAGCCCATATATATATATAACCCGGCTGTCCTGGCATTCGGCTGCATATAGCCCACTCGGCAAAGAGCAAACACATCCCCCGCACTACACTCTCGTCTTCTATTTCAAAATGTCAGAAGGATTAGCTGACTTCCAGGTTCCTGGAATTACTGATACATGCCATACATGGTACAAAGTGGTTGGCGATCTCAAGTCTGGCACTACTCCGCTTGTTATTTTACATGGCGGCCCAGGTGCTTGCCACGACTATCTGCTGCCGTTGACAAACCTGAAAGTTACCTTGGTCTTTTACGACCAGATTGGAAATGGCAAGTCTACACATCTCCCCGAAAAGAATGGCGATGAAACTTTCTGGACTGTGCAGCTTTTCATGGACGAGCTAGACAACCTGCTACGCCACCTCGGTCTGGACTCTCGCCCTATTGATATCTTGGGACACTCCTGGGGTGGTATGCTTGGATCACAATGGGCTGCCTCGAATTCTAGCGGCAATCTCCGTAAATTGATCCTATCCAACACTCTGGCTAGTATGGCGACTTGGATTGAGGGCCTTACGACGCTCAAGAACCAGCTTCCCGAGAAGGAGATAGCGGCGATTGATGAGGCTGAAAGAACCAAAAACTTCACTACGCCTGAGTATGAAGCTGCTATTGATATATTCTACCAGCGTCACTTTTCTCTTGCTAGGCCCTGGCCTCCACCTGAGGTGGAAGCAGCTATCTACTGGCTCACAAAGGACTCTACCACGTATGGAACTATGTAAGTGCACTGTATTTCAAGTTTGATTTGTCAAGTTGCGTATGACTGACCATCATTTAGGTACGGGCCCAGCGAATTGACAACTACTGGGTCGCTTCGTGATTGGACCGTGATCCCAGACCTACACAAGATCAAGGTCCCAACGCTGCTCATTAACGGCGCTCAAGACGAAGCCCAGGATGTAGCGATGCGGCCATTTTTTGACAGGATTCCAAATGTCAAGTGGATTACATTTGATAATGCTGCACATCTTGCTTATGTTGATCAGAAGGACAAGTATATGATGCAAGTACAGAGATTTCTCGATAACTAGAACGCTATCAATATTACTACGTTCATACCTTGTCGAACCATATCAACTCATCGTCTAATGCTGGTTCTAACGCAATGCCAATGGAAACGACTGCGCTGGCATCATTCAATTTGAACTGAACCTGTTCAAACGAAATGGGTGCACCGCCGAACTGGTCGCACATGTGTAGATGACCCCCAAACATGGTTTGCCCCGAAACGTGAAAGATTGCCAGCTTGAATCCCAACGAACGATCAGATCCATCTATAAAGAGGCCGCCATCTTTAATTTCAACAGTAACAGTATGATACCCCTTGTTTGCGTAATTTCCCACATAGACATCGAGTGGGAGCGTATTTGGCTCGCGAGTTGTAAGCTCAGGGTACAGCGATTTGCCAATGGCGTCAAAATCGGGCGCCTCGTAGTCCGCGTCAGTGCCTTCTCTTTTATGAACCGCTTCATCCCAGTCAACAAACTCTTTTTCTGAAACTTCAAGTAGACTGTCAATTAGTTCAAAGGCAATGGTATACCCAAGGTGTCGCCCAAAGGTGCCATTTGTGAATATGCACCCCCCAAACTTCTGATCTGGCATAAAGAAGTGATATGTCCCAATCCCATCAATCTCGCCAGCATGTGATACTAGCAGGCGGCCACGGTAATGGAACGAGTTCCAGCCACTACAGCATATCATGGTCGATGTGTAGGGCAGTGCGAACTCGTAGTTTGGATATTGTATCATTCTCTGCTTGATCATTGCTTTGGAGACGGCTTCCGTAACAGTCTCTTTGTGGTACATCGCTGCTCGAACCCATTTGATGTAGTCATTTACACATGTTACTACGCTTCCAGCGCCTTGGGCTTCGGGGGCTTCTGGCATGTCAATTTCGACGAGCTCGTTCAGATCCGGTCGCCAGACGTAGGCCTTGGCGAGGCGTTCACCAAGACCGTTGGCTATAGCTGCTGAAGGCTGTATGTTTGTGGAGTTCATTTGAAGCGGTTCAAAGAATTTCGTTTTTAGATACATTGGGAATGTAGTCTTTGTCATCTCTTCGATAAGATGGGTTGCAACTGTATACATGGTATTGTTGTACATGTATTTTGTCCGTAGCGGGTGGGAGACCTTGAGGTTCCGGAGGTTACGTGTTACTGACTTTGGCGTATCTGGAATTTTAGCGCGTGGACCTAGATATGACACATCGTGGCTAACATGAACGGATTAGCTAGGTCTCTAGGAAGAGCAGGACGAGAACTTACGGAGGGACTCCCGTTCGATGGGATAGAATATCCTCAACAGTAACATTCTTAGTATGTTCATCGCTCTGGAGAACGAAATCATCTGGTAATAGCTCTGATACCGGTGCAGTCCATGTAACCTCTGGGTAATTCAGATCTTCCACGAGAACAGCTACAGCGCCAGCTGTCATACTCTTGGATGATGAAGCAATGTCGAACAGTGTATCCGGTGTACAAGGTGCTGGAGGATTCAGTCTAGCAAGTCCAAATCCACGAGAATGCACTACATCGCCTTGGATGATAGCCACTGCAGCTCCTGGTATATGGCGTTTCTTCATTATATGTTCCACCCTGCTGTGGAACTTATCCGATTGGAAGTATTCCATCTTGATATGAAGTTCAGAGTTTGATTGAAGAGAGATGAAGGGTTTAGTAACAATCTGAGAAATAAAATCGGAAACAGTGTCTATATTTATAGTCAAGCAAGTGAGTCTGTCAATGGGACGCTGGCTACCCCTCATGCAGTTCCCAAAACTGGGGCGATGCAGCCAGGATGTCCCAGGTGGCCGCTCTGGCAGGTGTCAGCGTATTCGCATAAAAAGTAATGGCCGAGTTCCTCATGTTCGTATATTATACGACAATTGTAGACACTCTAGAAAATTTATCATATTTTTATTACTTTAAAGACAATAAGGTGATAATAGTCTTAGAAACGAAAGCTACCAAGTTGTGTCACCAGCTTACCAGCTTCTTCGACCCAAACAGAACGAGTTTGCACAAAAGCCACGACAGCCCAAAGAAGGCTGGTATACGCGCAAATATCCAACAACCTCTTTGATTGTGCCTTCAAATTCACCCAAAACATGTGGCTTAGCTTTGCATTGATCTCTGCGCTCTGGTTGATGAATGGAGTGTCTTCCGAAGGGACGGGCTTGTCCAGGAACTTGCAGAGAGGCTCCCAACCCTCGCTAACATGGTATTCCAAAAGGCGACCAGAGGGGACAAGGGATCTAACCTTATTATAGTGATCCTCGAAGCTCTGCCGGCCGTTTTTGGGAAAGTCGTGGTCGTACAGAATCTCGTGTATCTTTTGAAACATACGCCAGTTCCAACGGTTAGGCATCCGGAGCAGTCGTGCGAAGATGCCCACCATGGACCAGAGGTAGCTGGTGTCTACTACCTCTAGTGTATTTTCGACTGACCTATAAAACAATTCTTAGTATTTCTTGTTATAAATAGTCCCAGGTTGGGTTCCCAGAGTCTTACTTGTGCCACTTATCGACATCTCGAATCGTCAAAATCACCTTTGCATCGGGGTAAGCCTGTACGAGCTCCTCTGCAAAGTACGCTGCGGGCATATCGCAGACAGCCTTTTCTAAATATTAGCGACTGTATACGTTGGATATCGAAACTATCCACCTGATCCATCTCGATGGACTTACCTGGCAATTCCCGAGGAGCCGATCAAAGTCGGCACGGCCAGGGACGCGGCCAATACCGTCATGTTTAGCTCTGAGCCATTGCAACCAAGTCTTGCAGTCGCGTGTGTTAATAAACGCGGCGTCCATGGTATGATAAGTGTGTACGAAGCCAAGGGTTTGCAGAGCTTCCCGCATTGCTGCATTACACACCGACGTTCCGGTTAGTATAACCGACTTACAGGTCGACGAGTATGGTGAGGATTCTGGCACTTACACCGTGTTCCAGTACGACTGTACCCAAGGCACAGAACCTTCATTGGTACCGTACGCTGTCCGCTTTGCGATGCCTCCATTGTTCTTCTCGTCCTTGCTTAATGATCTCAGCAGAAATCCAAAACGAAAGATGGGATGAGGGGAAATTGATCAAGAGGACAGCGGCGGGCCTTCGCATAGTCTATCACATTCATGGCGGCCCTTAGCCGCATTAGCACCAGCTTTAGTTCGGATGTTAGTTGCTACGTGTTACCAAATCGTGTTACGCTAATAATCGGTATGGGGACAATTTATGTGTGGCGTCTTGCAGCTCGTCTTTTTGGCTTCCTAATATAGGTGGCTGCTGACATGGAGGTTTCTTCATCATGTCCTTGCAGCGTGCATTCAGCTGCTGTAGTTTTGGTTTCGTGGTGGCTCCAAGAGCAGCAATTGGCCAGCGCCGCAAAGAGCGCTAACAACCTGGGGCCCCAGGGGGCGTCGCCGCTGTGGCTCCACCTACCTAAATGGTCTGCCAAAGCGAAGCTCGACTGCCATCCAATTCCATCTCCGGTCATCGGTGGTCATGAGTCCTCAGCTACACGCGTAAATATCAAGCTCAACCACCAACACCTTCATCGACCCGAAGCACGTGGTTGAAACCGCCGTTAACCGACCGCTAATGGGTTCAGCAATCAAAGATAATTCGCAACAATGAGACCGCCTTCAGCTCAATTGCCAATCATCCGCATCGCCAACGGGAGATTTTATCGTCAACATCCTAATGCATCAGGCAAGACTTCAAACCCGTCGCTGTTTGATGGCGTCCACTTCGAACTGCCATCCGCATCATCTAAACCTCATAATTGGTGCATCATTGGCCCGTCGCTCTCTGGAAAGACTACATTCCTCCAAACCCTTCGTGGCCGTTTGATCTGTGACCCGCCCACAGCTCGATCCTACCCATACCTTTCCTCCGATGCAGTTCCTATTCGATTACGCAATACTGACCAAGCAATTCGATACGTTGGGTTTGATGCAGAAAATGGTGGCACGGCAGCATCTTCGGTAACAGCATCAGCCTACTTATCTGCAAGGTATGAGTCAAGGCGAGAAATCACAGACTTCTCCGTCCGTGACTTTCTACTAGGCAACACGGAACTGAATGCATTGAAATCCGAAAATGGCAAGGATGAAGGAGTCTCGCAGGCTCTTCTAGACAGGGTCGTTCGTGATTTAAAGCTGGAACAGTTACTCGATCTCCCAGTGACCTTCCTCAGTAATGGCCAAGGCCGTCGAGCACGCATCGCGAGGGCCTTGCTCACGCGCCCCGAGGTTCTCTTGTTGGATGAGCCTTTCATGGGTCTTGACCCTCCAACTGTTGCCGGACTCAGCCCGCTGCTTAAATCTCTAGCAGAGAAGTCGACACCACGTCTTGTGCTTAGTGCAAGACCACAAGATCCAATCCCAGAGTGGATTACGCATCTGCTATATCTTCGAACAGATTGTCAGGTTGGATACATGGGTCTGAAAGAGGATGTTCTCGAACGTCTCCGAAAATACGTGACTGGTGTAAAAACTGGCACCTTGATAGAGGATGCGTCACTTCCGACCCAACCACTGGCCGAAATTGGCCAAGTCGTTAGCAGACCTGAAGATGTTACTCTAAGCCATGATTCTGTCTCTGAGACTACAGCACCGGATCCCACCAATTCGTCTGCAGACGTGCTTGTTGACATGGACGGATGCCAGATCCGCTATCGCGATAAGATTGCTCTTGGCAACTGGTCCCAGACGGTCAATGGCAAGGAGAAGCTCGGCCTGATTTGGAAAGTTCGTCGTGGCGAACGCTGGGGTGTATTTGGACCGAACGGATCAGGAAAAACAACCATTGTGTCCATGTTGTCGTCTGATCACCCGCAATCCTACTCGCAGCCGCTTCGGCTATTTGGAAAAAGTCGACTGCCTGAGCCAGGTGAAAAGGCGCTAAGTATATGGGACCTTCAAGCAAGAATTGGGCATTCTAGTCCAGAGGTGCATCAACATATGCCTAGAAGTCATACGATACGACAGGTTCTGGAGAATGCCTGGGCAGATACGTTTGGTCTGAAGCCTAAGCTGGACGCAGCCGCAAAACAAAAGGTGGACGCCGCATTACGATGGTTCATGCCAGAGCTACGGCCAGATAAGAGCAGCAGCACAACTACAGGTAACGACCTTTCGTGGGCAGACGACTTCATGTTTGGAGAACTATCCTTCAGCGCCCAGCGTGTCGCGCTTTTTATCCGCTGTATGATCAAGAGCCCAGATATTGTAGTCTTGGATGAGGCCTTTAGCGGCATGGACGACACCGTACGCGACAAGTGTGCTCTATTCTTGACGGAGGGAGAGACACGGGTAAAAAAAGGAGACCAGGTCGTGGAAAGCGAGGAACACAAGGCGGAAACCGTTATTGTGCCAGGGCTGTCGGCCCAGCAGGCATTGATCTGCATAGCACACGTCAAGGAGGAGGTGCCCGACTGTGTGAGAGAATGGATCTGTTTACCGGAAGCCAACACGGGAAGCCCTGCGCGCTTTGGACGCCTAGACGGGCCGCTGAGGAATGACGGGACGAGGTGGCGACAGATTTGGGGTTTTGGCGCTGAATAATACGCTTGTTCAAAGTAGACTTGGAGGCGTGCTATATATATATTTGTATAGACTTGTAGAAGTAGACTTTATTTTCAGCAAGATGTATTGCGTTTTCCACTGTGGCTTTTCTTTAAATGTATTTGCATAGTAGCTGCAGTAGCAAGCTGTTATGTCACGATCTGGGCAAAAAAAAGCACCCACAAGCCAGGCACACAGTGGAGAAGCTTCGCTGTAAGGCTGCCACACAGCGCATGGGGTATTGCTATTATAGGCGATTGTTTTGCAGGTGGAGCTGCCCTCGGGCGATGCTACTGCCCTGTACTGTGGCAACCTTGGGAGCGGCCCTGGCTCTGTGTGGCACCATGTCTCTACTGTAGGAGGGGGAGAGCGATTGCACGCCAGGGTTGTTCCCTTCATCAACACCATCAACGGTCGTGATCCGGCGCCGACCATTTTTAAATCCGCGAATCCCCGCTGCAGCAGGGAGACGGCCGAACTTGATCACATCGCAACCGCGCACGGAAGCAAAGACCAATCACGACGCGCGCCATGGCCCAGTGGTCGCTGCCACGGAGCTTGATGATGGACGACGAGGAAATGGCCAAGAAGGACGACGATCTGCCTAGATCACGACACAACACTAGAGCAGCAAGTTGGCAGGCGAACAAGCCGCACGCGATGAGAAGGAGCTCGGCCGGCCGATTTGCTGTTTATACGCTGTTCGTCGTCTTTCTATTATACATCTACAGCCAGTATCGCGGCGGCGGCGTCTACTACGAAGATGGAGAGACACCGCTGCGATCACCCGGACGATTCATGTCCCAGCATCGCGGTGCTGGCTACGGCTTCGACGACTCGCTCGATCTCATCGATGATAGGAAACACGACATGTCAAAAAATAAACAAAAGCCCAAGGGCCAGGCCAAGGGCAAGCAATCGGGGCAGGCCGCCGTCTCGGAACCTGCTTATTTCACCGGCCCGATCCAGTTTCCACGACTAGCAATGTCGTTGCGAGCTTCTGGGAGCTCGGGTGGCAGAAATCCACGCAACAGAAATATTCTAATTGCCGCATCTAGTTTGCGCGCAGTTGCCAATGTCCTCCCCTTTGCTTGCCAGATGGCGAGCGATGACTTGAGCAGCATACATGTCGCCATCATGAGCCGGCACGATGTACTTATAAAAGATTTACTTGCCATTAATGGTGTTACTGAAGATTGTCATATCAGAGTACACGGTACGTTTTATATCTTCGACCAGCCTTCAAACATTGTTCGCTAACGCTAACACCAATGCTTCCAGACGCGAGAGTCGATCATAATGACGAATCCTCCAACACTCGTCTTGCTGTAGCATCTTTAAGAGCCTTTGGTAAAGACTGACTGCTAAAATCTACCGCTATGAGACCTGCTAACATGTACTTTGACAGACTATCTGGCAACATACGTACACCCACAGGTCGTTATCGTGGACGGCTCCATCTCTGAGGAAGGCTTTTTCGTCGAATCAGCTAGAGAGCAGCTCAAGGCGGCGAAAATACCTTTAATAGAGCTACCAAGCCAAGCATATAATACTCTCTCGTGGATTTCCAAGCTGGATGCCGTGGCCCTCTCAGGTATGCGCATATTCATATCCCGTCCCAAAACCAAGGATGTCATAAGCTAACTATAACACTAGCCTGGCACGACGTACATTTTGATATTCTTATTCAGGCACCATTCACAGGTAGTGGTAATCTTATTCGTCTATTGCGATCTCTAGCGGCGGCAGACATTGCTGGACACCCGATGCCGCATATTACAATCGACCTGCCCCCTACAGTCGAACCGGCGCTGGAGGAATTCCTGGATGGCTTTCATTGGCCTCCGGCGTCGGCAAAGGCTCGCTCATCACATATGCTGTCGCTACGCCACCGAATTAACAATAAAAAGCTTACCGAAGAAGAAAGCTTGGTTCGCTTCATTGAATCGTTTTGGCCTAATAAGCCAGCTAATAGCCATATTCTCATACTATCACCAAATACCGAAGTTACACCAGACTTTTTCCATTGTACGCAACAGCCGCGCTCTATACTATATAAATATGCTAACCACGACTCAACTAGATGTTCGATATGAACTCCTTCACAGACTCTACAGCGTCAGCGGCCAGTCGCGCAACGCGGATGGCGGCCTCTTCGGACTCAGTCTGGCACAACCTCGCTTGGACCCTCACAGTGACAAGCCATTTGTGCCCCCAACATCTGACAGCAAAGATGGAAAGCCGGCCGGGGACACTTCATTCCTATGGCAAATGCCCGGCACTGATGCCATGCTCGTCTTTGGTGACAAATGGGTTGAGCTTCATGGGTACATCTCACAACTTCAGGATCAGAACCATGGCAAGGATCCAGCTTCGGGGCTACTCTCCAAGCAAACCACGGCAAAACAGCCAGCTTGGATAGAACATATGGTTCAACTCTCTCGGCTGCGCGGGTATTTGACGCTATATCCAAGCAAAGCAACAGCCTCATCCATCATCACCGTGCATGATGATTTAGTGGACGTACCTGAGGAGTTCTTGGACCGAGAGCAGCAGCCGAGGCCGCCAAAGCCTACCGAATTAGCTAAAGAGGATCAAAGACAACCGCTGAGCAACGTTGCCATGATCAAGACATTGCCGAAAAACGGTGAGCTTGTACACTTACTTCACATGCCAGTTGTATCATGGAATGGCAAAGTGACAAGTCGAGAAGATGTGCGAGTCCAGGCAAGGAGTCAGCTGCAAAAGTTCCGCAGCGATGTTGGCGGCTGCGCAGCGCATGAGGGCCCAGTCGCAAAGGATAGGCTAGCGAGGGACTTGTTTTGTAAGGTTAAATGAAATGGCTGAGCAGCATGGAGCCGGTCCAAGAATATGAAATGGAACATGGCTTGGAAATAGGAGCTTCTTTGTACCAAATTTGAACAATGTGAGCATTTTGCTTCAAATCAGAGAGGGCATCTGCCCACTGTGCATTCGTATCAGCGTGATCTGTGTTCGCGGACTTTGTTGACGACAAGAAGCACGATGCAGGTTGCAAAGATTGACAGCGAAATGAACGCCAAAACCTATTTACGTCTGATTAGCTGTGCTCAGCCATTGACAAGCCCATAATAGTCGACATACGAGTTGTGTTCGCCAGCCAGACTGTACAATTGCCGCCTTTTTACTGTATAGATTTACGGTTCCTATCTGCAATGTTAACTAAGCCAATACGTGATCACATGTTTTGATAACCTACGTATGTAATTGCAAAGTCCGACGAGGAGTGTGAGGATGGCGAGGGCCCAGAAGATGATGCCCAGCGGCTTTGCCATCCTTCGCTCCGCAGCAGATGGTTTGTGGTTTATGTGGAATGAGAGCGTGATGGCGACGGATACAACTGCCATCAAAATAGACAGTCGGAGATAGGAGAGAAATGCTATAGAAGTCTTGTCAATATGCTACGTTTGTAACAGTAAGAATCACTACAAACTTCGTTCGTTTGCGCAGTGATCGCGCGCGTCGCTGCTCTCATTGTTGAAGAGCAGCGGGCCGAGAATTGGCCACCTGAAGAACGTTGACGTTCCAGCATGCCCTTCCGCGCTGTTTACCATCAGTATATGCTTTAGACAGCTCTTATGAGTTTGATACTCACCCAAGCTTGCCTACGTAGACTGGCTCTCGGAGAGCGACTATCGGGACACAGACGCGACAATCCAGCGACTCGTCGTCGATATCGTCGCTGTGTTGAGCCATGTGTAAAGGACTTTAATCTCGGAGTTAAATTTATTTGTAATCCGAGGATTTATAATCCGTTTGTTGACGGAGGATCCGGGATGCAGTGTGATGGATTTGGTGTGCCAGCAAGTCCGCCAAAGGGGCGTTGGTGACGTGACCTGGTGGTACGATGCGGTGCTGTTGCTGCGACGGCTGTGCAGTAGATACGCGTACGGCGCACTACCCGCTGTAAAATATGCTGTGGAGGACAGTTTAGTGGCGGACCTTTAGCGGTGCACCCCGATCGGCCGGTTCGGTTCGGTTACGGTACGAAATCTCCCCTTAGTCCCCACCACAGCGCGAGCCTCAGGGTAGGCAACCAGGCAGATTCGACAGGGAAAGCCTTTTCGGAATACTTCCTGTTGTAGCCATTGCCGTCATTTTCCCGCTTTTCTAGTCTGCACTTATATCCGCTCCGCCAATACGATAACCCGCGTCTATTGGCTAGCTATGCGACTAGTATTGGTTGCCGGCTTCCTGTTACGGTAACGCTAGCGGGCTACAAACTCCGCTACATTGGTTAGCTACCTTGGGAGCTCCTGCTATAAAGATCCAATGATTCCTACGCTAATGTAGCAGGAAGTTGGAGAGACTTAGAAGAAGCACTACTTGTCTCTGTAATTCAAGAGCATCTACAAACATGGCTCCCCAAACTCCTGTCAAAATCATCCTCGGAACATACCAAGTAGGCATTGGCTAGGCAAGATGCACGATCTCTCTGCTAACTGTTTCGCTAGTTTGGAGATACTTCCAAAGATAATCTCGCTGTGTTCGGTGAAAACAATCCAGATGGCCCGAAGGTCCTCGATACTCTGTATAGCCGTGGCTACAGAGACCTAGACACGGCTCGTGATTATCCAAACCTCGCCAAAGGCACCTCTGAAGAGCGTCTCGGTGAACTGGGCGCCCCCGCGAGATTTACAATCCACACGAAAGTCCACAGTGGAGAGGACGGTGCACACAAGCCTGAGAATATCGAGGAGAGTATCCAGGCTAGCCTCGACGCCCTCAAGGTTTCCTCTGTGGAAACCATCTTTCTCCATCTCCCGGATCGTGCCACGCCCTTGAAGGACGCCGCCAAGGCCATCAGCGATGCTGTCAACAAGGGCCAATGCAAGAGATTTGGCATTAGCAACTACTCTCCTGCAGAGGTGCAGCAGTTCATTGATATTTGTGACGAGCACGGCTATGTAAAGCCCAGTGTCTATCAAGGACACTATAACCCGTTGGTCCGTGGCAGCGAGAAAGAGCTGTTTCCAATTCTGCGCAAGAACAACATTGCCTTCTTTGCTTTTAGGTGTGTATCTCCTATCCTTTATTCAAAATCAAAACAACCGGTTTCTATGGCAGAGAAAAAACAGAAGCTTACTTTTTGATGGAACAGCCCTGGAGCAGGTGGCTTCTTTCAACCAACTACAGCCTCGGCCGCCCGCTGGAGCTCGTCTGTAAGTCAACCGCATTTTCCGTAGCTATACCAAGAAGCAAAGCTAATATCCTTTCGAAGCATCCTGTCGGAGGAGCTTACGGCCATCTCTACAGCGACCCGTCAGTCCATGCCGTCGTCGAGACGGTTCAGACTGCCGCCGCTAAGCACGGCATCAACCCCTACGAAGCCACGCTTCGATGGTCGGCGTTCCACGGCATCTTGGACGGTGCTCAAGGCGATGCCATCATTTTTGCCGTTTCTAAGCTCGAGCAGCTTCAGAAGAGCTTGGATGCTATTGAAGCCGGCCCGTTGCCCCAGGATCTTGCGGATGCTATTTCTGGAGTGTACGCTACTTGTGAGGCTGGTGCACCGCCATTCCACTTTTAATTTGTGTAAAACGCATTAAAGAGATGTTTATGTAGTGAATTATATTCTTAAAAAAATTATTTACGAAATTTCTATATTTCTTGACCAATGCAGCGTTACAGAATATCGCATCCAGTGGCGCGCATCGTTGGAGGTACCTCTCTGTACCCAGGCGACCCGACCCGCCTGCAGGAACCATAAAAATTATCTTCGACACTGTCGTCACCGAACAACAAAAAAGATTTTCGTTTGTCTTTCACTTCCAGCGTCGCTACAATTCTTTGCGTTGCACCATTAGCGCTGCTTTATCTTTGGATTTACTGAATTAACACTGCAATTTCGCAATTGTCTCGAAATATTTAATCACAGGTGCTCTAAGCGGTAACCAGCAATTCACCATGGGCAAGTCTCGCCGCAACAGAAGCGGTGCGGCTCGTCGCGATCCTATCGCTAAAGAGGTCAAGCCGCCCTCAGATCCCGAACTGGCTGCTCTCCGTGAAGCCAAAATTCTTCCTGTTATTCAGGATCTCAAAAGCGCAGACCCCAAGTCGCGGTCTGCCGCAGCTTCGGCCGTCTCAAACATCATCCAAGACACACGATGCCGCAAACTGCTCCTACGAGAACAGATTGTTCACACTGTCATGACGCAAACAATCACGGATGACTCAATCGAGAGCAGAGCCGCAGGTTGGGGTATCCTGCGAGTCCTTGCTCAGGAAGAAGAGACCGACTTCTGTGTTCACCTGTATCGATCCGACATCACCACCGCCATTGAGTTTGCCGCCAAGTTTGTATGTCACCACCAACCGTCACCCAGCTGCTTTTTTACATGGGCTAACTATTCCACCAGATCACTGAAAAGCTTCAACAAAAGGCTATGCTCTTCTCAAACAGCACAAAGGCCGAGAGAGGTGTTTGCTGGAGCATTGCCTCGTCTCTTGTTTCCTTGCTCACAGCTTTGGCCGAGGCTGGAGATGACATCCTCGTCGCCATCTCGTCCAACACCACAATCACCCGTATGCTGGCACTGATTGTGTCATACAAGAGCCCTATCGAGAATGAAGAGGGCGTTGATGCCCTGAAAACGGACGCTCTGGCCTGCTTCATGATTCTTTGCGAAGACAACGAAAAGCTTGCCGAAAGCATCGCCAAGGCCTCAGACGACCCCTTTGTCACTTCTATCATGTCCTTGAAGGATGAAGTCAACAGCGATGGCATCCTTGCTTGCGCTGTTCTCCACAACATCTTCGCGTCTCTCGCAGGATCTCGCAAGGGCGCCGAGTCCGACGACGGCGATGATGCCGTCCTGATTCCCACCCTCACAAAGGCCATTGCGACTTTTAATCCGGAAAACGTCATCTCAGAAGGCTCTGGCTGGTCTAACCCTGTCGAATACCAGCAGCTCGCTCTTGAAACCATCGCCGCCATCGGCACCAGCCTGACAACAACAATGACTGGGGGTGCTTCTGCAAAGCCTGCTCGCCCAGCTCAAAATGGCAGTGGCCCCGAGGGTGCTGAAGATGATGAGAACATGGATGACGCTAACGATGACGAAGAACTGGCTGAAGACGGAGAGGACGACGCTGAGGAAGACGAGGATGAGGATGATGAAATGGACCAGGAGGCCATGGAAGCTGATATGGACATGGTTACTGGCGGAGACGATGACGACAACATTAGCGACTTACCAGTGCTTCAAGCGCTTATCGACACAACTCTTCCCGAACTGATCCGCATTGCTTCTTCTCAACCATCCAACGACGAAGCCATTGCCATCCAAGGCCATGCTCTTTCCGCTCTGAACAACATTGCCTGGTCGCTATCTCTGGTCGACTTCTCTGACGACCACAACACCGGTATTCAAAAGGCGTGGTCACCAGCCGCTCACTCAATTTGGGAGCGCGTCGTGTCTCCCATCCTTGCTTCTGATACCGCCGACCTCACGCTCGCTACACAAGTCACTAGCATTGCCTGGGCAGTGGCTCGTGCTATGCAGAGCAAGACACCTCTCAAGACCGGCGAGCAACAAAAGTTCATCTCGCTGTACCAGGCCACGAAGGGATCTGCCAACCACCCTGCTGAGGATGAAGACCCCTTCCAAAGTCTAGGCGTCAAATGTATTGGCGTCCTCGGCCAGCTAGCACTCGACCCTTGCTCTGAGGATCTTAACCGCGAAATCGGAACCTTTTTGATCACACTTGTGGTTGCGCTGCCCAACACCCCTGCCGCCGATGCTGTCGAGGCATTCAACCAGCTCTTCGACATCTACGGTAACGAGGAAGCCTCGTATGACAAGTCAGTTTTCTGGGGCAACAACTTTATCGGCCATCTTGAGTCATCTATTGCCAAGGCGAGATCCATGGCCAAGTCTGTTGACAAGAGAACTCAATCTGAACTGAGACTACGTGCCGATGAAGCTGTTATGAACTTGACGAGATTCCTAGCCTACAAGAAAAAGAACAAGCCTACAAACTAAAAAAAAAAAAAAACACAAAATAGCTATTTACAAAAGTTAATATTAACTATTTATATGTCATTAACATTACCGTATGTGTTTCTCTGTTGTAGATGGTTATGGGCTGGGAGGGTCTCAGCATCTCTCAAACACTCGGTATAAGCCCTTCAAATTGGCCACTTCCAACACGCTACCGTCCATTAAAGCCTTCGTAGCCGTAAGTCTCGACTTGAATGCTGGGAAAAAGATGTGCTCGACAGCCCAGCGAATGTGTTGACGGCGAATCTTGAGTTCCGGTAGCAGCTTTTCGGAACTCAGGTCGTCGGATACTGGACTTGGCGGCAGCTGCTCTGGTACATAAAACGTAGCCAGTTCTCGCAGAAAGGACTCCATACAGGGTTTCTCCTCATTCCAGTTTACAAAGGGGCCTAGACGCAACAAGAATCGGGGTAGCTTGGCAAGCGACGGCGTGTAGCCCTTGACCATGAGCGGAATGGAAAGCAGCTCTCCAGATGGCGAGATCTCGAGCGAAAAGTACTCCTGTAGCATCTCACGTCTTTCAATCAGCTGGTCGTGAGCTTTCTCGACAATCGTCTCCACGTTAAAATTCTCGTTGGTGACCTTTAACGACTCCTTTTCAACCTCTGCCGCCGCAGTGAGTAGCTCTCGCAGATTCAGTGCAGGAGAAAACTGCAACAGTCCAAAGTTGCCAAAGTCGTTCAGACCAAGCTGATAAAAGTACTCGAAGCAGACATGCCCATAGTCAACCAGAAATAATCTTACCCCAGACTGTATGGCAGCAAGGCGCCGTTGTTCATCAACAATACCGACAAACGTATGTGATGCAAAAGTCTCTGTTAGTTCGCTATGAGCTTCGTCGCGTACCTCACACCTCAGCTCTTTAATGCTTGAGAGACGACAAGGGACAAATTCCCTCCCCGTTTCCGCATAGTCAATGGATTCTGGAACAGCTACGGGCTCGTCAAATCGAGTATTTGGCACAGGTGACTCCCCGACGCCTGCAGATGAAAACATGCTGGTGATCTTGCGCTCAGACATGTCCGTACGTACAAGATCGTTGGAGTAGCGGCGCAGCTTCTTGCTGGTCATTGGAGTCTTGGTCGAGAAATTGGCGTCGTCATCTCCAGAGTCGACTTGGCGCGCCCCAGGGATTAGTGTTTGAGTCTGAAATGTTCGGCTGGTGTCTACTGCTGCTAGGCTAGCCTCGAGTTTCTTGCAAATCTCTTGCACAATCTCGTCTTCGTTCAGGAAGTGAACTTCTCTCTTTGTGGGATGCACATTGACGTCGATGCGGGCGGGATCGATGCTGATGCTGAGATATACAAACGGATGCCCTCCCTTAGGCAGAAAGGTCGAGTATACTTGCTCAATAGCCTTTTTGATATGAGTAGACTCCACCGAACGATGGTTAATGAACAATACCAGGGTCGTCTTCTTAATGTGATAGTTGGCATTCGTGACAAGACCTGAGGATGTAAAGCCCCATCTTGCGTCAGCAGCGCCTATTTCTAATAGCTCGTTCGCAACATTGCCACCATATATTTGCCGTATTCTATCATTCGTCGTCGCAGCGCTCTGTATTGACAAACTGGTGGACGCCTCACCAGCCTTTTTACATGAAAAGCCAACTCCGGCTGAGTGGATTGCATAGCGTCCCACCATGTCAATGATTTTATTGAACTCATCAGCATGAGATCGAAAGGCCCTTCGTCTTGTCGGAACATTGAAGAACAAATCTTCCACTGAAATCTGAGTTCCACGGCGTCCAGCTATGCCCTTGGGCTCGGCTGGCTGCCCAGGTTTCGGCGGTACGAGCTTTCCATCGAGGTAGTGCGCTCGCCATGCCAAGGCTGAATCTTTGGTCTTGGTTGTAACTGTTAAATGGGCGATATGGCTAATACTTGCTAAAGCTTCGCCGCGAAAGCCATAGGTGGAAATTGAGTTGAGGTCTTCGAACTCGGTGATTTTTGAGGTGGTGTGGCGTTCACACAAAATGGCCAAGTCAGCTTTCTGCAGGATGTTAGTCCGATAGTTCAAAGCTTCATAGTATTTAAAAAAGACTGACTTCTATTCCGGAGCCATTATCCGTAATCTGCAACAGCTTGAGGCCGCCATCCTTCACAAGGACTTCCAGAGACGTGGAGCCTGCGTCGATGGCGTTCTCTAACAGCTCTTTCAATGCGTGCACGGGTGCTACGATGATTTCACCGGCTGCTATTTTGTTGACGACATCAGGGTCTAGTGCCTGTAAAATCTCATTAGCATATAGCGGCCTCTGTGCAAAGGGATTGTCTCGTACTTTGATTCTTCTGGTTGGTTTGGCCTCGTCGTCGGGTGCCTTTCTCTTAACGCCTGCAACAACGTCGACCTCCATCGCTTCCATTATGAAAGTGTGTGGGTTTTAATTATAGCGCCAATACTTGTATCATTTGCGACAAGGCAAATTGCAAATACTAGGAACGGTTAGAAAATAACCGACAATGACTTCCCCGCGTGACGTGGGGCGAGCTGATTTTGAATTGGGACACGACATTGGCACGCTTCCACGTGACGCATGAACTATGATAAAGTGAACTACATGCTGATAACAACGGTACATAACCACACTGCGAGAAAGTTTATAACGTAGAAATGATATTCGAGTTTATATTTTAACCCCAAAGCCCTTTACATGTGCGTCCTTTTGCCCCTTCCTACCAGTTCTGTAAAATCCTCTATCCAACATATATTGTTACAAAAGTAAAGCTACATACAACGTGAGAAAATCACCCAATTCTTGCTTGAGATAAACCTCATCTAATGGCGTCTCGACGAAGTCTCTGGAGAATCAATTAGTCCTCCAATTGTAACTCGTCGCCTCTTGTTCTCTCGCTGCTCATCGGTTTCAACGCTTGGAGAATCTCGTGAAGCTGGTTGAGGACGAATAGGTGGCAGTTGGTAAGGAGAGAACGCAGGGAAATGAGAAGACTTCGGTAGCTCACTCCGAGGCACCTGTGATGGTGTATGCATATTGTAGTTCTTTCTTGTCGACGAGGATGCAGAATAAAGGGCCTGTGGTGGGCTGATACGAGGACTCGAGCTGGGGTAGCCTTGTGAAGCGATACCTGAAGCCGAGTACGATGATCTTGATTCATTGCTGCTGCGACGTCGATCGAGGTAATATGGATCTAGCCGCACAGCGGCTGCCGGATTAGACCTGGACCGTTCTAGTACTGCATGATGCTGAGTTGGGTCCGATTCTGAACGAACACGTCGGTCGACCGGCAGACTAAGATAGACAACGATGAAAAAGAAAAGACCTTCTTTCAATAAGCCAAGTTTGAGCGCTTGAGACTTGACTTGTCCGTTCACAGATACGATAGGCCAGTATTCATGCTTGGTAAACGAAACACGGTTGACTTGCTCTGTTGTGAACTGCAGAGCATGCACAGCCTGTTCTCCTCTGTCGTAGATCGGTCGAAGATAGCTTGGCTCGCGCCGCTTTTGTTCATTGACAAATTCAGTGCGCATTGCTGCGGCTCGACCCGCTTCCGGTGCCGGGAGAAGATCACTAAACCGACGACCAATTAGGGTTTGAGGTAAAGAGAGTGCTTCGGTGAAAGTAGAAGAGACTTTTACAAATTCGAGATCCAAATTCATAAAAGCAACCGGCTCGGAAGGTACTGCGGCCTGATTTCCGTAGGCCAGATGATCAGAGCGCGACGGTGTAAGAACTCGATCCAGATATTTGGGATTGGGTGCCGTATTGGGCACTGCACCGGGTGGAAATTCTGGTCCTACAAAGTGTCGAGGACGCTCACTATACATTGTCGCTGGCGGTGCCGAGGGCGCGAAGATGTGAACAGGATGGCGAACTACGCCTTCAGCAGGCTGATGGAAGCGAGATGGATCGTATCGAGCCTCTCGATCGTCCCTTAATCTAGGACGGCCACGCTTCTTGTGTTGTACATCAACACATGAGTCTTCTTTGCCATTGCTGACACATCTCGAACATGGTCGTTGTGCTATGATATGTTAGCAACGATAAAGTTTGAGATAGTAACGAGGGTTAGCATACCATCACATCTACAAACATGTTAGCTTGGACAACAGGGTTATATGATCACCAACTACTTACCTTAGATGTGCTCGCTTGCAAGGTACACACGCGGACGCAACATGGCTTTTGGCTTTCCTCTGAGATTTTGGAGAGGGAGGTTGGGCCTGAGTCTCATTTGCAGAAGAAGTTGCAGGCAGTGAAGTACGAGGCGATGATTCAGTTGGGCTAATATTTTTATTGACCAGTTGATGAACGTGGTTGTCGATCCTTGATAATGGGTGTACTTCAGGGTGTGTTGATACATCCTTGGCAATGTTCGCATATGTATCATGATAGCGCGGTAGTGATGTGTTTTGACCGATTTTAGGATCATTGGTATTTGATGATGGCCAGCGGTGCTGGTCATGATGTGTTTGTGTTCCAGAGATGGTGATGACCGGGCTGTATCGTTCTTGACCCGCACCAGCCGCTATTATTGATGGCAGTGCTGGCGAATTTGCTAGTGATGGGGACACATAAGCCTTTGTAGCGGCTGGTGTGTCCGAATTTGACCCTAATGACATCCAATGGAAGCCACCAGCGCGAAGAGCTGGGGTATGAATGCCGTGGAGCTTGCCGAGAGAGAGTGGCGGTTGGTCGACGGCGCGACTGACGGATAGCATCGATATAGTTGTGAAATGTTTAATGAGTAAATTCGAAGCAAGGCTAGGTGTATATGGCCCAGAAATGTATAGGCCTCGTATTTCCTAGTTTTGCGCCCTTGGCTTGTAAAACAGCCTTGGTTCGATGTGACTGCTTGAAATCTAGCGAGCTTTGCGAGCGCAACACTGGTTTAGCTTTGTGATGCAAAAGGTTTCTCTCTGGCGAGCAGAGGATATTTGATATCGTCCAATAGCGCTGTTCCCAGACCTTTTGGGTCTTGAAACGAGACTGACCTACTGTCGTACCAGCACCGAGAAACTTGTGAATTCCGTCTCACAACGTGACGGGCCGCTTCTTTGTTTTGTAAGCTAATTCGGCTAGTTGCAGGTTCCTTTTGGACAAGGCTTGGAGCTTTTATATATTCGAAGTAATTTCCGACGGTTTCGTGACAGGTGCTTTCTGGAAGAGCTTCCGAGATGGTGGCGGCGATCGCTGAAGCGATGAATAGTGAAAGAGATTCGGAACTTTAGCAAAGAGACGAAGTGGGGGAAGTGCGTAGATTTCAGGCGATTCGAATTCATACATAGAATGGCCGCAAATAATGTGAGACTCAGACGATTCGGAGAAATATTGATTGGGAGGGAGGGCGGAGGATCGGGAATGCAAGATCGATAACGTAAATACTGAACAAGCTCCAGATGCGCCTATTCGATCATTGAGGAATTGAATGGATTTCTCAGAAAATGCCGGTAAATAAATGATCAGAGGAAATCGACACAACTTCGGTCCTTGATTGTAGGTGATTGCGGGCGGTGGTCTGGTGCTGTATAGGTCCAAGCGTATGTGACAGGAATCCAGTAAATGAACGTGGTGTTAAGGACCGTTTTGAGTGAGAAGAACCCTCCAATAACCAGAATGGTTAGAAAACGTTGGACCCTATTTGGGTGTGAATATTATCGCAAGGGCGAAGAGAAAAAGGGCACGAGCGAAGTATTGGTTCAGGGAGACATAGCGATCCAGTCAACTGTAAGGTTACCAAGATGCCCCAACACAAATCTCAACACTGGATTGCGAAATGCAATACTGCGTCTCAAGACAGACCGCAGGACGCGACCTCTTGTTTTCGTTGTCAAGTTCCGAGTTGTTGGTTGAGCGCTCAGATCTAGTGTGCGTGAAACTGGTGCGAGGGTAGAGGTTATGGATGGGTAGAAGCAGCCAATACAAGGCTCTGGAAACGATAGGCTAGTTCAGCCGGAGTCAAATGCAACGGCTTGTAATAGCCTCAGGTGATGCAATCAATGCGCCGGCTTGACTCGGGCACTACTTGCACGCAGGCGTAGGGCTAGACTCGACCTGAATACAGATGTATCGGGGCTAGCGGCAAGACAGTGAGGCAAACAGATTGATGCAAGGAACAATACAAATGCACAAAAGAAAGGAAAGGCGAGAGAAAAGGGCCTTTGGAGAAAGGCTCTCTCTGGATCTAGAAGGAATAGAAACGTGCCCACCGTCCAACAACAGAAGCGGCGCCACCACGGACCAGGGCAGCTGGTTTCTTACCATGCTGCTCCCAACATGCAATGTGGGCACTAAAGACCGATTTTCGTATCTGCTTACCTTTATTCGCTACCATTTCTGCTCGGGAGTTACCACAAATGCCCTGACTTTGCATGGGGCAAGGTGGGTGCCAAACTCCCCTACCTAACTTGGCAGCTGGTCCTGCTAGCTCCCTAGCCTGTGAGGCGGCTGGAGCCATGTACTGTTGCCGTCAATGGGGCCACTTTCCTTGGGGTGTGCCTATTGAAGGATCTAACAGCGTGGGACGGCTAGTCCAACCAGCACATCGCTATCGAGGGGGGCTATGTTGGACAAGAGGGTTGGCTGTTGGCGCCCACAGGGCAGGCCACACCACCCGCATGCATCTAGCCCAATATGTACCTTACAGCCACAACGGTCAAGCGATGAGAGCGCACTGGCCCCCCCACTATGCTAGGCTCTGCTTCTGTGGTGGGATGGGGCATGGTGCTCTCTGGTAGCGCCATGCGGCAGCGTCTTCAAGCCACTTTAACAAGAGCACATCGCGTGTTTTTTTTTTTTTTCATGAATCGTGTCTGCGCGAGGGAAACCTTGCTAACAGACCCTCATATCGAACGGATACGTTTCTTTCCACTGCATCCATAACTAGCAAGAAGAGCCGTGTCCAGGTCAAGATCTCGGGTCTTATTCTGTCCGATGCTTGGGCCAAGCAGGCTTGCGCAACGCCAGAGTGTGGACGAACCGCCCATTGTACGCCAGGTTCGCGGCGGACCCAGCCGAGTAGGGGACCCGCAGGTTGGTCGCATGGCCGAAACGGACGAGTGGCCCCCGTCAGAGCGTCATAATATTAGAGGATGCATGCAGGTGTTGCGCCGCTGTCCAGGTAGACGGCGCCTTCGATGATAGGCGGTGCTCTAGTTGTAGGCGTGAGAGCATGCTTACCACACACTGCAATTCCCGGAATAGCAGCGACACAGCCATGACAAGTAGTGCTGGTATTTTAGTGTCAGCCTGACTGGGACGTTTTCCTTTGCGATAGGATGAAATCGCATTTGGTCTGTCTTGGCCAGCTTACGCCTCGCCTATGTGCGCTAAGTGGTTGGCAAGCTTGGCCAGAACAGGCCTGGTTGGACGCCCGTCGGCGTGGCAAATAACGAGTTTGTGCTAATCTTGTGTGTTGGTTGCAGGCAAGCAAACATACAGGATCCCCCCAGGTCACGCTGCTGTCTAGGCTGTACCTATGGTACAGAAGCTACTGGGGGCTTGGAGCAATTCTATTGGTTTCGGATTGAGCAACGAAAGAGTCCAAGCTGCTTCTGCAGCCACTGCAACAAGGTGCCTGGCCCTGCCAATAATAGACGGTAACAATTTCCGGCCAGGGAGAAGGCGGCGTACATGAATGAGCCCGATCTTGGGCATGAGAAACCTGGAAAACGAAGCGTCGGAGATCTTGCTCTCGGAGCACTAGCGTAGGTCAGGCAGGACGCGCGCGCGATGTGACGGTACCATCCCGAAACGAGATTTCGACACATGGTAGTCCTGCCGCCTGGTCTCCTGTCGGTTCGTGGGGCAGCCTCCTTATGCCCTGGCCGACGTTCCCCATGGCTGCTGTATCCACGAGGCTTGACGGAGTTTGCTTGTCGGCAAGCCGCTGCGTTCTTTTCAAAGAGGCTTGAATAGCTGTAGTGGGATGCTTACAGGGGTCCCCCAAGCTGCCAGGCAATGTCGCGTGGTTTCTCTCCGCCAAGACTGCCCTTGGAAGATTCGGGAAGCAAATCTAGCGACCTACAGGTGAAATACTTTTGCTACCATCAGCGGCAAGTTCAATGACGGCAACATACGAATTTGCCAGTGTCGATTACCATCTGTCAGCACGGGTTAGCGGCGGTGCTAGAAATGGGGTCCTTTGCCGCTTCGCTATGGCATTCCACCTCGGCAGCAGCAAGTAACAGCTTGGACCGCCCCGTCTGAATTCAACAGTAGCGAGTGTCCGCGAGTGGAGGGAGCCATGTGGGTAAGGAGCTCGTTCTTGGTTTTGGCGCGCCGCCGCTGCACAGGCTCGCCTGGGAGAGATTGCAGATGCGCCAAAACGGCGCTATTGAGTGGCTAGTGGCCCCTCCTCCCGAGGCGGACCCAGCGCCCGTTAGCGCTAATTACACTTGCAGACTCTGGGGGATGATGCGCATGAAGTCCCCTTCCTTTCCTGGCCTGGGGCGTTTGGTTGGCTGCTAGCGTCGTTTTTCATTTTTAGTTAGGGCCGTCAAAAGTCTAAATTTCTCCGGATGACATGCGACTCGTGCTGCAATAGGGCCAGAACAGGAGATGTTAGTTTCAACGGAGCCAGGGGGCTGGTTAGTATTGAATACCATTATTTTATTCTTCTTCGTCTTCTAGAGACTGTCACCATGCTACTGATGATGCTGCTACTGCCGCTGATGATGATAACTGATGACCCGTCATGTGCGTCGTGATGATGGTGACGCCAGGTGTTGACAAAGAAGGATTTGCGGTGGGGGACGGAGCACTCCCCTCTGCAGACGAGGCGGAAAAGCCCAAATGATCGTCCAGTGGCGACCACAAGGCGGGCACCTGCTGGAGACTAGGCCCAGTCCACCGCTCGTCCAGCGCTCTGCCCGTACAATTCCCACTGGAACGAGGCCCCTGGAGCCGCTATAACTCGGTGCCATGGGAGGGGCGGCAAGGTTCAGGTGACGCTCAGTGGCTCTCCCCACAACGTTGGCACCACCACCGCCGTCGGCTGCGCAGTGCTTCCAGCTCAGGTAGGTCTTTGCTCACCAGCGAGGTTGTAAGCTAATCCCAATACGAATACAACTGTCATGGTCTAGAGCAGGCCCGTCTTGGTTCACAGCTTCCAGAAAAGCGCCCTCAGCGCTTACATACAAGTTAGCTTCCCCGAACTCGGCCCGCCCTCCCAAGACTTAGACAGGTAAAGAACGAATTGAAAGGTAGGCCTCGGGGACTATTAGCCCTGGGATACACCCAAAGGAAGTGATTAACGTCCGTGTCGGTAGTCTTGTAACCGTGCCGACCCATTCGGGATGGACTTGCTCGTTGCAGAACTCGCGTAGCGGCTATTTTGGCCATTGTGCCACCATTAAGGGGTTCTCATGCCACAATAACGAGACTCGACCCAGGAAAAGGCGGAGCCGTTACTCTACCGCTACGAAAATCTTCCGACTCGGATCGTAACCTTGTCTGTGGGCAAGGGTAGAGAGGGGCTGCAAGAAACCTTCCGGAGGGTTTTCCTTCCTGAGACTAGTCCTTGTTCTGGCAACCTTTGGCGAGGCCAGTGGAGGTAGGATCAGGTGTCAGGGTTCTTTTTCTCTTGGGACCTGACGATCAGACAACCAATCGACCCGTTCGTGCGAATACGCTAGCAAAAAAGCACGAGCCAGGATGTGCTGCAAGCATTGCCCGGCGGTCGGAGGAAGTGTCAGCGAGTCTTGTGATGTGGACACTGATGTTATTACCTACAAAATGCATTGGAAGTCGGTTCGTATCTGGAAAGCAACATAGGGCGACCATGGAGCAAAAAGCCATCGCGGAGTCGTCGCATCGTGGCCCATCACATGTTGATCCATTTCCCACACGGAGCCGCGGCGTATGCAAACAAATTAAATGTGGCTGCCACATGAGGGCCTGTCCGCTATTTCGTTTCGCTGGCGCTTTGCCTTCTGCTTACAGAAGTTCCCATATGGCGTTGGCCTTCGGGGAATGGGGGCCGAACAGAATGCGCTTACGGACGCTAGCTATCTCAACCTAGTATGACGACTCAGGTTCGGCTGTCGCGGTTTTGTTTTCTGACTATGTCCACGTTTTTATCGCCTGTTGTCAGAAGCACGAACCACTTCAAATGCGAAAAACGAGCGATCCCGGTATGCTATACTACCGCCTTAGAAATCTATATGCAGCCCGTTTGACGGGAAGCGGACGTAAGCGGTTACACGGACTAGTAGAGATCGGCGCCATGTTATTGACTTAAAGGAGAACCAAGTCGAACGGACAACTAGTCCGAAGGGGGGAGACTCCGACACAGCGTTTGCAAACCAATTACGTCAGTATATCTGACTTTTACCAATCACATTAGAAAACGTCTTTCCAGTGTCAAACCTAAGTAACCAGTGACACTCACGTGTCCGAAATGACGAGAAGACCGTTTCCTGTACACCTGCATCTCGCATTGCTGCCATATTACAGGATGGCTGCAGACGGCCATCGCCACATTGCGGCAGTCTTAATTGAACGCAGACAAAAACGTACGACGATGACTTTTAGATTAGCTCAAAAGTGCTTACCTCCGCCCACCTTGGACGCCTTTCGAGTATAATCACCGGCGGAGGTTATTCCTCCGGTCAACATAGTCGCCGCGTGCCGTCCACCGATGGAATATCCATCTCATCCAGCCAGATGTGCTGACTGGAACGCCATGGTGCGTCTATTTACTCCTGTCTTCATGTCTTCCTCATGTAGCTTGAGAACTAGAGGCATGATATCTGCTTGAATGGATTGTCTGGCAATGCGCCGGTCATTTATTAAGATAAATGCCTCGTGCATGTCGATCCGAGAAACGAGGCTAACAATAAATGCAGAACCATTCCGGTAAATGTTTCAGCGCCTCCCTATACCTGTGGTACCCCTCCCCATAGACCCTGTCGTCTCTCTCTCTCTTTTTTTATTTAGCGACGGAAATATGATGATTAGCTAGTAACACTTGGTCGGGGAACTGGTCCCTGCAATACGTGTAATCGTCGCCCTCCCTTCAAAGAATAGTAGAGGACCAGGGTCACGACTCCGGTGCGATTGCCCTTGCGCATCAACGGGTAGACATCCGCTGAGACTCTATAAACGAAATCATTTTTAGCCCCTTCGCCTCAGCTGCTGCGGCGTCTTACAACCACCTGCCGTCCTGTCGCCCCCCAACGTCTGCAGCCAGGCTGGCTTCCGAAAGGTAGCGGGATACCACACCAGACCAAGGCGAGGCTTGCCCATGCCGCCATAGTTCTTTGGGGTTCCCGTGCCAAAAAGTGCGCCGAATGCATGGCGTCGTGTCGTGCCAAACGCCACACGTCAAGGCTCGACCAAATTCGCCTACCAGAAAAAGACCATCGAGCCGCCATGGTTGCCACATCTGGGTCCTTGGGGCTAGGCTAGTCCCCCCTTTCGGTGTTTAGTTTGTGTTAGTCAATCACTGTCTTTCTGCTTCTCATTTTAACCATCCGCAAACAGATGACTGGCGTAGTGGCTTGCAGGCGTTCAAGTCGGGCACTCCGTGATGGAGGTCCGTCAAGCGTGCCGCCTCCAAACGCCGAGATTGCGGGAATTGCCAGCCTGTGGCTGTTCACTTCTACATGTTGGACAAGTTTTTAATATGGAGTACATCCAAAAGTACCCAGTGACAAGAGCAGTATTAAAAAAACAAGAAATGGCTTGCTGCAAAACTATATACGAAAAATGAAGTACAATAACAGTCGAGAAATATACAGGTCCATGCTTGGTAAAACACCACACGTGAAAATCCCAAGACCTCTCCAAATACATGGACATTAAATAGTTCAGGCCGTCACAGGGTTCCCATCATCACTTGAAGTTCCATCGTACGGCATTGTATGACGTTAAGTCACCACCTTGTAATACCAGACCTCGCTCCATCTTGACCAACCAAATCATGGCTTGGTTAGTACAATGCTCGCCTATCTGCAGCATCTTGCACGGTACTTGGTGAACGTGCGCTACTGCAATGCGGCAAGGGCCGCCGAGGCAGTATCGCAGCCATAGCTTCAAGCGTTGGACCTGCGGTCTTGGTTGCAATCAGCTACGCCAAGATATATCACAGAGGCTATACCTCCTGGGACAAGAGTGGCATATACCGCATTACAATCGGCTTTCGATGCCGGCGTAGTGACTGTCACTGACCCAGTGAGAGTCGGGCCAAACCAGCCTGATAGCCTCCCATATATGTCTAGATGCATACGTTAGCAAATGGATGTAAAAGAAATCAAAGTGGATAGACATACCCAACGTGAATAATAGCCAGCCCATCTTTCACTTCTTGTGGCAGATCCTTAACATCTTTGCGATTTTGGGCAGGGAGAAGAACGGTCTTAACCCCGGCGCGGAGCGCACCAATGAGCTTCTCTTTGATGCCACCGACAGCTGTCACCTTGCCACGTAGAGAAATCTCACCCTTCATTATTGATTAGCAACAATTCTATGGAATATTTTGCAACTTCACATACCGTCATAGCCATCGTTGGGGGAACAGGCTTTCCAGAAAAGAGGGAAATGAGGGCGATAGCTTGGCCTATACCGCTACTGGGACCATCCTTCGGGATGGCACCAGATGGACAATGGACATGAATGCTTCTGTCTTTCATAATGTCCGTTGATGCTTCATGTGTTAGTCCAAGTTCATAAGCATGTGCCTTAACCCATGTTAAGGCGACTTCAACGCTTTCCTTGAGAACATCTCCTAGTTTACCAGTAAGCTGAACAGACCCCTTGCCTGGCATATCAGCTACTTCGATAAACAGGATGCTACCGTTTCCTCCGGAGCTGTACGCAACCAGCCCAGTGACAATACCAGGTCGGCTTGTCTTTTCAGTAATCTCCTCTTCAAATTTCTCAATGCCAAGAATGTCTTCGACGTCTTCAACGGTTAAAACACGCTTGTAACTATCGAGTTGCCCTCCATCCTTCGCTTCAGCAAACTGAACAGCTTTGGCACGGCAAACGGAGCCAATCTCACGTTCCAAGTTGCGGACTCCAGACTCTCGGGTATAGGATTCGATAATTTTGGAGACAACATCCTGGTTGAAGCTCACTTGGTCCAGATCAAGGCCGTTGGCGCGAATCTGTTTTGGAACCAGATGTTGGAGTGCAATATGCCTCTTCTCCAGCGTGGTATAACCAGGCAGATAAATCATTTCCATGCGGTCCAAAAGAGGGGCCGGGATGGTCTCCAGGTTGTTGGCGGTTGCAATAAAGAGGATCTTTGAAAGATCAATAGGCATGCCAATGTAGTGGTCTTGGAACGAATTGTTCTGTTCTGGGTCCAAAACCTCCAGCATGGCGGCAGACGGATCGCCATGGACACTAGCCATGCCGATTTTATCAATCTCATCCAGGAGGAAGACCGGGTTGGCAACGCCAACCTTCTTCAATCCTTGGACGATAAGGCCTGGCATGGCAGCAACATAGGTTCTTCTATGACCACGAATTTCGGCTTCATCGCGGACACCACCAAGTGAGATGCGATGGAACTTGCGGCCAAGTGCTGTAGCAACAGACTTGGCTAAGCTAGTCTTTCCTACACCAGGGGGGCCTATCAAGAGCATGATAGGGGACTTGTCGGTCATTTTCTTCGACTGCAAAACCTGCAGCTGTGTCGCTTGAGCATCACGCACAGCGGTAGTTTCAGGTGAGCTTTCGGTTCCGGTGTTGGTGGTGGTCATGGCTGTCTCTTGTGCCTTTATTTTGGCATCAACCTCATCGTTGAGCGATTGCTTCAGACGGAGAACAGCAAGATACTCAATCAGTCGCTTCTTCACTTTGTCCAATCCATAATGGTCGTCATCCAATTGCTTGCGGGCTCGGACCAAGGTATCGGGGCCAAGACGGTCGTCTGTCATGGTCGTCCATGGAATATCAGATAGAGTTTCAAGCCAATTCCTAATAACTTGGTACTCTTGATTCATGGGCATCATCTTCTGGAGGCGACGAAGTTCTCTGTCGGCAGCCTTTGCAGCCTCTGGTGGCAAGTTGGCAGCTTGGAGTTTCTTTTTCAAATCTTCAAGCTCGTTTGCTTCCTGATCCTCAGCGTCATTTCCACCCTGTTGGCCAGGAACGAAGTTCATGCTTGGCATGCTAGGCAGTCCACCTTGGCGCTTCTGCGATTCGCCAAGACGATCCAAGATGTGTACCGGCATAGAAGTGAATGTGGTGATCTTGAAGTTGTTCTTGATGCCGCCAACTTGGCGTTCCAACAGCTCGATAACTTTCGTGATGCGAACTTTGGTATCAAGTGCGGCCAAAATGCCCAGTTTCTCTTCGTGTGTGATTTCAACGAGATTTGCCATGAAGTCTGCCAGTAAACCAGCTTCCTTGAGCTCTCGGCGCATGATGAGAAGCTCCAGGCGCTTGGTCAAGCTAGGCGAGAGCCCAGGGCCGCCCTTGGTGCGAGGAAGAAGAGATGATATACGGAGGATCGTTACGAGTTCGCGGGATCGAAGCTTCAGAAGAGCAAACAGGTCCTGAAGCTGTTTATCGGCAATATCAACTAGAAGAGCACTATGTTAGCGTGTTGATAATATATCGCAAAACTGAGAAGGAGAACTAACTCTCGTCTGTGAAATACGACACTTGTCCTTCAAAAAAGGGACGTTCGCGAGTTATCGAATCGATTCGTATGCGTGAAGTTCCCTCGACTCGGAGAGCAAATTCTCCAGCGCCGCGCCCATCAATGCCGATAATCTTGGCAGAGACACCGAAATTGAAGAGGTCCGACTTCTTAGCAGCGCCAGGGTTGATCTCTTCGATCTGCGAGGGATCAACTTCTTCGCCGTTATTAATCAGAAGTTGACCATTTTGCCCAATAAGAGGTGATGTTATTGGAACGCAAGCAATTGGGATACTATCAATTCGGCTGTCGGGGCCCTTGGATGCAGCCTGTTCGTAGACATGAGCGAGCAGAGCAGCGATGTCGGGTCGGCTAGAAGTGACGGTGATGCGCTGGACGAGACCTGGCAGCAGGATGGAGTTGCGTGCCAGTGGTATAATGGGCAAGGTATTGCGCTGTGGTTTACCCATGGCGGCGATGAGACGATGTCAAAGATCGGACAGTTGTCAATAGCCACAGGCTCGGTAGTGACCAGGTGGCGTGGACGCGCAGGCAAGGCAGCAGGTGACGTCGATAGTCTGAGGAAATAGTTGGTTATAATGTAACAAAACAGCAATAGCTTGATGAAACGAGCTATTGCCTGATTGCAGAGGGGATAAAAATGATCGGATGTTGTAAAAGGGACAGTCAAGAAGCGATGGCGATGTCAGAAGCTGGGGGGCCAAAGACGCAACCTACCGAGAACGGCCCCACGGCGTCCGGGGCAGGAGACAGCCGAGGCAAACGCTTCCAGCGCTGTCACAGCGTCGGCTGCACGCTGTGTGGCCCACCTAAAAATGTCGCGATATAAAGGGACGAATACAGTGAGGGGAAGAAGCGCTGGAGTGAGTTATTTTAGGGTATTTAATGAAAATACTTGCTCAAATCATATTTTCCAATCCGTTGATTCCTTCTCTTTTGTTGAATTTAATCCTCTGGTAGCCTTTGTGCTACAGTTCGCTTGGCCTCAGATACACTGTACCAGTGTTGAGCACGTGAGGTGGCAAGAGACACTCACTGTCAATATGTGAACAGCACAGTCTTCATTACTATACCTTGGAGTGAATTGAACGTGATATTTTATAAAGAAATCATTGTAAACCTTGTTTTTTTGTCTTTTTTCTTTTAGTTATTTTTACTATATATTTAATCAGCATCTGGCCAATATCTCCTACGAATACTCCTGCACAGCACTTTTACAGGCGCCATCCTGCTGAATCAGCACCTACAGCAGTCAAAGTTGGCCACTGACGGCATAGGACCCCACTTCCGCGGGGCAACGCAACAGCGTGCAAATCAATTAACCAAGTCGCGCTCTAAACGCGTCTCCCTCACGCACGGAAGCCAACCTAGTTCACTTGCAACCACAATCTTGTCCACAACAGTCATAAGATGTGTACGAATTTTGCGCTGACATTCATGATACAATAATATGGCTAACCATGTCTTTCCTTAGCTGCATACACAGAATTCAACAAAACAGGCTATGGCGATGATGCTGGCGGCTTCATGGCCGGCTCCCAGTCTGGTAGCCAAGGCGGCGGCAAGGCAAGTCGTGAATTTGGTATAAACAACACCATTAAAGCACTATTCTAACCTGAGAATATACAGTCATACCAAGACGAATCCCTCCGTCCCGTTACCATCAAGCAAATTGTTGAGGCCGAGGACGTTGCCGGCTCCGGCTCCGACTTCAAGATCGATGGCCACCCCATTTCACAGCTCACATTTATCGGTCAAATCCGCAGCGTGAATGAGCAGCCGACCAACGCTACATACAGAATTGATGATGGAACCGGCCAGATTGAAGTGAAGAAGTGGACTGATCCCGAGGCCAAGGACGACAACAACGTGAAGCTCGAAGTCGACTCCTTCGTCCGCGTCTTTGGCAGACTCAAGTCCTTCCACAACAAACGCCACGTTGGCGCGCACGTCCTCCGACCTGTTACTGACTTCAACGAAGTTAACTACCACACTCTCGAAGCCACTTATGCCCATTTGTTCTACACCCGTGGACCCGCTGGTCAACAGAACGGTAACGGCGACAGCATGTTCGTTGATGGCGGAAATGGCGCATCCAACGGCAATATGAATGGTGGCCAGCATTCTGGCAAGCTTACACAATGCTCTCCTGCTGCGCGAAGAATGTTCCAGGCCATGAGCTCTACCTCTGGCGGTGCTGAGGGTTTCCACCTGCAAACCGTTACGGGCCAAACGGGCATGTCGGCACGTGAAGTAATTGATGCTGCGGATGAATTATTGGGACAAGGATTGATTTACACAACTGTCGATGACGAAACTTGGGCTGTTTTGGAATATTAAAAGAATAAAATGGGGTGTTTGCATACAATTGGTCAGAGTGTAGTCTAAGTGCCAGGGGCATGTTTAGGCTCGGTGCTCAACACCGTGATCACAGTTTAATAAATATATGAAGAAACGATGTGATATGAAACAACTGCTCTCTTGTATAACATTCTTGGGCTCGAAAGTATATCTACCATAAATAAAAGTCCTATACTTGTAACGAAATTGATATAATCGCGAGTTAGGTACGACGTGTTGACTGGTTGTATGCAACTCGGTACTATTATTCGTCAAGCGGGGTGGTGGTCCCAGGCTAGAAAGTGGATACCGTTGAGGCTGGGGAGCTCTGTGGTCTGACGTACCCGGACTCGGACGGCGAGGAGCACAGCCAACAACAGTGATAGGGACAATCTCAGAGTCATTCGAATTGATCTTTAGAGAGTTCTGGACGAATATTCACAGCGATAAATCTCTAGAACGAGTCCTTGATTTCTCGATACCGGCCCTCACAACTCGATATCGACTCCGCGTCCCCCATCGCCCGCCATGCCCCCCAAGATCGAGGCCCAGGAGATAGAAACATACTGGAATATCTTTTGCGATCGTACCGGTGGATCCAAATATTTGACTGGTGAACAGGCAGCTCCTGTTCTTAAAAACAGTGGTCTTAGAGATGATCAATTAGAGAAGGTCTGGGATCTGGCCGACGTCGACAATGACGGCAACCTTGACTTCGAGGAATTCTGTGTGGCCATGCGCCTGATCTTTGACGTTTTGAATGGAGTATGTCCCCTGGAGCGCCCGTATGCTCTGATTATATGCGGTGCTAACTGAAGACTACAGGAGTATGCCGATGTACCCAAAACACTACCCGACTGGCTGGTGCCCGAATCAAAAGCGCATCTTGTGCAAGCCAACCGAGCAGTCACGGGGAAGCAGCCTCAGTTTGAACAAGTGGAGGACGATTCTGACTCCCTTGGTCTCAAAGATGGATTCGATTGGTACATGAAGCCCGAGGACAAAGCGAAATACGACCAAATTTACCAAGAAAGCCGAGACATGCGCGGCGAAGTATCCTGTACGTTTGACCAGTATCCTTTATTGGTTTGTTTACTAACGATATGCAACAGTCCATGCGCTCGAAGACTTGTATGAATCTCTTGATGTCCCCGATACGGATGTTCGATCAGCCTGGAATCTCGTCAACCCCTCTGCCAACCAGGGTATTCATAAGGACGCATGCCTGGCGTTCCTCCACATCTTGAACAATCGCCACGAAGGATTCCGCATTCCCAGAACAATCCCGGCGTCCCTACGATCCAGTTTCGAGCGCAACCAAATCGACTACCAGCTCGACAACCAAAAGACAGGAGTCAACTCCCGATGGGCTAACAAGGCCGACGACCAAACGACAACGGGGCGAAAGACCAAGTTTGGTGACCAGTATCTCACTCGCTTGGGGCGAAGTGGTTTCAAGACGGCAGGAACGGACTTTTCGACCGAGAAGACAGAAGATTGGGAGGAAGTCAGACTCAAGCGCCAATTGGCCGACATTGACGAGAAGATTCGCAAGGTGGAGGAAATTGCTGAGCAGCGCAAAGGTGGAAAACGCGACTCGAAACCTGCGCTTGTCAAGAAAGAGCTTGACCAGCTTCTAGACTACAAGCGCCGCGAGCTGCGCGAGCTGGAAGAAGGCACCGGCAAAAGCGCCACTGGCAGCGGCTTAAAAACCGTGTCGGACGACTTACAGACCGTTCGGGAACAGGTTGAGGGTCTAGAGTCTCACTTGAGATCCCGACATGAAGCCCTCGAGCAAATACGACAGGAGATTGAGGCAGAGAAGAGGTGATGGCACATTAGAAGAACTAGCGGTTTGCTTAAGTGTTACCATGAATATACTCTTAACTCATGCATGCATGCCTTGTACATATCAATTACCATAGTGAGCCATCAACGTACTTCTTGGTTCGTTCCATTCCCAAGGTTCTTGCTTTGGCAACCCACACTCCTAGTGATGGCACTGGCACTGGTCCGATACGTCCTACACCACGGCTCTTGCCCATGGCAAACACCAAAACGTCAGCAAAAGGGCCACGGACTGGTTTTTGGCTTTGACCATCCAAAACGAGTTTGATATTTTGTGCTACCCCAGTAGCCTACGTTACTTGTAAGTAAACCGGATAACAGCGATATGAGAGTGTATCTTACCTGAGCCTCTGTGTAGAGAAAGCCAGCCCGAGGTCGGGACACGATATCTCCAGCCGCCCAGACATTTTTATGTTGCTTCAATTGGAAGAAATCGTCTACATCAGCATATTTTGTCTCTGTAAGTACGTTTGTAGGCAAGAAGTCAGTATTTGGCAGCAAACCCGTTGTTGGGAGATAAAAGTCTGTCACCAGCGACTCGCCATTCGACAGCACTACCGTCGTTTGACCCGTTGCTGCTGGCTCTGTGCTGACAGCTTTGACTCCCTTCCTGACCACAACTCCAAGCTTCTTCAGTTCACTTTCTACAGAGGTCGCTGTAGAATCACCTCCAACAAGCGCGTCACTGGCTGAGAGCAAAACTACCTCCTTATCTTTGAATTGGTAGCGGATTTCAGCGGCAACCTCTACTCCCGTGCTGCCTCCGCCAGCTATTACAATATGGGACGCCTTTTGTATGCTCTCAGCGGTTGTATGAAGGCTCGTGACAAGCTCTTCATAAGAGCCTGATGCCTTCCATGGCGTAGATGGGTCTGCTTGACGGGAGCCCGTGGCTAGCACCAGGTAGTCATAGGCAATCTCTTTGGTGGTATCTTCGGTTGATATTTGGACGGTTTGGTCGTCAAAGTTGACATTTGTCGCATCAGCAGCGATAAAGTCGACGGATCCAGCAGGGTATTGTTTCAAACCGGGCTCAATGGGCCGGATGAGCTCTTCATCCTTGACTTGCCCTGGGACGACGGCTCGTACAGCACCTGGGACCCAGTAAAAATGACTATTCTAGACAATAAGCCATGTCAGTAGTTATAAGTGTTGTTGAATTCGCTCCGTTCTCGACATACTCTCGAAATCAAGATAACTTTGAGATCTTTGTGACGCGGCAGCGAGTACTTGAGTAGCTGGTGCGTGATGGACAGACCAGCGAGTGAGCCGCCTATGACAACGACCGTTTTTGCCATGATCTGCTTCAATCTCACACCAATAGTGGCTGAAGACGAGTCTTGATAATTTGGTTGTAAATCGAGGAGTATGAAGAGGAGTAACAGTGATACCAGCCGTTCCCGAAGTTGGCTCGCTGCATCAGACGCTATGCCGTTTAGGTGCCACAGCAACGATAAAGTCTATTCAACCCATTGTCCACATAACACTGGTAGATCCAGATGCGCTGTCTTTTAGATGGCATTAACTCTGAATGCTAAAATTCCACCATCCATCTTCATACCCTTTTAACTTTACCACATGTACACTGTACCATTCTCTCTCCTATAGCAGCCCATCATCGATCCGACCCCACGTCATCCATCAGCGGTCAGAAGACACCGCCAACCAAACCACTACAGCGCTCACACCCGCGCCTCCGTTGAGCCCCGCCCCCTCCCGCCAGCTCCCCAAACCCTGCTCTCATTTCCCAGCTCTTCTGCGTCGTTCTCTTCTCCCCTCTTCCTCTCCAAACAAACATTTTCTCTTCCTCTTCTTCACACACAAAAACTCTCTCCCCCAAAACCAACCATCATCATGAGCGCTGCATTCACCAAGGCCGCTGAGGACTCCAAGAAGTTGCTCGCCAAGCCCTCCAACGACGAGCTTCTCGAGCTCTACGGTACGTTCTGCCCATGCCCCTCGAACCCCGCCATGTCGACCAACCTGCGACACCCGACGTTGCGAACTATGGCCGCCCGCAGCCCGCACTCCAATGTTTCGATATGTCATGTTCTCGAACGTTTTAGTGCCCGTCAAGCACACCCTTCTCCGCATATGCACTGCGAGCGCACGTCCGCTGACTTGTTTCGTTTTCTCCCACCCCGCAGGTCTCTTCAAGGTCGGCAACAGTGAAGACATCTCCAAGGCTCCCGCCCCCGGCATGTTCGACATGAAGGTATGCATATGATCCCGCTGGTTTACAGCTAGCCCCAGGCAGTCTGGTTGCCTGATTTGGCTACAGTCGCCACTGTTGATGGACCGCAAATAACTAACTGGTGTGTCTTTCTTACTATAGGGCAAGGCTAAGAAGGCTGCCTGGCAAAAGGTTGTCGATGAGGGCATCTCCGCTGAGGCTGCCCAGGAGCGCTACGTCCAGCTCGTCGAGACCCTCAAGGCCAAGCACGGTTTCGATGAGAACAAGGTCCCTGAGGCCGTCGGCAACTAGAGCATGTTCGCAGTCTCCAATATAAACGTTGATTCTCTTATTCTCAGTCCGTCAGCCGTGATCCGGTTCGACTAAAGACGTCAGACCCAAGACGGAGGCTGGTGGATGTTATTATATGTAACGAAGATCATGTCGAGCATAGAATATATATATATATATATGTATATGAGTATCTTGGCCATGCGTGCTACGGTCAGTGCACAAAGTAATGCCGAGTATTGAGACTTCACAACTTGGACCAAACTATTTTTGATCACGGGACATAATTCTGCCTTTTTTTTGTAAACCGCCGGACGATCGCTGTTTCACGCTTAGTCGAGTCTGAGATCCCCAAGGGGCGAGGGGTAGTCTCAGATATCGAGGAATGCAACCACCACGTGGACAAGCGTGTGAGGCAGACACGACATAGATAGACATTTATTGCGCGTTACATTCCATCAAGTCAACATCGCGCTTCATTGTTGTGGTGCATGCCAGGGCACAATCAACCAGACCACCAAGTCGGTAGTAGCGACGGTAACAATGTTTATTTGTTGCGGCGGCAAAGCGGCTCGCGGCATCGGCCGGCGATCCGATTGACTTCAATGGGCGGCGATGCTAGAGATACCAATATTCCATATAGAGACGACTATCGAGAAATATATTGCACATTAGATTGAACACACAGACACATGTTTTGGGATGATAGAATGCAGTGCAACAGTTGACTTGATTCATCGACCTATTACGGTTTCCAGATCGAAGCGTAAAATCAAATAAATACGTTTGGATGTGAAAATGTACAGTTTCCGAGTGTGTCAAACCTCACTCAGCTAGGCCTCCAGCGCACATGCTCATCTCCTCCATGTTCCATCCCAAGCAAAGAAAAAATCAACACAAAGTTATATAGCAAAAAAAGTAGTAAGGCGCACCAAACCAGACGAACCCTCGTCAAAGGGCCCGTAAAAAGAGAAGGGGAATCATCACGCAAAATAGATTGTGCCAGAAATTGGAACCACAAACACGACAGCTGCTTCGAAAGAGGATAAAAGCCAAATTGTTAAGTCTCCTGGACCATTGAAATCAACAGAGGGGGGTCAAATTGCCTGCCAATTCATAAACTCATAAACTCGTGGGTGCGCTGTGCTGTTGCTTGCCTTGTGCTTTGTGCCACCTTGCCAACCGACGCCTCCACAGTCAAGGAGCTTGGTTGGTTAGGAGTTTACAGAAGGGCAACGAAGCCGGCAGCGACGAGGACGAGAGCGCTGACGCCAGTAGCGGCGGCACCAGAGCCGGCGGTGACAACAGCGGGCTTAGAGGGGACGACAGCAGGCATGGTGGGAACAGCAGTGGTGACGGTGCTGTTGGAGGGGGTCCAGGCGGTGCTGTGGCCAGTGCTGGCAGACTCGGGGCAGTAAGTGGTGGTCAGGTTCTTGACGTCAGTGACGGTAGCAGCGGGGGTGCTGGAAGGAGCAGGAGTGCTGGTGCTGAGAGGACCGGTCTTGAGGCCGCCCTTGATGGTGTAGGCAGCGGCGCAAGCGGCGAGGTCCATGCCGTTGGGGCAGCACCAGGTCTTGAGGGCAGTGTCGTGAGTGCAGTAGTAGCCCTCGTCGCAAGAGTTGCCGGAGCCGTCAGTGCAGCAAGCCTGCTTAGCCTTGGGGTTGAAGCAGTGGGAAACACCGTCAGTGGAAGCGCACTGAGTGAAGTCAGAGCCGCAAGCCTCAGCGCAAGTGTTACCGGCGCCGCAGACAGAGGTCTCGGGGGTGTAGCCAGCAGAGTCGCGGCGCATGAGGCTCAGGCCGGGCATGGCAGCGAGCATGTAGGGCTGGGGCTCAGCGACAGCGTTGGCGGCAAAAGCCAGGACGGCGGCAGCGGTGGCAGTGGTGAAGTGCATTTTGATGGATTTGTTTTGATTTTCGGCGAGGAAAAGAGAGATTGTTGGATTCGTAAACGAAAGGTGCTTAAAAGCGACGGCAAGCCGATTGAACGATTGTGTTTATTGAAGGAATGGAACGAGTATTGAAGAATACTCTAGAGTCGCGCGAAAGCGGAAACGGCAGCGAGCCTTCGAAGACGAAGTTTGCGATTGGAAGTGAAGGTTTGGTGATGCAGAGGCAAAAACGAGGAAACGGGGCGTGAGTGGGTAGAAAAAGGGCGGGCGTTTGGGGGGGGGAGGGCGAACCTCTCGCGCAATTTCCCAGAGGGCGTTGGCGTTGGGTGGGTAGCCACTGGCGTGTAACCTCTCAATCTCTTCTAGGCGCCCTGACTAGGGTCACCACAGGGCCAATTCAGGCCACAGAGGCCTAAAACCCATGTCTCTGGGCCAATTGATCCTCTTTGATCCCATCTCCTACTTAATTTTAACCCTTTGATCTTATTTTACTTTTACTGTAGACATTTAGCCCCGGGCGCTTGCGCTGCTATTTCCAAGGGGCTGCTATGTGGTGAACTGGGTGGTTTGCCCAGCTTTTGCGCCGCGTACGCATTCTCTTTGCAGAGGTTTCCTTTATCCATTGCCGACTTTCACAAGATGCCTCGCAAAGTACCGGTGAAAGAGTTTTCAAGACAATGTACCATCTACATGACAGTTGGGCTGGATGATTCCGGCCTCCAGGCGCGGTACCTGCGCAAAAGACGAGAAAAAACTGGGCAAGTGTCCGCTGTCAGCAGCCGGTACAGTCCCGCGGTACCCAAAGTACAGGTATACAAGGCGGTCTTTACTCGTGACGCCCTGCCAGAAACGTACTGGCAGCGCCAGAAATGCGGCGCAACTCACTGGGCCCAAGGTACCGATAACACTGGCCTGTTAAGAGTCATGCAATCCGCTCCAGGTACCAAGTACTGGTCTTCGCCGCCTACGAATGGCGCAAAGCGCGACTGGAGGCGGTATACTCTTGCCCGTCTCCAGTAAATTCGTTCTCGACCTGCCCTGGCGCTCGCCCAACGCAGGTACAAGTTGCACAAGCACGCCGAAGCTTTTTCTTCATTTCCCACCGCCCCACTAAAATGCCAATAAACGCCCTTTTACTGGTCTGTTCCAGGGCGAGTACCTGCGCTAGTCCTGTTCCTGACTGGAACGGGTGGTTCGCAGTCCATCTATCGGCCAATCATTGTCGACAACGCGCTGAGTTATCAGGCTCAGTAAGTACTCTGTCCGTGCGGTGCTCGTGCCAGTGCCTGCCTGTCGGCCAAAGTCCAACTGTGGCCACTGCCACCTGTGCCAGCTGGCAGCGCAGTCAGCTTAGTGGTCTAGCAGCAAGCACAACGCCCGCCACAGTATGATTGCTGAGAGGCACAGTCCTTGTCCACCATCCGCCCCCAATCATCGCCGGTAGACACTTTAAGATTCGTTGTTGCGTGTGTGCCTATGCAACCTCTCGGCCTAAATGCCCGACCGCCCAGGGGTTCACCGTTTTTTATTATTCTTTCATCTAGAGAGAGGGGCTGCTGCCGCTCTCACAACGACTTTGAGTTCGCCAAGACTGAGCTTTTCAAACCCCCGTCGTTGATTCACTTGGCTGCTTGTCCTGATCACTGTGTCTTAAACAAAGGCACTTTGTGCAGCAAAAGACCCCGTGTTTGCGACTACGTGTTGCTTCTTGCGTGCCAGCTTCAACTACGACACCAGCATGAGAAAGAGACAGAATACCTCTTTCCAACACTTTCTAGCTGTTAAACTATACACGTGCGATGTGAGCTCGCGCCACGGTTTACCCCATGTTCCCACGGCCCCGGACATTTGAGCTTATGTTGAATCGATGATCCCAATTTCGGCTCCTACTGCACGGCTGCGACCTCCCCCAGCCTCGTATTTTTTCCAAGTCAAAGAAAAGCAAGGCCCAAAATAGCAATCTTAAGATCCATCGTCCCGACGATCCAATGGTATTATTCATCAGGATCGATGCGTGGCATTCCATCTGGCCTCTGCAAGCGTCCAAAACGAGGCAACGTCCCTCTCGTTTACGCAGTGCAACATGCGTATGTCATGCAGCTTCGTATGGTACTGTACATCTACCGAAGCATAGAAAGCATCCAGTAGTCGCTCGCTCGCTTAAAAACAACTTGGCGAGTGCTACCAACTAACACGTTGCACCGAGTATCCCGTAATGAACAACTGGCACAACTGCGAACCAGTTAAAGAGCATATCTGCAAGTGGTGCTCAAGGATCATCTACTGAATTATAGGCATATATTCAATGCATATACAGTAGTTAAACGAAATACAGCGTGGTAGTAAAGCTTCCTGAGCCAAACTCTCTAGGCTAAACCTTCCCAAGTCCCTAGCAGTATGTAAACTTTGCGCCAACTTCCATGGTGGTCTATTCAGCGTCATCGTCTCCCATCTTGGCAATCCACTTGTTCATATGGGTAAACTTCTCCTCAAACGTGCGTTGTAATTTTTCTCCAGCCTCGTACATGGCATCACCTTTCTTCCAGTAGAGAAAGCAGTTCTCAAAGATTTGCCTAACGTCCACCAGGAAGTCTTCGTCACTATTGTATTCTCTCCCGTCCATCTTTCGTTTAATAGACAGCAGATCCATAGGTCGCTTCACCTTGTTAAAGTAATCAGGCACGCCGTCTTCTTCAGGTTCAACCGGTTCACGGAATGGCCCGACCAGACGAGTCCAGAATCCTGCAAGGACACTACGTCAGCAAATATAGCCTTATAAATACCTTTTGTAAACGCTTACCTGGTCCTGATAGCATTCTTGTGAGTAAATCGGCGCAAAACTCGAGTTTTTGAGCATTCGAAAAGACTCGGCCCTCTACATAAGCGCTAGATCGTCGTTTCTGCTGCTTGGGAGGGTGCGCTCGTATATTCCTCGTAAGCGAATCTGTTCTCTGTATTGGTACTGAAGACCCTAAAGATCTTCTGTTTCGCCTTGTGTTGCTCGAGAGCTCATCATCATCCGCCTCGTCAAGATAGTGTACGTTTTTGCGAGGCGTCGGTTGAGCCTCAGCGGCGGCAGCTTCAAACTTGCCCATTGTTACCACCAACTCGCTTAGCACGTCCTGCGGTAAAGACTTTGCAAATTCAGCTCTTGCAGCTGAAGACCTCATATACTCTGCAGTCCAAGACAGCAGTAGATGGCGGATGGAGGATCCCTCTGGAGTGTCTTGCCAGACCTTGATGAGTAGAGGGGTCGCTGGAATACGCTGTGTTATCCGGCGGCATTCAATCATGGCATCCAGCGTCTGTTCGCACAAGCCTTCGACTCCTAGCTTATCGCCGTAGTACCATAGGCTCACGAGCTCTTCGTAGCTGGGGACCTTGGCAGGGTCTGTGATAATATGGCCAGTATACAAGAACTGCTGGACCAGCCCGAATACTTTCTTTGTTGCTTCTGGTAGACGGACTACATGTTCGACTGTCGTTTCGTCTTTTCTCTCTTCGAAATATTTACGGTACATGGCGCATTTTGCACAAAGAAAGTCTTTCTGCAGCCCAAACGGGACCTGCTCTGGTCCGACCAAGATAATAACGAAGGTTGGATGAGCGTCCCTATATGATAAGTGGATTAGCATAATTATATCGTCAATCAAAGAGAAATTTGAATCCTTACCTCCATGAAAATGGCTTCGGTTTTGTGTTGATGGCAGCGTCGACTGTTGGGGCCCCAGAATCTGCTTGGACCGGACCAGCCTGTTGGCCCGGAGTGGTCGTTTCTTCAATCGACATTGAGTTCTATATATGATCCTCTAGCCTCCTATAGTGTCAAAGCATATAGTTAGTAGATGGTGTGAAGAGAGTATCGCACCGTTTGATGAGCAGCAAGGCAACTCACTGCGATGCGTGTCATCAGACACTCGCCCAAACCACTTGGTTTTCAAGCCCGCTCATTTTTCATGCTCTTAATTATTATTTGTAAATCAATTCGTACCTTTCTTCTGTATTTGTACTGCGTATAAGAGGATGGTGTGAACCAGCGAGGAGTTGGCACGTGTGCACGAATATCTCGTATATGGGCACAATAGGGCTTATAGTGAGATGCTATGATTTGTATTTGAATTTATTGATTACTTTGTAACAATTTTCAATCTTAATCAATGAGTTTGGATGAAATTGGGCGAAATACTGATGAGTTTCAAGAAAACCGCTCTCTCAACGTCGCCGGATCAAGCTTTCTTTTTGCTGAGTCATCATGAAGCCCTTTCCTATTTGGGACGGGTAAATAGAGTCGATATGTTGGAAGCAGAAGAATAAACTGCTCCATGTTTGGTATTAGATAACTATTAATATGATCTTCTTCCTATATTGATGCTATAAATTTCCTTGTACAATCAATGGTAAGATATGATTGGCTTAGATGCAATAAGCCGAAGCCGCTCCGGGCCGCCGCCCAACGGAGACAACAAACCGACAAAACTTCACTCTCCGGAATATTACAACTCGTTAGATGCACAGAAGCTGCGAAAGTTGCATCGAACATCTAGTTATATGCATATTTCAGCCTACAGATGCACATCTCAGGGAAACTTATGCGTTTTGCGGTGCGTACGTGTTCCCTAGCGAGGCCGCGTCAGTCTTTACAGCCACAGTGCAAGCTGATTGGCTGGGGGTCCCGGAGTCGTGTTGTCTGTCGCATTGAATCCGACACAGAGACGTTCGCTTTATATCCAATTCGGGAAATAGAGGCATCCAGGGAGCCTCACGCTGCAAATCGCTCCAAGGGCAACACGCCAGCCCGGGCGTGGCTCTGTTTTGTATATAAGCCATGGTTGCAGCTGCTCTCCCTCGAGGCCTATATCCCAACAATAGTCCTCCCAATTTATTTTGCACAGTGTCTTTCTTTGCATAATAGACGTGTAAGCCGCTTGAAGCTACATGTGTTTCTTCTCGTGTGGTAAATCTCCCTCTCGCTATCATCCTCTGCCGTCCGAGGACACGCTCGTTTCTGCAAGACGCCCAAGTCAACCTCACTCTCCTTCCACCCGTTCACCAATCCCACCATCTGCCAACATGGGCTCATCGTCGATGGCTCCAAATCAGGCTGGGGCAGCCAGCTACTTCTCTGTTCAACATGAGCGTCTAATTCTGGAACTCCTCCCTTTCAAGGACAGCGCCAAGTTCCATGAATGGATCCAAGGAGACATGGTTCGGGGTTCGTGGGCTGAGTTCCACCGAGACTTTCTCGTCAAGTTTCCTTCAGATCATGTCGAGCCGGATAAAAACAAAACAGCAGATGCAGTCAAGAGTGCCATCTCGAGCAGATCACACAAGTTTTTGGCTTACCACCCAGACAAGAAGAATTGGACCAGAGAGGACCATCACATTAGGTTCATTGTCACGACTATACAAGATAATATGCTGACTGGTCTGTGGAGCGAATCGGACTGGAAGAAACGAAATTTTGAGATTGCTAGAGCCGTATATGAAGTTTTGTTCTTCCTGAAGGCTTCATATTTCGCAGCAGATCAACAACCGCCAGGTTATACACAATAGATTGGGTTGCCTACAGGGATTTATGATAATTAATTTTTTTTTAACAAACTTGTTCTACATTACTCTCTTTTATAGTTGTCTGTAATCTTCCTTTCATTTAGCTTTTTTCTTATTTTATTTTATCCTCATGTATACGTCTTGTGATCGCCTTGGAAAGGCACACAAGCTAACGAACTGTTGGACTCTCAGACTCAAATTTATGACAACAATGCAAAGAAAAGTACCATCTATGGTCATTACTAGTACACTATCTTATACCCGGAACAATCCAAAACTACAATAGCCGGCTCACTGCGAGAAGGAGAAGAAAGAATCACTGTCTACTTCTCTAGGGTAATAGTATAGCAATACAGCTAAGATCCAACGTGGCGCAGAGCCTCTCTGGGTTTAAAGATCTACAGGGACACTGCTAAAATACAGCGCAATTAAAAAATATTTTTTCCCAGATGAATAAATATAGTGCCATCTAAAGACACCCCGAATTTCTTCAAATCGGATAGAAGCCCGTCGTCATGGCGCCCAATTGCGCGAAATTAGAGCCCCAACGAAGCCCAGCGCCCCATTTTAGTAGGGCGGTCTGCTAGACACGCCGCTGAACACCGTTGACAGCGGCAAACCCCACCGCCCTAAGGCAGGAAGAGAAAAACTTTTACTATGGACGCAAATGGGAATCATAGTCCGCAGCTTCGGTGGAGCCCAAGCCGGCGATGAATACCTCTAACGGCTTCAACAGACGGCCTTTGAAATGTCGGACAGTTGATGAGAAGTTGTGCCTTTGGTCAGACTCTCAAAAGGTAAATCGTGTTTGCTGAAAGTGCCAAATGGGACATGACCAACATGACGTATATGGTGTGTATTAAGCCGGTATTAATCGAGGCTGCATGTATTTCAATAGTTCGGCGGCCACCCGATCCCAAGATCTGTGAACAGAGCGTACACACCAGCTCGCAGCCACCAACTGAAGATAGAACCGAATGAATGGCCGACTTGCCCACACGCCCCCTTTATCTCTGTAGGTACTTGATCCTTTCACGGTCCAAGTACTCCGCCGGGACAGGTCTCCATTGTGGCCTGGTCTGTGATGCGATAGGGCAATCCAATGCAGATGCACTTGCATGGCCCCTCCCGAATGCGAGTCCGTCCAGTGGCAGCGAAAAAAAAACTCTGCTCCCAGCGCGGGATCCAAGGCTATTGGACCGCTGTAGCTAGGGAGCCCATGCAGCTCTGACTCCTCCCAATGTGACGCGGAGCAAATTTTCTTGGTGACGGTGCAGCCGTTCCCAGTGGATCATGTGCTAACCACTAGAGGTCTTGCGCTATTAGGGCGCTGTGCTCGCCAACGTTGGTTATCCAGCTTGTTTGCGCCCATTAATGTAGATTTGCTGCTTATAAGGGGTATGTAATGTATGTATATTATAAGAAGACACGGTCGCGCAGATCGTCGCATATCTTCCCATTTGCTTCAGATTTGTACTTGCTTATAGCATATCAGTTGTTTGGCTGGAAGGCTGTGGCACTCCCCTGGCCTGAGCCGGCTCGCTGCGGCAAAACGCTTCGTTCCTGAGCCATTTAGCAAACATCCCTGTTATTAGACGCCCTGGACATGCACTAGGTGCGCTTCGCTGAAGGGGATATGGGATTATGTACTCATCTCCGCTGCATGGCCGAACCACTGAACTAGGGTGGGAGGGTGAATGCAAGTCAAATGTAACCTGAGCTGACTTGGCTCCCTGTTATTCATCGTTTATAGTCTGTGAATGCTCACTGACATCCACTGTTCATTCTCGATCCGGACCGTCGCCGTCGTCACTGTCAGCCTCATCCTCATCCTCATAATAATATTCGTTGTCCGCCTCTTGTTCTTGTTCGGAGTCGCTGTGGCCAACGTCCTGGCCAAGAATGATGTCTTCACTCCCTTGCCACTGAGGAGGAGGTGGCGGCAGCGCGGCGTCATCACCCTCATCCCAACCGTAGTCTTCCTCATCTTCACTATCGGGAACTTCAAGCTCTGTTTGCCCTAGTTTTCGTTTACTTGCAGCTTGACCATCTGTCATCTTCACTAGCTGACTAGGATCGTATGCCACGCCACTTATACCAGCCTACAAACAGTATTAGTTTTCCAATCTGCGAAGCCAACTGCTATTCTGCAACGTACCTGGTTAACTTGGAAAGCACATACATGCTCGCCGTTGTCATATAACTTCCGCCCGTTGCGCTTCTGTACACCGGCTAGGAAGACGCTGCTCGCCTTCCTTTCTCTCCAGAGCCAATTTCTAAATAACACTATCTTGGTTGCAGTACCTTGCTCCCACAAAGCAGTGTTTATGGCAGGTATAAGAGCGGCACTCCGATCTGCCTGCATTTTTGTGGCACACTGTGATAGAATGACAACCGTGCACTTTTTAGTTGCGGCTAGCTTTTGAAGCGAGGTGATGATGAATTGGATAGCTTGGAGGCGTTTGGCGTTAACAGATGGTCCTGTTGATTGTTAGTCCGGCCTTGATAGATCATTCGTTCCGGGCTTACCACCCGAGTTCTTTGTCCCAGAAGTCCGTGGCTCATGGCTTCTCGGCAGAGCTGAGTTTATGAGCGCCGAGACTGAGCTAATAACAATTAAAGAAACATCCGGATCAAAGGCCTTGGATGCTGGCTTAGAGACCAAGGCCATGAAGTGAGCTAGCGTGAAGCAGGAGTAGTGGCTAAACTTGCCCAGCTTTGGCGCGATGGAGTTTCCATCTTCGTTCTGATTAGTCTCAGACTTCGGGTTATTGTTAATATGGTGTAAAACTTTAGCCAAGCGTTGGCTTTGGAGCTTCTGAAAGCAATCTGCGAAAAGGCGAAAGTTGTCAGTGATTGGGACTTTCAAGTGTCTAAGTGTCTGCCTACCAATCCATGCAACGCCTTGGCCATCCTTTAGGGCATTAGCTGTGAGCTGAATTCTGGTTCGATTAGATTAAGAAATCAAATGGAGAATAGAACACCTACCCAAGTGCTGTCCTGCCGCTGCCAGGCGGACCCCAGACCTCGGTGACCTGACCGCGTTGGATGCCGCCGAGCGATGCGGGGTTGAACGGGGCCGTATCGAGAAGAATCTTATCTAGTTTTGTTATACCTGTAGATATGGGTTGTGATTTCTCATCCTCAAGCTGCTCTAGAGCCTGTGAGGCATCGATAGGCGGCAAGCGATCTGTAATCCAATACAACAAGTTAGTACATTTGCACACCAAACAACACTTGCAAGCATGTCTTTCTTACGCGTCCCGGTAGTGTCAAAACTTGCAACATCGTGCCCATGAACATCGTGATAATCCATCACCAACCAATCATGTCTACCGTTGCTGCCCTGCTGCAACCTTTTGTATCTTGAGACGTGATTGGCAGCTGCTGGCGTGTTATTGGTGTCGTGAACGGGTCACCTCACACCTGTCCTCACGTGATGGAGAAGAGCACCATGTTCTTCGTTACTTCCGCCGCTGCGTCAAGTATAGTCCACCTAGGTATAAACAAAGATGAATTTTTTAAAAGACACACCCAAAAAGCCGAATCCGCATAACAAGTGTATTCAATTTGAAGCCATCCGATGCATCCGTCAACAGGCGGAAAGGTGGAGGGACGGCGACCATCTGCCCACCCCCCACCGGGCCGCTGATGCATGCTGCGGCTGCGCTGATATTTGGAAACATATAACGTAACGTTTTCTTTGTCCATTGGACGCGGCAACTTATTGACGCCAGCAAAGGTTGTATATTAGACTATGCCATCGATCATCTTCGCCAAACAGGCCCAGAACACCGGTGTGATCGTTCCATTCCGTCTGCCGATGTCGTAAGTTGCGCCTACGCCACGCTTTAATGCTACTGCAGGAATAGAAGTGGCAAGTTTGGTTTCAATGCCACCCACACATGACGCCCTGAATCCTTGATCGATGGTTACCATCGGTCGAGATCGGCAGCTGCCTAGCATAGCCGACCGTATTCCGTGCCGCCGCCGACTCGGCCCATAAAGGTCGCATTTCGTAATGAGATCATCCCCGCCTAGCCAATCGCTTCTTGCTATTCACCATCTGACTGCTGTCACTTGTGCCATCTTGTACTTATGCTCCAGTTCCCTCAACTATTGTACGTAAAGGAAACCGTTCATCCGGTTATACAGGCACGTCCATGTTGGCGAATACAATCCGGTAGCCATCCGGATCCTCAAAGGTCTTGCCATGCATATCCCAGTATGGATTGAAGCTGGTTACCGGTGCAAAGCCGCACGTCTGCATCCGCTCAATAGCTAGCTGAAAATCTTCCTCTTTTGGAAGGTAAAAGATGAGCAGGTTGTCGGCTGTAGGCGCGCGTCCCGCTTTATGGCCGTCGGCAGATGTAAACTCAAGATGATAGCCCGCGTTCTTATGACCAAGCATCATGCCATCAAATCCATCATGGCCATTAAAACGAAAGAGTAGGTCAAAGCCGAGGCCGTCTCGATAGAACGGCAAAAGTGCCTCAAGATTATCGGAGGGACGGGCGATCCGGAGGTGTGCCTTCGCCACTGACATTGTGATACCGATATTAATGTGTGTTCCTGCCTGGTTGCTCTAGAGTGCATATATTGGGTAGAAAGGGTATTAAATCCGCGACAATAAGTCTTTTTTCGTTTTTGTTTTTTGCGGTTGGCATGCGGCTGCTTTTTAACCTTTATGTAAGTGTCCTCGGTGCTCGGTACTCGGTCACTGGTAACGGACTTTGTCTTCGGCCTTGACAAATTCAAGTATCAAGGTCTTTCTCATAACTACAATCGATTGGGTGTCATCCTCGAAAATCAATCGGCACAAATACGTTTTCTGGTGAGCAATAATAGTATACCGGTATACCCGTCAAAAGCTATTTGGGGGTATCGGCATGGCTTCTGTTGGGGATGTCCCAATATCATTGTGCGGGATGGGATGCAACACACGCAATCAAGACATGCTTGATGTATGCAACCCATTCGGCCGGAAGTCTAAAAGCCATGCCGCGATAGGTGTAGACCATCCTGCCTGTATTCCAGCTGTGCCCACCGGCGGCAGATCGCTCCCCGCCCCTCTCCAATGCCAGCTGAAGCTCATCGCAGATCGCCGAGATCAGTCACTCGCCGTATATTCTTGAGCCTATAAGGGCAAGTTTTTGGCTGAATGGCAGGGCTATCCTGATGCCTAACAACTTAACCTTAGCCAGCAGTGGTCTATGTGTGGCATTTTGCCTGGTTAGGTCTTGGCGTGTGCAAAGGATTTTGCAATAAGCAATAGGATACCGCCTCTACTGTCTGTGTGGTGTCCCATTCCTGCTATAAGTGACCCGCGATAAGATTTCTGGTGTAAAGGCGGCACCATAGGCAAATCCGCGCAATGGACACCGGTTTTGGAGACACATATAAAAGGTCTCAAGCACGTAATGCATTGTACTTTACGGGGAACCTCCCATATCCCTGACCTGGCTATAGGTGCGGCTGCATTATTGACGCCTGTTATGGAATGGAACAGGGGAGATCTTTCTTTGTAACCTTGCCCAAGCTCCACCCAGCACCAGAAAAGATCGTTGTCGCTCCGGATTTTCAATCTCGGCACAATTAATCGACGTGCCGTACCTCAAAGCTCTGCGGGGACCAGTTGAGCCTTTGTGTCCAGGGCGAGAACTTTTGCAGCTGAGGGTTGACTATCCCAAATTGAAGCCCCCCTTCGTCTTACGGCTTCATGCGGGCGTGACAAGGAGCAATGCTTGCTATCCTCTGTTACCAGGGGCATAATATTATCGCCCGCCACAGCCATGTTTCTTTTATACAGTCTGACTGAGAGTATTGATAGCTTGGTGCCTATCTAGGCTGTTGATTTCTTTTTTCCAGATTCCAGGCCTCCCCGTCAATCGCCAAGTTGTTCCCCAAAAGCCTGGAACGCAGGCGTACAAAAGTTCATCATGCATCATGAATCGTACCCTCTTCCCATCTGACAGTGCCTTTTTCGCCCACTATACCGAGGTGAGCAGGCCATTGTGATTGCGAGGCTTTCAGCGGTCCACATCAAAACGGAGCGCTCCCCATAAAGCACCTTTTTTGCGCCGACGTGGGCGCAATGGCCCCGAAAATGGCCCCGGACCCCCGTATGTTGCGGGGAGCACGGGTGCACGTGGGCTACATATGGCGACAAAAGACGGTTTCCCCTTTCAGACGGACCGGGCTTTCTCGACTCCAGTGAATTTGGCGACGTTACCTTAGTTTCCCTTACAGGAAGGTAAGCGCTGCTATGGCGTGCGCACATGTGAAAAGAATTGGAGAAAGCGGGACAATATCCCAAGCCGTCTGCGCTTGAATCGCTTCAATCCGCCTATCGTTTTACGTGAGCCGTTCCGCTCGGGGTCACACCTGCATCTGGGGGGGATGTTGGAGAATTGGGACACAGCTTTGGTGTGTTTGTTCTCCGCAGCACGATGGGGACCGGCTCATAGAGGAGCTGCGAGCAATGCACCCGGCCGTGGGTAGAGTGAAGGAATTATGCCTCAAAGCCGCCTAGAAATTAGCATTGAGGGGGAGACGCTGTGTAACAATGCTGTTTGAGGCGCCAAAAGCTATGGTTGCAGACAGCAAGAGAATGTCTTTGTCCTCACGGGCAGCCCGTACTGCCAAGTCAGATATCCTGTGCCCCAATTGCCAGGCTTGGCGACGATTTAAGCACTGTGGCGTTTGGTTCAGGCACTGACTGGCGCTACTAGCTGCCTGTTAGTTCGTAGCATTACGCTACAAAATATGTAACCAGACTGGGGTGGCTGGGTCTAGCCCAGCGGCACGCCACTCCAATGACAGGTAGTAGAGCCTTGGCCGTGTTGCATCGAGTTCAACAATGCCGGACCTCCTTCTTCTTCAGTCGATAACAAGTACTTGGAAACAGTACTTTTGATGGTCCGGGATACCAAAACCCACGCAGCCTAGGATATCCATTGTTGCGTGTCCACCGAGTTGGGGCCTCTGACTCGACTTACCCCTCGTGGGCCTACCCTCGATCAGCGTCGATCTGCAACTCTGGGGGAGACTCTGGGGATTGCGACGAAAATGGAAGGCGAGATATCTCTGCCTTCTTCAATGGCCTTAGTCTACTGGAGACACCCGAGTCGGGGTTATTTCTTTGGAGACAATCTCTAGAATATTACTCCGCATCGTTGAGTCGAGATGCTTCGTTCCAGTTGGGCCCCCAATGTGACGACATCTGAAAAGGCAAGAGATAGCAAACAGCCAACCCTCATGACCGACGCCCGAATTCCCAAAAATGACCCATTCTGTCCGTAATGTAGTTTGGGGGGCGTTGTTTTGTTTGTGCGTTGATTCCCTGGGCGTGCGTGGGTGAGGTTAAGACAATGCAAGCTGGGGCAAAAGTTGGGGGGAAGAGGGGGCGCTGTCTACGAGCGCCTCCTTTGCTGATAAGACTCCCGCGCCAGTGAGTGAGTGCTGGCCAGGTGGCAACTGAGCTGGGCACCTGGCGGGGGAGGAATAATCGCCTCTGAGGCAAACGAAAGAAGGACCCTGTATTTAAAAAAGAAAATAGAAAGAAAAAGAAAAGGCAAAATTGCAGGCAAACGCTCTAGTGGCGGCGACAACAACAGCGAAATTTCAGAGGGTCTAATTACAGCAGCGCCATCTGCCAATCTCTTCTCCAAAGTATGCCAGATCAGCGCTGTTGCTGGCGCGGGCAGTGGTTCCGCACTCCCCGTGGGCGCACCCGCAACAGGGCTGCTTGGGCGGCTTTGAGCGGCACTGGGGCGCTGATTAGGTGCTAAGCTGAGGCGCAGTGAGCCTCTGAAGGAGGGGCCGGATCTTAGATCTTGGGGCCCCAGAATTGCCCAAACAGGCTTAGCGCAACCCTCCAAGGGGGTGCGCTCTCTCCGTGCTAAACGTTACGAGATAGCACAGCGATAGCTAAGCGTGTTGGCGAAAGCATCTGTCAGCTTAGGAAAGAAAAAAACAGACGGAAAACTCTATCAAGTTGGGAAGCAGGGGAAACAAGAATAAGTTGTGTGACTCTATCGCCTCGCACAGCGTGGTGCCAGTGGCCCCCTTCCGACATGCGTGCATCTGCATCGGCTGATACTCGCGTCGTTGCGGGCCGATCCTCTCGCTGTCTGGCTCCCTGCGCTCCATCCCCCCTTCCACCGCAAGCTGAATTGCTGCATGGACATTCCACGCACTGCGCGACAGGGGCTCTTGGGGCCGATGTGGGATAATAAGGTGAGACAGGGCGAAAGCCCTTTACGTGGTAATTTTCCACTGTGTCTGGGCTGGTTAAGGGTTGAACGTTGGGCGTCCAATCGGTAGACTAGGAAGGTGCTGATAAGCATGTTTGGAATGCATCCCCAGTTGTGATGTTGTCGCCACTTTACTGTTCCTGCTTTGCCCCAGATATCTCTCACAACATTAGGAAAAAAACACACTATCCATATTCTGTTTCAGGCAGCATGATAAACACTACGCTTGTCCAGCCGGGAGACAAGTTGCTGGTCTCGTACTTGCGCCCTGCGCAGTAAGGAGAGAGCAAGCCCTTGTTGCAACAACGAAACTCGATAGTAGTACATAAGCTTAGTTGGGCCACGAAGTTCTCGGCTGCGGACTAGAGTAGTAACGCAGTGTCGGATGCTGCCTTATGCCCTCGATTAGCTGTTTCAACACGACGCCGACGCCGACGAACACACAAACACCGCTACGGTTGCCTTGATTTGACACGCACACACAGTGGTTGTGGTTCGCTTCATGTGCCACTGCTAAAGATGGTGAGTGGTTCTGCTTGGCTTGTTTCGGAACCTGAACGCTTCCCAATTCCAAACTTGGCAATAGATGAGAGACCCTTCTAATCTGAGCACACCAATCTGACTAGAGGATCAGAAATCGTTGATGGCACATCTACGGTTGATGCGGTGCTCTGCTCGCGTGCCATGTTGAACCATGGTAAGATTTCCGGCCGTCTCCCAGATCTACGGACATGATTGGAATGGGCTAGTGGCCAAACTGTGCCTGGAACAATTGTGTAATAACGCCGTGTATTCGTGGGAAATTTTCCTTACCTGGATCTGACCACCCCACATCGCAGGGGATCGAGCCCGTCCACGGGCAAGCTTGGACGTTTCTTGACGGGAACGAGCTGATAAGCGCAAAAACAAGTACATGTAAGCATCTGGCTTGAAACGAGACTATCCCAGCCTGGTGCCCATTCAGTGGCCAGAGTAGCACACCACAAACCGGAGAGATGCTCAGCACGGCACGACTACGGGGGCCAAGGTGGGCGTTTGGATGGCCACCTGCATCTGTACTCATTCGGCAGATTCTGTGCAGCAGTGGCTGTTGAAGCGGTGATTGCTGGCGAGGTACAGTTGGCATACGAGACAAGAAATATCACAGAAATTAGCCGATGGCTGTTAATACCGAAAATTTGTGCAGGCGGCGCGAAATGCCTGCCCTACAGCGGCGCCTGCTCAGTCGTCATTTCGCAGTGTTAATGGAAAGTATTGGACGAAAGCCAATCACAGGTACGAGACAGGGCACCTGTCCCCTGAGCGTTGAAAATTTTCGTCCTCTTTCCCCATTACTGGGCCACAGCCTGATGGCCAACGTGGGGAGATGGGGCCGAGCGCTGTAAAGGGCAGCCGCCAGCGAGTAATATGCCCTGAGAGTTTCGTTCAGGGCGTCGCCCAGGGGCGCTGGGAAGGCCATTTGCTGGGGAAGGGGAAAAGTCGGAAGGTGCCTAAAGGGAGGGAAAAAAAACTTCGCGGGGGGTGGCCAGAAGCGGGAAAGGCTGGGCGTGGAAGGAGCCTGCTATCTCTGATTTTTTTTTAAAGGAAAAAAAAAAAAAGGCCCCCCGTCACCCCTCTGCCGCTGTGCCGATAGCTGGGGGAATGATGGAGGGGTGGCTCGAAGACGGGGCGTGGCCTGTGGAAGGTACATGCCTCTTCAAGCCGACAAGTACCTTGCTCCAGGCGTTGATGGAAGGTTGCGCGAGCCTCCCCGCTCCACTCCCCCATCCTCCTTTCACGCTCGCAGACCCCAGAGAGTTCTCCCTGAATCACCGCTACCACGCGCCCCTACAGCGCTTCCCCAGGTGTCTCGCACCCACTGGGTCAACCATGCGCAGTGCCCCAGAAGCATGTGCGTGCTCTCCCTGTCCTCTCTGGTCACAGTGGAGAGGCCCCATGGGACCTAGCCCATCCAGTGCTGGTGTACCGAACAGCCCGAAGCTGGGGCAGCCCAAGTTTTTTTTTTCTCTTAAAACCCATTCTTTTCCCCCGTTCCCTCCACATACGAAAAGGCTCTCCCGTTTTTTTCCTACTCCCCAACATCTCCTCGTCCACACTCTTTTCCCACAAGCAACTACAGAAACCTCGACTCGTTTTTGTATTCTCGACCTGTCCACCACACTCGAGATACTCGACTACTAGATTTGCTGGATATCCTCTCCTCTACTGGACTCCTCGTCAACCACGTCCGCCGGCAGCTATCACATGCAATAGTGCTGCAGCAACAAGACGTCATCCCACTCATTGCACAAATCTTGGACATCGACTCTACAGCCATGTCGTCTGCGTCCGTAACAGTTATCAAGCCCAACGGGCCACTGCCTGGTGCCCAAGCCGAAGGCAACTCTAACGAGCTCCCTCGTCCTTACAAGTGCCCTCTGTGTGACAAGGCCTTCCACCGCCTCGAACACCAGACTCGACATATCCGAACTCACACCGGAGAGAAGCCCCATGCCTGCCAGTTTCCTGGCTGCAGCAAGAAGTTCTCCCGATCTGACGAGCTTACTCGCCACTCGAGAATCCATAACAACCCCAACTCGAGAAGAGGCAACAAGGGCCAGCAGCACCAGTCTCACAACCTTCACCAGGGTCTGCCCCCTCACATGCACTCTGAGGGCCTGATGCCTCCTCCCCCTCCCAAGGCTATTCGTTCTGCTCCTACCTCGACTCTCGGATCTCCTAACGTGTCCCCCCCTCACTCGTATGCTTCCTTTGCTACGCCGCACTCGTCTGTCCACCACTACAACCGCTCTGGTGACATTTCGATGCTGGCAAAGGCCGCCACTCAAGTCGAGAGAGAGAACCACCACAGACACCACCCTTACTATAGCTCTGGACTTCCCGCCCCTCGTGGTAACCCTGCTGGACTCTCTTCTTACCACATGGCGAGATCACACTCTGGTGAAGACCACGATGACCACTACCACGGAGCCCTTCGCCACATCAAGAGATCGCGTCCAAACTCTCCCAACTCGACCGCTCCCTCTTCACCCACGTTCTCGCACGATTCTCTTTCTCCTACGCCTGACCATACACCTATTGCAACCCCGGCGCACTCTCCTCGTCTTCGCCCCTTCTCCGGCTACGAGCTACCTAGCTTGCGTAATCTGTCTCTGCACCACAACACCACGCCTGCGCTCGCTCCTATGGAGCCTCACCTGGAGACCCCAATGTTCCCTCCCACACTGCACCCTACTGCTCCCCGCAGCAATGGCATCTCGCTGACTGACATTATCAGCCGCCCTGACGGCAACCAGCGCAAACTCCCGGTCCCACAGCCTCCCAAGGTTGCAGGACAGGAAATGGCCACTGAGGGTGCCTACCACGGAAACAGCGGCCGAAGCTCCATGAACAGCAGCCTCAACGGCGTGGATATGATGGACCGTTCTTAGACGGGACCACCCTACTCAACTATTTCTACATGACATTACGAAACCAAGCTTAGACGGATAGACAGAGATTTGGCGTTTTGGTTCTTTTTAATACAAAAAAGGGGAAGTCCAGAGTTGGAGGGATATGGAGCACCGACTTTGCTCAGGACTGGTGCTTGAGCAATACGGGCTTCATCTGGCAGCAACGGATTGCTTTTTCAAGGAAAATATTATGGCGAACAAAGGCATTGCATACGGGGATTTCCACATAGATTATACGCATTTCGCCATGAGCGGATGAGACAATTGTTCATGTTCTTATTACTTCTTACCACGCTTGCATCGCTTTTCACTTTATTGTTCTAGGGAAGGAAGTTAATTTTAGCTGTATGTAATACAGAAACCCTGGGGAAAACCAGCTCAACTCAATACTCAATACAATTTTAATCCACTATTCACACAACATGCAGGCCAGCGTTTCATTCTCAGCCAACGCCGCCTGACGCCATCTGCAATGTGACAGAATGACTTGAAAAAGAAGTACGACTAGCTAGCTGACCAAGACAGATACAGGCGCACCTCCTACTAGAGTACGACTATACTTGGGTGCTAAGGCCTCTGCACGACGTGTTTACCCGTGGGGTACATGGAGGCTGGTGCGGCACTGACGCCGCCGTTGGGGAGCTCAGCCAGCCCAGAGTCAGAAGAGTCTGGGGCAGGGGCGGTATTGTGGAGGTGGTGCTGGGCATGACGCCAGCGTGCCAGCATTTAGGCGTGATTGAGGAGAATTGGCCACGGCGCCTCACGGACGCCCGCCAGTTGAGCCGAGAGCAGGCGAGCAACGGCAATGACGGCTGTTGAAGCGAACCGGGCGAGCTCCGAGGGACCGTCTGCGAGCCACACCGGGTATTGCGCGAGCAGGCTAGACAGGGCTGTGTTCTGCTAGCGAGGTCCTTTGATGGCTGCGCTTGTGCTCTATTACGTACATTCCCAGCACTGGGACGAAAACAAAAAGACATTCAAGCCATTTCGAGCCGGTGTTGGCTACAGCGGCTTGGCTACGACGGGTTGGCTACTTGCGGCTACTCAACATGGGGCTGAGTCAATGGAGGTTTATCATGCTAGAGGCTAGCAGCAGGCCCTGGTGCTGTAACGCGCGAGATTTAGGCGGCCAGTGTGCGATAAGGCGGAGAAATTCCATGAAAATAAGCCCGGGGCTATAACACCCCAGTGGGCTTGGTTTACAGTGGATATGTTACATTCAAAAACACAGCACTTTCCCCTTGTTTGACAAACCGAGAGCGCCAGGGCTGGCGGTCGGCTCGGGCACATATGGTCTTGGGCGCAATAGTAGGCGAGGCTGAAGAGAAAACAAGACATCATCTTGCATCCCATGGCTGGAACAATTTTACATTCACCGCCAAAACAAGACGGTTGTGCGCCAGTCGCAGCGTTGGGCGAGCGAGTAGGCGCATTTGATTGGTGGTGGTGGTGTGTAAGCCGTGGTGGTTGGGCTGATGAGCGCGGGGTGATGGAAAAGGAGGGGCAGAGTTGATGCGGTATCTAAGATTTGACATCTTGAGAGCAGAGAGAGGCCAGGTGTGACGCTGAAAAATTTTTCATCCCGCAGTTGACGCTGCGTAAGAAAAATGGTGTTTGGTGAGGATGGCGCACTGCGAGGGAATGACACAGGAGCTCCATGGCACTAAAATGAGCAGCTAACGAGGCAGGAGCGGGGGAGGGGCGTTCTTTTCTTCTCTGAAGTGAGCACGTTTTCTTCTTGTTTATGTGGTCGTTGTCTACAGAGGAATAGAAGGCATCACGCATAAGAGACTGAAGTTGGCAGTCAGTATATTTTGCGCACACAATTCTGGGGGAGAAATCCGCCAGTGGCTGCCTCAGGTTGACCCCCAAAGAGCGGGAGACTGACAGGCAGTGAGTGGTGTTAGTGATTGTGATTCGCACATATGCAAGCCTGATGGTGGGTTACATTGTCGGGCCCTGCAGAGAGGGCTTTGCAAAGGCGGCCGTGGCTGGTCTACCCAGTTGTGTAGGCTTGCGTGGGGATCGCATCTGAGCGTGCTCAAGAAGGAATGCTCTGTGGCCTAGGACAAATTGCAAGGCGAGCAGCCACTGTGAAGAAGAAGGAAATGGGCAAGGAAAAATGTATGACGACAGTGAGGGTCTCTATACCAGATCGAGCGATGAACTATTGATGTTAGCTTAGAAGATGGAGCACTTTGGTGTAGAGAAGGATGCACGCATAAGCCCCCACGCCGAACTAGCCGGCCAAAACAACACTGTAAGAGTCGACAGTGGTTAATCAATTTGGAAACTTCTATTGCTTACCCTTAATCCAAGGCAAATATGAAATGAACAACGGGGATAAGTCAAACACTAGTAGCGCAAGAGCCAGCAGTCCTTGCGAATATTGATATCAGCGGCGAACGACGGCGGCGTTATCCGCTGTCGTATGCCCAAGCATCCTTTGCGTGCTATGACGCCTTTCATTTGGCGGGTGGCTTGCGCTCTCTTTCTGACGAGCTTCATAGGGGGCCCGATGTTCGGAGGCTAAGCCATACCAGACCGTCCAGCATAAAGCAGGCCATATGCGACATTGCCAGAATGGAGTACAGCGCACGGGGATTGCCTACCTACCGCGCTCTTCGACCCGTGATTGACACTGGCATTTCCATGGTTGGAAAAGGGAAGCAGATCCGATCAGAGGGTGTGAAGCGCAAGGGTGTGGTGGGTGACCCCCGTATAGGAAGCTGAATTCAGCGTTCCGACTGGTATCTGCTGGTGCAGTTTCCCTTTGTGATTGTCAGTGTGACTGTGTCGGATTTTCACCTTGCATAGTGATGGTCTTGAAATAGAAACATGCTGTTGTTGGTGACAACGCTACCGTAACGCGGAGTCGCAGTGGTTACTAGAAGCGTCCAGCTCAGTAGCGTGTTTCAAGGCTCATGCAGCTCGGCTCTGCAAGAACAGACAGGAAAGACGAGTATCGAACCAGCACGAGCAGCAATTACTTGCAGCTAGACCCTTACCTGCCGGCGAGCAGTTCTAACGGCCTTGGGGATTCTGACGAGGAGAGCAGCAGGTGTGCATCGCAATAGGCAACGCCGCACTCGTGGCTCAAACTCTGTTTACTTATCAGGCCAGATACAGAGGCTGGAACACCGAATTGCTTGCTCCATGATCATCTTCCCCGCCTTTGTAGCAGCAAATCACCGACGAGCAAGGTGTTAATCGTAGCCTCAAGACGTCTGGGAAGACACCCCACGGCGATAAACCGCTGCAACCATAGCTCCCGGCAGTTGGACGGTGTGGGGGTGGGTCTTGCTTTTTTCTTGGGGGGGACCACCACTGAAGAGGTGCTGATAGCGATTGCATTCCAGCGGCTGCCTGGCACTCTTAGTTGAGTTGACTAGCGCTAACATCACCTGTGGCATGTGAATGTGCCTCTTGTCTTTGAAGAGCCAACATAGGCTGAAAAGGCGGCGTCATTTTGTTCCTCTCAGCCTATTATTCTATGTTGTCGGCCCCCGTTGGCTTGTTTGTGCATTGGTGTGAATCAGACATGGCTTCAGGTGGCTGAATGGCTGGCTGTTAGCCAACCCATGAAGTTTTGCTCTGGCTGTCTCTGTATCTCGGACCTACGACCTGTAACCGTGATGAACAGCAGCAAACACTACGACAACATATAAAAAAAAAAGTCAAATCAATTTTTCTGCCTACAACAACCTTCCGGGAAAGGGATAGCACGAGAGCTATGCCCGAGACTATTGAAGCCACGTCCCTACGCATACAAGATACAAACACGCAGAGAAGCTTCTGGTAGCGATCCGCTGGCAGGACGGACTAGCTGCGGCGATCGACACTTTCTACGAGCAGCGCCGAGTAGGCCGATCCGAGCAGAATAGGAGGCACGGCGGAGCAGCCTTAGATTTACCCCGGCCACTCAACTCCACATCACGGGCGCCGTGTGGTTGAGGTGCGTGCGTACAAGATGCACGTGTACCACACCATGGGATGATGGATGGATGAGGGCTTGGGGTGAGGATAGAGAGCGTGGATTTTTGCCTATGCGCGGCGTTCCAAGTTTTTTTTTTCGTTTAGTATTGTAAAGCCGGGGGCAGAGCAATCAGTGACTCAACAGATTGTGTACGCTATGCTGCCTGTTCCGTACTGCGTGTTCGTTCTGGTAAGGCCTACCAGTACAGTATAGCATCGGACGCTACTGCGCTGCGCCGCCCCGACGGATTTTACAACGGGGGCCGGCGGCTTGGCCCTGCGGCGGTGCTGCTGGCTGGTGGTGCCCATCGGCGTCGCCGACTCGGCCCGGCATCCCAGGAAGCACTCTCATCACACATGTCTACTTACTGCACGCATCCTTGCGGTGCTGGCCCCGCTGTAAATTGCAGGCGGAAACAGGGCCGTCGTTTCAGGGGACCTTAGGGGATGTGATGCAGGGCTTCAGGGGCATAAGCTAGGGGACCAGCGGCGGCCGTCAACCGCGCTACAGGGCAATATTGCAGTTGCAACAGCGCAAAGCATGCTTTGATTGCTCCAAACTCGGCGCTTCTCATTTTGTGTTTGATGACGCGTATGCACGGTCTTGTCTCCTAATTTCCATTGCTTGCCAATGGGTATTGTATACTACGATGGATGTATTCTTACGTCTTCTTGTTTTTGCCATGGTACGATATCACAAGATAGTCAACAAAAAAAAGCTTTCTTTTTCTATCCCCGTGTTGTTCGTTCGGACTTTTTAACCTGGGGTGCAGCACAAACTTAGGGCGCTGAGGCCACGTTTCGGCGTCTGCCACCCCCAGAAGTAACCAAAGTCCGGGGTTTGGTCTCGATAAACTCTGCCAAGCTTTGCCTGCCTGGCTGCGCCAATGCACTAAAAAAGGAGACAGCAGCAGGTACTTGGCGGGCGCCGCAGACAAAGTACCTGGGCCCAAAGCCAGTTTAGCTGTAGGCGGCGTTTGAGAAGACTGTGGAAGCGAATCGCCATCTGTGAGATTTGCTACGCAATGGAACGATTTTTATTTTTCTGCTTGTTTTGCAGCACAATTCCTTTGGTGGTTCTCGCCCACAGTATTGTAGGAACCCGCTTGGCGAATTCGTATTCTTTTTTCCTTGTTTGCTTGCTTGCGGCTGATTCGTTTGCCCTGTGCGATCCTCCGATATCCGTGGATAAACGTCGCGCTGGGGAACCGCCGATCTGCTATACCAATTGCTGCCTATAGCAGGCAGGTCCGCCTGTAGAGGGCCCATCAAGGTAATATTTTTTTGCGCGAAGCCTCACTCAACAGGAAAGCAACGGCGTACGACGATGGCGTGATTTTTTGCAACTATTCTCGCTTGCTTTCCGCCTCTTTACTTCCAAAGTATTAAGCGAAACAGATGATACATGCACTGGCAACTGCCAATGTACTCCTCTCGTCTCACTGGAATTATTATTACCGGACAGGGACACGACATTTTAATCAACCGCACGCACATATCCCCGGACAGGCACCGTCAGATTACTTGCTACGTTGCACCCGTCACCACCGCTGAAAGTTTTCTCTCGGCGGCGATTCAGTGCCCTAGCCATAGTGCCTTATCAGCCGCTAGCCAAAGTGGTCTGGGGTGTCCCCAGAATAAAAAAATACGAATAAAAAAAAAAATTCTGCCTGTCCCCAGAAAAAGAGCGGGGCGAGGGTTAACGGTACACGCCCTCCCTTGCTCTGCCCCCTAAGCCCACTGTAACGAGCAAGTTACAGCGCCTCTACAGCGTTCGTTAGCGGCCTGTAGCGGCCCTCTTCACCGGGCGCTTATCTGACATTTCGCCGGGGCAGAGCCGCCTCGGGGACTCTCGGAATGCCGCATCACTTGCCCGAATTGGCGTTTGTTACCGTAATGATTAGGTTGACGATGTGCTGACTTTGCTTCTAACACAGTCAGCATCCCCTATATCATAGTCTGTTTTCGTCTGGAACATCTGGTTGCAGTGATCGTATCGGTTGATCCGTTGTACAATATGGGGAAGTGGCTGGCTGGATTAGGTTACCTTGGCCTGACCTTTGTACGCACGTAGACTTCAACATAGAGCCAGCAGTATGCTTGTTATATGATATGTATGCACGATATGATCGATATACTGGATTCGGCAGGACGTGCAGACATGATGTCTTACTTCGCCTGGTCTAATCCTAGCATGTCTGGCGAGGATACTGTTGCATTGGCGCCGTTGGGTGCAACTTTGTGATAAGCGAGGTGGGAGTCGTGGTAGTTGGCGGTCGAAACCGCGGCAAGATGGTAGATGCATCTATAGATATGGTATCATAGAAATCTGAAAACAGCCCTTGCCTGATTTCCAATGTACGCCAATGATGTAGCGCGTTTGATCGTTATGACTGGAAATGGCATGCTTCCTTGCAGACGCGAACTAGACAAAGGGTGTGTGTTGAGAAGATGGCTAAATACCAGGTTTATGCAAAAGTCAATATAGTATCATGATGCCATGGTAGGGATCATATTGTCCGATATATGACAATGGCTAATTTAAGTCACCCATGTACATACTAGAGCTTTGCCCGCGTAGCCTCGAATGGAGAATCGTATGACTTCGCCAACTTGACCTGACATCACCTAATTCAGGCTATTGCTCAAGGCTAAAATGCATCATTTGTTTGAACCTATGTTGACCATTTGAAAAAAAGACTATGCTAGTCGCCAAGTATGCTACTGCGTAAGCTGCCACCCAAAAAGGTGGCCAGGATCATGCTCCATGCCAATTCCTAGCTCCTATCCCATGTCATCTTGTTATAATAAGTTACATATTGTACAATTGGATATTTCATCCAGAAAGCTTGCACCGCAAGGCCAGCACCGGGCGATGTGACAAAGCCGAGAGAAGGCATGCTAACCCCAATTGACCCCAAAGAAACTCAGCTTCTTCTTGCCAGCACCGCCAGCTTCAGCATTTTCGAGGTAGATTCTATCATGCCCCTTGACGTCCACAAACAGGTATTTGTATTCGTAATCGGAGTGGCCCTTGGGTTTAACCATGTGTAGTTGAGCCGTGCCATTGTTCAACGGGCCGTCGACGTGGAAGTGCATAATCAAATGCTGTGTTCCATATTGATCGGTCTTCTCTGAAGCAGCCAGAGGGCGTGCTCGTCGCCACTTGTTTGCTGTCTCGTCTCCATGGGCAATAATCTTTCGCGAGTCGCCAAATAGCTCGGCGCAGCGAGGGTCCTTTTTGATCTTGTCGATTGCGCGGTTGAAGTGGGCAGTTCGGCTATCGGGAGAAAACACGTCGGTCCAGAGAAAGTATCCTACTCCGCCCTATATAACGATTGTTTGTTAGCCTATATCCATGGGAGCTGCGATGCTGTATAAATCGACGCGGCAAAACGTACAGTGAGCACGAGACCAACAGCGACCATGCCAAAGTTGAAGCTCTGCTGTGTGGCTCGCGCTGCCTTCTCGCCGGCAGATAAATCTGTCCACGGAACATAACCGTCATCGTTGAATGGCGTTACGCTTCGGCGTCTTGATTCTGGTGATGTCGAGCTGCTGGTGTTGCTGCTGGATTGGTTCGTCGTGGCGTAGCTTCGCGCCGCGGCGCATGTTCGAGGCACAGATGCATGGGCCAGCTGGGCAATCGGGCGAGCCGCAGTCAAAACGGGATTGAGCTTCATTGTCGATGCGCGTGCAAATCGGATTGTGATTAAAGTGCACAAACGAGTCGGTGGATATGGAAATCTACACACTGAGAAATTGTGACGTTGATGGGATCAAGCCCCACAGCTCGCCATTGGCTGGCGGAAGATTAGCTAATCCAAGGAGAGCTGAATCAACGGCCGGGCCATCGGGACGTCTAGTAAAAGGCAAATGGTGTAATAATTCAAAATATATTCCATTTAAAATGTATTGAAGAGAAAATATGCATCTCAGTGGAATTGAAACACTATTGTGACTGCAAAGGCTGTCTGTGCCCATACATTAGACTTTTCGTGAACATGTCGGAGTGTGCCCCGCAGTGAAGCACTTAGCCTGTCCCTCGGGCATTTCGACACGTTGCCCCCCTTTTGACACGGTGAACTCGTATCAAATCCATCACCCACGCCTGCGCTGCTGCAAATTCTGGCACGCTTCTACAGCACACTGCGCATCGAACTCGACTATCGAATTTCAACTTTACAATAACGCAAACGAACGCGCGCGCGCGAGAACCGGCAAAATGAGTGGCATGGCGACCAAGCAAGAGTCGCTCAAGATCTTTGAGAAACTCAAGACGAAGCCAGCAAACAAGGTAAATCAAGGACATGCATGCGATTGTATTTGAGTGACTTTGTGCTGACCAGGTGATTTCGCGCTACGCTAGACTTGCTTCGATTGTGGACAGAACAACCCTACCTGGACATCCGTTCCCTTTGGCATCTATGTGTGCCTCGACTGTTCGTCAAACCACCGAAACCTGGGTGTCCACATCTCATTCGTCCGATCCACGAACCTCGATCGTATGTATTTCGATAATCTCGACCATGCTAGTACAATGCGCTAATCACAGGACTGTTAGAATGGCAATGGGACCAACTGCGAGTGATGAAGGTTGGTGGCAACGAGTCCGCCACCAAGTTCTTCCGCCAAAACGGAGGCACTGCTGCTCTCAACAGCAAGGACCCCAAGACCAAGTACCAGTCCAGCGCCGCTACCAAGTACAAAGAGGAACTGAAGAAGCGCGCTGCCAAGGACGCACAAACGCAAGTTCTCTGTGAAAGCACCGATGACGTCCACTGCTGACCGCCTCTAGATACCCCGACGAAGTTGTCATCAACGATGGCGTCGAAGACGGCTCATCGACTCCCGCTGGAGAACCCGAAGACGACTTTTTCTCCTCTTGGGATAAGCCAGCCATCAAGCGACCGACACCTCCCATCTCTCGCACCGCCACGCCTCCTGTTGTTGGCCGCACTCCCTCCCCCTTTATCAATGCACCCAAGGATGGCGCTCGCTCTGCCTCTCCTTTAGCCAAGTCCGAATCTGCCGGTGACGCTAAGCCCACTGGTAAGGTCATCACATCGTCTCGTCTCGTCAAGAGCACTACTGCTGGTGGTGCAGCTCGCAAGACCAATGTTCTTGGTGCTAAGAAGGCCACCAAGCTGGGCGTCAAAAAGGTTACTGCTGATGCCATCGACTTTGATGAAGCCGAGAAGAAGGCCAAGGAGGAGGCCGAGCGCATTGCAAAGCTCGGATACGACCCCGAAGCCGAAGAGGCCCAGGCCGAGGCTACATCTACATCTGCCGCCACCATTCTCTCACCAACTCCCCTCAGCCCTCCCAAGTCTAGCACTGCTCAGACCAGCCAAAAGTCTAGTGCGGATGCGGAACGTTTGGGCATGGGTATGGCCAGATTGGGCTTTGGCCAGATCGGTGGCCCCAAGTCGTCTGCTGCACCCGCTAAGAAGAACACTGGCGGATTCGGATCGGTTGGCCCCGTCAAGGCCGCCCCTGAAGGTAAGTCAATATTGGAAAGCAATGAATGGCAAGACTCGTTTACTAACTACTTTGCGAATTATAGAGGAGTCCAGCACCTACGCCCGCTCTACGTTTGGTAACCAGAAGAGCATCTCGTCGGATCAGTACCACGGAAGGGGTGAGTTTGATCCCTCGGCTCAGTCCGAGGCCAAGACACGCCTTCAGGGCTTCGAGGGAGCCACCGCCATCTCGTCCAACGCCTACTTTGGACGCCCCGAGGAGGAGGAGGAAGAGGATTATGGAGACATCGAGTCTGCTGCCAAGGACTTTGTCCGCAAGTTTGGTATCACTGCCGGTGATGATCTTGAGAACCTGTCCAACGTTCTTGGCGAGGGTGCTACCCGTCTGCAGGGCGCCATCCGATCCTACTTGGGCAACTAGATGGATCCTTTTTCAGCAGTTTACTGGATGCATCGTTTTTATGGTCTTTCTTTTATTGCGTGCCGCTGCAAACAGGTCTCGAATCACGTTGGAATGGACAACGGCCGGCGAATATTACTGTTAATGGGTAGAGGGAAGGCAGCTAGCTGCAGGAGGACGATTGTTTTTTCTTTTTTTTTTTTTGCCTTTTAATTTTTCCCAATTTTTCTGGTTGGCATGTATGGCCGGCGCATCGGGGGCGCGGCTTGGAACTGGTTAGAGGGGACGGGCGTCAATAGTCGCAAAAAGCTATGATTTCCTTTGTGTGAAGCATGAATAGACAAGCAAATACCAATCCCATCTTTGGAATGAAGCTGATTTCTGTATGTAAATATGCTCTCCGTGGACAGTGCTTATGTAGTTTAGGGGAGTGGAGGAGGTTGGCGCTGGATGAAGCATGTGAAGATGCACAGTGGAGCACGCCATGTGTACAAACAAGCAAGCAAGTAGAGCGAGCGAGTTGAGTGTAGCAACTCTGGCGCGTGGTGGTAAATTTACTAATTTATATAGGACACGTAATTGGTAGCGTGCGAGACGGGTGATGTAAATTTGGTTATGTATAAAGTCATTCAAGACGCTATATAATCTACATGGGAGGATACAAAGGAAATGCGTAAATTCAAGCAAAAACTCCAACGGCACCGCCGTTCTTGCCGCGATTCATTTTGATAAGGTGACATTTTGAGTCGTGGGCATGAGATGTAGAGAGAAATAGGAGGGGAATAGTAATACGGGGCGGAGGAGGTGCATTTAGAGCTTGGCAATCATGGCGTTGCCCTGCTTGATGACCTTGACGGCATCACCGACGAGCTCGTCAACGACGGCCTTGGCGGACTTTTGCTCGTTGACAACAGCAGCGCACTTGCCCATGAGGAAGGGGCGGAAAGCCTCAAGAGGGTCGTCATCCTCATCGTCGCTGAGGTTCTGGATGCCAACCTTGGCGGCGAGCTCCTTGCCACCATCATCGGCGTTGAGGAACTTGTCGAGATCAGCCTCGTAGGGGATGGTGCCCTTGGCAGCGAGCTGCTTCATCTCGGCCTGACGCTCAGTCTCCCAGTTGTTGATGTAAGGGTTGTTGCGAACGCGCATGGGACGGCCGGTGAAGATGATGGTGCGGATGTTGTCGTCGTGGCCAGAGGTGCGGACAGCCTCCTTGTGGGCGCGGGGAGCGCCGGCCTCATCGGTGAGGATGAAGCGGGTGCCGACCCAGACGGCGCTGGCGCCCATCATGAGAGCAGCGGCGACAGTCTGGCCGTTGGAGATACCGCCGGCAGCGACGACCTGGACGGGGCCGCCGGTGAGGGGAGACTTGTGCTTGTTGCAGATCTCGACGACGGCGGGGATGAGGACAGTGGTGGGGATGTCACCGGTGTGGCCACCACCCTCACCACCCTGGGCGCAGATGATGTCGACGCCAATGTCGAGGCACTTCTTGACGTGCTTGACGTGGCCAATCATGTTCATGTAGAGAATGCCGTGCTGATGGAGCTTATCGACAATCTCCTTGGGGGGGACACCGACGGCAGAGACGAAGACCTTAGCGCCGGACTCGATGATGATGTCGACGAGCTCGCCGAGCTTGCCCTTGGTGTAATCGTAGCTATAAAATAGATGGTTAGCTCAATGCTTCTTTTTGTTTTGTAATCAAATGCTAGGCTGAAGAAATCTGTGGCTGCGTCACGTTGGCCGCTGCTTGTTTCTGTCACATGCCAGAGCCAGAGCCGGAGCTCACGCAGAAAACACACAGACACAGTCTTTGCGAGCGAGCCGAAGCGAAAAAGAAAAAAAAACTTACTTGGTCTTGCGGGCGCTGCCACCGACCTGGGGAAGCAACAGATCGACACCGAAAGGAGCGTTCTTGTCGTCGAGGTAGCTCTTGAGCTCAGCAATCTGCTCGCGCAGCATCTCGGGGGTGTAGCCGACACCACCGATGACGCCGAGACCACCGGCGTTGGTGACGGCAGCAGCCAGTCTGGGACCGGCAGCGACGTTCATGCCGGCGAGCAAGACGGGGTGCTGGATCTTGAAAAGATCGGTGAGGGGAGTGCGAAGCTGCTCTGCATTTGTGGGAAGACTCTGGTTAGTTTGTTGTTGCGTTTGCGAGAAACGGAGAGAAAAGGAAAAAGGCCGTGAGAGGGAGAGAAGGCAGTGCAGTGTAGCGCAGTGTCAAACTTACGAGGAGAAGCCATTGTGAATGAATGGGATTGTGATGAGGAGGTCAAGATGATGAAGATGGAGAGAAAGAGAAAGAAAGACACAAGTGAGAAGCGGAGAGAGAGGAAGGAAAAGAGTAATAAAGAAATCAGGAAAAACCCCACGAACGACGAGCGGGAATCCCGTGGGCGCGGCGACACTGCAAAAACAAGCCGAGGCACGTTTTCGGAGGACCCAATGCGGGAATTAGTGGGGCGAATCGGACTTTGGAATCCTGGGGTAGCCGAGGGCCAGTTTGGAAGCGTCGTTGCGAGCCAAATTTACAGTGGGCTTACAGCACAGCTTAGAAGGGCTGGGGCGCTGTAGCGCCCACTAACTCCAACCCAGCTGAGGAGGGGGAAAGCGGAGGGCCGGAGAGTAAGTTTGGCGCGGCCGGAGAGAGCGGGTGCGGGGGAGAGAGCCACAGTCACGAGGAAATCTTTTGAAGAGGACAACGGTGGTCCGAGAATTACGGGAAAAAGCTGACAGATTGACTGGGGTTGGGTTTGAGGTTATTTTTGATTATGGTACGTTTTGGTTTATTTGGCGGTCGTTATGTTATGTTTTGCCCGTTGCTAATTACAGGGCATACATAGACAGCTGTCACAAGCAACGCGGCTGCTGCACTCACTGTAATCAGATGCAGTGGTAAGCCAGCTATAGCAGCTTAAAACGGCGTTTTTAGCACCTCCCTTCCTCCCCGTAGCTTATAACGTTAGTAAGTAATGTGGCGTCCCAGGCTTTCCCCCTGAATACGCATGCACTCTGCTGTACTGTCCTGCGCTGTACAGCAGACTTACCATACAGTACAAAGGGACACGAAGGTTAAGCATCATTCCGGGGGACGCCACCACCAACCAGCCACTGTAACCGTCATCATAGGCGAGCAGCGCCAAGTACACGCAGCTGTCGCAAAACAACCCTTTCCCACTGTCGGCTTGCGGCAATTGCCCGCGGCCCTTCATGTGCCGACTCGGTGCTTGCTTTCTTATCAATCTATTCTCTGCTGATGATCCAATCTAATCCTGACCTGTCGTTTTTTCTTTCTTTTTGTTTCCTCTTGAAATTGACTACTTCCGTGGTACCTGTTCTGTAGCTCGCCCTACGCAGCCTTGTAGTCCGCTGTAGCTTCCTGCTCTCAGCACTGTACGTACTCTGCTTACAGTGTGACTGGTACTGCTGCCCGTGCCTGTGCCTGTTGTGCTGTAACCCCACGTAGAACCCCCAACACAACGTGCTCCACGGAAAAATCTCCAAAGCTCATGCGGCAGCAACAGCAAAATCCCAATTTAGTTAGCAACGCCGACGCCCACGCATTGGCTCTGCTGCTTCCGAGGCTGTAGCACACGCGGCTAGTTTCTCATCTCTTCTTCCCTTTTTTATCTTACCATGCACCGCATCGCAGCGTCGTCTCGGTCCGCTGCTCGGGCGCTCCCGAAACAGCTCTCCAGCCTGCCTAAAGCCTCACAATGGGGTGCTAACTCGACGCGACCTCTCACCGTGGCCGCTTGCCGACAAACCTCAAGAAGACCAGTCGTAGCTTGCAACACACAGCTCTCGCTTCGTCGCTATGCAGGATGCGGATGTCGCGGCGCCAAGCGCACCACGACCGCCTACATCGCACTGGGCAGCAACATGGGAGACCGTGTGGCCGAGATTGAAAAGGCGTGCAGAGAGATGGATAAGCGAGGCATCAAGGTCACTAGGACAAGCAGTCTGTGGGAAACAGCTCCCATGTACGTCACGGACCAGGACCGCTTTGTCAATGGCGCTTGTGAGGTACGTCTTGGTCTCTTCTAAACAGGTACAAATACAACATGCTAAACTACGAGCGTCTTGTACAGGTCGAAACAGAACTCGAGCCATTGGCCCTTCTCGACGAACTCCAGGCCATTGAAAACGAAATGGGACGACACAAATTGATCGACAAGGGCCCTCGCAACATTGACCTTGATATATTGATCTATGGCGACGAGGCTGTTTCCCACCCACGCCTCAACATACCCCATATCGGAATTCCAGAGCGCGAGTTTGTCCTGCGGCCTCTTGCAGAGTGAGCCTCTCTCTTACGGGCCAAATAAGGCATAACACTAATCCATTACCTCAGGCTCATCCCTTCGAAACCCCTCTTTGCGTCGAATCCGTGGAAGCTTGTCCAAGACTACCTCAACGACCTCCCCGCCGCCGAACCGCTATCATCCATCACACCTCTCTCATCGACCCAAAAGCCGCTTACGCCTCTCTTCCACACCAAACGAACAAATATTATGTCCATCCTTAACCTTACCCCAGACTCCTTTTCCGATGGTGGTATCCATTCCCCCGCCACCATCACCGACGCCGTAAGAGAGGCCGTCCGCGCCGGCGCCACTATTCTCGACATTGGCGGCCAGTCAACCGCCCCCGGGCGACCCGAAGTCACCGCCGAGGAAGAGCTGTCTCGGGTACTACCTGTCGTACAGCTCATCCGCTCGCTTCCTGAGTGCAAGGATACTGTCATCAGCGTCGATACGTACCGCGCCTCCGTTGCCGCACAGGTCCTGGAGCACGGCGCCGACGTCATCAACGACGTCTCGGCTGGCACGCTCGATGCGGACATGCTCCCGACTGTTGCTCGCCTAGACAAGACGATATGTCTGATGCACATGCGCGGGACTCCTCGAACCATGTCCGATCTCACCGCCTACCCGGACGGCCTCATCCCGACTGTCGCAGCTGAGCTCCTAGACCGTGTCGCCGCCGCGGAAGCTGCAGGCATCCGCCGCTGGCGCATCATCCTGGACCCTGGTATTGGCTTCGCCAAGACGACAGACCAAAACTTGGAGCTCCTTCGCCGCCTAGACGAGCTGCGCACATGGCCGGGTTTGGAATCCCTGCCCTGGCTCGTTGGAGCAAGCCGCAAATCTTTTGTGGGCGCCGTGACCGGTGTCGAAGAGCCCTCTCGCAGGGTCTGGGGCACCGCTGCGACAGTAGCAGCCGCTGTGCAGGGGGGCGCTGATATTGTTCGTGTTCATGATGTTGCAGAGATGAAGGATGTGGCAGTCATGGCTGATGCCATTTGGCGAGCCTAAGTCTTCCGTTTATTCTAGATATTTCTGTATTTATACACTGATGCCCTGTGGACATCAAGCCTCTACCCCTTGTAATATCAGAAAAACTGCATGTATTGTATATCTGCTTCTAGCCGTCTCTCTTCTCACTTTTGTTGTGTCGCAAAACTGTCGCAGTGTGTACTGCGACGGTACTATCAAGCCATGTCGTTGTTAGCGCATTGCCAAATTTGGCGTCGTCGCTTCGCTTAGCTCTAGCGCCATCGTTGCCGAGATTTCGTGGGGCGTTGGCGCACTGGACAACGCTAAACCCCTGCCGTTGGGCAATACACAAAAGGTTACCGCAAATCTTGTCCGTCATGAATTAACGGTTGCCTCTCACTACCGGTCAAGGCAAAACGCTCACCGGTGGTAAGCTTCACCAGGCGTCCACTACTGCAGTCCCGAAAAACCCGGTCAAATTAGTGACTCGGCCTAGGGTTAGGTTTCGTCACCGGCTTATGGTGTCTCCTCATGTAGCGCCTTTCCTAAGCCGGTCTATAGGCGGCCCAATGTTCACGCTCGATCACCTGTGTCTTAGACTGTGATGGAAATAAGCTTCCCCTGTCCTCTGCCGCTGTATTTGTAGGCCAATCAAGTGGCAGGGGCTCAGGATGGAAACAAACAGTGTGATTCTTTGACGCAATACAGGGGTGCACGTCACCGGTTGCGGGCGGCATAGATGCCGCCACTGCAAGATATGACAGGTAACGCCCCCTCAGGCGCCGTCTCAACGACAAGTCCCTTGTATTTCGTTTGCTTGGTGGCGGGCAGATTGGTTGAAGGGCTCGGCCTGGTTGTGCTGCCGGCATATGCGGCCGCAGGAAGCCCAGCTATGCTTGGCTGTTGTCTCGTTTCCCCGCCGCTTCCGCCATTTGAGAATCACCCGCTCTGGGGGCACGTAATGCTTCTCGCCACCGAACAAGCATGCTACTTCATATGTAAATGGGTGAAAAGCCTTCTCTGTTGGTCTATATGCCGGGCAATGCACATATATCTTTGTCCTATGTTGCGCAAGATCGAACCCGGCAACCTGTCAGTTGGGTTGTGACAGGGATACCGCCTAAAGAGCACGGCCTGATCCTGTTCAAGGCGTCGGAAACAATAATAAAGAAGCCCCCATGTAACCTCAGCTCCCATTGACCAAGGCTGTGCTCAAACTCCATTCTGAGACAACTCATTGGATGCCTTCTTACCTCTGAGACGACGGCGCAACCGAGTGCAGACGACGTGGCCCCTCCCGCTATGAGACACGCATTCTCCAACGTCATTTTCAGCGAGGCAACAATAGGATTCTAGGCTTTTGCTATTCCATGTCATGCCAGCCTCACGGAATACGCTCCTCGATCGGAAGGATGTGCTGGACGGGTCAGGGGGGCTTGCAGCCGGTCAGCAGAATGTGGCTGGCCCCCATCGAATCAAAGCTTCAGATAGCCCGTTTTAATTTATTCATTCTCCTCTCAGGTGGCCACAATAGCGGCCACCCGGTACAGTCCGATGAAGAAGAAGTAACCAGGATACTTCTGAGTGACTTGAGGACCCCGAGAGGGTACTTTGGCTGCACATGTCGGGGCACCAAGCCGCCTGCCGTAGCGGAAGCCCTCCGGAATGAGAGTTGTGGTCCTGCTATTCATAGAGAGCAGTTGATTGGTGTTCCTTGAAAAAGAAAGCAAGTGTTCGATTTGCAATCATAAAAGTGAATTTAATCAAAAAAAAAAAAAAAAAAAGAAGTAGCCTAGCTAAATCATCATCCGGTGGCACTGTGGACAAACTCTTGTCCAAGTCCAACATCAGCCAGTCTGCCGCGACATTCAGCGCCGATATGCTGCCCCCATAAGCCCATAAATCAGTCTGCAAGAATAAAAATGATTCGCTTGTTGAAATAAGAACCCCGAATTGATGAACGGTCATTCAAACATCGCCGAATGTAATCCCAGACCTGATAAAAAACATATGTCTGTAATTGTGCCTGTAGCCTCTTAAGTAAACCTCTAATGCTTCCGTGTAAATAAACCGATCTTAATGAGGGTCCAAATACTCATAGAGGCGGTTCAAGGATACTCTGGCCTTCTGTCCTGTCCATCTTGGCCGGAAAATATACTGTGCGCATCCAGCCCCGAGGAGCGTGTGCCTAGGGTGCGGGTACCAGACGCTCCGCTGCTCCCCAGGTCAAACATATTAGTTCGCTCAGATTTTGACTTTGCGTACAAATCGATGGAACCCATCATAGACGAAGGCTGGTGAAACATATCGACCCGGTCGTTGTCATAAGTAAAATTGGAAAACGATGGGAACGGTTTGTCACCCTGAACAAGCTTGCTTGTATCTGGGAACAGGTGCAGGTCGGCACTAGCATCATGGCCTCTTGATCCATGATAGAGCGAACCACGCGTGTCGTAGGGGTATCCAGATGTCGCATCATTTAGAAGGCTTGTGGATGTAAAGTCGGGGAGTGTATGTGGCAGATTGTTGAACGCAGGAAATCCTCCGGTATGATTGTTGGAGCCGTGTGCTGAACCCTTGTTCTTGTCATTCTGATAGTGGCCTGGAGAGCGGCCGCGTACAATCATCTTGTGAGACTTTTGGCAAGCAACTCTGACGTATTCGTAGCCTCCGTCTTTACCCAACACGCTTGCCCAGAGCTCCACCACGAAGTGATAAAACTGCTGGGCTGCCCGGCGCTTCCCATTGTTTTGTGTGGCTTGTCGGAATTGCACTCTTTCAAAAGTATGTTCCATGGGGAGTTCTGTCGGAAGGGTACCACTGCTTGCGTCAGGCGGCGTTCGATGGCGCAAGTAAAAGGGTACGTTCCCTGCGCTCATATCTCGTCTGTCCATTGTGCTAGCATTAATAGGAACCATTGGGATCTTTTGTGCTTTCAGAGTCTTCTTCGGATCTCTCTTGGGGGTGTATAGATCCAGGATGATGGGCTGCTGATCATTGCCAGCCACAACGGCAGATATGGTCATCGCTAAGCCATATACAAGAGTTGGCTGCGATGTTTCATTTTGAGCAAAGAATAAATCATATGCAGGATAAAATGGCGATAATTCAAACGAACACCCGCAAGACATGTAATTTCGCCGATAGCAAGTCCATTCGCCTTCTGCTTGGAAGAAATTCTTGTGAAGTGCCGCCACAATTCTGACCGTTACAGGTACGAAGTCGGATGTTTGGCCAGACACAAGTGAATCAGAGTAACTCAAAAGACCCATCATTTGTGTTTCCATCATAGGCATCATTTGGTCGGCCAAACCGTCCCTCTCAAACTGCTGAGAATTCAAATGATGGTTCTCTGGCGTGTAGAGTCCATGAGAGCTCGGGGAGGCGCTCATTTTCGCGCTGCGATGCCCTGGGCTTTGCAATGAAGGGCAGCGACTCAACTGATGGCTTGACTTCCTATCGTTTGGGATATGTCCAGCGTACACGTCCTTGGCATGGCCATTTGATGGGTCGTAGTATTGACTGGCGCTTCCTCGGACTCCCGTTCGACCAGGCATTGAAACTGACGGAATACTAACGTGATGTTAATTCCTAATGTATATAGACTTCATAGGCCATCTTGATTAACAAGATCACCACTATAACCAACGTACTGTGAAGGTAAACGTTGCCGAATGTCAACCGCCGGAAACGTTGTAGCTGGGTAAAATCCAGTTGGTTGTTGATAGAGGGACGTATTGTGTAAGGGCGGTGATGTAAATAAAGGGAACACTGAGTTAGGATTCTGGTTGTCTAGTTGGATAGACGAGCAAGAGGAATCGGTGTTATATCTAAGAGGGTTTGTTAGTGGTGATACAAGGTCTGCGCGGCTACGACGGGCTTCGTCTCTACAACACCACGAGGACCAAGGGCCACAAAAGAAGGCCAAAAAGTAGTAAATCATGGTTTCAAAGTTCCGACTGTAGCACAAGAGACGCTATAGTCACACGTGGGGGACAACTTGAGCGAATGTAATTTGCTCTGTGCTGGCCATGTGACGATTCTTGGGCGGCTGTTCAGCAACTTCCATGGCATAGGGTACCCAAGGTTGAAGCTTAGGTAGCCACTTTGGGCCGGTGAACGTCACTTCAACTTGCACACTGCCAGAGCTCGTCAAATCTGGCCGGCGATGGCGAAGTACCGCAGTTTGAGGCGAGGTCTACCCCCACCGAAGGTCCCTTTGCTCAAACGAGGTCGGTCACATCTTGGCTCTCCTCGGATTCGAGCGGCATCCAAGAATTCGATAAACCGCAAATGAACAGAATGAGAAAGATATTATTCTAACATACCTCAGATCTGATGTTTGTGGCGGTATGTCCAGATACTCAAGGCTGCTGCTCGAAACTGGCGTAGGGCCAATAAAATCCTGTAACAAAGAAAGAAAAAGCTTATTAGTCACTTTTATATAAATTGATGCGATTTGGAAGTAAATAAAGGACAGCAGTAAGGCAGTTCAGTTAGCGGCGGGGGTATAAGTGCGGGCATCCGCAGCCGCAACTGGCAAGGAGCAATGCACGAAGTGGGAGCTTTGAAACAAGTAATTTGGAGTATCTGGCAGCGGGGAGAGAACTGAATAGGGATTTGAAAACAATAGGCTTTGAAGTACAGTATATAGGATGAGTGATGGGATGGTGGAGGTACATCTGTGTACTTGACGCAGCCACACATGTACCTCTGCAGGCCGGACTAGGGGTCGGTGGCTGCCTACCCCTGCAACGAAAATGTATTGTCAGAACATCCTTTTTTGTTTCCATAGCGTTGAGGAGTCCTGCTACTGAGGCTGCATACATCCCTGCGTGTCATGCTTTTGTGAATGAGCGCCGTCACACTGCGATGAAGTTCAGATCTGGCGCCATGTAGCCAAGCTGATGGAAGGGTAACGAAAAATGAAGGAAGCTGTGCAATATATTCTAGATTCAAATAAAATTATAGAATCGATGATCGTACCTTGGCGTGCTGAACTTGTTGAATTGTCATTTTTGCCTCTGGATATGAGGGAACGTCATAGACTGGTGCGAGATCGATATGAGTGTAGATCAACGGTGAGGTTCCGAAAGCTTACAATATAAAATATCTATAAAAAGAAAAAGAAATACATTGTCAGTAACTCTTGGCCTATGACTTTGGGCCTCAAATGATCATCAAAGGGAGAAAGAGGGGGGAGTTTTGACGCACCAGTGAGCACCCAGTTGATGTTTAGCAATGTGACCTCTCGAAAGGCGGATGTTGGCAAGGAAGACGTAGATATTCTCGCCAACAAAAGAGGTTGAGCGAAGCGGTTCTTTATAAAGAAATCTCTTTTGTAAGCTTGTCAGACCTGGTCGAAGTGGCAACTCCCAGTGACTGGCAGTGACTGGCAGTGACGGGCACCTGGCAGCCAAGTCAGAGAATGAGAAATGACTGATGGTAGCCGACCTGTGAATCCCTCACGATCGGGAGCCGGGGGGAATATAGGCAGAATAATGATTTCGGAGTTAATCCGAGAGAGCAAGCTTCTAGAAAGGTGATTAGTTCTGTGAGTTCACCAAACCCCGACCTGCCAACCTATTTACCATCCACAAGGGCCTTTGTGGCATGACATGAAGTGGGAGTTGCACAAGAGATGAACTGCCATGAATAACAGTGGATTGGAACTTACCGATATCAAGAAGAACTAAACGTCAAAGATTCACTGTATATATTCGGAATTTACACGTGGTAGAAGATGTGTATGTTAGTTGGGGGAGGGGAGGAGGACGAGAAGGGCCTTTTAAGAAGGGAAGCAAGGCCGTCCGGATAGCATCACAATCACCAATGGAACACGCTTTTGCCAAGGGGTGGCGATGGGCAGGGGCAAGCAACAAGTATAGGCTGGGGGATTTACAGCCAGGCCGCCTCGCATGGGCCGGGTGCATGCGGCGACAGAAGCTTCAAGGCAAAGGGCGGAGTCGGTCGATGAGGAATCTAGGCGCAGCTACAAGCCTTGTCGGATATCAAACCAGTGAGATAGACCGCCTGTCTCGCAGCTTCGGCCAAACTCAGCCTGAAGCCGCCACTAGACAACTGCTACGCGAAGTACCTCTTTCAAACACGACCAGCACACGCTACGACGGCTGTCCGATCAGCTCCGACAGCCCTAGCTATGACGAAGAGCAAGGTCCACGCTGCTTCGAATTGAAATTACACTAGTATACAATGGCTTCCAACGCACGTAAAAGAGGTACATGCCAATTTCGATCATGGCTGTGGACTAGCGGTGGGCATGTGTCAAGGCCCATCATAAAGCCATGCTTTCATGCATCATCCCGATTTCGCGCGTATCAAGCCTGCTCAACCAACGCAAGGGACAACTAGATTGTTCATTTATTCCAATTAAAAGAGCCGCGAAACATCTCTTACTTAGACAGGGGCAAATGCACCCCCAGTGCCAGTTGTGTTACCGGACGGAGTTGCACCAGCAGGCAACACGCATTGCCAGGAGTTCATGAACTCTCAACTTCGATGCAGCTGAAACCCACCTATAGATGTATGGCTGATTTCGGTCCTTTGTTATTCTTTGTGGAGTAATGAAGGGGTAGTAGGCAGTTTGTTTGTAATAGCGCGCGTTGCTTAGCTACTGACAACATCCTAGAGCGGTTCTACTGTTTTGTAAGATTCGAGACGGCACTATGTCGGCCACATTTTCACAGAATGTAGCTGCATATGGTATCCTTTGCAAGTAGCAAACAATTCCTACAAGGTAAATCTTCTTTCGGATTGTCAAAGGACCTTCGTTTGGGGCTTCTTTTGAACTTGGTGTTCATCGGTATGCACCAGGCAAAAGACTACTGGGTAGGCTCTGCGGAAACGGCGCGCCAGCCCTCGTATTCTGGCCAGATGATCGTTTCATATCTACGTCAACGATTCTGTTCTGTATAAAATCGTCCGCTAAATAAAATTGTAAAGCTATGACCATGGCCCGTGGTCGCCAAAAGGCGCCAAACAAGCTACAGATCAGTTGGCAAAATGATACGGATCATCGCTAAGCCGTTGAGCTCACAGCTGTGAATACTTCAATACCTCATACATAGCAAGTTAACATGTCCGCTCATTCGTACGGGGGAATCAGAGCTGCCAGGAACTGACTGTAGCTTTGGAAGCAACGTTGTCTGCCCAAGCAAGACGCCCTCTCCAATTAATTATAGCCATTTCACAGTAGAAACTTGGCTGAGGTTGTACCAAGAAGAGCCGTGTGTAACGATTGATGTACCGATGCCGGAACGTGTATGAAAAAGCCTGAGCAGGTGGGTGGCGGTTGGCTAGTTGAGAGTGATGCTGTCAGTCCCAGTGCCTGACCATCTCACGCACAACACTCAATGCGCAGATGTTTCTACATATAGTATTGAAATAAACGAACGCGCTTTTCCTTAAAGACCTATAGAATCAAGCACAAATAAACCCCTGAGGCAATTATTTGCACTAGTAAGTAGGCCCAGCTGCTAATGCAGAGTGCCATCACGATAGAGAAGGTTTTTACTGAGCTCAACTGCACTGGCTGCACAGGAGTTCAGACGAAGTGTGAGGAGTCTTACAGCTAGCAGATACTAGCCGCGATTTCCCGCATATGATGTGGCACTGCAGGGCAAACTTGAGTGATCAATTTGGACGTGTCTCTACGTCTAAGAAGCAGAAAAGCTGGAGAGAATGCCCTCAGCAGGTTGTCATGCTGCGTAACAAAACAATCTACCTCAATTCACTAATTCCCATTCTAAGGATATCATTGGTCATCGGTAGTTTGCTCGTCATTAGCACGCTTGAAACAAGGACGGCACCCGCGATGGTCGAGGCTTTGATGGCTTCGGCTACCAACATCTCGGCAAGCTCTTACAGATGGCCACGTGGACCCCCTCGCTATGTTGGGGCTGTTTGGGGAATTGTTCCAATATTATGGACCGGCTTCATTTATCCAGTATTATTTCAATATTTTTACTGGCACTTTTGGCATAAAGATGGGAATGCATTGATGAAGTGTCGGCAACTCCTACGAACTAAAAGAGTGCAGAAAAAAGATCTATAAAAGCATAGAAAATTCAACCCAAAGCATAGGAGAACATTCTCATTAGAACTTATTTTAATATATTTTAATGCACATTGTGCAAATCAGAACCGGTCAAGAGCAGAGAGCTCTCGAAACAACTTGTTCCACCACCATGTGGGGGCGGCAAAGCAACCGTCACCAAGCAACACTTCTAAAGCAAAAAGGTTGCCACCAGCGGTTGTCTCCCTCCGCTGCTGGTGACCAAGAGATCACTCGGCTACATCGTGTATATACCCAGCCGCATTGACTTGGGTTCCAAAACACACCGCCTCATCATCAGATTGGCATGCCTAAAAAGAAGAAGCACGCGTTGAACCACTACAAGGGCTCATCCGGTGCTGGCGCCAGCGCATCGCCTTCATCAACGAGTAAGACCTATTCCCTGGCCTTCTAAGCGGCAGCTGCAAGCTCTCCCAACGCCTCTTGTCTGATTCTGTATCACCGATGAGCCAGGCTGCAGCTTGCCGCGACTGTGTCTTGCGCTCGTGTCTAATCGCCCTCGTGTAGCAAAGCCAACGAAATCCGTGAACGAGCTGCTCGCCAACCTTCGTACGACAGCGGCCTCCTTGTCGTCCAACCAACCGTCTATTCTCGCCACCGCTACTCCCAGCGTGCCCCCAGCCATCCGGCAGATTCTCCAGATCCCGGAGACACCCGCACCTCTGCCACGCCGCCCAGTTCGACGCAGGTTTGACAACTATGGAAGACGTCTTCCAGCAGGGCCCCCGCCTCCAGGAAGCTGGTCCCGGTCCCCGAGAGACCCCCAGACTGCCCAGCGAGCGCTTGAGTCGCTGAGTACCCATTCTCTCGCAAGGGTTGCCTTTCCTGGAGCCTATTTGCCTGAGCCTGGCAGCTTGTTGGACCTTGTTGCGCGGCGCATGGCTCTCGAATGGCAGCTTCATCGCGAATATGATGGTCCGTATATGTATTATATTCCAACTCATATCAAGCCCATTTTGATGCGTCATGTTGCTATACTGGGCACGCCGGGTCTATCCATAAAGGATCTCAAGGCTATGCTGCTCCCTCAGCCCGATGGCAATGATGATGTCCCAGATGTGAGCGTGAGCAGCCTGGAAGACTTAACGACATTGGATATATCAGGCGCTGTTGGAAAGACTATAAGTCTAAAGGAGCTCTCTGACTTGCTATTCCCGACACAGACTACTCCGTCTGACGAGCTTCAAGACTCATGGGATGCTGAAGACTTGCAGAGCTCGATACCCTCGACCCTGCTGCCCAACTTGTCTCATCTATCTCTCGCCGTAGACCCCAAGAAGGCAGATAATGCTTCATGGAAACACTTGTTATCTCTTGCTTCTAAACTAACGACTGTGACGCATCTTAGTTTGGCGTTTTGGCCAGTCCCGTGTCTGACGCGCAAATCGCAGTTTGCATCCATGTCGTCGCCGCATCAACGGGATATATCCTACAGCGGAACCAACTATTACTCGCATACGATCGATCAGGACTGGAGTGAAGCCCTTTTAGTGCTAAGGCTTCTGAGCAAGAGCCTCTACTCCCTCGAATTCCTTGATCTCACCGGGTGTATCTCCTGGTTCAAAGCTCTTACTCTGGAAGATACTGACAGCCATGATCACGTTGACTGGGCTGGAGACTGGGGCAAAATCACGACCCTAAGATTAAATGTCGGGTGGGATATCGAGAAGAACGATATGCCCTCAAAGCATGACATGTACCAAAGTGCATGTGAAACGGCGCTTGCCGTCGAGAAGCGCATTATTTCAATGAGAGCCGGGCGCGGTCGTTTTATTACCGTGGAACGGCCAATACTAGACGAACTTACGCGTTAGATGTATTTAGCACCATAGAATATGTATTTATTTATCCAACTATTGTGCACTTAACATCAGACGCTGGGAGCACCACTTCCGGAATCCCAAAGACTTCGAAACCTGCTCTGTGATCTAAGTAGCTCCCTTGGTTCTCCAAATTCGAGAAGCTTTCCGTTTTCGAGGACTGCAACCTTATTAAATTCGATTATAGTTTCCAGACGGTGAGCTATCGAAATCACCGTGTGACTATAAAACTCGTCGTCGATTACTTTTCGGACTTTCTCCTCGGTGGCCGCATCGATACTAGCATTGTATGTTAGTCTCGGCCCTCTGGTGATAGATTGATCACATACCTGCTAGTCACTTCATCAAGTAAAAGAAGTTTTCCAATATCTTTCTTCACAATAGCACGCGCAAGGAAAAAGAGGTGTCGTTGGCCATGACTGAACACATGCTCTTTTAGCTCAGCATCTAAGCCTCCATTATTCTCGACAGTCTCCCAGAGTCCCGTCGAAGTTAGTGCATTAATTATGGTTTGGGTGGGATATTGATTTGTCGGATCAATATTGTATCGAATGCTTCCGGGGAGAACAAATTGTTCTTGACTAACGGTGATTATCTTGTCGCGGATCTTGTCTCGAGGTATTTTGTCGACAGAGACGTCGTCAATGCTAATACTTCCTTTGATGTAATCCATCATTCGGAGTATGGATAGTATTAAGCTCGATTTTCCACTAAAAGGTCACGTTAGTACAAGTTTAGAACGGTGGTTTGCCGAGATTGTGGTGTGACATACCTGCCCGTTCGCCCACAGATGGCAATTTTCTCTCCCGGTTTGATATCCAAATCAATGCCATCAAGAGCCTTGGTGTCTCCAGATGCGTCGTACGACGCTGAAAGCCCCGATATGTTCACATGACCACGACTCGGCCAGGCTGTGGGAACTGAACCGTTCTCGCACGGCAGGTTCTCATCACCTGTAGACTCGGCAAATTGTTTGATCCGAGCAACTGCAGAAATGGATGTTTCTATAGACGTCCAGAACTGCATTAGCAGGTTCAAGGTCTCGCTCATAGAAATCAATTGTACCAAGGAGACACCAGTGAGTGCAATCGACACGGAGCTGCGAAGGTGGACAGCAAATCCAACGACAAGCAATGCCAGAGCGGCGGTCATAAGGTCGAGTACGAGAACTAGCCATTTTTGTACTATAATAAGTAGGTAAAACGGTTGCTGAGACGCATCTACCAGATGATGGTTTTGTTCAATGGTGGTTTCGGTCCAACCAAAGGCTCGGATTGTCGAGAGGCCAGAAAGTGATTCCAAGAACTGAGTATAAATCGGCGCTTTCAATTCTAGATCCAGCATCCTCAATTGTCGAGATGTACGTAGATATCCTCTTTGTAGGAAATAGTACGCCGCAGCTAGCAGTGGGAAGCTAATAGCGACGTAGTAGGTGGATGCAGCGAGAAGCCCAGCTTTGGCAAGGACAGTGAAGAGGCCTAGCATAGTTTAAGTCGCGGTTATATATGTTTCATTTTCTGCAATACTTACTAGCAAGGGTGACTACAAGTGCCAAAGGAAGTTGATTATCAATCATGCCGATGTCCTGAGAAAAGCGAGTGGTTATAGAACCGACGTCAGTGTTTGTAAACAAAGATAGAGGTGCGCTAGGATTATTAGTTGCACTGATTCCTCTCAATTGAAATATGAAAACGTACTGTAGAACGGCACTCAACAGTTTCTGGTGTAGATGAATACCCGACTTTGCTGCAATTCGTACAAGAACAAACCTTTGTCGATTAGCAAAAGATGGACTCGGTTGGGATCAATCGCTCATTCATACCATATTAGAAGAGAGAACCAACATACACCAACTATCTGTAGGGCAGCATAGATTCCCAGATAGAGCCCAGTCTTTTCTTCACCACGGTTGATTGCATCACTCCAGAATTTGAGCCAGAGAGCTACATGATTAGCCTCCTTAATGAACAGACAATTTATCCAACTTACCTGGGAAACTTTGCAGAAATGTCCAAACCAGTTCAAGAAATAATAAAATGAAGCTGAACTGTACCCCAACACTTCCAAAATAGTACTTGTACACACTCTTGTCGCCGAGCTGTCTCCGTTTGTCCTCGTCAGAAGTCCTAACTGTCGGTTTTACTGGCGGGGACGCTTCTTGTTCTGTTTTCCTGTCAATATTAACGGTTTGCATTCCACCGCCAATATTTGTTGTGGACAGTTCTGCCAAACTTGCTACGTAGCCTCCCGACTCAATCAGACTCGGATAGGTGCCAATTTCCGTAGGTATACCGTCGGTGCTCAATGAGATTATAATATCAGCATGAGATGAGAAGTGTACTAATGGATAATTAGTACTGTTTCGCAGAATTGGCAGGGTTCTTTATAGCTAACCAGACTGAGTGGCGAGCACTGCCGTTGTGTTCCATTGACGCAAAAGACCGTTAGAGGAGAAGACTTTTTCAAACACACTCTGAGCTGTTGTGTTATCGAGGCCGCTTAATACATCGTCAAAGACTGCAATCTCTGGCCGGCTATATAGAGCTCTCGCAAGAGACAGTCGCTGCTTCTGACCGCCGCTGAGTGCAGCGGCTGATGATCCGACCAATGTTTTATCTTTCAGTGGTAGGTTGTCAAAATCTTGATTCAGATCACACGCTTTGATAACCTGTGTATAGAGTGATTCATTGAAGTCGTTGGGACCCAAGATGTTTGCTTGTATGGTTTGATTCATTGCCCACATTGTTTGACTGCACCATGATAGCTTGCCCTCTGTAAGCTGGATAGCTCCATGGAAGTACGGAGTTTCTCGAATAATTCCGTGAAGTAGGGTGCTTTTGCCTGAAGCGACAGGTCCTACAACCATTGCAAGTTGGCCTTTTTGTACGTCGACGCTAATGTTGGACACTGATGCGATTCCTTGCTTCCACCCAAAAGAAGCATTCTCGAGATGGATCGCAGTACCAGAGTCGAGGGATATTTGAGAACTTGGAGACCGAAGCTTACGCTCCGGCTGTGATAGGAACTTTTCAATCCGAGATGTCGCTCCATGAGCAGCGCTCAAATCCAGCACAAGCTCAAACATCCAAAACAAAGGCTGAGTCTGCAGCGTGATCAGCGCTAGCGCAGTGAAGAGTCTTGTAGGATTCAACTCGAGGCCTGTTTGAGCAGAGACGCCTTGGAAAATAGAAAAGGCGACGACTGGGGAAATAAACACAGGGATTTGAGCCATTGATGAGGTGATGCTGCCAATGATGCGAAACGGACGCGATGCGGCTACTTCTTCAAGTCTGAGAGAAAAGATTGTCTTGGAGAGCACTGTAGATAGGCCAGCCATCTTAATGCTCTTAATGTGCCCGATCATGGAGGATGTGATGCCTAGCGGCGGTTAGATACCTCTTCCAAATTTCCGATTATATGTACTCACCGATTCTCTTCTGAGTCTTTTCTAACCATGCCACTCTGGATTTCATCGCTAGAGGCGAGATTTTCGTAGTCATGGCAAGAGCGACACCAGATACAACGATGGGGCCGACAGCAGCATAGCCAATCTCACGAGCCAAGAGCCAGGTCCCAAATGAAACTTGGAGAATATTGGCCCAGAGCTCATTTATCTCTTTGGCTGCTCGCACAATGACTTCGACCTATGCTATGGTTCAGTAAAGGCGAATATATCAAGCATCAGAGATATACATACATCGGATGACATGAGCGTCACTGCCGCAGCGTCACTCGCAATAGACATGTCAAGTGCCATTAACTTGCCGAAAATGGCCGTAACAAGAAAACTTCGAAGCATTGAAACAAACCGCGCATTCTGGTGCCAGTACAAAGCCTGTGCCAGCGCGATTCCAAGATAGACAAACCCGTACGCTGCAATCAGGCCGTAGCCGACATTGTTGGACTGACTCTGGTCATCGAGAAAGCTAAGAAACCGCGTAAGAACTAGGGGCTGACATATGGTAACTGCGAGCAGACATAGTCTTGGCAAGATGACGGTCAAGAGAGAGAGGCGCAAGGTGAGGACGCAGCACCGTAGAAGCCGATGCTTAGAACTGGGCGAAGCTAGCAATGCTATCAGTCAGATGGGTGTGCATTCTAAAATGGAGATAGTGTCGGTTTGCAACGAATATCAACGATCAACTCACATTTTTTCCAATTATTTTGGAATTTTTCACTGAGAAAAGCCGCGCCCATCTTCTCGCCTAGCGGAAACAAGTCCTCTGGTCGCAGCAGTTTCACAAAGCCGGCCCGCAGCAACGGGAGGACCCATGAGAAGACAGCTCGGCCGTATAGACCCGTTGTTTCTTCTGGAGGCAATGTCTCGGCCGAATCGATCAGAAGACGTCGCTTATCTTGTGCCTCAAGCACGAGAAGCGTTGCCTTGGTTGCAATTACCATGCTGAAGATGGCTTTGATGGCAAGATCTACGGATGCCAGCCAAAGAGTGCGCGCAACAGCGCCGTCCAGAAGCAAGGACGCAAGCAAGAAGACATTCAGCAGAGACGATGGGCGAGGCGATTTGACATGTTCAAAGTACGAGATGGCACAGCACGCGAGAGATGAGACGACAGATACACAGGCAGAGGCAAGGGATACACGGTTAAGCCGGGCAGACAAGCTGCGACGGGATGCCCAGAGGGCGATGAGAGCGACCTGGAGGATGGCCAGGGACGCGGCAACGATCTGTTATGGTTGGAACACGATGGCCTTGTTCGGTTGTTTTGTAGTAAGACTTACCAGTTTGAAAGGGCCAAGATGAGAAGATTTGACGCGTACAGGAGCACGTAGAAGTTGCGAAATGCGTAGCGGCGTGACGAGCACTAGAAGTGCCTGAGGAGCAACAACAAAGAAGACTTGTTCAAAGAAGAGCGTAAAGTCAAACCCTTGACGGCATTCAGAAATGACGATTGGGCCAAAATCGGCATCTGCAGAAGCAGGGCATGCAATTGACGCGTTGTTCATGATGAGGATGCAATGGTTAAACTTGTGTTGGATGAGGAAAAGTTTGGGTTGGTGAAGAGAGACTAGGAATGCGGGGAAGCGGGCGGGACGTTGTCTTTATAGAGGGAAAGAAGGCAGGCTAACGATGGTCACCACTTTATGGCGCCCACGCCTCAATGGCGCCCCCATTCACACAGACCAACTTTAACATCAAAGATTTATATAAAATACATAACTTAACTAAAAAAAAAAAAAAAATTAAATTATTACATGTAATATAAACCTTTTATACTTATATCAACTACTAAGAAATTGAATTTTTATATCATAGAAATATTATGGCATATTATATGTGAGTATGTTAAAAGTGGTCTTTTTGGTGTGAAAGGGGGCGCCATTGAGGCGTGGGCGCCATAGAGTAGTGACCATCGTTAGTTGGTGGCTTCTGGCTTACCCGGCAGGCTCTGTTGGGAAGAGTGAGAAGGCTTTTAGCTGGATTATGAATTGTATTTACAACATATAAATATAATGTAAAATGTAAGAAAAGTTTGGCATATTTATATTATCGATTTATCTTTCTGTTTACTATCTGGCAATTGGGTTGATCGATATGCATCAGATGGCTGTAGATTAGACCTATTTCTTTGCTTGGGGGAGTACTAGCCTAACCAACCCTTCGCCTGATGATTTTTGTTGGGCACGCGTAAATTTATTTTTGGAAAAAACCAATGAAATAAGAAAAAAATTCCTTTCCTATTTTAATTAACCCCCCACTAATAAGATACATTTCTCTTCGATGTGTTCACCACAGTTCTCTCCCATTGCCCTCTACTGCTAACACTCACTAGTGTGGCTACAAAAACTCCTCCGGCGTGAGTCACCAAAAAGGTGCAGCGGGACCACCAGTGTTGGCGACGCCCCACCGTTCCCTGGTCCTGCGCCTGTTGCCCCTCACCTGCCTCAATCGCTAAAGCCGCTGTTCCCAGGCCTAACAGCCCCCACCAATCTTCAACCCACACGCTGCAACCCATGAACCCACTGCAACAATACGGTTCGTCATCGCCGAAACACAGCATCGATTCTATTCAGCCGTGGTAGTCATGATTTAGCGCGGGCCACAGCGGTTGCGAGTTTTCTTTTCTTGGCTTGTGGCTGTCCCTTGTCTGAGCACACACCCTGCGCACCCAAACCATCTATCCGCGGACTCTGGATCCTGTTATATAGAGCCATCGCCCATCACCACAACAAGACTGTCTTCCGGATCTAAGTACACAGTATCCTACTCGAATACAAATGTAACAATCTCTATTCACACAGACAACTCCCCCTTTATATTCCACAACTACTATTTACAACACCCTGTCGACCTACTCCCTTACCCGCCAGATCCTCCAAAAATGACGTCAATGGAAGCAGAGTCCGTAGCGACCATCCTCTGCACCTCCAAGCAGACTAGGTTCCACGTCGAGACTACAAATTATAGAGAGGTGTGTATAACTACTCCACACAGCAAAATACCAGATTCATTATATTCATGAATTGTACAGCTTGACGTGGATGGCCTCACTATTGTGGTGGGTAGCGGCTCCAAGCCTGCATCAAAGCTTAAGTCTCGTTCCAAAGCAGCCCGTGGCGACGGTCTCGAAATCCTCAATGACGCCCAATTAAAGCTGAAAGAAGGCCAAAGATATGCCTTGATCGGACGCAATGGCACTGGCAAGTCAAGTACGCATCTCTACCCCCTTCCATGCTTGGCCAGCTTTATTTACTCGTGTCTCTTATAATAGCATTGCTGAGAGCAATTGCTGATAAACTGATCCCCGGCATCCCTGAGGGCACGAGAATGGCTATTCTCCAGCAAACAAGATTATCCGACGAAGACGAAGATTCCACCGTCAAAGATAAACCTCAAGATTCGATTACTACTCTTGAGGAGGTAATTGAGAAAGCCACTTTTCGAAATGTTGTCGAGCAAGAAATAAAAATTCTTTCTCAAGGAGTCGACTCTACCAATGCATTTGCACCGCTTCGTGCATTGCGACGTCTGAAGCATGAGAGAATTCAGAAGAATCACTTTCTCTTGGACAAGGACGCTCGTTTGCGAAGTGGTGAACGAGGACTGGCAGCAAGAAAAACCCTTGTTGCTTTCGAAGCGGTAGTTGCCGAGTCTGAAGCGCTGATGCAGCAGCCGGAAAGCGAAATCTCTCCGGAAACGCTGCAAACAGAAATACAGGAAGCCGCTGATATGCTCGCGGACCTCCAGCTTCAGGTTGAACCGACAAAGGTCACCGAAATTGAAGCCAAGGCGAAGAAGATTTTGACTGGTCTAGGATTCACGGATGTTACAATGCAAAAACCTCTGAGCAGTCTCTCTGGAGGTTGGCATATGCGTGCAAGTCTCGCCGTGGCACTCCTCCAAGATGTTGATATTCTCATCCTCGATGAACCAACCAACTTCTTGGACTTGCTGGGCATTATATGGCTACAGAAACATCTGGAGTCTCTGGAAGATGTGGAAAAGGCACCAACCCTCATTCTAGTGTCCCACGACCGCGACTTTACCCTGCTCTGTACCGACCTGATGATTCTCAAGGATAAGAAGCTCACGTACTTCCACGGCGATTTGCCAACTTATGAATCGTCACAATCAGAAAGAAAAGCGTGGCTCATAAAGATGAAAGAAGCCCAGAAGAAACAGCGAGCCCATATGGAAAAGACTATCGCCAACAATCTCAAGGCCGGCAAAGCTAATGACGACCAGAACAAGATTCGACAGGCTAAGTCCCGCCAAAAGAGGCTAGATGATCGCATGGGCATGCAGAAGAACGCTCGAGGTGGAAGATTCAGACTGAACGATCAGGCAGGATACTTCTATACCCAGCGACAGGAAATCGAAATTCCTCCAGACGATCCACCCGTCATCATTGTGCTTCCCGAACCGCCAGACCTTCGGTTCCCAGGCTCCCTCCTATCACTTGAAAAGGCCAGCTTCAGATATGCACCGAAGCTACCCTTAATTATCCAAGGTGTCAACCTCACTATTGGTATGGGTGATCGTGTCGGCATCTTGGGACTCAACGGGTCCGGCAAATCAACACTGATTAAGTTACTCGTGGACGAATCGCGGCCTTCTGTTGGAACCGTGACTACACATCCTCGCCTACGATTAGGATACTACTCGCAGCACGCGGTAGAAGCATTGAAGAAGCTCGGAAAGGAAGACGAAACTCTCACTGCCCTTAGTCTATTAACCAAGGAGGTAGATGGGGCTCTGAAAGAAGGAGAAATCCGTGGTCTCCTTGGAGAACTTGGTCTTCCTGGCCGCTTTGCATCCGATGTGCCTATTGGCAAACTGTCTGGCGGCCAGCTTGTGCGATGTGAGCTGGCTCGTCTCTTTTGGCAGCGCCCCCACTGCCTAGTTCTTGACGAAGTCACTACCCATCTCGACTACGAGACTGTCACTGCTCTGCGAGAGGCCTTGAGTGACTGGGAGGGTGCTGTTGTGTTAGTTAGCCACGACAGATGGTTCATGCGCGGTGTCATCGAAGGCCAGATTGACGAAGAAGATGAAGACGGTAGCATCAGCAGCGATGAGGAAGATAAGCCGTTTAGACGGCGGGTAGTGTACCGACTTTTGAAGGGCGAGCTGGTGACATTGGAGAATGGCGTGGACGAATTTGAACGTATTATGGAGAAGCGGGTGATTAAGCTGCAAAACTCATAATTGCAGTTTTCATCATTTGCGTACTGTATGATATATAACCGACTTTTAATTCTAAGCGGAAGCAACGCTTGCATCTACAAAAATTTTGAGCCTCGGTACCTGTTCCTTCTTGACTGTCATAGAGCCTCCTTTGGGCAGCTCTACTATGCTTCCGTCAATGCATACCTTGCGCCACCTTGGAGTTTCCTCTGTAGTGGTTATGCGAACTTCTTCAATTTCTTCATAACCAACCTCTTCACCATCTTCCCATTTCATGCCGACATGTTTGCCATTATCATAGGCTTTCATCATGACTTCCATGGTTCTTTCGCCACCAATGGCACCAAAATGAATCAACTTGAGCGTGCCATCCAAGGGCTCACTGTCCGGCGCGATGGTGAATGTCTTCTCAAGGTTAGAGACCATGGCTACAAGAATATAGGCATGGCTTGCTCGTGCCACAGGCTTGAAGTCACCACCGGGCGCTCGAACCTCAAGCGTTGCGAGGTACGGATGTGACTCTTTCAAGAGATTTCCAGCAACCATACCGAAACGCTTGTCCCCGTGCGCACGATACTCTGGAGTATCGCTCTCATAGAGAATGCTGGCGTGGAATCCATAACTTGCCACAATGGTGCCATACATGCGTGAGACTTGCGAGTCCTGGCTTGTCGCCGCTCCGTCTTCCGCTTGCGCCTGAGCCGTGAATGATGTCTTGACAGAGCCGTCGGAAAAGCTAGCACGGAAGTAGGGCAGATCAACTGTCGATCCTAGAAACAGCGTACGTAGTGCATGTACGGTTTGCGATGCTTTCGACTTGCTGTATAGCGGGCGATGGGATGAGTGGAAGATGGCGTTGCCAGTGCCAAAGGGCAATACGGCCAGGAGCGGAAGCGGAGCGTCAGCCTTGGGGGTATAGTTGTTTAGTAGATCGATGATGCCGCCATCTCCGGATATAACCACCACTGTATTATGGCGGGAGTCTCTGGAGCTCAGGTTCTTGGCAACGTTGGCAACACTGTGCTCGTCTTTGGTGATGACGACGTTTGCTGCTAGGCTGGACCCTGTCAACTCTTCCGATACTCGTGATAGTAGAGGCTGTAGAATAGATCCCCAGAATGGCAGTGCTTTCCCTGTACCAGCCCTTGTTGAAACGACAATGTCTAATGAGTGGTCGTCTTTGTGCGTAAGATGCTGCGGAAAGCTGGCGAGGACCCGGCTGGACGGGGTATCAATCGGGAGGGAGGCGGCAGAATGGAAGCTAAGTTTGAAAGGGCTCTCTTTATTCTCCTCTTCTTCCGATAGCACGCAAACTAGGTATTCCTGCTTTGAGGCCGCTTGGATGAAGAAGAGGAGCTCGTCGGGACATATTGAGCTTGTTTCGCCCCGCGTGCTAGTGACGGATATGGCAGGGGCATCCATTTTGAAGCCGGACTTTTTTATTTATGCTATAGTATAAGCAGTCGAGGATTGTCTGGTAAAATAGGGTATATTTTAGTGCAGGAATAAAAAGTTGCACCGGGTGGGTGTAGAGTGATTAAAATGCTAGCGTGGAGATTCACGCCGCAGCCCGATGATGCAGTCAACGCCCCCGCTGGTGGTCTGTCGCAGGGCACGCAATCGCACCATCTATAATCTATATGTACGTGCACCATTTCAACAATCGATAAGCATTACATGCGTGTAATATAACATTCAAGACTTGTATTCTATTATTAAACAGTACAATGATGTGTTTCAGTAACTGATTGTGTAATATATTGCATTGATACAGAGTTATATACAAAATGATGGTTTAGCTACAAATCAGGTTATACCCGGAGACGGTGCACTACGCCTGCTAATTCCCACAAATATCCAACTATATGAAAACTAGTTATTCTTTTTTAATTTTTGCATGCCTTGCTCAGGGGGCCCCAGTTTGCACGAGGGTTCATCTGGTAGCGCACGACCTTCTTGGTCGGCGCACCTTGGCGAGCAAGCTTTGCCAGAGCATCATTGAAGACGAGAGTTTTGCGAAGCTCAAGTTCGCTAATGCCCTCGCTGTCCCTTGCTGAGGTATCTACTGGCTCCTCAGTCTGTGTGGCTTCGGGGGCGTGCAATTCAACGCCATCCATGGTGCTATGTGTCACCCCGGCCTCTGCGTCATCGACCTTTTCGGCAGGCTCATCGAGCAGACCCGCGTCTTTGAGAATCTTGTAAGAGGCCATTTTGTCATTATACTTAGATACTTTGATAGGAGCCTTTTGGCGAATCCATTCCGTCATGATCCACCAAATTGTTGACCAAGGTGCGTCTGTTTTGACGCTACCAGCACGGCAATGGCTGCGCTCGGCATGGTATCCAAGATGCTTGAGTGCTCCTCGAATCATATCATCTCCGGGAGTTGCACAAGAGAGTACGCTTGCCAGCTTTCCAGGAATAAAGTAGAACGGCGTATGGTCGATCTCGGCACGCTTTGCGTCTCGTGGATCTACATTTGCAGTTTCGGGGGGGATGGGTATTAATTCTTCGAGGGCGGTTTGAAGCATGCCTTCAAGACGGGGAAGAGTTCCATATACTTCGGGAGACGCCTTGGGTATTTGTGCAAGCAGCTTCTTGATGAATTCTGCTGAGTGGATTTGCCCACCGTACATGGGGCCGTTGATGTGCATTTTGCTGCCGCAATGTTGGCAGAATCGATTAGCAGTTGGACCGAGAGCCATGACGTGTTTATAAAATGCACCGTTTCCTTTCTTGTTAGAGGCCGCTTTGCTCTTCATAAGATACTGTGTTTGCCATGCGCTGCAGCCACTGTCGCAGCTGTATACGACCATGGTCTTGGCTCCCAAGAACTTGACTGTTTGTGGTGATCTGACAATCTTGACAAAGACTTTGGTGTAAAAGTCAATGGAGAGCGAAAGTTGGGGTTCAATGGCAAGACCATATCGGGCGGCTGAGGTTGCGATAGCGTTGAGAATTAGTCGTAGACCAGCCTCGTGTGAGTGAAGGCCCTTGATGGGGGTACCTCCGTATAGTGAAAAGGTCTTTTCGGAGTAGGAGTGGCCGGCCCAGACTGCGCTGTCAGTGCAAGTGACACATAGCAGACCGCCGTCGTCCCGAACAGCTTGAATTGCAGCATCGAGGAAAGGTGCTGCGGTGCCGTAAGGATCAAGGTCGATGACGTCAAACTTGTGAGAGGTGATTGACTGTCCTGGGGTCATCTTTTGCGTGAGGTTATCAGCAATGGTTCTGTACATGACAGCTAGCGCATCGTCGTTGGAGACAGATACAAGGTGCCCAACACCGTTGTGCTTGACATTTTGCTTGATCGATTCGGCTGCAGACGCGGAAAGATCATTGGCTACGATAGACGTGACAAAGGGGAGCTCGTGGGCATATCTCAATGCACGTAATCCCGACGCTGACAGGGCATCAAGCATACGGAAGGCAGGCTGTTTTGGAGGCTGCTGTTCGCCTTCAGCCGCTGGCTGTTCTGCAGGCTCCGGTGCTGTTGTCTCCTGCGCCAAGGCCTCGCCATTCTGGTCATCTCGCTTTCTCTTTTTGCTCTTCTTCTGTTGCTTTGCTCTTGCTCGGCGCTCGAGCTCTTGCGCAATCACCTCCTCGCCATATGTCTTGATTGCAAGCGTTGACAGGTCACGGTTGTATTGCTGAATAGGGTTATAGAAGACCTGTTGGACATCGCTTGTCTCTTCTCCGACCTTGGCACCGTCAGGGACTAGAACAGTGGCTTTTCCCTCCTTGATTGTTTTAAACGGCGTCGCCTCCCCGGTCGTCTGCGGCGCCTCGGAGTCGGTCATCGGGAGGGTCGCAAACTGTCGAAGGCGGGTGTGTTGATATGATGTGTGACGTAGCTGGGGTGCTGCTACCGGCAGAGGCTGAATTCTGAAATTTCTATATAGTGTGCGTAATAAAGTCCCCATACGTATATCTGCGACGGTGGCGTGAATTGGGAAAATATCAAGCTGCGACTGTCTGTGTTTGGCAAGCTCCGCCGTCAATTTTTTTCTGGAGTCACGGATTTCTGCCGCCAGCCAAAGGTGACTCTCGGCGGGCGGTGAGTTGCCTGTCGGAAGTCGCGGGTGGGGGTGGTGCGGGATGCTGTAGCGGATCCGCTATAGGCGGCCGACGACGCTGTTAGTTGGCGGTTTCCTGTACGTACTTGCCACTTTCAGCACAACTCACCACGAGATCGAGGTTCGTTGTGTGTAGGTCGATCCTTCCATAGAAGATCAATAATGATGTTCAGTTTTATTTGGTCTTTGCAATAAACCTCTGAAAATCGAAAATTTGTCCCAGCTACATCACTTTTTCACCATCACTGCCATAACCTCTCCTATAGCATCGTATACACACCCATCGGGCCAGCTTGTATTTTACCTCTAAGCTCCCTTCACTGGCAACCTTTCTAGCACATATTGTATTTCTTCAAAATATCAATCTTTCTATAAGTGGCTATCCATTAAGTATGACCAGCAATCAAGGATCTACGTCAGAGCCACCTGTCCTACCCCCGGTACAGGTCCTCTATGACTCTCAAGGCGAAGGTGGTCCTGGGAGCCGTACTCAGAGCAATGCTGCTGGACTAGCCAGTCAACTTGGGCTTTCGCAGACCAACTATCAGACCTACGGTTCTTCGCATGCCCATAAAATCGAACCTCATCGATTTTTGACACCAGCAGAATGGATCATTATTGCCAAAGGAATCGGCGGTGTTGCCGATGTTGAGCAAGCAAAGCCTCTTCACCCGACGTGCTAGTGGTGGCCGCCAAGAGGAATGCCGTTTGGGCTTTACAAGGACGTGGTACAGAAACGAACTCACTCCATGGTCTTTTACAGGTTCACATGTGTTGCTCGATGGCTCCTCATGTTTCTTCAACTTTGTATCTCGGCGACACTGACGGCTCTTGGCTCTATGGCAGCTAGGGACGGTACGCCAATTACCGTTCTTGGCGCCATCAACACAGTTGCCGCTGGCATATTGGCCTTTTTGCACAACAGTGGGTTGCCTGACAGGTATCGATACGACATGAATGAGTTTAAAGAAGTAGAAGACCATATTAAAGAAATCTTGGACTCTGGAATTGCACCTGCAGGTTTGACTGCCGAGCAGATTCTCGCGGAGTGTTTTGAGCTGTACAGAGACGCAAAGCTGACTGTGACGGCCAATATGCCAGACAACTATCGCACCAAGCACGGCAAATCTGTGAGACCAACAGCGCCAACTACAGCACCGTCGCAGTCCAAGTCTGATGCAAAAGGTGAAAACATGTCTAGGTTGCCTTCTGTTGCCGAAGGTGGTGAATCAGAGACCTCTGCGACAACCAAAGCCAAGTAGCCTAGACTGGAAAAGACTACAATGCCATCGCAGGCTGTCTACAAGTGCCTAGTTGGGACAAGCCTTTTGATTCCCAGCGTTATGGGTGAGATTGCAGCTTAGACTGTCTGGCATGCAGTGGGGTAAGGACAAGTTGACGGAGTGGGTGGGAGCTCATCTTCTGGAGATTGTAAGCGAGATTTGTTTCTACGGCCCCAGAGATTTTGCATCACGGTATGGGCACATTTGATAGCGACAAGATGAGCAGGAAAATTGACAATACAAGAGTAAACGCAAGACAGAAAAGAGAATACAGCATACCTTATTTGAAAAACATATTTTGCGTCCAACAAAGAAGACTGAAATGAAAAATGAGACCTATGCCCATCTAGTTTTGCCTGCTGGCGACGCCGCTGCCGTCACAATGTTTCGCAGGCAAGGCTGGAATGTGAAACTGTTGTGGGATGGCAACGCCGAACCGTAGAGCGGTGAATACCGACTAATCGAGCAGTTGTAAGATGGACGATTGTACGAACGGTTAAAAAACAAATAAGAAAACAGATGACAAAAAATGAGATGTAATGACAAACCAAAAGAGAAGAATAATGTGCCAGCCAAAGGAAGAGATGCACCAAAGAAGGGAAGAAAGGTGAGAACATCAGCTGCCAGCCGAGGGTAAAATGCATTACCATTCACCAGCCAATTTTTTTTACATGCGCATTAAAAGATAGCCATGTCTGATGGTCGCGATCTTCGCTGGCAGATGACATCCAATAGTTCCACGCAGCGTCCCATCATTACCAAATAGACGGTGATGTGCAGGGGCAGCCAAAGCCGATCGTCCAGCGAGCCAGTCAGCGATAGGCCAACGTCATGCCCGCCGGGTTCCACAGTGGTGTTTCAAGCTGGCAAAGGCATTTTGGTGCGTACACGATCAGCGCTTCTCCCCTGCGTAGTGCCCTGCGTGGTGCTGGGTAAAAGAGAACAGCCGGCATGGGCGGGCGAATCCATTCCTCGGAATGCGGGCAGTCTTTTGCTCGGCTGCCGTCATCTTGTTTTATTTGTACACAATCGTTTCCATTTCGCTTCTGGGCCTTTTCTCGGCTTGTTTTTTTTGTTGTTTGTTTGCTGTGTGTTGCTAGCAACTCGAGGGCCGGCAAACCTCTTTTAAACATCACAAGACACAAGCAGTTGTCTGTCTTTTATTTTATTTCGTTTTTTTATTTCTTGTCAGCTTTTACCTCTCCTTTCTTCCATTCTCTCAGTTGAAGCATCGTCATTTCGTGCTAAGCGCCGGCCGCTTCTGCATACATTGCTGCTTCACCTTTGACTTGACTGGACCTTCAGCACCATCGCCAACACACGCTCCGCTGCCACTCCGACCTCATCCAACGCCATCATGTATTTTACTAGCGGATCAGAGGTGTTTCCGACCAGAGCCATCTCGCTGGTCCTCGCCCTTCTCTCTCTCATTGTCGTCTATCACACCACTGCCGTCTGGCAAGAACTGCACAACCCGCATGTATCCAAGAAACTCGACACCAACAGCAGCGAATACGCAGTTCGGGTACACGGCTACCTAAACCATGTTATCACAACTTATGGACTGACGAGAGAAGTCAACTGGACATCATGGCATATCCAGCCGGTGCAGGGCTCCAAAGAGAGACCAGGTCTGACGAGAATCCCAGTTCCCTTCCAGCACCGCTCTGGCTTCCAACAGATTGACTTACGACAAGCTACCGCCGAAATCTCCAACGTCGATTCCATGCTACGACTTCCTATTTCATCCCATCTTGATCTTCCCCAGGAATCAGACGCTTCTCAATTCCTCTTTGCCATCTCGAGTAGCTACGATCGCCTTATGAACAACGACATGGCCATTATCCGAGGCTGGCAGCGCTGGATGACCAAGGTGAAGACGACCAAGACAAATGGCGCCAATCTTCTTATTCTTCTCGACCGCGCCACCAACGAGGAAGTCGAAGAGCTCGACGACCTGATTCACCAGGCCGGCATCGAGGCTCTCATTTACACAACTGACCAACGCCTGTCGATGGCCACAAGATATCTTGCTCTGGTCGAAGAACTACGCACCTTTGGTGGTGTTCTTGCAGCTACCAGACAAGACAAGCTGTGGTTTTCGCTCTTGGAAGACTCCATGTTCATCCCCAGCATCAGCTACTTGACCGAGCGCCTCAGCCAGTACGATACTAGCGATGATGTCTACGTTGGCCTCCCTAGTGACGAACAGGACTGGCTGCAAGGACAAGATGGCATGACTACTACATATGGTGGAGGAGCCGTGTTTCTCACTCGTAGCGCCTTGACCCGCGTCCTGTCTGCTCCCTGTGCCGATCTCGAAGTTTCGACAGAACCTCCATTCCAAGCTAAGAAGTGGGATGCTTTGCTACAGCAGTGCATGACCGAGTACGCCGACATGGAGATGCATGTTCTCCCAGCCATTTACATGCCGGATAACAGCGATGTTGCACGTATCGAGGCGCCTCCTTTGGTATCCCGCATTGACGACAAGACCAGCGTCGTGCAGTCGCACCTCGTCACTGAGGCATGCGGAGAACGCTGCTTCTTACAAAAGTTTGCCTTTTCTGATAACTGGGTTCTTGAAAACGGTCGTGAAATCAGCTACTACAACCAGCCCATCAGAGTAAACAAAAACGATGTCGCAAAGCCGCAGACCAACCACCTTGCCAGCCAAATCATCCTCGACAAGGGAGGCTTAAAACGCCGAAACGCGCAGCTCGATGGCAAGCGAGAAGTCTGGAAGCTGATGGATGCTCTTCGCGACGACGACGGCTCTGTGTGGCAGGCGTACGTTAAGAGAGGACAAGCAGCAGAAACCAACGACGGCGTCAACGCTACATCAGGAGACTCTGTCATTGTCTTGACCTGGGAAGCAGCAAGAGTTGATGTCGAGGTTGAGATTAAGCGACGCTAATGAATTACCTCTTTTACATGTCTCATCTACCTTTATTTTCTTTTTTGCTCTTTCTTATTTTCGGGCATCTCATCATATTGGCGTTTAACTGGGGTGGTCTAGCGAAATCTTTTTGTCACATACCGTCTTTTATCAGACAATTTCCTTTTTTCATTCTATACTCTATTTACAATATATCATGTTAATCATGTACTTTTAGCTTCTTCCCACTGTGCCTTGTTCATTTCCCAGTATTCTTCGCTTGGGCTAAACTCGCCGGGCCGCGTGACACCCTTGCCCTTAAGGCCAAGGTGCTCCTCTGTGAGCTTAATCATGGCGGCATTGGTTGTAGACGTAGTGATTGTGACAAGGTCGAGCTGCGGGCCGCCCTGGCTCACAGGCAGAAATGCCCAGTCGATAGCGAGCTTCATAGCTTCCACGGCATAGCCCTTGCCACGATACGCGACATCAAGCATGACGCCGGCGTCTCCAGCACGGACATTGACTCCATCGCGCACCCAATCTTTGATTGCGCCATAGCCTCCGAGACCAATGACCTCTTCGTCTTTGCCATTGTCTCCCTTTAGCACCACTACCATGTTGACTTTGGGCGGGCCGCTGACAACGCGGCCGTCAGCCCCGACGACTGTAGGTGTAGCCATCTTGGTGCGATGTCCTTTAACAATCTCAAGACCCTTGGCTACATCGACAGTGTCGCTTGTAGCTTCGGGGTTGTTGCGCTTGCCAAAAAGGAGCTCTGCGTAGATGGCGGCATCTTCTTCTTGGACGGTGCGTAGGATAATAGGATATGTGGTAGACTCGATGCGAGCATTGAGGTGGTCGATTTGAAGGGGGGATTCGAACTCCATGATGGGTAATAAGTGAAGGGTTTGCTTAATAGTTTGTAATAGCAATGGTGCATTGAGGTGGGAGATTCCTGTCTGGCTTTATACTGCTCCAGCGACCCCTCCACAGCCTTGGATTCTACCCCACGTCAGAGTTGGTGGTGTTTTGCCCTGAACGGTGGCTTGCGGGTGCATAACCAGGCTGGCCAATCATTCAAATGCAATGCCGCTCTAATTGGGGTTAAACTAGTGCGCTAACAAGGGGGATTTACGTAGGCGTGCTCGTTCAACTACAGCAGAGTGAGTCACTATCGGTTAGTAGCCAATGACAGCCACGACAGACTCAACCGTGACTCACGAGGCTGTCAGCAACATGGGGACTTTGCAAAAATTAGGACAAGAAATGGATAAAAAATCATATGCGGATTCGATTTTTTATATTTGCTAAGAAAATAACGCCGAAGAAGGAAACCAGCCAAACACACGCTCCATCATTTCAAATCGTTGCAAAAAGAGCGGCTCATTCGGATGGGCTGCTCTTCCGCTCCTTGCTGGGCGTGTTGGTCTTGGATCCCCCGCCAGAGCTTCGAAGCACACGTCCTGCGTCAGGAGAAGCCTCTGACTTGTTTGTGCTCTCTCGAGATAAAGGCGACGGTAGGTCGGGCGTTACAGAGCGGGAGTCGGTGCCCTGCTTCTTCGGCTTCGACAATGAGCTGGGCTTGCGGCGGCGCTTGTCGGACATGCTGGAGATGGAGCCAGTCCTTCGCGAGGACGGGACGCCATCATCCATATCCAGAGACGGCGTAAAGCTCCTTGATGAACTGACGGATGAGCGGCGCACGCTGCTGGTTCGCCTCCGGTGTTCTTTATCAACCGCCTTGTGTCCAGACTTGGATGCTGTCTCGCGCTTGTGGTGCGGACGCTTCCACGGAAGCCACCAGAACCATCCAAACTGTTGTTTAGACAGCTTCAAGTCGTATTCCTTGACCTTTTGGCGGAGCAGCGCGCGGCGCTCGTTCTCGCGCTCCCAGTATTCGGTTCGGTACAGCTCCCAGTTCTCGCGGAAGTTGGGAGAGAAAGGCTTCGCCAGCAGCAAAAGCTTGACGTAGTCGCCTCCGGGAGCCAAGTCTTCTTCGTGGCCGTGCTTGGTGTCGTCGTGGGGGAGAACCAGCAGGGGGTGACTATCCCCCGACATGGCCATTTCCTTTTCTACCTCGCGCAGAAGCGAAGGTTCAACGTATCGGTATGAGGAGCTCGCCGTATGCGAGAACAAGCCGTATGTCAGAAAGAATCCGACTGTAGATAAAACCTCCATCCACCAGGGTTGGCGGATCACAACGAGCTTGCAATTGAAGGGCCGCAGACCCCGGTTCGAGATGGCAAACCAGCGACGGGGCCAGCGAATGCCGCGCTCCCAGATGCCAGTCGCCCATAGTAGCATCGCTGTAATAATGCCTCCCATGAAGCAGACCTTCTGCGCACCTTCGACGGCCCAGTAGATGGAGCCGCCGACGCCCTGGCCATCTTCACGGGGAGCAAAGTAGAGCTTGTATCCGAAGAAGGAGACCCAGAGGGCGAGGACGGTAACAAAGAAGGTATGGTGTCGCTTGCGGGCGCGCAGTTCGAGGTATTGGGCGCGTAGAGAGGCTTCAAGGATGAGGAGATTCAGATATATCATGGCAGGCGAACTGGGGGTATTGTTCAAGGGATCCCCAGCCTTGCCTTGGACTGGTGAGATAGGTGTGGTGCCCTTGATTACCGTCGGGACGGCAGCCGAAGCGCCCTTGACGATGGAGTCAAGGTCGTCAGCCATTGGATCTTTAAAGTTCGTCGCTATGTTCAGTAAGTCGTCGGGTCCGGATTCGAATTAAGAGGCGGGCGTCCCGTGTCGGTGACGGGGGGGTTTCGGTGGCGGCGTCAGCGACGGTGCAGAGCCAGAATCAAGCGCAGCACATGGATCGCGGATTAAAACAGAAAATCTGGTTGCTGAAAATACAGAGCGACAAGGGCAAGATTGTACGCGGCCAGTCAATCTACGGCGCGGATGATGCGAATCGAAAGAGATGCGGCGCTGGGACTAACGGAAGAACATGGAGCTACGCAGGCGCGGGTCGGGGGAGTTGAACGAACGAGGTTATTCCGGGCTCCGCGTGGCTGGTGGTGGTGGATGCGTGCCGGGGAACGGAGAACGGACGTCGTCCATTGGCAGTGGGTGGGCTATCCCCCAACAGCGGGAAACTTTAGCGGGTTACAGACGCTGGACTTACAGCGGTGCAGTAGCAACACACCAGTCACAGAAGTTCCAATAAGCAAAGCGGGGTGTGGTCATAAAGGTTACAGAGCCAGAAACGGGATCTGATTGTGCTATCGTGCATGATTTTCTTTTTAAAAATAAATAAATAAATAATGCAATGATAGACGCTGGCGGGGGAGCCTGTGACAGATGCCCCAACACCCACGTTGGGCATGTGCACGGCGTTATAGGCGCCCCACGCCGCTAAAAAGGCTGCGCTGCAACTGCGGCCAACACGCTCAACACGGGGCCTGTTTTAGTGGATGAGACGGCAACATCGACTTGTTACAATACACTGAAACGTTTGTTAAGATGAGCGCTCAGGATGTCAATAACAAGACAAAAGTGTACTGCACAGTTCCCAATCTTAGCGAGAGGGCGATATATGAGCTCATACGCAATGACGTTCTGAGCACAATCACAGAGATTAAAGAGGCGTGCTCGATAACATTCATGCTGGGCAAGACACCTCAGCAGGTATCCCAATATCAATACGACAAACTACAGGAGCCCTGATGACGATGAGCAGTGGTTCTTTTTGATTGTGGATACAGTCGACGCCGCAAAGGATGGCATCTTGCTCTGCAATCTGCATGCGTATCATGGATTTCGAGATGTAGTTCGACAGATGCCCGGCGAGGCCTCCATGTCTTGTGCAGCATTAGCGGTGGCATCGATCAACTGGACCGAGGTGCGGGAATCTGCTTTTCTCACCGAGAAGCCAGCGATGATCCGTATCGCCCTGTATGACAACCGGGCAAGCAAGGACAAGCAAGGCTTTCTCAGGATTGCCGAAGCAGTTGACTTTGGTGTGCACTATGTGGTTAGCGATGGCGAGATCGACGACGGTGAGCCGCCACCTAAGTTAGATAGCTTAGATGGCCTCAACAGATACAAAGCGATTGAGCTCAAAGGGGCTGAGAGCACTGACGCGGTATGCAAGCGGCATCAGCAGCAGTCTACGGAAAAGAGCCTTGACCAAAACCGACTCGCTATCGTTGATGACAAGTTCGACGACGAGGGCATACTGCTTGTGCAGATTGAACCTCGCATGGAGGTTCGCTGCAAGCCTCCGGTGGGAGGCGAGCTACTCTGCTGGAAAGCTGCTGGCTTCATGACCTGGGAGGAGGTGGAAGAGTTTGCGTCCAAGCATTCTGAAACAAAGAAAGACTCGGACGAGCGCCGGTTCAAGTACTATCGCACAAAGGCAGGCGTCATCATTGCTTCTATGGAAGCGCACAAGGTTCCCAGCACCTTTACACGGCTACGGCAGGAGTCGGATGGTGTAGATGACAATGGCGAGATGGGCGACGCGGAAGACGTGTTTGTCGAGGAGCTGCCATGGGACTATTTTCTAAAGCAAAAGGCTGGCGAGAAGTCATGATATTTCGTCTATGTATTGTTATCGTATTGATGAACTTGTTGCGTGGTGTCTAGTCATTATATTAGAGCCTAGTGCTAGAGTGTAGACGTCGTATTTTTCAAAGAGGAGCTCGGAACAAAGCACGTTTACCAAGTCGGCCGTTCCATAGCGTGACATGTTCCACTAGGTCGCCCTCTCCGGGTCACGTTGGTCCAACGGTGCTCACCTGTGGGCGTAGGGGACCAAGTAGCGGTGTTGGCCGAGAGAGGGCAACTGTGTGTATTTAATATGTATACAATGGATGCTGCTGCTGTTGCTGCTGTTGCTGTTGCTGTTGCTGCTGCTAGTCACTCTGATATTTTTTACTTGATTTTCATACAAATTCCAAATTTTAATCAAATTTCAAAACAACTTCTCACTGCATCCATCGGAACCGCCGCCGCGTTATCCCGGCCCTAGGTTATCCCGCAAACGCCTCTTAACTCCGGTCCCCCAGCGCCCCTCTCCCGCCAAATTCCGCAACGCCAACACCGTAGGGGCCTCTGTCAGCGCTGCGCCCTCAGTGGACTTTGGCGCGGCTGCCCTCCGTTTGGACACCCTATCGATTGCCGCGTAGGCAAGTGACGACACCACCATCGGACTTAAGCCTGTCTGCCCACCACGGCAGCGGCCTACTGGGATAACGAAAAGGCCTAGTGCCGCCTACTCACCCTCTTCCCTTTTTCTCGTCTTTTCTCGCCATGATCAAACACCAAGTCGCCTCTACCGTTTTACAGGCTACTCGCGCATCCATCACGACTTCTCTCTCCAAAGCACAGTCCGCCAAAATGACCACTGCCGACAGTTCGCTACCGCCGCCACAGGCCAAGTCGTTCCGCCCAGAAGATGTCAAGCAGAATAAGCCTGAAAACCAACCCGCGCCTTACTTTCCCATGCCCTATAGAGATGCTGCCTACCAATGGGTACGTGTTTACTGAACAATTCCTGTCCATTTATCTGCAGAGATGCTAACTTTTTGTCGCTTTCCAGTGGTCCAGTGTCACCCCCGCCATGGCCCAAAGCAAGGTCATGAGCCTCGTCCCCGTCCTCAAAGAAGCAGCCGACAGCCTTTCGCAGCCCACACCCTCCAAAACAGCTGACGCCATTGGTACACGAGTATGGCGAAGCTCCATGGTCCAGCTCTCCGGCAAGGACCGCGCCCTCAACGAAGTCTGCATTGAGAGAGTAGGTGAAGAGGCCGAGGAGACGCTCGTCATGGTTCACGGCTACGGCGCCGGTCTGGGTCTCTTTTACCGCAACTTTGAGCCCGTCACCCGCTTGCCTGGCTGGAAGCTTTACGCTCTCGATATGCTCGGCATGGGCAACTCATCCCGACCCAAGTTCAAGATCCACGCCAAGAGCAGAGAAGATCAGGTCATTGAGGCCGAGAGCTTCTTTATTGATGCCCTGGAAGAGTGGCGCAAAGCCCGCAACATTGAGCGATTCACACTTCTCGGTCACTCCCTTGGCGGATACCTCGCTGTCTCCTACGCTCTCAAGTACCCCGGCCATCTCAAGAAACTCATCCTCGCTTCCCCAGTCGGCATCCCCGAAGACCCTTACGCCGTCAGTGCCGCCATGCCCGAGCCTGGCGAGTCCACCCTCGAAAACGAATTCACAAAAGATCAACAAACCATTGCACACGTCAACTCTAGCCCCTCTAGCTCTCCTGCTGCCCCGCGCAAGCCTCTCCCCAGCTGGCTAGTCTGGCTCTGGGACGCCAACTTCTCGCCCTTTAGCTTTGTCCGCATGAGTGGACCTCTCGGTCCCCGTCTTGTCTCTGGTTGGACCTCGCGCCGCTTTAACCACCTGCCCGGCGACGAACCACAGACTCTTCACGACTACGCCTTCTCCATCTTTAAGCAAAGAGGTAGCGGAGAGTACGCCCTCGGCTACATCCTCGCCCCTGGAGCATACGCTCGCCGCCCTGTTATCGACAGAATCCACCAGGTTGGTCGCCAACCGCTGCCTCAGACAGATACCAGCAAGGCCCTGAAGGAGACTGGCATTCCCATTGTCTTCATGTACGGTGAAAACGACTGGATGGATGTTGCCGGCGGCTTGGCTTCAGAGGTCAAGATTAACAGGGCGCGAGAGGAGCTCCTCAAGACAGCTACCGCCGAAGAAAAGCGAAACGACAGAGGCAGCGCTCGCGTTGTGGTAATTCCCAAGTCAGGGCATCATCTGTACCTGGATAACCCTGACGATTTCAACAAGGTTCTCCGTGAGGAGATGGAGGACACCATGCGGGAGTCAAAGAGACTCCAAAGCTAGAACTTTGGCTTTGTTTTTGCACATACATGATTTTCTGGGGTGTTTTTTTAACAGCGTGCATTGTTCTTTTGTTTTCTCGTTTTAGACGGCACTATTTTCTTTTGTTTCAGTTTGGCTGGTAGACCGCTAGACTCTCTTGCATAGACTGTAGGCGGAAATATTGGATACATGGCATAGACTCTACGGCGTTGACTGGGTTCACTGCTTAATCAAATAATGAATTACTTCACTGAATTGTCTATAAAACTTTTGGTGAAACGTGATATGCTTTTTCTATTGAAACCCAAACTGGCAATATGCCGCTTAAACCAACCTGCGCAATGTACAAGAAAACAAGGGTATGCAATGAATATATGTATGCGTCTCTCCAAATACTTCCATAACATCAGCGTGCGTTTACAGCTTAATGACATCCACCTCGGAAAAGTCAGGAGGGCTTCTTCCGTATACAACACGCTGCTTGCTGTCTAGCGCTGTGCCCTCGTTGCTCACCCAAATGTGTTCGCTGAACTCCTTGGTTTCTCGGATCTCGTCGTCGCTGACGCCGTTGCAATCCTGTGGGATCCACACGACGGGTTGACGGGCACGAAGGGCATAGTGCATAAATGCGTGCTTAACAAGCATGTCTCTCTCCTTCGGTGTCAAGTCTTCAACTTCGTCGTGTACGCCGCCATAGAGGGCCTCACCCATAGCCCGCTGAGCCTCCAAGTCCTTCTTTCGCTGAGCCCGGCGATATTCCGCTGCTGCCTTGGATTGTCCGTCCAAAAACGCCATCTTCATCAACTCTTTACCTCCTTCTCTTGCCCATCCTCCAACTTGCTTGGTGCCGGCCTTGGCCCATGTACCTACTTGCTTCACAGGATTCATAGCGAAAGTGGTATGCTTGTGGTAAGTCATGAGTTCGTATCCCTCGCCATCTTCGGCTTCATTGCCGGAAGGTTTGGTGCCTGCCGAAAGTCCGGTCGCCTCATCAGCAAAGCCATCATCTTCCACGTTGACCAAGCCCAACCGACGATTCTGGGCTCGTTCGAAAGCTTCATCTCTTAAAACGGCTTCGTCTTCAAGAGTAACAGGTAGATAACGACACAGTGGCGCGAATGAAGTGTGAAGAAGATACTGGTATATAGCTGTCAATAAGAAGACAACAATCATGATACTGCCGTGAGTGATGCAGACAGCAAAGCCATCTTCATTGCGAACAATGAAAAACAAGCCTGCCATGGCAAGCTCCATAATGTATAGCCCAGTGAACGCCTGGTGAATGGCGCGCGGATACAATACTCCGCCAGTATCGTCTTCAAAACGGTAGATGTAAATCATGGCGTAGCGCTGGGCAACCCAAAGTAAACTGAACGTGATGACTGCAAAGATAGAAATAAGCGGCGCTATGATGCAATAAATCAAACCAATGCAGGCAAAGTTGGTGTAAATAGGGAAGAAGGAGCCCCAGATGACATTGTTGAGGGTGGTGTTGCGCTTCCATTTGCTGCGGGCAGTGCTGTCAAATATCGGACCAATGATATACCAAAAGATGAGAGATATCAGTTGCAGAAGGGTTGCTGAGCTTGTCGAGAGAGCTTGTAGGATCATGTACGAGAAAAAGTAGTTTGCAGCAGAGGGTAGATTGCTTGCAAGGACGTTTTGAAGCACATAGTTAACATCTCTAAGTTGACCCAAATTGTCAATCAACTTCTCGAGTGAGTTGGTGAAGAATGATGCAACCGATACAACCAGAAAGACCTGAACAAACAAGAAAGCAAAGAACCAGCGTTGCACAAATTCTGTTCGTTGTGAGCCAGTCTTCACACCTTTGATGCCGGCAAGAAGTTCCATAATGAGTGGTACCAGGGCCAGGATGATCACAATGACTAGTGTTGGCAAAACACCAGCAATCGCAGCAGCAACGTTCCTAGTTGTCTTCGACTTATTCAAAAACTTGAAAGCGTCAATTTTAGTGAGACTTTCAACATTGTTGATAGCAGCCGTCCATGCAACTGGAATAGCCCAGAGGAGGGTCATGGCTGTTACAACCAACGCGACGATACCAGTCCTCAGCCACTGCTGCCACCATGTCATTGCCATGTTGCCCCAAACGACGTCTCTCGGAGAGATTTCAATCATTCGCGGCGCCATTTGGCGAGGAATGTGATGAATGGTGCTCTGACATGCCATGTGTGCAGCAATTTGGTGATTGAACTGCACAAAGGCGGAGTTTAATGGCGGGTAGCGCTCGGGATGCTTCTGATCTTCTTCAATTTCGACATTCAGTCTCGCAAGTTCCCGTCTGCACCAGTAGATGGTATCAACTTTTGTCGTGATGCCTGGAACCCCAAAAAGCCAGTTGATGCCAAATAGACCGAGATGATGGGTTGGACGGTGCTTCGCCTTAAGGTACTTCTTCCAAGCCGCATCTCGTGCCCTGAGCTGGCTCTCACTCATATCAAAAGCCTTTGAATACTCAAAGATGGGCTCCTCCTCACCCATAAAAGGGATATATTGCTTAATGTTTTGCCAAACCGTCTTGTTAGCATACATATCGTGGAGCTCCGTTGCCTGCTCCAGGCCTTGAGGCACCGGGGACGCATAGCCGCCAGACGGAGGCTTCCAAAACTGCCAAAACTTCACCTTGTCGGTGCTATAGAGCTCTTGTTCATCCTCGAGTTTCCTGACAGTGTTACCGTTGGCGCGTTGCTCGGCAGGTGGCTTCTGTATAGCACTAGTCGACTCGACAGACACGGCGGAGCCTGCTGGTGATTCGGCCCTTTCTAATTCAATTTGTTCTTCCTTCGGTGATTGGACATTGGTCGGATTCACAGGTGTAGTGGGCTGCGAGTTCATTCGGACATTGGCCACAGGTGTCTGAGGCTTATCATGAGCAGCACGGCTTTCGACCTCCCGTTCCGATTCGCGGACACCCTCCGAGACGTTGTGAGGAACATTCTGTACGTCTCCGTCCTCATGTCCTTCATCACTTCGTGCTAAGGTCTCAGCGTCTTTGTCTTGTTGCGCTCTTATGGCGGCCTTCTCCTTGCGAGTGAATGGTTGGAGGTTGTTCTTTTTGCGTTCCGCCTTTGCCTTTGCATAAGTCTGTTTCAGTTCCGCCTTCTTTGCTGATTTAATTAGCTGTGTTTCGGCGTTCTCCAACATGTTGTGAATTGAATCGCGCAAGTTAATCTTATCCAGTAGCTTGGAAAAGTCGCGGTTGAGCCACACATTTCGAACACCACCCGGAAACACATCAAAAAGGCCGATAAGCCCTTCTTCGCTGAGCCATCTGTAAGGAATACCACTGACAAGGACAGTAGTAGCCGAAGCACGTAGCCGATGTTCCGCGCTGGTTAAATAATCTTGTCGAACCTTGATATACGCCTTAAACTCGAAGAAAAAAACACCACAAACCCAAATGACGGTCAAAATTGCCATAATCAAATGGGCAGTATAGCGACTAGAGTTCCTAGGTCGAACATTTCCCCATGCTATCGTATCGAGGCCAGTTATATTACTCTTGGCCTCGGTCCCATCCCTGCGCTTCAGATTCGAGCTATCGCTGTTTCCGTAGACAATGTCCGTTCCTCGGCCGTCGATGTAGTTGAGCGGGATTAAAATCGGCAAAACGACGAGGCAAATCGGAATGAATATAACAATGAGGGTTTTGAGGTAACGAAGAAAGAAATAGGCGTCAAGACCACATTTGTTGATAATGTCTCGGTCTTTGAACAGAACAACCGTTTTGATAGTTGCCAATATGCTTCTCGGTGGAGGATCGGTGCGCTCACGTTCTGGGACGAGATATGTTTTGGGTTTACTGATACATCAAATATTAGCTCACGACACCAGATGGTGCAAATATCAGTCAATCCAACTCACAAGATTCTTGCAATTTTGTTGCGAATAAGGACAAAGATGATGAACTGTACGGCAAAAATGACAATAGCAGTTGCTATGGCAGTAACAAAGCCGACAATACCTTGGCCGCTAGTCTTTTCAACCCTCGAGTCCATATTGGAATCGTCCCGCGGTAATAGGTGTAGATTTGGCGAGGTGCCTTGCGCGAGGGCTGGCTGGTAGAGGTTTAAGAAGATCGCCGTCGCCAACAGGCGGCGAACCATTAGGGCTTGCATCATGGTGCCACCTCAAGCTCCATAGGCCCCGTGTACAGATGGTGCCTTGTTTACAGACAGAATCGACTGGGTTGCTGAGATTTGTTTGCCAACGTTGCTCAGGGGAGTGTTTTGGCGGCAAATAGCCCTTGTGGGGGAGTAATAAAACTGGGAAACAGGGAGGTGTCCCTGTCGATGTCGAGTCGGTGGTTGCAGTAGGAGGGTAATATAAAAAGTAACACAAAAGAAAACTATGTAGTGAAACGGCAAAGAGACTGGTAGTTTCAGGATTTGGGGACAGTTTGGGAGATGAATGGTGGAGGGGGACACAGCATGAAAAGTGGCAGGTTTTTGGGTTGTAAGCGTTCGCGTCACCACTCCAAAGCTACAGCCGGTGTCCCTGGCACGCGGTGGAAGTGACATCACTGGTGTCCACTGTGCCGACGATTTGCAGTGCTGTGGGCCAATCAATTGGTCGGTGGCGGCCTCCACCAGTCTGACGGTGTTTTAAAGATTACGAGAAAAAAGGTAAAGAGACAATTATGGGTGTGTAGAAATACAGAAGAAAGTAAATTTTATATATCTAGAAGTAAATTTATACTTTTTTCCGTTGTCAACAAGAAAGACCGCGGAAAAGAACCTGGACGCGAAACTCACTCCGTGTTCAGACTGCTACCTTGAAAGTTAAGGTGTCGATACCGGGCAAATGCGAGACGAATGTGAATCAAACTTCTACTCAACAAAGACGGCTATATATTCCACCTAGTTCATCTTGATACGTGTTTTACCTCTCAGCATATCGCGATGTCAAAATGAAGATCACAGACGACCCTTGATCTGGGCGGCCACCACCAATACCACCGTCCACACCTTGGCGCAAACGCTACGGGATAAAAAAAGATCAGTACTTTGTATTGCTACCTTTAAGTTATAGAAGCGACCCATAAACTCCATAAAACCATTGCGCCAGATATTTCAGCAAGCACGTACTCCAACTCCTTGTAAGCTCTAGTAAAACAACTTCGGTCTTCTACTCCGCCAAGATTTCCTCACGGCCAGCCATGAGATTTGTGGTATTAAAAGAGGCAGAGGTCAACGCAGCAGCAGCATGCCAAACCAGCAAGCAGACCACCAGCAATGCCTGCGCCGGCACCTCCGCGACCGCGGTCTTGTTGGCCAGGGAAATAGCCTTGCTGCTGGTATCCTCCCTGGTATTGTCCTTGGTAGCCTTGTGGAGGGCCATATTGTCCCTGAGGAGGGTATTGTCCTTGCTGTTGGTTGTAATAGCCCATCTTGGGGCCTTCGTAGTATCCGCCTTGGGGCGGCATTTGCTGGTTGGGATACTGCTGCTGATTGGGGTATTGCTGTTGGCCTCCATACGCTCCAGCTGGGTTGTCATACTGGTATGAGCTCTGGCCGCCGTATGGCGCAGGCTGGCTGTTGCCATAGGGCGCTGCTTGGCCTCCGTAAGATGGTTGAGGAGGTTGTGGTTGGTCGCCACCGTAGGGAGGAGGTTGATCGTTCTTCGACATTTTGACGGGTTGAGGTAAGAGATTGGGCACGAAGCAGCACAGTGGTGTTCAAGACAAAGGAAATGGCTAAAATTGATGCAGTGGCCGTGTTGCTAATATAGAGATTCTGCGGATGCAGGAGAAAAGGAAATGTGCTGGGTAAAAGTTGAGTGCTTGAGATTACGTAGGCGTTGTGGCCGACTGCGCCACTCTTGGCTCATTGCGACCATTAGCAAGCCTGTGCACCAAGGTAAGCCAGTCGTACACCTAACAATCCTGACACCAAATTTAACGGTTGACCAACACAGCCTTGTTCTCCTTCTCTTAAGATTCTAATACCATAACAGAATATCCGCCCATTAATAAGGTACACAGAGAATCAGTATTTGCAACAGAACGATTAATCGGAATTAGGCACAGAAAAAAATCAATAAAATATCGTCCTTATTTAAGATAATCTGTTCACTTTTTAATTTTCTTTTAATTGGTATCAATGATCCGAAGCCACACACGGCAAACGAGATGACAGCGCATACCGCCAACACCTGGGCTAAGTAAAAATGTAAAGACCATCAATGATGAGAATATATAGCTGTGTTTAATTTATAATTGTTGGTGCATTTGTATACTGATATACAATACGGAGCACTAACCTCCGTTTTGGCCCCTTTACTAAAGGACAACTCTCTAGTTTCTTCCTTGCCCCAGAGTATAAGAAGATTTGCTTGACTGTTTTGCGTGTTTATGGGGGCGGTCCCCCCGTTTTGCTTCCAAATACAACCAACAGCAACAATTAGCGCACATAAACTACACCCCAACGTGCAATGGAGGAGTCAGAGGCCAGCACATTTCCATGGATGAATGCTGATGATGTTGACTTTCGCAAACGATGGAGGGAGCACTACGCTGGAGAACAGTACAGCATGGAGGGATCATCGAAAAGGCTTTGCAAGAAGGGGAAGAGATGGACATGATGTCTCAATACTATCTCTTTGGCCGGAACTCTCCATAAGACTGTCAAAACTTTGTGAGGGTCCTAGGCCAGGTGCAACAGGTTAGGACTCCGCAAAGCTTCCACTGGGTAGCAGCAAATGCTGCTCCTCAGGGTCTCGAAACGCCAGCTCTATGCAAATACATCATCTACGGTTGTATCTGTCCGGATATGGATACTTTCGACGGAGATGGTCTCAAAGCAACGGACATACTGTATTCTGAACACCTTAAACTTGAGGAAAATAAGCCTGAGCTTGCGAGAGCAAGAGCTGCTGTCCGGCAAGATTATGAAGTAATCGCACATGAGAGAGCGAAAAGGATGCTGGATATCTACGAAAAGCAAATTGAAGAGACGGGCAGTTTTGGTGCCAAAACGGCTTGGGCCCAGATCGAGCCACAGATTCCAATTTGGATTACAGAAATTGCCAATAACGGTACTACATATGGCTTCGCTATTTTCAAGTCTTCCAAGTTTACATCAAGACCGGAAGTTGGATATAAGCAGTGGCTCGGTGTTTTTGATGGAAGCGTTCCAGTTGAATATTCTGCTGCGTCCGAATCAAACGATTCTGATCCTTTCATGGAATGCGACGAATTGACTGGAATACAAGCTGCCTCTGGAACTGTTTTCAAGGGCCATTTCGTGACTCCTTATTGGAATCTCTGGTGGGACAACGAACTGGTGGACGAGGATGCCCCGGAGAGTATACGAGAGTATGTGAATTCCCTCCTCAACCCTTTCTTGGACCAAGCAAGCACATGCAACAGCAACGAATAAGCTAACAAAACTACCCCCTTTAGACGATTTGCTACCTTGGCACCATCGCTAGAAGGCAAGATGTCAAAGACTACGTTTCTTGTTATCACTAGCGACTGCGTTCCTCATGAGCTGGACGAAAACAAGCTTGTAATGGAAACAGAGGTACCCCGTACGAAATCGCCAGGGCATATCTATTATCCCGACTTAGTGCCACTATTTGTCTGGGCTTATGATGCTCATTGGGTGCCGCCTGCTGACATGACATGCGATGAGGACGGCTATCAAGGACGAGTAAAAGTCGATGCGGAAGTCATATTTTCTTGGTTTTACTATGCTCGAGAGGAGACAAGCCATACTATGAAGGACCTATGGCGCCGGGCTCAAAAAGAGCCAAACCAAATCTGGACAGCAGAGGCAGCCTTGCTCGATCGGGGCGTACCTGTAGAGCTGATTTAAAGCATACAGATCTAGTGGAGGTATTGATGTATGTTATATACAACGGAACAAAACATCGTAATAGTAAAATTCCTATAATCTTTTAACAGGTATTCAGTAAGTCGATTGGCATTGTTTGCTACTCGTTAGGAAGGGAGCGCGATGTCACGTGAACGTACACTTCGCCACAGCTGTGGCTCAAGCATGGCGCCCCACTGTGGCTAGAAGCGCACCACGAAAATGTAGTAAATTTGTCGAAACCCCACGACCATCAAGCCGTGAAGACGCGAAGAATCGACGTTGGTACTGCCCCAGACACCGAATAAAAACGCAATAGACGTATTGTTCGTTCCAGCACCAACATAATCATGGCTACCGCACCTCCCGTCAAGTCCACGTAAGTGACGAGCGCGCGACGCTGAGCAGCGAGCGGCAAACAGCAGGCAAATCTAACCCCACCATCACAGCAAGGACTGGGCCGACGACGACGATGTCGAGGAGACCAACACCGAGCTCCCTCCCACCCAAACCATCTCCAACAAGGATGGAACCAAGACAATCATCACATTCCGCTTCAACGACCAGGGTCAAAAAGTAAAGACCACCCGCCGAATCCGCTACACCACACACACGGAGAAGGTCAACCCCCGCGTTGCCGACAGAAAGTCATGGACCAAGTTTGGCGCCAGTGCAAAGGACGGCGACGGCCCTGCTGCTGATACGACATCTGTTGGTGAAAACATCATCTTCCGCCCCAGCGTCAACTGGCGCAAGGACGCCAAGGACGAGAGTGCCGACCCCAACGCCCAGGCTATGAAGGACAAGCTCAAGGACAAGAAGGTCAAGTGCCGTATTTGCAACGGCGAACATTTCACAGCCAGATGTCCCTACAAGGATACCATGGCCCCTGTTGGAGAGAACGGTGCTGCCGATGTTGCTGCCGGTATGGGCGACGAGCCTGCTCCCGCTGCCGGCCCCGGCGCGAAGAAGGGCTCCTACGTGCCCCCGGCTCTCCGTGGCGGAGCTGGAGCTGCTGGCGAGCGCATGGGCGGATCCAAGTTTGGCGAGAGAGACGACCTGGCGACGCTGCGCGTTACCAACGTAAGTTCTTATAGTCGCGTGTCAAGCGCGTATACCCGTGATATGTCGCATGCTAATAACTGCGCAAATAGGTTTCCGAGATGGCCGAGGAAGGCGAGTTGCGAGACATGTTCGAGCGTTTTGGTCGTGTCACAAGAGTATTCCTTGCCAAGGACAGAGAAACGGGTATGGCCAAGGGCTTTGCTTTCATCAGTTTTGCGGATCGCGGCGATGCTGTCAAGGCCTGCGCCAAGATGGATGGTTTCGGTTTCAAGCATTTGATTTTGAGAGTCGAGTTTGCCAAGAAGGCTCAGTAGATTTTTGCATGTGTCACGAAAAGTTGGGGTCTACATATGAAGTAATGGTATTTTTTTCTCTTTCTTCAACCTTTTGTTCTGGATGCCGTTGCTGTCCTTTCTGTGCATGGTCTATTATTATGGCATACAAACCCTCGTAGACTGCACCGTCAAAGGAAATCGATCTACTAGCAGCTAGATATTTCGTGACCTTCTACGGGTTTGTATCGTCATTGTCTTCTGGTAGATGCCATACGCATGATAGTTAAGCTTAATGGTGGTAGCTTTCAAACGGTGAGAGACTAAACAGGCTGTGCCAAAACAGAGCCTCTCAAAGGCCACGTTACGTATTCATACTCACTTGTCTCCCTTTTTTTCAACCTCTCTCAGCTACAAATGACTTACAAATCAAGCCTCTTATCCTAAATCCCAACATTTATATTGAATTCAACAATTTGGCCCGTTTTCACATGCTTTTTGTCACTTCCAGCCTTCCAACCCTGCATCTTTCCACTGGGGAGGACAGCTGGTGGAACCCCCTAGCACGTCTTTGCCCACTGAGAGCCCTGGGCCAGCAATCCCCCAGCGGCCACAGTGGGCACCCCGCGAACAAAATCGCTCTAGCGGCAGTTTCCAGTGGGGCCAGTGCCCAGCGCCGTTCCGTTGATAGCCTTTGCTCACGCGCGCACTGCTTGCGGATGTAACTCTCCCTCGACCAACCCGCGTACCTTTGGTGTATCCCATCACTTCGCCTCCGTCATTTCTCTTTGTATCTCAGCAGACGGTTCAACACTCGTCTGTTGTAGAATTCATCTTGAATAAATAAAGCCACACGGTACAAGCACATCCATCCATTCTCGGGCGGTCCTCCTCTGTCGACGTCATCGCTTCCACTCCATCTAAAACGAGGTTTAATACCACTCCCATCGATTACAATCTTTATTAATACCCGTAATTTCTTCTCTCGAGTTCCAGAAACAACACATCGACTTGCTGCTCAAGCTGTGGAGTCTCTAAATTGCACGTCCTGTTTTACCACTGGTTGGACTGGTCTGAAGCTCGCTGTACCGAAATCGTTGGGAACGCTATATGCCCCCACACGCAAAAGCCACGAAAGTCCCTTTACTCATTTACCAACGGAGGCCCTCGTCGTGATTTACACTTTTCATCTCGATTGATCTCTCACAGAGCTCTAGTTCACTTCAACATCCGCGAACTAGCGCAATGGAAACCGCATCGGGTGTCTCGAAGGGCGAAGGGGACTTGCGACAGCGCGCGTCAAAGCACGCTGAAGGCGTTTCCTCGGAAGCTGGAGTTGCAAGAGACCCGTCACGCGACAATGAGTTGAAAAACAACGGATCGATAAAAAAGACCTATGGAAGAACGCCAGATGGAACAGGTAAGCCATTTCAGCTAGGTGAAGTACTCGGAGAGGCTAATTGGTGTCAGTCTTTGTTGTGCCCACGACCCATGACATGGTATCGCAGCTCCTCGATCCGCGTCAACCGAAAAATCTTTCAGATGGTATTGTCCTGGCCATACTCGCCTGCCACATTCTCGCAGCCATATACTTGCCATCGCAATATAAGCGCCCCGTGTTTGGGTTGATTTTCATCTTCTGGCGAGCCTGCTACAATGTTGGTATTGGTGTGCTTTTACACGTCCAATCCAACTACAGCCGAATGGTAACTTGGGCTGTCCGTTCCAAGGTGTTCGAAAATCCTAAAGATGGGAAAACCCCACGTCCATGGCTATACAAGCTGCTCAAGAAGGAGTTGGAGGCCAAAATCCCTGAAGACTACGACTTTGAGAAGGCTCCCATTGAGTACAACACATGGCTTGTTTTCCGTCGCGTGGTTGATCTTATCCTCATGTGCGACTTTACCTCATACTGTCTCTTTGCCATAGTATGCGGTCATGTACCCGAAGGAGAGCACCCCTTGCTTGGTGTCGCACGATGGATCGTCGGTATCGTCCTAATCGGGTTCAACCTTTGGGTGAAGCTCGATGCCCACCGTGTGGTGAAAGACTTTGCTTGGTACTGGGGTGACTTTTTCTACCTTATTGATCAAGACCTCACCTTTGACGGCGTCTTTGAGATGGCTCCGCATCCCATGTATTCCATCGGTTACGCCGGCTACTACGGTATTTCTATGATGGCTGCTAGCTACGAGGTCCTCTTCATCTCCATTGCTGCACACATGGCTCAATTCGCGTTTCTTGTCGCCGTCGAAAATCCTCATATTGAGAAGACGTACAACCCTCCTCCTGCACGACCAGCTGAGATACGACCTGATATTGACGTTGCTCTGATCAAGGAATCTCAAGCAACCACCGGTGATAAGACACCTTCTAGCGCCTCCAACAGTTCACCGGTGGCCGTTCATGACATGGTTGGCTTCAGCAACATGGATCTATTCCGTGTACCTGACTGTGCAGTGGTTCTTCTACCCCTATACATCGCGGCTCTAACCTTTGTGACCCCAACAACACCACTCTGGCAAGCCACTTTCGTTATCCACGCTGCGCTTTGGAGATTGTGGTACCATCTTGGACTTGGCCTTATTTTAGACAGGCAATCGAAAACAAAGATGTGGACACGCCATTTCCTCAAATTCGGCGAATCTGCTGGCGAAGCCTTTAGGCAATGGAAAGGCATGTACCATATGAGCATGATCATGTGCAATGCCTCATTCATCGCAGCTTGCTGGAAAATATACTCCTTCCCAACGGACTGGGGATATGGCCTTGTCCTTCTCAAGCACATTCTTGGCGCTGGATTAGTTGCCTTACAACTTTGGACAGCCTTCAGCGTCTATGAATCCCTCGGTGAATTCGGCTGGTTCTGCGGAGATTACTTCTTTGATCAGAAAGCTAAGCTTACCTACACTTCCATTTACCGCTTTGTCAACAACCCGGAACGCATCTTTGGTACAGCTGGAGTTTGGGGCGCTGCTCTCATCACCTGGAGTAGATCAATTTTCATCATGGCCCTCCTTACCCAGATGATGACGATTTACTTCTTGGCCTACGTCGAGCGCCCTCACATGCAGAAGATCTATGGACGAGGACTAAGAGAGGAAGCCGGGTTGACCAAGTTCATCAAGCGCTCATTGCCACCACCCGTAAAGACGCTCCAAGAAAGCATGGACAAGGTTATTGACGATACCACTCAGTTTGTGGAAGACTTTATCGATACTGCTCGGCCGAAATTTACATCTGGTGTCAAAACCATTGTCCGCGATACGTCAGCATTGTTCAATGTGGCACCTGCCAGACTGACTCTCACTCAAATCCCACCTGATCTTGCTGGATTATCGCCCAAGAGCTACTCTATCACGGTGGACGGCACACCTGCGCCCCAAAACTCGAGTGCTCAGTACGCAACAGGCAAGGAGTCCCTACCCGGCCGATTTCCCAAAGCTGTTAAGACTATGGTGTACGAATATGGATCACCGCTGAGGGTTAAATGGACTGCACCTGCAAACCACCACAAAAAGGACTGGATTGGTCTGTACATGGTAACTGACAACCGCTCCAGAGATGTGACAGAGGTTCCATCCTCAGGCAGATGGGTAGCCACAGTCTCTGGAAGCTACGATATTCCGAGTGCGAACCAGGGTATCGTCGTGGCTGAGCACCAGCTCTCCGAGCCGAGTGAGGACGGGAGTGCCCTTCTGGAGGGTGAAGTCGTTTTCAGCGGTGACAAGCTCTGGTGGACGCAAGGCATATTTGAATTCCGCTACCATCACAATAACCGACACCATGTTATGGCAATCTCCGAGCCGTTTGAAATTCGCATCGGTCAGTTTGACGAAGAAGATGTCAGCATCGATAGCAAAGGCATGTACGCCAAAGCTGTGGAGTCTGCCATCTTGCCCATGGTTCAGAATTGTCTTGACAGAGATCCCAATATCGCACCAAAAGACATTGACCAGGCTTTTGGGGCGCACGTTGAGCGTGACAGCAAATACGCTAAGAGAGTTGTTTACGCTATCCGTGAGATGTTTGGCATTGAATTCGCACCAGCTGTTGTGTTGGCAGACGGCAACGTCCGAAAGCTGGCTTGGAGAATTTGCAATGCCAAAGAAGTCCTTGTAAGTCGTGTCCTATGATTAATGCCCCCACGATTGATTGCTAACTGATCTTGTACAGGCTCCCTATAGTATGTCTGTATCGAAAGGCACCAATACCCCGACAAACCAGCCTTTTGCCAAGGATTAAAATATACGCCGCCGGGCACTAGAAAAGCATGTGCTTAGAATATAGACTTTTTCAAGAGATACCAAATGCCAAAATCTTTCACAATTCGACATCTGTTGCTCGTCCGACTTCTTGGACAGGTTGCATCGTCTGTGTAGTTGAGATGTGGTGGGGGTCAGTTGCATGAAACGAACCGCCACCTAAGAAAGCCCTCTCTGTGGGGGATTGTCGTACGGCCGCAGGTTTTATGATGAGTATGCAAGCCATCCAAGGCGAATTATGCTACCTGCCTGATTGGCATGTCCTGCGTTGTACAGTAAACTATTAACAGGCACATGGTTTATGCTCTGTGCTGACAGGGAGAGCCACATCTAGCCAGATGCTAAGAAGCCATAACCACAGCATGGAACCTCTCCTTTAGCGTTATTTAAAAGGCCACAGCCCGGAAAACGTGGATTGTTCATGAATGGGCCTAGCGTCAAAACATACACAATGCCAGAAGTGAGTCGGGACCCAAGCCCAGCAAGATTGACTCGCTACCATAAACCATGGCGACTGGTGGGATTGGTTCTGCCCGCGACCCCAGCCTCTGCCCCCACTGATGAGGCGCTAAGGGCCAGCTCACGACCGCCTGGAAAGCCGTAAGCACCACCCAACCACTGCCGCGTGCGACATTGAGATCAGCCTAAGGACCACCCGGTTGGCCAGGAACGGAGCCCATTGCAGGCGTCGCCCCACGCTACAGCAGCGAGTCCCCGGCATTTGTCGCCAGCCACTGGCCAGGAACAGCGCTGTAACGCGCCTAGCTTGAGACGACGAAGCGATTGGAGACACGGGCATGGTAACGTGTGCCTCCACCCCGACGAGTAAGAAACAAAAAAAGGAAGCTAAGAGGTACACCCTGGGCTAAACCTATTTACACCTGGTTACATTGTCCCGTTAAACAAAGCTGGGCGTCGCTGTCGGCCCGTTTTCTGTTTTAAAAGCTGCCTTCGTCCGCCATCACTGTTGCTCCCCTCTGTTCCCCCACGCCCGCCACTTCCTACTGTTTGTCTCCAAAAAAGGCAAACTGTTGCCAAACCACCAAAACATGCGTTCCACCATCTTCAACTCCGCTGCCATGTTGCTGACTGCCGGCCAAGCTGCCTCGTGCATGCTCTACGTCTCTTCTTACAGCGGCAAGGTTCACACCCTCAACCTGACGCAGTCTGCTGGCTCCGAAGCGCCTCCCGCCATGGCTGAGGTGTCCGCCAGCAGTGGATGCGGCGACAACCCTTCGTGGCTGACTCTTGACCACGCCAATGCGGCTCTCTACTGCGTCGACGAGGGCTTCAACACTGGCGGCAGCCTCAATTCGCTCCGTACCAACACCGATGGTTCTCTGACTTCCCTTAACAAGGCTGCCACCAAGGCTGGCCCCGTCAGTGCTGTCTTCTTTGGCACCAATGGCCTTGCTATGGCTCACTAGTATGTTTTTGCGACAGAGATGTAGAACTAGATCTTGAGCTAACCACCATCTGCAGCGGCAACGGCTTCTCTACCTGGAACATTGCTAAGCCCTCGGCTCTCAAGAACGTCGAATTCGAGACATACACCGGCAAGGGCACCGACCCCGATCGCCAGGAGGGTCCTCACCCTCACGAGGCTGTCCTCGATCCTACCAAGAAGTACCTGCTTGTCCCCGATCTTGGACTTGACCAGGTCCACGTCTACACCTTTGACGGCAAGACGCTCAAGACCAGTGCTCAGACTGCCCTCAAGGCTCCTGCTGGCAGCGGCCCCCGCCACATTGCCTTTGCTACCAAGGGTACCAAGACCTTCATGTACCTCATCACCGAGTTGACCAGCAACATTATCGGCTACGAGGTCACCTACAACAACGGTATCCAATTTAAGCAGATCTTTGCTCACGGTGTTCACGGTGAGGGCAAGCCCAACGTCAAAGGTGCCTATGCTGCCGAGATTGTTGTTTCTGTAAGTGTCTAGCATCATTTATCGCAAACACACTATCAGATACTAACTATTTATTTTTCATAGCCCGACAACAAGTTCTTGATTGCCTCTTCTCGCGGCGACAACACCTTCGACATCAACGCCTTTGGCGCCAAGGGCACCATCAAGTCCGACCCTCTCATCAACTACTCCATCGGCGATGATGGCAAGCTTACCGTCCTCCAGGATGTCGCTTGCGGTGGTAGCTACCCTCGCCAGTTCTCCATGAACAAGGCCGGTACCCGCGTTGCTGTCGGCCTGCAGAAGGACCACCGCGTTGTTGTTATTGAGAGAGACACCAAGACCGGCAAGCTCGGCAAGTTTGTTTCCTACGCCAACATTGAAGGCGAGGTTACTTCTGTCGTCTTCAACGAGTAAAAACAAGAACAAAATACACCAGCAGTCTATACCTCTGTGTAGCTTGGATACGAAACAGAATAAGCAGCTGCGCCATGCTGCTGTAAATAGCTACCGATTGAGCTGCTTATTGGCTTGTATATACATATATAGAGATGTTTATGAATTGACGCCTCCCATCCCATCTTCCTATATTGCATGGCAATTTTAAATATAATTTTTTCAACTTGCTAATTCTACTCTCTCTGGATGCCGATCTTCTTATGACCGTCTGCCCGCGGCCGCCCGCCGGTAGTGAGTGAGCAAGAGGCGCCCCACCCGTCACCGACATGGCTGGACGCCAACCTAAACCGGCCGGCAGTGTTGAGCTCAAGTCTTTGAGAGTCCAAAACTTCACTTGAAACAACACCAGCCTCACCTCCGCAGTCGCCGGGCGTCACCGTTATACAGTAGCGATACAGTCGGTCGCGTCAATTGAGTCTACAACTCCCGCAGCGCATTCTACTGAGCTCGGCAGTGAGCCTCATGTCAACGCAAGCTTTGTTATGACGGGGACAGCTTACAGAGCCCCGGCCATTCTCCTTAACGATATTATAAAGTATATACCTATCTGAAGCGAGTTGTACGGCATCGGATAATTATGGATTCGCCAAATCACCAACAAAATGACGACGATCTGTCAAGCCCACACCCCGCAAAACGCCGTCTAATGGATGGAGCTCTCGACTATCCGAGGCGCCGCGCAACGATTGCTGTAAGTAGGGATCCTTTGCTGTTTACTGTCGATATAGCTGTTAACATTACAATCTTGTAGTGTGAAGTATGCAGGTCGCGCAAATCTCGCTGCGATGGCAACCGACCAAAATGCAAGCTCTGCACAGAGCTTGGCGCGGACTGCGTGTACCGTGAGCCAGGCGTGAAGCTTGATGTGGGCGACAAAATGATCTTGGAGCAGCTAAGCCGAATAGAAAGCATGTTGCAGATGAACATGGCTGCCAATTCCTACACAAATACCCTTGGAAATCATTCGCAACACAAGAGCGAAGCCATGGGCTCACCAGCAAGGGGCCAGTTTGTGCCAGAGCCCGACCCAGCCAACATATGGAACAGCGGCATCACGAATATATCTACAATGCCCAAAAGCCACACAAATGCAATGATGCATCTGCTGCGGTGGCCAATTATTAGGGACCTAGTCTCGCGACCCCACGATCTCAACGTCTTGTTGCAACTGGAGATGGAGCGCGAGTCACTGCAGTCATCTTCCAAAACGCCGTCTTTTGATCTTTCAAATAACCAAGCATACATTGAAGCATACTTCAACAAAGTCAATGTCTGGTATGCTTGTGTTAACCCTTATACCTGGAAGAGTCAATACCGAACCGCCCTCTCCAACGGTCTCCGCGAAGGTCCAGAAAGCTGCATTGTTCTGCTAGTGCTTGCGCTTGGACAGGCCAGCTTCTCTGGAAGTATCGCAAACATCAATCAGCAAGAGGATACCCCCGGAATGCAGTATTTTATGGCAGCATGGTCTTTGCTGCCTGGTATGATGACAGCTAACAACGTCCTCGCTGCACAGTGTCACTTGTTAGCGGCGGCATACATGTTTTATTTGGTTCGCCCTATGGAGGCGTGGAACCTTCTTTGCGCTACGAGCACAAAGCTGCAGCTTCTTCTCATGACTCCTAGCACTATACTACCACAGCAGAAAGAGCTGTTGGAACGGATATACTGGAACACGCTTATGTTTGAGAGCGACCTACTTGCCGAGCTTGAACTGCCTCACTCTGGAGTCGTTCAATATGAAGAAAAGGTTGGCCTACCAGGAGGCTTTGATGGTAACGACGACGACCACATTGGGACCGACAATCTTTGGTACTTTCTAGCGGAAATTGCCCTGAGAAGGCTGCTCAACAGAGTAAGCCAACTGTTGTATTCCAAACAATCTCCTTCGCCTACCATTGCTAGTCTAGAGCCCATCGTCAACGAGTTGGACTATCAGTTGACGCAGTGGTACGAAAGCCTCCCAAGCGCTCTGCAGTTTCCGTTTTCTAGCATGCCGTTGGAGGATCAGGTGCTATCTGTTTTGAGATCGCGCTTTTACGCTTGCCGAACCATTATTTATCGACCTTATATTGAACATGTTCTCCAAAACGAGCATGCTTTAAGAGACCCCGTAGTGCGAGACAGCTGCCACAAGTGTCTAGAGTCGTGCGTTCGCCAGCTCGAGCAGATTTCCGAATTGTAAGTCCAAGTCAGAATGCCCACAGTATACGATCGCTCCTAACCAAACTCCTGTTGTGCAGCCAAGCCGGGCACATGGCGTACTTGTGGCAGGGCGCCCTCTCAGCCGCTTCACAGTCACTCTTGGTCATGGCGGCGTCGATTAGCAAGCCGTTGCAGCCGCTGCTGCTAAACATTGCACCGAGCCACATGTTGGACGAGATATTGAAAAGCGTCGTCATCGAGCTGGATCGGTATGCGCATCTGGCGCCGAGTCTGGGACTGCTGGCTGAGATTGTGCGCGAAGCCGAGGTAGCAAGACATTCCATGCTGCGCAGCGCGTAAGACGGCCAAACCCGCCTCGGAGTCAGAGGATTGCACACGACGCTGCCGAGTAGTATATGTGTATTATTATCATCATTATTGTCATCACATGAAGGTGTATATATGGGAGGGCATATTTGTGTTTCGGGCCGTTGCCAGTTTTGTAAAAAATCGACACGTTGTTACAACTTACAGATCATGTACTGGTGCTGTGGATGGCTATGACGCAACCAAACGCCAATACGTAGGACACTGAGTGAAGCCATATGACGACCACACTGTAGAATGCAGCGGCCCAAGACTCGGCTCGGGGAAAAAACGAAGAAGCGCCCAATCAGCCCAACCACCCGGCTGATGATCGAACATCAGTGGACTTCCATGCTCCCCAAGGGCCCCACGAGAAAGGATCCGGACCGCTATAGCCGCCCGCTGAAGTCCCCCGTTTGGGAGGCCCCTGTACAGTGCTTTCAGGGGCCAGGTACAGTGCATTGAGGGCGTGGGCGCAGGCGAGTGGTGGGACACGCTGCCAGCACACGTGAGGCGTTTGGGCGGTGGTCTCATGAGAGAACGTCCAGTCAGACAGTGGCGATGCCGTTTTCTATTGTTTGGCTTGGAGAATCACAGACTCGAAAGGTCTTAGGGGGCGAAAGTCCATGTCTTTTCGAGAATAAAGAGACAAGGCAGTTTTCTGTGTTGCTTCTTTTTAGCCTGCGTTGCAGTGGCGAACAAAACATCCACTGCAAAGCCTCAACGGCGGCCGCTTTTGCGCTTAAGGGGGGAGGCAGGGCAATGCCGGGGGGCTTTCCCTAGCGGCGGGTCGCTAGCGTGCCGTCCAGCGCACCGCACCGTAAGCCCGTCGCTGCATTTCCGCCTGTAGTTCCCCGCCACACGTGACGAATCAGAAGAGCCTGAGCAAACCACACGCCAACCACCTGGTTTCTGGTGAAAACCGACTCGTCAACCGTCGCATTGAGGAATTTTTCTTTCCCATTCTCTTTTGTGTTTTATTTTTTTGTACTCGGATCGGTCGATTGTCGATTCGTTTTCTCCCTTTCCTCGCAGACGAACACATCCATCTTGAGCTTTGGTGATCTACAGGCACTTCACTGGAGGCTTTTGTACTTGGAAGATCACATCACGCCAGTTCACGGGCTGACCCGCAGTGGAAGCCTGGTGCCCCAGCCGTCTACTCATTTCGTTTTTATTTAACATATATTCAGCTCGCAGACACTCTTCTTTTGCGGAATAGTTTGTATTACATGTTCCTCACTTTCTCCCAGCTCCATCCATCTACACAGGGCAATCCATCTCGTTCTACGACAGCCTATGGCGGAGACTAGGATTCTGCCATAGAGAATGTCAAGGCTCTCACGAGCTGTATCAGATGCCCTAGGAGGATCCTCACGCAGAGGCTCCTTTTCTGACGAAGGTCGCTACGTTTCTAGAGAGTCCAGGCTGTACGAGCCTCGTGGGAGAAGCGCACCATACAACGATGCATCATACCCTTCGCCCGGGGAGGATTACTACTACGGAGAGCGCGAGTCTCCAAGATCACGCCGAAGCCGTGCAACCGACTACTACTATTCTCCTGAAACCACACCAGGCCGCCATCGAGCCCGCAGTCGAGCTCTATCTCCGGGTCCTACATTGTCAAAAACACCAGATATAAGCGAATCATCTCGAAACAGCCGCCGGCAAAAGTCGACCCATGTAATTGAAGACTCCCGTCCTCCAGTAACGAGCCGCATGTAAGTCGCAGACACTGCTTGTTTTCGAGTGGATATAACGGCTAACAATGACAAAGAATCCCACCCCTCGTGTATCATGTCGACCCTTACACACCACCCTCTCCTCGCCGAGCCAGTTCTACATCGTCGAGAAAGAGTAGATCGAAAGATTCTCCCGAACGCGAGAGCCGATTTAGCCGCCTCCTTCGCCGATCTTCAAGTCGAAACGAGTCTACTGAGAAGTTGAGCCATCCCGAGCGCCGATCAAGATCCGAGAAGCCGCGGGGCTTGGTCGAGTGTGTTATCTGCACAGATGAAGTATCATCGTCCAAGGGTTCGGATTTGAAATGCGGGCATCGCATGTGCAACTCTTGCTTGAAGCGCATCTTTCGACTTTCAGTAACAGATCCCCAACATATGCCTCCACGATGCTGTACAAAGGACGACATCCCCCTCAAATGTGTCGACCAGCTCTTTGACCATTCTTTCAAGAAGAATTGGAACGCCAAATATGACGAGTTTACATCCCGTAATCGACTGTATTGCCCTGCTCGTGGCTGCGGTCAGTGGATAAAGTCGGACAATATTCGCAAAGAGGGCAGTAGGAAGGTTGGTCGCTGTGGACGCTGCAAGACACGAGTATGCGCCAAGTGCGGCGAGGTGATGCATACTTCGTCAAAATGCCCCAAAGATGAAAGCACCAAGCAGTTCCTCAACCAGGCTGCCGAGGAAGGCTGGAAGCGCTGCTACAAATGCAAGGCTATGGTTGAGCTCCGAGAAGGCTGTAACCACATGACTTGGTAAGTACTGACAACTCCTCGAATTCGTTGTCGACGCTAACACTGTATTAGCCGCTGCGGCGCCGAGTTTTGCATGGTTTGTGGTGTAAAGTGGAAAGGCTGCGATTGTCCTTGGTTCAACAACCACGCAGCAGCAGCCGACCAACTAAACCATATGAACATCCCCGGCCGTGACACTGTCGCCGGATACTATCCAACACATGCGCAAACCTATGGGGACGAAATGCGGCTTAGAAGGCTGCAAGAACTCCGCGATTCGGTTGTTGCAAGAGAGCTCCAGAACAACGACTATGCTTCTGGTCCGTACGACATGTCAGGTGGCCTAGGTGGTGTAACTAGCTTCGGAAACGCTTCAGGACATTTGATGAATGAAAGTTACCGGCGGCCGGCATATCTATCGTCGTATCCGTCACCGCCACGAGCAACCCGCGATAGACCGGCGCGGTATCCGGAGCCGGCGCTTGAGCCAGAAATATCTCGCGGCATCTCAGATCCGTACAGTAGCAGATACCGCCGCGGATCTCCTCCGGCACCGCCTCTACGACCGCGACAGATTTTCAGTAGCGACCGCGCCGATATACCCCCGCCTCGAGGCGCCTATCGAGACGAGCCGCGGTATGACGCAGGTCTAACGAGAACTCGGTCAGAACGCGTGGTCCCAACTCGGGCGCCTAGACGATATGAGGAGGAGTCCAAGATCTATGCGCCGAGACACCAACGTCATTCAAGCGATTTAATGGCCAAATCATCCGCCATGGCCGGGTTAAACGGAAAGGAACGGGGTTCTGGGCGTGTTGCCGAATGGGCGACGTTTGTTGAGCCGGGTGTGCCGGAGGGTGAATCCGTGGTTGGCCACGCATAATGATAATGATTCTATAGCGAAAGGGCTTGAGCTAAGCCCCCGTCGCGTGTATATATAATGATGACATCTCTGATATTATTAGCATATGGGCACGGCGCAATGCATTATTTCGACACCTTAGCACACTATTGATGAGCTCGGAGTGATATTTCTAACTAAAAGCAGAGAAAGAGTTTCTCCTCGATGAAGAGGATACTTCACACTGGCGGATCCATTACGCCTATCGCACATCGTATAAAGTACAATCATCGCCCCATGTTCTGTGGGTAAGGGCGGTTGATTACGCAGCCAGCTGGGGTTATTTTCCCCAGTCCATCGGGCATGTAGACTAGGTCCCGTAATGAGCAGCAAATAAAACACCTTGTTTAGCAAGGTCTCCTGTCTTGGTGTACAGGAGGTCTGATGGTGAATGCTTCGTAAACATGTGCACGTGGACGACCTGTACACGTTAGTGTGTATGATATGATCTCGCTAATATACAGCGCTACACTAGTGATCGCTAAATTTAGCCCGTTGTCCGTGCTGGATCACAAGCCAAATGCTGGGTGCAGAATTTAGCGACTACCCCGCTGTTCAGCCTTTTGAAATTAGGCGGCTCAACACTCATTTCCGGCTGGGACTTTTTATTTTAGTGGGCTCCTGCAGCGTATAGCGGGCGTAAAATATGGGGGTTCAGAGGCCTTCCCCCCTCCCAAAAATACTGCTCTAGTGGCGTTCGACAGTGCTCAGTCACGAGCTTTTTGGTCCGGCCTATCCCCCTCTACAACTGTGCCTAGTGGTTTCCCTCGGACTGAACCATTCCTCGTCTAGCTGCCCACGCCTCTGCCTGACTTTCTTCTTCTACAATAATCCTGAATCCTACACCTTTCTCCCTCCCGTGCGCACTAGAAAATGACTTGCAGCATTCTTCAGTAACAGTATCCTTCACCGACGGATCTCTCTCGTCTGCGCTCCCGACATCGCCAGATAGCGGCACGTGCGGCCATCCGCCTTGAATCCCGCCAGAGACGACAACGATATTCGACACCATGTTGCTGCTCCACCAGGTGGGAAGCGTCAAGATTGGCGAGGTGATCCGCTACACCGTCACATACACCCCTTCCGAAGACCGCATTCTTCCGTCACCGGAGAAGCTCTTCGTCCGCATACGCAACACATCGGCCATTGCTCTCCGTGCCGCCTTTATCCACGGCCCGTACTCCCTCACCGTCGCTACATATCCCGCGAGCTTTGACCCTAACGAAAAGTTCGAGAACCCCCGCCGCTATGGAATACCTCAATATGAGCCAATGCTCAAGGCTGGCGGCTCATGGGAATCTGAGCTAGTTGTCCCTGACAATATCAGACAGTCCGCAGGCATTGGTGCCTCTGGCGGCTTTGGTGGAGGTCCAGAGACGGCTGATCAGAGCGCTAGCTGGATTATTGAGATCTCTTCTCAGGTTCTCTTTTCTACATCCGTCGACGTTGGATTTGAGGTGGTCGTTGCCCGAGACCGCAAGTCTCTCAATCTGAGCAGCGCCTCGGGTAGCTCAAGCAACCTGAACCAACCTGCTGGCCCGGGTTCGATAAAGGACTTGCAGCAGAGTATAGGGTCAAAGGATGGTCATCACCAAGCCCAACTCAAGGGCATCTTCTCTCGAGCAGTGAAGTTAGTCGTTGTCGATACGGCTACCATGTGGAACACTCCTCGCCTACCTGGGTGGGACGATGCTGGTAGCGAGAGAATAAAAGAGAGTGCCGCTGCTGATGCTCCTGTTGAAAGCGTTGTCGAAAAGGATACACCCGAAACAACAGAACACAAGGAGAAGCCTCCCAAGAAAATACACCTTGTCATTTTAACACATGGACTGCACAGCAACTTGGGCGCTGATATGCTCTTCATGAAAGAAAGCATTGATGCTGCAGCGAAAAAGGCAAAGCTGGACGCTAAAGCCCGTCGCGAGAAGGCAAGGGCAGAGAAAGCGAACTCTGAGAAGGAACCGATAGACGATGGTAGTGATGACGACGAAGATGTCATTGTTCGAGGCTACTCTGGAAACGCAACAAAAACTGAAAAGGGTATCAAATACCTCGGCAAACGTTTAGCTCGATATGTCCTATCGATTACCTACCCTGACCAACCTTTCTTACCTATTGGTAAAGGTGCTGGAGAGGGCAGCGCTGAAAAGTATCGAAAGGAGGACTGGAAAGATGACCACCTCACGAGGGCTCACAAACACAGCGCATTGGTCAAAGACACCATACCCGGTCACCTTGCCAAGCACAAACGATCATATAAAATCACAAGCATCAGCTTTATCGGTCACTCTCTCGGTGGTCTGGTGCAGACGTACGCAGTTGCCTATATTCAGAAGCACTCTCCCGAGTTCTTCGACCTTATCAAGCCGGTAAATTTTATTGCCCTGGCCACCCCCTTCCTTGGTCTCAGCAATGAGAATCCTTTGTACGTCAAGTTTGCATTGGACTTTGGACTGGTCGGCAGAACTGGCAAGGACCTCGGCCTTACTTGGCGCGCTCCAACCATCGCCCGAAACGGCTGGGGTGCGCTGGTGAGCAATCTGGGAGAGACCGCTCATAAACGCGTCTATGGCGAGTCTCAAACTGAGTCCAAGCCATTGCTCCGAATCCTTCCCACCGGTCCAGCGCATATTGCACTTAAAAAGTTTCGAAACCGCACAGTCTATTCAAACGTTGTCAACGACGGCATCGTTCCTTTACGAACGAGCTGTTTGCTCTTTTTGGATTGGCAGGGCCTCGGCCGTGTCGAAAAAGCACGACGAGATGCCGGCTTGGTAGAGACGGTCGTCGGATTTGGTTGGGCTGAGCTGACAGGTACAAACCTTGCAGGCGTGAAGCAAAAGCATCGCAATTCAAACGAAGACGATGCCCTCGACTCTGGCGCGTCCACCCCACGCCATAACTCGCACCAGGTTCCTCAACCAGACGACAACGCGATGGATGAAGTCGATAAAGCAAGTCTGCATTCCGTTATTTCGCGAACCAGCGAACCGCTTCCCCCAGCCGAAGCAAGCCCAAGTGAGACGACATTCAAGGTACCTCTTGCAGGTCTTTTCAACTTTTTTAAGAGCAACGAGCCTCCAAAGCCTGAAATAGTGTCTCAGAAGCAAAAGAAGATGATTCGTAGAGCGCAAACTATCAATTTTGACGAAAGTCCACAGAGCACGCCTACCTCAAGCACCTCTGACGTTACGTCTGGCAAGGGAAACAAGGTCACTTCTGGGCATGAGCTAGAAATAGAGGTCGGTACTGTTACGGCGCCACCCAAGACCACAATCTTTGAATCTGCTGGTGACCTACTCAATCCCAAGGTCCCCAGCGTAGAATACTTGCTGGATCCATCCAAGCGACCCCGAACTATATTCCACGATCGGGTCTACCATCCAAATGATATCCCTCCACCCCCTTTGAAGAAGAGAAGCACTTCATCGCTTTTACGTCGCAGGACATCGAAAATTCAAAAAGACGGATCGCAGGACTCACCAAGCAGTGGCTCCTCGTCTCCTTACCCCGGTGTGGACCACCAAGACTCCATGGCTTCCGCCAAAGATTACGATGACACTGCCAATACCAACCCTGATAAGGATCCGAACCAAGTAGTCGACGGGTCAGGTATGCGAGTGGAGGAGAAAATCGCTCGTGGATACCATCGGGGTCTTGCTTGGCGCAAAGTGCTGGTGAAACTAGAGCCAGATGCCCACAACAACATCATTGTACGCCGCACGTTTGTCAATGCGTTTGGGTGGCCGGTCATGAAGCATCTAGTAGACTCGCATTTTAGCGATTCTGCAGTTTCACGAATGAAGACAGAGGACGAGCATATTGGCGAGCGAGCACTCGATATGAGTGTGCCTCCTGACGAGCATGGCACCGAGACGAAGACAACCTCTGATCCTGCCAAGGAGGATCCAGCCAGTCCAATCATTGCCACTGCAGAGCCTCTGGCTCAGGAGCAGCTCGAAGTCCGCGATAAGGTCGCGGCTCTACGTCGACGTAACGAGGAAGTTATATCACCATCGTCGCCGAACCACGGGTCAGTGACTTGGAGCGAGCGCGATTGGGACGACAGTGAGGCCGACAGTGACGATGACCATAAAAATAGCAAAGGGTCAAAATCTGACAAGGCCAAGGGCCAAGACGGAAGTAGCTCTTGGAGTTGGGCAGAAAAGATTGTCGGTAAACGTGCGAAGAGCCCTGCGGTAGAACCAACTGCGTAGAGTGTACATATCGTATTAGAGAACCTGCAATGAGATACCTTTTTGTTTTGCGCCCTTTTGAGCTATACTAAACTACGCAGATAAATTGATTATTGAAAGAAAAAGAATAATAAATGTATTTGTTCCTAAATAAAAATATCGGTCTAGCAAAAATTAGAAAATGCAAAAAGAAAGGTACATGGTGGACTCTAACCACCTCATATGGACGAACAGGGAATCGAACCCTGGACCACTCCCAATTAGTTGGGCAATCCGTAGGACGGCTCATGCTAAGGGAGTATTATACCACTAAACCATTCGCCCGAATGTTTCTTGTAGAACAGTGGAGTTAATTTGCACTATATGCCTGTCGCCCCCGCCAACGGCCACATCTCAGGCCCAATCTGTCCCATGTACGAAAAATAGTAAATCGGTGACCTAAGCTATGCAAAAGCAGACTTAAAACTAAGAGCCCTTTTGGACAACTACTGACTTGGATTTATATGTACATGCAAACTTATACAGGCTCGGCGCCTTGGAGCCTACAGCGACGGCCATGTGGGCAAATGTTTGGCGGAGGAGCTGTCAATGACGTGGTGGGGGGCCGTCGGCGGGCCTGTCTTTTTTTTGGTCTGTCTTTCCAGGCAGTGTCGCAGCGACAGGGAGAGGCAGCCGATTTTCCATGCCTTGGAATTCCTGCTTCGTCATCGCATCCAGCTTCCACCTCGCCGCTACGGAACTCCGAGTCAGCTTTTTCTTATTTCAATCACCCTTAGTCTCTCCTTTCTAGCTACATACTCTTGGAAATACCAATTGGCGTGCGTCGAGGGCCTCCCGACATCAACTCTAGCCCTTGTCGAATCAGATCGCCACGCCAAGACGGCAAAGCAACAGCATCGAGCTTCGAACACCACTCGTATATATATCACATTATTCACTATGCGTCTATTTCTGATTCCCGTGTCCACGCGGCGGACAATGCTCTACGCGCAACGCCTCGGCGTGACAACCTCGGAAGGCAAGGCCGGCCTGGTCGACAAGGTTGCCGTAAGAGCCGCAACCATGTGGGCGTCGTTTGAGAAAAAGGAATCAGGATGGCAGAAGAAGCTGGTGGTCTATGGTAATCAGGCGTTTCGCCGTATTCCGTTTGAGGAATGGGGCCTCAAGTCTATCCCGCCGCTGTCGATGCGCCGCCGCCAAGAGGAGCTCAAGGAGGGAGGTAAGGTCGACTTGGTCTTCCCGAGCACAGTCATTGCCGAAAAGGATGCAGAGGCGCTGGCAAAGAAGCTTGCGACAGAGAGACAGGCGTACCATCGCCAGCGCATGACGTGGTCCTTGATTGCCGCGCCATTCACAATACCCTTTGCCCTCATCCCAGTGTAAGTGCCTCTTTATGCGCCGCGTGTCCCGTCTCCAAGCTAACTCTGTGTCTGTAGCATCCCGAACATTCCTCTCTTCTATCTTCTCTACCGCGCCTGGTCACACTGGAAAGCGGTTGCCGGTGGCAAACACGTCCAGTGGCTCCTCGAGAACAAGCTCCTGACGTCGTCGCCGTCGGCGAAGTTGGATGAACTCTATACCGGTCGCCCCAAATCCGAAGAAGAGGGGCTCGAGACGCCGTTATTTACACATAGCAAGATAAAGGAGTTTTCGGAAACGTTGGCCCTACCTGATCTCGAGACGGAATTGGATCGCGCCATCTGGCAGGTTGAGACGGCACAAAAGAAGGAAAGGGAAGCAAAAGGCGTAAAGGGAACGGAGACGGAAACCAAGGACAAAAAGGACAACTGATTTAAGCATGGTAATCCCCAAACCACTATTTTGTATAATACACACCACACACGCCTCTGGTAATGATAGACTATTCTGTGCCTTTTGATAGAGATGAAAATAGACATTAATATCTAAAGTTTGGTATACGAGAGACAGCCAACACTCATAATAACACGAGATATTCCAACACATATGATTATTGAAACTAATGATTAATCGTTATATAAACGGAAAGGTTATTATCCTACAGCGCGTATTAGCCCATAGGTCATCATGTGCTGCCTGTGTATCATGTAAACGAGTGAGCCAACCAGACTCTTTGCAGCAAGCACCATTTGCTCGGCGCCATTATATATCCAATGCAACCCGGCCTGTGTATTTTTTGGTATGTGGTTTTTTTTTTGGTGAACTTCTATGCAGTATTAAAGAGCAACAAATTTATTGCGAAGGCAAGTCGGAGAGGAAGGTGGCTTCACAGAAGAGCTGGCCCTCTTCGGTAATCTCTTCACCACCAACTTTGAGCTTCAGAGTAGCCTTGGTGCCGTACTGGAAGACGTAAGGCTTTGTGCCAGCAGCATTGGCAACGATGGTCTTGACAAATCCGGGGACTTCAGCCATGACATCGACGCGGTCGAGGTGAGCGCCAACATCAGCCTCGAGAACAGCATCGACACTCTTGCCATCCTTGTCCTTGATGTTCCAGACGTACTTGACTTCCTTGGGAGCAGGCCACTCCGACTCAGCGTCCTTGTTGGTGGAAACGTGGGCGGCAGTGCCATCGCAGCCAGCGCCGACGATTTCACCATCCTTGCTGATACTGCCAACGTTGACAACGGTGGATCCGTACGAAGGAGGCGTGGTGAATTCCATCATCGATGCGGAGTAGTTTTCACCCTGGAAGTCGACAAAGTTCCAGCGGGCAGCAGCGTGGTGAGGCTTCATGCCCTGTAGACAGTAGACGTAGAATGCGCGGCCCTTGAAATCAATAGGGCCTTCGGAGCTCAGAATGGTACCCTCAGCGGTACAACGGGGCCAGAATGCGTGGCGCATCCATCCCCATGGGTTCTGAGCGTCGGTGCCGAAGTCGCTGGTTCCGTCCTTGCCTGCTTGGAAACCAGGAGCGGTCTTTGTGATCTTGAGGTCGACAATGGCCTTTTGGTCGGTCTTGCTGCTGATGGTGTAGGAGTTTCCGTCTTCGGAGAGCTTGACGGAGCAGTTATCGGCCGAGAAGGAGAGGTGGTCGTCGCTAATCTTGACGTTGCTGAGAGGCGAGGATGACCAGAGGTGAGGCTTGCCTTGCTCCTTGGCAAAAACCTTGCAGGTGAACTGGCAGGTGGTGTGCAGGCCGCTGCAGAGACGTTAGTATAATGCATATTTGATTGCTGGCGCCGCTTTTTTGAGGGCAAAAAGGGAGAACCATACGCAACGCTGCTGTAGATGACCTGAGCAATGGCTACACGGCCATCCTCAGCAAAGAAGTAGAAGGACTGGGTCTCGACGCTGGTCCACTCCATCTGCTTCCACTTGAGGTCATCTTTGGTGAGTTCGGAGTAAGGAGTGTCCTTGGCTTGTTCGGCGACGGATCGAATCGCAGAAGGGCCGTAGATGGGCTCCTGGGTGCCGGCCACGTTGGCGAGTCTATACACAAGCGAAGGTTAGCGTGCGTTCCGTAGCCGCCGGGTTCAGCGGCGATGAGGGGCAGCTCGCTGGCGGTCTTACTGTTGCTTGGCCCAGTTGAACATGGTAGCTGTCGATTACGTCTTTGATTTTTATAGGTATTCGGATATAGGGCGTCGACAGGTCGTGGGGTATCAAGGGCTTCGTTCACAAAGAAAAATCAAGGGAAGAGAAAGGTTACTTCACCGCTGCAGAAGTTGGAGGTGGTGGAGGGGTCGTAGTGGCGGTAGAGCACCACAGGTCAAGTGGGTCAGCCACAAGGGAAGCCGATGCCGAAACCATATACGGTTGCGGTGCCTGATACGGTTCGGGGTGTAGCATATGCCTAAAATAGGGTGGTGGTGTTTTTTTTAATATAAAAACAGGTGATAAATCAAATACTTGAGATATTTTTGCTATTTAAATGATAAATATCTATGTTGGGAGGGCCTTTGCTCTAGGATTATTGGTCTACTAGATGCGGCTGCTTTAGAGCACATGACGGCAGCATCTTAGCGAGAGTTAGATTCTAAATACGCAGCGTAGTAGCCACAAACATACCCTAAAAGGTAATATAGCAGAATTTTCTACTACATACCACTATTTTATTTTTTCTAATATATTTTAAAACCCAAAATTACCCCAAATTCCGCCCAACACAGACTGCCGAATCCTTCCAACCGTCGTCCCGGGTAGCCCGATCTGGCCCGCCGAAAATAAGAAAAAGCGGCTCCCGCCATTGAAAAAAAAAAAAAACACAAGCCTCGCCGTCACTAACAGACCAAGTTACAGCGGGTGCCCAGCAGTGTAGTAACAGCAGTCAGTAGCAGGTCCTCCTTTTCCCTGCCAGCACATCCGCCACGCCCAAAATTTCTTCCCTTCCCTGCTATGGTTCTGCTTTTTTTTCTTCCTCCTCCTGTTTTAATTTTTTCCCTCTGTAACCTTTGTCACAATCTGGTACTCGGGGTGAAATTGACTTGACAGTGTCTTTAATCTTCTTTTTTTTTTGCACTCTCTTTACTCGGCATCTTTGCTTTTCCTTTCAAGTTGCCAGCCATCGTGTTATCCACGTCGCGTCGATAACAGTTCACCCCATCGCTATCGATTGCACAATCAGTGACGTCTCCAACGAACAATCCATCGTTAACCGACAACCGAAGACGCCTTGCATTTTCGGACTCTATAGCTCGAAAATTACAATTGATTGTACTATTACCAAATATTATCGCAATATCCCGTACGACTTGCGCTGCTGATACAGCCAGGCGCATTGCGATCTCGAACGATTCCCGAATACAAGTCTACTATCGCCAACCTCCTCCGTCGCTGCCATGGACGCTGAACACCAAATCATGGCGCCGCCTGCCACGGATCCTATTTCTCGGCCGAGCTCGACTTCTACATCTGCTTCGGCCAACCTGGCCCATTTGAGCGCCATCTCGTCTCTTGCAGCTACGGCTGCCAGCGCGACCCAATCGAGGTTTGTGACGACCGCCCCTGGCATGAGGGCATACATAGTCTCCCGAGGCACTCTCGAGAGACACTGTTGTGCGGCATGCCCTACCTATTCTGGAACCTGATGGCTAATACGATTTCTTCTTTTGATAGCGAAATGGCCGTTGGACGACCCCCAATTCCCCAGCCTATGCTCCCAGAGGGATCGCCTGCGGCTACTTCTGGTGGCGTTGACGGCGGTATGGTAAGTGACATGTTTTGTTCTGTCAGTTTCCTATCACAGCGACTCCCGCTATCTGCTTGAACGTGGCCGTTGCGTGTTGTTTTCTATCGCTCTCGGCTGTTGCCTTATCGCAATCGCGCTCTGCGTAGGCGTGATGGGATTTTCCCTGTCCCTTTGGAGCTGCTGCAGCCAATCAGAGCACTCGCTGGCCTGTACGCCGGAAGTTTTCGCTTCCTCACCAGCAGATAGGTCACGTGCTGGATGCAAGCTAGTCTTGATTGGGCAATTTTCCATGCCTTCTTTTTTTATTCTTTTTTTATCTTGCTTATCACTGGCGGTCTAATCGCATCGGGGGTCGCTCACGGCGGCTCTTATCGGCGATTCGATGATGATATTTATTGTCCTTGTCCGCCATGTGAAATAGCTTTCTGCCCTATCGATTCTCATTTTCAATATCGCAGTTATGTTGGCAACTAACGAACCGTCACAGCCTACCTGTCAAAACTGCGGCACGTCCCGAACGCCTCTATGGCGCCGTGATGAGTTTGGCTCTGTGCTATGCAATGCCTGTGGCCTCTTCCTCAAGCTCCATGGCAGACCTCGTCCTCTGTCATTAAAGACAGATGTAATTAAGAGCCGTAACCGTGGCAAGACGATGCGACCTGATCTCATTGCTAAGAAAAAGGTATGCCCACGTCTTACAAGAATTGGTTGGTGTGTGTATACTAACTGCTCTCCTCTTACAGGCTCAAGCACAAGGTTTCCCTCTTGTCACAGATGCTAATGGCGCCGAGATGACGGCGGCACAGGCTGCAGAGGCTATGCGAAGGTCATCCCAAAAGAACGGCCACGGTGACATGTCCATGTACAACAGTGCTCTTGGATCGTTCATGGTTGATGACCCCTACAACACTGGCTTCAATGGCACGACGAATGGAGACGGAGCCACCGGCTCTCCCAACGGAGATCGCTCAAGCGATGGACCCCAGACACATGAGCAACTGATTGCTCAAAACTCGAGTCTCAAGACTCGCGTGAGTGAGCTTGAAGTCATCAATGAGCTCTTCCGTGGCCGTCTCAGCCAGCTTGAACAACAAGAAGCTGCCGCTCGCCGTGGCCAAGAGGTTGCTGGCGTCGAACAGACCCAACTGCGCACGCAACTGGATGCTAGCCAGGAAAATGAGAAGCAGCTGCAGACCCAGCTGGATGACAGCCACCGCCGCGAAAATAACCTGAAGCGTCGCCTTGATGAGCTTGAATTGGAGCTCAAGGAGCTCAAGGAGAAGGAAACGGGCGACCGCCCTTCTAAGAGAGCCCGCACCAAGAGGGAGGCTTCTGCTTCTGCAGGCGATGTTGCCGAGGAAGCTGAAGAATAAGAGCCACCTAGGCACGGGATGATGCAGCACCCTCCGTTAGGCTACAAACCTTAACGTCCGGGCTTCCACTGCTGCAGTGTTTTTTATTACGAACTTTTCTTTTTCTTTTCCTGTCTTTCCTTCTATGGGCTACGGATGAGGCCCCTACTTAGAGAAGACGTGTATTTTAATACAAACACCATTCAAAATGGTATGACGGGGACTTTTACGACACAATGCGGGGGGGATTCAGTTGATACCAAGATGAAGAACGTTTTGCAAAAGAAATCATTGGCGTCCGGCGAGATGCTAATGAGCGGAGTTGCGGCATTGCGGGTTTGATTATAGAATGATGCTAGTTTAATGATATACTCAACATGTGTCCTTTCTTAAAGCATCTAGCTCCTACCTATTGTTATATGTTTCTTTTGCATGTCTTGAGATCTGTATGAATGACAATGACTACAATGAACTGGATAAAAAGCACTTCCTTCTGTTTTTGTCGCCAGTTGGCGAATTGGCGAACGAATAATATTATGATAGCTGCCAGCTGTGACGGCTGCCACCTCGTGGTGTGTTATTACGCGCGGCTTCGTGCAGGCTACCGTCTACCTTGCCTTCTCAACTCGCTGTCCTTGACTTTGTATCTGTACTGACACCAGCTTTTCTTTGGCTTCGACACCGTTCAGACTAGGAACATCCCAACGCCACTATGCCAGACATGTCGAGAGTTCCACGAGGTGGCCCGGTAAGTAATGCCTTCTTCCCTACTCGTTCTGGTTCTCATTCAAATACTCGGCAGCACCGCGCCAGCCAAACAGTCACCCCAGGCCCGAATTCACAGTTACGTCGACGGGCATCATCGACTCCCTTCCTGGCCTTTAATAAAAAGGGGACTGCAAGAAAGTCACCGCATGTCCGACGCAACAGGTAAAGCCGTCTAATAAAGGATGTAGTATACTGGATACTAAGCAGAAACAGAAAGATTCTAAAAGACAATATCCTCGGCGTCAGTATGTATACCGTCACTGCGTGTGGTGTGCCACTAATACAGGAAACTTCTAGCTTGCCCAGTCATCAGGTAACGTAGTCTGCCTCCAAACTGCAAGGTTTATGCTAACATGGTAATACTAGACGCATGGCCCGACGCGGCGGTGTAAAACGTATTTCTGCGGGCATATACGACGAAGTTCGAACGGCCCTTCGCGACAGGCTCTCAAAGGTGAGATTCCGTTTAAACTCTGAGGAGCGCCTAAAATTGACTAACTGAGCGTTAGCTACTAAGTCTATGTGTCATCTACGCAGCGCATGCGGACAGGAAAACCATAATGGTCGATGATGTAAGTCTAGAAAGGCCCTTCGCGCATGCCGCACAATGTTCACTAACAAATCCAATTATAGGTTCTGCTTAGCTTGAAGAGGGTTGGACAAACTCTATATGGATTTGATCCCGATGGACTAAGAAACGAACCGCGATTAAAGCGTCGAGTTGGACAGGTGGCTGGCCAGCTACGCCTGGGGTAGTGGGGGAAACTCTGTTGGTTGTTGGGTCATGACGGTGGGTTATGGCACTGGAAAATGCTCTTGTGAACGGGTTGGACGGAATATATACATTCTGATTGAGATTGAGTTGGGTATATAATACGAAAAAAAAACGCTATGCATCGGTATTCATTACTTTTTCTTCCCCTTGATGTCGTCGGGCTCCTCCATAACAGCCCGCAATGATCTTGCGGCCCGTGCTTCATCCCGCTTAAGTGCTCCCGACATGAACTCTGGCAGCACCATAGGACTATGAATATGTTGGCGAGCAAACGTGAGTGTAGCATCTTTGCCACAGCACTCGCGCGTGATGGTGACGATTGCTCGAAGCAGTTCTCTACCAACACCAGAGCCTCGATGCTTTGGAGCAACCAGCCACGCGCAGATGAACCCTCGTCCGTCCGGCGGGGCATTGGCATTGCGAACCTTGCGCTTACCAGCAGCATGGGGCTCCATGATGATGCGCAGCAGGGCGATGCCGACGACGGTGCCTTGGAGGCGGACACCAACCAGCAAATCGGTGTTGTTTGGCTTCTCTTTGAACCACGAGTTCAAGACAAGCTCGGCATATAATGTGTACTTGTACGACTGTATCCAAACGAAAATGGCGTAGATAATCAAGATTCCCACAGACGTGAGTTTCGCAGGGTGCGTGATGGATGTCGACGAATCAAAGTACCGGTGCAGGTAGATGAGCACAGCGCCAATGGGCAGCACGGCTCGCGGAGCAGCGAAAATGTAGCGGGCGGTCTTGTATTGGATCTCGGTGACGGACTCCTCCAGCATCTTGTCTGCTATTTCCTTTTTTTCCGGGGTATTAAGCAGGTCGACGACGAGGGGAGCTGGGCCGTCGTCGTCCTCTTCAATAAGCGTCGGGGGTATCGTAGCCGCTGCGAGAGGATTATAATCGCGGATTTCGCCGCCATATTGGCGATCTGTGTGTTCTTCGAAGACTAGGTTGGCGCGAAGGAAGCCGATAAAAGCTGCAGCAAGCGGGTGTTAGTTGGCTGCGTCAGAGCACGAGGGGAGAGATCATACCAAAAGCTCTCTTGAACGTCTGCATGAGGCGCGATGTCTCGCTGTACGATTCAATTGTGACGGCGTCGTTTGCGGTCGACTCTACCGATTGGTGCTGAGGAGCCATCTCGGGCAGCGTCGACCGGCGTTGGCGTTTTGATTCGCCCATGATGTTGGTTGTGTTGGGTGGTTGGAAGAGCAAAGCTATCGAGAAATTTTGCGTGGGAGGTTACATACGCTGGCGTGGTTGTATCAGCAGCACGGAGCGCTGAGAAAGCAAAGTATGTGAAAAAGGCAGAGAAAAGAGCAAAATACGCAAAACGATGAGGCGAAAAAAGAGAAATCAAAGAAAGCAAGGCTCTGGCGGTTGGGGCGAGGGTTGAACTGTTGGCTGAGGGTTCGGGCCTCCTAAAAGTGGTGGTCCAACGGGGTGGCCCGTGGGCGGCTGGTGGTGGATCACGGGCGCTGTAGAGCCTGAAAAGAAGGCAGCGCTAGCGGCCGGACGAGATCCACTGTGGCCGGCGGTGCTTGCGCCAGCGTGGAGCAGGGGGGGAGCAAGGGCTTGGTTTTGCCGCGGGTGATGATGGGGGATGTGTTTGGGCAGTGGAACTAAAAAAAGAAGAGAAAGGCAAGATTTATAAATTGGAAAAAGGAAAGACCAGATATAAAATAGATCGATATGTCAATCAACTAAACGATACTATCTCTACAATGTCACGCTCTCCTCTCTAGACGCTGCCCTTGTAGCCGCCTGGCCACTAACCGCCTGCCAGTGGCACACTAAAAGACGCGCTAGCGGTTCGACTGCAGCTACCTTAGCGGGAGGGGGGTCGGTTCCGACGACGGGTCAGATGCACACTTGGACCGCAAACTTGATCTCGCAGAAGAGTGCGCTTATCTGTTGGGTTGGTTTACAGCCTGGTTGATTACAGAGGGTGTGAAAATGGCATAAAGGAAAAAAACAGTTAATGATGTAAAGGCAACAAACTAATAAAGAAAGAATACTACAAAAAACAAGAGCAAACAATCAAGCCACCCTCCAGCCTCAGCTCAGCCTCGTGCGTTCCACAAGGCGCGGAACCGTCCGTCCTCCTTCTCAAGCAGCGCATCAGGCTCACCCGTTTCTACAACCTTGCCCTTTTCGAGAACGACAATCTGGTCGTAGTGTCGGACTGTGTTGAGCCGGTGGGCAACCGAAATGATCGTATGGTTGGCAAATTCTCGATCAAGAACCTCCACCATCACCTTCTCCGTCTCGCCATCCACGGCGCTCATGGCCTCGTCTAGTGCAAGGATGTTGCCAGTGTCTTTGCGGAGCACTGCACGGCAAAGACATACTAGCTGCTTTTGCCCGTGTGAAAAGGAAAGCTCCGAGGCTTCCTTGTCCAGGCCACCCTGTGAACTCACCGTTTCCCAGAGACCAACGCCCTCTAGAGCCTTTTGCATTTCCTCGTCATTCGGTGCCGCAAGAGTCTCATCCGCTGATTGCCACAGGTTGGATCTAAGAGAGCCCGGGAATAAGGTAGGATCTTGCGGCACACAAATCAGTTTCTCTCTCAGCGTATTTGGTGAAATAGTTGTCGTATCCAGCCCATCAATAGCAATCGATCCAGAGTCGAGATCCATGAGGCGGAAGAGCGTCAAGAGAAGAGACGACTTTCCGCTGCCAGTTCGCCCACAAATAGCCACTCGCTTGCCTGCCTCAATGGTGACTGTAACATCGTTGACAGCAGGGCTAAGCGAATCCTTGGAGTAGGAGGCAGTGGCATTGTTGATGACGACTTTGCCGTCTGCCGGCCACATCGAGGCCAACTCTTGGGGGGCTTCTGGCTCCTTCTCCTGCGCAGTTTCAATCTCAAATTCTTTCACTCGAGCAATGGCACCTAGCGAGGTCTCTAGCTGCGTCCACATCGATACAAGGGTAGTGAGAGCGCTGGATAGACCGAGAACATTAACCAATGCCACTGACATCAATCCAGTCTGAGTTCCGTCAGGTAGGAAAACCGCCAAGGCAATAAGCGAAACGGCGATTGCGGCTGTGTAGAGGTCGAGGACAAGATTGAGCCAGCGCTGAGCACAAAGCAGTAAGTAATGAGGAGTCTGGGCCTTGTCAACCAATTCCAGGGCTGTTTCTCGGTAGTATTCTCTCCAACCAAAGGCACGGATCGTAACTAGTCCGTCGATTGTCTCCAACAAGTGCGTGTTGATCGGTGCCGCTTCTTGAATATCCTCTTTTCGCAGCCGTCTTGAGTTGGGTAGATATACTTTTGCCAAATAGTAAACGAAAACTACAGTCACGGGGACTGAAAGAGCGAGATAGCTCGAACCTGGTAGCACCAGAATGCACGACGTGACAAGCAATCGAAGGGCTACAACAGATTAGTACGACAAACATCTTAGCAGGGCGGGCACGAATCTAAACTTACTAAACCAGACAAACAGGAATGAGGTGGTCAAAGACTCAGTGATGAGCTTCAAGTCTTTGCTAAATCTGTTGATACCGACCCGTTAGTTTCTGACACTAGTATACCACATTATATCCGAATCTTACCGGTTAACAATATCTCCTGAGGCGGTATTGGTGAAGAAGCTGAGAGGAGCCCTGTACCTCGTTAACATCTAAACCTATGAAAAGCCACGGATGTCTTACTTCATCATAGTATTCAGTAGGATGTGGTGCATCGCCTCGGCCGTCTTGGGCATCAAGACCACCAGGATGAACCTATGGGTGTTAGATACTTTGATGCGCCTGGCGCGATTAATAATAACCTACCAGAGATCGGCGAGCATGCCAAAGAATGCAATGAGCTGAATAACAGTATATATGAGATAGTAGAACAATTGTGCCAGTTGGGGGTTCTGTTCATTAGCCCCTGCCCAAATCATAATCCAAAATTCTGTTCCCTGTTAGCGACACCGGAAGCACTACCATGCAATAAACAAACATACCACCGAGCGCATAGCTTAGGGGCATGAGAAGACCCAGGCAGAATAAAATGATCGCGTTTCGCATTCCAATATGTTGCAGGAAATATCCATACAGTGACCAGTCGCCAGCGCCACTGTCCGCTTCGGCTGCCTTTTCTGCCCCATTTGAGTCGGCTTTGGCATCCTCGGTCGGTTTGTCATCTCTTTCATCATCTGAGCTAGAGCCTGAATGGGATTTGGGCTGTCGAGTTTTCAACACTGCTGAGAAATCCTCCGTGCTAGAGAGCTCAACAAAGCTTCCCTGTTGGGTAATTTGTCCATTCTGCCCAAGGAGAACGATCTTGTCAGCGTCTTCTAAATGGGGAGTATGATGAGTGGCGAGGATGACGGTGCGGTTATGCTTGCGAAGAAGGCCGTTGGGACCAAACACCTGTGACCACACATGAGCTTGTGTAGTCCAATCCAGTCCGCTCAAGACGTCATCAATGGCCAGAAAGTCGTGTCGGGAATACAAAGCACGAGCAAGATTAACCCTATGACGCTGGCCGCCGCTGAGTGTGACACCCTTTGAGCCGACTTCAGTTTGGTCACCGCTGCGCAACTCAAGAAAGTCAATATCAAGAGCACACGCCTTAACAACAGTGTTGTACCAGTCTTGATCCATGGTAGAGACTGACTCTCCAACAATGTTTTTGCGAATAGTTCCGTTGAAAAGCCAGGCGCTTTGAGGGCAGTACGCAATACCACTTCCAATGTTTCTGAGTACTTTTCCGGTAGTTTTGACCTCACCGAGCAACGAGTTAAGCAGAACGGTTTTACCGGTACCAACTTTACCAATAACCATCGTAAACGTGCCTGTCTTGAGTGTTAGATTCACATTCTTCAGACTGAAAGATTCGTTCGCAGCAAATGAAAACGTGGCATCCTGAACGTCAATGGCAATGTCAGTATCCAAGGTCGTCGCATCTGATGCGTCAGAGTAGCCAATCCTTTCAACCGGTCCCGAAGACTCGCCACGTAGAACCCTAGCCTCTTCCGCAAGCAAAAGATACTTCTCAATTCTTTCAAAGGCAGCCAGAGATCGCAAAACTGCAGGCATTCCCCACAGGACTGCTGATGTGGGCTGTCCAACCAAGCTGAAGATTGAGATCGTGGTAAAGGCGTATTCATACGTAAACCGTCCGTTCTCACCAAATGCCGAGATTAAAAGAGCAATACCAAAGGCAAATACGGGTGAAAATACATGAGAGAGATTGCCTGTATGTTTTGTTAGCTATCGAAATCTGGACCTGCGGTTAGGAAGCTCGACATACCACATCCGTTCATCAGAGTCATTGATGCTCGCATGGCGCGAGACTTTGACAACTCGTTTTTCATCAAGTTCTCAAGCTTTTGGTACCATAGATTGACAACGCCTAGTAGCTTCACCTCTTTCATGGAAGAAATAATGGCCGTAGTCTGTTTCACGCGCGTTTCAATGGCTTTGCTCCAAGCCATCTGTTGAGCAGGCATCTTTAAACTGATCATGGTAGCCAACAATGACGAAACTAAACTCTTGTTAGAGTTGAAATAACGAAGCACGAAGTTTCCCTTACCAATTGTCATGAGGATAGGACCAATACTTCCAAATCCAACTTGCCGCCAGAGCAGATACATGCAAATGGAAAGCTCGAGCAAACCACTCCAGATGTTATGGACAGTCTCAAATCCATACAATATTTGATTAACATCTGATGTAACCAAGGTAACGGCACTTTCGCCGTCCTTTTCAGTGGCAATGTCAGTTGCATCATGCAGCACCAATGAACTGACAGCGCCTCTAATGAGGGTTGATTGGCGATATACTGCTCGTTCAAAGATTGCCTCGGATATCTATGTCCATGTTAGGATACACCCTATGAGTCTTCACCTATGATATACATACTGCAAGCCCAACATACACGCCAACACCCTGCGCAATCAAATTGTACCCGCTGCGATCGGCGCCATTGTGATGGTCTTGTTGGGTATATATGATGGCGTTCTTGATGAGGAATGGCTGAGATAGTCTGAAAGTCATTAGAAGGAGCCGAGGGGCTACACACCGTAGCATCGATGGCAGACTGTAGGAGAGAATGGCTCTGACTAAAGGACGGCTCTTGGTCTTCATAATCTGCTGTCGCCACCGGAGGTAAAGGTGTGGGAATCCGTTGCGCGCGAGTAGTTCGCTGTCTAGCTTGTAGTATGTAGTCATGCTCTCCTTGTTTTTATAGCCGCGGATGATCAAACTGTTGATCCACCAAAAGAGCGACTTGTTGATGGTTCCGCTAGCCTCCTCTGGACCTGTCTTCGCCCAGTTGGGAAGAAAACGGCGTGTCTTTGACTGCATTTCGAGGAAAAAGAGCACGATCTTGAAAACGGAGCACAGGAGTAGAGGTAGGGCTAGCGATTTGTCCACTTGGGAACCAGGGTCCTGTGGGAACCAAATCGTTCGACAGAGAATCAAATCGAAAATGGCAGAGGAACCCAGATACAGGGTTAAGATGTTTGATGTCTTGATAGATTTGCGGTCCTCGGCAGGGCTAAGAAGAGCCATAGTGAGGGAGGCAGCGACTCCAAGGCCGGTGGCGGGAATGCCTACCGTGACGTCCGGACAGATTTGCGAAACGCTTCTGCCAAGCCATGCTAGGAGTCCTGCAACCTGAGAGCACGCTAAAGCGAGATAAAATGCCTGAAAATAGAGTTAGACTACAAATTTGCCCCCCCGAAAGATGTTTGGACTGTATTTACCAATTTGACAAAGAAAATGAAGCCAGGCTGTACTTTGACTTGCTGGTTGAAAAGGCGACAGTACCTGACAAAAGCCAGAACCAGCAGAATGACCGACGGAACAATTGATAGCCCAATTATCTGATTGATGGCGACATTATCAAGTGGAAGAGCGCATTTCCCGCCGAGGGAGCTGACAGCCTGTAAATTGGCATTGCTTGAGTCGAGATTAGTTGACGGGGCAAAGAGGCCCAAAGGGAGACAAGAATGGCCAAGAAGAAATTTTGGCCATATGGCACCTGAATCGTGTTGAACCATTTATGTTACTGGGTCAATGCCTGAGGAAGAGGCATTGACTTGTGTAGGCGCGATGTTGGCTCGGGAAGAAACGAAGAAGTAGGCTGCGCGGCCTTTTTGAACGTTTGCGTAGGTGCAATGCTTCAAATCAGGCTGAGGCGAGGCGTTGGCGCTAGTGACACACGCCGAGAAACACGGCACATGGGGCAGTGAACTTTAATGCAGATATCGTTCTGAGATAATGGCAAGTCGAAAAATCCTTTTAAGAAAACAAATTTCCATATTAAAGTGGCATTTAGTCGAATTTCCATATGCTGTACGAGTTTTTGATCCCCGGTTGCAGCATTGCGACACATTCAAGTGGACTGTAAATGACTTTCCTAATCGAGCCAGGGGACTTTAGCAAAAGCTAAGGAGCGGGGAACACTTTAACAGAAGCGCGGGCCAGGCGGTTCAGGAAACTTCCACCCATCTGCAGCACTGACCTTGGCTTGAAATCATTATCCAGACACGTCACATAGCAGTATAATTTGGCCAAAGATGAGTGTGGCTGCGCAGGTTGGCCATCAAAACATCCACTTCAAGTGGACCAACAAGCTCCAACCGGTCCTTACCGTCGAATCCGGGGCAGAAGTCACGTTTGACATGCCCGATGCTGGCAACAACCAGATAACGCCTGATAATGTCGCCGATGGACTACCAGAGGTTGATTTCAACACTGTGGACCCTGGATTTGGCCCAGTAGCAGTTCGGGGAGCTGAGCCTGGAGATGTTCTTCGAATTGATGTGCTTGAGCTGACCCCTGCTGCGTACGGCTGGACAGCCCTGTTCCCTGGATTCGGCCTCTTGGCAGAAGAGTTCACCAGCCCAGCTGTCAAGATATGGGATTTATCGACCATTGATAAAGGCTATACGGAGCTCAAGCCTGGAGTTAGAATTCCAATTCGCCCCTTTTTGGGTATCATGGTAGTCGCACCCGGCGCCGACGGCGAGTTTGCCACCATCCCACCCTACGAGTTTGGAGGCAATATCGACTGCAAGCATCTCACAGTTGGGTCCTCGCTATTTCTTCCTGTTCAGGTTGCTGGTGCTTTGTTTAGCTGCGGTGATGGCCACGCTGCACAGGGTGATGGAGAGGTCTGCGGCACTGCTATTGAGACTCCCATGAAGGCCCGGCTACGACTTACTGTTGAGAAGAATAAGCCGTGGGTTAAGTCACCGCATGTTTTAACAGCGCCAGATGGTCCGTTACATTGGGATCGTGGTCAAGAGTACGCACCAATGGGTGTAGATGCAGATCTTCGAGAGGCTGCTCGAAAGGCTGTTCAGTCGACAATTGAATGGTTGACTGTCGAGAAGAAGATGACACGCGAAGAGGCATATATGTTATGCTCTGTTACTGGTGATTTGAAAATTGTGCAAGCTGTTGATATGCCACATTACGGAGTGGTTTGCAGCGTGCCTTTAAATGTATTTGTGGATGAGTAGCTGCGTTGAGGAGCCAGTGGTTGATAACAACGATGATGAAGACGAAGAAAATCTTACAAAGATGATGAAGATGACGAAATATAAGAAATCAATAGAGTATACGCATTCTTAATATGTATTACTGATGACGCAATAGAGAACAGGAGATGGCCGCTGGAAGTTGGTGAGTTGCCAGCTGGCGAAGCACTGCCGGGGTTGGCATGTTCTAGTCCAAACGACCGTTGCTGGGTACAATTAACGATATTTGCGGCAGAGGGGGTTGTCCAGTTCTCCAATGGGGGAGTCACAGGGGGTTTTAGGTGCGCTTGACCCCCCTGGCAGGCCTGACATTCCGCTGACGCTTCCCAATTAGGAATGACGCGGAAGGGCGCACCTGGGAAAAAAAGTACAAGTGCGAGATACGCAGCGGCGTCATAAGTAGCACAACGGCCGCCTCCCCAATCTTGGACGCGTCATTGCCATTGATGAAAAGAACGCAATGAAAGTAACTGCGGTATGTATGATGGCCCAACAATAACTGTCTCTGGCACTGTTTTCTCATGCGCTATAGCTCTACGTCTACCCAGTCAAAGGCCTTCGAGGCATCAGCCTCAAAGAGACCGAGTTTGGTCCTCAGGGTCTTCAGTATGATAGGCGATTCATGGTCTGCAAGGTTGACGACGGCAACTTCAAGTCTGTAACGCTGTCTAGTGTGCCATCCTGCGTGCTCTTCCACCAAGCTATTGTCGGCAGCGACATTCAGATCAAATATACAGTGCCGGCGAAGCCTCTTGTCCCGGCGGATCCGTTACAAGATGTCACACTGAGTATACCATTGGACCCTGGATTAGAAGGATTATCACGACAAGAAATCGATCTGCATAGAAGCAAGGTCATGGCATACCGCATGGGCAGCAAGTTTGATGACTGGTTCACTGCCTGCTTCGGGTTTGAGGCCGCCCTTGTTTATATTGGCCAAGAGCGAAGACCAGTGCTAGGCACGTTCTCACCCAGGAATCCCAAAGACGATGAAACTGAGGGATGGATATCCTTCATATGGAAATACATCTTTGGAAGCAATCCTGAGCCAGACTGGCTAACATTTACCGACTGTGCACCTGTTCTGGTCACGTCCGATGCGTCATTGAAGAACGTCGATGCCCGCCTACCTAGTGAACAGGTTGACATGGCCAAGTTCAGACCTAATATTGTTGTATCAGGCGAGGACTCCTTTGATGAAGATTATTGGTCAGAGCTGGCAGTGAATGGGCAAAACGCGATTACCCTGACCAAGTTGTGCGGACGCTGCGTCTCTCTCAATGTTGACTATAACACTGGCTTACCAGGAGAGGGAGAGCGTGGCACGCTCTTGAAGAAACTCATGGTAGACCGCCGCGTAGATACGGGGGCAAAGTATCAGCCATGCTTTGGACGCTACGGGTTCTTGTCTGATGGACTAGATAGTGTGCATGTCGCTGTGGGTGATGATGTTTCAGTTGTCAAGCGGATCGAGGAGCGCCCAGTTTGGGATTGGCCTGGACGAGATAAGAAGCTGGCCAGATTTTATCGTTATAGGTAATGTAGTTTTAATTCCATAGCAAAATAACTGTCTTTGTTTATCCAAGATGTATCATCTAGCGCCAAAACTCCTTGAAACACCATCGACTGTTCAGTTACAATCTGTACCTTTCTATAACATCCACATTCATATCTCTAAACATTTGATATTGGCCCAGGCTTCAGACATAGGCGGCATAGGTGCATCTTGCAGAATATGCATTCGAAAATGATCCAATGAGGGCCTGACCGACAACCCAAGCATGGCCAGCGCAGCAAGGTGTTATCCGATTTGATACAGGCAAAAGCATGGATGCAGGTGACAGGCATAATGAAGCGTGTAGAAGTAGTAAGTTGGTAATAATGTAGTGAGTGGGGTTTCAAGGCAAGCAGGTGAGAGATATATAAGGCTTCTTGTCTTGTTGATTTCTTAAAGACTGGACAATAGACCGTTGGGGAGGAGGAGATGGGCCAGCTTTTATAAAAGAAATACTTTGTTTCACTGCAAGACATATCACGGGTCGTTGGGAAGTTGGTTTTCCTACGATTCAACCACAGATATGAATCATAACTAGAAGAACATGTCTACAAGATTCATGAACCAGGGAAGATGGTTGGCTCTTGCTTATGCGAGGTGCGGATGAGTATTGTTTGGCGACGCCCGAGTCTCTATAGCCGAGATGACTGTCTACGTTTGAAGCCTAATGTAGCAACTGGCAGTAGCGCTGCTAATCTGCAACTATGAAAGTTGATGCTATTGGCACAAACATTATTGTTAAATCCGGAATAGAGAGACGAATGAGGTTGCAAGTAGAAATCAAGTTGTCCATTGCTATTGGGGGTACTTCTAACACTACACCGCAAATCATGTGCAGAGTTACAACCCCAACGAATTCTGTCACTGATTCATTTAACCGAGCAGAACATCCAAGGCAATCATTAGCCCATTGTCAAGTATGACACAGTGATGGGCCTTCTAAAAGGCTTCCAGAATGGCTCACAATGCACATGGCACATGGCGCCATCGTCACACGAACTATGCACGATAAGCGAGGCTCAGAAGATTGATGCTTGCCAATATCACCATTCCGTAAGAACAAAAGTCTTGTGCAAACTAAAGGCACTAGCGGTTGTATCACTAGAATGGACCCTTCATATAGATGCTTTTAGTTGCCTTGCCAAGGGCGCTTACAAACAATGCTTGTGCAAACGGGTAGTTTGCTCGGGTCATTCATTTGTTTGAACAAATCTTGAAATCTGGTGAAGGTGTACGTTGCACGCAACCAGCAGTTGAAAACAAATTGTTAATGACTTCCAACACAATGTCGCCGTGCTGATTTGTATACTTGAAATTCGCAGGAGTGTACAGCGGGTTATGTCTATTGATCTAACGAAGGACAAGTCTATATGTATAATTCTTAACAAAGTAAAACAGAAGATGCCTTAGGTGAGTTTGTATCGTCTACTACACACTCTTAAGCATCGTGATTGGCATCCTTGACAGCCTCTGGCTCGGCTGCGCGTGTTTCATCTGAAGGATTTCCGTCTTGCGCAGCTTCACCACCCTGTTCAGTGTGAGCCACACTCTTCATTTCCAGTCCATCTTCAAGGGCGGCTTTCTCATGATCGTCAAAGGTGAATGCATCGGAAAGGTTGATGGCTAAAAATGTTTTTGGTAATTTGACCCTAGGAAAGACTGGTTAGTTGTTGTGAATCGCAAACAAGGCATGTCGGAGTTCTACTTACTGAGTAAACTTCGCGCGCAAAGTCTTGATAACTTGTTGCCAGTCGGCATGCGGTGTGAGGCTTCGTCGAGGTGCACATCCAATGCAGTGGCGACTATCAAGCTGGACATGTAGAGGATCGAAGACGTGGCAACCGGGGCTGATGGTGATGCGGATGCTGTAAGTGAAGGTCGGTACCGCATCAGAACTGTTTTCGACCGGTGCTACTTCTGATTCGTAAAGTTCAAAGCAAATCTGCGACAAATAGTCAAGCTCTGGAATTGTGCTGCGCTTAATCTTCGTCTCAATTCCACCCTCGATGATACAGTTCAGCAGAGTATAGATGTGAGACTCTTTAGTGAAGTAGAAGAAGGACTTGGCATCGTTGGAGGCCTGCATTTCCTCTAAATCTTGCACAATTTCCTTCAATAGTGGCAAGGATGTTAAGAGGCCAATCTCCAACTTTTCACTGTCAGAGATACCATATTCTTGAGGGCAAATGAAATCGAAGAGGATTTTGGCAAGATGATAGAGTTCCTGTAGGGGCTCATGACGAGGATCGGTTTTGGATGAACTCTGATCAGTGCCTTTATAAAGCCTGAAGTATTGCTCTGGGAGAGCATCACCGTTGGAACCCTTGACACTGTTGATGAATGAGCGTCGGCGGAACAGCTTGCGAACAGAGCGGTTGGACTGATCGGCCTTCTCAGAGCCATCAGGGGACTGAGACGACTTCTCCACCTTGTTTTCTTCTGTAGTCTTCACATCCTCGCCCTCCTTTGGCTTATCCTTCGAGGGGTATTCTTCTTCGAGCATGCCTCTTGGTGGTGTGAACACCCACTCGAGGAATTGACGATTGTGCAACGCATCAAATTTCATGGTGTCGTAGAGTTCTGAAATCTTGCTAGGATCGACCTTTTCGCCGTCGCAAAATTCCGAGAATAGCTTTTCCCAACGTTCACGGAAAAGTTCAGCATCTTCGCCTGAGCACCATCGGGACTGGATGCTGTTGACAGCATTGGCGTGCGAGAGCGCCGACGAGATTGATGCGCTCGAGCCTTCTCCAGTGAGCTTTTCTGTGCTGGGGTTCGAAATTCCACTGAGTGAGGTTGCGGCGCCACTGTAGAGCTTGCCATAGTTATATTGCATGACGCGGCGGTGGAAGTTCATAAGCTGCACAACTCTTGTCTGTACCTCAGAGGGCTCAGGCATCTTCTCTGGCCAGGCAAACTGGGCAGGTCGCTCGTTGCCCTTGCGCAATAGACCCTTGAGCTTCTTTTTAACCTTGTCTGTCTCATCTTTAGCAGCGTTTGAGTCGTCCAAAAGGTCTTTACGAATGGTGATGAAGTCCTCTGGTATGTCTTTGCGATCAAGGAAAGATGCCGCCCAGATCTGAGCGCTGGTCGTCACTCGGCGCTCTGAACTACTATAGACATGAACTTCGTCGAGAATATCACGATTCATGAGCATGAGATCGTTGCGCATATTCTCACCCAACTCTTGCGCTTGGTAGCGTGCAGAGTGAGTTGGTTCGCCGCCCCATTTGATGATCAGCTGCAACTTGTCAAGAACAAGGCTCTCCTCAGCAGCCGTGAATTTTGACATTGTCACACCAGACAGAGAATCATGGCGGGTTGGTGTGATACGGTGTTTGACGGCAGAGCCGGGTACATTGTCAGGGCTAGTGTTGGCAGTAGACTCTTCGCCTTCGGCAACACCGGGCAAGACCGAGAGCTCTTCTGTCTTTCGTTTGCGGAACATTGGTTTAATTTGCACCTTTGTGCCTGCCCAGCCACCTTTCTTGACTAGGACATTTCGAAGACTGCGAAGCTTGTTGCGGTCTTCAAGCCCTTGTTCTAGAGCAATATCAACGGCTTGCATAACGCTGGCGAGCGCTGCTTCTCCGATAAGGAGAACTTCATCCTGGTGACCTTTCAGAAGAGCGACAAATGGCTCCGTATGAAACGTAAATTTGTACTTTTGCTTTGGTGTTCTATCCGCATGGCGAATGACTGAAACCATGCCCTTAAGCTTCCAAGAATGCTTCGGGGGAGGTGGTGCGGCCTCAGCTGCCGGCTCTTCGGTGGCAGCCGACTCTGCGGGTGCTTCAGTGGCCACGGTATCAACAAGGGATGGAGTAGAGGTGGTGGCAGCGGCGGGTAAGACAAGTTCAGTGGGCGGAGGTGGTAGTATGGGCGTTATAGATGTGCTATGGGGTGTCGATTTGAGTATTCCATCAGTTCCAGGAGAAGCACTTCCGAGTGAGCTTCCACCAGTATTACTGCCGGTTTGCTGAGTATCTGTAGGGGCATTGGTTGGAGCTGTTGGCTGTGCCTCTGCAGCGTTCGCCGTTGGTACTGCGCGTGCCATTGGATCGGCCTCTGAAACGGTTGGCGAGGGCATAGGTGTAGTAAGACTGCCTTTGCGAAGCTTTTCCTTGATAAACATATCCTTTAAAATAGTTGCGCAAGAGTTGTAGTAGTCGTCGTTGTCCTTGACGAAGCTCCAGCCATTTACATCAATGACATAGCTTTTACCCGATGCTCGCAGAAGATCGAACCCGCAAACACGCTGGCCAAAGGAGGTCGCAATTCTGCGAGCCATTTCCTTTTCTTCGGCACTAAGGGCGGTGATGTAGCGCACCTCCTTGCCATGAGTGTTTCGTCGTACGATACCATCGACGACGGGGGATTTGCGAGTCTCAGCATGACAATACTGGGGACCAACGGTATAGGCCTTGACGTCTTCTGCATTGTCCACTTGCATAAAGCTTTCATAAACGTAGCTGCTCCCTGGTTCTGTGATAGCACGAGGGACTGTAAGGTTGGGATCATAGTCGGAGCTTTTGTTACCGATTTTGCGAAAGAGTCGTCTAGCGCCACCACCAGCCGACTTGGGGAAATAGATGATGACGTTGTGGTCTTCACCACTGATTGGTTTCTCGACAAAGGGTTTCTTGAGGAAGGATCCGTCCACATTTAGCGTATCGCCATCGTCGACGAGCTCTACCTTTCTGGGGACCGATTTTGTTTCTTCGTTGAACGGCTCAAGAGATACACCAGCAACTTCTTTGATATGTTTCACCGAGTCAGGTGTGAGAAGCTGGCAGCCACCGTCACGGCTTACTTCGATGCGTCGCGGTGTTCGAACATTGATCTTGTCTAAGATGGTTAGGCAGACACGGCGATCCCACAACATCTTTTGCATGGGCACATCATTGACGCAAAATGGTTTTCGGGCCTTGACGTAGGCAATTGCCTTATCGAGTGGAAATCCATCGGAGTAGAAAGAGATGAGATAGTCACTAGGTTTCAAATGTTAGAGAACGGCTCAATCAAGTAAGTTGCAAGGGTCAGTGCTGGGGTAAAGGCGCTACGCCAGTTGCGCACACCGACGCCAGAAACGGCTTACCAAATTGGCCAATTTTCCACCTCTATAAGCAGCGTCAGCTCCAGGTTACTTTTCTACCGTTGAAAATATGACTTACCCTCATCCAAGATAACTTTGTCGCCAAAAACGACGACGTCAAACTCGCGATTAGCAATTAGGCGGTTGAGAATGTTGCGACTAGGCTTGCTGCGAGCCTTTATATCCAAAGCACAGATGCCAATCACACCCCACGGAGCAGGCTTTACTGTTGGCTAGTGTTAGCTCTATAATTATGACTCAAAACTGGACTTTACGAACCTTCTTCCCTCTCTCTGTGGAAGGCAGCTCTTTCACTGCTCGGACTGTGGGAGCTGGCTGCAGTGCTGCCACTGAAACGACGCTTAGCACGGCTTCTCGATCGATCAGGTTGCGTTCGCAGGTTGGTCTCTGCTCTTTGAGTGCGTCTCATCAAGTCCAGGGGAGGCTGTGCATGAGGATTCACCGACGAGCTTTGCACCGTGGGAGCGCTGGATGGTGGGGTTGAAGTTGGAGCTGGCGCACTGGCAGTGCTAGGCTCTTGCTGCGCAGGAGCTCGACCCTTTGGAGAAGACATGAAGGCGGATGCGCTGCGAGAAGATCCGCCGCTATCTGAGCCGTATGATGTTCCTGCAATGATTCCACGGGCCGAAGCTAGGGAATAGATGGAGTTGCCTGAGAGTCGTCGGGAGACGTTTTCCGACCACGACGAACGTGGGGTATATGAGGCGTCGGGCAAGGAAGCAATTGGGTTCGAATTGCTATCTTCAAGCGCTATAGCAGGATACGATCGAGGGGGGTCGTCAAAATCGTCGTCAGCTCTGGAATCTGGGCGTCCACTAGCCGAGTGATCGCTTCCGGCGTCGGAGGTGCCTGAGGTGCGTCTGGATCGACCCCAAAGAGACCTTGAGGCTTTGAGGGGGAGCTGAAAATGATTCTGGATGATCGAGGGCAAGCTGGCTCTGTCCGGATGGAGATGGGCCGAGTCGGAGTCTGCGTGTCTGCTGGTGTTGCTGCGAAGAGTTGAGGACGGGATGGATATGCTTCTTGTGTGGGATGCTCTGCCACCAAGCGGGTTTGTCGTAGCGGCTGTCGGTGCTGACACAGCTGTAGAGTCTTGGGCTACTGGAGACAAGAGAGACGGTGAAGCAACAGCAACAGCAACAGCAACATCAGCAGAAGCAGAAGCAGGAGGAGAGGTGACAGGAGCTTCTTCGTCGACGGAGGGGGGTCCTGTGGAAATGGTGGGGGACTTGGAACTGCTCTCGACGGAGCCGGCGGTGCTAAATTCCATTGCTCCCAGTTGGTGCTGGCTCGCTTATAGCGGCCGTCGAGAGCACGAAAAAAATTTGTCGTTTGGCGGGCGCTAGTAGGAACGCGGCCACTGAGAATCCACTGCCGGGGACGGCCAGTGGGATGGCGCTTGGCGCGAAAGGTGCAACGAAGGCGTTACAATGGAAACGAGGCAAAAGAGAAGTTGAAAAAGAGGCAAGTGTACGTACTCGAGACGAAGAAAAGGGAATCTCAGACAGAGTCGTGTGCTCACCGATGCATCTCGCAGCAGACCCTGCAGGTTTTTAATACATGGCGTGTTCCTCTGGCCAGTTGCAGGCCTAGAATTAGCACGGTTGCGGCTGGGGGCATGGGCCTGCAGCTCGCCAGAAACAATGCGGCTTGTAGCGCCAGGCGATCACTATGTTGTGCATGGCGCAGGCAGACAGTGGGTTGGGCCTGCTGTATCAGCTGGGCGTTTTGCATCGCTGGTAAATTTTTATGATATCATAGCAAAATATTGCAATATAATAGATACGCTGTAAATAAATTCACAACAGAATCCAGCACCTCTCCCACCAGACAGACAGCCGAAGCACCTGTAGGATTTGCCATGCCGCTATAAGTGCTCACGCGGGGCGCCTGGTGCGCTAATGCACCTGCTGCAAGCCCCTCCGCGACAGGCGACTCGCTGTTGGTCGCCTAGCTGGCTACGGCGGTGAACGTGTAGTCTGACGCGCACTGCGATTTGCCAGCCTGAAAATGGGACGATGGAAATAAGCTACAGACGCCACCATTCACTCTTTTTTTTTTTTTTTTTTTTTTTTTTATTTTGGAACCATTGGAAAATTGAGAGCAACATGTGCTCGACGTTTGTTGGACTTGCATGTTTGGATCTGTGCTTATACAGTAGTACTGCTGTTGTAGTAGGGTATTTTCCACTGTGACGGCGGGCAGTGTATATGTTGTCAGCCAACTGCTTAAGAAGGAAATAAATAATCATTCTTAAACCTCAATTTTATTTTATTTTATATTTGCCTTCGCTCTCTTTTACCAAGACCTCGACAAAAACTGCCTATTTTTTATACCGTCCAGCACAAGCCTGGATCTCCCCTCCATTCGCCGCCTAACGTCAAAGTGGGGCTCAAACCTGGCAGAAAACCGACTTGCATCCATCACCGCCAAAATTTTCTAAGCGGCAGGACTGGGATACCAGCTTTTTTCCACTGTGGTCCACGACATACCCATCGCATCGCTATAACCAACAGCATTACGTCGTCCCAATTGTGCAAATTTGCATAGGACAGACAAAATGCCTCACCCAAATACCAGCGGACCGCTCAACAAGCGTCAAAAAGTAGACGCTGTTGCTGGCAAGGCGAAGCCCAGCTCGAATGCTTCGCGCATCTTCGCGCCCTTCAGAGTAAGTCCTTTGATCCTGTTATATAATTCAAGGTGATATATGTGATTTTCAATGTCTATTAACACATCGTTTGCTATAGACTGTCGGATTAGTTTCTCCCACTAGCGTTCCCTTTACCTCTATCCCGCTTGGCAAGACAACCTTCCAAATCACCACATCGGTTGGCAGAGCCCTCCAAACCTACGATCTACGACGTGGTCTTAACCTTGTGTTTGTGACTCGACCTCGAACACCTGCCGACATCACTGCTACATATGCATGGAAGGAAAAGGTCTTCGCAGCATGGGGCGGATCCTCAAAATACGAACCCCAAGGCCTGTGGGTATTCCAGCGAGGCAAGGTTGTCGCCGAAATTGAACTCCCTGCGGACATGGACGAGCCAATCCAGCAAATATTTGTCTTTGGAACGTGGATTGTGGCTAGCAGTCTTACCAGAATCGACATCTTCAAGTCTGAGAGCCTCGAACACTACACGACAATTCACACCATGGCTGCCGCACAAGGCGGCAACCAGATCACCGGCGGCGTTACCAGCATGCCGACATTCTTGAACAAGATCTTTGTTGGTAGAAAGGACGGCTGGGTAGAAATTTGGAACGTTAGCACTGGAAAGCTGATTTATACCATTCTCCCTCCCGCGCCGGATGCTGGCTCAGTTACTTGTCTCGAGCCAAGCACAGCCCTCTCCCTACTTGCCATTGCCTACTCCAGCGGCACATTACTCATATCGAATGTTCTCACGGATAAACCTGTTCTGCAACTCGAAGCGGCAAGCCCCGAAGCCCCCATTACCTCGATCACATTCCGAAGTGACGGTAAGGGTGCAGGCACAGACGGTCGCAAGGACGGTGTCATGGCCACTGCTACAAGCGCAACCGGCGATGTCACATTCTGGGACTTGAATGAAGGCGGCAGAGTCATGAGTGTTCTTCGAAGCGCCCACAACCCTCCCGGGCACAATGGCTCCCAGGTCCGTGGTGGCATCAGCAAAATCGAATTCCTTGCAGGACAACCTGTTATCATGACCAGCGGCCGTGATAACTCGCTAAAATCGTGGATCTTCGATGCTACACCATTTGCGCCAACACCGAGAATCCTCCATGCCCGCAGTGGTCATGCAGGACCTGTTAACTGCCTGCACTTCTTACCGTCCGATTTTGACGGAGCGGAAGCAGGTAACAAATGGTTGCTCAGCGGTGGACAAGATCGCAGTCTTTGGGGTTGGAGTCTGCGTCGAGATGGCCAGAGTTCAGAGCTAAGTCAAGGAAATATCCGGAAACTGGCGAAAAAGGTTGGAATTTTATCGTCAAACGCTTTGGTGCACGGATCAACTACAACACTGGAAGATTTGAAAGCCCCCGAAATCACCTGCATCGCATCATCACTAAACCGTGATGGTGGAATGGGTGCTATACCTGGAAAACAGCCAATCTGGCAAAAAGGAACGATTCAGAATAAGCGTGTCGATGCCGAGATTAGCGGCGCCACCGGCTGGGAGAGCGTTGTTACCGCACACAAAGGAGATTCACACGCTCGCACATGGTTTTGGGGACGAAGAAAGGCTGGTAGATGGGCCTTCCGCACTGGAGATGGATCTAACGTCTCTACTGTGGCAATGAGTCCCTGTGGTAGCTTTGCTGTGGTCGGTTCGGAAGAAGGTGGAATTGATATGTACAACCTTCAGTCCGGCGTACACAGACAACGGTTCCCTTCCAAGCTTACCCCTGCCCAAGCCAGGCAGATGAAGATCCAACAGCTGCGACAAGCGGATGATGCCGCCTCGCAAGCAGAGAGAGGCCAAAAGTTTCTGGCTGGCGAGGGCAAACACACAAAGGCCATCACTGGCATTGTTGTGGATTCAATGAACAAGACTGTCGTCTCCTGCGCAATGGACGGCAAGGTCAAGTTTTGGGACTTCTTAACGGGCAAGCTTCTACACCAATTGGACTGGGCGCCGATGACATTCCCTATTGCCTGCCGATACCACGCTATGAGCAATCTCGTTGTGTTTGCCTGCGATGACATGTCCATTCGTGTGGTGGATATGGAGACGAAGAAGACTATTAGAGAATTCTGGGGTCCTTCGGATTCCATCAACGATCTTTGCTTCTCAAGTGACGGAAGATGGATCATTGCAGCCTCGAACGATTGCATAATCCGAATTTGGGATCTACCAACAAGCCACCTGATTGATGCCATCAGACTGGAGAAGCCCTGCACAGCCATTGCCATGTCGAGTACCGGTGAATATTTGGCTGCTACTATTGCTGGAGAACCTGGAGTTACGCTCTGGAGCAACAAGGCTCTCTTCAAACATATTTCCACCCGCCAAATTTCAGAGAAGGAGCTTGCAACCATTTCAATGCCTTCCGTATCCGGCGAGGGTAACCAAGGCATGCTGGAGGGCGCATTTGAAGAAGACGACGATGTCAACGATGCTGTTGTGGCTCCTACGCTGGACCAGCTTAGCTCAGACCTGATGACCTTGAGTTTGGTACCAAAGAGCCGTTGGCAGACATTGTTGCATCTTGACATGATCAAAGAAAGAAACAAGCCGACAGAGGCTCCTAAAGCGCCCGAGAAGGCCCCCTTTTTTTTGCCGTCAACGACTGGTGCCCAGAACCCCTCAGCCGAGTTGGAATCCAAACCCGCAGATGACCTGGTAGATATGTCGAGGATTTCCAAGCTTGATAAAGCTCGGTTCGAGGAGCACTTTAGCGAGAAGCTACGCCTAGGTGTGGAGACTGGGGATTGTAAGTTATCATCCGTTTGTATTGTGAATGAATTGGCACTAACCGTATCATAGATGGAGCGTTTATTGACCATCTCAAATCGCTCTCGCCTTCCAGTGCTGATCTAGAGATTCGATCTTTGTCCGTTGGCAACGGAAGCGCGGAAGGTAATGAGCTGCTTCACTTCATCAAGGCTCTGACTAGCCGCCTTCAAGCTCGTAGAGATTATGAGCTTAACCAGGCCTGGATGACTGTGTTTTTGCGCCTCCATTTCGATATCATAATGGGCAACTCCGATTTGCTCAATGCGCTGCAAGAGTGGAAGGGCTACCAGGAGCAGGAGTGTAGCCGATTGGATAGCCTGGTTGGCTACTGTGGTGGTGTTGTGAGCTTCTTGCGTAACCCTCGAACGTAGAAGTCATGGCAATGTTATTATCTTATACAGTATTTTTCTACACATCAAAAAGCGAGCTGATATTTTATCACATACTTTTCATGGTTGTTTAATCCCATACCAGAGTGAATAAGTAAAAGTTGCGCTGTAGACTTGGAGACGAGGAACAACTCCAATCAAGTGTTTCTCAATTTGGGATATTCTTTTTTTTTTCGCATTTAGATATAATACAGAATTCTAATACATATATGTAGGTCTGCATGATTGATTGGTTTCCATTGTAGTTGCACGTTGCGGTAGAGCTAAAGTAGTAGTAGTAGCGCCCAGACTAGGCCGTTCTAGGCCAATGAGGTTGCTGCCGAAGTTGGAGTCGCGGGGTGTGAGCGGGTGCGGCAGGCGCAACATTTTTTTTTTCGTCGTCGCTAAGAAAACTTTGGCTTTCTGCACCACCATCAACAACATCAACAAGCAACAATGGGTCGCAGAGGATTCAAAGTAAGATTCCCTGGTTGGAAATATCATTTAGAAATATCACGAAAGCTAATTACATATTTTACCCCTTGTAACAGGGAAAGAACAGACGCGGTGGCGGCAATGACAATGGTGCCCGCCCTACCTGGAAGGACTACCCAGCTCTCGTCAAGGAGAACGAGAAGCTCGAGGAATACTACAACAACTTGCTCCAGCTTCCTGAGGAAGAGAAGAAGCAGTACTGGGATGCATTGAAGCGCGAGTTGCCCAACAGCTTCCGTTTCTGTGGCTCCAAGGGGTGAGGACGATGGCTGTCTCTAAGCGCACATCAGCAACAACTCTATTTGCTAACATACCGTGTCTTCTTCTAGCCACGCTCTTATTGTCAAGAGACTCCTACAAACCCGATATATCCCCGAGATTACAAAGATTGAGCACCAAGATGGCCGCCCGGCTGAGCCACCCATCCCCGTCTCTTGGTACCCTGACGAGCTCGCCTGGTGGATGACGACGCCCAAGAACGTTGTGCGCAAGTTCCCTCCCTTTGCTGCTTTCCAAAAGTTCCTTGTCTCCGAGACCAGCGTTGGAAACATCAGCAGACAGGAAGTTGTCAGCATGATTCCCCCCATGCTTATGGATCTCAAGCCCGGCATGACTGTTTTGGATATGTGCGCTGCCCCCGGTAGCAAGTCTGCCCAGCTTCTTGAGATGATTCACCACGGTGAAGAGTCCCGCGTTCGCAAGGTCCTGCGTTCTATTGCTGCTCAGGAAGGAATTGAACTCGGTCCCGAGACCCAGGAAGAGAAGGACGCCGACCTTGAAGCTGATCCCTCCGACTCTGGTCGCGCCACTGGATTGCTCATCGCCAACGACGCCGACTACAAGCGCGGACACATGCTGGTTCACCAGCTGAAGCGCCTTTCTTCACCAAACCTTCTCGTTTCCAACCACGACGCAACCCAGTTCCCCTCGATTAGACTTCCCTCTACCGACGACAAGCCTGTCTACCTCAAGTTTGACCGTATTCTTGCCGATGTTCCTTGCTCTGGTGACGGCACTCTCCGCAAGAACGCCAACCTTTGGAAGGATTGGCTTCCTGGAAACGCTCTGGGTCTTCACCTCACCCAGATTCGCATTCTTGTTCGTTCTCTTCAGCTTCTCAAGGTTGGTGGCCGTGTCGTTTACTCTACTTGCTCCATGAACCCTGTTGAGAACGAGTCCGTCATCGCTTCTGCCATTGAGCGCTGTGGTGTCGACAGCGTCGAGATCATCGACTGCAGCAAGGAGCTGCCTAATCTCAAGCGCGCCCCTGGCATGAAGCAGTGGCAGATTATGGACAAGACATGCCGCTCATGGAGCTCTTGGGAGGAGGTTGAAAAGTTCACTAAGGAGGAGAACGATGGTGTTGTCCCTGGACGTCTGGTTCAAACCATGTTCCCCAAGGTTGAGGGCTCCCTTGCTTTTGACCTCCCTCTTGAGCGCTGCATGCGAGTTTACCCCCACATGCAGGACACTGGTGGCTTCTTCATCACTGTCCTTGAGAAGAAGAAGGAATTCAAGGCCAAGAACGAGAACGAGGCCAAGGCTGCTGCCGCTGCTACTACCGCTGCCCCTAACGGCGCTGCCGCTCCCGAGGCCGCCGCTGAGCCCGAAGCTGCCAAGACTGAAGACGTCCAGATGGATGATGCTTCGAGCAACGGACAGAAGAGACCCCTGGAAGACCAGGCCGAACACTACGTTGAAGGCGAGACCAAGAAGGTCAAGACTGATGCCGAACCCGCTGCCACCGAGGCCCCAGCTGCCGCTGAAGCCAAGCCTGAAGATGCTGCTCCCGCTGCTCCCAAGGTCGAGGTCGCCTCCAAGCCCAAGAGACACGGTCCTCCCGAGGAGCCCTTCAAGTACCTCGATGCTGCTCACCCCACCATCCAGAACATCCGCGAGTTCTACAAGCTGTCAAGCCGCTTCCCCGACAACAGATACATGGTCCGCAACGAGATGGGCGAGCCCGCCAAGGCCATCTACTACACGACACAGCTTATGCGCGATATCCTCACGGAGAACGAAGGCCGCGGCCTCAAGTTCATCCACGGTGGTGTCCGTATGTTCATGAAGCAGGATGCCCCCTCCGCTGAGGTCTGCCGCTGGCGCATCCAGTCCGAGGGTATCCCCATTCTCCAAGGCTACGTTGGCGAGCCCCGTGTCATCCACCTCAAGAACAAGGAGACCCTGCGCCGCCTACTGATTGAGATGTTCCCCAAGATTGCCGGCGACGAGTGGAAGAACTTTGACGAGATTGGCGAGCGTGTACGCGACATTGGCATGGGTTGCTGCGTGCTCCGCGTCGAGCCCTCGGGCGAGGACCCCGACTTTACCGAGACCATGGCGCTTCCTCTGTGGAAGAGCATCCACTCGCTCAACCTAATGCTGCCCAAGGAAGACCGCGCTGCCATGCTGCTCCGAATCTTCAACGATACCACTCCTCTTATCAACAGCAACTTGCAGAAGAAGGCTGAAGAGCCCAAGCCTGATGCTGCTGCCGCTGCCGAGGATGCTGTTCAGGACGCCCACGCTGACGTCGAGGACTTGCCTTCTCCCGAGTAAATCAGCTTTGGACAAACTGAAAAGTAAGGATCGAAAAAACACATATATATAAAATAGCAAGGATACTCTTTTGTTTTCGTTTTTGTATTGTACAAGGGGGGTTTTGCTTTATCTATTGTTTCTGTCATTTACCCAAGAAAGGACTGGGAATAAGTTGTCCAGTAAATGTATGAATGAATATATATCTACAAAAAAGTGATGTTGGTACAAAGAAATAAAACACATATAATGTTACAACTGGCCATCTGTCATGGCCACGTGTGAAAAGATGATATCCGTCTAAGCAATCTCGTCAAAGAGGCCAACGGTCCAGTGAACGATACGACGAACACCCTGGCCATTGATGGCACTAACTGGAATAGCTGCGCATTTCTTGGCCCAAGCTCCCTCTACGCCGCTCGGATGAGCTTCCTCGCCGTTTGTCACGCGGTCAAGGTAGGCCTTGAGCTCTTTAAAGTTTGCCTGTGTATCCGGAAGATCAGCCTTGGTAGCCACGACAAACCACGGCTTGCGCGAGATGTAATCCTTGGGAGAGAGCTCGTCCTCCTTAGCCTGCGTGCCTGACAGATGCATGAGATTGATGGGACCCGGTGAAGCAGCATCCTCTGCGAGATCCCAGTCAATGTTGGACTCGACGCCGCGAAGGCGCTCCTCCTCGTCTCTCATCTCCGCATAGAGCCCAACTTCGCGCCAGAGCGCCTTGAGGGCATCGACGGCGTTGCGAGCAGACAAATCAAGCACAAACGCAAGCACGCCAGCTCGTTCGACGTGGCGCAGGAAGGCAATACCGAGACCCTTGTCCAGGTGAGCGCCCTCAATGAGACCCGGGATATCGGCAATAGTGAAACGAGTGCGCGGGTCAAAGACTTCGCCGGACGCTGAGGCGGCGCGTTTCGGCGCGGTGGTAACGGGCCGGCCAGAGTATTTGTCAAGCACGACGGTGCCAATGTTGGGCTGCAGCGTAGTGAAGGCCCAGTTACCGACTCGCGTGCGGCTGTTTGTCATGGCGCGCAGAAGCGTGCTTTTGCCGGCGTTTGGCAGACCGACAAGACCAACATCAGCTAGTAGCTTCAGCTCCAGCTCAATCTTCATGGTCACGGCATCCTCGCCCTTGGTGGCAAACACGGGGCGTGGGTGTTCTCTCGATGTAAAGTGTGTGTTTCCGAGGCCGCCAATGCCGCCAGTAGCTAGGAGGATGGGGTTGGGTGTTATTTCAGAGAGATCGAGGTATACGGGTGCAGGCGGCTGCTTGAGGAATCGCGTTCGTTTGGGCAGCTTGGGGAACTCGGCAGACCGCATCTCGCTCTTTGTCATGCCTGGATAGAGGAGCCATTTCTGGCGCTGTGGATCGGCCTCGTCGGGATTTTCTTCGTCTTCCTGTGGTTTCGGGCCTCTTGGTTGCAGATTGCGTCCTAGGTCTGCTTCTTCTTCCACCTCCTCAACGCCATTTTTGCGAGCTTGTTCTTCCAATTCGAGCCGCTCGCGCTCTTCTTTCTTTCGTTCCTTCTGGACAAGACGCCAAGCTCTCATGCTGACTTCTTCTTCGGCAACGGGATCGTGGCGCTCAATTTCTCGGACAATCGTACCGACCGGAACTGTGATGATGATATCTTCGCCTCTAGTACCGCTCTTGGAACTTCCCTGGCCATGACGTCCCCGTCCAGCCCGGATGAACCGCTGTCTGGCTACTTTGTGCAGCGAAGTTTCTCCTGGAGCTGCTTGTATATAAATATTTCCGCCTACGCCTCCGTCGCCACCGTTGGGAGGGCCATCAGGCAGAAACGCTTCTCTAAGAAACGAGACACAGCCATTGCCTCCACGGCCAGCATATAGAGTCAATTCGGCCTTGTCATTGAAGCTAGGAGCAGAATAGTCATCGGGCGCAGGATTGAGACGGGATTCGGGTAAATCGTTGACTGTCGAAGCTGTGCTGGATGCTGCTCGGAGCTGGTGATGCAGACTTCGGCGGCACGCCAGGAGAGGCAGCTTGCTTGCGGCTGTGCACACGGACGGGTATAGAAAGGGCGCAAGCGTGGACGATGCAGCCCACACCGATTTGGCTGATTTCATGCTTATGCAGAATCACCGCCAAAGGGCTAACCTGTGCTGTGTTGTTGTTGCTGGCGGTGGTTGAGCGAGGTAGCGTGACTGGTGACGTCTGCAAACAGAGCCGCTGCACCAAAAAAAAAAGGGACAAGAAAAAGAAGTAGCTGCCGAGAAAACCAGGGTCTCTAGCCAATAGTTTTTTTTTTCTGCAGCGCGCTGTCCCGCTCGCTAACTTACAGCGCTGATACGCTAAAACCTCGCTGGAACAACCACACTGGGTACTCTACCGGCGCCACACCACCTCCCCGCGTTTGCAGAGGTACAGTACTGTACTGCTGTCTGGTAGCCGTAACAAAGTTTATAAATTTAGCGGGGCATTTTTGGGGCGGCGCTGGCTACGCTGGCCGGTGGGCCACGGCAAACGAGGTGTCAAGCAGTGATTGGGTCTTTGTGCAGTAAGACCGCCGCCGCCGCCAAAAAAAAATGCGACGGCAAAAAAGGAAAAAGGGTATAAACGAGGGAGGAGAGGAGCGGTGTTTTCACAGTAAATGTGATTCAGAGAAGGAAGGAATAGACTGTATTTGGATACACGCATATTCATATATATAAACTCTGCAATTGGCCATCCTCTGCATCCCCATCACCGCTACTCAGCACTCAGTGTTACGTCCATGCAGCAGCACCACCTGGCTGCTTGCTGCAGCGCAAATCCCACTATCACTACTTGCAGCTTGCTTGCATCTGATACCTCGCATCGCCAGCCACCGAGGTACTTTCACTGCCAGACCACTACTGTTTTTTTGTTCCCTTAACTCAATTGGTATTGGTACTGCTAGCAGACTTTCACTACTGACCATATTTTTACGGCCCCGTCTGCAAGCCTCTGTCTGTCACACGCGCACCTCGCTTGGCCATCCTCCCTCCCACCAGGTGCTATTGTCGCCACTACTGACTGCTACTGCTGCTGCACCTGTCGTGGTGTCCCCCGCAAACCCGCCTGGAATGAATCGCCGCTAAAATCCCACCGGTTTGCAACAATAATTTGTGATATACCGTTACTTTCTTCCCTCCACTAAGCTGCATCCCTGTTGCTCCTCGTTTCTTCTTCTTTTCTTTACAATTTCCACTCTCTCCAAGACCAAATGGTGGTCCCTTTTGCACTGCTATACATCCAAACCCACAGCACCACACTGTCCGCTCACTAGCTAGACTCGTTTCTCACCGCCGCTTCTACTCTCTCTCCGCCTACATACCCGGGCATCTCGCCGCCAATGGCCGCCCCGGCCCCGTCACGCGTGAGGACAATTAGCAAAAAGGATCCCGCCTGTGCCATATGCCATGAGCCTCCGGAATCCCGCTGCGAGTGTGAGGCAAATGCCCTCCAGGACGCCATCAACCAGGCCGAAGATGCCTTTATGGCCGACGCTTACAGACAGATAAGGTGAGCAACCGACCTTTTCTCTCCTACCACCACAGAACACAGCTAATGGGAGACATAGACAATGGGTTTCAGATAATGCCAAGGAATATATACTAGACCATTTCCGGTCCCTATCTGCTGCCCGAAACGATGCACACACGGCCAACATGGAACGCATTAAAGCAAAGGCCTTCTACTACCGCCACGGCCCGCCAACACAACAGGAAATCGCCGAGGCCGAGTTCATGCACCAGCGCGGCGTCGATGAGGACTGGAAGGCCTCTGTTGAGCGGTACCCAGAAGTCCTGGGCTACTATTACTCTCTTGTCAACTTCCGCCTCCCGAGCAATGATGATCCAGTCGTCGTGAACCCGCCGATACCTCTGTCTACACCACCTAGAAGGAAGAAGACGAATCGGCGCGCTTCTTTTGGCGGACCACCACCAGCACACCCTCCTGGATATATCCCAGGAGGACCACCACCCATACCGGGTGTATTCTATACTCGTCCAGGAGCAACCATGCGAAATGGTGCTAGCTCACGGCCTCCCATCGCCTACCGTTATTCTAGCCACTCACCCCAAGGCCAACACTTCCCTCCCTACTAGCTTGCACATTTAGCCTATCTTTGGCCTTTTTATATGTCGAATCTGCAGCCATGATCAGCATTCTCTTGTTATTACCTCCTCTCAGCACAGCATAGCATAGCGTAGCATTAACGGCCTCTCTCATCTTGTATCATTGTTGAAAATGAGCCGAACAAAAAGTTGTTCAATTTATAGTGTGGATTCAACGTTGGCTGTGGCTCAGGCAATTGATTGTCATGTTTGTTAAACGTAGTAGTGCAGTCTTCAAATAACAAGGAGACAGTCTCCGAAAGCCTATGCAATTCAATAATTCAGTGTTTATTTTATGCTCCTATATAATGTGTATTTTGTATGAGCGTAGTATATCCGGCCCGTTTTACTAATTGAATACTTTTCAAAGCTCCATTTTTAGCTTCCCTTCAAAAGCTGCCAAGGCATAGTCTGTGTCCAAACCAGTTTTGGAGGGAGCGGGATAATCAGAGTCGGACTGTTCGTGCTATGAAGAAAGAGTGGTGGGAGGTTGTAAGGACAAGGTGGTGTGGGCGGCAGTGTCACGACAGTCGTTCCTCTGTTCAAGTGGCAGTTCTAGAGGCAAGGCTTTCTAAGCATCCTGCTTATCCTCAAGGGAAGCCTTCTTAAGCTCAGAAGCAGCCTCATCAGCACCATCCTCGCCGCTAGGAGAAGCCTTCTCAAGATCGGCGATGGTCTTCTTGGCGGCATCAATGTTCTATCGACAGTTAGCAAGGCAAATTTCCAATCAATTCGGTACATCAAAACTTACACGCTGGGTCTGGGCAGCCTGGTCAGACTTCCAGTGGTCGAGCTTAGCCTTGACCTTTTCAATGACACTGGGGACGTCGTCAGGGCCCATGGGAGGGTCAATGCCCATAGCAGCGCAGTCTTCAACAACAGACGGGGGGCAATTGAAAGCCTTGGAAGCAGCGGCAGCAGAGTTGTTCTTCTTTCCCTTCTTGCCCTTCTTGGCAGCAGAAAAGTACTCGTCATCGCGGTCCTCCTTGCGGACAAGCTTGGTACCCTTGAGGTCAGCATCATCAACAGTGCGCTGGGCCTGGGCAGTGAGGCCGCTGGCAGCCATCAGAGGACCCTTCTCCTCCTTGTGGGTAGGGTCGAGGAACTGAAGAAGACCGTTGGCGCGGCGGATCTCCTCGAGGTAAGCAGGGTCGCTAGCTTCAGCTAAGATGCGCTCAGCATCGGCCTTCTTCTTCTCCATAACATAACGGTTACGCTCAGCTCTGCGGCGCTCGTTTTGTTTCTCACGGGCCTCGCGTTCGTAAGCCTGGTAGGCCTTCTTCTGGGTGTAGTAGTCGTCCTTGAGCTTGCGGATGGCGCTGAACTTCTCCTGCTGGGCAGCCTGGAGCTTGGCGCGCTCATCACGGAGACCAGAGAGTCCCTTGTAAGCTTCGTCCTGCTCAGCCTTAATCTTATCCAATTCAGCCTGGAGCTTGTTGTATTGGTCAGAGAGGGCCTTGTGCTCAGGGTCTTCCATGCTGTCCTTAATTTCCTTAATCTTGGCGCGGAGCTCGTCAATGGCCTTCTGGGAGTCATCAAATTGGCCAAAGTTCTTGCGGATCTTACGTAGGTTAGAAATATCGGTGAGGGCCTTCTTCTCATCAACAAGCTTCATGGTGCCGGTGTTGACCTGCTTATCAAGGGCAGCAATCTGGTTGTCGAGTTCCTCAACGGACTTGAAGGGAACCTTGGCCTTGGCAGTCTTTTGCTCGGCAATGCGAGATCGGACCTGCTCATCAAGGCGCTTAATCTGGTCCATCTTGGAAGTACGGGCGGTCTTACCACCGGCCTGCTTCTGGCGAATCTCGTTGACCTGGGTGATGAGCTCCTGGCGGCGCTTCTGGGTAGGGTTAGGCTCATCCTTGTTCTTGTTAGGCATAGCAACTTCAATTCTGGACTTAATGGCGGCCTGTATTAGAAGAAACAGACGTTAGCATACTGTATTCCGTACATTGGTACCGAGGATGTATTTTCGGCGTCAGGCATAAATGCGCAGCGAGTCCCGTGTCTGGAGACGACGTTGGGAGTATGCGATATAACGCCTGTCGAGAAAGTCAAAGTAAGGCATACCAATTTATCCATGGATTCTTTGTGATCCTTCTCAGCCTGGATCAACTCCTTCTTAAAGAGAGCCTCATCGGGTCTGGTAGGGCGGGTGGTCTGCGCCGGAGCAGCAGGAGTGGTAGCGGCGTCGGCCATTGTGAAGAAATTCGAAAAGCGGAAGGGGTTGAAGATGCAACAACAGTTCCCAATTCGAAACTAGAAAAGCGGTGTCTCGTCGAAGAGGATGTCGAAAGCAATCCTGCGTGACGTTGGACGGGTCAGGAGACTGCGGGGTGGTGCGGTATCGTCGAAGATGGGAGAGGAAGATCCGTAGAAAAAGGTAGAAGCACAGGCGCCTAAGAAAATGGTGGTGAGCACAAAACCCACGAAAAGCGTTGTGGGCCAGAGCCAGGGCCCTGCTTCTTCAGAGCCAATAGGCCCCACCTGCCTGCCCTGTGGCCGCTGGCGTGGCAGCCCCTTCCTCTTTAGGCCAGCGTAATCATTCAGTGTAGGCGGCTTGTCTTGTGCTGTGAGAGTCACTTATCTATCTCTCCACCGGCTTATATATTGTTAAATATTATGATTACGCATCAACTATATACAATGATTTCCTCTTCATTTAATTGGACTTTTTTGACGCATTCTGAAGCATGTTGGGAAAAAGCATGCTTGCCCAACGTTCAACAGCACGATGTCAAAAAACGGCTCTCACCCCTCTGTCACCACAATATAAGCGAGAATAAACTCAAACGCTGTCTACACCTAAATATTCATCATTTGTTTCGAATGATAGTTCTTATTTTAGCACACTATGTTCTCCCACACACAATTCTGCTCGAGGTACTTCCACCAAGCACCAAACATAGCCCACGGCCACAAGTCACTCCATAGGCTGATCACATGACCCGGCGTGGAACGCTTTTCCATCCGCCGCTTCCAAACAGCTGCCCAGCGCCCCAAGGGCAGAAAAAAAAGTTAGCAGTCCGTCATCGCGACACCCGCATCCCTCCCAAACACCCCTTAGAAACCGCTTTATCGTGGTCGCACAGGCTATTGACTGCCAATTCGACAAGATGGAGGACATGCTGAATTTGCCAAACGACGCCAGGTCAAAGGAGACAGTACGGCTGTGGCGCGCCTGGAGAACTGTTCACGAGATGGTCGCCGACAGAGTATGCATTCATCCAACATGCGCATCGTTTCGCGATGCATGATGCCAAATAGAAACATCTAACACTTTGTACCAGGAATACGAGCTCGCCGAAGACGAAGTCAACATCTCCTTGGATAGATTCCGCAGCGAATACTGCAACCCGGACGGTAGCGTCAAGTATGTGTCGCCTTCTCCTGCTGTGCCCCCATGCTTTGCAGAACATCGCCTCCCAACTCGGTAAACCCATATAAAAGTTTTTTTGCTAACCTGAATTTCTGTTTAGCCGTGGAAAGCTTCAGTTCTCCGCCCGACCCAGCGAGTCCATGCTTCGCAAGCACACTCCTCCCGCCACCGAATCGAACCCCGATCCCGTCCCTGACTGCGGCCCCATCTGGGTTGAGTTTCTGGCCGACAAGCAGTTTGGTGTCGCCCAGATTCGCCAATTCGCCAAGTACACCATCACAAACCACTACAAGACCGGTATTATGGTCACCCACGTGGCCCTTTCCCCGGCCGCTCGCAAATCGCTTGCCAGCGTCGAGAACCTCGCCAAGATCGAATGCTTCCTCGAGGACGACCTTCTTGTCAACATTACTCACCACGAGCTTGTGCCCCGTCACATCCTTCTCTCCCGCGAGGAGAAGATTGCGCTGCTGAAGCGCTACCGCCTCAAGGAGACCCAACTCCCCCGTATCCTACAAAAAGATCCAGTTGCAAGATATCTTGGCCTGAAGAGAGGGCAGATCGTCAAGATTATTCGAGTTAGTGAAACGGCTGGTCGTTACGCCAGCTACCGCCTTTGCGTCTAAACGCAATCCGGTGGCTTGGGAGGAAGCATGGCTGGAAGGCAAAAGCATGATCAGATCAAGTTTTGCATTTTAAAGGGTGAACTTGTGTAAAAGGTTGGCGTTATTTGGAGAATTCTCTTGAAACTAAAGCGCGATTTTCATAACAAAATCGATAGTATATTGAACAAATTTGCATACAAGAACTTAAACTCATACACCTGGGCCGTCTCATCGTTTTCTTATGACCAGATTTTTGGGTACTCTGACGTGGTACATGGAAAATGTGAACAATTGCAATTAAGGCATGTTTCTAGAAATTTATTTGCTGGCTATCAACAAACTTGCTGGTTGGGTATATGTAGTCCAATAGTCCAAAATGTAAAACAGGGCCAGCCATGGCTCATATGCGTCCAAAGGTAAACTCCACGCCTTGCTAAACAACAATCCTGTTCCCGTGGTATCTTATGCGCCGTGTAAAAAAGGAAAAGAAAAAAGGAAAAGGAAAACTATGCCGGAATGTAAGTCCTGTTTAACCTCCCAATATATGGCATCTCAATGCTGCACGTGTTTCATTGCTTCATGCAGCGTGAATGTCTAACCGCTCGCAAAAGCGGGCCGGGGTTATATCCCCAAGCTGTTTATAAGTTTTTTTTGGTCTTATTTGGTTTTCGAGAACTCTTGAAGCTCTGTTTCAGGTTTGGTTTTAGCCCTCGATGTGCGGGGGCCAAGAAGACCACCAATATCTTGTAAAAGGGCTGCGGAACCTCTTCGTAGACCATTTGAAGCAGCTCTTATTGCTGCGGGCGGTGAAGAGTTGGTTGAATTGGGGTCAAGTGTTGATGATGTGACACTTCCGCGACGATAGCTAGCGCTGCTTGTGCCAACTGGATCGTCCAAAAGGCCACCGACATCGAAGAAGGAGAGTTTTCTCTGAGCCGAGTTGGATTCCATCTTGGACAGCGAATCAAACGGCCCTATCGAGTCGTCGTTTGTCTGCGAGCTGCCTGGTGGTTGTTTTGGGGCGTTCCATACCCCATCTTCGTCCACTGTCTGTTTGAAAATGGGTGCTGGATAATAGTTTCCTGGAGAATCATCTGAGGTCTTTTTGCGAAGCTCTGGTTCGACCATCAACCCGACATCGCGAACAAGATCCTCATCACTACCCCAGTGCTGGTGCAGCGTTGGTCGACGCGTGTTGCTGGCACCTCTATCGAACGAGTCCGCGGCGGAGGAACGCTTGAATTTCTGCTTCTTAACGCCTCTGTCTCTGACAAACGATCCGAGAACCAGTGCATTGGCTGCTGCTGTAGCAAATAGAAGCTCAATAGAGGCCAAAAGTGATCGATATTGTTGCCTGCCCTGGTTTTCAATAATGTGAGGAACACGGTAAAGAGTGACAACGACAACTGCTAAACTCAGTGAAAAGAGCAGAACAAGCTGAACTTTTCTGGTGAGAGTCATGCGACTTTTTAAAATAATAGGAATCGGAAAGACGACTAGAAGAATATCGGTAAAGACATTGCAGACAGCCATGGTGATGAGTTGGGTATAGCCCTGCCGGCACTGGGGCCCAGGATCTGGCAATACCTGCCAATAATGATGGAATGTATGACATTCGACCAGGTCACTTATAATAACGGCAATAAATGTTGACACAAGGATCCATCGGATGGCAACAAGCGTTGTTTGGTGTGCCTTTTCCCACGTCAGATCCGTCAGTCTGCGCAGGAATTCCAGTATGGCGCCTTTGAGAGTCCATAAACTATAGGGTTCAGCTCGGTTAGCAAGACGCTTATGGGCGCTAAAAGGGAACATGCTTACGTCGCAGCATAAAGTATTCTGCTGACAAGCACCAAGCCACTAGCGACGGATTTATAGTGAATCTCATCATCCGTAAGCATAGTGCCGGTGAAGTCGCTGTTGTTAGTGCCGTTGAGCAGAATGAAGTGCACACAGGCCATTCGTAGCAGCAAAGGCACAAGAGCCAGTGCAGCGATTTTATCTTCGCGGAAAAGTCGTTCGGTTCGAATAAAGCGGCCGGCCACGCGCAAAAAGATCATGACGGTGCAGAAGGAGGTGGCCCACCAGCAGACAAGCAGCGTTGGCTTGTCGTACTTGAAGGGCCGCAACGACGGGGGATCTGAATAAAGAGTCATTTTGGTCGACCAAGATGGATATACGCCACGCTCGTCGGCCTCTCGAGCGAGTTCGACGAGCGAGGGTAGGTGGCTTGTTGGCTCGCTGGAGTCGAATCAAGAGACAAGCTGGGACCCAGCCCCAGGCCGTTGTCGGCAGCAAAAGAGTATATAGTCGCAGCTACAATTTGCAGCACCGGTATGCTGATCGACTATCGAAACATTTCGGAGCTCGACTGGCGTGTTTTACTGTATTGTTGGAGGACGAGAGCACTGCAATCGTTAAACAGGCGTCGCAAGGCTGTGGCCGTAGGTAGCAGTAGTGATGTCGCGGTTGGTCGGCGGCAGCGAGCAGTATGTGTGTGTATATCGGGAATGTCCGAGACGCGGTCTGCAGCAAATGTCTGGCGTGTACGCTGTCTTTTAGAGGATTCGACACCTTCGCAGTCGAGTAACTGAGGTTTCCGGGCAGAAGCAGAGTGAATGAAGCAGACAAAGAGGCAGCTGGCAGAGGAGACATGAGAAACGGGCTTTGCCTCGTACGCCATTTTGGCTGTGCAGCCCCAAAAAAAAATCCAACGCTAAAAGGGCAAGAGAGGGCCTTGGCCAGCGCAGGCGAATGGCGGAGTGCAGATTTCTTAGGTGGAAGGGGGGGCAGGGGTGTCTGCGGAGCAAGGCGAACAAACGACGGCCCGGGCGATTCGCTGCAGAAAACAAAGCGCGGCAGGCGAACACTGTCGCAGGACACAAAGGGTGTGCGCCGTGGCGTGGGGGGAAGGGCGTGTCCCTGGAGAGTCAGGCTGCCCAGGCGGTGCGGGGAGTTTTCGTGGTTGGCGTATTCGGGCTGCTGAGAGGCGCTGTGGGGAGGGGGGGCAAACCGCTAAACACCGCTGAGGCTGTCCACTGAACAGCGCTGGGAACAGGGAAACAGGGCAGTGGAGGGCTGTCGTTTAGCGCATGACACGGGGACAAGTGGTGCTGTCAAGTCATGGAGACAGCGGCTGTCAGTGGGTGGCTTCTGACGGCGCTGATAGTGCTCGACGCCATTTCTGGGGCTGGGCTTGGGCTTGGGCTAGGCTTTGGGCCGGCCTGTGTGTGTGTGTTTGTGTGTGTGTGTGTGTGTGTGTTGCAATAGCGGAGCGGTTCTCTATGCAATGATGACATGGAGTAATTGCTCTGTTGCTGATTTGCTATGCTGATACTGATGCTGCTGATGATGATGATGATGCTCTTGCTAGTGAATCCCGAGGTACAGTATATCGTTTTTGGTGGATTCAGTGTACCGCTACCATGCAAGACACCAGATGAACTCTAATTCTAAGTTATTAGTTACTTGGATGTACTACCTACCGATGGCCCGACCAAAGTACAGTAGCAGTAGTATCACAACCCCCAAATCCGCCTGAGACAATTTCTTCTTTTCCACAGTGGACGTGAACAGTGCCATCTGGCCCCCTGGAAAAGGCGGAAAATCTAGACAAAGCGCCCTAGCAACAGCGCCCCAATCCCACCTGTGTTGGTGCCCTGTTGCGCTGTAAGCCAGGCCCGCACAGCGCCTTACCTCACTGCCATCTCTTCCACCATCACCACCACCACCATTTGTCCCCCCTGCTTGCTAGTGCCAACCAACACGCTGCCCGTCCGCCCATGCAACACTGGTGGGTGGGTGCACGCGCATTACCTGCAGAATTCTATCAGGCGAGACATCTCCGTTTGATTTTCAAGCGGTGACGATCGAGATGGAGTCGCTTGTCCATTGGCTGGCTCGCCTGTTCCCTGCCCTTGGGCCAGCGTCACGCCCACTGGAACCCTCTACAAGACCCTCTCGACACGTATGCCCATCGATCTAACCAAGTGTTGTTGCGCTGGCAACTCGGCGGCGCATCCAGAAAAACCAAGGTTCGATGAAAGAAATACCCTCACCAAACAAAAGGATGCAAGACACAGGCGTTTGGATGGAGGGGCGGAATCCCGTCTCGGTGGCCGCCCACACTCACGTCATGCACCTCATGGCGGCGCGGCTACTACAGTACACGACCCTGCTCTTTTTGGTGATTTTGCCTTACTCGCTCACAGTCAGCGGGCGCTGCAAAGGCCCAGGACCGCAATGACGTGGCGCTTTTGCGTATCAGCGTGGGCGAGCCTCACGGAACCACCCAGCTTTGCCTCCAAACGCCTTGGCAAATGGGCAGCCTAGGAAATGATATCGCAGCACCTTGCCTCCTTGCCAATTTATACAGCCGCCGTACGCACCTTGGTGCCTTTCTGCTTCACAGACCCCAGGTTTCAGGGAACCCCAAAGTTTATTGCTAAATAGGGTCGCTTCTCCAACACACACAGTCCGGGACCAACCGCAGCGGGGTTACATCCAAAGTTAAGGTGCTGATCGATATGCACCGTTAGAGACAGGCATCGACTGTTTCTGCTGCAGCTGCAGTTTGAGTTTGAAATATATGTGCTACACATGTAGGAGCAAATGCTACGCTCTGTTATGAAATTATTGGACTTTGCAGCCCATTCATCCGTAGCTACACTGTCGGTTATCAACCAACCCTAGCCGGAATCGCCATCGCCCTCAGCTGCTGCGCCCTGGATTTTCTTTTTATTTATTGTCTCTTGTACGCGTCGCCTAAAACAGTAATCTGGTGCATGATGCATCGGCTGAAACCCCAGCTCCAACTGTCGCCGGGCGGGATAGCCACTGAGCCTGGACCATCAAACGGCGCTTTGGTGGTCTTGCATATTTGGTTCATCAACAGTGACAGTGACAGCGCCCCAACTAGCCAAGCAATGATACAGAACGTCCCCGAGCTTACCGCGTGTGACGTCTGAGCTATAACAGCTCTCGGGTGCTGTGAAAAGTCATTTTCAAAGGTCGAATAACTCGACAGCACGGTTTCGTAAGCTTAAAGCAGCCGGGACAAATCGGCAGAGTGGCAAGTGCCATGGAGAATGAGAGATAGCGATCGTCATTGTCGAAATCCAATATCGGGCGCCCAGAAGAAAAGATACGGAGGGCCACGGTCCACACCAACACGCCACATGGTGGTGGCCCATCTGCTAACGAGACACTGTTGAAACGGTGTCATTTAGAAGATACCTGGCCTGATTCCAGGCTAAACTGGCCTATGATATCAATTCTCTAGCTGAGGCTAACTAGCCTAGCAAAAAACGGCATGGCCCCGACGGAGGTCGAATGGCACGCGAGCAGCCATTGGGGAGACGCCGCTCCCACTAAGCATCCACTCCGACATCCACCGCCGCTACCAATCGCGACGGCATCTCCGGCAATCTGGGGTTCGGCTTTGACAGAGGTTAACTAAGCTCCTTCAAATGGCTCATCGACACCAGGATGTCACTCCAGCTCTTGATGTTAGCGCCAAAGCCGCGACCGGCTATTGACGTGAGGGAGACCCTGAAGGCGTTTTCTCCAATCTCTAGGCAATTTATCCCAGTGAATCAAAATTTGAGTTTTTAGCATGCCCGCCCGTTAAAATCTCCTCCCCGGAAGCCCCATCAAAATAACCCCATTAACCGGTCATGGGGCCGCCACCTCACAAAGTTCGTCGACCTTCCCAAATAAGGTAACTCTTCAGCCAAAACGCCCCCGGCACCGTCTTGTACTTTGAGCAAGCGGTACGGTTTTCCCACTAGCCGAGGAGGAGGTTGCCGTACCGGCCGCGCGGTACATGCTAGTGTCACGGCGTTCTTTTGGAGTGGACTAGGCAACTATATTAAAAACTTGGCTGAAGGGGCGCACTCGTTGCCAAAACCAGCACATGACTTTGATGCAGGACGATGAATGGCGTCGCAGATGCGGAAAGCAGCGGGTGCAATGGCTCACTGTGCAACGCAAGATGCTGCTCTCGAGGTATGCTGCAAGCGAAAGGGTTCTATTAGACGTAGATGCAAGTGACACAGAGAGTATATAATTACCACCACTAGCCACTGCCGGTGTCATCGCCGTTGCCTCGAGCAGAGAAGCCGGCTGGCTTCTCTCCGCCCTCGTTCAAGGGGTCGCCACTCTTCTATTTACAGTTGGAGATCTTGCACAAGCTTTGCAACCTGCGCCTTGTCTGCCCGCCCCCAATCAACGCCAGTCAATAGCGGGCTATCTTCACAAATCATCCAGAGCTCATCCACCACTGCCGTCCGTACCTTGGGCCACGGGTGGCCCATCAGGGCGCCCAGTCGCTTCCGCGCCTCTGGGATGGCTGCCTCGGCGTCACACTTGCTCGCTATCGCGCCGTATACCTTGACAGCGGCAAGAATCTTGCGCACATTGCCGCTCTTGTAGGCAGCCTTTTGGGCCTGGAGGCAAACTGACTTGTAGTTGATTGCAGCCCGACGCTGGAAAATACCAGCATTGAAGAGGAATACCACAATCTCGAGGGTTGGAACAAGGATTCTATCGTCACCCTGGTAGTCTTTGAGGTTGTTCAGCAAAGCTTGGCAAACGAGATCCCCTTGATCTGTAGATTCGGAGCAAAACGCCGTCAGAGCTTGTCGGCTGCGTATCACGAGGTCTTCGTTTCCAGTATCAGCCGAAGATACATAGCCCGTAAGAAGTTGCGAGATCCATGCAAGCGGATCGGCTCGTGCTAAGCGTACCACAGACTCATGAAGATGAGTAGAAGACTGCAGCGTAAGGAGCTTTGTAAAGTAATCGGTTGACGAGATACGAGAGAGCAAAAAGCTCTCATGCATTCTATACGCGGGTTAGCTCCGCTCACAGCAGCGGGAGTGTTGAAAGTACTTACGCTGGGGACAGTATTACGCTCAAGACAATTTGAGCTTCCAATCTAACCTTGTCGAGTTTCTCTGCGGACAATCGCAGGACAAGATAAAAGAGTTTCTTTACGGAAAGCTGAAACCAAGGCTGAGGTTCACCCTGATGGACGTTCTTCCACAAAATCTGGACGGCCCTCAATGCTTGCACGCGCAACTGGGAGCCAATATCGCCCTGTGCCGTTGTAGTATAGTCGGTGAGAGCATCAGCCAGTAAGTTGAGTAATGATTCAGGGGATGTCTTGGCAGCATGAGAATAAATCAAGCTTTGCAAAATGGCGATGCGAGTGTTTATGTCGTTGTCTTTGTTCCACCGTTGCAAGAGTGCATCGAGAGGAGACGGCCCGTCCACGGACTTTCTGAGACTTGACATTGCAAGAATGTAAAAGTAGGCGTATCCCTTTCGAGAATCTCGGGTAGCCGGTTTGAGTCCGACAACTTCGCACCACTGTTGCATAGTTGACCCGCATTCTGAGCCAGGCAGCAGCATTGTTAATAACAGCGCTGCCATGGAAGTCGGTTCAATCGTATCCCCTTCGCTGGAGTCGAGCCATAACGGCACAATTTCTGTCAGGGCGACCTTAAATCGCCCAATGCCCTGGTGAACAGATGAGATTGACTGTAAAGCGTCACAATCGGTTTGCGTAAATAATGGTCGGGTCGGGGACAGCGCTACTGATCCAGACAGCGTCTTTTCTGGACTGTTGGTTTTCAATGCAAGCATTTGCAGCAGTGGCCAGCACGACAATGCGAGTATGCTTGCAGCAACCGCAATCAGCTCTGGCCGTCGATATGTAGTCTCCTTACAGTTGATCAAGATATCCACAACTGCGGCGAGAAGCTCTTCCAGCAAGCCGGCATGTTGATCAACTTTAATATCCAAATTTGGCAGCTGGTCAAGAAGTCCCGAGAAACACAGCAGCAAGCCATGTCTCTCCTCAACCTGGCGTTTAGTCAAGTTTTTGATACTCTCGTTGACGACGGAAAATGAGCGACGTAGCTGATCTGCATCATCAGTGGCTCCGTGCTTCGTGATTTCGGTTGTTATGGAACCAAAAGCAGACCCAGCATCTTGTCTTGCAGATAACTCTGCATCACCAACACCTCTCCATCCCAGAATTGCATCAAGTGCGGCTACTGCGTATTGATTTGCCAGCTTGGATGCGTTTATGGCAACTTCGCCGATAGCCCGAGAACGTCTTGCAACGGCATGATAATCAACTGTTTGCACTACCGCAATACCATGTTCAACCGTATCTGGGTGGCGACCAATAAGCTCTTGAAGGGCAGCAGATGCTCCTCTTCTAATATTTCCAAACGGATCCAGACTGGCGCTCATCACAAGCTCGGTCGCTAGAACTTGAATGATGGAGCTATTCTGGGGATGAGACTTGGCTGCAAAAACCGATTCCAATGGAACTGCCAACAACTCTGTAGTAGTATATCGTCGAGCGAGAGCCCAAATACCAAAACACGATGCGTCTCGGACATTTGAACCAACACTAGCACCAGAGATACTTCTTTGATCAAAAGACAACCCAAGCAGAAGTGCATGGATAATATCGGAAAGCTGAACTGGGGGTGGCGATCTGCGGTAGAGTAAATGTGATAGTGTGAGCATCAACCCATGCCATTCTAAATGATTGATAGCGGAAAGATCTCGAACCGATTTAGCCCCCGTCTCATCCTGCGTCTTTTTCCACAGGACATTGCGGTTAAGAGACTCGAGAACTGCCTCGACGACTTGTGAAGCCATTTCTGGATCCAATTTCAAAGTGATGACACTAAGAGACTTGCTAGCCGCCATTCGCACCGGGGTATCATTATCAGAAACACGCTCAAGCAAGCATCCAATAGCCGTCTCCGTAATGACCGTATGTTCCATCGTTTGAGATGGCTGTCGTAGGCAAATGACAACAACTGATTGGATAACCTTGAGTATCATTTTGCGGGCGACTGCGAAAGAGCTGATATGTTTCGCAAGTTCATTTTCCTGTAAGGTCAATCCGTAAACGACATTGAAAATGGCCTCCAAGAACGCATTCATATCAGACGTTTCCGATGAAGAGCGCAATACTCCTGCGAGGAAAGAAAGAACTCCGATATAAAAATAAGTGGTATCAGCCGTACCCTCCACGAGCTGGCTTAGCGATGCTAGAGACCACTGCACCAAGCTCTGTAGAACACCTAGCTGCTGCATATCTCGGCGCATCGCCATACGAACGAGCAGCGCCTTGGCAGCATCTCGCTCTTTTCCAGGAGACGCAAGGTACTTGACTCCAAGGGGGATAATGCGTTTAGTGATTCCAGGCAGAGTATCTGCTAGGCTCAGGTTTGGTATGTCGGGAACCTTGCTATCCTCAAACTCCGTTGACGATATGGTGGCGAGATCAAAAGGGGCAAGCAGCAGATGTGAGAGCCACAAAACGACGATATATCGCTGCTCCCAAGACCATGGTCGCTCGTTATCAGGCTGCTGAGACCTCTCATCGGCTTCTTCTACAGCCGATAGTAGAGGTTCGAGATATTTCGCCTCGACATTCAGGAAGCGAACAATGACCTTTTCGCCGCGCACTTTGCAAAACGTGTACAGGATTTTGCATATGGCGTGATCAATAGGCACCAACAGCGGCGACTTTGCCTTGGACCGGCTGCTAGCTCTATCCCTCAGTAGATATTCCAAGTACGACGAAGCCAGCAACGTAATCCATTTCTGCAGGTGCGGATCTAAGAGCTGCGGAAGCTCTTGGAACATGTCCAGCGCCTGAGCGTGCAGTGGTTAGTATTGAAGATATTTCGAGTTGACAGACATAACATACCTGGCAAATGGCTGGGAAGATGGAGCTGGCCCGAGCCCAAGACCGCACGCGAGTTCCTCCACGGCCATCGAGCTTCCGTATGTATTTGACGAGGGCGGCGTCAAGGTCCTTGATGAGATCACCAGACGCTTTCTGGAGCTTCGAATCGACGTCTTCCTCTGCGGCGTTCATTTTGTGCTAGCTTCTGCTCCGCTTTAATTCGTTTAATTTAGTTTCCCATCGATACTCGCTAATCTTGAGACAGGTTCACGGATGAGCTGCGGTGAACACTACGACTATGGCCGTGTTGTATGGAGTTGAGACAAAGCGGGCAGCCCCACCAAATTGAGCTTCAGGGTAACAAATGGTCTGCGGAATGTATAATTCAGCAACGCTACGAAGAAAATTATATGTAAATTTTAAATATTTATAGGAATTGATAAATTGCGCTTATCGCTTAAATTTTAAAACTTGAGATAAATTAGCCATCCATTGGGTGTTGTGTTCTCGCTTATTTAGATTTACACTCAATATGATGCTTGTATAAGATAAATGAATGACAAGGCAACAGTTGTCACTTCGAATTAAATCTATACACCGTCTCGTATGTCCAAGCTCGTAAATATCGTTACAATCTGTTCAAAAGGAGTCAGGAACCAGCCTTTCCTTAACAATCAAGCTTCTCGTGGTCTTCGTCGCACTCGTCGTCCTCATCATCCTCAGGTCTTCAGGGTCTTCCGGATCTTCAGGATCCTCGGGGTCTTCGGGGTCATCGGGGTCTTCCATATCTTCAGGGTCTTCGGGATCCTCTACCTCGCGGGATTGAAGTTTCCTGTACTCCTCCGGCTCATCATACTCGTTGGGGTCCTTGTACTCCTCAGGATCTTTATACTCCTCAGGGTCTTTATACTCCTCAGGGTCTTTATACTCCTCAGGATCTTCATACTCGTTGGGGTCCTTGTACTCATCGGGGTCCTTGTACTCATCGGGGTCCTTGTACTCATCGGGGTCCTTGTACTCATCGGGGTCCTTGTACTCATCGGGGTCCTTGTACTCGTTGGGGTCCTTGTACTCATCGGGGTCCTTGTACTCATCGGGGTCCTTGTACTCATCAGGATCCTTGTACTCATCAGGATCCTGGTATTCATTGGGATCTTGATACTCATCGGGATCCTTGAATTCATCCGGGTCGTTATACTCACCTCCTTCGGGCTCCTTGGACTCGCCAGAGCAGTTTTGCTCTGGGTATGTGGTCTCGGTTGGATTAATACCCTCGGGATTGTTAGTTTCAGTAGCATCGCCCTGGGGAGAACCACTGGTGGTAGAGTTACCTTCAGGAGCGGGAGTTCCAGCCTTCTGATTATCAGTAGTCTCAGTAGACACTGAATGGAAAGGCGAGCCGTCGGCTGTGACAGCAATGGCCGAAATCAAGACGTCGAGGGCGGCGCTGTGGGCAGGGCCGGTGGTCGAGAAGAAGGGACCATCCCATGACACACCAAGTCTGAACTGGTCGTCGCGATCCTTGTTCCAGATAGCGTCGGCGTTGCGAACAATGAACTCTACGAACTGGTCGTCTTCAGCTTCCTCGTGGAGGTATCGAAGGTTGCGAACAAAGATACCCTTGAACTGCTGGCCGTCCATTCCGCAACGGGAGTCGTCAAATTCGCACTTGTTAGCCTCAACTAGGACGCCGTCCTTGTCGGAGAGAGCCTGAATAGCAGCCTTGGCGATGGTGGTGGCGCGATCGAGGTAAGAGCGGTCGCCAGTGGCGCGGAAGAGCTCGGTCAAACCACCGAGAACGACACCCTGGTTGTAGGACCAAGTGATTCCGCCATTGTTCTTACAGTTACCGTCGAGACCGTCGTTGATGAGGTTCTTCTCGTTGATCATGCCACTGTTGGCGAACCATTCCCACTGGTCCTTGGCAATCTTGGTGTAGTGATCCTTGTCAGCGGGGATGCGGTTGGCGAGAGCAGCAGCAACCGAAAGGTAGAGCTCATTGGCAATGGCATTGACATAGTTGCGGTCCTTGCTCCAGAAGATACCGCCCTTGCAGGGGCCACCAAGACCGGTTTGCATGTCCTTGAAGATGTTGACAGCGGCGTCGAGGTACTCCTTCTTTCCGATAGTGTCGTAGGAGTGGATGAGACCAAGTGCCCACCAGCCTTCGTCGTCATAGTACTCGTTGAGAAACTGAGCAAAACGGCGAGTCTGAAGATCTCTCTTGAAGGGAGCGCAGTTACCATCCCCGTTGACACAAGTCATGGTCGACATGACTCCCTCAGGAGTCATTCTCTTGACGGTAGCAACATTTGCCTTTTGCGCCTGCACAAAAGTGTTTTCGATGATGCGGGGGACCTGAACAGAGATGGCCTCAATGGGGGCGAGGGTGTGGAAGTCGGCAAGCATAGTCAATGCGTTACCACTGTTCCACCAGGCATCGTTCCAAAGACCCGATTGCTCGTTGTACCAGAAGCGGTTGAGGGTCTGGGTAGCAACCTGGGAATGGAAGGCATATTGGAAAGAGCCAGAAGCGGCGCTGTTGACAGGAACGGGAGAACCGAGGACCTGTGTGGCGCCACCAGCCAAAGCCAAAGCCTTGGCGATGGACCAAGAGTTGGTGTACATGATGATGTGTTAGTGGGCAGCTGAGGAGGAGGATGGTGGAAGTCCTGTAGTGCTAAAGCTGCTTTGTGAGGTGTGCGTGTACGTGAGCGTGAGGAGATGGATTTAGAGACGAACTGGCGAGGGAGAGAGCTCATTGATATAGGCGAGAGCATATCCCAACCAGTACTACCCCTCACGAGAGAAGAAGGCTGACATGCTGGGCGATACTACCAGAGGCCACTCTGGAAAGGATGCATGATGGGACACTAGGATGCGTTGGACTGCATCCTGAACCATCCGGAGGACAGTCTACGAGCCATGGATGAACAGCGTTCTCTCGTCGGGGAAGCTGGGACAGCACATATGTGGCTGGCGCCTGACATGTCGCATTGCCATTTGGGGCATGGCGACGTTGCAGCAGCAGCACAAGCGACCGACTTCCAGTCGCCAAGTGTGAGTGCAAGTGGAGAGTGCCGACCATAAGGACAGCTTTTGCGGCAACCACAATTGTTCACCTAGCCATTTCGGGAAAGCTGTTGGTGCTTTACGGCCGAGGGAGGGTGGAGGGCAAAGGGCGGTGATGCGAGCTTTTGATAGAGCATCATCGTGGTTGCGTGGGGTTGGTGTAAGCCGGCCACCCACACCAGTGGCTAAAGCACAGTCGGACAAAAGTGCAATTCACCGGGTTTACCCCTCCTTTATTGTCTTCCCCCACCAATCCTAAATCGTCATAGTGCTTGGTTTAGGGTCCTTGACTAACTATTAGCTCGTCATCCTGATGCGGGGTTCGGGGGAAGGACGGCGCAGCCTTCTGCACCAGCACAGCACCATTGGGTTTGCCCCGGGGAGTATTTCGCCGAGCCACATCTCCGATTTGCAGCGAACGACTCGCAGACAATGGTGAACAGGAATGAACGAACTCGGAGAGATTGGTTGAGTTGGCCGACAAGACGTCACGTCACAGCTGCTGCTGGCAACCTGTAGTGTATCGTGTTTATGAGACACTGCACCCAAAAGAACAGCCACGTTTGGAGCCTTTGTGCACACTGGCACCGTTCAAGAGGCTAGGTTCCCGGCATAAGCGCAACGCTGAAGGGGTGCAAGTGGTTGGTGTTTGGAGTCGTGATTGTTGTAGCCATTACACAGCGAGCGTGCAGTGTGAGAGGGCCAGTGTAGTAGTTGCCAGTTTGGCAGGTGGCGGGCTGTGAAGCGCCAGCTGGCAGCAATACAGAATCGAGAATACGCAGTGGCAAAGCGAAAAAGAAAACACATTATTTCATTTGCTTTAGAAGAGGCTGGAAATTATTGTAAAATTTTGCTAGGAAAAACCAATAACTCATCTTGGCCCATGAGACGTCCACGTATATGTTTTGGGCGTTTTGATCGGCATACCCATCTGTCCATACAGGGCCGCCTACGTTGCAATGTTGCGCAGCCTGATCGCGGCATCTGACACAGACGATCAAGCGCTGTAGATCACTGTAAATTGCCCACTGTGCAGACGCGGACATATATTTTGTACAAAGCGGGTTTACTCTGGGATCTACATATTTAATGTAGAGCCATTGAAGAGCGGGAAATAGAGCAAGAAACTATAGAAACGTGATACAAGTTAAGATTTACTTTTTAAGTTTTCAGCCTCCCGAGACAATGACATTGATTATCTCGGGGATCTAAACGCCACCATGGCGCCCAGAGGCGGTGGCAGAGTACAAACAAAGGTGTGTTAGTCGTCATACATTTATTTATTATATGCATATAGCTTCAAATATATCGGATAAATTATATGAATACACGCCGCGCTACGAAAATTAACGTACGGAGGGCAGGGTTGTGCGTTTCCGCTAGCTTGTATCTATACGTCTCTAGATTCTGGACGTTTGCCGAAATATAAACCAGAAATGCTCGTCTTGCCGTTTGTTTCCTGACTCGACATAGATCCTGCAATGCTTGGTGGTCCTTGTGTTTTGCGGATCGAGAAGCGCGGGAGGATCGATGACGACTTGTTTCGCTCGTTGGAAAGACTGCTGGCTCGGTTTGCACCCACGTTGGTCAATTCCTGTACAGTGTTGGAATCGATAAACATCTGCACAAATATGCCACTTTCTCCCTTGGAATTCGTTCCTGACCAGCACCAGTGCTCTGGATACGACCCTAGTAGCAAAACACGTTAGCGTTGCGACCTTGTCAGATCGCGACAGATCTCCATAAAACTTACAAGTAATGTTCGTAATCATCTCATCCTTCTTGAATCGTAACCACTTGACCTTGCTCTCTTTGTCTTTATACGTAAAAGCCCAGCGTGCCTTGGCTTGGATGTTGCTGGGTGTTCCAATTCGGATTTGATCCTCTGGTGGCAGCTCTAAACGTAAACAGTCGAACGGGATGGATGCATGCATACCATCGTGCCACCCCATGCACCACTCTCCTCCATACTTGCTGGGAAATGATAGGCGGGCCACCCTTCCTCCCTGAACCATTTCAAGCGCTGGGGTTCGATCAGGCAAGAGCCTCAGACCGACAGTTCTGCGAACGTGATCTTTGGCTATGCCTGATGGCAAAGACAGAGAGTAGTCGGCATTGTCGAGGGCAGGATGCGACACGGCAGGCAACGGTAGATGCAGATCGTAATCGTTGGTTAAATGACCCGGGATATCCTGTAACTCTACCACTGAGAAGCCGGTGACTTTGGGTAGTGGGCGAGCATGCCGTGAAATATGTCTGAATAGTGCTGGGACGCTGAAGAAGACGGTCGCGTCACCTTCGTCCAAGGTGTGGCCCTGTTCAACGCAGAAAGGGCAGGCGAATAAGCTATCGTCGGATCGTCTCGTTGCGACATGGCACTTTTGTAAGAATCGTAGTCTGTATCGGAGGCCTTGCTGGCTGAGGTTACCCTTGTCTATTTACTCGGTTAGAAGCGTGTCTAAAGACTGGAGCGATTTCTTTGATCATGATGTATACCTAGTCTGTTGATATCATTTTCGAGATCTCCAAAGTTGAGCTCAAACAAGCAGCTCGAGCATCTTGCGACGGTGGCAGTGGCGGAGAATCCCTGTTAGATACAGTTAGTACACGTTATTCCATGGTTTAGGGAGGTGCTGACTACTGGTTTCTTCGTCTTCTTGACCCCGATGCCTCCCCTGACAACTTCCTTGGCCCCTTCGCAGAATCCCTTTGACAAGTAAAAAGAGCTTCCAGTTCCAATTAGACAGCTTTTGGAAATTCTGTTTGTTCTAACTGGAACTGGATCTCGTTCCACTAAAATCAACCCAGTATCGATCGGCTGGGAGGGCATGATGGGAGGGTTGCTAGAGGGCTTCTGCATACGCAGCGTAGGATCAACCAGCAAGCTCTCCGCAGAGAGTCTTCGCTGGTCATAAGCCTGCTCCTCATCATCGCCTTCCTCATACGCAAGCACCTCATTGACTTGAGGTGACGTATGCGTATACTCTGCGTTGTTGTAGTTGATTTCGGGGGGGTAAGGATTGCTATCAAGGCGAGGTCTCGGGGGCTGGAAGCCCTGGCCGTCGATCCAGTTCCCAGACGGCCGGCCCTGAAGAGACGAAGATGGGGACCGTGGAGTTCGTTCGTCCGGTATTCCAGAGGATTGGGGTCTTGGAAATGGCCATCTACTATCGTCCGGGCTGTGGGGGGAGCCTCGCATTCCTCGGTTTAATCCTGATGCGGGGGATGTCTGCAACGGGGAGGTAGGCTGTCGGGTTCCAGGGCTTCCTAACTGTTGGGCTGGGGATGAGCGCCGCTGCGGCGCAACGGGAGCTCTTCTATCCAGGTTCAAGGATCCAATATCAATATCTTCCTCGGGTATAGAGGCCACTCTGCGGTCCCAAGGGTTGCTCGTCGGTGGAGGGGGAGGGGGCATCATTGGTGGCGGTTTCATCGCCAAGGCCGGCATTTGGTTGGGATCCAGGGCGTCTTCCTGGCTGTTTTGTCTATCTCGGATGCTCGTAAGCTGTACATTGGCAACCTCGATTTGATGGAGCTGTTCCTGACGGGCTGTGTTTAGCTGCGCGCTAGATGTCGAGCTGCGAGTGCCGGTACTAAGAACATTTGGCGAGGTGCCTCCTGGGAACGGGTATACAGATCCAGGTAACGGGGAGGAGGGCGGAGACAGTTGTCCGATCACGCTGGGAAATTGTCGCTGCTTGCTCTCGGGGACCTCAAGCTTCATTCTCATCAATATGTCAAAGATTTTAGGAGCGGCTCGTCTTGACACCATTTGCACTTCGGTAAACTTTTCGGCATCAAATGAGGACTCCTCGATATAATCGTCAAATTCCCAGAGGAGATCGGTGAGTTCCGTGCGAAAGTTGGCGATTTCATCTACCCAATCTGTTAGCCACACTGAAAGCCAGCTACGCTAGTAACCTGGCCGTGTAAATGTCTTACTATTATCCTTAAGAGCGTTGTGAAAGTTGGCGCCGTATTCGTCAAGCATCTTCTTGCACTGAGGCTCGATACGCTTGAGCGCGCGCTCACCCTCTTTGAGGAGGGCCTGCGCGGCCTTGAGCATGGCAGCATTGTCGCCAGCATTGCCAACGGCGGCGTTGGCCTTTTCAACAATGTCGCGGAACGGTGTCACGACCAAATCCGAAACCTCGTCCATGCTGACTGCAAGATTGTTCTCTGGGACGTTCCGAATAAGGGAAGATGTTGTTGCAAGTCGATGAAGCCCCGCGTGACGCCCACTGGGAGTGAACAGCGTCGAGGCAGGCTGGTCACGCTGCAAAGTTACCATAAACGGATAAGTAAGGTTACTTCCGTTCGATCGGCGTTATGGAGCGAGTCTAAAAGATAGGAAACAATGGTACGATAGGAGAGTTGGCGCTACAAAAAGAAAGCGGTAATGAGGATGACGCTGTGCGGGATGACGGGATGCGAATGATCCTTTGTTTTTTTGCTCACGCAGCCAACAGGCGACCGACGCCATTTTGTTTCAATAGCGACTCCCGGATCCTATGCAGCCAGCCTTCAGCAGCCAGCCTTCTTAGCGTCCATCTTCGGGCCAGAATGAGAAACTGAGGGACGACGCCACTTGTTTGGCCCATGAAAATGGGTGTGGTGCTGTAGAAAGTGCCCTGCCGCAGCCAATGGAGGCTTACCTGGGGTGGGCGGAACGCATGAGACCCCGCCGTGGAGCTGAAGACGCTACCGCAGGCAGCGAGTCGAGTGAAGCGAGCGATCAAGGATAAACGCCAAAGTGAGGCTGCCCACGTTGATGTATCCTGGAACACCTATTGGGCGAACATCCTTCGCTTTGCAGTGGGGTGCGAGGCACTGGAGTCCACTGTAGGAGAACGGGGCGGGGGCTATGGGGCCGGAGGGGGCCTCATCCACTGCATTGGTGTGGTGCTTTTGCAGGGACCTGCTTGCCCCTGCCGCCCTCTCCAGCAAAGGAGCCAACCGCATTGGTGTCCTGCATCTTCCCATTTGTTCGGGTTCCTGGCTATCTCGTTCCGTTACGTTTCGATATTGCGCATGCTGTGCGGCTGCCAAACCCCTGAGCGTCTCGTCAATTGGTTGTGGTGGTGCATGTGTTCATGCGTGGTGTGATGTGCATCACACTTCCAACTGCGACTCAGCCAGGCACACCATTTAAAAAGGTACGCTAACTTAGAGCGGTTAACTAACTGACCACTAGGCTGCTGTCTATGCGGTAGTGTTGAGCACTTGTAGAACAAGGGGGAGAGGGAAGGCCAAGCGTGCAGCACCACCAGAATCGACCCCATAAAGAATGGTCCGAACGCTATCTGAGACGAAAAGCCTTGGCCGCATTATGGGACGGCCGTAACTTCTTCCACTGCTTGCATCAGGAAATGCCCTAGTACGCCAGCACTTGGACGACAGCGTCATCCGTAGGCGGCGCTCAAAGACCACACGTGAGCAGCAGCGTCCGTGGAACGAAACGGTTTAGTTCATCGCTCAGCCGTTGGCCCTAAACACCCCTATGATCCACAGCGAGCCAGGGTAATCGCCCGCGGAGGAGCGCGAATCAGTCGTCACGGCCCTCTGGCTTCGCCATCTCAGTAGCAATTTGTTGACGGCCCACAAAGACTAGAGACCAAAAGGTGGTCATCCCGAGGATGTCTCGACAGCTAGGCTAAACATGGCCTCGGTGTTGCGATGTTACAGTATTGGATGGCGGATAGAGGGTGGTACCACAGGTTCCGATGACAACACCCCTGTTAGCACACGTCGCCGCTATTCGCTTAATTTTCTAGAACGTGGGTAGTCACTCTCATCAAAGCATTCACCGGGAACCCTCTTTGTCCAGCCTAGAGATACGGAAAGAAAAGTAGTCTGGTCTTATTCAAACGGGTATTCAGCGGGCCAAAGCCCATCGCACTGCGCAGTCAGGCAGTAAATCAAAATTACGGATTCGGGTCACAAAGTACAGAGTACATTGTAAGAAAATGGCTGCAGGAAATCCTCTAAAGCTTATGGCGTAACGCTAGGAAGTTGCCCGTTTTGTTTTCTTGGGGCGTTGGATGAAAGAAATTGGCCAGTGCAGCAACATGCCACATTTGCACTCACCGTCACAAACGACGACGCTGTGAACAGCAAGGACCAACAGCAATGTCCACATTTTCAAGCCCGAGGACTGGGGGTTGGCGCTGCCTCGGTGCAACTTGGGCTTGCATTTCGCTGTTGCTGCTCCATATGGTGTTTTCCAACATCAATCGTGTCTTGCATGCCTCTTTGGCGTTGCCAGAAACTAATTGCCAATATTAGCGCCATACGTAAATGAGGGTTAGGTGAAAGCATAGAACGTGTACTTACGTCTCCGCTGGCGATGCATGGCCCGCGCTCGATGCTTGACGTGCCTCCTCTTCCAATGCAGCCCTCGTGATCTTCTCGCTCGTTTCAATACCGGAAGCTGCAGCGATTTCGGCAGCATCTTGTCCGAGCGTATCTTGCAGATGTTGGCGCTTCATCTGAAAGCGCTCCTTGCGCTCCTGCTGTCTTCCAGGGCTCTCAAAGCTGTCCATGACCATGCGAACCACATATTGAGCCAAGAAGTAAACGTGCTCTGCGAATACGATGTTCAGGAGCAATCCCCACGCAGTAATTTGAGAAATGGTGCTGTCGGTATTCGTCTTATCGCGGCTGCATAAAAATACAATAGCCGAGCTGGTGACGCTGCCCAGCCAAGACAGCAAGCCAATCGTGGGAAGCCAAGGGCCGATGGAGTCGGCTCTCCAAGGGATCGGGCGGCGGGCGCTCGTGGCAATCTTCATGGCATCTGAGCGGAGCTCAACGAAATTATTGACCAAGAAGCAGACCGAAGCCAGAGGCCAGGCAACAGAGAAGAGTGTCAGGTATCCTATTGATCAATTAGCTTGGAAGCCACACAACAACGCGTTAACGGGTCTTGGCTAACCATATTGCATAATCATTTCACGGTAGTCATCGGTGACATTGTATTCGTCCATTTCGCACTCTTCGCGAGCTTGTTTAAGAAGCGCTGCCTCTTCGGGGTGATCGAGGTCATTCTTTTGACCCTTGGTCTGGAATTCCCTAGCCTTTGCAACAGCCTGCTGCTTCACATAGGGTACAATCAATTCCGTAACAAGGTTGACAATCTGCGCCGTCACGGTAAAGTAGTACATCTGATTTGTGATGCGTTCAGGATTGATTTTAAACTCCTGGGTTGGTAGGGGCACCTTGTTAAATGTGATTGTCTGCGCGGTACGTCTCCAGAACTCGAGCAGTGGCACGATGACATGGCCAAAGGGGATGTAGACAAAGGCGGTAAACAGCAGAGGCATGTACGAGGTCATGAAGTTTAGCACAAAGTGCTTTCGAACCAGGGCTGATTGGTGGCCTATAATTCAGAGTGTTAGTCTTCCATCTGCGTCAAAAGCTTGCGTATGGTCTTACCATCCACAGTTGCATAATTCTCCTGGTCGTTGAGCATCTTGGCAGTGCTCATGAGGATAGTTGACAGAATGGGTGTGCAAACTACGAGGATGATAGTTGGCAAGAATCCCTAGAAGTCGTTAGTACAGTAGCAAAAGCCAAGCGCATATGATATCCCTACCAGGTACTGCTTGAAGGGGCCAGTGTAAACTTGGTTGATGAAGATTTCCAAAGAAATTGCCGTCACCGAGAGACTTCCAAGAGCAACAACGCAAGCAAAGGCAAATGGAATCTGGAGAACCTGTGTTCGGAGGCGCTTGGCAGGAGAGTACACTCGGACAGGTTCGCCGGTAACCTCATCTTCCGTCTCGAAATCCCATCGGAACTCTGGACGCGCACGTTGGATCGACGAAACATGGCGAACACCCCATTTAACAGCAAGGTCAAGTTCCTTCTTCTTCCAGTACTCGAAGAACACAACCGACCACAGGCTGATGCCTATAGCGTAGACCATGGAGAATTGGCCCAAGAAGAAGGATGCTGCAAGGCCAAGGGCAGCCGGTGCAAGAAGGAATCGAAAGTAGGATCGAAGGAAGAAAAAGTAAAAGGCAACGTTTTCGCCAAACTTGTCACGAATCTCTTCCAAGTCGGCCAAATCCAGGGAGTACTTGGTGTTCCACTTCTTGATCCAGTCGTGGTTGAACTGTCGGTTGTGCAGCGGGAAGACGGCTTTGACGTACTTCCACTTGCCCGCTCCTTGAATAATGCCCGCTCCACCTTCATTTTCAGGCTTGGTTATCATGAGGTAGGCAATGCGGAGGCGCTCAGCTTCGGTTACTGGTTCGTCTTCGACCGTCTTCGAGACGTCCGTCGCGGGGCTGGTAGAGCGGACGCCATGGAGCCAATCCTGCAGGCGAGATCGATAGACTTGTTGGGCGAGAAGGCTGGGAGATGCAATTCGAACAAAAATAAGAAGATGTTCCTTATTTCCTGGGCGAACCTCAGTAGCGAGTCCAGCACCAGTCAAACCTTTGATGAGCTCAATGTAGCCGGCTTCTGCTTCGGCATGCTCTTTCGACGGCGTATGGTAGTTGATAACATAATCGACACTGTAAATTTACAGCGAGTTAGTTAAAACTGAGTAGAAAACGAGGGGAGTTGTTCATCAAATTTACCCAAAGTTGTCTTGGGGGCCTTTGGGGGAAGCCATGGCCGTGATGTAATGACGCGATCGCGACGCCACGAGTTTGTTGTATACTTCTAGCAGCAGACACGTGCTAAGAGAGCAGCTGGTTTGAAAAGAAGTAGCTCGATCTATGGTCTTATATGACAACAGCAACGAGAGGAAACAAGGAAGGCTCAATGACGGCCGGTCGGGAGATCACTAGCGTAAGGAGGCGGTTCCCAAAAACCTGATCTGGGGGAGATTTTGGAGCTTCGAAAATGGGCGGCCAATTGCGGGATGGAGAGCTTGTGTGGGGCCGAGTGGTGGGTTACAGTGCGATCTACAGCAGGGCCACAGCACATCTGTCGCCTGGAACCGCACTGTAGCTCGACCCCGCTACAGGCGTATTTAGCGGGAGCTTGCCTGCACAGGCGGCGTAATTGTACGAATCGCAGAGCGAAGATTGGAGCACGTTGTGATCTCGCTTCTCCTCGCCGTTCTTCAATCCTACACACCGCAGTCCGCTGCGACGAAGCTATAAAACACGTTTCGCCCCGCCATCGGCAAGCTGTATCCCGCCCGATCTTCAAATTGCCTCTTCCAACTTCGCATCTCTGTCCCCTTTTTAGCCAGCAGCGCCAGAGACATTCCCCCCGCCATCATAATGGGCCTGCTCCAGACTGTCGGTCTTCGGAGGCGTATTAAATGGGAGCGACTCACCGTCCTTGACCAATTGCTCCTTTCGCCGTTCACCTTCATCATTATTCAAATCTACCATATCCTCCTCTTCCTTCGCGGCAAACCTTTCAATCCCCCACGCAATAAGCAGCCGGTCAAGGTCGTCTGCATTTCTGACACCCACGATCTAACTGTCGATGTTCCTCCGGGCGATATCCTGATCCACGCCGGTGACCTAACAAATGATGGCACTGTAGTCGACCTCCAGAAGCAAATTGACTGGCTCAAGAGCTTCCCACATCCCGTCAAAATTGTCGTCTGTGGAAATCACGACAGCTACTTTGATCCCACTAGCCGCAAAGAGGTCGACATCAGAAGTGGTGCCAAGGTTGATTTTGGTGATATTTTGTATTTGGAAGGCGATATGACTGTCCAAAAAGTCAAGGGCCGAAAGATTTCCATCTTTGGAGCACCAGATATCCCCAAATGCGGTGCAAAGGACTTTGCGTAAGAATATGCCTGACTCTATCACCACTCAACTTCACTGACTCATGCCATTGATAGTTTCCAGTACACAGACGAGACTCAGCCATGGGCTGGCAGAATACCTCTCGAAACAGATATTCTCATCACGCATGGTCCTCCGGTAATTTTATGCTTCAAAATAACAAAAACAATCGAAGGATATTGTTTACTAACATCTACGCTTAGAAACATCATCTCGATCTCGATCTGGGCTGCCCGCATCTGCTACAAGAAGTATGGAGAGTACGCCCGCGACTACACGTATTCGGTCACTGTCACTGGGACTATGGAAAGGAGGCGGTATACTTTGATGAGATGCAGCACGCGTTCGAGAGAGTGCTGGGCAACAGACGGCGTGGGATCATATCCGACTTCATTCCCAACGAAGGCTGGCTTGACATGTTTGAGGTTGTCTTTTACGGTGTACAGGCCGTTCTTTGGAAATGGCTTATGGGCGGCCCTAACAGCAACAACGGCGGCCTCATGGTAAACGCAGCGCAAATGTACGGCAACACCGGCCGAGTAAAAAGTCGCGCGATCGTTGTCGAAATTTAAAAGAAAGTATTATATTACAAGTACATAGACCAATCCAAGGCAAGTTCTACTTGATCAACTGCTAAGCTTGTGCACTTGTATATCCTAGAGCAATAAGGAGCTGCCCGCTATAATACAGAATCCAGACAGCATGTTGCATGGGACTGCGCAGGGCCGAGTCCTTGGGCAGGACGAATTCGTCAGTAGACAGAATAGCGTCAGACAATGCAAACAGCGTGGCTCCTCCGACAATGATAGAGTCATCCACCGTCAGCACAGATAACACCATGACGAGAATGGTTGACGAGTAGGCAAGAATGGGCACCTGCAACTTGGGGTTCACACGAGGCATCAAAATGCTGCTCTGAACTGGAGCAAGCAGCAACATGAAGCCTGCCAATCCCTGGCGCCATGGTTCCGCCCATATCTGCTCCAAACCGCCTCCAGCGCGCACAAAAAGGCCAATATAGAAGAGATGTGCTACCAGGAAGCTACTGAGGCCCTTCAAAAAGGCTTCATCTCCAGGCCAGGCTAAGAATGCATCGCCGAGGGAACCCAGCAACAACGCCGGAATAATGAGTGTATTTCCCCCGCGCAGATATGCGAAAAGGCCTAGTAATGTCGTGGAGGCTGTCTTGAATACCATGCGCGTAGCACTAGGCGCAGCTCTGACATTGATCAAGTATAGAAACGATAGAGTCAGAGACGCGATCAGGGCGGCGCCATCCGTCGAGTCGAGGGAGACATCAATGGTCGGCATGATGATTGAGTGAAGCTGTTTGATATTGATGACAGAAAGATAAAGAAGATATCGGCTATTGGTCACGAGAGCGATTACTGAATCAGCACAGCTTCATGTCTACTTTTGTGGAAGGAGGAAAAGCAAAGCGTTGTGGGGGAAGCTTCATCGGCACCACGGCTCAACGGCGGACACCGTTGGAGGCCGAGCCGCAAGCCCCCAAAACGGCGCGGTTAATATATTACGTCTAGTGTTATAGCAACCCTAGTCCATTAATACGGAGGGCTCTTACTTTTTCGGTATGTAGAAGCGAGCGAGTTGCGTAGCGAAAATGCGTAATTTTTGAAGTAATAAATTAATAGAAAGAACTAAAAAGGGAATAATAGGTCCAAAGTAGCGACTCCAGGGTCTCTAGAAGGCTAATTGTACGCGGTAAAAATATATATCTTGCAAGCTCCAACCAGCAGAGAATAGAGATACAAAGAGAAACGTCAAAGTCAACTCTTGCTGAGCTATCGCTGCTTGTGTTTTTTCCATAGACAAGCGGCTAAGAAGAAGGAATAAAAGGGCCCATTGGGAGGAATGGGAAGGAGAAGATGAGGTAAAAGGGAAGATCTATCATGTACAAAGAAGAAAGTGAATCGCCAACCAAAACGCCGTCAAAGAAGAAGAGGCTATTTTACAGGAAGAGGGCGAGGCTGAAGGCAATGGCTGCCAGGCCAGCGCCAACACGGACTCCAGAAGCGCCGGCGGTAACTACAACGTCAGTAGGCTGAGCGGGAGTGTTATCGCCCCAGTTGCCAGCAGGAGGAGCAGGAGGCTTTGCAACCCATCCGGGCTGTGTAGGCTTGGGCTGCTCAACGACTGTTGTGCAAGGGACGGTGACGGTGACTTCGTCTTCGTCATGCTTGCCGCAGCGGTTGCAGTGGAGGACAGAAGTGGTCATGGGCACGGGAGGAAGAGCAGTCAGGTCATCATGGCAGCCGCACTTGTTCTCAACCTTGAGAGTGACAGCAATGTAAGTGTCGACGATGAGGTTAAAGTTAAGTGTCTGGATGGGGATCATGGTGATGACTTCTCTCATGGGCACGGCATCTTCTACAGGGCTGGCCACGTTCTTCCAGTTGGCAGTGCTGTTGGCGCCAGGCTTGTTGGGCGCGGGAAGAGGCGTAGTCTCGTTCTTAACCATGCCGTAGACGCTGAGGAGATGTGAAGGAGCGGCCTTGGCAGCGCGGGGCTTGAAGCGAGGAGTGCCGTGCCAGTTGACAAAGCGGCGGATGGTATCAAAGCGGCGAGTGCCAGCAGTGCTGAGAGGCATGGCAGCAGAGGCAGTACCAGCGGGGAGGCTAGCAGAGGCGGTGCTAACGGGCAGACCAAGAGAAGCAGTACCGCCAGTTAACATGGGAGTAGTAGCGTTGCCAGGCTCAGTGCCGTTGACGGAGTAGAGGCTCTGGTTGCTGGCATCCGTGGCGTTGGCAGGAGTCTGGACAGCAAGGTCGGTGCCGTTGAGACGGCCACCACAGAACTCATCGGGGTTACCAGGGCAAGGAGCGTTGCAAGAGGCTTCGTCCCGAGTGGAGCGGGTGTTGGCATCGAGCTCATCAGCGCAGTAGCAGCCAGTGCTAAAGACACCGGCGTATTTGGCCTCACCACACATCTCAGTGCACATTTCCAGGGTCATCTGGGAATCACTGCCCTTCTTGGAGAAGGTCTCAAAGTTGTTGCTGGAACCAAAGCATCCCAAGTAGTCGCGGCTGCCAATCTTGGTAGGGTTCTTGGGGGCATCGGTGGCAGCGGGGAGATCAGCAGTGGGCACGTTGATATCTTCAGACTCAAGCTTGAGATCCGCAGTAGAGCCAGCAGCAGGAGTGCCAGTAGGGGTAGGAGTGGGAGTGCCGGTTCCAGCGAGAACATACTTGGTCTGGCCGAGCTTAGGAAGACCAATAGAGTTGAGGCCGGGAAGGCTGGGGGGAGTGACAGTCGGAAGAAGGCCAGGGGTACCGGTGGGAAGACCAGGAGTACCAGTGGGAAGGCCGGCGAGAACAGAGTTGAGAGATTTGAGGTCGTCAGTGGCAGCCTTGAAGTTGGTATCAGCAGGGCGGACGTAGGCGTCAATGTAGCTAATGTCCCAGTAGGCGTTGGCAAAGGCCTTGGGGTTCTCAGCAACCCATTGTGAGCAGGTAGGGGCATAGGTGGCACAGGTGCTGGCCTCCCAGGCGGCGTTTCCGTAGTCACCACAGAAGTTTGTGTTGATCACGACACTCATATCCTTGAAGTACTTGCCAACGTCGCAGTCAAGACCACCAAAGCGAGCCTGAGGCATGCCCCAAGATTTGGGATCGGGCTTCTTGGTTGTGATGTCGGAGGGGATGTTGTCTCTGCTAAAGTGCCAGAGGTTGATGTGCTCGTCGTCCCACTGCATGGCGTAGACACCGCCCTTGGCAGCGTTGAAGGAGTCTCCGTAGGAGCTACCGTCGTCATCGGGAGAAGCGTAATTGCAGCCAGAGTTGTTGGCTCCATCGCAGAGCTTGGACTTTACAGCCCCAGAGGCGTCCTTCATCATAGAGTTGGTGAGCTTGCATCCCGGGGCAGTGTGCACCGACATGAGGTTCTGGTTGGCGTTGTTGGCACCCTCAATAATGTCAACCTCGCCGCCATAAGGCCAGTCAGGGCCGTAGGACCAGAAAGCTGGCCAGACACCACACTCGGAGGCGGGCATGTGCAGGAAGTCGGCAATGAAGAGACCATGGTTGTATGTCTGCTTGCTCTCAAGACGGATGCTGGGTCTACCTTCGCCAATCTCATAGACGTTCTTAGAGTCCACACCGAGTCTGACAACACCGGTCTGAGGATCCACGGCAAAGAGGCCGAGGGCAGCAGCATCGGCCTTGCTCTTGTATCTGTACACACACATCTCCCGTTAGCAAGGTGTCCTTTGTTTAGAACTTGGTAGGGCAGGACTATTCGCTTACGATACAGTGCCGTGGGAAGGATCAGTCTCATTGATCCAGCGGAAGCCGTTGAGCAACGACTCCCCTGAGTAGGAGTTTGCCAAAGCGTAGTTCATGTTGGATAGTGTTGCGGGCGTCTAGTGTCGAATCCTTCTTTGTGTGTGTCGGATAATTATACTTACTACCTTTGGTTAGTGTCGTCCGTTACCTGTCGAAGGGATATGAATCACAAGACTATACCGTTGGATAAGGGTGCACCTCAGTCCAAATATATACACTTTGGTTGCAGGTTGACAGCCCACCCGGAATGATATCAGGCTAACAACATCGTATCCTATGATCACATCGTAGTATAGAGGTGGTCACTAGGCAACGCTAACACTTTGATGCAAGAATAGAATCGGCATTCCAGCCATGACAGATGACGACCTCACTCTGTGACGGCTAGCAGAGCCTACTAAGTTAGCGGCAGCCCAATTAGGGAAGAACCAGCACACAAACAGGTCTGACTTGGTTCAGTGTGGCAGCGCAATCCACTTTGGCATGCTCTGGGTTGTCCCGGTGCCCAGGTCAGTAACAATAGCTATTGTTCCTTGCAGTAAGCAGCCAGCCAAGCAGTGGTGTCCATGGACAGACACTAAGCGACAAGATTGGCACCGAGCCGGAACATATTCAGCGAAAAGGGTCGCTAAGCCCGGCCTAGGAAATTAATCATGGGGCTATTGGTTCCGCATTCCATGCCAATCTGCAGCAGTAGTCGGCAAACCTGTGCTGGCCATGAGTGGTGGTGGGTTGAAATAGGGCGCATTCCAGTGTGAAGTGTAGGAATCGGCCGGCTTGATTGGCCAGTTTGTTAATTTACATGCCTTTGAAAGGCTGTCGAAGAAGCCCCTCGACGGATCTTTTCTCTAAATGCTCCGGAAAATGCTGGCCAGCCCCCCAGCTTTCTCCAGTCGGTGTATCGTACAGGCCCTGTTGTTCCCCCCTCTCATCCCCACGCTCTCTTCGTCTAATTCATGTTGTTTTGCCTGACCCTTGGTTCCCATCGTGAACAGTTGGAACCCTAATTTACCATGGATCCGCCCGCTGTCTCTAGAATCAAGGCCTATACCATGATACGGCGCAGACCTTCTGTGCTCCCCAGCACTCGTTTCCCAGTAACGGCACAGCGGCCCATTCCGCTCTCCCATTTTCCATGTCGCTCCTCCATAAACGCTTCCTGCTTGGGATGCATACCCTCAAGCCATCGATGTATACAAGTATAACAATAAACAACTCCCGTTTGGCAGGCTGTCGGGGTTACAACGTCTTCCTCACAGATAGGGCAGAGTGAGGAGTCTTCCGGGAAGGGCACCACGTAGACGGGTAGCATAGATGGCGTCGCTATCGGGGCATTCTCAGCAGAGAGTTCTGGTCCCGTCGTCTCCTCCTCGTCTTCCTTGCCTTGTTTCCTTTCGTCGCTCTTTGCTGCTTTGGCCTGGCTGAACCACTTGGCACCCAAGACGGACAGGATAGGCGGCGGAAGCTCTACATTCTCGGTGGCCTTCCTAGACAGCTGCTTCGCAAAGTCAGACTGGTACCACCACTCTAGAAATTTGAGCGCAAAGATGCTCATCGGCAGCGCTAGTGACAAGCTAGAGAGCACCTGAGAGCCCAGATTCCTTGGTGAAAACAAGGACTGGCTGCCAGGTCGTCTGTCAGCATGTGCTTTGGCGCCGAGCGCTTCAATGGCTTGGTAGTCGGCCCCCGTCATGCGTCGCACACGGGTTCCAATCAGCCACATCAGTGGGTTATGATATTTGCTTCGGTCAAAGAGATAGGCGAGGTTAAACGCCAGCATGGCAAAATAGTATGCCGCATTGACGCTCGGGTAGATGTGTCGCAGAAACCATCGGTAGTAGTGGAGGAACCTGTCGCGGAGGGTTGGGTTGTCTGGCATGCGCGTGTAGGCCGCACCCAGCAGTGCTCGGGGCGCATTCACCTCGTAGCTTTCGTCGAGCTTTCGTTTCAGGTACGGCACACCGACTAGAACAAACAAGTTCTTCCATACATCGGTCGATGTCAGCTTAAGCGCTTCTCGCACAAGATGTGGCGCCGCGGCGCTTGCTCTCGGAATCTCGCCTCGCAGTGCCTTTTCGCGTTTTAATCCGTAGAAATTCTCGGTAAATGAGCCACCTCGTGTGCGCAGATAGTGACGTTCCACAATTGCCATGGCAAGCGCATAGAGCTCGTCAAAGGAATTGAGGATGCGTAGAAGATATCGGGGATGGCGCTGTGTGGCGACAGTTAACAGGTAGCGTAGCGTTGGCGGCAGCAAACTGTTGAGCTGCTGCTCTGAAAGCACCTCGAACAGCGATGGCTTCTGGTCATCAAAGGTGCCCCGAAGGGCTGTGACAAACTCCATGGCTGCACGGGTTGTGTGCTGATGTCTGCTGCTGCTTCAATCAGGCGAGCTGGATCATCAATTGTTGGGTTGGTGTTTCGGCGACAAGCGCTGTGTCGCGTGCCTAGTTGACGTGTATTTATACAAAAGTCGCGACTTTGATAATACAACCGATGAAATACACAATTAAATCGCTTTCAACAATGCAGATGCAAGTAGAATAAAATTCAATGACGACGTGTCGTCCCAGGCGTTTTCTGCCACCATGTGAAGTGCCTCGGTAAAGCTGCCTCTGGTCCCGAATCCGGCACCGGCAAAACCCACCCCCGCCATGTAAACTCCGGGGTAGGGAGTGGACAACGCCGTAGGAGCCGTGTAGCCTGCTTGCTCGCTACATCTCTTTTTGCGAATTGATTGTAAAATCGGCAATAATTTATTTATATTGCCTTTGATCAATTCATATTCTATCGTATTCTTTTCTTAGTTTGCAAATTATTATTTTTTACTACAGACCGCTGCATTCTACCAGCTACTACGCCTTCCTTATTCTCCTTACCAGGTTCCCGGACCCCTTCCTCCCAGCAACATCACCACGTTCAACAATCACCGCAACCATGGTTATGGACAGAGACACACTAGAGAACGGCACACCCGTCGAAAAGATCACATCATGGCTCAACCTTGGTAAAAATGATGACGGTCACTTCACCGTAGGTGTACGCAAAGCATCCAGTCCCTTCTGCTATAGGTTAGCCACTAACATTCCAGCCAGGACTGGACCGCGCCGCTCGTCCCCTTTATCAAGGTCGTGTCTGCGTCCGCCGAGATGCCTCACCCTCACGTCGTCTTCTCCTACACAGTGCAGCCAGACCACTGCAACCGCATGAACAGCTTGCACGGTGGTTGTGCCGCCAGTCTCTTCGACTGGTGCACAACGCTTCCACTAGCTCTCATCTGCAAGCCCGGATTCTGGATGTACATGGGTGTCAGCCGCACACTCAACGTAACATACATGCGTCCTGCAAAGTCGGGCGAAGAGGTTCTGATTGAGTGTGAAATCATTCAAGTCGGCAAGAATCTCGCTACTCTCCGTGGTGTCATGCGCAGAAAGAGTGACGGCCAGATCCTCAGTGTTTGCGAGCACGGCAAGGTCAGCACCGATCCCCCTGTCAGCAAGATTTAGGTGGATAAATCAGTTGCTCTGCCATTCCCAGACGACATAGAAGGTAATATCAAGGTTCCATTGTTACAATAGACGCTATCTGTACATATTTAAAGAGACGCTTCATAAATAAAAACTTCTTCTAGACTATATCCCGACCAAATCAGCTCGCTGTACCGTCAGCGTCGTCATCGCCATTATCGTCCGTTTCGTCATCGTCTTCTACTGGTACGCCAAGTAAACCAAGCTCAGCATCCAGGAGGAGAGCGGGAAGCTCGCCTTCAATTGTTTCAAAGTCGAGTGGCTCGTCGTCGTCATCACCATCGTCATCCGCAGTTATATAATCCATGTCACCCTCTGGATCTGGATCCATCTCTAACAGAGCGCTGTATGCCATGAAGCCGTTTGGCAGTATATCAGACAAAGTGCTCGATGTTTGCTCATCGTTGCTAGTCTTCCAAAACGCCGACGGGCCAACGGGCTCCAACTCACCACGTTCACTTTGTAAATTAGTACCCTGCTGTTATGATATGCAGTTATAGAGACTTACTTATCACCCCAGCTGCCAAAGACGCCTCGGCCGGACTGGACACCGCCGATTTGGACGCCCTCGCTACGCCATCGGGCATGGCCGTGGAATATGGAGGTTGTGGTCCAGTGAACCTCGCCCTCTTTTGTTAGACGCACCGAGCCTTTCATTTCTGAGACTTAGCTAATACATTCGTTTAAATAGTAGATATAGGTTGGATGCAAACTTACCTCGGACCATACTGTGACCGCCTTCAAATGCCTCGTCCGCCATCTTCGAGACGCCTTCAAAGTGTACTACCGGTAACTCAGCACCGTCGTCTTCGCCTGGTTCCTCAATTGCGATGACGTGAATCTGCATAACAATGAGGCGTGTCGCTTCGCCGACTCGGATAGGGAGACGCGGCGTATCATCGGGTACAGCTAACCCACGGGAGAAATTGAATGCAAGAAAGTCGTTAAAATCAAGAAAACAAATCACCTAGTCGGTGGTTAGCATGCTATGATTTTCACTTGGTTTTCGGATTTCGTCAGAAGAAAACGAGAGCTTACCCGGTAATAAGTACCCGTCACACCGTAGGGGTCTCGAGCGTCTAAACTTGACATGTCTTTCGCCGGCGCGCCATGGAAACTCCTCGGCCAGGACCCCGAAAACGGGCTATCCCACTCATCGCTGAATAATTTCTTGACAAACTTTTTCGAATGTATATTGTACCCAATTGTGAGCATGATAGCTTCGAGCAGCTCCCAGTCTACATTCCCCGATCCGTCCTTATTGAAGGGACCCCAGAGAGAGTTGGCTGTGTAGCCGCGCAGATCATACACCTTGGAACAAGCAAACGGGTAAGTCGTAGACGAACGCAAGCGCCCTACATTTAGTATCGGTTGACCATATAGACAGTGAAGTTTGGCGCTTTGTTGGTGCACTGGGTTTGGAGCTACCGGGAACTTGAGTGCGGCGCTTTGCCGCAGTCGCTCAAAGAGGAACGATCGCTGCATGAACGCCTGCTGCGTTGTGTCATCTTTAAACATGTCTTTGAGAATGTCTGCGTTGTATGAGGCGGCATGGGATACTGAGTTATCTGTCGTGTATCCTTTCGAGGAGGCGTTCTTGAGCATTCGCGTCACCACATCGTAGACAAAGTCGATATGATCGGCCTAGAGCGCAAACACCATTAGTATTTCCACACGATGACCCTCTTACAGTACGGAATAGCGTACCTTTTCATTATAGGTCTTTCTTTCGCATATTATAGAAAGCTTTGTGATATCTTTTACCTCTTGTATCCAGTCAAGATGCAGGTCGGTAGGCTTGTCCTTTGTGAGTGTTAGAACTCATTCGTACCAAGTACTCAATGAAGTTTGAGTACTTACATAGTGGTTCATGTAGACATCCTTGAAGAGCTTTGAGTTGCCACCAACGTTATCACGTATAGAGGAACAGACACGAGGCAGCGCAGCTAGATCTTTGGGATCAAGCAAACTAAAAATGGCGTGCAGGATCTCAACTGGCAGCGCGGTGAGCCCCGTCATGGTCATTGCAGCCAAGATCCGACGCTGTCTGTGTGTAGTCTGTGTGGATGGCGATGCGAATGGCACAGGAGCTTTGAAAACGTGATTATCGAAGCAGGATAAGTTGCTCTGTAGGGTTTGCCACCGCAACACGGCACGGTTGTTTTAGGGCTGTTGCGGCGTTACCACGACCCCGGGCCGTCTGAGTTGGAGTCGTGCTTCGGAGTTTATGGCTGCAATCGGCATGGAGTTAAAGGTGGTGTGGTGGCCCCGCACTTGCCCGTGCAGCAATAGCGTCATCCCGCCGCACGCACCTTGGTGAACTTGGCTGTCTCCGCTTACATGAATTTGCCAGAAGCATAACTGGACGCGGCAATTAAAAAAGAAATTGTCTTCAAAATTCATGGTAATTACACCCAACAAATATATTCGTTTATATAATCATGGGTATTTGTAAAAAAGAAGATGAAAATTTCAACCAGGAAGCATCGCGGGCATCTGTGCCGTGCTGTTCCATCCAACGCCTCCCCGCCGTGCTCCAATGGTTCATAAAAAAGTATAGAAAGGCACAAAGCCACAGTACAGAAAGAAAGCCGTCATATCAGATCCCAAATCTTCTCACATATTCTCGAGGCTGTCAATGGATGCTAGCCCCGGAGTTAAAAGTCACACAGTTTTGCAGCAACGCTGCCGCCTCGTGCAGCAGCTCCCATCGAGAGTTTTCAAACGACTCCTTCAATACCAGAAGCAACGATGTGTTCTGGTTTAGTCCCCGTAGGTTTTGAAGGTCATTCGGACTATCAGACATGGCATACTTGGCCAAATATGCCCTCATATCGAGCCATTGTTCTTGCGGTGTGGTAGGAGGGACGAATCTAGGACACGGGCCCTCAATGGCGAAGCCGTAGGACCAAAGGACAAGCGCGGCAAAATACAGGACCCAAGGTCGGTTTAGCAACACATCGTGGCGCGTGTCGTAAGGCGGATCATTATTAGAGCCTACGCGATCACCTCGAGTGCTTAGCTCAGGCGCCAACACTGATCGCAGAAACTGGAGGGCATAGAACGCGGCATCACGGGCACGGGCAGACGGCGCCCAGTATTCCTTGATGCGCTTCTGAACAGCATTGAACTCTAGCGGACCAACTGGTCGGCCAAGTAGCTTTTTTGCGCCAGCATACATTTGACAGTCAACAATATCAGCATGCATGGCCATGTGGGCTAGGTCATGAAGTACAGTTCGGCTTTCAAAAATAACACTGGGCGTCGCTTTGGTCGAGCCGTTCCGATATGGGTCCGGCAATGAATTGGACTGGTCAACAGCCTTGTCAAAGTTTGCCTTCCAGAAATCGTATGCTCGTGTCAAGGTTGCCCGCCACTTGTCACGACCGTCCAAGGCTTGCACCACTCCGCCTCCCAACACGTTAATTTGAAGATCTCGCTGATGCATGTGATGTGTGACGCTCAGCAGGCCTGCCATCAGCACTGTGCGGCCAAACGACGTTGTATTGACCTCTTGGTTGTTGAGTGTGCACTTGAGGCCTTCCAGGAAGGACATTGGCTTAATGCCCTGGGCCTTGAGGCTCGACTCGACCCGTACAACCTCGGCGCCACTGGTGGCTCGCCAGAGGGAATCATCGCAGGGCAAAGGCAGGCGCATTTCATGCGCAACCATGACACCCGAATGACCAAACATGGAAGAATGAATAGAGTCAATGACAAACGCGGCACATGCAGCTCGCTTGGTCGACTCATTGATGATCCAGTTCTGCCACCACTCATCTCGACCAACGGCAGGTGCAGAGGTGGATGAATGTCTGGACGGAGGTTCGGATTCGTGCATAGTTGACGATTCATCCAATGACGATTTTCCGATTAGCGATCTGCCACGGCGCATAAGGGTGATTGTTGTGGCGTGGTGGATATGGGCCCGCTCGTGGAGCTGGCGTGTAGAGCACATCTTCTCGTATAGTTCCAACACCAACAGCGTCTGGAAAACCCAAAGCTTAGCAGGTGCTCGGAATGACGGGTCCATAAAGAGTTCCCATCTGAGATGCGTTGCGAGGAAGTTGGAGACCCTGGCGCCGGCCATTGTGACTGCGGTGCCATGGGTCTTATCCAGGCACGCTGATCCAATCGCCATCATCGCCAAAAGCAACAAAGTTGGCGTGTTCTCAGCGGAGAAGGACGCTTTGTGGATGATGGGCATCTGATCGCTCAAACTATGCCAATAAGACCAGATGTATGCTTGCATCATCTTGCGGCTGAGCACATGGCTGTCCTCGTTTCGATCGCCGCCTACGATATCTTCGCGCATTTCTTGCAGCGGGACGTGAGCGTGCCCGTTAAATCTGTCGTTGATGTAGTTGTAAATCTCCTGACTTCTTTCAGCCGAGATGCTGGCTTCCGGGGTATCAGCATCAACAAGGTTGTTGACAGCCATCACATTGTATGGGCCGGTGGGCATCTGGTTGAAAGTGGGAGGCATTTCGAAACTCTGCGCGTCGTAAGGCGAGTCTTGTAAATCGCCATAGCTATTGAGATATTAGCCATTCACTTTGCCCCAATAACATCGTTCTTGGAATATTGACACTTACTTTAGCGCTGGCGGTGGGACAAGTTGGTTCATCTCAGGGCCTGAGTGAAATAGATACGCCATAAAGTCTGCCGGCATGCCGACCATCGGAAGACTGCCATCGACACCAAAAAGCGGCCCAGCTCCTGTCATGGACATTTGGTCCATCATTAACAGCTCATTGGCCTGGGTGACTGTAGATCCGGGGAATTCGGGTCCGGTGCTTACAGCTTGCTGAAAGTGAGCGGCCTGGTGGAATGGCTGCCGCCCATGCCCCGAGTTCATGTCAAACTGCGGCGAGTTGTGCTGGTTTTGCGCGTACATGTTTTGCATTGGGAAAGATGGCGGTGATGTATCCATTTGATTTGCCAGCTGTGTCGCGTCGTGGGCATCTTGGAGCTGCTGAACGTGCGGCGGGAATATATTGTTCTGCCCAAAGGCGGTATTTCTGCCGTACGAGAGCATGTGCTGATTTTTCACGTTGGCAACACCGTTTTGCTTATACGGCAGATTTGTTCGGGCACGGGGTCCCATGTTATGTTTTCCATCGTCTGTCGATGTTTCGTTTGCAGGGGCGTCCGAAGGCGTTGCGTTTGTTTCTGTGGCGCCGTCTCGAGGCGAGGCGGATTCATTTGGAGTGTCCTTAATATTATGCCTCTCCAAATGGCGTTTAAGGAGATCTTGACGCACAAACGTGCGAGTGCAATCGGGAAATTCACAATGATATGTTTGTTCGGAATTATGGTTGAGCTGGTGTCGTTGCCTGCAAGCGTGTGGTTAGCATGTGGTCCGTTAGATTGGAGGCTAGTCAGCGTTGAAAATCGTACAAATGCTCCGCTCGCGAGTAGGATTTCCCACATCCTTCGACTTTACATTCGAATCTCTTCTCCAAGCCTTTGCGACTCCTTCGCTTCTTGCGGGGGCGACCGTTGGCTGTTGTCGACTTGAGCTGTGCTTGGTTCGCGTCCATCGCGATGGAAGTGGTCGGTCGATTGCCCGATGGCGCGAATGACATGGCGGAATCTGCAACTAGGAAGCAGTATCACAGGCGCGATATCATAAAGAAAACGGCATATGGGGAGTCTGAATGGCCTGCGGCGTGCTGCAGCTGGCGGAGTCGAGCGTGGTTATGGGCAAGGGAAGGCCCGGCTGTGCTGGGTATGGGTAGTAGTGGTAGCGGCAGTGGTAGCAGCACTAAGTGGTGGTTTGTCGATGCTGGTGTGCGATGGGACGTGATAGATGGGCCGGAAACCAGTCGGTCAAGAAAACTCCAGGGCAAGGTGGCACAAAGAAGAAGAAGAAGAATCAGAGTGTGTATCTCTGCCACGCTGCAAAAAGATTGGCAGAAGGTGGTTACCGAGGCCAAGGTGCGCTGGGCAGAGCCGTAGAGATAGCAGAAAAGAGCCTCAGCGGCCTGCGCAGGGAAGAAAAATAGAGGTGACGAAAAGGTGACAGGCCGACTACGGGGCGAGGCAGATAAGAGAGGACCCTCTTTGCGCCCGTGTGGGGTTCAGAGGCGTTGCCTGTGGACGGATCGGGCTACGTTTTGCGCTGTCACAGGCAGAGCAGGTAAAGCAGGTTTCGCGCTCAGCGACCACTAGCTGTTACAGGCCAAACCGACGGCCCAGCACCAGCGCCTGTAGTGGGTACTGGGCGGCCCGTCGTGCGCTGGAAATTCTGCGTTGCGTGCCAGCCCGTCCAGCACAGCCAGCCCACTACTACCTACTGTAGCCTAGAGAAGCGACTCAGCGCAACTGCACTGTAACGCCAGGACGCGGAGCCCCAAAAAGGGAAACACGGGCTCAATTTCTCGGCCGCCCACGCCCACCCCTCCGCCATCGCCTTCTCTGCATTTTTCGCCCTCCGCTTTCTGCTTCTCCTCCTCCTCCGCACCAAACCACCACTTTGCAGAACGCCCCTCGTGCTACTCTATTTCCGACTCCCAGCGTCCCCTCTTCGACCGAGCAAACAACTACATTGCATACACAACAACTGGCTTTCTTGCTTTCCCTACGAACACCATGCCTCCCGCAAAGCTGTCGGCCAAGGACGACAAGGCCGACGGCTCCAAAGCGGCCACGGGGTCGGCCAAGATGCGTCGCAATGCTTCACAACCTGGTTCTGCGCAAGGCCGTGAACCTGCGCCGGCTCCGACATCAGCACCTTCGCAGCCCGTACCTGAAGCTCCGGCTCCTGCAGTAAGCCTTTGTCTCGTGCCCTCTAACCTGCCACCCTGCCCTGCTAACCTTTCGTTCGGCACTGCAGCTCAATTGGTCTACCTTCGAACGAGACGTCCTCCACGCGTACCGCCGAGAACATAAACTCAACACTCCCGCTTCCTTCTCGAGTACATTTCACAACTGCGTGCTGTCATCGCCCCGAGGCATTGGCAAGTACTCCCCAACCATGCTTCGCCGAGGGGCGGCCAAGCGCCAGGTCAAAGACCAGCTTGCCCTTGCGACGCGAAAACACTTCAACGCCGTTGGCATTCAGGAAAACGACGTAATAGTCGATTTTATATGCAAACTACGCAATGACAAGGCAGTACCGCTCCTTGCTGCTGCGAGCCACGACGCGCCGTTAGTCGAATAGTTTTTTTGCTGTCCCACTAGCCGGTCACGCGGCGAACAACCTCGAACGATTGTATATACCCCCCTCTACATGCATGATACACGGAATGGAGTTTTGGTAAAACGAACGGATATCCTATTTATATTTTTTGATTCTTTTATTTTCTTTTATTTTATGGCTTGTTGCACATACATGCTTGTTTGCCGAGAGAATACTGGCAGACACTGCGAACGGCGCTAGAGCTAGCTACCTAGCCTTGGAGGATGTCTTTTTTAGAAACAGATGTAGCATTGAGGACTCTCCGCTGGCTATAAAACATAATTTTGAATCCAATTTAACCCAAAAGCAATGTAGCCAACAGGCGAATTTTAAACAATGCGATCCTAACGTTTCTGTGTGGCTTGCCTCTGGAGCGGCTCTCGTCCAGCGCAATATCGTCACTGGTCTCGGCTTATGACGGCATTGGCGCCTCAGGCCGAAAAAAAGCGATGCTGGGCACGAAAAAGTTGCGACCCCCGTCGCCGACTAGTCCCGGCCAATGGATTACGCATCATATCAACCACACTCCTTTTTTGTAAATTGTATTTTTTCCACACTCTTCATTTCGAGCTCTTGATGGGCGAGTTCTCTTCAGTATGAATTCCAACACACTGCTCAAGGCTGCCGCACCCGCGCGCACTGTCTTGCGCCGAGCCCGGGGCAAGCAAATAGGAGATTCTTTTGCGAAGGCGGCTTCTATTCACACGACAGCATTCGCCCCCAAAAACTGCCGACAATCTCCCTGTAAAACGTCTGGATGGAAGCAAAGCTCGAAAAGAGTGAGTATAATCCCGGAATCGAGTTGCATTGGATGGGCACTGACTGTAGACTGATAGGCATTCCATGCCACCCGCGCTGTTTCGTCAAAAGATCCGTACAAAGCTCTCGGAGTCACCAAGAGCGCATCAGCTGGTGAAATAAAAAAGGCCTACTATGGTTTGGCCAAGAAATACCATCCCGATACCAACAAAGACGACTCTGCCAAAGAACGATTTGCCGACATTCAATCCGCCTACGAAATCCTGTCCGATCCCAAGAAGAAGGAACAATTCGATCAATTCGGCGCTGCTGGCTTCGACCCCAACGGCAACCCGGCCGGTGGCGATCCATTTGGAGGAGCTGGCAACCCTTTTGCTGGCGGCTTCGGTGGTGCTCAAGGTGGCTTTGGCGGAGGCTTCAACTTTGACGACCTCTTTTCTGCCTTTACTGGTGGCCAGGGCGGCCCCTTTGGCGGTGCTCGGCGTGGCGCACGCCAAAACCCTTTCCAGCAAGAAGTTTTGGTTGGCGAGAACATCGAGGTCCAAGCCAGCATCACTTTTATGGAGGCTGCCAAGGGCACAAGCAAGACCATCTCCATCACCCCAATGACCGAGTGTGGCACCTGCTCGGGCAGTGGTCTCAAGAGCGGAACATCGCGAACCTCGTGCACAGCTTGCAATGGAACCGGTACTCGTTTGCACTTTATGCAAGGCGGCTTCCAGATGGCGTCAACTTGCGGTACCTGTGAGGGAACTGGCACAGTCATCCCCAAGGGATCCGAGTGTGGTACATGCCACGGCAATGGTGTGGTCCGAGATCGCAAGACAATCACAGTCGATATTCCCGCCGGCATTGAAGATGGTATGCGTCTAAGAATCGACGGCGCTGGTGATGCGCCAGTAACGGGCCGTTCTGCTGATCCCAATGCCAAAAGCCAGCGTGGTGACCTCTACGTCTTTGTCCGCGTTGCCAAGGACCCCAAGTTTACCCGAGAGGGCTCCAACATTCTCTACACGGCCAATATCCCTTTGACCACAGCTCTTCTCGGTGGCCAAGTAGAGATTCCCACCCTTGACGGCTCTGTCAATGTCAAGGTTGCCACCGGCACCAACACTGGCGACAAGATGACCATGACTGGCATGGGCATGCGCCGGCTTGGTGCTCGCCGCGGCGGAACGGGGGACCTCAAGGTTGAGTTCCGTGTCAACATGCCCAAGTACCTCAGTGCCAACCAGCGAACTATCGTCGAGATGCTGGCGGACGAGATGGGCGACAAGACTGCTCGTCGTGTTATGAACGTTTCATCGCAACACCGCTCAACAGATCCCAGCGACCCCGAGTCTCATAAGAACGAAGGCTTCCTGAAGTCGATGTGGCACAACTTCACCAACCACCCTGCTCACCAGAACAAGAGCGATGGCAAGTCGAGCTCAGAGTCCGACAACAAGAACAACAGCAAGGACAGCCAAGGCGAGCAGAAGAAGAAGAAGGTTGACGACTCCAAGTCAGCCTAAAAAGGTTCCTGTACATTATTAGTGGACTGCAGATGCTGAGAGTATCAGCATACTGTACAGTCTTGCATTCATTGGTGTTTTATTATATTAAAAGTTGACTTTTTTTACATTGGATTGGCGTTGCTAGAGGGCCTGCTGGTCTGCCAAAAGGAGGCTGGCTACCTGCGATCGGGAGTGGGCAATAGATGGTGGAACTGAATTGTATCTATTTGGAGTGTATTTGTGTAGAAGGCAAATCTCCTCACTCGTCTTTGTGATAAATATAATGATATTTTACAATTAGGCTGATCATAAATTGCGCCCAACGCCGTCCGTTTGTTTGCGCCCCGCAATACCGATGCTTCATGCTCAGCCAATGGGCTTGAGCTTCTTCTTCTTCTTTTTATCAGAATCAGACTTGCCCTTCTTAAAGTCTCTCCAGCTGCTGATGCGCTCATCTCGTGTCGCTTCCCAGTCCTGGTCGTGCTGGCGCTTGCGCTTGCGCTCCTCCAATTCGGCATCAGCCTTGCGCTGCTCTCGTCCTTCTTCTTGCATTTGCGCCTTCATCTGGCGTCTGCGGCGGTGCTCATTATCAATCAAGACGTCTTTTGTCTTTTCGCGCCACTTCTTTGCAAAATCGTCTGTTTTGAGCTCTTCGCTGTCGACTGTCCACTTGTTTTCGCGAATGAGCAGCATGCGAGCATCTGCAATCGCCTCGTCCAATCGCTCTCTATGTTTCTCGTCCATGAGTTCTGTTTGTGCTTTCTTGAGTCGATCGAAGGCATCGGGCGCTAGTGGGTTCTTGCTTTTGTCCGGATGGATAAGCAACGACTTTTTGCGATATGTGACCTTGATGTCGGATTCTGTGACGCCTGGCTGTAGATCTAACACGGCATATCTATACAAGAGTTAGCTTTTCTAATTATGATGTATGATATCCGTGAATAACGCACGCATCTAGTCGGAATGCTTTCAAAATTCGATCAATCTCAGCATCCTAGACAAACATTAGCACCTTGCACCAGCCTCCAAGACCGCTTGCACCAACCTTGTCAAATTCTCTAGCTTCAAGCTCAAGAGCGCTCAGAGCCTCTTTGTCTTCTTTCGAATCGTCACTGGCCATTTTTCCAAACTTTTCTTCCGCAGAATAATAGCCCTTCTATTAATATCCTGCACTAGTTGAGGGCGTCTCGTGGTGTTGAAGAGTCGACAGCCGTACTGGCGAACCTGTCGCACGACTCGACCCACCGCCCCGCGGCGATAAGATAAGAACTTGGGAGCAGCGAAAAAAATTGGCGACCATCCAAACTGTTTGGCTTGGTGCATCTGCAGCACTACGAAGACAGCTTTTTGTTTGTCGTCGCAAATATTTCACAAAAAATGCCTAGACGAGCGGTTTCTCCGACAGGCTCCGAGCCTGAGCTCGACATTTTAAATTCTTTATACCCCGATGATGACAATGACGCTACGAAACCCGGAAAGAAGCAGAAGCAGAAGCAAGACGACGACGATCTGGACTTCGATAATCTGATCAACGGGCAACAAGAAGATGGTGGAAGTGATGCAGAGGGCGATGAGGCTTTTATCGCCTTGAAGCAGGCCGCTTCTTTCAGAAAAGCCGCCCATTTGAAGGGCCGAACAGTCAAGAGAGGTGGTGGTTTCCAAGCCATGGGTAAGTCATTAGCTTAACTACAACCCAGAGAACACAGTTAACAATACGAATAGGTCTAAATGCCAGTCTCCTTAAAGCCATTGCACGAAAAGGTTTCTCGGTACCTACTCCTATTCAACGAAAGACGATCCCGCTGGTCTTGGATAGAAAAGATGTCGTGGGCATGGCGAGAACAGGTTCAGGAAAGACGGCCGCCTTCGTAATCCCAATGGTCGAACGACTCCGAGCCCATAGCGCCACATTTGGATCCAGAGCCCTGATTCTGTCTCCTTCACGTGAATTGGCTATCCAAACACTCAAGGTTGTCAAGGAGCTATCCAAGGGCACTGACCTCAAGTGCGTCTTGCTCGTTGGTGGTGACAGTCTCGAGGAGCAGTTCGGCTTCATGTCTGGCAACCCCGATATTGTTATTGCTACTCCTGGTCGTTTCCTGCACCTGAAGGTCGAAATGTCTCTTAACATCTCGTCAATCAAGTACGTCGTATTCGACGAAGCTGATAGACTCTTCGAAATGGGTTTCGCTACCCAGCTACAGGAAATTCTCCACTCTCTACCTCGATCCCGACAAACACTCCTCTTCTCAGCGACTCTGCCCACCTCCCTCGTCGAATTCGCTCGTGCCGGTCTGCAGGAACCCAGCTTGGTTCGACTCGATGCTGATACCAAGGTCTCTCCCGATTTGGAGAGTGCTTTCTTCTCTATCAAGGGTGAAGACAAGGAAGGCTCTCTTCTTCATATTCTGCATGATGTTATCAAAATGCCTACAGGTCCTCCAGAAGGGGCTGAGAACGCGGACGGCGAAAAGATGTCGAAAAAGAGAAAGCGTATCATGGAGAACTCGGCAGGCAAGCCTTCCAAGCATTCTACTATTATCTTCACAGCAACCAAGCATCACGTCGAATACATTGCCAATCTTCTCCAGGCTGCTGGCTTTTCGGTTTCGCACGCCTATGGTACCTTGGATCAGACAGCTCGTCGCATCCAGGTCGAGAACTTCCGCTTTGGAAGAACGAATATCCTTGTGGTTACTGACGTCGCCGCTCGTGGTATTGATATCCCCGTTTTGGCAAACGTTATCAACTATGATTTCCCCTCTCAACCCAAAGTGTTCGTCCACCGTGTTGGCAGAACTGCCCGTGCTGGCCAGCGAGGCTGGAGTTACAGCTTGGTGCGCGACATTGATGCACCCTATCTGATTGATTTACAACTCTTCCTTGGCAAACCGCTCGTTATTGGCCAAGAGAAAGAATCGCCTTCATTCTCCAACGATGTGGTAGTGGGCTCTCTCAGACGTGATGCTGTCGACGTCCATGTAGAATGGTTCAACCAGAAGATCCGCAGCGACGTCGACATTGAAGCACTCCGTGGCGTCTCGATCAAGGCTGAGAAACTCTACATGAAGACAAGAAACTCTGCTGCTAGCCAGAGTGCCAAGAGAGCCCGCGAGGTCGTCGCCACCAAAGCATGGGTACAGATGCATCCTGTCTTTGGCAAGGCCGCCGAAGACGGCGAAGCTGCGCGTCTCGAAATGATGGCCAGGATTAGCAACTTCAAGCCCCAGGAAACTATTTTTGAAGTTTCCAGAACCGACAAGACTCGCGCTGAAGCCGATGTCATGCGAGAAATCCGCAAGAAGATCCAGCCGAGACGACGCCAAGAAGAAGAGGAGAAAAAGCAGAATGATGACGAAGATGAAGAAATGGGTGACGACTTCGTTGCGACAACGGAAGAAGCTGCCGTCGAGGACTTTGACGACGATTTCAACGCCGACGCCCAGAGCGACGAGGACTCCGACGACGGACTCGAGGTTACAGTCACCAACACTGGCGGCAAGCCAAGCAAAGGACAAGACGACTGGAAAGACTCGGAAGTCTTCATGTCCTACACACCACGAACCATCAACGCCGCCGAAGAGCGCGGTTACGGCGTGCACTCTGGCGGCGCCTTTGTGGAGGCAGCTCGCGACTCTGCCATGGATCTCAACAACGACGATTCAGCCAAGGCCTTTGGCGAGGCGTCCCGCCAGCGCCTCCGCTGGGACAAGAAGGGCAAGAAGTACGTTGCCCGCGCCAACGACGAGGACGGCTCCAAGGGTGCCAAGATGGTTGTCGGCGAGTCTGGTGTCAAGATTGCGGCATCCTTCCAGAGCGGCCGCTTCGACAAGTGGCGCCGCGACAACCGCGTGGGCCGCATGCCGCGCGTGGGCGAGAACGAAAAGTCCAACTCAGCCTCGATGCTGCCCAAGGGCGGCGCCCGGTACAAGCACAAGCAGGAGCGTGCGCCCAAGGAGGCAGACAAGTTCCGCGACGACTTCCATGTGCAGAAGAAGCGTGTGGACGAAGCCAGAGAGAAGCGTGTGGGCCGCTTCAAGGACGGCATGGGCAGCAAGAAGGAAGTCAAGGGCATGGACGACATCCGCAAGGCCAGAAGGGAGCAGGCCAAGAAGAAGGCCAAGAATGCTCGCCCGTCAAGGAAGCGCAACTAGTCTCTCTTGGGTTTGCGATGCTGGGCGTTCTGGAGTCTTGGCTACGAGTTTTTACATGTATCACATCCGTCACGTAGATTATCATTATCATGTTGTATATGCAGGCATAAAAATTAAGTAAGGAAAGCATATCGGATCAAAAAACAGTTCTTGATTAATCGTGGCTGTATATATATGCTAGTGCTCAAAAGTACCAAAACGTGCTCATCTAAAAGGCTGCCTCCAAGGCATGCATAGCTATGCAGAAAGAAGAAAGATAAAAAACAAAAATCCATCAATATGGCCAAGATAGGTAGCTGTAGCGAGTTAAGCTAGCTTGCTTCCCCATTGCCAATAAACGCCGGCGCTAATGTTTATGTAAACGCTGTCATAGCCATGACAGTCGACAGGGAATAAAAGCAAAATGTAACGAAGAAAATGCAAAACCGCACAAGATTGCGGTAGGGTATAATATGAGTCCCTAAAGAAATGGAAATAAAGACGATACGTAAGCATCTTACGCTACCGCCTCCAAGTCATTAACCCATTGACGGACAGAATCACGCAAAAGGTTAGGGTGACGGCCATGGCGGTTCGCTTGTGCTTCACCATTGTCGTCGCGAGTCTCTACCACATCACGAATGACGTCTTCAAGAGCGCTCAGGACAATGGCCTTGCATTGCACCCTAGGGATATCAAGAGGTGCGTCCGCTAGTTGTGTAATTTCCGACAAAGTATCGGGGGTTCCAACTGAGACGCTATCGCGGCCCTCCGTGTGCGTATGAGAAGAGGCAGACGAGGTATCCTTGCTAGTCTCTGGAGTCAGATAAAGAATCTTTTCCAAAGCCTCAACGAGTGTCTCGTCAGACTCTGTAATCTGCTCCTCAATCCACTCTTCGTCTAGCTGAGTCTCGTACGGGACGATGGACGGTGTCAGGATATTGGAGCCATGGGCAGGCACAGCTGTAATGCCAGGTCTCTCATCGGAACCCTTGTTCTTCACCAGGCGTCGATAGATAACTCTGGTGATGGAGTTGGTAGTGGTATCGGCAATAACTGCAGATCCAACATCGACCCAACGCTCATGCTGGCCATCTTCCAAGCCGTGTGGCACTTGAGGGGTAGGTTCGGCTCGCAAAGCAGCCTTGACCTTATCCATGAGATTGCTTTGAGGTGGTATGGCCTGGAGGGCAAAGTCAGGGTGGAAGCGGTTCAGCCAGCCAGCAGCGTTGATAGGGTTGTCACCATCGACAAAGACACGGGTGGATTGTTCAAACGCGTCGATGCCAGGTAACCCTGGTGTTGACAAATAGCCGCTGCTTGATGGCGAACTAATGGCGGATTCAAAGGACGCAATGTAGTCCGGGAAGGGAATATCGACATCAATGACGCCATCATCTGCGTTGATTGAGGTCTTTACAGGCGATTCAAAGGCACCAGTTGGGTCAGGAGTCCGGTCTTGCTGGGAAAACGAAAATCGGCCACGGGTTGAGCCCCTTTGAGGCGTGGTAGCACCTTGATCCAGCGTAGTTTGTCTGGGCGAGCACGACAGCAAGTCATCGTCTGCCTCCTCGGTAACACTGATCTGCTGGACCATTTGAGATAGCTGATCGGTGTTCGAGAAGGTCTTCTTGATAGGCGATCTTGGGTCGCTAAATTGGCTCTGACTTGTGCTGTCGTTGGAATCGCGGCGTTTGGGGCTCCAAAGCCCACTGACGAGACTACCCCATTTCAATCCTTGGCTAGTACTGCGTGAACTATTGGAGCTGACACTTGTGTTGCTCTCCCCCCGCTTAAGCGAGCGCTTCAGGTCTTCCGTCGCAGCACTAGCAGCGGTGCCAGTACGGTAGCGCAGGAGAGTATCTGAGCGCTGAAGCGTCGTAAAGTGAGGAACGGTGCTCTCGGGAACCACAGTCGTCGTTGTCGCTGCACTGCTCTTGCGGCTTACAAAGTCACCACCAGGCATTGGAAGATTGAGCGTGCGGATAGATGCGGCATCTGATGCTCGTCGCTGGTGCCCGTGTTCCTTGCCCACCTGTGGCAACGTAGATGGTACCACAGAGTTGCGAGCACTTTGGCTCCCAACCTTGGAATGAGACGCTCTGCGGAGTCCACTACGTCGGTTAATCTTGCGGCGCAGAGACTCTTCTCGCAATACCGGCACGACATAGGTAGGCGGAGAGTTGGAATAAGGTCCAACAGATGCTGAGATGCTAGGGCGATGGGCTCGTGGCGCGTTGATTTGCTGATTTGAGGGTAAAAAGGCAGAGAGCAGGAAGATGAGTCGGCGGGCAGCCATCTTGTCATCAGAAATGATGATTGTTCTAGCCGGAAGAGCCATATCATCCTCATTCTTCTTTTGCAGTTGTATCGCCAGTTTCCTCTTGTAGGACGGACTACATAAAGCTTGTAGCCAATCCGTATGGGTGGCGAGGAATCCTGTCAAGAGGTTGTAGAGGAAGGGACCTTTATCCAGGCTAGATGTCCACTTGGCAGCCCAGATGGCTTCATCACGCCAGATACCCCATCGCCCTTGGCCGGTGACAACTCGTGCAACGCTGAGGCCCATGACGATACGGCTGCGAGCTGAACCGACTTCTGCAGCAATGCCGGCATCGTCGGCGAGACAATTAGGCCATAGTGATACGAGCTTTGTAGTGCTCTTTGGTGGCTTGATTCTCACATACTCGGCGCTGCGGCGTTCGTTGACTGAGGATGTCCTTGACGTGGGTGTAGATGAGGTGTGAGTGCCAGGTGAGGCTGCATCAGCACGCTTTAGCATCCGGTGAATTTTGCTTGCCGCAAGAGACTGAAGATGAGTAAGTGTCCTCATGATAACGTCCCAGTGCTTCGTGAGCGGGTCGATTCTATCCTCAACCTCCCAAGAAAATGGCGGCTCGGCTGTGTCGCTGTACATGCCTGAGCTGTTCATGTTCCATCCCGCACCCTTGGCAGAATTGTACGAAGATGAAAACAGGTCTTGCTCATTGTAAGAGCCTGGCTCTCTGAATGCAGACCTGTTGGGTGCTGCGGAGGAAATTCGAGACGACGTAGGCGGGAGGTGTACGACAAGTACTACTGCGTACATAGGAGTCCGTCGTTGCTTGGGTTGAGGCTTCTTACGCGGGGCTTCCTCTCCAGCTGAGGGAAAAGGAAAGCCTGTATTTTCCTCTGAGAAGCCATCTTGGGGGGAGGTTCGAGGCTCGACATCTTCAGCAGTAAGAGTGACAGGGAACAGCCGGGTGATGAGCACCTTTTTGCGGCAACTCTGTCTCAGAGGTGTACTCATACCGGACAAGGCTGGCCCATATGTGGGTGAGACCGTTTGAGAGGTGTAGGATTGAGAAAGCTTGCTTGAGCGCATGCTTGAGCGGCCCAAGGAGCTGCGTCCATCACCGACCACAGATGCCATGGCATCATAAGATCGGCTGTCGGTAGGGACCACATGAACCTTGGTAGAGGTGCCCTTGTATGCCATAAGCTCTGAGTTGCCAAAAATGCAGCTGGAAAAGGTAGCCAGCTCCTCACGATATTCGCGAGCAGCTCGCTGAGATTCTGTCTCAGCCTGGCTATGATTTCTAGAATGCATAGATAGGCGGCGATCAAAGGCGCCATGTCGTGGTTGTGTATTATCTGAGTTGATGGTGAGAGGACGGGAGGACTGGCTCTGGCTGCTTTTGCGGGAGGTTGGACCCTTCTTGTTTTCAGAAAAGCTGGATGATCTCTCCAAATCGTGGACAGGGTGACTGTCGTAGAGAAGGGAAGCATTGGCAGGGCCTAGTGTGTCTTGCATAATCAAGACGCGGACGTCTTTGACGTCCAAGTCGAGCTCATCGCCATAATCATAAACGGCGGCACTGTTTGCGATAGGTGCAGACGAAGCCGTCGAGAGCGGAAACACTTGGTCGTTGCGGTGTTGGTAGAGGGCGGTGGCATCGGGGAAAAGAAGATTTCGAGTATGGATGTCCTCTTGAACGGAGTCGAGAGAGAGAATAGGGCGTGATGTAGAACCAGAAAGCTGGTCTTGGGAAGAGTTGGCTGCTTGGCCACCAGAGCCTAAATGCAGCAGCCGCCCAATCATGTTGACGGGCAAGAAGTAATTAGAAGCCTTTGCTTCGGTGTCTTTCAATTGCGGGACAGATTCATCGTCGGTCTGGAAGTAGAAGGAGTCGGCGATGGATTCATGTTCACTGGACGCAATCTTGCTGAAGAGAGCGGAGCGGGGTTGGCCGTTTGAGTCTGCCACGGTTGAGTCGGAGGCGCAGACGGTAGGAGTTGAAGAAGAAGTCGTAGAGTCCTCTACTGGGACGTTGGAATATCGACAGTGTTATAGGGGGATCGTAGCCTGCAAGGCGTGCGTTGAGGGCGGATGTGGGATTTACACGTGCCGAGTATCGTGTGTCGACAAAAGGTGCGGCAAATCGCGAAGAGGAGATCGAGGCGCGGTTGTAGGCAAGCCGTCGAGTGTATGTATTTTATTTGTGCTCTGCGATGGTGTTAAAAGCAGTAGCAGCTGGTAATTTGGAAGTGTTCGCAGGAGTCGGGGCGATGGAAAAGGGATCGTTTGCCGGGCGAGGATGGTGAGCACAACGAGAGGGGTGATGGTGTTTTTGGCGGCGGCGGGTGGGTGGCGCACTTCCCTCTTTAGGCGTGCCAACAGAGACTCCCAGAAAGCCGGGGCACTGGCGCAGCGAGCAGAAAGCAGAGTTGGGCGCCGTGCCATTGGTGGCTTCAGGCGGCGCGGGGGGGCCCTTGTTCTGGGCCCGCCCCGACGGCCCCCGGAGGACCTCTCCTAGTCATTGCAGTGTTAGCGCATGTTTTAGCGCTAAAGAGATTGTGTTTTTACACTTTTCTGGCAGCTGGCTTTCCTAAACGGGATTTTACTTGTATTTGCTAAAGGAAATGGGTTGGTCTGGGGAAGAAATGGATTTATTATGGGCGCTCACCGGCAGCGGACGGAGGACAGAGGCGTTGCTGCGTTATCAAGTCGTTGGAACAGCACATGCAGCGCAATGCAGTGCTGGTGTCAAGCATGAGCGCTGGAACCGACGGGTTAGCACTGTGTGAGTGCTGAAAGGATGGATTCTCCCTCTTGTGATTGGCCTGTTGCTACACCCTCGTGTGCTATCGTGCCCTGTAATACAACACCCCCAGGCAAGAGACACAGAACCAAAGTTCCCATTCCACCGCCACTGCACTACGCCAACCACAACCAACACCACCACCACTAGCAAGCAGCCTTGATTTTTGTTTCTTTTTACCCTGCTCTCTCGTCTAACATAGAGGGGGCCCAGCACGTAGCACGATTATTAATTGATTGCCTCTTACATCGCCAAAAGCAAACGGAAACACACACACACAAATCAGGGCGATCCCCATCCCCAGCAGGCAAACGCATCATCGACTTGAATAACCTACGACTGTTTCCTCAGATTGTCTTGATCGCCCGCGCGCTGGCAATATGACCAGTCATCCCCCATCCCCGATTCCCTTCTCCAGATTCACCCAGCAGTCTGGAATTACCGCCGCGATGGGACCTGTCAGCCATCGCTCCGCCCTGCGAATGCCTTCTTCGGCTCTGTATTATCAGGGGCGGCATCCCATACACCAGCCACAACCCTGGTAAGCGATGACTCCTCCCCCAGACGCTCCTCTACACCAAGTTCTGCACGCTGTGACCGCAACCTGGAGCCAGCGCACGTCTCACGCGACGTTGAGCAGGGTTTGCCTGGCAGGCGGTGAATGTCGTCCCAGCGCCTCGGGCCAGGCTTCTCCGCGCTGCACAGGCGCTGCACGCGTCACCGCCTAGGTGCATTGCAGGAGCCATGGGTCAAGCGATATGCACCCCAGGAATAGAAATTACAAAACGGCCGACAAAGCGGCCCTTGCCCTCCCCCCCGAGATGTCCGCTCGAGATATGGTGCCGTGCCCAAGGTCGAGGGAGCGACAGTGACATGCAGCCGCCGCCGCTGTTTCGCGCTAGTTCCCCCACGCTTACGTTTTGCCCGCCCTTGCTCTGCTTCTCTCTGGATAGTGGTAAGGCGGACTCTCCCCCCCATGGCGCGCCGCCACCGCCCCCCCAGAGAGCCAAGAACATGCCTCCGGCCTTTCTGGCGTCATGCGGCATTAAGATCGTCCAGCGAGAGCCGTATGCGTGCATGCATGCATGCCGTGCCATGTTAGATTGCCTGGCCCAAGTGGTGTCACTGATATTTACAAGCCGCGGTCAGCACAGCCGCCTATCCAGCGGGTAAAGATGCAGTAGTCGGTGAGCCCTCCAAAGCTGGAATAGGGTTTGGCATGGGAATGAGGGGTTTTGGCTTGCATCCACCATCGAGATGCTACCAGTTTGACATATCACCTTACTAGGCCAGGAAGCTGGATTATCAGAGTTTGGCTATTGTTGTAGCTCCAAACTATGTTTGCTGCCACGCTTGGCTCGGCATCTTGATAACCAGATTCCAGAACCCTTGGCATGTCGTATGGTCCTCCTGCCGGATGCTTCCTTATCGGCTCTTGCTCAAGAACCCGGCTGTGACATGGGCATCACGCCCACACGTCGTGCGAGCGCTACGTCACCCGTGAAACGAAAGGGCTGCAACGCCGGACAGGGCATCCGGCAAGCCATTCGCGGCATGGTAAGCAGCGGTGCCGAAAAGGGTATTTGTTGAAACAAGCATTTGGCAGGGCCATGGGAGGTCCGTAATGCCCCGTGCGGACCTCATTCCGGGTTCCCCAGGCCGAGATTGTGGTAAAGTGTCGATTACGACGTCTTGGCTTCTAGGCTCCAAACTTACCCGCCGCAGCCGATGTCGTCCAGCTTCCACGCACAAGAGCAACTCGCTGTTACCTCCAACCATGCAAGGCCAAATTAAAATGTTATTATTTTCTGATGCGAAAATACAACTCGATGGCCCAGAGGTAGCAATCGGAGAAGCTTCAGAAGACATGTAGATTATGTGGCATCGCCTCATCATGGTAGAGAAGCTTGGCGGGATCTTGCAGCTCCTTTCCCATTACAGTACTGGACCCTTTGGACCCTGAAGCCGCAAGCGTAGCAAACGTAGCTGATCCGCACCGTCTTTCGCCACTTGTGTCCCGAAAACTATAGGGGCGGGATCTTCAGGGTCGTCCCTCACTTGATCTTCAGGATAATTGCGGCGCGCACCAAGGTCGCCTATATACGGCTTGCTAACAGAATAAGAAAGACCTGCCCGCAGCAGCCAAGATCAGCCAGCATAAGAGTCGATCCGCGTGAGCATCCAGCCCAAAACCCCGCCTTGGACCCTAGCGCCGCCCATGAATCCACCATCATCCGCCGCTGGCGAAGGAATTACCTTTGTGTATGGAGACGGCCCATATATGACTCGCCAAAGATCCACGGCATTCCAAACATGGCAGTTGCACCGGCGACATTTTGGTCACTTCATGATTCGTTGGTCTATTTAACAAAGAGGCGCATTGTATAACAGGGCAGACACGACTTAGATGTTGTACAAAGGGAGACTAGGCGACTATACTGCAGGCTGTCCTATGATCCCGTGTCGAATGTTCCGGATTGTGCCGTTCAGGTGCCTTTGATTCTAACATCATTATACTGTAAAATAGTGACATTAGCAGGGCTACACGCCTGTGGCTGCCGCTGCCACTGCTACTATTGTCATGAGATGGGCGGGAATTAATCACCGTCTCCACATCGGTCTGCGGAGGCCTGAAGCGTGACGGCTGCTGAATTACAGTACGTGACCATTTCAGCCAAGATGCGCTAGTAGAACTTTCTCAGCGAATATTTAAGAGATGTGTGAAAGGAAAAAGAATTATGTCGTGAATTTTTTTCGTCGCCTATTTCAGGGTGTTGTTGACCAAAACGCCGCGTGGCGGATGCTAAAGCCAACAAGATATATCTATCTAATATACGAAACAACAAGAAATAAAAAATCAAGGAGAGAAACCAGACCGGCCTATAGCCACGCAACTCCTAACGCCGAGCTACAAAACGAAAAAGAATAAAGAAATCCATAACCCTTCATTTCATAAAACCATTAGTTAAAAGAGGTCATCAGCCGCGGTTACCTCAACCGGAGGGCAGCACCGTTTCTTCCCGCAGAGTGTGCTGCATTCAAGTTGGCAGCTGGATCGCTGTCGTCGTGGAATGGGCTTTCCGGATTCGCCCGACTGAACAAGTTTGATGGTGGGTGATGTTGGTGAGCTTGGGCCGGGGGCAGCTTCAGGTTGCAATGTGGCAGAGTGGACGCCATAGGCATGCAGACACTCCATTATCGTCTTCGCTGTGGTCTGGAAGTTCTGGATTGTAGTGTCATCGACGACGACATGGGCAGATGCAATAGACTTGACTTGATTCAGACGCCAAATATGCAGCTCATGGACGGATTTAACGCCAGGAATCTATATGTGGTGTAAGTGAATGTCTCCGTGTGATTCAGTAAAAAACCATACCATTTCCATATCATAGCGCACATCTTCCAAATTGATACCATCAGGAGCAACCTGTAGTAGAATTTTGCCACTGCCCTTTGTCAATGGAATAGCAGTGCAGAAGATCATGACGGCAATGAAGACACCAATAGCGGGATCAATGTAGAATCGGGCGTCGCCAGTGCCTTTCCAGATAACCAGCGCAGAGATGATGACTCCCACATTATTGATAGCATCACCAATGACATGGATGATAACACCCATCATTCCCAAATCGTGACCAGCCTTCATGGCTTTAACGATAGCGTGCTTGTGCTGGTAGTGCTTGTGCGTGGGCTGTTAGTTGTTAGTATAGAACGTGACTTGGCAAACAAATTGGGTCGTACCGGTAGCTCGCGAGCTTCCACCTCGCTTACAGAATCACTAGTCATGCCAAACTCATCTTCCGAGTGTGCATGCTTTTCCGCATGGCTGTGACTGTGACTGTGACCATGGCTATGACCATGGCTGTGAGACTCGCTCTGTCCATGACTATGGCTATGGCTGTGACCGTGGCTATGGCCACCCTCGGGGTCATGATCTTGAGTTGATGTTAGCAATGATCCTACATGCGGCAATGTATTTTTGCCACCTACCATGAAGGAACGAAAGAACCAAGAGGTTCAGACCCAAGCCGATGCACCCAACCACAAAAACAACCTTGGGGTTATCGATGTCTAAGGACCTTGTTAAGTTGGTTTCCACAAACGACGCCAGCGGCACTCACGGTTCGGCGATGTAAATCTCTCGATAGCCTGTACGAGAATGCTGATACCCAAGGCCAGGAGGAATACACCATTGAAGAAAGCGCCAAGCAGCGTGGCTCTCTGCCATCCAAAAGTATATTCTTTGGGGATATCTGTTTGTTCCGACATCTGCATTCTATTAGCCCGCGGGACCGCGAACCTCAGCAGCGAAAACTTACAATTAGTGCTACAAGAGCGACCAGAAATCCGAGTAAATCGCTAAGCTGCAGATAAAATTAATATTAATACACATTGTATTATTCTCTAATACACGTACGTAGTGGAACGCATCCGCCACCAAGGCCAAGGAGCCAGTATATAAACCAGCTGATGAGACCCAATCAGTAAGCTGCTACTTTGACAATCAAGATTTTTCTCGACTTACCGCTCATTTCCACGGCAAAGAATACCATGGAAATGATAATGGTGGTAATTAGCCGCTGCTTGCGGCCAAATTTGAACCCAGCCATGATAGCGAGAGCTATCGTATGAAGCGCAGGTAGATATTTGCCAGGCGAAGCGTCTACTCTCAAATTCGTCTGATGTATAAGCTGTTTAAGGACTTATATAGAGCTCTCCAAGAGTTTCAAAGCTGTCGAGAAAAAAGAACGTCAGTAGTTGGAGATTCCAGATCTTCAAGCAGAGGAGTACACAAGCTCTCCAACAATGGTGTGCTGACATTGGGTACTATATACCACACCCAACAGAACGGGAAAACCAAATCCTTAGATGAAACACGACCAAAAAGTCTACTCTCTTACCCGCCCCCCTGAAGCAATCGAGGTGACATCGTCGATGTGCCACAGGGCTCCTGGCACTCTGGAATGGGGCGCTCAACACCAGGAATGCGGCCACTAAGCTTCTGCAGCACCAAGCTCCCGCGGTTTGTAACCCACTTTTCGTGCTCTCCAGAGTCTGAGAAATGAATTCACGCCACTTAAGCTTGCGCGTGTGAGACGTGCCAGCTCTCACAGGCGGGTCTGTTTTGGAAAATTGCCGGAAGAGAAGATGCCATGCTGGTTCTCAACGCGAGATTCGCGGTCCCAGGCGTGTAGAGTGAGTCAAGTTACGATCCGTCGCCAAATGAGGTCATTGCCCTGGCCTAGAGTGAAGGATGGGGATGTTCCTTTGCCATTTTGACCATTTGAGTTTGCGCTTGTTGAAAAGGGCCGAACGGAGCTATCCAATTCTAGCCCGTTTAGATCCCAGCCGCTTATGAGACACGGTGTCTTCCGTTCTCTCCTTGCAAACTTTAGATGATGACTGTGTGGAATATTCCTGCACCATTACATTCTATGGACCATTGGACTGTTGAGTTGCTGCTAAACTACCGAGGTTTCAAATGATAAACCTTAAGAGGGCTTGAGACGATCGATGTTGGGCCTGCCGCGTCGCTGACCGTGGCGACTTTTGACCAACATCTATCCAAATTAAATTAGCGTAAAAAAGCATACAGAAAGAAGAGTATTTTGGTATTTCCTTATGCTGTTCGTCTCGTGATTTTTCTTGTGCAGCGTTGAACGGGCCCGATTCGTGATGGTTCATGTACACGCGATGCACGATCCGATTGCCCCCACGTTTCTAGCGCACGCTCCAGCGACGCAAGGGGCAGGCGGTGATGAAGCTACAGCTCATTTTCTGCCACATCCACCTCCACTGCCGCAACATCACGCTCGCTGCAAGGCTGCCGTAACCTCCACACGAACCGCCATTGAAGATCCCAACCATATTGCATCAGGCTGCAATGACAATCTACCTTATTAATCCTATGCCGGCTCAGTAAACCATTTCAGCATCGCCCCGGCCTTCCCAATGCATCGCAGCGTTGCGCCCGGAGGCGTGCGCCGTGGCCTGGGACGGTCTCATCTTCGTGATGCCAGCACGCCAAGCATAGATCGGGCATCGACAGCATCGCCAGCGTCTATTGCAAGTGATTCCACTCGTTCGACTGTCAGAGAGCTTCCTCCCCGCAAGATGGAGCGAATATGTTCCGTCTCCGTGATGGAAATGCACTGGAAAGACGAACTGGCCCTCAACTTTGATCTTCTTGGCCCAGAGTTTAAACCTGGGGCACAATTCGGAATATGCGTTGTCAAGAATGAGGGAGGCAAGAATACAACCGGCAAAGGATCCAGTTCGAAACTCGATCAAGATGGAGCCGACCACGGGCGAGGTTCCGCTGCCAGGGACGCCAAGGCGCTCGGCCATCGATACATATTTGCAGCAAAGGACATGGCCCGAGATACGAAGCTGCGCAACCCGGATGTTGAGATTTGCATCGCAAAACAGATTGCCGATGCATTTGGAATAAAACGAGGAAGCCAGGTGCTATTGGCGCCGGTATGTTGCCCACGCCTGTACCAATATCATTCAAGCTAATATACCCAGGTCGATGATGATAATCCTGCGCTAGAAGCTTCTTATGTAGAGCTTTCATTCAAGGAGCAATACATATCCCGCGCAGACATGTGGCGTCTAACTGTCAGCGAGCTCACCAACCGAACCATTTACAAAGGCCAAACGATCCTCTTTATGGGCACCATCAAAGCCCAAGTCAACACTGTGTTTGCAAATGAACAGAGTGTGCACTCGGCCGTCTTTGCTCGCGACACTCGACCCATTTTTCGCAGTGAATCCGCCCGATATGTGCTTTTCATACAAATGTCCAAAGAGATGTGGGACTTTGACACAGAGGGCTCGGGAGAGATCATGTTTAACAAAGTGGTCAATGGATTCTTGCCTTCTTTGTTCAAGCGATGGGAATTGCTCAAAGCTAAACATCTCGTCAGCATCGTCTTATTTGCCCGCGTGGAATACGACACTGGACTGACTACCGATCTCGCAAATCATGGGCTGTTAAATGATTATTATACGGGATTCCAAACCCACGGTAACAGACGCCCATACAAGGACTTTTACAGAGTTGTTGTGAGCGAAATGGCCAGTGGGGAATGGACTAAAATCCTTTACCAGTTGAAGCGAGAACTCAACTACTTCCGTCGCGACATCAGTCTCCACCATCAAACGTATCAAGGATCCAATATGGACAGCGACAATCAGGAAGCGCTCAGCCACATCACAGCCGAATCATCTCTATCCATACATGGCAACATTCTAGAGGCATTCCATCTAGCTTCTTCGTTGTTTGCCCATGATTACATTGATCGAGACTTGACGAGAACAGGTGTCTCAATAGCTATCATCACACCAGGTTCCGGTGTTTTTGAGGTCGACTACGAAACGTTCCGCAGAACAAGTGAAGCGCTCGTGGGTAACGGTATAGGCATAGATTTGATATGTATGCCACGCATGCCTCTCCATTCTGTCCCTCTTTTCAAATACCGAAATCCTCACTTCAACGACGCCTCCCGTGACAAGGGGCATGACGCTCTGTCCAAATCATACACTAGCCGCGACAGCCCTAACAGCCAGCCTACGCCAATTATCGGAAGTTATCAGTCATTTACTGACTCCTTCTCGCCCTCCAAATCGGGTCAGATGAGCCGACACGTGGAGTCGATGATCTTGAGGCATTCGGATGAGTGGTGCTACGCTCTCCCGCAATGGCTTCATGTTGCATTTTGGACTGGTATGTCCGATGAGGCGCTTTCCTACGAAGGCATTGCACTGTCGGTCTCAAATCAGGTTCAAGATGTTGAAGACGAGCACTTTACTCTGCGATGTCGCATGTACGAGCTTCAAATGCAGAGCGTTCTGGACACCAATGAGATTGAAACAGCCCCAATCCGCTCAGAATACAATTTTCCTGCAACTTCATTAATAACGGCTAAACGCCATACTAATGATGAGGAGGTCTATGTACCATTCCGACATGCCCCGGAGACGATGGTGAATCATGTCTACGGCTTTTCAAGATTCGCGCCAGAGAAAATGGGTCGATCTGGCGACATCTCTATCTGGAAGCAGTTGCAAGAGATGGATGATTCCAGAGCCCGCATTCTAACAAGAACAAGAAGACATCGACACCATAACAAAACTCTTAGCGACGCCGATGAAGCATCCCGACGAAGGAGACATGATGACATTGCGGTTCTGGGAACATCCTTCCCAGAACGCAAGGATGTGTCTGCTGGCATGGCGTCAGCTCGCAAGTTATCTATGTCAATGGCAGATAATGGTCAGTCATCAGCTCTTCAAGTCAAGAAGACGTCGGATTTGGCGTTGAAGGCACCTACGATGTTTAAGCCTCCAAAGATGATGCGCCATATTAGCCTGGGTCAACGCGGCTTTGGCATTGCGGCTCCAAAAGCAGTTGCCGCCGAGGTCAAAGCCGAAACTGTTAATGCTGCCGTCGCAATTCCGGAAATCAGGCCACCGTCTAATCCTCTCTCGCTAGCGGATTTCCGTCCTTCCACTCCACGAAGCATAAGAAGCTCCTCGTCAATGCTGTCTATCCGCAAACCAAAGCCAGAACCTAGCGAACCAAACCTTGAGACGATACCAGCAACGCCAAGCATACCTATTATCACAAGAGATGACAGACCAGGATCATCGAGCAGTCGCCAAGGCAAACCGGCAGGGGAGTCGCAATTAATACAAAAGTTTTTGCCAGATAAGCCGCAAGAAGAGAAGGAAGTTCGCTACTCTACTGCCCTACGAAGCGAAGATATGCAGAAGATGTATACCAATAAGCTTCGTGCAGGCGTGATGCCTGGATTGGGACCGGAATTGCCCTCTGTGTTGTCCCCAAAGGCAGCCGCTTTGCCATGGTTACAATTATACAATCCTTCTAACCCGAATGCGCAGCATATCGACGATACTTTGTTGTACAGTCGATGGCAGCACGTGTTCCCACATATAACAAATATGAAGGTTCAGAAATGGAAAACGTTGTGTTGCCCAGCTGCTGTACCTCTAACAACCGAATACTTTCCATCAAAGGCTCAATTCGATGCGGAATACCAGCGACATCCGTATAATATCGACGAAAACGGTGATGATGACACTTTAGACGAGTCAAAATCACGAAATGAGTTTATGAAGGAGTTAATAAATGTGCGTCTATCTCAGGGCTTTCAAGTCATTGTTGGGCCAGCGGTTGCCAAGGCCTTTGGCCAAAAAGTCATCAAAATTGCCGACATCTTTGCTGGCGACCAAGCGCTAGAAGACGGAACAAGTGTATTCCTGTCGGTTGGAAACACTATCCACCAGCTTTCTTGTATCAATGGAACGGAAGTGGAAGTGAATATCTACGTACGCAAACCCCACGAGTTCGAAACGCCAAACACCTTCCACGCGGTCTATAGACCAGCCATTCGCACGCTGCTAGAGAGGAGCTACCAAACCCGCCCAATCAACATCCTTACTCCAAAACCGGAGCGAAACTGGAACATGATTGATTCTTACCTAGCTGGCCATCATGATGAGATGACTGACAGCTTGCGTTTCTGGCGCACCCGATATGTCCTTATCCCGATGAGTATGCGTCACGCCTCATCTCATCGTCCGCATGTCGATGACAACCCAGAAGAAGTTCGAATTGAAGGTATCAAGAAGCTTGCTCAACTATGGAAGAAGCATCGGTACGTACCTGCCTCTGAGAAGCAATATCAGTCCAAGGCTCGTCGCCGTCAAATGGATCACAATCCACTAGACATTGTCTATAAAACAGACGATCCCTCTGTTGTTGTTGCGGCCGAGTTGGAGACGCTCCCAACTACAGAAGGTCTCGATGGTATTCAGCGGAAGGGACACCTTATTAGTAGAAAAGACCTTTTCCGCAAATCCAATCTGAACCTGGCTGCGTTGGCAGAGGCCATGCAACAACCGGTGGAAAATGGCGGCGTTCCTCTACGCAACCGCCGTTGGCATCTGCGCACCCATTACAACAGTTTCATCGGATCCGATATGACATCTTGGATAATGGACAATTTCGAAGATCTGGATACTCGTGAAGATGCTGAAATGTTTGGCAATGCGCTTATGGTCCATGAAGAGAGGCAGCGCGACAAGGATAAGGACAGAGAAGGGGACAAAGAAAAGGATAAAGAGCACTCTGAATCTCGACCTGAGAAGCCTAAGGGACTTTTCATCCACGTGGAAAAGAGACACCGATTCCGAGATGGAAACTATTACTATCAATTCTGCAGCGAATACTCCAAATCACAACACGGATGGTTTAGTACAAGACGCAAAGAGGCGCTATCGGCAACACCGCTTCACGAATCTCGAGATTCTCCACGCGCAGCGCAACCGCGCACAGGTGCTACAGAGTCACCATCTCTCCCAGCAACGGGAGCAGCAGGCTCTGCGCGCAAGAAGCGTCCTCGCGTGACGCTGAGCAAGGTGATCAAGTATGACGTGGACCCACGAAAGCGATCCTACCGGCCAGAGCGTGTCGATCTGCACTATGATCGCCTCCACAACCCTGACAACTGCTTCCACATCCGGGTTGACTGGATGAACACGACATCCAAACTAGTAGCTGACGCTGTCGAGCTCTGGGAGCGTGAGGCCAGCTCGTATGGTCTGCGCCTGGTCGAGCTGCCCATCAAGGAAGCCTGTAGGATTACGGAAGATAACCCCTTTCGCAATCCGTACAAGATCGTCCTTGCAGCTCGCCCTCCCGACGAACAGCCCAAGACATACCTCGGCCCCAATTCGTTTGGCCCGCAGGACGTCCGCATCAAGCACTTCTACCAAGTCGCCATCCTAAAGCACTTTGACTTTGTGCTCGATACCGAAGCAGCCACCAACTTCCCCAGCAACGTCGACGTTCACTTCTCCTGGGGCCAGCCCGACTACCGCTACACGCAGTACATCCACCGGTCCGGTCTCATCATCACCCAAATCACCGATGAAGGCACCTTTCTGCTACTGGCCAACCGCCTGTATAGCAAGCGCAGCGTTGTTGCCCGCGACCTGCGCACACAAAACACCCCCATGCCCTCAGAGTTCCAAAACACAGCCCGCTCCGGCCGCATGATGTCCATGGCAATGGCTATGGCCAATACAGACTCCACGTCGCCCATGTCGTCGCCTGCCGTTAAGCCCACTACCACCATCAGCACAAGCCACCTCTCGCCCGCCTTCTCTGCGGCCGATTCAACCACCACCACGCACGCAGCTCCGCCCCGAACCGGTAGCATTGCGCCCGTCAACATCAACTTCAAAGAGGCCGAGGCTGTAAAGGATGCTCTAGAGTCCTTCTGCGCAGATGCCGAAACCCTCGAGGCCTTCTATAAGCATCTTCTTGAGAGAGACGAGCATATCCCAGGCACTCCGCAAACCGCATCGAGTATACCGCCGCCTCTCTCGCTCGAAACAGATCTCGACGCCCACATCCCAGCACTAGGCTTAGGCCCGGGTGTCTTGGGACAGGAGGCGCTAAGTGCTGCGCCCGGAGCAGCCATGTCGAGTGCCGTCAAGACTGGTAGCCCCATGTCCTTTTTGCGACGAGGCAGTGTTCAGTACGACGGATTGGGGCTCGGCTCCAAAAGTACCCCCGCCACCAGCCGCAAGGACGCCTCGTGAAATACACTAAGCAGGCGGTGTTTGTATAATTATCATTTAGTTTCACGTATAATGTAGCAATTGAGCGATTTATGTTGTAAGAAACGTCTTTCTGATTATTTTATCCTAGTCCATAAACTTTCCTCCATAAGTCTGGTATCTTAAAATGCAACGGTCCTGAGAATTGGCGCTCTTCACGCCTCTTCCCACTGGTAGATGTTGTAGCTTCCTTTTTTTGTTATTGTTTGTAGTTTTGAATGAAAGAAGCTTGTGAATTTTTGTACAAGAAATGTCGCGTCAAAGCCAATATGATCTGTGCGCGCCAGCTGGCGTATAAAAAAAGAATAGAAGGAGTATTGAGGACTTGGCTTCGGTGCCTGTCTGAAGTAGAAAAAGAAACGTCGGGGGAGTGAGAGGTTAAAACGATTAGAGGGAATCATGAGAACAAGCTATTTACACGAGATGGTAGAGAGGTTTATGAAACCGGGGCGCTAGGATCGCCATCAGGAGGGGGAGGGTACCCTAAGAAGAATGCTGGTTAGGACAGGACATACGATACACGTGTGATAAGGGATCAGGCTTACAGAAGGTACAGACGGCAATGATAGCATACAGGCAAATCAGCAGATAGCCTTCCAGCCAGTGACTCTTGCCATCGCCAATCAGGTAGTTGACGAGTAGCACGGCGACAAAGAGGACGGCAACTTGGAACATATCGAAGCTGAGATCCATGTACGGCTGGTTCATGCCCCAGCCGATGATGACAAGCAAGGGGATGAGGAAGAGGGAAACCTGCATACTCGAGCCGACGGCAACGCCAATGGCGAGATCCATCTTGTCCTTCATGGCAACAGTGACGGCGGTAGCGTGTTCAGCAGCGTTACCAACGATGGGTAGAAGAATCAACCCAACAAATTCTTTCGACATGCCGCTCTCCTTGGTGAGTTCATCAATAGAGCCAACCATCGCTTCGGCACAGAGGGCAATAATGACGGTGGAAATAGCAAGGGTAGCAAGAGCAACGAAGAAGTGAAGCTGAGGCTCTTCTTCTTCGTCTTCTTCATCATCGCGGAGCTTAGCATCGCCAGCGTTCATGACCATGCCAGATACGCGCTCTTCATCTTTATGGTTGGCCATACCGTGGCTGACCATGGAGCCTGGGAGAGCGAGTCCTTGGCTCATGCTAAATCCTTCCTCCTTGTCGCGCGAGAGGGGACCCATAGACCAGGGCTTAGCAGGCACCTTTTGGGACTCCTCGTTGAAGACGTCTGTATGCGTCTTGAGCTGGAAAAAGAGATAGGCGGCGTAGACTAGCAGCAAAATAACAGAAGTTCCGCGGGAGATCTTAGCAATGTCGACCTGCTGGGGAAGAGGAGTAGGTCCTTTGCCATTGACGACAATGTCAAATACGGAGGGCACAATAACAGATCCCACAGCAACGGCGAGCAGAGATGCGGCAGTTTGGGCAACGGTAGTGTTGAAGTACTGCTCGGTGCGGCGCAAGCCACCAAAGAAGAAGCAAAAGCCAAGAACAAGAAGCAGGTTGGACAAGATGGAACCGATCAGAGACGTTTGCACAATCTGGACTTCTTTGTTGCTAAGGGCAATGATGGCAATGATGAGCTCGACGGCGTTACCAAAGGTGGCATTGAGCAGGCCGCCAATCACCTCACCGGTTCGCAGAGCAATTTCTTCCGTAGCAAAGCTGAGCATGGCAGCAAGGGGGACAATGGCAATGAAGTTGACCAGGAAAACGACCCATGGCTTGATGGCGGGGTTGTGCTCTTTAACGTAGTTAAGAGCAATGCCGACTGGGGCAGCCAAAATAAGAATGTTGATCCAAGAGTTTAAAAAGGTGCGCTGCAGCTGGTTTGCTATTGTAAAAGGCATCTTGGGCTTGACGTGGCGAATAAGACCGTCTTTCTTGCCTTTTTCTTTCGAATCATCCTCTTCGGGAGCGGGCAGCTCATCCTTGGAAGCATCACCAGCCTTGCGCTGGCGAACACCGTCTGCGTCAGTGGCAGGGATGGTGCGAGTCGTTGTGTCCGTGTTGCCAGCAGGACTGGAGGCTTCTTCGGTTTCGTTGTTGGAGTTTCGAATGGTTTCCGATGCGGAAGCCTCTGTGGGAATGCGACCGCTGTTGGCATTGGGAGCTGTTGCAAACTGTCGCAGACGGGCCCCCTCTCCTCGGCCCTCCTCCGCATTGCTAACATCCCAAGTGTCGGCTCGGTTGGACGGCTTTCTATTCCAGGATACGTGACGGAACGGATTCCATGTTTGGTCGGCAGAGGAGCGGCTGACGGAGTGCGCCAGACGCTTCACGTTGTAGTGATTATCTTTTCGCATATTAGTAGCAGATCGACGGAATGCACATCTCAACAAGAGGATGTATGTGATGAGGAAATGCAATTGAGTGCAGTATGAGAAACGAAGAAAAGATGCGCCGGGTAATAACAATGATGACAGGGAAAGCAGATGACGAAGGCTGATGACAGCAGCAACGACCGAAAAAAAGTTCTCAAAATGGTTGTGAATTGATTATGCTGACGACACACAGAGCCCCCGAGAAACAGGAATCTAAAACATGGGGAGGAGGCCAGCGAGCCGCAAAACAAGGATTGGCGGCGCTTGGGGGGCGGAGCAGCAGTTTCAGTGGAGCCAAGCTTTAGGCTTTAGCGGTGCAACTGCACCAGGCTTTGTCCCGGCTGGGACTATACCCGAACTAGAAGGACCAGCTTTGCGGTGGCTTTTTTTTGGGACGAAGCATTTGAGCTTGTCAAGTGTGGAGTGCATGTGTCTCCAGTTGTGTGATGTGTAGAGTGTGTGTGTGTGTGTGCTGTGAGGGTGTGCGTGAAACTGGGCGGCTATTTGCACCTTGCTTTTCTTGCAAACAGCAAGATGGTGGCGCCCGTCGATTCCTGTTTCTCGGGCGCATCTAAACCATCATATTGGTTACGCTGCACTTGTAGCGTGTATGTGTGCGTGCTGGAAACAAAGCAAAAAGGACAGCTTGATGTTGTTGCCAGTGGTAGTAACAGTGATGGTGGTGGGTGGTTGGTAGCGGTGCAAAGGGAGTGGCAGTAGGGCGGGCAGGCGGGCTGGGGTCCTAAAGGCAAACGGAAGACGAGAGCGAAACCGACGCTACTTACAGGTTGGCATCGTGACTGCAACACGGAATGTAGCAGCAAAAAGCAAAGGTTGTATCAGATTCTCCAATTGCTCAAATGCAATAGAAGTTTCTCTGTGTGAATATCTCGAATCGGTCGTGCCTGAATATCAGTGCTTGGCAAATCGAGAGGCCAAGACGTCGAGAACCAAACAAAAAAAGGAGGCCAAGACGCGATCTGCGATGCCGAGAGTTGTGGAATTGGACAGTCGAGAGGGCAATACAGTCAGAAGCAGATAATCGAGAAATTATCCAGCTTAATTTTGTATCTTTGTATTTTTTGGTTCGGTCCCTGTCGTTCTATCGGGCGGCCTCGGTGGCGACGCGTGCCTGGACTAGAAGCTAAACGATGATGGTGATGATGCTGATGCGAGGGGCGCAGCAAGGCAGGATGATTTTGAATTAGCCGGGGCGAAGAAATAAAATAAGAGAAAGGAAAAGATGTAGTCGACAGAGTAGAAAAAGATGAAGAGAAAGATCACCAGCCAATGGAGATGATTAAGAAGGAAAGAAGAAAAGGATTAAAATAAGACGGCAAGGGATCTGGGCAAAGGAGAGATTTGCTCAGGCAAAAAAAAAACAAAATAGCAGGCGAGACACACACACGGCAGACGAACGACAGACCACCCACAGTGCCTTAGCATGGCCCAGTATAGCGGATGACCCACCCTGCTACAGCACCCCCGCGCAGTACCGCGTGCCCCACAGACCGCCAGAAACACACATAAACGCTAACGTTAAATCCTCCCCAACGGAGGCCGCCAGCGCACCAACACTGCGTCACTGGCGGGCGCCACACACTGCTTGGATGCGACGCCACTTTGGCCCACGACTGAGATTACGCTGGGGCCACCGCTCCGTTTAGAGTTATTAGCGTGTACCTTGTGTTGCAGCAGACAGCCGTCTATCCCTATTTTGCCGGGCCTTTTTGGGCCTACAGGTACTTCGTAAACAGACATTTCATCATTGACATCATCATTCTTGCTGCTGCTTGTGCGAAAGCAAAACCTTGGTTTGTGCGATACAAACACAGCATGAAACGTACCATCCTCACACCGCTGCGTCTCGGATAAAGCAAAATACAGGAAAATTGCAATATGTAGCGACGTATCTCATATCTAGTGGCCTCCAAGGCTGCAAGCTCAATGCGCTCCATTAGTAGGCAAGGAAGGAAAGCTCCCGTCCCGACCCAGTAAACCCTGCCTGAGGGGGCAACATAATGTATATCTAAAGTAAAGTCGTAAAAAATGTGCCAATGAAGAACAAGAAAATAAAAAGCCAATTGTTAAATGTCAAATCTCTCCGTCTCCAAGCACAAGCTGCTCTTCGCCGCTTGTGCCCTGCTCCCTGATGCGCCGTACCCGTAAACGCCCTTGTTCCCTGTGGCTGTCTGTGCCTGAAATCGCACTTTAAAAGTTGCCCAATATATTTCCCGTGTTGCTTTTCGGATAGCCACCTATGCCTCGTCAGAGATGCATACCACGTGCCCAACCCAATGCATTCAGTTTGAAATTCAGGCCCATTCCCCTTCCACTACTTCATCTCGTCTCCTCGATCCAGATCGGGCTCGCTTCTTACGGCCGCCTGGCGTACCTGCCGCTTTTCTCTTGCGACCGCGGTCAGCTAGCTCGCCATCGTCGTCATTATCGTCCGAGCCAGCTTCACTTGGTGTTGCTGGACCTTCCATTCCTATCTCATCCTCTTTGGCTACCTTGAACTCCTTATCGATATTCATCAATTCGACAAACGCCCGGCATGTTGCACCCATCTTTTCCGGCGATTCAAGCCCCGTGGAGTGTCCGGCTATTTCCTCCCATACGCGATCTCCATGAATTCCTTGAACCTTAACTGGTGTTTTGTTCAGATCCTTTGCGACAGCCTTAGCCTTGCTGTCGTGACGGCTGGTGCCCATGCCGTAAATACGGCGCAAATAAGTCCGTACGTCCCAAACGAAAAGCAGGACCATACAAGCGGCAGTCAGTTGCTTGAATCGCTTTGGATCGAGTCCGGCTCCCAGAAGCGGTGCTGGTGCTGGAATAGCGGCAGCTGTTGCATCGCCGCCGAGACCTGCTTCTGGAATAACGTCCTCACCTTCGGCATCGGCATCCTCGCCTTCAGCATCTTCACCTTCGGCATCCATCGTCACATTGAACAGCTCGGATTCAATCGCTTGCGCCAGAATTGCGCCAGTGGTTGTAACGATTTTCTCCAGCGTGTTAACCGTAGTCTGTATTTCACCAACGGTCTGATATTCCAGATATGCCAGGTTCTCAACAATAAAGCGAGCATAAGTTACGTGTGCCGGTATGGGAGCAGAGACGTTCAGCCTCGAAAGTTCAAAATCGACCTGCCCACACAACTTTTCTAGAAAGCGCTGTCTGTTCTTCATCTTGCTGATTTTCAGAACGTCGATAAGCATATGTAGCTTGGCTTGAAACGGTTCGGTCGTAGCTCCATGACAATCTTGCACAATGTCTCGCTGGTAGTTGTAGGCAGCTTGTACAGCTTTCACATACTCTCGCTCTAGCACAGTTTCGTGCTTTTCGTGCAGGGATCGGTGTTCCAGATAAGCAAGCTCTGCAATTTTCTTGTTCGCAGATGTTTCCAAGGTAATGAGTGTGACGCCAGTCTCTTTTGGATGGGTTAGACCTTGTCTGTTGATGCTTCCCAACACCTCCATTGCGAGGTATGCAGTGTCATCCTGACTGCTTAATGCAATTCGCGTAATGTCTTGCAAAAATCGCTGGGTTGTGGCACTAGCCACATCGTCAAAGTTGGTACCTCCCATGACCGTCAACTCCTTCTTCTTAGAACCCGTGTCTGCTACAGCAGACATTTCGGATCGGCGCTCTTCGCCTACCAAGAATTCTTTGAATGATCGAAGAATCATAGTCTCCAATGCGGGTATCCGTTCTTGAAAAACTTGTTGAAATGCCGTGTATACTTTGGCAAGAGCATAATTCCGTGGCCATGACTGACAAACCAGCCCAATCGCTTCAAGGGAAGCCTTGCGTGCTTCAAGAGGTTGTTGCGATCCAGTGTAAGGGGATAAAATATCAACAATCAGCCTTGGCACAGAATCTCCTTTCCAGTTTGCAAATTTTGCTTTGAAAAGTTTGATTTGTTTGTCAAGATCACAGTGCTTCGCAACGCTTCCCACAATGATGGCATATGCAGACAACAGGCTCAGCCGTTTGGCATCCATTTGAGTTCCGAGCTTTTGTATACCTGCCAAGGCTGAGGCTACTAAATTAGCCAGAGGGCCGATATCATTCAGCAAGTCACATACAACCTTGGCACAAGCAATAAGATCATCCAGTGCACCGCGAGACGAAATCTTGCCAATACCTTTGAGTAGCTGCAGGCGAACCTCGGAAAGAAAACTCGAGTTCACAGTCGAAAGCTGTGGAAGCACAAGCTTATAGATCACTGTGACGGCCCGAAACGATCCAAGCTCCTCTGCCCCAGTAAAGCTGGCTAACTGAGGTTTCAAGAGTCGGACTTGTTCAAAGTTGAATAACTTGGCATCGGCCTTCGCAAAAATGGTTAAAACTTGCAAGGCATCTGGGCCCGATGGTGCAAGGCCGTCTTCCGATTCCGGATTGTCAATCAACCCAAACATATCTCCAACCAGTTTCGAACAGACATTAAAAGGTCCTTCTGGAGATTTGTTGTTATTGTTTGGTCGCAAAATCGTCTGGAAGACCTTGTCAAGGATTTCAGTGACGGTGCCAGTCTTCACAGTCTGAATAACAAGGGCAACATGCTCCGTAATGGCCGTTTGGTAGGCGAGTGACCCGTCATTTGTGTAAAACGGTACAAACCAGATCTCCTCAATCATTTGTTTTGCAAGTTCTCGGACACCTTCATCAGGATCCTGAATTCGGCGTAATAGGCCACTGGCGATGGCGCTTCGGATAGACTTGTTTCTATTCCGAAGATATATATCACGCGCAAGCTTCATAGCTCGTTTGCGAACTCCCACTCCAGCATCTTGAAAGCGGTCAATGATTTTCGGAGTAAGACTGGGCTCAAGCGCTGGCCGCATCCCTATGCAGTTTCCCAGCAAGCCCAGAGCAGAATCTCGAACTTGCGTAGATGAGTCACTGGCGCATTCAAGGATCAGCTGGATCACGCTTGAGTCTCCGTCCAAAATGGACGGGTCCGTCTCCAGCACTTGGTTGATGCTTTTTAAGCTTTTGCTGCGAACTGTTGCTTGGTCACTTGCCATCGAGGCCAATAGAATGTTAAGAATCTTAGCAAAAGATTCGCAAAGCGGGGATTTCAGAAGCAAAATCGAAAATGAAAATTTCGCTTGGTTTGACGTGATCTTCTTGAAGGTGAACTCGTTGGAAAGCCATGTCTTGTCGTCAATCATCCTTCGTAGGCGGTAAGCTAACAACCCCAACGCAGGGTCACGATCAGGGTCATCATATTCACGAGCATCGTAGCAAGCCTGGGTTTTATAAGCCCAATCGGCGACAATAAACGACATTGCGTTCGACAGATGTGCATCTTCTTTGCAACGCTCTTGCACATATTCAAGACTGGTGCGAAATGGCCCAGCCCAATCAACGATTTGCTCCGCCGGTGCTTTCCGTTCGAGCACCTGAATGGCGAGATCTGCTAAATATCGCGAAACGTCATCAGACTCGCCCCCTTCAAACGAAGTAGCGGTGCGCTTAACATGAGACCGCAATCTAGAGATGGCAGCGCTCATAGTTCCTAAGAGCTCCAGGGCCATGTTCTTGGTAGGAACTGCAGTTTTGGGGGCTTCAAATAATTGCACCATCATGAGCATGAGAAGTCGTAGCAAGAGCTCCGCAGCTGGCCAGTCAGGCGAATCCAAGCAGGTTGTAAAGTCCTCCACAAACAAGTCGAGTAGATTTCGGTATGGGGTATCGCCTGTCTTCGTAGCCCCGGCTGCTCGCGTAACGATAAAGTTTATAATAAGTGATGCGTTTCTGGTAGCAGTATCTACAAGAGGTGTTGCGGCTGCGTCAAGTTCTTGAATTGCAATGGCATGCTGCTGGGAGGCTTGTTCTTCGGATATTAGTGATGATGTCGCGGTTACTCGGCCATCGATACCTTCTTGGTCATCCCCAGCAATACCCTCCAGAATGGTTTCTCTTCGAACACTGTTACGGCTGATTTGGCCTGAGCTGGCTTGAATAAGTCGCATGAGAAGAGCGGATATCGGCTGGATACTTCCACCATCGGCTAATTTGAACTGCCTCGAGCTAAGCTTGCCAACAGGAAGCTTCTCCAACGAGGTTAATATATCATTGATGATTCCCTGTCTTTGATCGAGTTTCGATAAAAAGATTTGGCAGAGTATATCCATAGCAGATGAGCGAATACCGTCAAACTTCTGAACGCCGACGACGGATTCTCGCTCGACGTATGCGTTTTCGACAAATATGAGTTTCGAGGCCATGTACTCTAGAGTATTGATGGCTGTTTCTGATAGCTCAACGCTCGAAATAACTTCAGCAATAACTGCGAGGAGCTTTTGGCAGGAGACAAAGACTGGGGATAATACCTTTCTGTGCTTCGCGAGTATTTTGAAAAGATTTGCGCCTTGACCAACAGTTCGGAGTTCAACCAAGGGAGATATTATATCTTCAGTAATGAGCTTGGCGACGTTGACACAATTCAAAATTGTGGACTCGGAATATAGCTGCTTGTCTTCTCGGCCACCAGTTAGCATGCGCAGGCATGTTCGAGCCGCCTTTAGACTCATGTCTATGTCTCCAAGTTGCAGCATCCAAGCTTCTGTAGCTTCTTCATTCCAAGAATTATCAGCGCGCAAATTGAGCTCATCTACTCGCTTGACGCTGACCTCGTTCATTTTCATAAGCTTCAACAAATCTTCAATTGCGACATTGTCAAATACGCTGAGCTCGATAGCTTTCTGAATGGCACCATGAAGCTTCTGTTGAGTTGAGCTATTGACGATTATATCTTGATCCGATACTCGAATGACAAGATTCTCAAATCCTTGCTCTAACGCAAGCGCTTTACCAACAGCTCTGAATATGCTGCGTATCAAGGATTCAAGGGCATCTAGAGCGGCAGATGCACGTTGCTTCTGATCCAAGCCAGATCCCATTAAATTTTGTTCGACTTCAGCAATGGCAGTTTCATCTTTGCGCGATGACAAATAGTGAGGAGCGTCAACAGTTTCCTCGACTTGCATATACTCTTCGGTAGCAATATTTGATTGCTGAATAGTGACTGAGGATCCTACGGGATGGCTTTCGGATGAGGCATCTGGAATATTGGCAATATCATCAACTGGTATATATGCAGTAGGATCGAAGTCGGCTTTTACTGGTAAGCCAATCTCAAGTTTAGCGGGCGGTTGATGGACAGCGACATTTGTAGGTTTTGGTTTCTGCTTCGATGCAGGACTCTTGGAAGTGTTCTTCTTCGCATCCTTTGGTGTCTTTTCTGGTGTTTGTGCGTTTTTGGTGCCATTTATATTCTTCTCTTGTGTGATGGCTTTAGCCGCTTTCGTTGGTTTGAAGTATGCTTCCACTCGTTCATGCACCTCTTGGGCAACTGGCGTAAGTTTTCGGGACGGGCGGTGCTGGAGCGGTTGCGAATTGAGATTAACACCTTTTGATACTTTTCTGAAGTTACTACGAATATGTTAGAATTTTGCTGAGAGTCATCGTGAATGGAAAGCTGTATCGTAAACGTACTAGTGTGTTCGATGGCTGGAGCGCACGTCCTGGAGGACAAAGTCCGCTGCTTGCTTAACCATCTTCGATGATAGCCCTTGGCTTAGACCTTCTTGATTAATACTTTCATATTCATCTCGTGGGAAGAGATTGGCGACGCTAATTGCTGCTGAGCCGGAGCCCAAACTCGGGTCTGGGATGATATCTACTTCCGTTAACCGTCTGCGAAAAGGGGCTGGCAAGTAAAAATGGCCTTAAACGCAAGCTTACCTGGTACAAAAGGAACAGTTGATGTTTGAGGAGAGTATGGCAGTGCTTCTTGAAGTGTGAATGGGCGGACAATAGAGGCCTTGATATCCGTTTGCAGGCTACGGTTGGTGGGGCCATTCAGGTTCTGTCGACGCATGTCGGCCATTGTCGCAGAGTGCTACAGCTGGCTGGCAGCTGGCATAATGGGAAAAGGTGGCACCGATGTCCGTCTATTTGAACTAGACGAGGAAGGCGCGACGCGGTCGTGGCTGCCTCGCTGGAAGATGACAGTTGGCGGCTGCGTTTGTCAAAAGCGTTTGCGACGATGTTGCGCGCGGCGACAAAGCGAGTCGGTCGGGGGTCGAGGCGCACAGTACGAGCGGGATTTCTTGTCGCAAAAGGCTTAATTTCGCACCGATGTCTATACTGTAGGCATAGCTAGGTGAGCTGTGCTGAGGTGGTTGACAGAATACGCAACCGTGAATTTGAAGGTATTTTGGCGAACGTATGCGGTTGCATCACAGAATGTCCAGATCGGGGTTGGCGCCTCCTAGCCTGTTGTACCCAGCAGTTGGCCAGTCAGCGCCGGTGACAAAGGGGAAAGGTCACCAGCAACTTTTTTCCGAGCCCGACACCCAATCTAGAAACAGACCCACAATTTCTTTTTCAGCGTCAAGCATTTTTTTGTTGTAGACGACTTCGACGCTCTTTTCCTACCAGACGGGTGCACTTTTGACCAACATTTACACATTTTCTACTTTATAAACATGGCAGCTATCGGATCTCTGGTGTTTTGCACCGCTTGCGGTAACCTCTTACCAGCAACAAAAGGAACGGACCGCAATTCCCTTCGATGCGAAGCCTGTGGCGCTTGGAATCAAGGTCAGTTCAGAAGCTGCGACTATAGCCCAGGGCAATGACAACTGACATTTTTCTTTCATTTTAGACACGGGAGCCAAGATGATTACGACCCAATCGAAACCTTCCGACTTTCCCTCCGCCTTGAGACAAAAGCTTCAGTCCAACGTTCAGGCTGTAGAGCGCCACACATTAAACACTGAAATGAGAATCAACGAGCGCTGTCCCAAGTGTGGAAGAGAAGAAGTCAACTATACAAACGTACAGCTCCGCGGTGCAGATGAAGGTTCGACAGTTATTTTCATGTGCGACTGTGGTCATTCGTAAGTCAATCACCGTACATGCTGCATGTCGAACGGACACTAACCCAAACAGATGGCAACAAGACAATTAAGAGAGAAACGAAAGCGATTTTATTTATATACCAATGACCAGTCTATTCTATGCAACATAACTTTTACGCGGAGGCACCCGCAACTTCAGGAATCAACGCATATTCTGCCTGACCACCTTTTTCGTACTCAGCCATATCGAGGGCAACAACAACGCTTTCCCGAACGACTTGTTCCTTATCATTCAAGAACTTCTTAAGAGTATCCTCAACACCCTCTTCATCTCCCAAGCTACCGAGAGCCTCAGCAGCTTCGTGACGGACCATGCTTTCCTCGTTGAGGTCACCGAGGGCGGCAGTCAAGGCTGGGATGGAAGCAGGGTGTGACAACTGACCAAAAACGAAGGCAATCTCATGTCGGAAGAGCGCTGACTCGTCGGCAAAGCCTTTAGCAAGCGCTTCAACGGCAGGGACGGCTGTGGGAAGATCGGGAGGGGAGGCCAGATCGCGGAGAGCAAACATGGCCCGGTAGCGCATGAACAGAGGCAGCTTGGTATCCATCAGTTCATTACCCAGCTGGTCAACAGTCTTCCCAGTGTCGGACATGGGGGGTGCAGGGTCCACAGAAGCAAAGTCACTTGTAAATATCAAAAGTTAGAATCATTTCACAATGTAGCGTAATAGCATGAGCCCTACCTGGCCTTTAGTTTCTCCTGTTTCCTCGCCTCGGAGTTCTCCCATTCAATTCTGTCGATAGCGATCTCGCAGGTTTCTGTGACTACAACTGCCTCTCCTTCGCGGTCGCGGAACTGTTTAAGAATTTCAAGACTGCTTGTGTTGCCAAGAGCGCCTAGGGCCTCAGCAGCCTCGTGTCTGCACATAGGATCTTCTTCAAGGTCGGATAAAACGTTGCGGAGAGGCTCGATCGCAGCATCATTTCTTGTCTGGCCGAGACAGTATGCCAGCTCATGTTTGAGCAGTGCCGAGGGGGAAGCGAAAGCGGCTGCAATAGCCTCAATAGCGGCAACAACACTCTCTGGTGACTGTGAGGTCTGGGCCAGGTGTTTAAGAGAGAATAGCGCACGGAATCGGACGGCCAGAGGCGTCTCCTCAGAGCACAGGCTCGTTCTGAGGCTTTGGATTGTTTCGGTCGACATAGTTGGGTTCGATGGCTAATTTTGAGAGTGTGGGACAGCACGTATGGAACAGCACGAACGGGCCATGTTATCAGATGGTGCCGCCGTGAAGAGAAAAATTTAGGTGGGGTGATAAACCGATAACGCCGACCCCGCCAAGGAAATTTTTGTGTGTGCCTTCTTAATGCAAAGTAAGACAGCTTCTGTCACCATGGGTAGTGGATAACCACTACAATACGGTTCCGTGGTCTAACGGTCATGACTGCGGATTCTGATTCCGCCAGCGAGGGTTCGACTCCCTCCGGAACCTGTCTTTTTGCATTTCGTAACATTTTTGCTTTTGTTTCATTGTGTCCATTTTCAAGTGGCAAATGATACCGAAGTCGTAATTCTTTTTATTCCAAATTTAATTCAGAAGGGAAAACCGTTCAAAAGCTCGACAAAAATGCTTGTCGACGTACTCACTACCCTACGGTGCGCCAGTCTGCTGCGCAAAACAGATATACTCTGCACACTGTTTTCTTATTTTAGAAATTTGCTTGTCTCTATTGAAGTAGATTAAAAATTGTTCATTCTTTGCCGGTAGTGAGACCAAAAAGTAAATCTTTGGAGTGGTATCCATGGCCGCTTATTGCGCTGATCAATCATGAAGTTGAATTATTAAGCTTTAAAATTGGCCGATATCGTCGCCACTTGCACGTGGAGGGTTGATTTTCGCAACAGCAACCCCGCGCCTCTCGACGCCAAACAGCACGAAACGATGGCACCGTCCCTCGAGGAACGCGATAATTACAGAGAGGTCATTGCCAATCCGATCAAACAAAAGCCAGACCTTGTAGCTCCCGAACCAGAACACTGTCCCGGGCCCGAGTCCGAGCAGGCGGGTTCCGCTGACCAATGCAAAGGCTGTCCAAACCAGGCGATTTGCGCGTCGGCGCCAAAAGGCCCGGACCCTGACATACATGTCATCTCATCGCGGCTTGAAAATGTCAAACATAAAATACTCGTCCTCAGTGGTAAAGGCGGCGTCGGAAAAAGCACATTCACGTCGTTGATAGCACACGCGTTGGCCACCAACCCGGACAGCAACGTCGGCATAATGGATACGGACATTTGTGGGCCGAGTATTCCCAAGATGATGGGCGTTGAAAACGAAACGATTCACGTCAGCGGATCGGGATGGTCGCCGGTCTGGGTTATGGAGAATCTCGCCGTCATGAGTATTCAGTTCATGTTGCCAAGCAAAGACGAAGCCGTTATTTGGCGCGGCCCCAAGAAGAACGGACTCATCAAGCAGTTCCTTAAGGATGTGGAATGGGGTGACTTGGATTTTCTACTCGTTGACACACCACCTGGCACGAGTGACGAGCATCTTAGCGTCAACTCGTTCCTCAAAGAAAGCGGCATCGATGGTGCTGTTGTGGTAACCACACCACAGGAAGTATCTCTGCTTGACGTGCGGAAGGAGATCGACTTCTGTAAGAAGGCAGGAATCAGGATCCTCGGACTGGCGGAAAATATGAGCAGCTTTGTATGCCCAAAGTGTACAGGCGAGAGTCAGATTTTCAAAGCTAGCACTGGAGGAGGCAAGGCGTTGGCCGAGGAGATGGGTATACCATTTCTAGGATCTGTGCCCCTTGACCCAAGGATAGGAATGGCATGCGACTACGGAGAGAGCTACTTTGATTCGTTCCCGGATAGCCCAGCATGCATTGCCTTCAAAGGCGTGGTGCGCGCTCTTGGGGCCCAACTGGGTCTTGATACTGAGTCAATTTTGCCCGAGTAGCGGGCTTGTACACTCCCAAATACCTGTATATATGATTGAACGAAGCTATGAATTGATAAAAAGAAAAAAAATCTTTTCACAAAACTGCTCGCCTATCGCACCCCATTTGCCCTAATGCGAGAAACTCAACGGTGGCCCGTGGCGTTGGATCGGTCCCGATCGTGCCGGAGACTTCTAAGCTTACCGCGCGGCTGAGTGGTGACGATAGTAGACGCGTTGCTTGATTAAGCCTAAAAAGTAGGCCAAACAGAAACAATTATAGTCCAGATTTGTTGCAGTCGAATTCTCCCGTTAATTCTGCCGGATAGGCCAGCTGAGCAGCTGAAAATCCCCGTCGCCGCAGTACGTAGCTAGCCGGCACGTGCAGACCGTATATACTGTAGCTACTGGCGCGTCCCAAGTTGCTCACCACCAAGCAGCTTCCTTCGCCAACCCCCCGCCTTGACCCCACCCAACCCGGGGCTGTTCTAAACAGCGCATCTGCCTTGGACGACATTGAAGAGCTTAAAGTCGATATTGGAAGCTAGCGTGGTATTCTGTATGGCTTCAAGTCTGCCATGACGGAGCCCTCCGCTTCGCAACACCCTCGAAGGAGACGATGGGCACCCAAGGTCAGGACGGGTTGCAGTACATGCCGGTACGTGATAATTGTGATATTCCGATGATTTTCTCCTTTCTTTTGCTAATTGTGGCGCCTATTGGATAGATTGCGGCGAGTCAAGTGCGACGAAACGAAGCCAAGCTGCCTAAAATGCACTACAACAGGGCGACGATGCGACGGATATGCATATGGGTTGCATCCGGCTGTGGCAGCTAAGCCAGCTACAACAGGCATCGTACAGCCTGCTGTGAAAATCACACCGCCTCAGGTTGACGCTACCAGAGAGGAAATCGAACTATTCCACTACTTCCGCGTTGTCGTATCGGGACAGATCACTGGCGCCTTTGACGAGATGTCTTGGACCGACAATCTGCTGCAAGCGATACAGCAGCAGCCAGCCATTTGGAGCGCATGTATTGCGGCATCGGCCTTACATAGGGTTTATATTGACATGCCAACGATGAAAACAACGGTCGCCAGCCAACGGGACAGCTTGTACCTAATGGGCCTCAAGCAATACCACTCATCTTTGAAGCACATCATCTCCATCACTCAGCAAGATATTGTATCTCTAGACGAGCAACTGTCAATCTTGACTGCGAACCTCCTCTTCCTCGCCCTTTCTTGGTACCGGGGTGATATGGTGGAAGGGTTCAATCATTTATGCAACGGGATGATGTTGATTGCTCAGTGGCGTCTGTTACCGCTGCTTCTAGAATCAGACGGCAGCAGACAAAACAGCTTGCTACCAGCAGAATCCTTACTACTGACCTACATGCGAGCTGATAACTCTACGATGCCGTCTCGTGACGCTGACAAATCGGTGCTTGATACCATTGTCATCCCACCCGCTGTCAGCAGCAAGGACTTTGCTTCCCCTAGCGACGCCTACTTTGAACTGGAATTTCTGTGGAATGCGGTGCTGAAGATTACTCGAAAGACCTCGTTGTCATCGGAGCAAGCAGACCAGGGTCCGACGCCTGATATTTTATATACTTTCCGGCCCGTGTCACAACGCTGGGGTGAAAAATTGATGCGATTCAAGAATTCCAACGACTATCTCGAAACGTACATGGAATCTATAGTAGCTCTCAAGGTACGACATGCCTTTATTGAGGTTCTTTTGAGTCTGGACTTGAATGCATCCGAACTTGGATGGGACGCTTTCGACAAGTCGTTTTCCAACATTGTTGAGCTGGCTGAGACATTGGCAAAACGGCTCGAAGCATACATATCAAGTAAACAGTCCAGAAGCGGCCCTGCAAGCAATATTGTTCGACTTGCAGCATCTATGACAGATGCTCTTGGCCATGTGGCTTGGAGATGTCGTAACTATAGGATACGGCACAGGGCTCTCGATATAATCCAGCGTATCCAGATCAAACACTACCCAACGGACAACACTGTTCTAGCCAAGATTTCGGTGGCGCTTGTTATGGAAGAAGAAAGTATCTGGGCGCATCCCGAGACTAATGGTTGTGGGTGCGTCCCAAGATCCTCCATCTGCCTCCGACACCGCATCGTGTACAGCCGGATACAATGGGCCGCCGATGGCGATTTCCTTTTATTTCTACGAACCATGGATGACATTTCCAACAATCGGCCCGCTAGATCAGTTAATGTGATGCAGTGGACCAAGGCGATGTAATGGGACATCTACCAAAAACCAAGTCACCGATGTACATACTACGGCCGTTTAAATATTGGCCTAGCAGAGCCTGAGAAGTTATGTCGGTCTGCAACTGACTACGGCTTTGCTCTACTTTCTCCGTTTCTCTTTTTGACGATCTGCAGTTCTTCTTGTTTACGATATCCCGGCGTCTCATTCGTTCTTTTCGCCGCTCTTAGCGAGAGCTGGCAGGGTCTCCATAGCGTCTCCTATTCATTTAATCCATTCTTCCTCCCACCTCCCACTTTATCACTGGAGATTGTGCTCGACTTGACCCTATATCGCCTCCTTGAATTTGCATCGCAAGCGAGCATTTGCGGAGCAGCCCCACGGTCGCAATGAATCGAGTCCCATCAATCTAGATTGGGATTTGCACTAGGGTCCAGCAGCGCGATAGCGATTGTTTGTGATATTGGCTGTACCATGCTGTTGTGAACTCTCCATGAAGAAAACATCCTTAAAAATCACAACATTTCACCAAGCCTGCTGCTCTTCGCACACGTTTCACCACTGATTACATTGGACTGCTTGTCTGAATGGGGCAGGTATCATTGGGACTAGCGCGATGGATCCTCTTGCAGCGCACCACAGACCGTCGGCATGGAAGCGGACGTCTTCCGAGAAGAATCTCTAACAATCGCATTCGGTAGACCGTAATGCAGAACTCACTTGTTGCGGTTAGCAGTCGGGGTTCGTCCGGGAGGCGCAGCGGCTTCGGCTACGCTCTAATCAGTACGGTGAAGAAAACGTGCCGTCTTTACGCATAATGATCATCTCGCTGACGATTGCCAGACTGGGGGGTCTCTACTGGGTCATAAATCGAGTTGCCTGTTTGGGTTTCCGCAGAGTCGGTCGCTCCAGTTTATAGCTATGTCGTTGCAACCAAAAATACAGCATCATTCGCCCGTCGGTTAATTGAGGGCATTCTCAAGGCCCCTGTACCATGGGGAAACTGATCTACCCCAGTGACTAGCACAGGTATATATACTGGTAGTGGCGCTGCTTGGCATAGCCCCGTTATTGGGGTAGATCTAGCTAACCATATTCTCATCTGCCTGCTGCCGCGATGAAGTTTTCTGTTGCCATTCTCGGATTTGCGTCCATTGTGACGGCTGCATCCAACACCTTCCACAGACCTGACAGCCACTGGGATTTCATCATCAAGGGTGGCGATGTCAAGCGCTCTGTTGAGGCTACCGATGCCTACCTTGCTGACTACAGCATGCGCGGCAAGAGTGTTGACCCGTCTTCCTTGGGCTTTGACAAGGTGAGGCAGATCAGCGGCTACCTTGATGACGACACCAATAACAAGCATATGTTCTACTGTAAGTTCCGAGAGCGTAGATACCAAAGCCAACTATTCGTGACAACTGCTAACTGGTACCTAACAGAGTTCTTTGAGTCTCGTAACGATCCCAAGAACGACCCCGTTATTTTGTGGCTCAACGGCGCACCTGGCTGCTCTTCAATGGAAGGCCTGCTCTTTGAACTAGGCCCTGCCATGGTTGACTCTAATCTCAAGATCACCACTAACCCCAACTCATGGAATAACAAGGCCAATGTCAACTTCCTTGACCAGCCAGTCGGTGCTGGCTTCTCGCACGGCGCCAGTGTCAACTCCAGCTTAGCTGCCAGCAAGGACATCTACGCCCTCCTCACACTCTTCTTCAAGCAGTTCCCTCAGTACGCCACCCAGGACTTCCACATTGCTGGCGAGTCCTACGCTGGCCACTACATTCCCCAAGATGCTGCCGAAATTCTATCTCACAACGACACCAACATTAACATCAAGAGCATCCTCATTGGCAACGGACTTACTGATGCCTATAACTAGTACCCTCAGTATCCCGAAATGGCTTGCGGTAACGGCGGCGCCCCTGCAGTTCTTGATGACAAGACGTGTAAGATGATGAGAGCCGCTGTGCCTGGCTGCTAGGCCGCTATTCAGAAGTGCTACACAACACAGGCCAACAAAGACTGCGCCAATGCTGGTAGGGCCTGTTCCGACGTTGAGAGCCCCTGCTACAGCGGCAATCGCAACCCCTATGACGTGCGCATCCCATGCGAGAGTGGAGGCGGCAATCTCTGTTACAACGGACTCGGCGATGTGCAGCGCTACTTCAACCAGGGCTTTGTCAAAGAGGCTCTCGGTGTTGAAGTCAAAAGTTACAAGAGCTGCAGCGACATCATTAACCTCAACGTCGCCCGCACTGGTGATGGCAAGAAGCCCATGCACATCTATGTCCCCCCGACTCTTGCTAAGGACGTTGCTGTCCTTGTTTATGCCGGTGATAAGGATTACGCTTGCAACTGGCTCGGCAACAAGGCCTGGACCAACGCCTTGGACTGGCCTGGCCACGATGCTTTCAACAGCGCCGAGATGAGCAACTTGACTGTTGGAGGCAGCGCGTACGGCTCTATCAAATCTGCTAAAAAGTTTGCCTTTGCGCGCATCTTTGATGCTGGTCACTTAGTCCCCCATGATCAGCCCATTGGCATAGTCGACCTTGTCGACCGCTGGATTGCTGGTGAATTCCGAAAGTAAAAAGTAGAAAGGGAGAGCGGAAAACAACAAGTTCAAAGAAAGGTTGATAACATAGCATGTTAGAGTATAAACACACAAATAAAAAAACGCATATATGCCAACCTTATGGCTCAAAGTGAATTTATATTTCTTGTTCAATCGTGGTATATGGTGAATGTAGTTGCATATTATGAACACACATATTGCCACAAAATGCTCCAATAAGAGGATCCCCTCAGTGAAAGGACTCCTCATGCGTTAATCATCTGTAAACAGCACATGCTTAGCAATATTGCATTAAAGCATTGCATTAATTTCCAGGCTGATATGGTTGAGATGGTCTCCAGCGTCTATTCGGACACAAGCTTGTCTGGAATCTCCTCCAAGTCCTCGACCGACTCGATATCGATTATACGGTTCACCTCGCTGGTGTTGCGCATGAGCTCCTTGGCGCTGGCGTAGAGCATGCGGACTTCGGCATTGCATGTTATAGGGAGGTAGTAGAGCATAACATAGGGAACAGACATGCGTCCGTCGGGCTGCATGACTCTGGTGTCAGTTCTAACAATGGCTGTGTATAGTTTCTATTGCATTGGGCAACTCACCAGAGTCAGCGGATAACTTAATAGAACAAATCGAGGGGCGTGGTCCGGCAGATCGTCGCCGATTTCGTCAAGGGAGGTGTATACTGTCTTGTCATCGTCTTGTCGGATCTCGTGGGTGTTCTTGTCGATCATGTCTTGGAAGAGAGGCACACTGGTTAGCTACGGCGACCACACTTGGGCAACTGATTAAAAATATACGCACAAATAACGGCCTGGGACTCCTTGGCCCTCGAGGTCCCCAGACGGAACTTGCGAAGGTGTTCCCTGGTCTCGCCAGAGAAGCTGTACAGTCTTGATTCGGACGCCTAAGGAAGGTCGTTAGCTTGTCGATTCTCGTACAGATGGAGAATAGCCCTCGCGACCAGATTGGTGACGTACCATGGTTACTATCTCTCTATTTTCCTTTTCTCCGCACCGCAAGTTCAAAGAGCTCCGAGGAAAGTCGCGACGTCGTCATCGTGGTGGTGCCGCGGGGCTTAGCGGGGCAGTTTCGACGTGGCGCAGGCTTTAGGCTTTGTTCCCTTTCCCTGTGTGTGGCTGGGGACTCGAGACGCCACCACACTTCTGTGCTGGCGAACTTTTTTGCTTTTTTGCCTGTGAGAATTGTAAGACAGAGAGTGTACGAGCTGGAGGGATGAGAGCGTGACCACAGGAGTAGAGTGGCTGGTCTGGCGGATTGAAAAGCCTCACGTGTTCCTCGTCGGGGTTCTGGCCGTAGCCGCCGTTAGTGTATACAATGGTTCATGCACAAAAAATATCCCGGTACATGAACGGCAGATATCCAGTATAAATTATACCACAGTGGAATTACAGAGATCAACTTGGCCCTGGTATAGTTGCCGTGTATGCCACCACAAACGCATTTGTATACAACTTCTCTTAAGCGTGTTTCAATAACTCTCGGCACAGATGCCCGCCGTTCTGAATTATTATAAATACCTTCCCTTGGGCTTTGAAAATAAAAATATCCATTCGGTATACAATCAAAGTAATTAAAAAACGTGGGCGTCCTGCAAGACTTGTATAAGTCCAACTGGTGCATTCCAGATTTGGTTACAAATTGGAGAACGTGGGGGCACGCATCCCAAAACGGCTATATTTTGGAGAACGCTTTTCCGAACATCGGAAATCTAACGCTAAGCACAGTAGCACTATTTGGAGAGAAAATGACTTAGCATTTTTTAGTCTCGTCGTAAAGAAAATGCTAGCAAACCTACTAAATTATTGGACATGGCGCGGGGCTCTCCCAATAGCTGCCTAGTTGGGTGTAAGCGGGCGTGGTCTATAAAAACCATGATCAGCTTCTCCTCCCTGCTACCCCCATGATAATCAAGGCAAACCTCATTACAAGAAAGCTAGTAAAATCAAATACCAGTATAGACATGGGATCCATCGCCTCCAACCAGTTCCCAACCCATGCAGGCAAGACTCTTCAGACTGTCGACGCAACAGATCCTACCATCTCGGCCGACAAGCTCGAGGCAATCCTCCACCGCGATGGTGCCTTCATAGTCAAGAATCTTGTTCCCAAGGAGCTTTGTGAGCAAATACGCAAAGACCTGAGACCTTCCTTCGAGACAGATATTGTCGACGAGTCTGGTTTCTTCCCTACCACGACCAAGCGCGCTTTCAGCATCCTCGCCAAGTCGGATGCGTGTATCGATCTTGTCGTGAACCCATTATTCCAGAATCTTGCTGCAAAGATCCTAACAAGTCACTACACATACTGGGAAGGGCAGAAGCAGCTGACTGTTAGCGGAAAGCCCCAAATCGCAACCGTTGTTGGCTTCCGTGTGGAACCGGGAGGCAAGCAGCAGGCTCTGCACCGCGACGATGCAGACTATCATACTCGAAACTGTGATATGCCCGTCATGCTTGGATGCGTCACTGTAAGTCTTCTGTATTTCTTTCGTTTCCCATCATGTTCATTGTTTAACAATCTTCAAGGCCTTGACCAAGACAACCAAGGCAAACGGCGCCACCATTATCATTCCACAAAGTCACCTCTGGGGCCCAGACCGCTGCCCTCTCGACGAAGAGGCAATCCCGGCTGAACTGGATGTTGGTGATGCAGCCATCTTCTTCGGAAACGTATATCACGCCGGTGGCGGCAATGTGACCAAGTAAGCCTGGCCACTAAACGTTTTCTCTTCATTCAGCACTAACATGGCCCGGTAGGGACGAGGCGCGCGAGACCATTGGCGTTTTCATGTGCAAGGGAACGTTGCGGCAGGAGGAGAACATGTTTCTTGAGCTTCCACCAGAGATGGCCAAGGAACGAAACTTTTCTCCCCAGCTGCTGCGGCTGCTTGGGTATGGCGTCTGCGCCCCGGCGCTGGGGCTGTACAAATACAAGGACCCCATGGAGTCCGTGTTTGGCATCATTGATGAACATACCATTCGAAAATAGTTCCCAGAATAGCCCAAAATAATACATCAGATGATCAAAAGAACCATGTGCTACACGAGCAAGATGCGAACGCCACCTCTCTGCCAACTCTCAGCCAAGGGTCGCCAGTCGGTGTCGTGACCGGCCCAAAACGTCGTGAGAAAGTTGAACACCACAGTGTAGTGTTGAAAGCCTGTAACCTTCAAAACATTGTCGAAATGTAATTTGACCTTTTGTTGCCGTGTGGTGTCGCCGTGGCTCTCTACTCCTGCTATGAAGAATGCCCATGGTAAATTTTGAATGCATGTATTCATGTCTTCCAGTGAGTCGATTTGCTCAAACAGCTTGGTCAACGTAGACGCTCTATCGATGCTTTCATATGAATCGTAGCCGAGACACCGGTAGGAGTATAGGATGGCTGTGTAATGGTATATATCCACCAGGCGGATAAAGTCTCGCTGAGCGGACTCTGTTGCAGAAGATATTTTCCCGGATGCAATCAACGTCGCTCCTCTCGCTTGATTAAATTTCAGCCTAATGTCACTTGCTGACATGATGGGGCTACTTGTTGTTCCTTGGTTATCGATGCTGGCGACCGGCTTTCTGGATAATAATGTGATTTCATGGATCAGGCGCAGATAACTGGCAAACAAGCCATCCGACCCTTCTGTTGGGGGCAAGTTGGTCCCTTCGATGTCTGCAACGTTGAATGAAGTCGTGCAAACGAGGACGTCGTAAATCGCCAGCTGATTCCTCAGAAACGCAAAAGTCTGTCTCTTGGCGGCAGCTGGGTGGCCTTGGAAGATCTGGACCAGCCTCCGTGCCGCTAGTCGATGTCCTTCAGCTACTTCAATCTGCGACCGTGACATCTCATAGCATGCCAGCATTAATATTGACGCTAGCATCCATTCTGCGTCTTCAATATCGTCTGTGGTGGCAAGTTCAAACCCGTCACCAACACGCCCATTCATCTCTTTGAGTTGCGCCTGGACCAGTGCCAAGCAGGCATCGCGGGCTGTCTGGTGGAACTCTCTTCCCTCCTTGCTGAATTCCTCGGATCCATGCTGAGACGAGATGGCCATGATTGCATATCGCAGCCCGAGCGTGTCCATAGCTCGCGGAAGCACCTGTGTCCTATACAGATTCTGCTCCGAGTCCATCCATACCATGAGGCCGGCAAGATTCTTGTCGTAGTATTTTAGGAACTGCGATGGCTCCTGGCCCAAGATTTCGTCAAAGACGTGGTCTGTTACCAACGGTCGCTGTCTTTTGCGTCGCTCGGGCTCCTGCACGGCTTCCTCTGGCTGCGCCGCGCCTGCGTCGCCTGCTTTTGATACGGGAAGTTGGCGACCGCGCAAATGGCCACGTACGGCCACTCCGTTGGCCCATCGCAGTTTTCTCTCGTAGCCAGGACATTGTAGCCCCTTCTTTGCACATTTGAGACACGTCGGCAGCGTCCCATCGCAATGGATGCGCCGCCGGTTGCAAGTCCTACACTCTGTGGGATGTAGTGTTAGATTAGTAGTGTAAGCATCAATTATGCTCCCTTACCTCTATCCATTGGGGCCTGCTCCTTCAAACTATTCTTTTCCATTATATTTAAATTATGAAGCCATGTGGTGTGCACAGTGTGTGAATAGATGAAATGTTTCTGGTTTAATGATGGCTTTTGGGACGCCAGGTGGGGCCACTTAAACAACAGGACTGTCATGGGTATAAGTCAATTCCCTTTATTCCCAGCCTACTCGTCGTATTCAACGGCAAAAGAGGTGATTAAGGTAGAGATAATTATATTTTAATTGGTATCATTAAAATCTCGACTCGTTCTAATATCCATTAAAACGTAGCCAGATTCCCGTCTCTTGTCAACTTGGCTACAAAAAAAATACATAGTGGTGTTTGGTTAACGGCTGTCTTGCTTGCCTGCCAGTAAAAGAAAGTAGTAACAAAAGGCTAAGAAAATAAAATGAAGTTGAAAATAAAATCGTAAGCTTAGGCATTCTAGTGCAGCTTCTTCTTTCGATAGACCATGGCGGCATAACCGGCGCAACACTCAGTCTTCATGTCATGCTTGCACCAAGGGCACTTGACAGTCATGGAAATTGAGCCAGCAAAAGCGCTGTCCTCGGCTGCCAATACTGCATTCGGATCAAGCATGGCTTGATAGAGCTTGCTTGGCATATCATGGTAATATTTGCAAGAGCAGCATTCAACAAAGACCTTGGCAACCGCGCGACCGCATTCGTCAACGGGAGAAGTGACATTGGTATCCTTTGATCGGAGTTGCAGAGGTGGTTGAATGAGCTCCATTGCCTGCTGTTTGCGATCCTTTTCCAAATTGGGGAAGAAGACGGCTGCCATAACGTTGTCTGCTGCAGCTTGAACAGGATCAGCATGGAAGGCCTCAATCTGGTTGGAGCTAAACACCATGCAGGAGAATCGTTCGTCATCGCGTAGAGTTGGTGTGTTTGTATCATCCCCAGATTTGGCGCATCGTGGTAGATCCTTTTCAGATTGTGGTCTAGAGGTATTAGGTGTGGTAATGGAAGTGCCAGGGAAGAATGCCTCGGATCCAGAGTCATCAGAGGAGCTTCCATGGCTAGCAGCTGGAAATGGGGGGTGACGAGTCTTCCACTCGTCGGCCTTCCAAGTCTCGTGCTCAATCTCAGCAAGGGGTCTAACCTTTGCTTCAATGGTATTCATTACCGAAGACTTGAGATTCTCCCAGGAAGGAGAGGCAGAAGGTGCTGGTGGTGGCGCCAAACTAGTGCGAGAGAAGGGCTGGTTCTCATTTGCTGCTAATGTTGCAATGGCGGAGTCAATATCAGAAACTGGAAGACTGAATCGCGGGTTGCTATTGGCTGATACGGGAGAAAGAGGTGAGATGCAAGGAGAAGCAGACGACGAGCTTGATACGCTAGAGATCGAAATTCTCTCTAGGATAAGTGCAGAGTTGCGCTTCGAGCTCTTTCTAGGAGGCTTCGGGGGCGGGGTTGATACTCTTGCAAGTTCCTTGCTGGCCTCTGGTGCCTCATCTTGCACCACTTTCACCAAACTTCTAGTGTTGAAAACCTCTGGTACCAACGAATCTGATGATGCAAATCGAGTAATAGCATCAGAAGGAACGGGGCTGATAGTAGCATCACTGGTTTTATCTTTGCTACCAGCACGAGCTCTCCATCTCTGAATAGCATTGAGATCCGGTGTGGAAGCTGAGGGGGCAATTGTTGATGCTCTAGCGCGGGCTGGCATTCTCGTAATAGGAGGATAGGCACGTCGGCTACGATCCTTTTCTAACTTTGAAGCTGCAATGGTAGGCTCCACAGCCATGCAAGAGCGTCTGAATGCGGGATGAACCTCTGTGTCTTCTGGTCGGGGTCGCATTTCGACAGTTCGTTGATTGGCTTCGTGGCGTTCAATCTCGAGTTTAATACCTCCAACAAAACCCACAGCCGGGGCCTTGCTTTGATCAATAGAGCTTCTGCGAAACTCAAACGGAGATTTCAAAAGGTTTGTAAAAGATCCAGTGCGGGATCTAGGTCGGGGACCATCACGAGATCCAGTCGAAGAGCTATGACTGCTTTGAGGTCGTCCTCGTCCCGCATCAGAAAGATAGGCTTCCGAAGCAGCAGCCATTGCTTGCGCTTGAGCGAACATGTATGGGGAGGAGGCTGGGGGAGGCTTACTGAGACGCTTTGTACGTCTCCCTTGCGCCTTGGCCACTTCCTTGTTTCGCTTCTTCTCTTCCTTCTTTTCCTTTTTGTGTCTGTCGTATGCCTCCCAGCTGGGTGAATGGCAGATGGACTGTTTATCCGGGCTGCCGGGTGACCCCGCCGCAGGTACAGTGGCATCGTAGCTTATAGATGGCGGAGAAGTTCCAACGATGGCGGTATGTCTCCTAGCTCTCAAAATGTTGCTGCCCTCTTTAGGTGAGGACGGAGTTGCAGGCTTGGGAGAAGGCACCTCGATGGCAAGAGAGGCGAATTGCGGGTTAGCAATGGATCGACGGTCACCAGCAGATCGGTTGGCTAGTTTTGAAGCCTGAACATCGCTGCGTTTGGAGCGGAGAGTCGGGACCTGTGCGGAGGAGGAGTGTGTAAGTCGGGGTCTAGTAGGTTGGGCTACTTGTGTCTCGAGGGCTGCGCTTTTAGCACAGATGCGTTCGATCTAAGTGGCACAAGAGTCAGTTTCTAGCTCTGTTTGATAGACCTCATACAAGCAAAAAAAGAAGAACAAAAGAGAATACGCACCATAGCTTGTCTTTCCAATTCTAGCATTTGCTGCAGGCTATTGGAGCGATCTTGGTCTCCTGGTTCGAACATGGTGGCGGTGGGTGGTGTATGTGTAAGTGTGATTGGGTGTTTCGTTTGTTGGAGTCAGCAACCAAGTTGCAGATGATATTAGTGAGGGAGTGAGTATTATAATGCTGATGCAGCACGGTATAGAACGAAGCGACAAAAAAAGAAAAAGAGCGTAAGAATCACCAACTGGAGGTTGACAAGCCAGCGTAAAGTGAGTGACAACGCTGCACTGTGCTTCGTCAACAGCTGGCAGCTGGCGGGCTTCTTCTTATTTGTCTTGGGCGGGCAGGTACAGCACAGCGCAGCACAGCACAGTACCACGCGATAGCAGCCAGCAAGTCGGGGCAGTCAAATAGGGAAGGGGAAGGGAAGGCCGACGGCGGGAGGCAGAGCGGACGTTTCAACAATTATAAATTCCAACAAACGGCAGCGGTAGCAGGGGAGCGGAGGGCACGCGCCAAGAAGGTACGGGTTTGGTCTTTCTTTTAACGAGCAGGAATATTTATTATTTCTATTTTATTTTACTTTTTGCGTCTGGTTGCAAAAATTGCGACGGCCGGGGATCGTCCCTGAGAATACGAGGCGTGGCTTGTGCAGCGTGCTCCAGGCGGGGTGAGACACTGAAGGGCGGCCGCTACAGTGAGGACCCTGAGCTTAAGCTTTTGCGTTACAGCGGTGCACTGCGCTGTGCTTGGCCCGCCACGGGGCCTGCCGAGCCCTGCCACCCGCCACTTTGGAGGTGGTGACGTGCACAAGCGGCACAAGGTTTGGATGGCGTCGTGCTGGCCAACCTCCACCCTGCAGAACAGACCGCTGCCACCAAACGCAAAATAAGAAAGGAGAAGACACCAAAAAAGCAAGTTGGACGCATACTGGAAACAAAAAGGCTAACTTCTTCTTTTTCTTCTTTGAATAGACTCCCACATATGGTCATGCTATCTCCGAATTCCCCTACAACGCACGCTACACTACATGGCATCACGTCTTCAACAAACGCAGCATTTTTTTTACTTCCTTTTTTTTTCGGGCACTATAGCTACTGCAAGTAGCCATACACACACTAATGCAATGCCCTCCAGTGCGCAGGCAAGCCACAGGCCAATGCTGCCCTCCAGTAGTATTGCTCACTGCCACCCACCACCGGCGCCCGCACCACCACCAATAGCTCAGCTCGATGCTGCGGCGCGCTAACGGGCCAAGCTGGCCTAGCGCTCGACCAGTGACGTGCAATACGAGGCATGCTGCAGGCTGGACACGAGAAGCCTGAGACGCAGCGAATAGGAAGCGCCGGTGATGTGTCTGCGCCCCAGCAGCCTGGCGCAGCCCGACTTTCATCAACCTGCGTCGTCCTGCATAGAATGCAGCAAGTGTGCATCTTTTTCAGCAGCATCGGTGCAGACCTCTTCGCCACCGGAGCTCAAGCTTGACCTTAGTTAGGGCTTTATTGCCGTGTCTCTGTCTACTAATCGCCATCTTCGGCAGTTGATATCGCCATTATCCCTTCAACGGTGTATAGCCTTAGGAGAAGTTTTCTCTTTCGGGCCCTCGCATCGGTACCTATTTCTACGGAGCGGTATGCCTGAAATTAAGCTGCTGCATTCCCTAGTGTTGCTGAAAATAGATTTCGCACCACAACGCGCCCCGTCCCCCCACGGCACGGCTTATACCCGCCGATCCACTCTCTGTTGCACTTACACGCTTACACACGCATACTAGATTACAGTCTCCACGATACACGAGTTCGGCTTGAATGGCATTAAGTGGCTTTCCAGCCAATTTCGTTCATCAGCGAACCATAAAGTTTGTCTCGCGTTGAATATATTACCCGTTTCCGCAATGCCGTCGGCAGAGAAGCTGGCTTTTATCCACAATTGGAAAGCAACTTATACTCCCTAGCTGGATGGAAAGTATTTAGGCCTTCATTATTATTATAGAAAGTAACATCTTCAACGTCCTCGTCCTGAGTGGATTCCTAGTCCTAGGGCCACCAATACGTTACAACGGTGTCCCGTGGAGAGTCCCTTCGGCCGCCAAAGCGTCGCATCCTATAGAAACGGCATCCCACTATTTTGTAACCTGTCAGTCACGGAAACTACGCGGATTAAATTGCACTTTACAGAAAACTGCGTTACCTTTCTACCCGCCCATGCCATAGGCGCTCAATTTTCTTTACTCCCATCATTACGTTATGAAGAGTAAAAGATAACTAGTTGGGATGTTCTTGGTCAGAAGAAACAGCCTCGCAGCAGTTCATGCCATAAATCTCCGTTTTCATATTAACAAGCAGCAGTTCAACAGTCTATACTCGATAAAACGCCAAGCTTGTTTGTCGCTTAACCCCCCACGTGTAGCTGGAACTATTCAGGGAACTGGTTTCTCTTAAATTTGACTCACTCGGTTGTACACTTGGAGAAATGGTTAACATATAGTAACTCAGAATAGTTTATAACTCAAGGTAACCTTTTTGGTGTCTAGTATACAAAGTTGAATAGTAAAATACAAAGAAAACGAAAGGCTCAAAAGAGAGAGGTCTAAATACAACAAAGAAAGAAATCCGCTAATACACAGTTTGCTAGGAAAAGAAAAACAACCGAGGAAAATAAACGAAAGTAACGCTGGGTATCAAAAAGAACAAAACCACCACCTTTGGAGATATCCCCCGCGCAACTGACGGGTGCTACTCAATAGAGGTCGTCCCTCTATTGATAGCGCTGTAGGTGTTCTGGTTCGGGACTGAAATGTGTCCAAACCTCCTCCCAATCTCCGTCTGTGTCTTTCTTACCCGATGGAGGGAAGCATATTAGTCGGCGGAAAGCATGCCAAGCGCGAATAAATCTCGTGGATAGCTCATTGGGAATCTTGAGACGGACCGCCACCCATTTCTGGTCAGGAGCATTGTCCAAGCGCATAGCCTCATCCGGATCACTAACAGGCTCGTCGGTTTCGAGGATGTGCTCGCTGGCCCATAAGCTGTGCTTCGTTTGCTCGCTAGGCAAGATGGTTTTCATGAATTCCAGAGAAACTGCTGTCGTGAGATACACTGCGCGCTCCGGATCGACCATGGATTTCATCAAGAGTGTCATCCAATGCGGGTAGAGAACAGCCAGATCCGTCATTGCCAGATGCGTTGAGCCAGCCAATGTCAGGAGCCAGCATGGTGCGCCATTGTCGCGAGCTTCTTTACAGAAGCCAACCACTTGATCGTAGTTGTCCTTCCAGTGCATAAAAGCTTCCGATGAAATTGCCATAATCGGTTTTGTTAGCGTTGTCTTCCGAGTCTCGCCACCAGCTGGGGTTGCTTGTCCCCAAGCATCCAGAATAACACCCTGGCCGAGCCAGGTGAGCGAGTCATCTCGGCAGAGTTGAACGGTCGTGGCTCCTCCAAAAGAGTGGCCCATGGCAGTCACCTTGTCCAAGTACATGGAGTCGGCCCAGTCTTCCCAGCGCACTCCGTCGAGGCCCAACGAGCTAGAGCCAACGTTTCCCTTCTTCCGCAAGTTGAGAGCCGCGACCTCGTCACCACGGCCGGCATTAAGTAGCTCTAGAACGTAGAAGGCTTCTTTGATTTCCTCTTGGCGAAGCTCGATCTGAGCAGAGCGGAGCCGCAAGTCGACGCCACGGGGGTTGTTCGGGGACGTATCTTGTGCGTTATCCTTTGGTAAAATATAGTCGACAATATAATAAGGATTCAATCCTTTCTTGTTGGCGCCGCGGACTTTTTTGCTGTGAGTCTTTTTCGATTCGTCTAGGTGCTCAGGCATTTGGGCAGTGCTGGAAATAATATCCTCAATGTTGGCATCGTCATTTAAACTAACATGGGTTCTGGCACCGCTACCATCTCTATGCTCCAAAGCAATCACAATACAGCCATGGCTAGCCAGTTCGCCGCAGATGGTGCTGTAACAGAGTCTAGATCCTCCGAGGCCATGGCTGAAGATAATGACAGGGAATCTTTGCGTTTCTGGGTCACTGGATTCCGGCTTCTCAGGCCCATCGACGGCAGGCGAGATGTCGTCGTGAACGGTCCTACAAATATGTGCATTTCGAAATGCAGGGAGCTTGGTAAAGAGTGTCGTACATCCTAGATAGCCAGTCACGGGAGTTACTGGCAGGTTTAAGTATTTAGCATATCCTCTCGCCGTCGCATATCTCGGGCGTGGCATCCAGTTGACACGACGCAGGTTCTTGAGGGCCATTTCTGTGTCGGCTTCTTTTCTGAGGTCGCAGGGATAGTATATTCCCATAAGGACGGTGTCGAGGCGCAGCACAGGTTTGCCATCTCTCTTCAAGTCGGATACTGGACGCGGGTTGCGAACTGGAACTTCCACATCCATGTATCCGACGCTATAGGCCCCCGTATAAAACGGTAGCTTATGGAGAAATCGCTCGCGAAAGGCCTTCTTGGGCAAGACAGCCCGGTTGCGCAACCGCTTGTGGTTATGTTTCATTGGTTCCGCCATGATGAGAGTTGAGCTTGTAGATCTGAAAGTTTGACTTGTTCAGGGCAAAGCTTGGGACCTTTTCGCATATCTACAGGGAGCGGGGGGCTGAGCCGCAATCTAAAGTTATATTGCATGGAACGGGAGGGACGAAAAAAATATGTCACCTTGTCATGGATGTGAGGAACGTTAGCGTGACGTCACCATAACAGTACCGTTTAGCTTGTGATTGAGCCCACCAACGCCCTGCCTGGTTTTTTCAACGTGGGCCCTGCAGATCTCCACAGAGGCTACAGTTTCCAGTGGACCTAGCGCCCTGGAAATTAAAAACACAGCGTCGGAGGTATGAGAAACGAGAGGTAGGAAAAAAAAATGAATAATAATAATGCCAATGCTAATCAGTTAAGATATTTTACGTAGCAACCTTTTGTAGTGGAGCTAGACGATGCATCGTCTCCCTAGCAGCGATCTGTTTCGGATACCATCGATTCTCTAAGCAGATGCGTTCTGTAAACAAGCTAACGGTCATATATCCTATACTAGGTGGCTCTCCGGTTTATAGACCTGGCAACTGCCAACAGGTAACACGGATAGATATACAGTATCCAGTGAAATGCGTATAAATAGAGACAGCTTGGAATGAGTAGCCAGAGATGTGTGGTAGGTGGATGCAGAAGGACCGCAGCAAAGTTTACGAGGTGTTTCTTTCCGAAATGTTTCTTTCCGAAAATTAACTCAGAATAAAAAAGTGTAGATACCATTCAAATACATAAATTACAGTATATTCAAGCCTTTATTGGAACCAATGCTTGTCGCGGAGCATAGTACAGCTGTACAACAGCCAACGGAACAACACAGATTGTATACCCACTATCAAAAGGGTCGCCATCAAAGCAGGGGCAGCCACGGAACGAAAATATAGTCCAAAAATTTCCAAAAATTTGTACTTTTAATTTTCATAAACTGTCTATCGATTCGCGTGACTTTACTCTTTTTTTTTAAACTCGGAACAGCATAGGTAGACTTTGGATGCTCGTTAATGAAGAAACTCAAACGCTTCGCTCCCTATGTAAGAGCCCAGCGGCCCACCCACCTTACCTCCTGCTTATGTAACCCTCTTTCGCCTCCTACCTTACACGCATGAAATTTTCTCCGCCAGGGCGTGACTCACGTGAGGACCTCTCCCGCACACAACCTTTGGCAAAATCCCGAAAATCTCAGCGGAGTAGAGCCGACGCTTCAGCAACCACAGTAAAATCACACACAACCACCACAATGGGTAAAGTTCACGGTTCTCTTGCCCGTGCCGGTATGTTTACACGTTGAAATGCTCGTCTTTTTTCAAATACTAATATTCTCCCAGGCAAGGTCAAGTCTCAGACCCCCAAAGTACGATAAACCCGACATTCGCGATTCGATGATGAACCGACCAAACTAACCACGATGCGTCAATAGGTTGAGAAGCAGGAGAAGGCTAAGCAGCCCAAGGGTCGTGCTCTTAAGCGCCTCAAGTACACCCGCCGTTTCGTTAACGTCACCCTCACTGGTGGCAAGCGCAAGGTGAGCTTGCTTTGGTTTGCTTGGATGGTGGCGTAGAATGCTAACAGACAACAGATGAACCCCAACCCCGGCTCATAAATGCATTTCTTGGTATGAAGGGAATGGAATGGGACGGAGGCTAGGCGAAAGTGTTTTTGTACGGCTATTTGATTGGCTGGGAAACGATTAATGTCGAGTCGATCGAAAGGCCGGGCATCCTCAAAAGGATAGAGAGCGATGCAACGACATACGACGACTTCACTTGGCGCCCGGTGGCGTTTGTCAATAAAATCAAAAATCAAAAATTATACACCCTCAAACCGACGACCTCAACGACTTTGTGATGAGATTTGCGATGGAGGGACACCTGAGAAGGACGGAACGGTGCATCTCTAGCAGTGGCCAGGAGCGACACCTTTCCATCATGGCACGGAAATTTGTGCTCTTCGATGCTTAGTGCTCGGTCTGGCTCAGATGACACGGCTCATGATGTTGCTTTCTCACGTCTTCAGGGCACCTCTCTCCATCGCATTTCGACCTTGTATGAGTAGATTGGCAAGATACAGCTCAGTTCCACGGCAACATTGGGCGAGTGGATGTAATTGTTGCAATCGTTATAATTTGAAAGATCAGCAACACTCAGCTCCTAATCTTGATCGCAACGACATTCGTAGTTAAGATATCGTAGATGTAGAAATGCTATGGCGGGAAAAGTCAGGTCACGTGACACGAACACTTCCACTACAGACCAAGCTTGAAGCTCTCTATCAAACTTCTAACTTCATATCCCAATAACAAAACGCCGCCCCTATCCTCGAAAAATGGCCGACACGGAGATGGATATCGACATGGCGGGCTCACCACCCACGCGTGACGAAGCACAAATGCAAACACACTTGAAAGCTACGGCTGTCCGTTCAATCGAAGGTTGGATTGTGATCGTCACCAACGTCCACGAAGAGGCCGATGAAGAGGCCCTACAGGACAAGTTTGGAGAATACGGAGAAATTAAGAACCTGCACCTGAACCTGGACCGCCGCAGCGGTTACGTCAAGGTATGTTTGCACAGAAATGGCCGGTTTTGTATCTGAGATTCGCTTTGGTGCTAACTTAACGTCCGCCCATAGGGTTATGCCTTGATCGAATACGCCACGTTAGAAGAAGCACGCGCAGCCATTGACGATGCCAACGACTCGAAGCTACTAGATCAAACAATCCAGGTGGACTTTGCTTTCGTACGGCCGCCTCCAGGAAAGGCTGGCCAGGGCGGTCGCGGGAACAGAAATGCTGGCCGAAGCGGACGCAGCAGAAGCAGAAGCCCTGGTGGCAAGGACGGTGAAGAATGAGTTGAAAAACAGGAGTTTGGTCTGGAAATCAAGCAAGACATGCGAAACACGGCCCATTAATGGCCGCTACGCCGGTGCGCAGTTGCGCGCCGGTACTTGTACCCTAAAGCTACATGGTAAGCATCATTCCTTTACGATTCATTGTTATTTCTCTCATCTAACCATGCAGAACAGAGAATTCATTCATAGCAATATACCCACAAGCCAGCGAACGGTCCCATACAGGGTCTCCGGCGTCCCCTATACGCTCTGAAGTTGATTCAGCATCAAGTGAGATGCACTAACACACATTTATCAACAGCATGGAAGTTGGAATTCACTCGTCGAGAGGTGCAGCCGCATCCAACTTGTGGACGTGTATAGATGTGAAGGAGGGGTGGCAGGCAAAGAAGGTGACGGCTCTTGAAAGAGATGGTATCAGATAGGTAGAAGGCCATGATAAATATGGGCTGGGTTATGAAAATTATTACAATGATAAATAATATCTGCCGAAGCGAATATCACATCATTTGTAACGAAAGATGTGACTAATGGTACGAGGTCCTTCAATGTGGATAACGCCAGGTATAATAAACCAACCACCGCAGCTAAATTGAATAATATAGTGCTGCGGATGAATCATTATCCACTATATATATCATAATTATTTGCCAGAATAATATATAGTATTATGTTAACCTATTTAGAAGCTTACAGCTTGCCCTGTTTTTGCTTCCGGGTAGTCGCGCGTCGCTGGACTGATGCAAGGCAGGCGCTGGCCCCACTCAAGCTGCCCAAGGTTAAGGTTCCACCTCCAGACTCGTCCAGATCGCCAGCTCTTACAAGCTGCACCTCGCAACAGTCGGACTCTCGAATCAAGCCGAAGCTACGAGCTCGGGACATGGGCAATTGAGATTATTCAGATGCCATTGATGGCGCCCTGGGCGCACTTGGAATGCCGACACGATGTATAATCGCGAGTCCAAAATCATGCGCAAGCTCCTCGGGAAGACGTCGACTGACACCTCTTCTGGCGATCTCTCTGTCACAACGCCCCCGAACCCAATCTCGTCCCTCTACCGACCTCCAAGATCGCAGAATGCCGCTCATTCACTTACAGTCCCCGCATCATGCGTTGATGTGACAGCCGACCGCCGGTCTATCATCTTTGCAGGGCCTCACATCCTCAAAACAGCCGTGGTGGACGCCTCCGAGGGCTCCAATTTTACTGTCAATGATGGAATTGACCTTCGCGCCGCTATCACGTCTCAGAAAACGTCCGGCTCGAGGGCTAATCTCGTGTCGGACCAGCTGAATATCCGCGACGTGAAATGGCACGGAGCCTCGACAATCTTCACAGCCTGCGCGAGCGGCCGAATATTCACGTACGACCTTACGCGAGTGGGCACGGCTGGCTCTGAGCCCTTCGAATACATACAAACTCAAGAAGACTCGCGTCAAGTGAACTCGTTGGATGTAAACCCGCATCTAAAGACTTGGCTTCTGTCTGGCAGCCAAGACGGTATCGCTCGCATCTTTGACATCTCACAACCACACCCGTCGCGATCTGGTGTGCTCAGCTTCAGACAACGATTTTCGCCCCTAAAAAGCAACGATCCAATTCGAGAAGTTGCCTGGTCCCCAACCGTTGGCCAGGAAATGGCATGCTGCACTGAGGCCGGCGTGGTACTCAAATGGGACGTCCGTCAAGCTTCACGACCACTCCTGCGAATTAACGCACATGAAAAGGCTTGTACTACAATCGCCTGGCATCCCGACGGAACTCACTTGATGAGTGCTGGCTGGGATGCTAAGCTACAGGTCTGGGATCTTGGGAACACAGCCGACAAGCGCCAGAAGCCAAAATACACACTCACAACACCAGCACCAGTTTCCACTCTTGCTTGGAGACCAAGTCTGTGGTCCAATACAACACAATCAAGGAGAGCAGCTCAGGTTGCGGTAAGCTATGACGAAACAAGTAGCAGACGCTACGGCTCGTCAGTTGTACACCTCTGGGATCTCGCTCGTCCCACCATGCCTTATAAGGAAATAGAGCGTTTCGATACATCTCCCTCGGCGCTGCTCTGGCGCGATCAGGACCTACTTTGGACTGTTGGCCAAGATGGGCTGTTTACTCAGTGTGATGTTGCATATGCACCGAAGACAATTGATCGCAGATCCACATCCGCCATAGCTTTCTCACCAAGAGGAGATGCTATGATGTTCTTGGAAGAAAGAACCCAGCCTAGCAGACCTAAAATAATGCTGAGACAAGCTGAGATTGATCCCATGCCGCAATATAGCACAAGCCCACGGACCCCGACTTTGAGTGTGAGCAAGAGTGACTCTGAAGACGATGTTTTGACGAGCTTCCTTGGACCTCGTCGGCGCATCGGCCACCGTCGGAGATTCAGCAACCGAGGAAACTCACAATCGCAGCCAACAACCCCTATCGATGATGCCAATAAGACCCTCACTCTCGAGCAGTCTATCAATGTCACAGGCACATTCAAGACGACCCAGAGCATGGCATGGGGCCAAATACCCACAGTTAAGACGGCATCCGTGTTTCAATACATGTCGGCCCACTATTTGGACATTATAGCAAAGGAATTACCAGGGCTTGATGATGAGAATACGCTTGCACAGCGTGTTGCAATCATTCTGGAGCGATTTGCTACAGTTGCCGAAGCAGCCAGCTTTTTCCGTGTTTCTCAGATATGGCGCATCATTGCCTTTGCAATGGACATATTACTCAACAAGCGGGCCGAATTCCACTTACATGCTCGACTCTCGCACTTCCAGAAACTCGAGATGGAAACTAGCAAAGCCTCCAACAGATTCAATCCACCGAGTATCCAGCTTCCTACTAATGGAGACGATTCGGCAAGAAAGTCTTCTGGCCAAGCTAGTAGCATAGATGGAAGGATTCACAATGTGAGATCGCTACTCTCTGAAGAGATTGAAAGCACCTCAAACGTGCCCACACCTCTTGCGCGACCTATTGACGGCAACGATGTGGCGCACTTTGATAACCGACAGTATCAGCACGGCCAAAAACTAGCTGCGATTGCCGAACCAGAAAGCCTTACTCTTGGGCCGTCTGTCCACAAGCAGTTCTCAGAGTCGCCTCGCAACACCTTTAGCTCGTCTGCAACGGACACTATCGGTGGTGGTAGCCAAGAGTCACATGAATCCATCACAGAAGGTTACGACTTTTACGATACCGAGGCTTTGGCGAGAGCTATTGATGTACCCTCGACACATTCGGATAACGTACCGAGACGAGCTAAGGCAATCCGTCAAGATTCTGAAGAGAGTTTTAGCCAAATATTTTCCATTTCTGATGGAACTAAGAGAGCTACGCACATCCCATCCCAGACTAATACGGCGACACGCAGCCGAAAGGAATCGCAATCGGAAGCAGGCAGCAGTGAGAGTAACGATCAATATCCCAGCCACATCCGTGGCGAACAGATTGATGAGGAGGACCAAAATGGTACAGTTAGAAGAAAGAAACGCAATTCTCGAACGAATGCAGAGTCACCAGAAGATGTGTTTATGATTTCACAAACAACAGCATCTGGTGATGGTACATATCCATCGCAGCAGTCGTTTTTATCTCAGTCAGACTCGGACCAGCTACAGTCGTTTCGCACATCAACCATTGCTACAGAAGCCAGGTCTCAGCGCGCGGATAGCTTCGTTAGAGCCGAATTTGAACACGATCCGAGACCGCACATTATCGACACAGACTACTTGCCTTGGCCTAACGACCCTGACTTTGAGACACTTAAAGGTGATATGCCACTTCCGGCCACGCTCAACCCATATCTTATCATACAGAATGCTCTTACTTTCGAAACCCGCACATCCACTCTAAATGCATCAGCCATGGCCCTGCTGTTAGGACCGCTGGTGCCAAATTCTGTTATTGACTCGCATCAGGCTCGGGCAATTCTGAAGCAGCATCACAGCAGACTGATGGGCATGTCTTTGTTTGTCGAGGCGGCCCTTCTACGAAAGCTTTGTGTCAAGGGCTGGCCCGACGGCTTGCCTGATTGGGGCGAGAGCTATCCTGGGATATTCTCCCAGGCTCAACAGCACGTCAAGAATGGCCTCTTCTGTTCGTCATGCCGTAAGCCACGCGAGAGTGAGCATGAGTCTGGAGACGCTGCCGTTTGGACCTGTGAGCGCTGCCAGGCCATCATGGACCCATGTGCTGTCTGTAAGCAGCGCGACCCGGAATTGGCGTCCTGCACGCCCGAAATCGCCGATGAAGACGGCTTGGATCCTGAAAGCTGGCTCTCTGGTTGGTGGTATTGCCCAGGCTGTGGTCACGGCGGCCACGCCTCATGTCTGCATATCTGGCACGGCGATTTGGATGAAGATGGGCTCGGGGCGGGCCCCGATAAGTACAGTGATGGATGCTGTCCTCTAGATGGCTGCGGCCACGCATGCTTACCTGGCAAATACCGGGGCGAGACCACTACAGCACGCTCTGGCGAAGTCGGGCGGGTTGCAGCAGACAGCTACAAGCCTCGAAGCTCCCCTCAACAACAACAGCAGCAGCAGCAACAGTCGCGGCGGACCAGCGGTAAACGGCGAGGAAGTCCGGAAACATGGCGACCTCTGCCCGAACGCAGCGTCAAGAGTGACTCAAACGACGTACCGCAAAGCAAGGCCGTTGGCATTGCCCGAGAAGCCCTCAATAAGAGTGGCTCATCATTTGGTGGCCAGACCGTGTCTGGTGGTATCCTAAGCTCCAGTCCCGGAAGGATACCAGGAACTGGAGAGCGCGAACGACGCAAGAGCGTCAAGTTTGCAAAGTCGGATTAAGGTTAATAGCGTTGATTGATTGGATTGTGTGGCGTCAAGGTGGATCGTCTGTATTTGTTTTCTCTGGTCTGGTGCTTTTCAGTAGGGCACTTCATATATATGTATTGCTTTATTTTAGCGTTGATGAAATTTCACTGAGAACCTGATCTTGATAAACTGAATCCGGTGAAAATTATGTTTTGTGTATTAAAAAAATGGGACAAGAAGGATTATAAACGTCTACTTAAAGACACAACTACCCCATTTCAATGCCAACGGACTGACTTCTAGCCAGCCACGTTCTCTCGCAGCCCCTTTGTACGTAAAGTAAATGTTGTATCAGACTCGTCAAACGGGAGTCCCAGGACCGTCTCTTCCGCCGCAGGACGCCAGCGCAGGCTGCCATTACCGCCGCCCAGAGCAGCTGCGCGAAGTGTATCACCGCGCTGGCCATGGGCTTCGCTATCAGCGCTACCAGGCCTACTACTTGTGATGCTTCCTGTATCTTTATCTTGTAGACCAGGAGGGATGGCGGAGGCGCGGGTTTTCAGATGCCCTGACCAGAGACCTCGCACACCGCCTTTCTTGCGCTCGGGAAGCTCCTCGGTTCCCGCGCTGCAGACGTAGAGGAGAAATTTCAGGTTGGCAAGAGTGTGCCTAATGTCGACTACACGCAGGCCCTGAGACGCGCAGAGGGCCTCAATGTCCTTGTTTAGCAGGAACCAGCCATATTCGAAGCGCCACTGGCCAGATGTCGAGCCGCCGCGGGGCAGGAAGAGCGGGAATTGGCGACGTCCGACATTCTTTTCGGTGAGGTGGGATATTTCGTCGTTGATGAAGGATTGTGAGCCGTAGGGTGTAATGGGATACGGGAGCGGGTGGGAGAGATAGTACTGGAGGTTGTGCGTGACGAGAGCTACAAGGCCAAGGCCAGCGGAGAGTGCTTCTTCGCCATATGCCCGAGCCGTTGGACCGTCGTAGACAGAGTTGGAGAGCGGGATACCGCATATTTGGAATGACAGCGGCGGTGCGTCGGGAATAGGTGTAATGGGGAATAAGCGGTTGAGTTCGGAGCATATGCGGCGTCTCTGGCCTCTAATATCACGATCTGACACGACAACGAGTTCTTTTGAAGTCTCTAGCTTCCCTCGGTTGTTCGCAATGTCCTCTTCACCGCGCTCTTGAGCTTCACGGCCTTCCTTGATAGCCGTTCTGCGGCTTTGTAAAGATTCCCGCAGCTCATTTCGGCGGCGCTCTGCCTGTTTGTTGATTCGTATTTGTGCTTGGACATACTTGTCAGCAAGAGCCTGCTCCTCCTGCGCAGCACCAGACCCGTCCACTACGGCGTCTTCTAGGATCTCGTTGATCTGCTGCGTAATGATCTTTTGTGTATTAATTGCATCTTCGATGGAGTGTTCGAGGTTGGCTAGCTTCATCAGAGCATTGTAAGATGATGTGCCAATGGGTGTTGCATCTCGAGGAGCGGCGGCGTTTGTAGGAAAGTCGAGCGAGTAGAGGCCATCCTCGAGGTGAAAGAGAAGCGAGTTTGGCGGAAAGTGGCGTCCTAGCATGGTGCCGATGAAGTTGAGTTTGCGCAAATCAATTAGCTCTTCTAGTAGAAAGACCCAGGTGTCTTGCTTGGGTCGCCTTGACCATATTCTTATGCAAAGGATCGTGGAACGCGAGATATCGGGCAACGAGTCGTCGAGATTGAAGAACTGGAAGTTGAAATTCTGCAGCAGACAGGCAGTTAGAATGCAATGCAATAAACGGGACAAAAGTAGCTGTATACTTACCGCGGACTTTTCGCGGACTTCGCTTATATATATCGGCTCGTCCTGTGTAGCGACATGCAGCGAGAAAAAGACATCACCAACCGCCGCATCCAGCACCTGCTCGAGCTTCTTCTGCCTCACCGACGGGGGAGTAAAGGCTGAGCCCAGACTCACTCTCCGCGGTTGCGGCGGCCGCGCGACATTCTTGCCTACTCGCAGGCTATCCTGTCGCAGCGTCTCGGACGATCGCGACGGATGGAGGGAGCCCGCTTCGCGCAGGACCTGTAGTTTCCGAGGGCTCGTATCCGATACATAGGCGTCGTCGGCAGTCCGCAGATGCGGCAGATCAAAGCAGAGGTTTCGCAGCGAGATGCCCTTTAAATGCCGGAGCTTCCTGTTCTGGGCAAGCAGACGCGGCCGTCTGGGCTCTAAGGATGACATGTCGATGGCATACTCGTGTTGTGCGGCGGGCGGATGAAGTTTATAATGAAGGCATTGGGCGGGCGATTAGCAAAGCGGTGAATTTGAGAGAATTGGAGAAAAGCGTGATCGTCGCACCTCGCGTTCGAACACCGGGCAGAGAAGGACGAGCGAGATGTGCGGAGGGGGAGGTGACGAGTTGAAGCTTTGGGGTGAGCTTGTGGATCTATGTGCTTGGGCTTCGGGTCGATTACGTCGTTGGGAGCGATGCGTGGTGCGCGACGGGGAGAAAACGCAAAGAAAATAAAATATAAAGAAAAATGTATAAATCAGAATCGTGGCTTTTAAAATTTATCTTCTATATTCCTGTAATTATTTATACGGGCAGCTTGCTCAAATCAGCTGTCTGCTCGAATAGGTGCGTCAACGGCGCAAACAGCTCCTCGCCGGATTCCCTTCCGCTATTCTTAATGTCGATCAAGTATTGCCAGGTTTGCCAGGACCAGCCGTGGCATTTATCTGGCTCCATGAGCTGTACGTGTCAATATTAGCAGTGGTGATACAATGGCTTGGATAGGTCAGGCCAGCTTGCTTACCTGCGGCTCTTGCGTCTCATCCACCATTTGGCAGAAGACGAAAAACGTGACGTAGTGTTTGTTGGCCGCGTCAAAGACGTCATTTGTGACATCTACAACCTTTACAGGCTTGACACGGAGTCCAGTCTCCTCTTCTGCCTCGCGGGCAGCACAATCAAGGACCGATTCCTTGAATTCGAGATGTCCACCTGGAACTTGCCAGAGTCCTGTAAATCAGCGATCATTAGCAGAGTCCATGATAAAATTACAATTTAGTCAAAGTCATATACCGGCTCCAAAGCCACCCTTGCGTTTGCCCACGAGAATCTGCCCTTTGCCGTTGCTGATAATGGCCGCTACGCCCACGCCAATCTTGCCGACTTCGGGTCTGTCTGACTGAGCCATTGTGTAACAATGAAGAAGTAGCAAAATTGAAATACGAAACACAGCAGAAACGTCCCCAGTCGGTCGATATATAAGAAAGTGGCAAGGCTGTGGTCACAGTTGAATTTCGGAATAGTCGGTGTTGAATCACAGCGTCTCCAGTTTATATCCAAGCGAGGGGAGTCACTAGCTCCAATTTGACATCTACGCCCTTTCAACCCGAGCAGACAAGATATAAACCGCCAGCTACTACATATAAAAATATTCAAAAATTATATTAGTTCATATCGATTGACGTAGAGCACGTTGCACCCGCATCTACAGTCAACACCGTCCCCGTAATCCATCTGGCCTCTGCTCCAGCTAAGAAGCGCACGCTGGCTGCACAGTCCCACGCATTACCTTCTGTCTTTAACAAACTCCTGCTCTTCCTGCTCTCTCTCATCTCATCAGACATGCCACCCCCGGCATTATACATCATAGGTGTGTACAGCATCCCCGGACAAACACAGTTAACGCGGATACCGTCCTTGCCGTGCTGCGAGGCCATGGCACGGGTCATATTAACAACAGCGCCCTTGCTGGTGGGATAGAGCAGGCTCGGAGTACCGCCGCGGATACCTGCAACGGAACCCATGTTAACGATACTGCCGCGGATGTTACCGTCACCGGGCTCGTTACGCAGCATGGCCGGGATGGCATACTTGGCCATGAGCATCATGCTCGTGACGTTGATCTCGAGACTCTTAGCCCACTCTGCAGCATCGGCATCTACCGCTGTGCCTTTGGCGCCAATGATACCCACGTTGTTGATGAGAATGTCGACGCGGCCAAAACTGCTGAGTGCGAGGTCGACGGCGGCTTTGCATGCGTCTGGCGACATCACGTTGGCGGCTGTGGCAACGGCCTTTCCTTTCCCCTCGCTGTTGACCATTTCAGATGTCTTTTCAGCCGACTCTTTGTCCATATCTATGCACACAATGCTGGCACCGTCTTCAGCTAGTAGCAGCGATATAGCACGGCCGTTGCCGATACCATCGCCTGCTGCACCAGCGCCAGTGACGATGGCTACCTTGCCTGCTAAGCTACGGTTGGCTCTTGTTGGCCTGTATTCGGACATGGCGGGGTTGAATTATAGGAGATATTTACAAGACTGTATAATTTATACAATTGTAGAAATTTGGTGTAAGTGAGGACGAGGTTAGCTTGATGCCCCTCATTCATATCCCGATCCTCGGTAACACTGCCTACTACGTGCATTAGTCACCGGTATCGCTGTGCTGCTATATGTACGTAAGTGCTACGGAAATGGTATGCCCAGCCAAAGTTTTCCAAGCACATCCTTTTATTCTATAAAACTGTAATAATTGCGAAAGATACTCGTAGAATACGCTTTGGTATTTCAATAGTCATTTCATCCCCGCGCTAACTTACCATTTGCCTCCAAAAACCACAACCCCTGCTCGCCCACTTGATACGCCTCCACTTACACGCCCAAGCCCTGCTCCAATAAACCCGCTTCCCACACCGCATTTACATATTTCTTTATAGTATAATTTACGCCTATTTTCTTTTCATATGCATGAGGTTTCTCCACATTGTAATACAATTCCAAGGCACTTTGGCCGAGTGGTCTAAGGCGCTGTGTTCAGGTCTTCTACAAAAGAATCTCTGTACGATTCTTCGTCGTGCAGGCGATTTTGAAAGCCTCTACTTCGCAGTCTAGAAATAGGCGTGGGTTCGAGTCCCACAGGTGTCATTTACTTTTGCTTTTTGCTGTTATTTTTGTTCATTTTTAATTCTCTTTTTGCTACGCTGGCTCAATCACATGTGGTGGCTCACAAAGGGCATCCTGGTAGTAAGAATGGTGTGTATTTGTATAAGTTTAAACATAATTCATGCAAAGTTGCATCCAAACCCAGTCGTAGAAAATAAAATAAAGAAAACCCTTTATATGTACCTCTAAAACGCCCAAAAGAGAAACACCTTTTTTTTACACTGTACAGCCCATCTAAAGGTCGTCCCGGTCCATGTTGGGCAGCTTGAGCTTCCATGGACGAGGCAAAGTAGGCAGTCCGATCCAAGTACGGTAGAATCGCCAGATCTCGTAGCGGGCAATGCGGAGGCTAAGAAAAGGTTAGTATATCAGTGGATTGAGAAATGGTATGTCCCTTCAACTTACACTGCAAAAGGTGCCCGCATCCAACCAGTGGCCACAATCTTAGCCGCTAGAACCACCATGCCCAGTTCATGGCGAATTTCCGCCATGACGCCGTCAGTCTGTGCTCCGTACTTTTGCATTCTGATTAATGCAATCATATCATCCGAGAGCTCCTCCTCCTTTTCTTCTTCTACTACCGGTGCATTCTCATCTACTTCTACGAGATAGTAGGGCTTGTCGGTAGGGAAGGCAGGCTTCTTCTTGGCTTCAGCCTCAGCAGCAGCCTTTTCGTCCTTGAGCGTGCGGAAACGGGAGATGGTGCTAAGAGACTCAGAGAGGCGAGCGTAGGTGTTGAAGAGCGCTACGAGCTCGGTGCGCTTAAGAACCGGGATGTCGTCGCTGTTGTTGTCAAACTCGAATAACACTTTGAGCGCGGTTCCGTAACCGTTGGTCTGGACCTTGCCCCAGAGGCGGCACTTGTCGCAGCCCACGCAGTCCATAAGGCGGCTAATGTTGCGGAAGCGGTTACGGAAGTCCTCCTTTAGCGAAGGACCTTCGCCATTAACAAACATGAGGCTCTCATCAAAGATCTGAGGGATGATGCTAGCCTTCTGCGTAACTGTGAGTACCTTGGCGCGTGTAGCAGCATCTTCGGAGGGGTCTCCTGTGCAAAACTGGTATTGGTCGGTTTGAAGATATGGGCCGAGTTTGGCCACGGCTCGCGTAACAAGGGCGTAGTTAAAGTACAGGTTGCTAATGCGCTCCGGGTGCTTATCCAGGCGCGTTTCGTAGCAGGCAAGGTTGGGCTGCCACTCGCCAGTCGTCTGGTTCAAGTAGTCCCAGCAGAGATGCGCGCTGATACTAGCATGCATACCCGAGACTACTCTATAAAAGACTCGCTTCTCCAAACACTCATCATCCACCTCGAAGCCAGTACTGGCCACAAAGGGTGTTTTGGGGTTCGAAAGACGCTGCTGCTGGAGTTGGGCCTGGCGGCCTGCGGCGTCCATCATCTGCTTAAAGTCCTGCACAGCAGGGCCTTGCGGCCAGCTGGACATGCCCAGGTTGGCAGATTTTGGGAACGAGCTCTTGGAGAAGCAGTTTTCGCGGTAAATGGCATCCCAGACCTGCCAGGCACCCTCACCAGTATAGCCGGTAAATCGTTCGGGGTTGCGCAAAAGGCTGACATAGTCACCCTTGGCCGACGCGCTCTCGTCCTCGGGGACACAGTAGTCTCTGTCGTCGCATTCGTCATCGTATTCAAAGACGCAGCTTTCGCCCACGTTGTCGCCCAGTGCTCCGTGCAGAGGTCGCTTTTCCTTCTTTGCCGTGCCACCCGGGTGCTTTGCTAGCGGGCCTTCGAGCTTGCTAAGTTCCTTTGCCCTCCAAACCTCGGGCACGTCGGCTTCGTTGTCGAGCGTTTCTACGGCGCAGCCTATGTTGCCGCAGAAGCCGTTCTGATCATCCCAAAAAGGGCACACTTTGTTGAAGAGGTTTAATCTATAGTGGGAGAAGAAGTCGGTCGTCTGGGTGAGGTCGTCGATGGCTGGTTTTACGCGAACGTTTAGCTTTTCAAGAGTCAAGTAGGAGGCGCAAGCGTCCTGGACAATTGCCTTGGAAGATACCTAGCGCAACGAGTTAGAGAAAGAGGAAACACACTGCTAACGGCCTGTGATCAAAATACTTACGGGACAATCGTCAGGCTCTGCACAAAGTGCTGGTGCAGCCCAGAGGGCAAACACCGAGAGATAGAACTGTTTGCCGGCAGGCTTCATGACGGGCAATGCGACAGCTCGTCTATGCTGACGCAGCTATTTGCAAAGGAAGCGAAAGAAGAGGCCAGCACCGTTGTTGGCAACAGAACAATGTAAAGCCGGTCAACAGAATTCCAGCTGCATGCAGGGAATGTTGGGGGTGAGGAGGAGCTCTGAGAAATCGACGGTACGGGGATATCGGTTTTCGGTAGCGAAGCGGCAATGCAGAATAAACTCTAACATAAAAAGACGAAGTAAAATGCTAATGTAAAAGAGAACTAAAGTAAGAACCCAGGTACTTTACGGACCCTGAAGTCGGATGGTTTCTCTGACTCGGGACGTCGGGAGGCGAAACGGAGAAAAACCCCAGGTGTATTACCAAGATGCCACGCTGGCGGGATGCCGCAAACACACTTACGCAGTCCCGGCCGGTACCTTGGTGGGCGTGCGATCGTGGCGCTAGTGGCCAAACATGGGCGGCGTTGGTGCACCTTTTGGCACGAAACACGTAGGACCCCACCACAGGCCCCTACAGTGCCGACTACACGTACTAACGGTAGGCAAAGCGTAGGTGGAGACTGGTACTATAGTGCAGCATTATAGTACGTATACAAAACCAATTTATAGTGCATGCGACAAAAGCGCGCGTGTACCTGGAAACTACTGGCGAGGCTGGCTGCGTGCTCTTTGGTAACGCAACTCTACGTCACTGTCAGCCCACGAAACATGCACTGGATATGAGCCGCAGATAGGCTGCATACGTCTAATTTGGTGGCGGATATTCGGTAATAAAAGTTCCATTCGAGACGAAACGCAGATGTTGATACATCAGCTTTGACAACCAAGCTTCACATTGCCGTTACTGCTGGTGTGGTCAGACAACACGCCTGTTTCAACGTCACGCGACTGTGCTTTCACGCCATGAGGAAGCCCTTTTATATTTTTGCTGCTGCTCACTAAGGAAAAAAAAAAGCACTCTGTATACATCAATTCCACCCATGTAACAACGCGAAAAAAGACGATAAATAGCTCCCCTCCCTGCACCTTGGGTGCGGGTTGGCTCCCAAGCAACCCAGCCAGCGATACCTTGCCGACTTTACAGGATACTGCAGCCAATGCTTCACCCAGCCAACGATGGTATTTCTATCAATCGCAAAAGGACCCTTGTAGCGTGTAAGAACCATTATATCATGACAAAGCGTAAAAAAAGAGGAGGACGGAGAATATCAAACAACCCAACCATAACGCTCAAACTTTGTATGTGCGTATTCTGCTACCGAGGTGTTGGTCTCTGGCGTGCCACGGTTGAGTCGACGGAAGTGATGGTGACGCACAATCAAAACTTGCTCTCGGATAACGCTCACTGGGGAGGCTGGTAGTTCAAGGGGCGCCTAATAAACAGACAAAGCGGTCAGTGGTTTGCTTGCAGATGCGGTTGTGGGGTTGCCGGGCTCGCTTACTTGAACAGGAGGATATGTGGCTCGGGTTCGTGAACTTCGTAGTGCTCCCATCCCAGACTCTGTATGGAATGTTAGAAAGAGGAATTCTTCTGCAGTCGGTGTCTACACTGGCGCTGTGCATTGGGTAGCCACCTAAAGGGGGAAAAAGAACGTACTTGCGTAATGCCGAGGGCTCTCCATTCGTCCTCCCACAACAGCTTCAGCGTTCCCTTTGCCTTGTCCTGGTATTCGCTGGGAATAGCCTTGAGCATAGCCTTGGGGAGCTGCACATGTCTATATTCGTATTCGCTATCTGAGTATCTGTTGACAAGCTGTCAGAAGCAACTCTTGGCGGTGTCTCAGTGACTGCTGTTTTTTTCGTCTGGTTCTCCTACCTGCTAGAATAGTGGATTGAGTCAATGAATTCTTCAAGACGACCTCGCTCGGAGTCTGTCAGAGGGCGCGGGGCCTTGTTGCGTCGGCTGCTGTCGATATCCATGGTTATTGTGAGAGAGTAGAGGGGAAGGGTCCAGCGGAAGTGCTAGTGGACGTTGTTGAGTGTGGCGTTAATGGGCGTTGCGTGCAGGCACTTCGACTTGATATGCTTAATCAGAGAATAAAGGAAAATAGACGCCAGTATGCAGCTATCAGACTATGAAGTCGACTATTCGCAGAGAAAAACACGGCGGTTATGGGTCCCGAGCACGTTGGAGATGGAGCGTTCGTGTGCGTCAACCGAAGGGCGGTAGCAATCGGGGTTATTGGAGAGGGGCTCGTCAAAACTCGTGGGTTTGGGTTGGAGATTTTGCCGCGTTGAAGGAAGTCGAGATGGATTGAAGACTGTTTATTTTCGCGGTGATGCAGACGGGGGACAAAATAGAAAGAGAAAAAAAAGAGAATGGCAAAGTATTACAAGAGATGTTGTTGTTGCTGCTGAAGAAAGCAAAAAGCGGGAAAGCAAAAACAAAGAGGCCTGAGCTTGAGGAGGGGTTCACGAGCAGCGGGCTGCTAGGTGGTGGGACAAAAGTAAACAAGAGAAAAAAGTGGGTGGCACCTCCACTGAGAAAATAGCCGTTGGGTGCTGGACGGTGCGCTGGAGGCGCTATAAGAACAGAGCCAAAGACGCGATGCAGAATGGAATAGAGATGCATTAAGTATGGATTGTCTACGGAAAAAATAGGGACTGACACTGGAAAGATATTGTTATCAATAGCATTGAACAAAAAGAACAATAGCCCATTCATATTGCCCAATTGACCGATTGAGTGACGGATTGATTGATCCCAACCCTATTCACAAACGCCCGTGAGTCTCCATTGGCCACAACACGGACCGTGTTTTTGGTTCCTATTCGCCTTCTTCCAATAGTAAGCGTGACCCTAACCCAGTACCTGCTCTGCCATTCACCAGTGACACGCTGCTCACCACATTCCCAATCTTGACTTTGACGCTGGATGTCTCAATGCGCCACTGCGATGTCGCCTGCCCCGCCTCTTCCTGTTCGAAAGTGACACTTGCGCGGGCCTTTTCCTCGTCGGTAGGCGTGTCAAAGGTCCATGCTATTGAGACGTGGAATTCACTGCCTTGCGCCGAAGCATCCTGGCGTTGGTAGAGAAGCGGCTTGCCTAACCTGCCCGCCACACGGTTGCAGCTCTTTAACAAGCCCATCAACTCTGGGTTCGACCCAGCCTTAGTAGTATTCTTGCTAGGGGTCCCCTCAGAGGTCCCCGTGTCGCTCTCAACCTGTAAAACTAGGAATGTGCGATTTGAATCGGGGGATGTGAACCATGCAAGCCTCTTGGGCTTGACGTAGAACCTTTGCACACGACTTAGGCTAATGTGGCTCGACACTTGATCTAGAAACTTGTCTTTTTCGTCGGTGGCTAGTGAAATAGGCCGTGACAGACTTATATGCAGGGGCAATGCAGCTCCGAGGTCGCTTGTAAGGAACTGGTGCAGCTGGATCTTGTCACCCAGTGCCGTAGAAACAGCAGTGAGTAGGTTTGACAACACTTGGTGCTGTTCTGGATCAGGGTTCCCTATACACCCAGTTAGAAAAAGAAATATGAAAAAAATAGATAAAGATATAAAAACATACATTCCACGTAAACATGGCTCGGCCACTGGCCAATAACATGCGGATTCTGGCGTTTGCGGCCTTGGTGCAGATTCGGGTCGTCAACGGTGCTCTGCCTCACGGTAGACGCGTACAGATCGTGGAATGCGTCGGGAAGAGGAGGCATCTCGGTGACAATGGCATCATCTTTCGTTGTAGCGATGCCATCACCGCTATTTCCTCGTCGACGCTTGGAGAGTGGCGCCTTTGCATTCTCGTCGTCGGTGTCTGACGACGAGTAGTTAACCAAAGGCATGTTGCCCAACGCGCCAGCCAGCCAAGAAATTGCCCATCAAGAGATCGCTCCAAGGCTGTAAATCTTATATATTGATAGACAACAGGGCTTTATGCGTCTCTTACGCCATGGCAGTAGTTGGCGATCTTTGCTTCGCCGCACGAAACGTGTGTGTAGATGCCAGAGTTTAACCACCTCAGGGCTCCAGTGAAAGACGTTTATGAAATGGAAGAGAAAAGACCAGAAAGTACACGCCCAACAAAAATAAAAATATGTTAATAATAGTATAAATTCTTTTGTATCTATATAAAGCCATTTGTGATGCAATTGAATTTCTCAATTCTTTTCCAAGTCACTCCGGATGACACTAAGCAATACCGCATCAACCAGGACACCCTCTTTCTCATAGCAGCCCCTCATGATCCCCTCATTTACAAACTTGGTCTTTTCCAGAACTCGTATACTGGCGGGATTGGTGTGGTAAATAGTAGCGAATAGCCGGTTGAGCTTTGGCCAAGTTGCAAACACCCACGGAACAAAGGCCTTGACCATCTCCGTCGCATAGCCGTTACCCCAGGCCCATGGAGCAAACCAATATCCCAGCTCCCAAGAGCGGTATTCGACATCACTTCCGGCTGCTGTGCCTACAGCTCCAATAAGCATAGGCTCTGCGCTTTGGTTCCCAGCCGCGTTGGGCTTGACAAAAATGGCCACATGTGTAGGATACTCGGTCCAGTTGGCCGGCTCACAGCGTCGAGAAATGAACATCTCAGCTTCCTCGGGCGTGTAAGGCGAGGGAAATCGGTCTCGTAAATTTCGAAAGATTTCTCTGTAATTTGCAACGTTGGGAATGTGCGGCTCATCGCCTCGCTGCCAACGTCGTAGGATCAGGCGTTCTGTCTCCAACAGCACTGTCCCAGGCTCGCTGCTTAGCGGCTGGGCTGTCTCAAGGACACGATTAGGCAATTGTCGGCTCATTCTGTGATAGATATATTGGAGAGAATCTAAACAAGGCTGTCGGAACACGGGCTCAGCCTTGGTCTTTATAGCACCCCAAGTAGTGTGCGGCTGAAGTGTGTGGGGGGTGATCTTTTGCTCATAGAGCTGCCCGATACGTGACTCACAACAACAGGTTGAACTTGAACCGTTTCTAAGAATTGACTCTTATTTATTGCATTTACAACAAACGAGCGTCTGAATGTCATACCGAATATTACAGCAATCCAAAGCTGGCGTCTCCGAATCCGGCTGTACAGCCACCCTCGTCCAGCAGCCGTCCATAACATATGCACATGCCGCTAGAAAGAGCAGGTTAAAGATGGTTAATCGAATATCAGAGTCTAATCCATCATAATAAAAGTTAGAACAGAACTAAGTGGGGGATTTTTGCCTTTTTCAGTGGTCTCTGCTCTTTGACTCTCGCTCTACCTTGACAAACTTTTCTTATACAGAATCAAGCGAAATAAGCTTAACAAGCGATGCAGTCTATCAAATGGCTCGTGACCGTAGAACCATTCTACTATGGCAGAAAGAATTAGAAGCCGAATCTATGACATTCTTTGCCGAGTATCTAGTCGTATGCTCGGCTTTATAGTTTACAGTGAAATCTCAGACAAACTCTCTCGATGTCAATCCAGAGTTTATTTAACATGTCTGTTTAAAGAGGCCCAACGTCCAGTGTTTGTATTATTACTTTCCTTGTCACTTTTACAGTATCATCCCCTCACTGTCAAACTTGTCCAAATCTTGTTACTTGCCTCTGTACACATCCCTCAAGACACCCAAACCTGACCTCACAATGACTTTGGTTAGAGCTAAGAAGCCCGAGTCTATTGCTCGTGACCGTGTAAGTCTCTCCCCCATACTTACACCATATGCCATTCATCCCCAAACTAACCTTTTCCAAGGCCATGGAGCAAATCATTGGCCCCCTGTTTGCGACTGAGCCCTGCAATGACACTGGCAGAAGCCCAACCCTCGCTGAAGACACGGCAGCAGCCTATCAAAGCATGGAGAATCTCTGGTCCACGCCTGGATTCCAATATAATATCCAGACTATGAATATCCCCGCGGCAAGCTCAAACCCCAGCTTCGTGATATATCCCAACTGTCCAAACTCACCCGAAAGGTGGCATATAGCTGATTGCTGCATCTGCTATCGCAAGTTCATAGGCCCCTTGCCGGACCGCCCCCTAGAAGGTCAATACCCGGTGCAACTTGGACCTAATTATCACTTTTGCACAGCGGAGTGCAATGTCCCAAGCATTGACACTTTTACTCACGTGGACATATCACGCCCTCACCCCTACTATTATCTTACTCGTGCAGCCTTTCTTGCTTCCGTGTCCCAGAGAAATGACCACCGGGATCCTCCACTTCAACCAGTGTGGGACGAACCCGTTTGGGCTCAAACAGCTGACACCTCGAGCCCAGAGAATGATGTGGCTACTCCCGCCAGCTCAGAGGACATGGAGGTGGACTGGGAGGACATCGCCAGGACTAATCCCACCAGCTTCTACTACCCTCAGAGAAATGACATGATACAGGATCAGTCAACACCACTTGCAGATCTTAGGTCTCTCTCTCTCATCTGATTAGTTTCTTTTGTTAGATCATGTATAACAGGATGGCATACTCATAAAAGTAAAGGAAACACCACAAAACACTAAAAAAAGGAACAAAAAGGGACATGGGAAAGGTTGTACATCAGATTGTACTTACACACAACACATTCACTGGTTTTGAAAATAGTTCTTCCATTCATGTATACTTTTAGTAAATCGTGTTAAAACTCCCATACCCATTGCTTAAAAATACGCCATGCCGCTCCAACCTAAAACAGTCTCAAGCTCATTTCTCATTTCTGCAACATCTTCATAACCGCCCTTCATCGCCATCTCGGCTCTCTTGGCGGCACCAACCTCTGTCCACCGTGCAAGCACCGCTCCATCTACAATCATGCGGCCAGAAGCAGCCGTTTCTACTCCTACAACTCTCGCCGTGCCGCTGGAGGTGCCTTCTGGTAATCGGTACGCTTTGGGATGCAGACCACCGTAGGGGTTGATCGACGGCAGCAACTGGTTTGTGAGTGACAGCAGGCGGCGGTAGCTGGATTCGGTCAACGGTGTAAGAGCAGCCAGCTGACCAGACGGCGATCCAAGAATTAGAATTTGGGGCGGGGGTTGATTGACTCCATTTGCATTGGGGGGTGGCAGTGCCGACGCGGGAACGCTTCGGGGGAGGCGAATTGTGCAGTTGACTTGGTTAGGGCCGAGGGCAAATGTGGAGATGTGTAAGAGTAAGTGGCCTTGGAGGGATTTTGGGTCTGTCACAAGTTAGTAAGATGCACCTCATATCATCACATGTATAAACTTACGTTCAGGGTTATATTCAAACACGTGCAAATCACCGTCAACGTCAGATGCAACCAGAGACAGATCATCGCCGTCAGGCAGGAAATCGGCGACCAACAGCGGTAGATTGCCATTACTTTTGCCCAGAATCTTGAATGTATAAGGCTCTTCGGTGTATCCTCCAAACCATAGGCCCTTGAAAGCATCGGCCAAGAGACACAAGCCTGTTCCAGGAAGACCGCGGACACTGGTAACATGGCAGTTCATATCCAAAAATGCTACAGGTAAAAGTGAGCCGTCTTCTCTAAGACCACGAACCATGCACTTTTGACCCTGTGCCACAAGAATCAGGCCTTGTGTTCCGATTTCTGATAGAGAAGTCACACCTCCACGAGGCAAGTCCTCCTTGGCGAGAATTTTGAGCTTCTTGTTCGTCTCTGGTCGTCCAGGCTCGGGAATAACGGCTACGATATCAAAGACTTGTACACGACCGCGAGTCGGCAAGTCTTCACCCTTTGAAAGTGCCGTTCCCACAGCCACCAACATCTTTTGCTCTCGCGTTTCTTCGGAAACTTCAAGACGAAGAGACATCATGCTTTCGATGGATTCACACGGCTCCATCTCTACTGTATGGATAACTGTCCAAGTTTCGGGGCTAATAAGCTTGAGCACACCACGGGACATGGTAGGAGGGAAAATTTGCGTCTCCTTTGCCCATTCTTTGTGGTAATCATCATCCTTTGGTAGCTCAAAGGGCTCGTTGATACTGCATCCGGCAATGTATGTTCCCGTTAGAGGATGGAACGAGACTTTCGAAATATCGCAGTCCATGGCCATCTTCTTCACCGACAAGCCGAGCTCGGTGAAGTTGTGATCAGTTGGCAGCTCGCTTACACGTGCAATACCTTCTGTATCTGCGTAGATAAAACCTCTTTCGCAGCCCTCTGTGTGGAACGTGCTCAGCCCACGTACACCAAGGCCTTGGAGGCCAATAACTCGGGGAACACTCTTGCCGGACTTGATGATAAAGCTAGGTGAGTCACCGGGCATAAAGACAGTGCAGTAGCCTCCAATATCCCCGCAAGCGCGTAGAGGTGAGTATCGCTTGTGGCTGGTTGCGTCCTCGTCGGTTTGCTCTGGTCGTCTTTCAGCAATCGTTGGGTTGTATGCCTTTTTGAAGAATAGTGTTTCCGATACACTTGAACCGGTTCCGGGCGCTTGGTATCGAATAGGTTCGTAAATTGTTACATCATCAGTAGCATGGCGGAGGATGAGATACGGTGATTTATCCACAACATCGCCGAGATCTGCAACGAGCAGTTCCGCAAGATTCTCTTTTGTAGCTCCTCGTCGGCCTACAAAGTCAGGCGACAAGAAGGGCGGTACAGACGAGAAGCCCTCTGCAACATAAACAGGTTTGGAAAGGTCAGGCAGAGCGTATATGTGTAATGATCCTGCTGAGCTCAGCAAGAACATGACCACAGGTACCTCTTCGTCCGCACTCGTCGCCGGTTGGCTGAACAGCCGTTTTGAATCAATATATAAGCAGCCGGCTTTCCATTTGGTTGTGTCCGACTCGGCAACAGGCTTCTTCAGCTCCTCCAGCTCATAGTCATGGCTAGGGTTGATCTTGGCAACGAAAACGCTACCATCATCGCGAATGACGAGGATGTAAAGGTCAACAATGCTAGCGCTAACTGCGCGCGGCTCGGCCCCTGTTGCTTCGTCTTCCATTTCGAGAATCTGGCTCACAGCGAGATCGCCATCATACGATCGGATCTCAGACTTCAAAACCTGAATGACACGCATTCTGTTGCCCATGCACCCAGCCTCGATAGTTATGCCCGCTGCCGGTTCAAACTCAGTGCCTTTTAGACTCTCAAATCCTGCACCAGTAAGAGCATAGACATCCGACGTTTCGTAGCCGTCAGGGTCGACCTTTGCAACAATCATTAGTTTGTCATGCTGGTCCGTCCCTTCATAATCTTCATTCAGTGCGGCAGTAGGTCCAAGACCGGCTCCCAGTGGCTTCTTTACACACATAGTCCAGAAGCCTCTTGATTCCGGGAATTCGAACCGGCCGATAACCTTGGGGTGGATGTTTCTGTTGAGAATAGCAATGGCACCAGCCTTTCCCCTTCCAACGGCGCATAGAAGCTGTAAATCAGCCGACACACCTTTTCGAAGTGTAGCCTCTTCGCTGCCCGGAAGGAAGACCTGTTTACCAGGTGCAAAATCCTGCATTGGTGAAATACTTATTAGGGTATCGTGAACGCGGAAAACAAAATCGCCCGTTTTGGAGGTGGCCGACGATGTCAGCAATGGTTTTGCTGTGGTGGATTCTGTCCCGTACAAATCGTCGTCTGAGTCGTCGTCTTCCACGTCAAAGTCATCCATGTCCATAGTTAAGTCTGGGTCGAGTCGTGGCTTTTTGCGCTTGTCGGTGGTGTGTTTTCTGGTCCAGCCTAGGATTATAGAGTCGTTCGATTCGCTGCCAATGAACAAGGCATCATTATCCAGTTTGGATATGCAGGATACCCTACTCTTGATAGCATCTCCTCCACAGTCGGCACTGATCATGGTAACAGTCAAGCCAGAAACTGTACGGCCATCGACCTTGAACGAAATAAGGCCGAGGCGTCCATCGCTAAGAATCAACAGAAGCTCGCCTGTCTCGATCGAGAGGACCTCCACAGCGCAGCCTTCGAGTCGGATATCAAGGTCCGCTTGATCTGCCAAGCTAAACGATGTGGTCTGTCTGGTCATGGGATTCACAGCAACACCATTAGGCTTTCCTGATTGATCAATATGGATCAGTTCGTTAGTGCCTACAAGCAGGGCACCTCCTATCGGCCCTGGTAGAGGAATTACTTTTTGAAGATCCTGTGGCAGCCCAGTAACGGAAAGAATAGTAGTCGAGGCTCGCTGCTGCAGGTCCAATGTGAAGACTTTGTACGTCATGTGGTCCTTGGTACCTAGCACAGACGAAGGGGCCTGAGCAGATGCTATAATACCAAAGGTCGGTTCGCGGTATTCGTGAAGAAATGCCAAATGGATAGGATGGAGAAGTGTCGGGTCCAGCAACGGGAGTCGCAGGACAAAGGACGGTGTATAGATCGTTTGCGATTGGCTGTTTTCCGTTCCAGTAGCCATGGAAGCATCTTGGGCAGGACGTGGGCCGTCGAGATCTTCGTCCCAGTCGTCCATTTCCAGGTCCTCCTCTGCCTGTCGGAAAGGAAGAATGGCTAGATTTCGGCTGCCAAACTTGAATGCGGCGCATCGACTCGCGGGGTCTGCTTCCAAGTAATTGACATATTCTCCAAAGTTGAGCTCCCATGGAGCGCCCTGTAGCTCATCCTTTTCGTAGTAATGTATCGATGTCGTATCGAGGGTTCGTCGCTGTGGATTCCATTGTGTCAAAGCCATTTTAGCTCCGCGGTACGCAAGAAGCAGAGCACTTCCTCCTGAAGCTGTATTCTTGACGTCAACACGGGCGAGGCCAATAATATTGCCCGCTACTGCTACTTCTGCGACAAGAACAAGCTTGGTGTGTTGCGAATTGTCCTGGATAAGAAAGGCTTCTCCGCCGAGAAAGTCGGATTCGAGTCCATCGTCATCGTTGGCACGAGCGTCAAAGGGGCGATCGGTATTGCGCGGTTCGTCTTGCTGGTTTCGATTGTCGATTTCGGCAGCAATAATCCTCGTCTCGAAGATCTGGAGCAGCGAGCCCTTTGCTACTAGAAGGTTGTTTGCTGTAACGGACGTGAAGGGCAAGCTCAGCGAGTGGGAGACCGCCGACGGGGCCACAAGCTCAGTATAGACCTGCATTGCATCTGCACCGTGCCTCAGCAGCCCGCTTTGTATGGAATTGGTCGAGCGGGGGGCCTTGAAAAGAGACGCAGGTGAATGTGGTGATGATGGAAAGCCACCCAGTAAGTTTGGCGAAGCTCTTGCTTTGCATGCGCCTGCCGCCCAGCGCGGGACCCTCTTCAGCGGATCAACGCAGCGCCGTGCCGACGGCCCAGTAAGCCAGCCAGGTGCTACACAGTGGGAGTCCCCAGTGTCTGCTCCCCCACCTTTTAGGCGACTGCACGCCCTGTAACAATGCGCTGGCCCCAGTGTCGCGTCGCCAGCGGGCACCCACCTTGGCTAAAACGTTTAGCGCATCTGCTACGCCTATCACAGCACGCGCCAGCTGAGGCTCCACGCCCATACAACCCAAAACTTGGACGCTAACTCTGAAGCTCTCCCTCGATTGCGTCACGAAGCATTCCCACCACACACGCCCTTGGGAGGGATTAACCTTTAACATCTCACCTTCCCCATAGTCACCCGCTCTGCGACAAACTTTCTCCATACGACACCCCACGAATCGAAACATACACGTTATTCCCACAACCTACGCGGCTGACGTCTTTGCCCATCATGGCCGACGCCGGCCATATTCAAACCAGTCTCATCTGGATTGCGTATGCAGCGGCAGTTGCTTTGTGTCTGGCTGCCGCCATCATCACAACTTTCACTTGGCAGACTTCGCGCGAGCGCTCTGCTGTGGTGAGCTCCGTTGCCATCATCAGTCTGACCTCGCTCCTCGCCACCGCTCTCCTCTTACCCGTCGATATCGCTCTTGTTTCGTCTACCGGCTCTACGGAGCTTGGTGCAAAGAAAACCTGGGCTACCCCAGAACGCATCGAATCGATTCTGCTCGGATTGCGCATCATATACTACGTCCTCTACAGCTTCGATGCGCTGCTATGCTTGCTGTTGATTCCATTTGCCTACTTTTGGTACGAGGAATACGATGAGATTGAATTTGAGGAAGAGGGGCGTACCTGGGTGAGCCGATTCTGGGCTTCTGCGAAGTATACATCGTTTTTCTTAGCCCTGGTAGTTCTTCTGTTCCTCGTCGGCTTCTTCGCCCCAGCGGCTGGCGATCGAGCAAATAGCCATCTCGACCTCGATTACTACAGAAAGCTCCTTGCTCAAAACCATGGAGAAAAGGCCCTGACTTTTGCACTTGGTCTTCTCGTGACGCTGGGCACCATCATGTATATTCTGTACACGAGCGTCGGGCTTGCACTCGTGCCGATTTCATTCATCAAGGGTGCTCCTAAGATTTCAGCTCCTCAACTATCTGCAACCACAGCATCTCAGCTGGAGCAAAACCGCGAGCGCCAACGACAACTGGAGATGCGCAATGCTGGCCGTCAGGAAGGCATGTCGCGAAAAGACCGACGAGAACTCAGTGCCCTAGTTCGAGAGGAGCAAACGTTGGTCAGGCGCGAGCGTCTGGCCGCTGAGGCTAGTGGCGAAGGTAAAAGCAAGCTCTACCAAGCCTGGCTCAAGGTTGGAACACTGTTACGCCCCATCAAGATGATTGGTGGACTCTTGTTAATCGCCGTGTCTGTTCTCGTCTGGGCATCTATGCTCATTACTGGCATTGACAAGGCGAAAAACTCCATCTGCAAAGAACGATGCGGCTACATCATCGGGCATGTCAACTTGTTCCAGCCCATGAACTGGATCTTTGTGAAAACCGCAAACATCTTCCCCGTCGATTATGTCCTGATGGCTCTGTTGACGCTCTATCTCTTCAGCTGTTCGGTGTCTGGCATCGCTTCCATCGGCGTGCGCTTTCTCTGGGTGCGAATTTTCCAGATTCGCAAGGGCAGAACGGCTCCGCAGGCCCTGCTTATTGCAACTGTTATGCTTGGCCTTATAACCTTGGCAATCAACTACGTACTCGTCACCTTCATTGCGCCGCAGTATTCCCTGTACGGCACACAAACATTCTGTACAAGAAAGCCGGAATATGAGGGAGCCCAACCCGACTGCAGAGGCCATCTTGACATGGTTCGACTCTGCTCAGAGGCTCTGAACGACAAAATTACATCAGACGTTTGTACACCATCCGTCATGTCCACCTTTTTGAACCGCATTACCATTACCTGGCCATTCTTTGGCGTTGTCGATTTTTGGGGACAGTTTGTATTTTTGTTCATTTTCTTGATTGTCTTTGTGACGGCTATATTCCGCACCCCAAAGGTCAACATGGCAGAGCTCGATGAAGACGCTGAGGAAGATGAGGAGGAATCCTTACTTGCTGCGACGGGCCGGCGCTTCGAGGCATCCTGGGGCGATATCCGTGGCGATGCGAGAACCAGCTATGGTACCAATAACAACTAGGTTATTGCATCCGGTTGTATTTTGTATTTTGTATTTTTTTGTTTCTTATTCCTACCTTTGGTTTTGGGTTTGGTTTGGATTTCGGGATGGCGGCGCTTTTGCTATTTATTTTCTCACTGTATCCAATGTAAGATATCTGCCTGTACACGACGACGGAAGCAGTATGGAAGCTGCCAGCAGAAATTAGCTGTTTAAATACAACGTATTGATACATTTGTTTAGCTCTAAGATGCTCCTATAACAATCTTCTTTTCCTTCTTCTTTCTGTCCTTGGTGAACTGAACGGCTTTGTGGCTGCGGTCATCAAACGCTGCCGAAGGGCCCAGATGCATATCTTTCCAGCATCTTGTGCAGTATACATTATCATCGCATCCTTTACAACGAAGTGTAGCGTCTTCAAGACATACTGTACACCAGCTGTCAACATCATCATCTGTGTAATTCGTCCGTGTCTCCAGTCGCTTCAATGGTTTGCCTGATGGACGAGAACTAGGTACTGAGGGCAAGTCGAGGCCATCGTCCGTAGCTCCTACACTAGATGAACGAAGAGACGCCATTCGAGCCTGCAAATCGTTGAGGTCGCTGGAGGGACTAGCATTGAAATCATTACCTCCGAGTTCCGACGGTATGGATGGGAATTCCATGTTGCTGCTTGTATAAGTCTCCTGTCCGCCATCTTCCTCATCAGACGCTTTTGGGTCTTCATCTTCTTCCTCCTCTAGGAGACTCCTTTCAACCTCTAACTCATCTCGATACCTTGCAATAACATCATCAACTTCATTATTCATCGCTTCGCCATCAGAATCATCACTATCGTCCCCGTGAACCTTTTCATCATCCGCACCTCCTTTTGGTACGTCGTTAGCTAATTGCTCTAAAAGCTTCTTCACCTCGTCATCGGCTGGATCCTTAGCGGCTGATACCGGTTCAAGATGCTCATCGGCTAGTAACTCTTCAAGCGTATTATCGTTTGTCTGGAAGAGAGAATCCGGGTCCACCGAGCGGGTTTTGCTCTGCGCCGTTTCATTTTGTTCTGATACTGCCGCTTCCTTTGGTTGTCGAGGCGGGGTTGGTGATGAGCCACCATTGCCATCGCGTAGTTGTTTCAACCGCGCAGCGAGATTATCTTCTCGGCTTGGAGTCTTCTTTCTCTCTATTGTATCATATTTAATTCTGTAATCAAAAAATATCAGACAAAATTAGCAGTTGCATTCGATACGCCTGAAGGATGAGCGTCCACTAACGGGGTGCTGGCGGCAGGTGTCGGCTGTGCTGCTGGTCCGCCACGGAGGGCCTGTAACCTGGCCAGAAGCGATTTATCAATATCACCGCTCATTACATAAAGGAATGGTGTGTATTCTTATGGTTGTTAACGATAAGCCAAACAAAGAAACGCAATGACAACGCCCGGTGATGAAGGAGAGAGATGCCAGTGAAGCGCACTGCCTTGACTTAAAGGTGGGGTCCGCCATGCTTCACACTTTCAAGTCGCTTGGCTTGCATCACCATCTTCATGAATACGATAATCGGGTGAAATTGTCATTAATTAATATTACAGCATATTATACACAAATTCAAACTATAGTCCCTGGTCTCAGCCAGTCAAACGTGTCAAGTAGTTCAAAATTGAACAGATCATTCATATCGGATGGGATGTCCATCATCCACGCCAGGTCATTCTGCGTTGCACTTGATACTGCCTGTGGCGGATCTAGAACTCTGTCTAGAACCTTCTTTAGAACCTCTCTGATATTGGCGCAGAGCTCAGTATTCGGAGTCTCCGGTGTTACCCATTCAAGAATGCCGATAAGCTTGCTCAACTGCTGTATCATGGCTGACTTGGAAACGCCTCCGGGTCCCTGAGAGGCAATAGAAGGTCGGAGCAGTTCGAGGCATAGAACTCCGGCAGCCGGGCCGCCATAGCACATAACTGTCCATTCAACATCGCACGGTGAACTCTCCAAGAGCATCTGGTTGCTCCACGGTATCAGAGCGAGCGCAACCATCTCCATGCTAATGTGGACGAGCTGCGTCACGTCCTTGGATTTCTTGGCCAGGAGCCTCTCGATGAAGAATAAATTCTGCAAGTGTTCGACCTGTATTTGTAGTTTCGCAAAGAAGATGTCCTTCTTTACATCACTAGAGTGGAGTTCTTCGGCCGAATATACAAGCGCTGGAGGGAAACTGGCGTGCGTTGCCGATTCTTCGGCTTTAAGATCTCTGAAACAATTATCAGCAACAGTAGACAATATGTGATACTCATACGTACGTCAATTTCTTTTCACAGCCATCGAAGTTACTTCGCAAGGCGATCTCTAAAATAGCATCTCGGGTATAGGCGATCATTGTTCGAGCACGGAGAATAGTAGTATGGTGGATATTGCCAGCGGTATTCCATCCTTGCGCATTTAGCGATGCGGCTGCTTCTCTTGATGGTTGTAACAGTTCCTCATCGCTTAAATCTAGCGGCAGAGGTGTCGAACAAAATCGATGACTCAAAAGCGGTGGTCTTCCAGCAAAGGTCGCTAGGAGCTTATCAACTTTAAAAACAGAGGCGAATAGGCGTCGCTGAATCTGTGTTGAAATTGATGCGTCGTTTTCTGGTTTTGACGACGTGTGTAGCCCAAGGTATGTAGTCATTGCAACAACATCGCCGTGTAACCTCCAGTGTTTCATTTCTATTCAGCAAATGATGTCAGTGTTATGTCCTAGTGTTGTTGACACCTTCAAGGCTTTCTTACCTGCATCTCCTGACAAATTAGACTCGATGATGCTATGTTGATAAAGGAGAAATAGCATAAGAGAATTGCCTTGGCAGGCCTCCCAGCAGAGTTGCGAACAATTCCAGGCATTGTTTTTGTATCGTTTCAAAGCAGTGATTTTTGTCTCATCCGTCAAGTAAAGGCCGGCTCTAGCAAAACGATGGCGATCACTAAATAGTGCAGTAGCCCAGTATGCAAATAGAATACCAATAGACTCCCAGCGGAATCGAGGTCCCGAGAATTCACTAAACCACCGATCGGGATCAACATGGTCGTCTTTCAGAATATCGGCGGTATTGAGGCAGAGGGTGGTGGCCATGCCCCAGAGAGCCTTTTCAGATCGCGGACCATCAAGAATATCGCCAAAGGTGGCCCAAAGCGAATCCAGTAGCTTTCTTCCTGCCAAGCGGGCCCATGCATCAAAGGGTGTGTGAAGCGAATCGAAAAGCGCGATGCTAGTATCGTGATCGGGAATGCTTCGCAGGATATCGACGGCAAAAGAAGACGGCTTCTGATCCAGCAGGCGGCCACACTTCTCCCTAACTTCACTGTCTGGAAAATCCACATGTCCCGGTATGCCCTGCATTGACGACAGACTATTTTCAGCTTCTTGAAGAACTGCCGAGAAACTCGTGGCACCCAGGTAGCCAAAGCCGCCCTCATGCGCACGCGATCCATCGTCACTATAGGGCGGTCGAATGAGCGAGTTTGGCGAATCCGAGGTTGGCGAATAGAGCTCCGATGATTTTGGTGGGGTCGGTAAGACATTGTTGGTTCGTTTGGTGATGTAGACGCATTGTTCCGTAATGCCGCCTCTCTTACACCGGGAGCAGACTGGCAGCCGGTGGTCGCATGCTACTTTTCGCTTGTGACATGGTTCGCACGCCTGTGGTCGTCCGTTGCGGCGGCGCGGAACCGTCTTCATAGTCGTTGATGGCAGAGAGGATACCATTTCCGCTACACAGCTGTCAAATATCTTGGTGTTGCGCAAAAGCTCCTGATTGCCAATTGGCGTCGTGAACATATTAAAACGGTCGGCCAGTGGCTCGGCGCTCGGCTCTCGGCTTTGGTAAGCCGAAAGCTGGCGGCGCAACAGTTTTTCAGCCAATGAACCGTGGATCGACAATATAAAATAGAAGCTTAATAAGTGCGGCTGAACTTGCATGTGTCAACTTTTTTTATTCTTATCAGTCTATTTGCAGGTAATAATGCGGAATGTTTACAGCGAACGGTGAGTCTCGATTGAGCCCTATTATACCGCCTAATGACACGCAAAGGGCGCCGTGTTCTACTGGTTCACGGTGGCCACCATAGAAGAGCGAGGGCTATATGTTTCAGGATCTATTTAGAAGTCGGGGTCTTACAAAAAAATCTTGCGAATATGCTTTCGAAAGGCCGATGCCGGTGATTGATAATGGATTTGAACAATGACATCAAAATCAAGATGCTACCCATTAGGCACACTGTCAGGCACTGCGCACATGTCCAGGCGACACCACCAGCGCGGTCAGGCTGTGCAAGCCTTACGGTGTGCTAGCGCTGGCGGGGATTTGCACAGCCGCCATCCAGTGTTCCCTCGGGGTGGCGCAGCAACAAAAAAGAAGTCACCGGAAATAACAAAGAACGTAAAAAAGTTACCTGGGGTGCATGGAAGCGTAAATGGACCCTGAAGGAATATCAGTGGACGCTGTCGATGCCACCGAAGATCGCAAGATTTTGTCTGAGTGTTCCAAGGTGCCTTGTGGTGTGCAGCGGGAACCAAAGTCCTTGGCAAACCTTCTAACATGTGCGGCGGGCTTGATACAATCTAGCCAAGAGTTTTGAACCTGATATAATAGCAAAGAAAGCCTTTGCAGTTCCGGTAAAATGTATTATGGATGCCTGATTTGGAATGTTTCCGACTCCCAGCCTGCTGCGCTATGGCTGTAGCTGAGTACAACAGTTGGTACCCCAGAATTCAGCCTCCACCCGGCTACAGTATGGATCCTCGGTCTCGCGAAGAAAAAAATGGGCAGGGGCCGTGCATGAGCCTCAAGACTGGAGAATGGGTGGGAGAGTTGCGTCACAGCTCCGCTAAGGCGGTCTAATCCCGTATACTGTAGTACATCTCTACTCGTTTCTGCAGACTGTGCTTACAATACGTTTAATACGGGGAGACGAGGTAAGGCTGATTGAGGTCTTTGCCGTCTGACTAATGAACATGGTTTTCTTTTTGCTCACTTGACTGAGCATACTGGTCCGGGGCATTTCATATTCAACTCTAAAGATGATGACGGGATAAGCTTAAGAGAAAAAAAAACCTACGTGCCATCGTAAACTACACATTGCTCTCTACACAGCGGCATGTCGTCACCATGTACTTGGCAAGGCTACGGCCGCATTAGCCCTTTGTTCGCCAAATGCACGCATCAGGAAGGCTACCGTTCATCCGATGCATAATTCCAAAAAGAAAAAAAGAAATATCCCGGCGGACAAAATTGTACCTTGCGAGCGGGCGTCGCCATGACCAAGGATGGAGGCAACCCGTGTCAGCGCCATGAAATCATAGGGCCCACTCCGGTACTTAGAGGCCCGCCCGGGGCGCTGTAGCTCCGCCCTGCAGGCACTAAAGCTCACCTGGTACTTTGACTTTAGCCAAAGCAACCGCAGCACCCAAACGGCGTACTCGGGCGTAGAAAGAAATTGTGCCCGCCAAGACTTTGTTGCCACTGCACGATAAATAAGCCCTGTCGCATCCCTCCTCCTTCAGCGTTGTTTCGTCTACAGTGCATCATCAAACAAGTTCGTTTCGCAAACATACCAGTCTGCATCTTTGGTCTTTTTTGGCTCTACACTACTCCTGCACCTTACCTAGTCAACTACAACAACAAATACTATGAGACCCGACCTTGCCGTTCTCGCACTCACCCTGTTCAGCGGCGCCTCTGCAAGCGTCATCGGTGATCGCCATGCCTTAGCCGATACAAGTATCGACCAGCACGATCTGTACAAGCGCCGTGGAGGTGGTGGAGGTGGAGGCGGCCGTGGAGGTGGCAGCTCTTCATCCGGTTCGTCTAGCTCAGGCCGTGGTGGTTCATCGAGTTCGTCTGGATCGTCTTCCAGCTCCGGACGCGGTGGTTCATCTGGTTCATCTGGCTCATCTGGCTCATCAGGTTCATCAGGTTCATCAGGTTCATCCGGCTCCTCCGGCTCCTCATCATCCAGCTCAGGCCGTGGTGGTTCATCGGGATCATCGGGCTCATCTTCCAGCTCCTCTGGAAACAAGTCACCACCGTAAGTGTACTTCATGAACCTTAAACAACAATATAAACGAAGCTAACACTTCCCAGTCGACCGGCTCCTGTTTCAAACTACCCAGGCAACCGATATCCTGGCGGCGCGACCACATCGTACAGAAGTGGTAACCCATCACGCAGCGGCATCGTCCCCGGCTTGCTCCTTGGTGGTTCTGCAGCCATTCTTTTCTGGACGGCGGCCTCTTGGGCTCACCCATGGCCCCATGGTGTCTACACTTACCCCTACCACCAGCCCTACCAGTTCCACAACGATACCTCCAACAAGAATGAGTCTATCCCAGTCGTCTGTGGCTGTGAACCCGACGCCGATTGCGGTTGTGACGATACTGACCCCAAGGCAAGCCTTGATGCTTTGGTCAACAATGGCAAGATCAATAGCACAAACGCGGTGTTGGGCACAAAAGACGGACAACCAACATTGTTTATCAATGGTACATTGCCCACGGTGACCGACGACAGCTCAGCAGCTTCTACTATTGCCACCATGGGCTTTTGGCCGATGGCTGCCATTATCTTCGCCAGTGTCTACCTCGTATAAGGTGGCGGTATACGATTCGTTGATTTACTTTTCTTCTTTCCGGACATGGGATGCTGTTCATGATACCACGTTGCGCCTAGAACCGCATGATTTTTGGATACAGCTCAGATTGGGCCATTGATATACTGTAACGACTTAATGTAATATAGAAACAAATGTACGAATTTCTTTTGAGATTATATGCCGCTTTGATTAAACCGTGAGGAGGGAATAACACACGGGGGCTGTCCAGTAAGGCGACTACCCGGTAGTACAATTTTGAGAATTGTTACCAGTTTTATAGACCATTTTCACTTTTTTTTACTCTTTGAGGTCCAATGAAACGCTTTTATACGATAATTAAGGTATATTTTCAGAATTAGTATTATATTTAAAGAAGGATAGGGAATCTTGCAATTGTCCAAAGACAGGATACGACGAGGACAGTTACTGGAAAAAAGGTGATGATGCCTAGATTGTTCTAAGGGGTGCCGTCTTCGAATTATACGAAAAAAGAACACATATGAAGTATTTGAAGAATGCTTTTTAGTTCAATTTTTGGAATATAATCCTGATTTTTTAACGTTATACGCATCGAAATCACCGTGACTCCTGCTCATTCTCAACGCCTATAAATACAGCAAGGAGGATCGCGCCGGCGCCTCTGCGTGAACGCGACCGCAGCGCAACCCAGCACGCGACCCACCCCCGAATTCTGCTGAGTCAGGATTTCAACTCCTCGCAACAGTGAACACTCACACCTTCACAACGCATCGTGAATTTGGCCTTCCATCAACCAGCGCTGCCGTCTTCGCTGCTTGTGCGAGTGCAAGGCTTTTCTTTTGTATCATAAGCATTTAGGTAGCTCCTCGAATTACCTGAGAATGCTATAAAGGCCTTTTGTCCTGCACAGCGCGTGAACGGACGTTGTCGCAAAGCGACTCAACAACGCCACCATGGGTGATGAGAACGGGGATGCGAAGGTCGCATCGACAAAAGACGAAGCTCAATGGGCTGAGCAAATTGCTGCGGATGAGATCGCCATTGCGCGCCTGTTGTCGGAAAGCCAGAACGATAGCGCCGGACTTAAGCTCGACGACACGCCATTCGATCAAACAAACAAAGCCGACGACGCCGAAGACTTTGAAGATATCAGCGACGATGACTTGCCCGACGAGGAGCCCAGCGCAGGCCAATCATTAGAAATACCAGCGCTTACGGACGACGGAGGTACTAGCAACGATGCGGATGACCTTTTTGGTGAAGGTGCTTCGTCACCTATTGACCCTATTCTCGACGAGACCTCTCCTGGACCGACAGTGCGCGACTTCGACGGTGTAGACCAGACACAAGCAACGGATATGAGCTTGGACTTTGCCATTAATTTCGATCCTGAGCCACACAGGTATGGCGCTGCCAACCAAGACCCCGACATCCCTGCACCAGCCGAAACGGTCGAAGATTTACTGAAAGCGACGTGGCCCTCTTTTGAGAAAGGCAAAGTCCTCACCTGGAGTGAGCTTTTGCCATCAAAAAGGGCTGTCTGGAAAGAGAAGAAGCCCACAAAGAAGCCCAAACATCTCGTGACCAGCAAACTGACTCTGGATCTCGCACCCGATGACGAGAAGCTATTCCGCATCCCTGGTCCAGCCGCATCGTCAAGTAAGCAACGGCGCGAGGCGCTCAATCTCAAGAAGCTTGTTCTTTGCGACGAAGACGCCATAGCAAACGAACGAGACGTGGAAGCTTTTGACCTTGACCACGACTCCGACGGTGGCTCTGTCCATGGCTTTTCTTTGCAAGACATCTCGCTTGCCTGTGAGGATTGGAACGACAACATTCATCGTATAGAGGATGCATTTTCCTCACAGTTGGCAGCCGAATCCGCCACTACTAGCCAGAGGCGTCCTGTGGAAGACGCAGATGACGAATGGGATGCGGAGTTTTTGCAAGATATGCAGGACGTTAAACCGAGTCTGAAACGAAAAAGACCAATCCCCAAGGGTCTCCCCGCTATTCCAAAGTACGGTGTTACGTCATTTGACAACTTTGAAGCAACGACAAAGCTCGGAGCTAAGCGTGTACATCTCGACCTGAATGATCCCCATCTTCTACTTGAGACGAATTTCAGCCGAGCTGCGGTGAATGGCGCCAACAGAGGAGATTCTGCCGATAAAAGAGTGTCTAATAGCAACATTGGACGTAGTATCTCAAAGCGTTTCAACTTGTCTAACGACGAAGCATATGACCTGCTCAAGGAGAATCACCAGAGCAAGGTTCGTGCTACGATTGGTCTTATCACCATGGAACACAGTCTGCCAGCCGACAAGCTTTGCTGGCCCTTTTACAAAGTTAAGCTTCCTGGTACTACAGATGAGTATCATCGGCCACGCTTCCGCTATCGAAAATTTGCTGGTCACGTTATCCGGTTTGAGAAACCGCATCATTATAAGCGTAAGATGATGAAGGGCAAATCTCATGATGTTTTCAACAAATCCAAAGATCTTAGTCTTGGCGATAATGCGACTGCCGTGCTCATGGAATACTGCGAACCTCGACCCCGAGTTTTGAACGGATTTGGCATGGGAAACAAGGTCATCAACTACTATCGCCGCAAGGACAATGTTGAAGAAGAGCAACTACCTAAGCTTGATCTCGGTGAATATCGAACGCTGCTTCCCGAGGATAGATCGCCATTTTCGTTATTTGGCAGCGTGGACTCCGGAGAGACCGTCCCAACCCTTCACAACGAAATGTACCGAGCTCCTCTATTTAAACACGACCCTAGGAAATCGGACTTTTTGATTGTACGAAACACCACGGGTACGGAAGGCTCACATTGGTTTCTTCGAAAGATTGACCATCTACATGTGGTTGGTCAAACCTTTCCAGCCGTTGAAGTTCCAGGACCACACAGCAGAAAGGTCACGACAACGTCGAAGAACAGAATGAAGATGCTGGCATACCGCATGATTCGCCACAGTCAGAACGACAACTTCAACTTGACACAGATGACAAAACACATTGCTGAATCTACAGATACTCAGAACCGACAGAAGCTGAAAGAATTTCTGCAGCATGATAAAGATACTGGGGAAAAAGGCATGTGGAAGCTCAGAAGTGGCGAAGCTTTACCAGATGAAGCCGCAATTCGTGCCATGATCAAGCCAGAAGATGTCTGCCTTCAAGATGCCATGCAACTGGGTATCAAGGAGCTTGAAGATGCCGGATACGATCCGCGCAACACCAACATTGACGATGATGCTGTGTTGGGTGAGGAAGATGATGATGACGGCGATGAAGAAGGAAGCAAGGCTCCGAAGGGGACGAAGAATGCAGAAAAGGTCGAAGAGACCCTTGCTGACAAACTTGCTCCTTGGGTTACTACAAAAGCCTTTATCGATGCCTGCGCTCACAAGGCAATGCTCCAGCTTCACGGAGAAGGTGACCCTACTGGCCATGGCCTTGGCTTCAGTTTCATGCGCACATCCATGAAAGGTGGTTATCTTGAGAAGGTTCAAGGGCCTCTAGCGACATCCGCCGATGCTATTGAGCGTGAGAAGCGTGCCAACGGTGGTCACGCGTATAATGTCAAAAAGCAGCAAGCCATGTACGAAGAAGGTATTCGTGAAATTTGGGACAAGCAAAAGGCTACGCTGCAAGACACCAAAGAACACGATGACACAGATATCCAGACGAACGAAGATGAAGACGACCGATTCAATGTTCACTCTGCCGCCACACCAGCTCAATTCGATGACGGTGTAAGTCAAATTAGCGGCCTAACCTCAGCAAGCCGCCACGCAAAACGAGCGATCCGCATCAACCGCGAAATCCGCATGCCCGACGGAAGCACGAAAACGATTTCTGAAATAGTCCACGACCCTGTCGTTATAACGCAGTATATGAAACGGCGTACGGAAGCCGAACTGGAAGAAAAAGAGTATGTTCCACCATCATCAGTAGACACCAATCATTGCGCACGTCCAAGAAAACGACGCAAGCCATTACACTCATCATTTAAAAGCAGATTCGATGCCCCTGGATCTACCAAGGACATTGTCGGCCTGGAATTTAAAGCACCAGCTTACACATTTTCTTCCACAGCATCTACACATCTCGACCTACGGGTAATGCCGACCACGACCGTCTTGCAGGCATTCGGTAAGTGATATGCAGGCCGCTAGTGTTGGGGGGCTTACACTAACACAACTATAGAATTAAGAAGGAGCTTGAACGACTTGAAAAGAACAAGGCAAGACGACAGGCCCGAGAGCAGCAAAAAGAGCTGCACCAGAAAGCCCGAGAAGGAGATGCTGGATCTCCTGGGGCTGCCGATAAGCTCATCCCAACGGGAACCACAAGAAAGTGCGCCAACTGCGGATTGGTTGGCCACATTAAAACGAATAAAAAGTATGATACCCATTTTCGAAGCACCCGAGTATACCCCATTTGATTGGTGGAAGGAAGACGGAAGCGTTGAGCCCCGTGCACACAATCCTGGCAGAAAGAAGAAAGTTCTTCATCCCCTCCTGGCCCAGATGGCCGCTGCCGAAAAGAAACGTGCCAAAGAGGCCAAAGAAGCGGCTACCGCAAACCGAAAGCGTGTCGCCGAACAAAGGAAGCAGGATAAGCTTCTACAAAAACAGGAACGAGCGCGACAAGGCCGCCGTAAGAAGAAAAAGTTTCGCAACAATGGTGGCAAGCAAATCTTTGGTTATACTCCATCGACCAATCCTTCGATGCCTCTCGGACAGCAAAGCTTTACTTCCTCGCTCTCACGTTAATGGCTCTCTCTAACACCCCCTGATTTACCTCTTGTTCCACATCCACCGTTTTTAACACCCCAGAGACGTTTGTTTACAAGTTGCTAACATGACTTTCACAAGGCTTTGCCCGCTTCTCAACGGCACAAAACACGTCGAAACCGACGCCGCGGAACATGGAGGCTTTGGCACATACAACGCAGGCAAAGGCGAGTAAAGACGGTATTGTCTGCCACTGGGGCAAGGGATACGTCTACAAGAGGAGGAATCTGTATTTGGAGTTTTGTACGGGAGACGAAAAGCAAACAGGTTTGCATAGGCCCTACAGAGTCAGGGGGATAGAGGCCAGAACACATGGTGGACTTTCGCTTCGCTTGCGCCAGACAGGCTGCCAGCAACTACATGGAATATGGCACGAGATGGCATATTATCGAGGCTGGAGCGTCTACAGCAAAAACCCCGAGACTAGTGTAATATACCCAAAGATTGTATATTTCTTGACAAGCTTAAATGACCCTCTCCCCAGGTGCATGTGTCATGGATTGGATAGTGTAAGTGTGCCCATGGGACACCCAGCGTCGCAACCGGCACCACGCGTAGGTGGCAAAACAGGGCCCAGGCAGCCGTTGGCGTAGAAGTACATGACAAGCGACCACTGCGATTTCAGATGCGATGCAGACCCCGCTGAGGTGCTACGCTGGTGATCGATTTGCTGGCAGAGGCTATTACAGCATTAGCAGACGGTGGCAACGGCGTGGTGACACGCCGATGGAACTTGCTGGCAAAGGACTGCAACGCAAGCCAATTAGCATCTACACGCGAGATTTACAGGCGTCCTGCCGAGCATAGCCAAAATGGTCGATGACCGGGGGATGATTTGTGCCAAAAATCCGAGCAAGGCCGAGAAGGAGTCTATGCGCGTGATGAAGAGCAGCTGGATGCATGTGCGTGTGCGCGGATGGCGTCCCCCGAAAGATACTACGGTTTTAGCGTTTATTTTATCTACATGTCAACCTGTTTGTTCATAGGAAGTACATGAGCGCCAAAAGTGAACCATTGATGCGCCTAAGCATGTTCCGAGAAAGACGACTAACACCATAAGTGAGCTTAACCCCTGGTTGTTTGTGTACGCAACTAGCTCCTAGCCCCCATTAGGAAACTCAGCATGGGCCACCCGAGAAACGTTGTTTTTGCTCTGCATACACATGCCCGCCCTGCTTGCAAGGCGACGAACAAGAGGCGTGGGTTAAGCGCCGTGGGGGAGACAAGGTTGGGTTGCAGCACTAACGCTGGGTTATATTTGGCAGCGCGGGCTGCAAGGACCCTGGCCCTGCGGCCGCTGGTTGGCCAGCCTAACAAGACTCGCCAATATTAAAAAGAAACGGCTGCATTATGCAAACTCCGAGGGCTTGAGAGCCGCGCCTTGGCCTTGTCAGCACGTTCCCCTTGTGCCTGAAAGGAGAGCGCGATGGCGGCGGACCGGAGGCTAGGCTGAGTTTACGCGCAATTGAGTTTTGGTTGTTTACAATCAATCTCTACTGTCTTCGTTATTAGCGGTTTCGGAGACGTGGCTGGCTGGTTGGTTGGCTGCGCTTGTCGCGCAACTAGCGAGCGCCGAAACAGTACACACAGCTGGTGTCGCGTATCTCTTCTTTGCTTGCATATTTTTGGCAGAATACGTTTTCTACAAGGTGAATGAGGATATATCATTAGCTGTGGGGGACCTGACAGACTAGACAGCGGCCACGGAAGATGCCGTTTTGGCACTGCGGCTCCGGAATGGGGACATTGGCCTGATTATGCGGGCGACCAAGCGGAGGACCGAGGGTAGCGCGGGAGCGTGAGGAGGTATGCGAGTAGGGGTCTGAAGGAACGTGATGGGATATTTTGAAAATAGAGGCGAAAATAAAAGCGACGTATGAGATCAAGTGCGCCTGAGCATGCTCGTCGTGTCCAGATCAAGCATTGTCGGTGCGTGGAAGCGCAACGCCTGCTGTAAGCGAGATGAACGCTGTGTCGAAAGCTGGGCATGCTTCGTTTGTGGCAACTCTGCTGTCGGAGGCGATTGTTACCGCATCTTTCTCTCTCGTACAGGTTTGGGACTGTCTCTGTCACAGGTTAACAAGAAACAAAGGAGTCGGCGTGCAACCCGATGAGCTTAGGTCTGCGCGGCTTGTTCCTTTTGGTGAGGCGTTGTCTCACCACGCTGAGACTGCCCTAAACAGTAAAGCCGCCTCGTTGGTTGCGTGATGCAGCGTAATCAAACCGAGAAAAAAAGAGAGGTGATGTCTTGCAAGGGGTCTCACAGCACAGCTCGGTCGAATCCTGGCCAACAATCCGATCTATTGTTCGCACTTGACTCGGCCCGAACACCCTCTTGGGCCAGGCACCCGCGGGCCTCCCATTACCATCTGAGATAAGTCTTCGCTTTTTCTTGTTCCCTTTCTCTCCCAGGTGCACACAAGCCCACTACACCACCAGCGTGGTTGGGATATGTCATGGAACTAGCCGCGCCGGGGCTACGCCGGACGTGGGAGCCGCACCCTCCGCGACGACTACTTTGTCTGGTTATTGGCTGCCGTTTTACTTGTAGTTGGTTGGTACGATGAGACCAAAGCGCGTCACATCAGCTGCGTGCATCCCATCCGCGCCACAGGAGTCTCCACCCTGGCTACTTTTTTCTCTTTGAAGTGGTCTTGACATCTCTATTCGTGCTGATGCATGTCCGGCGTTGCCTATTATGGAATTATGAGATTCCAGAAGGGGGAGCTTGCCGCACATGCGTACAGCCTTGAGGCGATGAGGGGGGTGTCTTCGTGGGACAATGGAACGTGTAAAATTCGAGGGGACGAAAGACGCAACAGCTAAAATAACATACGAGCCAAAAAGAGACACATCATGTGCTGCGTGAATAAAGAAAAAGGACTGTTTGCTGTGCGGGAGAGTGAGTGTGCAGCGTGGCTCCGAGCTGTATGTGTGCGTATGCATGTGTGATGGTGGTGACGGGACGCAAAAAAAGAGGGTGTGTGCTATATTGCGCTGAAGCTGCAGCACGCCCGGGGCTCTATTTTGCAGCAGCAACGACTGCCAAAAGAGACAATTGGAATTAACTTAGGAAGGGCATCGTCAAGACACAGACGGCTATGGGACACGAGTACTGCAAAAAAAATACAAAACAAGCAAGCAAGGGCAGTCCCGTTCATAGTTATTGTGTGTCAAGCAGTGGGCATCCCTTTCAATGCACGTCATTTCCATGACCAAACGGCCGCAAAGGGCGAAGTTGCAGGGAGCATGGAGAACACTATGGTGAAGCGGGGTGGCGTCTTTTTTGCTGCAGGCCGGCTGCAGGTGGGGGCTCTCCAGGGCACGCTACAGCGTAGTAGTGTGCTGTAGGCCAATTGGACGCCTGAGCGGGAAGAGATGGGATGCCGCACCCACGCAGCAACAAGCAGGCTGTAGGAGCAGGCTCCGGCCACGGCATTGTTCTCTCTGGCATGGTCTTGTTCCCTGTACAAACGGCATTTGATTTTTTTCGTGGTTTAAATTCTTATGGCTAGAGCAGAGCGGCCTCGACTGTAGCTGCTCCAATGCTGATCTTATTTATTTATTTTTTAATTCTTGTTTTTCACTTGCTTTGACATGCCATCTTCCCCCCCGTCCTTCTTCGGCATGCTCCGTCCTGTCGGTATTTGCATCGCATGCCTCTGCGTTTCTCTGCCCTCTTAAGACAGTGAAAAAAAAATAATAAACTAGAGAGGAGACCACCAAATAAACAACAATGGGCGCTATTTCTTGCCTGCACGCCAAAATCAAAGACACGCCCCCCAGCTTTTGCTTCCCCAGTAGGCGGCGGCGCGCCACTAGAACGGTTCACGACGGTTGGTACCCACTGACCTAATAAAAGATACCAGGCGGTGGGCGGTGGATTCTAAATAGAAACAGGTATCCACGGGCCTGCACGCTAGGTACTGTCTTGCTCACTCCCCGCTGGCTGTGGCATTTTCAGCGCCTGCATTTGCCCGAAGGAGGCCCCCAGAAGCGCCGCGCAACAGTGGGTGCTGGAGACGTTATTTTTCTTTGTTATAACTTTGTGCTAGATGCTACAGTGCTGTACTGTACAGCACCACAGCCAGCAAGCCAGCCAGCCAGCCATGGCTGTTGTCCGCTAGAAAGGGAGCGCCCTTGAGGCTGGTGCAATAAAACAAAAAACAAGAATAAAAAAAACTGAAGACTATTCCTCTCCCCTTTTTGCGCTTCTACACATAGACCTATTAGCGCAGGCCGGCGCACGTCCTCTAGCAATCTGCCAGTAGCAGAACAAGAAGGCTGCGCTACCAGCAACAAGGCCCAGCACCACACAGCACGCTGGAAGTGGGCGCCGAGTAAGGCCAAAGAGCCCGTTGAACCGTCCACTATAGCGAGACATTGCACGCCCCTCCCCCTTCACTGTGTCTCCGCCCCTCCGCTTGTCTCCCACGCCCGACGCAACCCTTGCAAACAAAGAGAAAGACAAGCGAAAGAGCATGCCTCGTCCTATTTCTCTTTGGTACGCCCGTCTCGAGTCTGCTGCCTTGTTTTTCGGAGCCGCATTGAAACGCACGTATAACAGCACAGGAACAACAAGAGCCCCAGAAAACCTAATTCATTTCAATTCAGTGGGCCATCACCACACACGCCCCCCCTCTTTTTTTCCCTTTCCCTTTCGCTTCGGGGTCCCTGTAGGCTTCCTTTCAGCGCCCCAGCCTTGCCCATCAGCGCACCACCCCATCACACAGGCGCAGCCAACGTCGCCTGAGCTGCGATACCCTGTCCACTATTATTTCCTTTCTGCTGTGTGCTATACGTACTGCTACTGGTGCTGCTGCGCTTTCCCAGCTCGCTTGCCGTGATCGTGCCTGCCTTTGGCCTGGGCCGCCCCTCTCATGCCCACCCCCTTCTTTCTTCCTCGCTCGCTCTCTTTCCCATAGTCCACTTCCCTCTCCCACTCCAAAAATATATACTGAACACGATCTCTTCCCCCCCAAAAACCTATTATTAGAACCATCCAACGCCAGATCCAGCCCACATCGCTGCTGCAAGGCCCGTCGCGCAGCTATACACGACCGATTAAAATCCCATAGAGGCAAAAAATATACGATTCAGGCACGCTTCTCTATCCGTCGATTATATCCTGCCTCGCCGCCAAAGTAAGCTTCCTCTCTGCCACACCCTGCCTTTGCGTCGCGCCGTGGGTTGGGCTCCAGCACCACGCCAGCCAAGGTGTCTCCGTCCCCTTTCGCCCAGCTGCTACGTCGCATCTTGCCGTCGCTTGCTGGCATCTTGCTGCAACCGTTGAACCCGGCGCGCTGTTCTTTGGCCAGTCTGGTCCTTTGGAGCGCCTTTTTTATTCCCACAAAAGACGTCGGCCGTGCTGATCCTCGACTTCTTTTTGCTGCCTCAAATCCTGCCGCTCCTTTGTCCCTTCTCAGCCGCTCGTTGCTTGCGTCTTGCATACAAAACTCTCTGACCGTATCCTCTACCATAGACTTTCGCTCTTGTCCTTTAGCAGCCAACTGATTAATTGCTCTCTACTCCGGTAACGACTCCGTGTAGATGCCTACGTCTTCTTGAGCTCGTCCCTCGACTTCCCAGCCGAGTTCCGCCAACCGACGCTCCCGCGACGGCGATTTCCTCGCGTGGTCGCGACGAGCACCGTCTCGCCAGATATCTTGCTTGCAGACCCCGGGCAAGATCTCCCAAACTCCTCTCTCTCCGAACTACTCTTTTACCTTCGTATAATACCTAGCCACCATGGGTCGAAGAAAGATTGAGATCAAGGCCATCAAAGATGACCGAAACCGCTCAGTGTAGGCTTCATGTGAATATTTTGCTGCTTCGTCAAACACGGCTAACGTCATGTCTCTATAGAACGTTTCTGAAGCGAAAGGGCGGACTGTTCAAGAAGGCTCACGAGCTTTCTGTGCTCTGCTCCGTTGACGTGGCAGTCTTCATCTTCGGCAACAACAAGAAGCTTTACGAATACTCGTCTACCGATATGCGCGAGCTGATTGGCCGTTACCAATACGTAAGTGTATCACACCAGCAATACCCCGCGGCTGCTTGATCTAACCACTCTTCCAGCATGGCGGACCCAACGAACATAGAGGCCCAGCTGACTACAGCGGTGGCGGCGGCGACGATGACGATGATGAAGAAGGCGACGCTACGCCTCCACGAGGATCCGATTCTGGCCAGGATGCCGGCATGATGCCGCCTCAGTTTCCCGGCCAGCAACCAGCACCATTTCCCCAGATCCGACATCACGAACCCTCAGCCTCGCCGCCTGTGCCAAACGGCGCCCAGCTCCCTCAGCATGGTGGCCATCCGTCACGCACACATACCCCTCAGCCCGGCCCTGGATCGCGGCCCGGATCTCGAAATGACGTTCGCCGCGTGGCCAACATGGCACCACCGCCTGTCAATCCTCATGGCGGCATGGCGTACATGCAGAACCCCCAAATGTACAACGCACCTCCTCAACAACAACAGCCCGGCGTGGTCCAACATCAAGGCGGACCACAGTATTATCCTCAGCAACCCCATGGTCAACCTCACCCGCAACAGTTTGTAGACGATCGCCGTCAGCAAGCTCCCCCTGGCTTTCCTATGCAGCCTCAACATGGCATGCCTGTTCCTCCTCGACCTGACCAACCTCCAATGCACACACAACCTGGCCCTCCCCAACAGCTTCCACACACAAGGATATCACCCCCGCCTCCTCCTCCGCGCCCACATGAGATGCAAGCCCCCGCAGAATCCGACCGACCCCAGCCGCCTCTTCTCAACACCGATGCTGCTATTCGGAAATTCCGACAGAAAGGCCACAGCATCTTTACACCCATTGAAGCGGGCGATTCTGTCTTATCACAACATCTGGCATCTTTTGCGGAGCCGTCTCAGCTAACCAAGGGCGAGTCTTCGGCAAGATCACAATCACTTGACGGCAGCAACAACTCTAAATCAGGAAGCTCGCCTCCGTTCCAGCGATCTCAAAGTATAACAGAAAAGGGCCGCAGCTCAGCAACACCAAGCTCATCAGAACCGCTATTTGCTCCTCCACCGCGGCATAACAGTATTCCCAGCGCTGGAGGCGCAGCTGGTGCTCGACCCAGAGGTCCGCGACTTACCGTGCAAATTCCAGATGGTGCTTCTGAAGCCGGTGGCAGCGCTGGCGGATCCAACTCTCCCCGAAACCCAGCGATTACACCAACACAAGCACCACGAAGCGCTGTTCTCTTGCCGCCCCCGTCGCCGTCGGCTTCGGCGCTGTTGTCTGCTGGTGCTACCGGACCGCCAAACCCCTTTGCACGACCGCTTCCACAGCAGCCTGTCAATGAGACGCCAGTATCTGCGCTCCCTTCAAGATTCCTTAGCAACGACTTTTTACCAAGCCCGAGCAGTTTTTATCCAGACTGGAATCTTCGTGGCGGTGACAACGCGCCAGCAAGTCCCCTAAACTTTGCTACGCCCGTGGTGAGCTCCGGGCCGAGCTTTCTACGAGACGACCCGTATCATCCACCACCGTCCATGAAACGAAAGAGTGAGACTGGTCCCAGCTCGAGTATGCCAGAAATACAAGCGGAGCCGAAGCGGACCAAAGTGGAGTAGTATGATTGAGAGATGGATGGACAAGTGATTTCTTTTCTTCCTGTTTTCACTGTATTTGCCGATACCCCATGTCGCTGCCTGAAGCAGCGGATGATGTTATGACGTTGAATGAGTGTGGCCAGCGTGACGCCACGAGGCAATTGTTGAAAGTATTTTCAATGCCATTTTACTGGATCTGGATACAGCGATGGCGTCGTCTACCAATCTGGTGTTGATCTAGTCAATCACCTTTTGTGTATATTCTTTTCTTTTCTTTTTTCTTTATTATCTATAGAGCCTATCAGGCAAGGCTTGGACCATTTCTCTTCCCTCTAGTTGGCAGTTTATGCATGAATGTGGTTTCATGGAATGAGCATTTGCTACGTTGTCTTAGGACTGGCTGGTGGCTTGTGCTTAACCGGCTCCATTGGCCTTTGGGCCGGCACTTCTTCTTTGTTTGGGATGGACTGGCGTCGGAGCAGAATGTTGAACGGTCAATGGCCTTGAGCGTTTGCTGCTTTTCTTTTCTTTTCTTATCCTTTCTTTTCTTTTCTTTTTGTGTTTGTTACTTTGCTTGCGTCGGCTGGGTTTCCAATTATAGATTATATGGGTATACAAAATACAGATGTATTATTCCAATCGTGGTTGATATTCGTAGTTGCTTAATTGTACAAATGTGGGTAAATTCAAATATAATATTGGCTATATGCGCACCGAATGTCTATAAATGGCCGTGATATATCGTAGTAGCAAGCTCCCAAACGCCAAAACACCATAAAAGTAGGAAGAAACGATAAAGGCGAAACAAAGAACAAAGTATCATGATCATTAATTTGATGCCAAGTCGTAGCAATTTACTTGGATGCCGATTTTAAGACTCCTTTGAGAATCCACTGCGAATAGTGTTAGCAAAGACCCTTATTCAAAGGGGCAAATACAAGTCAACTTACAATCTCGCCATTGGCAACCTGGTTAGCCACGCGGTCTACCTCGACGCCATCGGGCATGATGACTCTCTTGCCGTCCTTTTCTTCCCACCAGACTTCGCGGCCCAGGACGGTCTTGACCTTGTCGTTGGCCTTCCACGGGCTAGTTGTGACGAGATGTGCTTCCACAAAGCGGCGCAAGTTCTTATCGGCGCGCTCCTTGCCATCGTCCCCTTCGTAGATGTGCGCGCCGTGCTCCTCAAGTTCCTGGGAATCTTCCCAAGGCTTTCGCGGCAGGCTGTCCATGGCGGAGTTGAGCGGTGCCAGGACCGTTGTGTTGACGGCAAAGCTGCCGAGCAGGGTCTCTGTGGAAGCATGCATGCGCGCTAGGGAAGAGAATGTGGTAAGGGCACGGTTGCTGCCGAGAATATCGGACAAGGGAACTGCAGTGCGGACGGGCTGGTCGAGGTTGTCGGGAGCGGCGGGGTTGAGGGGCGCCTGACCCTTGTGGGTGTTGTCTGACATTTGGATGGCTTTGCTGTTGAAGGGCGGGCGGTTGGCGACGACGAAGGGGAGAGCGAGGAGGGCGACACCGGATACGCCAATGATGAAGCGCTTCATTTGGGAGAGGGCGGGGTGTGGTGTGTGTGATGCGAGGGGCGGGCAGCGGCGCAGGTTTCTGGGTGGTCGGTGTAGGATACTGTAAGCTAGGTCGCACTAAATAAGATGCTGATGTGAAAATGGCTGGCGCGATGCTGGCTAGAGATGCTCGTTGATGATGAATTTGTCGTGTGAGGTTGAGAGGTTAGGAGGGATGTCACGAGAGCAGAGACGTCATGACGCTAGATGACTAAGAAATATTAGTGGTGAGCATTTACGGTGGACAGTCACTATGACTACAGCCACCATCACCATGGTTGAATAAGCAAGTAAATATACCGATGATACTGTCAAGAATTTTTAAGTATGTTGAAGGATCCATGGCGAATTCAATCGTCGTATCAGGGTAGACTATATGATGCTCCCAGCAACCTTGGCCGGGATTAGGCATGTCATACCAATCAATCCCCCCCTCAAGCTGCCACCGTTTGGCAATGTCTCGCTCCGTTATTAGTAGTTCTATGGAACCAGGAGCACTGTGCTGTACCCAAAATTCCGTGTTGTCGGGTAGCTTACACCCGCCGTACTCTATGCCTATTGCGGTGAGATTATAAGCTGCCGTTTCTCATGTAGCCATGGATGTACAGCTGTGATATAGTCGCCAGCCTTGGGCTTGACTTCTAGCCGTGGGCCTCTGTAAAAGCGAAACCAATCGTCTTCTGGTTCTTCGTCCTCATCGTCCTCGTCATCATCGTCATCTTCGTCGGGGCTCACATAGCCTTCGTCGCGGTAGTCGTCCATATAAATCAAATTCATGAGTCGTTTATTGTTACTATAATAGAAGAGACAGGCTCACAAGTGATGGAAGCCGTAGCAACGCGGTGCGTTGTGCCATCTTCGTTGAAGAAGGGAACAAGACCAGAGTTGGCGTCCGTGATGTCTCTGAGAACATGGACACTATCAACAGCGCTTTCATTTGCAGTGAATTTCCATTGAATGCGACGAAAGGCAACAGACCCAAAGTTCTTTTTAGACCCGACGTAGCTCTCAAAAGGGCGTCGTGGTTTGTCCGTCATCGCGAACCACGTGTGCTTAGTTCCCTGGTATTGAGATGCAAAAGCACGCACGCTATTGAGAAAAATGAAAAAAATGTAAATAAAGTAAGAAACGAAAGATAACTTTCAGTTGGTGTGCTAATTGACCGCTACAAGTCTTATAGTTAGTGATGTCTACAATAGGAGAGAGGTAGCCCGATTCCTAAATCGACAGACTGCTGGGGGAAATTACCAACACTACCTAACTTAATTCAGCTAGCTCATATTTCCCGACTCTCATAGCAAAAACCATGCTTAATTCAACTGTACGATTACTATACGCAATATGGTTTCTTTGTTATAGGGAGTTTCTCTTTTATTTTAAACCAGCTTAGGAATACTAAAATATTTGCATGTATATTGTTATAAGTTATATATAAGTTATAGCTAACTTATGTTGTATGAATAATAAGTTACATGTTACGAAGAGAAAGTAAAGATAATGTGTAAAAGAAAAGGGCATTATATGACTTGTCTAATTCGTAAAAAATATAACTAATTCTTGAGTGTCTTAATAAGCTTAATGTTGATATTTTAGACGCAGCGTTACTATTACTATAGTCATCAGTACTATAGAGAGTGTCGGTCAGGTTGGCAACGACACCAATCTGGCCATCGGTGATACTACAGCGGAGAGGAGCAACCTTCTTGACATCATCAGTGACATTGGCACCACCATGAATGGCGTTTGCCAAGTCTTCGTATAAGAGGGAAGAAGAAATATGAGGGTTGGTGTGTTTGGTAAGCGCCAGAACACCGCCAAACACAAACTATAACCATCCGGATCCAAGCTTGATATGCGCTCCTGCTTCAACCAAGATGTGACTGCTAACCATAAGACGATGGATCTGTCTGTCGACACCTTCTGCCGCCAAATCAAGTTCTAGTCCGAGGGCTCTCTCGGATGCGGCTATCATCTACACTACTCGTCTGGCCAATTGGCGCACACTTTCATTGAAATCGTTGGCTCGGTGGATTTTTCCTATTTACCTTTTGTGACTCTTCTGCATAGCTAATTTATGTATACATTCGTTGTGCGGTGGCTATCGCGAGACTCGTGGTGGTGCAGTGAGGCTGTGTCTGGGCGGTGGTTCGATGAAGGCGCTGGTAACGGCATTGTGATGTCAGGTTTGGAATCGGAATGAAATGGTGAAAATAGAGTAGAGGATTTTTGATGAAATTTGAATTGAAGTTTCTCGGACGGTCTGCGCAGCTGTGAATGAGAGATTGTGTTCCTGGTGATGGGTTGTTGGCTCCCAGTAACAAACACGGCTAAGCATCATGGAAGCGTATAGCCGAGCTCAACATTGGCAGCCAGTAGTAGCTGGCTGTCTGCTTCTATAGTATCACGAGAGCATTTTTCGATGGTTTCGGCATCAGACGAGATTTTGAATCTTTAATCTGCTTACATGCGTTGCCCGTGTCACCGGACTATTAAAAAACAATGCATGCAACAATTGCTATGTCGTGGCCAGGCTGGATTGCATGTTGGAGTAGGGCGGAGGCGGCGTCTCTTCACATGCTTCAGGTGCTGCTGCCGCCGCCACAGCACCAACAGGGCCAACAACAAACAAGGGCCAATTAGAGGAGCAGCATATCTTGTGACGGCAGTCGCCTGTCAGATGATGACGGCCTCTGGGGAATTTTTATGGGGCGGCAGCGTGCGTGTTCCAGGGGGCCGATGGGCGCTGCGGGTGCATTAAGAGAAGCCCATTTTTGGGGGGAAGGCCGCTGGAGAGGAGGAGGCGGGGGAACTTTCACATGTGAAGAAGGCCAGGCTACTACATCGCAACATGTGGTGACTGACCACACAGCCACGGGCAGCAGAAAAGAAAGAAATGTGTTTGAAAAGGTTTGCGACAATACCAAAAGAAGGATTTGTATAAAAACACAGCAATTGACGTCACAGAGACGCCCTGAATTGCCCCTTTCCATGGCCATGTTTTTTTCCTGTCTGCGTCTTTTGCGCCGCCAGTTGCTTGTTCCGGAGACCGGAGTTTATTTTTGGGCTGTCGGCAACTAACACACTGCCTCCCCGCCGATGCGCCCATCGCTGGCCATCTTCACGAGGGGGTGCGCCAGGAGCTAAAAACAGGCAGACAAAGTCCATCATGGTTGTAATAATACGAAAACTAAAGCATGAATTGACCGTCTTTGCTATAATCACTTTTAAAACTTTCATATGTTTTTTCTTTCTTCTCGTCCGTCTGCTGCGCTGTAACCCTGGGCATCGGCCCGTCCTGCAAGGCCCGTGTTGCCGAAAACGGCAAGGCAGCCTGCGTGCAGTGAGTGCTACGCATTGGCTTGTGCTTTAACAGTTAGACATTGGGCCCCCTACAGAAGATGGAACGTTTCTAGCGTTTCCAAATCACAATGCGTAGAAGGAGACAGGAACCACATGCCACTAAATTACCTGATGCTGCTGCATAATTTCACCGCATCGCAGCCCAAGCAAGATACGGGGTGATCATGCCTCTGCTGGCCTGGCTGGCGGCCCAGGTAAGACGCTACGCTTATAGCGGCATACAGCGCCGAAAGCACCCCGTTCTGGGGTTGGTTTTTTTTTTTGGTGAGAGTCCCCGACCCCGGCTATTGAGACATGTGGGGGAAGGGGAGGGAGTTGGGTGCGTGCTGGTGCTGGGAGCGGCGGTGGTCTGGGGAAAGCTAGTGGGGATGGGCAGAGCAGCAGAGGGTGGTAGATTGTGGTGTTGGAGAAGGTTTTGGAGTATGAGAAAAGTCAAGGCTATAGAATAGATAATCAGTAACAAGCTTAATATTTTGTTATATTTTATTTGGTCTTTTTGCGTGCTGTAGAAATCATTGAACAGGCTGCTGACATCACCCCAACGCTGAATGGGGGAAATAATTCATAGCGATGTGCTGCCCTGTAACAGAACGCCCACGGGCTGCAGGCGGGGCAAGTGGTCTGCTCTTTGCGCTTTCCTTCCCCCAAAAAACTGGGGCGCCACAAGCAAGACTTGACCTCGGCTGTCTTCGTCCTCGGTCGCCAGGCCCACGCATTCCCCAGCGCTTTATTAAACTTCCTGACCTTCCTCTCCTCCAAAGTCTCAAGCTTCCTTCTTCTCCTCATTCTTCATCTCTTGCGTCCTTTATACCCTCCCCCGCATTCTTCTCCGTGGAATCCATTAGCTTTCTATTCCACTTTCAGAGCGCCTGATTAACCCCCGGCGCATCTCTCCAACCTCACCACCTCTTTTTCTGTTCTTCACATCTCACAATCCTCCACAATGGCTCCCAGAGTTGTCGTCGTTGGCGGTGGCCGTAAGTACTCCGATTCGCCCAGCCATCTCGTCTCCTTGCTTTCCTGCCAATTGGTTCACTGTCCGCGGGCGCGAAATCGCATCAGATTCTCCCGTCGGCAACGGCCTTTTTGCGGGAGCTCCGGGGCTTAGCTGGCTGGCTGGGCCATTCAGCCCAAGAAACCTGCAGAGGCTAACCACATGTCAATGTTTCTAGTTTCCGGTCTCAGTGCTGCCCACACCATCTACCTCGCCGGTGGTAACGTCGTCCTCCTTGACAAGCAGGGTAAGCATTTCCTCCCAAAACATTTGGCGACGCTAGCAAGCAAGCCGTCGCCTGCTGCTTTTACAGCAGCGCTAGGTTTCACAACGAACAAAGTAGCTAACTAGCTTTCTTTCCGCGACACAGGCTTCTTCGGTGGTAACTCCACCAAGGCTACCTCTGGTATCAACGGTGCCCTGACCCGCACCCAGGTTGACCACAAGATCGGTGACAGCGTCAAGCAGTTCTACGAAGATACCCTCAAGTCTGCCCGTGACAAGGCTCGTCCCGACCTCATCAAGGTCCTGACCTACAAGTCCGCTGCTGCTGTTGAGTGGCTCCAGGATGTCTTCAACCTCGACCTCACCCTCGTTTCTCGTCTCGGGTAAGCAAACATCTACAGCCCTGGATAAAATAACTTGTCTGCTAACAGCGCCCGCAGTGGTCACTCCCAGCCCCGTACCCACCGTGGCCACGATGCCAAGTTCCCCGGTATGGCCATCACCTACGCCCTGATGCAGCGCATTGAGGAGCTTGCCGAGAACGAGCCCCACCGTGTCGAGATCATCAAGAAGGCCCGCGTCACCAGCCTCAACAAGAACGGTAACAACGTTACCGGTGTTACCTACGAGCTCAACGGTGAGACCCTCACCGTCGACGGCCCCGTTGTCCTCGCCACTGGTGGTTACGCCGCCGATTTCGGTGATGGCTCTCTCCTCAAGCAGCACCGTCCCGACACCTTCGGCCTTGCCACCACCAACGGTACCCACGCCACTGGTGACGGCCAGAAGATGGTCATGGCCATTGGCGGTAATGCCATTGACATGGACAAGGTCCAGGTTCACCCTACCGGTCTTGTCGACCCCAAGGACCCCGGCTCCAAGTGGAAGTTCTTGGCTGCTGAGGCTCTCCGTGGTGAGGGTGGTCTTCTCCTCAACGCCGATGGCGACCGCTTCTGCGACGAGCTCGGTCACCGTGATTACGTCTCGGGCATGATGTGGAAGGAGAAGGACAAGGGCAAGTTCCCCATCCGCCTCATCCTCAACTCCAAGGCCTCCAACACCCTTGACTTCCACACCCGCCACTACTCTGGCCGTGGTCTCATGAAGAAGATGACTGGTGCCGAGCTCGCCAAGGAGATTGGCTGCACCCCCGACCACCTCCAGAGCACCTTCAAGACCTACAACGCCATTGCCGATGGCAAGCAGAAGGACCCCTGGGGCAAGAAGTTCTTCCACAACATGCCCGTCGACATCAACGACGACTTCCACGTTGCCGTCATGGAGCCCGTTCTCCACTTCACCATGGGTGGTATCGAGATCAACGACAAGGCCCAGGTCCTCAACCAGGAGCAGAAGCCCTTCGATGGCCTCTTCGCCTGTGGTGAGCTTGCCGGTGGTGTCCACGGTGCCAACCGTCTCGGTGGTTCTTCCCTCCTCGGCTGTGTCGTCTACGGCCGTGTTGCTGGTGACTCTGCCAGCAACTACCTCTTCCAGCAGGCTCTCAGCGGCCAGGCTGCCGGTGCCGCTCGTCTCGGCCAGATCTCTCTTCACCTCGACCCCTCTTCTCCCGGCAAGGTGACCGTGGAGTGGGCCAACGGAGCCGCCGGCTCTGCTCCCGCCAGCCAGCCCCAGGCTGCTGGTCCTGCCGCTGCCCCGGCTGCCGCTGGTAAGAGCGAACCCAAGCCCTTCACGATCCCCGAGAAGGAGTTCACTATGGAAGAAGTTGCTAAACACAACAAGGAGGGCGATCTGTGGGTAGTAGTTAAGGGCGTCGTCATGGACCTCTCCAACTGGCTTGACGAGCACCCCGGTGGCCCCCAGGCCATCAAGAACTTCATGGGCCGTGATGCCACCGAGGAGTTCGAGATGCTTCACGACGATGAGGTCATTCCCAAGTACGCCCCCGAACAGGTTATCGGCCGTGTCAAGGGCCAGACCCCTTCCCTCGAGATCTAAACAGATTCACGGATGGCTCGGGTTCGTGTTCATGACGTGAGACGACAAACCTGATTGAAAAAGAAAAAAGAAAAAGAAATGGCATGAAAATATGATCCTCCTTTCTTCCTCATATGGGAGGGTTGTTGCTGCTGTTGCTGCTGCTACAATACGGGGGCAAACAAACGGCGCTTGGGATCAGAGTGACTTATATTTCACTCATGATGTGTTTAATGTTTTATATCTATTCCTTATGTATTTTGAACTAGTCTGTACAGATAGCAATGCATCTACAAATCTTGAAAAAGAAAAATGTTCCCTCTTCCACTCACATAATCTGTGCACCTGCGTCTTTCGTTCTCTTATACAGCCTCGCCTTTATGAACAGTTGAATGTCAAGCAAGACGTCCGTTCGTGCTTTAATGTGTGCCGCGGGTGTCTAATTCGGCCGACATGTGTCCAGCACACATTCGAAGGCATACAACCATCTGAAATTCTCTTTTTCTTTTTCAGACAAGCAATCGGACCGCACGCACTATGCCCAGCAAGCCGCCCGACTGTTTCACTTGACAGCGAGACAAAGGCCCGACGACCGACTCATGTCAACACCACTCACATACTGATGATGCTACTACTTCCATTTCTGCACCTGCACGCTACCCAGATTAATCACGCACGGCCTGGAATCTGATGCATCAAAGATTTCAGACTCCATCCGACCACGGTGTCTAGCGTCCAGCGGCGCTGCTTGGGCCTTTGGACCTCCCGAAGTGCCGGCAGATGCCGCACCGGCAATGACTGAGTGAAATGGCCACTCGACGCCACTCATCAGATCCCAGCAGCGTGGCTTATGACTAAATTTCATCAAGGTTGTCTTCATGCAAAGTGAAAAACAAAAGCTTGTTTCGTCTAATGCCCAGAGATTTTCCCTTGGCGGAAGACGTAATAAAAAGAAGAGAAGAGGAAACAATACGAAGCCAAAGTTGAGGTTGAGGTTGGGCTCTGCACATGAAGCCGTCGAAGTGTAATATGCCACCCGCATTTTGTTATGCGTTTTAACCAGCTCAGGATTATCAGTGCAGCCCCCAACAGAATTAACTGTTGCATGACTGTGAAGCAGCCGCAAATCAACGCATCTAGCAAAAAGTCTGTTGTGCATCACGCGAAGCAACAACAAAAGTCACTTGCCCTATCACCGCAGATCGGTGCCGACTCTTTTTTTTTTCGCGCTGGCCTCTGGGCAGGCAGGTGACGGACGAGACAAGGAAACGTCAAAATGGCAGATCGATCTGGCACAGTAAGGCCCAAGTGTCGCAACGCAGGCTTCTGCAGCGCATGGGGCGTGACCTACACAACGAACGAGTCGGGGTGCAGCATCTGCGAGTTCACGCATGCATGCATTCTCTCCCACCTAGTACGTATCTATCTTTGTATTCCAAGAAGCTGTGATGGCTGCTGCTGCCGCCCGCCGCTGGCGACAGATTGTCTCTTTGTATGTTGGCCGCTACAGCACGTACGACTCTGTCCTTTGCTTTGTGTAGCCGCGGCTGAAGTCCGATGCTCCTTCTACATAGCCTGACATAGAGGACTTTCCTTCATATGGATCGATAGTTGGTCCGCTGTATAATATAGCGCACCCAAAAGAGGAAGCTCAACTTCAGAGCCAAAACCGGCAGAAAAGAACCCAATAATTACTCTATCTCTCACCTTTTTCTGCGCTGTGAGCAGCAAGCCCCCTTCCCCGCCATGGCGTTGACCGCCGAGAGGAGACCAGAAACGCCACGAAAATAGTCGAGGTCAGCTTCTTGTTAGCTAGTAGATGGGTGTTTGCCGATGCAGCCCAGTGTGCGGGGGTGCATTGTGTCCTAAGGCGAGTAAGTAGCCGGTTCTGCCGTGCTGCCTCATAGCCATGGTTAGCCACCGCCCTTGATTTATGTTTTGTCTGCAGCAGCGATCATCATTGGTTCCAAAGGTTCTTCTTTTTTTTGTCACTAGTTTGCACTGGTGCGTTGCATACTATTGTAATAGCAGGATGCTTGGTACAGTGGCGAAAGCGAAAGCTGGGGCAAGTCACAGCGCAGCGAGAACGAGGCACTGGGGGGAGGTGGGGAATCTGCAGCATGACACTCGGCCAATGAGAGCGTGAGGATGCGGCGTGCCCAGCCAATCACAGCACAGGCCCCCTCCTTTTCCCGTTCCTTCCCAAACAAGTCTGCTCTTCGCCAGCAGCGGGTGGTAGTCAGCTTAGCGTGCGCGAACCGCTGTGGGCGACCTGGGCCAGCGAGGTTCCAGGCCTCTTTGCAGCACTGAAGTCCCCCCTGTCAGGCCTTGTTTCTGCTTCCCCAGGCTTTTCCTCCACACTTTCTCTTCAGAAGGGGGAAATACCCCATTCTCCCGGGCCCAGCCAGCCCAAGCCCAGCCCAGTCCAGCCCACAACAGGCAGGCCCCAGGTAGGCGTTGGCACAGCTTAGGCCCTTCTGTAGTGGTGTCTTTCCCCCCCCCGACCGTTGTAAAACTGCCAATCTTCAACCTTTTCCCACCCACGATTCGTGCACCCAAACCAACCCGTTGGTCGCCAAACAACCTTATTCCGAGTGGCCGGATCAGCGTTTGGGCAGTTCAACGGCTATTATTATTTTTTCGGTGCTCGCAGAATCGGACGTATTTTTACGACAAACAACATAAAGATAGGCAGACAGGCAGGGTTTCCACCGCAGAGTCCCACGTTGCCCTTCGCTATCGCGCCCATCCCGCACGCTCGATAACGACCTTATTCGACGACAGCCTCTTCTCGTCCACCGCCCGTCGCCTTCCCCGGATTTTCGTTTCGTTTCGTTTGCGATCGATCGCTCTCCAACTTCCAACCGTGGATTGACGTCTCCCTCTCCGACACCATGGCTATTGCCATGGGCTGGCACAAGCCCGACAATGTCGCCGGCTCGTCAGCACCAGCCATCATGGTCGGCCTCTTCGTCGCATCGGGAGGCTTGCTTTTCGGCTACGATACTGGGTAAGATTTTGTTCGCTTTCCTCGCAGATCAATAAAAAATTATATACATTTCGCCTCGGAGTGGTGTTGTTGGATGCTGGGTTTGGGGCGCCTATGCTGGATTTTTCGACGCCGGACTTGACCGAATGCTGAAGCGAGGCTGGCTGAATTGTTGGAACTTCAATGCCAACCCTACCCCGATGATAACTGTGCTTCAACTGGCTGGAGAAGTTGATAACAGGCGTATTGGATAGGATTTTCGGGCGATATAAATCCACCGTGTAGAACACTGCTAACCTCGTTGTTTTATAGTGCTATCAACGGTATTCTCGCAATGGATGCTTTCAAACACCAATTCGCCAGCGGCTGTACTGATGGCAAAGACATTTGCGCCAAAGATTCTTCAATAATTGTTGCTATTCTCAGTGCTGGAACAGTGGTCGGATCATTAATCGCAGCACCTCTCGGCGATTACTACGGACGCCGCAAGTCGCTCGTCATTGCAGTCACGGTGTTCAGCATAGGCGCCATCCTTCAAGTCTGTGCAGATGCTATTCCCTTGCTGCTTATTGGAAGGTAAATTCTTATCAGCCTTCTTTCACTCACCACCGTGACTTATTTACTAACCATGCTCTAGGCTTTTGGCCGGTGTTGGCGTAGGAGGTATTTCCGTGCTGGTTCCCATGTACCAGTCAGAAATGGCTCCGAAATGGATACGTGGTACTCTCGTTTGTGCATATCAATTATCTATTACGGTCGGTTTGCTTGCCGCATCCATCGTTAACATCATAACATCCTCCATGCCTTCCTCAGCAGCCTATCGCATACCATTAGGCTTGCAGCTAGTACCTGCAGTAGTACTCGCTGCAGGTCTACTGATTTTACCAGAAACCCCAAGATTTCTCGTCAAGAAAGGTCTCAAGGATGAGGCCGGCCTCTCACTAAGTCGACTTCGGAGACTGGACATTACACATCCTGCGCTCATTGAAGAGCTGCATGAGATCATTGCCAATCATCAGTATGAACTGACGCTTGGACCCGATAGCTACAAACACATATTTGCCGGCTCACCTCGCCTCGGCCAACGAACCTTTACTGGATGTATTCTTCAGATGCTTCAGCAACTTACCGGAATCAACTTCATCATGTACTACGGCACTACATTCTTCGGCGGTACAGGTGTCCAAAATCCGCATACAAAGTCGCTTATTATCAACGTCATCAACGTTGTATCAACTTTCCCTGGGCTTCTTGTCATCGAATCCTGGGGCCGCCGGTCTCTCCTAATAGTTGGTGCTATAGGCATGGCTATATGCCAGCTGTTTATGGCAACCTTTACAACAATTGTAGGGTCCAACGGCATGACAGATGGCAACCTGCCTGTTTCAACACAAAACGTTGTCATTGCGTTCTGTGCCATCAACATCTTCTTCTTCGCAGCATCGTGGGGACCTGTGGTGTGGGTTGTCACTTCGGAAATCTATCCACTCAAGACTCGTGCCAAGGCCATGTCTGTATCAACAGCGTCCAACTGGGTCTTGAATTTTGGAATTGCCTATAGCACGCCGTACATGTTCCAAAATGGACAAGGCACTGCTGGATTCGGCCCCAAGATCTTCTTCATATGGGGCGCCTTCTGCGTCTTTGCGGCTGTCTTCGTGTGGTGTATGGTGTACGAGACGAGCAAGATTAGCCTGGAGCAGATTGACGAGATGTATGAGCGCGTCAACCACGCGTGGAACAGCAAGTCGTTCGAGCCTAGTTGGAGCTTCCAGCAGATTGTTGACGAAGGCTGGTCGCCAAGCGCGATTCCTCCTGCCGACCATGAACTGCAGACAACAGCATCTCAAACAAGTGCAGACACAACGCTTGGTGATGGCAGTTCGGACACCATCACCATTGAGGAGCTCAACGGCACATCCAACAACGCCAGGTCAAACGACAGTAAAGCTGTCCCGGCCATGGTGAATGTCGACTTTAGTTATTAGAACTTCGAGATACCCCCACACCTTTTCCAAGAACCCGCGCTTCTTTCTTGCGACGGTAGCATATTTGGGCATGGCGAAGATTTCCCATGTCACCGCAAAGTACTGTACTCTTTGCGTCCTCTTGTTTTATTTTGTTTAACAACCACTCACCTATTTATTGATCATGAGATACGGACCAGCGACGGAGTTTACTATTCAGCACGGCCTTGGAGTTTGATATTTTGTTGGAGCATTAGTTTTTACCCTCTTTGGTGTACCAATGTTCAGCCTGTGCGGCAGCAAGGAGCAGATAGTTTTGTTTTGGCGAGTCATCTTGGCTATTGTATTTTTTGGGTGTCTATTATTTTATTTGAAAGTCACATGCATTCAGATAGCTCTGGTACGTTTGACATCTTATTTTGGATAATGATCGTCTCTTTCGTCCCATCGCCGTGACACTTTTGTCCTTTGCTTCAGGTCTTGCTGTGCATTCCAGACGAACCTGGGGATGTTTCAGGCTGCCACGAGGCGCAACTTATGCAAGCCACTCACTGTAACCACACCGTAAAAAAAATGAAATACCCAGTTTTGGAATCATGCAGCCAATGTTGGAACCCCACTTCGGCCATTTATCCAAATAGATTCTGGGTCATTGGCCGGAGGCAAAAAAGACAAAAAGAAAATCTCGAAGGACGGAATCGAACCGCCGACTCTTCGGTATGATGTGGAACCCATTACAGCCGAATGCCATAGCCAACTAGACCACTTCGAGTTGCAATCCCGTCACCATATTTTATTATATGAACCCATGCGACAAAATTACTACTCGCAGTCTTACTTTGATCCTGAGTCGTGTGCTTGCATGTTGAACGGTGTCATCTTACAATATTGATAACCGTCAGCAGAGTAAGAATATCTGTCAGAGTTTCTGAAAATTGCAAATACAATGAAAAATTAGTAAAATTTAATACAGATAACTTTTAATTTTACGTGAATAAAGTATTAGGTGCGAATAATGCTAGACGACTTTGTATGTAGGGTATCTCCAACAGAAATAAAAAATTCCACTCTGGCTATTAAAATAAAAAGGCATTTGCGGCCAACAGTTAATGAGTGCTCAGCACTGGATTGAAGTAAAAATAAAACGCCTGGAATGTCGCTTAAAGTTGTCAAAATATCATCAGGACTCATAATCTAGGGAGAACGTCGGCGTGGACTCATGACCCTTCGTCGGGGGGCGTAGCATATTTTTGCTGTGGCGATATTGGAGGCCCAGCAGACACTTTTGATTTTTGACAGTTGTTGCTTTTGGAAACTTTTGTAGGATCGACGGGCTTTAGGCACACTGGCTTCTGCTGTGATGCTCGTAACACCATATGTGCAGCGGAATTTGCCTTGCGGTTCTTGTAACGTGTGTTGGCTTCGTGGGCTAACGCCAGTAGCTCATACAATGACGATGGGATGGTGCTAGATTGTTGCGCTGTATCTGAGGCATTGTGTGATGCTTGTGGTGAAGAAGCGGACGGTTCATCTGTAATACTGAGGTTTACTTTAGATTGTTAGAAACAGCACTTCTTTTGTAATGGTTAGATATACCTACCCATGTCTTGGTGGGCTCTCGCTGAGAGGCAGACTGAACGTCGAGATGGATGTAAAAGAATATTTCCGTAGCACATGGGTGCTAATGTTTAGAGTACAACTCCTAAAAAAACAGATTGATCAAAGTCCAGAGGGGACCGCTGAGAATAAAAGCGTTGAACGGGCAAGGGTCAGCTGGGCTGGTAAGCAGAGCCTTGAAAGGAAGAATAGAACGTTATTTAGTGTGGTTGGTTGGGGGCCAAGAGACAACAAAGCATATGACTATGACAAAGGGTACCAATAGTATAAATAGAATATCGAGCAGTGGCAGCAAGCAAGCCAGCATTCGGGGATTGGCGGGTGTGGCCAGGCAGACATGATCACACAGCGGACAAGGCTACAGGAGGGCGCTCAGCGGCTCACGGATCGGTTTCCCAAAAGGAACTCATCGGCCGTGGGTAGAGGGACAGAAAATAGCACTAGCTTAAAAAAAGTAATACCTGGTTCTGTGACGCTGATGCACTTTGTAGTCAGGTAGCCATCGGCGTTTAGCTTGGATGGAGGGTGGCCAAGGGAGCGGCGGCCGAAAAACGAAGAGTTTATGGGGAGACACGCCTGAATTTTAGCGAGACAGCGCTGGCTGCAGGCGCTGCGGGGAGTGGGATGCGGCGGCTGGCACCAACAGCCGAACCAACTTCCGCCAGACTCCGCGAGCGAAACAAGGCCTACGATGCGCAATGCAGTCATCGTCATCGAAAATGCCTATTGCATTGTCACGAGAGCGGCTACGCTGCGGCATTGACTTGTTTCGTTCCGGCTACCGCACGCGGTGCTGATACTGCCAAACAAAAGTGGCGGACGGCGGGGACTCTACCGCCGATGGCTGGGCTATGCCACTGGAAGTTGGGGCCCGGCGGACTTTAAACGATGGGTATGCCTGCGTGTCTAAATTAATTCTGTAGCCTAGAGGGAGCAGCAGTGGAGATCTGTATATTCGATTAGTTGACATTTGGTTTTCGTTACAGGAGACTTTGTGTAATATATTGGCAGTGTTTGCTCTGCCACGACAGCACCGTTAGTGTGCACATCACCCATACACAAAGGAGACATCCCGACTGCCGATCCGACAATACTTTATCCCAACAGCCCCAACAAACCGCCGGCGGGTAAGAACATCAGCTCGTTTTTCGCATTCTGTTGGCCTAATGAAGGAAAGCGTCCCCGGAGAATGTCACCTCTGCGCACCCTCTGATAGCTGACGACCCGCGTCGAATCACCGATCCGCAACTGCGTCGGCGTTAGGGGAGCTGGCGGCGAAAGGGTAAGGCGCTCGGCCGACTGTTTTCTTTTTCCTTGGCAAATGAGCTAGGAGGAACGGTGACCTTGCTGAACGCCCTGTATATATATATTGGATGCGGTATCCCCGCTCGCCTCATTGATTGGTGGAAGTGCGCGCGATGGTCGGGATATACAGGGCTGTGTTTCCTTGGTCCGTTGTGAGGCTTGGGATGCGCGCGCGTGTCCCGCCGACGCTGCGGTTGGTTCGGTGCTGTGCGGGAGTCCGAAGCTATTCGCATGATTTCGGATCATCTTGCCCCGACGTGAGTGGTTGTCTCTCTGTCTATTATGCCCGACTGGCGCTGCTATCCTCCGGAGAAGACTGAGACAGACAGCTGCTGTCGGCGGGATGCCTTGTTTGGCTGTGCCCTTTGAAGAGTGAGCGGACTGCGCTGGCGAAGCTGACTTCAGCTGTGCGGACGGAGCTGACGTATTGTCGGGACTCTGGATGTGTGAGCGGCGGATGACGGCAATGGTGTGACTTGGAATGAAAGGGGTGATGGAATTCGAGTTCAGGAGAGAGGAAGAGGAGAGAAAACTTGAAAGGATGGATGGGCGAGAAGAGTAATGTCCGACGGAGGAGAGTAGTCAGCGGGATTGGGCATTGCCCGATGTCGGTTAAGCTTATTCATGAAAAAGGCAAACTTAGTGGACCTTGGACTGGTAAGTAGTAGAAGTTTGTATGTCTGGTGAAGTATGGTAAGTTTTTGTATCAAGCACTACTTCACATATCTAGTCCTCGTGTAAGTTGTCGTGTAGGTGTTAGCAGTTATTTTACACACTCCCCAGAACGCAGGATAATCCAATGAACGCACATTTATTACATATTCAATCAATAAAGGAAAAAACTACACACTTTTCAATTTTCAGTTTATATTTTAGTTTATTTTCCATCATTTCTCTTCTGTCTACCCATACTTGCACTCACATGCTGATTCCCCTCTCCGTGCACGGACCACTTCCCTCTTAGAGAAGGCCCCTAATTTCCCCCACACGCTGGCCACTTTGACAAACGACGAGCCACTGATTCGACAACACAGGCAAAGAAGGAGCTCCTTTTCCCGAGGCGACGCGTTCATCTCAACAAGTCAAACTTCGACCAACTCGCCGGACCATCGCCATTACCATGCAATACGGAAATTAGAAGCTGCAAATAAAACAATAAGCACCAACCCAGAAACAATGGGCGTCTTTTCCTACCTGCGCAAGGTCTACGATGTGGACACGCTGGACACGCGCTTCACTGCCCCTTCCAACGTGGCCTACAAGACGGTTCTCGAACAGCGCAGCGATCCCGTTGCCCGCAGAGAAACAGAACAAAAGAACCTGGGTCGGTCGCTGCCGTCGAAATGGAACACTCCCGAATTCTATCTGTACTATGTCGTCTTTCTCTTTGCTGTCCCTTCCATGTTCTGGATCTGCTATGACGTCTCCAGGCGTACGTTTACCCCCTCTTCTTCTTCTTATACTCTCAGTGTACTAACCAACTCTCCCTATTTGTAGCATCCGATCCGAGATACTACAAATTCCAAGACTACCTCTCCGATGGATGGGTCCCGGGCCGCAAGATTGACAACTCCGATGCGCAATATCACTCGTTCCGCGGCAACCTCCCCGCCATGGCCGCCTTGCTCGTTTTCCACCCTATCCTCCGCCGAGTATGGGATGCCGTAAACAACCGATCTGATGCGAGAAAGTCGGCAGCAGCGAACCGAATGGAACAGCGCGCGTCATTTGACTTTCTCTTTGGCATCTTGTTCGTTGTTATCCTCTATGGCGTTTCCATCTTCAAAATTCTTGCCATTCTTTATGTGAACTACCAGGTTGCTACAAAGTTGCCTCGACACCAAGTGCCTGCTGCTACTTGGATCTTCAACATTTGTGTTTTGTTCGCCAACGAGCTCGGCCAAGGTTACCCTCTCAAAGGCATCGCACAGTTCTTCTCCCCCGCCTCTGCCTCTGGTGAGCCCTCGGAGCTCATGCAGCTGGGCAGCTGGATTGATAGCTTTGGAGGCATCATGGTTCGATGGGAGGTCCTTTTCAATTTGACAGTCCTGCGCCTGATTAGCTTCAACCTGGACTACTATTGGGCGGTTGACAAGAAGAATGTCAACTCGGTTGAGGTATGTTGACAAGCGACCCCGCTCTGTCGAAAGATGTAATAGCTAATGTGCCAAAGAAGAAGCAACTGGACCCCGCAAACTTGTCCGAGAGAGACCGCATCTCTATCCCCGCCGACGTGCAAGACTACAGCTTCCGCAACTACGTGGGCTATGCGATCTACGCGCCCCTCTTCATTGCCGGCCCTATCATGACGTTTAACGACTACATTTCCCAAATCAAGTACAGATCGGCCACGATTGAGACTTCACGAACCATCAAATACGCTGTGAGATTTGCACTCGTCTTGCTTGCCATGGAGCTCGTGCTGCACTTCGACTACGTTGGCGCTATTAGCAAGGCCAATCCTGTCTGGGGAGACTACACAGCTGCACAGCTCAGCATGCTGTCCTTTATGAATCTGCATATTATCTGGCTGAAGCTGCTGCTCCCGTGGCGCTTCTTCCGACTCTGGGCGCTCGTCGACGGCATCGACCCGCCTGAGAATATGACTCGCTGTGTTAGCAACAACTACAGCACGCAACACTTCTGGCGCGCCTGGCACAGATCGTTCAACCGCTGGATCATTCGCTACGTCTACATCCCATTGGGCGGCACTTCTTTCAAAACGTGGCGAGACTCTGTTCGATCAATTGCCACCTTTTTAACTGTCTTCACTTTTGTCGCGCTGTGGCATGATATCCAGCTTCGACTCTTGATTTGGGGCTGGTTGATTGTGCTCTTCCTGCTGCCGGAGCAGATTGCCACCATCATGTTCCCCAAGAGAAAGTGGGAGAGCCGACCTACAGCCTACCGAATGATATGCTGCATTGGTGCCGTATTCAATGTCATCATGATGATCTCTGCCAACTTGGTTGGCTTTGCCGTTGGCCTTGACGGCTTGGAGAGTATCTTGAGGCGCATTGTATCGGACTGGTCTGGTACGTACCTATATTGCTGCATCTTTAATCGCAGAGACATGGTTTTGCTAACATTTTTACTACAGGATTCATGTTCATCGTAACAGCTTGCTCTTGCTTGTTTGTAGGCATTCAAGTCATGTTTGAGATTCGCGAATCTGAGAAGCGCAAGGGCGTGATGTTGAAGTGTTAAACGGTTGACCATGCGTTGGCCCAGGAATATGCCAGAATATGAAATGTACAATAGAAACAGTATTAATAATAATATTTTTTAACCAATTGAACAAAATTGAACAGATGTAGCACTGCAAAGCATTGGCAAAGACACAAACAAAGCTGCATAATTCAAGATGCGCCTACGCCCACCCCGCCAGCGCCACCAGATTATGCGCATCGACGGCGATGCCGTTAGGGCTTCAGGTACGTACCGCTTGGGTCGCCGGCGTCTGTTGTAACTCTCCAGAATTCATTTAGATAAACGAGGGCTTTTATCTTTGTAGGACCCTCACTCCTATTAGCACGCGGCCGTCTAAGCGAACAGCGTCACAATGTATGGTTAGTTACCCCATTGTTAAAATTACTGCTTTCGGGATACCACCACCGAACGGAGACCGCTTTGTTTGGGCCGGCTGTTGTATGGTAAGTAGACCTTTTTGCAAATTACAGATGCACGTGGCGGTCTTGTCCGATGACACTGCAGGTGGAGGAGGGACAAGAACTGTGGTTCATCTTTCAAAGTGCTACGGCTACGGGAATGTCACCAATTCTACGGCCCGGGATACATGGCTCTGGATGTCGCTGGATTCCTTATTAGCGTATCTCTACCTGCCGAGCAAGCTATCTGAATCGACCTCGACGCTATAGCTCGATTAAGCGATGTCGTAGACGAATGGGGACATGTAACATGGAATCATCTGGAGCGTCGTGACTATTTGAGCCAAAGCTACGTACTGTTAGCATCAATTGCCTCTCGGGGAAGGTGAGGCGACAAGTTCGGAGCTAGTTTAGGGCGAGGCTAACCCAAGCAAGGAGGGGGAGGGGGGCGTGCGTGCGTCCAGCGGGTCTTTGTCTAGGCGTGGCTACTTGTTGCAAGCCGTGCAAAAATCAAGACCGGTGTTATTAGCAATACGAAGTGCGGGTTTTTGATGAAGATGCTTGGTGAATGCGATGTATGTCCCCTTGATGATGCATCGACTAAAGAGAAGGTCTGGTGATGCTGTTGTCGAGGTGAGGCCTGACCTTGCTTAGTTGGCGGGTGTAATTGTGCATCTCGATCTATACAGGTAGCCAAGTTTAGCATCTACGCCTCGCGAGGGCATAACATCGTTCGGCACCGCCTGCTTTGGGCAAAGACCAGCGCCATAGGCGCGAGCGGAGAGTGCAGATCCCCAGAATAAGGAGGGGGGAGAGCTTAAATTGATACTAATGCGAGGCGGGAACGAAGCTGGAGAAAAGCTAGGCGAGCCTTATTGTTGCACCGACAAAGGATTTCGACTGCCGGTGTGCGAAGGTAGAAGGTTCCATGACTACATTTGTGTGTATGCCATGGAGGAATGTCTGGCGATTTTTTCTTGTTGTCTTTGTGTTTCAAGAAACGGCGCGTGTCTCGCATCCGGGAATGGGCAGCGAGGTCGAGGCTGTTTCAGTGCGATAGATGGCCATCCATTGTGGTCTCTGATTAATCATGACATCCGAATAACGCTGAGTGAGTCAGGCTGGACAATTCATTGCTTGAAGACAAAAGAGAGAGAGAGAGAGAGAGAGAGAAGACTGTTGGTTGCAAAGGTCCGAGCAGCAAGCAGCACAGACGTTGTGGTTGGTTGGTTGGTTGGTGGCGGTGCCCAGGGCACGCCCCCCCTGTTCCTGGCACCGCGTCCTCCACTGTGGCGTGAGCCAACCGCGCTGACAGAGCTTTTTCTGCTATCTCCTTGGGGTGCCTTAGTGGTGCACCAGTCCCCCCGGAACGGTTCGTGACGAGACAATGTCTCTGCATTCAGTGATAGCGCAGGTACAGTACTGCTCATTACTGCGAATTCTCCACTGGCGCCCCTCCCCCGATTGTGTGAGCTCGTGAGGTGCAGCAACAAGCACCGTAGGCATACATACAGCTAGCTGCCAGGCCAGTGATGGCATACAGTCATGTGCTGGCTCATCAGGCTGCGCAAAGGAGAAAGCCAAGCCAAAAATACATACAAAATAAGATCATTAGAAATTACCTACAGGCTGCCCCTCGCTCATGATCCTTCTGGTACAGACAAGGGGGACGAGTGGCGTGCCTTGATGCTGGCGGTTTACCCAGCTAACTTTAATTACCCAGCAGCCTGAACCCGCTACGGGACTGAGACCGTATTGTACAGTTACGGCCTTGCCGTCTGTACCGGCCGGTTCTACTAACTGTGTTGTATGTGTGGATAGAGAGTTACGTGTATGTATGTGTGTGTGTATTATCAGCGTATGCATTGTTCAGGTTGTGCTTGGCCTGGTGGGCCTTCCCTCTTTAGCGTCCCGTACAGCGCACCGGCCCTGCTGTGGCCACGTCCGCCCCCCCTGCGTGTGCTCTCTGTAGCGAACAAGGCCTGTCTTGCAGCGCTTGGTACACAGAGAGACAGCGCCGCGCACGCACATTCGCTGTTGCTGCTTCTGCTGCGCACGTCCTGCATACGCACCCGCACACCCCCCCTTCGCCTCGCCTTCTCTCCAAGCACCAAGCAACGCATCCCTTTTTTTTGCTTTTCTTCAACTCTTCAACCCCTCTGCGGCCAACATCTCGCCTCCTGCATCGAACTTTGCAGCTACACCGGCGTCTCTCGTTCCCCCCCCTTCTTCGCCTTCGTCACTCGCTCCCGACCGCAACGCTCCTTTTCCGCCACCATCGACGTCGCGCTCGCCATCTACGGGCTCGGGTACGGGTACGGGTACTACGCCAGGCCGATCCGTCGACAGCCAAAAAGCACAGCGACGACAAATAAACGACACCGTCGCCGTGGCAGAGCTATGGGTTTTGTAGGCTTGCATTAGCTTCTTGCACAATCCATTGCTTTTGCCCCGACTTGCCTGGCCTCGCCCTTGGACGCTGTCCGAAGTCTCTCCTAGGTGTGCCTCTGCGTGCTACTGCGCCAGATTTGCCTCGCACGCGGTGAACCCCCGTCCTCTCACCACCACGACTACAGCATTGCCTTTTTTAATTGTGGCTGTGTGATATTCTCTCATATACAACTACCAGGCGGTTATTTGCCCGAATTAGCTCCGTCATCATGGCTGCCACAGAACTCCCGCCGTTGTCGTTTGACGATGGCGGCCTGCGCATTGTCTTGACCTCCTCTCAAGACCAAGAATCACAACCTACGCGACCGCATGCCGAACTGGAAGGCGCCGGAAGTAGCATTGGTAGCAGCAGCCATCGGCCGGTAACAGACTCACAACGATCGTCCAACATTCCGACACACCCCATCCCCTCATTTCAGCACGCCTTCGCCGAATCGCTAGAAGAGGTCACCACAGCCGGTGGTGTCCATAAGCCGAAGCTGCGTGGCCTCGACGCTCGAGCCCGCCGAGAGCTACTCCTTAGTCAAGGACGACAAGACGAGCCGTTTGATGTCAAGTGGCGCTATAGAGCTGGGCAGACGCAGCATGAAATCATCAAGCTGCTTGCGCAAATCTCGTTTGGTGTCTATCTCATGCTGAATGGCATGGCCAACAGTACGGCTCAGGTCATCACTATCCTCCAAGGCCACATTGATGAAGTGGATGAGTTCTTGGAGGTTGCCCTGGAGGACCAAGATCAGGCCATTGAAGATTTGAAGAAGCGTATTAACCACCTCAAGCTCCCAATGGCCAACATGGAGGTCTTTGAGCAGCTGCTCACGGACCGCAAGTTCAGAAACGAAATTCTCGACGGAAATGAAAAGATTGATGCCATTCTAGACAGAACCAACGTTGCTGTTCGTCAATGGGATGACGACATTGAGTCGGGTCTTCGAAGCAGTGCCGTATTTGCCAAGTGGTTACAAGAACAAGACACCGGTGATTGGCACGCGGAGCACCCCGAGCTGGTGGACGTCTTTGATGCGATGAAGGGCAACACGGATGGCTGGATCACCGCCTTTGAGGACATGAACAACAAAGCACAAGATATTAATGATCTCATTGTGACTCTGATGAACATTGTCACGGAGATGGAGGCCAAGGCTGGTGAAGTCAGTCGCAAGTTTCCCGAATCAGCGCAAACCTACTCCAGCACCCCCAACAGTTCGTTGCAGCCTACTAGCGCCCAAACACAATCGCTTTCGCCCGTGCCGACGCTCCCCTCAAACCCACATTCGTCAACTGGTAGTTCACCATCACCCCCAAACCCCTTCTTAGACCCCATCAAAGTAGCCGACGACGACGATGACAGCTTCTTCCCCCTTCCTGGTCTGCTACCGCTGTTACCCCCTTCCAGAGCGACAACTCGACAGCAACCAAGTCCTGTGTCGACACAAACGACAAATGCAACACCCGAACCAACCGAGCCTACATTAGTGGAGGGTCAAGTCTCGTCGTTTGCAGCGTCACCGGCACCAGCGGGCGAACCTGTCGTCGCATCTGCATCAGAGGAGAAGAAGCCCGAAGAAGAAGAAGACGAGGTCGATGAAGGCGACATCAAGCCCAAGCCGTATCGTGAAAGCCATTCAAGTACCTATCTTCTACAGCCCCGAACATATGTTCCTGCACCAAAGGTACCAAAGGTACCAAAGGTACCAAAAGTTCCAAAAGTTCCAAAGGCGGCTGCCGAGCCAGAGGATACCAGCGCCAAGTCACCAACTTCTCAGGTGGTGCAGTCCCCAGCGACGGAGACACCTCTGTCCGAAACATTGCCCTTTGCAGATACAGGTTCCACGGTGACGTCTCCGACCACTGATGTGCGAGCACCCGCCACTTCGCCGGTTCCCAAGAGCGCGTCACCAGCGCCCTCGTCTTCTGCATCACAGATATCTGCGCGTGCCACCCCTGTCGCAGCATCGGTTCGCTCCGTTCAACTTGGTGTTACGCAGGCCGTTTCTATTCAGCGAGCAATCCCAGTTGTCTTAACCGACTCGCAATCATCGGGTGTTGGCATGGAACAGAGCCTTGCCTTGCGCGAGCGCTCCTCCAACCCTCCTGATGCGATCCGTATCCCCCCTCGTTCTGTACCACAGAGCCCTATGAATGGCCTATCACCCAACTACGCCGGACCAAAGACTGCAAGCGCCACCATGTACCACCCAGCGCGCATTTCCGATGGGGATGCGCACGCCGCGCTCCGAGTGGCATCCGACTCCCCAGAGCTGGTATCACCCCAACCGCAGCTTGTTCCTTCACCACACTCGGAGCACAATTATTACCGCCCTGTGCAAGCCTCTCCTCACTCACCTTTGCAGCAGCGCCCGTCAACTGCCGCACCGTCCAATCATGGTGTAGCTGAACGTCCTGCCATGTACAGAAACCAGCCATCGCAGCTCGGCGCCATGAGCATAATGAGCAACTCGACCATGGGCACTGTGTACGATGATCAGTTCGCCCCACGAGCGGATTCGAGGACTAGCGAGAGGCAGCTCAAGAAGAAGAAGAGCACCTTTGGCTGGCTCAAAAAGGCCTTTACCATGGACGAAGACGAGCGTGCTGCTTTTGAGTCGCGCCGCGGCATGCAAAACCAGCAGCCTGCATATTACGATCCCAACCAGCCTCGCTTTTTGGATGGACGTCGCATTCGATAGAATGGTTTATTCTCATTATTATCATGGAAATATGGCATATGGCCCTTGTGTTAGCGCTGGCTTTACAACTATGCCTTTTGCCACGACTATAACTTTGGCACTCCCCTCTCGTTATTTCGCTTTTTATTTCCTTAAACTAGTATCTCTTGGGTATTGATTGTCAGGACCAGCAGCACAAAAGAAGAATGCCTGGTACCTTGGACGCAGTCAAGTCGACTAGGATAGCATGGGCGGCGCTTTTGATTTGGAAACCACAGGTTCCACAGCGAGCCGAATGAATCAGCGATCTGCTCGTTCGTGTCTTTTGCACATTTTCTTGCTTACTTTTATATACCACATCCATCACAGGCTCTTATTCTTAGCAAGTTCTTGTCTATTTAATAAATATGACTAAATATTATATGAAAATTCTATTCAGAACGCTCGCTCTTCTCTTGTCTAACCAACTCTTTGACAATATGATGTATACATCTTTGTCTGTATAAACCACCTGTCTGTATGTGTTCTTTTATAGATTATGTATCACTCTTGTCTATTCGCCTAAACCATAGCTTCGAACACGGCTAAAGAAGAAAGGCTTATCGTTTTTCAACGTAAACTCTCCCCAGTCGTCAGTGAGTTTGTTGTAACTGTAAAACGCACGCCACACGAGCTTGTTGTTCTTGGTAGCGCTGGCCTTTCCGGCACTTCGCAGTGTCAAGTCCATGCGGTAGAGATACTTTGTGCCCACGCCCTCGGTCTCGACATAGAGATCCGCATCGCCGCTCGGCGCGGCTGTATCGCTGGGATGTGATCTGGTGCTCGAGCGGTTGTTGCTAGGGACGGGAGAGGAGAGACGCCATCGGCCGCGGTGCGCAAGATGCATTACTGCCGATGGTAAGTGGCTTTGAGCCTGGTCATGGTGCTGTAGTAGTTGTTCGCGTGTCAGATGGTGCACCACGTCGGCGGGCTCGTGTGTGGTGAGCAGGCTAATGAGCGAGCCGTCGCGGAATAGGCGCAGGTAGCGGTAGTATGTGATGATGTGGATGGGGCTGCCGCCCCAGGTAGACTGGTTGGTCGATGCGGCGCCGCTGCGGATGTAGTTGACGGTGCTGATATAGCAGCCGTTGAAGCGGACGCGCGGGCGGTGGCGGAACATGGCCTTCCATGAGGGGTATGGGGTTGGTGTGAGCGCGCAGGTTGTCAGATAGGACTCGATGCGGTCGCGCTCCGCCATCTCGCGCGGGCTGATGAGGTTGCCGTCGTCGTCGAGCTGCTCTTGGTCATCGTCGTCAATGTAGTCCTCGCCGCTGGGCTTGGATGTCGTCCACTCAATGTCTGATCGCCAACGGCGGTGCATACCAGCGAAGCCGAATTCGGGCGCGATGCACACTTGGCGCCAGATACGCTGTTCCGTGGCAACGAGATATGCCATGCGTTTGCAGACGAGGGCGAGGCGGACAAAGTTGGCAATGTCGGCGACCGCCACGTCTCTCATGATGTGGACGAGAAGCTCATCGGGTAGCTCGGAGATGGGGCAGGGTAGAGGAGGCTCGCCTTCTACATCGGGGACTTTGGCTTCAATCTTGAGAGCCGAGAAGCTAGCCAGGAGTTCCTTGATAGTGAGCGGCTTTGCTTCTCCATCGGCTTTTCCTTGTTCGGGTTGAACAGGGGTCTTGGTGGCGGCAGGTTTCTTGGTTGGAGCGGTGGTTTCGGTTGCTGCTTTCTTGGTGGTTGCTGTGGCATGAGAAGCATCTGTGGTTGTAGGTTTGGGTGGGAAGTATTTTTCACGATATCGTTTGTCTACTGTATGGTCGAGCTAGATGTGAAGGTGTGTTAGTTAAGAGGACGAGGGCAAATGACCAAAGCAGAGATGCTCACTCTATATGCCTGGCGATAGAGCTTGAGGCTATCACCCATGTTGCCAATGGCTTCTTTCTGCATGGCTTCTTCAAAGTGGTCTAATGCTGATACGAGCTTCTTCTTCTTCTCGGTGGCCTTTGGTTCTTGGGGCTGCGATGTCGCGGTCTGGGTAGACGGCATCTCGTCAAAGTTGTACCCTTGAAGGTAGTCGCCTTCGTCCCATATAGGCTTTCGTAATGACCTGGGGCTCGGAGGTGCATTCTGTCGTCTTGATGAACCAGCGTTTGACGAGGTTGACGACCCTGGTGCTGGTGCTGCTGAGGTAGTTGACGAAGAGCTGGCTGCAGCTTCACCCTCTCGCTTCGTTCGCAAGTCGGATAGCCATTTCTGGCGGAAAGACTCGAGCTCGGAGCCGAGCCCGGAATCTGCGGACATGTTATTGCGAGGGAATTGATGTGTATGTCAGCGGCATATAAGCAGAGAAAGGCTTTGATATTCGACGGAACGATGGTGCCGATGGTGTTTAACGGAGTTAAGAGGGATGTTTTGTTTAGGAAGAGAGCGCTGCGTAGTCGGTAGAAGTATATGTAGATAGTAGAGGATAAAAGATATTTTTTAATGCCAAGATCTGCAAACGATGCGTACGGCTGAAAGATGACAGCAGCAGTCGAGTCACCAGAGGCGTGGCTTGCAGGGAAATCTACTTGGAGCAGGCTGGAGTTAAGATGCGGAGAAAAGGCGTGATAGTGATGAGAAAGAAAATGAATGCCCTGTAATTTGATCGACTAGTGCGCTGTAGCTGCGCTGATGGGTGCTGTAGAGCAGCTGAGACCCGCTGTAAAAAGAATGCAAGGTGCACAATTGACAGCATCCACAATGTCAATCGATAAGCACTTCGCCGGTGACGCATCGCACCAGGTGAACGCTAAGCCTGTTTCGTGCTTCCCCAAAGGCGGGTTCTAGAATTGCCACTTCTCCCTGGGAAGGTCCTCAAGTTACAGTGGACACTCCGCTGTGGTCCACCTGGGGGTTAGCGCTGTGCTGGTGCTTGTTGGGGGCCCGTTCGGCAAACTGCGGCGCTGGCTGCTGGCCAACCGGGTGCATCGCTCGCTGGACCTGCGCTGGCTTCAGTGGTCCCCGGCGCCCTTGCCCCCCAAAATCCGAGCTCCGACGGCCGGAGACGGGGCCAGCAGCGGCACAGCGCGCGATGCGGGAAGTGAAGGTAGCTTTTCTTGGGCGTGCCCGTGAATTTTTAATCAATCTCCCCTCACGCTGGTCTTGTTTCCTGACTTTGTTCCCGCCACCATCCACGCTTCCCAACGCCATTCACTCTTTTATTGCGTATTCTATCCAAATATACAGACAATTACTTTTGCAATTATATTGTCCAACACTCTTGCACTACCCTTCCACCCCAGCGGATTCCTACTCGTCATCGTCTCATGCGCGCCCGGTAAATCCGACGACCCGAAACCGATTCATCACCAACCTCTGGGCTTGGCCGGCTCACCGTTTTACCTCGAGTAGGCGGCTCTGCCCAATACACACATACACTTGCTGGCCCTTTCTGCTGCAGTGTGATTTGTCGGTCGAGAGGCGCCGGCTTCACAAAGCAGAATGGGTCGCAACGACGAGCATCCCGTCGAACCCATCGACTCTTTCACCTCCTCCGCCGCCATCCGAAACCACGACACAGGAGCCAACATTCCTGAGTTGGAACCCGTGGTAGACATTACGGCATCACAGAAAATGATTTCAGCCATGTCAGGCAGCTTGTTGACATCGTTGCTAGGTATGTAGAAGTCCCAGTTGACTGTCAAGGTTGTTCTTGTTCGCTAACCATTGCCTGAACAGTCACTCCTCTTGATGTCGTCCGTGTTCGATTACAATCACAGCCCATGACGATAGCCGGCATGAACTCGTACAAATTCGCTATTCCGGCCGGCCATGTCGGCGCGATACCGACAGCGGAGCTCGGAGTGACGGCGTGCTGCCGTGAGGTCTTCTTTGCTGGTAACACGGCAGAGATGTGTCTCGCTGGTCCCCGAATCGACGGTATTGCTGCCAGTGCTGCTACTGTACCGCATGATTGCGTTGTAGAGGAGACACAAAAGAAGACATACAAGTCTACATACGACGGACTACGAAAGATTGCGCGCAACGAGGGTTTTACGACACTATGGAGAGGATTGTCACCGACTCTTGTCATGACCATCCCCGCCAACATTATCTACTTTACTGGTTACGACTGGCTACGCTTCAACAAAGCTAGTCCCTTCTCCAAACTCTCCTCCGACTATGCTCCCCTGACCGCTGGCTCCGCGGCCCGCATCCTAGCTGCCACCGCCGTCGGACCGATCGAACTCTTCCGAACACGCATGCAGGCCGCCCCTAGCGCCTCCAAGTCCAACCACTTCTTGGATACTTTGACTGACGTCCAGAACATGGTCAAGACACACGGCTACACTTCGCTGTGGCGTGGCTTGACCCTGACGCTGTGGAGAGATGTGCCCTTCTCCGGTTTGTACTGGTGGGGTTACGAGTTTATTCGTGGCCGCTTGACGGATTTGCGTCAGGAGCGAGAGGGTAGAAGCCTTTCTCGTGAATCTCGATCTGATTCCCGTCGACGATCACAGAGTGCCGAAAACACCCGCGACACCTTTATCGACGCTGCCACTGCTGGTGCTTTGTCCGGCGCCTTTGCTTCTGTAGTCACAACGCCTTTTGATGTCGGCAAAACACGAACTCAGGTTTATACAGACGGCCCTAAGCGTGCTGCAGCCGCAGGTGCGCAGGCTGTTGCACCAGAGGAGCAAAACATGCTGCGACTCTTGTGGCACATCTTCAAGACTGAAGGCGCTGCGGGACTCTTCCGGGGCTGGATTCCACGAATGCTCAAGGTGTCGCCGGCATGTGCCATTATGATTTCCAGCTACGAGGTTGGCAAGACGGCCTTTCGCGGAATCAATGAGCGAGCTCGTTTGAATAAACCTGAAGCTCAACCCTAAACACGACACAACAACTTCAACACCGCCATAATTCCTCCTCCTCATATTACTACTGCACAATCCCCATTTAACACCAAGGGGCAAATTTCTACTCTGCATTCACTTTCAGCATATTTGTATTTTCTTTTTGGCGTTGGCACACATAAAATAACCATGAGGCTGTCACAAGCCCTTGTGGGGGAATGTTTATATTGGCCATTTTCTGCATTATATAATGAACAGGTGTGTGATGTAAGATAGCGACTACGAAGCTTATAAATACTATAAAATTTTAAATATTTAATTTTTGCACGCATGATTCTTTTTTGGGAATGTCGCCGGACAGAGCATGGCGCACGCCTATTCACTTATCGAGGCCCGACACTTGCAGAGAAAGCTCCACTAGAAAGTTTAGACCTCGAATCGCAAACTACGGCGGTTGCGGTGTTGAAACTTCCATAGCGACAATAAAGATGTACCAGCTTGGGGTGTTTGACCAGTTCCAGTTCCCGTCACGGGGATCTGTGACGTATGTGCTCGACATCACCAGAACAGATAACGGCATCGCCACTATTTCGTCAGACCAGCGCCTTTCGCTGTTTGACCCAACTCGGATTTCCGCTGGGCCTGTGGCTAGCTTGGTAACAGATCATGGAAACCTGGCTCTGTTGAAGATTCTAGATGGTGGTCTTGCCTGTACTGCGGGTGAAAACGGTACAGTCTCCGTCTGGGACTTTCGCCAGCCAAGCAAGATTGGCAGTGTAACGCAGTTCAGAGGTATGTTGAATCCGGATGTTAATCTCACTATTGTTCAATTCTAACTTGTCCCGCAGCTAGCCAAGCGCCCATAATGTCTATGGCCTGCAATGCTGGTACACAGACTATTGCTGTTGGCACAGAACTACAGAGCCACACAGCGTCTATATTCCTCTGGTACGTGAACTGACGCCTTTATTATTTAAAGGCTTGCTAACGGCTTTCAAAGGGATATCCGCAACACGCCGGCGGCAAAGGCAACATACAAGGAAGTGCACAGTGACGATATTACCGAGCTGTCATTCCATGCTACACAGCCTGCGCTTTTGCTCTCCGGTTCGACCGACGGCCTCGTCAACGTGTACGACACACGCATCACCGACGAAGACGAGGTTGTTGTCCAGACCTTTAACCACAACTCCTCAGTCCACCATGCGGCCTTCCTTGCACCGTCGAGCGAGATTCTCGCCATCTCGCACGACGAAAAGTTTGCACTCTACGACGTTGGTGAGGACCGCGTGGATGGCAACGCCACACAAGACTTTGGCGACCTGAGAGAACTCCTCGGGTGCCAGTACATTGCCAACATTACCCCCAAGATGGATGGTGCTGGTGCTATTATTGGATCTGGATCTACTGAGTAAGTTGTTCTTTCAAAACGATACACCACTACTACCAGCCGCTAATGCCTTTTTCCACTTGTAGAAAGCAGACATTTGAGCTTGTCTTCCTGGCCAAGGGTGCCGATCAGATGTGGAACTTTGATAGAGACAATACTGTTGGTCTGCCAGGTGGCCATGGCGAAGAGATTGTGCGATCATTTTGCTTCTTTGATGAGGAGCAGGTCGTCGTCACTGTTGGTGAGGATGGCTGTGTCAAGGCCTGGAAGTAGAACCAAACAAACGGTCTGCAACCAAAAGAGGAAAACGAAAATGAAAGGTTACGATATAGAATACCCATTGGAAAAATCAACAGTGCTTTTGTGTTTCTCTGGTCTAGAATATAAATACAAATACAATCAATCATCCACTGTACACCCACTTCCCACCCTGACTCAACTAAATTTATCATGCTTGCCCTTGACCTTGATATCAAGCAGCTTCTCATAATAATCACCCTCTCTACGCGCCCTCTTGAGTATGCGCACTTCATCCTCCTCCAACCGTCTACCAACGGCCTCCTCCAGCTCACGCCTGCTAATCTTAGCCAGGGCCTTTTCTTCCTTGGACGTCTTTGTTCTCGGCTTGAAGCGCGCCTGCATACGGATACGCAGCGTCGTATTGAATGTGATTTCGTCCGCATCACCTCGGATCTCTGATTTCGCAGACACCGACGACGACGTCGACGCCTTCACAGAGAGGAACGTCTCGCGCTGTGTCATGATCTGAAAGGTCCCCGGCGTGTCGGCCGTAGCAACCACATCAAACGTCTCGAGCGGCGAGATGGCTTCCGATGTAGCTGAGAGCAGGCCGACCTTGTCGCAGGCTAGATATCGCCCGTGGTGGCCACGGAAGCGGAAGTGCTCGGTGCCTGCGATGCGGTTGGCCACCCAGACCTGTCGGACATCGTGCGGCTCGGCAGTGACGGGATTGTTGTCGACAATGTTTTCTATCGGCATCGCAAAGACCTTGCCCGCGGCGTCGCAGGCTATCGCGGCTGGCTTGTCCGACGGCAGCACAATCATGACGGGGCCGACAAGGTCGGTGACAGCTTCGGCAGAGACCCAGCTGTCGTCTTCGCCGGCATCCTGCTGCTGCTCTTGATTATCGGCGTCGCGGCGCTTGACAGCTGATGAAGAGCCGCTGGCATCGTTATCGCGCTCTGAATCGGTTCTCTTGCGCTTCTTGGGCTTCTTGTCGCCCTTGAAGGAGAGCGGCTTGACCATGGCAGAGATTCCCCCGTGGCGCGTCTGCGGTCAATTGGTCGATGGGATTGGACCAGCCGACTCGTTAAAGTGCGTCTATCGTATCGGAGAGGATCAGCAATGATACCTCCGCTCGGCTAGTGAGTGTACGTGATCGGGCTCGGATGGTGGTGGTTGCTTCAGCGAGTCGCCGGCGAGGAAAATGTCATCGGAGCCTGCCGAGATCCACTGTGGCCGTGTGCAGCAGTCGCCTGTTTTTCTAGCAGCCGGGGCGGGGGAGGGGCACCAACACCACCAGCGCACCGCCAGCCGCCGGCGTCCCCCGCAGCCGCTGTAAATTCAACGTGCGGTGCCCTGAAATAAAGTGGCTTTGCGGGGCATCTTCAGCGCCTCTTCACAGTTTTCCCCCCAGGTGGCGGCGTCCTTTCTTCTTTACACAAAACACCACCACACCTCCTCTTTGCTGTGTATTTTCTACCCCGCGTGTGTTTATAAACGGTTATACTCCCATATTCAACTAGCAAACATGGCCCGCATCGCCCCAGCTGTTACTGTGTCGCTAAACGACCTCAAAGCCGGTATGTCTTTAGATGGGCTCCCCCAGTTTGTCCATGTGTAGATACTCATGCTTGTTACTTTAGGAAACATTCCCTTTGAAACCTTGCAAGAAGCATTCGGACCCGAGTCTCTTGGTATTCTCATTGTCAAGGATATCCCTGAAGAGTTTGCTGAGCTTCGACACCAGACTCTGTCCTATGGCTCATATCTCGGTAACCTCCCCAGTGAAGAGCTAGCTAAACTCGAGAATGTCAAGTCAAAGTACTTGACCGGCTGGTCATTGGGAAAGGAAACACTTAAGAACGGCACCCCAGACACCTACAAAGGCTCATACTACGCCAACTGCGCCTTCCACCAGGATCCTACTCTTGAGTGCTCGCCTCCTACAGACAACTTCAACATTGACACATTCCCCGAGTACTTGTCTCCCAACGTATGGCCACCACAAGAAACGCTTCCTGGCTTCAAGCCCTCGGTAACCACTCTCTGCAACCTCATCATTGATGTAGCAGCTCTTGTCGCTAGAGCCTGTGATCGCTACGCCGAAAAGGAAATTGAAGGCTACCCTAAGGGCTATCTTGAGCACGTTGTGAGCTCGTCGCACACCACGAAGGCTCGCCTGCTTCACTACTTCCCTCAAAGCCCTGAAGATATCGTCGACGGCACAGAAGATGACTGGTGTGCTACACATCTCGACCACGGCTGTCTCACCGGCCTTACATCCGCCATGTTCATTGATGAGCATGAGGTTAACCCCCAGGTACCAGCCGATGCCAACAAGGCTGAAGGAACCTATCTTCCCGCGCTTACAGAGCTTGCTGCCTCTCCAGATCCTTCTGCTGGCCTGTATATCCACTCTCGTACTGGCGAAACCGTCCAGGTTAAGATTCCCCGCGACTGCATCGCCTTCCAAACTGGTGAGACGCTCGAGCGCATCACTGCCGGCAAGTTCAAGGCCGTCCCTCATTTCGTCCGCGGCGTTCGTGCCAAGCTTAGCGGTGGCAAGATTGCACGCAACACACTCGCAGTGTTTACTCAGCCCAACCTCGAAGAGGAAGTTGACCTTAAGCAGCACATCAACTTTGGCGAGTTTGCACGTGGCGTCGTTGCCAAGAACACTGTAGTATAAAATGTATATAAAATGTCATAAATAAAAAAGTGAATCCCTTTTTACAACATTATTCCGTCAAATATATTACATTATTAGGCCCATGCACCGACAACACTCATGCCAAAGGCACCAAGGAGAACCAAAACGCACGCAAAAACACGCTCCTTGCCTCGGAGGTAACGCCAGCTTTCATCACTCAAAAAGTCTTCTGACAAGAGCTCCACCAGGGATGCAAATGTAAGAAGACCGGCAGAGATGGCGTTCATGATGCCTACCATGAGCAGACCAACCTCGGAATCCTGGCTGTAAAGGTTGTGGACAGCAAGGCCGATTGCTTGACCAAGTGGGGTGCTTTAAAAAAGAGTTAGATATTGGCTTTGGAATACAAGGATTAGTATACTTACGTGCAGCCGTACGCCAAGGCAAGCAGCCAGGGCTGGACGGTGTCTCTCTCCCAGCGTACCTTGGCAATTCGGGATCCCAGAGCAAGGCCTTCAAAGGTTTCTATCACCAAGTTAGCTACAATGTAAAAGGTTGAGTTTGGGTGGGGATTCGTATCGTGATATACTTACGATGGAATGAAATGGCAATCAGCAGAATAATAAACTCGTTTCCAACTGAAACGCTAATGGCCATGCCAATGAAGACGCTGTGGAAGAGGATACCCATTTCAAGCAAAACACATTGCAGGCGGTCCTTGCGCATCTGGTGCTCGGACTTGAGGTTGATTGAGGCCGCTGATGACTGTTCCACTGACATGTCTGTCACTGCTGCCTTTTCATCATTCCCCTTGGCTGAAGGAGCTGCTACTACTGCCTCTGAGGCCAGAGATGGCGACTGTGCCAAATTTGTCAAGCCCTGGCCCATGCTCGAAGATCGACCAGCCAGAGGGCCCATGTCTCGTACTGGATGAGATGTGCCATCTGTAGCACATTGGTGAGGCTCGAAAGCGCTGGTATCGGTGTGAGCGGCTGCCATGCAGCCACCCCGGTTTGAGACAATGCTCGCGGGGGGAATATGACGAGCCGGATGAAAGACCATTTCAATAACTGCCACTAAGAAAACAGCAGCCAAGGCGATGGCGCCTGGCATTGCTGGGTAGTCCTCAGTCCAGAACTTGCCAAGACATGGGTTGGAAAGATTCTGGAAAGCAGTAGGAAGAAGGTGGACAAACGCAGTGGCGATCAGAACGCCAGTTCCAAAGTGCCGAACAATGAAGAAGAAGCGGCCGGGGATGCGCAGGCCAGGCACCTTGGAAGCAAGAATGGGAAAGGCACAGCCCAAAAAGGAAACCGCCAGGATGATGAATAGAGCGCCAACGTGCATGGGTGTGTTGTATTCTTCCGGGTCTTCAACGCCTCCAGTCGCGCATTGCGTCCGGCGAGCCAGACGAGATGGTTGCGGCGCGAAAGAGGACTCATTACTTGTCAGGAAGACCACCTCTGAAGATTTTGTGCTGGTTGAAGGTGTGGCTTTGGGTCCGAAGTGTGTAATGGCATACGAACTAAATGCGACTGAAGCGACCCAGGTTGTCCACCCGTATAATCGACGTGCAAAAGACTTTTGCTGAGGGCACGAAGCGTATGGTGCCATTTGCGCCTGCTCTGAGCCTTGGAAGCAGCGATCGTTGCTTGTCTTTTCGAACTCGGCCATGTTGGACTGTGCTGTGATGTATAGAGGCAGAAAGTTGAGGACGAAAAGAAATCGGCAGCAAAGATGAGAGGCGGTAGCGCCCAATTTATCAAATCTCATGGATGTGGGCTAAGCCGAAGCCACCATTGGCATCCTGAGCAGGCATTGGAAGAAATACTGGCGCGCCGAGAAAATCGCATCCACTGTTTGACAACCGTTGTGGTTGATGCCAAGAACCTTGGTGATGAGCGGGACCACGGAGTGTGAGAACTCGACACAGAGCCCTTCCGCGTTGCTCCGGTCGAGATGCTGGTGTAGCTGCAATGTACGACCGTCGATCCGAGTTACATTATATTTATTACCGTTGCACGACGACCATGGTCTGCGTCTTTTGCAATGTTCTTAGAGCATCGGCTTCGAGGTTGAAATAAAGATTGTGGCTGTGGCGCGGTTAAGTGGGTTGAATGCATGGCATTTTCGTGTGATTCCGGGTCGCCCTTCCGAGACGAGTCGGCGTTGTCTCTCAAAGACTGAACTGTGTAGCTCTACTTGTCTGTTGAACTTATGAGAGATCTACTTGTTAAATATATAGGTCACGTAGCATACTTGTAGAGGGTTTATGTAGCTTGCCGTTGGGGCTGCTACATTGGTCTGCTCATGGATATCTGTTTTCTAGCATTAGCCGGTCACAGTTGCATTTGCAAGGATGAGGGCGACACTGTACCCTTAAGGGACAGATCTATGTGCGATTGTTCCTGAAAAGAGGTTTAAAGTCATTCGGTCGACTTGACTACTGTCGTGTTGAGACCATACAGGTGTCTGCTCTACCAGCTGGCGCCAGCTGGTAGACCTGGCAGAGCACTTGCCCGTCTTCCACTGTTGTATGGAAAGACGTGATCTGCCACCAAAATATTAAGCAACAGGTTGTCGATATTCTGCATAATCAATTGTTTCTGTTAACTTTTCCATTTTTATTGACAAATACATCCATGCTACTTCCGCTTTCCCTCTGTTGGGCCCAAACTTTGCCCAATTCCAAATCTCGCCAGCGCTTACAAACATTCATTTCAGCGGACTTTCCCCCAAATCCCCGATTCGCCCGCTGTAAAGTCTCCCCGCCGAGGGGCCATGACGCCTTTTCTTTTCCCGATGGCAGTGACATGCATCTGTGTCGTGCATTATAAAAAGCTTCCATTCTGCCCAACCAGCCTTTGAACAATCATCACCATCACCGAGAACTTACCAATCAAAGCACAGTGATTAATTATTCGTACACAAAAAAATCATCTTCACAATGGCCCTTCCCCCCAAGTTCGCCGCGCAAAAGAGGCTCTTCGCCGACCCCTCCCCCGCACTTGCGGCGTCCGGCGTCCCCAACGCTACACATACTCTCGAGCTCTACCTCGATTACTGCTGCCCTTTCTCGGCTAAGCTCTTCAATACCTTTACTACTGTCATCGACCCAATCATCCGCCAGAACCCAAAGTGGGCGTCGTCGTTCGCCGTCATCATCCGCCAGCAGGTTCAGCCATGGCATCCTTCGTCGACGCTAATGCATGAAGCCGCATTGGCTGTCTTGCGCCTGTCGCCCGACAAGTTCTGGGATTTCAGCACTGCTCTGTTTAAGGAGCAAAAGGACTTCTTTGATGTCAATGTTGTGAACGAGACTCGCAACCAGACGTACAAGCGCCTGGCTACTGTCGCCGGGAAGGTCGGCGTTGACGAGGCCAGTGTCTATGGGTTGCTCGAGATCTCGGATAAGCCCGGCGCCGATGGATCCCTCAACTCGGGCAACCAAGTTACCAACGACTTGAAGCTTGTTACAAAGATGAACCGTTTGATTGGCGTTCATGTAACACCGACTGGTGTACTTAACGGTGTTGTCCACGATCTTGGCTCCTCTTGGACTGCGGAGCAATGGACCGAGTGGCTTACCAAGAACCTCGACTAATGTATTAAATAGAAAAAGGAATAAGTACATCATTATTTGAACAGTATGATAATTAAAACAATCGTGATGAAGACATACATAGCAAATATAGCGTTGAAAATGTGCACTACTTCATCTTTCCACAAGCAATCCTATAGCCCATGCTTCAGCCACAACCGGTACATCTCTGTTTTCGGCAAGTCTGCAAACAAAATAATGTTTATAGAGTATTTAGTGGCCGTAAGAGATTGCAGCTTACAACCGCTGTCCTGGAGAAATGCGCCGACCCGAATAACGTATTCAGTCATGGTTAATGGCGAGCTCTTCACGACGGCGTAGAATGGTCGAAGCACTTGGACACATTAATATGAGTCAACCATTGGGGTCCAAATGCCGTCTTCAGGTACAGAGAAGGGGGTACTAAGTGTATGAAAACCCTCATCGTAGTGTACAGAACATGGAATTAGGTGTAGGAGGTAAATATCCAAGTTGCCTCGAGTATTGTGGCATATTATAACCTATTCATAATTAACCTTCCAATTGTCCACAAACAGTGCTCCAGGGCCACGATTCAATCTTCCCGTAAATCCCTCTTACTAACTTGAGCCTAGACTCTACCGGCGCTTCCTTAGCTCTCTCCCAAACAATTATATCTATCCATCATATACCATCCAGTCGAGACTGCGCCGAGATTCTCACGAGCGTAACCTTTATATCCATGTTCGGGTTGACTTTAATATTAGCAGTCTTTAATCTTCAATAACTAATGGAATTAAAACGCAAATCAGGTCTTGTCCATTATCATCCAGTATTTCCCATTTCCAACTGTAGTCGACCTTGGGATGAAAGGGTAGTATGTCAATTGTCCCGATATAATTAGACGGTTCGTTGGAAATAACGGGGCATGTTAGCCCAGATGCGCAGGCGTCCTCATTAGGGACAGCATATGGTAGCGAGACTCCGTCAATAACACCGGAGACCCTGAGCACTGGTCTGATTGGGGATTCTGTCGCAATGAACTGGATCGAAACATCTGTTGAGGTACCTCTTCGGAGTCTGCATATGTCTTCATCGTCTGGACACCCTGAAACATCCACACTAGAAACAGTTCCGTGTCCCGTGCCTAAGGTGTTCGTCAATTAGATGGCGGATATCGCAATCAAAAGATTTCCATGTACCACAATTGGAAAAAGGGCTAGCTTGTGCGGCTGCGACTAGGCCTAGGATCGGTAGTAGACAAGGTTTCATATTTGCTAGGTTATATTGCGTTGTTGGTAAGCTATGGTAAGTGTAGTAAATGTAGAATTGAATAATGAAATCACAGCTGATCATGTAAAACGGAGGCAAGCTTATTAGATACTCGCTTTCCAAGGGATAAAGACAGTGAAACTTGATGTGGACTGTCACAACAACAACCGTGCTGGCCGTCAAGACAACAACAGGTATGCTGATATTACTGCCTAAAACGCCCACGGGACCTACTTGAAGTACTCCCGAAGAAGCGCCCAGCCCACTGAAGAAGAACAAAAGACGAGGACCCCGAAGTATAGATAATGAGGAGCTGTAGCTAGCTAGCTAACTTCCAGGTATAATATAAGTTACGGTTCGGGTCTATAAGAACAAAAGCGGGGCTTGCGCTACGACTTAATTGACCGTTGAGACAAAATCAAAAAGAATTAAATAAATAATTCGCACTATTTTTACACGTGGCTTTGATCTAGTACCTAACAGTGGTGAAATGGGTTTTGGCGTTAACTGGACTATAGTCGCTGGTAGCGACCCACCTCGCAAACGCCCAAGACAAACTTCAACCATTAAAGACCACTGTCGCGTCGCAAGTTGCACATCGTCTTTATCATCCATCCACCAACAATGGCATCCAAAATATGCCAAATACGCCTCTCACCAAGCAAAATCACCCACCGCCTCCTAACCACACCAACCAGCAGACCCAATGCCATCCTCATCTACCGTATCCCCTCGCTATCCTCGCTATCGCGCCGATGCAACTCCACGTCAAGCAGCGCCGCCTCCAACGCTGCCCGTCTCGCAGAAGAGCAATTAAAGCGCGCAGCGCAAGAGAAGCTTCGCAGTGGTAAAGGCTCAGGTAAGAATTTCCCTCGTATCCCTTCTTTTCCCGCGCGCCACTAACCCATGCGCAGAAATCGCCGAGAAGCTGCTCATCTACCATGCCGGCACGGGCAAAACCACATTCATGTCCATGTTCAAAGTCACCACGCTCTTTGTAACGGCGTTTTTCTGCTTCATCGCCGTCCCTGCATACGTCAAAGCCGACAAAGCGCCTCAGGAAACAGCACTAGGTACGAATTCGTCTTCTCATCGGTTGCCTCACGGGACAACTCAGCTAACGTCGCGGTGCTACAGTTGCGCTGGGTGGCATCGTGCCTCTTCTCTTCATTGCATACACAACGTCGCCCTTTGTAACACACATGCATATCCATCTGCCTGCACAGGCTCGCGCATCTCGCGCAGCACTTGAGCGCTTCGTCCGCGCCATGCCTCAGGATACTAAACTCACCATCACCACCATGAGTCTCATTGGCAAGCCCCGCTATAGCAGCGTTGCTGCTGGAGATCTCAAGCCCGTTAGCCAACGTTTTGGCATCATCAACTACGTACGCGACACTACTAAAGAGAACGAATCGCGCAAGTGGTACCACTTCCGTGCAGTGTCTGGCTTCCATATCCCTCCACAGCGCAATCTCCCAAACCTCGCCGGGCGAGGTATTTCATCTGGAGTGCAACAGTCGGTTAAATTGCAGGCAAAAACAAGAGGATCGACAACATCGCCTGCTCCTGCGAAAAAGAAAGATTTGTTAGAGGCCTGGATTTGGGATACAATCAAGGAGAAGCTACAGCAACGTTCCACTGCCAACGTAGCCTAGAATCCTTTCTACTAGTGTAATATTATTGTACAGTATAGAATATATAATTGCTCATTTTGGCATAGGGAAAATTGTGATTCAGTATGTCCATTGATATTGTGCGTTAGATATTAAATGTCCTCATATCTCCTCTCCCACCCAGTTGCCTGGAGTCTCAAGACTTTGACGCCAGAGGAAGTATATAAACAGAAATAAACAAAAAGACATCATTGCTACAATTGTAGCATATCCAATCCGTCAACGAAAGCCACCTACAAGCACTGTCATTTTAGTTTTATAATACATTTCATCATGCACGGCCCTCCCAGATACCATAGACTGGGCCCGTCACGCTTCAAACTTTCCAACAAAACGCCTAGATAGGTGTGATCGTATATTCATAATCATTGTATTTGTTCATTTGGCGCCGGGTCAATCAGTAAACCGCGTTTACTCGCGTTTGATCATGACCTGCTCATCGTAGTCCCAGGATCGCTTCAAGCCACCTTCATAAACACTGGCCACAGACTCTTGCCACATTGCGGGAGTGACAAAGTTGGCGGCTCCGGAGTAGTCTTGTGGTGATATTTGATGATGGACAACAGGGATTGTGTTGGCGATAGACTGCACATCGTGGATCCCGGGGGCGGCGACTTCTGAGCCTTCGGGTGACAGACCCATGTTTGCCGAGCTTGTTTGCGACGGAGGCGGAGGAACCGCAAACGTTGTGTTCCATTGTCTGAAGTGAAAAAGAAAATATTAGATGCTGACAAAAGCGGTAAACGGTACGAAAATGAAGCTTACTCAAAGATTTTGGATGGATTCCAATTGTGATCTGGCACAGCAAGGTTCTGCTGCTGCATCGCAGCCAAATGTCCATTTTGGGGAGTGAGATCAATCGTCTGGATCGACGGTGATTCGTTTTTGCTGCCCATGGGTCCTGTAGAAGTGGGAGGTGTTACCGGGAGAGTTCCATAGGGAGAGAGAAGAGCTGGGCGGGTGTCCAGTGGTGGATCAAACGAACCTGTATGGCCAAGTCCTGGGTTAAATCCTTGGGAAACCTGGGGCGGGCTAGAGAGCGTAGAAGGCTGTGGGCTGCTATACGGGAACGAGGGCTTCAAAAGGAAGGGCTTCCTGATATCCGCGGAGAAGGCGAGTCGAACGGTATCAACCTGGGCCTGGAGCTCTGGCATAGGCCACGCTTCCATTACTTGTTCGACAATACGCATGTGTCGTGTGAAAAACTCTCGAGCGTCAGTGTTGAGATCTGGATCTGGCGATACAATCGCAACCTAGAAAACAGTTAGCATGAGATTTCAACCTTCAGTCCGTTAAAACTTCAGCTTACCAGATGGATGACGATGCAAGAGAGACCAGCATACAAGGGGAAGGAGAACCCTCGCTGGATACACTGCAATCCGGTCAATCCATACTGCTTCACAACAGCTTCCTGTAGCAAACAGACTGCCTTGGCTGCCTTGTAACTGTGCACCATGTGCTTTTTCCAATCTGCGCTGTTTGCGTTGGGATCGAGGAACGAGAGCGGAGGTCGATGGAAGAGGATAATGGTAAGTTGGTGATACGAGAGCAGGTTGCCGACAAAGCAGCTGGGAAGCCATGGTGGTGAGTTATCTGTTGGATATGTCACCGCCATATCCTGTGGAAGGTCGGATGTAAAGGTGCGGAAAGTCTGCTCTAGCTGCTGGAATTCAGGGTCGATGCCCCAATCCTTGCGTTTTCGCAGCCGGCTATACGACTTGGTCATGCGTCCAATGTTGCGAGCCACTCTAGCAAAGTAGACAAAGTTTCGCGATACGCTGTATTCAACCTCATCGCCTCCAGGAATGGGAGCAGGGACGTTAAAGTCAACAGTATCCATGCCTACTCCAAAGTCATGTCGCCCTTGCGAACCTCCAATCATGATTTCGCAGACAAAGATCGTTTGCCAAATTCGGGTCCGCAAGTGGCAGTCGGTTGGGTTGCAATCACAATCGTGGCCAAGCTGATGGTCTTCATAGTGCTCGTCCAAGCCTAAATCTTTGGCCATCTGGATACACTGCACTACCGTCATCCATGAGCGCCAGAAATACCCACGCTTGGGAGTACCCTCTCGGGCTTTCAAGATGATCAACAGCGCCTGTAGCGTGCTAAGGCGAGGAGTATCCATGAATGAATCGGCATGCCCTATGACAGAGAATTAGCGTATGCATATTTCATGGAAACAAGTGACTACTTACGTGATGCCAGTGCTAGCCATTGTTGGCCCATGGCTGGCTCTTCAGTAAGGCGGCCACCAATGGCAAAGATGGCCTCCAGAATCAACGGCGAGATGGTATGGCGTGCAGTCCTCCACTGCTGATAAAAGTGTGGCTTATATAAGACGGGAACAAAAGGGTGGATATGTTCGAAATACAAGTCGAAGAAATGCTGGGCCGTCTCATCGTCCGGCATCAGCTCAGGCGGGATGCGGATCTTGGAGCCTGGGGCAATCGCAATGGGTGGCAGAGCGCTGCCGTAATCACCGTCGTCTTCAACGACTGGTTCATCATCGCCGCGTCGGAAGGAGGCTTTGCTTCGCAGGTATGGGGCTAAGCAAAGTCAGTAATCCTGAAATATAGAGATTCAAACGTGCACCGTGTTTTTGTCTTGAAAGCATCTTACCTGTACCTAGTTCATTAAGTTTCAAACCACCAAGCAGGTTGGCGAGATCTTGCTGTTGATACGAGTCCACAGAGTGGGCATCTGGCGAAGAATCCTGTCGAGGCCCTTGGTGCATGGGGGGCGTAGGAAACGCGTTGCTTTGAGCGGCGACAAAGTGGTTGTCCACCATGTTTGGGGGGACGGTAGTGTAGTGTATATCCTGCTGCTGAGGTTGCGACGGGTCGTATGGTATAGCGTTGAACATGCCACCACTGGGATCTGAATAAGCAGGGTCGGCAGCGTACGGGTCGTCCATGCCCTTAGGATGGGCCGACTGCGGCGATAGTTGCATTTGCATTTGCATCTGCTGGAACTGATCAGGCGTCATCAGATTGTCATATGGGCCCGCCGGAGCGTTATCGTCGAAGCCATTTGGCCGAACACAGTGAAGCTTCAGGCGGATGCAGGCTGAGCAAGGCCAAGTGTTTGTTGTCGCAGCATCGCATTTAATTTTTCGTCGTCGGCAGCCTTCACAGGCTCGCATAACTGCGCAATGTTAGCAACAATGGTAGAGATAGGCGAAACGCGGGGCGCTCGGTTGAAAGTTTAAAACATAGATGCATACCTTTCAAACGCTTGTGGCGGTTGTGCTCGTCGACAAAGACAAAATCTAAAAGAGGGGCTAGTTAGCCAGTATATTCCCACAAGATACAACCAGAGCCGCGGGCGGCTGTCCTCAACGACTGAGGGAGGATAGACAAACTCTTTTGCATTTCACGTTGCTGATATGGCGAGGGGGTGAAGGCGAACGTCGACATCTGGGATGCTTGCGAGGCCGGGACGGCTTGGCCATCTTGGGAGGTGGCCCGTCTCGCAGAAGAATCGTCGGACATGGTGACGGTGATATTGGATATTGTTGGATATATGGCAGCTGGAGCAGAGGCAGAAGCGCCGTGTTGTGGTTGCGACGGGTAATGCGAATTACCACATCAAGTCGACGCGGAGATGGCCGGGAAGAGAGGGGAAGCGTCGGTTCGGGCGGGCGGCAATGGGCGATGCGCTGGGAGGCTTCCGGTATAAATGCAGCGCCAGGTGAGAAATCTGCCAAGATCGATGTGGAAGGGGAAGGGTCGGACGTCGCGAAGGAGGGGTGAGCAGTGGTTGGTGGTGGTGGTGTTGTGGCGAAGAGAAGAGGATGGCGGGCGGTGGTGGTGGTGGTCGGGTTAGGTAAATCCGGGGGAGGTGCAGCCGACGGTGGTTTTGGCAGCGGGTTGGCTTTTGGGATGAGATTGCATGGAGTGGGAAAGGGTCACCAGCGGAACGCTGCGGCGTTGGATGGCTGCACACGGGGCCAGTCGACAAGCGGAGTTTTGCAATGGCAAAGAGGGGCAGCTAAGCAGAAGGTGCCAGAGCCCAGTAAGAAGGAAGAAAAAAACTTTGTTTAGTGGTGTGCTAGCAGTGCAAGACATGCTTCAGCACTTGGACCACAGTGGGCCGCTCTACAAGAGCCTATGGCAGACAAGTACGTACAGTACCCAGCCGTACAGCCAGTCTAGTGGGTTGGCCCCCGAGCATTTGCCCGGAAGTAGGCATGGAGCGCTATATCGTCGGGGCTGGCAGCTACAGTGGACTTGCACAGGGCGCTAGAGCCGTGTCAGAAAAAAAAAAAACGCCAGCTCCAGCACACAGTGGACACAAGGACCATAAAAAAGCGGGCTGTAGGGGATCGTCGGGCTAGCTTCTGGGCACCACCATCCATCGCCCGCGCGGCACGCGTGTCATGCAGAGCACAGAGCCCTGAACGAAGCAAGGTACCAGATGCAGACAAGAACACATGCGTAGGGATAGAATTAAATAACTATTATGCATGAGGCCTATCTCTTGCACCTGTGCCCGCCTATGCATTATTTCATCTACAAAAGTAGAGATTGCGCAAGGCGCAGCATCGAGTCTGCCCACTGCTAAGCCCCTGCGACTATAGCCGTTTGCGATTTTGGTACCAGCCAGTTATGTGCTGTACGTAGACACTGTACAAGCGGTGCGGGTGTACTAAAGTGGTACTGTGGCATCGCAACGGTACAGTACCACCACCCCATTCGGCGCCGGCTGTGGGTGCTCCTAGAGGGGCGAGGGGGCCAGAACTTTGACACAGCAGCCACTAGAACCGCTGGACGATGGGTCTAACGTCGAACTAACCAGCACAAGGGTTTCTAAAGCTCCATGTAGCATGCGCTGGACCTGCGGCATCGAAGCACCAGAACCACTCGCAAACAGCCAATATCGGGTTGCATATGCGACTCGCGGGGGAGTGCTGTGTAATTGCGTGTCCAGCGCATGCATCGCACACCACTCCCGGGGCCGTGCGCCAAAGTATGACTTTCTGTTCCTGGCGGCTTGCGGCAAGCCTCAAGTGCGCGCTCGGCAAGTCCTGTGATCTCTATACTGCAATTTTACTGCTAAATGCTGCTACAACAGGTGGGATTCAGTCTTTGGCAGCTGATGTCGCCGCAGCGCTGGCACCAGCACACTAGAGAGATATTGGCAGGTGGGCTGCAGCCGTGGCGGTAGCAGTTAGGGCCCTTCTGTATTTACTGTACCTGCTAGGGGCAAACGATCAACAGGTTCAAAGGCCAGCGGCGCAATGCAAGGTACTTTTTTTCTACGGTTTGGCAGATTGTTTGCTTGATATTTGCTTTCCTTCTTTTTCCCTTCTCTGTTTTTTGCTTTTTCTTATTGTTTGCTTCTTACACCCCGCAGATGCCGTTGAATAGTCTATCGGCAAGTGTCGGTAAGTCGCATGACACGTTTTCTCAAAGATCGCGGCGCTGTCATTATGCTGTACCCTGTGTAATTGCTCTTGGCCAAGACGCCACGGGCCGACAGCTGGGAGCCGCTGCACAGTGGGTGGCGCTTCAGGAACGAGTTTCTGCACGCACCCACCATGCAGCTTGCTGCGTCAGGCAGAGGGTCTCACAAGCACCACCACCACCACCACCGGCAACCAGTACTGACGCCGCTAGAGAGGCGAAAGGAAGAAAAGCAAAGAATATTCCGACTAGAAGTCAAATGCAGGACCTGCTAGCGTCCTTTGAATTCTTCCATAACCTGGCCACATTCATCCTGCTGCCGTCACGGGCCTTGGCCAGCTGCCGACTGCAATGATCTTGTTCACGGTAGCTGCCTGCTGGAGCATGAGCCCTATCAGCAGCTTCAAAAACTCGATCATTGAAAGATCCCTCGATTCAGAGACCACTTGTGCTACCTGCCCGAGCCATTGAACATGCTACAATTGCGGAACCCATGCTAGATCTCGACGCTGCTACTGGCTTCTTCATCCCTGGTCACGAATACGTGGCGCAACCCATGGTGAGCATCCCCTGCCATGTGGGGAGAAGGTTGACCACATAACTCGCCAGGGAATATTATCCAGCATTGCATGAGCTGCCTGTCCTTGCCCGCAAACAATGCCAAATTTAATATAACCTGTGTGCAGCCAAGCCTCTGCCACCCGCCTCTTCCCCGAGCCACAAGACCCGAGCTTCGTGTTTTTCGTAGGGAAACACAAAATCGATAGTGGCAATGACATGTGCAAGGCGCCCGCACCGTTCTTTCGGCGTTGGGCTGTCGGCGGTGTTGGTGGAAACATGGCGGCCGTGGCGGTAAGCTTCAGGCCTGGGTGGGTGATCCAGTGCCAGGCACCCACAGTCAAGAAGTGGACTTGAAACTATGCTACACGGACCAGAGGCTCTGTTACCTGGGTTGGCCATTACTGATGTCGTATGTCAAGTATTCATCAGGTACTCTCCGTGCACACTCATGGAACGATAACTGACAGATAGGTGCCTTGTCCAACGTTGCTATATTTGCACCCTGCAGCTCGTGGCCGACAGGAGGTGGCTTGATGATTCCACGAATTGTCATTTCCACTGTGTCTCACAACCAGAACTGGGTACCGGTTCTGGAAGGCTGGCTACTTAAAAATAGAACTTTGCAAAATCTAGGGCAAATCAACCAACGTGGCCGTATACTGTATTGAACATAGCGGTGGAAAACAACCATACTAGCGAATAGGTCTTGTCGAAATGAGATGCGAAGCTTCATTATCAGCTAGATCGTGACCGCCCCCAATCGAAGCTTTGAGTGTCTGGCTATCGTTGCAATGCACCACTCCCCTCTCGACGTCATAATAGCACCTCACCTCACCTCTCAATTCAACTTGCCGGCTTGGGGACTTTGTATATCCCCACTCGCAGTGGCTGGGGTGACATATCAAACTATGCGGATCTACATTGTGCTATGCTGTTACGAGGTCGGACTTGCAACATCATTGTTTTACCGAGGGTGCTTGGTGCGACGGCCACGCTTTCGTCACCTCCGAATCCTCTCTTCTGCCGCTTTGTCCTACAAACACAAAAGGCTACAGCTCGCTCGTGGTACCGGATCTGCATCATAAGACTAATGTATAGTGGGCAGGTGGCTGAATTCAGCCTCCAAAGTACCAATGGTGTTTCAAAAGCGTCATGAGACTCGCCTGAAGGTGGAGGGGCTCCTTGCCAGCCAGGGTACAGTTATCTCGATGTTCTCGAACTGGTCACCGAAAGTGCCTTTGCTCGCCTAAGATTGGGGAAGATGCGCATTTCTCCACCAACGCCAGATGATGTCAAAGGCACGACCTCGGCGCTATTCTGCTGTTGGTCAGGGCGCCGACTAGCCCTATTGGAGGAACCAGTACGCACCGCCGTCACCAACGAGGTAGTCAGCAACCAGACCAGAAGCCGTGTGGGAGTACGCAGGACCCTACGCTAGCGTTGGGAGTTCGGTTTGAGTGATCCAAATGGTACTTACAACGCCAACCTAGAAAAGCCGTTCCTCCAGCTGTGCTCTAGGCCTGTCCAGGTTCCGACGGGAATTTGGAATCAGTGAACAAGTCTCAAAATCAAATCCACCCGATCCGCAATTGTCTGGACTGTTTAGAGCCACAGCTTCTCCAGTAACCTCGATCGCCACGTTCGGTTTCAAGCGGCCATGCGATTTTGCAACAGGGCGCCATAAAAAAAACTAAGGCGCCTAGCGTGGCGCTAAGCAGTAAACCGAGGCAAAAAGAGCTGATCGGTCAAACAGGCTAGCCAACGCGGCGAATCGATCAGGATCCAGAGTCACCATGGATTAGAAATGTTTTAGGAGACAAAATCACAGACACTAGGCTACGAGTTGGTTTGTATTTGCGCATGTGCAAATGGTCCAAGTGTACCTTGGTGAGTGCGGTTATCAGTGGCGAAAATGGTTAAGTTTCGACCGAGAAGTCACCGCTGGGATAACGTTTAAGTGCGGCGGAGGGTTGTCTTTCACTCGCGACATGAAAGCCAACTAGACCGTACGCCAGCGAACCAAAGTCGAACACAAGTCCTTGCACAGTACAAGAGGTCATAGCACCAAATCCCAGCGGTGACGGCTACGAAGTAGATACACTTGGGCTTGATACAGAGGCTATCTAAGAGGCTCCTAAGAAAAGGCTGTGGATACGGATGCAAGGACGGTTCAACGTGTTACGTTGTAGCGGAGTCTAATGGAGCCATCCACGCACTTACCAGGGCAGTGTGTGTGCTCCTGGGCCGCCTCTGCTTTGCCAGGATACGAGCTGGACGCTTTCCGGAGAGTTTCTATGCAGAGCCGGGGATTTCTTTTCAACACAAACAGCTTAAGACAGCCTTTGTTTCCAGGTCATCATAGCGAGCAGGCAACTAGGGCTAAGGCGCTGTTATGCGGCAAGGCAGGGAGGATCCCGCGTTGGCTGACCATGTAAGCCAACAGACGGATCGAACAGAGTCTGCTCGGCCCTAGTCGATGTCGGAAAGACCCCATGGAATTCACAATTATGCCACCAACCAGAGACGTGGTGCATCTGATCTAGCATACAACCCTCCCGCTGGTCCTCTGCTACCCAGATCACTCACGATGATGTAACACACCATCCAAGACCATGACGGCGCGGACCGACAGTGCTGACTGGCTTTAATCGGTGCAGCCGAGTATTGGACTACGGGGATTAGTCTAACGACTAGAATTAATCCTGCTGCCTGCGTGCTTGGCTTGCAAAGGCTGCATCTTATGCAGATGCCATCGGCGCGGCTGTCAGCACCACTGGGGCCGACTCGAAGCGCGCCAATCTGAAGCCCCTGGGTAAGTGGTGGCCAGCACTACCACCATGCACCATTGGGAGATCTGACACTGGGGACGCTCCGCTATAGGCAGCAATAATATGCACCAAATATGTGCCATGGGGTATTTAGAAATGAGTTGCCAAAAGGGAGAATTGCCAAACCTCCGTTTCATCGCTTTCCGCATTGGGAGTCGATCACAGCAACACAGAAACTGCTGACGTGAGTCTGGCCCAGCGAGTGCCGCAAAAACTAAGACCCGCGGCGTCCGTTATCGCCCCTCCATCCGGCAGCGCGCACCAAAACTCAGATATCTCTATTCCCGACGTCACTGCATCGGCATCGGCATCTCTTCAACTCGCACCGCAGAAACCCCGTTCGCTTCATAACAGTCTTCGTTTAATCTCAGTTTCACAGTGCATCTCCGTGTGCACCGAACCCCGCGCCCGTCATGGCCGCCGCACTCGACAACGCCAACCCCACCATCCTCAGCGCATCCCAGCTGCCCACGCGACAGTCTCGAGCAGCCCCTCGCAAGGGCCCTGATTCCAAATATGCAGACCTAATCTTCTCCAAGCCGTCCTATCTCTCAGAACCGTACTGTGATGAGTACACGCTGTGGCCGTCGAGCGGCAGCGATTCTCCCGCCGAGGCTGGCCCAGAACCTATTGACGAGCAAGAGATTTACGGTACGTCACACCTGCATCTGTTCTGCCATACTCGAATGTATGGGAGAATAACAGTTACTAATACTCGTACACTACAGATCTAATCTATACCATTACCGATCCCGAACACCCCGTCTCACTCGGCCAGCTGTCTGTCATCAACCTGCCCGACATCAAGATCACACCCGCCCCCGCACTTGGCATGCCATCGCCCAATACAATTGTCAATGTATTTGTAGAAATCACACCAACCATTACACATTGCTCTCTAGCCACTGTGTTGGGTCTCGCTGTTCGAGTTCGCCTTGAGCAGACACTGCCGCCAAACTACCGCGTGGACGTCAAGTGTAAGGAGAACAGCCACACACAAGACGACCAAGTGAACAAGCAACTTGCTGACAAGGAGCGCGTCGCTGCTGCCCTCGAAAACGACAACCTGCGAGGTGTTCTCGATAAGATGCTCGAGACGTGTGTTTAGTATGGTGGCGGGATGCGAGTCAGATATACCCTTTACCACAGGCTCAAGTTATATAGCATGTACATTTAACGCTTGAAAGTCTATGAATTTATGAACATATCACCAAGAACTAGTCATCTCATATCACAAACCCAACTAAATAATGTCAATGATGAAGAAGGATTACTGAAAATATTTCTGATTCCATAAGACGCCAAACATCGTTTTGTAATTACAAATCCCATTTTTGTTTATAAATCGCCAACTAGCTTACATGTCGCCCAGCATACCGCTCTCCATCAAGCTCTGGTAAAACTCAGGCTCCAAGAACGTCTTAACACTAACATCCTCGCTCAGACCCTTTCGTCGCCTTGTCTTGAGGACAAAGTCTCTAGCAGTAGTCTGCGCCGTCGCCGGCTGCAAGGGGCGGATGATCTGCTCGCGGTCCAGAGGGTCTCCAGGGACAATACTCCAGCTATCAAAGACCAAACTGACCATGGAGCTGCCCTGGGTACGGATACGGAGGTCCGTCTCAAAGCCGAAACTGTCAATGACGGGGATCAGGCCGTTGACGCGGTACAGCGGCGTGCCGGCAACGGGGCCGTCGGAAAGGACATGGCCACGACGGCGCGCGAGAATGTTGTATACTTCCATCTGTGAGTCTACGGGTCCAGTGACGGAGACGGAGTAGAGGGGCTCCATGAGGCGTGGCGATGCCATGAGGAACGAGGAGTAGCATGCACGGCGGGAGGTGGGGATGATTTGACCACCACCGCGGAAGATAGCCTGGTCGGCGAGCATGACGTCGGTGATTTTGAATTTTGTGTTGCGGATAGCTAGAGCGGTAAATGTTAGCTTTCTGTTTTGCAGGTGTGTAAGATTGTGAGTCAAACTTACGCTCTTCGCATAGAGGGCCTTCACGAGTAGCCCAGCTGAAGCCTTGGCGGATAGATTCTCTTACTTGACGAAGCTGCGCTTTGTCGACCTGCGGTGCCTGTTAGTATATAATTGAAATAGTGTCAGTCATTTTAGATGGCTTACCTCAGTGGGAAGAGTATCGTCTTGAAGGATATTGGGACCAGCATCTTCTGGACCAAATGCCCAGATGCTGCGGGCAGCAAGCTTGTCCCACCCGTGGTTCTCCTCAAAGTACTTTGCTGTTTGTCTAGCAGGGTCGCGGATCTTGACAACTCCGCTTTCGATATCTGTCGAAATGCCCTTTTCCAGTTGCTCTGCAACCATGGTAATCTTGTTCTTCTTGTTTGGTGTGATGGCATAGCACTTGGTGGCTGACGTCTCAACAACAGTCTCGCAGAACCGGGTAACAGGGTCCGAAACCTTGATGTCCATATCGGCGTACAGCTTGCGCAAGTCGTGCAGCACGCAGTCCATGTAGAGCTCACCGGTGCCTAGGACGATATGCTCACCAGACTCCTCGACTTTGGTGTTGAGCAGCGGGTACGACTTCTGCACCTTGCGCAGACCGTCAAGCATCTTGGGTAACTCGGAGGGGTTGATGGGCTCCACGGCAACCTTGAGAACGGATTGTGTAAAATGGTTGATGGGGCGGAAGATATAGACGTCCTCGTCGTCATCAGGCTTGGGGGGCACAATAGTGGCGGTCTTGACAATAGAATTGTCGACACCACCGAGAAGTACCATGTTGCCGGCAGGGACACCGTCTGTGGGAATGTTGTATCGGGTCTCGGCGATGAAGACATCGCTTATTGTTGCCATGACCATATCTTCTTCGTCATCTAATGAATATCCTTCACCGAGAACGCGCACTTGCATTCCAGGCTTCGCTGTACCACTCAGCACTCGGCCAAAGGAGTAGAAGCCCTTGGCGTCGGACGTGTTGAAGAGCTTGGCAATGTGAATGACAAGGGGGCCATCCTGGTCGCAAGCCTTCATGGAAGCTGCGAGCTTTGAATCGAGAGGTCCAGTGTAAAAGCGCTCAAGCCAATGCTCAGCTGACGCAATTGGCGACGGGATATGCTGGACAATCATGTCGACGAAGCCCGTGGATCCGCCAAAGAATTGCTCGCAGACAAGCTTCAGGATGACATGAGCGTCTGCCTTGTACTGCGCTGGCTTCAGCTGGATGCCTAGAGACGCCAGAACAGGCTTAAGATCCTCGGGGCTGTCGCTGATGGAATGGGTAAAGATCTTATATATCGGTTCGAGAACGAAATGAACAAAGGATCGCGCCGAGCGGTCCTCAAGGGGCTTTCTCGTAAATGATCGCTTATTGGGGTTGAAATACACGTCACCCCAGAATCGCTTGGCCAGTTCTTCCGTTTTGATGTCGCCGTATGTATCGCTGTACATCTTGGCGAAGGACTGGAGGGTGAAGCACCAGCCCATGTCGGCGCAAGCGAATAAGACGTTTCCTTTTTCGGGGCTTATGCGCTTCGATGCTGCTGTCGCTGGGACTGTATCGGCAATAACGGTATTAACTTCTTCTACCACATGCTTGAGCTTGAAGTAGGCATCCTTGGGTGGCAATCTCAGTTCCAGAATAAGGCGATCCAGCTTGTTGATAATGAGTGTGAGGGGGATATCTTGGAGCGCAGCGTGCTTGATGATTTGTTCTGTGTTGATTTGAACACCTTCGACGACATCAACAACCAAACAGATACCGTCAACCAGGCGAGAGGCTGCTGCCACTTCGTCGACAAAGTTGACGTGGCCGGGTGTGTCGATCAAGTTGATCAGATGAGACTTGCCCTTGGAGCTGGGCAAGACAAGGCTCATGGGGGCTGACTTGATAGAGACACCTCGGTCACGCTCCAGTATATGGACATCGGTATATCGCATCGTCTCATCGCGCTTCTTGCCGACTCTGCGGTCAAGTCTGTCTTGGATATCGTGGGTTTCGAGGACAAGCATGTCCATAAAGGCCGTCTTTCCGTGATGCAAATGACCGGCCAGCGCAACGTTTCGAGTCTGCTCCGGGAAGTTCATCAGGTCGGTCATGAACTCGCGCTCAAAGAAAACGGGGGGCAAGTCGGCCTCCTCAATGGTAAACTTCTTCTGCTGGATCGGCGCCACGATGGGCTCGGACAACGGCTGCGCATCGACTTCTTCCACACGAGTCTCGACTTCAACTCCATATACTTGTTCGGCAGTCGGGTAGTATTGTTTGTCTTCGTGGAGGATAATGGCATTGGATGGTTCATCTATAGACAAAACGTTAGCATAACGAGGAGACAGCTGCAGAGAAATAAGGCCAGGCACAGTACCATCGATCTCCATGAGCTCTTGCCCACGCTCTTGTGATGTCTCTTCAGGCTCATCATCGTATACGTAGTCGCCAGCATCGACGCCAGCTTCAGTGGCCACCTCAGACTCTACATCCTCGCCGATAAAGTTACCAAACCTAGCAGCAGACAGGCCACGGTTAGCGCATCGCAACGGGGTGGAATTGGGACAGAGAAGCAAACTCACTCATCATAAAGATCATCCATCCTTGCAATTGTGTAGCTACAGTAGCAGAGTCAATGGCAAGCGATGGGAATTTATAAAAACAAAAAGTCCACGTGCACGAATAGGCACTCGTTGGCGTAGGTCTGTCGTCAAGGCGTCGCGATATGGCTTTGCCTGCTTTGGGCAACTTTTTCGCGACCAGCTTGGGCGACGTCACGTGGTGATAGGCAGCGCTCTTCTCTGTAGTAGTCCCGCCTTCCAGCGCAATGCAGTGCAGGCAAACAAGCAAAGACGCCCGCTAAAATCTTAGCACTGCACCACAGTGGGGCGCTGTTGCCCCTACCAAAGACCGCTAATCCACACCTGTGCTTAGGCGCCATCTGCCCCAACAGACCCCTGCATCAGCGCTGTGGCAGTCGCCAGCGTCCCTATCTATAGCGCTAACCTTACCACAGTACAGTGGATTCAGGTACGAGTACGGGTGGCCGATCCGCAGCGGACTCGCACTCGGGAAACGCAGCATCAAGCGGTGACGGCCTTGCTTTTATCGATTGGCCCCTCCTTCCATTGGGTTCCCCCTCCATAATAATTTCAACAGATTCGCCCGCGATAAAAGAGCTCTTGTCCCCGATTCCTTTCCCGCCCCCTTTCTTTCTTTTATCTTCTTCTCCATCTGTATACAATCAGTAAGCGCTACAATGTCTGGTCTTCCTCCCGTCTACATCGTTTCTGCCGCCAGAACCCCCATCGGTTCGTTCCTTGGGTAAGCACTTCCTCCTCCGACATCGCAGCGTGAGAAACATATAGCTAACGTGTTGGGTAATCAACAGCTCTCTCTCTAGCTTGTCTGCTACCGAATTGGGTTCTGCTGCCATCAAGGGTATGTTGTTATCACTTCAAAACACAGAGTGACAAGACAACCAACTAACATGCGTGCTTACAGGTGCCGTTGAGCGTGCTGGCATCAAGCCCGAGGCTGTTGAGGAGGTCTACTTTGGCAATGTCCTCTCCGCTGGGTAAGAATATACTAAAGTCATAGCACAACCTCTCGAATACACCTACTAACATGGATACGACAGACTTGGCCAGGCCCCTGCTCGCCAGTGCTCCATGGGCGCTGGTCTTCCCCAGACTACCATCGCTACTACCGTGAACAAGGTCTGCGCTTCTTCTCTCAAGGCTGTCGTCCTTGGTGCCCAGAACATCATGCTCGGCACCTCTGACGTTGTTGTTGCTGGCGGAACCGAGTCCATGTCCAACACCCCTCACTACCTCCCCAACCTCCGCAACGGCGCCAAGTACGGTGACCAGACTCTCGTCGACGGCGTCCTCAAGGATGGCTTGACCGACGTTTACAAGAAGGAGCACATGGGTCTCCAGGCTGAGCTTTGCGCTGTTGAGCACGAATTCACTCGCGAGGCTCAGGACGAGTACGCCATCAACTCTTACAAGAAGGCTCAGGCTGCCACTGAGGCTGGTCTGTTCAAGGAGATCGTCCCCGTTGAGGTCAGCGGCGGCCGCGGCAAGCCCAACGTTACCATTAACCGCGACGATGAGGTCAAGAACCTCAACGAGGCCAAGCTCAAGGCCATGCGCCCTGCCTTCAAGCCTGATGGCTCTGTTACCGCGCCCAACGCTGCCCCCATCAACGACGGCGCCGCCGCTGTCGTCCTCATGTCGGAGGCCAAGGTTAAGGAGCTCGGTGTTAAGCCTATTGCCAAGATCCTTGGCTGGGCCGATGCCGAGCGTGAGCCCGAGCGATTCACCATTGCTCCCGCTTCCGCCATCCCCAAGGCTATCAAGCACGCCGGCCTCACCGAGAACGATGTCGACTTGTACGAGATCAACGAGGCTTTCTCCGTCGTCGCCCTCGCCAACATGAAGCTCCTCAACCTTCCTGCTGACAAGGTCAACGTCTACGGTGGCTCCGTCGCCATTGGCCACCCTCTGGGTGCCTCTGGTGCTCGTATCCTCACCACCCTCACTTCCGTCCTCAAGGAGAAGGGTGCCAAGATTGGCGTTGCTGGTATCTGCAATGGCGGTGGTGGTGCCTCCGCTCTCGTTATTGAGAACTTGCAATGACTCGATAAGGAGAACAGGACGATACGCGAATCTAGAATGTAAAGCAGCTGATTTTTTTGGTGGAACATAAAAAAGCACTGTGTTATGGGAAGACGAAGTACGTCGCCTTCCTCTTAACTTCACTAGTGCCCTTGTATGGCGTTATATATAATCATGACAAAATCAAAATACATAATATGACAAATTGAATGCACATTTCACTATCCAAATCTTGCAATGTACTAGGCAGAGAATTGATCATGTCATTCTTTAATACCAACAGAAAAGACATACGCGAAAAAGTAACAATGTGAGAAAAAAGCAGAAGGAAAGTATAACACAAAACCAGCGATAATATCAAAAGAATAAAAGAACACCAACGACGCTCAACAAGAGGTTTTACAGCAATTTCAGCTCCGATTTTGCACCTTTATTCTCCTCCCTTCCCCCCGTGGAACCATATAATAACCGACGGTAATAGACAATTGAGCACGTTTGCAACACCAAGTACAAAAATTATAAAACAGCCAACTGGAATACAAACGGATGGTGTTGAGCAAGCAGCAAAAGCAGAATGGTCAAGAACTGGGGGCCAATTTACTCATCCCGCCACCCACTCTACTCCATGGCGACATCCTGCTCAGCAGAAGGGGGTGTAACACCCTCTTCTACCCACTTGCGAAAGTTCGCGTTCTGCTCCTGTACCTCCTCAGGGCTGAGGTCTTTGGTCCAGGCAGGGTTGTGCACCATCTTCTCGAGGAGCTTGCTCTCGCGCCAGTTCGACAGAGCCTTGGTGAACTTTTCACGGCGCTCTCGCTGCTCCTTAGTCTTGGGCGACTGGTCGTAGATGAAGTACTCCGAGGTGCCAGGGGTCCAAATCATCTTGGAGCTTCGTAGGCAGATGCTGATGTTCAGATTCTCACTGTACGATAGCGGCTTAGGCATCGGGTCGTCTTCTGACTCTGCATCACCAGCTGGTAGGTTTCGTGTCAAGACAACCTTTTGGAGTCTAGAGCGCGGGATGCCTTCGGTGGGTTCGACGCGGATGAAAGAAGAGATGTAGTATTGCCAGCGCTCCTTCATCTGCATTTCGTCCATATAGAAGGTGGTATCGTCGCGCTGTAGCCAACGAATTGTAGCTTCTGACTTTTGAGGGAACTAGAATGGACATTGTTAGTATATGGGGATATAGGGCCAAATGATAGTGGCTTGTTACTTACCCAACAAACAACGAAGAGGTCGCCGTCCTTTACGCACTTCTCTGCAAATTTTCTCGCGCTGATCTCGGTCTGGTAGCTGGTCTCTTCCTTATCGCGGCCATTCAAGTACTGCTGGATGAGATCAGGAGTCTTCTCCTTGGAGTCGGTGCTGCTGCAGGTGAGAGCAAGACGGCACATGGTCTTGAGGAGATCCTGGATGGTGTAGAGCTTCCATCCATTGCGGAGATAGTAATGACGCATAACATCTTGGTATCTGTTCTCGTCGACGTCGCCGGTAACATACTCTTCGATCAACTCAAGAGTCTTGGGCCAGAAGGTGGTAGGGTCGTCGCTCGCAGTGAAGAATGTCATTGTGTTCTCAGTGAAACCAATGTCTCTCGCAGGCTTGGGTTTTTGCAGGCGCTCGATCTGGGCGGGGACATCAGCAGAGCTCGCCTTAATGTCAACCAGTCTCTCGTACAGCACATGGAAAATGCTGAAGAAGACATAAAGAGTCTGGTTGCAGAAGAAGTTGTACCAAGGGCGGCTGAAGAAACCATCAGCCTTGAGCTCGCCGTCACCATCAAGAAGAGCTTCATCGCCAACAACGACGGGCTTCGGCACAGTTGGCATCCATCGCTCGTTTGACATCTCAGCAGCGTCTTCAGAGGCGTCAGCCATCTCCTCTTCGTTGGCTGAGCCGACGTCAGGCGTCGTTTCCTTACTCTCCGAAGCAACGCTGCCCTCCTTTTGGCCTCTGGGGCGGCTGCCGTTGCGTCCGGGATCAAGCACCCCTCTAAGGAGATCTCCCTTCTTGCCATTGCGGCGACTGCGGCCATTCGAGAGCTCTGCAGGTGTGGAGTCATCAGCCTCCTCTTCACCAGAATCAGGCTGCATTCTAGGCACCCGCTCCTGGACAGTTTCCTCAGCCAAATCAAAGAATGCGGGAACAAAGGTCTCGAAGAATTCAAGGATTCTCTCCTTCTCTTGGGTGCTGTGCTGCCCGTTATGCATGCTGTAGAGCATCATTACGCGGAGAAGATCAAGAACAACATCTTTATCACTAAAGTCCCAGACGAACTGATGGCGAGAAGCCTTGCCCTTGAGAGCGCGCTCGCGGCGCTGCTCTTCATGCTTGGTCTTGATGACATCAACGAGATGCTTGGCTGTCAAGTGTCTCTTATCAGTAGACTTGACAAGGATACCCATATGGTCGAGACTCTTTAGGTGCATGTTCTCCGTTTGCGCATGCCAAACCTTCTCCCACTCGCGCTGGGAGAAGCGCCATTCTTCATCCTTTTGCTTCATTCGCGCAAGCAGGACTGGGACAACGTCGAAAGGATGGCTATACATGTCGTTGACAACATCGATGCCTCGCTCGCCATAAATCTTCTTGCAAATGCGCTTGAAGATCGAAGTGCTTTGTCCAGCAAGAGCGGCAGGCATGTGGAAGTTCTCACGTTCCGCCGGAACCATGGCGAGCATTTGCTGCGCAATGGGCTCAAGCAGCTGAATGCATTTGAGGTTGGCTTCAATATTAAAGTCGTAATCATGACGCTCTTCTTCAATGCGGTGCAGACCTTCTTCAAACTGGTTCTTGCGATGCGCAACGAAACCAGAATCCTCACTAGCCCAAGTAGGATGCGAGGCCCACTGGTCGTTGAGGACGGAATTGCACAGCTCATCACGGCCGCTGCATGGCTTAAGGCGCTCTCTCTTTGGAAGGAGTCTGTAACTTGGGCCGTAGCCACGGCAGTTGCTAAGAGAGAGTTTGTCGCTGGGAGGTGCTGGCTGGTTGTCAATGATGACATCTTGAGTGTCAACACCAACAAAAGCCTTCCAAAACGTCATCAAATCCGGGTTGGCACCAATGAAGAGGGCTCCTTTGTGGAAGAGAGTGTTTCTGTCAATAATGTTCTGGGAGAACAGGTTGCACAGCTTAAGGAACTCGTTCATAGACGATCTGTTGCTAAGGAACTTTTTGACCCTCTCAAAGAAGGCAATTTCGTCCTGTGTAGATGTCGATGAAGTCTTTGGTGGGTACGGCTCAGGCATAACCGGAGTCAAAGTTGGCTCAATGCTCGAAAGATCACCAGTGGCCCGAGCATGGCTAAGCTTGGGGCGCTTGGGGCCGTTCAGACTGGGCTGCGCGATGCGAGCTGCAGCTGCAGCTTCCAAGATGGGGGTTCCAGTCGTGCCAGGTTTGTCGCCTCTCTGGCGCTTCTTATCCTTAGTAGCGCTTGGAGGAGCAAAGCTACCTAGAGGTGGCATCTTCTGGCCATCGCGATTCTGGGCCATCTGTCCCGCAGCGCCTAAACCTTCGTCGAGGCGACCAGGAGTAGATTTGGCTTGACCGGCTGTCTCAGGAAGGAACTGCTTGAAATCTTCAAGCAGGTCGGGGGCAGAGTTGAACAGGGTCGTGACTTGGGCGTATACGTCTTGTATCGGCTTTTGTTCGCGCTGGTATGTCTGTAGTATTTCCAAAAATTGCTTGTAGATCTCGGGCTTGTCCTGGAAGCGGTTCTATGAAGCTTGTTAGTATTGGCTTATACGTTGGATGCGTTGGCCACCAGCAACTTACCTTAATCTTGTTAACGTAGCTAATGGCATGATTGAATTCAACAGGTCCGCGTCGCTCCATGTTGGCAGCATTAGCGGCGTTCCCATTGGCACCAGCAGGGCCAGCACCTGGTACTGGAGTTTGCGAGTTGCGAGGGGCACCGCCAGCTCCTTGGGCACGGCCGGAATCGTAAGCTGAGCTTTGGGCGGCCGCCTGTACAAAGAGGCTTCCACCGTTTTGGGCCGGCGTATTGAAATTGGACTCAGGCGAGCGCTGCGGCCACTGACCAGCACGGTCACTGAAGCCGCTCTGGCTGGCACTTGTTGGCCCATGACTCTCGATCGCAGGGGCTCCGCGGCCGGCAATGGATTGCACAGTGGTGCCCATTGGGGTTGTGACACGGATTGTGTTGGGGTCGTTGCCGGCGCCGCATTCAATTCGGTAACCGGGGGGCAAAAATGTGTTGAAGCCTTGGATCAAGTTTGGGTGTCCGGCAAAAAGCTCCGAAACCCGGTTAATAACTCCAGGAGTGTCAATACTGACGCAAATGTTAGTGTAAATGTCATCGCGCAGGGCAGTGAATGAACTTACGCTTGGCTCTTGAAGTCCTTCATGATATCCAAAAAGCGGTTGTAAACATCGGGCTGGTCGTGAAATTGGACCTTAACTTGGTCAAGATATGTCAACGCGTCCTGTTATAGAGTTTTACGTTAGCAAGGCGGGCAAGAGGGCGACCGGGGTTGGGTCGGTTCCAGGTTCATCTCAGCCGAATCATGGGAGATGTTGGCGCCACATCAGGCGATTCACGGCTATGGAACTGCCCCCGGCGATGGGTGGGATTGGTACATACGTTAAGGATAGGTTGCTGTCCCTGGGTGATGCCACCAGGGATTTGGTGGCCGCCCTGAGCGGCATTCATCGGTTGCCCTTGTGAGCCGGTACGCTGGCCTTCAGGAGCTTGCTGGCCTTGGAGAGGTCCGCCGAAGACAGCGCCTCCAGCACTTGGTCCTCCCTGACCAGGTTGTGAATGCGAAATAGGTGCAAAGCCTGGCTGGTGGGCTGGGCCGCTACCTTGTCCTGGAGGGGCGTGACGGGAGTGGTCGGCCTGGGAGCCTCCAAATCCCGACATAGGCCCTGAAGGTCCTCCTATTGGCATAGAAGAACTACTGCCATTATGATTTGCCAGCAGCCCGCCGGGGCTGTGGATTGCGCCAGAGATGCGCGAGGCAACTGGCTGGTGGATGGGGATGGTACCCGCGCTGCTCTGGTGAGATTGATAGCGATCACCTTCACGCTCTCTCTCTCGTTCTCTTTCTTGGTCCCGTCGAACCATATCTTCGTGTTGCTGGATAGCACGGTGTCGGTCATCCATTTCTCTGTCTCGATCGTAGGGCGCGCCGCCCGGTCGGCCGTGAAGGTTTTGATTATTCATGTCAAACTATGGGGAGCAAAGAAAAGTCGGGTTAGCGGTCAATTATCAACTGGGATACGTCACTGAAGCAAAATCAATCAAAACAACGCCGCGCTGTAAAAGCGCGGATGGGATTTGGATCCAGCGCAGGGCTTTCTGGGGGGGCGTCATCACCAACCCTCCAAGCTCAGGAGGACCGGTCGCGTTATCGGCCATCGGGGCAAACGTACAGGTAAAGGAGGGCGCACAGGCCGCTGCCATCTACATGGAGAGACCAATCGTAAGAATAAATAATCGTCCGCGGGCGGGTGTCGACTTTATGGCGAGTCGGAGGCGTGGTTGCGAAATCGTGTTGACCTGGTGCAAACTGCGTAGCTAGCCGGGGGCAGAAGGCGACGCATGGGGATCACACAACCTTACCGCGGAGCATTCCGCATCACGTGCTGATAAGAAGCTCCAGCACATCTTATCGGGATCGGGGCGGGAACTCGCGGCGCTCAGCCTACCAAGCAGGGAAGGTGCGGAATTTCCATTGATCCACTCCGGCTCACGCCTGTGTAACACAGTAAACACAGTAAAGCTGTCCGCCAGTGCGATCTACCTCATGACGACTACACGACTACTCTAAGTTAGTAAACTGTAGAATCTACCACTAGTGGAATTATCAACAAACATCAGGAGTCACTCTTTTTTTTGATTATAGTCGGTGACAGACGCTGGTTCGCAAGTCGAGGCACAACAACGAACTTACTGTAATTCGTCAACAAACGCGAAATGTTTCTCTCACACCACGGCTGCTGTACAAACTTTCTATCTGTTTTAGCTGGAAATCATTTCTGAAACCAATCAGCGATAACAATTCACGAAGCATATACGCCACTATTCCCCTGCTTCGATTCCCTTTGTGTCCCACTGAATTCCAATGTGCTCGTGGTTACCCGAGAACTTCCTACCCGCGAACCAAAGCTCAAAGTGTAAATCAGCTGGTGCAATAATTACCCTGATATCAAACCGGCAAATGAAGTATTTGTGACCCTTTGTGAAACAGGTACCTCGTTTTTCTTTGAGTATTAGTTGGTGTTGCTGTACACCAGCTAAATTGCTTCTGATACAACATAGCTTAGTGACTCCAGCTATAACAGGTCAGCTAATCGGCGCAGGTGATGATCTTTCATTATATGTCACGACCTGCTGGATCGCTCTATAGTCTGTCGGTCACAACACTCACGACAGTTACGATGTCGAAATAGTTGCTACGCGACGTGTTCGCTTGCTAGCTAGCAAAGGAAAGCCACCAACTAGCAGGACCACAACAACCTTGTATATAAATAGAGAAGTGAACTATGGAAGGAGGAGAGGGATTTGTCCTTCTTCAAGTTTGTTGTCTTCTTTCTATCTCATACATAGAACAGTTAACAATAGCATTATGTTTGGCGAACTTTTCTCGTAATACCTGGACAGCTACGTGACATTATATATTGACCTACCCTGCTTCAAATCGTGAGGAAGAAAGGTCACTTCGTCATGGGAGACCCTGCTGGTAACGATGTTAGCGCTGCTGTAGCAGGCAAGGTCCACCTAGACCGATTCCTCCTCGAAGCCACGCCAGATCAAGATATTGTTCGCGAGGTTCAATGTCTGGGCGGTCTCATTCATCAGCACGTTGATACTCACTATCATCTCCGGGAAACGGCTTCACCAGACAGAGACGTCGCTGCAACGCTCGTCGCTCTAGGCTTTTCAGACGACGGTTCCTCAAATCTTACTGCACAGCAAGTTGTTTCGTTGTGTACCAATCCCACAACAAGACAAATTGGTTTGCGCCACGTCATCTTGCGTACCTTATTTCAATCCATTGACTGGCAGAGCCCTGGCCCAGTTGGGCTCTTGCCAGACGCAGCGGCGGCGTTTATACAAAGGGTCCCTACCTCGGAGAGCCAAAGCCAATCTGATCATGAAGGTACGACAATTTTGCTGTCAAAAACGGTTTACGAGACTAACAAAAAGCGATATAGCTGTAACTATTGCTATCACCAAATGGCTCAAGTTCTCGGCATTCCTGCTTCACCCCCAGCGCAGCCAGCGCACACCTTTGTCTTGGACGCCAACCGCTGAAAATGACGCAAAGGTAGAGAAACTGACTGGTTTGCTTAATACTTTCCTAGGATTCTTTATGGAACAAGACGCTCATTTGCGTCAGGAACAAGCCAACCACCTCAGAGGCGTCGTTGCCGAATGCGCCAAGCTAGGCTACTTGTTGTTTTCTCAACCAAGCGATTTTAAACTTTTACCAGGGCATGAGTCGGGCCGAGACAAGTCTAGCCGAAGCCATTCAGAGAAGATCAGCATCATCGTGGAGGCTGGCTTAGACAAGGGGGCTTACCATGACGAGTATGGGATGGTCTATCCCTCCGTTACCCATCTGCTGGAACCTACATTTGCTGCGACTGGTGTATAAGTTAGATGTAATTACTCGCCTTCTCTCATATTTATGCTTTAACATACTAGGTACAGGAATGAATCTTGCTTGCGTGACCGCCCCTCGTCAGGATGGGAAAGCCACCTGAGTTCTCGTTTGCTGAGTTCTCGTTTGCTGAGCTGTCATATAGAATTTAGTGAGGAAGCTCAGCTTCAGCAACTGCAACAGTCGATTCCATCACCACATCCAATACCACCACCTCCTACCCCTGCTCCTGTGCCTACTGTAATCCATAAAATCGAATATTCTGACCTGCCTGAAGGCGTCATCCCAAACGCGCTCCCAGAGTTTACGCCCAAATCATATCTACACAATGGTTCCACAGACACCAGCAGCACGTTTCAACATCATGACCGGCACAGCACACCAGTACTTTCGCCTCAGATGGGAGAGCATGCTGGGCTAACATCGCTGCTCAAAACACAAAACATGGAGTTTCTACCTCCTCCGCCACCGCTGCCAGCTCTGCGAACAAGTCCTTCGCGGCTAAGCTGCCAGACTCCCTCATCGGAAGCAACAGGCACTACACAAGGATTCGCAGTACCAATTGCTGCTCCTCCGTATCAATCTCACAACAGCTTCACAGCTTCCCGCGAGCCACTGACTAGATTCTCTACGAGCAGCTTTCAAGGCTATGGGGTTGCTAAACCTGAGAATTCAGTCTCGGTCGATCATCTGCCGTTACAACAGAGACCCAACATGGAACCTTGGCGGAGCAACTACCCATCGCATGACACTGAGTCTCTCCCGCCAGTTCGAGAAGCCGGCTCAGAGATAGGAACGAGGCTGGCAACATCGTCGTCCAAGTCTAACATGACGGGGCCCAAGCCTGGATGGCGGCACACACTTGCGACGTTTAGGCGGCGATATATTTCGGCGAGTGAAGGTGATGCGGATGTTGCGTCGGGCTTATCACAGCCTCATGCCGTGCATAGTTAGCAAATTTAACTTACTATTCTTGACCATGTATGTTACTATGCCCAGTGTGTGCCTTGGTATGACTACCATGTTGGTCACCAGTCAAAACATGGGACAATATCAATTATAATCTTTGATAAAATTGAAGAGTATTACTATACACAAAAAAGTGCTCTCTCTAAACGCCACGAATAAGAGAGACCCGAAACGCCCACGTTAAAATAACTTTTTCTACTTTAGAATAAACAAACTCGCCAAACTCAAGCTGCAGGTGGTGGCTGTGGCTTTCTGATAATCTTGATCTTGGGCCGGGCAGACACAGGAGTCTCCGGTGCAGCAGCCGGTTTATGTGTAGCAGCTATAGCTGGTGTAGTGTTGAGGACTGGGAGAGCAGGCTTGGGAGGAGCCGCAGCAGGTGTTGCCGTGACTATTTTCGGCGCAGCTCCAGAGGATACAGCCGGTGTAGAGGGCGCTGGTGCTGGTGCTGGTACTGGTGCTAGCATCGGAACAGGAGTCCTCTCGACACTACCAGGAAGCGGCTTTCTTGCTGGCTTTGGTGTTGCATCAACAGCTGGTCTCGGGGCAGCGCCTGGAAGCGCCGTTCTCACCGTCGAGGGTGTAGATGTAGGCACCGGCTGGCCCAAGATGACGGCCAGCCTCGCTGGGTTGGAGGTGCGAAGAGTGACCACCTTGCGGGTAATGGCAGAGCCCAGTTCCACCTCTGTCTTGGGACGCTTTGGTGCTGGCGAAGGTGCCTTGTCATCCAGAGGTCGTTTCGGTACTGGGCCCGGCGTAGCTGATGCTGATCGGCGTGCTGCGTTGCCATTTACGGGTGGTCCTCCCAAGGCCGACTTGACACCGTTGGTGGCTCCCGTAGCGCCAGGCAGCGCGGTGCGTTGTGGTGTAGCTGGCTTAGTGGTGATCTTGATGGAGGAGCTTCTCTGGAGGGTGATGGGCCGCTTCACGTCAGGATTGATTGGCGGAAGAGGCACCTTAGGCTTCGTCCTAAAGCGAGAGCGGAAGCTCATAATCAAGGACTTGTGTTTGTGCTGCGAGACCTTCTGTACCCTCCAAGCCTTGGGATATTGCAGACTCAAAATCCACTTCTCTGCCTCATCAAACATCATGGACGCAATATCGAGGAGACTATCCACTTCATCGCGGCCCAGGTCTGGATGATCCATGGCTTTTTGGACAGCGGCATTCAGCTGGTCCTTGTGCGCGCTAAAGTTGAGGTCCATCTCCTTCTTCAATGCCCGGAGTGCAGCGTCGAGATTTTCCTTTCGGGCAAACATTTCTTTGCGTGCCTCGATTTCTGCCGCACTGTCCTGCACAAGGAGGAGGCCGTCGGCTTCTTCCGCGGACGGCTCCTGCTTGGTCGGCTCTGTTTGCTCACCAAACGCAACCGCAGCAAGGCCACGCGCGAGGGACTCAATAAGACGCTTGCGAACATACGGCGATCTATCGGTCATGAGCGCGTACATGAGGAAGGCAAAGAGTGTTGGATCGGCAATTGCCCCCAGATCAATCAGGGCGTCGAAACTCTTGATGCGAATGAGGTCCTTTGTTCCATCCAGCAAGTACTGCAAGAACTCTTCCATGCGCTTGGGGATGATATCAGCCTTCATCAGGCGCTGCTTGGCATCTAGGCCCGATATTGTCCAGCAGTTCTGGTATGAGTGAGTCCATTCGTCTCGGCGAAGCACTCTCTCAATCTGCTCCACGGCGTCTTCGATAAACTGCGTCTCTTCAGCAGTTTGGATTCTCTTCTGGCGAGCAAGCCAGTCATCCTTCTGTGATGGAATCATGGCTTGAGCCAGGTATTCAACAAGCATAGCAATATATAGGTGATCTGAGTATGGGTTATGCTCATTGTTGTTGAGGCGCAGCTGGTCCATGATCAGTCGGCGCGCCTCAATGGGGCAGCGATGGTCGTCGTTTCGAACAGCCGAGATGGCCTTGAGAATGGAGCAACGCACGTGGTACTGCCTCTTGTCGGAGAAGTCGTTGGGGAGTGGTTGGTTAGTTTGTCCATAGCAATACATTTCGCGGAACGCGCGCATCAGTTGACGCAAGCCACGCATGGGAAGATCCTTAATATTGGCCTGTCGCGTCAAGGCATGCGCCGCCTGACTTCTGATTCCGTGAAAGTAGCGGCTGTCGTAGAGTGTTCGGGACAGGAAGCCAGCAGCAATCGGGTGCAAAGGTCCGTTGGCAAGGTAGAGGATGGCGTCTTGCTGCGCTACAACGTCCCTATCTTGCTGCAGCTGCGACACATACATATACGCTGGCAACGGGCGCTTGACATCACAAGCCCATTCAAAATCAGCATCCAATCGAATCCACTCGTAGGACTCTTGGTCCATCTTCTTCTCTGTATCCGAGTCCCAGTCTGTCAGCTCCCAGTCCTTCATCTCTTCGGGCGTCTGCAGAACGTCTCCAAGAGAGTACAGCAGCGATTCGTCAGCATTGTCGGTCATGCTTGCTCCAGCACTGTTCTTCTCCTTGATGCGTCTTGTACGCTTTAATCTCTTATACTTTGTATTATAAGGAATTTCAAACTTTTTGGCTCGAGAACCATCGTCGCGAATCTCTAAAATATGTTCGTAAGGTGTACCGTCAGCTTCGTGGATTCGAACAGTCATGGGTCCTGTGAACAAGGCTTGTACGTCGCCAATAGGCACCTCGGCTCTGCGCTCCTTAATTGCACGCAGAAAGCCATCCTTCTCAAGTAGCGGCTCCTTCACAGCCGATCTTTGAACTTGTTCCAGGAACAACTCGACGCAAAGACGCTTCTTATTGAAACGCGCCTTGACGTCGAACCGGGGGCAACCCGAGCCGTAAACCCATTGGTTCCAAAACGCTTCCAGTTGGTATCTTGCTCCCTTTTCGCAAGTGACACGGAACTTTTCAGTGTCTAGAATGGCTGATCGGTCAGTGCCCTCAATCTGAGCCTTTGTGAGAAGCTTTTGCAGTATACGTGTCAAACCATATCCACCAGAGACTTTGACAAGTCTCTTATCGAGAATAAACAAGACAACCGGGGCCTTGAGAGCCAAGAATTCCTGTTCAAAGGCGCCGAGATGCAGCGCTGGACCAATATCGTAGAGCGAGGGTCGGCCGACATCCTTCTCAATAAGCTCGTCTGACATTGTCTTGACGCGGAAGCGATATTCGTTGTTACCGCAGAGCTTCTTCATGAAAATATCAGTCATGTAATGGGCAATGCCCAGCACCAACCACAGGTCGTGTCGCGTGTTGGGAATCATGTTGATACCAATCCACTGCGAGGTCAGCGTGAAGACCAGTTTTCTTGTTACTTCGATTTCCGTCTCCATGATATCTCCTGGGTAGAGCAGACGGTTGCTAGCGAAAGCCAAGGATTGTACAATGGTCGTGTCCTCCTCCATATCCTCGAGGAAGACGAGCTTAAAGTTGTCAAAGGGGTATCGTGCAAAGGAATAGGTGAAATAATCGGCCGCCATGGTGAGGGCTGCACATGTGTGGCGCACCCAGTCGCCTCTTCTAGGCAGACAGTATGCATAAACCTTCAAAGCGCTAATACCCAGCTTCACTTCGTCCTCTTCTGTTCGGAACTCGGATGACAGGTCAATGTGCTCAAAGGGGCCAATTGCAAAGCCCAGCTTCTGCACAGACACCTTCTTCTCTGGCTCAAATACCATAATCTTCTTTCGATCATCTTTAGGATCAATGCCTTCCTCCATCAGAAAGCCAGAGCAAACAGCAAACATTTCCCTGAGCTTATCTTCTTCCACCAAGGAGCGATCCTTCTTACGATCGTCCTTCTTGGATGCTAGAGCTTGATTTAAAGCATCACCCATTGTGCGGGGAAACTTTATTGTTATCTTCCAGTCGCATCGGGAGCCGTGGTCGTCAATGCATGGAAAGATGCAAGATGCTGTGCCGGGCTGGAGGGAGTGACGTGTATACATATGCGTGTAGCGTTTGTCGAGGGGGTCGACACCCACAAAGTGAATGCCGTCTCGGGGGTTCTTGTTTATAAATGGAACGGTAATCTTGAGTTGTCGGTGGGACTTTTCGTTGGAGTCCAGACCGAGCGTCGACTTCCTTATAATCAACCTTGGTCGTTCCTGATCTTCCCTTCCGCGCAATCGAATCTTTAGCGAGCCGTACACTGGCGTACATCCTTCAAACTCTCTGTTTTCCGCCGCAATGTCCGTCTTTCTGCTGTGAAAGACTCGACGTGAGCGGATGCGACGCAGGTCGTGATGCTCCGCTTGCCAGTTTCTACCCTTTGGGTGCGACAGCTTCGAGTAGGGATCTGTGTATTCCGCGGCTGCTTTTCGTTTGTATCCTTCGACCGCTTCGCCATTGACTTCGCGCATATCGGTAATCGTGATGGCATCGGTGTTGATCTGGCACTGTGCCGCATCCAGCAGAATCTCCTCCAGCTTGTCGCTAAAGGTCACAATGTAGATGTCGGTGGTGCCATCGATGCATCGGTCGCGAAAGTTGACGTTTAGCTCCACCTCCTGCTTGATTACAAAGTATTCGAGGATAGGGGTATCGACAATGGCGGGCACATCGTCTTGGTCGTCGTCGGATTCGTTGTCGGATTCAGGAGTCACAGCTCTATGTTCCTGCTGCTGCAAGCGCGCGCGCGGCGCAAGAGGCACATGCCGAGGATAAGCAGACATATTCTAAATCGGTAGGCACCGTCTGCGAGATGCACAGTCTTCTGCCTCTGTGTTTAATGGGCGGCGGCCTCGATGCGCGATGACGAGTGCCAGCGCTTCGTCCACTCAGCAGGTCTCGTGTTTCGCTTGCATGACAAACAGGGCAGTGGTGACGATGGCCCGTGGTTCACCTGCAATGCCAATCGTGTCTTTTTCGGACTACTGCTTGATTGCGCCGGGGCGAGAGGCGATGGTGGTTGGGAGAATTCGATGGAGAGCGTGCAGAAAAGCTTCCCGCCTCAAGGGTTGCGAAGCTGACGCGCCGCACGAGAGCCAGGCTGCACAACTCCACCTTGGCCTTCCCTGCCCAGCTTAGCAACCTCAGTTGGACAACGACACAATGGCTTTATTCGCCGAATGACTCTAAAAAAGACGCATCAAAAAATATATGGGAAATATGTAGAAACTATATTGATGCTCTAAGAATTATTTAATTCGTCTTTAGGTGTTATTATTTACTGCCTGCGTCAAAATTACGTCCTACAGCGTCACATATACCACTCACTTTCACCACAATCAATACAATCAACACATGTAATACAGACCAAAAAAGTGTTTCAACAAGAGATATAATTGGATATAGATGGGCCTGCCTCCATGCCTAGCAATGCTACTACCGCATGCTCCGTGTGTAAAAACATGATATCGTTCCGTCCCAAACGCCATTAAAAAAGCAAAGAACCAAACGCGTACTCCGTGCCGTGAAACCCTTTTTGAATGTCAAACTTCATTCTAGGCCATGCTGCCGGCTGTTTCGGCTGCGGTGCCGTTCCCTCATTATTACTCCCCGCGGCTTTTTCGCTTGTCCCGCCTCTTCCCCCGCGCGCGCGACTTCAGTGTCTCATCATCTCGGTAGTCTTCTGGCAAATCAAAATCGACTTCTGGAATATCGGGAACTGGGTGGCCCCAAGCCAGGACGTTCCTACCTGTGCGGCGTTGGCGATGTAACGCGCCGTCACGCTCATGTTTCTTGCCAAAGAACGAGGTGAATGGTCGGGGCGTTTCGGGTTCGGGAGACTGCATCTGGCGGGCTTGTCGTTTAGCTGCGGCAATCTTGGACCGCGCCATGGCTTCTTGTCGCAGCTGCTTCGCTGGTGATGGGCCTTCGCTTCCGTCTTGTGATGTACTCATGTTGTCGCTATTTCCGTCGTCATTCTCGGCGCTGCTCTTGTCGCCATCATCGTCGCTGTCGGCAATCTCGTCCACATCCATGGCGTCCTCGTCAGCCTCTTCCGTAGCCTCCTCCATTTGTTCTGCAAGTGCTCGCTCTCGTTCAAGCTTCCTCTTCTTCTCCTCGAGATTCCAATTCTTGAACTTTTCTAATATTGATCGACACCCTTTGATGAAATACTCACGTGCAGGTTCAAACGTCTTCTTCTTGGAGTCTGTCACGCCAGAAACGCCCATGATACGCAGCCAGTCGTGGCTCTGCAGGCCCTCCAGTAGACGGATGATTTGATCTTTCTCGTGCTGTGCACGACCTTTTTCAGAGTTCCTTATCGATCTCTCCAGTCGCTCTGCGCGTTTGTGTATAGGATTAAAGAGCGAGTCGGGGAGTGGGTCTTCTATCGACTTGTTTCGTAGCTGGGCTTCCAAAAAGCCCAGGTCTATCCGTTGGGCGTCAAATACATCTGTATATAATGCATCTCCAAAGCCCTTGACAGCATAGGTTGTTGCTGCTGGGGCGCGTCGAGAGCTTGAGTCGATGACCACAATCGGTGTTTCGTAGTTTAGCGCATCTGTGAGAAACCGGATTAGCACGCACTATTTTTCAACAACTAAGGATAGCAGGATTCCTCGACTCACACTCTTCTTTGGGATCATTCCCAATAACCTCATCATAGTCGGGGAAGTAAGCCGAAAGCTCGCTCTTGAACCTCGTCGCTTCTTGGGATCGGAGCTTGCGCCCTGGCTCTCGGGATGTCGCTGCTTGCGGCTCCAGTCTGTCCAGTTCGGCTTTGATGCCGTTGATTACTTTTGCTTGATGTTTTGTGACTGCTGCAGGTGGATTTTGCGTTGCTGTTGTTGCTGCCCTGGCTGCCATGGTCGTAGCAGCACCATGAGGGGGTGCTGAACAGGCTACAGCAGCCGGTCGCGAGATCGGAGCTTGGGCGTTTGGCGGTTGTTTGGCGATTAATTCTGCTGTTATTTTGCTCTTCTTGGAGACGACAGCGTCCAGCCCGTGTTCAACGGCATCAGGAGCTCGCTTTGGTCGTCGGCCGGTAGGAAAGGCAACGGCGCCTGGCCGCGTGAGCGCCGCGTCGCCATTAACGTGAGGCGAGAAGCCTTCAGCCCTGCGAGTAGAGCGAGTAAGAGATGCCATTGGCACTGGTGAAAAGGCCAGGCATTGTCTTTGAAGGAGCTTGCCGATGCTGTTTGGTTGTGCACTGCACGTGTCTTGATGGTCGGGCGGCCGCGCTGGCTGTGTCGCTGGTGATTTGTTGTGCTGATTTTCTTCTCCCACGCACTGCTTAGGTGGTTTCTCGGGTTGGTTTAACGGGCTGCGGCGGCGCTACTTCCCCGTGCGTGTCGGTGCGTTCCCTTCTGGAAGGTGCACGCGTTTTGGTGCGGTGCGGTTGCCGCCCGTAGCGTGTGTGAATACAGTGGACTTTAGGGACCGCGGCTCTCAGTTTCAGTGGAGCGCGTCCGCCACTGGGGGAGCATCCAAACAGTAGCGCTGTGTTTACTTTGCACTCACGCGCAGCCAAAGTTACCCTGTAAACGAAACTGCCAAAACACGGTGCTGCTATTCGCATTGAAGGAGGTCTAATTTTGGCTAAGGTTGATATAAAGATATATAGATATTCAGAGCATATGCTACGATATTTTCAATAGTTCACAATAGGCTTATACGGTAGTAAATGTTGTCCACACCTCTGGACTGATACGTAGCCACCGGTGTTAGCTTCCTCTCGCTAACCTTGTCAAAAAAAAACAAAACAAAAAAAAAAACAGTAAAAGTATAAATATATTTAAATAATTGGTATCTTTAATATGGCGCTAATATGCCACTCATGGCTTCTGTAATTTCAGTTTCCCCATGGACTCGCTTGGGATATTTGCTTCTTCTGCCTCCTTCACGCCCGGCAGCTTCTTCGATGTCTTGGTCTTGTCCGGTATAATCTTTCCGAGGATGCTCTTGCTCTTATCCCGTGTGGCCGCATACGCTTCAAGTCCAAGCAATACAGCATATGATTTCGATATCGTCATCTTGCTCATATCCACATTCTCCGCCTTCAAGTTCTTGATAAACGCCTTGAAGTTTGATGACGGTGGCTTATAATGACCACTCAGCGGAGAGAGCAGCTTGAGCCGGCCGTTTTTGACTCTAATCAGACCGGCAGCAGAGATTCGACCACCCTGAAGAAACGAGGAATGCTGAAAGGCACCCGAATTCTTGATACCAACATATAGACGAAATGACGTATCTGCAACAAATATCCACGTGTTTGTAGGGACAGACTTTTGTAAGAGCCTATTCACAATGGATGATGTTGAGATATGATTGATTTTCTTCAACGGCTTGTTGTCCTCTTGTGGGCCACTGACGCCGTTACCACTACTGTCATCATCCTCGACATCAGCATTATCGTCATCGTCATTGTCATCGTCATCATCTTTCGCAATGGACTTTGGATCATATGCTGGCGTAGGATCGTTGGCCGGCACAATACCATGGATACTGTCCTTGTATTGCTCTGAAGTGTCGATGCGTGCTCCGTTTTTGGTCCAGCATAGTCTACCCTCAGAATCGATCTTGACCAGGTAAAACTGTCGTTCTTCTTTGGTCAGGTATCGTACCTGTTCCCTTTCAAGACGGTCACGAGGACACATTTCCATCTCAATTCTGCTACCGTCTCCGTGATCCAGCCAGTGAAAGAAGTTATCCTGAGTGTGCGATCTTTTCCACTCCTCATGGTAGATTCGTAGATTGCTACCGTATCTGTGCTTTGTGTCTACCATCTCCAGAAAGTACTGAAGCCCCATCTGTCGAGCATCCTGCTTCCGCTTGGCCTTTTCTTCAGAACGTCGGAGCCTTTTGGCAGCCTTGTCTTGCTTCGCAACTTCATCGAGATCCGATGGATCGAGATCAGATTCACTGTCTGTTTCGTCTCGACCAACCCGGCGAGCCACAGTGCTGACCTTTTTCCAGCTCTGCCTGGCGCTGGATAGCTGTTCACTGGGCGCTTGATCGGCAGACGTGCTACCCGTTGACCCTTTGCTCAAGGGCCGTGTGCTCGCACGAAATTGCGCTTCTTTGACGGTCGATATCCATCTATTGCTGGCGTTGAGCTCATATCCGTCCATTTCTCTGCGAGCGCGGTAGCCGCGGAAGTTTCGTTGAATGACCTTTGCGGCACTGTCGAGCTGCTCATCACAGGATTTCAAGTCGGCCATATTTAGCTGCTGCCCCGGATGTGTTTAGCGACAGATAACAATGCACTATTTGAATCGATCCCAAAAATAGTATGCAGGTTTTACAAAAAACGCTCTCATACAAAAACTGGTGGGTGTCGTCGGCTTTTATTCAAGCACACGATTGAGGCAGCCGCACGAGCGTGGGGCAGTGCTCGTACAGCCACCATTAACGTTTAAGCTTAGTGGTCAGCCTCGTGGTCCGAGTTGCCCAAAATAGATGGTAAATTGGGCGCAATATATCCCTAGGTAAATATTGAAACATGCAATTAATCTGAGCGAATGGATAGCAAACTTTTCTGTAAAGAGCTAATTACCTTGAAAACATATATACAGCGTAAAATTTTCCTAGAAGATTGATCTCATGGACTTCTAAGAGAGCTCAGATGATGGTATACAGTCCAATAAGCAGAGAAAATACACGACTCGGTTGTTATATACGAAACGGATGTTTATAGTAGATACATATATACAGGAAAACAAGAAAGCAACCCGCTCGCTAGAAAATGCTCAAGGCAAAGCCATGGCGGCATCAGTCTCGTGAGAATAGAAATTCTTTGACAACAGGCGACCCTGAAAATTCTGGGTTGAGCATGATGCAACTGATATGGGTTAGCCTATCCTTTCTGGTTTCAATTAAAAATATCATGGTACTTACTGTAAGAAATATTGTAAACCCGCGCGGCGCTTCTCCAAGAACTTGGGGCGAAACTTTGACACCATGCTCTTTGGTGGTAGTGAGGGGATCGTCGCCTCGAAGCCTGGAAATGATTGCAGTAGGCGATGATGAAAATCATCAAACTCTGAATATCTCTTGCGCAGGTTCATATGTCCGCCCTTGGGTTTAGTTAGCATCGATATGTACCGAGTGGCGTGCATCTACTTACGCTGAGAGTCTCTACTCTTATATTCCAGACAACAAATGCGCCGATATTGGTAGCACTGCCATTTACTACTAGGTAGTCGGTAATTTCGACCTTCTTGGCCCAGCAAGCATTGTTGCGATCGTTGCCTCGATCAGTCTCATTGTCCAGGAGAGTAATGGCACCAGCTGGCAGCACCGAGTCGGCTGACATCTCAGATGCGCTTCGTTGGCGGTAGTTGGCGTGAGTCCAATACGGCGGTGAGGTGACAGAGCTTGCTGATAGTGTTGATGAGGCCAGCTCATCGGCTATATCGCTGCCGGTTTTGGTGACATCATGTGTGGTGCCGCTGTTACTGGCATTTTCCGTGTCGACCTTGAGCGTTGACTCCAACGGGCGGCTCGCCAAGGGTTTGTTGTTGGACATGGCTGAAGAATTTGATGCATCATGTAATGATGGAAATGAAGTTGATTGACCACTCATACAGACATGAGGCTAGGCGACTATGCCAGAACAATTTAGTGATGAGGCGGGGTCTGGAAGTGCCGTAGTGCCGCGATTCAACGAGATCGTGCGGCTGCCGAGCGATTGAATGACGCAATAGGCTATGTAGCGTATGTCACTAATAGTGCCGTTGGGGTCTAGATTGATATGATAGAGGTGGTCGCAGCTGTGATGGCAATGGTAAAGTGTGATAACGACGATGATGCTGTGGCTAAGCGACGGTCGTTAAAGCCGGACCGGCAAAATTGGGCAGCGCACGGCAACCTTCCGTCCCCACGCTGCCGAAGAGCTACGGGATCAGGACCGGGCTATCCCCGCTGTAAATTTATGATGCACGCTATTTGGCGATATTCAGGATTCAGTAGGTGGAAAATAGACGTATTCCATAATATTTCAGTTTTTCGCGACTATGTTGCTTGCTAAGAAGCTGCATATGTCTACAGGTGATAGTTAGCATCGCGCGAAACAACCTAGGACACGCAAAGCTTGTATGCTGTACTTGGTCCCAAACGATATGGTTGGCAACTCCGAATGCTGTCGGATGCGAAACAAGTCGAACATAATTCAAAATTCATCACGAATCGTTGCCGTAAAATGCCCGGTCTCAGTGGCAGCCCCGCTAGATCGAGCTAACGACTATACACATGGCACTGTTAGGAAAGTGCAGTCAGAATCAACAGCGTATCCACTCATCACGCAGACATGTTCACAATACAGAACGCAAAAGTTGTGTCCCCCGTCGCTGGTGACTTGTTTTGTTTCACACCAGGAACGGGGGGTGTCGCGACAGCTTTGTCTTTGATCGTCTGCGCCGTAGCTTACAAGCGGACCTAAAAAGGGTCTCTTCTACGTTCCACACGCGCTCTAGCTTGGCCTATGTCGCAGTATCCGTATTTATGCACGTTCAAATGCCTGCGCCCCAACCGGTGTGCTCGATAATGGTCTCGTATTGTAGTGATCCTGCAGACACGAGTTTGTCGTGTTGGACTTTTTCGCCTCCTGGTGGACTGAGCATACGATTTCACTAACTTTGCGGCTAGCTGTGAGAAAACGAGCTGAACAAATCCAGTGTGGCGACTGCCGGTGTACTCTCGCGAGGATTTCCTTTTTGCGCCTTGCTGCTAATTTGCTTTGCCGCCTTTGCCTGTTGGTGCATGGGCGGAGCTGCAAGAGCGTGCAGGGCCTCCGGGAGATTGCGTTGATCGGAGCCCTGCCGCGGGCGAATCAGATGAATCCAATGCTGGAAGGGGGAGCAATAAGCTTCGTAGTGTCAGGGACGACAAGCCTCCACGGCTCGATTTTATAGGGGCGACAGGAGCATCCAGGATGGCAATTACAGCGCTGTGACTCGCCAAAACATGGTACGTAGGATGCTGATCAGCACTACTGTTAGCTGTCATCGCGAAATCCTTCCGTTATTCCCTCGACCGTTTATGGGGACGGCCAAATTCAAGGTGAGGAACGCTGATGTAGAATGAATTCCACTTGCCGCATTCTTGCTATCGAGTTGCGATCCGTTGCCTGAGCCCTCCAGGTTGCCGGTCGCGCCAGCAAATTGTAGTTTCTTTTTTTTCTTCCTGTATGCTTAAGTCTCACTTTTAGCACTGTAAGCTCCACAGGCACCGTGCTTTTATTGGTTTCGCTGCTGTGGTGAACCCCAGACGCAGGTAGGTGGTAGTTTTACGGTGGTGTTCAGGCTATGCGTGGCCGGGCAAATGCCAGCTCCCGCCCACTCCGTTATTAATAGCGCGTCTCCCATTTCCCCCGGTAGGTCTTGTCTAGACTGTTCTCGTGTTTTTTTTTTTTTGAATCTCTCGGCTCTAATTCAAAGTCCTTCGTTTTAATTCTTCGTTTCTCAGCTCTCGTTCAGCGTTCATCGCACCAATCGTTCTTCTTTCTTCTGTTCTCTTGGTATGCCCACATCCCCCCCTGTACTCGATTGCCCTAGTCTGTTGATTCTTGGACGAATTTGCTGGGTGAAGACATCGTAGAGCTTACAGGTTTGCTAACAATATCAATCAGTCTTAATTAATAGTCCGAAAATCTTCTATTCCCGACAATATCATCAAAATGGTTGCCCTCCGTACCGTCCTCGCTGCCAGCGTCCTTGCTGTTGCCTCTGCCGACCTTACTATCGACCCCAACAGCGTTCCCCTCCTTCAGAGAGGTATGCCAATCCCACCCGACTTATACAAGACGCCAAATAGAAAGCTAACTTGTCTCGGTAGAGGGATGGTGTGAAGACCAGCGCAGAACCTGCCCCATTATTTGCCAGCAAGTTGAACCGCGCACAACCAAGATCAACACCTGCGACGCTGTACGTTCTCGATGTATCCCGATGGGAATCAAGACTGTCCTCTCTAATATATGTTCTTGCTATAGAAAACCCTCCAGTACGGATGCCTTTGCGGCAACAACTTGCAGCCCAACGTCTCCGAGTACTCTCTTTCCATCCCCTACTACGTCTGCCGGGCCTACGTCCAGCAATGCCAGACTGCCTGCAAGAACAACAACATTTGCCAGTCCAACTGTGTTGAGCAGCACCCTTGCGGTGCCACCAACCCCACAAGAGTCAACAAGACCGAGAAGCCCGCCGCCAGCCATACCAGCGACCCTAGCCAGACCTTCTCTGACGTTCCCGGCGCCAACAAGAACGGTGCTGCTGGAGTTCTCGAGACAGCCGGCCGCTCCTACGGCCTTGCTGTCGTCTTCTTCAGCATGTTTGCTGGCTTCGCCATGCTCTAAACTTGCAGTGCAGCAGTTGGATATCGGGTTTGCTTTTAGCTTGGAAACGGCCAGGCGACGACAGCGAGGAGTGCTATCATTTTTTGCGATCAACTACGGTTTTCTTTTTCATTCGACCCTTTCAACGTACATATAGATACGTCTGCTATATACTGGTAATACTAATCTATTCACCCAAGTGTTTGTATGGTGTACGCACAATGTATGTGACGCTTGTGAAAAGCCTATTCCTTGTCAGCCATCGTGACAACTATCCTAGTGTGCGACTGGCCAGGAAATTGTATCACACGCGCAACGAAAGCTGGTGTGAGTCTATATGCAGGATGGCTCACGTGCGGCTTAAAGGTAAACGGCTGCAGCAAACTGTGGCGCAAAGAGAGCTTTTGACGGGCGTTTGTGACTATTTCGGATGGTAGCCTTGAAGTAGTAGCTCTTTGTTCCGCCATAGCTAGAGCTACGCGTAGAGTATTGACAGTATAGGCTAGCTACCAACTTGCGACTGAAATTTAGCGGTGCTTCCTCCACATGCCAAAAAAAAAAGGCACCAAGCCCAATAAATCCAACGCTTTTGCAAGCGTGCATGCGTTGGTTAGTGCAGCGTTGCATCCAGCAATTCCAGCAACAGGAACGAGCCGAGCTGTTGGATCGTGTGTCGATGCAAGGCCGCACCCCTCAGTGGCGTCAATGAGGTGCCAGCAAGACTTCACGTGTCGAATGGTGGAGTGCTGGCTGCGTCACAGCGACCCTCGGCTCCTGGCGGCGGAGGTGGAGGGAAAGGTTACAGCGCTTTCTTTACTGGTCATGGCCGCTGGGATGCTGTCTTGCAGGGGGCGTGTTGGCGCGGTCCCTGGCGCCGAAAGGGGGGCAATCGACACCGACAGGACCGCCCAGAGCCCGCATTGGGAGCTGGTGGAGGCGTGTTTGGTCACTTTTCTCTCAACAAAACCATCCAGTTCCTCACACGCCGCATGCACAGCACCATAGGTACGCTGATATAGTCGCACACCGTTCTTTTATAATCGTCTTATCCCCCGCATCGGCTCAGTCCTTGGCTTCTTTTTCCCTCTTTTGCAATGTCCAACAGCGAGACTCTCCCTCTCTACAACCAAGACCTCCACGAGGAATCTGAGGAAATGGCACCCACAAGCGCCCGTACGTCAACCAACAATTCTGCCCACGTGCCCCTACTCTGGCCGTTGTTGCGCCACGACCCGACTGCTAATTGCCCATTGCTTAGGCCGAGCTGCTGCTGAGTGCGTCTCCGATGAAGCTCTGATTCATCTCAAGTCGTACAAGTATTCCGCCGTCGATAAATCGCCTGTTTCCAAGTACATTCTCGGACCATGGGTACGCTGCAAACCCCTCCGCCCCTTTCGCTCGACCAGCTTAAAGTTTTCCGCGAAAAGCTTTCTCATGTCAACTATTAAGCTTGGAAAATGGAAACTGGAGCATACAAGACTTTACAGAAAGACTGAACTAACCACCTTGAATAGTGGAATACCTTTGTCGAGTTTCTGCCCCTGTGGATGGCCCCCAACATGGTGACGTTGGTTGGCTTCGGCTTCATCCTCTTCAACGTAGCCTTGCTGGTCATCGTCATGCCTGACCTCGTTGGACCGGTACGACTCCTTCAGCGCAATTTGATTTGGTTGCCAGTAAATACCAAAAGCTAACACATTCTTTTTTTCTCTTTTCTAGGGCCCCTCATGGATCTATTTCAGCTTCGCTTTTGGCCTTTTCATGTACCAGACCATGGACAACGTTGACGGAAAGCAAGCCCGACGAACCGGAACATCCAGCGGTCTTGGCGAACTCTTCGACCACGGTATCGACTCTCTCAACTGCACACTTGCCAGTCTGCTCGAAACCGCCGCCATGGGCTTGGGAACTTCGCCTGCTGGTGTCTTCACGGCACTCTGCCCCGTCCTGCCCATGTTCTTCTCGACCTGGGAGACCTACCATACCCACACTCTCTACTTGGGCTACATCAATGGCCCTACCGAAGGCATTCTCATTGCTTGTTTCATGATGATTGTCTCCGGAATCTGGGGTCCCCAGGTTTGGACTCAGCCCATCATTCACCTCTTTGGTGACGCGCTCCCTGGCCTGCATGGTATGATTGGCGAGACTTCATTCAGAGATATCTGGATCGGCTTAATTATCGTTTCCATGATCCTCACCCACATTCCCTTTTGCGTATACAATGTCATCAAGGCCCGCCATGCCAACAACCTGCCCATTTTACCCGTCTTCATGGAGTGGCGCGGAATTATTACCTTTACTGCATCTATCTGCTTCTGGCTCACTTCGCCATACAGCTCTCTGATGGGCGACAACCATTTGGTGCTCTTCTGTGTTACCATGGCTTTTGTTTTCGGACGTCTCACCACCAAGATGATTCTCGCCCATCTTACTCGTCAAGCCTTCCCCTACTGGACTGTCATGATTTGGCCTCTTGTTGGCGGCGCCGTCTTGACCAACATGCCTCGTCTTGGCTTCCCCCAGATCAGCGCTGCTATGGAGCTTTACTACATGTGGGCTTACTTCTTTGTTGCATTCGTCATCTACGCCCGCTGGGCCCATCTCGTCATCACCAGCATCTGCTCGTTCCTCGGTATCAATGCTCTGACTATCCCCAAGGAGAAGCAGATTGCCAATAAACTGGCCCGTGATGCTACCAAGCTTCACTAAGCTACTACAAGACAGGATGGTACGGCTTAGACCGCTGTTACTGGACCCTGTTTCAACAGTCAACCACCAGGAGCGGGTACATATGTGTTGTCCCAAAGAGCTCGCTAGGTCACAGTTTAGGCCAGTGCATGTTCAACCGGCGTTTGGGAATACTTTTTAAAGTTTTTAATCCAGTGTTTTCTTTTCAATTGGATGACAGACACCGCTGGAGCCGGTGATTCTGGTGTTGTATATTATCCAACCAACGATTTACGTTAACCGCCATTTGCAGCGGAACCTTTTTTTGGTAGTACCTCTATTAAAACACTTTTTTTTTCTCAACATATAATCTCTCAACGTAGAAAATGTAATTAATATTAAGATCTGTGTGCGCAGTGCTTCTATTGCGCTCTCTGTCCAACGCTTCATGGCTGCTGTAACATGGCAAGCGCTCCACCCTTTTGAAACCCCCATATTTCGCCGCCGCCACTTCTTCCCTTCAAACGTGTCACTCCAAAGCTCAACCGCCAGACACTCGACAATCCCCGTCTAAGCTTTGCAGCTTCTGACCTGCTCTTTGCTATCCTATTAACGACTGCAGTATCATCTGCGCACCCCATGGTTCAATATGCGACTGTCGGTTATAGCACCGTCTGTGTGGCTGTCGACAGTGTGCCTTCTTGGCCGCGCCGTGTCAGCGCTGTCCGACGACGATTTGCGACATATTCCCTCTGTGGGCGACGATTTTAATATTAAGACTGGCAAGCTTCTTGCTCCTATTCTGATACCACGCGTACCTGGCACCGAAGGACAAATCAAGACGCAGGAACACTTCGCCAACTTCTTCAAATCCGAATTGCCAGACTGGACTCTGACATGGCAGAATTCAACATCCAAGACGCCAGTCAGCGGAAATAAAGACGTTCCCTTTAATAATATGATATTCCATAGAGACCCTCATTGGACTTCGGCTGGCGATACCGCGCGTCTGACGCTTGTCGCTCACTACGACAGCAAATATTCACCAGAGGGCTTTATCGGTGCCACTGACAGTGCCGCACCATGCGCCATGCTTTTACACGTTGCGCGAAGCATCGACAAGGCTCTTACAGAGAAATGGAAGAAGATGGAACAGAATGGAGAAGCAGACCCTTCACTGGAAGCCGCTGCAGGCGTGCAAATCATGTTCCTTGATGGCGAGGAAGCATTCTTACAATGGACAGACGATGACTCGTTATATGGCGCCAGGTATGTCTATTGCACAACTGAAGCTCGATTACCAAGACACTAAGAACATGTATAGATCGCTGGCCGAAAGCTGGGAGCAGGAATTCCATCCTACGTTCTCAACGTTTAGAACCAAGCTAAGCTCTATAAGCTTGTTTGTGCTGTTGGATCTCCTGGGAGCGCCCAACGCAAATGTACCTTCATATTTCCTTACGACTCATTGGGCCTACAGAAAAATGGCAGACTTAGAGAAGCGCCTCCGAGATTTAGGCTTGTTGGAGGCCAAAGCTCGCAAGCCGTTCTTACCAGATGCCGAAAAGAAGTCAGAAGAATTCCGTTATTCAAGCGGTATTCAAGACGACCATATACCTTTTATGAGACGTGGAGTTGATATTCTACATATGATTGCGTACCCATTCCCACCGGTATGGCATACTATGGACGACGATGGCGAGCACTTGGATATCTTCGTCACAAAGGACTGGGCCAAGATTGTCACAGCCTTTGCTGCTGAGTGGCTCGAGCTCGATGGGTTATTACAGAAACCTGAAACTCCAAGCAAGAGAACAGAAACCACGCCGTTGAGCAGCGAGCGAACTGAATTGTAATTCTGGATCCTGGGCGTTATATCTTTGGGAAATGTTGCGCAGACCTGGCACAACAGCCGAATGTACTTTACGACGAATTGGCTTTTCAATTTAAATACCCCCAAACTTTTAATCCATCTATACCAATTATATATTTAATAAAATAAACAAGCAGAAATCACACATTTGGGCTGAAGGCTAGTTGAGGGACCCAGTGTAGATCGATACGATGCGCACAATTCGCACGGTGCATAAATATGGAGCGGCCAATCAGCGCACCGCAACTGCTACCACGTAACCATTTCGTACCCAAGCTCTCCCTAAGCTGTCCTCTTCCGAGTCCTGCACATTAAACTCCACGCCCGATATCACAACATGCGATTCTCGCTCGCCACAACGTTGCTGGCCCTTTCGGGCGCAGTAGAAGCCGCTTCCTCTTGGGGATTCAAGGATGGATCCGTCACTGTGGCTTCCAAGGCTGCCGCTGAAGTCACTCACAAGTACGATGTGCCCGCCCCCCCTCGACATCGTAATCGACCACAATCGCCATTGGCGCATAGACAGGAGCATACATACTGACATGGACGTCTCATTAGGCTTTCATCCGACTCGCGAATCAAGACACCGGTCGAATTCGGTCACGCCGACCTGCTCAAGGTCTCTGTCACAACACAAGAAGGTTCCAAGGCTAAGCGCCCTCACCAAGCTTTCCTTGTTCTTAGAGAGTCCTCTGGACTAGAGGTTCCGTTCCCCTTGACTGTCAAGGAGACGGGCAAGGGCACCGTCAAGATTGTAAGCGCAGAAGCGGTCTAATTGCGCAATACACAACTAACACATAACCAGGGTCACCGCGATCTCCCCGTTCAGTTTGTCGACAGCAAGGAGCCCATCCAGGCCAGCCTTGTTCTTGGCTCTTTCGGATCTACCAAGCCCAGCGTCTCTGCCCTATTCGATATTACTATCCAGCGCGACCCCAAGGCTGCCGCATCGACCTACAAGGCCCCCATCCGCTACGGAAAGCTTGCCGAGATTCACCACATCTTCCGCGCCGATCCTACCAACCCTCCCAAGATTGTGTCGATTGTCTTTTCGTTGGCTGTTATTGCCTCTGTGCCCGCCCTCTTCATTGCTGTATGTATCGCCAAATTGGCCCATTGTAAACAAAAGCTAACCTGAATCTGACGCAGTGGCTCGTCCTGGGCGGCAACGTCGACCACATTGGCAAGGCCATGGCTACCGCCCCCATCTCTCACGCGCTCTTCTTCGGCTCGATTGTCGCGATGGAGGGTGTATTCTTCCTATACTACAGCAGCTGGAACCTCTTCCAGACGCTCCCTGTTATTGGCATCGTCGGTGTTGTTGCTTTCTTGAGCGGCAACAGCGCCTTGTCTGAGGTGCAGGGCAGACGTCTTGCTGGTGAGCGATAAAGGGTCTGTTTCGCTGTCAGTATACGTTTTTGGCTGCTGCTGCTCCAAGAACTCACGGCGAAATTTTACGGAATAAAATAAAGAAAAGGGCTACAAAAAGTTTGTAAATTATCATGTGATTCAAATATCCTTGCAATAGACAAGATGCCTCGTCAATGATCTCTGGGAAATTAGGCCTCATGGACTAACTACGAGCCACAGCTTCGTCTTTCAACCGATAAGATAGAGATTCTACAAGTAGGTTCTTAAACTGTACACATAGAACATGAGTGATATCAGTATGTGTGCTAACTAAGTTGACAACCTGAGCCCAAAATAGCAGCCACCCCAAAGAAAATTTAAACCATTATTTCACGTTGTATTATTATTATTTCTATAAAGTAGAAATATATTTCGAGGCGCAACATATTCTTTGGTCATTTGTAGGCCTACATGGCGCGTCAAGATCCTCAATGCGGTTGCCTCGGCATAGTTATAAGTGGTGTACACCCACTACGCATTCCCCCCAGGCGCCTCAAAGTGCAACCTCCTCATCAGCAACCACACACCAATCCAAGGATCTGTAACCCCATTCCCCGGCCAGTGCTAAAATAAAAGAAGATAAACTAGTTACAATGACCGACAAGGAACCTATCGCCTTTCCTTCAGGTGAGGAAACTCGCAAGCACCATGCCTACCCGGCAACTATTTGGGCGTTGGAACCAGACCGCAAAGGCAAAGCGGCTGTTGCAGAAGGCCGCGGCGGCCCAATCAACATTGCATGGGAAATCCATGGAAGCGGTCCTATGAAAATAGTGGTTAGTATTTCATTTCTCTATGCGACGCGGCAGAGCTAACGGATTCATAGCTCATCATGGGTCTTGGTGGTGTCAAGACCTCCTGGCAGCGACAGACATGTTACTTTGGCCACGATAATGGAGACAAGTATTCAGTACTGCTGATTGATAACCGCGGTATCGGAGAAAGCGATAAGCCAATGACTAGATACACGACAAGCGGTATGGCCATGGATGTTGTTGAGGTACTTGACCACGTCGGCTGGACCGGCGATCGCCAGATCAACCTCCTTGGTATCTCTCTTGGCGGCATGATTGCACAAGAAGTCGCCTGTCTTATCCCCAGCAGGCTTCAGTCCTTGTCCCTTCTATGCACCACTGCAGCGTTTGACAGCAATCTGGGACCTGTGGGCCGTGCAAAGCAGGCCATTACCATGTTCCTTCCCAAGAGCGAGGATGAGAATGTCGCAGACACAGCGAAGAAGCTATTCCCAGAGTCGTGGCTAGCAGGCGAAGACATGGAAATCCTACCATCGCCAAAGAAGACAGCCAAATGTGGCCTAGCTCCTGGCTCGGCGGATGGCGAGTATCAACGATTTGATAGCAACTTCCAGCGCTTCCAAGCCCAGGAGATTACGAAAAGGGAGATTGAAGGACACTTTACCAAGGGTGGCTTCTTCTGCCAGCTCGGTGCTGTGATTGGGCACAACAAATCTGTCGATCAACTCCGCCAGATGGCAGACTTGGTTGGCCGTGACCGCATTCTCATTATGCATGGAACAAGAGACAGCATGATTCCAGTAAACAATGGAGAGCGCTTGATCAAGATGGTAAAACCAAAGACGGGTCTCATTGTAGAGGATATGGGGCATGTGCCTATCATGGAGCGTGTTACTTGGTTTAACAAGCTTATGGAGGAGAACTTTGCCACATGGGCTAAGCTATGAGATTTCTCGAACTTTTTGTTTCATTTATGTCGCTATTGCCCTTATGTTATTTGTATATACTCTGGTTTAGATATGCATTTTGAATCCAGCGCTTTTACACCGATTTCCAAATCCTATTTTCACGCAGTTTGCTTTTCCTTTTTTTTTCTTTTTAAATTCGAATCGACAAACATTTACGGCAGAACCAGACCAACACCACTCTGGAGGGTGCTGTCCAGCTTCTGGTTCGCATCCAAGCCGCCAGAAATAGCGTTGGCGCGGTAGTTGAACAGATAGTAGTGAAGCGTACCGTCACCGGCAGCAAACTTTTGCTGCTCGAGGAACATGCCGTTATCCATGAGGGTTAAGGCGTTGAAGACATCAAACTTGTGCTTCTTGGCCAAAATCAAGGCGTCGCCGATGAGCTCGTTGAGTCGCTTCTTCAGGTTGTCCTTGTTGAAGGGCTCGACGAGGCCAGTCTTGCTACCATAGTAGAAGAGGTAGGCAACACGGACCACCTTGTGCTTGGGGTTGTTGATAACGGACGATTCGACGCAGTAGAAGGAGAAGAAGTCGGTAACCTTGCCACTTTCCTGTCATAATGTTAGTAATATGCTTTTGAATAAAGTTTGCTTTTTCGCGATATTCAACTAACCTCGACAACATAGGACCAGACGGCCTGTTCACCAGAAGCATCCGCCTTGGGAATCAACCAGTGATGCGCCTCCTCCTTGGTCATTTCAGGAGCAATCTCAAAGCGCGACGAGTAGCGCTTTTGAAGGCTGACAACATCATCCAGATCCTTCACCTCCATCTCGCGAAGGCCCTTAGTGGCAGTCTTGCTAGGCAGGGCATACTTGTGCACCTGGTACTGGGGCTTGCTGCCGGGAGGAAGATAGCTGAATCCACACTCCCAGAGCTTCTGCCAGTCAAGAGGACGGTGGTAGTATCTGCAGGTGCTGACGGGTCGGGGGAGGACAACACCAGCTGTGTAAAGACCTTGCCAGACGCTGTTAAGGTTGCTCACGCGTGTGATTTCCTTGATTAAGATTGGTGCCAGACGCTTGTTGCGAAGTTTCTTGTGGATACACAGGAAGTTAACTTCAGAGCATGTGATGACATTGTCGCGAACTCGGATGTGGACGGGGATAGCGGAGATGAAGGCGACAAGCTTTCGCGACTGGGATGCGCGAATACCAACGTGGTACTTCTTGTCCCAACCGGGAGCCATCATAGCCCAGCGGAGAATGGAGGGAGAGTAGTTGAAGCGGAAAGTCGAGTCGACATCCTCAACGTAGTGGCCGTTGAGCAACTCGTAGACCTCCTTCATCTCCTCGTCACTCTTGAGGTCAATCTCAACCCATTCGAAGCCAGAAAGCAGAGGAGCAGGGCTCTTCTCAATCTCCTCGACCTTTTGCAGACGCAGAGGACCCTCCTTTGCCTTCTTGTCGTCCTCGCCAAACTTGGGCACAGGCTGTGTCTGCCAGAACTTGTAGGAAGCCATGTCCTTGACACCCTTGCCATCAGCAGCCATGCCCGTCATGATATCAGACATGCTCATGTTCTTCAATAGGTCGGCCGCCTGGTCGGGAGTCGGGTTCGTGATTCCGGAAGCTTGCGCAACCTCTTGGACGAGTGCGGGGTTGAGGGCGAGCAGTTCCTTGAGCTGCTGAGGGTTCAGGCCGCTGACAGCTTCCTTGACCTCTTTTTCCTGCTTGCTGCCCTCTCCAGCAGCGGGAGGGTTATCCGTGGGCTTTTCGTCAGAAGGCGCCATTGTGAATGTGTGGTGGTTGTGAAGCTGCGGGGTGCAGAAGAGCTGTGACGTGGAGAAAGTGGTCGTGTGTGAAGATGCCCCACCAATGTGACAGGATGGGAAAGCGTTGAGTTGGTGGGGGACGGGAGAGAGGATGGGAGCGTCGTCTTTATATTGTTTGGGGAATCAAAATTAAGAGAGAAACTTTTCTTGTTAAAGTGATTGGTATTTTCACCATGGAAAAGTTAGACGTCGCAAATGATTGAATACGCAAGAAGATGGAAGCCAGTATCTATATAAAAGCTAGTTTTTGCGAACCACGAGCTTATTTGGCAGCATCGTCGAAGCACTTCATGATGGCCAAAGACACCGGCGCAAAACCCATAATATCATTGTGACCTGTTTGAGAGAATTAGAATTTTCACTATACATAAGGTTGGGCGTGAATTACCTCCGTAAGGATACAGTTCCTGGCGTATCACAATGTCGGGCTCGGCTCGCCATATAGTTTCGAAAGAGTCCTTACCCCGGTGTACCGTTCTTTGTTCTTTGAGGGTCGCAAATTCTTGGTCGGATACTAGGTCGGTGGTTTGCATTGCGGCAGATTTGAAGAGTTTATCGTCTTCTGTATATGGGATATCCCAGTCGTCCTTGGCATGGATCATGGTTAGGCGTAAGCGAGACTTCGTATGGAGCACCAAGTTGCCTAGCCTATTGGCCGAATGCCATTTATCAACGACGTAGCGTTTCAGGAGATTTACAAACCATGGCATAGATGCAAAGGGTCCCAATGCGGGTACAATGCCTCCAATTCGGTAACCGCTTAGCATATTGGCCAGGTCCGAGAAGCCAGCGACCAGAACTACTCCCCCGAGCTCAATGCTTTGGAGGGCACACTTTTCGGCTACGGCACTCACCACTGCCGTGCCTAAGCTTTGGCCTAAAAGTACAATTTGGCGCGGGGGTACACCGGCTGTGTTGATGGCCCAGTCGACTAGTGAGTAGGCATCGGTGATTAGGCCATCTTCGGAAGGGTACGATGTCGATTGGCCGTAACCTCTATAGTCGATTGCGACAACGTGGTAATGCGAAGTATCTGTTAATGTGTGGTAGCTGTCCGGCCGGATGCCTTGGGCAACATGGCCAGCATTCTAGAGAAGGTAGATTTAGTAGGAGTGACTGGCTGTTGATTGATAGCGTAAAAGCGACATACACCATGAACTATAGAGAGTGTGAGTGCTAGAATAAATGTGTGAGGATGCATAATGAACTTACAGTATAGAATCAGTTTTGCCTTTGGGTCCTCTTTCAATAGACGGAACGAGGTTGCTTGTGTGATATCTTGTATATACCCAGTGGGCTCATTGACCAGGAGCTCCTCATTTTGCAGATATATAGGCAAAGGCAAGATATGCCACGCATAGAGGGTTTCGCCATCCGTGGTTTTCAGCCCAAATGGGGATACCTGATTTTCTATTACGATTGTGAGCGTGTCTTCTTACGAGGGAGCTATCAAGCGTGACCTACTGGCAAAGCCCCAAGCTTCAGGCTCGTTCAAATCAGTCCACCAGGTATTGATTTTGTGCGCATAAAGGAAGCTATAGCAGTTCAAAGATGACGACGTTAGAGCTGTATCTACTGTGTACTGACAATAACGTGTGCGACTGCGGCTGGAGAGCTACATACTGTCGTTGGAAGAAGGGTGTCACGCCCAATCCGAGGAAGACGATGTAGATTGGCGAGAGAAGAATGCCAATGGCAAACCCGGCGATCTGGTGGAAACCCATTCTCTCACAATGTTTCAGTGCTTGTGAGTTGCTTGCACTGTCTGCGCCGAGGCGTGATGCAAGTATGTGCAATGTGTTTGGTAGAACAGCCACAAACAACGGCGCACAATGGCCGCTGGCTAACAGGTGACGACAGCGGACCAGCTGCATGGCCCGTTTTGGTGGCGTATTGTGGTAGCGGGGATTTTAGTGGTTGACAGCGCTGAACAAAGTGGACCAGGGGCGCTGAACCAACACCAGGCGGCGCTGTGGCACTGGGGCTTTGCGCGGGCCAATCAGAGCGAGCGCTTAGCCCCAAGCCTCCATCACCAGGAGGTCCTCTTGCAACAACGCAGCCCTCCTCCACGCCCTTTGCCCTCTACCGAGCATCCAACAGCGCCAATGCCGGCAACTTGACGCGCAGGCGCCCATGTGAGAATCCATGCAACTCACCATCCGCGTCTAGAACTCGGAAACCCCGCCTGTCGCCATGGACAAGAAGCGGAAGCTCCCTCCCAGAGCTTCGGCTCGCGTCGAGCAGCGCTCTAGCAGACGCCGACTCGCCGCAACTCGTGAGAAATCGCCCACGCCGGTCCCAACACCAGAGCCCATCAAAGAAGATACTCCCCCGCCTCCTCCTCCTCCTCCGCTGCCGACAGCAATAGAAGCTGGGCTCCCTCTGCCCACAGTTGAGGTTGCTCAACCGGACGATCTCTCCTCTACTGAATACCAGTCCATCTTGGAAAGGTGAGCATCACACTTATGCGCGACAGCGCATTATGGCACTATGCCTCCTCTTGAAACCGTTACTAATTCTGCCGTATAGTGGTGTTCTGACGGAATCACTCGCCCGGTCTCGCCAAAAATGGATCAGCGAAGGCTTGTTCGAAAAATACTGGACGAAACCTCACAAGCGCAAGGGTGTCATGATCGAAGACCCCAAGAACCCTCCGAAAGATTCCATGTCGCGTGTTGGCGCCGTGACCATTATTATCGAACCTCATATTATCGAAGCTACCATGTATACTGTCAAAGGGCCGAAACCGAAGCCACAAGAGCTGCTGCCACAACAACAGCAGGCACAGCAGCAAATGTACGCGCATCCTCAATATCAACAATCGCATCTATCACAACAACAACAACAACAACAACAACAGCGTCCGATTATACAATATGGGCCTCCGAATGGGGCCATGCCGCAGCAAGGGGTCCAGTCTCCCGTGTCTACTGGCCCAGCAAGCGGCCACTCGACTCCAGCACCACAATCAGCTAATGGCCCATCGCCAGCTCCAGCTGCTGTGCCAGCACCCGCAGCAACACCATCTAATCCTGCGACAACACCTACCGCGCCGCAGCTAAAACAAGAACCCGTCCCGGCGCCTCCAGCATCAAGCGTGCAGCCGAAGCCAGCCACTGCTACGAAACCTACACCGGCCTTGGCCGTTAAATCCGAACCTACGGCTTCACAACCCGCAAAAGCAGCACCAGTAGCACCCGCTGTTTCCAATCCAGCAGCCCCGAGGGCACCAGCGCCTGCAGCTGGGACGGCGGCTCCAGCTGCTAAACCGGCAACTAATGGGCCGGTCATTGCAATGCTGGCTGCCAAAGCCTCGGGAGACACTGCATTGAGAGATCTGATGAAGAGAGTTGCAGTGGGCAAAGCTAATCACGAAGAACTCGCGCACTTTCAGAAAATCATAAATCAGCTAACAGAGGAACACGAGAAAAAGATGGCTTCACAACTTCCCACAGCGGATCAACTCTATGTTAATGGTCGAACTGTAAAGTACTACTCCTCGGAAGTTAAAACTATCCTTGAGGTTGTGCTCCGGTCAAACCCTACGCAGAAATCAGCTGATCTACGACCGCCTGAAGGCAGCGATCCCTTTGTGGTGCTCGTAGTGAAGACTGCGCTTGAGGACCAGCGAACAAGAGACATGATCCGTCGCATTGCTGAAGGCAAAACCAACCCGACAGATGCTAGAGATCTTAAAGAAATTCTCGACAGACTCTATCGCGACGCGCAAACGCTTCCGCAGAGCATTTATGGACACCCTGGGCATAGAATGCCGATGCAGAATGGAATGCGCCCTGGCCAACCGATGCAGCACATGAACCAGCAAGCTATTCGAGCCAAGCCCCCACCTCCAAACAGGCCTGAAATTGCGTCCGTCGTCTTTGACTTTGGCACTGGAGACCGCTATACTTTCCCCAAGTATAGCATTTTAGAGTTTTTGCCTACATCAGCTGGACAGCAGGTCATTGCCTCGTTCCTCATTGTTCGGAAAGGTAGCGTCTCCGAGTATGGGGGCGATCCATCATTGGACTACTATCAGCCCGTGACTATTCGACTACAAACAAGCACTGGCCGTCACTTGGAGAACCTGGCCCGCGTTGTGGCACATCAAGATGAGGTGCGCCGGTACATGGACGACGTGATGGATAATATGACCCGAGCGGAATATGTGCTTCTCGCCATGCGTCTTCCACGAGAGCTCAAAGATGATGACGATGACGAAGACGTACCAAACGAGAGTGCTGCAGAGGCAAAAAATGACGCCGGCCAAGCAGCAATCTTGGAGTCTGATGAGCCCTCTGTCCTGTGGACTGTGAATGCAGGTACATCTTTGTCGGACACACAAGTCCCCCGATCACTGCAGCCTCTAGATTTGGAAGAAGAAGCACAAGAAAAGTATCAGCGTCTCGTTCGGTCCACTGCCGAGAGAAACATCGAGCTTGTATGATTATGAAACCTTTGCAACTAAGTTGGGATGGCGTACTGGTGGAGTTTTTGAAATGATGCCATATACCTTTTTTTCTCTTTGTCTTCTTAGATGACGAGCAACATAACGTTCACCTTTGCAAGGGCATATGTAGATGTATGCAAGAACAGAATATATGAAGAAGTTGCAAGAATTCCTGCTCTTGGTCCGTCACATGTGTGTGCTAGTATACGACGACAGACCGGTGATCGTTGCGATGTCAAAAGAAGAAAACAAACTTGGGGTTTAAAGTTGAAAAGTTAGAGTTGATAAAGTTAAAGTTGAAAATGTAAAATTGAGGAATGATTCTCCCACTAAAGCTAGTTACTTTTCCTTCTTTTAAATATCTAGCGTGCATCCCCTCTGCACTGAAAACGCCAGCCTTTTGTAGCAAATAAATTAAGCCAGGACAATGAAGTACGCTTTCGCTCTCGTTACATCCATTGCGCTGGTCCAGGCCAGCCCTGTTCCTTCTCTGGCATGTGTACCAGGTAAGAGTTCTTTCATTATAGTAGATGAGATGAGCAGCAACCTTGCTAACTATTTCTAGGGGTCAACGGGACTTCAACTGCCCTGCCCTGCTCCTTGCCCTCGCCTATGTATACTCAACCACCAGTTAATCCCAACAGTACCGTTGTTTCTTCTACAGTAGTGTACAAGAACGCTCCCAAGGAAACGTTGGTCGGTCTTGCTCATGTTGGAGTCCATCGTGGATCGAGCTCTCACCCGCCAAAGGTTACGCCGGGCAGGAATGACAAGGCTGATAATAGAACGAAGAAACAACCTCCTGTAGCTCCGCTTGTGGATGGGACTGGAGATGAGGACCCTTGGCTCCAGCCGCTTACTGTCGAGAGTGTTTGTGATTTGTTTGATGAGATGATTATCCTGGTTCAACCATTCAACGCTCCACAAGACAGCGAAGAGCAATACATCGTGAGTTGTTGATCCATAAAGCTGGCGACTTATCTGTACTAATAGCCTTGCAGAAAGCCATGGGTCGACTGGATGACTGGGGAAATATGCTGCTTGAGCTACAGAGTCGAATTGATCAGACCCCTGCCTTGAACCATGTAGCCCAGCTTGAAGCAGCTAGCTGCTTTGCCAGGGTAAGCTTTTACAAAAAGACGTATCACATGAAATGGTTAATGTTAATACCTGAAAAGTATTCCAGAGCGGCGAGAAAGGCGCTAGCCAAGTTAAGCCACAACATGCGTCTGTCGCAGGAATTCGGCTGGAAATGCAGGATCCTGAACAATTTAGAAGATGCCTTCGAAGAGCACAAGGTAAGAGTCATAGTTAAATTTCACGGTAAGAAAAGGCGATAGCTAATAGTGAGAGATAGTCTGTCGCTGTGAAGATGTATGGCGTCGACACAGACACGGGGACTGGACAGCCACATCTCCTCGATGGTATGTTTGATGACAGCCTCCCTGAATGGTGGCCAACTCATGCAGGTACTGGTACTCCTGATCCTCGTACACCCATTAGAGACTGGGTTCGTAGTAAGGACGTAGCCTGGCACCATGAAACAGGAGGGTTTGCAGAGGCGATAGAAGAATGGCACGTCACGAGGCAGGATGATGGCACATGCCCACCCTTGTCTAAAATCGATGAGAAGAAATGGGGGCTCTAATGCTCTTTTTTCTTTTTAATTGTTTGACTGTTTCAAATGTTGGGATTTTTTCCTATTTAAAATCCATCGCTTAATCTGTTGTTTAGCTGAATACAAAGATTGGTCATTAAGAGCTTCGACTTACAACTAAGCATAACAGTACAGTAGAATGCTCTTGAATTGGTGCAAAAGAGTGCCAAGAAATTGTTTTCAACGTTAAATTTGAAAAAGAAAAGAAAGATCTAATTAATCTAAATAAGTCATGTGATACTAGCAGCTGTAAGCAGGGCGGTATATTCTGGCGCTTCTCCAGTACCATTGTATAGTTACAAGTGTAGGCAGACACTGCCAAAGCGGCCCACCAATAACGTGCAAGCAGCGCCTCACCCGCGCTGTCGCCCTCCAAAAGCTGCCTAGGCACCTGTCACCACTTAGCAGCCTCATCACCACTAAACACCAACAGAACAATCGGTTCAGTGAATCGCTGCTTCATGTAAAGCCTCGATATTCCACTCTGCTAGTGGCTCTTTGTACGCAATGGGCCAGACACTCTCAGAGGAGCTGCCCCATAGCAAGTCGCGGGAGCAGATGATGCTGGAGCTGGTAAGTGAAGCTACCCCAACCCAAGAAGTTGATCTGGCTTTTGCTAGAGATGGTAGTTCATGTATTGAGCTGTAGAATTAACATGCAAGTCAATAGTCTGCGCGCTTCAAAGATAAATGCTTTACACCGATAGAGCTCTACTCACTTCAGGACGTCTTCAAAAGCCTGGCCGACCATCAAGGCTCTGTCCAGTACATCAAGGAAGATACGGTGGCTCGTTTTCTTGAGATACCCGATGTTCTTGGCTCATCACAGGTTTTATTTCAGATGATGTCGTATCTGGGCGCTTTCCCATTTCTACAGGAAGCCCCTGTCATCTTGGAGCTTTCGTATCTGGTGACCGTCATTGTTATTATGACCGAGCGATATAAGCGTGTCCTCGCTGGTGGTTCGAGCGATCGCACAAAGCTACTCTTTAAGAGCCTTGCTGTCTATGATCGAAAACTCCCAGGAGCACCGCCGCCAATCCAGCGCGATGAACTCAAAGCGCTCTACAGCGAGAGAACGGCAGGCTTTGCCGTCGACGAACCCCAGGAAGAGCCTGACCCTGATGCAGACGAAGAGGATGATGACGACTTGGTTCTGACTGCATTTGAACTTTTGGATATTAAGGATGCAGTAAGGCAGGGCGAGATCCCCGAATCCCACGGAGCTATGATACCCACGGACAACTTTCGCAAACTTATTATGCTACTTCTGCTGGCAGCTCCGCTCAGCCCTCAGGAAAGTCTCTCGCAATTCAGACACCGCGTTGAAGATGATGAGCTGGAAAGCCTCAGAGCTGTTGCCGAATGCATTCTCGCATCCTATGTCGACGTCGAAAAGGCACCGGGTGTCCGGCTTGCTCAGTTCAAGGCCATCACCCTGTCCGTACTGCCAAACCTCTTTGCCGGATTCAACAACTTGTTTGAACACTTCTTATTTTCGAAAAATTTGGATCTATCGAAAAAGCTAAAGCCGGATGAACAGGATGCACCCAAGGTGGCACAGCCCCTCGTACCGTATAATGGTGAAATTTTGACTGGACACGTATTATCTCAAATCTCTACATTCCTACCAGGGTCCTCTCTCTTTAGACGAGTTCGCCCACTGTATTCAGGCAGCGAAGCGGGATTCTCGATGGGAAGCTTTGAGACAAAAGTGTTCAACTGGCAGGCTCCCACAATACTGCTTGTGTCTGGTACGAGGATTCCTGACAAACCAGAAGGTGGACAGGAAGTGTCCTTTGCCGATTCGTTGCCTCCAAAGAGATTTGGTAACGGAAGCAAAGGGGAACGCCTGACATTTGGTATCTATGTCCGAGAACCCTGGAAGCATACACACCGCGAATGCTTTGGCGACTCGGAAACGGTTCTCTTCCAACTAGAGCCGGTCCACGATGTTTTCACCGCATCAACATTGAATACTGATTACGTTACCTTTACAAAACCTCCTAGCAGGCAGCCCTGCATTGCATTTGGCTGCCCACACCCGAAACCAACACAGTCGAACCGCCGCGATGGCGTCTTTTCTCTGGGCGCAGTCTCACTGCTTATCAACGACTCGTTTGAGTACGCAGTATTCAATCACAACTACACCTCTCGTGGTGGAGCATTCCGCACCAGTACCATCCGGCAGCACGATTTTCAGGACCGCTTTCAGATTGAACAGCTCGAGGTGTGGGGATGTGGTGGTGATAAAGAAGCTCAGGCGCAAGCCGAACGATGGGCCTGGGAGGCTCGTGAAGCTGAGGCCAGACGAAGAATCAATCTCGGCACGGGCGATAAAGAGGCCGACAGACAGCTATTGGAAATGGCTGGTCTTATTGGGGCGAACCGAAGCGGCGGCTCCATGGCCTAACGGACTAATGGCACCAGGACAAAAAGAATAATATGCAATCTGTTGTTTTATTTTATGTAGAGACGTTTCGAAGAGATGGCGCAAGGCTTAAAAGCTATTTTTATGACATCATACAATACATACCACTTATCGTACACAACACCTCCCCGCTGTTCCATTTTATGGCTACTTGCCAGACTCATCTTCCTTCTTTTTCGTGCTCATCACTTCGCCGATAGCCCCCAGAGAGCTCTTGGGGTTCTTCTTGGCCTTCTTCTCCTCCTCGACAGGTTCAGCCGACTTCTTCTCTGCCGCTGCGGACTTGTCCTCCTGGGACCAGAGCCCCATTCGGCCGAGAATACCACCGTTTGTTGTAGCGGCAGCCTGCTCCCCCTTTGCCTTTTCTTCCATGCGCTTCTGCAGTCTGGCGCGAAGGGCCTGGTCTTCTTCGTCTCGTGCCTCGAGCTCGCGAATCCACTTTTGTCGCTTGACTTCAGCGTCGTGCTCGTCGTTGAGCTTGCGGAGCTCCTTGGTCTTTTGTCGGTCTTTGCTGTAGTACATGCTACCGGCAACCATGGCTACGACAGTGAAACCTTGGGCAGCAACACGGGCGCGGAACATGCGGTTGGCTTGGTGGGAGTCGCCTCGTCGAATGGCTCGGTAGGCGCTGATGAAGGCAAATGTCGTGAGGCCCATGCCTGTGTAGCAGGAAGAGTGGTTAGATAAGACGATGTGGAGAAAACAATTGCATCAATTGATGCTTACCTAGAGGAATCAAGGGCTCCTCCTTGATCTTGCGGAATAGCTTTTGCAGCGGCTTTTCATTGTAAAATTCCCTATTGAATCGCGTGAGCAAGTTTCGTTCACTACTATAGTCTCGCGGTGTCGGACGGTACCGTACTGGTCATTGTCAAAGGATGAAGGCAGGGTGCCTGCCAACTCTGGAGGTCGCTCTGCCATGATTAAATGTCGTTCTGGCAGCGGCTGATTGTACTGTGGTGAAGCGAAAACCAAAGCGACTAGAAAGACGTGAGGTTGTCGACAATGACGACCAGCCCCACTGGCGCAAAGGGGATTTTTGGGCCGCCAACTGCCTGCAAGGTGTGCCAGCTGCCGCTAGATTGCCTTTGCCACGCGCCACCAGATGAACGCTTCTCTTCCTTCCATTGCGCATTGATTGATTTGCATCTTCACTTTTTGTTACGGCATATTAAAAATTAAACGATATAGACAGCATCGCAATAATAACTGACTGCGCTAGCTGGCCTTGCTTTTCTCTTATTTCATCCAGCCTCTAACTCCAACACATCATGCCATCGACGTAACCATGTGGTTCTCGACACCAACGGTCGACTCGCTCACACGCACACGCCTCGCCGTGGCTACCATCTCGCTGGTAGCTGCGGTATCGGCAGGTTATTACGCATACCAGGCACACGAAGCCAACTACGTCCTTTTCCTCCCGCCCGGAGAGCTGCATAGAACGAGCTCCGTGCGTAGCTCGCGACGAGGTAGTCGACGCAACAGACTCAGCCGATCTACCCGGGCAAGGGCAGTTTCGAGCTCTTCATCAGAGGAGCATGCTGATGAAAATGCGGAAAATGCGGAAAATGCTGCTGCCATGCCACCACCGGCAACGGACAATGGGATGATTGTTGACCAAGCAATGGAGGATGTCTGGAACGAGAACTCGAACTATCCTGCGCCGAGCCGAGCGGGCCAAAACATAGTCAACCTTCTATTCCGACTCTCCGAAGATAATGCTAGGAGAAATGGTTGTGTCCATCGCGGTTGCCAGTGCAATGCGTGTGGCATGGTGCCAATCCGCGGCGTTCGGTACCGATGTGCCAACTGCGCCGATTTCGACCTTTGCGAAACCTGCGAATCCCAAGGCGTACATATTAAAACGCATATATTCTATAAAATCCGCGTTCCGGCACCTCCGTTCGGGCCTCGGTATATGCAGCCTGTCTGGTACACTGGCGATCCCGATACTTGTAGAAGGACACTGCCACGCCCGTTATTGGCGAAGCTCTCGCAGGAGACTGGCTTTGAACGACCAGAGCTAGAAGCATTTTGGGAGCAGTGGACATATATGGCCAATACTGAGTGGCGTGAAGACCCCGATGAACTCTGCATTGCCATGGACCGTAAGACGTTTGAGCGGTGTCTTGTTCCGACCGGTGGCTCGCGGCATGCAGCGCCGAACCTTATCCACGACCGCATGTTTGCCTTTTACGATTCAAATCACGATGACCTCATTGGCTTTTCTGAGTTTCTGCATGGGTTATCTTACCGCAAGCGTAAAGACAAGCTACACACAGTTTTTGATGGCTATGATATTGACGGCGATGGGCTCGTGGACAGACAGGACTTTCTGCGCATGTTTCGTGCCTACTACGTTTTGTATAAGCAGATGCATCGGGATATCCTCGACGGTTTAGAAGACCAGCTGCTCTCGAGTACCGAAGTCCAACAGCTTGTCAACAGCCGCCAACCACTCAGCAGTTTGTTTGGCCGTGAGGGCCGCCTACCATTGGCGGATATAGCTCTCAGATTTGAAGGCAAGAACTACAATGCTGACGGAAGCGTCGATATTATGGATGGATATGAGTCTGCTACCAAAGATAACCAGCGAGATATAGCAGACCGACAGGACATTCTGACGAGTCTGTTTGCATGCGATAGTACAGGGGAGGGACTCGGCCAGAGAGGTTATGTCACTGGCAGTGATGCGGACGAAAACTGGCGCACGGTTAGACGCAGCAGCGGCGCTGATGCGGACCGCACATATTGGGTCACTCTAATGGACCCGCCAGCAACAATGGGTGAATTGCAAGAGGCCATCACACGTGAAGTCGAAGGACGTCGATCTCAGGCCGCGGAAGCCGTACATGATGACGAGGATGCTGTCGAGCCTGAGCAATATGACCATGATGAGCCAGTGACGAATTCCTCGAATCGTACCGATAGTGCCGAGCGGATGGCCAAGATTACTCAGGCTAGATTAGAGGCACCGAAGTTGGAGAAGCGAAGACGAGATATGGCTAGACAGCAACTGCACGAACGCTGGAGACGACGACAGTTTTATCTAGACCAAGAGGAAGGCGGTGTTGCTCCAGAGGACTGGGAAGACGAAGAAGACGTCATCCTAAGAGTTAGCCAGCTGAGCAGAGAAGCACAGCAATCATCGGACTCGCAGAGCGACTCCAAGCCAGCGACGCCCTCTGAGCTTAGGGATCCGCTCAAAATGAGAGCAAAGGCCGGCGCTCGGGTTAGACAGACGCCTACGTTACCAGAAGTCGAGCGCGATGCTGGCAAAGAAATCCTCTACCAGGTTACTCAGCAAGCCTTCAACGAACTCCTCGATGCTATCTTCAAGCCGGTTGAAGATTTGGCAGTAGAGGCTAGCGAAACAAAGGATAAGCGAGAGAAGTACCGAGAGCAACTGGACGCCATTGACTTTTCCGAAGTAGCGGACCACGGAACAAAAGTGCCAATGCGCACCGGAGTCATGCAGTCGATTGAGAAGACCATTGAAGCTAAGTCCTTGGATGAGCTTCTCGCTGAGACTGGCTACACTGTTGCCGACGACACGGAACACCGCGACGCCGTTGATCTCACCCAAGTCACAGTAACCATTCACGAAGATGAACCGGTTGCTGAAGAGCCCCCCCCCTCGTCTTGTGATCCAACACTCCCTCAGTTCCGGCCAAACTCGGTGTCTGAACGAGTGCCGCTCTTGGAGGTAAAGCAGCCTCCGGTAGCCGAGCCCGTGGTTCAAGAAGAGCCTACACAGGAGACATTGCTGCGTTGGAGGCGTCTTGACCTGGCAGAGCTGGTTGCTTCGCGTCGCGGTGGCTGGGGAAAGTTGGAATACGAGGAGTTTGAACAAATCTATCGCATGAACGAGACGCAGGGCAACCGCCTCGATTACCTTGGGAGCTGGATTGACTTTTGCATTCCCTAAAGGTCTTGTGTAATAAGCCATGACATAGATGTGCCTTTTGTATTAATATCATTTACATGTACACTATTCCATTATCCGTCCTTTGTGAGTAATTACGACTATCCATCCGACTATTCTATTAACTATGTAACTTGAAGACCAAAAAAGGGCGAAGCTAGCAAGTTATGGCTAGTATTGCAGTCGGTTATATAGTAAAATGGGACAAATGTGGGGATATGATAGCCCGGGTAACTCAACTGGTAGAGATTGAGCACTTACCGTCCCTTCTTAGGCTCATGGGTGCAGGTTCGAATCCTGCGCTGGGCGAAATGTTCCTTTTCTTTTTTTTGAATCTGTTTGTTATATGCTAGCTATATCAAGCCGGATTGACAAATGAATAACCAAGTTACAACGTTTCGTTTTTATTCAAGACGTTTTTTTATCACGAATTTCAAGGAGATGTAAGTGTAGGGTCGTCCCAAATGGACGTATGTAAAGTATCATTAACAAAGTAGAACCTTTCTAAGTACATGAGTAGTAGGTATCCGTTTTCCTTAAAACGCCAATGCTTCCTGTAATGCAATGATAACACAAAAGAGAAGAGAGAAATTAAGCGCGGCAGCTGAATGGACAGCTTTTAGTTGTGCGCATCGAGCATCTTAACAATAGTGTAACTTGTGCCTGCGGCCAAGACACCAATGATGAGAGTCTGAATCGCACCCCAGACACCAGCGCGGTGATTGCGAATGGCAACGTAGTTCTTGACGTAGCCAAAGACAACGAGGATAACAGCGGTGACGGCAATGGAGACAAGGAAGGCGTCGCCAACCTTGGCCATGATGAAATAGGGAATCATGGGGACGATGCCACCGATGAAGTAGCTGAGACCCATGGTGAGGCCAGAGATCCAAGCGTAGTGGATGTTGGGACGGTCCAGACGCAGAGAGAAGTCGACCATGAAGCGAGCCCAGTGCTCGCGGTTCTTGCAGAGCTCATCGACGAGGGGCGCGACAGCCGCGCGGGGAACGTGGTACTTGTCCATGATGCAGAAGATCTGGGCGCGCTGCGCCTCGGGCATGGCATCGACCTGGTTGCGCTCACGCTGCTCCTCGGCATTGTAGTGATCACGCTCTGTTACGGCAGCAAGGTAGGCACCGAGACCCATGCTGATGGCGCCGGAGAAGAGCTCGGCAAGACCACCCATGATGACAATCTTGGTGCTACCAAGCGACGAGAGACCGGCCGTCAAGGCAAAGGGGACGGTGAGACCATCTGAGAAGCCGATGATGACATCGCGGAGGATATCGGTAGTCTCGATTCTGGCTGGCTCATCAACAGGAGACTCCTTAAGCTCGCTGAGGAGAGGCGAGTAGCGCTCGATAGCAGGCTCGGCAGGGAGCAGCGGCGAGGATTCTGTGTGGGCGGGCATTGTGGCGGCGTGTAAGTAGGAGTGAGGAGGAGGGTGGTATAGGCAATGAGGATTGTGTAGAAGAAGTGGATGTAGGATTCAAAGTAAAGACAGACGTGTTTTTAAAGAGTCCTGGGCATGGAAGATAATAAGGCCAAGAAACAAAAAAAAGACAAACGGCAAGCTCAGCTTCATATACTTGGGTGAGGGACCAGAGCGTGCACCATGCAAGCAAGCTTCAAGCTCACCCGTCCCCAAAACGAGCCAATGGCCATCATTGCAATTACACCTCTGCAATGTCATTCGAAAACAGCGACGCGCTGGTTGGCTGAAGTTTCGCCAGGTTTCCCTGCGAGGGATAGCGTCGATGCGATGTTGGTCGGGTCCACCAATCAGAGCGCTTCTTTTAGTAAGCGTCAAGGGATCCGGGTACGTGAAGCCGTGCAAACGCGTAGCTGCATCCCTGCGGAGGTCCGAGTTTGAGTCCGAAAAAATATTGAACGGAGACATTATGCTGCGTGTATATTGAAAGCCAGAAGGAATTCCAAGTGGCGGGCTCGTTCACGCTGGTTGTTCATGTAGCAGACTAGTCGCGGCGGCGCCAGCGGTGGTGTCGTCGTCGGGCCAGTGCACAAAGTCGTTTAGCCAATTCTGGTCGATATTATCCAGCGGCCAATCAAAGCTGAGGCTGTCCCAGTCCAGCGGTGTCGTCATGCCGCTACTGTCGTCGGTCAGCGGCGGCGATGTGAGATGCGTGTTGCCGCACGCTCCATTGTCTCTTCGCTGGCCACGTAGGAACTCGCTGGGCGTCATGCCGGCGCACTTTTTGAAGACGCGGTGGAAGTGCCACTTGGACAGACCCGTCTGTTTAGCCATTTGGCTCAAGCTAAGGACTCCCCCAGTGTGAGCCTTGTCGTTAATAAAGGCCCTGATCTTGCGAACCGCCAGCTCCTCGGGCATGCTGCCATCAATGTCTGGTTTGCAGCGCTTGCAGGCCCTGAAGCCCTTTGCCTGTGCCTCAGTTCCCTCTGTGTAGAATGCCACATTGGCCCGACGAGGCAGACGAGCCTTGCAGATGGGCCGACAGTATATCTTTGTCGTCTTTACAGCGTAGACAAATGTGCCATCTGCGAGGGTGTCCTTGTTCTGCACGGCGGCCCACCTGGCATCATCGTCGGCGTAGCTGGACACTGGCTGGATGAATAACTGGTGGCTGAGTTCTTTCTCCATGGTGAGGTGCATCTGAATTTGGTTTGACAAATATTTGAGATAATTGCAAGAAGCAGAAAAAGCGTTCAGCGTGCCCTCACTTTGCACTCCCAGTTCACGTTACACGGTTTCACGCATCTTCGCTTCGACTTCAACAACCAGTGGGGCTTTGCTTTCAATGTGACCAATCAGAGCAAACCACAACCGACACGCCGTGTAAGAGGTATCAACCGCATTGTTCCTGTAGCATCTCATTGTATGGGGAAAAAATAATTCAAAATTAAACTTGTCACGGTCATATAGTTAAACACGATTTAATCCAGTTTCCATTTTTACCCTAAAATTATTATTTGTGCATTGCTTTATACCAATTGTAACTCCTGACATGAATCTTTCACCGTTGTCCCAATTCTTCGCTCTGGCAATGTTTAACATCGTGATGCGCAAATATGGTTTGCTTGGCGAATACATCTTCAGCAATGAAATCGTGTGCTCTTCTATTGTTTCGTTGGTAGCAAAATGTCCGTTTCCATAGCCACAAAAGTTGATCAGCTCGTCATACTCCTCTGCAATCGTGTGCAGCCACATGTCAATCGGCGCTTGGGACTCCATCCAGATTAAAATCAAGTGGGTTAAAAAGCAAAGATTCGTCAGATATTGTCTGCGTAATGGGGAGCTGATCGCTACCAAATTCAGAGTTCAAAATGGGCTTCAGTACCCCCAAGGACATTTCCTGACTCGGAAAGTTGGCAATGTCATTGTCCATATCGTCTTGATTCTTAAAGACTGACGGAGGCTTAGCGGCAGTGTGGCCCAGAGCGCCGGATTCAGGCATCTAGCCTACTCCAGCAGCTTGAGGCTCCGTGACAAGACCAGTCATGTTTGCCACAGCGTCCATGCTGAGAAAGTTCGACATCGCAGCCTCAGAGAATTGATTGCTGTGGGAAACATCTTGGGTTCCCCAGTCGATGTTCCAATTTTCAGTGGTCCAGTCTACAGCGTTCATCTCGAACCCTGTCAGCTGGATTTGGTCGCTAGTCTTGTGTTGATTGGAGGGGGCTTGCTGCGCTAGGTAAGTGTACTGGCTCGTCGTCTGTGCATCGCTCTGCTGTGAAGGTGTTTTCTGAGTTGCGCTGGCGTGATAAAAACTAGCGCTCTGTGATAGCCCAGCATCAGCAGTCGTAACTTGCGGGTAGAGGAGCTGGTTTGAGCCTGCGTTCTGGGGCTGCCTAATGGTTCCCTGAGGGGCCTGGTTGGATCCTGAACTGGTAGACAGTCCTGCTGGGAACTGGTTGTATACGGAACTGGTAAACAGTCCTGTTGGGAACTGAATGTTCTGATGCAGGCTGTGGTACTGCTGGGGAGCATTATTCTGTTGGTGACCCCGATGCTGTTGATGAGCTTGACTCGGAGGATTCGGGGTCCCATAGGGTGCGTTGTGTTGCATAGGATTATGCTGGTTATGAACCGTTGACTTCGGAAGCAGAAGTACATGCTGCGTGGAACGGTTATTGACGGCAGCACTGGTCGCCTGAGATGATAGAGCTGTGCTCGGGTGTGCTGTGGACTCTGCAGCAATCTTCCGCTGAGTCCAATCCTTGGTCCATACGTTTCGGGCAGCTTGCTTAACAGCAATCTTCCGCTGAGCACCTTGACTGGCAGTCTCTTTGTTGCTGTGAAGGGTAAGCTTGATCCTTTTCTTGGGCTCTTGAGAGGCTTCAGAGTTCTCAGAATGTGTGTGTTCAACTGTACGTTTCAACACAGCACTGCGAACATCTTCGCCGGTGAATTTGTAACCACCGACTCTTGCCTGCTGTGTGCGGCAGTTGCTGTCATGGCGCATTGTCGAAGTTGCAACCTTGTCATATCGCGAACCGGCGGGGATGGAAACCATAGTATGAGCATCGGCCAACCAAGAGTGTATAAGGTTTAAGATGCTAGAGCTGTTCGTCTCTAACATCATGAAATGGCCGTTGCCGGCCATCCCAAACTCCGCCAGGCGGATCCAGTCCACCGTCAGGCCACCCTGGACCATGAAGTCCACGGTGGCTCGGTCATATGTTGTGTGAAAACCGCTGTGGCCAGTCACAATTAGGTGCTTGGCCTTTGCGAGGTTTTTGAGGACTTTAACCTTTCTCCCCTTTCCCTTGATCTGGAGAATTGCTTCTCCGCTGTTGTCCTTAAAACTAACCTTCTCGAGGTCGAATGGAGTCATTGGATCGAGCTCAACGTTACAAGTAACTGGCACGTCCGCCAGTCCATACTTGCGCACCGCTGGATTATACTGTACGACGAGCTTTCCAGTTTCGAGTTCGAGAGTAGGATAGCCGAAGGGAGGGCCGTCTGGTTCTATAGAGACTACGCTGAGGACAAGATCTGGTTCCTTGTCAGCGGCGAGAAGGCCAATGGTTGCACCGGTCCCGTGGCCAATGATGATGCACTTTTTATGTGTCTGGCGAAGGATTTTGACCACGGCTGCCTGGCCAAGCAATTGTCTTTCGTTGCGTGTGTGTTTCACCGGATGTAAAGACCGGAAAAAATGCTCAAAGACGGTGTCGTTGGACACGCCAAGCTGTAAATTATATGTTAGATCACTGCTTTATTTCAAGTCAAGAATGAAAAAGAAGGCGATAGCAGAACGTACTCCGGGCCACTTCGTGTGTGTTTTAGCAGCAGACCAGGGCGCCGCGCCATCGTAACTCGGGGCCGTAAAGGCCTTCGACATGACTGCCCGGTCTGGTCTTTTTACCATCACGCTTAATTTTGCGTGATCTTTAAGACATTCTTGCCCAACGCATGGCAAGGTTACCGTGATCACTTGAAATCCTCTCTCGAGGAGGTTGGGCTTCCATCCAGGGCCTCCGTCAGGCTTCTCTTCCCAAATCTGTAAACAAGACGCGTTAGAAAGCATTCAAAGAAACCGAAATAGTATTCAAATTACTTGCCTGGCCGGAACAGTGGTCCTCGGGCACTAAAATGACGGGGTAGGGCTGCGTGACCGTCTTAGGCAGGGAGCATACGATCCGAAACTTGCTTTTAATCTCTTCAAAGCTCCCGTTAGAAGACGGGAATTTCGTCGTTACTTCAAAGTCTTCAGTGATTTCCCGATAACCCTCAGTTGCCATTGGCGCTCCTGTCACAGGGTGTGACTCCTGCGGGACGTTTTGCATCTCGGGGATCTCTGGCTACAGCGAGCTCTCGAGGGGCTTTTATCAAAGTAGAAGGTTATAGAAAGCAAAGAATAGAAAAGGCGATACTGGTAAAACGATAATAGATTTCCAGAGAATAAAATTACGGTGGTGTAGTGGCAGGAGTGTGGGTAATTGAACGTGAGGTGGGAGAAGAAAAGAGAGGGTGAGGTGCATGTAAGTGATGTGGGTGCAAAGGCATAGGTGAGCTGGCATTTGATAGGCTAGTGGTGGCTGAGCTCAAGTTAATCAGTCAAAAGAGGGCCGCCAGGAAAAAGAGTCCTAGCCACAATCGTTTGTTTTTCAAATTCTCATCGTGTCTGGCTGGCAGCTGTCAGACTACCTTAAGTGCGTGGAGCGAGAGGCGAGGCGGTGCACCGAGCAACGAGACCAAGCAAGATTCGTGAATGAAAAGCGAGGTGGGTAGAGTCCGAGGATGATGGTGAATAGTTGTTATAGTTTTGTACAATTTCGTAGACATTTTTTTCGCGTTGTTGTCCGCTTAAAGTCGCGTTTTCCCTCCCAACCTCGCTGAGCAAATCACCACCACCGTGCATACAACCCCCCAATTATTATGGCGACCCGGCGTCTCTAGGCCCTTCGTCCTTCATATCAGGCAACCAACCTGCTGGTCTTTCACTCCCTCTTACAATCAATCCGTACCCCAACTTCTCAACCTTCTTGATGCTCTGCCTCATCACTTCCATCTTGCCACGATAATCTTTCGTCGGGATCTCCCGGAGCACCTCGAACGAACATCCAAGTTCTTGAATGTCCCTGAGGATATTTCTTCCATAATCACCTTGCAGAGCGCCTGTCTGTGCCGTCGTGACGGTAGCAAAACGCATCAGCTCGCCAAACAGATCAAAGATACCAAACAGATAGTCGTGCGTGGAAATAAGCACGTCTGCTGGCACCGCTGCCTGTGTCTGCTCTGGTGAAATGAGCGTCTGATGGCGAAGGTAATGGGCAAACGAAAGAGCTTCCACTAACTCTTCCAGGCACCGAAGCGAACTTTGATACCGATAACGATTGATGGACTGGAGATCCGCGGACACAGACCCGAGCTGCTTGGCAATTTCAGCCAGTCTGGTGTCTACATCCTGTTGGATATTGGATGGGAAGTCCTGGTTTAGCTGTTTCATTCTGCAACGTCTCTGTGTTAGATTTACTGGTAATGTTACACTCATTGTGAACCTGAAGCTTACCGTTGTAGAGAAAAGATACTGAGAGTGAAAACATTAGCCACGCACGATTCATATCCAATACCGGCCGAAATACAACTCACATCTTCTTGCTTTGAGCAGTAACATCTCTCGACACCTTGACAATGCGTTCTCTTCGGTCATGATGCTGGTCCAATTCCTCGCGAAAGCCAAGAAACATGTCGTGGAAGCGTCCCTTGGGCCCGTCACTTTGCTTGCTGCGGGCGTTGCCCGTGTGGTCTCTCTTGACGCCTGTGATGGCCATGGTTCAGACAAATAAATAAATCCTACTGCAACTCCAATGCAATGATTTCCTTCTTTGCTGCAGTAGCTCAATGCTCAATGGACTCGACGCTGTGGAGAAAAAGCCTGATGCTGTGCCTACCCGCCCGCCATCGCCCGCATCGCCGCTCGACTTTTCCTGCGGGCGCCCGAAAATGGACACGACGCCCGCTAGGCAGGAACACGTCCAGCTACAACCAACACTACAAAGCATCGTCTGTTACGGGATACGCTCGGGATTCAAGAGCACGTGTCTTTGTTTTTGAATTTTTCATCATTTTTCTTCTCCATCTACAAAGATTGCTTTGTTTACTAATTATTTTCATTCGCTCACTTTGTCGTCCTTCTGTCTAATCACCAGAGACAGCCAGGCAGGCCCCTTTTAATCGTTCATCAGGCCAATATAAAACACCAGCTACGCGGCACTCTTGGAACCATTCACATTGCATTGGCTAGCAATCAGAGACAAAATGGCACCTAAACGGGTGGCTAAGCCCGCTCCAGCATCACCAAGCTTCATCTCCTCTCTCTTTCTTCCTACGCAGCTCTTCACCATCGCCGCCTTGCTGCGGCTCGTTCTTCTCGTCTATGGCGTTTGGCAAGACGCCAACTCAGCACTCAAATACACGGATATTGATTACCTCGTCTTTACCGACGCATCTCGCTTCGTCGCTGCCGGTGACAGCCCGTACGCCAGAGACACCTACCGCTACACGCCGCTGCTCGCATGGATGCTGCTACCAACTACCAGCTTCTTCGAGTTTGGCAAGGTCGTCTTTGCCGTCGCCGACTTGCTTGCAGGATGGTTCATCGTCCGTCTGCTCCTCAGCAGAGGCATGACTGCTGAGAAAGCCGGCATGTTTGCCGCCATCTGGCTCTGGAATCCCATGGTTGCCACCATTAGCACGCGGGGCAGCTCTGAGGGCCTGCTAGGTGTCCTGACCGTGGCTCTTGTCTGGGCTGTCGAACGCCGCCGCGTTGCTGTTGCAGGGCTAATTCTTGGTCTCGGTGTCCATTTCAAAATCTACCCTTTTATTTATGCGCCAGCCATTGTCTGGTGGATGGATGCTAAACGCCTGGGTACCGCACGCATTGTGAGCAAATCCAAGCAGCCGACATTGATGGAAAAGGCTGTCCAATTTGTCACATTTGAGCGAGTTCAACTTGCTGTTATTAGTCTGGCTACATTCATGGGATTAAATCTTCTCATGTACCTGATGTGAGTACAGCCATCATTGCCACGGTTTATATTATGCTAACCAGTCATAAAACAGCTACGGTCAGCCATTCCTTGAACACACATTCTTTCACCATGTCACTCGCCTTGACCACCGCCACAACTTTTCTCCCTACAACATTCTCCTCTATCTCAGCTCTGCCTCGCCATCCACTTCGTCACTCCGAACAGAATCGCTGGCCTTTCTACCACAGTTGCTGCTCTCTTGTGTGCTTATCCCGCTCACCATGGCCAAAAAAGATCTTGCCACCTCCATGATGGCCCAGACTTTCGCCTTTGTTACCTTTAACAAAGTGTGCACATCCCAGGTCCGTTTTCTCTTTTCGTTGCGAAGGGACTCTAGCTAACTTTGCATGTAGTACTTCCTTTGGTATATGATCTTTTTGCCCCTATATCTGCCAGGCTCTTCGCTACTTAAGCGCCCTGCGCTCGGCATCTCTGCCCTGGTTATATGGATTGTTACACAAGGAGCATGGCTTCAGCAAGGCTTCGAACTCGAATTCCTCGGCAATAGTACATTCTTCCCCGGTCTATGGCTTGCAACGCTCGCCTTCTTCCTTGCCAACTGCTGGATTCTCGGCATCATTGTCAGCGATGGTATTGCTGGCTCTGCGTCCACGGCAGTACCGAAGCTGCACGCCGAATAAGTGGTCACCAAAATAGTCATGTCAAAAAATGGTTGTAATTTTACTCTACGCTTTACTTTTATTTAATGAATAAACCATCTTCCAAAATCAAAAATTGGGTGCACGGCACATCGCTAAACCGCGTCCGCCCTACAACGCCGTTCTCGGGGTATCCTTCCATCATCCAAAAGCTGTAAATAAAATAAAGCATTCTCGCTTTATGCCCGAATTCGTTGCCGACGGGAATGATTCACACCAGATATAAAAGGTCAAAAATAAATATGTTTTGTGCAGCGCTCCTCTCATGGTAATGCTTTTGCCTCGAGGCGTGGCGGCTCAGTGTATCGTCATTCGATGTGCAGCGAACTTATCGTAATTAGATATCTTGAGCGACGTCACTCTCGTCTCTGGCCACTCTGGTAAAATGGTCATTCGCCCGTCCTTTGCCTGCGAAATGTGGCCAAAATGTTCTGCTAGAACGGGAAAGACGATGCCCGGTCGAGCTGTTAGGACCTCTGCCACAATCTGATCCGTCCAGACCCCAGAACATCTGCCGTCCTTGATAAGGAAAAAAGGATTCAACGGTGGCAGAGCCGCATCTAGATGAAATATTAGAAAATAAACAAAATAAAACATAAACATGGATAGTTATCATACCAAGATCGATAAATCGTATGCGAAAAAATTCAACCTTTGTGAAACGCTTCAGGGTCTCAATGGCCGCGAGAACAAGTCTCTCAAAGGCAGCTATAAAGAAGGGGTTCTGAATCCCAGATCCAGACTCTACAAGCAGATCCGGTGTGCAGCAGCAGTTTTTCAGTGTAATATCAATCGACTTGAGTTTGGATGGGTCTTTTGACTTGATAGCAGTTTGGAAGAAGACTGGACACATTCGCCCAGTGTAAGCAAAGCTCTCCAACTGGCTCGCAATGCTGCCTGCCGCTTCGCAAATGTGAATTTTGTTGGTAACCTTTGCGTAAAACGGGGCCATGGATGCTTCTCGTCGATAATCAGTTTCCAAGCACAAGCGGACAGACGTGATCCGTTGAGGCAGAAAGGGCAGGAATTCCGCGAGACTAATGTAGCTTTTTGATTTGTTTTTGCTGTATGCTCCGTGCCATTCTTCAAGATTTGGAAAGCCCGCCAAAATGGTCTGAAAGTCTTGTGGGCTACGGCAAATGTTCCACTGGCCCTGTATGATGAGCGTATGAGGAGTAAACAGCTTTGGCAAGGATTTGGGACGATGAATGTCAGCCTCGTTATCAAAATATCGAATCCTGGGTGCTTTTCGGCGTTCTCCTCCTTCGATTGTGACGATGCTGACATTTGGAAGAGTGATGACAATGAACCTAAAGGCGGCTTCAAGAGAGCAATTTTCATCGTCAGCCGCTTTGCCTGCCTCTCGTTCTCCAAATATGGCCACCGCGGACATGCTCGATGTATCCCTTGCACCTTGAAAGACGGGAAACCATACTTCCACATGTTTAACGTACTTAGCGAGGCTGGGGCGTTCAACAAAGTGTTGTATGGCATTTTGTATTGATTTCACCGTAGCCTTCACTTTTATATGTCGATAAAGTCGCTGTTGCACGAGAACCCTCCATGTCCGGTTGACAAAGGCGAGGTCTGTAACCTCTTTTCGTCGTGCATTGCGTAACACGCTGCTCCAGCTTGGGTTTACACTAGGGGCCCAGAGGGAGCTAGCCATATGTGGCGGTATGTTTTTTCCAAAAATCTGATCCAAAATCGCCTCGTGTATTTCGGTTGGTACTGTCGAGAAGAGAGAATGGTCAGATTCCGACGGACTGGACGGCCGTAATGAGCCAGCCAGACCCAGAACCAGCTGCTGAGCATGGTTTGATGATTCTTCGCCATTGAAAGATTGTATATGAGACATCGTATCGACATGGTCTGCTTCTCCATCTGAAAATGTGTAAGGTGTGGATGATGGCCGCCGGGGTGGTGTAATTGCTTCCCCACGTGGCTCCAGGAAAGAGTGAGATCCAGATTCGAGTGCAGGTGTTGAGTCGGCCAGAGAAGCTTTTACGGACGAAGGGCTAAGCAGGGCATCTGCATCTGCCCTCGCAGAAAGGCCGTGTTCGCTCCGCCATCGTCGCCGGTCCTTGGGCGGGTTGATAGGCGGGCTCTCGGCTGTGTATGGTAGATGTTCAGCATTTCCCATGCTGCGGGGTGGCAAACGTAGGGTATGGGAAGATTTTATGGCTGAGGAAGATGACAGCTTGAGAAAGGGCCTATTCCCATAGAGCTATTCACAGTTCAGGGTCGTAGGGTGTATTTTGGAATTGAGCACGCGGCGGGCGGCCAGTATTGTAAAAGAGAGAGGAAACCAAGCGACTGAGACACAAGAGGAGCAGATCGGGGGTGAAGATAGATTATAGAATACCGCATGTCACGAGGCAAAGAATACAGAAAACACAAAGACGGGCCTTAAAGAACGAATTAAAAGCAAAGAGCGCGGATGAGGAGGCGGGCAGGGTTGATTGGAGAAGGCAGCATGGTCAGGTGCTGTCACAAGCTGGGGGTGCAGCGTGGACAGCGCTAGCTACCATGGTTCTAAAACGAGCAACGGCCACAGGCATTGGCGCGTGGGTTGCGCTGGGAGGTTGTACTGCACCTGCATGGCTGGCACTGGCTGCCCACTACTGTACCCGTCCGTACAGTACACGTACCTTCCAACAGTACAATACACTCAGCCATCGAGTTGGTGTGGGCCAATCTCCAAGCATGGCACCTGGCACAACAGCTGGCGCCAGATGGTGATAAGCATTGCCTGGCAATACAATTTATCACAGAGAAAAGCTTTTCCTTTTTGCCAGCTGGCAGCCTCAGTTTTGCATCATCTTGTGTTTTTCACTCTGTAGTCATGTTTCCTCCCCAAACGCCCGTTTTCTCAAGTGGCCACAGTAGTCGCGGTGCCTCGTCCCTCAGCCCCCTTCTAATCTCCTCCGGCGGGTGACTGTCAGGTGACGGGCTACATTTGTTACTTATTTTTGTATTTATTTATTTTTCTGCTGGCTACCCTTCCCGTGGTCAACGGGAATGACGAAAACTGTGGAGATAAAATGACGATGACAGAGAAAGCGAGAAACAACAGCAGCAAGGATTCACGACTGAACATCCTTGGATTCTCTGTCCCAGCCCTGCTCTTATACAGGGATGTCCTTGAAACAGGGCATGTTGGAAGGGAACCACAGCTGGGTTGACTTCAAGTAACAGTTCTACGCATTCACCAAACACAGCAAAGTGCAGTGACCCTTGGCAGTACTCGCTCAACACAGAAATGCCCCTCCATTCTCGAGCTCCAGCGCCATGGGAAAAGTTAAATCGGCGGCGTGACCTGGATGGAGCAGCCTACCGGGGCCAAGGAGAACTCGCTATGACAGCGTGCTTGGGGGCGGTTCAGGCGGATTTAGCGTCCGTTGTTGGATGGTGCGCGTGAGCTGCGTGGGAGCGGGGGAGGGGCCGCAATTTGCAACCGCACTGGGGTCTTCTGTGCAGGACGAACCGCAGCCGGTGTATCGTGCATTTGCTTTGCGACAGGGCAGGAAGGCAAACAAAAAAAAACAAGACCACGACGGACGCGAGAAGACAGACACAATGGTGCTATTGCTGTGATGCTTTACTATTACTATGTTGTATTGCTTGAATAGTTTACAACTATTTTTTCCAGAGGTCGTATCAACCAAAGACAGCCACAAGAAACAACCCTCGGCTCAACAAACTGCTCTCCTCAAGTATAGGTGTCGCGTGGCCTACCGATTTTCTCTACAGTGCACATTCTTTACACCAGAGGCGGGAACCCTTGCTCCTTATCCGCGGCCAATCAAACTTGGACAAGGGACCAATCCAATGCAAAACATGCAAAGTCACAATGCATGAGATCGGCAGGTCAAGTACCAGTTTGTTATTAAAATGTACATTGTCCTGTAGCAGCCGTACACCACTATGCAGCTATGGACGTGTTATTCTTGCCCAATTTGGATCCTCCAACCATCTCTAGCAGCAGTTGCGTGAGGTCGACGTCACCACCTTCTTGCGATGCAGCCGGGTTGGGCTGCTGTGCAGGCAAGGGCGGAGCAAGGTTCCTCGGCGCCAGAGCACCGGCCTTTTCCATGAGCTTCTGGAAGTCTGGTGCGGCAGACTTTAACTGCTCAACGGTTTCGGAGACTTCTGGGTCCGAGTACATGCTTCCATCAAGGCCCAATCTGATTAAGGCGGCGCCCAGGAGAATAGACGCGTAGTCGGCTCCATAGAACGACTGACGCAGCGTGTTCATGATTTGTACGCAATTTACAAATGCTCGTGCTGCCATATCTTTCTTTGTTTGGTCCTGAACACACATGGCCTCTAGTTGCGTGGTAGCGGCCGGTAGAACAAGAATCACCACGACGCCTGGCATAAACGAGCCTAGGTTGCTGAGATGTGCCTCACCAGCTATCTCGGAAATCATAGAAGCCGCATTCCGGACAAGCATCTTGGACGCCTCTTGTTTTGCCAGTATATCCTCTGGCGTATTTGGGGGGAGTATAATGGCAGACCACGGCCTGTGAAGCGCCAGCAGCGTCGCTTGGTGCATGAGATGAAGAACAACGCGGTGTATTGCCAGCGTTGGGGCAGTCGGTTCTGTTTCAGAAACCACCATGTGTCGGTATTGACACTCAGGTGGCAGCTCCTGGTACCAAACCTCGAGTTCCGCTGTAAGCTTGTCTAAAACGTCCAGATGCTGTGATGGGTTGTTTGGCGAGATGGTCATGGTGCTCTCATCTGTATTGTCGACGTTTTGTGGATTCCGCATCGTATTGGAGTATTGTGATTTTATAATTCGCCCGACATAGACGCACAACTTGGCTTTGGCAATGCAGTGGAGGGCCAACTCGCGCTGCATTTGCGTGTTTCGAATCACCTCACAGCTTGGTGGTATAATGGAGTTGGTCTCTGACAGAGCCTCAATCTCAAAGTCGTCCTCCACAAGCATGGGCATATCCGAATCTTCTTCCCAAATCTTTGCCGGCTTTCTCATACAGAGTGATATCAGGCGATCACGCATAAAGCAGGACCACCACACTCGCTTCCATAGCTTCCCTCTCACGGGATCCATGCCTTTTAAGGCCGGATCTCGTTGCAGATCAATGGTGTGGGCCGTATTCACTGTGACGCTGATCCAGTGCCAAAGATCTTTTTGGCCGTCTGTTGTGTCATGCCAATACGTCATGAGCAACAGGCTTTGGACCACTACAAAGCGATTAGGTTCACAATCAAAGTCGTATAGAAGCTGTGTTTGTAAACGTTAGCAATCGAACACCACCAATTGCAGGATATTGTTTGAGGGGGGGAAGCTTACTCTAACTTTGGTGAAGAATTGTTTTCGAATCTCCTTTCGCGATGCATAACCAGCTTCTCTTAATGCTTGCATAGGAACGAACCCAGTCGCCGCAAACATAACACACTGGTATAGCAGGAGGCTGGTCTTTCCCGCTGATCCATCTCTGTTGTCAATAATGTGAAGAAAGTCGTGCAAATCGATGCTCGGCATGTACGGGTAGATATATTCGATGTATGCTTGCATAAGGGCATTTTGTAATGCCACAGACGGTAGCGTCAGAGCGCCTCGTGAATGGAGATAGTTTATGTCGCTCTCGCTCTCTACAAGCTGCGGTGGGAGGGGATTTAAAAAGGAGGGGAGTTTGTGTTTGGTGGAAGTGCTGGGATTCATCGTCGTCAGTGCCGGCACGTACGTCCGTGGTATATCGTCCGGCCAGGCACCCTCGCTCGCGTCAATACGGGCTGCAGGTCCTATGAGAAGGGGTTAGTTGCCAACATCAAGGCCATTTACTCAAATTACTTGCTCTCATAATTGTTTTCAGGTGGTGCGGTCCTAGATAGTTGTTTAGTGGACAAATTCAGCAAAGCATGTGTCGTCGCATTTGGACTCACTTTGGTGGCGGTTTTCGACGTTCTCTTTCAACACACTAGAAGCAGTTATCCATCAGTAATGTACTAGAAGCAAGAGTGTAGCATCAAACTTACGGCAATCTTGTCTAGTCTACAGTTTGTACACGGCGACGACAACACAACGTCGCATCGCACCTTGCGCGAGTGGCAAGACTCGCAAGCTCTACTCGCACGCGGCTTCATGAGTTTCTGTGCTGGTCCCCCATCCACTGTACCTGGATATGGTCGTTTCTGGAACTGAGGTGGGGAGTTACGCTTCTGAACGTCCGCCATATGTGCATCAACAGGTTCCGTGGCCATGGCCACGGACTTGGATATCTCTGTAAGGATAAAAGAGCTTGTATTGCCTTGCAACACGGCCCTGGAGGAATTCGATATGCTCAACGTTCTGATATACCCTCCTGCGGAAGCGTCGGCGTCGAGGTGCTGCTAGTGGCTTGTTTCAAGTAGTGAGATGGTTTTGTGCGTCGGCAGGTTGACCGGCGGCAGTTGATGTCTGTGAACCGGGGAAAATGGCGGCTCCGATATGTCCGACGCATGCAGCTGTTGTACAAGGATGAGTGTTGGCTAGCAAATCGGTACAGCTGAGACGGCTCTTGGTGTTGACAAGACAGGAAACTTTGGCAAAAAGGGATGCGTTACGACAGCTGCCGCACATGTCGTTGCTTGGAACCCCGCAATTCCCACCGGCCTCCGTGTGAATGGGGCGGGCGCGGTGCCGTGACGGCCATTTGCGAGTCAGAACTACAGCAAGTTCGATATACGTAGCTTGATGGAATGGCCCCCAATTAGCCAGAAATAAATCCGATAAAAATGGAAATGGACTAAGACACATGGGTCGATACAGCATGCAATTTCTGTCTAAGTAATCGGCGATGACTGAGTCTATTCCGCGCACATCGTACGACGGGTAGATTAGAGCCAGTGCACTACGAGTCCACTAGAGCAGGTTTGCTGGGGGTGATGATCCGCAAGCGATCGCCTGGAAAAAGGCACAGCCATAGCGCTGTAAGACCGCTGAAACAGAAAAAAAAACATGTGAACGCCGCCATTATTGCACTGAGTGCCCCACCCAAAATTCCCTGTTCCGGACTTTTTTAACTCTCAAATCTTGCTTGTAATATCGCCAACAAGCTCGGCCGCGGCGCCGACAATGGCCATTTTACCCGTCTCCTTGACTTTGCACTGGAAAATGATCTTCTTTCCCTCGCGCCACATCTCTGTTACGATGGTCTGCCCGGGATCGACGGTTCCCGCAAAGCGGACCTTGACGTTCTTGTAAGCGCCATACTTGTCGTAGATGGCCTTGCCTGCCACGCCAAATGTGCAGAGGCCATGAAGGATGGGTTTCTTGAAGCCGCCCATCTTGGCGAAGGAGGGGTCGATGTGAAGAGGGCTGGTAGCAGTTCATGTATGGTTAGTTGGGTAGTTAACAAAAAGAAGAAAAAGGGAAGGAAAACATACTTATAATCGCCGCTAAGGCGGAAGATGGCGGCCTGGTGAATATCGGTAGCACTCTCTTGGACAAAGTCGGGTGCTCTGGCAGGCGGCTTGTTGGCAGCCGTGGCCGCTCCACGATCAGCAGGGACTCTGTTGCCGTCAAAGCCTCCAGATCCGCGCACAAAGGCCGTCATTTCGTTGTAAAAGATGTCCTCGCCAGTCTCGGCGTGTGTGACAGTCAGACCAGTCTTGACGACGGCAGCGTTGCCCTTGTCAACCACTTCGATGAGGCTCGACTTGCTAATGAGGTTGGCGGAGGTGGGAATGGGGTACTTGCGAATCTCGAGGTACTGCTCGCCGTGTAGAAGCATCATGGGGTTGAAGTTGGGGATGATGGAGTCGAAGCTGAAGGGCATGTCTGCGGTGTACCCGGGCAGGACGCCAAATGTAGGAATGACCTGGAACTCGTCGTCACCCTCGCTGCAGCTGAAGTCAGCTAACGTCTTTAAATCTTTTTTGATATGCTTGTTGCCAGTGCATGACTTACAAGACATATTTCAGTTCGTCTGATTTCGCACCAATGCCAATGTTGTAGAGCATGGTTTCGCGGTCCTCGTAGTTGAATTCTACGGGGGGTCCGAGTTTGCCTACAGCGGCCTCGATGGCCTGTAGATGTTCATTACTCTATCGTGTTGAGTTAGCACATGTGATGATGATAACCATGGGGACGGGTGCTGTTGTTCCTCCTCAGCCGTAGTGAACGCTTCTTACCGGCTTGGAAGACATGGTGCTGGGTCAATTGATTGTTGTATGAAGGTGTAGATGTAGAGGGATTCAATGTTGAAGAAATCAAAAGGGAAAAAAAAGAAAAAGGAGGGAATCAGAACTAATTATTCAACCCCGCCATTTGTACTTGAATCGCGGGGTGATTGAAATGTCACCAACGTCACCGAAACCACACGGGCACTCTTCGGTTGTGCTTGGTTAGCCCAAGGCAGCTCGGTACTGTAGAACGCCTGTAAAAGCCGACTCGGCGGTTTATTGGGCAAGGCTGAACAGCGCTGGAAAACCCCAACCCAAGGGGCTGTTACAGCGCACTCATGCCCCGCAGTGCGAAAAAAAAAGCCCCTGTGCCAGCATAAGCTCGGGCCCGCCTGCAGCAGCTGCCGGTATAGCCTGTATGTTGTGCTGCTGGCAGGAGTTCTTTGGTGGCGTACCCATTTGTGTGGGGGAAAGAAGATCGCCCCTCTTTCTTCAATAGGCTCACTCGGCTGTCTGTCCCCAGTTTGTACCGTCCCGTCTCTGGACTGTCTCCCCCCCCCCCCGTCACCCAGCTTCACGACCTTAGTGCTTCCTATTTTCCACAGCATTGACCCGTTTTATATCAAAGAAAAAAATCTACTAAATTTGGCACATCTAGTGTGCAGCTTCTTCTCTCTATTGTAACCACCGCACACAAACTTCATCTCGTTGGGCAAGCTCGAGAACCACAATGCCGCGTATGTCCGCATTCCGTACTATCCGTTCACCACGAGTAATGCAAAACTAACTGCTCTGTAAATCACAGTTCCAATCGCCCTCGCAGCTCCCCTAGTTATCGGCGGACTGGCATATGCCCATGCCAAATCGTCCTTTCCAAATGACTATCTTCTAGCCAAATGCCAGTTCCTCGTCGGCCGAGCCCTCCAGGACAGACTCACCAAGGATCGTCTCAACTTCTACTACGTGCTAGAAGAGCATGCCCTCGACCCGGTTCAATGCGACAAGCCCCTATTGCTCTTTGAGGGCAAGACGTACACATACCGCGAGTTTTACGACGTGGTGCTGCGCTACGGACACTGGTTGATCACCAAGTACGACATCAAGCCCAAGCAAGTTGTGGCGATCAACTATGAAAACTGCGACACCTTTGTTATCTTTTGGTTCGCGCTCTGGAGCATCGGCGCCAGGCCGGCCTTTATCAATTACAACCTCAAGAGCAAGCCTCTCAGCCACTCCATCAATGCATCTACCGCAAGGCTCTGCTTCGTCGACGCCTCGCTAGCCCCCAACGTCGAGGCTGTAAAGGGAGCCTTGGCTGGCGTCAAGGTGGTCGTTACTACACCCGATGTTCTGGCAGAAGCTCTTTCATTTTCGCCTGTCCGCATGTCCAATGACTTGCGAACGTGTGACGACATGGCAGAAATGGCTACGCTCATCTTTACATCTGGCACTACGGGTCTACCCAAGCCTGCTGTGGTCTCTTGGAGGAAGACGATTGCAGTCAGTTTCGTAGCCTCGCTACTTGCTGACCGCGGCCTAGAAGGCGACATTATGTATTCTGTAAGTTGGTTCTCTTTTTCCCCAATAGACCCACGTACGTGTCTAACTAGTACCATATAGTCCATGCCCCTCTATCACAGCATGGGTAGCCTGTGCGGCTTCATCGCCTCCGTCAAAAGCGGCAGTGGCTTCGCCCTAGGACGCAAGTTTGCAACCAAGACCTTTTGGGACGACGTACGCGAGGTTAAGGCTACTCGACTGCTATACATTGGCGAAGCGCTCCGATACCTACTTGCCGCGCCACCCCAATACGATCCAGCTACTGGCGAATGCCTAGATAAGAAACACAAGGTCACGGCCATGTTTGGCTCTGGGCTGCGACCCGACGTGTGGTCCAAGTTTAAGGAAAGATTTGGCATTGACCAAGTAACGGAAATGTATGGCGCCACTGAGGGAGTCTTTGCCACGTTTAATCGCAGTCGCAACCGTTTCTCAGACGGCGCCATTGGCCGTGGTGGCTGGCTGCTGGGCCTCTTATACAGGCAGCAATCAGCCGTTGTAGCGGTAAACTGGGAGAAGCAAGGCCCGTGGCGCGATCCTACGACTGGCTTGTGCCGAAAAGTCAAGACGGGCGAACGAGGAGAGCTTCTGGCTAGAGTTGAGCCTGCCGATATCAACAGCACATTCCAGGGCTACTTTAACAACAACAAGGCAACCAGCTCCAAGGTCCTACGCAACGTGCTCAAGGAAGGTGACGCCTTTTTCAGCACGGGCGATGTCGTCTGGTGGGACGAGCATGGCATGCTTCACTTTAGTGACCGTCTCGGCGACACGTTCCGCTGGAAGGGCGAAAACGTGTCGACGGCCGAGGTCAGCCACGTCATGGGTCTACATCCCACAGTGCAGGAGGCCAATGTCTACGGTGTGCAACTCCCCCATCATGACGGCCGGGCTGGCTGTGTAGCCGTCACTTTCGCAACGCCTGAGCCCGAGGCAGGAGATCTGCGTAGACTCGCTGCTCACCTGCGGGAGTCGCTGCCCAAGTACGCCGTGCCACAGTTCCTCCGAGTAGTCAAGGAGCTTGGTGGTGGCGCGCAGAAGACGGGAACCAACAAGCAGCAGAAACAGCAGCTGCGTGAAGATGGTGTGAAGCCTCCATCTGACAGCTCCGGGGACCAGATCTACTGGCTCCAGGGCGATACGTACATTGCCTTTGACGATGCCGCGTGGAACAGGATGCAAGCCGGCAATGTCAAGCTGTAGAGTCGTCGATCACGGACTGGTGGTAGCGTGACGAGTCACTGTAGATAGGTTGTATCATAGCGTGTGATGACTTTTATCCGATAGTCAATATTACTTTCTCTCTTTTTTTCCCATTGTGATTTCTTTACAATGTTGTCGCTGTCGGCGGCGCTTGGGTGTTAGTGGCGCTCGGGGCGTGCTATCGGCCGCCGCTCAACTATAAGGGATGAAATTTGGGGGTGCAGGTTGTAAACAATGCGGAGAAGGGAAGAAAACACTCCAGAAACTTGAGAAACTGCCGCCTTCAAACAATTCCTTGGCATCAATATCACTAGGAATATAGTCAAAGAGGCACATAAGAGCGAGGGGGGCGGGCCACGGTGCACTTGGCCAAGAGGGAGCCTTGTTGCAAGTCTGTGTCGACAGCGTCTCAGAGTTTCGCTTGGCGTGCCGGGTAAGCTGGCATGACGCCGATGCTGCGGGTTTGCTTGTTTGCATGCGTGCTTATTAAATGTTCGAAAAAAAAAAATGCTTTTGGATATTTATGCATTAGCTGATGAACTGATTGTTTCCTTGAATTTTGTCGCATGACGCGTTCGTAAGGACCATCCTATTGCCGGTGATCAGCAGACAGCCAATGTGCACTGTAACCACATTTTGAGTCTGGAAGAATATGCTTAACTGGTGTTCGTGCATAAGTCCGCTCTCTCTTCTTGAACTCAGCAAGGATTATCCAAGGCAGTGAACCCGAACTGGAACTGTAATGCCATTCATCTTGTCTCGGGGTCGGTGAGACGCCGCGAGTTGCTTGCCCTAGGCTGTTGCTGGGCAATGGCGTTCTCGTTACTGTGTCCGTCTGAAGAGTGTAGCAGCGGCGCGTATGTATACTGCTGCTTCTGCTTCCAGTCCTGTGGCAAGTATTCTGTCAGAAGTCCAATTGTCCGTGCGTAGGGGAAGGATGGCCGATGTATGGACGATTAGCCTTCTGCACAGACAAAACGCCGAGTCTGGTGCCACGCGGGTTTCCAGTAGCGCTGGTCAAACGCCGTATCAAACTAGCACCGAACAAGTATTACATTGTAATTTTTTATCGTCGTCCTTTTTTCTTTTACCGCCGCATTTCTTGTGTTGATAGGCCGGCGGGGGCGATGCAAATGAGTGCGTTTCAAGGCGGACGCTGGCGGCCAATCGTTTGCCGCCCGCTGGTGCTTGCATTGGCCGCTGTACTGCTTGGAGGGGCCCACGACGGACAAGAGACGATATGCATGCACAGGGCGGCTAATCTATTTCCAGCCATGATTTTTTTGTTGATTGGATGAGTTAAAATCTTGGTTTTATTTTTGTGCGTGCGCTATTTTTAAAAAGCAATTTCCGGGATTAAGCAGGCAGTGCTGGGCATCGCCATGGCATACGCATGAACATGGGATTGGCTTACACGCAACGCACACGCAAACAAAGCATATCCAAGGCATTTTTGTATACGAGTAACGTCCCACGTCATATTGAACCACGGGATTTGCGCATCTTGGTTCTGTTTTACCCGCTGACGTTGTAAACAATAGCCATCACATCCGCCACCGCCATGATGATTTTCTCAACGAGAGTCGGCTCTGGTTTGGCTTGGCAGTTTTGAGGTAGGATGATGGTCAGTTCCCGGGTGGGAGTAACAACACAATATAACACCGTGTGTATCATATCCGCGATGTGGTCGCTGCTCTAGCCGGCCCAGTTGTTGTCTCTATGCACACTTTGGGGGTTCTAGTCTGGTTCCATCCATCTGTTCCGTGTTGGCTTATGCAGGGGCAGCGTTACGCATAGTAACTTACATACAGTGTAAGTTGCACTTTACCGCTATAGAACCAACCAGCTAACTGTGATGCTGGCTCACTTCTCACCCAACTCTTCCACTAGAGCATAATTTTTATTCATTCAAATCAATAAAAAAAATAACTCACCGGTATATTACAAAGCATTATCAACATTTTCCTTCTAATCTTACGATATCCATCTTTTTCCCAATTCACAGTGTTATTGCCCCAAAGCTAGCTTAACTCCTCACACCCAATCATCCCCAGAGGCTCCACCACTAAAACACCCTCTGAAACGCTTCCCTCTCCACCAACACCGGCGCCCACAACGCGGCGCTGGAAAAGGAGCAGCGTTTGAGGTTAAAACGCCAGAAAAGAAAAACAATCCCTAAATCAACCAATAATACGCCAAAGAAGTGCCCAGCAGCCCCAAACAGGAACTTGGGCCAGCCCCGTCCTTGCCGCCGCCACTCTACTCTAAACGCCTTGCTGTTACCGCTGCTGGTGCACCATCTGCCCACCGAACACCCACTGTGTGGCATCTTTAGCTTCTGATTCCACTGCGCTACGCCCCTGTAACTTGGAATCTTTCCCTGCCTGTAGCACCCGTAGCCAGGCGCCCGTCGAAAGATGTTGGGTGCCGATCATTCATGCCCGTCTGCCCACCCACGCTTCATTTTTATTTCTTATTTTATTTTATTTCTTTCAATTAATTGCTCTTTCTTTCTTTTTTTGCTTGCCCGTTCTGCCGGAACGTTTCTTACCCTGCCGCTCCGTGTTATTTCACTGCCATACTTCTGACACTTCTCCCCCTCTCATCCTCTCATCCTCTTACACCTCCACATCTCCTCCTCCTCCAACAACGTCACTCGTTTCCTTGTCCTCCCTCGGTTTCTTTCCTTTTGGCCTCCTCGTCTTGGCTTTTCTCTTCTCATATATCTACTGTTTCGTCCCTTGCTTTTTGAATTTTGCTTCCCAATCCGCCTCATTCCGATATACAACGGATTGAGCCTGTGGCATACTTCTTCATTCTCTTCCTTCTCTTTACTACCACTTCCAAACTAGCAGAACATCAGCGTTGATCGCCTTGTTCTACTATTGCTTTCTTCTTCTTTATACACTCTTTCTTACAAACAGCATTATCCGAAGCCGAGCTTCCACCTTCTTTTTGGCATTCATCCATCTTTGCTTTTGCTTATACGACCAAGACTACGATACGATTTGACACGACAACCACAGACAAACTATACCAACTCACATTATAAAAAACAACAATTCAAAATGAAATCATTCATTGCGTCTGTCGCCCTGGTCCTTGGCCTGGCGTCTGCTAGTCCTGTTGTCATCAACTCTAGCATCACCCCCGCCAACAAGGGCATGGACCTGCCCATCATCAACGCCAATGCAACTGGCATCATCCCCAACCGCTACATCGTCGTCTACAATGGCACCTTCAACCACTCCGAGATCGATGCCAAGGAGGCCTTATTCGCAGCTTCCATCCAAAAGCGCAACCTCAATAAGCGAGGCCTTGCCGGCCTCCCCCTCTCCACCTCCATGAAGTCCTTCAAGCTCAACGACTGGAGAGCTTCCGCCCTCGACGCCGACGATGACCTTATCCGCGAAATCTTCAACCACGACGAAGTTGCCTACATTGAGGCTGATACCAAGGTTAGCATCAACGCTGCTGTTGGTCAGGTCAACGCCCCTCCCGGCCTCAAGCGTCTTTCTTCCACCAAGCCCGGTGCCAATAGCTACATCTTTGACGACTCTGCCGGCAAGGGTATCACAGCTTACGTCGTCGATACCGGTGTCCGCGTTACACACGAGGACTTTGAAGGCCGTGCTGTCTTTGGCGCCAACTTTGTTAACAAGATTGTAAGTCTTCCCAAGTCTATCTGATCGTACCTAAACACCTTCCTCTAACACACTGTCTCAATAGGATACGGATGAAAACGGTCATGGCAGCCACGTTGCTGGCACCATTGGAGGTGCCAAGTTTGGTGTCGCCAAAAAGGTCAACATTGTTGCTGTCAAGGTTCTTGGTGCCGATGGTGGTGGCCAAAACTCCAACGTTCTCGACGGCATGCAGTTTGTCATCAACGACGTCCAGAAGCGCGGCATTAAGGGCAAGGCCGTTATGAACATGTCTCTTGGTGGTGCCTTTTCCAAGGCCGTTAACAAGGCTATCGAGAACCTCAACCAAGCTGGTGTTGTCCCTGTTGTTGCTGCCGGTAACGAAAACGTAAGTTAATTCTCTCAACATCGTTGACGTTCTATAATACTAACCATGGCTTCCTTTACAGCAAGATACTGCCAACACCTCACCTGGATCAGCACCCAACGCCATTACTGTCGGTGCTATTGACGCCACCAACGATAACCGCGCTTCCTTCTCCAACTTTGGCAAGTCGGTTGACATCTACGCCCCTGGTGTCAAGGTCCTCAGTGTTGGCATCAAGTCCGACACCGACACCAAGGTCCTCAGCGGCACCAGCATGGCCAGCCCCCATGTTGCTGGTCTTGCTGCCTACTTGATGGCTCTCGATGGCCTCACTTCGGCTACCGACGTCGACAAGGCCATCAAGGCTGCTGCTCAGAAGACTGGTGCCAAGGTCATCAACAATGCTCAGGGAACCACCAGCCTCATCGCCAACAACGAGACTCCTTAGGTTTCAACGCCGACGATATAGAGCCTATCCACGGGCACATTGTGCAAGCTGTATATACATTACTTTCACGGGGATCGGACGTGGTAGGACACCAAGGGTAGAACAAGAATTTCATTTCAGACTTATATAGATCTTCTATTCTTCATCTTCAAGAAAAACGCCTTTTGGCATTTTCATTTACACTAGGAGTTCACTCATGGGACATATTAAACGGTTACTAAAAAGATTCATAACCAAGAAATGTATGCTTTCCCGCGCTGCAAAATCAGAGTTTCAGGTTCTGATCCAGCAACACTGCTCAGACTCTAACGATTAGACGTAAGCAATTGATATAAGCACTTCTTCGGCACAACCACAGTCATGAAAGGACTAGATTGCAATTTGACATCCGTGCTAAGAGAAGAGAAAACATTCAAAACCACGGCAGAACGCGATCAAAGGGTGAAAAAGGGGGTAGTCATTATCAGTAATAAAAGATGGTAGTAATGCGCAGCGGGTGCGATCCTGACGCACTGTCGCCTGCTCAGACGCTGAAATACATGTCGGCTGTTGATCGAGAAAAAGATTAAATATGATACGTGTCAAACCAATATAACGCGAAAAATAAAAGGGTGGGAATCGTAATGGTGATTACAGCTCGTCGTGGCCGCCAATGAGCTTCTTGAAGCCGGTGATTCGGAGGATGTCGGCGTAGGTGCCGCTGAAGTCGGCGCCAAAGGCCCAAGCGAGACCAACCTGTAACATCATGTTAGGAAACGAATTGGCTTTTGATAATGAACAACACATACCATGAGCGCGGTCAATGCGGTCAGCGAGATTGCCACAATGAAGAACATGACAGCACCCTCTCCAGGGTCCGTCGGCGACTGCTCCGACTGCTTCTTGTTGTTGATCTCGGTGAGCTTGGTGGGGTCCTGGCGGGGGTATAATGTCTCAATAAATTGCTCAATCTAAGAAGTACAAGTTAATAAGCCTGTTCAACTGGATCTGTTGTATCAGTTTATACCTTGGCGCATCGTCCGCTGATGGCGAGGAAGTTGGGGTCGCGCGGGTCGTTCTTCTTGTGAATGCGACGGACATACTTGCGGAAGACCTCGCAGACAAGGAACAAGTTTTGTGTCGACTGCATCATGATCTCGCAGGCATCGCCCTTTGTGATCTTGACGTTCTTCTTGAGCACATCGGGGTTGCGGAATGTCAATTCCAGCGTAGCGATGGCCATGGTTTGGGGAATGGCAACAAAGTTGAAGCAGCTTTGGTCGCGCATACCAGCCATGTAGAAGATGCACTCTTCAACATGCTTGAGAGCATCCAAAACCATGTGGGAGATACAGTTGAGAGCCTTGTCCTGCTTGCTGGGTTCAAACAGATCCTCCCACTTGTCGACGTGCTGGCTCCAAATCTCCTTGGGGTACCAGCGACGGCCGTCCTCCCAATCCTCATGAATATCACGGATGATGTTGGTCTTTTGCAGGAACTGGCCCATGGACTCGGTCAATGAGGGACGCTCAGCCAGCTTAGGATTGGCAAGCTCTGATGCAACAAAGAGACGGGTAAGACCCTCGCCGACAAGGCCAGCGACGTAGTGGCAGTAGAGCTCGTACTCCTCGATGGTCTGAATACCGTTCTCAATCATCTCCATGTTGGAAACGTAGTCAGCCATGCCATTGCCCATGCGAATGGTCATGTCCTTGATAATCTCGTAATATTGCGGCTTGAGCTTCTTAAGCTCGGTGATAACGACGTCGAAGCTTTCGAGGAGAGCACGGTCCTTTTCCTTGCTCTCGTGGAACTGCCAGCCGTCAATCTCCATGGAGTTGTGGAATTCTCGCAGCAGCGGGGTCTTCTTCTCAAGTGGAATCGTCATGTCATCTTCAATTGTATCGAGACCGCGCAGGACGAGGTAGAAGAGTGTGATAGGGACGAGGAGTTCGTGGTTAAGCTCTTGGATGACGGTAGCAAAACTGCGGCTAGTCAAGTTGAGGAAGCGGAAGCACTCCTTAAGCTCGGGGGACTCGCTCTTCAAGTCACGCTTGTGAACCGGATCGTGCCAGACTTTCCTGTTCGCCCGAGTGTTAGCAAGGCTGAGAGCATTGTGGTGCTTTAGAGGATGATACGTACCATTGGATCACAGCGCGAAGCTGGTTAGGGTGTAGGAGGAGGGACAAGATACCCATTGTGAATTGCAAGCCGGGACAGCCGTGTAGAGCGGAAACGGGAGAGGAGGAGGAGAGAGGAGAGGGTCTGAAGATGATGAGGATGATGGGAGGAAGAGGAGGAAAGGCGGGAGGGGGGATGAGGAGAAGGAGGAGAAAAAAAATCTAGGGGCAGAGCTGTGGTTGGCGGTGCAGATAAAATTGACGACTCCAGAAGTGGGCTCCAGTTTTCGGGGCTGCTTTTGGCGGTGCCTGGCGGCTTTTTCGTAGTCGCGTTCCCCAGTAAAAGCCAGAGCGGCCACCACTGGCGGGCTTGCTGTTAATCGAATACGGGTCCGATGGGGGGTGGACGGGTTGGGAGGGAGCTGTGCTTGGGCGGGCCGCGCAAAAGATACGCCGTAGAGAAGACGGTAATGCTTTGAAATACAGTAAAGATGATTCCGCGCATGAGTTATTTACAACATGTTAGTCCTATTGCCGCAAATGGATTCCCTGGAGGCTCATCCGCCGCGCCCATTTACATCGCGGGGGTCCGAATACGACTGCAATCTCGGCGCTTGGCCGGGCCGGTGCATGCCGGTGCGCCTGTAATCGGCAGTGTAGGCGAAGAGGTAGCGGCTCTAGCGGCGGTGTTTACAGCGGTGCAACGAACTGTTTCAGCGCCTCCCAGGCCACGCCTTTCCCTAAGCCAAGATGACAACACGCTGTGGCGCGGGGACCAGAGTGAGGTATGGCGTATACACTGGCGTGTTATGGCTGTGCCAGGTAGGAAAGATGTAGGGCGCCGCACCTACATAAGAGATGAGATGAGATGAGATGCTGATGGTGTTGTAAGATACACATTCTTAATCAAATTTACTCTTTATATATTTAATAATATCTCAATATAAAATCAGTCGTCCGTAAGTCATCATCCCTTACGATGGCGAGCGTCCTGTATTCACCTGGGGTGAGGCTCTCAGCTAGTAGCGCAGTACCTAAGAGAATAAAAATAAAATAAAATACTTCAACGATATATCCTCTCATATTCGACTCTTCCCATATTCCCACTAACAAAATCACTACTTGTCCGTTTCCCAGCTTGACACGTGAAGACGCATCATACTCACAAAAAAAACATAGGCGCCACATAATCACGGGTCAGCACAGCCCACCATTACGTAGGGGCGGTCGGCAAGGCAAAATTTCTGGGCCTAATCTCTAGGCGGCCTTTTCGAACCCTCTCTCACCACATCATCCGCGCGGGCAGCAGCCTACAACTCTTCTATTTGCTTTACCAACAACCAACAGCCCGTGTATTTCTGCTGCCGCTTTCTCACACATTACATCAACCGCCAAAATGGTTGTCGATACTGCCTATTACGACACACTCGGTGTCCAGCCCACCGCCACGGAGCTCGAGATTAAGAAAGCATACCGCAAGCTTGCCATCATCCACCACCCGGGTATGTTAACATCACTGGCCCATGAATCCGTCCCTGAGAACATATCCTATTGGAAGTCGCGTACTAACCGCCCCTTTGCGCAGACAAGAACCCCAACGACCCGACCGCCCACGAAAAGTTCCAGGCTATCGGCGAAGCTTACCAAGTCCTATCCGACACCGATTTGCGCAAAGCCTACGACAAGTTTGGCAAAGACCATGCTAAACCTCAGGAGGGCTTTGCCGACCCGGCCGAATTCTTCACATCCATCTTTGGTGGCGATGCCTTTGTCGACTGGATTGGTGAGATCTCACTTATGAAGGATCTGACCGCCACTATGGATATCACCATGAACGAGGAGATGGAGCAGGCCGAGGCCGAGGCTGCCGCCGCTGCTGCTGCTTCCTCTGAAGCCCAGGAGGGCGCAAAGGATGGAGAGTTCCCCGGCACTGAGGAGGCCCTCAAGGCCAGCATGCAGGATCAGGAGAAGCCTGCTGCTGCTGCCGCCGCTGCCCCTCCTCCCACCGTCGTCGTTGAAGAGGACAAGACCACCACCGCCGCGTCTCCCTCTCTCCCCCCACGAAGTGATGCCAAGTCGCCCGCCCCTTCGACCGGCTCGTTTAGCCGCACCCAGATTCCCCTCCGTCCTGCGCTCATGGACAAAGCCCACGCCGAATCCGAGACCGACCTGTCCGAGGAGGCCCTCAAGGCCAAGGAAAAGAAGAAGGCTGGCCTCACTAAGGAGCAGCGCGAGCAGCTCGCTGCCTTTGAGCAAGAGAGAGCCCGTGTCCGCAAAGAACGTGTCGACACATTGTCCCAGAAGCTGCTTGACCGCCTCAGCGTATGGACCGAGACTGATAAGGGAGCTGACGTCACCAAGGCTTTCCAGGACAAGATGCACCTCGAGGTTGAGAACCTCAAGATGGAGTCCTTTGGTATTGATATCCTCCACGCCATTGGCCAAACATATGTCTCCAAGGGCTCCAACCTGCTCCGCAGCCAAAAGTTCCTTGGTATCGGCGGCTTCTTCAGCCGTCTCCGCGACAAGGGAACCTTGGTCAAGGATACCTGGAACACCATCAGCAGTGCCATTGACGCCCAGCAGACCATGGAGGACATGGCCAAGATGGAAGAGAAGGGTGGCGAGGACTGGACTGAGGAGCGCCGCGTCGAGTACGAGCGCCGTGTCACGGGCAAGATCCTGACTGCCGCCTGGCGTGGCAGCAAGTTTGAGATCCAGAGCGTCTTGCGCGAGGTCTGCGACAATGTCCTGAACGACAAGAAGGTGCCGCTTGCCAAGAGACTGGAACGTGCGCAGGCGCTCGTCCTCATCGGTGACATCTTCAACCGCTCCGCCCGCACTGCCGAGGAGGAGGGCGACTACCTCGTCTTTGAGCAGCTTGTTGCTGAAGCCGCCATGAAGAAGGAAAAGGAGGATCCCAAGAAGGCCAAGAAGGACAAGCACACTGCGGAAGCCGAGCAGGTGGCCGCCGATGCACCCAACGTTCCCAAGCCATCGGCATAAAAGAACACACAAACTCCCCCGAAAAAAAAGCACGCCTCGCTCTTCCTTGCTCTCCCATTCGACTCTCTTCACCACTCCTTAATTAGTCTCGCCTCTTCTTCCTCCTCCGTACTCCTTGACACCCTTCTTTCTTCCCTGTACAGAGCGGGCTGCAAGCATAATCAGGTGTTTGTTTATACAGTCGACCTTTGGTCGATCACGACTAGATGATTAGATCAGCAAAGCGGATATCTCTTTGAGCCACGCCCTTGGTCGCTTCACACGTTATGAAGCAGACAGCAGCAGCAGTAGCCGTAATATTTTGTGCCCTTTTCTGTCCCATTTACATACTAATTTGGACAATGAAAAAGGCTGGATTCACAGTTTGACATTTGTTAGATAGATTAAAAAAACACTCCCATCCACCTTTTGCTACCACATATACAACTCTTCAGTCTGTGACTTGTCCTCATAGTCTCAAAGTCTCTTTAAAGTATACATCACATGTACGTCAGCAATTCAAATATGCAAAAAAGGTGTTTGTAGATTGTTTCTTTCTGTATCTATTGTCTTCTTTTGACAGCTACCTCCGACGTTGCTGTAGTTTCTCGTCATCATGGCCTCCAGCAAAAGAGCGGTCGAATGAAAGAATAAAGTGTAAAAAAAGAATGATCTCCTATATAAACCATGCCGTCCCCAAGGGTATCTGTTAATATTACATGTGTATAGCGAAATAAGGCCAAGCAAGGATGGTGGGCAGATGAAAGCAAACGACGCAGAGCCGTCGAGGCAAAGGGGTGTAAATGGGTGGCAACAAATGAAAAACACAATGAAAGGCTCGTAATGTCAAAAATAAGGATGCGGTAGAGCAGTTGCGCTCTGGTAATGCGGTGCTGGTGCTTGCGAATGGAAACAATCATCGCTGATGACTGCAGGTAGACGTGAGAGTGGTGTTGGTGGCCATCGTCCGGCGTCCTGGCCGTGACGTGCCGGTTTCTGCTTTCGATATATGGCTGGGCAAACTACTGGGATCCTTCGCCAGCTTGTAACTCTATGCCGCTGTCGCGGTCTTGTGCTCCCTTCATCCACGATGGCTCAAGGCTCTGTTCTGAAGTTGGGGGTGGTGTCGTTTCGTTTGCATGTGAGGCGTCTTCTTCTTCATCCAGCGGTGTGAGAATGCGGCCGCCGAATTTGATATCTGATACGTTGACCTTGTAGGCGAGAGCCTTTTGGCCTTCCTTGATTAGCAGGTCAGTCCAGTTGAGGCAGCGTTTAATGCTTTGGTTCATCTTTTGGCTGTCAACAAGGATTTCTTGGTGCTTTGTGAGATCAAGCTGCAAACGACGTTCGTCACGCTTCCGTCTGAGCGCGGCTGGCGATTCAACCAAGCCCGACGGCGAGTCGGGAGGCGAATTGAATGAATCATCCATAGAGTCATCATCTTCCTCCTCGTCGGTTTCTTCATGCTCACTGAGATCGGATAGGTTGATAGCGGGGTCTGTCAACGCGGCAGAGACGTTTCGACTGTTAGGTATCGAATTGAGCGATAGCCTGCCTGACCTAGACAGACGACGGAAGCGTCGTAGTTCCGAGGTTTGTTTTCGGAGCTGCCTTTCCAGAGTTCGGTTGATGGCTTCCAGTGACGCATTGGTGATTTCCAAGTCTTGGACCTTGCGTTCACGTCTAGCATTGACAACCAAGTCCTGAATGGCAGCATCTGAAAAGGTCGACTTTGTCGGGCTTTGCACGCCCGATGGTTCGCTCTCCTTTTCTTCCAGAGCTTCTGCTGCTCGCAGAATCGAAGCCATGGTCAACGATGCTTGGGATGGATCCGGGCTCAGTGGCGGTGAGATTTGCTCCGAGGGGTTTGGAGACAAGGTAAGCTTCGGCAGGGGCGGTCGTTCCGTTAATTGTGGTTCTGTTTGATGCCGCAGCAAGGGCGGTGCGGTTTCGATACTGATTCTCCGTTTCCCCTTGCCCACTCCGAGGTCAGAGGCGGCAACGCCAGGCGGCGATGTAGCTTGAACTCTGTTAGGTGAAACAGGCGACATGGCAGTTCTGAAGCCTTGGCCAGGTGATCCAAGCTGCTTGATTGGTGAAGTTGGTCGAGGAAACAGTCCGGGGCCAGTAGTGACGGAATAGGCGCTTGTTGGTCGGCTTGTTGGGGCGGGTCGTGAGGTAGTTGAAAGGGTAGAGGCGGAAGAAGATATAGGCGTTGGTTGTTTGACAGGGCCATCTGGCTGTCCGTTGGCATAAAAGAACTTGGATGCTGAGCTGTCCGCCGTCAAAGGCGGCATGTTTCCGATCTGTGTGTTTGAGGGGGGACTTGTTCGTCTAGTGGGTTCGACTGTTCCGTTGGCGTAAAAGAACGTTGCTGGTTTTTGGGACGATGTCGGGCGTTGCTGTGAGGGTTGAGACTGCTGCTGGACATTCTTTGCATCGCTTGCATAAAAGAACTTGGAGTCAGCAGAGTCTGTAGACGAGTCTGCCAGCATGCTCGTCGGGCGTGATGCCGCGTCCGATGGAGCGACAGTCAGGCCAAGACCAAGCCTGCTGCCACTACTGCTGTCCCATCCATCACTTGTTCTATCGTTGGCAGCAGTTGGTGCTGGAGTCGGTGTTCCATGGAAGGTTTCGGCTCGGATTTGTCGGCTCCCTGAGCGAGGGGTGATGTTGGAAGCGAGGTATGGTGCGGGGGAGTTATTGTTGTTTGGGGTATTGTTATCGTCTCTGTTGGCGCCGGCCAGCATAGGAAGAGGGCCCTGTGGCTTTCTGTTCATGGGCGAGCCGACAGGAGAGCCCTTTGCAGCAACCTTTGGTGTGAGCGGGTTGCGGTTGATGGCTCGTGATGCGGCCACGCCTGGAGGCGGCGGGCGGCCTCGTTCAGCGACGGGCATGGCGGTTGCAAGGTATAAGCGCTCGGGTGATGATGAGCGCGTGTCGAGGTTAGCGAGCAGTCATTTTGGCTGCGATCCGTGGCGAGTTCGCAGCGAGAATTGGGCAGAACGCGAGGGGCGGTGACGCTGGTTGCAACGGGAGACGCCAGAAAGCGACGATGGCGTGAAACGTGTTTTTGGTGGTGCCCAGCGTCGCAGATTATGTCAGGAGGAGCCGAGACCAAGAATGGAGGCTGCTTGTTGACGCAGTGTTCTATAGTGATGCTGTATGTGTGGTTAAGGCCAAAAAGGATGATAAAAACAAGCAAAAGTCAAAATGTAAAATAAATAGAAACACAATCAAAGGCAGCGCCCAGGAGTTGGGATGGATGTACATCTGCAAAATGCGGGACATTAGGGGCAATGGCTCTAACTTTAGCGGGCTCCACAGCGCTGTACAGGCATGCTGGGGTCGGGGAATAGGCGCGCAGGGATGGGGTATAAGACTTGCAACAGTGTTTATTTTTGTGCAGTGCGGCGGTATCAAGTGCATGCATAATAAATCCGCGGTGATGTAGAGAATCGGAAATATAATGGCCTTCTTTTTTCCAATATTTTTTTACAATATACTGCTGTTCAATGATGAGAATCAAATCGCGCTGCCAACTGATGCTGCTGCTTTCATTGTTTACTTTTTTGCTCTGGCGTCTTGTTTACTTTCCACCTCTCCGCCTTTGCTCTGCTGTTCTGTGCTGTAACACGCTAAAACACGCCCCCTAAATTCGCCTGCTGCCGCTGTTGCTAGCGTCCTCCTCCACCAAAACACACCCAGCAACAGGGACGCTTCCCTCTCTCCACAGCCGTGGCGTCCCCGCCAACCACTCTGCGCCTTGTGGTTGCGGTGCCTGGCATCTATGTTCGTTGTGGTGGGGCGCTGCAGCAAACCCCAAGAAAAAGCAGCTGACAAACGTAGCCTTTCCGCCAGCATCTGACATACACAAGGCAGCCCGAGCAGCGCCATCCTTCTGCTGCGTCTGCTGCATACGCTAGCCCTGCCTCTATAAGCAGCAAAGATGGCTCTTATAGGCATCTCTCTACTCGTTGCCTCAGTTGTCTACGTCGTCATCCGCCCTCCCACATGGCTTCCTCGACGCCTCTCGACGTGGTTCTCCAGACTCATCGCCGGCAGCGCTGATCGATCTGCATCGAGTAGCAGAGATTCAAACATCCCAACAATAGCAGAACCATCTGCGCACGATGACGATGGTGTCCCAGCTGTTGCGCCGTCGACGCCGCCAGCTAAACCGAGCCAGCAGATGGCAACGCCAGCCGTCCCCGATATCGAACTCATGCCTCCTCCCCCTCGACCATCACCGATACAACCGCCCACTCCTACAATAGAAGAATCTGAATCACCTACAACACCAAAGGCATTAAAGGCCCCCGCATCCGCCATGCCTCCTCCTAGCTTCACAATATCGTCGGATAAGCCATCGGCTTCCATGCTCCCGCCTCCCCGGCCACACCCACAACCACCTGCGTCTGCATCTTCGTCGATGATGCCTCCTCCTCCTCCGAAGCCTCCTACGCTTGCACAGTTCCCAGCTGTCAACTCAGCGCAGCGTGCTCGTGGTCCAGCTCCAAACCGCGGTCCATCGGGTGGTCTTGTGCCTGCGGGCCTCGCACCACCACCGACACACTCTTCCAAGCCGAACAAGCCGAGCCGACAAGTTACACTGGATCCGGGACACTCGCCGCTAGACTGGGCACGCATCTCCGGTCCCAATGCCGACCTCCGCGGCCTCGACCCGTCGTCGCCGTATCTTCGTGTCACACCATCCATGCTTAAAGTCATGACGGGGCGCAAGGGCAAAGACGCCTGGATGGCTCTCAACGGCAAGGTGTACAATGTTACGCCCTACGCTGCGTTCCACCCGGGTGGTATCCCCGAACTGATGCGTGGTGCTGGCCGTGACGGAACCCAACTTTTTGGCGAAGTGCATCCCTGGGTCAACTATGAAACGATGCTTACGGCCTGCTTGGTTGGCTTGTTAGTCGACGAGCCTACTGATGCCAACGTACTCAGCGAGATTGATCAGATGGACTAGTTGATGATGAAGAACAACAAGATGAGTTAGGATATAGAAACACTGTGTGCTTGTAACAGTCAGTGTATTTGCATTTGATGGAGTTTTACTTTTGTTTTAGATTGCGGTCACTAGAGTCATACAGGTTGTTTCATTGCCTCTTGTTTGGCGTATTGTAAATAATATGAGCATATATACCCATGGCGTGATATAATACAAGCTGCATTCCTTCCATTCTTTTCTTTTCTTCATCTTCTCCTTCCAAACCTAAACTTAAGTTCATCATCGCTGTCGTCGCTATCTTGGCTCTGCATAAACTTGGGTAAGGTCTTTGCTCTCTTGCTCGTCTGACCCGACGACAACTCTGGAGCCGGCCGCTTCGATGGTGCTTGTTGACTAGGGCGCCCGGACGAAATATCGCTAATTTTACTTCCTTGAGACTGTGTCTGTGTGACCCTTGAGCGCGAACTTCTTGTACCAGATCGTGGCGGCTGTGAGTCCTCGGCCAAGACCACATCGTCGTCTTCAACAGCTGCAGGGATGGTGACGGGCTCCGTAGCAGGTACAGGACGTTCCGCCGTCAGTGACAATTCTTGCAGCGGCGCGCGGTTGCTATTCTGCGAGACACTGTTGTGTCGAGACTGGTCTCCACCCTCATCCTCCAGCCAGTAGCCATCTCCAACGCCAAACTCCTTAGCAACGGCTTCTTCCACGGCTATAATGGTCCGAACAGGTTGTCGGCCAGTAACTTCGCCCCTGCGTCGAAACTTTTTAAAGTTCTTAATGCCATTCCATTTGGGATCCCATCTGCCGTCTGCGATATCTTGCTCTCGAGTTCGTGTAGCCTGTCCACTGGGGCGCATTTCCAGCTCTTCTACAATATTCAAGCGGCGAATTTCAGCCAAGTCGATATCAGCCGGTAGATGGGCCAGATCTTCTTGCTCTGCCCGCGCCAAAGCCTCTTGTTCTTCTCGTAACTTAGCCGCAGTCGCCAAGACGTCGAGCTCCTTCCTTTTCCTTTTTGGAGCCGCCCTGGTCGCTGGCTTTTCTGGTTCCTCTGGAGCTGCTGGTTCAAGGGTTTCTCCTCGGGCAAGACGCTGGCGTTTCAGTCTTGCCGCAGCAGGCGCAACGTCTTCCATTAGTTCGTCTTCCTCTTCCAAAGCCGTGGCATTGCGCTTTCTTGGGGATGTCCGAAGTTCTTCCTGTATCGACTCATCGTGTTGGACTTCTTGTGAGACAAACAAGCCCTCTTCAGCAGCAGCAGCAGCGCCAAGTGTAGGTGCTGCTGCGAGAATAGCTGTGTCATCCATGCTAATGTCAACATCTTCATCAAACCCAACAAATCGTCGTTTCACAGGGCCACGACGGTGTATTCGCCGAGTAGCAGGCACACTGTTGCTGGATGTGTCTTCACTCGCAGGAGTCTGGGACGCTGCTTGCGAGCTAGCTGCTGGTGGTGGTGGTGGTTGATTCTCGTCCCCGCCGTTTTCTACCTCCAAGGGGCGTCGAAGCATGCTAGCGTCCTTTATCAAAATCGCTTCCAGAAACTCATTCTGCTCAATAGGTCGGTGGTCCAACTGGAGAGACATTTGTGTAAAGAAATCGGCAAACCATTGAATGTGGTTGCCTTTGGCAGGAAGATATCGAACCAGAACGACGCCACGGCCTTCGCTTCCATCGTCAAAGCTTCCCAAGCCCTTTTCGCCTGCCACAAACTTGACACGGCGAACAAAGTCGTCTACTGTAGTTTCCCCAGGGACAATATGTTCCAGCAGCGCCTTGCCTCCACCATTTGTAATGGGAGCGATTAAGTTGTTATACTGATTCGAGTCGTAAAACACAAAGCTGTAGCCCTCAAAGATTTCTCGACGACCACTGTCTGGAGCATATATCGAGTCGGGGTGGTCAACTGGCTCAGCCCCCTTGGCAGGAAGATATGCAGCGGGATCTGGCCAGTTCTTGTCGAAATCTTCCTCAAGAGGACAACCATGCGCTCCATTTTCAAGCAGTCTTGATTCTGAAACCGCTGCAATGGCGTCCAAATATGCTTCGTTTACAATGTATTTGCCATTGATCAAAGCCTGCAAGCCTTTGGCAGTATTTCGCTTCTTCGATACGACATGTGTTGTATGATCAATGGCGTATTCAACCAATAGTTTGACATCAACAGATTCGAATCGTTGACGGAGGGGAGTTAGAGGGTCGTTTTGTAGTTCTTTGCTGGTAAAAGAGAACGTAAATGCTACGGGATGGTAAGACAGGCTTGGACTTGTTAGTTGTGTTCGTTATACCGAGGTCGGACAAAGGCGGTATGGCTTACCGGAAGATACTGGGGCATTTTCCCATAGTGATTTCCACAGAATCGTCCTTGTCAACAACATATTTGCTACCTTTAAACCGAGTCCCATTGGCCACTGTTCCTATCTTTGTGGCCAGATCCTCAATGGTGACTGTCGGTCGACTCGTGGGGTTGTGTACTTGTGTGTCTTTAACGGTGTCGATGGTAATGGTCAGGTGTTTGCGGGAGATGGTATTATGCGAGATGGACAATTGGCCAGCTGGTAAATTGCATCGTTAGGGTAAGTCTCCTGTGTAGTTCTCTGTTTACTTACGTTCGGCCGATGTTCTGCCAAAGAGATAGGACTTGCCTGGTCGAAGCCAAAGCCGACGGCCTGGTTAATTCAGCGCAGTTAGCATACAAAGTCAGTATCAATTCCCCAGAGTATTTAAATCATACCAGCAAATGCGCCTTCGCTTTCCAAGAGCCACATGGTGAAGCGGCGTGCCGCCAATAAAGATGCAGAATCGTGAATCTTGACCCCAGCCGTGAATCTGGCACAGCGCGTTTAGTGACGCTGCCCAGCGTGGTGCGGGCGGCGCGACAACATGTGACCTCGATTGCCACGATAGGAAATACGTTACTGTAACCAGTAAACCTGTAAAGGATAATTCTTGATTATATTTTTGGCACATAACAAATATTATGTATGATTAGATTCGAATTATGCATTTGTGAAATATAAATTAATCAATCATGTCTCATGAAACCAGCGTGTATGTTTTACACCTTGGCTGGCTTTGCACACTCCAGCAACATCCTTTTGCGCCCAACCTTGCGGCTAGATTTAATGATTTCTTCGTCGTTTTCAATCTTTACCCGATCAATATGCTCAGGCGCTTCATCCAAAACCCTGGCAATCTCATTGACCTCTCCTATCTTCCAGCCACGGAGAATAAGGAGGCACGCAGCCGCGGCCACGTACATGACTCCAGTGAAAATCTGCGTCCCTAGATAGCCGCCAGTTGTTTTGACGATTTGAAGCGCAATTGGCTCACTAAAGAGACATGGCAGAACAATAGCCAGCCACATTATGTTGAGGGCAGATGGTACATGCTTGAGCCCGACGACTTCGGCCGTGATAGGGCCAATTGTCGTCCAAAACGTTCCAGCGACTGTACCACAAATGATGGCATAAAACAAAAGCACACCATACACCTTTGCGTTTATCCAGATGGCAAGGGCAAGGATGCCGCATACAAATGTAAGCAATGCCCCTATGTTAATGCGGCCTGTGCGATCACTGAAATAGCCGACAAACGGACGCCCAATACCCTGACCGAGGTTGAGCATGGCGCTGATGAGAGCCGCCTGCGATGCGCCGAGTCCGATCTCGTTGGCGTAGTTGGCAAGACTGAAAATGAGGACGACATAGCCCAGCATACTAAACCATCCAAATGCGAGCAGCAGGAGATACTCGGGACGCTGAAAAAGCTTGTAGTCGAATGCCATTTGTGACGAGCCAATCAGTTTGTTTCGGTCTCGGATGAGATATGTGCAAACAGCGTTGACGACAAATGCTATGATACCCAGTATCCTAAAGGCCCAAGACACCCCGTGATTTCGTATAATGGCACCGGCAGCAAAGGAATACACAACGCCACCTAGACCAGAGCCGCAAGCAGAGACTCCATTCGCAAGAGATCGTCGCGTTGTAAACCACTGTGGAGGGATAGCAGCCGATGGCACAAACAGCAAGCCCATGCCAATGCCAAACAGCACGCCCTGTGTAAGGAATAAATGCCAGATCTTTGAGGCAAAACTGGCGCATATCAAACTGACAGCCTCACACAAAACGCCAGCAAACATGGTAGCTCGGGAGCCAAACTTGCGAACACCGACGGTAGCCAGCGGTGAGATGAGCAACGCGCAGGCGATGCTGAGCGAGCCGACAAAGGCGTAATCGAGAGAAGATGCACCAGGATAGGTATCGTTTTTAAGGTAATGGGCGAGGAAGACACCATAGCTAGAATTGAGACCCCATGTATGGCCGTTGATTACAGCACAACAAGCAACACAGACCCAGCCATAGCCACCGTTGGGCGGCGGCGGAGGGGCCGTCGGTGACGCATCTGTTGGTTCTGAGGAAGCATCCTCTATAGCTTTTTCAGGATCCGTCTTTGGCAGTGAATCAGCTATAGCTGGCTGTGTCGCAGTGTCTAACACGCTAGTGCGTTCGCCCATAGTGACCTTAGTTAAGCGCCGTGAGTTTGGGACTAATAGCCGTTTCTGAGACACGACGCTGCAGGTAGCCGAAACCAGAAGCGCGCGTGTGAACAGCAGGAAAGGACTGCTTAATAGCCGCTCGGCCACACGGGTAGACAGTGGCGATGGTGTAAATTGGTTGAAATCAAGAAAAAAGGAAGGCAAGTTGTAAGCGCCCCCAAAAAAAGAAGAAGAAGAAAGTACAAAAAGTTAAGAAGCGGGCTTCTCAATTACCAAGCACCACCAAAACCCTCGGCAGGATGCAACCCCCCCACTGACGAAAGCCCAGGCGGCTTCGGAGGCCCGAGGACCGAAAGCGAGGGAGGTGCTGGGGAGCCAAAGAAATTGCTCGCAAATTTTCCCAAAGTTGTAATTGGAAGTTCAGTGGTTCTTTATAGAGCGTTTCTAGATGTTTAGATATTTTCTATATTTTATTTCACTCTCCTTTTATCCATCTAAAGCTATGGGCATCGATCCCTCGGCAGCTTCCGATGTCCCAGCGGTGGCTTGCACTGAAACCCCGCTGGAAGGGCGCCACGACTATGGGAATGACACCGCCGCTCATAGTCGGGAATAAAGCGGCAATCAAGGCCGGCTGTTGAGCGGTGTGTGTCTGTTGCTATGGTTCAGTTAAGGGTCTTGAAGGCCGGTGGACATCAATTGATTGTCAGTGTACTGTTGATAATATTGTTTTCCTACGCTCTTGGACTTGATTCTAATACTCCGGGTAACTTAGAGTGCTATAGTTTAAATAGTAGTCCTGCATCTGGTGCTCTTACTATTCTGTTACCCAATCCGCCAAATCATGCGATGAATAGAATGGAAAATTACCCCGGATCATTGAGTAAAAGATAAAAACAACCAAAAAATCGGCGCTAAAAACAAAACAAGATAATAAATTGCACCAAAACACCGATTCCTTAGACTTGATCTCCCAGTACCCTGCAGCGCTAAACAGCCACTGTAATTATACCGCGGCTGGCCGCTACTACAGTGGGGTTACAGCGGCGCTTCGCAGCCTTGTCTGTGAGCTGTTGGTTAGCCTTGCCCCAGGTTGGTCGTGCCCCGTCCCTTGTCTGCCTGCCTCACCCCGCATGCTTTTCGCTTCCTCATCAACATCACCAAACGAGCAGCCACTCACAAGGCACCTGATTGAGCGTCGATAAAGCTTTGCTCAGGCCATCATGAGACACTCGGCCGACCAAGCTGAGCAATTGCCTCTACTAGGCGATGCTCATAATGCCGCAAATCAACGCGCCATCAAGAGGCAAAAGATTGCCGCCGTCGTCCTCGTCTTTACGCTCATCAGCATCGTAGCCGTTGGCGGCAGTATCATTGGCACGTCGGCGAACAAGCTGATCGAATGGAACATCTGTCGGGACAAGTATCCGGACAGGGTTGTTGATGACCCGCGGTGCGGCGACAGGGAGATCGCCGGCCGCTTTGCGTACATTGATGGTCTGCTTACCACCTTCCAGAAGTTGCCCGGTATCCTCTGTGGTATCCCCTATGGTCTGGTGGCTGATAGATGGGGTCGCCGCCGCAGTCTTACGCTCTGCATGTTTGGCATGACGATGATGATGGTGCACATTGTCACTGTTCGTAAGTACCTGTCTACTGCTGCTGCAAACATCACCACGAACCTGTAGCCTAGCCTGCTAATCATCTCCTTTATAGTTACTCTTGCAGAGAGTCACTACCTCGACCTGCGATGGATATGGGCTTGTGGACTCTGGATGATGATCGGAGGCGGCTTTCCCGTTCTCAACTCCACCATCTTCGCCATCCTCAATGACGTTGCCACGCCAGAAACAAGGTAATACTGTCCATCCCGCCATATTTAAAAACAGAAACGCTAACGTGTGCATGAAACCAAAAGAGCCACCATGTTCTTCTACTATGGCACCTGCCATGTCGTTGCCGCCATCATTGCTCCGCCTATCACCTATGTAGTTATTCGCTTCGGTGCATGGAACACGCTTGTCCTAAGCACCGCTTTCATGAGCCTTACGATCCCAGTTGCCTCCTTTCTACCGGAAACCAAAGACTTCCAACAAGCCAAGCCAGTCGTTGCAGAGGAGACGACCACAGTAACCAAGGGGACGGTGGAGCGATTCAAGAAGCTCTGTATCGAAGGCGTTGCTCTTGTGCGGTACCAGTTCTGGGAAAACAAGTTGCTCTGCTTGAGTCTCTTCAGCTTGATCTTTACATCCGTAGGCAAGTCCTTCACCAATGTTTTGCAACTCTACGCCAAGACTCTGTTCCACTGGGAGTGGGAAGAGGTGAGTTTTCCCAGCATCGTCCCACAAATATTTAATCCATTTTGTTAATGTGCTATAGGTTTCCTTCATCGCCTCTGTACAAAACTTCATGGCCTTCAGCATGACCGCAGTTCTTCTCCCTGCCATTGATTATTACCTCCGTAAAGTTCTGAAGCTGTCATTGCTGCACAAGGATATCTGGCTCGTCCGTGGTAGCATTGTCTTCATGGTCGTAGGCGCTGCAGCCATCGGGTTAGCGCCAACAGCGCCCATCTTCTTCGCTAGTTTGGTTCTGTTTGGATTCAGTGGCGGTTACGAGTATGCCATCCGCGGTATGCTAGCACAGGCCGCTGGCGACCGTGTCGCAACACTCTATGCCGTTATTGCCGTCATGGAGGAGATTGGCCAAGCATCCTCTGGTCCGGTCTACAGCTATCTGTTCAACGCCGGCCTCAAGCTAGGTGGAGCTATGATTTCGCTTCCGTTCTTCGTTGCCAGTCTGCTCTTCGGCATTGCAGGCGTCATTGTCTGGCTGGTGCGATGGCAGACGCTTGAAGAGTCGGAGGAAGGCCAAGACGACGACACCCTGCACGACGAAGATATCTAGCGGAGCTCCAAGTACAATAATTCACACCACTGACATTTTTCTCTCTCTATATAATTTCAACAAAAAAAGCTGTCTCCAACGGTGACCCACCATTGATTGCGTGCATAAGACAGAGTCCACAAGTTTCATCGGACACGGCTCGGCAGAAAAGAAAAAGACATTGATTGCCTAGGGTCCCTGCATGCAGCCCGTTGCACACTGCATATCCGCCCGGGTAAACAAACCACCCCCCGGTGAGAAAACTTTTTCGCTTGCAGATGCACGCTGGATTTATATTTACACTCCAAGTCTCGGCGATCGGGTTCTAGACTACGGTCCCGTCCCGAAACAAGCATCCTGGCTTTGGTCCCCTAGATGTCTAGAATAGCCGCCGAGGAATCAGGAACCAAAACGGACAATACACCCTTGTTCGACTCAAGACTCTCTCCTGTCGTCACATTGCTCAGCTTGACCGGTCGGCCGTTGTCCAGTTCGTAATTGTAGCTCCACCCGTCAAATGTGATGCCTGTGATGGCGTCGCTGCCGTTGGCCATGAGTCTGCGAACCCCGGCGTGTACATCGGCAGAATTGTCATCCCCTACGAGGAACGAAAATGCCCTGTGCGGCCGCGGCTCCGGGTTCTCGAGCGGCGCCACGCCTGCGCCGTCCACGGTGGTGTTGTACCCGTGCATGTTGATCGCCACCAGGCGCTTCAGGTGGCCCTCGACGTAGATTGCATATGCAGCTTCCATGTCTGACGACAGCGGGATGGACGCCACGCTGACGGACCCTGCCGTCAAGTTGCCCAGTGCTGAAGCCGTAGCAATATTGCCATAGTACGGCGCCTTGGTGCCCTTGGCTGTCTTGTCCGTGTCGATTGGCTGCCAGCTTTGATACTGCAATATAGCAAAGTCAATATCCTGTTTCAAAAACTCCATGCCAGCCGCAGGTACTGTTATACACTCACCCTGTAATTCGTACCCTGGTGCATGTGCACCCGCGCAAACCCAGCTGATGCCGAGTAGAGATTAAAGTCGACGCCCCAGAGCGCTGCACCAAACGAATTGGACAGGCCAGGCTTGCCCTGGAAGTAGAGCGAGTTGGTCTCACCGAAGATGAGCGGCGCGCGTCCGTGGCCTGTGGCCATGATGCGATTGTACTCCTCTACCTGCTCGTCGACGTCCTGGATAGTGCGTGTATGGTTCATAAGGGTGTGCTGGAGTGTCACACCTGGAGACGTTGCACCGTCAATGTAGCTAAAGACATCAACACATTAGTATATGCTTCGAATATACAGCTTCTGCACCGGTAGTGAATGAAAGGCCCTTACTTGTGTACAGAGTACCAGTTTACATTGTTGCATCGATCCAGGCCATAGTCCCAGACGTCTGTCGCATTCAGCTCCGTAACACGGTCGTCGTAGGACGGCGCCATATACTGCCTAAACTCCCGCGCCATATCCGGGCAATGCTTCTTCATCTCTTGCGAAATGGCCTTTGTTCCGTTGAGCCACTCGTAGGTAAAGTTCTTTGGCCCCCAGTCCTTGGGGCGAGACGTATGTCGCGACAGGGCAAAGTTGTTGGGCTCGTTGCCATATTCCCAGGCATAGTAGCCGTCCTTGCCAAGAGCCTTGCAAGCGAGCGGCGCCGTGTCCAGCAGTGTCTGCCAACCTTCGGCATTCATTGCCGCGCCGCCCTTGGCCATGTTGAAGCCGTGCGAGAAGCGTACACCGGGCCATGTCTGATAACTTTCAAAGAAGGACGGACCAATGTAAATGTTAGTGGGGTAATCTGCCGAGTTGTGCAAGTCGTAGGTGCCATTGATGCCAGTCTGCAGCGAGGCATTGTATAGGGCGTAGTCTTGCGTGTTGCCACCGACTCGGATGTACGGCTTTTCGCCGCTGATGGCGCCAATGTTGTTGAGCAGGTTGTAAGAAAAGGTGTTGGGCATGGACTTGTTGCCTGCAAAGTCGGGGAACGACGAGAACTCGATCGAAAAGCTTACAAACGATCTTGCGGGCCGTGGCGCATCGGAATCGGTTTTCAGGCTGACGACGTGGGCCCCCTCCGCACTGACTAGCGGGAGGGCTGCCAAGATGAACTGTTGCTGCTTCATGGTGAATTATTGCTGGCTTTGGCTGAAGTAGGCGATCAATTGAGAGTCAGCAAGGGAAGAGGGAAACTAAATAGCGCGCCTTGGACCATATTTCAGACCATGATAACGTTACCACGACGGGGGCCGGTTTTTACCCCGCGCGACGCCGGGTTTAGTGAATGTTACAATCCCAGGTCCCAAAGTAGAAGGTCGGTTCGCGTAGAGTACAGACAAATACGTCATATTCATTAATATAGCGAGGTAGGGCGGACTAACGCCCGCTCTGGTATAAATACTAACTCCCCTAAAAAGCAACTATCCCAGTATTTCACACGCCGTCTCTTGATATAGAGAGACTAGACTCGGGATTGGTATCAAAAAAGAGAAGTCAAAACACCCAAAACAAAACAACTGCGCCCTAGCAAAGCGCCAGACGCAGTCGTATCAACATACACAATTAGTAGCATTAGGGTATATCCGCATCTATGACATTTTTCGTGTCACCGTCACCATCGTCACTGTCGCAAGACGCTTAGACGGTGTGCTCAGGAGCCTTGCCCTTCTGAGCCTGAGCGTGGTCAGACCAGGGGAAGTGGAAGACAGGAAGGGTGAAGAAGGAGTTGCTGCGAAGCTGTTAGTACAAAAAAACGGTGAATTGGTTTTGCAAAACGAACCTGCTGTCTTGGATACCAACGAGAGCGAGGTACCAGGCGAGGAAAGCAGCGAGGAAGCCAAAGAAACCTCCGGTCTTCTGGAGAGCCAGGGAAGCGTCGGCGTTACCCATGTCGGCGGCAAACTCAGAGGTGGCGAGGAAGAGGAAAGCCAGATCCAAGGTGAAGAAGAGGAGGAAGAACATGACGGTGGAGCGGAGAGTGCACATGAGCAGGAGGAAGGTGAAGATGAACCAGCCGCTGAGGAAGAAGCCGAGGACGTTGTTGGGCTTGCCGGCGTAGGGACCAGTCTTGGAGAGGAGGCCGAAGTCGGGGACGAGGATCAGAGCGTAGGAGATCCAGAAACCACCGTAGGACGAGAGAGCGGTAGCACCAAAGGTGTTGCCGGTAGCCATCTCCCACATACCAGCGAGGAGCTGGACAAGACCACCGTAGCCAAAGGCGAGGGAGATCATGATGTTGGGGGCAGACTGGTTGCGGGCGTGCATGTTAATGGCGGACAAGACAAAGGTGGTCAAGGCGAAGGCCGAGAGACCGAGAGGAGCAGGGTTGGCGAGCTTGCGGTGCTCGAATGGCTGCCAGCGGCCGACCTGGAGGGCACCTCCGTCAGCGTAGGCATACTCGCCCTTCTCCATGGTGGCATAGTCAGGACGGTAGTTGACATTGCTTCTAACAGCGCCGTTGGTAGCACCGTTGGTGGCACCAGTAGTGGCAGCCGCGGTTGGTTGAGCGTCAGACATTGCAAAGGTTGGTGGATTGAGTGATTGGGTGAAGGTGAATGGGCACGCCAATGAGGGAGTCTACTGGAGTAAGAGAGCAGAAGATCGAGACCTCTGCCGTGTGAGCGGGGGAAGAGCAGAGCTTTTAAGGGAAATTGGGGTGGGAGGAAACAATGAGACGAGGAGCAGTAGTACCACTACCACCGAGAGATGCGCCGTGCGCCATTCGGGGTGCATCCAGCAAAGGGGCCCATGACGCTGACAAAAGTCTAGAGCTCGCGCGAGTACATGAGCTTAGCTAGCTCGGCAGGAAGCTTTTCTTTTTGGTTGCTTTGGGTGCGGGTCACCCAGATACCGGGGTCCCAGGCAAGCCCACTTGGTGGGCCCACGCCCCCCCCCTCCCGTATGGGGTAATAATCTAAGGGCTTTAAATGGAATGGGAGGCCATCGGCGCGGCAGCGCTCAATAGCGAAATCCCAATCCATGCGCTGTAGGGTGTGTGTGGAGAGCCAGTCGCCCGTGTTAGTTATTGGCCGATGGCGGCAGTCAAATGCGGTACTGGAGCAAACAAAAAAGTATTATGTTTCTGGTTGCTTGACGTTTTCTCAACGCGGACGGGGCAACTGCTGCAAGCCAAAACGCAGGGTATTCTTGTCCTACACTGCAACCAAAGATACGAACCCAAAATGTGTGTGTGACTGCCTACTGTCCGTTTCCCTTCCCTCGTCGCCCTCAGCTGTCTACCAGCCAGCCATGTTTGTTCACCGGCCGAGCTAGCTCGCGTCTTCGGGAGAAACGGAGCAGAGCATTTGCCAAAATGCAGCCAAGTAGAGGGCAAAGCCACGGGTAAGGGGTCGAAACAGCCCTTTCGCCCGCTGCCTGTCGCGAATACGCCCAGAAAGCCACGACAGACGCCACCCGGAGGCGAAAGTTGGAGTAGCTACCACCCAAGTTTGTTGGGGGAGAGGTGGCTCATTAGTGAGTCTCAGGCTGCTGTTCCATTCCACCCAAGCGCTAGAGCGAGCGTCCGCCTGCATCTACAGGCGCATCGCTGTAACTCGGTGCTGCTGCTGCCGGTACTGCCGGTACTGCTGGATGCTGCATCGATGTGCATTAGTTGGGAACTAGCGGTGGAGTCCAGTGGATGGTCAGCGCTGAGAGGGGTGCCCATCCTGTTCTGTTGCTTTTCTTTAAGCTCCAAGCTCGAGGAGCAGAAGGCTACTCATCACCGTCGACCGCGACGGCTGCACTCCGCTGTCCTTTGTGTAATGTTATTTTTCTTTCAATAAACGTGTTAGTTCAATATGATCTTTCCCTTTCTTTAGGCTTCGCGTCGAGATATCGTCTCTCGTGTTCGCTTGTTTTCTCGCTCGATGTTGTTTTCTTTTTCCTTTCTGTCTGGAAGCAGCTGCCGTCCCCGCCGAAGTGAATGCAATTTCCTGGTGCCAGCTGCCAGCTGCCAGGTGCTTGCCAGGTGCCTGCTGAAAAAAAAAACACAGGGAGCTTTCCCCCATTTCCCATCTCTCCACCCACGAGATTCAGCCTCCTGTCAACATCGCCGGGATCAAATCGGATTCGTTTTGTCGCTACAGGCATTGTAAGCGGAATACCCAAGGACAGCATCATCCAACCATCTTATATTTAAACCTACGTCTGGTGGTAGAAGCTAGTCGTCGCTTTCATCGTCAAACACGTTGCCTACTTCCCGGTGGCTTCTCCGCACCAAGCCAAAAAAAGTCAATGGCTCCTCACGGCTACATGCTATTGTTGATGGTGGCACGCACACCCCCTTCTTCCGTCGGCAGTCCAGGACGTCATTCCACTACAACCCCCATACCCCAGATCGCCACAGTGACCTCTTTGGTTGTGTTCACTCTCCCTTTTGCTCCAGCGCTGCTCACCTGACGTTCTTCAGCCCGAGACAAAGGCTCTGGGAATAGTGCACAGTTGTAAAGTGTGCATAGTTGGCCATGTTCAGTAGCCCAGTCTCGTTCTGGCGTTGCTTCAAATTTCCCAAATTTCCCATGCCGCTCTAGTGGTGGTCGTGGCCCCTCCCCTCTCGCCAATTCTGCCTCTACAATTCACCCGAATCACACCCTGCTAACAAAACCCACTGCCACGACTCGACTCGAGATGCGCTGCACCCCACTGTACAGGCGATCCATGGGTTTGGGTTTAGCAGGCTACGCCGCCGCATCACGATGGGCGATTGGGTAGCGGTGGGCCGGCTTCTAAGGTGCGCTAGCCTTGTTGGCCTACCAAACTTGAGCAAAAGCGAACAGATATCTCGCATGCTTAGAAACCCCTACGCATGCTGTTCAAAACGCTTGCTTTCACGTTCAGATTTGGCTTGTAGGCCAAGCCGTGTACGCCAAGAAACCTCATCGACCTTGGCAGAAGCGCCGTGGCTGTGAAGCGAGAGACATCAACTCGCCGCCATGACGCCGCCGGCTCTCACGCTATACAGTATACCTTCGCAACAGCGCAAACTCTTAACACCGATTGCAGTGTTCGGCGATGCCTGTATGCACACGGATTTGGTGTGTCAGCTGTTACATAGCGTTCTTCCTAAATGCTTCCCCCAACCGAACCATTGGCGGGCCCTGGCCATAGTTTCGGCGCCAGTGAGCTCTCCACGCAGTACTAGCTCCGTTTTTTTTTCAGACCACAGTAGCGGGAGACAAGGTCTCGCTCCGTTTCATTGGGGGTTCACCTCCTGCGATCCACAGTAGCCGGACGAACGGCGGCCGGCCAAAAGTCTTTTCTCGGGTCTTGATAGTAGCAGCTCCGTGGTCAACTTGCTTGGTTTGTGGTACACCAAGTTATCCGGTTCAAACGGCTACCTGCACAAGAAATAGATTTCTCAGGCTATGAGATCATGGGTGGCATCCCCAAGTTCCCGAGTGCCACACGTTCGTGTCATAAGCGCGCCGCGCATTTTTCGTTAGCAACCGCGTCGATGCCAAGAGGTCCGAAGCGATTGCTGCCAATGTGCTGTTAGTTTGGCGCCCCAACAGCTCAGAAATGCACATTCTCGTGTCATGGCGTCTAGTCACTTGATCTCGTGTGGTCCCTACCATGGGCTATCCGTTTCCATTTCGCCTCGGCGTTGAAGCCATGGTGTTGCGCTCCGCCGACCGGCGAGGCTAGACTTGCTTGGTTGGAGGCCATACAAATACAAAAGTAGCAACATCAGGTTGATGATACCATAACATGGCACAATATTACGCCTGGAGACTATCGAAATGCGACGCCGGCACCACCCCAGATAGACCCTTCCATTTGCCCGAGTGACATCAAGCTATGGATCCACTAGCGTGGGGTCTGGCTTCCCCAGATTTGCGATTGCCTGATTGAGCTCATCCGACTCATGCAGAGCGGCTTCCGTCCACGATGTTTGGATGGTTCGCAGCGAACTGGAACAAAGCCCATATGCAAACAGAAACCACTGAATTCAGAAATGGTATGCCAGTAATATTTTCATTATTTTGCGATATTAGTATGGATCAGGGTAGCTAATTACTAGGGGCTGACATTGAAAATGTTGCTATACATGTCTACTGTTTCATATCGTTCGTCTCAAAAGAATGTACTTATTCTGTGACCTTGAGAGTAGAATGGCTATTTCGCGGGAGCCCTAAATGACGAATAGCAATATGATTGCTCGTCAAGGACTGGCATATTCGTCCCGCTCTCAGTTCCAGCTGTCAAACAACAGCAAGCAGCGCAACGAGAGAGTCATACTGCTTCTGTGGATTTACATCCCCGCAACTAGAGTCACATCTGTAGATAGATGCAGCGTCGTTGCCTCCGCAGCATTCGGTCAGGGTCCCATTGCAGACTGTCCCACATGCGACGTCGGCCAATTGGGTCAGGTTAGCGTCCAGTGATTTCCCACACCAACACTGACTTCCATTCTCGGTCGCTGCAAAGCCATATCCTTTGGATTTACAGTAATTCAGACATATACTGCTTGACATGGTACCCTGCTTATGATCCTCGTCCGCTGCACCATGCAGCATCTGGCCTCCATGGTCTTTGAAACAGCCCAGGTAAGTCCAGCCATCCGGTCGCCTCTTCCCGCTTGGACTTTGGCTGGATGGTGACGTTGGACTTGGACCTGGATTTGAAGGCCCGGAAGAGCTCGAATCAGACGCCATGGTACTGCTATGATAGATTGGTGCTTCAGCTGTGCTTGCTCGGAATGTGGCTGTAGATGGTTTATCAGTATTGCTAGGAGGCAGAGCCACTGAAGTTGAAGTAGGTGGATTCATGGCTGGTGGAGGATTAGGTGCGCAAAATGTCCCTGATTTGCAATGATAGCATAACCATCCCATCCCGCACGATACCTCCTGGGCTGCTGTTTCCTTTGGAGGACAAAACCATCCACCAGGGCAATCATCACAAGCATATCCGGTCCCTTGGCATGGGCAAGGCGCTCTTGAAGACATAGATGGCGGTACCACTGTTGAAGTGACATCTAAGTACTTCAAAGAAGAACTCTGGCAAGGGCAAGAGCCTTTGTTGCCGTTAGGGTTTGCTGCGGATGATGTAGTAGACCGACTGCCATCCTGGTAACCAGCCAGTGTAGGTGATGCTTCTGTATACAACAGTGCAGATATTGATTCGTATGACTGAGATGTAACCGAGACATAGGGAGGCATTGACGAAAAGGTATAATCTCCTGGCAAGGTAGAGACACTCAGAGGTACGGGAGTATCTTTAGAACCATCTTTGCTACTGTACTCAATGCCAGAAGATTTATCATATCCACCCATCGGATAACTTGGACTTTCCACTTGGCAAGGAATAATGAGCTCGAATATAAATCCGCCATGCTGGTGGCGAACAGAGCAGAGAGGTTGATTTAGTTGTTTGGCAGCCAAACACATGATGCCTGCAACCTGGTTCAGCAATTCTCTTAAGAGATTGTTCAATGCAATAATCTCTTTGATGACCTCTTTCCCTTGGGACAGAATACAGTCCATTGATGCTTTCAAGTCGATGGAAGCGGGTAGGCTATATTCGCCTTGAGGATCTCCGAGACTAACAGCAATGGCTGGGAGGATTAGAGGGAGTAACTGTGAGATGGGAATCGATTGCTGTTGTGCTAATTGCGATACCAACGGAACCACTGATGTTTCTTCCACCGGTAAGACTTTAATAGTCACATCTATCAGGCGAGCGGCTGCATCTGGGTCGACGCGACAGACTTGCACGACAAATGTGCAAAGGGAAGCCAGAAATTCCGGAGATGGTCTCGCCACTTGAGCAATTTTGTCTGTTGTGGTTCGTTTCTTCTCTTTTCCTGGTCCACCTGATGCTGGCTCATGTACAAGAGTTTGGAGCCTCTCAATAAGGAGTTGGAGAAGTGCAGCGTTATCTCTGGTTACTGGTACCTGGTTTGACTTAGATTGAGGCGAAAATAGCACAAAGTTGCCAACTGAAGTTGATGAGCCTCCTAATAGTCCTCTTCGAAGTTGCTGTCCTTCCGAGGATGATAGGAATTGAGAGATGTCAGAGCTACCAGTTGGGTACTTGAATGTGTGAGTAAATAGCCGTTCTTTGTTTTATCGATTTCGACCTACTGTGACTTGATTTGAAAAGTCTCTGTCTTTGTGGAATTGCCGCCTCGCTAGAACTTTGGCCTTGCTACTGTTCGTCTCTAGAAGAACCAATGTAGCTGCACTCATCAGCAAACAAGACAACCCGAAAAGCATCAGCATAGCAATCAGGCGTTGACCACCCAGTACGGGTCTTGATCTTGCTGCTTCCCAGGGATTTTCCATCATATAGCTCCGATGCGAATTCGATAAAGTGATTGGGTCAGAGGCGGAAATGCGGATAGAGCAGCGGCTCGTATAAACACACTGCGTTCCAAAAAAGCAAAACGACGTACGTTCCAAAAAAGACCAAAATTTGAGCGAATGTAGTGTTGCGTTTCAATTGTTTAAGGGGAGCTGAAGCAGAGAACGTGGATAGCAGGTTTAGTAGAAGAAAGGTAATCTTCACAAGTAGAGTCGCACTTTCCTTGTCCACTTCTGTTGGAGGAGGTTGCCTTCTATTTTCTAAAGCTGTCGAGTAGATACATTCGAATCGCAAACCAAAAAAAAATTTAAACCTCTAGATTTTCCTCCGTATAACAAAGTTTGATCATTTATTCCTGGTATCATCATCCGCTAGGTTGTCGAGTTTTGTAGACAGCTTTCAGTCTACTGCTTCTCCTCCTTGCCCCAACGTGATGTCTCGTCACCTTCTTTCCACTCATGCTCCACATAGCCGAGTTCTTCCTTGACTTTGTTAACCAGTTCCTTGGGTCCCATGTTCTTGCCAATGTTATCACTGTATAATGTTAGCCGAAAGACACGAGGAAGAATGTAACTGATAAACGTACCTAATCTTAATTGCCGGTCTGCCAGCTGCCGAGCTTAGCTTGATGACAATATTCATTGGTGTCGATTTAGTGCCCGTCCTGGTGTGTACAAAATCATTGGTTAAAAAGGTTCCCACGCCGAATGTTGGCTGAAGATTGAGCTCATCGGCAGCCTTCTTGTACAATATACACTTGTCGATGTCGAGGGAGTCTGAAAACACAATCACCTTCTTGTCCTTGATGCCTTGCTCGTCATAGTATTGGCGAATAGATTTAGCATAGGTGACTGGGTCTCCCGAGTCCTGTCGAATACCATTGAAGAGCTCGGCATAGCTCTTTAGCGAGCCATCTGGCTTTTTAAATTCGTCCTTTACGGGGACGCCTTCAAGAGGTCGTACTGGAAGGCTGAATGACTTGAGGAATTCGGGTGTTCCAAAGGTGTCGGTCAAGGCAATGGAGAGATTGGAGCCGAAGCAGTTGACCCAGTGGTGCAGCGCTTCCTCTGTGGCCTTTTTGTAGTCGTCGAAGATGGCAGCGGTGCCCATGAACCACTCGTGAGCGACGGTGCCCACAGGTGACATGTTGAAGCGCATTGCCAGATGAACATTGCTGGTGCCGGACAGCTTTCCAGGGAAGCCATTGGCTTCTGCGTCCTTGGATGCTCGTACCAGGCCGCGAAAGACGAGAGCTTGGGTGTGGTAGTCGCGTCTTCTGCGTGTGCCAAACTCGGAGGTGATGCAGCCGGCTTCTAGTAGTCTCATACCCTTTTCGTACGCTTTTTCCTCTTGACCATCGTAATTCCAGTCGGTATCCATAAATCGAAAATAGGCTTCGGAAGTGAGGGCGAGAATGGGGATTTCGTACAGGATCGTCTCGGCCCATGTACCCTTGATGCTTAGCGCCACGTCGCCGAGCTCCGAGTCGGCACCGGCCTCGCCCTCGGCATGATGGAATTGGATGTCAATCTGGTCGCGAGGGTTGAGTCGAAAATTGCGGAGAAAGTCCAGATATTCTGGGGTAAGATATAGGCACTTCGATTCGAGGAACTGGCCCTCCTCGTCAGAGAGGGAAATGTTTCCTAGCTCTGTAAGGAAACTGTTAGTGTCTGTACTATGAATACATTGGGAAGATTAGGAATGCCATACTCTGTATTTGATCGTTGAGCCAGTTGAATGCAGCCCTCGAGAGTCTCTTTTCGGGGGTGCGGTTTGTGAATGCGTAGGTAACGGGCACGTCCTTGAAGAACTTGAAGACGGCGCATTGCATAGTCAGCTTGTACAAGTCTGTGTCCAGGAAGGAGATGACCCCTTCTGGGTAAGGCGAGGAGCTGTTGAACTCCATAATTGGCGAGGATTGTTCAAAGTTGTCGCAACGTTTCCGTTTACTGTTTGTCGAAGCTGGAGAGCGGCGGACTAATGGAGGGGCAGCCGGAAGTTGGTCGTGGTGGTGGTGGAGGCGCGGCTAGCAGGCAGACACGGCTTTGATCACGAGGTGCTGCACCAGGCGAGCAATTAATAGCAGCAATGAGCGGCGAATCGGCGTAGGAGGCAGCCAAAGCGAATTGTGTTGATGCGTCACAAAAAATGGCCGCGAGCTCGGTTTTGTCGGGGGCCCTGGAGGGGCAGCGCAGTGCAAAGCTCCACAGCGGAACCGGAGCTTTTAGGTGGGCGTGAATGACGCATTTGTGCTTTGCTATGCGGCTGAGCCGGCGCGTGATGCACGATGATTGATAAGATTTTCAGCCGACGGGTAATTCATTGAGTGTTGGTGGTTCACGTGGTTGAAAAAGATTTACAGGAATTTTTTAAGTCCGTCGGAGCAGTATGCGTGTGTTTTCCAAGCTTGAGACGGACTGGATGCAGAGTGACGACAGCTGGAGGTAGTGTTGTATGTAGATCTGGCTACAGAGAGAGATCTTTCTTGTTTCAGCACTATTACAGCTCAATAAAAATTATAAATAGGTGTAGAGATTGTATAAGATTCTATTTCTAAATATATACAATTTATTTACATTTATCTCAATACTAAAAAAAATCATATTCGCCTGTGACACTACTACAGCACACCCAGCCGCCACCACCCAGTTAGTGGGGGCTTCTCTCCATTTCCTAATCGGGAGCCCGCCCCAGTAAAAAATTCTAGACAAGCAAACCACCGCCAAAAAAAAAGAGGCGGCCAACTTTTTTTTCCTCTTCTGCTATCAAACCGGCCCATCTCATCTTCAACAACGCCTTTCCCGCTCCGACAACAAGGCGTCCCGGCCAGCACAATACAGACATCATGGATGTCCACCGCTGCCGATTTGTGCCGTATCAGCCATCGGCCATCAACGCCGTCGCCTTCTCCCACCCCAAGGCAAAGTCGGGCAAGCACGCTGCTCTCGCACGCTTGGCCGTCGGCAGAGCCAATGGCGACATTGAGATCTGGAATGCCATCACAGGCACTTGGTTGCAGGAGCTAGTTATTCACGGAGGACGAGACCGCAGCATTGATGGCCTTGTCTGGGTAAACGAGCCCGATCAAGACCTCGGCGATGGACGCATCGTCATGGGCAAGTCTCGACTCTTCAGCATCGGATACACATCAACCGTCACAGAATGGGATCTGGAAACAGGAAAACCGAAAAGACACGCCAGCGGCCAGCACGGCGATATCTGGTGCATCGCTGCCCAGCCTCTGCCGCGAAACGAGGCCGCTGATGGCCAGGGCGTGAACAAGCTCATTGCTGGAACGATCGATGGCGAACTAGTCATGTATACCCTCGAGGACGACGACCTCCGCTTCCAGCGTGTGCTCGTCAAGTCCCCCACGAAAAAGTCCCAGATGGTCAGCATTGCCTTCCAGTCGCGCAAGGTTGTCATTGTTGGCTGCTCGGATAGCACCATTCGCGCCTATGACATGACCAAGGGACACTTGCTTCGTAGAATGACGCTCGGCTCCGACCTTGTCGGTGGCTCCAAGGACATTATTGTCTGGTCTGTCAAGTGCCTTCCCAACGGCAACATTGTCTCGGCCGACTCCACGGGCCAGGTCTGCATCTGGGACGGTACAACCTACACCCAAGCCCAGCGCATCCAGGGTCACAAGCAAGACGTTCTAAGCTTGGCTGTAAGCGCTGATGGAAGCACAATCATGAGTGGCGGCATGGACCGCAAGACAGCTCTCTATAAGCAAAACACCGGCGCCGGTCAGCGTTGGACCAAGGTCTGGGCCCGTCGATACCATAACCACGATGTCAAGGCCATGGCATCATTTGAGCACGGCCGCACAAGCGTCGTTGTCTCTGGAGGTTTGTCTTCTATTTCCCAGCTTTAACTCGAATCGTTTGTCTAACATAAAATTTTCTATAGGTCCCGACGCTACGCTAATCGCCGTACCTCTCAAGGAAATGGGCCGTGAAAACCATCGTGTTGTTGGAAACCTGCCCCAAACCCCTCCAGTTCTAAGCGCCTCAAAAGCTCGTTTTGTCGTTAGCTGGTGGAACCGCGAAGTTCATGTGTGGTCTCTCCGACAGACAGCATCTGACTTGCTCGATACCGAAGACGTCTCTGTCAACCAAAATCGCAAGCTTCTCAAGACAATCGTTGTAAAGGGTGACTCCAACATCGCCTCTGCAACGATCAACAATGAGGGAACGGTCCTTATCATCGCTACATCCACTGATGTGAAAGCATTCGCATTGAGCCACAACGAACCCGAGCGACCAGCAGACGTCGATGTGTCTTCTCTGCCGCTACCATCGTCACTAACAGAGTCCGGTGCTACCAGAATTCAACTCTCGCCAGATGGCAAGTGGCTGTCTATGGTGCAGAATGGCACCCGTGTTGTTCTCGCCGAGCTTGATCTCACCAACGAGGACTCCATTGTCATTTCATCACAAAAGCTTGGTCGACTTACACGGAAAATCCCCCGCTACATCTTGAACGGCGGTCTAGGCTCATACGAGCGCAATATTACACATCTTGCGTTTGCACCGGACTCTGCCATGCTGGCCGTTGCTGACTTGGCTGGGTACATGGACACATGGATCTTGGGCTCTACCGCTCGCCCGAGCACAAATGGCGATGGCCCCGAGGACGCGTCATCAGACGACAGCGACTCGGAAGATGAACAGAATGGAAACGCCAAGAACAGCAGTCAGTGGATCAGGAATCCCAAAGCTAAGCTCTTGCCCAAGTTGCCAGCCACTCCCGTTGCGCTGTCATTCTCAGAGGAGATATCCAAGACAGAGGGCTCCGAAGACGACTATACCCTCGTAGCTGTAACATCTGCATGGAACATCCTTGCATTCCACCCTCTCGAGGGATCACTTACACCCTGGTCCAGACGCCATCCAGGCAAGGCTCTTCCCGCTCCCGTTCAAGACCTTCTCGATCTCGCCAAAGGCATTATCTGGCAAGGATCACGCTTATGGATTTACGGGGTCTCGTTCCTTTTTATGCTTGACATGAGTCAAGACCTGCCCTTCGCATCTGCAGACAAGGATGGTGCCAATGGTCAACAGCTCCAACTCGGAAAGAGAAAGCGAACCGGCCATACCAGTGGTGCCGGTGGGCGCATGGAGCACGAGGGGCTCAAGCCTCAGCAAATTTTCAAGCACACCGATGATAAATGGCAGAATTTGGACGTTGACCGCCACGTCTCAGACAATGATGAGGACGGCAGCGACGACGACATGCCCGATGCCGAGGATGGCGAGCTGACGAAGCTTCGCAACAACGCAGCCGATAAAGCCAAACAAGTCACCGTGGAGGACAGCTCGGAGGGTGGCCGCAAGAAGTGGTGGATCACTTACAAGTATCGACCGGTGCTTGGAGTCGTCCCCCTGCAGACCAAGGGCGACAATTTGGAAGTAGCCCTAGTGGAGCGACCTATGTGGGATGTCGAGACCAAGGAGAGCTACTTTGCTGGCGAGGCCTGGCAGAGAAAGTAGATGATAATGAAGGGCGGTCTTGCGGCTGATGGAGACACCTCATCACCGCAGGTCCTTTTCACATGGTTGTCGGCGTTTGCTGGTTTGTAAATCATATTTGTCATGTGTATAGATGACGTTTGCGCATTTGGAAAAAGTGAGGTTTGATATGGGCACAGAATCCCTGATGTCTAGTATATAGAAGCATCAATCGATACAACATCCTTTAAATTTTACCACTGGCTTCTATACGTGATACATGGGCTACATTCTTACTGGCTCATTACTTTAAATTAGCAAGATATTCCTGAGTGTTTGAGAACACTGTTTACATGTCTTACGGCGGAAGTCTCGGTGAATACGTAAGCTCGTGCCGATTCTAAACGCACCTCACACGGTATGCGCAGCTCGTATTGCGCGGACAGCAGTGCCATAATTCATACTGTCACATATGATCCCCTTATATAAAGACAATTGGCGAGCTCGCACAATCCCGCGGCGCTGTAAGCATGTGGCGAGTCGACGGCTGACTCGCCGACACCCGGCATAAACCGGTCCTCGTGAATGTATACTACCCATTACGCGGCACAAAGAGCCTCTTGCAAGACATGAAGACTGTATTAGACGAGCTTTGATGTCCCAAGCAGCCTGTTACAAGGGCATCCAACCCTAGATACGAGCGATCCGCTATATCCCAGAGTCAAGACTCACGGGTTATTAGCTCCAAGGATCGCAGCTCAGCGCTCCTATTTGTACTATTTGGCCACATTATACGGGATCACGCAGATTACATTACTGTAGGCAAATTAAAACACAGCCTTTGGATCACCAGTGCCCAGATGACGCGGCTCAATGAAAGGCTCGGCCAGGTGGAGATGGCAGGCAGGCTCTGCCCCGTAGAACCCGACAAATTACAAGACAGCTCAGAGCATTAGTGATGGAGCTGGCGAAATAAGCTCTCCATTGAGAAATAAGAGTACGCTGCGTGGTGCGAGTCGTGTTCCCACCCTTTGGCGACTTGAGCTTAAAGCAGTGCATTAGCAAGATCCGAGGCATGGGACGCTCTGATCCGAGGGAGTCGGGGTCAGGGGACGCAGCATTTCGTCAGATGAGATTGCAGATGGCGCGTCCTTTTTCCTAACAGGGTGGTGGTGGGAATCGGAATGTTTGAGGCACAGCGGGATTGAAGCTGGTATATGTAGCATCGCGATGCGCAAAACGGAGATTTGGTAGTAGGGCCGGCTGATTACGTAGGCCACCAACACCAAGTTATGCGCGAGGGCATCGGGTTTGGGGAACCCCGGGGCAGGTTTCCGATGATTTGCATTAAATTGAAAATTTCTGCGACCAATCGTATTCGCGGCCATGGAGGCGATCTGGTTCGGTAAAAGAAGATGAAAGCAAAACGTGCGATGGAGAGTAGCAGCGAGTTATTAGCCGGGACAAGAGGTTATCAGGAAGACTGCGAAATCCGATAGGACACGCAAGATGGATGGAACTGAAGTTGGATGCCTGGTGTGTCTCTGCATTTGCATACTGTAGGATAATTTAGATTTCAGATTTCGGTAAAATAGAAAATAAATAAAAATTAAAATTAAAATGGCAAAACCAAATGTGTACTGTCTCAGTATCACTCACCACCGCCTATATCATTATGCCGCGATGTCAGTTCACTTGAGCCGACAACTACCACATAAGCCAGGAACGCAGCGGTAGTCAAGGCAAAATAGCCGCAGTGTTGCCCTTCAAGTTACGACGCCACACTTTGCCTCAAAGCTTAAGGGTATTTTACAGCGAATGGCAAAGCGTAAGATGATGATGACTACGCAGAACGAGGTTAAACAGAGCGGTCGGTGGCTGAGACGATGGAGCATAGCCAGATTTGCACCGGTCACGCCGCTGTAATGGCGCGGCTCAGCCACGTTTTTGCTAGCAGAGAGGACCCTAAGTGCGCTGAAACTGCACCGATGGGCGATGATTTAGGCTCAGAGGCCGCTGGAGCGGGAGCGCCTCGTGCTTGAAAGCTCCCTATTGGGGAAGTGGTACCGGTACTTGGGCAAGGCCGTGTAGCTGACCGGGGAAAATACAATGGGCAGTTGTACTTTTTGTGTGTATCGACACGCCAAAGGGTACATGATATACATGTACCTGCAATTATCCAGGCTGTGCTGGGTTATTAGCCTGTACTGTGATAGGCGAGCTTTGTTTCCTTTGATCAACCAGCCCGCAAAGAGAAAAGAAAAGCCTCGCATTACAATACAAAAAAGAATTAAAAAAAATACTCCAGATTCATCTGCATCTTGAAAAAATTAAAATAATGAAACCGATCATTGCAACAATCCCCCATGGCGTCCCCTTGGCCCAATCCCATTCCCGATTCCCACACTGCATACGTAGCCTGCACTACGCACCAAAAAAAGGTGAACCGTGCTCCCTCCCCCCCTTGTACCTCTACCTCCAGCTTGCGTACGCCGCATCCCACCTCGGCCCCGCTCTTTTGCAGTCTTCCGCCCTCCCCATTGGCCGGCTGGCCTTGGGTGACGCGTAAACCTCCCCTCCCAGCACTGCCAGAGGCGAAGAGGAGCACGCAGTTTTTCCATGGAGCGACTCACCCGCCGCCCATCCAGATTTTTGGCGGGTGCGGCAAACGTTACGTACGCTCCCAGTCGTCGTCCGGGCCACGCACTACACCACCACCACCACCATCTTCTCTCTTCTTTCCCCTACTTCCGCTCTCTTCCTTTTCTTCCCCGTTTACCTCCCCCCGTGCTTGACGACATCGCGCCTTGGTTCTTTTGTTTTATTTTCCTTCGCATCCGCCCCCTGCAGCGCGCATTCGCAATCTCGACAAGGCCCAGTCTATATCCGGCCTATATACGTAACGGCGCCTCACCACCAACAAAGAGAAGCATTACGCACCCCAGCGCAGCGTGGAGGCTCGTGGCGAACTCGCTGAAGCCTACGAATCACAGCTGCTGACGACAACCTCTCCCCAGCCTACATCCACCTACTTACCCTTATTACACTCAACCCGCACATGCTCGCTCCTCTAGGCTTCTGAACCGACGACGACTATCCGCTCTCGTCCCCGACTTCCCGTCCTCTTCCCTCGATATCGAAACCGTCTCAACTGCTCCTCAACACACAGTCGAGACTTCTCTTTCACGTAAAACACACACAACACATATATAGACCGATACCATGGACGGCCCCAGCTCTCCATTCGGCCAGCCTAACGCCAATGGAACATACGGAGAAGAGTGGGCTCACGACCTTCGCATCCGCTTCGAAGGCCTGCTTCGCGACAAGCGCATGAATGACCTTCGCTCTGGCAACCGTCTTGGCTCTCCCGCCGGCAGCTCGATTGCTGCTGCTTCCAACATGGGCTCTCCCGCCGGCCATACGCCGCCGTCTTACTCGGTCATCCGCAATCTTCCTATTATCCCAACCGCGCCTGAAGCCGCCGACCGAGACTCGCAAAAGTTCCGCAACCTCCTCATCAGCCTGTCTTTGACACCAACCAAATACGAAAACCCTGGTCTTCTCGACGAGGCCTTGAACACGGTCCCCCTGGATAGAATCTATGGCGAAGCAGAGGAGGAGACTCAGCTGCTCCAAGCTGCTGCTGAGAGTATGGGCGATGGTCGACGACCTGAGTGGGGATACCAGGACTGCGTTATCCGTGCGCTTCTTCGCTGGTTCAAGCGATCCTTCTTCACCTGGGTCAACAACCCCCCTTGCCCCGTATGCCTCTCTCCCACAGCTGCCCAGGGCATGACCGCCCCGACACCAGATGAGACTGCCTGCGGTGCTCTCCGAGTTGAATTATATAGATGCTCTGCCCAAAACTGCGGCGCCTATGAGCGATTCCCCCGATATGGCGACGTCTGGCGCCTGCTGGAGACCCGCCGCGGCCGCGTTGGTGAATGGGCAAACTGCTTCAGCATGCTTTGCAGAGCACTCGGCGGCAGAGTCCGTTGGGTATGGAACGCCGAGGACCACGTCTGGACTGAGGTATACTCGGAACACCAGCAACGATGGGTCCATGTCGACGCCTGCGAAGAGGCTTGGGATAACCCCCGCCTGTACACCGAGGGCTGGCGCAAGAAGATGTCTTACTGCGTAGCCTTTTCTATCGACGGTGCTACAGATGTTACCCGAAGATATGTCCGCTCCAGCGATGCTGCCAACGAGCGCAACCGCTGCCCCGAGCCAGTTATGTTGTGGATTATGCAAGAGATTAAGGAGCTCCGTCGTAGCAACATGAGCAAGGATCAACGCTTCCGGTTGGAAAAGGAGGACCAGAGAGAGGACCAAGAACTCCGTGGCTATGTCGTTGCCTCTATTGCCCAGGCTGTGACAGAGCTTGTCCCTGGTTCTCCCAACGGAGCCACCCTGACGGCTGGTCGCGTCCTTAGTGGTGCTGCCCACGATACCAAGCTGCCTGCTGAGCAGCCTGGCCGCACCAATGAATGGGTTGCCCAACAGCAAGCCCAGAACCCGCGCTACCAACCGCGAGATCCTAGCCACCGTCGCCAACTGCCTTAGAGGAATGAGCGCTCTGTCTACATACACACATATATATCACAGACAAAGCGACAACTCCTAAGCGCACACGTTTGCCACGGCCTGTCTAATCACTCTCATATACATGACTCTACCACATTAATTACGACTCACTCATCGCGTTTTCCTTTTTTCTTCCTTTTTATCACATACTCTGCAAAACAGTATTTGCATCCACTCAGCGCTCCCTCACCCCTCCGCATAGCTGAGTCTGACGATTACGAGGCTTCTCTCGTCACAAGCCTCAGCCACCTGTCGTCTTGTACATGTCCGATTTCATATTTCTCATTTGTTTCTGGATATAAGAGGGGAACAGTGGCGCATATTTGGAGATGTGCGGCCGCGGATCGGCTGACACATACTCTCTGGTTGTTTATGGACCTGGGGAGGGACCGCGGGTTGTCCCTCGCCCTGCTGGCGTTACGGATGGTTCTGTTAATATTTTTTTCATCCTTCATTATTTTACTATGTTAATTACTCTGCCGCGTTCTTTACGAATAGAGAATAAAAATTTCCTTGTCTTCGGTACTAAACACTTCGTTGTTCCTACATTCATTGGCTTTGGTTTGATAACACTGCCCGGTTTATTCCGTAACCCTGAGAGGCTGAGTATGATAGTTTCCTCTTCGCTTATGGTTCAATATTGTGCTTTTTGGCAAACTCTTGGCCCACCGTATCCATCTCGGCACTCGTCAAGGTATCCTGGTACGTGCTGCTGCCTTCCATGGCGAGGCTGAGGCATGACGCGGCAACGTTGGCGTTTGGAATCGTCGGGAGAGCAATGGCAAATTTGAGAATGCCCAAGAACATCTGCTGTGCGTAACCTATAGGTCGGTCTGACGCCGTAATAAAACCCGGTTTGACTACGAATGCCTGGAGCCGGTCGCTGTGCTGGCGGCCGTACGCAAGTGTTTTCCTTTCCACTTCGCCCTAGGTTCATCGTGTTAGTTTCACATAATGACAATAGTGGCGTAGACTGTACTCACTCGCAACACGCTGTAATCACCCATTATCCATGGCTTCTTAGCCGGATCGCGGGCACTGTTGGAGCCACTCATGTATATAAACTTGACGGGCTTTTTGCCGGCAGGTCGAGGCGCAGATGTAAGGACATCCAGGCTCGCCACGGTGTAGTCGTAGCAAATCTCTCGAATTGTCTCCTGTGACATTTTCTTCAGGTCTCTAGGGAGAACGGCGACTGTCCTGTTTTACATATCAGTGATCTACATACTATTTTCACGGGGAGAGTACGGCCACACGTACCAGATACAGGCATCGGCGTCGAGAAGCTCCGCCTTGGCCTCTTTGGAGTAGTTCTTAAAGTCAGGAATAGTAAGCGCCTTGAACTTGGAGGGATCAGCGCCAGGGAGAAGCTTTTCAGGCACTTTGCTCTCGCGGCGCGCAACACCAACAATCGATGTGATGGTGGGGATGGACAGCGCCTGTCGAATGACTTCGGTGCCAACAAAGCCTGTGGCGCCAACAACGAGAATCTTCATGATGTTGTAGATTGCAGTAGAAGGGATGTATAGATTAAATCAAGATGCATGCACAAAATACAGATGGGCAAGATGGGCGTTTATAAAAAAAAATCTATGTTTTAGCTCTGATCTAGTGTGAGGCTGCCGCTATCTCCGCAAGCTCCGTCTGGGCTGCTGTATATGTCCGGATTGGGGAGACACACAACAGGCTGGCGGCACAAGGCACCGAAATAGCTAAGGTATCTCGGCGAGTTTTGAATCATAATTACATCCTCTATTGGACAAGCCTTGTTTCGCAGCTGTGATGGTACTATTTTTTTATGGCTTGTGCACAGCCTGTGTGTGTGTAAGCAACCAGCCAGAAGCCTGGTTGGTGCTTGACGCGCTCCAGGTCCCCTCCAGGCTGCGGCGCCCCGCTGAGAAGCGCGACCACACGCGACGGGTGCCACCTGCCAGCCACCGCTCACGCATCGAACAATCCGCACACTGAGACACTTCAATTAAACCGCACCTATTCACGTCACTACCGATTTTGCACCCTGCGGTTCAAATATCGTCCTCTTCCTCCCTTTGACCCCTCGGTCAACTACTTCCTCGCTTCGCTTCATCTTCTCAAACTCCTCAATACTCAGCTTTGGCAACGCACTAATACCATCATCGCCTCTTCTACTGCATCAACACGCGTCCAACTCTTTTCTTCACTACCAACCAACACATACATCTTAACAATGGCTCTCAAGCGCAAGCGATCAATGTCCGAGATGACCTCGTCTACCGCATCGTCGCCATTCAGCTCTCCCCTCGGCCAAGACTCCATCATGCTCAACTTTGGCCCTCGCCCATTCGCTGCACCAGCCCATCTCAACAGTCGCACAATGAAGCGCTTCCGCGATTCGCGCCCCTCAGAAAATGAGATTCACCGTACGTTGAGCTCGATCTCCTAAGGTATTCTGTAGATTTGTGCTAACTTATACGCTTCAGAACGAACTCTCAACATCCTCTTCCAAGCGCAGCAGCAGCAGTCACAATACCCCGAGTCTGTCTACGACGCAGCTCAATCGCCAACACCTGTTGTCGAGTACCAGCCGCAGCAACAGCAACAACAGCAGCAGTCCCTTCATAGCTTCTGGAACATCAATTCCAAGCCAACGGCCACAAACACATTCGAAGTGCAGCAGACAATGTCCGGCACAAGCTGCGAGGACTGCGGCGCCAACCTTGCTTCTGGCTCTACCGGTGACGGCATGGACGTTGACTCCTTTGGTCAGACTTCTACAGCCTGTTCTGCCTGTGGAAAGTTTGTCTGCTTCAGCTGCTCCGTAAGCAACCTTGGTGAGCAGAACCGATGCTTACGCTGCGCAAAGCCTGGCGCTTGGCCCGAGACGAATGGCTGGTCCCATTCCATGTTTTAAGTTGTGATGAAAACTGGCATTTATCGTATATGGGGGGTATTGGACTACTTTTGCAAGGCGTTTTGGAAATGGTTTTACTTTACATATGGCGTTCCAATCAGCGGGGTTTGATGATGATTTCATGTCAATTAAGTTTATATTTATTCAGCGTTGCCTAGGCACTATCAAAGCTTAAGGTGGCGTAAATTTCAAAGCAGACAACAAATCAATGTTGGTTACCAATCATTCTTGACTGTGACGGATTAAACCCATAGCCGCCATTCATTTCTCCCGATTTTAAATTAAAAGATGTAATTCAACGTTTACAAGGAATTTTTGCCCCCTAAGAGGAGCGAGTTCGTACCAGCAAACGTTGTTTAGCCACGGCGGCGAGTAGCAGGGCTCTTCTTGGGTGTTGCGCTAGAAGCACCAGCAGCCTTGCCCTTGGCCTTGGCGGGAGCTGCCTTGCGCTTGCCTTGGGCCTTTGCGGAGGGTGCGTTCCAGTAGTAGACCATCTGGGAAGCGAGAACCAAGTTGAGGGCGAAGCCGGCAATGAATCCGTAGAGAATAAGTTTGTCATCGACTTCCTGGAGGGTGGTGAAGATGCGGGAGAGAGAACCAGCGAGGTAGTTGAAGACCTTGGAGAGTTTTAGTACCGTGATATACCTCCATGGTAAAAGGGCAATACATACCGTGAAGGCGCTGAGCTGGCCAGTGGTGCCAGACTGGAAAATGGCAACGATTTGGGGAAGCTTGCTGGCAATGCCGAGAACTCCAGCAACAGCCTGGAGGTAGCCGAGAGTAGCCATGTTGATGGAGTGTCCGGTGAAGAGAAGCGTGGCGGCGGCAGAGAGAAGACCAATGAAGAGAGCAGCAAAGGCAGACTCGCCCGAGTATCTGAGGATCAAGACGGAGATGATGACGTTTTGGGCGAGGATCAGGGCCGTCTCGCCGTACGTGCTGAAGGGGAACTCATTGCGGTAGTTGTAAGCAAGAGTGATGAGATAGGCGACGGTCTCGAGCAGGTACGAGAGGAAAGAAATGCCCTCTGCGGACTGGGAGTTGACGAGCTTCAAGATCTGGGGGACCTTGACAATGGAAGAGGCACCGATGATGCCAATGCCAAGACCCTTGCTGACACCGTACTTGATGCACTCGACATCCTCAATGTTGATGTCGTTGATAAGCGACTGGTAGCACTTGTCGCCAATGATGGAGATGCCTAGGTCCTTGATAGGACCAGGGAGGTTGTGTGTAATGGGCTGAAGAATCGATCGAACGGCGTCCATGGTGCAGATGTTGTTTGCGGAAGAGCGCAAATCGAAAGTGTGTTGAGGAAAAGGTTGTGTTTTTAAAGTTGAAGAAGAGAAGAAGAAAATATTTGATGCAAAGGAGTGTGTGTGGCCAGTCTGGTCCTGTTCGTTGCAAGGGTTTTGCGCTGTGCTGTGTGGGAAAGCTCAACGCGACGTGGTGTTTTACGAGAGGAGCTGTCCCGAGCTTGCTTGCGCCAACAGTGGATTTAGGGGGGGAGAGGGGCCGCCCGTTTTGGCACATGCTTTCAGTGGGTTACCCCAGTTACCCTACAGGCATTTTTGTCAATGGAATGTAGCGGCGCTAGTGCTGTATGGCATGCTATTTGTTGAGAAGATTAGCGTGATTATGCTTTGAGACTGTTGATGATATTCTTTGTATTTCTTTGTCTTTGTTAAGGATGTTCAATCCTCTCTGTCGTGCTTCTGTACTGTGCTTTGCCTTGTTCGTGTTAAAGGCAACAGTGTAAGTTAGTATTCGGCATGGCCCGCTAACCTAACTGCATGGAGTACAGTACGTACACATGGTCTCCCGCGGCCCGCCCCAGAACGATACGTTTAGTTTGTTAGATTGCCATCTCGTCTCTATCCGCCTCATCTGGTTGCACAGCATCCCATCACTCCATCTAAGCGAACCATTTGTCTCTCTGGCCTGTAAAAATAGGAAGCCTTATTTCCCTCTCGCGTGTTGCGCCCGGCCGCCGCATTGGGCTGTGCGCACGTGTCAAGCCGTGACTTGACCGGACTTTTTGTTTGCCTGCCAGCTGCCAACCAGCCGCCAGCCGTCAGCCCAGCCCAGGTGCCAGCGCAAGGCAAACCGCCGCCACCGCATGATCCACCGTCTTCCCTTCTTACGAGCTGCCTGGCCTAAGCGATCTTGGAAGAGCTATACCAACCGTGCCTCTGCTGATATATCATGTGTACTATGTTTTGCGTCATATAGCAGGACTCTACTCCGCGCATCTTCTCGTCCTTGGTACCGGTCTTGGCTCCGTAGCCTGCCCCTCCTGTCTCACGTCAAACTACAACGCCGAAACTTGGAAACCGTCCCCCGCTATTGCTCAACACCACCGCCTTTTCAGCCTCCAGCCTCGCAATTGGCTTCTCGACATCACAACCACCGCCGGCCGTCGAAATGGTGTCATCGGCCAATTCTGAAGCGAGCCCGGGTGCGGTTATCCAATATGCCTACATGTTTGAGGAGAACAAGCGGCCGACGAAGCAGCTCGATGCGCTGCTTCGTGCCATTGCTAGATATATCGTATGTCGATGACGAGAGCACACCGCTTAGTCTTATCATTCCAGAAAAATGAGAATCGGGTTCCTAACATGTGTATAATGTAGGTTATCGAGCTGGGGGACAGGCAAGAGTTGCAGTTGACGCCCCGAAAGCTCGCCGCGTTTTACAAGGCCGTCGGCGGTGATTATGATTGTAAGTTTGCAATGACAATCTTGAGTAACAGGAACAAAATAACTAATTCACATTGTCACTGTAGCGATCTTTATAGAAATGCCCGAAGCTTCCATCTCCTATATTTGGCAAGTGACCGGCTGCCAACACAGTCTTCAACCTGGCGATAACGACTTCAAGCCGCCGACAGTTCCGGCATTGACACCTCGTGGATTTTCGCGATGGGAATCCGTGGAAATCTTGTTGGGGCCTGAGGAACATGTACCGTATATGCAGTTTGCAGCCAAGAATTGGGATCTGAGGCATCCAGAAACTGGCGAACGGTTCCCCGCTGACCTGCCAGCTGACGTCTTTCCTCGTACACCTGACGTTGAGGTAGACCTTTGGCATCAAAACTGTGGACGGCGGGTTGCCCAAGAGGCTGCAAGAGAAAAGGACGAATCTATGCGCAGGGCGAGACCAACCGAGCCGACTGAGCCTCGCTATGGTCGACCCTCGGCGCATAGCGCGACGCCGCCTGGACGGCCACGATCCGACGATTCCGACTACTTTGGGAGATCGGCCTCCTACACACATATACCAGAGCGACAAAATGCTACGCGGGCACGGCATTCACGCTCTCCAGAAAAGTCGGCAAAGCGAAGTCCATCAGAGGAACGAGCCAGGAGACGCAGCTTTTCTGACTTTTCATCTATCCCGCGACAAGAGGAAGAGCGAGAGAAACCACTATATGACCAGACATACCTCGATCCTTCCGATCGCAGGCCACCACAGGGCCGGCGCAACAGCCATCCCCGACGATATTCTACTTCTGAGGACGAAATCCATCTACCGGCAAGCATGTCTGATCGCAATAGGCGTCGCCATCGCGGTACATCACCACCTATACCTTCGATTCGTCGCGTGGTGCCACCCGCTGATGCGGGCAGCAAATCTACACGACCCATCAGGACTGATGTTCGTTCAGACGATGCAAGGCGGTCTACTGGATTGAGTCCGCTGGGCAGTCTGCGACATAAGCTCAGTGAAACGGTTTCCAGTATTCTTCCCAATGGGTTGGCCTCAGATCGATCAAAGCCAGCATCACGCCACCACGCTAGCAGCGAGCACCTTCGTCCAAGACGTAGCAAAGAACAGTTTACATCATCGCGTCTCAGCAAAAGCTACTCTGATGTAGATACCGATGACGAAATAGTAGACGATCCTGCAGATGAGCTGCGACGTCGCCGACGAAAGGCTACGGAGGATAAGGCGCGAGACAGTGATCGCGAACGGGATCGATATAAAGACAGAGGAGATCGAGAGCGCGTGAGAGACTCGGACCGCGAGCGTGATAGCGACAGAGATCGAATGCCTCCACGAGACCGACAACGCACTCGACGACCTGACCCTCCACGAAGAACCAGTAGCCACGCAGATGCAGATCGGAGACGGGATGCGGGACCCTGGGATATGTCTTACAGGGATCGTATGAAGGAGGAGAGACGAAGGTGGGACAGGCGGCCGTCGGCAGACGACGAAGTGGACATGGCTACCAGTGCAATGCCCACTGGGAATAGGCGATACCCAGAGCCAAGCTATTCGTGACGATGGGGCATATGACTTTTTTACGACATGAAACGATGCAATGATGATGGTGAGGCAGCGAGTCAGACTGATCTCGACGTGCACAGTTAGAGGAGCCGTTTTGCCTTGCGGCGAGCGTTGACTCGCTAGAGTATGAAGCAGCAACGAAGAGATGCCGTTCGGCACATGAGCTGAGGCGCGAGATAGCATCGGCTCCGGGCTTGGCTATCGGAGCGGCAGCTGGCACAGGGGGCTGGCCACGTTTCGATGGCCCTGGGTGCGGCATCTATTTTCCCGGCCCTAACGACAAACCTGTGATGCCATGGATGGAAGAAATGGAAGAATATGCGCCTTTGGAGGTGTGTGGTTGGCTGGCTATTTGCCGGAAACTGCAGATCCGGTAAACCGGGTCAAAGTCGAGCTCGCGGCTCCGGCAGGCAGATGGTACGGCTGCCAGGGGACGAAGCTTGGCTTAACGATGCAGATGCATAACAAAGGGGGCGTTATTTTGTACATATTTACGAATTCAATATGACCATACAGTTCCATTCTACATTCTATGCCGTCTACGTAACTTACTGTCACATCTTATAGCTGCAGTGGTTTTTAATACAAAGGAGCCTCCCAAAGCGGGACCCGTTGGGGGCACCCGAATGGCACGATGATGATGGTCTTGCCCACCATGCATGGCTCGGGGAAGCAAACGAAGAAGGGCAAAGGAACAAGCCAACAGCCAACAGGCAGTGGGTCGTGTGTTAACTTAGCAGCAGGGAGCACTGTTGGCATACTGTACTGTACTTTGTAATGAGCTGAGGTGCTCTTCTGGTGCTGCTACTGTAGTAATTTATTATGGACCCGTAGCGTAAGACTAGTGGTGCGTGCGGCGGCGGCAGATGAAGAGGCTGACTGACTACAGTAGAACTGGCATGGAGGAGTTTCGGGATTGGCAGCAAAAGGATTGGGGATGGGACAAATGACGAAGGGCGGCGAACCCAAGACGAGGAGGAGTTGCCAAGACAGAGGGTTGGATCCCAGTAGAACAAAGACAAGAAGAGGCCTGACTGGCTGACCCCCTCAAAAGAAGAGACAAATCAAGAAATCGATAGTGTCACGCCGAGAAATACTGCACAGCGCTGTGGTGTGAGTGAGTGAATGCGTATGGTGTGAGCCGTGCAAAAAGTGGCGCTCCCTGTTTATCTGCGTGTTTGGCGATGGTGTTTGTACTGCTTGCTGCAGGTCATTAGCGTCGTGTGTGTGGCGGCTGCTGCAGGGCAAGGGAGGAATTCCCATGTCGCGAATGTGATTGACGCTGGGGGAACCAGGGCCACTGAGGAATTAATAATTACAGGGCACATGTGCTGCAGTTCATTTAGCAGCAGCAGTAGCAGCACGCACTCTGGTTGACGTGGCCTACATTTTTACAGGGCCAGAAGCCTAGAAGTAAAACGCCTAACAAGAGAAGAAGCACAAACAAGAAGCTTACTCGGGGCTGACATGCAGGGCCGCTTGCCCACCAGGCCTGCAGAGGAAAAGGGCGGCGAGGTTACTCACTAAAACGCTACGGTAGCGTCAACGATGGAAACATGCAACAGTGCTTAAAAGCTAAAAAATGGGGGGTGGATGACGAACTGCTGGGGAAACACAGGCTGTCTGGTGGGTGGCCAACAAGAAACGGGCGCTGAACCTAGGAGGATGCGAAAAAAGAAAAATGCAAAACAAAGAATGATTCTGAATAGCAGTTACATACTACTTTTTTGTTCTGTTATCTATTTGCTTTTGCGCTAAGTCTACTTAGTTGATTTGCTGGTGGCACGATGTGTGCATGTGTGTGCTTGCAGCAGTGTCGTATCACCGGCCACTGTAATAGGCGGCATCTGTACTGCTGCAGTTCTTCCGTTCAGTCACTGGTTGTGGGGGTGTCGATGCCAGGGGCTCCACTGGTTGCGCAGCCACTCAGGACGCAGCACAGCGCCATCCGGGTCGATGGCGAGCTGCGTGTGAAGAATGAATGGATGAAACGGGCGGTGGCGGATCGGGGCGCTGGCTGTATGCAGGAAGAGAAAAAAAAAAGAATTGGACAGGATGGAAGGAAGGATGAAACCAAGGAAGAAAAAAATAGATTGGAAGAGTAAATCAACACCAAACACAGGGAGTACTAACCAGAGTGATGATCACCCTCACTACTCCATCTATATCATCTATCTATCTGCCTTGGGCGATATTCGGCCCCTAGGAAACTCTATTCCCCTCCGGCCCCCCTTGCCCTGGAGATGGCTTTCCCCTGCTCGGCAGTCTTCCAGAAAACTGCACCACTATTACTTCGTGGACTACCAATTATGCCTAACCTACTAACTGCTGCGGCTTACTTTGTATGCTTACCCTCCCACTGGGTCCCCCCGGTTGTAGCCCACCCACCCCGCTGCCGGCTTTTTGTCCAGCGGACGTCGAGTACCAAGTAAGACTGGCTGCAGGGCTCTCCATCCGCTAACGGGGCAATTTACAGCGGCCTTCTGGGGGGATGGGGACCGTAAACACCCGACCAGGGGTGGCCGTGGCCATAGTGGGTGCATGTCACTGCCGCCCGGCACCTAAGACAAAAAAGAGGGCAGCCACCCAAAAAGGTACCAAGCTGCTCTGCTGTTGCTGCTGCTGCTCACAAGTGAGACAAGTCGCCTCTTCTTCAACGCGTCCGCCCTTCCTTCTTCTCCAGATAATCCCACAGCAGCTTTGCATTCTTTGCTCTGACATCCTCCTCCTCTTGCACTGTTACTCCAACATCGCCAGCAAGCACTCAACGTCGCATAGCCTCCAACCCTCGCTGTATTACCCTTGGTAGTAATACAACCTGGCCACGGCTTCAATCCCGGCTCACGTCACCGCCACCTAAACTAGGCCTGCCCGATAAGCATTAACAGCCTCAAGGCACCCGCTGCTTGCCGCCTAAAAAAGACTCGCAGTCCGCACTCGCCTGACATTTTGGTTTCTTTGTTCGCAACAAGTTACGCAAGTGGCTTCCGATAGATTCTTCCTTTTCTTCGCTCGACCCATTTTCAACAGCGCTAGATCAACCGCTGTAAACCACTCAACAAAAAACCAACAACCAACACAACACACACCAACTCAACACCGCCAAGATGAAGGGCCGCTCTGTCGACGAGATTGTCTTTGACCACATGTTCCCCAAGCCCAAGGTTGGCGAACCCCAAAACTTCCAGGCTTTCCTCCAGCGTCACCTCATCCCCGAGGTCCGCCAAGAGACACAGTCCTTCTATGGCCACCTCGACACCCAGGAGGCCAAATATCCCGGCCTCGACTACTCCCACCCTACCCATCGCCTCCGCCTCTCCCGCTTCACCTGGCACCGCCGTGTCTTCCGTGCTTTCGACACTCTCGGCCTCACCAAGCACGAAATCGCTACACTGACCCGCTGGGAGGGCACCAAATGGGCCAAGGAAAAGTACGAGAAGGAGCAGGGCATCGTCATCCGCGATACCACCTCCGACGGCTTCCCTAACTGGGTTGAGCCTCCTCAGACTCTCCGCCCTATCCGCCCTCGTTCACAAGTTAGAGTCACAACCACTGTTTACACCACAAGACGCCATGAAGACGACAGCGAGGAGGAAGAGGAAGACGAGGATGAAGAGGACGAGCGCCCTATTGAGGAGAGCGACGGCGAGCTTGATGGTGTTGAGCCTGCCGAGCGTGCCCGTGCTGCTACTCCCAGACGCGAGACTACTGCTGAGCCTGCCTCGGTCGACGAGGAGTGGGAGCAGTGGCTCAAGAACGCCATTGAGTCGGGTGAGCTCACCGTGCTCACCGAGCAGATGACCCAGCAAATCTTCCGTGCCTCATCTGGCTCATCGCTGATCCCTGCCGCTCTTATTCCCCAGGAGATGCTTACCCTCGCCCGTGCTGGCCAGTGGACGGAAATCCCCGACTTTATGCACCCCATGCTCCGACGTGCCATCCGCGGCGAGAACCCTGTCCCTCGCAGCATGGATGGGCCCATGATGGCCTACACGTCACGCAACCAGCTCTCCGCCGATTCGCCTGCATCCCGCGTTCGCATGGCTAGCGGCCGTCGCCCGTACTCGGATCTTCGCTTCGCTGCTGGCGGCGCTACATCTCAGACCGCCTAAAAGTTATCTACGCCTTTTGGTTGTCATGCCAAGCTATCTCATTTGCGTTGGCAATCTCTCATCGACAGTGTGCGCCGCTGCTGGCAGACAAAACACACACACGACCAACACTTTTATTACTTTTTATTCACCTTTAAAAGCTGCTGAATGTCGCTTTTCAAACCTGCACATTATTCTCTTACTACAACTTTTGCAACGACTTTTGCTGGCATACAAGCCACATTTCCATCCATCGCGTATTACAGCATCAACACGACACGCTTTATTTTATTCTTTTTTTGGGTTAGAAGATCCCTCTCAAGTTGGTTATTGGCGTTTTCTTTTTGCTATTAAGGTTGGGGATTGTTTTGCTTTGAAATGCACTGGCCGCGACTATACATGCTACCACTGGGCAGCGGATAGACGATTCGTTTCTTGTTACAGAAAAGGCTGAGTGTCTTTTCTTTTCTTTGTCTTTCTCGGAGTTCTTTGCTCTTTTCGGTCGTTAAATTTTTTGGTTTTCCCTCTCGGCGAGGATGATAGATATCTGAATGATTACTCATTTCATCTCCTTAATCTGCAATCGAACTACTCGTCTTCTTGTGAAGTGTTTTGAACCAAATGAATATGAAAAAGAATTGTCAAGTTAATATCTACCGTTACAGTAACAGACAGGAGGAATATCGTCAAGAAACGCCATGCTAAAATATACAGCCAAGTGACTAAATGCAACAGGTGCACCCTTTGGAAAGGTGCCACTCCTTTCACCCACACCGTAAAACGCCGTCATGTATAAGAAACAATGGAGAAAACGAAGAAAACAAAGAGCAGTGTGGGCCTGAAAACTACAGCCAGACTCTGCTTTTCTTTTGCTTTTGCGTAGAATGCCTTACTTTTCCGGCTCGAGATGGGACCACTCGGGAATGAGGCGGATTTGCTGCCACATGAACTTCTCGAGCTTGGTCGCCGATTTCGCATAGGGCGTAGTCTCGTTGTTGTACTTGCGGCAGTTGTTGAAGACGAGCTGGGCATCGTAGATGAACTCCTCCGGAGTCGCGTACTGGTCTGCCTCGAGCTTGTTCTCCATGGTGCTGAGGTCCATGGGCTCCTTGATGACCTCGTAGTAGTCTGCGACCTCGTCGCGGTCGACGGGCACCAGGAAGGGCCACGAGGCATTGTGATTCTGCAGGTCGTTGAGCAGATGCAGCAGCTGGTTATAGTTTGGTCCGTGGCGGGGCTGGCGCGCGAGCTCGTCCATGTCCGGAGACCACCCTGAGGCGCGAATGGCCGGGATATCGAGCGGGTTAATCTCCTTGATGCCCGTCTTCCACTCCTTGGGGGGCTCGTGGACGGTGTGCGACTTGGAGTAGGCGCGGATCTTGGCCTGGACGCACTCCTTTTGCTTGAGCAGCATGCGCTGCGCCTCGAGGTACCGCACGCGCGGCAGCATCGAGCACTGCATGATGGTGCCGCCCTCGTAGTCCTTGATGTAGCCCATCCACACGCTGTGCGCGAGCGAGATCTCCTTGGTGAACCCTTGCTTCTTGAAGTAGCCGATGGCGCCGTTGTCGGCGTACGTCAAAAAGTGCATCACCGGGCTCGTGGCCTTGACGTAGTCCTTGAGATGTGACATGAGGTATGAGCCGTAGCCCTTGACTTGCTGGTCGGAGCTGATGGCGAAGAAGACGATTTCGGCAAACTGGCGCGCGCGGAACGGGCGGAATGTCACGCCCCCGACGACCTCGAGTGGTTTCTTGACGATTGCGATGGATATGTGCGTTCGGTCGTACACTAGACGCGCAATGTACCCCTTGGGCATTTCGGGCAGCTGGCGCTGGAAGATGCATTTGAGGCCTGTCAGCACAATCAGCGACTCGCGGTCGCCGTCGTTGTTGACTACGCGGAATTCGATCTCGCCGTTTCGTTCTTCAATGGCTGCAGGCTGGATTGTGCGACAGGTTAGTTATATATGATTCAGCGTGGGAGAATGCATCCTTGGCCTACCTTTTCGGGGAACGGTATGCGCTTGAGAGGCTGGGCTGCGGGCTTCTTGTCGCCATCGGCTTCGGCGCCGTCCTTGTCATCAGGCTTGGTCTCTTTGACGTCTGTGTCGTTTTCATCGCCATTTTCGGTGCCATTGGTAGTGCCGTTTTGTGTGGGATTGTCTCCATTCATCGTCTCGTCGCCGTCCTCGCTGGGCTTGTCGCCGTTGGTGTGCTCGCCGTCGGTAGGTTTCTCGCTCGCATCGCCGTTGGTTGCTGGCTGCTCGGTAGGTTCCTCTGATCCGCTATGCTTGATGCGTTTCGGGGCTGCTGGCGACGTAGGATCCTCGGAAGCTTTGCGCTTTCCATCTGGAGGTGTCGAGGTTAGCAAAAGGTGATACGAGGCGTGGCGCGTTCAGCAGCCAACATGCGTTGGGCGGGGGGATTGGCCACTCACTTTCTTCCTTGACGTCGACCATGTCGGCGACTGGGTCGGGCGTGGGCGACATGGCTGAAGATGGGCACGCTGCTGTGCCCTTTTTTAATTGGCCGTGTATTGAATTTCGCTGCGTCGTCGCGAACGTTTTTTGGCCGTGGAGGAGGAAGCTGAGTCGAGAGTGGTAGTCGGCTCCGATCGCTTGGAGAAGACAAGTGGGCCCGATCCCCTTGCTTACGTTATGCACCGGCGCGACTGGTGAGTGGGTGAGCGCTGGGAAGACCACGCATGCTTTAAGTGGCACGTAGCTTGAAGCCACTCTGCCAGCTCCCCTTTGCGCAACTACGACGTCGATACACCACCGCACCGCTGCCCGACTCACGCCGCATTAATCTCACAATTGGCCCATTGGAATCGTAACAGTCATCTGCACTTTGAATCGAGGACAACCCACAGCCCTCGACCTACCCCCCGTCCCCCATCTCTTGTCCTCAACCTCCTACATGGATTCTTCGCTACACGAGGTCTGGCAAGCTGCGTCAGGCAACCCATTCCACCCATCCATCAGCAAGGACAGCCAATTCTACATTTCCTTCCTTCTTCTGTTATTTGGAATCGCCGTCACTGGTGTTTTCGCTCTGAGTATGTGGTGCACTGTCTGCTTGCGTGCTCTGTCCATTGCAACTAACCTTTACCTTCGCAGACCGATCTTTTGCCAGTGTCATCGCACTCGGTATTCCCGCTTCGCTAGCTATTGCGTATGTTTCCAATTATACACCCGCTACACCATCTTCCGCTAACCAATTGATAGATTCGGAGTTGTGTATATGTTCTGTGCGGTCGGAGTCTACGTCTAAGATACCCCTCAACCCTTCCCTTCCCTAGATTCGGCACGACCCCGAATATTGTACAATAGTTGAACGCGAGAGATACAAAAAAAGAGGCTTCTACTACGAGCCAGATACACATGATTTTATAAACAAAAGTTTCACACCAAAAAACACATAACCACATACCAAAAATTCAGACACACTTCAGACATCATGGTCCAGGAACCGAAGCCCATCTTCCGGGCCGTGGCCACGTCAACACGACCGCTTTACCAGCTTTTACGATGCATTAACTTTTCACCAAGAGTGCACGTTCAAATTACAGAGGACGGCATTCGATTCGCGGCAGACCACGCCCGCGTTATGCAGGGAGTGGCCTTTCTGGACAAAGCCCTCTTTACATCCTACACTGTCAATCTACCGGAACCCGATGATGATGCCGATACTGCAGAAGTATCCAGCTTTCAAATTTCGCTGTCTTCGTTTTTGGAAGTCTTGCAAATTTTTGGTGCCGTTGACGTTGCTACTCGAGCGCAGAAGGCGGAACAGGATCCGTATAGAAGTAATATACGAAACTACCGCCCAGATGCTTTCAGCAACCAAACGCTAGGCATTTCGGGGACGTGCAGTCTTGTGTACGGAGAGACTGGTGATCCCTTTAGAGTTACTATCGAAGAGTCTGGCGTCAAGACTACTGCCAGTCTCAGCACCTACTTGCCCGAGAACCCGGAAGACATCCCGTTTGATCGCGAGGACCTCTGCTTCAAAATCATCATGCCGTCGCGGTCTCTTCTTGATTCCCTCTCCGAGATATTGCCAACAGCCCCGATTAAACTTGCGTTGACGGCAACCAAGACGAGCCCATATTTGACTTTGGCTGGCCGAGGAGACCTTGGAAGCTCTGGCGTGGACTTTGCACGCGGAAGAGAGATCTTGGAGACGTTTAGCATCCGAGACCGGTGGTCACAGACATTCAAGTTTGATTTCATCAAGAGCTCGACGGAAGCCATGAGAATTGCGACCAAAGTGAGTCTACGAGGAGACGGACAAGGCGTGCTAAGCCTGCAGTTTATGGTGGATATGGAGGGTGGCAAGCGAAGCTTTCTTGATTTTCGCTTTGTGCCCTTTATTGCACAAGACGAGGACGAGGACGATGGCGACGACGCTGCTGCAGGTAGCGATGCGGATAACAGTTAATCGGATGCTAAAGCTAAATATACATGATTTGTTCACGTCTTACTGTGTCGCCGTAATTGATCTGTGTGACCGACTCTTACTCAGTGACTGACTCCCTTGATAAGGCTGCCTGCCCGGCTGCTGCTCCAACAACGTCAGGAGACCAGCCATGCAGACAAAACACTGTCACTTTGAATTCAGGGTGAAACAGGCGTTTCTAGCGCAGCACCAGGCACAGGCACCACCCGATTGTGTGCGCCCTGGCGAAGCGTCATGGCGTGGATGTCAGACATGCGCAGCGGCACTGGAATGCAGGAGGGAGGCAAGTAATGGGCCAAGCAATAGAGTAGGCGGGCTTGGCAGGGTCAAAGAGGGAAATAAATAAAACTTGCGTCGCACTCTAGGCAAGAAGGATGGCTAAGTCTGGCAATAGGAGTATCCTTTGTTTGCATTGCACCACCTCAGTGAGACGACATTATAAGCAGAGTGTTTGCGGATGCAACTGTGGCTATAAGCGCAAGACGCCAGATCTCACAGAGACCAACGACGGACAAGAACAAAAAATCCCAGTGGAAGCAGGTTTCAAAAATCAAACTTCAATCGAAACAAAATAGAAACACATACAACCAGACAAGATGATGGAACCAATGAGAATGGAGGAGGTGACGAGCTATACGGAAAAGGCGACCTTGGCCACGCAGTTTCGCGATGCAGAGACGCTGTCGTGGTCCACAGCCTTCATCGAGTCCCTGAGTTCCTGGTTCACAATGTGCTTGGGCCAAAGAAACCACAGCTACTCGGAAAAGACGACAGACACGGCACGGCCGTCTGAATCGATGAGAGCAGACGACTTTAATCTTCACCACGAGCCTCTGTTGCAAGCAGCAAGTATGCCGCGGATGCCACAGCACGCAGCGTCTTCCTTTCTCAAGACAGGGACATCCCGAGGGATGAGAGAAGCCAACGCCATTCTATAGCCCAGATGCTATTTTTACATTTTTATTTTCTATTTAGAGATGGGATTGTTTTGCGGATACGGCCGGGGCAGCCGAGGCTTGAGACGAAGATAGCATATTGTTTGGCGTTTTATGGCAGCACTTTGACAGTGCCTTTTTGGGAAACTGGCCGATCCAGTGTTCTATTTTGTTTCTTAGCAGGCGTTTGTAATATTTTTTTCTCGTTTCATCTATTCTATTTTTTGCATCTATATTAAACAAAGCGGCACTTGGACGTGAAGGATATATTGCCCGAGCTGATGGCGATGAGGCGGGCACGGATGGGCCAAAAATAGCCCTGAGGCTTCGGCAGCGACAGAGCGCAGGCGCCCCAAGCAACTCACTAATCCCCGGCCAGACACACACAGAAGAGAAGACTCACTAACTTATGGGACTAAAAGACAGGGCGACGCAACGCAAGGCGAGTGGAGCAGCGGAGAAGAGCGCCGTAGGCTCGTTCCAATGCGCTGTCAAACCCGCCAGAGCCATGCTCCAGCGTTGCATCGGGGACCACTGCAGCTGTAGCCTCGCCCTGCAGTAATAGCAGTAGCAAGCAGGTAATAGCACCACCGGCTCGCTGCACCGCGTCTACAGCCAGCCTTGAAGTTGAATGAACGAAGCAAAGTGGGGGACGGACTGTGTACTAACATACTCTGTGCAGCAGAGGACGTAAAGGAGGGTGGTTGGCAACGGTATTAGCCGGGGAATATATCACGATGGCGTCTTAGTAAACGTCTACAGCAAACACGGCACATGAGATGTTTGCTCTGCTCGGCGTTTAACTGAGCTTGTTGGCTGTATGAAAGGCAGTTAGTGTGTTGGTCGTGTTGGTGGGAATAGTGGCGGCCACCCTGCGAACCAAAAAGCACACAAACCGTTTTAACCTACGATGCCCATCGCGATAGCAGCTTGCAGCCAGCCATGTCCACTGCTATCTCCCCCCCATTTCCCGCAATTCACCCTTGGCCGCTAAACTATACCTTACGAAAAAAAAAGACACTTAAATTTAGCATCATCCCGTTTCTTCACCCTGGCCATTGACAGCGACAAGGTGGCCGGCGGACCAAGACTGAGCAAAACGAGGCTTTCACTCACCTACTCTGGATTTCACCGATGGCGCAGCGCGGTGGAGCTTGTTCCCAACATGCACAACGCACGTCCCAGCAACCACAGCTTCGGTACGAACCCTTTTGGGCCAAGTAGCGCCAAGTTGGGTTGGTGGCTGGAAGCCTGAGCGTGTGGTCTGTCTTTCGGATCTCGCTGCCCTTAATTTTTTTCGTACTCTACACTGGGGCGCCTGAGGGATGCGGCCGACGACGACAGCTCACGTCGGAGATAGAAAGCAAGGCAGCAAGCGGATGGGATGGCAACACTAAGAGATGAGCGGGGGAAGCTAAGGCAATGGAGACCCTGGAATAGCTTCCGATGAACGAAAAAAGACGAATTAACAAAGAAATCAAAGTCGGCTGCTTCGCTTGTCTCGCCACCCCCAACAGCGAACTGGGAGGGGGGGATGGCGTGAGGATTCGGTGAACGGACGGGATCTCCTCAGTTGGCGGTGTCTGTTTTTGTCTACGGACGCTTTGCTGGTATAGCGGAACGGTAAACACCGGTGGTACTGTATCTTAGCCACCCTCGGGGGCCAATTCATGCCTTGATTTCGCGTGTAGTGGTTTGTGTTTCTTCGCGATGTGGCAAGCAGGACGACCCAGCCGACGGACAGGAACCCAATGCATGCACGTCACAAGCAGATTGGGACCGGAACATCACATATCATATCGCAGCCGCGCTCGCATCGTAAAAGCAAACATTACACAAAAACAGGAAAGGAGCGCCGGCTGGGCCGTGCTGGATGGGTTGGTGCATAACGCCATCGCAGAGCAACACATGAAGCGGCAACGCAAAGGGATTGGTTTACAGACGCGGAAGATGGGCGACCTGGCGTGTCTACGAGCACACCATTGGAACCGAGAACATTGCGGATTGGTCTATTGTTGGCCGTTGGGGGCCTGCGTGTGCTGTTGGTTGCCTTGATATGGATATTTGTCTACGGCGAACAGACTCGGACCAACCTAAACTATCAATTGGAATACAATTCTTCTTTTTGGTTAATAGTTTGGAGGCCAGTGGTAAATTCATTCTGGGTCTCCCCTTTTTTGAAGGGATCTCCTTTCTCTTTATGAGTCGTGTTTTGTATTTTCGTTGAATTGGTGAACGTCACTGATATCTTCAAATAACCAATTTCCCAAGGGACGAGCGTAAACACATACACGCAAAAAGTTACAGGCGTTCTACAGTGGCCTTGGTTGCCCTGGACTCGCTGTACGGTACACCACCCGCCTGTGCTCAGTGCTGTGCCCGCCCGCCCCAAAAAGAAAGTGCAAGCTCCCCTTAGCGTGCCGTTAGCACAGGCTACAGGCGTCCACCAGCACCAGGCTGGCTGCTTTCCTGGCTGGGAAATGCCCGCCAAAGCCCAAAGCAGCGCTAGCGTCCAGCAAGTGGATGCACTATATTTCCTAATTGGGGAGCACCCGCGGTGTGGCGTTGCATTGTCAGCCAACCACACGTGTGCGTCTCGTCACCAGGGCCCAGTTTTCGCCTGCAGTCTCGCGAACGGACCTCTTCTTTTCTGCACCTGCGTGTCTCTTTTTTCCCTTTCTTTGCCCTGCTACTCGCAGCTTTCCGCTCTTTCGGTAGCCATTGCGTGTGTGTCGACGTATTCTTGCCTTGCTCATTTGACCGCTGCTCGATGCTACGCTGTATTTCTCTGGCCTGCGGTTGGTCAGGTGTCACACCCCTCGCAAACCAGTCTGTCGGGTTTGGTTTTCTCTTCGCTCATGCTGATGATGAAATGCTGCGTTGGCTCGAATTGACTCGACTCGATGCAATGCTAATGCTCCGCTCCGCTGTTTTGTACTACTGCTACTGTTACCACTAGTTGTACGAATCAAGTCATGATTAACGACGATTCCTGACCCTCCGCCACCGCCCATCGAGCATTCCCGCTCTTCCTCTCTTCTTGGCTGTGGCCGATGGCTCGCTATTTCTGATGGGAGGCGTCCGCCTCGGTCCACTCAACAAGCACCGCTGCATCCGCGGCACCGTGATGGTGGCGCCGCCTTGGGTGCTCACTCGTCTCGGACCAAGAGTCTTCCCGGTGCTGCCTGCATTAGCTGCGTGGTGGTGCAGAGGCACAAAAGGTAAAAGCCGTTTCGCATGCCTGGTTGTTGTGACGCTGCAAGGGAACTCTGCGTGTGTTGCTTGCTGACGGGGGTGGCCTGCGATGTATTGGTTTCATGAATGCTTTACTATGTCCTAGTTTGCTGCTAACGAAACAAAACAGTCGCCGTGAATTAGAGCCAGTACTATGGGCATATGTGCCTTATGAGAAAAAGAAAACGAGCCTTCCACAGCACAGTATGCCAAAGAACCACGCACACATACCAATCGTAACTAGACTACTACACATTCATGCAACCGAATCATGCCGTCGCTTGTCCCCGACTCAGGACGGATCAACGATCGCCCCCATCAGTTCTGAATAGTCATTTGACGGTTTGAAATCATTGTAGACCTGGCGAGGCTCGTTCCCATCGTCTTGCCCTACAATTCGGCCATTTTCCCATCACGGAAACTTCGTTTGGGCGGCGATAACAGATGCAGGCGGACTCACCGTCCCGCTTGAAACAGTCAGCCGCAGACGTTTAGGTTCGCACACAGCGCTGCATCGCTCAGCACAGTATACGAACAAGAAACAAGAGGCGGTTTCTTTTACACACTTGCAGCGCCCGCTCACACACGCCACACACACACACACACACTCTGCTGTTTTGTGCCCGTCACTTGCCACTGGGAACGGGCTCTCATTGGTTGTGCCATTTTTGGAAGAGGCTAAGTTAGCGCAGCCAGCCGAACAGCCTCATCCTTTCGCCCAAGTTGGGACCAGCGAAGTGTGCTGTGCTGGGACGATCGGCACGCTAACTTGACATCGCGCACACCACCCCTTTGCTAGGCACCAAACGACATGCCTGGGGAGATATGCTCTGTCAAATTCCAGCCCTAGATATTTTCATGTTCAAGAGGGTTCTGCCTAGGCGGAGAAGCAGACATGGGATCTTGTCCAGGACAGGGATCGCGTATCGAAGGCCAAGTTAGGTTATCCTTTTTTTAGATTTCGATGGAAGCAAGTCCGCTATGGTGTGTTGTGCTCCCTGTCGCCTGAAAGAAACGCTCCTCAGCGGGCGCGGCATATGCCTCATCGCCCAGTTTGCAGCTGAACGGCTAAGAAAACGTTCCTGTTGCAGCGCCCAGTGGTAAGCAGGGCTGTGCGTTGACAGGACAAGCAGCCACCGAACAGAGGCGAAAAAAGGAACAACACCAGCAGCACCAGCAGCTCGCAACAGCCTGAGAATTGACCTCGTCCCAGCCCGAAATTGGGGACAGCCTAACAGGGATCCGCCTCCACCTGGAGCACTATTCTCACGCCAACTTTGCCCATGCGCGCCAGGCTATCGGTCAGGTACCCTGTCAGTTTCCAAGGCTCGAGCGAGCAGGCTTTGCACACTTACTGGAACCTGGGGTAAGGGCCACTGACCATCACTCCGTCGGGGCGGCGGTCTGAGAGCGCCCACCTACTCGCCTTTGCGGCCCCCGCCCACTAGGCTGGACCAAGGACCAACAAAGGCAAAAAAAGACGGATGGTGGTGGATGGCCGCCTACTGCAGCACAGGGTCCGTTCGTACAGGGCTCCCGCAGGGCACCATATTAGGTTCCCTCGCCCAGTACCCTCCTTCTCGTCTTCTTCCTTGCCTCACACCCATCATTCACCTCTCTTTGATATCTGTGATTCAAAAGCCTCCTCACGCTTCTTACATCTAACAGTGGCTTGAGGTCATGGCTTATTAGTGTTGCTAAAAGGTTGTGCAGTTCTCTTCCCAGCTGCACTCCAATACTCATCTCACCAACCTCGCTCACTAATACTCTCTCTTCGCCTCGCTTGTATCTGCTCGCCTCACAGCAAGTATCCAGAAACCATGGCTTCCAGCATGGATCAAATCTCTCTTCCCTCGTCTATTGGACGCTTTATTACTCACCGCAGAACAAAATCCAGCGGTAACCCCGCCGGCCAGGACACACCCATCGCCAACACATCCTCCCCAAATGGCAAGGCCTGGCTTCCAGTTGTTAAACGCAAAGCAGTACCATCACCTATTGCTGTCCGCAGACTTACTTCTCTCACACCACAACCTTTCTCGCTTCCTATCAGCCGCCCTCAACCTATTACACCGGACAACTTTGAGACGTACTACCCTCGCAACAACAGCGACAACGCTTCCATCACATCAAATGAATCCGGAAGCTCAAGGTATTCTTCCAATGCATCATCGCCGGAACCCAGCCCTCAAAGATTTAACATTCCTGGTGCTATGCCTCCTGCCAGACCAGCCCGACCAGAGCAGTCTCTCTACGAGACCGCGGAGGAGGAGCTTCTCCTCAAGTCTCCCATGGCTCCTAGCCTTAGCTCGCCATCAAGAACTCCCCCTTCAGGGAGTAGAACTGATTTGGACATTATCGTTAGCCCTCTCTCGGACAACAGCAGCCCTACAGGCATCGATGACATCATCACTCAAAGATATGAGACAACCGTCGAAGGACCCGCACCTACCATGGTCACCCACTCCGTCAAGAAGACGAACTATCCTCCCGCCATTCCTACACCCTCCTCTACCACATCTATTAGCCGCCGCCCATCCGTAAAGAAGCCAAAGAAGGCTCGTGTTTCCCTCCGCATTGGCCGAACTGCTACCCAACGCAGCAGCAGCTCACGCAAGAAGTCAACAAAGAAGAAGCCTGCCAAGAAGATTGGCGAAAAGCTGGGCTGGCCCAAGCGATTCAATACCAAGGCTATTCGAATTACAGTATCTGAGAGCGTCTCTGATCTCATTAGCTCAGGTCGCTCCAAACGCCCTGAGAGCCTTGTCTTGGATGAGACGGCCGCTGCCGCCGCCCATGCTGATTACCTCAAAAACGACATTGCCGAGTGGACAAGAGAATCCCTATTCCTTGAGACTGGCAAATGGCCTATGGACTCGAATAGACCGTCACCCCTTTTCAGTCCCAGCCCTGGTTCTACCCTCCCTGTTCCTCAAGACACTTTCCATCTTGAGGAACAGTACCCCCGCAACCTAGCCAGAACTGCAGCCAAGGTCAATGAAATTGCTCCAGCTGTAACAGAAGTGCCTCCAGTGGTACCTCCCAAGCACAGCCGACCGGCTGCCACGCCTGTCGCCTTGGAGCCTATGCCCGAGGCTAAGCCTGTGGTTGTTGAAACACCTGTGGCTGTCCCAGAGCCAGCGAAGCCTGCTGAGCCTGTCGAGACCTTCACAGCTCCTCCCCCTCCTGTGAAGAACCCAGCTAGGTTTGCTGCACGCATGAACATGACACAGCTGCCTACGATTCCAGAGAATCTCCTGTCACCGACCTCCACCAAGCTTGGTGCATTTTCTCGCCTGGCGTCTGTTCATGGCTTAAAGAAGGCCGGTCCTTTCCGCAAGGGTACTCTCCGCTCCCGCGGTACCGTGCACCTGATCCCCAGAAAGAAGATTGGCCAGAACGGCGACGTCAACTGGTCCGAGTTCCAGCTCGCTATTATGTGCGGTGCTGGCGACTTGATCTCTGGTATGGCTGAGGATGAGGCCCGCGAGTTTGCAGATGACATGGCGGACTGGTTTGACACCTTTGGCTTCGACTCTCATGGCGAGCTTGTCCCAGACGATCTGGAAGAAGACGTCACTTACATCCCGCTGCTCAACATTTCCTCTGGAGAGTCGAGCGCCTCTTCCATTGCTTCTGACGAGGTGGACTTCCCCATCCCCGTCAGCACCTTGCTTGAGGATCATATTGTCGGCGCCATCAACAGCCGATCCAGCTCTCCCGACTCGGACTACTACAGCTTTGACCCTGAGTCTCTGGTTGGCCCTGAGAAGCTGACCGTATCCCGCCGGCTTTCGTCTCGCTTCCAGATGCAGAAGCGATCACGAAGCGTATCCCCGGTTGAGGACATTGAACCTGCCCAAGACTCGCCCATGTCTTGCAACATGAACAACGACTTGGGCCAGTTTTTGGAATGGAACCCCTCCGCCATGTATGCTGCTCCTTCGTACGAGTCGCCTGACGACGTGTGCGTTGAGAACATTTGGTAAAAAGGAATTTGTTAACATGTACAAAGAGAAATGTGGAATATGGACATGGACATGGACATGGGTGGAACACCTGAGCATTTAGAATTGTTGTTTTGATTTATTTGATACCCAAAATTGCATAGCGAGCTGGCGACGGCTCGCGGCAAGCATTCACTCCGGAGTATATTGGCCGTGCTTGAAGCACCACCTGGTCTTTTATTTATTTCCTTTACTGTCTCTGAATATTAACCAAATTAAAAAATCATTTTATCCCCGAAATGGTGCAAATCTTTCTAAAAGTGATTGTGATGTAACAGCAGCCTGTAAGCCAGCGTCTAGTTTGTAAGGCAGTGCTTTTCCAGTACAGTGCTAACAGGCCCTGTCACCCGCTAACTTGTTAGTGGACTTAGCGGGTGGTGGCGGCGGCCCTTCCTCCCGCCACTTAACGCGTTTGCTGCGCTTCTTCCAACGACATGGCATGTTCCCTTGATCACGAACACCATCTACGCCCGTTGTCACAAAAACACACACAAAGGCATACACAGACACAGACACCCTCGAAGTAAGCATGCTCCGCCGCCCACCCACCACCATCCAAATCACAGCTGAAGACGTCGCCGGCTACGAAGACCGCCGCGCACACGAAGCTCTCGCCGCCGCCCAACAGGCGCGTGCCGCAGCAGCTGCAGCCAAAGCCGAGCAACAGGCTCAAGGAAACCAGCAACAACAAGCCATGGAAGGCGTCCAGTCCAGCCCGTCGGCGCAGCGAAGAACACGCGACGAAAGACTGGGCGTCACCCGCCGCGCAGGCAACCGCACATGAAGCAGCAGCAGGCTGTCGTTCCTTGCACCACTACGGGGACCAATATATTACTCACTCGGCGGGAGGCTGGGACACGATAAGCGGGTAGGTTCACTGCCGCCTCGCTTTTTGCTCTGTTCTGCTCTGCATGTGAGCGGACGGCGTGGCTTGCATGCACAGCATATAAAAAACGGGCGGGTTCGGCGAATTCTTCTTTAGCGGTTTACGGCTCTTGTCCTGCATACGCGGCACATGGACGGCGATCTAGAAGAGCCAGGACGCCAAAAATAGCAGGGCTGCTGCGGGCGTTCGGGGACATTTTTTCGTGGATGCTTAGTATGCACGTGGACAGGCAGGCACGGCGGCTATATCTGCGCGGGCGATGGCGTCAAAGCAGTTTTTTCTTTTCGTGATATATTTAGAAGAACTGGTTCGCTTGGATGAACCACGTGGAACAGCCGACGGATGTACAAGGAGTGTTCGTGTTCGCTTTGCTGAGGGAAGGGATCCAGCCTCGGGGTTGCGGAACATGTTGAGAAAAAAGAGCCTTGTATTTCATTGTACAGATAATAGAGAAAAGAGAACAGAAACTGACTAGTTGAACAAGACAAAATATGTCACGGCAATGCAATACCCGCCGTCTATGCAAAAATAAAATACCACCATCCTCCCCTTATAAAAGTGTATACAAAAAGAAGTCTCAAGCCCAAACAACACATGGGTTTCCGTTCCGTGTAATGAAGAAATTATTATGCAGCTTAAGCAGCTTCTTTTTGAGTCTTCTTGTGCAATAAATCCAAAATTTTTGGGGAGATCTTAGCCCTTTCGTGTCAGGTATACCCAGTAGAGCACGACGAGCCACGACGTTCTCCAGGTGGTTGTCCAAAGCTCACGGCCTAGGACGCCAATCGCCTGTCTTCCCTTGCCCGTCTTCCACGTCTTACCGCCGTCGTAAAAGTCATTGTCTAGGTTGATGCGGGGGCCAGCGTTGTCGCCAGTCCATCCCCAGCCGCGGCCGCCCTTGCGGTTCTTCTTGGATGACCATCGCGCCGAGCCGTTGGAGCTCGATGTCGCAGTTACCGACATGCGGCGTGCACTAGACTGATACGAGTGTGAGCCGTTGGACAGTGGGGGATCCATCTTGTCCTTGTACATGGGAAGCGGGCTGTTTTGCTCAGGCTCCAGAGCAAACGGTGTCAGGTGGAGGATGGGCATAAGCAGCACGCGCGCGGCGAGGAGGCCCAGTGTGAAGATGCCGAGGAAGATATATGTCATGTATGTGTGGAACTGGTTCGGAAGAAGACACAAGTGCGTTTGTAGCGTCTTCTTGGGAGCCCCGGAGATGGGCTTGCCGTGAGCGTCAATGGGATTGTACATGCTGACCATGAGGAAGCCAGGTGTGGGCACGCCCATCGCCATGCTGATGCTCTTAACGGTGATTTCGCGCACGTTTTCCTGGCTGCTGTCGTGCTCGAGCTCGCAGTAGTCGTGGTCGTCGCCGGAGAAGGCGTGTACCACGTTACCGATGCTCTTGAGCAGCTTGACAGAGTCCTCGGGGTTCAACACGTTTTGGTACTGATAACCGGCTGTGACGGTGATGGCGTTGCGGTTGTCAGGAATAACAGGGCCTGTCTGGCCCTTAGGAGGCTTCGTAGGCGGCCAGTGCTCACGCATAGGGCCGCAAGGTGTACCCGGCTTGCGATAGAGCGGAACGTGGGTGAGCAGAAGCGTGGGCAGATCAGGTGCGTCCTCGCCGGGATCTCGAAGCCAACGCGAGTTTTCGACATCCTCTGTATTCTCTACTTTGTGATCGAAGCGCATGTCGCGGTCAATGTCGTGCCACACCTGCAGCTCTTCTTGTACCATCTTTCGCTTCGTTGCCTTTACGTCCCGGAGGAATTTGTTGACGGGACCGTAAATGGGTTCCAGGTCCTTGCTATCTTTGTATGTCGAGGTGTCTGCGCTTAGCGATACCGTGTCGACGGATACGATGGAGTGGTTGCCGATAATATCAACGCGGTTAACGTCTCCGAAATGTGCCTCGAATCGGTCTCTGACGGCCACTTGGATCTGCGCTCCGAAGCCGATATCGTGGTTTCCGGGCAAACTGGCCACGAGCTTCTTTCCTCGTTGCCACGGCCGTGTTGAAGAGCCACCGTCCTTCCAGTTATCGAAATATATGCTGGCGAAACGTTGGTATTCGCGGATCCAATAATCCTCGCCATACCGGCGGTGCCATGTCTTAACCCACGCCTTCTCTGTAGCAGATCGGTCGTAGCCCCATTTCGGGTCAACAAAATCTCCATGTGCGGTCTTCCACTCTCTACCGCCGTCGAATAAATCGCCTAAGAAGAACAAGCTGTCTGGCTGCAGCTTTGACTGCAAGGCCTTGTATCCTCGTCGCAGGTAGTTGTCGGTAATCGTGACGGTAAGCGACGACAGTGGCCACGGTCTGCCGGGGTATGAGTGAGGGTCGGTAATTTGAGGATCGGCAATAAGAATAAGATGATGCGGCTGTGCACCTTTGGGCTGTAAAGACGGAACATTTAGAATCTCGTGTCAAGCAAGCGTAATTGCAGTGTTTAGACTTACCCATTGCTCCCAGTTCTTCCACTCGCACCGTTGCACCTTGCTCTCAAACACCCACGTCTCGCCCCAGAGAAGTATGATGACCCAGCAGCCAAATAAGAAATGAGGGAAGCTCAGCAGACGTCGCGCTGACAGATTCCGGCGTATATGATGAAGAAGCGTCGCTGCTAATCGCCGTCCTGGTCCATTGGCCCACGTCCATGATCGCTGGCCAAGTCTTGCGCCTGCAAGCTTCAACTTGCGTTCCAAATCCCCCGACGACATTATGATTCCATTACCAGGCCGTGGCGTAGCGGTATAGTCCTTTCGAAGATGTGATGCGGCGGCAGCTCGCGAGTGCGTAATACGACGTTGCGGTTCGCTACAAAGACCGGCAAAAGAGTCGCTAGACAATTCAAAGAACACGCACTACTCTCAGTCCGTGGCTCCTACAGCACAAATCAATGTCACTGACTTGTCGCGGATGCGTAGGCTTGTTGTCGGTTCAAGCGCGCGGGTGATGCGTTGTCCAAAGGTTCATGGTTCAAGGGGTTGGAGATCCTGATGGGATTCCCCACCATAGGTGGAAAAGGAACGTGGTCCCGCCCCTGACCACGACCGCAGCAGCGGGTCACGCCACTATAAAAGCGCTGGCCACAGAAGATGTACGTGTATTTTGGCACAATGAGTTGGAATAATAAATCAAGTAGAGTTACTGGTCTATTTATGTTCTTCTAGGGCTGATAATAATACTAATTGTTACAATTATGTTCGTGGGATTAACCAAAAAAATGGTAGTTACACCCGCCTCCAAAAATAGCCCAGACTATCCCTGCTTTTATACAAGAACATCCTAACTAAATCATATTGTGGCGTCCATCATCCGTATCCTCTTCGTCGCCTGCCGTGTATTCAGATGCTGGAGGAGGAGGAGCAGGCTCGGTCTTCTTCTTCTTAAAGCTGAGGAATCTTTTAATGCCGCTCGGCTGTGGTTCAGGAAGCGTCTCGTCTCCCTCTTGATAAGTGTACTGCAATCGCGGGACAAGCAATCTATAGGGAACTGTGATACCCGTAGGGTCCTTCGGGTTTACTTCGACATTGAGGCAGATGTCAAGGCCGCCTTCCACATCTACTTGTGAATTCTGCGGCTTGCGAAGCTGCTTGGCTGTTAATCCAGTCGGTGTTCGGTGGAATGGCTTGGTCATGGGATCTTGCTGGTGAGGCGGAAGACTACCCAGAGTCTGTGATCGTCGAGGGGGTGTAGGGCTGAAATATGCGTCATCGCCCTCCGTGTATTCGTCATTGACGCTTCCATTGGTTGGGAATTGATCGTGGCCGTTTCGGGTATATCCGCTTGGCTCGACAGAATGACTCTCGCTAGCTCGGCGACCAAGTCCAAAGAGGCCGCGTTTCGAACCAGACGAGCTGCCTAACGACATTGTCCTAGTCAGAGTGGGTTGCTGCTCGTGTCCTTGGCTAGTCGAATTCTTGCGAGAGAAGCGTCGGAAAAGACCACCACCACCAGAAATTGGAGGCCTTGGGCCACGGACAGATTCTCTCGACATATCAAAACCTTGTGATCCTTGTTTCTTCTGTGAGAACCGTCTAAAAAGACCCCCACCCTGCGACGAAGGAGAGGGGCTTGAGCTTCTCGATGACGAATCTGGGGGTGTCGGTGGAGGCGTATCACCGGGTGACCAGACTCGGATCGAACACCAGTTTCGATGAGGGAGCAAGTGCTTATTGTTCCTTGGCTTCCCATCAACGCCATGATGGAACATGGGAATCATGTTTTCGTCCGTGTGGCGATCAAAATGATGGACCTTGTTTCGTTTATTCAATACATCTGCCATCAAGTCGGGCGGTGGTGTGTTGACAATGGCCGACGATATAATATTTGGCATATATCTCGGGTCCTTATGCTTGACAAGCCCAAGCTGTGGATTCGAGTAGAATTGGCCAACGGCAGCCAGATGCACATCACCACTATCTCAACGTTAGCCAATTGCCTTCCAATATTCTATACCAAGTGTTTTACATACCTGAGTAGTGTAATGCGAACAGATTTGTCCATGGCAAGATCCTGCAAATCTTCCATAATGATACTTCGTTCGTGCTTGTGGTTCTTAGCCGTCCAATGGTCGTTGAGATCGTCTAAAATCTCAACTCCTCCGTCAATGTGATTCAAAACATTGCCCAGCATGCCTGCCTTGCCCAGAGCTTTGACAGGATCCAGTAGACGTGAGGTTAGGATATTCTCAAGCCAGACAAGTCGTGGGTAAGCGATAGGAACTCCCATAACGACGAGCAAATGGTCGATTTGGCCCAGCCGAACTTCCGAGTAGAGTCGATTGGTAATCTTTTCCCACGTTTTATCATCGACAACGGTGTCTTCGGTACGCTCTGTACGGGTATCAACCGCTAGTAGTGCCACTTTCCCGCCCAAGGAGACAAAGACGCTGTGGCTAAGCTCCTTGATGTAAGGACCTGGATTGATTCCCATAATCCAACTTGGCTCTGTACTCTCGGTTTCTGTCATGACGCTTTGATGCTGGAAGAGCATGTAATACTTGAAAGCAACGGATCCTAGGCCACTCATCACCGGTGACTTCATGTCATGGTGAGGGTATGACCCATATCCATCATAGACATCATGATCGTCATACATGTTGACCATAGGGATTTGTGACGTTGCCAAACCGAACAAGCCCTGCGAAAACCACATGCAATACCGCTCGAGGTAGCACTCTTCAAGCTGGTCTTGTAGTTCGGGGGTGAATGATGCTGTGTGCTTCTTGACTGGGTTGCGAATATCGAGCCAGGCGTCAAAGAGCTCCGATTCGCTGGCAATGCAATCGTTGTAGATTTGGTCACCGCCTCCGACCATAACATGGAAGGGTTTGGTTTGATGGGTGTTCAACACATCTCTCCACATGGGATCAGGTCCTGTGAAATCGTCCGGGTTGACACTCGCGCTGAACCCATTACAGCTATGGAACATAATGTTCATGGCTTCGCCTTGCGCTGGCACCCAGAAGCCCATAGCAGGACCACGATTGATGCGGTATGCGACGCGCTGCTGTTGCTCTCTCAACTCAACCTCAATGTTGAAGCGCCAAAATGTGCAACCGCGCTCTGCATGTAACCGGAAGCCACGAATATCTCTGTACTTCTGTACCTTTTCGCCGTCTACACCAATGCGCTTACGACGGGACGTAAATGAACCTGGTAGGTCGGCGGCACCATCCAACGGCTTTTCGTCAGAAGATCTGTGAGCTTTTTCAAAGAGCCCATTGTCTGTCTCATCTCGTGAAATATCTTTGCCTTCTTCCAGCTCTTCAACAGGACGAACATATAGTGTCTCACCGCGTCGGCCAAGCTTGGGATGACCGGCAATGGGGTCAACATATTCTGGCGATAGATCACCTTCGACCTTTTGGGGCGGCGCAGGAAGAAGTTCCACCTCTTGAACAAACAGACGCAGTATGGGGGCGATCTCATACGATGATTCCTGGTCATTTGTGACAATCATGACACTACCACGCCAAATCTCCCGGTCAGAGGTCGATCCGACTCGCTGCGTTCGAGGCGGTCGTGCCTCTCGCCGTATTCCACAATACCGAAGGAGCGGGCCACACTTGACATACAGAGGTGGTTTAAATCTAGTAGACGCACCCACAACATCATATTCGCCATCAAATGCCTCAGCTTTGCGACGAGTGCTGCTCGACTTGCTGGGCCGACGCGTTGGCTCCTCCCACCAGGCCTTTCTGTCGCCGGCGTGCTCATTTATGTTTAGCATGGTACCAGAAAGAAGTCCGACAGTTGCCTTCTTCCATTCGTCCAACCACTGAGGTGGGTTGTACAGACCGTCACCTGGTCGATAACTTTCAGGGCTTTTGAAGATAAAGTTGGAGATGTGATGGCCATGCTTGGAGGTACCGGTAATGGTTGATTGCTGTTGCGGCGAGAGCTTTCTGGAAACCGGAGCATCAGATACTACATTGACGTTTGGTTGGGATTGATTGACAGTGTGTGATTCTTGCACATTTGTTGGCGAAGACACTGAGCCAAATTCATCATACGCAGGTTCCACTGCTCTCGCAGCCGCTGAACTGGCTACTGGCATAACTGCCTGACGGTCGATGGCGCGCTCATCCCGAGGGAGAGGAGGGAGTTCCTTCTCTTTAAGCAGGTGCTTGGGCACTGACAGGATTTTTGACGAATCATAATCGTCGTCATCGTCATGATCTAAATATTGCTCGACGTTCTGGTATGCTCTAGGATCATGGACTTCATCATCTCTAGCATAAAATGGTGGCTCATGTCGCAGGGGATGGCTAACTGATCTGACTGGAGCATCTGTGTAGCGTCTGGCGTCATATTGAGTCTTGTCTGCAGTCATTCGGATCGGTGAAGCCAACTTCTCACCCCTCGCAGCTCGCGCTTTGAAGCTCAAGTTTCGTTTGGGAATACCTGCATCGGTGTTTTCTGGAATATCTATGCGTGGGAGATCATGAGCTTGCCTAGAAGCGCTGCTGATATTTCTTGTTGGCTCGCCGACCTCCCGTCGAGGCTGTGATGGCACAGAGACTTGTTGAGGAGCTGCGTGTTGTCGACTGCGGCGGATATCAAGAACTGGCTCTGTTCGTTGGAAAGATGTTTCCGGTAGAGACGTTTGCCTCTGTCTGGGGACGGTGTGTGGGATAGCCTCGATAGGGAATTCCTCTGGGGTTGCTGCGGCTGCTGTCTTCGAGGCCTGTCGTTGTCTGGCGCGTTGCTCTGCGGCTTGCATCCGGGCTCGCTTCTCTTCTTTTGTCATACTATCGAGCGTCAGCTCAAGTCTTTGGAGTGGTGATCGATCTGATGTTAACTTTTTGCGGCGGTCACCCGTGGTATTTGTAGATGCTCGTCTGGGCTGGCTGCCAATGGGGCCTGGTCCAAGTTCCGGGTATCGCTGAGGAGCAGCATTTCCGCTTGGTCTAATATAGTATTCCGCAGGTGATCTCACGACCTCCCCAGCTGCATTCGCAGAACTTCTGGGAATAGCTTGACGGATGTCGTCACCAGAAGGGTAGGCGTATGTATTTACTGGGTGAGCATATTGATGGGCGGTTGCCTGCGCTCCTGGAATTTCGGGTGCCTCAGGAGGAGAGATGATGTCTTCGGATCCCCTTACCGGAGGAATAGCATGTTGTTCAAAGCGTTGGGTTTGAGGGTAGGGCCTGCTGCCACCATCAATGGAAGTGTTGCGATTGGCGCGAGAGTAGGAGACCGGTCGCGGCGCAAGGCCGTGAGCCTGCACAATTGATGCATCGGGCGACTGCGGGCTGAATGTTGATTCTGTAGGTGCTTCGGTATGTGTAGTCTGCACGGAGGCTCGGTTAGGTCTGCGGCCTTGTGGTCCGTCTATCGAATGCCGTTGGTCAGGTGCAAAGCGCTCGTAGTCACTGGATGTTCGCCGATGTGCGTACGGCTTTCTCCTGGGAATATCTTCCCATTGCTGAGAGGCCATTGTTATGGGTTGGACTTCGTGCTTTCGTGGCTGTATCAGTGAATTGCTGGTATTCGAATTGATCGACGGTTCTGGTGCGCAGGGCTTCAACAGCTCAAGTAATAGTGACGTAGAGTTGATATGAGCTTCGCTCAAAGGTGGATGCACTGTGTATACCGTGGTAGATGGAGACTCTTGATTGAACAATAGAGGAGTTCAAGTCGCGCTATTGAGATATTCGAAGAAAACAAAAGCACTGAAAAAAAAAAAGATGACGGCGCAGCTAGGATGGAGGTTGGTGATGGCGTTGCTGGGTTTCGTCCAAGTGGTGGAGTCGGGCTGTGGTAATGCGAGAGACCAATGACAGGGAGTACATCAAGCCTTCCTGCAGTGACAGACTCCACAGTGAAAGAAAAGACCTTGGTATTGCTTGCTTTGAAAAAAGCGGTCGAGAGATGGAAGATGACATGGATGGGTCGAACGGGGTGTTGGGCAGCGAGGCAACGTGGACGTGCAGCAAAAAGAGGTGGCTGGAAAATGAAGGCGTTGGAGGTGTAAGAGATTAAGCGTCAGCCCCAGCGGACGGATAGGCTGGTTGACGAGACACGGGATACATTAGCTGTCTATATAAATAGGTGGAAAATATACGATGCCGTACAGCTTGAAACCCGAATAAGTCGTGATACAGGGTATTTTATTTGATTGTAAAACCTCAGGAATGCTGATGCGCAACGGCCAGAGAGCTCTGCTACGGGGCAGGTGTCACCTAAAACCCAGCCTTCTTCGGGCCGCATAGTGAGCCGCTCCAGCGGGGCCACCTCCGATTCAGCGCTTGTTCAGGAACGAGAGCTTCCACTGTCATACACTACGACGATTTGGTTGAGCGAAAGGACAATAAGAAAACAGGGAATTGGATAAAAAAAAAATACATAAAAGAAGAGAGTAGTCAGTGCTCAGGCCGATATAAAGGCGAAAAAAAATTACAAGCAACGGCAAAAAGAAATGCTCGAAGGGCAGTGAGAGACTTGCTCCTGGCAGGGATTGAACCTACGACCTTCGCATCACCGAGACTTGCTCCTAGGAGCTAGTATTAGTACGACGCTCTAACCAACTGAGCTACAAGAGCCATTCGAGCTGATTACCGACAATTGCTTGTAGGCGACCGATGTTTTACCGCCCACTTATTATTATTTATAATCCTTTAGCCACTCACTATCGAATTCAACGAGTCATCGACTTGGCTCTCGAAATAAACTGAAGCGTAAATTCCGGTGCATGAGATATAACACCATTTGAAATTAATTCACTTTGATTTAAACATGCCCCTGTATACCCTAACAATCGCCGAGTGAAGTTCTATTCTCCTGCTGGCCTACCGCTATTTTATAAGGGCGTACATGGTCGTAAATCGTACCATCGAGGTATTTCATATCAAGATACTTGAAACAAATATGAATTTATAATTTTGTTCTATATCTTCTTATTATATGTAAAGGCGTAAAAACGAACCATGCAGTGTCAATTTCAACTTACACAAGAGCATTCTGCCTTATAATTGAGGCAGCCCCACCCAAATGGACGGCAGCCACACTGGACGTTTTGCCTGATAGTTTTTTCTGCCACTAGTTGTGCTTAGCCCATTACGAACGACCTCACGCCTTTTGCATTTCCTCTGCTTCCAAACCCTCCTCATCTCCCTCCATCCCCGCCACGTTACACCTCTTTGCCTGGAGCAAAGATTCTGCGAATCGATTCCCATCCGAATAAAAGTAGTCGATCTACTTCATTTATTCGCACACGGACGAGTATAGCGGTGTCGTACAGAGTGCCCCGCGACGTCTCGAAAGCAATTTAAATTGCACTCCCGCCCAATAGCGACAGCAAGTCTACCATATTGCAGAACGCAACAGCAACCGCCAAAATGGATGAGCAAGTCGATTTGTCAACCATTCCCATCGATCCCAATGGAAAGGAGGAGGCTGGTCAGACCGACACTGGCAAGCCTGTCACCGTCTTTCACGACAAGGATAACTTCAACGTCAAGCACCCCCTTCAGAACAAGTGGACTCTGTGGTTCACAAAGCCTCCCAGCGGCAAGGTACATATCTATTGATATGAATCCTCACTATTTCATATGCGCTAACATTTACTCCAGGGCGACAACTGGAATGATTTGCTGAAGGAGGTCATTACATTCGACTCCGTTGAGGAGTTCTGGGGTGTCTACGTACGTCTTGGTTGACTTGCGTCATATCCTGACTTTTTAATCGCTAACATCGAGTTTAGAACAACGTCGCCCCCGTTTCCGAGCTTGCCCTTAAATCCGATTACCATCTCTTCAAGGCTGGCGTTCGCCCCGAGTGGGAGGACCCCCAGAACAAACACGGCGGCAAATGGTCGTACCAGTACAAGGAGAAGCGCTCTATTGATGTCGATCGTTTATGGCTCCAGGTTATGATGTCCGCCATCGGTGAGACTCTGGAGGAAGAGCATGACGGTGAAGTCATGGGCGTTGTTGTCAACGTGCGCAAGGCCTTCTTCCGTATTGGTGTCTGGACACGCACCATTGGCAAGAGCATTCCTGGCCGTGGTGATGGCGATGTTGCTGGAGGAAAGGGCCGATCTAACGAGAAGGGCCGCGATATCCTCCTCACCATTGGCCGCCGCTTCAAGGAGGTCCTTGAGCTCCCCGCCAGCGAGCAGGTCGAATTCTCTGGTCACACCGACAGCGCGCATTCCGGCAGCACCCGCGCCAAGGCGAAGCACGTTGTTTAAAGGAAGAAAGTGGCCGATGTGGCGTATATCATTCGCTACGAAAAGAACCAATATCAGCAGCTCAACCCCCCGCATTGTTTTTATATGTTTCTTTATCGACCTTGAGTACTGGCTGGAAAGGCTGACGCCCTATCTGTGCGGGGGTGAAAATTTGGTCCATCACAGCTGATTGCATTTGTAGAAAGGCAGTGGGACGTGCATTGCTTGGTGCAAGTATCACGGCGGCGTTGCTTCGAAGCTTTGTTTTCTTTGCGCTCATGAGGACTTTTACGAAGAGATGTGGCCTCTCAAAAAAGTTTAGCCACGCTAAAATAGATTTCTAATTCTCTTTTACTGCTTATTACATATACTGTTGCTTCTGTTTTCGCAGGAGATGTTCTAAAAAATCATAATGCTATGCTAATGCCCTGTAGCCTGCCGTTGTGCGGTGCATGCCAACGCGTGTTTGCATGGAAGCGCTTACATTTCATCTCCGCTATGCTCATCAATAAAGATGGAAGCAACTAGCTGCTTCTTATTAATCTTACCCATGGCGTTTCGTGGGATATGCTCCACCACCTTCATGACTTGGGGGATCTTGTAGTTTGCCAGGCGATTGCGCAACGCCCTGCGCATGTCCATTGGACTCCATTTTTCGACAACTTCACTGTTCAAAATGAGAACAGCTCCAACTTTCTGACCCCATTTGCCGCTGGGCACTGCCACAACAGCCGCTTCGGCAACCTCAGGAAGGGAAAGCAGCTCTCTCTCAACCTCGAGAGCGCTCACCTTTTCACCTCCAGTCTTGATAATGTCAGCTGACTTGCGGCCTTGGATAAAGTACATCGGGCCGCGGGCCCAAGCTTGGTCGCTCTGGCCGACACCAGGTACAACGCGGCGAATAGCGACATCGCCAGTCTTGAACCAGGGTCCTTTGCCATCTTCACCTTCGACGAATTCCTTGGCAGTGGCTTCCGGATTGCGCCAGTACTCTTTGAAAATGGTTGGACCGCGAAGCTGGATTTCACCCGAGATTTCACGACCACTCTCATCGATCTCTTGGCCGGGTTGAACCACTTCGCCAGTATCAAGGTTGACGAGTCGCGCTTCCACCGACGGCAGAGGCCATCCTACACTGGCGTCTACACGGTCGGAATAATCAAGACCACAGCTCAGGGCCATGCCAACTTCAGTCATTCCGTATCGCTCAAGTAAAACGTTGCCGTTGCTCAGCTCGGACCAGGCCTGCTTGGTAGGCGTGGGGAGAGCAGCAGAGCCGGAGATGTTTACGCGCATGTTTTCAGGCGAGATTGCTTCTCTTGTGGCCTTTTGTAATTCGGGTGAAAGATTCTTGTGTGTTGTGAGCAATCGGTTATATACTGTGGGTACGACGGTGAAAAAGGTAATCTTCTGGGACGTTGGAACGGCGTTGTGTAGGAACGGCTTGGCGAGCCGTTGCCAAACAGCATCTGGGTTAAACGGGAACATAAACTCAATCGAAGAGCCGGCGAGTAGGGGTGTAAGAACGGCGTTGACGGTGCCATGAATATGGTGGAGCGGCAAGACGTGCAATAAACGGTCGGATGTGCTGTATTTCCATGCTTCGTTTAATGACTGGCATTGAGCGGTCAATGCTGATTGAGGCAGCAATACTCCTTTCTAGAAGGCGTTAGTACATAGTATATATGCTAGACATAAAGACTTACAGGACGGTTGGTGGTGCCCGAAGTGTAAAGCATCAGCCCCGAGGAACCGGCGTTTTCACCCTCCAGTGGAACAGCCTCATGCTCGCTACTTTGAAGATGCTTCTCCAGGAGCAGATGTGTAGGCACAGAATCAAGCCCTGTTTTTAATACCTCCTCTGCTTTGGTGGAGAACTTTGGAGACGATACTAATATCGACGCTTGGCTCTGGTTGAGGATATACTGTAGTTCAGGTGCGGGGAATGCCGGAGAGAGCGGCAGCGCAATGGCACGGGCAGCCATGATGGCCAGTAATGTTACTACATATCCATTCATTAGCAGCTGCTCTGAAATAACGTGGTATGGGATGAATATGCTTCTTACCGATATAGTCGTAGCTGTTTTCCACCAGAAATGCAACGCGCTCGCCGCCGAGGCCGCTACTCGGTGCCGCGGCTTCTAACTTGTCCCTTGCTCTTCGCACATCGCCGAGTAAACTGCCATACTTAAATTCACGCCCAGAGATAGAATGGACAACAGCTGTCGATTCCGGATCATGGCTAGCGATGGCCTCGAGAATCGGCAGGCGGGGAAGCGATGATATCATACGTGAAAGGACCGACATGGCCGGCGTAGTCGATGACGGGCCGACTCTGGAGCGAATAGAGGATAGAACGAGTGTGCAGGAAGACAGACGTGAGGATCTGACTGCGCGTCGGAGGAGAGGATGAAAAATGGAAGAGGAGGCCATGATGACGCTTACGGCTCTGCAACACAGCGCCTTGGACACCAAAAAGTGAGCCGGCCCGGCGGTAGAAAAAGAGCCGGCGATGCGGGATTGGTGGAGCTGCAGTAAATCGTGGAGATTGGCAGGCCTTAGGGCACAGGTACCGGCCGAAGTCGCAGAGAAGATACCGGCGATAGGTGGTCCAGCGGATGTTAGGACACAAAGAAAAGAGGCCGAATTGGTCTGTTTGCATCAGATCGCGATGAAGGTTCTAGAGTTTTACGATAGTTGCGGTGTTGTCGCGATTAGTGGCGATGAAGGAAGCAGAGGAGGGAGAAAGTAAGACGCAAGCAGGACAGGGCGAAATTTTGGGGAGGAAAAGCATGTTAACCTCAGGCCTACAATGGCGCATGCCGCAAGCCAGAAGTAGCCGCCATTGGGATTTTTGCAGTAGTAGATGTGTAAATGTTCGGGGGATTGGTCTAGTCCATAACGGAATATTGTGCCTGTCTATCTTGCATCAATGGCTATTTTTAAGGCGTTGCGTCTGTTGGGGGCACGCGCTCAGGACGAGACATGCACTGTAGTGGATAGGGCTGCAGGATCCAGGGACAACAGTTGGAGTCAAATGGGTCTTCTAGAAGAGCGAAACGAGGCATGTGCTGGTCGCTTGGAGCAAAAGTGAACTAGTAGGGATATGGATCCGTATTGGACTTGGGGGTTTACGGTAAGTATTGTTGTAGTTGGGCAGCTTTGGAATGACAGGGAATGGATTGGGTACTGTGTGTTGTAAACGAGGGTGCGCATGGCGAATTGACTGGGACTGTCTGTGGCTATTAAGGTAGTCGTTTGGTTTTCTTGGGTCTTTTCCTTATTAAAATAGCCGATAGGTATTCCGTTGACTGGCTGATTGGCTGCTGCCATTGTGATGGGAGCAACATCATCAGGCTGTATAGGGCTGTATACGGTGTCTGTTGTTATCAAAACCAATCAACTCCTCACTTGCCTCTCACGGCGCAACTATCCCTTCTGCCGAGGAAATACAAGAACGTAATTCGCTATCGGTTTACGCATACACGCATCACCTTGCGACACACACACACGTACAAAAAAACACTCGAAGGATGCTGCCATCCCCAACAAGTCAATGCAGCGGTGACACCCACCCACTTCCCATTCACTCGGTACTCACGCACTACTGCACTGTAAATTAGCGTGTAGCGCGCTGCACTACCGCATAGTGGACAGGACAAACCCCCGTCACCGCCTCTGCCAGTGGCCCCGCGCACCACAAACGGCTGCCCACAGCGCACTTCCCCCGGCCCAATCAGCGCCCACGGCACTCACACCGACTGGGCAGTATAGCGCTGCAACCCCCAAAAACAGACCACCATGCCGACGCCGGCTACCGTCAAGATACCACACCAGCTCGCAAAAAGGCTACGCCCGTCAAACCACGACAAGTAGTAATACCTTGTTGAATTCAAAAAAGCAGGGTAGCAGCCACTTAAAAACAAAGACGGGGAATATCCAATAGATAGCCTTCTTCCACTCTGCTGCAGCGCCTTCTCGCCGACCGCCTTGTCCCGCGGTGCCCATCCATCGAACCCCGGCTTTTTTCGTCAACTGCTTTCTTTTTCTACAAAGCCACGCCGCTCAACCACTTGCTAGCAGTTGTCAACACACCCTCTCAAGTCGTCTCTTTTCTCATTGACCAATTCCTTGTTCTCCACGGGTTGACTATCAATAAGAAAATAAAATAAAACAGGTGTCTCTACTTACTCCTCAGCAAACGCCTCATCCGCCACTGTCCTTAAACACGCACACTCAACCTTGCCATCGGACCACTCGGCGGCTGATTGTAAATTAAGTTGATCGTCTCAGGCCATCAATTCATCTTCAGTCTCTCTCTATACACCATCTCAGCCACGGTCTCACTCTCACGACACCAATCAATTCGCCCGAATGCTTCGCCGGTACGCTTTTGGATTCTCGAATGTCTCACGACAACTCTCTACAATGAACTCGACTACGCCCATAGAGGATGTTATCCGCGCCAAGGTATGCAATGCTTAGATTGAGGTTTCTGGATGATTTGTAAATGCTAATGGTATATGTTCTTTTGTAGATTATGGCAGCATTGAACCCCCAGACGTTGGAAATCTACAACGACTCTCACCTTCATGCTCATCACAAGGCCATGGCCGGCAGCACTTCCAAGGAGACGCACTTTCGGTATGCAAACTGTTCTTAAGTTACAGCTATGAATACTTTACTAATGTCATTTATCTAGTCTCATCATTACCTCCGAAGTATTCAACTCCAAGCGCCAACCAGCCAGACACAGAATGATTTACGCCCTGCTCTCCGAAGAGATGGCGCGTGAGGGCGGCATCCATGCCCTTCAGCTACGCACAATGACGCCTGACGAAGAGGCTAGCCAGGCCGATAAGCAGTCAAGCGAGGAAGCCAAGGCCAAGGGAAACCAAGATGCTGCAGAACTCGCCCGTGAAGCTTAAAGCAAGCAGCTTGACGCTGTTGTGACAAAAAAAGAGACCTGTTCTTGGCAAACGGTCAAGGCATGCCTAATTGTACTTGTATATAAATTCCATACCCGCTTAAAATAGACTCAAGGTTCGCTCCATATAAACATCTTCATATAAACGTCCTCCCAATCATAATGTACATGCCACTGCACCGGCTTTCATTAGCCAACTATCCTAGCTCTTCTTTGGCGCTTGCTTGCCGCTTAGCTTGCGATTTCGGAAGTGCTCTCTCAATCTCGCCTGCTCAGCTGCTGATCTCTTGGGCGGCGCGGCGCTCTTCGTAGGCATTGAGGAAGTTATCAGTCGATCCATATAGCGCGACGATGGCGGAGACGGGTTTGCGGCGGGCGCTGGTGCTGCGCGTTTGTGACTTGCGAGGCTTCCAAGCTTGGGAGACGCAGTCGCTGTGATTGGCGATCTTGAACTACTGGTATGGATAGTCTTTGGGCGGAGCGGAGTGGACTTTTGTGGTGTGCTCTGAACAGACGATCTCTGTTGGATAGCCGCGCTACTGCTAAAAGTCAGTCTTTCACTTTGTTCAGCTCGTAAGCCGGATGAAGCACGTGGAGTAGTATCTCGTCTCGGCTCAGGTTCGACCTCTGCTACTGGTTCCGACTGTAGGACAGTTGGCTCTGGCAAGGGCGATTTGCTATATAGTTGTTTTGCTGCCTTCGATTGTTCTGGATAATGTTGGACGACAAGGTGCAGATTTTCGCGGGCCATTGCGCAAAAGTTGTATGTAGGCCGGCCTGCAAGGTTGTTGAACCACTCCAACGCAGGTAAAGGTTCCTGACCAGCACCTGCCTGAGCAACATAGCCTTGGTAGCCCCCAGAAAAAGCTCTGATGAAGTCATCAAACAGACACTCGCGAAGGAGTCGCTCTGACATGAGATATTGAAGGTACACGCATGCATTGACAAATGCAATCAGACTTCCTCTGTGTGCCGTGATGTAGTCTGGATATACTTGGCAGAATGCCGTATAAACGTCGCTGTCTTGTTCTGTAATAGTCCTATCGGGAATATAGGTAGAGGGCTCTAGACCACGAGAGCGCAGGGGTGACTCGTAATAATCTTCATCTGCTTGGGATTCAGCTTCTATCCGTTCCATTGTTGCGTCGATATCATAGGCTGTTTTGGCTGCGCTGCTTTGAAGTTCTAGATGATCATCCTTTGTGTAATCTGTTTCGGCTGACGCATGTTTCTCGTCATAAGTAGCTGGTATCATGGAGCTCGAAACCAGATTCGAGCTCGGGGTTTCAATATATGGCTTTGTGGGTGCCATTCTGGTTGTGAGAGATGTATCGGCTGCGTGCAATATTTCATGATCAATGTCAGTAAAAGTGATCGGTTTCATCCGCTTCCGTCGCACATCTCCTATTGCCTCAGCTTTTGCTGGTGTTGTTGGTCTAGCAAGAGTGCGCGGTATCATGTCTTCATCTGCCTGAGCACAGGGTGGTGTCGCTTCTCTGAATGATTTCAATATTTGTGCCGAGTCTGGTACCACCTCAGAATCTTCATAGCTCCGCTTCTTTGCCTGAGAATCTGTAGGTTGGCTGAGCGTCGATATCTGCTGGTCCTCGTTGTCATCATCTTGAGTGTGCTCTACCCCTTCTTCATTTTCTCCTTCGTCTTCCTCTGCTGCCTCCGCTTCTTGGTCTTGTGCTGCCTTTTCATCCTCTCCGCTGTGTTCTTCCCCGCTGTGTTCTTCATCATCTTCGTTTTCGTCCTCCATGTCGTGCCCAGCTACCTCAACAAGATGTGGTTTGGAAGGACTACGTGACCTGTCTTGGGTCCCCGGTTTGCTCGACTCTGATTCTTCGTCATCGGACTGCTCCTCAGAGCCCCAGGATGGTGAGTAACAAGCGGCTTTCACTGGGTTCAGCTGGCTTTGAAAGGCCGAATTCGAAAGCTTATCATCTTGAATCGTCAACTCCTTTGACCTTTTCCAAGCCTCAGCAACGCCGTCCAATATGGCACTGGGGACGTGAGCGACACTGTTGTTTGTCGGCCGGCTCCAAGCTTCACTTTCATCCAGGAGAGTCCTTTGGTTTTTAGGGATGTGCATCAACTTCCGCCGATGCAGAAGAATTTCCACTTCTGGGCCGTCCATTTTGCTTAAAGTCAGCAGATATTGCTGTCGATTGATACGATTTTCGTTGAGAAAGGTGTCAGCCCAATAGTGGCAACTCTGTTCATAGTTTGATCATTGACCGCCAGAAAGGGGGATGCTAGAGTACAGTGTTTTCATTTAATTATAACATCAGAATAGTATTGGAGAAAGTCGGTCTGCCTCTTAGCCTGAATGGTGACCAGAGTCCAAGATCACGGCCACCAAACGCGCTGGTCGTGTTTGGCGCGTGTGGAGTCCATCACACCACAACGTAACAGCGGCGCCAGCTGCTCCCCCCCACTGAGGTGCCGATGGTTTTTAGTGACATACTGGCGGCACATTCGGCCTGTCTCCAGTTTTCGTCCACTATAACTTCAGTAGTCGGGGACTCCAAGCTAGCGTGTGTGGGTGCCTGCTGTGATCGGGGTTTAGACTTCAAAGCTTCGTCATTCTCCAACGGCGCTTGCCTCCCATCCTGTATTTGCCTCCTTGCCACGCCCTTGCACCAGCCCAATAAGCCCAATAGCGTGAAACCACTGGCTGCAGTTTGCAACACAGAAAGACGCATCGCTATGAACAAAGTTGCCACCGCTTCCAAGCTTTCAGCCTTGTCCTAACCGCCTCTCCGCACTTGACGCCAAGCTTGCGATACGGGTTGCAGCATCGACCAGACACGTCCTGTTTCCATCTACAACAACCCAACATGGTATTTTAGCCGACCTACCATCGCAAATAGTACGACTCCGAGCTTCAGAACCCAAACAAGAGTTCCAACCGTGGCATAAACGAAGGCCGCAGTGCCGATACGCTCATACGCGTCAAGTCTACGATGGCCGACAGCACAACGACGAAACCCACGCCTGGGTCACCAGTTTCCGCGTCCATACCATCGCCAGTAAGCCTGAGATATCGTCGCGATTCGATAGCATCGGCATCGACAAGCTCCGTCGTCGATCGAGAGCAGCTCGCAAGCACCCTCGATAAGATTCACAACACAGCAAGCCAGTCCGATGCTTTAACTACCTTCAACGACTTCGCACCGCCTCCGCGATCCTCGCCGTCGACAGAGAACAAAGGGAACGCTGCTGGAGATATCGTCTCACATGGCCTTAGTGGTCTGTACAGTCGCTTCCGCGAGGCCGTGGGTGCAGCTGGCAGTCCGGTCAAAGCTCACGACAAAGATGAGGGCGGCCCATCCACTGCTACACGACCGCCTCGAGCATCCCTTAACCATTTAGATACGATTATGCCTACATCGCCAACTTCTTCACAACCAACTCCGATCTCCGAGAAATCATCATCCAGCGCCTTTGCGTTGACTACTGCTGATATTCGAGCCCAGAGCGCCTCTAGCAAAAGTCTAATGGGAGCGCCACTCTCTGCGTCATCTAGCCGACCAAGTCTTGCCGCGAGAACAAGAAGTGCTGCTACCATCGATCCAGCTATTGTCACTGTTACTGCTCATCGAGACCAAAGTCGGAGCACAACCAAAACCGACGACAGCAGCGGCCACGACAGCGGCCGCAAGAGCTTAACGACTGCTGACCTGACGTTACATATGACCTCGTCGGAACCAGGAGTCACAATTAGCCAAGCAGATGGACCCTCGGGCCGACGTTCAAGACGAGACGATGCCTCGAGCTACGATGGTAGTGTGGATGCCGGCTCCGTGAATCAAAACCATGGTCTCGCTCCGCCATCCATACCTCCCAAGCACCGCCATGCGCGTAGCGAATCATCTGGGTCGGCTGTCACATTGGATGGCCCAAGACGTATGCCCGCCGTCATCGATCGAATAAATCATCCCCGAAACTCCACATATGCTGCCTCACGAGACTCCTCCATGGATCGAGGGGTAGCTGAAGCAAACCCCATCAATACCGCTGCACATGATTCTATATACCACGATTCCTTCGGCATGGAGGCTGTTCAACAGAAGATGCCATCGGGAGATACGCGTATCTCAGGTACAACGACAATGAATGAGGTCGCTTCTGAGCATGTAAATGCCCAGTTAGAGAGAATGCGTAAACAGGTTATGAGCAAGGAGTTTTGGATGAAAGATGACACTGTGAAGGAATGCTTCCTGTGCCAGACACCCTTTTCTGCCTTTCGAAGAAAGCATCATTGCCGAACTTGCGGTTGCATTTTTGACTCGAAGTGTACTGTAGATGTCCCAGGTGAGAAGTTTGGCGTCCCAGGAAGCATCCGGGTCTGTAAACGGTGTGTTGAGGCCATCAATCGGCGCTTTGAGGGAAGCGGTTCCGATGAAGATGATTCCGGCGACGAGCACTCCTTTATCCCTCGCATATTTGGAGGCCAAGCGAAGAGAGCAGAGAATACGGGACTGAGCACGCCTCGTGAATCGGAGGCCGGTGCAAATTCGGAGGGGTCCGAAGATGCCAGGTCTCTCTCTGCACCTATGATGGCTATTCCTGCCACCCGCCGAGTCAACCGAAACTCGGCAGTGTTAGAAATTGATGCTCCTCAGCTGTCCAGACCTGGATCATCGCGTTCTCTCAAGTCGCTGGCGTCTGGACGACCATCATCCGCCATGGGTCACAAAAGACATCACTCCAAGCATGGATTTTTGGGACGATTTAAGCCATCTCACGAAGACCATGCACCATTCCGCAAAGGGATCGACGAGGAACATTCTAAGCGACCCAAATTTCCTGCCTTCCACGACGATAACATCATTGATCCAGAATTGGCTGATTTCATGTCTGATGACTCTAGTGGCGATGAGCAAATGAGCATATTTGCCACTATGTCAACGTCTGATCTAGCGTCGACAAACTTCGATAATGACAAGACGAACTTGTCACCGTTCATGAATGCCGGTCGGAAGGGCCGTCATCGACCTGGTGAAAAGAGTCTTAGTGGACTAAGCTACCTCAGTCGCGATGAAGGTACTGGCCCAAGTAGCATCATAAGCCACAGACGATCAAATAGACGACGCAACCTGAGCAATGTCAGTGGTAGTGTACACCATTTAGCATCTCCACGGCCGAAATCGGCCATTTTCAAAGGCCACTCGGCATCGTCAGAAATGCTTCATGCTTTAGATCAACAGATCCAAGGCGGTACCCAATTGACAAGAAGTGACTCTCTACGGAAACGCCGGATTTCCAAAACAGAATTGAACAAGTCTAGCTTGCGACACGTTGATAGACTTATCCATCAACTGCTGGACGATGCAGGTATTCCCAATCCTGCTGCATGGCAGAAAGCGCTTGTCCCCATCTTGCTGCAATGCACTGATGATGTGTCTCCCGATGTTGCAAATGGCGAAGATATGGACATTCGTCACTATGTCAAGTTGAAACGCATCCCTGGTGGCAAACCTGGGGACACATCGTATATTTCAGGCGTTGTATTCACCAAAAACCTTGCTCTCAAAAGCATGCATCGTCGCATCCCAAATCCTCGAATTGTTTTGATTACTTTCCCTATTGAATATCAGCGTCACGAGCAGCACTTCATGAGTCTGCAACCAGTCATAGAACAAGAAAGGGAATTTTTGAGAGTCGTCGTCCAAAGAATTACAAATTTACGGCCGCATTTGGTTCTTGCTGAGAAGGGCGTGTCGGGTATCGCCTTGCAATATCTGTCAGAGGCGAATATTTCAGTAGCTTACAATGTTAAGCACACTGTGATCGAAGCTGTTTCGCGCTGTGCGGAAACGGAAATCATCAGCTCGCTGGACAGGCTTGCGCTGCCTGTCCGGGTTGGTCGCTGCGCTGGATTTGAGGTGAAGACTTTCGTTAATAACGATCACCCAGGACGCAAGAAGTCTTACATTTTCCTATCCGGCTGCCGTCCAGATTTAGGCTGCACAATCGCGCTGCGAGGCGCAAATAATGCACTTCTTGCAAAAGTGAAGTACATCATGGAATTCATGGTGTATGTGGTTTATAATCTCAAACTGGAGTCCAGCCTGCTTCGAGATGAGTCGATTGAAGCCCCTGACGATGGAGAATCTTCAATGACGAACTCATATCATACTATGAATGATAGCTTCAGGTCATTGGGGTCTGACGGAAGTGCAGACAAAGTTAGGCAAGGCCCAGCGCTATTTGTCCAGCAGCCTTCCAACGAGGGTGAAGTGCTTCAAAATCCGAAAGATAGATCTTCCAGTGCATCCGAAGAAACTGGTCAACATCTACAACCAATTTCGCTTCATGAGGCACACGAAAGGGATCACCAAGATACGCAAGTGCCTGATGATGTGCCGATGCCAACGTTCTACAGCGATATGGTTGCCAAATACGAAACCAAGATTCTCTCCGCCTCCCCATATGTGAAATTTAAGCAGCCATATCTACTGATGAAGGCGAGAGAGCAAGAGCGAAGACTTCTATACCTCAAACGACTTCGAGATCACGATGTCGTCGACCAAAGCAGCGACGATGAGAAAACGAATCCTCCTGCATTCCAACTTATAAAGCCAGAAATGGTAGAGCAGATTGGACAGAAGGCATCCCGCAACATGATGGAAATTCTCCATGCTGTTCATGATGCCGAATATGATAAGGCACTCTTTAACTACAGGACACAGACTCGACAGTGGGAAACATATATCCAAGGCAATTTGGATCTCTTTGATCCCTTTTCTCACCAGAATATTGTTGTTTTGTATTCTGAAATCTGCACCGATACGAAGATTCCTTGTACTGAACCCAGTATTGTTGCCATCAGCTTCTATGACGAACAACACGTGTATACTGGAATGGACCCAGACTGCACTCTTGGTCAATACATCCAAGACTTGGCAGAAACTCGAAACCGCATTTGCGAGTCCAACGGATGTGAAAAGAAGCTCAGTGAGCATCACAAAACCTATGTCCATGACGAATCTCGCGTGACCATCTTTGTTGAGGACTCCCCATTGCCCTTGAACAGGAGAGCAGACATGGGTGACCGCATAACAATGTGGACATACTGTAAAGTGTGCAAAAAGGACTCCGATGAAACTGTCATGTCCGATATTACTTACAAATACTCATTTGGAAAGTATCTGGAGTTGCTTTACTGGGGCCGTGGTTTACAGATGAAGGGCAACATTGATTGTACACATGACCACCACCGCGATCATGTCCGGTATTTTAGTTTGGGAGATGCTAGGATCCGAATCCATTGGGACCCGATTGACCTACTAGAAATTGTGGTTCCCCGAACACGAATTACGTGGAAGGTTGGCAATGATTTGAATCTCAAAAACGACATCTTTATTAAGACAAAAGAGCGCTGGCTGAAATTCGTCACCTCTGTCAAGTCTCGCTTGACGGGCATTAGAATTGACAGTGTTCTTCCCGAGAAGGCGGATCTATGCAAAGCCGAGGTTGATGTTTTAACCAAAAAGGTCAACGACGAGCAAATTGCAATTATTTCTCGTCTCGAGGACATCTATGCACAGTCAAAGTACTATGAAGTGGTGCCGTTTAATAGCTTGGTGAGAGACATGTTGGAAATTGCCAGCGAATGGGATGAAGCGTTTGCAAACTTTGAAGCCGATTACTTGGGCGAGAAGGATATACGACAACTCACAATGCTTCAACTCAAGAAAATGTTTACAGATCATGAGTCAAAGGAGTCGGTTGCCTCGAGCGATGCTGCACCATCAGTTACTGATAGTGACGGCCGTCCGTCTCAGACGTTCTCCGAAGTTGACGACAATAAAACAACACAGCCAACGGAGTATACTGATAGCGGTATGGAAGGAAGCTCAACGTATACTCCTTTAGATGAAAAATACTCAATATCTGAAATGCCGGAAGAGGATAAAGCGCTTATTCCTGCCGAGGGCATATTGGAGAGAGTCGAACCATTGGACCTTGCTTCTTCCCCAACAACAGTGATGAGCACACCATCTACTACCGTATCCAATGCCTCACCAGAAGATTCAAGACCCGGGCGACCCTCCGTAACGCCTCTGTCGACTGGGCGAAGTCCTACCCTCACTGAAAAGATTACACAGCTTCGTCGAGAGCAGGCATCGCAATCAAAGGCCACCGGCGAAGCATCTAGCCCTGAAGATGCCAGACAGGTAGCTGAATCTGGAGCAGCGCGGGTTTCAGATACGAGCGTTTCACCACCATTAGTTCGTGCATCATCACATCCAGCAAGGGCTCTTAGCCGAACCCGGTCCTCTCTTGGCCAGGCCAGTAATGATGCAAAGTCTAACCAAGACAGTGTCCCCGATTCTCCCCTCGAAGGATCTATTAAAGTAGACAAGAAGCTCTCTGAGAGGCTTGGATTAGCCGCTTTGAAAAACAGAGGCAAGACGTCTGTTTCAAATATTCCACGATTGGTGCAGAAGAAGCGGGAATCCAAGGTCTCAACCATTGCTCGCCATTTCGAACAACTCAGTCGTGAATTCGAGAAGCAAAGAATCAAAGATCGCAAAATGCGAGCTGCAAGCCTACGACAGCCACGAATGATGCTAGCTAGAAGCTCCACGCGTGCTACAGTTCAAGTGTATGACGACGTACATGAAGCGTTTGAGGAGGCTGCCGCATCGAACGAGGCTGTCGTTGATGCTAAAGGAGATCCGAAGACAATGCCACCCAACAAACAGCCAGGCCCGACGGTATTGCCTGACGACATATTGACAGAATCTCCCGGTGAATTCCCATCCCGAACAGACTATACTGAAAGGGATGTTGATGAGTCAGTGATGGCAACGAGCCAAGTAGGGTCTGACGATGAAGGTGGCAGCGATGATGACGCAACTGTCGCCGACGAGTTTCTTCCCGATATCAAAGAAATAGCGGATGCCACCTCTGAAATTCCACTGGAGCTGCCGAAACACCAAAAGACAAGCCTAATGAAGTATCTTACGACCTTTTGGGCTGAGCGATCAGCAATAAGCTGGGAGCCTCTTGAATATCCGGTCAACGCAACTGATCACATATTTGTAGATTCTGATATTATTGTTCGTGAGGACGAGCCAAGTTCTGTCATTGCATTAGCGCTCAACAGCGATGACTACCAAACCAAACTGGACCACATTCGACGAGAAGCGCAGGAAATCATTCAGCGTGAAGGGGATACTTGCACTTATACCGAACCAAAAGCAGCGCCAGTCTCCGAAGCGTCAGATTGGTTTCTGGAAGAGGGTGACCTTGAAAATAGCTTGCTGCGATCTACTGGAACCCATTTGAAATATCAATTCAAAGAAGGCCAGGCCATTATGACGTGCAAAATATTCTATGCTGAGCAGTTTGATGCGCTCCGACGAAAATGTGGTGTTGCAGAGCGAATTGTTGAGTCCCTTTCGCGCTGTCTGAAATGGGATTCCAAAGGAGGAAAAACCAAATCCGTCTTTCTCAAGACCTTGGACGATCGTCTAGTCTTGAAATCACTTTCGCCTGTAGAGACCAGCGCGTTCCTTCGATTTGCTCCTGGGTACTTCAACATTATGGCCGAAGCTCTCTTCCATGACCTTCCGTCTGTCATTGCCAAGATGTTTGGTTTCTTTCAAGTTATTATCAAGAATCCTGTGACTGGGGCAGATATCAAACTTGACCTGGTGATAATGGAGAACTTGTTTTATGACAGATCGCCGTCTCGAATCTTTGATTTGAAGGGTTCCATGCGCAATCGCAAGATTCAATCAACCGGCGAACAGAATGAAGTGTTGTTGGATGAGAACATGGTGGAATACATTTACGAGTCGCCCTTGTTTGCACGAGAGCACTCTAAAAAGCTCCTTCGGGCATCAGTGTGGAACGACACGCTCTTCCTGGCGAGACAAAACGTGATGGACTATTCGCTCATGATTGCCGTGGATGAGGCAAGAAAGGAGCTGGTGGTTGGCATTATTGACTGCATCAGAACATACACTTGGGATAAGAAGCTGGAAAGCTGGATCAAAGATCGCGGCTTTGCGGGAGGTGGTCGCAATAGGCCAACGGTTACAAGTCCAAAGGAATACAAGACTCGATTTAGAGAGGCCATGGCACGGTAAGTAAAAGCTCAGGTTACAGAGTGGGTTGTATGGCGTACTGACAAGGATACAGATATATTCTACAAAGCCCCAACTGCTGGCATTTGTTTAATAATCCACAATACCCTGCGAATTTTGGACGAGCACGATTCGAGGAGCAGCCAGAAACAGCATCTTGAAAAGATGCGGCGTAGACTAGGAGTTGCTGAATGGGCGAGTTGTATTTGGCGTTCTCCGCAGTGTGATTAGAGAGAACATATATTTGCATATTGACGAGTTTATGAATTCATGAATTATATTTTTCTTATTATTTTGTTCTTGTCTGTATCAGCCTCTGTAGTCCTTTTAGTTGACCGGGGTGAACGTTGCTGTGCTTGCCCGTCGTCATATGATGCGTCCCCACCACAACCATCAACAACGCCAACTCCAATGTTAGCTGCGCAGTGTACCAACGTCACATGAGCAGCTCATCGCGAAACCCGGACAAATGTCGATAGACTTGAATTGGGAGACTCTGACCAGCGGCCCGGACGGCGAGGCATTGGCGGAGAGCATACGCATCTTCATTCACGATAAATTCCAAGCTGTGCCGCTGCCACGCTTCATCAAGTCCGTCACCGTCCACGGCTTCGACTTTGGCAAGACGCCGCCTGAACTCGAGCTCAAGGACATCACCAACCCGCTTCCTGATTTCTACGAACAGGAGCTTGGGGATGACGAGAGCGACGATGATTTCGAAGAGGACGAGCACGCCGCAGAGCGAGAGAGACACCATGCGGCGCAATCAGCAAGGAAGCAAGACAAATCAGACATGAGACACGACATGGCCGGCCACGACATGGGGGCGCCTTTCTTTGGGACATCAACGCCTGGAATACTGGGCGGGCCCGGTCTGGGATACTTTCACAACCACATGGGCACGGGTAGCCATACGCCGCTGGCGGCGGTTGCTGGTGCGCATCACGGAAACAACTGGATGGGCACTGGCCTTGACCCGTCGCAATTCGTTCCTAGTCACAGCCGCCACGCATCGCTCAGTAGCATCTCCGTCGACAACTTTCCATCTAGTATACCATCAACCAATAGTCTACGAGAAAAGTCGAGTGTATCGACGCTTGCGCCAACATCAGTGGGCACATCACGGCCGCCTACAAGAGACACACCCGCAGGAGAATCTGCTATAGTGGACGATGACGAAGAGGAAGACGACACACATACCGTACCCCCTGTGCCGCCGCGGGTCCAAAGAAAAGAGCCTAGAGTGGAGGATGTCCAAGCAGTCTTTAGAATACAGTATTCGGGAGATATCCGCTTGAACTTAACGGCAGAGATCCTGCTCGACTATCCCATGCCTAGCTTTGTGGGTATCCCTTTGAAGCTGAACATTACTGGGCTTTCGTTTGACGGAGTAGGTGTGCTGGCTCATATACGCAAGCGCATTCACTTCTGCTTTCTTAGCCCCGAGGATGCCATGACGGCCGTCGGGCCAGATTCTACTGAAGACGCGGAAGGCGAAAAGGGAACAGGAGCGTCGAAGCATAAACCCCGATTTGGCGGTCTATTGCAAGAGATTAAAGTAGATAGTGAAATTGGTGAGCGTGAAAGTGGCAAGCAGAGTCTCAAAAACGTGGGCAAGGTCGAAAAGTTCGTGCTAGAGCAAGTAAGGCGGATCTTTGAAGAGGAGTTTGTGTATCCTAGTTTTTGGACGTTCTTGGTATAGACATACGATATAGCACAAGGTATGGGAGTTACTTGGGATATGATTATGAGTTTTATAATATCTTTGGTTTTTATACATCATACATTGGTATCGTATAGAATATATCATGAGTTTCGTTGCGTGGAAACATCGCCATCACGTCAAGGTGCGTCTAAAGCCTTGGTACGCCTGCTGAATATCCAACTCCAACTCTCGCGCTTGAGATTCACTCAGCTCCTCGGTGGCTTTCATTTGATTGAGCGTAATCAGCCATTGTACAATCTTGCCTCTATTTTCAAAGTCCTTGTCGGTTACTCGGTTTACCGACTGGATGACGTCGGAAAGCAAGGGGTGCAGCTGGTCCTTGGAGAGGAGACCGAGCTTGACAGCATCCAGAAAGGTAATGAATTCTTGTGTCGCTTCGAGAATAAGAACACCGCTTGTATTAGATGTGGCCGCCGCTGATGGCGCTGCTGCTGGTGCTGCTGATCCGGCCGTGACTGTCGTGGATGGGAGGCCGACGCGCAGTCGTTCGGTAGCTCGAGGTGCTTCCAGCTATGTAGATGCTTAGCTATGGATTGTTTAGGTTGATTCCTGTTTACACTTACATCCCACTTTGCTTTAAACTCTTCAAGTCCACCAAATTCTTTAGCGATTGTCTCGTCGGTTAGCAGCGCTTTGTATTGTCGTAGCGAGCGTTCGCAAATCTCTGTGTATTCTGCTTCAGGAATGGCATCTTTCAAGAATGCCTTCTCCAGCTCATCTAAAGTAACTATAATGCTGAATATTTCGGCCAGGGAATCCTGGAGATCTCGCTCGGCACGAGTCGTTGTGAGCTTGGCTTCCTAGTAATGGTTAGTTAGCTTCCATGCGGGACAACTGTGGGGTCTGAGCGTACCTCGTCGAGATTTATTGTGGCAGATAGGCTTGTATTAGGAACATAGCTATGCGGCATAGGCGCATACGATTGTCTGGGAAGCATGGCGGCGTGATATGTTGAATCTGTAATGACTGTAGCTTCGCGATGCGCCCAAACAGTGACGTCCTTTAGCGGCTCCATCCGCTGTAACTACAGCGGGCCTACGTAACGACGGCAGAATGGGCTGACCGCCTGCCGTGCTTGATGTGGGGAGCAGCTAAGTATCGATAAGACCAAAAAACTCGACGGTAGAAAAATTTTGGGGCAAAACATTTTTGGGCGGCGGGCGACCCATTTGGATTTTTGCAGCATACAACCACCACAGCCTTTGTCTTATTATTCACTGCATCAATTCGCTTTCTGCGGATTGAAGGATATTAGACATCATGGGCGCCAGCAAGAAGAACCTCAAGGCGACCAAGAAGTTCGAAAAGAACCACCTCAAGGGTGTTTTGGAGAAGCGCAATGCCGCCGCCAAAGCAAAGCAGCGCCATCTGATGCACGAGAAGAAGAAGGCAAGACACGCAAAGGATGCTGAATTTCTCGGAAAGGATGGAAAGGCGCTTCCTCGTGGCGTGAAGCCTAGAAAGGTCAACGACATGACCGTGGACGACTTCTTTGCCGGCGGCTTCGAAGACATTGTCGGCGAGGACAAGTCAGCCAAGAGCAGCAAGCGAAAGCGCGATGCTCCCGAGGAGGACGGCGAGGCCGGCGAAGATGTTGAAGAGGAAGAGGAAGGCGACGAAGCAGAGGATTCCGAAGATTCTCTTTCAAGACAACCCGTAGCCGACAGCGATGACGACGAAGACGACAACGACGATGATGAAGAGGACGGCGGTATGTCCAAGGCCGCCATGGACGCTCTCGCCGAAAAGGACCCCGAATTCTATAAGTTCTTGAAGGAGAACGACCCCGAGGCCCTCGACTTTGACTTGAATGCAGATCTCGCCGAAGTGGACGAGCTCAGCGCCGGCGACGAGTCCGACAACGAAGAGCCAAAGAAGAAGAAGAAGAAGGTTGTCGAGGACGATGATGACGAGGACGAGCAAGAAGACGACGAAGACGAGACACCAGCCAGCAACGAGCTCACCAAGCCCATTGTCGCCAAATGGAAGAATGCCATGGTCGAGAGCAAGTCTCTGCGCGCTGCTCGACAGGTTGTCCTTGCGTTCCGCTGCGCCGCTCACCTCAACGAAGAAGAAGACGAGAGCCAGCAGCGCTGGACAATCAACGACCCCGAAGTCTTCAACGACATTCTCGTCGCCGCTCTCAAGGAGATTCCTACCGTCATGAACCACCACTTGCCCGTCAAGGAGTCTGCCTCGGGCAAAGTCTACGTCCAGACCGAAACCAAGAAGTTCCGCACGCTCTCGCTGCTGCTCAAGACATATATTTCCTCGATTATGCACCTGCTCAGCACGCTCTCCGACGACAAGACGCTCAAGCTCACCCTCTCCTCCATCACGCCTATCCTCCCCTACCTTCTGTCGTTCAAGAAGCTCATCAAGGCCCTCGCCAAGTCGGTCGTCAACTTCTGGGCGCAGCCTGCCAGTACCGAAACCACCCGTATCACGGCCTTCCTCGTCCTCCGTAAGCTCGTGGTGATTGGCGACAAGGGCATCCGCGAGACAGTCCTCAAGGCCACGTACCAGGGCCTTGTCCAGGGCTGCCGCATTACCAACCACAACACCCTCCAGGGCATCAACCTGATGAAGAACTCGGCCGCCGAGCTCTGGGGCATCGACCCGGGCGTCGGCTACACCACCGCCTTCACCTTTATCCGCCAGCTCGCCATCCACCTGCGCAACAGCATCGTCAACAACAAGAACGACTCGTTCCGCCTCGTGTACAACTGGCAGTTCACACACTCGCTCGACTTCTGGTCCTGCGTGCTCGCGCACAACTGCACATCCGCCAAGGAGGCCGAGAACGGCAAGGAGAGCCAGCTCAAGCTGCTCATCTACCCTCTTGTCCAAGTAACCCTCGGCGCCATGCGCCTGATCCCGACGTCCCTCTACTTCCCTCTGCGCTTCCACCTCGTCCGCTCGCTCCTGCGCACGTCCCGCGCCACCGACACATTCATCCCTCTGGCCTCGCCGCTCCTCGAGGTCCTCTCTTCCGCTGAGATGAAGAAGGCGCCCAAGGCCACCACCTTGAAGGCCTTTGACTTCTCCGTCGCCTACAAGGCGCCAAAGTCCTACCTCCGCACCAGAGTCTACCAGGATGGCGTTGGCGACCAGGTCGTCGAGCTGATGGGCGAGTACATGTTCCTCTGGGCAAAGTCCATTGCTTTCCCGGAACTGTCTCTCCCCGTCATCATCCAGCTCAAGCGATGGATGAAGCAGGCCCGCTCTAGATCGCAGGGCAACAAGAACACCAAGCTGGTCACACAGATGGCTCTGCTTGTGCAGAAGCTCGAGGCCAACGCCAAGTTTGTTGAAGACCGCCGCTCAAATGTCGACTTTGCCCCCAAGGACCGCATCCAGGTGGAGAGCTTCCTTCGAGACTTCGAGGCTACCAAGACCCCTCTCGGTGCCTACATTGTCGGCCAGCGCAAGTCTCGTGCCGAAAAGGCCAAGCTCCTTGAGGAATCACGCAAGGAGGACGAGAAGAAGCGCAAGGATGATGAGCGTTCTGCCTTGAATGGCGACGAGTTTGGCAGCGACGAGGAGGATGACGAGGTCAACATGGAGGATCTCGGTGACGAGGATGAGGAAGAGGATGATGTCGAGGAGGATGAAGACGAAGAAGAGGACGACGAGGAGGACGATGATGAGTAAATTTTCCTGTTGCTTCATTCACGGCGTTGTGTATAATCTGGAACCGTAACATTTTAAAATGCGATACCTCTATTTTTCTCACCATACTTGTGCAGCACCTCTCAAAACACAATGTGATGTGAACAACAAATATGAATAAGCAAATACACCATTTCAATTCAAAAAGGAACTTGCCCCAATGCTCCGACTTCTTCGGTAGAAGGGAGTGGCGTGTGTCCGTCAAGCATAATAAAACAACTAAGAATACTCCTAAAATGTACAATTGAAAAACAAAGGCGGGCTAAAGTGCCAGGCCAATCAAATCCGATAACAATACCATGTTTCCAAAAACTCCTTGCCATGCCGGGACTATAGTCCATCGTTCGTAACGCAAAGGCAAAATCAAACTCCCGTGACAGCGTACTGTCAGAAAATACAAAAGGCCAAAAAGGCAACTGGCCAAACAAACGCCCTCCAAGTTCAACGTTCTTCAAACTTGTTCCTCATGCTAGTGTTTATGCAAACATGCCTTTTCAACTCGTTCCGTTGTATGCTTCAAATCCATGTGTCAAGATACCGCAAATCGTCTTAGATGTCTTGAAACCCTTCCCATGTGTACTGGTCGCTGTGGTTGGTTACTTCGCGCACATTCATACCAGTAATGTTCATAACTGTCATTTCCAACTCCTCTTCCGTCATGGCCTGATCAGCAGCCTTTTGACCCTCCAAAACATCAAACAGGCTGTAGATCTGGTCGTTCTTCGCCTCAACTTGCTTCAAGAGCTTGCCAATGCGGCTGGCCAATGCAGAGCGCTCACGGCGGCCGCGAGACTTGTCACTATCATTGTAGCGGGCCTGCAAGCGTGTGATTTCGAGCTGCAAGTGACGGGACTCATCTTCCAGACTCTTGATCACCATAGCAAGAGCGTGACCTGGCGATTGAACCGGTCGCATCGTGACATCGGCTCCTTCGACCTGCCTGTCAGTCACTGGCACAGGTCGGCTCACCACTACGCGAGTCTTTCCAGTGCTTTCCGTGTTTCGTGATGCGATTCGAGCGCAGACTGTACAATTGGTGCAACTATGCTCACAAAGGTCGTTTAGCACGCGCTGTGCGTCGGTCGACAATGCTGGGAAGCCGTGGGAAAGCTCTGAGGCCACAGTGGTAGTAGCTTCCTTGTAGAGACGTTGACGGCTTTGCACCTTGCTGGAAACCTGGCCAGCGTGATCTTGAGAACGGGCCTTCTTCAAGATCTTTGGCGCAGGTTGCACAAAGTTATCGATGGGAATGCTCAGCTGAACAGCTTGGTTCTCTGTCATCCTATCCACGGAGAGCTGATCCGTGCTGTCTTCAGCAGCCACATATTGTTCCATAGACGGCTTAGGAGCCTTTAAGCTAGAGCGTCTGCTCATTGGTCGTGTCGGTTTGGCGGGCAGAGCAAACGCCACCTTATGGGCTCCTCCCTCGCGTCTCAAGTTCTGAGTCTCCGTCTTGGTAAACGTCTGACCAGTCATCTCTTCGGTAGGGATGAAGTCTTCAGTCAACTCCATAGGCGCAGACTCGTTTGTCTTGATGGTGATGTCCGGAACAATAAATGCCGAAGTCATATTCTCCTCCGTTCTGTTGTCCTCGGTAGCCTCGTTAGTGTCCTTGTATTGATTGGCACGGAAGGCATCAAACTGGACGCGCAGATCGTCAATACGAGCAGACAAGTCGCTCTTCGGGCCAGTACGGTGCTGGTCCAGTTGAGCAGTAAGAAATTCAACCTGTTCCTTGAGCTTGGCATTCTCGTCTTGTAGTCCACGAATACTTTGCTCAAAGACCAAGTTTTCTTGCTTGAGCTTCTTGTTCTCTGCGAAGTATTTGTCGTTGTGTCCAACAAGGCTGTGGTTGTCCTCACGGAGGTTAGTAAGCTCCTGGTTGATGTCATCCTCATTCTGCTGGAGAGCGTCCAGTTCTTCTCGTACGGCGTCTACTTCTTGCTGCAAGTTCTCAACAGTCTGGCGAAGCTCTGCGTTTTCATCTGTCAACGCCTTGTTAGCAACGCGAATGCTGTTAGTTACTTCACGCTCATTCTCAAATTCTCCGCGGGCATTCTTCAACTCCGTTCTAGCCTCGTCTCTTTTAAAGCGAAGCGACGCGTTGGTACCTTCAAGCCCAGTAAAGCCGCTCTTCAGGGCTGCGAGCTCTTCTCGTAAGGCCTCATTGTCGTGACGGATCTGCTCGGATGTTTCGAGCTCCTTATCTTTGTGGCTGAGCTTCTTTGTGAGCTTGGTGATGTCTCTACACGCCTCCTCAAGCCTGGCAAAGATGCGGTCACGTTCAGTGGTGATGGTATCCTTTTGAATTTCGGTAGCACTCAACCTCTGAGCTGCCTTTTCCAGACGCGCATGCAGATCCATCATGTCATTATCGAGTTCTGTAGCTGTTAGCATGAAGAAGAATTGAAACGCGTTGCATTACATACGAGACTTGGGAGAGTTGTATTTGTTGTGGCCGTTACCTCCTTGGGCAAGCTGAGCCTCAAGGGACTCGACGCGTTCTTGTAGATCCATGGCGTATTCTTGAACCTTATCGTGGTGTTCTTGCAACGAGACGACCTCATCCCGGATCATATCCATGGAAACAAAAATCTTCTCTTCATTCTCAGGGACTTCAATGCCATCAACGGCCTCGTGTCGAACGGCAGATGGGTTTTCACGCTTGTCGTGAACTTTGCCGTGCTTGACAAGAATAGGTACACCATTTTTGAGGGAACCGCTGAAGCGGAGAGTGCCTGTGACGAAATCACCTAGGTGGGATACATCAGGCATGAAGAAAGATGGGACATGAGAGGCGTTGTGGTCAGGGCTGGCCATGGGATTGGGCGAGTGGTGAACGGCGGTCATGCTAGATTTGGCGGAAGACATGTCAGGGGAGGCCTCTAATCTACCCATACCAAAGTTTTGGGCAGCTTTGGGGCTGGAGGCTGCTTTGCGAAGCTGAGCCAAAGCATCCGAGATGGATGCTTGTCTCTTACTTTCGGGTGACAATTCCCTGTGCCTGTTGCCGTACTGCTTCTGAGGAGGGGTGGAGCGACGATGGGCTTGCTTCAGAGAGTCCAGCTTGGAATGGTGCTTGCAGCCTGGAGACTTGAGGAGGATGGACAACTCGGACTCGTTGTCAGCGCGAGGTTGCATTTCGGATCTTCTGCGGTTGGAACCGGTCCAAAGCTCTTGAGTAGAGTCCTCGTCGACCAAGAGGCTGTGAACGGGTGGTCTGTTTTCCTTTGATTGTGCGCTCACGGGTCGCTCATATGTGTCGTCGTCGGATTCGACCGTCTCTTTGCGAGACTTTGGCATAGAATAGTACTGGGGCCACTTGCGATGGGCAGCTTCCCAGTTGACGGCGAGCTTACTAGGCGCCAGTCGACGGATAATATCATCGTTTAATCTGCGCGTGGAGTCTCCTTCGATGTCAGAGAAAACAGATGTCATTGTGGGGGAGACGGTGCCGTGCGAGCCTGTAGAAGATGGTGGTGAGTTGAAGGGGTTGTCGTGGTTCGCTTTGAACTCTCGCAAGATGCGAGAGCGGTATCTTTGGGCCGCCTCGGTCTCCATTGCTTTGCAACGTGCAAGACGCGAGGTTTCGAAGCTCAAAGATACGCGTTGGGCTGGAGATGGGGTGTAATGTCGTAAAAGATGGGCTTGTTTGGTGTGTTATTGTTGTTGCGGATGTTGCTGTACGCGTGTAGATGCTTAACTGCTGCAATTAACAAGTGTGAAAAGCAGACGTGAGAATAGCTTGTAAAGTAAGCGTGTTCGGTATCGTGGTGCACTTGGCAATGGAGAGTTGGACAAAGTTGCTGCTTGGTGGAAGAAGAATGGCATGGGCATGAGTGGTGTCTGCTATGCAGGAGACGCACCGACGCGTTTAGTTTGGCCGTCTGGCAGCACAGCGAATCAGCTTGTGAAAAGCGGGTCATGCTCTTGCCGTTTTGGGCGCAAAGTAAACAAAAGCCTGTCTCGATTTTTTTAGGTGGGCCCTGTCGATTTGTTAGCGGGTAAAAAAATACGTGGTACAGTGGTGCCGATCCACTGTTGGCGTTGTTTCACAGCAGGATGGCCGTCAAGGATAGGATGGGCCATCGCGGGCGAACTATCGAGAGGCTTCATAAGTTGTATACTAAGTTAGATATATCCAAGCGCTGTCGGTTCAAATTCGTAGTAAAAATGTTATCCCTCTTGCCTGCTTATCTCGAGGATTAGCCACCTTGCACAGCGATGCCCCCGGATGACTACGTAGACAACGACTGTTCGAATTTCAACTGATTGACGCTGTCCCTCCTCTTCAAATAAAAATAGTTTGTATGACAGAAGTGCCTTATGCTCCGTGTAAAATATATGAAAGTGAAGTATAGAGAGCCGCAGCAAGTGTGATTCTCTCTAGCAATATATCGACGGGGAGGCTCGTCCTATTGGAAATGGGCCGGTCCTGTACTGTATACTGCACACCACATCAACGAATATTCGTCACACTTGTCACCTGCATCCTCCATCATCTCCGTCCAATGCGGCTTGCAAAATTCATCACGGGGGAAGCTAACCCGCAACCGAGGTCATCCCAAGCTAATACAGGCAGCTAGTAATTTGTCCTTGCAGCAGCTTGCAGCTCAGTTCGTCCACTAACCCGAATTCTGAGAGCTAGTGCCCGAGAACCCCGCCGATCAGCACATCTCCCACCAAGCCACCTCCACCTCCAATCTCACCATGGATGGCAGCTACCACGCTACAACGTGGGGTTGAAGAAGAACCACCGAGCCTTCCCCGAAGAAGGTGCTGTGCCTGTGCATCCCGGCTTATCAAACGCACCAAGAAACAAAAGACTTGGGGCGCGCTGCAGTGGCCTGCGGGTCCGTCGATACATTGTCTTGCATGCAAATAGTTCAGGTCATTGTCCATGCAAGGCTGGCGGCGGTGCAACCATCCATTTTCCAGTTGATCACACGACGTGCCGCACCGCTGCTTCGGCTCAACCCCATCCTTTCGGTCTAGTCAGACGGGCCATGGCCTAATAAAAATCCTCTAGAGCGGTGGGAGTTTGTTGCTAATATTGCAGATTCCACCAGATATTATATGTATCAGGGGATCCCTAGAGTAGCTTCTGTCACCTCATACAACGACCTTCTGAGGACGCATCTCCTCACTCATATCTCGAGATTTACATACAGTTTGTCGTGTCTCATCCCATCATGGTTGCGTATCGGCTTGCTCTCAGCCTGTATGGCCTAGCATCGTTGCCTTATTCGACGGCTGTCAGTGCTTCTGCCGACGCTCATTCTAGCAGTTATTGCTCGGTTATCAAGAATGGTAACTCTTCGCCTGGCTGCCAGGCACCACCCTCTGACTTCCTAGCGGGTAGCGGAGGATCAACTGGACCAAAAGCGGATGCTAGCGTTCTGGACAATTCTTTCAAGGCCTTGGCGGAGCTTCAAAATGATTACTATGATGCTTCAGAGCTAACATGGCCGACATCGATTGACTGGACCGGGGCGGTGATCCAGACGATTGTGAGCAGCACCATGTCTACATTGACAAAGAGTTTTAACGGCACTGTTGGGGACAATGTCGATGGATGGAAAGAGAAAGAAAACCTGCTGTCTTTTCTACATGAACAAGTTGCTGCGTACTACTTTGGGCAGCAAGCTGAACGAATCAAGGGCGAGGTTGGTTCATAACGAGGGCTGTTTTTTGTGAACCCACTACTAATCCAAATAGGCTTACGATGATGTGCTTTGGGTTGTTTTAGGGTGGATCGAGGCGCTCAACTTCCGTCGTCTTCACGAAGATTTGCACTATGCTAAAGCAGGCTTTGTCGACAAGCCAATCCCTGAGCAGCTTCCGCAGGCCCTTCAGCAGACCCCTTGGCATGGGCAGTTTTGGCGAGGTCGATTCGGAGAGCGTGCGGACGACTTTTGGGCGTTCAGCACGCAGGGATGGGATGACGTGCAGTGTCACGGAGGTATGACTTGGAACCCTCGCCTAGAGACGTACAAAAACGCCATCACGAACGAGCTCTATATTGCCGGCTCGATTGCCATGTACCAATATTGGCCTGGCAGTTACGACGGGAAGGGGCAGCAAGACCCTCGTCAGCTAAAGGCGGCAATTGAGGGCTACAAGTGGATTACCAATGTCAATATGACGAATGCGCAGGGTCTGTTTGTAGATGGCTTTCACATCAACCACGCCATTCCGGGCAATGTTGAATGCGACCAGCGCGACGAGATGGTTTACACATACAACCAGGGTGTTATCTTGACTGGTAACCGCGGTCTGTTTGAAGTGACTGGCGCTCCGTCGTATCTGGATGACGGCCACCGTTATATTCGCTCAGTCATAAACGCCACTGGCTGGGATTTGAGAACCAACCAACCAAAGGACCACATTACACCAGGCCAGCTACCGCCCTGGCGGGGGCTTGGCCGCGGTGGCATCCTTGAGGACCAATGTGACTCAAGTGCTACGTGCTCGCAGGACAGTCAGACATTCAAGGGCATCTACTTTCACCATCTTGCTGCGTTCTGCAGCCCTCTAACGCTGACGCACCCCAACAACGCCCGCATGGTAGTCGACGACGACGCTTTCCAGAAGGTTCAGGATGCGCACAGCAAGACGTGCGGAGCTTACCTTGACTGGATCAAGTACAATGTAGACGCTGCGCTCAAGACACGAGACTTGAAGGGACATTTCGGCATGTGGTGGGGAGCCAGCCTCTTTGGTGATGTAAGCAAGCCTCGAAGCGATGATGGCATCAACCACTTTGCTGCCAACGTCACCGACTACCGAAACGAAGGCACGCCACAAGATAACGTCTGGGGCTTCGCGAAGTTCATCCCTGGAGGAGGCAATGCTACAGCCATGGCGCAGAACAGACGACCGTCGGGCGGCGACCCGAACGATCGCGGTCGCGGCAGAACAGTCGAGACACAAGCCGGCGGACTGGCGTTGTTGAAGGCGTACTGGGAGATATCACAAACTAGTTAGGCGTTGCGTGACTCAGTAATGTAGAGCGTATCGAACGATGAGTGAGAACTACTTTGGGTGGATGACCAATGCAGTTAATTTTCCACTGGGTTCTTCCCTTCCCCTTTGTGAACGTGAGGCTGAACTAGCGACAAGATCATTGGTCGGGGGAATAAAGTTTATGTTGGCGACCCTGCTGGAATCGTTCGGAATGATTACGACCGGTTCTGACGTATGTACGCGCGCCCACTTGTATAGGGCGTGGGCACTCCGCTCCGATATTGTATGAGTCTGCCGTGTGGCTTGCTTGCCCCAAAGGAGTTCGGCGAGGGAGGCAATACGCTTAACGTCATGCGTTGCGTATTGCACGTACTACGGCTAGAGGCCTGTGATTCGGAATAGAGAAACATACGAGGCGTGAATTATAAATTCGGAGTCTGCCGCATTGTTAATGGTTTCATTTTATAAAAGTACAAAAAGCAGTACACTTCCACAGTTCAGTCCAGAAACAACCATTCTCAGCGTTCCCAATTACCCTATACATATTTCAATCAATTGCCAACTTACACTGCAACACTTATTTGTGGAATATATCCCTCCAAAATACCGTTCAACTCCATTACAGCTATATTCCTTCACCTCACCTCGCCAAACATGTGTCTTTTCTCAGCATTGCGCGGAAACGGCAACGGTTCCCTTCGCCAATCTAAGACGTCGATCCACCGTCGCAACAGTGTCAACCGTGCAGCAAGACCAGAAGCCCCCGTATACGGGTCGAAATCCAAGATGGGCGATTCATATACTGAATTACACGAGGAACCGCCAATTTATGGACCGTCACCAGAAGAAGTAGCCGAGACGATACGCCAAGGCTCTATTCGTCTGTCGATATAACTCGGCTACGTTCCACATGTCGTTGGCAGACTGGCCGTTGGACGACGACTTACATATACAACAAGAGACGGGCATGAAAATCTCCATCAGGTACAGCCAATCACGCAATTGCTTAGCTTCGGTTTGGGAGCAGTTGGCTGGGCTGGTATGCATACAAGCCTGCATACATGGCGATAAAAACACGGGTGGTCGGCGGGTCGGCCGATGAATTAGCATCTTTTAGCAGTTGATACCAGTTTGCTTTAGTTGAAGAGTAATGACGAAATTCATAATTGCTTTACAGACGTGTTCATTTTGCATTTTCAGTGACAAAATATCATGAGACCAACGAGCGCCATTGCTCTACGTCGTTGTCACACACTCGCTAATGTGAAAGAGTGCGTGCTGCTGTATTAGTAGGAGAACGACACCGTAGGCGACCCCGGACGAGTGACTTGGCGGTGACCCGCTTGGCTTCCGGCATCGGGACGGACGCGTCCAAGGCTCCCCGGGCTGGTGGGCGACCGCTGTAGCGACGCAGGTGTTTAGTGGAGTGGCTCCAGACTACAGTGCATTTGGGGGACTGTCATTGGACGAGATAAGGCAGTAAGCCAGATAGTGAGATGTAGCACGCACCAGCATCCTGCAGGACTGGTAAAAAGCCCATGTGAATATATATGATCTTCCTACTATTGAGCGGTAACTGGGAATCCTTTATTTGTGTATTTTTCCTTTTTAAAATAAATACGTAGCAGAAGCCTTTTCCCGTCTCCATTGCTCTGTAACCGCCGTTTCTCTTAGTCACCCTGCACCTCACCTGACAGCTTTGCGCCGTGGTTGTGGTCACCAGATATCGATCTTTTGTTGGGGTAGCGCGCTGTGGAATTCTACGCCATTGTCCCTTTTTTTTCTTGGTGCTTGCCCAGTATTTTTCTTTTAACCGCCGCGTCCTTGCAAAAAACCACAAATCAGTCAATATCTTTGCTTCTATTTTGCATTTCTTCTTCAACATTTACACCGGCCCGGCCACTTTGCTTGCGCTGACTCTTCCGCCATCGGCATCGGAGGCACAAGGCGGGGAGTGCCCACCACAAAAGAGGAGCCATATTTTTTTTCCTACCCGCTGAAAGCAACCAGACACCAGTCATTCCGTCTTCCCTTTCATCTTTTCAACATCTTTCAGAACTCCTTTGTTTGCATTATCTACTCGCAATGACTGCTCTCAATGGAATAGAACACCCGTTACCGGTGCGAACAAACGGCGTCCACGCTCCCCAGATCAACGGCGACAAGCGCCCAGAGACACCCACCATGTCCTTGACAGAATACAGCGTCAACCCCTCCACGCCGCCATCGGGCGAGGCTCGCGAGCGAATGAAGGAGCAGGTCCCCGAAGACTTGCTGCTGCCCAATGGCTACCCAGATGTATGTAATTCATCGTCAAATGCACTCTGACATTCAAAAAAAAAGATTCAAAGCGAAAACTAACCGGCGGGATCCAGTACATGCGCATGATCATGACTGCCACGTCCAGAGTCTACGAAGCCTGCAAAATCACTCCTCTCACCCACGCCGTCAACCTCAGCAACCGACTCGAGTGCAATGTCTACTTTAAGCGTGAGGACGAACAGCCCGTGTTCAGCTTCAAGCTGCGCGGTGCCTACAACAAGATGGCCCATCTCGACCCGGCCAAGAGCTGGAAGGGCGTAGTCTGCTGCTCGGCCGGTAACCACGCGCAGGGCGTAGCCTTTTCCGCGCGCAAGCTCAAGATCCCAGCAACCATTATTATGCCCGAGGGCACCCCCAGCATCAAGCACAGCAACGTCGCGCGACTCGGCGGCCACGTTGTGCTGCACGGCGCCGACTTTGACGCAGCCAAGGACGAGTGCGCCCGCCGCGCCGCCTCCGACGGCCTCATCAACATCCCCCCGTTCGACGACCCTTATGTGATTGCAGGACAGGGAACTGTGGCCAACGAACTGTTTGGCCAGATCAACATGGCCAAGGTAGAGGCCATCTTCTGCGGCGTGGGTGGCGGCGGTCTTATTGCCGGCATCGGCGTGTACATTAAGCGCATGGCGCCGCACGTCAAGATTATCGGTGTGGAAGCCCACGATGCCAATGCCATGGCCCAATCGTTAAAGAAGGGAGAGCGTGTTGTTCTTAAAGATGTTGGTCTGTTTGCGGACGGTGCTGCTGTCAAGACACCCGGCGAGGAGCCCTTCCGTCTTGCGCAAGAGGTAGTGGACGAGGTGGTGGAGGTGAGCACGGACGAGATTTGCGCCGCCATCAAGGACATGTACGACGACACACGGTCCGGTCTTGAGCCTGCAGGCGCGCTGTCCATTGCTGGTCTGAAGAAGTACGTTGCGCAGAACCCGTCGCGGGACTCGAAACGATCGCTTATTGCCGTCACGTCGGGCGCCAACATGAACTTTGACCGTCTCCGCTTTGTCGCCGAGCGCGCGGCTCTTGGTGAGGGCAAGGAGGCTCTTCTTGTTGCTACTATTCCCGAAAAGCCCGGTTCCTTCCAGAAACTCATTGAAAACATCATGCCCCAGGCTGTTACCGAGTTCTCGTACCGTTATGTCGAAGGCTCCGACGCCAATATCCTCATTGGTCTCTCGCTGCAGCGACCTATTGCCGAGCGCCCCGACGAGCTGCGCAATGTCATGGAGCGCATCCGATCGGACGGTATGATAGTAACCAACGTGTCAGGCGATGAGCTCGCTAAGAGTCATATTCGATACATGAACGGTGGCCGCTCCAACGTTGCCGACGAGAAGCTGTTTATGTTTACATTCCCTGAACGACCGGGAGCCCTCGAGAAGTTTGTCACGACGCTGCGTCCCAAATTCAACATTAGCTTGTTCCAGTACCGTAACTACGGCGGCGATGTGGGCAAGATTCTGGCCGGTATCCAGTGCCCCGATGGGCAGAAGGACGAACTGCTGCAGTTCCTCCACGAAATCGGATACCCGTTCCAAGACTGCACTGACTCGGAAGTCTACAAGATATTTTTGTGCGCATAAGATATATACAAATACAAAAATACACATTGCATTGTTGCAGCGAGGGTGTCATTGAGGAGTTGAGGATGCATATGGAGCCGGTGGTATTCGGTATATACGGAGCGGGAGTATGAACAAAAAAGTAGAAAAGGTATCATGGATTGTCACCACGCAGTGGTGCTCTGGCGTTTTGGGTGTCATTTTTTTTTAAATTTTGTGTGAAACTAGGTTCCCTTTGAGACAGCTGGATAATGAAACGAGCTTGAATCTAACCAACTGCCGCCTTTCTCTGCCGGTGATGAATACGGTGCCTGTCTCTCGGGGCTATGTCTTAAAGGAGAGTTGAATATGCATGAGGCTCAACACGAATTCCAAGTAAGCTTATCTCACTGGTAGGGCCGTGTGTATCTTGGCTGGGGAACACAGAGGCCAACCAGGAAGTGCGTACGACGAGCTGAAGTCCAGCCCTGCATCACCACAGCCTTATGAGGGCAACACAGAACACGAGCAAGGCGTGATTGTGGCAAACTCACATGCACAGTAAGCCAATTGTAAATTAATCTTGTGGGAATTTTCACGTGCAATGTACAGCGATAGCGTTCTAGAAGGCTATTCAGCCGTCTTGGTGATATGTCTGAATCGCCATGGGGGACTTACACGTAGTGCAGTAGTCGCTTGGCGAAAGCGGAAAGCCGCGATCCCATCTTTTTTTTTGTTACTTACGTAGTCATCAAGGATGGCTTGAGTCTCTTGGCACGGGGCTATGTGCGGTAACGGCACGGTCCAGATCCCCTGCCTGGTGCATCCATCCCGATCAGGCTTCCAGGCACGAGGGTATGCACTGCACTTTGTTTAGCATGCATGTGAAATGCAATGTTTGCATGTACATGTACTCTGTACATATGCTCTGTAAAAAAAGGCTCGGGCGACTGGGGGAATGCAAGAACGGGTTAGATTTGCCCGAAGCGAACAAATGGCGTTATCTGCAGCTAACGTCTGCTTCGTACATACTGTGCATGCAATGCAGCAAATCTTGATAGCACATGTGCCAATTAAAAAAAGCAGCAGAGTACAGTTTTTCTCTTCCCTTGCAGCAACACAATGGCGACGCCGAAAGCTGGCTGCGTGAATTAGAAAAATAGGCCCGACATGTCCCAACAAGGAAATGTCGGCCGCCCAGCCACAGCAGAAAATACGCAGTACACCTACCAGAACTGGAATACAACTGCGCTGTTTATCGTATTATAGCGGCTGTTCATGCGCTGGGAGCGGTATATCGGCATTGGGTTATCGCCGGTGGACGGGCGGGCTCGATATAGTAACGAACGTCAGTCAGTCAGTCAGGCCACGCACGCACGCCGCCCATGGTAATAATGAAGAGAAAAAAAATAAAACGCTCGCGTGCACAATCAACGCTAAGAGCTCGCGTAAATGCACGCCTGTCAGGCGCATAGATTGATTACCCGCACAAGACATGCAGTGCCGGCAGACCAGTCTGGCGGGATCGTCAGGGCGGCCAAGCACTGGAAAAGACAGGCGCCCACGCAGGCACCACTAAACAGCAGGCTAAGCAGGTACTGTAAGTTTACTTTTTAAGTGCTGTACTTACAACAGATTTTGGGGGTCTGGCTGGCTTCGGAGCGGCTTCCAGCAGTCTTCTGCCGCTGTGGCCGGTGGCAGCGTGTGGCCCGTGCGTGATGTGGGTGGCTGCGTGGCGAGCCGCTGTGGTGATTTATTGTTATTTTTAATGTTTCTTGTTTAATATTGGGGGGGAGGGGCGTCGATTTGCGTCTTTTCAATCACTGTAAAAGAATAAGGGAATAAACGGCATGTTTGCAAGGATTAGAACTCAATCCTTGGATTTATTTAGGTTATTTTTTATTTATTGTGACTTGCGTTCATAATAATATCTTCTCTTCTTTTTCTCTTCCTCTGCTCTGCGCTGTTGTGCGTCTGTCCTCCCCTCGGAGGCGCCGTCGCAGCGAATAACACGCCCACACCTCCCCCCAAATCCCGCTGTTTCGGCGTCTCCACGCCTTGAATGACGAACCCCTCACTGTATTTCGTCATATGACGAGTGTTTCATTCACTGCGGTGTTTCTTATGCCGGGTTTTTATTTTTCAGTGTGTGAGTGGAGGGGGTGCTGGAAAAGTAGCTGAGATGGTAGAGGGGGAGGGGATTAGTGATGCAATCAATCGTCTGCTGAACAACGACGTGAGAGAATATGGATCAAAGACACACACTCTCTCTTATACTGAATTGCCAGCAAGGTTCTCTCTCTCTCATCAAGAGCACCCAGTAAACAAAAAAAAAACAGCAGGGTCCAGACTACTTTACTGAGGAGGAGCTGCTCCCCACGCGCAAAAAGCGCCATCGCCGCAAGCAAATTACCTTATCCAGCCATGGGCCAAGGCCGGCCCACCAGGGTGCTGCTAATTTACAGCGCTAGCAAACTGCCAAAATCGCCCTAAACCCAGCGTTGAACCCCTAAGACAGCCCCTGCTCTTGCAAGGGAACCGGGGCCTCGGGGCGCCTGCAAGCACCCCCACTACGACCAACTACTGCCGCTACCACGCCCCCTCCCCTCTCTTCAGCGAGGCGTTCGGTGGGAATAAAGGTCTTGCCTGCAGCCCAATTTTGCGCCTCGCGTCGGTGTGTGGTCTTGTAAACAATTTTTTTCTTTCCCTTTGTTTCTCATTCTGCTGCTTCTTTTTTTCTTCTTCTTTCGTCATTAGCCTATCGAACTTGCATGCTGCACGCAAACACAAAAAAAAAACTACTAACGTCACCTTTTTCTCACCCGTTTTGTACTGGGTACACACTACACTACCTTGGCTCACTCAACCAAGTTTAGTGACCGCTGCAGCCAGCCGACTCCGCCGCGCTAGGCCTTCTGCTGCTACTACCGTGTTAGCGCCCCAACTTTGGAGCTGGCGCTGCTCTCTTTCCGGCGCCCCAGCGTAATTGAACCTCCGCTCTGCATTACTCCTCCGCTTCCTACATCACGGGCGTCCGGTCCCCTTCTTCCTCTTCATCCCATCATCACGCTCTCCTATTTCACCACGGCTCGCCCTGCTACGACGCTGCATCTGCTAAACACCGGCCGCCTGCATACCGTCACTCCTACATAGCAGCCCTACTACCACCTCCGCATCCCGCCCGGCTCGCGTGCCAAGGTCCCCCAGCTTCTGCTTACGCTTCCCACAACGATCCGGTTTACTCAGCTTTCGCCTCAGGCCCGCTGCCGAAGGCTGACCCTGCATCGCCCGCGTTGAGCTTTTCTGCTGGCCTGAATTTTTCAATCAGCCGCCCCCGTTTCGATCGGCTGTTGCTGCGTCTCGCCGTGCATCCCAACGACAACCAGCTGCTTTTGGTGTGGAAGCCAAAAGCTCGATATATAACAAAGCCCACCACCAATCAGCCAACCCCTCCCCCGCCAGACGACCTTTTGGAATTCGCTCCCGGCGACATACTCCCAACAAACCAAGGGACACATAAAACAATAACAGCACAGACGACAATCCCCGGCAAAAGACGGACTCGTGGTCGCCCCATCGCTCTAATCGCCGCCCACCCGCTTTGCTGGCTGGCTGGAGCATGACCAAGAGCAGGCCCGTGCAATACTGCGCTCCCGTCGCAGCTACCGATGGTACTCTAGAACCATATTCTGTTTGTCGATAGCTCTTTGTGTCCGACTCTCGCCTACCCACGTCTCCACGCCAGTGGCCCCGGCGCCTCATCAGCTGGCCCCGTGCGCCGGAGCTCCTTTGCATAACCTCGCGTCCTGCTGCTGCTGCTGCTGCTATTAGCCGACCAAGATACCGCCGTCAACGATGCGACGTAATCGGTCCCCGAGCTCGTCTTCGCCCTTCCGGGCGCTGGCGCATCATCAGCTGGCCAGCGCAAATTCCAATTCGGCAGACCCCGTCGCGTTGATACGCTCTTTCAATGTCGAAACCAACCCCTCTCGACCCATGCGCCCCTCCCCGCTCACAGCTTCGACAATTCGAGATATGCCGCTTGACCTAGTCGATCGAATACGCTCCTTCCCGCTCTTCATGTCTGCTCCCGAAGAGTTTCTTGTGGCTATTGGAAACCACTTGAAGCCTCAGGTCCAAGGCGCAAACGATCACATTGTAACCGAGGGCGACGACGCAAAAGCCATGTACTGGCTTGTGCGCGGTGTCGTGGCCGTAACGTCTCGAGACGGCGAAGCGACCTATGCAGAACTGAAACCGGGTGCCTTTTTCGGAGAAATTGGCGTCCTCATGGATATGCCACGGACTGCAAGCATTGTAGCGCGCACAAAGTGTCTTTTGTTGGTCCTCAAGAAGGAGGACCTCCAGACAATCATGCCAATGTTTCCGCAAATGGAACAGGCCATCCGCGAGGAGGCCCAAGAGCGACTGATGTTGCTCAAGAAGAAGCGGCAAGAAAACGGCGGCCTCATCAAGTCACCGCCACCCGACTTGAAAGCCAAACCGGCAGCTGGAACCGCTCTCCGCGCAGAGAGTGGTACCTTGAAGGATGGCTATGTGGTCAACCTCAAGAAGAGAAAGTCTCCAAGCCCCGGCATCATCGAAGATCCTGCTGCCGGAAGCGCCATTGGTAGTGGCTTTGTTAACATCAGACGCACCCTCAAAGAGCTGCCACTGTTTTCGTCGCTACCCCCCGAAATCCTACACTTTTTGGGCCTCAGCGCCCAACCGAAAGCATACCCTCCTTTTAGCGACATTATTCGTCAAGGCACCTCAGGAAGCGAGATTTTCTTCATCGTGCAGGGCGAAGCTGAAGTTATTCACGAACCGCCCAAACCTCTTACCAATGGCGACGCAGCCCTCCCCACAAGCCGCACACGGCCCAGACTAAAAGCCGGACAATACTTTGGCGAAGTCAACAGCCTGGGCTTGTCAGGGAAGCGTACTGCTACAGTACGATCTATCACGACTGTCGAATGTCTAATGATTCCGGGAGATACGCTGGAAGAGCTGTGGAAGAGATGCGCACCCGGTATCAAGGAGCAAGTCATTGAAACGGCACGTATGCGATATACCAAACAAGACGAGGATGTAAAAATGACCGATAGCAATGGCGAGGACGACAGCGACGATTCTCCTCAATCTTCACATTTCAAAACCTCATTACCAAACCTAACCTTTACGTCGCCATCGAAGCCCGCTTCTCCAGGGCAGGATGAGCATGAAAAGAGGAGCGAGCCAAGCGACCCCGATCCTTTTCTGAGCGTCGATATGGAGAATATGCGAAATCGCCGCCGGCACTCGCTGGCACCCCCGACTCCTGTACCAGAACCTCCAACGGTACCATCGCCAACGAAGCAAATGTCTGTTGACGTCTCGCCACTTGCCGACATCTCTAGCTTAAAGTACGCCTTCTCTAACTACTCCAACGACTCTGGTACACCGCTTAAGAGGGTACGGACCCTGGAGAGCGAGCTTGGCGCAATGTCTCTACCTAACCTAACCGACCAGCTCCTCATTCGAGTCCTACAGTTCCTCGACGTTGTTGACTTATACAAGCTACGACAAATCAACAGCTACTGGAGGCGCCTGGTTTGCAACTCGCCCGAGCTCTGCAACATTGTCGACTTTTCTCACCACAACCGCGTTGTCACTGACCACGTCTTGGCTTATACCTTGGCACCCTTTATCGGCCAACGAGCAGTCTCTGTTGACCTGAGCAACTGCTTCCACATTACAGACGAAGGATTCTCGGCTCTCTGGAAGAAATGTGGCAAAGGAGTAAAAAAGTGGAAGATGCGCTCTGTTTGGGACGTATCGGCCAACCAAATTCTAGAAATGAGCGAGAATGCCAAGGGATTAGAAGAAGTCGACTGGAGCAACTGCCGCAAGGTTGGAGATAACCTCTTGGCCCGCGTGGTGGGCTGGGTCGTCCCCGAACAGTCGCCCACGACCAAGAAAGCTTCCGTGGGTTATTCGCAAAAGATCAGGGGTGGCCAGCGCAACGAGGAGGAGCAAAAAGATCCCCCTCCACCTGGTACAGTAATTGGCTGCCCTGGGTTAAGCAGACTCAACTTGTCATACTGCAAACACATCACCGATCGGTCCATGGCACACCTCGCAGCACACGCCTCCTCTCGCATACAGTCGCTCTCGCTTACACGCTGCACGTCCATTACTGATGCTGGGTTCCAAACATGGGCCCAGCACAAGTTTGAACGCCTGACACATTTGTGTCTCGCAGATTGCACCTATCTCTCTGATAACGCAATCGTTGCGCTTGTCAACTCAGCAAAGAGTCTTACCCACCTAGACCTTTCCTTTTGCTGTGCACTATCGGACACGGCCACCGAGGTCGTGGCCCTCGGCTTACCAAAGCTTCGCGAGCTTCGACTAGCCTTTTGCGGCAGCGCCGTAAGCGACGCAAGTCTAGAGAGTGTGGCCCTTCACCTGAACGAACTCGAGGGCATCAGTGTGCGCGGCTGTGTGCGTGTCACAGGCAAGGGCCTGGAATACATCCTCCGAGGCTGCTCCAACCTAGACTGGGTTGATGTCAGCCAATGCCGCAATCTGGACCCTTGGTTCCGCGTTGGCAGCATCAGCAAATGGGGCTACGACCAGCGGACGGTGGAAACGCACTCCAGCAAGCGCCAATGGATGTCGAACCTGGACGAAATGTCGAAATCATTTGCGCAGCCCAAGACGATGAGCGTAGCTATGCTCACAACACCCAACTTTTACCCGCGGGCCGGCGTGCCGTCCATGACACGTCGACCGCGACACCCCGTGCGATTTATAGTAGAAAAGGGAACGGATGGGTTACGATGAGAGCATTTTGGACAAGAAGTCTTTTTTTCTGGGGTTCTGGTTTATTCTTTCCTATGATTTCTGTATTTACCATGCTCGATTCACGGAGTTATTGTTTTATACGTGGGCTGGGGGGTTCTTTTACGAATAGCGCCTATGGGAGTTTTATGCTTGCGGACATTTCGGTGGCGGCGTGTGTAAGAGAGCAACGGCGAACGGCGGTAGAAACGACATGTGATTATGATACCCTATGCACCAATTGAATCATTATGTATATGCAATCTATTTCCTATCTTTTTTATAAATGTTCAATATCTTTTCTAGATACCAGCCGCGGCTTATTCGCCGTGACGGCGTTTCCTTGAGTACCGATTAAGTGGTCAAAACATCTCTAGTTCAATAGGATCCGTATTGACATGTGTCATCATTTCACACATGAGTAGGTCTAGATCTCTATCTTGCGCGGAAAAATATAGCGAAGGGATCAAGGCTGGTGCTGCGCGGAACCACTGAATATCGAGGCCTGAATCTATGAATGTTTGTGAATAGGCCTTGCAACAGACTCCTACCATGTCTCTGCCGAAGAGACCAGGTGTAAATGGTGCTGGTAGTTGCCGGAATTTCTCGAGTGATTCTTCGTCGACAATGAGTGCTATTTGGTATCGTGACGAAATTGGCTCTGGATCACCGTTTTCTTCGACCCATTTGTCAAAGGCAGCTGCTATTACACTGAGAGGTGCTCCGTCGAGATTCTCGCAATCTTCAATCACGGTGTTTCGTAGACGAGAGAGCATTTCCTCGCCTGCTTGCTGCACAAAGCTGTGGCTCACTCATGTTTCCGGAAGGTTTATGTTCCATACTTCTGGTGATCCATCGTCGCATATACCCTTCTATACGCTCAACTGCCAATGCAAACCCAGCATCGGACTCCTTGTGTATACCGTGCGGTAGATGGTAATGCCCCATGAATTCTGGTGTTTGCCGGTTTGTGTAAGGTCGTGCACAGCTTGCAGCATGTTACGTGGCCAAGTATCCCAGCTACCGGCTCTCATCTGCGCCGGCATTTTGAGAAATCGCTCTGGATAGGGTCAACAGACGCCATTGTGGCAGGTTATCGCTAGTTGTATAAATGGCTTTTGCACTCGCAGCTTGTGTCTCACAACCCGCCGTTCTATATGAGCCCAAGAGTTATCATCTCTTGATTCGTACTGCTGACTATTACGCAGACGTTAGTCCCGATATCAACAACAAGTTTGCTCTCATTCCCCAATTGTACATCCGGAGCTAAAGCTTGATTAGCTCACCTTGCTACAGCACTATACTTACTGTATGGTGGCTTTAGTGGGCGCCGTTAATCCCGCCAGCAGCGCTGAATAATGCGGAGCTGCGTCCGCTAACAGCACCCAGTGGCGAGATGGCCCAGGAATTTTCCACGCAGTTCCACCACGTGACTCGGACTTAACAGCTCCCCCAGCGGCGTTGACTGGGCCGGGTTCCGCCGCAAGTGAAATCACCGCCGCCAACCTTGGTTTCTACATAAAAACGTCATCATCGCCGCAGCCTGCGCTTCACGACACCTCTCTTGGCCTGCATCCGTCCCAAGCTTCATCGACAAGCATCTCGATAATGTCCTTCACATTCACCCTCCGGCATGGCCCTGCGCGTCTGGCGCAGCGTCTGCCCAAGTCCGCCCTGCAAACTCCCATCCGCAGCTTCCAGCACCAGGCCGGCAGCAAGACCACCAGCAGCTTCTTCACATCGCGCATTGTCCCGACAGCATCTCGCAGCGCCTTTGGCAAGTCGGGCAGCGCCCGCTTCGTCCACGACAGAGTCATTGTTGCGCAGCAGGCGGCCCGCAGCTCCCGCACACGGCAGCTGCTTGTCGGTGGCGCCATCTTTGGCGGTACGCTTGTTGCCATCAACGCCGTCTTCAACAGAGAGACCCGCGAGGATGGCGGCATGCCCGTCTTTGAGCGCGAGTACCTCAACAGCACCTTCCTGCACACCGGTCTCGGCATTGGTATCATTGCCCTGACGGCTAGACAGATGGTCCGCACTGGCTTTGTCTACCGCCTCATGGTCACCAACCCGTGGGTTGTTGGTATAGGCGGTCTTGCCCTCAGCTTCGGCACCATGATTGGCACACGGTCCATCAGCCCCGACAACTATATCCCCAAGTACGCTCTATGGACTGCCTTCAACGCCACCCAGGCCGCCTTTGTTGCGCCTCTGCTGGCCTTTGTCCCCATGCCCATCCTCGCCCGCGCCGGTCTCTACACCGTTGCCATGATGGGTGCGCTGTCTGTTGTCGGCGCCACTGCTAAGCAGGAGAAGTACCTCTACATTGGTGGTCCTCTTTTGGCCGGTGCTGCCATTGTCGCCGTCTCTGGCTTCGCCCCGCTGCTGCTGCCCGTTACCGCCGTCCGCACGCTCGCCTTGACCGAGAGCATCTGGCTGTACGGTGGCCTCGCCGTCTTTGGCGGCTTCACGCTTTACGATATCCAGAAGATCTTGTACCATGCTCGTCTTGCTGAGCGTGGCGTCATGCGCCGCGACCCCGTCAACGAGAGTATTGCCCTCGAGCTCGACTTCCTCAACATCTTCATCCGTATGGTGCAGATCCTCAGCGCCAACCAGAACCGCAAGCGATAAGCGGGGCCTTTTTCTTCAAATAAACAAAAAATAGAAGTAATAACCGACAAAAAAATTTAGACCAAGTATACTTGGAACTCCTCTCAATGGGATTATTGGATGGTGGAAGCATTTTGTTCTTTTGTTAGACGCAAGCAGCGCCTCTGGGAAAAAACGAAACATGAAAAAATACCCCGACGCTATGCCGTCGCATACTTGTACTCTAGACAAACAGCATCATATTATATACGTGTGCTATAACAACCAAACTCAAATCATTTGTTAAAATTTGACGCCTTCATCTTGATCATCAGTGCTTAACATTGTGACCCCACGTAGATCGTAGCCCACTTGTAAGCCCCTATTATCAATCCAAAAACGATACAACCTATAAATCGACGATTCTACTCCATCTTGATTTAGTACACTTGACGAATTGCCGTGATTCGGGAATCGAAGCTGCGCTGGAGGTGTGTGGTGCAGCGTCGCCATTGGCCACAGCGCCCCATCACCTCATCGATCTGCCAAACGACGACAACCAGCTGCAGCGGCAGCAGCACGGGAAGTCAATCTCGACCTGTAAGTGAGGGGAAAGAGGGAAACTGAGAAGGCGTGATAGAGGGGTAAGGCGGCCTATTTAAACAATTCAGAGGAAGCACCCTGATGGCTTGTGCATCTGCTAGTTCTTAACGCCTAATTTGCACTTATACGCCACCATGACTGCTGCTGCTGAGTTTGAAGCTGCTAACAAGCAGTATGCCGCTACTTTTGATAAAGGCAGCTTACCCCTCCCTCCCGGTCGGTAAGTGTTTGGTTCCCGTACTGTGCTGAATCTATGTAAACTAAAGTGGCTGCGTATGTGTATAGAAAGGTGACGGTTGTGACGTGCATGGATGCCCGTATCGACACGGGCAAAAGTCTGGGTGTAGCAGAGGGAGATGCTCACGTCATTCGAAATGCCGGCGGACGTGCATCAGAGGCTCTGCGATCGGTGATTATCTCGCAGCAGCTGCTTGGCACACAGGAGGTCGTTGTTATTCACCATGTAAGTAGTGACAGGCGTGACACTGTGGGTGTGTAGATGGCTTGCTGACATGCTTGGATTATAGACCGATTGTGGAATGCTCACTTTCTCGGACGAGGATATCCGCAACAAGATCCGCGACGGGCTTGGCGAGAATGTCGACCACCTGTCGTTTTTGCCCTTCAAGGATCTAGAGCAGAGCGTCAGGGACGACGTTGCGCTGCTCAAGAAGAGCCCGCTCGTCCTGGATGTGCCCATCTCGGGATACATTTATGATGTGAGCACGGGCAAGATTGAGCCCGTGAACTAGGATAACGCCACAGCCGTTCTAATTGGGTCGATAATCGTTTGATTCATTCAATGTGCTATTAAAATCATCGCTATTAGACAATGTGTCCTCCGCTGTTATATCTCCCAGGCTAAGTAAGTAAGTATACATGTAAAACATTATGACAATTCCTATGTGTGAAGCGCAGCTTTCCCATCGTAGTGATGCTGTGATACGGGGCTTCCTTCTGCGGTTCGCAATGGCTTCTTACAAGTGTGTAAGATCCGGGGTATTAATTCTTGTCGATGCCGTCCTGCTCAGGCTCATACTTGGTCTCCCCCAGCATTTGGCCAGGCGGCGCGGCCATGGCCGTTTGAGCGCTCAGAGAAGGCTGTGTCTGCACCGGCGATCCCGATGATGCCGCGGGACCAGACGCGCTTGGGTTGCTAGTCGCAGCGTTGAGACGCTGATCCAGTGCCTTGAGCGCAATGGCTCGTCTACGCTCGGCTTCGGCGCGAGCACCTCCAGGACCTCGTCTTGAGAGGGGTGCGTCGCTTCTAAATGTCGAGGTCTCGTTGGAGAACGGGCTGCAGATTCTGACGGCGACAAGGATGTCGAATATTTGGTTCGAGACAGCGGCAACAGCGGGCTTTACGGGTGCCGGGAAGAACTCGGCAAAGGCAAACGTTTCGCTGGCGTCGCCACGCAGAGGCGCAGACTGGCCGGACTCGAGGTCGGGGAAGACGGTCTTGTAGAATCGCAGATATGTCCAGCTGGTGAGGAAGCCGAACAACGCAAGCCAAATGGCAGCCCTCGATAGCAGTGGCGTCAGAGACAGTACGAGGATGATTCCGAGATAGAGGATCGGGAATCGCGGGACGCGGAGCGAGAGCACGCCCTTGAATAGCGTGACGGTGTGTGCTGGAACCAGCTGGCTGAATGCGACGAGGAAGGCAATTTGTACGGGGATTGTTCCAGCAATAGGAGTAAGTCTAAGAAGGAGGCATGTTAGCAAAGCCTATAAAGCATCAAAGGGGGGCGAGTCGTGATATCACGTACGTCCAGCGCTCGTTGCGCGTCATGCTAAAGAAAAAGTACATGACGCAGAACGTCAAAAAGTTTGGTACGAGCGAGACGAGGACCAAGAATTTTGTAAAGTCCTTGGAGGACCACGCGCGCTCAAGATATCGGCCGCCATTAAAAAGGGTGAAGCCGCCGATGGCGAGGGTGAAGATGTTGCTCTCGACGAGGCTGGAGGATATAAAGGTCCACGGGTAGACTATCGAGAGCTGCGGGACGAGCGTCAAATAGGGTACGACAACTTCGGTGGTCTCAGTCCATTGTCTGTAGCGGATAGCGAAGCCGAGGAGGGACTGCAGCGTTAATGCGATGAGCGTGATGCGCGTGACGGGAGGGATGTTGATGCGGGCGGGCATCGTGGGCGAGGGTTATCGGCGGCGCGCCGGGACGGTGGCATGCAAAATACAGTTTGAAGCCGTTGGGATCCAGAGTCTATAGGACCCGAGCAAACTTTGGACTGGGTGCGGTCGGTTGCCGACAGGCTGTTTGGGGTTTTTAATTTTTTGGTGGCAAGGACAGCTCGGGGGTCAAGCTGCGTCAGTGAAGCCCGTTACGTAGAGGACACTAGTCTCCATTGGGAAGACAGCTTCCTTGGTTGCGGCTCTGTGCCTCAGGCATAGGGGCTACGGGTGTCATTGTTAGGCAGCGTATCAGTGCTGTCGTTGCGAATTAGGGTGATGAAAATTTTACAGTGATTTGGGTTAAACCTAATAGGCTACAATTAATTTTTGGAGGGATATTTGAGAGGTTTCCCGTGTGGCTGGCTGTAGATAACCGAACGTCTATGTGTAGAGGTGGCTGTCCGGGGCTACGCAGAACGACGACTAGCTTACGGAGTTTTTTCAGTGTGCGAAACGACAAACAGTCCGAGAATAAACCAGCAGATGCGAGTTTGGGAAAAGGCCTCAGCATTGCGACCGACTGCAGTTTTTGGCGCTGCACGACGGGTATCTACAGCTGTCATGTACCGCCGCATGGGCGTTGTGGTGCATGGATCAGGCAGCTATCACTGCAGCGCTCGCAGCAAGTCACCGCGTACGACGTCCAAGTACGGCGTGTGTTGTGCTGTAGGCTGACTTGGCTGCCCAGGAGGTGTGTTTCTTGTTTGGCTGTAACGGATCTGCGGATGTTTCACACCTGCGTCCTCTTGCGCTGGGGGGCGCCTAAGCCTGGGACGCGACAGCTGCTGGTGATGGGCTTACTTCTGAGATAATAAAAATGGTAGCCCGTAGGCTTCTGTGACGACTGTGAGCTGCATCTGCAATTTGGATGAATTTGGACTACCAACTGTGGCAACGGCTAACTGGCGACCCTCGCCGAGGGCAAAATGTAGCGGAAGCCAGGGGCCCAAGCACGGACAGACAGGCTACCAGATCCGAGCAGCCAATTGGGCTGGCCTAAAATAGGAGCCGAAATTTAGGCCAGATGAACTAGAGGATCGGCGTAACCTGCTTTTTTGCCTGCCAACGCTGCTCCTCTTTTTGTCGTCAGCTGCCAGCTCACACTTGTGCCAAAGGACATCCAGACAGACTGACGATGCAAGTATGCAGTCTTTGGCTTCCTTTTGCTGCATATCCATCTGATTTGTCTGGCACCTTGTCTCGCCTGCTGCGATTATGTCCCGCATTCCAACAATGGCTTGGCTCCAGTCTGGTGCGTGCAAGCAAGCAGCCCCTGTTCTCATTTTTAGCGTAGCGTGGGTGGCTGCTCGGGGCGGTGGGCTGGGCTGTCACGTCAACTGCAGACCCAAGGTTTGGATAGCGGCGGAAGAGTCGCGCAGCGTTGTGGTCTAGTGTAGCATTGGCATTAAAATTGCCGGTCACAGCGACCCCGATCTGGGGGATGAAGGCAACCTCGGTAGCAACGGATTTTTGAGAGTCGATGCGATGGATGGTGCAGCGTTGTTCTCGGCGAGGAGAGGGTTTTTTTTTTTCGCTTGAGATGAGAGATGTTTTCCGCCACTGGGAGGCGGCGGAGGTGTGTGATGCGTGGCTGCTCGGGTGGTGCTGCTATTGATGCAAACGCTTGGATGCCTTGTGAAAAGTGAGTGGGCTGACGATGTTGAGGCGAGGATGGACCGGACACCACGCACTGGGGGCGATTGGTTTGGCTCCAATCGCGAGGCGGACGCAGGTTCGCTCCCTAGTAGCCGTGACCCCACAGCACCCTTTTTTTGCTCTGTTAGCTGTCGTGTCGTTCCCCCTGGGGGAGCAGTGTTTCAAGGTGTGATGGGATTAGTAGGAGGTGACTGAGCTGGGCAACGACAGTTGAAGACGAATAAAAAATTATCACTGCATTTCTGAAATGTTGGACATTGTAAGAATATATTTTGTATATTTATTTCTGTGTCGCAAACCCAACAACAAAAGAACGAGTCAAATTTTCAAGTCGCCTAAAAAGAGAAACATGCATCGAAGAAACCGCTGCGGCGCCACCACGCAACCCACCCACCAACCAGACAAGACGCCTAGAAAATAAAATAAAAGAAAAAAAACATAAAACTGTCGTCGCATGGGGAAGGGGGTGTTGTGGTGTGCGTGTGCGTGCTGTGCGTGCATAGGCGTGGGCCATGGCATGGGCGTGTGGGCACCAAAAAGGCGGGTGTATCCATCCAGCAGTTCGGCAGAAGCGTCGCCAGGCGCTGTAGCTTGCGGCTGGAACGGTACTAGCTCCGGGCGCCAGTACCTGCAGTCAAGGGCTCCTCTGGCAGTGGCAGCAGAGCCTGGGCTGGGGCTGGGCGGGCATCAGTGGCTGCTGCTCCCTGAAGCGGAGGCGGCATAGCGCTGCAGCCCAGCCAGAAAAATAAATTGTGGGGTTTTCAATCTTGCTGGGGCTGCCAATTGAATCTTCACTCGACGCATTTCCGTTTTCCTACGCCCGATTTCCCTTGCCCTTTCCCTTCTTCCTCCTCTTTCGCTCTGCTATTTTTGCATCTTCCCGCCATATCATCTCCGGAATCACGCCGTCTGCTCCTTTCTGCTATCACCAACGCCGCATTCCTTGCCTGCTGCCCCCGCCGCCGCGGCTACTGCTTCCTCGCCTCTCTCCGCCTGTCCAACGCTTGCGTCGTCGCCTTGCCCCCCTCGCCAAAACAGTTCTTTGCGCCAATCTGGCCCCCGGCTTGCCCATCACGACCTTGTAACCAAGTCTTGCGCCGCGCGCGCATCCCCCTCCGACGGGCTTAAAAATGGTCGTCAAGGAGTTTCTCGACTCCGATAGAGTCAACTTTCTCATATGGAGGTGAGTTCCAGCCCGCCCCCCCGCGACATGCATGAGTCTCCCGTCTCACGGGGCACTACCACCATTTTGGCCACAATGCTAACCTTCGCGATGCAGGTATCTCTTGGAAGGCAGTACGTACCAGCCCTCCCGCGCCCTGCTAACAGCCAGCATTTGTGACTAACTTGTCTTCTTTTTCTTTCTTTTGCACAGATTACCGAGAAACTGCCGCCAAATTTCAAAAAGAATGGCACGTAAAAGAGCCGCACCGCGATCTTGAATTTGCTCCCCATGTTCAGGGTCATGCGCTCGTCTCCGTCGTTAACAGAGGCCTTCTCTACCAGGCTCTGGAGCGCGAACACACACGCCAAAAGGTATGCATCTCATTGGAAAATACATCATCATGTCTATAAGCATTCACTAACGCGTTTTTTTTCTTTGTTTGACACAGCTGCCGCAAAATGCTGCTCCCTCAGAATCAGAGACGTTAAAGGTTGGCGTCTTTGGGCCTCTGGATCCACCGCTAACGGCCAAGAAGGAGAGAGAAGAAGCGACAGAGGCCCTAGAGGCAGAAATGGCGAGAAAGCGCTCGCAAGCACAATTAACAAACGGTTCGCCGTCAAAGCGACCGAAACTCAGCAACGGCTTCGACGCTTCCACCGAGGCTGACGCCGCCTCCACCACGCCCATGGACGTGGACTCTCGAGATCAGCAAGCCTATCCATCGCCACTCGAAGGCGAGCAGGTGCCGCCGTCCATGGTGCACACTGACGGGCCCGAGCAAGGCACGCAAATTGAAAAAGTCGAGGAATTAACCCCATCCACCACCTTTATTCACCTCATGGACGACACCGCCAGTGCCGACCGCCCATCGTCGGCATCCTCGTCCGTTGCCGATAATCCTCCTATTTTACTTCAGTGCGAGTGGAACCCCAGAGATCCATCCATGTTGGCGGCTGCTGGAACGGATGCGCTAGCGCGGGTATGGACAGTGTCGCGTAGCAGCGCCGAGCCAGGCCAGGATCACGTGCAGCCTAGAGCCCATGCGCTGATTGATCCCGACACGCCGCGAACGACAACTGTGACAGCCTTGGCTTGGACTGCTGACGGCGCCGCTATTGCTGTAGCCACGGATTCCGGTTCCCAAGCCAGCATCAATGTCTGGTCTGCCGATGGCGTCCACGTCCAGTCTATGGAGGTGGCCGAACCACCCGTCGTCAAGCTCCTGTGGAACCCCAGCTGCACAGCGCTGCTCGCCATATCTCCTGAAAAGGGCGGCGCAATGGTGACAGTGTACTCGTCGCCCTCTGGAAATTCTCTGTCATATCATTTGCCCGGCCACGACATTGGCACGACGCCGCTTGACGCCACATGGACCAGCGACATTGAGTTTTTGCTGTGTGGTGGCGACCTCCTCGTCAGCCTGCACTGCACAGACTCCGATATTTCCCAAGTTCGCAAATTCGAAACAAATGACGACGACAGCTTCTCCCAAGTGTTGTTTGACTGGCGCTCCAAGTTGGCCGCCACTTCTAGCGACAAGGGCGTACTAGATCTCTGGGACGAAACCGGCCAGCGACGATCCATCACAGCGCACACCGGCGCCATTACAACCATGCAATGGCAGCCTCTTGCACCCGGCCAAATGGCGGCGGATGATGAGCGTCTTATTGCTACGGGTGGTGACGATGCTGCGATTCTGATTTGGAACGCGAGAAAACCAGACAGCAAAGCTAAGTGCTTGATAACAATGGGCTCGCCAATCGTGAAGCTTGCATTCACACCCGATGGCGCATTCCTGGCCGGTGCTACATCAAGACAGGTTCTGATCTGGAAGGTTGGCAGCGTCATGCCTCGAGCCAGCTGGAACCGACCTCCGCACCCCGGCTGGTTGACGCCCAAGGGAACGTCAGATTCGGATGAGGAAGACGAGCACTGCCTGTGCTGGGATATGAGCGGTCAAAAGCTAGCCTATGGCTCAAACAGCAGAGTAAGTACAGAGACAGCCATATTCCAGAAGACTCACATTTTCTAACATTGCACAGCTCGCCGTCATCAACTTTGGCAGGTAGAATCTGTCTACGTTTGTTTCAATTTGCAAGCCACCATCGCCATCATCCTCACCTCCTCACCTCCTCACCCGACCACCACCAAGACCACCACCCCAGACGCAGTTTTACGACAATGTACACCAAGCGGCGCCAGGAGCCGCAACGAAATACCACGGCCAACAACCAGAGTACGATGTAATGCTATCCTCCGCCGCGCCACCACCTATATACATATACACGCCGGCTCCAGCCTGTCTGCTGCCGTGCGCCGCTGGCAAGCCCACGCGAGCAGCAGGCTGACCAGCACCTGTAACCCACGTTTGGTCCACACATATAAAGTCCCTCGCTTTATCTTTTTCCTATTCTCTATCTTTTCTTGGATTATTGGCGGGCTTAGAGAGCCCGTTGTACACTCTTCCATACAAGGCCCGATACACCTGCGGACGGAACAGAATAATCATACAAGTTTACGGACGAGGCGGCTTACACGGAGTTTTCGAATTTGCGGTCTACCTTTAGACCCTGCTCATTTTGCTATTTTGGGAAGAAGGGGGGAAAACCACGGACATGATGTTGTTCTTTTATGCGTTGATTTTTTTTTTGTGTACGCTTTACCGGAGAGGAGTCGTAGATTTTTCGTGTATAATAACCCAAACAAGCCAATACCAGTACCATGACTATTTTTCTAATCAGATGACCTGCTCCTATAAACACTTATCGCTCCAAGTTACATGTATACCTGCCGTAGCCGAAGTCGGTACATACCATAGCCTTGTCTCGACGTGGCGGTGGAGTTGGCCGTTGAAGGTTGCAGGGCAACAAAACCCCGCCAAATTCAACCCTGTGTTGCATCACCATCAACAAATTCGACAACAGGCGTGCTGAGTGCGTACGTGCGCTGCTTCCCTCCATCTCCCATTCCGCAAATCAGCCTCTCTGCAGACCGCCCGTCAGCCCCCATCAATCCCGTGTCGCTGGAGGACCACCCGAAGTCCCGGACCAGCGAGTCGCCTCACGCGTCCTCTACACTATATCGAACCTCTCGCCCTCACAATGTCATCCTTCCGCATCCCCTCAAACCCTGGCCCCTCGAATCCCAACATGCCGTTCCAATCACCCTCACAGGCCCGCGAGTCCATCTTCACAGAAGCCATGCGCGACCGCCAGGCCCGCGGCAAGGATCCATATCGCAAGCCAGGGCCCGTGGCGCCCGTTGTGCCCGCTGCCACTCAGCCCATGTCGCAGGCTGACCTAGACCAGGTTGCTGAGGACGAGATGAATGCGCGGGAAGCTAGGCTTGGTCAAATGTGAGTGGTCGCGTGATAGCAAGATAGACGATAGAGAGAGACTAACGCGCATGAATAAGTAGGCCGCGAAAAGAGGGTTTTGAAGAGCAGGAGCAGCGGGGGTTTGCACTGAGCGTGCTGGATTGTCCGGAGCGGTTGCTCATGTATGCGCAGTCGCGTGATGATGTGAGTGATTTATGTGTACTGGTGAAGGGAAACATTTTACTGACGCTTGGGGAATCTAGAGCATAGCTGGCCAGCGGTTAAAGTTTACAGCGCTCATGTGTGGTTTCCGAGCAGAGGATAAGCCTGCCAAAGAAAAGACTACATGAGCGAGGCGAGATGGAATACAACATGTGGAGGATATTAATGATTATGAACAAGTACAGCACGGGTTGTTTATGAAGATTCAAGAACAAAGGAGGCTCATGTTCATCACAGCCATGTGAATGGCTGATTTGTAGATATATACAAAAGTTACGTACATAGACACATTTATGCACCTGGTTTGGCAAGCTCGCGGGATTAATTCCCTGCTGCCACTCGTAAATACATTGCGGCTCAATCTCATCATCTCTAGAGTGTGGACTCCATTCCAATATTAGTGCAGAAGAAGGTCAATGCGAGAAACAGATCGACGGAGAAACTAGTACAAAGTCAGAGACAATATCCATCTTAGGCGTATCGCGTGTTGGTAGCGTTGCCATAAGTTGGGGGTGGAGGTGGCGGAGGGTAGTGATGATCTTGCGATGAGTAGTTTCCTGTATGGTTCATTTCCTGCATGTTGTAGGCGTTGTTGTTATAGTTGTGTGAAAAGTTGGTATCGTTGGTGGTGTTGTTGTTGGTATAGTTTTGTGAGAAGTTGTTGTTGTAAGCTTGACCCTGCGAGAACTGCGAGTTGCTCTGGGCTTGAGGGTGTGGCACGTTGCTTATGCCTTGATGATTGGCATTCTCTTGCTGGCCGTAGTATCCATAGGGCCCAGACATGGTCATGTTGTTCATGTTGTGTTGTGTTGGCGCATACTCGCCACCGTAGGCCTGCCATCCGCCGTTATTGGGCGGTGTGCCTGCGCCTGGCGAGACCGGCTTGGGCTTGCGCATCTGTGGTCGTCGTCTGAAGCAGCTGCAGAAGCAGCTGGAGATGATGGTAAGGATGAGGAGGGCAACCACAATGGTCACGGGGATGCTGATGCTCAAATGGGACTGGTACCAATCCGTAAACGTCTTCCACCATGAGCCTCCCTGGCACTGACCGTCCTTGCACTGGCCACCACCGCTGCAGCTGGTACCGTCGATGAAGTACGAGTTGAAGTAGGTACACTGACCGCCGTTGTAATCCGTGTTGGAGCATTGCATCAAGCACTCGTTTCCGCAGGACTTAGGCGATGATCTCATGCGACCAAATGAAACCTTGCACTGCTGGTCCCGGGACGTACATGTTCCCGAGGCACATTCGAGGCCGTCACCACACGACTGGCCATTGTCCTTGTGCTTATCTTCAGGACAGAGGCCAGAAGTGCCAGAACACTTTTCCTCTGGATCGCAGGGGCCTGTGCTAGCGCGGCAAGTCTTGTCACTTCCCGCGAATTTGCACTGCTGAGTGCAGCAATCTTCGTTGGAGGGATCGCAGACCGAGCCTGTCGTGAATTTACAAGTCTTGGGGTCACAGCAAGAGTTATTGCCACACGATTCAGTTGAGCCACAGTCGCAGTCTTCTCCAGTTTCGACAATACCGTTGCCGCATGAGCTTCCAGTATACAGCTTAACATTCCTGTTGGTAGAGAGGCAGTCAGACTTAACATTGCCCTTCAATCCTGAGCAAATATTGCCAATGGTACACTGGGAAAAGGCAGAAATATCAGTACCAGTGGAGGGGTTCATGATAAACTTGCCACCAGCATCACAGCTGCCTGTCGACAAAGGGCAACATGGTTGAGCATCCGCGCCGCCTGGGCATGTCGACTTGACACAGTCGTGTACGGCACCAAACGTATGGCCAGTTTCATGGGCAAAGACCTGCCACTCAGTCGAAGTAAGGGCGATAACATTGGTAGATGAGATGGTTTCATTCGTATTTCCTCCGTTGGGTGTAGAGCCTTGTCGGCAGAGCTGGCCTCTCCAGGCGAATCCTACTGTCGCGTCCGTGTTGCAGGTAGTGAGTAGCGTCCAGTATGCGTTGGTATCTGTCTTTTGACCACGCCACTTAGAAAATAGAGATAAGCGGTCACCCAGATTAACTGAAGATCCGCACTTTACGTTCCAAGGAGCAGCCTGTGAGCCTGAGCCTGAGCAGTTTTGAGGCTGGATGGCTAGATTTTGAAGCGCAAGAGAGATCTTCAAGCTACTCTCATACACCTCCGAGGCTTTGTTAACCATTCCAATAACATTCTTTTCCACAGCAGCGTGGGTTTTATCGGTATTTTCAGTCCAGAAGTGTTCCCAGTAGTTACAGTCGGTAGCAATGCCGACCAGTGCCAGTTTGCGGGAAGTAGGGCAGCCTGAAGCATCGCCAATGGTAGCACTAAGGTCACCAGCAGGGCCACCACCGTTGCCATCGATAGCTTGGCGGCCAAACAGTGAGCGGTTTGAAACAGCTTCCAGAGGCTCAAATTCTCTCGATGTCAAGTCGTATTGTCGGTTGAAGTCTGAAGTATCAGCTGCACAAGTGCCAGCGCTCGGCTCACTACGCTTCAGCTCGAGTTGCTCGTCGGTAGAGCGAACATCAGAATCGCGCCATACAACCATAGTATCATCCTTTGTGTGAACATGAGGGTCTTCTTCATGTTTAATCTTTCCGTAACGGTGACCGGCTTCGATGTGATGGTTGTTGCTGTTGACTCGAAAAGCACCATCAAAGATTGGGTTCTCTCCATCTTGATGCATCATGATTCGGGCCCATCCTGACAGAAACCAGCCCTCATGTCCTTTGCGATGAACATAGGAGCGGCCTCTGTAAACTTTATAATCTTGCTGTTTCAGCTCGTGAACCTGGCTAGCGCTACCATCTTCGTTTAAGTAGGTGACCGTAAAACCCTCGGGGATAAGATCGATATTCGGCTCAAGTTCTAAGCGGATTTCTTCTGTTCCGTTGTGTAGAGTAAAGGTAAGAGCGAAGTCGGAGTAAGAATGGACACGCTGCGACGGCGTATGGATTTTGGCATTTTCAATCGTGGATACGTAGTTGACGGGTTCTCGTTTTACAGAGTGGCCTAATGAGAGCGTTAACTTTTTGGTCTTTTAGATAACAAAGTATTTAGTTCATACCCCAAACGGAGGAAGGAAATAGCAAAGCCACACCAGCAACGGTGGCTGCTATACTGTGTATGGAAAACATGTTGATTTGAGGCCAAGGCGGAGCAAAGCGATCCCTTTGAAAGGGGCGCTAGACGGGAAGAGGCGAGCGATTTATTCGGATATCGGCATAGATTGGCACTATTATCGACTAGCAATACACGGCTAGGGGGATGGCGGGCGCTATTGCGCAGTAATGTTTGCTTTGGAGGACGTTGGTGAGGCTACGTCTCGCGATGCGTCGTTACGTAGCGGGCGCCAAGTGCGAAGAACCGTTCGCTGTAGGAAGAAGTCGGGAGAGTTGTGGAGTGAGGGAAGGGTTGGATGCGACTTGGCAGCGAAAATCAAAAGCGAAAGCAACACAAAAGCTTATTCAAGTATGCTTAGAAAAAAACGATGTAGGAGAGAGGGAGAAAAACGGCTGCGACGAAGACAAACAAGTGGACAGTGCCGGCGAGTTACAGTGCGGCTTGGCGCTGGTGGCGGTGTTTTTAGAGGAGTAACAGACACTGTGACCGCTGTTGGAAGGTGGGCTGGGTGAGTGGATTCCAGCGAGGCAGTGTTTATTTTTAGGGGCTGTCAGTGGGCAACGGGGCCCCAGCGAGGCGACCTAGAGCGGGCTGGGGCGGTGCTAGGACCTCTTTTTGTTGGTGTCCTGCAGGCGGCGGGAGGAGGTGGTGCATGGCGCTATTATTCTGAGAAGGGACAAGGCTCGGCACCTAATCAGGCTAGCTGGTTGCATAGGCTAAAGAAAGACAATAGAAAGAAAGAGGGGGATAAGCACAGTTTGACTTGAAGTGAGAAAAATGTAGTCGGCATCTGTGATGTCGCATATATTAATTCTGACAGCTAATGCTATGCCTCCTATTTATTTTTATTCTCTACGGCAGTGCATTGCTGTCCGCACCTCGGCATGCTCTACTTCTGTAACGGCGGCTAGTTTCGCAATGCATCCATCATGGGATGTTGGTAGCGTCCTGTGTGGAATCTTTGCAGCCCTCCCGGGCCTTGTTCTTGGGCCATTTGGCTTTCTTCTACGTGACTCTGCCACTCCTGTTTGGCTTGATTTTATCCTGAATAGAGTGATGTGTTTCATCAACGCGCCGACATCACTCGGGTATCTTCCAGTTGACATCCAGCATTAACCATAGATATTAACAGAATGTCAGGTTTGAATAGTATCTTGAGAAACAGAACATCGGCCTTTAGTGTATTCGGCACCGAGTCCCTCCTCATCCCCACTAGAATATGCAGGCCGCACATCAAGTTAGTTTGTGTCCAAGCAGAGTTGGCCATGTGGCGCACAGCCTAGTACCAACAGACGGCCCTATGGAATGACCTCACTGGCTGAATGTCATGATTTGTGGCTACTAGACCACAGCCCGGCACTGTGCTAGTCTTAGACACTGCCAACGTGTGATATTGAGAGAGCGCTGTGATGATGTCTGAGCGCTACCCTTGAACCCATCATGCCGACCATGGCAACTTTGGAGGTTGAATATCGTATGGCAGTTACAAGCACTCAAATAGTCATCAGTGCTTGTTGGATTTTGAACGCTCGGTGACCAAATATAGAAGAAGGCTGTTACTGTGGTGTCACTGTCAACTTTGAACAACTCCATCAGTCTAAGTGTGGTGGAGGCTGGGTGGTTGGGCAAAACAACAAGTACACAGAATGGGAAGCAGTAGTATTTTACAGACCCTGTACAACAATATTTGTACAAAGGAAACATGCATCTACTTCACGGTAATTTTGCAATCAGTTTCTCCAACAATGAAAGAAAACGACAGAGACCTCTTGGAGTGTGTCGATGCCAAGGCTCGAAGTAGGTGTCTTGGTCGTAACACCAGTCCAACACTAGCACAAGAATCAAAATAAATCGTTCGTAGTTTCGAAGTCGATATGTAGGCTAACCCATGGTTTGCCCCAACCGCATAAGCCGACGGCCTAGGAAAAGGGGAGTGGAATATAGCGCCTGCGAGTAAACCAATACTGATAAAGCTCAAACTCAGAGAGTGATCTCGGACAGCGTAAGATTTACCCAATCGTTCTGGGACCCGTCGATAGGATAATTGACATCATAACAAGTTGATGGCTCCATGAGTTATCGAATTGCCAGCAATCAACCCTGACTGTAAGCAGAGGATCGCGGACACAGATCCGTGATTGAAAAGAAGAAGAAGAGAAGCCCGAAAAAAAAGTTCACGAGAATTTTTATGGCTCCCTGCGCCGTTGCACAAGGTGGGCGCGTCACGTGCCCGGAAATGAGTAGGCAGCAAAACACCGAGCCACCGATAGCTGTGTTATCGGGCCTAGTGGCAGAGGAGCCCACTGTAAGTTTGGCGACAAAGATCTAGGCAGACCTTGCGGGCTCCTTTGCCATTGAATTGTTGCCACTCCACCCAATTTATACCCCTTTTCATAGGTATCCTGATCGCACCATCAATCATGGATGCTGCAACGATAGCAGAGACGAACCGCATCCGCGTGTCGCTGGGCATGAAGCCTTTGCCGGTGCCTGGAGAAGACGCGGCAAACGATGTCAGCAGCCAAGGATCGAGCGCCAGCGAGGAGGCTGATACGTTCGAAACTCGCGAAGCGCGTGCGTACGATAACTATAATAGCCATATGGAAGCAGAAGCAACCAAGAGGAAGAGAGAAGAGAGAAAGGCAGCTATTCGCAAAGCCCAAGAGCTTGCCCAACGGAATCTTGTGATGGAAGGCAAAGGCCTAGGCGAAGAAGCAGACGGAGGCGATATTGATGCGAAAGCGTGGCTTACAGGCCAAAAGAAACGACAAAAAAAGATTGACAAGACTCGAAAGCTGGAAGAGGAACTTGCTGCTGCTGAAGCGGCGGCAGCGGCAGCTGTACAGTACACCTCAAAAGACTTGTCAGGACTCAAAGTCGCACACGACATGTCCACGTTTATGGATGGCGATGGAAACGAGCAAATTTTAACACTCAAAGACACGACCATTGACGAAAATGAAGAAGACGGAGACGAGCTCGAAAATGTCGGCATGCGCGAGCAGGAGAGCTTGAACGAGAAGCTGGATCTTCTCAAAAAGCGCCCTGCCTATAATCCCATGGATGACGAAGCGCTTGGAGGAGGCATTCTATCACAGTACGATGATGAAATCAATGGAAAGAAACGGAAGAAGTTTACACTTGACGCCGCAGGAATGACTGCGGATTTAGCGGATATCCTGGCGGAGCCAACAAAGACCGAAGACCGCAAGCTCAACACATATAACCTGGACGACATTGTGGATGGTACCAATATATCGTCTGATTATTTGGATATTTCCGAAATCAAAGTTAAGAAGCCGAAAAAGAAGAAGTCAAAGGGCACGCGACAAAAAGTGATTGACGAGGATGACGTATTCCCTGTCGGCAACGAGGACGGCGACGCCAATGGTATGGACCTGGATATTGTAGCGACTAAGAAGAGAAAAACACAATCTGATACCTTTGTGGATGACGACGACTTGCAAGCGTCGCTGGCGGCTCAACGCAAGGCTGCCCTCAAGAAACGCAAGAAGATGCGACCCGAAGACATCGCCAAAGAGCTAAAGGAACAAGATAACCAAGAGGAGCAAACACAGCCTGCTGAAGAAGGAGGAATTGTGATTGGCGCCGTATCAGAATTTGTCTCGGGCTTGAGCAAGCCAGAAGATGAGGAAGAACGCAAGCCCAGGAAGCGAGTCGTCTCTGAACAGCCTGCCGAGGCGGACGAAGATTACAGTATGGGAGATGCGGATGAAGTTGAAGAAAATGCCAGCATAGATCCACCATTGCCGAACGAACCGGAACCGGAAGCTGAAGAAGAAGAAAAGACGGTTGGAGGTGGTATGGGTGCAGCGCTTGCGCTTCTTCGCGAGCGAGGCTTGGTTGAAAACTCACGAGGCGACGAAGAATACGAAAAGTTCCGTAAGAGACAGGACTTCCTGGCGAAGAAACAGAAGTTGGAAGACGAGCTGGACGAAGAGACAAGGAGGCAAAGAGAAAAGGATCGAGCCAGCGGCCGTTTGGACCGCATGTCTGTCCGGGAGCGCGAGGAATACGGCCGACAGCAGAACGCCTGGCGCGAACAGCAACAAGCACGACGCATGGCTGAACTGTTTGAAGCCAACTACAAACCCACTGTTAATATTAAGTATGTGGATGAGTCTGGACGTCAACTGAACACCAAGGACGCCTTTAAGCAGATGAGTCACCAGTTCCATGGAAAGGGCAGCGGCAAGGGCAAGACGGAGAAACAGTTGAAGAAGCTGGACGACGAGAAGAGAAGACAAGAACAGAGCATGTTTGATGCCAGCGAGAATGCAGGCATGAGTCGCGCGACAGCGCAGCAGCTGAAGAAGAGAAAGGAAGCTGGTGTACGATTAGGTTAAGCGGGCTTGGATAGCTTACGCCACCTTTGATTGGTACTTGTACATATAACATGCATCTACAGACGAATCATTCATCTGTGATTCAAACACGATAGCGATTTTTTTTAAAATTAAATTAAATTAAATGTTACTCAGACTATTCCATCGCTTCTTTCTCTTCTTCCCTTCTTTGCCTCGTCGCCATCCTACGCCGCGCCCGATCTTCATGCCAAGGATCACCATCCATCCATGGCTGACACGCCTCCTGTTTGTTCACACACACCCGCCCGCCTATATCGCAGATGGTAGACACACCAGGTGATTGATTGGATTTGTTGGGACGAAAAGAATCCGGCTCTCCGGTACCGTCCCTCGTGGCATTTGCATGCTAGTCTTAGCCGTTCAAGGGGCCCTCCGGCACCACCATGGACGCCCGGAACAGCGCTGGAGCGGAAGCAGGGCCGGGCGGACGAGCACCAGCGCAGCGGCTTGAGCTCGGCAATGGGCAGCTCGGAGCAACGGAGCCTAAGCCTAATCGTGCCAAAGATGGATGGGCCGGCGGGTTTGGCAAGGCGTTGGAGCGTGTGCCGCTGGAGCGCCTGGCCAATGGGCTACGGCGGCCAGCAGCCGGCAGAGTGGGTTTCTGTGGGTGTGGCCCATGGCTTGCCTTACCCACCGTGCTGGGTTGCAAGGTGCGGGTTCAGCAGCGGCACCAGTGGCAGCAGGTTTGATTGGGGACCTTGCATGTAACCTTAATAAGTTGGATTACACGCTATTACTCTGCCGAGCTCGCTAATGGATGAGCTGCGCTGCGCTGCGGTCTTTTGTTTTGTTGGGCAGAGGCGTCAGTCAGCATTGGCGTCCTCCACTTGCTGCTTATAGACGTAGGATAATGTACTAATATATGACTGTCTCTTTCTTTTGCAGCAGCCAGCCCAATCTACATAAAAAGAATACAAACCTGGGCAGCAGGGCCTGGGCCAGCGGCTTGCTGCTTCAGCTGCGGTACGGCGTGCAGCGGGTGAATTGCCGCTGAGACCCTGCCGTCAGTAGGTGGGACAGGGGCGGGTGGACTCGACCACCAAAGTATACAAGGAGAAAAAGAGGTACCTGTAGGTGGAGGTTGGCACCACACAATGGGCCGCAGTACAGGGCACGACGCAACGTACCTTTTTTTTTCTTCCTTCGTCTATCTTGGAGGGGGTGTAATGAATGTACTTTGTTGTTGTCTTTGTTTAAACACCCTCATGCACCTTTTGCGACAATTAGTAGCTCTTGCATTATCATACAGCAGAAATCACAATCCCATAGATTCAAAACTAAAATTAACAGCCGCAGTGGCAAAAAGAAAGAAAGGCTAGAGCTGTACATCTGGCTGTTCGACGCCAGTACAGCTTTTAGTGCCTATGGCTCCTTCTGGCGCGTCGCCACGAGACCCCAACTTCTTGCTCCTTAGCGGGCAACGTCACTACAAACTACCCCGCATCGTCACCGTGCTACGCCGCTGCACTCGCCCCCCCTCTGCCCAGACACAGGCACACCCCCAAGCTGCAAGCAGCCCCGCGACAGCTCAAAACCTTTTCTCCTCCCGCTTCCCCTGCTCGCCATTTCTTTTCTTTTGCTTTGCCATCCTCCTTTTGATACCAATTTCTCAACCTCGAATACTTTTTTTTCTATCTTTCACCGTCTATCACGAGCTTCATTTCTCTGCTAGGCGTATCCAACAGCAGCTGAATCTATACTGTATACCCCGCGCCGCGTTTAGTCTCTTAGAACCACCAGCAACAAACCAACCACCATGGCGGACGCCAAAGTTCAAGAGCAGGTCGATGCCTACCGTAAGACCACCACCCACCCAGCTTCATAGTGCACCGTCTTGCAAGTTATTGTTGCTAACCTCTGTTTTCTTTCTTGCAGCTGTCCCTCCCAAGATGCTTGCCCGTAAGTTTGAATATGAAGCTGCTCTTCACAGACAGCTTAGCTCTGTGCGCCAATAGCCATCGTCATTTTGGCAAGGCTAACGCGACTCTTCGTTTTTCTCACGCAATACAGAGCATCCAAGCAAGCCCCACCTCGCAAGTAAGTCTCATCTCATTCATCTGGCCAAAAACCCCCCCAATGGACGCCGCTCTTTGGTGCTGCCCCGCCGGCTCCAAAGCCGACTACGGCGGCACTAGCAGTTCCTCTGGGGTGCACTCCCTGGCCCGCCCCGTCTTCCGTATGTCCGGCCGGCTAACCGTGGCTACCACAGACCTCGAGGAGTACCAGACTCTCTACAAGGAGTCCATCACAGAGCCCGAGAAGTTCTGGGGTCGCCATGCCCGCGAGCTTGTCTCTTGGTACCGCGATTTCCAGACCGTCTACTCTGGCTCGCTCAGCAATGGCGACAACCAGTGGTTCGCCGAGGGCCAGCTCAACGCTTCTTACAACTTGATTGATCGCCATGCCGCCAAGGACCCCAACCGCGTCGCCATCATCTACGAGGCCGACGAGACCGAGGATGGCCGCGAAGTCACCTACGGCGAGCTCTTGCGCCAGGTTTCCAAGGTCGCCTGGACCCTGAAGCAGATGGGTGTCCGCAAGGGTGACACCGTCGCCATTTACCTTCCCATGATTCCCGAGGCCGTTGTTGCCATCCTGGCTTGTACCCGTATTGGTGCTGTCCACTCTGTCGTTTTTGCCGGTTTCTCTTCTGATTCGCTCCGCGACCGTGTCCTTGACGCCGACTCCCGCGTCGTCATCACCACCGACGAGGGCAAGCGCGGCGGCAAGGTCATTGGCACCAAGAAGATTGTCGACGATGCCCTGAAGCAGTGCCCCAACGTCAGAAACTGCCTTGTCTTCAAGCGCACTGGCGCCGATGTGCCCATGCAAGAGGGCCGTGACGTCTGGTGGCACGAGGAGGTCGAGAAGTGGCCCAACTACATTGCTCCCGAGACCATGAACGCTGAGGACCCTCTCTTCCTTCTTTACACCTCTGGTTCGACTGGCAAGCCCAAGGGTGTTCTGCACTCCACTGCTGGCTACTTGCTCGGTGCTGCCATTACCGGCAAGTATGTCTTTGATCTGCACGAAGGTGACCGTTACTTCTGCGGTGGCGATGTCGGATGGATTACCGGCCACACCTACGTCGTGTACGCTCCTCTAATGCTCGGTGTCACTACCGTCGTCTTTGAGGGTACCCCCGCCTACCCCAACTTCTCCCGCTACTGGGACATTATTTCCAAGCACAAGGTCACTCAGTTCTACGTTGCCCCTACCGCTCTGCGTCTGCTGAAGCGCGCCGGTGACGACTTTGTCAAGGGCGACATGAGCAGCCTCCGTGTCCTTGGCTCCGTTGGTGAGCCCATTGCTGCCGAGATCTGGAAGTGGTACTACGAAGTTGTCGGCAAGGAGCAGGCCCACGTTGTTGATGTAAGTTTTGCCTCCAAACGGTTTGAATTTCGTGACTTTTAGCTAACGAATTGCTAGACCTACTGGCAAACCGAGACCGGCTCAAACGTTATTACCCCTCTTGCTGGTGTCACCCCCACCAAGCCCGGCAGTGCCTCGCTCCCCTTCTTCGGCATTGAGCCCGCCATTGTCGACCCCGTCTCAGGCGAAGAGCTGCACGGAAACAACGTCGAGGGTGTTTTGGCCTTTAAGCAGGCCTGGCCCAGCATGACCCGCAGCGTCTACGGCGCGCACAAGCGCTACATGGATACCTACTTCAATGTCTACAAGGGCCTCTACGTGAGTTATTATTCAAATTTATTTACCGCTGATTACACTGCTAATACGTGGAAATAGTTCACTGGTGATGGCGCAGCCCGTGACCAGGAGGGATTCTACTGGATCCGCGGCCGTGTCGATGACGTCGTCAACGTTTCTGGCCACCGTCTGTCCACTGCCGAAATCGAGGCTGCTCTCATTGAGCACCCTGCCGTTGCTGAGGCTGCCGTCGTCGGTGTCCAGGACGAGCTTACTGGCCAGGCTGTCAACGCCTTTGTGTCCGTCAAGGACGGCAACGAGATTACGGATGCGCTGCGCAAGGAGTTCATCATGCAGGTTCGCAAGAGCATCGGCCCGTTTGCTGCGCCCAAGGCCATCTTTGTTGTCAACGACCTGCCCAAGACCCGCAGTGGCAAGATTATGCGCCGTATTCTCCGCAAGATTTTGGCTGGCGAGGAGGACCAGCTCGGTGACACCTCTACTGTAAGTTTGCGGACTTGTTTCTATTTCACTTTGATCTTGTATACTAACTTTCTCGCTTCCTTAGCTCTCCGACCCCTCTGTCGTCGATACCATCATTGAAACCGTCAAGGCCTCCAAGAAATAAGCAACACCGTCTTTTACTGGCTGTTTGCCTGCTTGCTTATAATGTTATATACCACGAGGTGACCTACCTGGCGTGTCAGGTAGCATGGATACGAAAAACACGAGGAAAACAAAGTGACTGTGAGGGATGGTTGGACTGTCGGAGCTGGTTCTCTTTTTGGATAATGGCTTTGATTTGTGTGCACGCCAACGAACGATGATTTACGTATCGATATAGGAATTCAAACGTATAATTGCTTGAAAGTGCCGAAAACGCCGCTGCGTCGCGAGTTTAGCCAAAGCCACCATGTAGATTTGACCGAGATGGCCCTTGCGTGTGGCGCAATTCATCATTGGTGCATTTGTCTAGCATCTGCGGATGTCGCCTCTCTCGTGGTGCGGGTGCCGAGTCTTTTGCGGACGATGGCCTGCTGGAGAAGTTCTGGGCGAGTCTGGCGGCGGAGCTGGCATCTTGTTTAGGCAGCTGGAGCATGTGCCAGCGGGGGCAGCTATTGAAAAAGTGTTCCCCGCTCAAAGATGCTACTGTAGGGCCATTGTTCTTCTTGCAAGAGAAAAGCATAGGATCAAGAAAATCATCTACCTCTAGGGACTAACAGCAAGATGCTTCATCCAAACCCAGATTAATAAATAATCAACAAGAGACAACTTCCTTTTTTTTTTTTTTTTTTTTTTTTTTTTTTTTTTTCAATAAACCACCAAACCTGTTCTCCGTGCAGTCAGCGAACCCGGACCGACAAGACCCTTTCTTCGGCCCAATCTAACCCCAAGTACGTCTCGCACCAACGCAAACACCACCCCAAATCGGCCCGTTCGATCCCATCATTGAGCCCCATGGGGCCGAATCATCCACCATTGCCGCTTGATCAGCCAATGCCAGCAGGTAGCCCGTGCAGGGGTCGGCGCTTGCCCAGGTCCCGACCTCATTGTGGATGAATAGCAAAGTATCATTTCGTCGGGGTAAGAAAACACACAGTGGATATAAAGGGCCGAGTCTGCCCCCGGTGCTTTTGGCAACATGTTTGTAATAGATCAGCTTGCTTGCGTGGTCAACGGCACTGTTGCGTCTACATTCTTTGCCATGCATCCATTTTTGAACGGCTTGCTGCTTGGATCGGCCGCTCTTCAGGGCGTGCTGGGAAGAGCTGACTCTGCTGCCCAGCGGCGTAACAATGTCGTTAAGCGCAGTGTTGACGATTTCCTTTCGACAGAGACCACCGCTGCGCTGAACAAGCTGCTCTGCAACATTGGTGCTGATGGGTGCCAGTCAAGCGGTGCTCTTGGAGGTGTTGTTATCGCATCGCCTAGCACACAAGATCCCAACTGTAAGTTACTGTGCCTCCTGAGACTGAGACCAAAATCGCAGAACGATGCAGCTAACTTGTCGTTAAGATCTATACAGTTGGACAAGAGACAGTGGCCTGGTCATCAAAAGTCTAGTTGACCGCTTCATTAATGAATATGACAGCGGCCTTCAAAGCATCATTCAGCAGTATATTGGCGCTTCTGCCCAACTGCAGGGTCTCTCAAGCAGGTCTGGCAGCCTCTCAGATGGCTCTGGACTCGGAGAGCCCAAGTTCAACATCAACCTGACACCATTTACCGGTGACTGGGGACGCCCGCAGCGCGATGGTCCTGCTTTGCGAGCAATTGCGATGATCACCTACGCCAACTGGCTCATTGACAATGGCTACAGCTCCACAGCAAAGGACATCATTTGGCCTATTGTTAAGAACGACGTCAACTACGTCGCCCAATATTGGAACCAGACTGGTTTTGATTTGTGGGAGGAGGTCAATGGCAGCTCATTCTTCACGGTTGCCAGCCAGCATCGCGCTCTCGTACAAGGCAACACTCTTGCACAGAAGATGGGCGATTCTGGTGCTGCTTACACGAGCGTTGCACCGCATGTGTTGTGTTTCCTGCAGCAGTTCTGGATTCCCTCTCAGGGATACATCAACGCAAACAGTAAGTCTACTCGTAGATTGATTCAAGATAACGGCCGATTCTGATTTCATCCATAGTCAACCAGAACAATGGACGCGCTGGCCGTGATGCAAACACGCTGTTGGGCTCCATTCACACTTTTGACCCCAGCTTGGGATGCGATGCCGCTACCTTCCAGCCTTGCAGCGACAAGTCATTGTCTAACCACAAGTCTACTGTGGATTCTTTCAGATTCTACAACCTGAACAAGGGCATCCCAGCCGGCCAAGCTGTGGCTGTTGGCAGATACTCGGAAGACGTCTACTACAACGGTAATCCATGGTATCTGTCGACGCTGTCTGCCGCCGAGCAGCTGTACGATGCCATCTATGTTTGGAAGGCTCAGGGTTCTGTGACTGTGACTAGCATCTCGCAGCCGTTCTTTAACGATCTCGTACCTGGCATCAGCGCCGGCACATACGCCAGCAACAGCGCGACTTACAAGTCGATTCTCAATGCGGCGGCCTCTTATGCAGACGGATTTGTTTCCATTGTGGCCAAGTACACGCCGTCTGGAGGAGCATTGGCTGAGCAATTTTCGAAAGATGACGGTCACCCTCTGTCAGCGCGCGACTTGACATGGTCTTATGCGTCGTTGCTGACTGCAGCGGCTCGCCGTGCAGGCAATGTGCTGCCATCGTGGGCAGACAAGCAAGCCACATCGATCCCTCCTGCTTGCTCTGCAACATCCGTCATCGGCACTTACAAGACGGCGACAGCTACGTCGTTCCCACCAAACCAGACTCCTAAGACGGGGGTTCCCACTCACACGACAACCACGCAGCCGTCTAAGACGTCGTCTACAGGCTGCGCCACGGCTAGTGTTGTTGCCGTTACCTTCCAAGAGCGTGTTGTGACCCAATACGGACAGACTATTAAGATTGTTGGAAATAACGACTTGATCGGCAATTGGGACCCGAACAAGGCTATTGCACTGGACGCCAAGGACTACACGTCGGATAACCCCGTGTGGAAGGTGACAATTACGTTCCCTGCTGGCACGGACATTCAGTACAAGTACATCAACTTTAACGCCGACGGCTCTTACAACTGGGAGCATGACCCGAACCATAGCTACACGGTGCCCAAGACTTGTGCGTCTTCAGCTACCGAATCTGATAGCTGGCAGTATTAGCGAATGACAGAGAGAAGAAGGCGAGGAGGGAGAGGCCGCCGGGTGAGGCTGAATAAACACCTTGGCAGGGCGGCATGTACAAGAGGGAGCAGAGTGGTAAATATTTTATGAAAATGCCATTGTTTTTACCCAATCGGGCGATATTCTGGGGCAGTTGGTTTATATTACACCAGGTGAAAAGGGCCGTTTAATTGGGGCTGTGGTCGTACACGCACAGCTCATTTACTGTAGCGATTAACGGATCCGCCGGTAGCCCTGAACGGGGAGAGTCCCACTGTAGCTGGCGCCGAGTGTGGCTGTTGTCGTACCTTTTTAGGGGCGCTGCACAAACTCTCCGCTTGAACGGTGGGCGCTGCCACTAAAGTAGACTAGAAGAATTAAAAAAAAAAAAAAAAGAGAAGCCAGGGCGGCCAGTAACAAGAACCCGAAGCCGAAGCAGCATGAAACGCCGACATGACACAAGCGTCAGCGGGCTGGTGGTAATCACGCATCGGGCACTTTGGACAGGGTCAGAGCATTGAGACAAACTTGGGCTGGGACGAAACACGCAACACGGACACCGACAAAACAGAACAAGCAGCACAAAGAGTGAGAGAATGGAATACCAGGTAAGCCGATAGAGAGGAGGGAGAGCGAACTGTGCGCCGCGCAGCACGAGGATGAGAGAGACGCGCGTCACCAACCGCAAAGAGCAAGCAAGACAAACAAAATGCGCGGAATTATAGCGAATATTAAGAGACAGGGACCCAGAAGTCTCGCACGAATCCCGACGGTCAGTGTTTCTGTTGGTTGTCGCCTGTACGTGGGATCCAATAGCGCCGTGTGCCTTGCTGCACGTCGCCGGCAACTCGGCAAGCAGGGCTGATGCTTCTATGTTACAGTGCGATAGCCTGTCTATGCTGTCAGGGCGCCAGCCGGAGTGGGCAGCAACCGCAGCAGCCTGGTCAAAAGGGTGTGAGCAAGAGCCAGCAGCCGAAGCATATCGATGAGGCAGCAGGGGTTCTGTCGACCCTGTTTGGAGGGGAGGCGGTGGATGAGCGGCGCAAAGATACCAGATTGGGCAAAATGACTGACAGAATCGAGGAACGAGCGGCGATTGGAGGGGAATGAAAAAGCGCTCAAGTTCGTTGTGGCGATGATGGTGGACGCTAAGTCGAACTGCCGACCCAATATCTTATTACACTGGGACACAGACATCACCTGCAACGGGCAGGGAAACAAAGTAAGCTGCTGCTGAGCAACAATAAAACATGGCATCAGATCACGTCACAAAACGGGCACAATCCAGGGGTCTACGTATGCCTGCGTATCATCACCGCCATCTGCTTCTGGTGCTGTTGGTAGCATCATCTTTCAAGCTGCAGCAGTCTACTGGCTGTTGTATTGTACCAATGCTCAGCCAACTAAATTACAACAAAAGCCTACGCCCAACACAAGCCAAAAATATGGGCTTAGGGGCGGGCCCGAGGGGGCGCAGGATCCGAGAGAGCCGAGAAAAGATGACGATGCAAAGAAAGAGACCCCGGAACGGAGTTGGGCTTAGTGTCCTGTAGCGGATTTTACTGCATTAGGCTTAGCGGACCCTGCCTACGGCTGCCATTTCGCAACGCAAAGCGGCGCTCCGCCACGCTAAACGGGCACGTAACTAGGGGACGGCGCTAGGGGGTCCCGGAAACAGTCAGTGGAATGGATGAGGAAACGTGCTTGAGGCTGGCAGGGGGGGCCGCGGCGAATCGCAGCGGTTTATTTTTATTTTATTTTATTCTGTCTGATGCTTAGTCTCGAGATCGGAGCCTGCTTTTTGGTCGTCAGTTTTATAAAGCTCCGTTGGTCTGCCTCCCTTGAAGCGGGCTTACACGGTGGATGCTGCGTCGACAAGACATTACAGACGATACTCGCATAGATCCATTACTGCTACTGGTCGACAAACACACACAAAAACATTTACACGCACATTGGACGACCAATGCACCAACCGCTCTACCTGTTAGCCCTCTTGGGCTCGCTCCATGCCGCCGCGGGCGTGGAGCTCGAGCATGCCGGTATGCCTCGCACTACAAATCAACATACGAGGTTGTTTTTGTTGCCCGCTAACAGAGACGAAAAACAGAAGTTGCTCGCAGCCTCAAGACTGCCGTGATCGCCGACAGAGCTGCGGCCGATGCCCCCGACGGCTACGCCCCCTCGTCCGATAGCTGCCCCAGCAAGCGCCCCGAGATTCGCTCCGTCACGGGCATCAGCGCCGAAGAGAAGGAGTGGCTGCCGCGCCGCCGTGCCGAGACGATCCCCGAAATCAAAGACTTTTTGAAGAGAGCCGGCATCAAGGACTTTGACAGCGACAAATACCTGAACGGCGCCACCGCATCGTCAGACAGCTTGCCCAACATCGGTATCGCCGTGTCGGGTGGTGGTTACCGTGCTATGCTTAACGGTGCCGGTGCCATCTCGGCTTTTGACGGCAGAACAAAGGGCAGCAAGGACAAGGGTAACTTGGGTGGTCTCCTTCAGAGTGCGACGTATCTGTCGGGTCTGTCTGGTGGTGGTTGGCTCGTGGGCAGCATCTTTGCCAACAACTTCACCACGATTGACGCTGCTGTTGCTGACAAGGATATTTGGCAATTCAGCCACAACATTCTCGAAGGTACGTTTGTTTCGTAGAGATGCAATAGAAATGCCTGTTGGATGAGGACAGCCGTGGCTAACCAGGTATCGTATCTTTAGGTCCCAAGGGAATGGGCTTGATCGACTACTACAAGACCATCCTCGGCGAGGTCGACAAGAAGCACGATGCTGGCTTCAACCGATCCATTACCGACTACTGGGGCCGCATGCTGTCGTTCCAGCTGGTCAAGGCCCGACACGGCGGTCCCGGTGTTACCTTTTCGTCCATTGCCAACGACCCTCTCTTCTCATCAGCCAAGACGCCGCTTCCCATCCTAGTGGCCGACTCGCGCAACCCCGGCGAGAAGAACACCACCCTTGACAACACGCTCTTTGAGTTCAACCCGTGGGAGCTGGCCTCCTTTGATGACAGCCTTGCCGGCGCCGTGCCCCTCAAGTACGTCGGTTCCAAGTTTGACGGCGGCAAGATCCCCGACAACGAGCAGTGCATCCGCGGCTTCGACAACATTGGCTATGTCATGGGCACCTCGAGCAGTTTGTTCAACCAGATCATCCTGCGCATCAAGTCGGACCCGTCCAGAATCCCCAAGGACCTGCCCAAGTTCCTGGTCAACACTGTGGTCGATGTTCTGACTGCGCTGGGCGACAAGTCTGACGACGTTGCCGACTGGCGCCCCAATCCGTTCAAGGGCTTCAACTCGGCTAAGAACAAGGCTGCCGATCAGGAATCTCTGACGCTTGTCGATGGCGGCGAGGACGGCCAGAATGTGCCCTTCCACCCACACACCGTCCGCGAGCGCAAAGTCGATGTCGTCTTTGGCATCGACACCTCTGCCGACATCCACTCCTGGCCCAACGGCCACTCGGCGTCGCTGACCTCGCAGCGCTCCAAGAACGACAACGTCACCAGCTTCCCCGACGTCCCTGGCACCAACACCTTTATCAACCTGGGCCTCAACACCAAGCCCACCTTCTTTGGCTGCGACGCCAGCAACATGACCAAGCCTGGACCTCTGGTTGTTTACCTGCCCAACTACCCCTACGTCTTCAACTCGAACCTGTCGACCTTTGAGCTGACCACCAACGATTCGGTCCGCGATGCCATGATCTCCAACGGCGCTGCTGTCGTTACTCAGCTTAACAGCAAGCGTGACGCTGAGTGGCCTGCCTGCGTGGCCTGCGCGATGCTGTCCCGCAGCTTTGCCCGCACCAAGACGGCGGTGCCTGCGCAGTGCCAGCAGTGCTTCATCAGATACTGCTGGAACGGCACCGTTGATGAGCGTGACCCCTCGACGCCGTACTTCCCTACCATGTTCAGCGAGTCGCTGGATGTTAAGAAGAGAAGCGGCGCTGGCCAGCTGACAGTTGGCAGTGGTGGCTTAGGCTCGGTGGTGGGTGTCTCGGCGGCTGTGGCTGCTGCCGTGATGATGATGCTGTAAAAAATACATACAGAGAAAAGAGAAGGGCGTTGGATTATTATTTTTAACTGTTTTCTTCTTTTTAGCGAAATTATGCTCCTGTATTAAAAATTATAATAATTCTCTAACTTACATCTTCTTCGCTGCTTAAAAAACCAGCAATGTTTACGGTATATTGACTATAAATGACTCTCTGTCGTCCGCTGTCCGTGCCCATATTGCCCCGTAATTCATGTCAACGGCCCCCTGGCTTGCCTCCCCCATGGGCAACAGGCGCTAAAATTAATTGCCTGGAGACTCCAATTACAGCGGCCAGTTTTCTTCTTAAGGTGTGCACTTTGCTTGGCAAGCTTGCTAATGTCGGCCCCGCCGCCGTTCAATTTTTATTTGTCCCCTTTCCTCCACCAATCAACCTGCCAAATTAATCAATCGGAGGGGGGCGGCCCTCTGTTGGCCGCCTGGTGTGTGCATCCCCGGTAGTCGGCACATGCACGCTATGCGCCGTCCTTTTAGCGCTGTCCAGCACAGTCTTGTCCACTAAATGACCACTGGAACGCGCTGTGAGCAGGAACAGGCTTCTCCCCCCGCGATTTGTGGGACATAACCAGGACCGCGGACCGGCGGCCAACGCCGAAAGAGGGTTCGCCTTGTTTATCTATGTTATGTTTTCTACCGTCGGAGGTAGAGTAGTGAAATTTGGTCGTTTTGTTTGTAGCAGCAACAGCAGCTTGTAGCGCACTGTAGCGCTGTTTATGCTACTGTAGCACTGCAGCAGGGCGTGGCGTCTGTAAGTGCAAATTTTTTGCACATCACCACAGCCCTCAACGACACACTTGCAGGGCTCTTCTGCGGCTTCTCCAGGCGGCTTAGCCTCTTTCCCCTTTCGCTTAAACGCCACTTTTTTTTGCCTTCCCTGTCCGCTGCCAGTCTTACTTTTCATTTTCATTTTCTGTTCTAATCTTCAGTCTCTTGGCTGCTGCTACATCGAACTTCATCACGAATTTTATTCTGTTTTTCATTTCTTCTTTTTTCGCTAAATAGAAATTCAGCCACTCTCTGCTCAGCGTACAGCGATCTTTCCACTACAACCATCAATATCACCAAAAGCCCACCCACTGCTCGCTCCAAAGACGTCCGCCCCGCCTCTCTCTCCCTTGAACCTTCACCGAGCCGCGTCTGGTTACAGCCTCACCCGGATTTCCCTCGTCATTTCCAGCGCCAGCTGCAAGGTCGCCCTGTCCATCATCGAAATCCGATCCTAGCGCCAATTGCCTTGTTTGCCACTGGCATCGAATCCCATTTTCAACGGCGCCAGGTGTTCGTCCCACCTCGCAGGCGATATCGCGGCAATCGACGTCCTCTCCCTTCTGCGTGGAGGCCGACCCAACCCGCGATCGGCTCGCCCTCCAACAGTTGCTCTACTCACAACGCCTCAGCTGCGCACATCTTGTCACCTCGCTAGACTTGGTGACCATGCTGCCGGGGTCATGCTAAAGACATCGCCGTCCGCAAACACGTCCCCGAACCCCCTCCGCTATGCCACGTCGCGATCGCCGCACACATCCCCACGACAATTGACCGACAAGCTGCGACACTCTCCTTCCATGATGTCCCCCGCGGTGCGCGACACCATGCAGTCTACACGATCGCCGCCAATACGCGAGCCTACACAAAATGCTGACACTGCCATTGCTGCGTCAAAACAGCCGCCAGTCGCAGCAACAGCAACAGATGAATCGCAAACAGCGCATCAACTGCCGACAACTGCCGCGGTGCCTGATGAGCTCTTGCGATCTCCAGTCAAGCGACGCAGCGACGACGCCAATGAGGTCCCCAACGCTGCCGACACACTTGAAAAGGTCGATGGGGCCGATCAGGACGACGAGCTACAGCGTTCCAAGCGCCACCGCGGCGATGTCCTGCCTGAGAAGGTCCTACCATCTCGCTACGATTTGTGCCCTGTCGACGACATGGTTGAACTCATTGCCCACATGCTCTCCGAACTCATCAGCACAAACGATGCCATCCGAACATCAACAGGAGGCTTGACGCGCTTTCACTCTAGGTTCGTCGTATTCCCGCATCTCGCTACCCTCTCTGCCCAGACTACCCTCTTTCTTCTCCCTATGTTTACGCACCCGCTAACATGAAATGATGTAGAACTGCGCCAGGAATTTCCGTCCGCGACTATCTTCATCGTCTCGCCAAGCACGCCACTATTTCGACTCCGCTTCTGCTCTGCATGGTATACTACATCGACCGCCTCTGTGCTATGTACCCAGAATTCACCATTAATACCCTCACCGTTCATCGATTTCTCATTACCGCTGCCACTGTGGCCGCAAAGGGCCTGTCCGACTCATTTTGGAATAACACCACCTACGCACGCGTTGGCGGTGTCCGCTTGGCCGAGTTAAAGCTTCTTGAGCTCGAGTTTTTATACCGCGTAGACTGGAGAATTGTCCCAAACCCCGACGTTCTCGTTGCATACTACCAGGGTTTGGTCGAGCGCACGCCAGGATATACGCTAGAAACAGACGGAGATGGTGAATCTAGTAACGACAGTGCACCATCGAGCAACACCATGGAAGACTCCAAAGAGTAGCACACACGTTTCATGACCAGCATATATCGGAATCCACTTGGGAGCCGCCCCTCCTGCAACCTTTAACCTCTAATACTCACAGATTTCCGGAGAACAAAATCTGTTTATTGGTTTATTTGCTTCTTTGGATCCATCTCTTCTTTTTTTTTATTACTACTACTATACTGGGCAGTATGGGGAAATATAGATACAGGCCCATACGGCTTACATACGTACATGGAGTACAGGGATTGGGTTTAGCCTTTGTTTTTGTCTTTTTTTTTTGGCCAGGTTTGGAGTTTTGCTATGGTTATAGCTCATTTATTCTTTATATCATTGCTATCTTTCTATATATATAAGCTTATCGCTTTAGTGTTTCTGCAAACTCCTGCACAGCAACTTTGAACCCAGGGTCGGCTTGAAAGCCAATGCCTAGGGCCTTGCTAACATCGAATCTCACAGGCCACGACTCAAGAAGTGCTTTCGTTTCGGGTGTAGGATCCTGTCTTTTCACCAACGCTACCGCCTCGTCGCCGCCAACATCTTTCAGAGCCTGCAGCATCTCGCCAACTGTTGCGGTCACGCCAGGCAACAGGACCTGTCTGATGTGAGAGGGCATGCAGTCCTTGGGGAGAGTTAGGCAGAGCATGAGATTGTGGACCAGTGTCCGAGGTGAGCAGAGCCAGCACTCAAAGTCATCAGGGCAAGGGAGCAAGGCCTCTTGGCCTTGCAGCGGCTGAGAGATAATGCTACTCATCCAAGCACTCGCAGCCTGGGTGGGCTTGCCGCCGCGAACCGAGATGGAGGGAAACCTCAAGGTGAATGCATTTAGAAAGCCTCGGCGGCAGTAGTCGTTGAGCAGCAGCTCAATCATACACTTTTGCGTGCCGTAGCTCCCCTCAGGAGTAGGGACAGTAGCCTCTGATGGAGAGTGTGGCAACGGCTGACCATATGTTGCGCAAGACGAGGCGTACACGACACGGACATCTGGACGGCAGGTCTTACGAATGGCGTCGAGGAACTTGATGGAACTGATGAGATTCACATTGTATCCCAGCTCCAAGTTTGCCTCACTTCCAGCAGACATTATACCATGGAAGACGTAAATAGCGTCCAAGTCTGGCGACAGCACTGATGAGGAGTCTGCGCAGAGGTCTGCTTGGATGACAGTGGCATTCTGCTTGTTGTTTGCATGAGGGGGAATCTGGGGCTCAGCAATGTCCGTAAGGATCACAGAGTGGTTTTCATTCAGCAGCGATTCAGCAAGGACTTGGCCAACAAAGCCGCCAGCGCCAGTAATGAGGACCTTCATGATTCCGGTGTGGTGGTAGTGGGTTTGTTTGGAGGAGAGTAGTATTGGTGTCTCGGAGAAATTAGTCGGATGTAACAGCTTGAGGAACCAAGCGAACAGATGAGCGACACGGGATTTGTGAGACAGGAAAGACGGGGCAAGAGAGGGAAAAAGAGACTCTTCGTGGGTTTTGTCTTGGAAGAGGAGCAGCGGCAGTCACAGCAGAAGCAGAAGCAAGACAATAGCCTATAGTCGGGGTGTCGGCATTCGTTCCGTTGACATTGCGGGGTTGGAGGCTGGTGGCGCACAAGAGGCGCGATGTAGAGTCTGGGCAAGACATGGGCTTAGAAACTGGCGACGAACCTGTTTTTTTGCCGTGTTTGCTTGGAGGATAAGCTCTTGCGCTAAAGTGTTTCACTTTATGGGCGGTATTTCCGCTGGGTAGTTGAAAAACCCCAATGGTAAGATCGGCGAACTGGGAATAGCACCAACATGACCCAATACAGTACAGTGCAGTTTAGCAGTCTATTCTCCTATGCTGCGCATACATTCATCATACGACAAAGAAACGTCCGGCTATAACGGCTTCGCAAGATGAAACAGGACCTCTCTCACCTAGTCGCAGTACCGTGTTGCATGGACGCACCGGCCGTGAGATCCGATTCCATCAGCCATCCGCGATGCTCTGTCGCAGCGGCGCACCAGGCTGGCCCTGCACCTAGTTGCACGGCTTTATAATTAGCACGACACTCGGTTGCAGCATACGATAGCGCAACTACACGTCATTACCCAATACAATGCACGCGCGGTTTCCGCAAGCCGCCTGGGCAGTGTTGCAGCCGCAACGACGGGTCCTGGGATGCGACGCTGCAGCAGCAGCCAGCGAGGACGCTTAGTGCGCTCTGGTGTAAATGGAACACTATAGTATCGATGGTTAACACAACAATGGTAGTTGATGGCGTGGACCAGACGATAAAAGAAATGGCACAGGTAGATATATAAGACAAGCGAGGAGCAGCCGCAGTTCTTTACGACGGAGCTGTATCCGGAACACCATTGCGCTCTTTTTGTTTCGCTTAGCCTTGTGTTCCATAGCGCAGCTTCTCTTATACACACATAAAAAAAGACATTGCAATGTCGTCTGTCATGGAAGACGACAAGAAGCGAGGCGTCGTCTTTGACGCACCCGTTGCTGCCAAAACAGAAGTCGGCCAAGAGACGTCTCTCGAACATGTCATGTACGCAGACTTTGCTGGCCGCTCTACGCAGTGGAAGAAGGAACAGGAGTCGAGGCTCTTGAAGAAGATTGACCTGCGCCTTATGCCGCTCCTCACACTCATCTACCTGCTCAACTATCTCGACCGAGCAAACTTGGCCCAGGCCAGACAGGGCAGCCTAGAAAAGGACCTGGACATGACGGGTGCGGATTACAATCTTGCTACTTCCATCTTCTTTGTAGGATACCTCTTTATGCAGCTTCCCTCCAATATCCTCATCACAAAGGTCCGCCCGTCGATTTACTTGGCTACTGTTGTGACTCTTTGGGGTGTTGTCTCGACATGCAATGCGGCCGCGAAGAACCTGACGCATCTTATCATCGTTCGCTTCTTCTTAGGTGAGTACTCAATTGGCATCTATTGTCCTTTTTGGCGAGTGGTTTAATTTTTCTAACGCAATTGGACTTATAGGTTTTGCCGAAGCACCCTTCTTCCCCGGCGCCGTTTACATCATGTCGTGCTGGTACACGAGAGCCGAGCTTACACGCCGCGTTGCCTGGTTTTACACGGGCAGCTCGCTCGCCAGCATGTTTGGCGGCTTAATTGGCTATGGCGTTCTCAAGGATCTTGATGGTGCCGCTGGTCTTTCTGGCTGGGTAAGTACACCTTTGCTGGAGGTGAGATGATGAAACCATTAGCTAACTCTGTTCGGTAAATATAGCGCTGGCTGTTTATTATTGAAGGCATTGCTACCATTTCCGTTGCCCTCTTTGCTGCCGTCATTTTGCCTGATTATCCCAAAACCTCCAAGTGGCTCAGCGAGGAGGAGCGCGCGTTCGCCTGCTGGAGGCTGGCCAAGGACATCAATGCCGACAAGGAATCCGACACGGCCAATATCCCCAAGGGCCTGATGGCTGGTGTCAAGCTCGCCTTCCAGGATTACCGCATCTACCTCTTCATCGTCATCCACCATCTCAACAGTTTGGCAGCAACGATTACTTTCTTCTTTCCGAGCATTGTCGAGACTCTCGATGTTCCCAAGCTGACGGCTTTGCTGCTCACTGTCCCTGGTACGTGCTCTTTTCTTCTCCAAGGCTGCATAGTCTAACAATCTTTGCTTTTAGTATGGTTTACCACATTCCTCGTATGTGTTGCTGCCAACTTCACCGCGGCCAAAACAAACGACAAGTCCATCCATATCATGCTCTTGACAGCTGTTGCTGCTGTCGGCAGTGTAGTCCTCGTCACAACCACAAGCTTCGCCTCGCGGTATTTTGCCATGTTCCTCGTTCCTATTGGCTTCTCGGCTAGCTACACCATTATTGTCTCGTGGATCTCCAACAGCTTCCCTCTGCCTGACGTCAAGCGCTCCAGTGCCATTGCCATTATCAACTCCATTGGCAACACGGCGAGCATCTACGGTAGCTACATGTACGAGAAGGACACTGCTCCTCAGTACCTTCCTGGTGGCGCTGCTACCGCTGGTGTCTGCGTAGCCATCATTATCGTCACGTATATTCTGCGCCGCGTCCACATTTGGGAGAATAGCAAGCTCGATGAAGCCGAAATGGAGGCTGAAGGCGCCGAAGCTGGCATTGTTGCTCCTCCTCCTCCTTCGCGCATGACACCACCAGGTTACAGATACCTGTACTAATGAAGGGAAACAAGATGGTATATATATACTCTGCTAGCATTGGAATTGTACTCAGGGTTAATGGTCTATATTTCACGGCTGGCGGATAACGAAGACATGCATGACGTCGTTTTTTTTTGAAATAGAATTGGCATATAATGAACTAATAGAGTAATGCAAAAAGATTCATAACATTTTTTAAAGTATTTACATTTCTGTCCCTAATTTATACATTTCTTTAAATAACGGGTTAACCATATGACTGTGTCTCCTCTCTATCGAAGAGAGAAAACCTGTCTATAAGATTCTCGCAAATATACATCTGTTTTGTCTTTTTTCTTTCTCTTTTGGCATTTACTGCTTGTCGGGGTCGACATCATCGTAGGAAGTACCTAGAGAGATCTCATCGTACCAGACTTGACGGAAACCCTGGTCACCCTCGAGCTTGTTGCCCTGGTCGTGCCAGCTGTTGGCGTACAGGCCGACACGGAACTGGAAGGTCTCGTCGCCGCTAACAGTAGTGGCGAGGCCGGACTTGTCAAGGATCTTGTTGCCGTCGAGCCACATCTTGATCCAGCCAGAGTTGTCGCTGGCCCACTTGGCCTGGACAATGATCTTGTGCCACTTGCCGGCCTCGAGGGTGCCAATGTTGCTGTAGGTAGGGATGTTGCGCTTGCAGTCATTGCCGCGGTAGACACCGTTGACAACACGGGTGTTGAGCTTGTTGCCGTTGATCCAGATCATGGTGCTGGGCATCCAGTCGTCGCCGCAGTTGTCGCCGCCGGTGCGGTGCGAGATGAACTGGGCGAGGTTGTAGCCCTGGCTGGTGAAATCCCACTTGTCCGAGAGGCGGACCATGAAGCCGTACGAGCGCGTCTGGCCGCGCTTGTAGCCGTCGTTGTGGTCGACCTCGGAGTGGTAGCGGTCGTGGTAGTTCTTGTCAAAGGTCTGGGTGACCTTGATAGCAGAGTCGCCCTTGTAGACAACGTTGGTCACCTTGTCCACAGTGCCCTTGTGCTCCTTGCGAACATAGTTCCAGCCGTTGAGGTTGCCCGAGTTGTAGAACAGGCGCTCGGCGTCAGCACAGGCGGCAAAGCTGGCGACAGCAGCGCCGAGAAGAGTCTTGATAGCGACCATTGTGGATGATGGGAAGGAAGAGAAAGGGATATGCTTGCTTGCTTGTTCCGTAAAGCAGGGGGATGATCAGCGGCTATAAGTAGTCGTTTGCGACTAACATGTGCAGAGGCATCTCAGTCTCTCCCCCAACCACCCCTCCTCGGCTTAATAGCCCCCATTGCCATTGTATTGTTAGGATTGCATGCTGGTGAGGAGGTGAATAGCCGTAGCGGTTCTTGGCTTTGTGGGGTGATTGCCTGCTCCAGGTTAAATTTCCTCCAATCCTCATCATCGCCAAGACAAGGGGAGTCGCATGTCCTCCTCTGCCGAAGCAGCGCGGGCGCACATGGTGCATGCGACCATGGGTTGGTGCTTACGGGCGTCCCGCACATAGCTCCACGCTGGGCAGCGGTCGCCGTCGTGCGTGTTGCATCAGAGGCGCTAACTTGTGGATTAATTTTTAAAGTTCAAAAGCCCCGGGAATACTGGCGCCTCGTGCTAAGTTAGCTCACACATCGTGGAAACCAGTGGCGCTGCTGATCACTTTGTTCATCAAGCTTGACTCTTTAAGAAGACGAAGCTAAAACTCTGTTTAGCCGACAACGTGTTAGTCGTTCCAAAACAATAGCTCTCGGTGAAATATCGTTTTCAGAATGGAATTGTTCCGCTAGTCTGAAGAGAGGGACCTCGAGCTGTTTGACGTCATTTCCGGCCTCGCTAAGGGCGACCTTAATTAGCGCGGAGACGCCTATTAGTCAATGGGCAGCATGCGCGATAAATCGAGTCTGTACAGAGAGCAGAATGATTGAATTCAATAGTGGAGAGATGATTTATCCTAGTTTAACAAATGGACTAGTAACTCATTGCCAAGTCCATGGCATGTCAGATATGATTCGTGTTGCTCAAGTCAAGCGGATTGTAACCCATTAGGGTGCCTATGCCTCCAGATCGGGAACTTCTTGTGTCGAGCAATGTATGACACCCCCCAAATAGCAGATAGTGCTAATATGGACCGGAGCAATCTCGAGATTGGGGAAGATTTTGCCAAATGTTTCGCGTGCGTTGGCATCGGTGGTCTTGTCGCCGTACTGAGGCAGGATAACGCCCCCGTTCACCATAAGGTAGTTGGCGTAGTTCAAAGCGGGTATGCTACCAGGTTCATTAAGCGCTTGAAGCGACTGGTTGCTCAATCCAATGGCATGTATGTTTGCCTCTTCTACTTCAACGATATCCAACGATCGGCCACGGGCATCTGTCTCGCGAGATAGGATCTCCTTGGCTTCTTTGTAAATCTCATGGAAGACAGATTCGGAGGATGGAGTTGGACGCGACAAAAGAACCTTGCCTGGTTGTATAAATCGAGCCAGAGTGTCGATATGGCAGTCAGTTACATCGTAGCCTTTACGGCCTGGGATCCAGAGCACCCTGTCCAAGCCAAGAAGACGCTTGAGCTCTGCTTCTATCTCTTCTTTTCCCATCCCAGGGTTTCTGTTGTCGTTGATTATGGAACTTTCTGTGGCCATTAGTGTCCCTTCTCCATCAATTTCAATCGCTCCTCCTTCGGAAACAATGGCTGAATCAATAGCCTCAATGGCCAGGTCCTTCAATAAGGTGGATGCAGTGACCACACTTGCACTTGTTGGGTACTTGTTTCCCCAGCCGTTAAAACGAAAATCGACGCCGCAAAGCCTTTTCTTTTCATTTTCAGTTCTTGTAACAAAGGTTGGTGCAAAGTCTCTCATCCATAGATCCATCTCATCGCTTTCAAAGGGATGGATGGTTACTGCATGCTTCTGCTTTAATCTGGAGCTCCATTCGGTGGCTTCGTGCACTCGCTGTTTGCCGACAATGACTGTGACAGGCTGAAATCTTGATATGGATTCCGCAATATTGCAAATATCCTTAGTGACACCAGGGAGTAAATCCGAGACTGCCTCCAGAGTAGCAGCATCTGGCCAGGCCATTAGGGTTCTGCTCTGGCGAGACCATTCCGCAGATCGATAAAGACCCTTTTTGACAAGTGATGTCATTTTCTAAAACAGATTGATAAGTAAAACCAAAGTTATATTGGAAGAATATGTTGATGATAAAAACGACTTGACACCCGATATTGCTCTCTGCATAGCCTCGTACACTCCTTTCATCACGTGACCGAACATTAATACCTTAATACTCTCTCGTTTATTTTTAATCTTATTATTTGTACAAGTAGTCTACTAATACATGTAATGTATAATAAATACGGGCTATAGTACAATCACTAAAACAGCTATGCAAGCTGCCGCTGCCCACGCTGGTGCCGCTAAGACAGCTGCCGACATTTTGCGGCCACAGTCAATGACAGGACGCGATTGTTTGCACTCTGCTTCGGCAATGGGCTTGTAGAAGTCTACGTGATCGTATTGAGAGAGCAGAAGATTGCAGGGATCAGGGGTAGGCTCCTCTTCCGCCAACACGGCGCAGTACGGCAGGCCTGAATTGATTCTGTGGATGGGCACGGGCAAGTAATCAACTAAGTAAAAAGCAACGCCCTTGCTGCTCTTCTCCTTCTCGCACGCGGCGCCATGGTCGGACTTCTGGTAGTCATCAAAGTATGACATGGATAGAGCGTTGCTCGACGCGTTGGAGAATGTAAAGTAGGAGTCAAATGTCGCCTTAACCTCTTGGGATATCTAGGAGTCGTTGGCGACACCGTAACGGACAGTTGCCAATGATAGCGCCGGGTGGTGGCGGTGGTAGCAGCGTGCAGTTATGATGCAAGACAGTGATAACAAGCTGATACTGACCATCAACAAGCGTCTTATTGCGTATGCCTGCCGCCCAGAACCATCTCCGGTTGTTCTCGACAGTTATGAGCGCCTTGCCACTGGCCTCGCCCTGGTCGACAGAAGCACCGGTAGGCGAAAACAGTTCATACCGAATAGTGGGAATGAGATTGGCTAAGATGTTGGGTTTTGGATTCCCACTATGATGGGAAACAGGTTCTGAGGATGGTAGGTGTCGTTGCGTGGATAGATGAGGTCGACTTCGGTAGTGTCGTTGAACTCAGGTGTATTGTACGTAATGCCATTGAAGCTGTACTGACTCTGTAGTCGACCAGCGACGGTTGCCACAAGTAGAGATATCAAGATGGAGATGTTCATCATGTTGCCCTGCTCAGTTGGGATGTGTAGAGGGAGACTACGAGTTACCTACCAAGATTGTGGAGGGGGAGGACAAACTTCTCCACGTCACCTTTACGCTTTTCCAAACAGTTTTTTTTTCTCCTTTGAACCAGCCTAGTTTGTGTGTATTCCGCTCTCTAGCACAGTGCCTCTTGGAGCTGTTAGGTGGATCTTTGAAAATTATAGTCTTGGCTCTGAATCATGCCCATTTTAAGTCCATGTCAGCATGAGCGTCCGTTCGTATCAAGAATCTACATCACAGTGTGCTTGTGGGCAACCAAAAGTTGGTTCTTGAATCTTAGCTCTGATTGATGAGAACGAATATGTGGTTTTGTTGAGGCTATATTTGCATGTAACACGGTGAGTTTACCTATGGCAGCTGGCACACCTGGCGCACCTGCAACGGTCGTGAGCTATGTCCGAAATCCAGGTTTGGTGGAGCTTCCCCGCCACAAACGTGGGGGATCTCAGTTGCTTCTCTCTTGCATCAAACTGCCTTGGGATTGCTTCGCTCCATAAGATTTCCGCAAAACTCATATTGCGGGCTTTGAAACTATACATATCAATAGCATTGCCCCTATTTTCTAAAACGTCTTTTCTTGCCATTCCAGGCCCATCAGCTACCGTCTGATGTTATGCGCGTACCCATCATTGCCAGCACCCCTCAACAGCGATCCAAGACCACCTATATTGGTGGTAAGCCAGGAGACAAATATCGATTTACTGTCATCACTCAAGGCCTTATCCGCTACGAATGGGCGCCGGATGGAGACTTTGAGGATCGACCTTCCTCCTTTGCCCAGCATCGGCCTAGCGTGGACTGGGCCCAACTGCGCTACAATGAGACTGCTACGTCCATTAATCTATACACAGAAAGATTTCATTTGACGTATGACAAGGAGGAATTTTCTCCTAGTGGCCTTTTTGCTGTCATTAAGGGATATACCGGTACCACCTGGAGATTTGGCGAAGAGCATGACACACTCGGTGGCACATACCGAACTTTGGATGGCATCGACGGACGGGTAGCCGTTGGTGCTGGAGTAGCATCACGAAATGGATTTGCCGTTATAGACGATTCCAAAAGCCTTCTATTCACCAAAGATGGTTTTATTGCTCCTCGAAAGCCTGGGCCAGGGCGTGTTGACAGCTATCTTTTTTGCTATGGTCATGACTACCGTGAGGCTGTAAAGGCACTGTACCTACTATCAGGCTCTCAACCTCTTCTACCACGATGGACCCTTGGAAACTGGTGGAGTCGCTACTACGAATACACGGCAGAATCATACATCGAGCTTATGAACAAGTTCGAGCGCAACGGGATCCCTCTCAGCGTGGGTGTAATCGACATGGACTGGCATTTGGTGACAGATCAGAAAGTCAAGGACGAGTATTATTCGGGCTGGACAGGTTACACATGGAATAAAAAGTTATTCCCAGATCCCAAAGAATTCATCCGACAGTGTCACGAGAGAAATCTCAAGATGACTCTCAACGAACATCCTGCGGATGGCATCCACAGCTATGAAGATATATATCAAACCATGGCAAAGGCTGTAAACTTCAATACGGACAATAGGGATCCCATACCATTTGATATTGCCAACCGAACTTTCAACAAGGCATACTTCGATGTTTTAATGCCAAGCCTGGAGAAAGACGGTCTTGATTTTTGGTGGGTTGACTGGCAGCAAGGAACCAATTCCAGTATACCTGGGGTGGATCCTCTCTGGGTCCTTAATCACTTCCATTTCCTTCATAATGCAAAGCTACAGCAGGAAAGAGGTCCAGAGTGTGGAGGCGGTAGCCGACCTATTGTCTTCTCTCGATACGCCGGACCTGGTAGCCAGCGGTACCCAATTGGATTCTCAGGCGATACTGTTACAACATGGGCATCTCTCAACTTCCAACCAGAGTTTACAGCTACGGCAAGCAATATAGGCTATGGGTGGTGGAGCCACGATATCGGCGGCCATATGCAGGGCATCATGGACGACGAGCTTACTGCACGCTGGGTGCAGCTTGGTGTCTTTTCTCCCATTATGCGCCTACATTCGACCAAGAATCGCTGGGTTAGAAAGGAACCGTGGAATCTTCTTGGGTCTGCGGAATATGGCCCACAAAGTGTGGTGACGGATTTCTTGCGTCTGCGCCACAGGCTCATTCCATATCTCCATACAATGAATGCCCGCGCGGCGGAGAAAGGTGAGCCACTGGTGCAACCGCTGTATTGGGATTATCCGGCATGGGAGGAGTCGTACACCGTGCCAAATCAGTATCTCTTTGGATCTCAAATGATGGTTGCTCCCATAACGTCTCCTCAGAGCCGCGCCACCCTCTGTGGCAAGGTTCGCGCGTGGCTTCCACCTGGTACCTGGGTTGATTTCTTTACAGGAATGGTATACGATGGTGGGCGCTTTATGTGGCTTTGCAGAACTTTGGATCAGATTCCCGTCCTCGTTAAACTAGGAGCTATCATCCCTCTAGATGGAAGACCAGTCGCTAAGAATGGTGCTGGCAATGCCGATGCTTTTGAGATCACTGTAGTGGTTGGCGCCGATGGCTGCTTTGAGATTCTTGAGGAAGATGAGAATCATTCCGGTACGGACGGGTCATGGATGAAGACTGTGATTACATATGACGACAAGGCAGCCCGTCTAACTGTTGGTGCGACAACTGGGGCTGATGATACGGAAAGAAGAACATGGTCAATCCGCTTCTTGGGGTTGCAAATTCCCGAACCTGAAAATATTGTCATGACAGCAAACGGTTTATCTTCAACCCCTTCAACGGAGGTAACCGATGCTGCCATCATTATTCACTTGGGGACGACTTCCAAGCAGACCGCCTTTACTCTAACACTGCCAAAGGGTCTCAAGCTAAAAGTTAACAACCCGGAGGACAGGATTTTTGAGGTTCTATACAAGGCTCAAGTTCCTATTCCACTGAAAGAAGAGCTTGATCGAATTTTAACGCCCAAAAATATCGCTACGTCGGTCCGGATTTCTCAGCTGGAAGCACTGAATTTAGACGAAGACCTCAGGCTCGTCCTAGTTGAGCGGTTACTAGCCGATCAGCGTTCATCTTATTGATAGATATACTTCAAATTGTCAACATTTATAGCTTAGTTAAAGTCAATATTTTCGCTACATTTATTTTTTGATTAGAGCAACAGAATTTTAAAAGTTAGCAACTTGATCTATGTCTACACGCGGCTGCTCGATTTCAGGCCCCACAGAAGAAGGTCGCTGCGTGTTCGTCTGCACTCCTTGTACCAGTACATCATTGTTGCGCCACCACAAACAGCAAAAGCTATCCCTATTAGCGCATCAACGGCTGCCTAATTGAATATAGAGACATTGAAAATGCGCATCAGCAGTCTTCTCTCTGCGTTATGCGCCATTTCAATGGCCAGCGCGACGCCAAAGACTGTCGAAGTGTCTATCCAACCTATCGAAGCTGCCGCGAAACCCGCACCCCTTGCTGAGATTGCCTTTGACCTGGCATCATCAGGAGAACCTTCGATCGAATCTTACGATGCTCCGGACCTTCCCGAGGATACAAAGACCGTGCGCATTGGTCTCTACGACAGCAAGGCCAAGGCGTGGACGTCGGGCACTACAGTAGCCTCGGTAGAAAACTTCAGCAAAGGCTATTCGCCACACATTATCCTTTCGGTAGATGCACAGGGCCAGGTTGTCAGCGCTGCTCTCAAGGGAGTTCGAATTGATGCTGGACAGACAAGAGATTTTGGTCCCAAAGCGATGGTCATTGGCGCAACAAAAGGCACCCAACCACAGCTCAATAAGCCCATTGCGCTATCAGCAGAGGGCAAGAAGCTTCCTGATGAACCGGAAAAGTCGTTTCTCCAAAAGTAGGCAGATGCAAACTACGGCTTCACGTATGTAATACTAACAAAGCTTTACAGATACTGGTGGGCGATAGCTATAGGTGCAGTAGTGCTACTTGGCGGTGCAGGTGGTGAAAAATAAGCACATACGAATGGTACAACAATAGAATTTTCAGCATATAATTTCACAGCATTTCTTTGTCCATCTTTTTACACCACATAGTTGTTACTATCCCTTTGAAGGAAGACTGCCCACCACAGCCGAATATGTGATCAATGGCCACCTCGCTTGGAGATGTCGCCTAGCAAGATAAAGAACACGTCTGGTATTCTCTATGGGAACAGGTATTTAGGAAATAGCCAGCGAAATTACAATTGGATTGTAAGATATTTGCATCTGCGGAGCTCATACCAGCGATGCCCCAGCCAAAGGAACTGTCCAACTTGCAGCACCGTTGCCACCACAATAACATATGGTAAAGGGCAGCGATAGACCCTTGTCCGTGCAAATACCTGTGCAAATAGAGCAAGCAACCAAGCAGCTGAAACAAAAAGCAATTCTTAGCCGCCGGCATTTTGGGTAATTGATAGCCATTCAATGCCTGGTAGTACGGCAAGTCACGTGTAAGGAAGGGAAGCTCTGGGTGCTGCATTCCCTAAACAGACTAGCGTCGTTGCTACGCAGGGAGCCAAGGGCGGTTACTGGCGCAGCGGACAGAGCTTTGCTGGCGAGGGGCGTTTGGCGGGGCTTCGCTTTTTAAAACAAGCTACCCCGACACCAACAGACTCACTCGAGATTCACTCTGCCTCTTCACTGCCTTGTTTTGCTGCAAGACCAACTCCATCTTCACCTTCAATTCCGTGTTAACTGCGGAATATCCCCTCAAATCACCCTCTAATTCTTCTTCTTTAACCCACATAACACACTCCATCATGTCTGGTGTCGGCCTTCCTAACGACCCCGCCAACACTGCCGCCGGCTTCGCTGAAGACAAGGGCAAGGGCAAGTCTGCTGCTCAGGACTTCCATGACGATGCTGCCATGGATGACGATGATGAGGATGAGGACGACGACGACGATGAGGATGATGACGAGGATGAGGATGAGGAAGAGAACTTTGACGACGAGGTAAGCTCACACCGCGCGATGAAGCACCCCGCACTTAAACAAGGAAACAGCTAACTAACACGCGATATCTTGCAGAACGCCGACGATGGTACTTGATCCCATGCCTCTGTTCTACGGAACATCCCCTATGCTGTAAATGCTAACGCGTTTTCCCCTAGGTAACCTTGAGAAGATCGACCTGAACAACATTGTCGAGGGCGGCCGCCGCACTCGCGGAGCCAAGATTGACTTCGCCAAGGCTGCTGAGGAGCACCCCGCTGAGGGCGATGAGGATGAGGATGACGAGGAGTTCCAGCCTACCCGTGATGACACCGAGATGTCTGGTTAAACAGCTTCACCCCCAATACCCTCCTAACTAAAATCACCAGCGCCATGACGCGGCTATAGCCTGTCCTTTAGTCCTTTGACATAAGGTCGGGACGAGGACAGGGTAGCTGCAGTCTGCCTGGCTTGTCATTTTGCATTGATATTTACAGAGCATTGGCAAGTGAGCAAAGTTGTCGTACATACTTGCTTTCTATTGGAGCGGGACGGCGCGTTGCATTGAACGTTTGTGTCAGGTACAGCGACCAAACGACGGACATAGCATACATGAAGGATACTCAAAACAGTATAATGTGAACACGTTTCATAAAAATAATTATGTGTATATTGTGTGATTGGCCATATGTTTTCAGTCCAGCTAATGACGAGGGCTGGGATAGGATCTGCCTTAGATGCTGCTGCAAACAGCCTCTGAAGCACGTATGGCCACGTCGTGATGTCAACCATTTCTACACTCCGCATACGAGTTCATTGCGAATCTGGTCGTTTGTATTATTAAATGTATGCCTTTTCATATTTTCCTATTTTTCTTTCTATTTATTTCCCGTAAACAACCGCTACTAACACACGCGATCCCTTGCCCGGCAGATGAGCGCCACCTTTTCTGCCCAGAATCCGGGACCGGCGTCTCGGCCAAGCCGCGCCCGGCGGCGAGCTCCTACTGGTCGTGACGCCAGCGAATTGACCACCTAAACCATTTTATTTCGCCCCCCGAAAATCCGCAAACCAACTTTGTCCCTACAAAGGATAATTTTAACCTCGAAAAGAGGGAGGCGTGCGACCATTTCGAATTTTTCCTCCCTCTTGCATCTCCTAAAACTTTACGATACGACGGTACCATCCTTGGCCTCCCAGCCAAAACTCAACGACCTCCCCGCGGACATCCACCACCAAGACGGGGACCTCACACGCCTCCTGGAAAGGGGATTGATCCAACATGGCTCAAAGGTACGACTCCTACCATCATTCCAGCTGCTTCTGCTACGATAGGAACATGTCCTCTGCACAGTTTACGAGTTCTTGGACTACTCTAGCGCTGGGCCCCTTTCCACGGGCTGCCTCAGCGAGACCTCCTCTGCAATAATGCTGACTCATATTTGCTGCAGGTTTAACGGTTCATCGGTGCACCAGCGCGACTCCCGCAACGCTCTGTTCGAGGGCTACAGCGGCAACAACTCTCGCCGCGCAAGTCCGGCCACAAACGGCGGCTACGGCTACAACTCCAACCCGTACGGCGCCCCTGGCGGTTACCCGGGTCAGAATCAAAACGGCTCAGGTGCTGGATACAGAACGGCGACGCCCAACAGCAGAGGCCAGTATAGCGATGCGACGCTTAATGAGCTAGAGAGCCAGAATGACTCGCAAGTCGCGGGTATCCTGGGCAAAGTCAGGACGCTAAAGGATGTACGTATACGATTGTTGAATCCCATACAGGGATTAGGGGTTGCCAGATTGCTAATGGATTACAGATGACGGTGGCGATTGGTGATGAAATCCGCGACTCGTCCGCTCTGGCGGACAAGATGAACGACACATTCGACCAGACGAGACTACGCTTACGAGGAACAATGAACCGTATGTTACTTATGGCACAGCGCACAGGCGTCGGATGGAAAGTCTGGCTGATGTTCTTTGCGGCCGTCATTTTCATCTTTATGTACGTGTGGCTGTTTTGAGCGTATCCGAACGAGGAGAGCAGGTTCTAGTTGCTCAGCAGTCCGACTTGCGCGCTGCTTGGCCACTTCTGCTCCTCTGTTTGGGCTTTTTTCGTGCTGTGGAATTCATTGGCGTTACTATGTTTCCTGTTTATTATTATGGCCCGGCGGGGAAATCTGCCAAGGTCGGTTACGGCCTGTTCATGACGACGTTGCATCTGTTTTGGTTAATGGTCTTTGGACCTGCGCAATGCAATTACATACCAAGATAATTAATTACAATGTATATCAAGAAATCATGCTATGCAAGAGGTTCATTATTCATGTGTAATTCTACGGTATGCAAATATTTTACTAATGATACAATGATGTGTTATGGTCGTGACGTTACAAGCCGCCAGGTGTGTGGTGGTATCCGAGAGAGATGCGTTCAGCCTTGTCTAGCGCGGCGGTTTTGAATAGGACTACTATCCATAAAACTGCTTTCGTCTTGGGACAGTAGTGTGTTGATGTCTAGACTGGGCCGGCCCGTTGAAATGTTGGTGATACGCCTGTTGCGAGACATGAGTGTCGGTGATTGGGGAGGACCAAGGGGTGCTGCTCTTGGAGCGAATCCAATATCGTTACCTTGGTCTTCTTCTTCCTCCACCTCTTCTTCTTGGTCGACGTCACGATCTTCATCGTCGGACGACAGAACGCGACTGCTCTCCAATTCGGCTTCTGAATCGGTGTGTTCGTACATGCCGCTCTCTGCCTCTGGAGCGTCGTCATCCAAATCGGCATCCATTCCAAGGTCTTCGTATCCTTCTCCATCATCTAGTAGATAACCAGAGCCTTCTCCGGCAAAGTCTTCTTCGTCCAGAATATGTCCATTGTCTTCTTCCGCGAGCTCTTCAGCTCCGCCGTACAAGTCGTCGCCATCCGGGTCGCCACGAGCAAGGGCCTGTCGGTAGGCATCGTCTGTCATTCGCATCCGTGCAGCCATTAAATCGTTCTGGCGCTCTTCTCTGCGGCCGTCCGAATCGCTGTCCTCAGACCTCTCCTCATCTTCGTCGAGATCATCGTCCTCTTCTTCCTCTTCCGTATCAGAGCCTCCCAAGGCAAAATCCGCATCAGCATCGGCATCAGGGATTTCTTCATCCAGATCTTGCGCGCCATCTAGCTGCACATCATCCATTCCTCCTTCTTCTTCCATGTTCCCTGCTTCAGCTTCGGCGAGCTCCTGTGCCAGCTGCTCTCGTCGCATGGCTTCCTGGTGCTCTTCCTGTTCTCGTTTCTCTTCGCGGAGCTGGTGCAGCGTCTTGGTAATACCTGGCGGTCGTAGCCACCCGCTTCCAAAATTTTGAATATTAAGGCGGCGTCGTTGCATGTAGCTCTCCTCAGCTGCCAGGCGAGCGAGCGCGGTTCGTTCCAGCACTTGGCCAGGTCGTTGTCGAGGGGCATTGGTCGAATTGCCTGCGGCGGGATCTGTAGGAAGCGCATCTATCGGTCGTTCTGACGCCAATGGATTGCGGGTTGAGGTATACCATAACGAATGAGACTGTATCCATGGTTGATGTCAGACAGAGTAGGTTGAGCCGCGCGGATGGCCGATCTATCACTTACGTCGCGTGGAGTAAAATCAGGCAATGTAGAGAACATAATGGCGGCAGATTCGGAAGTCTACCACAGCCTTGATGCTGTGGAAGACGCAAGCTCTACTTCTGCGGTCGAATGCAGCGATGCTGTAGTCAACAATGGCAGTTCAAGGTAAACAAAATAATGCCAGTGGCTGCGGGGCGAGCTCCCCGCTGTGGCGCGTGTCGCGCGCCTGCTCAACCGCCGTTTTCAGTGGAAGCGGCAGACTTTTGAACGGCGCTTTGGCTAACAGTTCACATGCATGTCAAAACTACAGTGTGTTTTACGCCAAACCGAAATAATTTGGCAGAAAATCGTTTGTAACAAAGATGGATGGTATCGTCGGTCAGATCAAATCTCAGAACAGGTTTGGTAACGCCAAAAAGGTCTGGATAGCATGCTGTTTGCTTGATGATGTCGGTTCTCAGCCAACAGGAATGACCCTCAGAGCAGCTAGCTCTTATCACCGGTTTGTATTATGCATTCTCTAATTGGACGAAGCTGGTCGGGAAGCTCTTTGCGAGCGTACCTTCGATATTGCAAGAACTCCGAAGGGTCCCTCGGATTTAGCCTCTGGCCGTGGATGGCAATGTCGGTTCAGGATCCAGCGTCGAGGAAACTCCGCCGAGATGCGTCCGCAAGATACCGACAGGCAACTCTTTGGCGGGGGTCAAAATGGAGGAGACAGTAATTTAGAGGCACGTTACAGTGGCTGTCTGATAAGAGGATAATGCAGACGTGGCTGTCTTGCCTCGCTATCAGAGCCGTCCCAATAATTTCCTGCTGGCAGCGCCGCCGCTGGGTCGTCCACTGTAGCCGATGTCGGGCGGTCGGTGTTCGGGGGCTTTAGGTGCTATAGTGGTGCTGGCGCTGGCTCTGGGTGGGTAACCATCAACTGCCAGAGAGGAGAGCGGGTGTCGAGATAAGGGCAAAGGACCGAGGAGGTTGAGTTGGCAGCAGTTGTTGCGATGGTTCAAATGATGAGAACGAAGCACTGGAAAAATTCAAGTGAAATACGCATTCAAATCACACAGGATCAATTGCTCTCCGTTTTGATCTGGGGGACGCCGTGTGTCTTTTATGGCCATGGCAAAGGGAACCCCCAAACCCAAACCCAAGCACATGCCATATCTAGGACTATCTCGTGTCGTAGCTACGCCTGAAGCTTCGCCGGCTCGATAACAGCACAGCGAAATTCCGAGAACTGTCACCATTGCACCGCGCCACCATGCACATCCCCCGAGCCTGGCAGGGGCCCTGCAGCGAACTGAAGCAGGCTGTCGAACAGATGCCCCTCCCCCTCCTTTCTGCTGACGCTCTGTCAACCCAAAGTCAGCTTCCCGGTCCAACGGAGGCGTGCTGATAACAAAGTTAAGCTAGCCGTTTGCTGGTTGCACGCCGCCGCCGTCTGGGGTTTGTCCAAGATAAGGCTAACACAGCAAGCATGATTGGCTACAGCGGCTTCCCCAGTTATTTGACGAGCGTCGCCGCATCTTGCCTGGCACATGGCGCCTACCATTGGATCTTTGGCTTATCTGCAGCACCGGGGAATGACAGAGCCAGTTCTCCAGGCATGTTCGGTCCTCGGCTATTGCTAGGGGACATTTTCTCCCATGGACGCGTTGGAAGCTCAAGTTTCGGGCAATCGATGTATTGGTTTTCAACAAGATCCAATAACAAAGATGTTAATAACATAGATGTTGTAACCCATGCAAACCAAAGTTTAGTACTAGATGTCCTTCTTTAAAACAAGTTTCCCTGCAGCCCAGACGTCATAGCCCTGTACACCGTGGTGGTTGCAGGGCAAGGCTTGTCCCCCAGTACTAGTGGCGATATCGGTCCAACACATCTTCAGGCGGCGTTACCAAGTCCTCCCTTTCTATTGGCTTCAGAATATTTCTCAAGGCTCTGACGTTTATCTCTCATATTTTCACCCATAATTTTATATGCCAATCATTCCTTGTGCTTTTGTGATTATGCCCAGCTAGTTAGTAGCCCTATCCTTCCATTCGCCTTCGTTCTTTCCACCAGATTTGGCTGGGGTCCAACCAGATGGGATTTGTGGGGTGTGCCTTGTTAGGGACCTTGACCAACAGGGTAGTGCATGTTGGACCTGACGTGAACGCTTGGATTGATAGTAACTCTGTGAAAGAAAACAAAATGTATAATTTAGATTCGGTAGATTAAGAACCAATATGATGTGGAGTAATAAATGTCGGGTTATCTCATGAAAATGCACACCAGACTAGATGGCTCAACTCTAGGCTTGTGCAGGGCCAGACACATTCTCCTAGCCAGTTTGGAGAATATTATTAGCGCTTAGCACAACAAGCTCGAACTGAATACTTGGGTTCCTCTAGGCTTTACCGGAGAGACCAGATGACCAGGATGGCCAGCTCCGAGTCGTGTACGGGCAATGCCGGAACCGCTGTTAGAGGGGTGGTCCACCCAGCATGCAGCTATCGCCTCTGCCTTGCTGGAGGACATTCTGGCTGTGTAAATTGATACATGTGCTGATAAGACCAAACACTAATCCAAACACATACGCACAGATGGGATATATTGTTTAAAAAATGCTTGTTCATCATTACTTCAGGGCAGATCTGGTGTTATTCTTCTACTGCCTGCTTGGTCAGGCCATTTAGCTTTACAATCGCCCACACCAGACTACACACTGCTGGCGTAAGAGGCCAGGCAAAAGCGCAGAGAGATAACCCTGTTGGGTCCCCCTGCGCTGAGCTGTTTTCTGACATGTGCTAGGCGAAGATGGGCAGATCTGTGGATTCCCCAGAACTTGTCGCCTTCCCACCAATGCGCGAGCAGGCAGATAAGCAAAACCGCTCCTTTTGGCGCTGCCCCGCCCTACCTATCGGCTCTGTATTATACGACAGCCAAACAGCGAACAACACCACCATTTCCCCCCTGTTAGCGGCTTGCTCAGCAACCTTTATGCGCCTGAACGCGAGCTAGACCCCGTTGCGTGCTGCTGTTTCGGCTGGTCGCAGTGGAGAAACTCCGACAATAGTTTTTTTTTTTTTTTTTTTTTTCATTTTTTATTTTCTGTGGCCGTGTCTCGCCGGGGTACCGCCAAGCTCCGTCATGGCGTTTCCTACTACGTAGCGTCCCTCTCCCGTGTGAATTGCCTGCTCTAAACTCCAATGCGAGGCCGGAGGACTGCTCTGTGCCCCGGCTGTCCCTCCCCTCCTCCCCCCTCTGAATAAAATCCATGGCCCTCCCACATTTCCTCTCTCGCCTGGCTCTCTTCTTTTTGATTCTCGTCTCTTGGTCTTTTTGCTTCCATATCATCTTCTTCAAAAACCTTTGAGCAGCGGTTTAGTCCAGCTGCATCTACCACCACATCGCATAGCGTTTCATATCACGACGCCAACCTGACCACTGGTAAGCACTACACTGTACACTCTTCTCACTATTTTCAATGTCGTGGCATTGTTGCACGGGTTGAAGATCAGGACTGGCCAAGCAATTGGGCCTTCCAGCTTCTTGGCCTTCTCATCAGCATTCCCGTCGTTTGGCTCTCTACGCTTATCGCCCAGCTCGCCCTCGCCGCCTACCTTCTTCAACTGGGACATCATTCGCATTGACCGTCTTACCTCGTGGCCTGCATTTACTTCGTCTTGACCTGGCTGTCATGACACTTTATGTTTTGATAGCGACGTCAATCAGCCTTGCAGCAATGATGTTGGTTGTCACTGGGAAACCTTGGGCGTACTCCAAACTTTTTGGCCGACACCACAATGAAGCAGCGCCGAAAGCCAAACTTTCGGGGTCGGCCGCGTTCGGCTCAAAACGGCGAGGCTCATCACAGGATACTCTCGGCGGCCCCTGATTGAATGCGACTGGTGTTCTTTTGAGGCAAATTACACTGCATCATGGAAACCATCGCAATAGTCTCTGCGGTATACCCGGCTACCAGCTGGAGGCGAATCCGAGGGTAAACTGCAGGCAGCTCCACGCTCCGATAGCGCCTGTGGTGGCCTGCAAGCACATGCCGACCCACTGATGCGCCCAAAAAAAAGAGGCGACAGCGAGATTTGGCAGCGAGCGTGCAGGCCCCGCGCCCCGCAGCGCCCAGGGACCCCATCGGGCAGCCAATGAGCGTGCAGCCAATACAGCCAAAGATGACGTTTTGGCGGGCCAATTACCCCAAGGCTGCTGTTGCCAGTTGCAAGACACACCCCACTACGCCTGGAACCGGCGATGGCGGCGAGCAACTGCACCAAAAGCAAACGACGAGAGACGCCATTCCGAACAGGGCCTGCGGAGAAGCTTTTCTACCAGCTGGTCCCCGCCAGCTGTGCCAACTGCCGCGACTCCCTTGTCACACTCACCGTCTTCATCTTTTCAGTGAACCTCAATTGCCAATTAAACTAACCTGCTTGTCTCACGCAGATTCTTCTGTCACGCTGCAATTGAAGCATTGCATTCCGAACAGAGCAGCCTCCGCTACCGCACCGCGCGCTGCCATCCTCTCCCCGCTCCAACTTGACCGGAGCGTTTTCAATTCACTTTTTGCATCCATTCTCCCCCTCTTACTCGGGTCCACGACTCGAACTCCTCGCCTAGCATGCGTCTAACCGAGGATTTCGACGACAGACAAATTCATTCTGAAGCCGAACAAGAACAGTACACCCCCTACCAGTACCAGGAAGAAAACAATGGCTCCTGGGCCGGGGCACTGCCCGTGAAGCAGGGTCTCTACGACCCATCTCTTGAAAAAGATGCTTGTGGTGTCGGTTTCGCCTGGTAAGTCTATCACTACACAGACACACGCAAAAATATCAAATCTAACAGAGACGTCTTTGTTTTTTAGTCACATTAAGGGCAAGGCCAGTCACAAGATTGTTAGCGATGCTCGCAACTTGCTGTGCAACATGACCCATAGAGGAGCTGTCGGCTCCGATGCCAGAGACGGCGACGGTGCTGGTGTCATGACCTCTGTCCCTCATAGATTCTTCATCAAGAACTTTGAAAAGGAGGAAAACATTAAGCTCCCCCCTCTTGGTCAATATGCCGTTGGTAACTTGTTCTTCAAGCCTGACGAAGAGACTTTTGAGGAGTCCAAGAAGCAACTGGAAGATGTTGCTGATTCGTTGGGTATGCGAGTTCTTGGCTGGCGTCGCCCTCCTGTGGACTCAAGCTTGCTCGGCCCTGCTGCCAAGTCTCGCGAGCCCATCATTGCACAGCCTTTTGTTGTACTCAAGTCAGTCTACGGCGCTGGCGTCGAGCCTGAAACGACCGACCCAGAGAAGTTTGACGACCGACTTTTCGAGCGACAGCTCTACGTCCTCCGCAAGCGCGCCACACACGCTATTGGCTTACACAACTGGTTCTATATCTGCTCACTCTCCAACAAGAACATCGTGTACAAGGGTCAACTGGCACCCATCCAGGTTTACTCCTACTACCACGATTTGGTCAACGCCGACTACGAGGCACACTTCGCCCTCGTCCACTCTCGATTCTCTACAAACACTTTCCCTTCTTGGGATCGTGCCCAGCCTTTGCGATGGGCAGCCCACAACGGTGAAATCAACACCTTGCGAGGCAACAAAAACTGGATGCGTGCCAGAGAAGGCGTTATGCAGTCCGATGTTTTCCAAGACGAACTGGAAATGATGTACCCAGTCGTCGAAGAAGGAGGCTCTGACTCCGCCGCCTTTGACAACGTTCTTGAGTTGCTCACCATTAACGGTGTCTTGTCTCTTCCAGAAGCCGTGATGCTCATGGTCCCTGAAGCCTGGCAAGGCAATGATCAAATGGACCCCAAGAAGGCTGCCTTCTACGAATGGGCTGCCTGCCAGATGGAACCTTGGGACGGCCCCGCGCTGTTTACCTTTGCCGATGGTCGATACTGCGGTGCCAACCTGGATCGTAACGGTCTTCGACCTTGCCGATTCTACGTCATGGATGATGACAGGATTATCTGCGCTTCTGAAGTCGGTACCATCCCCGTTGAGCCAGAGTCCGTTATTCAGAAGGGTCGTCTGCAACCTGGTCGCATGCTTTTGGTCGACACCGTCGCTGGACGCATCATTGACGATAAAGAACTCAAGGAAGCTGTCTCTAGCCGACAGGATTTCCGCTCCTGGCTCGATCGTGAGCTGCTTAGTATGCCCACTGTCTTGTCCACACTTGAAGCCAAGTCCGATCTCAGCCCCAAGCTGAACAGCACTCCTCTCCAGGAAGATCCCTTGCTACTAGCTTTTGGCTACACTCATGAGCAGGTGTCTCTCCTTCTGGCTCCTATGGCCGCCGATGAGAAGGAGGCTTTGGGATCCATGGGTAACGATGGTCCTCTTGCATGCCTTACACAGTCTCCTCGCCTTCTTTACGATTACTTCCGTCAGCTCTTCGCCCAAGTCACGAACCCGCCGATCGATCCTATCAGAGAATCTATTGTCATGTCTCTTGAGTGTTACGTTGGACCACAGGGCAACCTGTTGGAAATGGATGCCTCCCAGTGTGGCCGTCTCCATCTCCCTAGCCCTATCTTGTCTATTCCTGAGTTCAACGCCGTCAAGAACCTTGCCACCATCAACGCTGAGTGGACTGTTAAGACCATTGATCTGACATTCCCCAAGTCCGAGGGTGTACATGGCTACATTGCCCAACTCGATGTTATCTGCAAGGAGGCAACTGCCGCCATCGAGGCCCGTGACCGTATCATTGTTCTCTCAGATCGCGGCACCTCTGCTGATCGTGTTGCTGTTTCTGCTGTTCTTGCATCCGCTATGGTTCACCATCACTTGGTCGCAAACAAGTGGCGATCCATGGCTGCCATCATTGTTGAGACTGCTGAAGCTAGAGAAGTTCACCACATGTGTGTTCTCCTCGGTTATGGTGCTGATGGTATCAACCCTTACCTCGCTATGGAGTGTATCCTCAAGCTGAACCGCGAAGGCCTCATCAAGAAGAAGCTTACCGACGATGCTCTAATTCACAACTACAAACACTCTTGTGATGGTGGTATTCTAAAGGTTATGAGCAAGATGGGTATTTCCACCTTGGCTTCCTATAAGGGTGCCCAAATCTTCGAAGCTCTCGGTCTCGACGAGTCTGTCGTAGAACGCTGCTTCCGTGGTACTGCCTCTAGAATCCAAGGTATGACCTTTGAACAGATTGCCGAAGATGCATTCCGCTTCCACGAACGTGGTTTCCCTTCGCGCTACACTGTGGGAATCAAGGCCCTTCCCGAGTCTGGCGAGTACCACTGGCGTGACGGTGGTGAGCCCCATCTCAACGACCCTACATCTATTGCCAACATTCAAGATGCTGTCCGTACCAAGAACGACAAGTCTTACGAGGCATACTCTCGTTCTGAATACGAGCAGATTAAGCACTGCACCCTCCGCGGTTTGCTTGATTTCAACTTCGACGACCGCACACCAGTTCCCATTGACCAGGTTGAGCCTTGGACTGACATTGTCCGCCGTTTCTGCACTGGCGCCATGTCTTACGGTTCCATCTCCATGGAGTCTCACTCTACTCTTGCCGTTGCCATGAACCGTCTTGGTGGCAAGTCAAACACTGGTGAGGGTGGTGAGGATCCTGAGCGATCTCAGCGACTTCCCAACGGTGATACCATGCGCTCCGCTATTAAGCAGGTTGCCTCTGGTCGCTTTGGTGTCACATCTGCTTACCTAGCTGATTCTGACGAGCTTCAAATTAAGATGGCTCAGGGTGCCAAGCCCGGTGAGGGTGGTGAACTTCCCGGTCACAAGGTGTCCAAGTCTATTGCTCGCACACGCCACTCCACCCCCGGTGTCGGTCTCATCTCCCCTCCCCCTCACCACGACATTTACTCCATCGAAGATTTGAAGCAGCTCATCTACGATCTTAAGTGCTCTAGCCCTAGATCCAGAGTTTCCGTGAAGCTTGTTTCGGAAGTCGGTGTCGGTATTGTCGCTTCTGGTGTCGCAAAGGCCAAGGCTGACCACATCCTCATTTCTGGTCACGATGGTGGCACCGGTGCCTCTCGCTGGACTGGTATCAAGTATGCTGGTCTGCCTTGGGAATTGGGTCTTGCTGAGACTCATCAGACTCTTGTCTTGAACGACCTTCGTGGTCGTGTGGTCGTTCAGACTGATGGTCAACTTAAGACTGGTCGCGACGTTGCGATTGCCTGTCTGCTTGGTGCAGAAGAATGGGGATTTGCTACTGCCCCCTTGATTGCCATGGGTTGTATCTTCATGCGCAAGTGCCATCTTAACACTTGTCCTGTTGGTATTGCCACTCAGGACCCCGAGCTTCGCAAGAAGTTCACGGGCACGCCTGAGCATGTCATCAACTTCTTCTACTACATCGCCAACGAGCTTCGTGCCATCATGGCCCAACTTGGCTTCCGTACCATTAACGAAATGGTTGGTCATGTTGAGGTGCTTAAGATGAGAGATGATCTCCGCACGAGCAAGACTGCCAACATTGATTTGTCGCTGCTGCTCACTCCAGCCCACAAGCTTCGCCCTGGCGTTGCCACGTTCAACGTGCGCAAACAGGATCACAAGCTTCACGTCCGTCTTGACAACAAGCTCATCTCCGAAGCTGAGTTGACGCTTGATAAGGGTCTTCCCTCTAGAATCGAATGTGACATTGTCAACACCGATCGTGCCATGGGAACATCATTGTCGTACCAGATCTCCAAGAGATATGGTGAAGATGGCCTCCCTATGGATACTGTTCATGTGAACATCAAGGGTTCGGCGGGCCAGTCTTTTGGTGCCTTCTTAGCTCCAGGTGTAACCCTGGAACTAGAAGGCGATGCCAACGATTATGTCGGAAAGGGCCTGTCTGGTGGTAGACTCATCATCTACCCTCCCCGTTCTGCAGTCTTCAAGGCTGAAGAGAACGTCCTCATCGGTAACGTCTGTCTCTACGGTGCTACCACTGGTACTTGCTTCTTCCGTGGTGTAGCTGCCGAGCGTTTTGCCGTCCGCAATTCCGGCGCCACCGCTGTTGTGGAAGGTGTTGGAGACCACGGTTGCGAGTACATGACTGGTGGTCGCATCATCATCCTTGGATCTACTGGTCGCAACTTCGCTGCCGGTATGTCTGGTGGTATTGCCTATGTTTTGGACGTGAATCGTGACTTTATGGACAAGCTCAACACCGAAATGGTTGAGGCTGGCCCTGTTGAGGACCCTACTGAAGTTGCTTTCCTCCGTGGCCTCATTGAGGATCATCACCACTACACTGGCTCAGAGCTGGCAGCCCGCATCTTGGTTGATTTCAACCGTGCACTCCCTCGCTTCATCAAGGTTCTCCCCGTTGATTACAAGCGTGTCCTTGAAGAAGAAGCTGCAAAGGCTGCTGAGGCTAAGCGCGCCGAATACAACCTGCCCGCTGTTTCTGGTGTCCCCCACAAGAAGTCTGAGAAGGTCGCCAAGCTTCAGGATCTTGAGGAAGCCATTGGCGACAATGCTGCTGAGAAGAAGCGAGCTCTTGTTCTTGACAAGACCAAGGGCTTCATGAAGTATGCTCGCCGTTCTGAGAAGTACCGATCTGCAGCAACCCGTACCAAGGATTGGGCGGAACTCAGCACTCGCCTCAACGAGGACGAACTCAAATACCAGTCTGCCCGCTGCATGGACTGTGGTGTTCCTTTCTGCCAGTCCGATACTGGATGTCCTATTTCCAACATTATTCCCAAGTGGAACGAATTGGTTTTCCAGAACCAGTGGAAGGATGCGCTGAACCGCCTGCTTATGACCAACAACTTCCCTGAGTTTACCGGCCGTGTTTGCCCTGCTCCCTGTGAAGGTGCTTGCGTTCTGGGAATCAACGAGGATCCTGTTGGCATTAAATCTATTGAATGTGCCATTATTGATCGCGGGTTTGAGATGGGTTGGATGGTACCACGTCCTCCTGAGGTTCGCACTGGCAAGAAAATTGCCATTATTGGTTCTGGACCTGCTGGTCTCGCATGTGCCGACCAACTCAACAGGGCTGGCCACAGCGTGACTGTGTATGAGCGCGCTGATCGTCTCGGTGGTCTCCTTATGTACGGTATCCCTAACATGAAGCTTGACAAGCGCATTGTTAAGCGCCGTACTGACTTCATGGCCGCTGAAGGCATCACTTTCAAGACTGGTGTTGCCGTTGGTGAAGAGGGCAACCCTACCCTGGTTGAACTCCGCGCTGACAATGATGCTGTGGTGATTGCCACCGGTGCTACTGTTGCTCGTGATCTCCCCATCAAGGGTCGCGAGCTGGAGGGAGTTCACTTTGCCATGGAATTCCTGCACAAGAACACCAAGTCTCTTTTGGACTCTGAACTGGCCGATAACAGCTACATCAGTGCTAAGGACAAGCACGTTGTTGTCATTGGTGGTGGTGATACCGGAAACGACTGCATTGGTACATCCGTCCGCCACGGTGCCAAGTCGGTTACCAACTTCGAACTGCTTCCTCAGCCTCCTCCTGAGCGCGCTCGTGACAACCCTTGGCCTCAGTGGCCCCGAATTTACCGTGTTGACTACGGCCATACCGAGGTTCGCCAGCACACTGGAAAGGATCCTCGAGAGTACTGCATTATGTCCGAGTCATTTGAGGATGACGGCTCTGGCAAGGTGAAGGGCATCAACACCATCCGCGTTGAGTGGAACAAGAACCCCAGCGGAGGATGGGACATGAAGAAGGTTGAGGGATCTCAGCAATTCTTCCCTGCCGACCTGGTTCTACTGGCCATGGGCTTCTTGGGCCCCGAGTCTCGCGTTTTGGGCGAGGAGATTGAGAAGGATGCACGCAAGAATGTCAAGACGGCTGCTGGCAAGTACAGCACTAACCTGGATGGCGTCTTCGCCGCTGGAGATGCTCGCCGCGGACAGTCACTCATTGTTTGGGGCATCAACGAGGGCCGTATGGCGGCTCGCGAGATTGATCTATATCTTGAACAGTGCACCAACTTGCCCGTTACCGGCGGTATTGTCAAGCGCAAGGCCACTGAGATTCTTGGTCAGATCGCTGCCAAGGCAAACTAAAAAAACAAATCACCTACAAAAAAGATTAAAAAAGGGTGTCCCAAAATGCCATTCCCAAGAGCGGATTGGTTTTTATTTCTCTATGTGGACTGAAGGACCATGTTGCTCTTGATACCCAGACGCTTGAGATGTATGGAGCATTGATTTATCTGCACGTTTTGTATTTTTTTTTGGCATAGTTCACCTGGTTGTTTTTATATTTATTTTCCTACTTATTTAGGCTATGATTGAATACAAATTTTTAGTAAACAAATAGCACAATTGAGTTCATCTGATGTTTCCTTCGCCCATTGTCTCGTGATGTTGCTTGTTAGTGTTGTTTATGGCGACGGTGTCTCAGTTGCATCGCAACCAATCAGGCAATAAGTGGGTAGCTGCCTGTGGTCGCTGCGAGGCCCTGAAAAAAAAACACCGCAAGCAGATGGGGCGCCACTGAAAACAACCGCTAGCGACGCATTGTTTCCACTAAAAACCGCGATGGGCGCTGCGAATCCTTGAAGAAAAGCTCGCAGGCACGTGCCCCCGCTGCTGCTCTGATAGGCCGCCCTGCTCCCTGTGGCTTTCCCAGCCGCATCCAACCATCATCAACCTTGCAGCTCTCTCGCTTTTTTTTCTTTTCGCTCGCCTTGTTAGCTATTAGTGGGGGTTGTCTTCTTTGCTTTTCTACTTTCTGCCCATTGCACGTCCATCGGCTCGCTGACAACGTCGACCTCACTGCATCACTTTTAACCCAAAGGCCATCAATTGATCTGCGGGACGCGTCAGTCAGCAACGATGCACTTCGGCAAGACCCTCCGCCAGGCCATCTACGCGCCATGGAAGGACAAGTACATTGACTACAACAAGCTTCTGACGCTCCTGCGTGAAGACACCCATGAGGAAGAGGCCGACAACTGGACCGAGGAGGACGAGAACCGATTCTACGATGAAATCTTCAATGTTCAATTGGAAAAGGTGGCCAAGTTCCAGCAAGAGCAGGTCGACGCTCTCAAGGACAAGACAGAGGCCGCCTTTGCCAAGCTTAAGGAGTTGATTCCTGCTCCCGCCGAGGGATCAGCTCAGAGCGGCATCCGTGCCGACGTCGATGCCTCCAAGCTCAAGGAATTGGAGGCTCGGCTCGACAAGATCACCAATGATGTAAAGGAACTCAAGAAGTACAGCAGCATCAACTACACTGGCTTCCTCAAGATTGTCAAGAAGCACGACCGCAAGCGAGGCGAGCACTACCGTGTCCGTCCCATGATGCAGCACAGCCTGTCCCAGCGCCCCTTCAACTCGGAGCAAGGCTACTCTCCCCTCCTCACCAAGCTGTCCATTATGTACTTTGCTATCCGCCAGCAGCTAGAGGGAGGCGACAAGCCCACTCCCCTCCTTGACCTGGAGAGCCCTGCTGAAATCCTTAACGGCGAGCGATATACCGCTCACAAGTGTAAGTCAATCAAAAGCAATTGTTCAATGCTAGTCCTCACCAAGACCTTTTATCTAACCGTGCAACCGGCTGATAGTCTGGGTCCACCCCGATAACCTCCTCGAAGTTAAGACGCACATCCTCCGCCACCTTCCTGCGCTGGTTTATAGTGATATGGCTTCCAAGGAATTGGAGGCAAATGAGTCACCGGCCGTTACCTCCATCTACTTTGATAACAAGACCTTTGAACTCTACACGGACAAGATAGACAGTCAATCCGCTGCGTCTTCTCTCCGTCTTAGATGGTACGGCCAACTCAATGCCAGGCCAGATGTATTTGTCGAGCAAAAGGCTGTCGAGAAGTCCGGCGAAAGCCAAGAGTCCAAGTTCACGGTCAAGGAAAAGTACATCAAGGCGTTCCTCGACGGCAAATACTCCACCGATAAGGCCGTTTCGAAGATGGAGCGTCAGGCCCAAACTGCCGATCGCATCGATAACTACAAGCAGACTGTTGGCAGGATCCAGGGCTTCCAGCAAGAGAAGAAGCTGCAGCCTATGCTCCGTGCCAACTATGTCCGCACCGCTTATCAGAACCCTTCCGATGACCGCCTCCGCATCTCTATCGACACCAACCTCGCCTTTATTCGTGAAGACGCTCTCGATACTTCTCGACCTTGCCGCGACCCTAACGACTGGCACCGTGCTGACATTGATGATGGCAACATGTCATATCCTTTCCGCAACATTAACCAGAGCGAAGTCTCCAAGTTCCCTTATGCTGTTTTGGAGATTAAGCTCAAGGAAGACGGAACCCGGAAGCGTCCTGCCTGGATTGAAGATCTTATGACCTCCCATCTCGTCCATCCTTCTCCCCGCTTCTCAAAATTCGTTCACGGCATTGCTTCGCTGTTCGAAGACTACGTTAACAACCTTCCCTTCTGGCTCAGCGACCTGGAGACAGATATCCGTAAGGATCCTCAGGCTGCTTTTGAGAAGGAGGAGAAGCGTCGTGCCCAACTGGCTGACGATGCCCTTGCTGTTGGCAGTTTGGTCGGTACCGTCCCTAGCTCCTTCAAAAGCCCCGCCCAAAGCTCCCCTCTTAGCAAGTCCTACTTGGCCGATCGTATGATGGCCGAGTCATCGGCCAACATGTCGCGCACGCCTGGTGGCAGAAACAGTCTTCTTGTTGGAGATGAGGTTGGAGAATCAAGCGGCCAAAACGGCGATGAGCAGGTCAGATCTAACGGACCTCTCTCGTCGGTGCTCCCCGGACTGTCACTCTCCAAGTACGCACGCGCTAAGCGAGCTCAAAACGCCCAGAAGACCCAGCAACTCCCTGAAGGCGTCGTCGAACCTATCGAGTGGATCAAAAACAGCGGCGAGTTGAAGATTGAGCCCAAGGTCTGGCTTGCCAACGAGCGTACTTTCCTCAAGTGGCAGCACATTTGCGTTCTCCAAGGTGCTCTCGCGCTTGGCCTGTACACTGCCGCTGGCGACAACACTCTGGGTCAGGTTATGGGTATCGTCTACATCCTCATTGCCGTCTTCGCGGGCGTCTGGGGTTACGCCATGCTGCAGAAGCGCCGCACCATGATTATGGAGCGCAGTGGCAAGGACTTTGACAACATTGTCGGCCCTGTTGTTATTAGCGTTGCTCTTATGGTTGCATTGATTACCAACTTTACACTTCAGGTTCGTATATATTGGATGGCATATCCCGCCTCTTCCTCCGCTTAAGCAGCCTACTAACCCAGTATACAGTACCGCGCCGCTTACAAGAAGATGTACCCCGGTGTCCCCACCGATGATGATCTTATCATGGAACTGAGATGAGAGACAATTCTCTGTCTCTGGAAAGTAGACTCACGATGGGCTGCGCAGCAGCCGATGTAGCCTTTTTGTATAGAATTTTTTGGATGTCACTGGCGTACTCTGTTACTGAATACAACTCGATTGTTTTATAAATTTACCATGTAGTCGAAATGACTACAAGAGAAGACTGAACTGTAGACTAGTCCTTTAGCGCAGTAGTAACTTATCGTCTACAGTGTAAATCGGCCGTTGGTTCTTTTACACACCGCCACCCCAGTGTGGAGGCGTCTTATGAGGTGCAGTATGCAGCATGCAGTCTGCCCTTCACCCACGTCACTGCAGTTCTCATTAAAAAAAACCCCCCCCAACGGTGATTTCAGGGGTTTCTCAGCACTCAAAACCCCCAAATTTCGGCGTTAAGCTTTTGCTGGCTGCCAAAGCACGGCACCTGCTTTTTGACTTTGCGGACGCTGCGACGCAGGGGTGCATACAGAGCACGCGACGACACACCAACACGCTACGCTACGGCTTCAACACGCGCCTCCGATGCCCTGTGTTTTTGCTTTAAGCACATTTTTTCTTTCAGACTATAGCTATTTTGAACGGCGTTTCACATTTGTCTGGTGTAAATTCTAATGAATATTGGCCTTCCGCAAACCGTGGACCAGGGCCAGCATGGATGACACGGAGCCCAAGAAGGGTAAGGGCTTTTGGGGTGCCATTCTGCGCTCACAAAGCCTGTCTATTAGGCCCAAGGTAAGAAGATGTACTATTAACCGGGACAACACGCATATATTAACATATTATTTTTACAAAAGAATACAGAAACGCGCCCAGACCGCCGCCTCAGCGATGGCGATGTCTTGTCTCGAAGGAGGAGGCCAGTGCATCCCGTGCAGCAGAGCGCGGCCAGAGGACCACCCAAGAAGACGGTTCGTGTCAGAGATACACCGGAGCTGCGGTCCGTATCCCCTCCAACGCCTCTCACAGAATGGCCCCCTCACGGCTTCACCATGGACGAGGAGCTGTTGCAGGACGCTGCCGTCGGGCTCATTGCGTACGGAGCGCCGTCGTTTCGCGGGCGCAAGCGGCCTATCCCACACGCCCCGGAAGATTTCTATGCGCTGTATGCTACTCCAAGTAATGGCAGCAATAGGGAATCCGACAGGGCCAACTTGAATGACTTGATGGCACAGCTTATGACGTTTCGTATGCAGGGACCGGGGCAGGCCAAGGCGCCGTGGGAAACACTGGAGCAGCCGAGTTGCAGCTTCATGTTTGGGCAAAGACGTGGTACTGTCACACTGAATCACTGGACATCATTAGGAGGCAAGACGCCTGAGTCCATCATGCTGCGAGATTCGGGCGTCCTGCCGAGGCCGATGGACCTGTTCCAAGTGCTGGAAAGGCTGAGGGAACTGCAGGCCGGGCTGGAGGATGACGATGAGGCGTTGTTGTACAAGATCCTTTACAGGCGTATTTTGAAGGACCCAGAGAGGATTATGAATCCTCACAAGACGCTAGATAAGCAGATCACGGATCTGATTCTTGTCTTGTCCCGTGCAGACTGGACGGACTACACGGACCCGAAAAATCACATTGCGACTCGCCATTTGTTCAGCCCTGACCCTGAGGACTTGTCGAGCTATCACAAGTTTTTGCACCAACTCCTCTTAAGCTTGGAGCTAGAGCTTCGGATTCACTCAACACAGCACACTGATTGGGCTAAAGAAAAGCTTCTGTCCCAAATCCCACCGAAGATACGATGGAGTCTTGCGCTGGCAAGGCGATGGAAAGAATACGTCCGAATAGATGGCTTTGGCTCAGAGCTATCTCAAAGTATGTTCTCTTCTAAAAGTTGGTATAATCCACGCTAACTATGCAGTCAAACTCCGCTATAAGCTGAAGAAGCGGCAGGTCAAGATGCTAAAGACCTTTGCAAAGGCTATGAAATGGCCCAATCTTGACCAAACACTGGAGAGCCTGGCACATTACGACGACGAATTTCTCCTGGATCAGATTAGTTCGGATGCATATGCTTTTTTCAGCGGGTTAGTTCTGCCTGGCCCCAGCTTTCCTTTTCTTATAATGAATACCCTCATCGACATTGACCCTGACGATGCCACCAACAGCCTGGCTATGCTGTCGCACATGCATCCGAATTGCGGGTTTCAGTACCGTAATAGCTACACATACTGGCCGGCAGTTTGTATTGTTGGCAAAGTGCTGGCACCGACGTGCAATTTCCTTGCTGGCTGGGTTGGCCCGGCACGTCCTACCAACGACCTGGGTCGATCTCAGATTGCAAGGATTCGCACCCGTAACCCGCGCCAAACTATCACCCGCAGCGACGTCGAGAGCATGGCGGAGCGTTCAGAGGCCCTGGGTCCGGCTGCAGAGGTATATCCGGTCCGCGAGTACGTACTAGTGTCGCCAGACGGTGACAGGTTGTTGGATACAGCTAGAATTGAGCTTCTTAGTCTGCGAGCCGTACCACCGTCTCGAGGGGCAGAGGTCCAAAATCCAGGCCTCTTTGATGCCACTATCCAGTTTGCCATTGACGGCGTGTCGTGGCCACTCAATCTCTCATACGATGTCAACTTTGTTTCTGCTTGGCCGTGTTCAGATGGGCCACACCCGTTATTCTTTGACTACTTGTACAAGTCGGTGCCGATAGACGACCTTGTACATGTACAGGACTGGGGCGGTTACTTCAGGAAGCCAACGCTCCCAGCAAGCGCTCGGTCAACACCCGTGCCCGGTGGACTATACAATCCCGCCAATTCTGCGCAAAGTGAGGGAAAGCCAGATGAGAACCAGGACGAAGAGGTCCTGGTGATTGAGGCCATGGGGGTCAAGGATAATGAGGTTTTGGCACGAGCCTGGTGCGCGCACTGGGGGTTAAATGCCGTAGTTGCGGAAATCAACACCACATGGTAAGTTTTTCGCTATTTCCAGCCTGACATTGTATAAAGCTAACTGGTATAATAAGCATGGCTTGCGCCGTTCGAGAATGTTATGCAGCAACACTGACGGTGTTGATATTGGTGGAGGATCGAGAAATAGACACTGGCGAATTATATACCTAGGACGGAGTGCGTTATACGATTTGATACGGGATATGATAACGACGGCGCGGATTTTATTGGCGATTGGGGTGAAGTAATGGTAATAATGATTGGTTTTCGGCATTCGCCGTTTGGGGCAATATCTGGCGTATGGGGAGCGGGCGGGGAGTTCGGCGAAATGGCCGAGCGAGACCGACGAGAGGGCTTGGCTGCGCTGCACAGCGATATGGCGTGGTTTTGAAGTATTTTTACAATTTAAAGCATATAATACTATGGTGTTTTCTGGTGATTAACTTTATCTTGCCTAATAATGCAGCGACAGTTATAACTCTCTTGTTGCAGTTGTTAGTCTACTGTGAGTCCCCTCGTCCGCTGCCGTTGTGCTCTAAGGCCATAAACTTTAAGAGTTGAATATCAGTTTAATTTCATTGGATGTCGTCTATGCTCTATTCAGTATAATTTCAGTGCTTGTTACCTCAACCCAGCCAGAAGTATGCAGTGAAAGTATTTTCAGCGAAGGGAACACAGCCTGACCGCGTGGGTGATGCACTAAAGCCCGCTAAAGAACGGCGCCTAGACCACTGTCGGACCGCCGCTGCCAGGCCCCGATCGCCGAGTTCCCCAGTGGCGCTGGGGACAATTCCCTAGACCAGCAACGACAGCTGCCCCTCCACACGCATCTTGCCACCTTTCCGCCTGTAGTTTTCCACCATTTTGCTGTGGCGAGCGTCGTCCCGGGCTAGCATCTCGCTTTAGTTGCTATTCTGGTTTCCTCTTGGCATCTTACTTGTCTCCTTGACTCGAACCGGTTTTGCTGCGCTGGTAGACCCCCCACCATCCGCGGCGTATGTATACCTCGCACGAGCCCATCTCGGGTCTGCAGTATGTCTTTTTGTTTCTTTATGCTTCACAGCATTAGCCTCTTTTATTTTCTCTGTCAATAATACTTGAGAGACTCTGCATTTGAGAAATATACGCCATGACCGACATTACTGACCACCGTGTGTCTAGGCCGACGGCTACTCATGTACGTTTTGGAGATAAAACGAATAGCTTTCACCAGACTATCGTATTATATGGCCCTCGAAAACTAGCATTTGGCTGACACTCGTTACTATTTAGGAATATTATATCGGCATTGACGTTGGTACAGGTTCAGCCCGCGCCTGCATCATCGATGATACGGGAGACATTAAGGCTCTCGCTTCCGAGAACATCAAGCTATGGCAGCCTGAGAATGGCTATTACGTAAGAGACAAATAACCAGCGTATTGTTAATATGAAAACTAACATACTCTTGGGGTATTTTAGGAACAATCTACAACTGATATTTGGCGATGCATCTGCGAATGTGTACGCAAAGTCGTTAGCGAGTCGAATGTGAACCCAGACTTAATCAAGGGCATTGGCTTCGATGCCACTTGTTCTCTTGCTGTATTTCATACCGAAACTGACGAACCAGTACCTGTTACTTGTCCAAACTTCGCCAACGATGGCAATGACCGCAATGTCATTCTCTGGCTCGACCACCGCCCCGTCGAAGAGACTGAGAAAATCAACAGCACAGGTCACAACTTACTCAAATACGTCGGTGGCAAGATGAGCATTGAGATGGAAATGCCCAAAGTCCTATGGCTCAAGAACAACATGCCCCCAGAACTCTTTGCGAAATGCAAGTTTTACGACTTGGGTGATGCGCTCACCCACCTCGCCACAGGAAACGAGTACCGCAGCTTCTGTAGCACAGTCTGCAAACAAGGCTTTGTTCCAGTGGGTGTTGATGGCACCGTCAAGGGATGGCAGGAGGACTTTTACCGCCAAATCGGTCTTGAAGATCTCGTCGAAGATGACTTCTTGAGAATGGGTGGCGTCGATAGGGTGGTGAGCCCATTTCTTTTGTCATAATTATCGCCGCTGAAACATGCTAACATCTTTCTTCTACGTAGAACGGAAATTATGCTAGCGCTGGTGAATGTGTTGGAACACTGAGTAAACTTGCTGCTGGCCAACTTGGCTTACCACAGGGTATCGCCGTTGGTAGCGGTGTCATTGATGCCTACGCCGGCTGGATTGGCACTGTTGGTGCCAAGGTCGACCTTGGGGATGACGAGCTCAACTCTAACGTCCCAGCCAATGACCTCTCCCAGGCCTTTACGAGGCTTGCTGCCGTAGCAGGCACCTCAACCTGTCATTTAGCCATGTCCAAGAACCCTGTGTTTGTACCTGGTGTCTGGGGTCCTTATCGCGATGTCTTGCTACCAGAGTACTGGATGGCCGAAGGAGGTCAATCAGCTACTGGAGAGCTCTTGCGTCACGTTCTTGATATTCACCCAGCATACAATGAAACTTGCGCTCTAGCCAAGGCCGAAGATAAGCATATTTATGACTTTCTCAACTCGCGTCTCGAACACATAGCCGAGAAGCAAAACACCACCTCCATTTCCTACCTCGGCCGACACAACTTCTTCTATGGCGATTTTTGGGGCAACAGATCGCCGGTATCCGACGCAAATATGAAGGGAGCCATGATTGGTATTGACAGCGACAAGAGCACCGATAACATGGCCATATGGTATTATGCAACCATGGAATTTATTGCCATGCAAACACGGCAGATTATCGAGCAGATGAACAATGCTGGGCACGAGATCTCCTCCGTCTTTATGTCCGGTTCTCAGTGCCAGAACCCGGTTCTTATGAAGCTCATGGCTACAATTTGCGGTATGCCCGTGTTGATTCCCCAATATGTCAACGCTGCTGTTGTCCACGGCGCAGCCATGCTTGGTGCCAAGGCGGCCAGTCACAACGTCGAGGGTAAGGAACCTGAGACTCTTTGGAGCATCATGGACCGCATGAGCAAACGCGGTCGCTTAGTGGAGCCTGGAAAGGACGCTGGCGAGAAGGCTCTCTTGAATGCCAAATATGAGATATTCCTCGACATGTGCAGGACTCAGCAGGAGTATCGTAAGAAGGTTGATGCTGCCATTGGTAACTGGGGAGTGAAGCCTGCAACTTAATAAGCCGTAAGTCATGATTAGATCGCATTCTTTCACTGTTTTGTTTATATATCGTTTGTAAAATTAGTGATTGCCAGATAGTTTGTGAATAACACGGGTCTAAAGCGTAGGAGGCTGATTTGCACCCAGACCATTGAAAGCCTGATAACGACTTGTAAGCGATTAAATTTGCTCAAATTAATATTGAATATTTGATTTCTGTTTTAAATACAATATTATTCGTATTTTTGGTCCATTAGTATTTTTCCCATAATTACTGTAGTTCCAGGGAGTCGGCATCGTTGCTTGCGAGTAACATGCTGGCCGTTGATTGGTCCAAGCTGTGGGCGAAATTCTGCAGCCAAAACACGCGACGGACCTCAAGCTTCAACATCAACAAATTGCTTTTTGCTCGCATCAGCAGCTCCCTCTGCTTCCCTGCAAAGCGCCGCTTCGCATTTATTTTCCAGCACCAAATTTCGACTTGGTTCCGGTCGCTCTGTTTAATTGACGATAGTTCTTGTTCCATTATCCGAATCGATCGACGAACCGCGACGCTTCACAAAAGTCGGCTCTTGACGAGCCCGCAATCACAAACACAATGTCCCTTTTCGGTCAGCCAGCGGTGCCAGCAGGCGGCTCTTCGGTGTTTGGCCAGCCTGCACAGAATCAGCAACAAGCGGCACAGCCAGCAGCCAGCGGTGGACTCTTTGGCGGACTCGGACAGGCCAAGCCTGCTGCTACAACAGGCGGACTCTTTGGTAGCACGCCTACTGCGGCCCCTGCAGCTGGAACTGGTTTATTTGGCCAGTCTACCGCTCATACACAGCAGCCAGCAGCAACTGGTGGTGGTCTCTTTGGTCAAGCCAGCGCGCAAGCCCCGGCTGCAACAACTGGTGGTGGTCTCTTTGGTGGTCAGGCCGCTGCCAAGCCATCCCTCTTTGGCGCATCTACGGCTGCTGCTCCTGCTGCGGCCCCTGCTGGTGGTCTCTCATTGTTTGGTGGTGCTAGTGCCCAACAGCAGCAGCCTCAGCAGCAAGCTGTCGGTGGATTCGGTACCAGCTTGCTCAACGCCCCGGCACAGACCATCGCGCCTCGTGCTGCCACCGCTTCATCACAGCCCGCTGGTGCCTACTTTGATAGTCTTTTCGCCAAGACACAGAAGGATGGCAATGGCAACACCAAGACCGAAGACCTCCCAAGCCTTGAGCTCGGCCTGGGCGATCTTCGACACCGATTGAGAAAGCTGCAGTCTAAGCCAAGTGAGAAGCCATTGGATGGCAAGGCTCACTACCTGCTTGCTGCGGCCGGTGTCGACCCCAGTGCTGCTGCCAAAGACCTGGGTATGCTTGATGTGCAGGGGGCTCGCGCTGAGAGAGCCTCGCACCCTAGCCACGCTCCTAGCGATATCGACGTCGAATCCTACCTATCCAACCTGCAAACGAAGACGACGCTCAGCATGATTTCTGACGGCCTCGAACGATCCCTCCGCGACTTTGATAACTTCCTCGAAGATAACGTTGCCATGGAGTGGGACGCTCAGCGCAAGCGCATCTACAACCACTTCGGCATCAAGCCTCGTGAGAGTGGCATCGCTCACGCCCGCGAGTCCCAGGCTGGCTTTGGCCGCTCACGCCGAAGCAAGAGCCATGCACCGGCCCGCAGCACCCATGGCGCGTCGCTCTCCAACTCTCAGTTCCACCGATCCGTCATTGGGGCTCCCACGCGTGTCGGCACTCACCAGGCCGAGTTCTCTGATATCGACAGATCTAGTGAAGCCCAGAAGAAGAGAGGCGCCACAGAAGACCGTGCTACTCGCGATCGCCAGGCCAAGCTGGCCGAGAAGATCCGCCACCTCAACGTTTCCCGCTTGAACCAAGTTGGTTACCCGATCCTGGGCGAGCTATGTGAAGTAGAGCAAAAGTCGCATGAGCCTCATGCGCCACACGTCGCGGAGGCTTACCGCGCTGTCATGGAGATTGTTGGAGAGGACTCTTCGCCGGATCCCGCGTTAGGTTATGTGCCTAGCCGTGAACGACAATTTGCAAACATGTATCTGGATGAGAATCCCAACTCTACCCAGTCGGTGGAGATGCGAAGAACGATACTGAGTGGCGTCAACAGCTTCCTTGAAAAGCAGTTTATGCGCGAGGTAGAATCTCTCATCGCCAAGCACCCTCACGAAGCCAAACTAGGTGGTCTTCCGGACGTCACAAGCAAGATCAAGGCATACATTCGTTTGCGATCTGCGCGCAAGGATCTTGTCCCCGACAACACAGAGCTGCAGCAGATTCAGGGCGAGTATGTTTGGGCTGTTGTATTCTACCTCTTGCGCTCTGGACACGTCAATGAAGCCGCTAAATACGTCAACGACAACAGTAACCACTTCAGAGGCATCGACCGTACCTTTTCTACGTATCTGAACAACTATGCTGCGAGCGATGATCGCAGAATCACAAACCGCAAGCTGCTCGACCGCTGTACCAACGAATACATTCAGCGCTACCGCAACGCACCCGAAAACACCATTGATCCCTTCAGGATGGCCTGCTACAAGATTATTGGTCGTATCGAGCTTGCCAACCGCAACCTAGACGGCCTCAAGACCGACGTGAATGACTGGACATGGCTGCAGTTCAACTTGGCCCGCGAAGGTGACAAGACTGTTGAAATGGCTGGCGAGTCATTTGGTCTGGCCGAACTTCAGACTAGTGTTCGTGAAATCGGATTGAAGCACTTCCCCAAGGCCGCCTCGGACGATACAAGTGGTGCATTCGGGCTGTACTTTTACTTGCAGGTGCTGGCAGGCATGTTTGAAGATGCTGTGAGCTACCTCTACTCGTTCTCCTACGTCGATGCCGTCCACTTTGCCCTGGCCTTGGAGTTCTACGGTCTGCTTAGACCGAGCGACCCTATGACTTCGCCCAACGAGCTACGCAGCTTGAGCAGCAAGAACTTGCCACAAATCAACTTTGGCAGAATGATTGGATACTACACTCGCGACTTCCGTGCTGCGGATGTCGTCTCTGCAGTGGATTATCTTACTTTGATATGCCTAAACCAGGACTTGGGTGGTGAGGCTGGCCGCCGCCAGAGCAACCTCTGCCATGAGGCCTTGCGAGAGCTGGTCCTGGAGACTCGCGAATTTAGCAAGCTCATCGGTGACATTAAGCCCGACGGTCAGCGTCTACAAGGTATCATTGAGAACCGCGGGCCTCTTATTGGCTTCGACGAGGAGGATGACTTTATCAACACAGTCACTCTTCAAGCTGCCAGCTTTGCGGACGAAAATGGCCGCACAACAGACTCTGTCCTGCTCTACCACCTTGCTGGCGAGTACGATGCCGTTGTCGCCATTGTCAGCCGGGCTTTGAGCGAGGCCATCTCGCTGGAGATTGGCGAGGATCCCATGCGTCTAGCACCCGTCAAGCCTCGTACCGGTGGCAAAGAGGCAGAGGGTCAGCAGGGCACAAGCTTGAGCCTGGCATCCATTGACGATCCCATCGAGCTGGCCAAGACCATGATGAGCATGTACGAACGCGACGCCATGTTCTACCGCAAGATCCAGGACCAGAACAAGGTGGCCTGCCGCGTGCTGCTGGAGATGAGCACCATCAAGAGCCTAGTAGAAACCGGCCAGTGGGCCCAGTGCTTGGATGTAAGTTTGCCTAAACCGATTTCGACAAGCCGCAGAACCGTACTAACTGTAAGCCACAGAAAATCCGGGGTCTCGAGATTCTGCCCCTGGACGCCGGCGGCGACGCCAGCACTATCCGTGCGTTTGCTGCCAAGTTCTCCGGCCTTGCACAGCCCGTGTCGATTAATGTGCCGAACTTGTTGATGTGGACCATCATTAGCTGTGTCCGCCAGCGGGAGCAGCTCACCAATGGCCAGTTTAGCGGCAACGAGGGAACCAGACGTATGATGGTGGACCAGCTGAAGCAGATGACTCTTGATCTGACTACATACACCAGTCAGCTCCGATACCGATTCCCGCCTCACTTGCACGAGGCTCTGGCGCGGGCATCAGCAGAGTAGTTGGCTTCATTGTGGTGATGTTGATATCATTGGATGAGTGCGGACCGGGTACCTTTTTTTCATAATAGTTCTTTTTTCAATAACGAACAGGCTGGTTTTGTTGTCTTGTCTTTTGTAAAAACAAAGCTTTGCCATATTTCTAGACGTCTTATTACTCATTTCGGTTCGAATACGTGCTTAGCGTAAAATCGCATGTGGTCACCGCGTGGGGATGTCACAGTGTATATCGGCGCCGCTACACCCTCTTCGTGAGTCACCCCCACCGTGCCGTTTACACTATAATTTAGACTCTCGTCCGCGCATTAGTAGCGTGCATCTGTGTCAGTGTTTGAAAATTGTTACTGCTCTCAGTCCTTGTGACGTATTGAATATTCATTATCCATAAACAATATTAGCGGCTGCACTAATGGGATCCGAACAAGGCAACTCCACGGGCGAGACGCCCTTAGAATCCCCCGCCATGAATATAGCAAGTCTTAGAGACGCCCGACGCCGCAGCTCTTCAATGCTAACCGACGGTCTCTAGATCCGTCCTTCGCTCAGCCGTACACCTGGTGATTCACGTCCAGTGGTGGTCATGACATGTGGCATCGCAGGCAAGTGTTGCTTCACCCCTCTCCCGCAGGAAACAGCCTTCAAGAGGCTAGTTTCAACTAGATGATCCCCTGTACTAACATGGTAGCCGAAACCCGTAGGAGCTGGCAAAAGTACCTTAGCCAAGAATATCGTGCGCGAGCTGCCGAACTTTGTTCGACTGTCAGCAGACGGTGAAGTCTTCAAGAAGTATGGACTCTTCGCCATTGACTATCCGGCCGAGAAGTACGAGGAGTATCTGGACGAGGCGGCGGATCTTGTTCGTAATGAGCTAGTGAGGCTTCTCCGCGATGAACCCGACAAGGACATTGTGCTCGATCTATCCTTCTGGAACAAGGAGTATCGCGACGAGTACAAGGCTCTGGTCGATGCTGCAAAGGCAAGATGGGTCCTCGTGTTCCTTGAGGCCAACAAGGAAACGCTTTGGGGGCGAATCCAGAGCCGGCGGGCCAAGAGAGACGGTGCCGCGCTCGGGGATGCCGAACGGAATGGTGACTCGGCGTATGATATTAGCGAGGAGGTCTTTGAGATGTACTGGGGTGGCTTCGAGCGGCCTGAAGGCGAGGGGGAGGTTGTGGTGCAGGCAGCCTAGTGTTTGACACTGCGAGCGGTGATTTTCTTAGTGATTTGGCTGTCCGTATTGTTTTTATTCTGTTTGGCTACAATGGTGAAAAACGAGGGCTGAAATATTTTATGTTACCTTGATAGACCAAGTCGTACCGGCCAGGGACATCACTTGTATTTCGTATAGATTGTGGAAACTGCATGTACGTGTAGCAAAAAGAGAACAATCTTATTGGGAGGTAAACACCCATAACGCCTGTATAAATGTCGATGTGGCAAATTTTAATTACATATCCAGCTCCATTCCCATAGAATACATTTCCAGAATTCGCATAAACTTGGCAACAAAAGCCTCCAACTGGAAAACGACCTTGGTGCCCGTCTTGATTCGGTGTTCGAAAAAGGCAGACCACATAATGACGTCGCCCTTGAGACCATCATCCACCATGGCCAACAGCTTAAATGTCAAGGTCTTGAGGATGGTAGTGGCGGGGATGCAGTGTGTAAGCAGGTCGTAGAACTTGGAGCGAACTTGCAAGATTCTCGCAGGGGTGTGCTCTTCCATAATTTCCTTTGCGATTTGGCCGATGAGAGCTTCCCAATCTGCCGGAGGAATTGGTGTACTATCTGCTACTTTTTCACTATTGTTCGGCACAACCCGGTTAGCTTGTGGACAACTTCGGGGTGGTTGGTTAGTGACTTACTTTTGCGCGTGCACTGCCTCGTACATCAACAACGCCTTTCTCAGATTGCGCCCACTTTCAACAGCTATTCTTTGATGCAGCCCTGGTGCAACCTCCCAGTTCTCTTTCTTAGCAGCATGTGCGAGCACGCTGCATATTTGCTCATGTGTCGGCGCAGCCACGCGGACAAGCAGTGTTCGGGAGCGAATAGGGGCGATGATGTTGGACGTCGAGTTGGCAAGAAGGATGAGACGCAGGTTGGGTGAGTACTTCTCCATGGTACGACGAAGCGCTGCCTGGGCATCTCTCGACAGGTGATCGGCCTCGTTAATGACGACAACTTTGAAGCGCTGTCGTGCAGACTGATCTACCTGCTGTGTCTGGGCCACTTCTTTGAGCAAGTCCTGGACCACAACTCTGTCGTAGTTGCCAACGTCTGAAGGTGTGATTTCGAGGTGATATACGGATGCCACAATGTTGAACTCGAGTTTGCGGTTGCTGCTTGTCTGGAAGACTCGTGCGTCAATCTTGATCTTCTCGACACCCGGACCGTAGAGTTCCTTGAGTGTGGCTACAATTCTCGTCTTTTTGCCTGCTCCTGAGGGTCCGTATACTAAAAGATGGGGGAAATCGCCGCTGCGTGCCTGTTCAAGTCAGCATTCATCGTGACAGCAGAGCTAACTCTCAAGATCGTGAGTTCCTACCAGCGAACGGAGACGTTCCGACAATTCATCGTGGTACGTCAATTGGTCAAGAGACCGGGGTCTGTGCTTGTCTACAATAAGAGCCATTATGTGCAGCGCTGTCCTGACGCAAGTGATGTGGTGCGTTTTTGTTGCGATGACTTTTTTGGGGTAGTGAATGGTTGCTGGTCAGATGGAGAAGACGCGTCGGCGCGTTAAGTGTCATTCACTCTCGAGCTGCCTGCCCCTCGCTGGTCCGTGCCCACTCACACTTACAGCCTCAGTGGTGGTACAATACAGCCGAGAAAAGAAGCAATAATTTATCTTAATAATTGATTTAGAAGTATCTCATAACATTACAAGCAAATATCAGCGTAATTGGTTTCGTTTTTTCAAGTCAATTCTATTCAATCGCTCTCCACGTGAGTCACCAACAGCGATCTATCATACAATGCCAGTATAATCTATAGTACAAGGAGATTATATATACATATTTTAGGGTGATTGAGATGGAGCAGGCGCACCGCTAGCTTCGCTTGCTGCTGTCTCGGGCGCCGGCTCTTTCAACTCAACGGGAGCAACCTGTTTTCGGGGACGCTTCAATTCCTCAAGCGTGATACCATCCAACTTTGTAATGCCTACAATGGGCGCATCGCCCTTCTTTGTGAATTCCCATTGGCCTATATGGATTAGTTTGTTTGCATAAAACATGTTAGAAGTAGTGTAAAATGACATACCAGGGAGCTTGTTACCGGCCAAGCGGAAAGCGTCGCGGACAATCTGCTCGTGGATGCGTCCCTTGATTTCAAACAGGACTTGGTTGACTGCCAATCTGCTTGCCCAGTGATCGAAAGAACCTTTACCCTTACCCATACGTATCTAGCGCACTGTTAGTATATAATTCGTCATCCTGCTTCCAGCTGATAGAGTCCACAAACCTCGTTACCGCTGACATAGACACCGATGTTGCAGCACTTGCGCTTATACAATCGGTATTTCTCTCCACGAAGGCGAACTTTAATTGTGTCTTCAGCCATCTTCAGATGCTTGGCGCTGATGCGGCGGTGGTGATCGGTCATTCGCAGGCCATAGTCTCCCCAAACAACCGTGGTTCCCTTGGATGAACCTCCGGTAGGCACACGCGGTCTACCCTTGGCCATCTTCTTCTTTCTGTTTATGCTCGGCTCTAGCCATGTACCGAAGGCAGGCGATGTGGTTGAGAAAGCTCGGGTGCTTGATTTCAATGATGCGCCAATGGTGCGCACAGTCTGCTGTATAGGCGACTTCAGCTGTTGCATAGAGGCCTTGCCTCCAATTCGAAGCGCCTGGAAGGCATTGAGAAGCACCGATGCGCTTGTGGGCTTCATTTTGATATGTATTGATTGTCGTCCGGGAACGCTCAAGATTTCGCCAATGTCATCTGCCATCAAAAAATCTCCCCTAATGCTAGGTCAACAAAAGTGGGGTGCCTGATGACTTAGGCCTCAAACCCAGGCACTGCAGCCAATTAAGGAAGTCACGGCGCCCGCGTCAGCTTCGCGTCCAGAAAGGTGGGTTGCGACCCTTAGCGTGAACAGCTTCCAAGTCGCAGCACTTCAGCCTGGTCAAGTCTAGGCATTGGCGTCATTATAAAGGCATCTTTGCAAAACATCACTGTTGCGCAGTTCCTGGTGATTTGCAAGCCTAACCGCAACATTTGGTGACAATGCCTGATATTAGATCTTTCTTCGGCCCCAAGGGCGGTGGTCCTCCCAAGCCGCCTGCGCCAAAGGTCGATGAATCCAGGCAAAAGCGAGCCAGTCAGTATACGAGCCGCCACAACAGAATTCCACGTCGCTAATCAGTAACAGAGAGCCGAAATGTTGTCGAAGACAGCGATGACGACGATGTCCCGGTAACGTACGACTAACTTTGTCTCCTTCTTATCCACGCTTTCTAACACTCAGGCTAGTAAGAAGGCCGCTCCAAAGCCTGCCAAAAAGAAGGCCAGGTAAGTATTATGATTAGCAGGGCTTTATTTTCATCACCAATTGACCTTAGTTCCCAGCGATAGCACCAATGGAGCTGAAATATCAACGAGCGACTACTTCGCGGCTGCCAAAAATGCGCCCAAGACTACAACCCCAAAGAAGGAATCCTCGAAGCCAAACCTTGATATCGATGTCCCCGTTCGCTCCAGCCCGCGCGGTAAAGCTTCTACCAATTCAACCCCAGCTAAGGATATAGGCTCAAAGCGCAGAACATCAACGAAAAAATACGTCGTCGACGATGACGAAGACGTTTATATGGAAGACGCAGACGAAGACGCTGATGGTATCGATGCTGCTGACGCAAAGTCCCGTAGCAAGAGAAACAACGACGACTATGCCGAGGACTCTGATGAGGACGAAGTTGTTGCGAAGCCGAAGCGAGTAGTTTCAAAAAGCACCGGAGCTACAACCTCTCAGAGTACAAAAAGCCGAACCACTGCACAGCAGAAGCGAAAGACGCCTGAACAGTACACTGACGACGAGGATGAAGATTTGCCTCGCAAAAAGCCTGCTACCGCCAAACCCCGAGCTCCTAGAGCTAAAAAGGCCGACGAACCAGAAGACGCCTCCATTCAGAATATCATCGACAGTATTGCGACAGTCCGGCCTCCAACACCACCTCCCAAAGACCCCAATGCTAAGTTTGATTGGCGCAAGGCTGGCGCTGGCGGCGGTAATGCTTCTGCAGCACCGGCAGAAGGATCTGCCGAGCTCCCCGCTGGCGAAGAAGAATGCCTCTCAGGCCTCTCCTTTGTCTTTACCGGCGTACTTGGTACCATTGGTCGTGAGGAGGGTCAGGCACTTGTTAAGAGGTACGGTGGCAAGGTTACTGGTCAGCCTAGCAGCAAAACAAGCTTTGTTGTTCTCGGTGACGATGCTGGGCCAAGTAAATTAGCCAAGATTAAATCTATCGGCATCAAGACTATTGACGAAAATGGCCTGTTCGATCTCATCCGAAAGCTACCTGCGTTTGGAGGTACTGGTAAAGGAGCACAAAAGGCTCAAGAAAAGAAAAAGATTGAGGAAGAGAAGATTAAGCAGCAGGTCGCCGAGATGGAGGCAGAAGAGAAGGCTAAAAAGGCAGAACTCGCCAAAGCAGCCAAGCAAGCTGCTGCGGCTGGCGGCCCCCGTCCTGCTCAGGTACCAGCCGCTCCTCCTGCTCAGCTGTTGACATCCAAATACGCACCAACTCAGCTTAGCCACATCTGCGGAAACAAAGGCCAAGTCGAGAAAATTCAAAATTGGCTGCGAAACTGGCACAAGTCCAAAAAATACAACTTTCAACGCCGCGGTGCGGACGGTATGGGCGGAGAACGTGCTATTATTATTTCTGGTCCTCCAGGTATTGGTAAAACTACTGCCGCTCACCTGGCAGCCACGCTCGAAGGCTATGATGTTCTGGAAAGCAACGCCAGTGATACTAGAAGCAAAAAGATGGTAGAACTTGGTGTTAGCGATGTGATGAACAATACCTCTCTCCTTGGTTTCTTCTCTGGTGATGGAAAGCAAGTCGACACAACCAAGAAGAAGATAGTTCTCATTATGGACGAGGTGGACGGTATGTCAGCAGGTGATCGAGGAGGTGTTGGCGCTCTCGCCAAGTTCTGCAAGAAGACTGAGATTCCCCTCATTTTGATCTGCAATGAGAGAAAGCTACCAAAGATGAAGCCTTTTGATCACGCTGCGTACGATATCCGATTCAACAAGCCAACTGTTGACCAAGTCCGCTCTCGTATCATGACGATTTGCCATAGAGAAGGATTGAAGCTGCCTCCAAACGTTGTTGATGCCCTCATCGAAGGTAGCAACAAGGATATTCGACAGATCATTAACATGATCGGTACCGCTAAGCTGGATCAGAAGAGCATGAACTTTGACCAAGGCAAGGCAATGACAAAGGCGTGGGAGAAGCACGTGGTGTTGAAGCCTTGGGATATCGTTCAGAAGCTCTTGGGAAGCGGCCTCTTTGCACCTTCAAGCAATGCTACGCTCAATGATAAAATCGAGCTGTACTTTAACGACCATGAGTTTAGCTATCTTATGGTGCAGGAAAATTACCTCCGAACAAAACCCATGGCATTAAGCGGAAAAGGCTACAACCCTCGTGAAGAAAGATTGAAGGCTCTTGAGTTGTTTGATAAGGCAGCCGAAAGTATCAGCGACGGAGATCTAGTGGACCGTATGATCCATGGCCCTCAACAGCACTGGAGTCTAATGCCTACCCATGCTGTCTTTAGTACCGTTCGCCCAGCCAGCTTTATTTCTGGTCAACTGATTGGATCCAACTTCACCTCATACCTTGGAAACTTGAGCAAATCGGGCAAACTTGGCCGCTATGTCCGTGAAATCCATTCCCACATGCGGTTGAAATGCTCTGGTGATCATAACGAGATTCGACAGCAGTACATGCCGCTCCTTTGGACTCAATTGATCAATCGATTGCAAGAGGAGGGTCAGGAATCAATCTCTGAGGTCATTGAGTTGATGGACAGTTACTACTTAACACGCGACGATTTTGACGCTATTATGGAGCTTGGTGTCGGCACCATGAATGAGGAGCATGTCAAAATTGAAACAAAGACAAAGGCAGCTTTCACGCGAACGTAAGTGAACCTACTGACTCGCAGTTGAACACAAACGCTAACAAACACAATAAGGTATAACGCCATGAGCCATCCCGTTCCGTTTATGAAAGCAGCGAATGTTGCGGCTCCCAAGAAACAGGCCCGAGACGCCCCTGACCTGGAAGAGGCTATTGAGGAAGAAGACGATGGTGAAGTGGTAGAGCCAGTCGAAGAAGATGATGACGAGATCGACTTCAAAAAGGACAAGTACATTAAGAAGCCAAAGGCGAAAAAGGCAACAAAGAAAGCCGCCAAGGACGATAATGACGATGAGAAGCCCAAGGCAAAGGGCAAGAGTAAGGCAAAGTAAAACCATGTGGGCATTGCAAGGCGTACCCTATAGCAGTTCAAAATTTATTATTGTGGGTTTTGATTTGGAATTTTGTATTATTTAGCATTTGGAATTTATATGGTATGGATTTTCGGTTACCATAGTATGAATATTTAATGCATTGAGGTCAGTGAAAGGACTCATTGTATCAGTATGTTTTAACGATCGTAGTATAAGTGCTCTACGGCTGGTACGTCAGAATAGGTGGGCAGCAAGTGGCGGTTGGCGACGTCGCCCGATAAGCCACTTATCGTGGTGTCCACGTTGCCTTCAACCCGTATTGGGAGCTCCCACTCGACATCACCACGCGCGTCTTGCTCTATCTCCAACACCAGCTCGAAGAGATCGAATGCCAATCATTCCGAATACAAATTAATTCACACCACACATCTCAATATCAACATAGCACATACCGAACGTTGTGTTGCAAGAGCGCACGCGCCGTCCTCTCCAAGCCCCTTGCGAACTCTGGTTCTGCTGTATCAAGCGCCAACCTACTGAGAAAAGAAGCAGCTGGCTGTTCGAGGCGCCTAGCCCGACTAAAAACAAATCAACATGCTATACCTAGGAAATCTGTTCTATGTTTCCTGCCTGCTCATCAACGCCGTGGCAATCCTCTCAGAAGATCGCTTCCTGGCCCGCATCAGCCTGTCACCAGCCTCATACGACCCTGCCTTTGGAGCGGGTGCAGATTCCCAGAGTGTTCAAGCCAAGATTGTCCATTTGATTGCCAGTGTACGGACATTAATGAGAAGTATGTCTTTCCACCGCGCCATACCGTTCGGCACTGGTCTAGAAACAGGTTGCTAACAGAACGAAAACAGTGCCTTTGATAGTTGCAAACACCCTGATTATTATATACGAGTTGGTCCTTGGTTAAGAACGATACGACGAAAAGAAAATCGACAATCCAAGAGCTGTATAGAGAGGGCGCTGACAGGGCGAGTCGATTCGAGGGTTGACGATGCCCTACGCCTGAGATGAACCCCTCGGAGCAGGGTTGAAAAATTACTGGGAAACGAGAGCCACAGGGAAAAACACTGTGGCTAAGATAACGTTACGATGTAGAGCGTATTTTGTGCTCGCTTGTGGATTACATACTGTCCATATCTTAATTCACGACTCATACACTTTCTTGATTGAACAGTCTAGATGGTGAAAGTAATACGCAATGGGTGCTTGTAAGCACCATGTTTGCGCAAGTCTTTTAATACAGTCCCTATGTACGAGTATATCAAACAGTCGCCATACACACCTTAACGAAGTGTTGGAGCTGGCGAACCCCTTTCTTGTCGCCACATACAGGAATCCCTTTTTTTTGGCCTTTTGCGTCCCTCCCCTCTACCAAGTATACAGTAGCAAATGCAAATGAGGAGATTGAAACAAAAATAATCTTTTCACCATCATGAGAGGAGCATTATACATCTTTGAAACCAACGCCGTTTTCCTGGTATATCCCATAGTATTACACACGCAACCAGCAGAATGGTCGCATGGGCACGTCGGAAAAGAGTCCGTGCCGATAAGTGATTGTCAAATTAAACAGAGCGCCATTCAGGCGTTTAGGCGTTCTTGACGACGCCGACCTTGGCGGCGCGGAGGACGCGGCCGTTGAGCTTGAAGCCCTTTTGCTGGGTGAAGAAGACAATGTTGTTCTCCTTGTCGGGCTGGGGAGTCATGAAAGTAGCCTCGTGCTCGTTGGGGTTGAACTTTTCGCCGGTAGGGTCGACGCGCTCAAGGCCGTGCTTGGCAAGAGTCTGGATGAGGATGGTCTCAGTCATCTTGAGGCCTTCGTGGAGGTTGAGCAGGTCCTGGTTGCTCTCATTCTTCTCGACGTTGAGCTTCTCGGCAGGGACAGTGGTCAGGGCTCGGTCGAGGTTATCGACGCTGTCGACAAGGTCCTTGGCGAACTTTTGAATGGCAAAGTCGCGGGCGGTCTTGACGTCGCGCTGGGTGCGGTCTTGGAGGTTGCGGAAGTCGGCGACCGTGCGAAGGCACTTGTCCTGTAAGGGGTGGTTAGCAACATGGACAACAGCTAGGGTGCTGTGACGTTTGCACAATGCAATTGACTTTGCTTACCTTCCACTCGCGGGCCTCGGCGTCCTTGGCCTCGAGGTCCTTCTTGAGCTGCGCAACCTCGTCGCCAGCAGCAGCAACCTCGTCCTTTGCATCAGCGGCCTTGCCGGCCTCGCCCTCCTTAGCATCGCTGTACCATCTGGCAGCAAGAGGCTGGAAGGCACTGGGAGAGTAGACGGCAGCAGCGGGCTGGAACTGTTGGCGCAAGGGCTGAGCGATTCTCGGCGCAGAACGCAGTGCTCTGGAGGAGGAGGCGATGGCTTGACGGAACATGATGGCTGTGTTTGTGAGAGTGATGCAAAAAAGCAATTGAAACAGAATGTAATTAAGAAGAAAATAAAGTACAGAGTTTCCAAGAAAGACGGGAAACAAGACCAATTGGGCGTGGTTGGGGGAGAATGGATGAAGCTTTGCAACAGGTAAAAGGACGGGGAGGAGGAGACTAGTCTTGGCTGGTGGTCGTGTGTCGCTGTGTTTTTGCTGGAAACTTCTGCTGCACCTTAATTTTTTTCTCGCTCAGGCCGGCTCGCTCCGGGTTTAGGGGGCAGCTGTTGCTTGCAGTACAGGCGGTTGGCGGAATAATGATGGGCCGAGAGAGAGACAGAGTGACCCTGTGGTTGCTGTCCATGCTGCAGAGGCGGTACCCACACCGTGCTGGGTGCTGGCAGTGGTGGCCACAGTGGGCACTACAATAGTGGGTGGGTGGTGGCTGCGGTGCTGTTGCTGTTGCTGCTGCTGGCCGGGGCTGCCAGCGGTTACGTCGCGCCACGGCAACCTGGAGCTTGGGCTTCCACCACCACCACCACCACCATCGACGGCTTACGCTCACGAGCATCACCAGTTCAATTGCCGACACAAAGCAAAACATCGCATCACACCAACAGCGGACAGTGGACTGTCGCAGCCTAACAAAGAGAAATATTCTATTAAAGACACCGGCCCCGCGCTATCTCGACTGCCGCCGCCACACGACACATAATCACCACCCCGCCTACGCATCATCCATCGTCCGCCCGTCTCCCTCCATTACTCTTCAACCATGGCTGCTGGCGACTCGAGCCGCATCCAAGAGGCCCAGGATGCCGTCAAGACAGATCCTCGCAAGGCAGAGCAGATCTACAAGGAGATTGTCTCCAAGGCCCCGGTCTCCTCCTCAGACGCCGCCACGCGCGAGTACGAAACCGCTTTAATAAACCTCGGCGAGCTCTACAAGAATGAAAAGTTGGTCGTTACAAGGCTAGGCAAATGATTTATATAGTACTAACTGGCTTACCCCACAGGAAACCACAAGACCTCGTCGAACTCGTCCGCCAGAGCAGAGATGTGCTCTCGTCCTTTGCAAAGGCAAAGTCTTCCAAACTTATCCGCCAGCTCCTCGACCTCTTCAAAGACATCCCCAACAGCACCGACATCGAAGTGGCTGTCACAAAAGACTGCATTGAGTGGGCTACTGCCGAACGCCGAGCCTTCCAGCGCCAGGATCTGGAAGTCCGTCTTGTCGCCCTTCACATGACCAAGCAGGCATACTACGATGCTCTCACTCTTATTAACGGCCTGCTGCGCGAACTCAAGCGCCTTGACGATAAGCTGCGCCTTGTCGAAGTCCAGCTGCTCGAATCCCGTGTATACCACGCCCTCGGTAACATTCCCAAGGCTCGCGCTGCCCTCACAAGCGCACGCACCAGCGCCGCCAGCGTTTACACCCCCCCGCTGCTGCAAGCCAACCTCGATATGCAGAGTGGTATGCTTCACGCTGAAGATAAGGACTTCAACACGGCATTCTCCTACTTTATCGAAGCTCTCGACGGATACCACACTCAGGACGAATCGTCCAAGGCACAGGCTGCTCTGCAGTATATGCTTCTCTGCAAGATTATGCTCAACCTTGTCGATGATGTCAACCAGCTCATGACGTCCAAGCAGGCTGTCAAGTATGCTGGCCAGAACCTCGAGGCCATGAAGGCCATTGCTCGTGCACACGCCAACCGATCCCTTGAGGAGTACGAGACAGCGCTGTCGTCGTACCGCTACGAGCTTGGAAGCGACGCCTTTATCCGCAACCACCTACGTCGTCTCTACGACGCTATGTTGGAGCAGAACCTGATCAAGGTCATTGAGCCCTTTTCTCGTGTCGAAATCGATCACATTGCCAAGATGGTTGGTCTTGACACCCAGCAAGTTGAGCGCAAGCTGTCGCAAATGATTCTTGACAAGGCCATCATTGGCGTTTTGGACCAGGGCGCCGGCTGCCTCATCATCTACGACGAAACACAGAGGGACGAGTCCTACGATGCCGCACTGGCAACTATTGAAAAGCTGAGCAATGTAGTCGATGTACTCTACACAAACCAAGCCTCTCAGCTTGAATAAAAGAACAACGGGCTCTGGCATGAACATGATTTGTATTGTAATTAGGTTATCCAAGGCAACGTTGGCGTTCAAGAAGGACTCAGATAACAGACCTGCTGCCCCCTCTTTAATCTTCTCTTTCCCTCTAACACTGTGACTGCTTGTTCTCCATATTGATTCAAAATTCCATGGTATATTCAAACTCCGACAGGCTTTGGTATCTGTAAATAATAATAGCTTGTAGCTGGCTAAAAACAACAGCAAACAACCTTGGAACACCAATCTGAATAGTAAAAAACACAAGTTTCCAAACGCCGCAATTGTATGCAAGTCTCCTCCCCATATGTCCATATGTCGTTTCAAACCCTTCCAACCAAAAGTATACACAAAAACAGCGTACAATCCAAAAATAGGATAAAAACGCTAACAAATTCAATGGAACATGAGTTCCTGCGTCTGACTCTGGGTTCTTCTTTCTTCACCAAGCAGTAGCGCAAATAGTCTCTTAATGAGATATCCAACTTCCCAGCCGCCAACTTCCTCCGTAAACGCATCCACGCAATCAAGATGCCACCTCTCCAGCGCCATCGCCATGCCCTGCGCTCGCACAACCTTGCCGAGATACCTGTCTGCCGATCGATCATACGGCTCCTCAAACGGTGCCCCCCGGCGCGTCTGGATAAGCCAGTCGAGGAACAACCAGTGCTGTCTCGTCCATGTAGTCTGGGACAGCGGCACCGCGACAGAGCGTGCCGATGATGCCGCACTGCCAGACGCAGACGCAACCGACTCGCGGTTCTCCTTGTCTGACACATTGCTGCTGACGCGCGGACCAGACAGGAGAGAATGGTTCTGAGGCGTCGATGCATTGGACATGCGGCGCTCATGGCGAGCTTTGGCCTGCTCCAAGGGCGACAACACGCTGCTTGTAAACTCGACCACGCGTCCAGGGGTATGAGGCTTTAGAGGAGAGCGCAAACTGGACTTCTTGGGCGATGCGTTCTTGGGCGGAAGGGGGCGTAGGAACGGCTTGACAAAGTCCGTAGACTCGTCGCTTGCGCTGGACATCTCCTGCTGCCATCGGCGGATGTCGTCGTGTGAGAGCTGCATTCTAGGCGGCGTTGCAGCAGCCGCACGGGCAGAAGATCCCTGGAAGAAGCTGTTATCAGTCTGGCGGGTGGATCGTGGCGTGGTTCGCGGCGTGAAGTTTTGCTTCTGAGCAATCACGGGAGTTGTTGCTTGTTCTGCGGGCGACTTGGGCTCTGCGACTCGAGGGGCTGGCCGGATTGATGGTCGAGGTGGACGGCGCGGTTGCGATTTCAAGGTTGACCTTGGCTGAACCACAATCTGAGGTCTTGCTCGAGGAGTCGGTTGCAAGACTGGCTGAGGCGTAGGCTCGGGTTCAGGCTCGGGCTCAGGTTCGACCTCGGGCTCTGGTGTTGGCTCTCGTTCTCTCTCCGGCTCAGGCGTTGGCTCTAATTCGAGTCGTAGCTCAAGCTCAGGAGACGACTGAGCAGGATGTTGAACTCGTGGGCGAGGTGTTGAAGCTGTGTCAGACTCGCTATCGAGTCTGCTCCTTGCCGGGGTCCTTCGTGGCTGCGAAGCCACAGAAGGGAACATGGACGTCGTCTGGATCTGAGCCATTGGTGGCTGTTCCTCCTGAGCCATGGTTCCACCAGGTGCAGGCCGCGCCATTCCTGGAATAAACTTCTCCGCAAGCATGCCTGGGATTGCCGCAGGGGACGAAAAGAAAGACGACAGGTCGAACCTGCCTGCCTTGACAGCAGAGCTCTGACCCCTTTCAGCTTCCTCTACAGCTTGGCGGCGGGCTAGAAGCGAGTACTCCTCTCCGTCAGCAGGCTCCATCGCCGGGTTAATGGCCTTGGTGGTGGCAGTCAACTGCGAACCCATGACACCAGATGATACAGTTGCCCCTAACCCGGCGAGATTCTGCCGTGTCTTTCTTGTCCACGGGCTCGGTATACCGCCACGCTTGCGAGCACTCTGTGTCAGAGTCTTGCTTCCAAACTGCTGTCTGGGAGGGGTAGATCTGCGCGCCTCAAACTCCCAAATGTCCGTCTCATCGTCACGGATGATATTCTCCTCTTGTGTCTGCGCCTGTGTCGGCGCTTGCTCTGCTTGAACACCCTCATTCTCATCAGCTGCACTATCAACTTGAGGAAGAGGTTGGGCTGCAGGTGCCTTTCTTTGCGATGGTGAACCGTATGCATTGCGTAACGAGTTATCACCTCGCAGCTTAGGACTGATTGGTCCCTCACGGGCTACCCAGCTCATAGCAGCATCACTTGGAGGGGACTGTCTAACCGAACTAGTCTGCGAGAACCTTGGGGAAGCAGTTGTTCGAATTGGAGCGGCGACTTCAGCGGGGGGAGGAGCAACAGGGGAAGAGATACTCTTAGGAGACACTCTGTTGAGATCGATTTGCATCTCGTCATCGACGGGTGCTGGTGCAGACGTATTGAAAAGAGACCTGCTGGGGCTCCTACTGGCGGTTCGTGCGGCTTGTCGTTCTTTGGAACCGTGTCGAGAGTCTTTACTTCCGGATCTACGGAAGGGACTTCGAAGAAGTCTATCGCCTGCATCTGGTGAAGGGGGGTCTGATGTGACACTTTGTAGTGCCCTACCAGCTCTAACGGTGGCAGAAAGGAGAGGGCGAAGATTCCGCTCATGGAGCTCGTGAACAACAGACTGAGGGTCTTGGACAGGCGAAGACATCTGGTTCAGAGGAGTGGCTTCCATCGAGGATGCAGATCTGGATACGCTTCTGCTTGTTTGGCTCTTGACGATGGGTGTTGATGAAGGCTGCGCAATGGTAATTTGTGGCGGCTGAGTGTGTTGACCTTGAGGGGGAAGAGGAGATGTGATTGATTGTTGGCGTCTATGTGATCGGAAGGAGGCTGGAGACTTTGCAGGTATGGGTAGAGGAAGAGGCTCGTCATCCGGAGTTGGTGATCGTGGGTGGATGTACGGGTGGCGAGCTATATCGTCGTATGACACAGGTGCGTTGTCTGCGCTCTCGCTTGCCTCATCATCGTCATATAGATTCACCTCCTCCCGTGCCTCGCTCTCAAGGACAAGCGTTACGGGCTGGTTGGCGTGCTCTGGCGAGTGTGCGTACTCAATCCCGTTATTACCCATGAGCTCGATTTCAGCTGGCAGCTCGTCAAAGTTGCCTTCAAACTCCTCTTCAGCAGAGGCTTCCTCCTCCATTGCCTCTACCGCAATATCCTCGGGCTCTTCAACGAGTTCACCAGCCCTGACTTCTTGGGCTGGCGCCTCGTCTGCATCCGCGAGATAACCAAACGCATCAGGTGCTGCGTCTTCATGCTGCTCGTCAACAAGCTCGGCTTCTGCATCGCCCTTAGCTTCTGATTCACCAATGGCGGCCTCTTCCTCAACATTATCGTCTTGTGGATCAAAGGCTTCGGCTTCCATATCGGACTCTGCTTCAGGGCTCTCGTCTGCAGCCTCTTCTACCTCGTCGTTTTCGACTTCGTCATCTTCGACTTCGTCATCTTCGACTATTTGGGGTTGAGCCTCCGGTTCGTCATCGAATTCAGCGTCGTCAACAACCTGCTCCTCGACTTCAAACTCTGCCGCGTCTTGGTCTTGGTCTTGGTCTTCGTCGAGTTGATAGTCTTCTCCTTTGGCATCTCCCATTTCAACGTCTTCGTCAACATCTTCTTCAACTTCAACAGTCTGCTGAAAACCAGGATTGTAGGGCTCAAGAGGTTCCTGATTAACCTCATCATAATCTTGTTCAACCTCGTTATCGTCTTCCGCAGCTTGTTCGTCGGATTCGTAAACGTCGGTGAATGTTCGCGTCTCCTTTTGTGGCGTTGCTGCATCCAGCACATCTTGTGGGATCTCTGAGAAGGAGTCTTCGTAAGACAGCTGCTCTGGCTCCCTATCTTGGACAAAGAGGCTCTCTTCGGCGCCCAAGGGTGCTGATTGAGATCCACTATCAGTATGTTCATGGGTGCTAACAACATCTATTGTCTGATTTCTCAAGACCTTGTGACGAAGAGGCGACGGCGTAGCAGTCTTTCTTGCGTCTCGCGGCGGTGGGACTAAGAGAGGCTTTGCTGGTGATCGGCTAGGGGATTTTCGTGTCTGAGAGGAGCCTCTTGCTGTACGGGCTGATTGTTGAGGGGATCGACTAGGAAGCTTCTGTGCTCTAGGAGGAGGCGTAGGACTGGCAGGAATCTCTCGTTCCAACGGATTCATCTCGGCCACGACATCACCATCGTCACCATCTTCCTCCTCTTCTGCCTCGGCACCAGCTTGATCATCATCCGCCTCTTCGTCGTCGGCTGGATCATTAAGGATGTATTCGTGGCGATCTTGTTCTTGTTCTTGCTCTTCTTCAATAGTCTCGACCTCCTGATTTGTCCCTTTGCGAATAGATTCGAGGGTGTTGTTGATTATAATGCTAGTTTCTTCACCAATATCGCTGTATTTTCCAGCATGGTGGCTTGAATCATGAAGCGAAGGAATAGAATCCATAAAAATCATACTAAAATCTTCACCCTGCGCAATTGTATCCATTTCTGCAGGTCGCGTTGGTGTCGGTTCCTCATCAGCTGACGACACATCGCTGTGTGCTGGGGGGAAATAGCCATAGTCAGCCTCAGAGAATGGATCAGCTGCGTTTTGAGTCCCCAGCGACGGTGACCGGGATGCAGCCGACCTCCTTGTAGGGGTTTGCGATGCTGTTTGGCGATTGCGCTCGGAAGCCTTTGGAGTGGCGTCATTTCCCATACCAAGCCAAATGTCCGAATCGGCATGGGGAGCTTCCGCTTCGTGAGATGGTTCGATGTCGTCTGGCAGAGTGAGAGCCTCTATTTCGTCCTCTGACGCGTCGTCAATACCCGGGGCGTCGCTACCAGCAACTTCATCGGCAAGCTCCTCCAGCTCTTGTGGCATTAATGTTTGCCGTCTTCGTCTGCCGCCGCGCAAGGCAGAGCTCAAGTCTTGATTTGATATTGTGCCGAGTTCGCTGGATGGCTCGCCTAGTTGCTTCCTTGATCTGCTGCTTCTTCGAGGCGTCGGTGAAGCTTGAGCTGCATCATCTGGTACCAAGTTCGACCTTGTGCCTTGGGATCCGGAGCTGCTTGGTTTTGTTCTGCGTTTTGGAGAGGGTGTCTCTGGTATATTCATTTCTGATTGAGCCTCGCCTTCAAGCTCTCTGGCCACTTCTTCCACTCTCCGTCGCGGACTCCGGCGAACTGGAGTCCCGGCTCGTCGTTTTGTGCCTGCAGGCGGTATCGGCGTGCCATTTGACGTTCGTAGTTTCGTTTTCGGTTGCGAGGGTATACTGGTTCGGTTCTCTATGTCGCTAACATCTTCAGCCATAGAGTCATTTAAGCGCACCACGGTTGTAGTAGCTCGCGGCCTCTTCCGGCTCGAGTGATACGGGCTTGAAGATACCGGGAAGAGCAATCGTTGTGTATCGGCTAGTTCATCTTCGGACGTCTCGACCGTTGGTAGAATGTCGTGAGGAGAATTGTGTACGAGGCTCTTGCGCGGCAGTCTGTGCCTTTCGCCGGAGCTGGGCATGTCGGTGAAGCGCTGTCCTCTTTGGCTGCGCGTGATGCGACGCCCTGCGGACGAGAGGATGGGTTCGAGAATCGTCGGACCGTCCGAGTCGTTGAGGGGGTCAGGCGAGGACATTTTGTCGGCAGAGCGCACGTCGGAATAGCGAACGCTGCGCCTTCGATGGTTGAGGAAATCAGGCGCCGAGCCTGAAGTCCTGGATCTTGACATGGTCGCGAAGCAAAAAGACGAACGGCATGGAATGCGCTTAGCGCGAGCGAGACACCATTGGGGTCAGGAACGATGAGAGCAAGCACAAGCAAAGGAATTAAAGCAAAAGAGAAGAGATATGCAAATGGAGCACACGGCAGCCCATATCTCTTCGCTGATAGAAGGTTCCGTTTTTAGCCTATGATGCAATTTTTTTTCTTCGTTGGAGTCGTTGGGTGGTGATGTTTACTCTGCATCCGATCTGGGCTTAGACGGCGCGACAACTGGCGCACCTGGCGCGCCCACACGCGCTGGGCCAGCATAGGCCGTCTGCCCCGCCGTCAGCCACTCTGGGACTTGGAGCAAGAGCCGCGCCACACGACACATGCTTGGAGCTATGGCTGATGTTCTCCAGCACCGTCTCACATGCCCAGCGTCCGCTACAGCCCACTAAAAAAGTAACATCCACAGGCGGGTCTCTGCCTCCCCACAGGCTTGCCCAGCACCCGTGAGAACCCGATTCCGGGGGAGCAATTCCCTCGCACAGCGCTCCCTTGTGCCGCTAACACACCCCTGCAGCACTGCTGTAAAGGGCACCTTGACCACCCACAACACCCGCTGTACCTTCCGGACTACAGCGCATGCGCCAGTGACTTCACCGGCCCAGTCTCCCTGTACGAGCTCTTCGGCTCCCGATTGCCCCACGGGACCTCGGCTCCTGTTTGCGACTACAACCACAGGGCGACGCAGAAGCTCTATCCGTACAATTTCCTTTTTTCCTTATTAAAGAATTAAGAGCCTCCCATCCGAATTGCTCTCCTTTCCTTTCCTTCCTTCCCCACACAACATCTCCTACCGTCCAAAGACCGTCTTTGCCAACACTTACCACAATGTCCCAGAAAGCTCCCATTCCCCAGAACGACAATGTTGCCCACGCCCTTGCCGGCGCCGGTGGCGGCATCTTGTCTATGGTTCTGACGTAAGAAAGATCCCCCGATCAATTGCATGCGGGCGACAGCTAACCGTGCTTCTAGTTACCCTCTCATCACCCTGTCGACCCGCGCCCAAGTCGAGTCCAAGAAGGCCGAAAGCAAGTTCGTCGACGCTGTCCAGAAGATCATTGCCCGCGAGGGTGTGGCCGGTCTCTACTCCGGCATCAACTCTGCCCTGTTCGGTATCAGTGTTACCAACTTTGTCTACTACTACTGGTATGAGTGGACCAAGGCCTTCTTCGAGAAGGCTGCTGCTAAGGCCGGCCGCGCCGGCGCAAAGCTCACTACTATCGAGTCCATGATTGCCGGCGCCATCGCCGGCTCGGCGACCGTCATCATGACCAACCCCATCTGGGTTGTCAACACTCGCGTCACCACCCGCGCCCAGAACGCTGAGACTGACATCGAGAGCGGCAAGCCCAAGAAGAGCGCTGCCCCCTCCACCATCGGCACGCTGATGGCTCTTCTCAAGAACGAGGGTCCCCAGGCCCTCTTCGCCGGTGTCATCCCGGCCCTCGTGCTAGTCATCAACCCCATTCTTCAGTACACTCTGTTTGAGCAGATGAAGAACCGCGTTGAGCAGCGCAGAAAGGTCACCCCGACCATTGCCTTCTTCCTCGGCGCCCTTGGCAAGCTCTTTGCCACCTCCGTGACCTACCCCTACATCACGGTCAAGAGCCAGATGCACGTCGCTAGCCACAGCACCAAGAAGGAGGGTATGACCGAGACGCTCAAGCGCATTGTCCACGAGGAGGGCTATGCTGGCCTCTACAAGGGTAAGATGTTGCCCCCTGCTCCACAATCGTTGAATCTCGTATACTAATCCAATTCTCTATAGGTATTGGCCCTAAGGTCACCCAGAGTGTCCTGACCGCTGCCTTCCTGTTCGCTTTCAAGGATGTCTTGTACGAGCAGACTGTTAAGCTCCGCATGGGTCGCAAGGTCGCCGCTAAATAAGTATCGGATAAGCAACAAATCTGATGGCTCGGATACATGGTGAAAGTGTCCAGACCAGTTAGACAGATCCCTGTTGGTCACTGCCGATGTCGATATCGACATATCCCTGGAAGCACAAGCAAACGCAACGATACCGAGCCCGTTGAGTGCTAGTGACAAAAATGCAAACGACGTCAAGACGAAGATAAGAGGGAGGCACTCTGAATTAATACCCTTTGAAATTTCAGTTGTCTATTTACGCCAACGAAGAATTGCAAACCTGGCCACCTTGCCTCCTGGCCTGTGTAATAGCTAAGGTATCTTAGAACTACAATATCCAATAAGAAGAAGAATCAAAACATGAATTGCTGTTCACTTTTAATTTGTGCTATGCTATGATTTATAAAAAACCTATGCGGATGAAATACTGGGCACAAGCCACCACTCGTGATACGTCTTTTCTGGATCGGGTATATCCGCTTTGAAAGGCAATGGACCTGAAGATGTTTGTGAATTGGCCATGGCCTTTTGCAGTGTTGTGATTGCAAGGCTGGTTGCAATGCATGATTTGAGTGTGCGTTTCACATTTGCTGTCCATTGAGCATGTGAACCGACCGAAAATGAGTCCTCGTCAGACAGCTTAGCCATTGTTTCGAGGCCCTTCTTTGCGCCTAAAATGGACCGGCTTGCCTGCTCCAATAAATCTGCAGACGCTACATCTTCTTGCAAAGTGCTGGCTGTGAATTCCGCGAATGTTGGTAGTGCGGGGAGGCCAATGGGGGCAAACGGCTTCATGCGCAAGTCATATCGAAGCTTGTCCGTACTATAGGGCCGGTTTACAGGCTTGATAAGGTGCAGGCGGTTGAGGACCAGATATAGGCTGGCCAGTGCGTCTGACAACTCCCATGTGACGGCTGCATCCAGCAACGAAAGACGAATATGGGATAGCGACCTATGTAATTGCTTCTCCACTGTTGCGTCAATGCCTCCTGAGCGATGACGAGCTTCGTCTACCTTTTGCACCACGAATGATTTGATTCGTTCAGTATGCTGAAGTCGTGATTTTGCCAAGTAGTTCAGGTACCAGTACATCCCAGCAATCTCGTCTGGTTGATAAACCTCCAGCTCAAATCCCAGCTGTACAATCTCTTCCATCATTCTGATTTTGTAGAGAAAGGCCCAGGAAGACAGAGGGAGCGAATGCATGGGCTCTGAGAGACCACTACCCGATGAGTTCTGCTGGATTCGGGGATGCTCCTGTGCAGCTTTTTGAAGAAAGTCGTCGATATCTTCAGCGTCAAATTGTAGATTTTCCCAGTCACGGATAACATGACAAAGAGTTCGGCGCACTCGACAGCGATTCTGACAAAATGTTCGAAATATATCCAAGAAGGGCTGCGCAGCTCGTTGTCGAAATAGTTCCAGTTGCTGTGACATGGTGAAGCGAATATCCTGGATAGCTTCAATCTCATCATTATCACGATCTAAGAGCTGACTCGCTGGTAAAGTAATGATGGAGAAGTCGTCATCGAGGAGCTGGCGAATGCTCATGGAACCCAAGACTTGCATCGAGTCGAAGAGAAACGTCTGCAGCAATGTTCTGATGTAGACAAGGGGTTGCGGTTTCTTAGATTGGAAATTGCGTACAAAAGTCTGCAAGTAGATTAGCATTGAATTTTAGATTTCAGACAAAAATCTGTGCTCTTACCAATAAGCTCTGAGAATCGTGGTAGTTTAGGACGTCAATCAACTCTGAACCATCCGTAAAGAGTCGTGACAAATGGGCAAACGCATCATCAAACTCAAGCTTGACAATAGCTCTCGGGGGCATGGTGCTTGCCAACTTTCTCTGCAGCTTTGCACTAAAGGCGTCCTCTACAGGCTTTCCTATTGAATGTGTCGTTTTGATGACGGGCAAAAGGGGAAGCGCGGCTAACCAAGGCGCCTGCGCAAGCTTGGGATTCTTCATATGCTGCGGAGATTCGGCTGCGTCAAGGAAGACTTTACGAAACTGCAATCTCGCTGATAGCGCATCGAATAACTGGTCTCCAAGCTTATCTTTCTCGGTTGTAAGCAAGTCGCGTGCTTGATCGATAGCGTTGCGTATATCTGCTGTAGGGATTCTAGTAAGAAGGGTACGGTTATAGGTATTGGTGACAAAGTCTTCTTCCTAATCCACAATTAGCACTGGATCATGGCTACCATGCTTTAGTAGTCTTACCTCGTAGTAGTGCTCAGACTTCACTCTATGATTTACATAAGCACAAGATTTAAGCATACCAAGGCAATATGCCCGTAGCACTTGAAGCATAGGCTGATCTTTCTCTAATTCCGGTCTATCCCTCACGAAACTGGCGAGCTCGATGGTAGCTGGGTCGGGCATAGACAAGGCTTCAACATATACATTTGTCAACAGTGTTTGCGAGAGCGGGTAGCCCATATGCCATGACATCTAAAATAATCAGCATCCAAACACCTACCCAACAATAGAGCCTTTAACTTGGACTTACCTCGTGACACAATAGCTCATCAATAATACCGAGTACCTCTTCTGGCAGCAACGGTTTGGAGACATCGTATAATTCGTCAAATTCATCGCCTGACGCGACACAGCCACTGTCCATTTTTGGATCCATGATCTAAACCAAAAATTAGTGAATGAAAAAACGGCCATAGAACCAGCTGTTACATACCTCAAGCGCCGATACAGACTCAAACAGGGTAAAGAATCCATCTTTGATCAGCTGGCCAGGCTCCAGCGCTACAGGCAGGTTAGAGATGAGTCACGGAGCCGACTAAGCAACTGAATGGAATACTGACTCCCACAAGCTTGCCGGAAAGCTCTTGTAATGTCTACTGGTATGACGCCTGGTACATCTTTTTGAGGCGGGGGAGGGGGCGGCTCCTCAGAGTGGCCGAGAGAAAGCCGAGCGATCTCTGCAAACGACATCAGAATTTCGGAAGCTGGGCACGCGAGCTGAATTTATCAGTAACATACCGTCTGGGACACCGATTCCAAAGTCTGCCATGGTTCTTGTGTATTCTTATTTTTAAAAATCAGGCGGCCGCATTTCCCCCTCGTGCTGGTGGAGGCAGCGGGTTTTGCAGTGGCAGGGAGACTTGCGCTCCGTGATATTTACGTAGGTGTGGTTCCGCTCTTGTCGCCAGTCAACAACATGCGTCACTTGATTCGAGATGCACCAGGAACTCCTATGCAGCACATGGAACTAAAGCTTTCCTGCTTATTACAAAGATGAAGTATTAGTCCATTGTCAAATCCATTTTGGTTAAAGCACGGCATTTATTCAATCAGTCACAATCACGAATGGGGGGCGCAAGTCCAGAGCATTCTTGAGGAACAAAGAAAAACGTCTCAACACGCCTGAGATGGTCCCATCTCAATTTTGGTTGATGCAGTATAATTGATTTTTGCAGTTATTTGTATGATACAGCGGCAGTTGCGGGCGTCGCATCTGCACTTTGTCTAAAGGCCAGGACCTGCAGCGTGTCCCGTCTTCATCCCCCATTGCATCCTTTCACAGGAGCTCCTCCCACCCCATTACCGATTCGTCCGCGGGTATTTTCTATGCATTGTTTTCTTTGTTTAAGAGGAGGCGTGCTCGGCCATGGCGGCAGCGTTGGCCTTGGCGAGGTCCTGGGATTCACCCATCTTTCCGTTCTGTTGAGGTAATTAGCATGTCGGGCTCGACTACTTGGGCTGTGCATCGCCAGCCTCCGCGCAATGCGCTTCAAACGTACCTCCCACTTGGCGAAACGGAGCTCCATACCACCGCGGCGCTCAGCAATGATTCTCTTGTCCTCCTTCAAGCTGCGGCGGGCAGCACGAGCCGCAATGGCGAGGTAGCGGTTGTAACTATTTCGGGGGGCTGTTAGCTCGTCAAGTTCGGTCGGGCGGTGGTCATTGCATTCAATTGTTGGCGAATTGATGCGAATTAGGTGTCTACATACGTAAGGCCAGCGGCTTTCCACGCAGCAGTCATTTTTGCGAATGTCGTGTTGATTTGAAGTTGTTTGGTAGTGCTACTCCTGCGAACTTCTCCAGAAATGAGAAGCCGAAGGCGCCGCCTCAGGCACGAAAATCCATGATCAATCACGTGACCTCTCCAACTGGACCACATTCACCACGAAGTAATGCTGGTATACAAAAGAAAAGAAATATTTGTAAATACAATAAAATATCAACATTATCTATTGATTGCCGCTTAAAATATTACATTTTTAATAAAATTCTTTTCACAAGTTTGTGGTTTGCCGGCTTAAACATTGACTGTGGTATCAATTCAATTGGCTGTCTATGAATACAGGGCTACGCTAACAAGACAAATAAAAAACGAAACAACTTCTAGAGCGAATTTCATAATCAAGGTCCTCCTCCACCAGAGTGCATGGCAGCCATCTGACCTGCACGACGGCGATCCACCTCTTTCTTGAGCATTACCATGCACGAGGCCAAAGCAAGCACCTCCATTTGCTCTGCCTCGCCCTTAGTGTCTGCCCACTCTCTCAAGTCCAATTCAAGACGGCCGCCATTGCCGGCAGTCATGCGTGAAGTGCCGCGAGAACGGTATTCATCGTTTCGAATGAGCTGAGCGACCTTGCGGCGGTGATCTTCACTGCCACCACCCGCGAGAGCCACCTTGGAGACGTGCTCGAGCACGAGTAGGGAATTCGCACCAAGCGCCTTGCGTTCCTTGCGGCTAGCATATCTCCATTCAAACGTACCGAGGTGGGTTCGGATAACCTGGGCACGAGAAAGAAGACTCTTGTTGCTAAATTCGTACACCTCTTCAGACTCCCGCAGACCGTGGAGTCTCATACGAGGGTGTCTGCCCGGCCCGAAGCGATAGTTTGTGCTGCAAATAGGGGCCTCGGAACCACCGGCCCGGACCAGAATACTGTCTCCAGAGTGGCGCTTGATGCGTTCGGATTCATAAACCAAGTCGCCAATGGCATCGCCACCAGACATGACCTCGTAGACGCGGATAGGCTGTCTGGAAGTGGAGTATGGAAGTGTGCATATACCATGGCCCGCGGCTTCAATCTGTAAAGTTCGCGAAGGATAAAATCTTGCTTGGGAGCCTGATGGAAAGGCTCCAGTATCGGCATTGTGTTCATACTCAGGAAGCGAGCCGGTCGATGTAGAAGTCGAGGGGCTGAGGGTGTTGAGCTCATATTCGGGAGGCGGCTGCGAGTACTCTGATGATCTCCGGTGCAGTTTCCCCGAAACCCAGCTGGCATGCTGATGCTCATTATGTAGCGTGGTCATGGTGGTGAGAGCAAATGCGCAGGTACAGTGATGTGATGTAGTAGATAGAACAGTGTGTGTTGGTTATAGTAGAATTTGTGGTGTATTGTAAGTGTGACTAGATTCGTAATGATTTATTTCCAACAAAGGGAAACATTGTTTTGGGAGGGGAGAACCTCCAGATTATATACAAGTCTAGCTTCGGTCTCGTTGGAGGTTAAATGGCCGACAAGGTCCGATCTACCGATGGCGATGACGAGGCTAACCCTGGCCCGCCCTAGAGAAGCAAACTATGGGTGAAGCGACCAATACGGCTGCCGAAACAAGCACCCATAGCCTCCACAACGGACGGAGGCTCACTGCTAAACCGAAATACGGCTAGCCCTATCCCTTGCAAAATAGCTGCCTGGAGTGCACAATCGCCAGGGATCTCCGTCGTGGTTGGCACAGCCATGGTGTCATCCGCTCGTTGGGCGTCGGGGTCAAGTGGGGCTCGCGAAGTAATACGCGCAATACGGGCGGAAGACGGGCAGTCAGCTGGCCAATGGCAGCGACAATTCCTGGGAGAAGGTCCTGCAGAAGGCGCAGTAGGCTTCTAGCGCCCCCCGCTAGCGAGTCGCTGTTTAAACTGTGGGAGACAGAGCACAGCCACGACGTTTGTTGCCCGATGGGCTTGTCTTATGACTTGAGGGTGCTCAGAGATTTGAGAAACAGTAGCTGTAAAGAATCACTAGTGAGGTGATACAATATGAGGTCTTTAATTCGAATTGAGGTGACGTCTTCCTGGCGCCCTTGCTCCGAGCCGCTGTAGGAGCCTTGGACTATCATATGAGAATGCTACTTGTGTCCAAGCTCTGCATCGTACATAGAACACGAAAACGCACGATGATGAGACGATCTGCAAGGCTGCGGGGCCAGGGGAATTTCCCCTACTTTAAAAATGAAGGGCGGGCGAAGAATTGATCGCCTTCTTGGCGGTACCAGAGTTGGGTGCAGTGCCGCCCATGTCACGGGCGTGGTATATATGCACGACTCCGTTGAAAGTTTTGTTTCTTACATCATAAGCAATCATATATTTCATTGGTAATATTTTTATATACGAAAACTTTCCAAAAACAACAGTGTGCCACATTTCTATTCTCTGCGTCCAAAGATTGTAATGTCTTTGTCCAGCTGCGCATCAACCCACTGAGGCCACTGGTTGTAGCGGCTGTTGTTGTAGTCTACTCTGGCATTGAGATATTTGAGCCAGCGGATAAATCCAGGGTCACGAGGCCCATCTTCTTTGGTTGGGCGCTTCTCTCGGGCAGACTGTTCTTGTTCGTTGATGAAAGCCATAATCTGTGACAGGGCGATCCAGTGTGAATGCAAAAGCAACATCACCTGGTTATCCATGTCAAGCAATTCTTGAAACACGTCATGCGGTAGAAGCATCCACCAGCCGTATTGCCTTGAATTGGTCTTGTAAGCTAATTGCGATAGTTAGCATCGTAGTCGTCGACATGAGGTGCACATTAGGGTTCTTACCTTCAAACGAGTTAATATAGAGCTGCTCGACAATCTCTTGCAGCTTTTGAAGGTATTCCAGCTCGAGTGGTGTGGTACACAGAGGTCTCAATCCTTGAATGGACGCTGCGGCAGCATCTGCCAACCCCCTCTGAATAAGAGGTAGATCCTCCATGTAGGGCTGCAAGATTTCGTTCTGGTTATCCTCAAACAACGTGGGAAATACAGGCTTAATTCCGCGGAAGCCCATCTGCATAGCGACAATGGCAATACCGCGGATAAAAGTCATGTATTCTGCAAGACCATCATCGAGCTTGGTCGATTGGAAGGTGAGAGCGAAGCAGCTGGCGACCATGGCATTGGATTCCTCGTATGTCATCTCGCCACGTCCTGACTCTGATAAACGCTTCTTAATGGATCGAATGGCCTTGACTCGATGGGTCAACGCAGCATTGGCGAGACTTGGGTCGGTTTGGATGAGCTCCGACGCCGAGTAACCCAGTATTGAGTGCATTAAAAAGTCGTGCTGCTAATTGTAAGTAACGTAAAGGTACATCGTGGTGATTCAACATACGCTTTGTGCAATACATGGGATCTCGTGCGTCCAAACCTCCTCTTGCTTGAGAGGATGGGATGGATAGCACTGTGTTAAAAAGTATTGGAAGAATCGCATGTCCTGCAAACTGAACAAGGGGATTTGATGATGAGGCTTTAAACAACATTAGTAAAATGTAGAGCAAACATAACACAGATGTGGCTGCTTACTTGATGTGTGATCTGGGGTTCGATGGGGTATTCGCAGTCCAGCCCAGTCTTGACGCAGTGTCCACAAGCTGGTCTAGTTTCTTGACACTAGTTAATATTGTTAGTAACTGTATAGCAAACCTCCATAATCTTTGCTCAAAACAATTACCTTTATACGCCTACGTTTGCAGTTGTAACATCCTCGGCGGCTCTTTGTATGGCCCCTCCGCTCCAGGCGTTGCTTCTGGGCCTGCGCCTTACGCGTAAGGGCGCCACTGGAGCTGCTGGCACTACTATCGCCATGCGAGCTCTTGCTAGTAGAGATTGGCGACGTTGAGTTTTGTTCCGATGAAGATGGCAGTGTGTGGGGGAGTGGCGAGAGGTTTTGATATGGCGACGACTCCGACAAGAAGGCGGCATAGTCGAAGTGCGCAGGATCCGGATATGCAAGCATATTAGATCCATATTGATTGGAGTCCATGGTGTACATAGATACAAAGTATATGACGCAGCGGTCAATGCTTTTTGAATAGTTTAGTAGCCAATGTAGGCCGAGAGGTAGAGCAGCCTGACGACGAAAGTTGTGTCGACGACGAGCTGAGTCCTAAGCTCTGGGGAAGCAATGCTGAGATGACTTTCGCAGCTGATCAATGTATCAATTCCAGCTAGAAGAAGCGACGCAATCTCGAAAAGGAAAAGAAAGAGTTCAACAAGAAGGAGAACGCGAGAGAAGAAAAGCGCAAATCTGCGGGAAAGGGGAGCAGGTTGACAGATAAAGTTGCAGGTCGGACGTGGCTGAGGGTGCCAGGTGCCCAGGCGAGGCGAGACGTTGATCACCGGCAGTCGGAGCAACGAGAAAAAAAATAGAGGGTGGGCGCAGGACAGGCTGAGGCGCTCAGCTGGCGCGTCCTTTGCTGACAGTGCAATGAAAATAGTAACAAAAATACCAAATCAGAAAAGGGAAACCGTCAAGTGTAGGGCGGATCAAGCCTCCAGAATGGGGTGACGACAGCTGTGTACGGGGGGAGGTATTGGTTTGGACATTCTGGGCAAGCTTGGCGACGGCCAGTACAGAGCTCTAGCGCAGTGCGGCTGAAGAGAGAGGCCCGTTATCCAAATGGGCGCCGGGCAGAACATGGTAAAGTTCACGGGGGGCGAGTGCCGATCCCCAAGCCTGAAGCCGGTGCAGAAATATGTCATTTGTGGTTTCTAATCTTCACGGTTTTTTCCACACAGCTTAAGCATTCGTTTACTGGGGATTATCCGCCAATTTTTCCGGCCAAGACAGAGAAGCGTTGGACAGTGTGTCTCTGCTCGTCTCTGCTCGTCTCTGCTGGAGATGTTATAATAGAACGACTCCCAGCGGCCGAAACCCGCTATAATAGACCCGCTGCCACCCACTGGCCGCTACAACGCTGGACTCCTTCCTCCGACAATGAGCCGCCGGGCAGTTGCACGCCCGTCTTATGCCCAGCGACTCACGCGGCGCCCGGTTTACAGGCTGCAAGGCCATGACAGTGTAACAGTGTCTCTGGGTGCTGTTGCTTACGGTGCAGTTCTGCTAGTGTAGCACAGTATAATGCACGACAGCACAGTATTCGTCTTCGTCTATATTACTCGTCACCATCATTATGACGCCCACACACCCTCCGCCCTCTGCCCTATAACAGCAACAGGTGCATGCGGTCCCCCTTGCGGCTGGACTGGCTGACGCGTATACGGGGGGCCGCTGTCTTGTTCGGTCATCGTCCATTTTTTTTTATTTAATTCTGTTTAAATATACAGAGTAATAAGTGACATGAGAGCATTCTAGATGCCCCCCAAGGACCCAGTCAAACGGCCAATAGTAACTTTAAGACTCATATATTAATATACTCCAGCCGCCTCTTATTGGCCCCCATATCTGCCGTAGTGCGTGTAGCTCCAGCGCGGTTCGCTGCGCCAAATGTCACTGCCCTGTCGCCCCGCCCTTCTGGGGGAGGAGGGGCACTGCCAGTTCAGCTCTGGCTCCGCGCTGCTTTGCTCTCGGACACGCCGTTGACAGCTAATTTACAGCGCGTCTCATGGCAGCCTCTCCCGTCAATTAGTCACTACTCAGCGCTCAGTCTTACCAATCCATCCGCTCCGGAAGTCCAACTATCCTCAAACTCGGCTAGACGAAACTAGGACTGTCTGGCGCGGGCTGACTAGATGGCTGGGCTACGACCGCTTGACGGAGAAGATGCCGCGCTCGATGCTGTTGATCAGAATATGGCCGCTCTTGAAGAAGGGGTACACAGACCACGCGCCGACAAATCCCAGCTCATCCTTTGCGTCGTTCTCAGGATAGACATCAAACGACAAGATCTCCTTGAAGCCTGCACCCGTAGGATCCTCAACTACCGACGACACGTTGACAATGCGTAACCCGGTGTTGTAGTTAGACATGTAAGCAAGCCCGTCGATAACGTATAGGTTGTGGTCGATTGCCTTGGATGGGCTGTGGTAGATGCCTGTAATAACAGGCTTGGTAAGATCCTTGACGTCCACAATGTACGTCGCCGTGTGGCCGGCCTTGGGACCAGGCATACGTTCGTCCAGCTCATCGCCCATGAGCAAGTAACGCATGTCTTTGGTTGCCAGCCAGCCCTGATGGGTGTAGCCCATGCCCTTATACGTCATGGTAGACAGCTGCTTAGGGCTGGCACGGTCCGTGATGTCCGAGATTACCAGCTGCTTCTCGTTATACCCAAAGCAAATCTCTCGACTGTTAAACTTGCTGTCAATGCCGTTGTAAATGACACACTCAGCATCGTGGCTGTAGCTGTGCGTGCCGACACAGCCGTCATCCTTTGGGTTCTTGGGATCCGACAGATTCACAGCGTGAAGTTTGCCACTGCATTTGCTACCGCCGCCACAGAAGGCAGTCTTGGTTTTCTCGTTCACAATCACATTGTGACAGTTGCCCCATCCCTTGAATAGTGAGTCTAGATCCTCCTTGCCATACACCTTAGGATTCTTAGGGTCGGCAGTCAACAGCTTCTTCATGTCAAACACTTGCATACCGTGGCCACCGGCTTCCGACATAATAACTGCGTGGTCTCCAACCACTTTGGCATCACGCCACATGGAATTTCCAGACTCTGAAGGCAGGCGGCCGAGGTAGACGAGTGAGCCATCTTTCAGAACCTCCACAAAAGCTGAGCCGTCCATCTCACAGACAATACCAAATTTCCCTGCCGTCTGTCGAAGTCCAACCTAAACGTTTATTAGCAATGATAATCTCGGCTGTGGCACAAGCAAGCTTCTACTTACCCCAAAACATCATTGCCCTTGCGTGCCTTGGATCCCATATTTTGATGTCGGATAAAACCCTTCATATCCATACCTTGACACTTGTATTCTCCAGCCTTGCCACCGCTGCACGCGGCCTTACTCATAGGCGAATAGCGATCCAAATCGTAAGCTCCTGCCTCTGTTTGTCGTTGACGAGTCTCCATTTTGAGCTTCTTAAGGTACTTCATCGCCTCGGAGCCGTAGTTTGGGTCATCCGGGCTAGGCAGTGCCGCGGCGGACAAGGCCAAGCTGGCCACGAGAGTAGCCACCGTTAATCTATACATCTTTGTAAATTGATAGGTATTAATCTATCTGCTACTAACTGCCATGGATTCCTCTTTGTGGCAGGCGTAGGCAAGAGGGTAATATATGCCGCTCTGTTGTCTTACTTTGGGAGTTGTTCCTGTTAGTGTTACCTGATCTGTATTCACATGTTTGGAATAGCATTACCGCATTTCATCTTTTATTATGGCTCTATATATATCCTCCATAGCAATGTTAAGATGCTATAAATTAAAATAAAATAGCATTCCGAGTCAATACTCCATGTGACTATAGCACGCTGTACTTTTCACCAAGGTAGCTTGCTGGTCGCTAAAGAAGGAGAGCCGCTTTAAGATTGTATAATGAAGAAAAAAAGGTTAAACTTTCACTTAATTAAATCGGTCGTTACTCTAATTATTCTGGCATCTCCGTTCGTGATGACTTTGAGTGACATGCAAAGGATGCGGTGGCAATTATAGGGTACAGCATGCTGTCGTCTAACTCCGCGCTGTCTTAAGTGCTCATCCTGTACTGTTTTTAAGCGTTAATTATTATTATTATTATTGATATTGTTTCAGTATTTTACTCATATACCAATAAATAAATACCGAAAACTTAACAATTAATATCCCAGTCCCAAGTGAGCCGCTTGAGAGCTGGAAACGTCCTTGGTCGTTGTTATAGTGCTTTGGCAGTAGCCTAGCGCTAACTGAATGCCACTCGGAACAGGAGTGACAAGATAATGCTGTGGAATCTGGCCATGTATCAACTCAAGCCATCTGGTTGCCAAGAATCTTTTGCTCTCAGTGGAAAAAAAAACGGCTAATCGGCTGTTTAAAGAGGATAAAGAGGTCACGTCGTGGGCCGTTTCACGCTCGCGCGGCGTCACGCCTCATACCTCAAAACTTGTGAAACGCGTGGCGGCCCAACACGCCTTAAGCACACAAACTCTGGCAGTCTACAACAATCTCCCGCATTCTGTATGCTGTCAAGTAAAGGCGTGTTGCGTTGTCGCTAATTCCATGGCAGCTCAATACATACTCAGAGGCTATACGTCAATGCGAATATTATCGCATATAGCTTCCATGCGCAATATTGCCGATGATCTCTCCCCGTCCGATCTTTAGCGCCAGCGACCATCCGTTTAATTTCGTTTTTGATGTGAGACAACCCGTTAGCTTGGGCAGCTGTGGACCCAACCGATCGGAAACGAGATGACGACGATCGTCGCTGTCAACTACATGGCAGATTGTTGAATATCGTTATAATGTCTCAAGCGCATGTAGATTCATAATGCGGCCTTTTTGATATACCTAGAGTCTATTATTGTAGCGCATAGACATAATTGAGCTCAAAGTGCGACTTTGATCTGGGGAATGCCCGCCGCTGAGCGCTTGGCCGGCGATGCAATGTTACCTCCAGCGTCTGACCAAGGTACCTCAATAGGCAAATGTGACCTTTCAATTAAAGCTGCTGTTGCTTATCTGGCACTTTTTTGCGGTACTTAAATTGCTTCTTTAGGGCCGGAGACATTCACTAGGCTCGTCCAAAGGCCGATTAGGTAAAGTGTAAAGCAGTGCTTACTTCAATAAACCGCCGTTATTGGCCATAAGCATCTCGGCGGGTTCCATTTTGATTCTCACAAAAGCACTAGTGGCAGCTCGGGAAGAAGACTCGTTTCTCTCAACAACGAAAGAATTTGCGCGTGGCTGGGATGCAACGTTTGTGCGATCAAGGATCTGATTTGGCAGAAGCAAATCCAACGATTACTGCGCCTTGCGTCTTTTTCTCGAGCAACACAGACAAAAACACCTGCAAAAGGCCAAAGAACCGAGGCTTCCTTTGTCTGTGGAGTATCAGTGCTGCAGCCACACGCCGCAAAGTGTGCCGCACTACGTGGCAGAGCCTGGCTAGACGACTGCTAACGAGGCTCGCTATCAAGGAAAATCCCTCGCGCCGCTCGGTTGTCCATCGAAGTTGGAACGAAATGGCCGGGGCGACCATTCCCCCATAAGTCTTTAACCAAAATGAAGGCAATTCGTTTCGTTTCATGCCCAGCGGCTATTATGCAGATAGGCATTGGAGGCATGACGTGAGGTGGCTGTTTAAGTCTCATTCCTCACGGCGGTAAGCTTCGTAGCCAGTCAAACACCTTTTCAAGCTCTACAGTGTGTGTCGTCTAGCGCCGTGGTTGAAAGGCCTCGGAGTATGCGGCCCGTAGTTTTGCTAGTCAGAGCGTGCAGCTTTGCTGGTTCCTGGATGGACCGAGCCAATCAAGGACAAGCTAGTCCACACCAGTTCCTGGTGCCTGGCATGTTTCTGAGACGATGGCGCCCACACCTCCGCACCCATTGTTCCCTTTTAGCCATTCTTCCTGCAGCGCTAGAGACTTCCACCGAGCCTGGTTATCCACATTGGGACCCTTTGATGCATGCAAGCAGCACCAAAAGGTCTGGAACACAACCGTGGAGCCCCCGGTTGGGTTTATGTCCGGCGGACTACGATTGTGGCCGGTGCAGCCGTGTTTATTGGCGACTAGCAGACGGTAGACCAGAATTTTGTGGCCTAGAATCATGTCAGAATGTCAGAAAGCAAATGAAAGCTCCAATGCTGGGAGACAGCGCACCTGAAGGAGGGTTGAACAAAGAGGACAGCTTTCAAAGAGATGCATTGCATTACAGCAGCAAACAAGTCGAGCTTGGGTTACCAAAAAAAAAAGTAAACCAGCCTGCCAGGTGCCCGCCAGCTGCCACGCGAAATACCCGCCCGCCAGGTGGTCGCACCTGCACACAGTGCCAGTCTTGGCCATGTCCCCTCTTACGTAGTCGGAGTCTGGACCGTTGGATCTCTTCACCCGCTCACCTTTCCTCGGCCACTATCTTTTTTTTCCCTTGTGCATGTCAGTGCTTATTCTGCTCACCTCCGCTTTCTTTGCATTGTGTGGTGGGCGTTCCCCTCCTTTCCATCTGTTGTTATATATCCGCCGTGTTCCCAGCCCTTCCTTTGATCCCACCCAGTATTCGGAGCACCGCTCAACCGCCTTCCTTTTTGCACTCAAGCGTCTTTGAAAGACTGCCTATTGTCGTTTCTATTACCGGCAGTGCCGTGTTAACTCAGACCCAACGTCAACTAGCACCAACCTCGCTATTCTGGAAACAGTCTCATCAGGCCATTCCCCAACAGCAAACCACTGTCCTTGAAAAGCCAACCACCACGGTCCTTTTTGAAACATTATACATCAACCATCTCACTTTGCCTGCCTTTTGCTACTCTTGATATCTTCATCATGTTTGCTAAAGCTATTGCCATTCCTGCCATCCTGGCTCTTGCCCAGCAAGTCCAGGCTGATGTTTGGACTACTGTCTATGAGACTCACTATGTCACTATGGGAGTCAACCCCCCCGCTGCCACTGCTGCCCCGGTCGTTGTCGTTCCTCCTCCCCAGACGACTCTCGTTACCCTGGTCCGCCCTGCTCCCCAGGAGAATGCTGAGGAGGCCGGTGATTCTGATGAGGCTGCCGATGCCGCCCCGACTCAGAACGCCAACCTTGCTGCTGATGCTGCCACTTTTGCCAAGCGCGGTATCGCTTACAATGACGTTACCCTAGCCAACACCATGGCCAAGGACTGCCCTAACTGCGGCTGGACCTACAACTGGGATTCCGCTTCCGCAGGTGTTGCTAAGCGTCTCAACTACATCCCCATGCTCTGGAGTGATCGCTCTGACCACGTCCAAAACTGGAATGCCAACGCCAACGCTGCTATCAAGGCTGGTAGCACGGCACTCTTCAGTTTCAACGAGCCCGACAACAAGGGACAAGCCGCCATGTCTCCCGACTACGCCGCCAAGAAGCACATCCAATACATGAACCCTTTCAAGGGCAAGGCCCTGATCGGTGCTCCTGCTGTCACCAACAGTGGCAACCCTGGTGAAGGCATTGAGTGGCTCAAGAGCTTCTTGTCTTCTTGCAAGACTGAGGGTGGCTGCACCGTTGACTTCTGCAACGTGCACTGGTACTCTGGCGCTCAGTACTCCGAAACCCTGTTCACTCACCTTGATGCCGCCCACAAGGCCTGTGCCAACAAGCCCATCTGGCTGACTGAGTTTGCTCCCACTGGCGCTAGCGACGCGGATACCGTCACCTTCCTCAACAACGTTCTTCCTCGTCTTGAGAAGCTTACCTACCTTCATGCTTATGCCTACTTCATGACCAAGAAGGGCAGCTTGATGGACAACCAGGGTGGCCTCAGCACCTACGGCAAGACTTACGCCGCTCACGCCAAGGGCGCCTAAATGATCTCCCCAAGGTCCCTCAACACTAAATTTTCAACTTTCAATTCTTGTACATTCGCTAGGGAAAAAATACCCGGATACCTTTAAGACTCTCGTTCATTCTCCAGAGGAGACTTTTATGATTCAATGATATGACGCAAATATCAGTGGCCTAGCTCTTGGCTAGCTAGCGCTCCAGAAATGTTCATTTTACATTCGCTGTATATATTCCGGCCTCGTACCGTCCATGGATGGTTTTACATATTAAAGAGGCCTTCATTAGACTAGATTTAGATTCTTGATGGCATTCGTTTCCGAGAATCAAATGCAAGTTGTGTTACAAAAATTCTTAATTATTCTCCCAATAAGCATGTGTATGACAAAAGAAGGAAACCCAAGCCACTTCCAGCCCTCTTTACCTCTCAAAAGCGCCCAGTAGTATCCAGTGTCATAACAAATGTTATTCATTTCATTACAATGCACCTGCCAGATACTGTAGTGTTGGCTTGCTCTTACTGGTTTGTCCTACCAGCTAAATCGTTATCAACATCACTCAGTGAAGCTGAATCGTGAGTCGTCGTGGCCTCTGCTGAGACAACGGGAGAGTCAACGAGCTTCGGGTAATCAGACGAAAAACAGTCATTGTTAATTCTAGTGGCGACACCAGAACCTGTAACACTTGCAGACTGTCTAGTCTCTTCCGGGAAGAGTTCAAGAGGGCGAAACCGGCTTCTGTAGCGTATTGAATCCTCATCCCGAGTGGCGTTGTTTTCGTCAGATGACGTGGTGGTTGAGGTAGCCACATTGTCTTTGGAGGTCACCCATTGTATTACGACTGATGAAAATAAGACTAGAACTTTGTTAACATATATATCAGCAAAGGACCAGAACTTACTGTCACAATTGCAACACATTAGACAAACCCAACCAGGCTCACCATTCAAGACCATGAGCACAGTCAAATTGCTACTAATGTCAGTGGATTTGAAGTGCTGAAGAAGCTAAAGTCTCTTTTACATGATGCTGCTCACCAAGGTCGAAAGAGCCCCAATAAAGGTTCTGAACGCTATTGTGTGCAAGCGTAGCGAAGACGCAGTCCGAGGCATAGACCGATACGAGTACATATCGAGGGGATAATTAGCAAGATTGACAAAGGAACAAAGTAGTACTTACTCTTGAGCGGTATCAAGAACAGAATGGTCAAATATACATTGACGACTGCATCAAAAGAGATAAGTGGAATCATCGCCAGCTTCTCCATGCCAATGATGCATTGGCCTTCTTCTATCTTCGTAATGCGGCTGTGCTCATGTTAGGGTATGGCAGATGCGCAAAGGAAGTCCCGTACAATATAAAATTTAGCACTACAACAACTCCGTACAGGCCAAGCATGCCAAACGAATTTGTAATGTACAGTTTTGACGTCAGTCGAGACTTGGTCGTGCTCCGGATGATGTGCTTCCATCAGTCAGTCAGCTCTCATATGGAGGAAGTTTCCGCCAGAACTTACTGCCTTTTCAACCAAGAAGAGATATATTAACTTTTCTTCGTCAGTAATTATTCTGGAACAAAGTTGGACATTTCCTACTATCTAGGAAAATTGTCAGTCTTTGCTCAGAGTGTCAGGGGTCTTGTTACGCACCTTGGTTGTCACATAGCATACGAGACAAAGAATTATTGCACTTCTACAGGCAAAGTAGCTAGAATTAACACCTAGCGCATGTTGGAGAAGGGCACTAGAGCAAACGAATACATAGGAATCGATGTATATTGCGAATACCACTGCACCTAGCATGTTAGCTTTTCACAAGATAGACATCTGTATAGTAATTTTTTCATACACCCCACAACAAGCGGTAATCGTCTCCAGGTTTTTATCGCGAGGATTCTCTGAGCTAAAAAATTGTTAATTATCTAGGGTTGTACACTTTGAGGGCGACCAACTTAGGAATGTTGACAGAAGCGTGACAGCAGCCAGAGTAAGAAGAAGACTAAGGATTCGTCCGGTAACAGGGACTTCTTGTACAAGGCGCCGTGTGACCGGCCCCTTCATGTTACTGTGAGATAAACCGGGATACTTTCGGATCGTCGATATGCTTGAAGAGGAACAACCCGGCGGTTTCGATAGGTGGGAACGGCGGTGCTGCGTGAGATGGCTAGAGCGATTTCATGTTAACCAGATTGACGTTTAGGTTTCGCGAACGGAATTGGGCAGGTAGTTTATTTACGTTTCGCCTACAGTGGCCAGAGAGTCTTTAAATGGAGATACCACACCAAGTCAATCGCGACTCAAGGAAGCTCCTTCCTGGGTCAAGAAACGTTACTTCACCGAAGCTTCTGTGCAACATGTCACACAGCCTCGAATTGGATTGGGATATGAAGAAAAATGTGATAGACAGAGCCTTGTATAACATCGGGGAACGGAGTTATCCGCATAGCAGAGCGCAGTTGCAGATGAGCTGGTTGCACCAGGCGCCCAGTGTATGGGTATTATCGTCGGTTAAGACAAAATGGTGAGAGTATCATACTCTAGTGAATAGTAGAAGAACTTTTATGCCATGTACATATTGCTATATAATTATAAACGTGTTTTTATCGCGGAATAGAACCACCCATTAATAAATTACGCCTATTGCGATGGAATGTTATAGCCTAAGAAGCCTGAGTCCGAGTGAGAATATGAAACCGCTCTTTTAGTTTCGCTGAAAGCTTTGCACGACGAGACTCTGCGTCAGCTTCAGAAGCTTCAACGGCAGTGGTTGATGCGAGAGTAGCCTGGCGTGCTTCTCGGGATGCCTGCAGCGTGTCCTGGCCATTATGGGCATTTGCACCAAATATTCGAGGAAATAGGCGCTCTCTTTGACTAAATAGCGAAGGTCCGAGTGTGGATTCATCTAGTGCCAATGGTGGAGGCAAAGATGCTGGGTGTAATCCATCGTTGCCAGTAGGTTCTGAAGGTTGCATATCTAATCGACTACAAACAAATGTTAGCAGCTGCGCAAGCGCTGAACGGAGGTATACTAACCAAAGTGGACAAGTACCAGATACGTTGATTAACCAAGGGTCAATACAATCGGGATGGAACTGATGTTGGCACGGAAGCACCCGCACGTCATCGCCAAAGTTGAAATCCTCAGTGCAGATAGAACATCCAAGGCTGTCAGGATCCGTTTCCCTATTTCCCGTTACACTCGAGGTCCCAGCTTGGTTTTCTGAACTGTCAGGAGCTGTGGTTTCCGCCCTAGACATCGATGTGGTACCATTGTCCGGACCTTTGTCGGCTGCAGGAGCCTCTATCGCTGTGGGTAGCACATCAGATGCAGATTGAGCGGTAGTAGTTGCAACATTTGCTTGTTCTAACTGAATCTCGGGATCTGGCTTTGGTTGTTGGTTATTGCTGAATTTGACAATCGGAATAGTATCAAGAACAGCTCTGGCTAGTCCCTTTGCGCGGCTTTGCGCTGGTTGGTTGCCGAGCCCGCTGCGTGGCCCGTATCGTTCCGGATTTCTATGAGCGCGTATAGTGCCAGTAACGATTATGGTTATGAAAAGGGCTGTAATAATAGCGGTGATGGCGTATAAGATGCTCATTGCCACCGACGACGTACCGCCGCCACTGCCGGAACTGTTAGGGTTGATAGTTGCGCGGATCTGCGATTGTGGTTCTGCGGTTTGCATCATTTTTAATAGTATGTTGGCATCATTGGCGCTTGAAACTGTGAATATAAGATTTGGTGTGATATCTTTTAGTTTGCCGAAGGAGCACCAATTTTGTGTTGGAGATATCAAAATGATTGCAAGGAGCGACTTCGTAACCAACGTTGTCAAAATGTTTGACGGAGTCAAATATCCTTCGGTGATTGGATCGCATGATAGAACAGCTATTGACTTCTCTGGATTTTCAATTTGGGGATAGTTCAAGGTCGTGACATTGACAAGAGTGCTTTGAGGCCGCTAGAATATTGGACCAGTTAGCTCTCGATCCTTGGTTACTTCCCGGATGCAGTCATGTTACCTTTCCTGGAGCCTCTTTGAAGTCGCTATCAGCAGGACATAGATTGATTGTCGCATTAGAAACAGTCGTAGAGATGAGCATCTCAACACGGTAGCTGCCAGCCCATGTGGGAGGACTTGATTGGGGATCGGTTGTTACTGTATCTTGACTGTATGAAACGGCTGCTACCAAGGTAGCGAACAACCATATTGGCGAGAATATAATATTCAACATGACCATGGTTGTAGATTGGGTCAGTTGTAGGTTCGGCGCTGAATGTGTTCGGGAAATGCCGAAGACCGTTGGCGGCGTTGACGAAGCGTCGCCTGGTAGCACGCCCAGCCTCGTCAGATGGAGAGTAGGGGAAGAACTTGGAGCTTGCTCTGAGCTTCTTCACCTGTTACACACAGCTCCGTAACGGCTAGAGCACAAGATGACGGTAGCAGGACATGATGTCAAGTACGGAAAAACAAAATGCAAAAGTGACCATGTCGGAGCTCGGCGCGGCCAAGGCCGTCACGGGATCCACTACAGTACAGTAGGGGGCGGCGGCGTTGGCAAAGCAAGGGGGCACATGGTGGCACCCTAACCGCGCTAAAGTTTCGGCAGCGTTAGCGGACAATGTCAGTATCTCCAACGGCAATCCACGGCAGCCGCGGTGCTTCAAGATGTGTGTCGTCAACTATTTGCGGCATAAATTAAGTCCAGTAGCTGTATCTCCTATTCGCTTTGGAAATCTTGGAATACACAGCAGAAATAAGCCGATAGCCCAGATTCAAATTGAAAAGAGACTTTCTTTGTCACAGCGCAAGACAGTTCTGCATTATACGAAACAGGCGGCCAAAGATTTGTTCGAAATTTCATCATCCCATATATAATATTTTGGTATCATTGTATGTGTAAAACCTAGGATATAACTTTTGAATCGTCAGGCAAGTGTCAAAATAAACCACTACTTTTAAATCTCTTCCATGTCCTCGAGGTTGTCCATTACAGGGTAATCACCTGCCTCTACTCGCTCGGGACGTACAAAGACGCCATGTTTCATAGTTGACTCTTCACCCCAGTATCTTGTACCAGCAATGGCACCGTCATTCTTTCCAACGGGCTCATCCAGGTGAACGCCGACCCAGTGTCCAGCGCCGTTGGGGATTTCGTTGACAGCGCCGACATACTTGATGATGCCACGGCGGCTGTCGTCGCCACCAACACGGCATCTTTTGCCGACTTCGATTCCACGTTGACGGACTTCGTCTTCAATAGCAGATAAGCGCGCCTTTTCCTGCTCGGGAGCGTTGGGATCAAATCGTCCAAGCTTCTGTGCCTTCTTCCATGCTAGGACGGAGTCTGTCTTTCTCTCGTACTCCTCATCAGGCATTACATACTTATCCACAGCCGACGTATCCGTGTAATTGGGACGCGCTCCAGCAGGTCGGCTATCTTCTACCTAGAAAAGTTTGCCTGTCAGTGTTCATCCTAGTGCCGCCACAATCCAGGTAACTGGGTTTGAGCCACATCCAGCCTGCGATTTCACGGCGGCAGATACGGCCCGGGGGGTACTTACATGGATTTCGCCATACACAGCGAGGGGGAAGCTAGAGAGAAAAGTATTGTCCTCATCATCAGCTTGCAACGGGACTGCGGCAGCCCCGCTAGATGCTTTGATACTCAGACGTTGGCATGCATAGGGAATACCAGTAATGGGCTCGAGGCGCGTCTTGAGGGTGCCAATGGTCCAGGCCGGATTGATTCGTCGCTCGGAGACAGAGTTCTCCGAGACGACTTGCATTGGAACATCAGCCATGATTGTTGTGAAGAGCCCCTGCTCGACGGAAGTCGCTAAGACTGAGAGAGACGGGCGCTGGCAGGTTCCGGGGTTGCGAATGGCTTGGCGGATATGATGCACAGGCAGGCGTGCAAGGATTAGACCTTTGAAGAACGGTGGGCTGTTCCAAAAGTGTGATGGATGGATGGCGGGAGCGGGAGCGGAAGGCTGGTCGGCGAGCAGCAGCACAGCTAATGTCGTGGAGGCGAGCAAACTTGGGCGGGAGCAAACAAATTGGGGCGAGTCGAGAGCGTGGACAAGGAACAGCCCCTCCAGATGTTTCAGCACAGTGGTTCCAGCAATTTGGGTTCGGGTTGGAGACGGTGTGAGGGTCAAGAGCTTTGCTTTCCGCCGGGTGGAAGTGAAGAGAGGTTGTCGCCGCACAAGTGGGAACCCCGCGTCGCCCGTTCCCCCCCCAATTTGCAGGCACCTTCCTCAATACAGAACAGTCTGCACCAGGCGGGTCCCGATTTGATTACCAGACGTCAACCTTTCATCACCAACGCCATCACCCCTGCCCTGGTTTGGGGCTCTCTTTTATCTTCCGCGCTAAAAAAGCAAACGAACTTAAGCTACCCATCACCGTGGGACAACCCAATGGCAAATTAGCAGCGCCACCGCCTGCCCGTCCTGAGAACGCAGGTGATCGATCCGCCGCGACGGGGATAGACGATACTTGCTAGCTAGCCTTGCCCTTGTTTGCCGGCCATATCCTTGTTCATGACAACACCATCCTTGCTTAGCTCTGTTTTATCACTCGATCACAAAAGCGAAAAGGGTCGAGCGCCCGCAAACCACAGCCCCAAATGACGGGTCTGCAACCGAACCACTGGGTGTGTGCCCACGCTGGTCAGCATTCTTCGTCGCATGGAGCATCTACAAACAAACAAACAAACTATTTTTTTTTTGGCGAGTGAACGGTGCCCACAGTGAAGATGAACGCCCGTGCGCAACTGGATTCCGTCTTCGTTTGCAACTGGGCAACTTTCATGCAGGTGACAGCGCAGTAGGGCTGCGTTGGGCCGAGCGGCAAATCCATGCAGTATTCTCGCCCTTGCTCGGGAGTTGCTCCTCGCGGTAGAAGCCGTGAGCTCATTTCTTTCCAAGAGCATTGAAAGCCTCTATGCGATTGACGAATGAGTAGCAAATTAACAAACATGCTGAAACACCCAAGGAACTTAGCTATCGAAAGTCTGCAGCGTTGATACACGCTACATAACTTTTTGTGCCTAGCTGACAAGTGCGATCTCCGATAGCAGACGCAGCCAGTCGCATCAAAGAGCACTTGCATGCTTCCGATGCAGCCTGCATGGTCGGCAGAGCACACCCGGCCCGGGCGCTTTGTGCAGCAAGCGTCCTCCCTTAGGTGGCTTTCGAATAACATTTTCTCTTAGAGCGTACTGTAAGCATAAAAAAGAGATGACGGGATAATTTAACCTATAGCAAACACGACAATGCGGGTACTGGTGCTCTCCAACGGGCCGCAAGAAACAGCCACCACCTTCTGAATCCCACATCGTTCAGCCGGAGCAACTACGTTGGGCATCAACGTATTCAAGACACGGCGGCACTGGCGCCTTCCGGTTGAGCCTTGTTGTCTCGATGGAGTCTGGAGTCTAAGCCAAGTTGCTCACGCACTTGGCTCAAAATAGCACGGTAACTGGTCTCCCAAAGCGGTATTATCTAGCCCCTCATCCTTTAAACCCAGTTTGTGAGCATATCAACGCTTGAACTGCCTCGTACGTGTACATGTCTTCGTGCGTGGGGGGTGGTATTTCTCCATACGAATCCTCCGTATGGGTAGGAGCAGACCGCTACATTGATACATTAATATATCGAAGCTGACCCTCAGGCAGCGGCAGAGCCTACCAAGGTGGGTTGCCGCCTCACGATTCATGAATACATGACATCCAACGGAATAGGCAGAGATTGGCGGTAGGGACGGTACTGAAGCTACATGGAGCTGACGAGATCTGTGGTTCCTGTACTAGGTTGCAGTGGGTGATGTGTTCAAACCAACCTCTGCTACCACCTCCTCTGGGTGTACATTGTCACAGTGGAGGTACCTCCAACGCGTCCAACAAGTAGGTTGGGCGTGTTGGTGTTCTTGCTTACCATCGATTGACCGCCAGTCCAACGACTTGTTGTTTTTAGAACAACGCGCCAGTAATGGCTGCACAGGTTGTTTTGATTTGCACATGGGACCTAACTCTAGTCTACAGTAGGCCCAGCAAAATATTTATACCAATATCGATGGTAATTATAGCACGAAACAAGGACTCTATGGTAGTGACAGCTACCATTGCACTGCTCGGTGAACTGTCCCTTAGCCCGATGGCGTGCATAGCACCGCTTGCCGATAGAGTGTCCGTCCAACCAACAGCCGCTATTTTAAGCGTCGTTGTCATGCGAGTCTTTTGGCGCTAGCGGTCAACAGCAAGAGCTAGTGCTATGAATGCAGCTACAATACATTAGCGTCAGAACAATTAACGCCGCTGGATGGTGATTGAGAGCCATTTCCGTCATACTGGCGGCGGGCCGGCAGATTTTGGCGAGTAGCCGTGTGCACAAGGGCTCACAATTGTGGCGAGGCGCTGAGACATGGTGCTGATTGTTTCCCTTTTACAGAACGAGCTAAGCAAGCTGTGTTCCAGGTGCCGCCCGCGCTGTGATCGCGTGCATATGCGCAATTGTTGGGTCTTGACGAACAGGCCGCTGTGGCTGCATTGGCGTCGCGACCCACACGCCATTTGACAGCCAGATACACCTTGTTTGGATGCACTGTAGTGTCGGTCAGGGCCACACGTTGGGCGCCATCATTGGACGCAGGCTGCGAGATTTGCGAGCAGGGCAGACTTCGATGTCGTGGCACATCCTTGACCTGATGAGGGGGGGAGGGAGGTAGGCCAAAATATCAGCTTCCCCAAACCAGGCTCTGCTCTCTGTGTTTTCCTTTGCTGGCAGGCGGTTGGCGGCAGAGACGGACGCGCTCGCCTGGATATAGACTTGTCTCAAAATGGAAAACGGCTAATCCTAAAGGATAAGCAGTCTGCCTGTCACGCTTGCTAGGCCGCTGTCTGAGAGCAGATTATGGTGGCTTCGTCGCGCACTCCACCCCTGACTAAAGACGATCCCCTGCTGAGGGTGGATGCGACGGTGTCTGGCGCAGCATCCGTGTGGCGTCTTGTGTTGGTTCGCGGAGAGAACTGTTTGTTTGCCTTTTCAGACCGAGTTTAACAGTGGAGGAAAGCTGATGTCGGGTCTGAGACACGGCGCTCCAAATTGGTTCACGGGGGTACTGCCAGGATTCTTCCGAGAGGCACTGGGCTGTCTTAAATGTGCGAGACGAAAGCGTGCTCTCCTTCTATCCATACTATGCCCGCCCGCATACCTGTCTGGATGTATTGATCTGCGATGGTCCAGATGTTGCCACTTTGTTGGTCGCTGAGACGAGGCGCTTCTCACACACGCACACACACTTCTCTTTCTCGTGGATAATCAGCTCCTTTTTCTGCACCCAATGGGCAATTTTCCTCTCTCTCTCTCTCAGATAGGTGCCGTATGCCAATGCCCTGCACTTTGCATGAATTGCGTGGCGTGGCTTTCTAGTTGAGCACCAATCTCAGCCCGCAACCCCAAATGCAACTAGGTACCGGTGTGTGAGATGAGACCGCTGTCTGGGAGACGCTGCCACCAAATATTGAATGGCCTTCTGACACCCAAGGAAATGAAGCTGAGAGGATTCCGTAATGACAATGGTATTTTCTCACATTTTATAATGTCTTCAGTTGTAAAAGAGGTCCTGTGGCGGACGGTATGCTGTTCTCGTTGGGCAAAATGCTGAGGCTCTTGAAACGGCAAGGATGACGGCAAAAACTGGAGAACAAATCTTTTGGGTTTCGGGCCAACGTTCCTGGCAGCTTGAACAAGGGCCAAGCTGAAATGCAGCTCGTCGTCCGTTGCCTGACAATAGAAAAAGAAAGAAACAGACGCGGAGTGTTTTACAAACGGATAGTTGATTACCTATTCGCTCCCTTTGCGTGGTGCGGATATGCATTTTGCATTATGATTTGCTGTTTGGTTGCCATATTCGCCCAACCCGAGTGCCTACGGACAAGGCAAAGGGGAGTGCCAAATGCCTGGCACACCAACCTGTGCATATACCCGGAATATGCCCTGAGCTTATTGGGGTTCTATATTTGTATACTATGCCGATAAGGCGGCAACAGGTGTTTGAGCCTGCGCTTTAACTTTGGATATCTACCTCGTGGAGGGACACCGTAACGTCGGCCGCTATATGGGAGCATAGGAGAAACACATTACATGTTCGGTGATGCTATTGCAGCATCGTGTCATGCTCAGCGTCGGGTGAAGGCAACTGTCATGCTTGAGGAAGGGATGGGCGCCGGGCTGTCAGCACCGGATGGTAAGAGAGCCAATAGAGGCAGCTTGCCAGCCGTTGAGCTGCATTGCCATTGCTAAATGCAATTGTCGACAGCTGTGCCGGGCTTAGTGCAGCGCAGGTATCTTGTGTCTTGGATTTATGTGACCCCAGCACCTCATACAGGCTGGCCAATGCATTTTTTCGCCCACCCTAGCTCAAGCGGAGCAGCCGCGCCAAAGGCTACTTCTGATCGATTTAGAGCCAGCACTAAACCGACGGGGTAGCTGCCAGAGAAGGCAAACGGAACAATGCTGCATTGGTCCACCAGGGCGGGCGTGTCAAAAGGGAATGGCGACGTGGTGCGGCCCCCTTTTTGCGCTTGCGCAACGATGTGTCAGTCTCGTCATTTCGCGGACAGGGCTGTCGTCGCGGAAGCCTACAGCGGGCGAATTTTAACTTTTTCTGGTTTACTTTCCCACTGGCAAGCGGCCCAGCAAAGGAGAACTGGCTGAGGGGCGGGGGAAGGGGGCAGCAGGCCTGAAATCTGTGGGCACCCAGGGTTCTGTTTGCTTTGGTGGTGTTGGCTCTGCCTCTTTTACTGGGCGTGCCGCTACACACACCGACTTGGGGCCTGTCTACACACCCCTCCATCATCGAATCGCGCCGGGGGAGAGACAAGCAGACACGCCCAACCAGCCCCAAGACACCCAAACGCCGCGGCGCCGCTGCAGGTTCTGGCCAGTTAGCTTTTGCACCTCTGGCTCCTTCGCCCGCCGTCGTTGTCCCCCGTCATACTGTGGTCCCGCTTGGGTGTGCCGTTGAAGCCATTACGGCTCTGCTTGGGCTGCTGGAACGCCAGAGATGCATTGACGTACCCTTTGTGCCGTGATAATGGCCAGGGGAGAGGTGCTCTGTCTGGCCTGACTGTCCTCTTTGCCATAGTAGGGGGGAAATGGCAAAGGCAGGCAGACAGACAGACAGACAGACAGACGAGGCGTTGAAATGGGATGTGTGCACTCTACACTTACAAGACATCAAGCACCCTGGTCTCGCCGCCTCCCACCATGTCTGCGTGCGTGGTGTTGTGCCCCAAACGAGCCACTCTTTGACCAGATTGTTTCTCTTTTTAATTATTTCTTTTTTCTGCCCCCTCGTCGTCTCGTCGTCCCCGTCCGGCATCTGCATCCATTTGTTCCGACTGACAGCTAGATTTCCGGATCGTGGGTCCTGTGATATTGCCACGTCCCTCATTGCTTCCTTGATCTGCCTTGTTCATCACACCCCTCCCCTTTTTCAGTGCTGCTCTGCTAAGCTACTATAATACCTGGCGTTTCCTTTTCTGACACTTGCTTGCCTCGCTTTCTCTCATAACAGCCGCCCTGGGAATCCACTTGCTTGGTATCGTCGTTTTACCTAGCCTCACCTCCAGCCCGGTCTTGTGCTCGACACACGGTTCTTGTTACAGCGACGCATCGCTGCCGTCAACCACTCTGGCCTTCAATCTCCTGCCCAGTGGTGGGATGAAACCTTGCGTGGCACCGACTATGCTACCTTAAGAGTTTATTATACACATTAAACTAAACAACTGCGGACCTCTCGATCGTTGCTGGCTTTCTCAAATCATCTATTAATGCCCCTTCCCATTACTCATTCTCTATCGCCTTTGCAACTCCACAACTGAACAATCTTTCGATCCGTTCAAGGCCCAAAATCTACCTGGCATCGCGCATACCGCTCTTTTGACACTTGTCTCCCGCTAAAACTTTGTTCACTTTGCGACCCCCTGCAACACAAGTACACAGCCTACAACACCCTCTTGAACGATCTAGCATTCTTCTCTGGAACTGTCAGATCAGACAATCTAGAGACATCTTGCATCCTTGATTCCCTTTTACTTTGTCAATAAACCCCCACAGTCGCAACCGTGGCTCAAATAACTACTCAAACGGCGGTCTGCATCCCGCAACGTGAGCAGCATACTCTCTTTTCCTCTACCAACCGCAACAGTCCCTTCGCCAGAGACGCTAGAATCACACAAGACCGCCGGAACGGCGAGCGACCTCGACCGACGCTCAAGGTGGAGATATCATCACTAATAAAGGGTGTTGGCTCCTCCAATGAGTCCCGCCTGCTACCTCATCATCAACACCAGTCATCTTCGGTTGTTTCGCAGCCGCAGCCGCCGCTGGCGTCAAGCCTTGGCTCGCAGCCGTCACATGTTCTCCTCTCAGGCTCAAGCAGAACGTCAGAAATTTCAGACAATATGCAACCCCAATTGTCTGCTAAGCCGGCCAAGAAGCAGAGCAAATGGTCTCCCGAAGAAGACGCGAGGATCATCCGCTTACGAGGCGAGGGTATGAAGTGGGATGAGATTTCAAACCATCTACCTGGACGGAGTTCTATTAGCTGCCGCCTTCATTACCAAAACTACCTCGAGAAGAAGAGTGTATGGGATGAGGACAAGAAGAACAAGCTCGCTCTTGTATATGAACGGTACGAATCAAGACTACTTCAACTTACAAACAATGGCACTGACTTTACCTTTACAGAATGAAGGCACAGATGTGGAGCAAGGTAGCAGAGGAACTTGGCGTTCCCTGGAGAGCGGCAGAAGCTATGCATTGGCAGATGGGCGAAATGGAAATGACCAGACGAGCCGGCTCAAGCCCGTTTGTGCTGGCGCCTCAAAAGACTGATCCAGCACAACGCAACGCAACTGTCCGCCGCCCAGGATCTCAGCCACTTGTACAAGAATCTAGCAGCCGCGAATACCTTCCATACGGAACACGCCCGCCATACACAGGCTACAGCAATAGCAGCGACACGCAAATCGCCATGCCTGTACCGTATACGGTCTCACAGCCAACCAGAGAACCATCTGCCTATTCCTCCAACAACACACCGATTATGCGGCCATCATCCACCGCTCCTGCTCCTCCCCCTGCCCCTTCTGCACCAGCTCCGCCTATTGAAAGCTGCTCGCCCCCAACTTTGCCTCCACTCCATGTCGACGTCCATTACAAGGCAGCCCCCAGCTTGGCGCCGATTCACGGCCAGCCATCGCCACGCCCTCGAGGATCCCTACCTGGAATTGCCGAATTGACTACTGGATTGGATCTTTATGAGAGCCAGCCGCGAGATTCCACGCGGACCTCTCTAGGATCTGAGCCGCGGTGGGATGGCGGCCTAGCAAGCACTGCATCTGGAGAACGCGACTTTCACAGTCTGAAGCGCAGAGCAAGTCAGCCTCTTAGTCATGAGGACATGAGCTTCCGCAAACAACGACGCTGAGCATATCGCTTCGCTCTGAACATATAAAAAAGAGAAATTAATCATTAGCATCGCATAAGGACGATACGGCGTTCGGGAGAGAGACAGCAGACCATCACTTTCATACATTTCGCACATACATGGTGTTCATTTTTAACGGCCGAGATTCGAGAGTCATTGTCATTGTCATTATTGTTTATTTGTTTTTCATTCTCTACGAGCATTGCTTGTATATCATTGCTTGTTCAGTACAAATATTGAAGGCGCACGAAACCAAGAAGCGCTCGCAGGCGACAGATTGCCTGTTTTGGATTCGGACGAAGTTTTGTTTTGGTGCTTATAATCGGCGACTCATGCCTTTGGTCATTTAATTAGGCCGACAGAATTCCTAGAGCAGCTCACAGGCTTTTGGAAAGACATGGCCTCCTCTTGTTTGGTAATCAACGGCCGGCTCCCTTTCAGCATTTTCATTTTTTCCTTCACATTCAGATAGAGCATCGCTAGCATCGACATAGATTAGGATACCCTCGACAGGACTGTCGATTAATGTCATTATAATAATTAGTAGCATTCTATGCCCTTTAATTTTGCTTTTTGTGTCTAAACAGTCTCATGTCTTCCTCGTGCATATTACCCACCAGTTATCTCGTTCATAACCACTCTCCAGGACGACGCCACCAGCCGCGGCGACATCATCCTCAAGCTCGCCCTCCTTATACAAGTGATAATAGCGCTGAAAGGTCTCATCAGGCTTTCCCTTTGATCGCATGACCCACGGCACAAGCGTATCTTGGGCGGAGGCCTCGTCCCAACCTCGGCGACTGCTAGCCTGTTCCAGAGCCCAGACAAAAATCATGGCCTTTGCCTGGTCATCTCCACTCTGTGGTCGTAGGCAAGCCAGGATCTTTTCTATACTTTCTCTTCTCCGGTCCGGAGTCGAGAGATGGTGAATGACAGCAATGCTAATGGCAAAGTCGAAGCGGCCTAGAGGATATGGCAACGCCATGCCGTCTGCAACGGCCACCTCGCCGCCCTTTTCAGCCCGGGCCAGCGATACAAGGGCATCGCTGCGGTCGGAGCCAAAAATATGCAAGCTAGGATTCACAGGCAAGTACTTTCCGTTGCCACAGCCGACGTCGATGCCCACAGCGCCAGGCTTTTGGCCCTGCAGGAAGCTTGCTACTAGCGGCCACGGCTTGTGGCGAGTCGAAGAGAAGTGTGGTGCGATTTGGTTGTATACGGCATGTACGTGCGTTGACTCGTATGCATCAGCAGCAGCAGAAGGGGTGTCCTTGGTTGGCATGGCCTCATGCGCAGCCTGCTCTGGTGTATCTTGAGCCTGGCTCATGGTGAACTGTGAACTGTAGCACTTGGCTTGTGGAGCTGGGTGTGCAGAGAGGGCCTTGTTCCAATGTTAATGGACCTGACTCTGCGATATAGACCTGCTGTGCAGACTAATACGACGCCTCAAGAGGATTGGCTTGCTTTGCTAAACGTGCAGTAGCGGGGTATCTGACGGCGGAGCCTTCCTGGATGGGCTAGATGCAATGCAGAGAGGCGTTGAAGAATCCTGGTGCAAGGTCTTCAAACCGGTAATACAGGGAAAAGCTTGACTAGTGTGAGATATCACCGTTTTGATATAGCAGTGCGGGGGGGAGGTGGCCTTAGAAAGCGGCGTTGTTCAGTGTAGCGCTGCTTGGTAGAGAGGATTTGATCGGATGAATGAACGGATTGGGTGATAGGAGAGACTTTGCAGTGCTGAGGTTTTCGGTAAAATGCAGTTTCAAAAGGCGAGCTTTGGTAGGCGATTGGCTTGTGCGTGTGAAGTTTGCTTGATAGCAAGGATATTTTTTTAGGCTGGTGGGGTCGGGACGCTGCTAGCGGGCGACATCACCGCACTGTTGCGGCGGCGTTAGGGCGAGAGCCGCTCTATGCATATGCGAGGTGCAACAAAAGAATACACGGGAAAATAAAGGAACATGCGCACAGGTAATTACTTCACTATGGATGGGTGCTGCACCCGATCTCTAGGGATTTGCAGGTTGCATATTGCTGAACGCGTCTGTGCTCACCCACGGACGGACGACCTGTAGTTTATGCGGAACCAGACACTGGGTATTTTGTAAACGCAGTTCGTGTCATGCTTTGTTTAACCGCTGACAATGTTCTATTTCAAATAATTTGCTTGCCCTGTTTCGATCTGCCAATGCGTCTTGCATGAACGGCTCATCTGCGAGTTTGCAGGTCAAACAGGCTTATCCCCGATGCACGCGAAGCATTGAACACAGGGTGTGTGTCCACATGCAAGAAATCTATTTTTACCGAATAAGCTGTCCCGCATGTTCTTTTATTTTCTCGAACGGCCGAGCGCATCTTACAGGTGCCGGAAATGTCCGATTGGCGGTGGTTCGGACGGAGAATTATACGGTTCATGCGCGGTACTTGAGGCCCGGCATCGCCGCGGTCTAGGGGTGTTTCACGTCCCATTGCGCCACAGGGGTGTGTGTAGGAGTGTACTGAGTATTTCTCGAATTAGGGGGGGTTTGTATGAATTAACTAGTAGTAGAGTAGCTGCGCCATCTTCTTATTTTTGTAACGTCTGATGCGGAAATCATTGGTTGCCAGTGTTAAGGGGGCTCTTGGCATCGTAGACATCGGTGGTGATGAGTTCGGGGTACTGGACGCCGCCATCGGTGAGCGTCTTGTCCATGACTTCCATGATGGCAATGCTCTCGCTCCAGGGCATGGTGTCGCTCTGCTTCTTACCGTCGCGGAGACAGCGAGCGCACTCATCGGCCTCCCAGAACATACCGTGGCCCCAGTCACGCTTGGTGTCCTTGGGGATGGGGTACTCGACAGTCTGTACCTTGTTGTCTCCATCCTTGAGGATAAGCTTATACTGGAGGGGTCGGTACGCGGGGCCGGCCAGCTGGATCTCACCCTTGCTGCCCTGGATGCGGATGGCAGGGCCAGCGGAGCCAACGCCGTCGGGGTCGGTGCCGACCTGGATAGATGTAGTGGCGATACCCATGCTCTTGTGTTGCGGGAAGTTGACAATCATGGCGGTGGTTTCGTCCGCACCGGTTCTGTACTTGTTGATGGACGAGACCACTTGCGGGGCTTCCTTTTCGGCTTCGGGCTGAACGTGGTAGAGTGTTTGGAACAGCCATGTGAGGGAGTAGATGCCAAGGTCGAGCAGCGCACCGCCGGCAAGATCGAGGTTAACCATGCGGTGGGTGTCGGGGAAGCTCACGATGCCGTTTTCGTCTCCTTCGCCAAATGACAAGTCGGCTTGGAGGATGTTAGAATTCAGGGCTTGTCTGGGGATGACAATACGTACCAATGGTTCTGTGAACGTGGCCAATGACGCCGTCTTTGATCATCTGGCGGATCTTAATGCTGATGGGGAAATAACGAACCCAAACGGCCTCCATCAGGAACAGGTTCTTCTCCTGCGCCTTTGCGATAAGCTTCTTGGTCTGGGAAGCAGTAACAGTGAAGGCCTTTTCACAAAGAACATTCTTGCCAGCCTCGAGAGCAAGCATGGTGTTTTGGAAGTGGTGGCCGTGAGGGGTTGCAACGTAGATGATGTCAACGTTGGGGTCTGCAACAAGCTCGGTGTATGAGCCGTAGGTTTTGGCGGACGAGGGGCCGTCAATCTTCTTGATGAATTCGGCGGCGCGTTCGGCAGAGGTCGAGGAAGAGACGGCGACGATTTCGTGACGAATGTCGTGGACGTCACGGCTTGCAGGGTCGGTCAGAAGATCTTTGCAGAAAGCTATACAGAGCTCGTTAGCGTGTACTGTTATAGTGAAGCCAAGAGCAGTGATACGTACTCTGAGCGATGCCACCGGTGGCCATGATGCCCCATTTGATTGTAAAGGGAGTAGAAGAAGCCATAATAACGATTTTGCTGCTCTAAGGATGGATTGACTGTACGGGCCGTGTGTGTTGCGTCATGGAGGGGATGGCACCCAGCTTTTTATAACAGTCTCCAACTCTACCCCGCCACAGCCCGTCAAGGTGGGGGAGAGCAATTGGACTGGTCGCATGGTCGCTTAATGGATTGTTTTCAGTGGCGCGGCTCCGCGTTCTCCATTAAACCCGCTCTGTAGTGATTGCCGGATTCAACGTTACGTCTAGCTGAGCCATGCGGATGTTGCTGGTTGGTCTCCATGAGAAGCAATACGCCGGCAGGATGTGCCGCATCGTTGGACCGGCGTGCCCTTTTAGGAAGCTCGGGCTCATTTCTGGTGACTGTGTGATAGCTGAAGATGGATTGCTAATTTTTATCTCGGTTATTGAGATTCTAGTCATGATCTACTAGTTGCTTAAGTGCCGTTGCAGCTGGCAAATCAACAGCGCTGCCAGGCGTCTGGTTGCCCGCTGAAATGGTACGACTGCCCCGCCAACCATCGCCCGTCTCATCCCCCTTCATCACCTACCCACCGGAAACCATCCGAAACCTGCTCGCCAAGAACAAAATGGCTGGTATCGGATCGCAGGCATCGCGATTGACCAAGGACTTTCTCCTGGGCAGCAATGGCACTACGCGGATGCCCAAGCTAGTCTATGGCACGGCTTGGAAGAAGGAGAGAACTGCCGACCTCGTCTATACAGCCCTCAAGGCCGGTTTCCGAGGCATCGATACGGCAGCACAGCCGAAACACTATGACGAAGCTGGTGTAGGAAAAGGATTCCGCAAAGCGGTCTCTGAAGGACTTGTCAAGCGCGGAGATGTCTTTGTAGGCTCCCTTGCTCAGGTACTCTCTGAGCGTGTGCTAACCCGCCAATAGATTCAAACGAAATTCACGCCTCCCGGTGGGCAAAATGAGTTCAAGCCCTACAGTATGGATGCTCCCTTAGACGAAAGAGTCCGCCAATCGCTGCAGTCGTCGCTGAAAAACTTCACCGTCGAGGGAGAGGAGCCGTACCTTGATAGCGTCGTCATTCACAGCCCGCTGGATACAATTGACGAAAGCATGATTGTGTGGAAAACGTTAGAGAGCTATCACCCGCATATCATTCGCAATATCGGTATATCTAATGTCGACATTGATACGCTAGAGGAAATTGACGAGCTTGCCACGGTTAAGCCAGCTGTGGTGCAAAACAACTTCCATCCCCGCACCGGCTTCGCCTATGAGATTCGTGACTTTTGTCGCCGGAATAACGCTATATACCAATCATTTTGGACGTACAGTGGCAACCATAAATTAGCGGATATGAAGCCAACGCAGATTGTGGCGCAAGGTGCAGGCGTCGATCGCGTCGTCGCTTATTATTGCCTCGTCCTCGGCTTAGAGAATGTAACCATTTTGGACGGAACGACAAACGAAGATCACATGAAGACCGATCTTGAAGGAATTGAAAAAGTTGGTCTATGGGCAGAGGGTGAAGGAGCCGCCGATTGGGCGAAGGCTCTCGAAGCTTTTAGGAAATTGATCCGTGACACATAAAATTGCATTCAGTCATGATTCTATAAACGCCCATCTACTTTTGATTGTATATACATTTGCGGTTGCTTCGGCACTAAATATCCCTGGCAAAAGTGTTGGCCACAATGAATGGGAAGCAGGCTGTCGCCTCCATATAGACCTGGCATCAGTGAGCATTGGTTGACAAGTCAGCATTTTGAGTCACCATATAAACATACCTTGATATTATCTGCCCCAATCTTGATCTTGCCCCAGGATACAGCCTCATCTGGACGAGCGCCTGCATCGCTACCGTCAAATTCTTGGCCAGTGTTGATATAGACTGCCGACTCGGCGCCATTGCGCATAAGGCAGGCGTTGGCAATGTGATGTTTGACGATGCCGCCGCCCAGAATGATCATACCGGCGCGCTTGGCTCTAACGGAAAGGGTATTAATGCGGCGAATGTCCTCAACAATGTCCACCTTAAGTTGCTGCGGGGATGACTTGAAGGTATGGAAGTAGAGCATATCGCCCAGGCTGCCGTCGGTCAAGGCTGGGCAGAAGACGGGGATGTTGTTCTTGTATGCCCAATAGTAGACTGAGCGTTCGTCGTTGATTTCTTTGCCTAAACGGTGAATAATCTTGGAAGGAGTCCAGTTGATTTCCTCGTCTGTGCCCTTGCTGGCTTCCTGTTCTTCCAACATCTTGTCCAGAATGGGAACAACCCAGTCCTCGAAAGCGCAGTAGTTGTCGTTGGGCACAACCAAGTTGCCGATACGGTTAAGACCCTTTTTGCGCAGATCAGCGCCAACTGCAGAAAAGGAGCTCAAGTATGTCTCTCCAAGACACTTGATGAAGTCTTCTTCAATGCCACCAGCCGTGGTGACAATGGCGGATACGTGGTTGTGCTCGACAAGCCAACGCAGGACGCCACGGAGACCGGAAGAGATGAGATTAGAGGTATATCCAAGAAATATGGTTGTCTTTTCACCTGATTCAGGGTCACGCCAGGCACGCTATAACATATCTTAGCCTATTGCCGCAAATGAAACACTACAAGATTCTCACCATGTCATTAATAATTCGGATGGCCTCGCCCATGGCAGATGCCTGGAAACCCATGTGTCTCATACCGAGAAAGAGGTCCTCAGCAGTAATGGGGCCTTTGAGCTTGTTGAAGTCGAGCTCTTCTACTTTCTGCGCATCAGCAGGCATCGCCTCCGACTTCATGAGAACGGCATCGGTAGCGCCAGTTGGAGGGGCAGCGGCTTGACCCCGGTTAGCGTCGGCCATGGTGTAGTCTGGCAGCTTTGCCTAGCAATAATATGGAGATCTAAAATGTAGGTGAATATTCCAAGTGATGAATTCGGCAGAAGTCGTTCTTATAAATACGTGTTTGGTATAAATGTTGGGCAGCTGTTGAAAAAGAAGCGAAAAAAAAGTGGTGATATCAACTTTGTACAGCGCTGAATAATTTTCTTTGGCAGCGGGCAACTGGCGGCTGTCCCACTGCAGGTTGTCTTGCAGCTACAGTGCAGTTACAGTGCTGTTCCTGGCGCAAACCAGCCTACCAGCAGCCAATGTCCGAGTTGGGCTTAGCGCCACGCGACGCCTGCCTGCTGGGCCGCCAGCGTATTTTGCTGCAAAGTGTGGGGACTTTTTGTCTCCCCCCGTGCCGATTGCATCGTGAACCCTACCTTTTGCTTCTGCAACCTCCTCCTGGCCCCCAGCAAACCGCCTGTAACTACGACTTTACGCATCTGCGCTGCACTATAAAATAGGCGTTGTGGATATACAGGGCTTAGGAGTGTACAGTATTGTTTTTTAATCGCCAAAAACGCCGCAAACAACCTCCGACGAGAACTGCCGAACCCCCGTTTCCGACCACAACACTCCTTTGCTTCACCAAAACACCCTCGGCTTCCTAGGCTACCGTCTGCGGTTCAAATATACAGAGAAACGCTTCAACGGCACCGTTTTCTGGTCATCATAGATGGGGAATTAATCGCGATTTTCTCTTAATTATACCCTGCGGGTATCCGCCAACATGTACGTCCCATCCCCCCAGATCTTGTCTCGGTACCAGGCTCTCTTTAAAGGCGCTGCTCGATTGCCCTCATCTCTTCCCTCGGCAGTACTAACATTTCAATCCACAATAGGACATCCAGATATCATTTTGACTCAAACCGGCGGTCACGGTCCCCGCGCGACAGGTCCCCAGACCGCTTCAACCGTAATGGCCCCTACGATCCAGACCGCCGTCGATCCTCCGCAGAATCACGCTCCAACTCCTCTGGCTTCCCGCCTAGAGATGGATTCGGCGATCCTATGAGGCGGGATCCTCCTCGCGGCCCCAAGGCCCTCGGCGACAGCCCTGGTGGCCCCCGTGGCGGAGGGTTTGCGGGCGACTTTCGAGGTGGTCGCGGTGGTGGTCGGGGTCGCGGCCGCGGCTGGGCAAGAGATGATAGCCGTGAACGAGGGCGCGATAGAGATATGGATTATCGTGACCGCTATCGCGACGAGCGAAGTCGAGAGCGAGATAGAGACCGCGACAGAGACTGGCGCGACCCGCGCGACTTTCGATCACGGCGATCACCCATCCCCAGAGCACGCTCACCACCTAGAGATTTCCGAGACCGAGATCGCGATCGCGACTTACCGCCACCACTGGACGTAGACCGTCCACGACGCAACTCACGCGACGGTGGCCCCCCATCAGCCGGCTCCTCTGCCTCTGATCCTGCCTTTGGTCTGCCGCCATTCAGTCGAGGTGGCGGCTACATCCGCGGCCGCGGCCGTGGTGGGCGTGGCGACTGGCCTTCTGATCGCGGACGTGGACGAACACCATATGATGATCGTAATGACCGTTATCCACGCAGCCGCTCGCAGGAAGGACGCTGGCGAGATCGCGATGACCGTGATCGCAACGACAGATACCCTGACAACGATATGCACCGCGACATGAGAGACGATCGAGACCGTTCTGACCGCGACTTATTCCGTGGTAGACAAGAATCCAGAGCCCCGAATGTAGCCGACACCATCACACAATCTAGAGAAGTCTCCCCTCCTCCAATCGCGCCATCAGCACCAGCCTTTGGGTCTGTTCCAAACCGTGCCTCCATCTCAGATGATCGCAACCATCAAAATAGCAGCAAACCACACGGCGATCGCCCTACTTCATCTAGCAATACCGCCACCAAGGACTCGCCAACGCTTTCTGACAGCCGACTTCCCGCTCGCCAATCTAGCAAGCAATGGAGCCGTGAGGCTGGCGGATCAAGTAACAACCGCCAACAAGACGAAGCGGTCGACCGCCGAGCTCGTTCACCGTATAGCGCGGAACCTGGAGAGATCACCGTCAAATCAGAGGCAGAGGTTGACGAACCATCGCGAGAGGCGCCCAAAGAGGAACCAGCTCCCGAAAACGCCGACTCAAAACCTGCCGAAGGGGTTAAAAAGGCTGCAGAGGTGAAACCGATTGTCGATGCTGCCGATCAGCCGAACAAGCCTATGGAAGAGCCAAAAACCGAGAAGCCCAAACCCCGTGTATTGCCCGCCGTACGCGCTGTTCGCTTTTCACTACCCTCCAAGACAGCGCCAGCAGAAAATCCATCGGATTCCGATGACGATGACGATATGGCCGACTATTTCGCTATGCAAATCGATAAGACACAGGCAGAGCTGAACAAGCTCCAAGCCACTGATGTCCCACTAGGCGTTCTCTCGCGGTATGCTGCACTGTCCCATGGCTCCATGGTACAGCTCATGTACGAGAAAGAAGGCCTAACAGATATGCTTGGTGAGCTCCCTAAGGGGGTTGAGCTTCCTGGTGAGACACCCATTGCCAAGTCAGCTCCTCCTCAGGCTGTCGAAGAAGAGCCTGTTCAACAACCAGAGGTGGCCAGCCCTGCTAAAGTTGAGGAGGTGCCTACACTACAAGTTTCGGCGCCACCACTTCGCGCTGTTGATGCCGATCCCAAGCATGACGCTATGGAGCTCGATAGAGAGCAAACACAGGAGCCCTCTCGTCCCCAAAGCTCTTCAAAAGGCAGTGTCAAGGCTAGTGAGGTCGGTTCTGAGGAGCCCATGAAGGATGCTGATCCCGTTGTTGAAGAGGCTGCCCAAATTGAACTTGACAGTGCAGATTTAGTATCGAAGCAGCCAAGCACGCCTTCACAAGTTGAGGACGAAGATGAGACGGAGTCTGAAGACGACGCTTACGTGGATGTTGACGCCGTACGTGAGTTTATGAAGACCCCAGAGGTGACAGATATGCCAGATTTCAACATGACAACGTGGGATAAGGACACTACGTTATTAGAGTCGTTTAATTCCGATGCTGCGATCGACGACTTTGTTCTTGAGCATCTCAACCAGATCAGCCTAGAGGTTTCCGAAGCAGAAACTGAGGCACGAAAGTTGTATGCTGAGAATTATCTCAACTACCTCGACTTTACAGCATCCAATGACCCGGTGGCCCTCAAGAATCGGGATAAGTTGTCAGTTTCTGTGCCACCAGTGGAGATTGCTGCCCCAACAACACCAGAACCAAAGCCTGAAAGTGGTCGTTCAGCCCGACGATTTGCGACTGAGCGTGACCTGGAGCGCGTTTTGGAGGCTTCTATGCGCGAAGACGAGGAAAGAAAGGAACGCGAACTCAGAGTACAGAAGGAGAAGTATCGAAGCGATAAGGAAGCCGTCATTCCCGACATGTATTGGGACAAGGAGCAGCGTGCAGAAGCCCAATTCGATGACCGCACCGGCTACGTCCCACAAGATCGCCTTGTTGCTGCCTGGCAAGTCCTTGCTCCATTCGATAACTTTACAACTGAGGAGAACGAATTGTTTGAAAGGCGCTATCTCGAGCACCCCAAGCAGTGGGGTAAGATTGCTGAAGTTATTCCCCATCGTTCCTTCGGTACCTGCATTCAGTACTACTACTTGATGAAGAAGGAGTTGAACCTCAAAGATAAATTGCGAAAGCAGCCTAAGAGACGCAAGAAGGGTAGAGGTAAGCAGCGATCAAGCGCTCTCGTTTCGGAGCTTGGTAATGGAGATGGAGAGACCGAGGAGAACCAAGAAACAGGCGAGAACGGCGAGAGACGTCGCCCGCGCCGTGCTGCTGCTCCTACATGGGGCTTTGAACAGCCTGCTGCTACCGACGCAGATACTTCGACGCCGGCATCTACGCCCGGGCGAAGAGCCAGAGGCGATGCTGCCGAGAAGCCTGACGGACGTCGGGGTCGAAGAAAGGCCAAGGAGAAGGAGGCCAAGCCGCTTAAGCCAAACCAGGCCTCATCAACAGCAACGACCCCTGGAGGAGGAAAAGGTCGCCCTGTTTCACGAAGCCAACCCCCAGATGCACCACCCAACCCTGTGGAAACTCGACCAATGCCAACGCACTACGATCAAGGCATGCCTTCGTCTATTCAGGCACCATTCTCGGTTCATTCGCATTCATCTACTGGTATGGATCGACAGAAGGTCTTGGCCCCTAGTATACCGGAAGGCCTGGCACCACCTGCATTGCGCCCCGAGCCGCCATCGCAACAGCCACAGCCTGTTGGAGGTGCCGCGGGATTCAACTCCAAAGCGCCAGTCCAAGCTTCTAGCTACTGGAGTGTATCTGAATCTAACGACTTCCCACATCTCCTAAAGGCGTTTGGCTCCGACTGGACTGCCATTGCTGCGCATATGGGCTCTAAGACAGCCGTTATGGTTAAGAATTACTTTATGCGACAAAAGGATTCAGGGAAAGCCGAATGGGGCCTATTTGTGCAAGAATCTGACGAAAAGCGCCGACGAGGAGAAAAGTGTCCCGACCCGCCACAACCTGCAAGCGCTACAACCCGCGTCCGTCGATACGATGTCGCGTTGCCTGGCACCTCTCGACCACTTGCTGCAGCGCCGTCTATGGATGAGACTTCGCCTATGAAGATGGATCCTCTACAATCTGGGCGTAGCCAGCCGTTTTCCAACTATGGCGGTGTTCCCATTGCCAAAGCTCCAGGTCAACCTCCCCTGGCCATGGCTAGCCAGCAAGCAGGATCGCCAACCCTCCGCCCCGGCCGTCCACCAATGCAGCCGTATCCTTACTCGGAACGCGATGCCAAGCACTCTTCAATGCCACCACAGCCTGGATCAGGTGTTCCCGAGCTTCGCGAGCAACGACCGCTTAGCACTCATCCAGACATGATGCGTGATAGGCAAGCTGCGGAAATGCAGCTCCGTGATGACCGCCATGGTATGCGTATCAAGGATGAGCAGCATAGATATGACCCCTATAGCCATCACCGCCAAGATCCCATGAGACAATATCCTCCGGCGCCTCCTGGACGAGGCGGCCTGCTTGGAGACCCTCGACCTGCACAGTCTCCTCCGCTAGGTCCACCGTCCAGACCTGTCGCGGGCCATCAACAACGACCAGCTTCTGGAGAACTTTATCCACCACCCCAAAGCAGTACCCCGGTCCCTATGGGTGGACCATCGCGAGCTCCTGAACCTCGCAAGACGTCAAGCATCATGTCGCTGCTCAACGACGATCCGCCACCCGCGCCTAAACGCGTTAACGAGGTCAGCGGACCAGGACCCTCGTCAACGCCTCCTCCCCCTCCCATGGCTCGACCGCCACCTGCTCCCGCTGCTCAGATGCGACGTGAGCCTGAAAGCCACTACTCACCTTATGGAAGAACTCCACCTGGAGGGCCATCCGGCATGCCGTCACTTAAGCCTACTTATGGAGGCTCACCAGGGCAGCCGCCACACATGGGTGTTGCTTCGCGTGGCGAGCCACCCGCCAGTGAGAGAGACTACTACAGGCAGAGCACATACCAGGGCAGCGCGACGAACTCGCCTCAAACCTCGCATCGCTATCCTGCGCCTGGACAGTCTCCTTATCAGCCACCGGCTGCGTATCCGTACGTAAGTGGCTCACAACCGCCACCTGCTGGGTCTCCCCAACTACAATATGCCCGCGGCCGTGAGCCTCCGCCACCCAGAGATGGCGGCTGGTCCTCATCAGGGCATCATACCCCCGTTCCCAAGTCATCGCCGGTGCCACCACCTCCGCAGTCGTGGTCACCAGCGCCGCCTAGCCACATGGGAGGAAGAGACGACAGGGGTTACAGCCGTTATCCTCCACCAACGGCCTCTAGACCGCCCGAGCCTGTGCCGCCTCCCTCGTCCGCCTATGGCCGCTACTCCTCGACGCCTGGACGACCAGATCCTCGCGAGCTTCCAGGCAGAAGCTACACTCCTGTTGGCTATGATTCGCGTGGTCCCCCTCCCCCTCCTCCAGGACATGGCTATGGCGATCCCCGAGGTGATCCTCGCGGCGACCCAAGAGGTGACCCGAGAGGTGACCCGAGAGGCGATCCCAGAGTCGATCCACGGGATCATATGAACCGTGGACTTCGCCCGCAAAATTACGAGAGACCCCCTGATAGATATGGTAGATAGCGCAGTGCGCTACAGCTCAATTGTTTGGGAAACTTAGCACTCTGATGTACGAGAAGGAAGATGCTTTTTATACATGTTTCATTTTTAGTAAGGTGTTGGATTATATTATTGGCGTCTTTGGTACTCCAGTATGCCTCGTGTATAAATACAGTATTATTTGAACAATTCTTTTATTATTTTCATAAGATTAAACCTCGTGTATTGCAAGTGCTATGTATCTTGTAGGCTGTCACCAAATACCACCGACCCCGCGCCCCGCCAAAACGCGCCTCTGTCGTCAGCCTTGACAAGGGCACGCGATACGTCTCCAACGACCTATCTTCAACGACATCAGACAACATAAATCAATCACAAAGCAAAAATGTCAACACACCAGAGATTCGGCGGCAGCGCCGATACAAATCGCAATCAGTCGTACTTTGAAGAGCAGCGAGCCGCGCTCCTTGGCGACATTGGCGTCGTGCGTCTACTTCCACGCGTTCACCCGTTATATACACTAATATTCAAGTATACAGAGCTTCGAGCAGGTTCTCGCGAATATAAACAAGTTGAATAGGTCCCTAGAGGCTGTCATCACTGTACGTTACCTTATCATACTAGACTAATGGGCACCATTGTCACAATGAACATAGCTAACGCGCGCTGGGGCGGCTTTGTGCAGGTTGGAAATGAATTCGCATCAGTAGAAACATTATGGTCACAATTTGAGAATGTCATGGCCAAGGATCCAAAAGCGAGCAATGATCAAAAGGAGGGCGATGCAGACGGCCAAGGCGAGACGAATGTCAAGCGCGAGGAATGAAATTAACGAACGATACCCCATCTCCACGACATATTGCAGGATGAACCCGGCAACTTGTGTATAATGAATTGATAATGTTACAAAGTTAATACACAACACTTTACTTCAGGGGCCTTAGAAGAGTGATTTTAACAATGTAAATTTTGTGCTGTCATATCCATAAAAAGAAACCCAAAAGACAATGGGAACATACCATGCTCTACTACAAAAGAAAACAAATGAAAATAATGAAAATAACGGAGAAAAGAAGAGCAGATAGAAGCATGAGCATAAGCGAGGCACTTGCAGCCCAGCTCTAGCTCCCATCTACCCATTCCATATGTACCATCCAGTCCAAGATCACTCCCAAAAGAATCCCATACCCAGCCCATCGGCCCCAATGCCGCGCAGTCGTTACCTTCCAACGAATGGAAGAATGAAGAAGAAGAAGATCGTGAGTCAGAAGCCCCCAAGGCTATACGTCGCCTGTTTGGTCGTTGCATTACAAAAGATTTACGCGCGCCGCCAGGGACGCCCGCCGGTTCCAAAAGGAAAAGGGCGAAAAGAACGAGCCAACGCCTCCTCGCCATGCCATTAAAACAGTGAGAAAGGAAATTTCATTGTCGTCGCAGCCTCACAGGATCTGGCATCTTCTCTTCTTCTTCTTGGGGACAACACCGACTCCAGGTATCGAGTGCTTGTTGTCCTGGGCGTGTCCGGAGCCGCTAGCGACTTGGATGTGTCTGCGGTCGTTTGCGACAACGGTCAGGATAGCGCGTTCAAAGATTTCGTCAACACCACGCATTTCCTTGCTGCTGCACTCCATGTACTGGGCGCTCATCTTTTGGGCAACGGCCATGCCTTGCTCGGTAGTAACGGGAGTAAGGCCCTGCGTCTTGAGCATGTCAATGCATGTTCTCTTGTAGCGCAGATCGCTCTTGAGACCAACGAGGATCAGCGGGGTGTATGGGCAAAAGTGAAGAACCTCGGGATACCACTGCATTCTGTGTTAGCTAGTTATTCCGACTACTGTATGTCCTGACTCGCAGGGTGAGACGTACCTTGTCGAGCACATTGTCGAGAGAGTTAGGGCAATCAATGGCGAAGCAGACAAAGATGAGGTCGGTCTCTGGGTAAGAGAGCGGGCGGAGACGGTCATACTCCTCCTGGCCGGCAGTATCCCAGAGAGCGAGCTCCACGGTCTTACCAGTGGGAGGGTGCGTGGGATAAGTGATGTAGTTTTCGAAGACAGTCGGGACGTATTTCTACAACAAAAAGAGACTCTGGTTAGCCACTATTCCTGCGCTAATTGCTTACGCCTTTGCGTTGCTTTGCTTTTTGTTGACTTACCTCGGGGAAGTAGCCCTGGCTGTAGCTGATGAGCAGACAAGTCTTTCCGCAGCCACCGTCGCCAACCACCACAATCTTCTTGGAGTAAGTCGGGGCATCTGTGATGTGTGTCGCTGCTGACTCGCGACCAGAAGACGAGCTCATGGTGGTGCTGACGGTGCCGTCGCTAGATCGTGTGCGCTGGTTGCGGCGCGGTTGATCGTAGCTCGCCGGCGAGTAGTAGGAGCTGCGATAGTTTTGAGTCGACATTGTCGGGGTTTTTGTTTACGCCCACACGACGTGTTCTTTGCCTGGGGCAAGGGGATTGCAAGGCTGTTGACGAGCCGGATGCTACAGCGGCGTCGCAGCAGAAGCAACTGTGGTGTTTGGGGACCTGGGGGAAGATGGTCTGGCGCCTGTTTCGAAAACGATGCTCCAAAAAAAGTAATACTCGGAAAAAACGATGAGCAGTGGAATAGAATACGGGATAAGATTTGCAGAGAGACAATCGGCGTGTGTGTGGCCTGGAATGAAGTTGACTGGAATGCTGTGTCAAGGGGAAAGAACGGTTTTTGAGAAGAGGACGAAGGGACGGGGGGAGGGGGTCAGTAAAACAAAGGACCGGTTTCAAAGAAGAAAAGGCTTAACTTGCTTCCCTTGGGGCGGCTTCTGCTTGCGCAGCAACCAGACAACGGGCGAGAGGGCGGCGGGTGGTGTCGTTGCATCCCACCATAAACATGTTGACCGGGCAACGCGGCTGCCATGTGCCCCTCTATAGCCGCTGCACGCGTGTGTGTGTGTCAGGGTCCCGTCTTTCGGCGTTTTCTTTTTTTATTTTTTATTTTATTTTATGGGGCGAATGTCGTGCATCCGGCGGGTCAAGAGGAAGTAAGAAGAAGGTTGAAACGAGGCTTTCTCGTATCGGGTGATTCTGTATTGTTGGGCGGCTATACAACAGGTGCATCGACATGTGGTGCCGTAAACACAGCTATACAATCACGATCTAGATAACTTCAGTTGAATCTATACAAATGTAATTGTTAAAAATAAAATATGTGTAAACTATTCTTCCGAAAAATACACCCACTCTTGACTTGGTCTTTCACAATGGTTGTTCGTCAAAGTCCGTCATCGCAGCAGTCACGTCACCCACTCTACAACAGGTGGATCAACGCCGGCCTTAAGTGGCCCGTGCACGCAGCTCCGGACGCTGGCTGCTGGTGAAATTCACGATTCGCGATCTCATCAACCTCATCCCGTCTACTTAACCAAGCCAATCACTTTCAACAAATATCCTACCCCGGTGTAAACACAATGGCAACTCCCAGCAAATACGTCACCCTCGTATCTGGCGATGGCTTCGAGTTTGTCGTCATGAGAGAAGCCGCCATGATCAGCCCCATTATCAAGGGCATGCTGGATCCTACGAGTGCGTCTCATGTCCAGTCTTAAATTCCTTTTCTATAAATCATAGACTACATTTTACCTAACACGTCAATCTTGCTATAGGGCAATTCGCCGAGGCCAAAGACGCCCGCTGTGTGTTTGAAGAGATGAGGTAAGACTTCCCTCTGCTACGTGACTTCATGTCGTTACAGAATTCCCTTCTCCCCTTTCGAAATGACGAATCCTATCACTAGCTACCGCCACCTTTTTCAACTTGGTGGGTGGGACAGAACCCTTCTTTGGCTCCTGGGTCTTCTTCGATCCAAATATGTGGCTCTGTGTGACTCGCACTACACTTGACCTGATCTACCTGTCTCTCTCCTGGACAATTATCAGTACACCATTGGTAAATAACGCATAGCTAACTCGCCCCGTATAGCGCGGTCGTTCTCGACAAAGTGGTAGAATACTTCCACTATTGGTATAAATACCGAAACAGTGAGGATGTCCCGGACATGGACATTCCCGTGGAGTTGTGCCTGGAGCTGCTAGCTGCCGCCGATTTTCTTGGTCTTGATCAGTGCGTGCACGCTGTTCCATTGGTTTCAGCGCTTGCAGATTGCTAACAGAATTCATTTAGGGCCAATATGAAATGATCCCAGTATCATGACGAATTACGAAACATTTACCTCGCGGTGACTACTATCGCTTAGACTGGCTGGCGTTTATGGCGTTCAAAATGGCACTCAATGAAATTTACTTACAACATATTAGCAATACTACTGACTCTATCACACACCTTTATTTCAACAACTGCGAAGTTCAGCCAACCGTGACTGTTATCACCCATCCAGCATTTCGTCCTCTCAACGCTTCCCCGTGAGCAGGGCGACTAAAAGGGATGGAAGATTGATGATTCCATATCTACTAGGCTTTATCCGATTGCACCCTGGATACTTGCTCTTATTCACAGGAGAATACATTTCCAACACTAATGATTGCGTCCTCAAACGTCTGAGAAATCTCCGCGTGAGTATATTTCAAGAGACCACTACTGCCCTCTACGGCACGAGATCAGAGTAAACTAGCTCAAATTAAGCTTTTCTTTAAAATCATTCGTTGTATAAATCTAACTGCGGCTCTGTTTGTAGATGGTCTACTGGGCAGCTTCGTTCTCATTCGCCTTGAGCTGCTCTAGAATCTCGGAAAACATCGTCTCAGCGGCCGCATCTGATCCAGCCTCCTTCCAGAGTTGCAAGTTCTCAGCAGTAACCTCCTTCTTTTCAAGGTAGTGCGGGAGCAAATCACGCGGGGTTCTGAAGGCGGCCTTGGTAGGAACACTCTTGAGTCTGAGCACCTTGCAGATATCCTCAAGATGAGCAGCCGATTTCTTACCGCCACCGCCACCGTAAGAGACAATTCCTGCAGGCTTTCCGGACCATTCATAGAATAGATAGTCCAGAGCGTTCTTCAAACCAGCAGGTACACTGCCATTGTACTCGGGAGTAACAAAAGCGTAAGCATCATACTGACGAACCAAGCCGGACCACTTGCGAGAAAAGTCATTGGCGTAGTGAGGAGTAGGATCCTCCTTGGGCAGGCCACCAGGGTGAGTTGGCTCGTCGTAAAGAGGAAGCTTTTGATCAACAATATCAATCAAATCGAGAGTGACGCCGGCGGTGGCTGCGAGGGGCTTGAGGAGATCAAAGACATGGTTGGCAACGGCGGGGCCAACGCGGTTGGTCCTTGTGCTGCCGATAATGACGGCGATTTTCTTTTGGAGAGCCATGGCTGTTGTATATTTTGTTCTTTCAGTCGAAGTTATTAGATATGAAAAGGTGAAGCAATGTATCCGTAGAGGTGCGGCCTTTTATCTACCACCAAACTGGGTTGTGTCCCGCCAGCGATGTATCGTGTTCGATAGTGGAGGCTATAGTGGGCAGTTTGTGGTCTCATTGTCCATTGGATCCTCGCTATAATTTTTTGGGCAGCCGCGCGCCAACCCCGCCGAAAGCGGCCGCTAAAAATCCTGCCAGCTGGTGGGTGGTTGGTGGCCCCTTGCAGCAGCGCTGGCAGGTGCCAGAAAAAATTACAGCGGACTTTGGCTGGCGCGCAGACGAGCTGGCAAAGCTGATTCAACTCTGCTGGTGCCATAACCCATTGATCGTGTCGCCGTACAAAGTTGCATCTTACGGGCAATAGCAATTATCAAGTTGCTATCCAGCCCATCCAACGGAATGGGCACAGATACTAGATCTGTAAAAGGCGTCCGCATCGCCATTGAGGGCTGCGTAAGTCAGATTGCAGTGCTATTGTTGTCAGCGTGCATCAACTAATCCGTCGCAGGGCCATGGTACACTAGATGCCATCTACGCCTCGATTGAGTCTTCCTATAAGGCTCGCGGCTGGGATGGAGTTGATCTTGTGATTATTGGAGGCGATTTCCAGGTTCGTGGTCCATGCAACCTATTGTTGACATATGATACTGACCGTTTCTTCTAGTCCGTGAGAGATGCCGCAGATCTCTCCATCATGTCTTGTCCAGTCAAGTATCGCCATCTGGGTGACTTTCCTGATTACTATTCTGGTAAAAAGAAGGCCCCTTTTACGACTGTGTTCATTGCCGGCAACCACGAAGCCAGTTCCCATCTATGGGAGCTCTACTACGGAGGCTGGGTTGCTCCCAACATCTACTATCTTGGAGCTGCCAACGTTATTCGCTTCGGACCCCTCAGAATAGCTGCACTCTCCGGAATATGGTCCGGGCATGACTACCGCAAACCTCACCTCGAGAGGCTGCCGTTTACTTACAACGACGTTAAGTCCTTCTATCACGTTCGAGAATACGACGTTCGCAAATTGCTGCAAATACGAACCCAAGTCGATATCGGCCTCAGTCACGATTGGCCACGAGGCATTGAGAGGCATGGCAATTCAAACGCACTCTTTAAAAAGAAGCCCTTCTTCAGGCAGGAATCGTTAGATGGTACACTGGGCAGCGTCGCTGCGGACTACGTCTTGAACCGATTACGCCCCCCATATTGGTTCTCAGCCCACATGCACGTAAAGTTTGCAGCCCTCAAGAAATTTGATAACGATAGCACATCTACAGCGGCGCCGGTTGTGGCGCCGGAACCGCAGGCAGTCGCCGCTGTTGAGGCTAACCCGGATGAGATCGACCTGGATATGGATGATGATGATGACGACGCCAATGGCAACGCCCCCGATCAAGCACCAGCGACAACTGTAGCCAGTACAACAGTACCCGAAGCTACAAACACAGAGAGCGAGGTCTCAGACGCGTTAAAAGCTCAGCTACCTGCGTCTTTCTTTCAGAAGCAGAGGCCAAAGGGTATCCCTGGTCAGCCCGTCCCCGAGACCATCTTCAACAAGGAAGTGCGATTCTTGGCATTAGACAAATGTCTACCTGGAAGAAGCTTTCTACAACTTTGCGACGTACAACCCCATAGCCAACAAGAGGCCAAGTCGGAGACGACCAGCTCAAAAGGACCGCAACATAGTCTTCAGTATGACCCAGAGTGGCTTGCAATTGTTCGCGTCTTTCATACCGGTCTTGTGATTGGCGATCCCTCTGCGAAGGTACCCGAAGATGAGGGCGAGGAACATTACGCGTCCCTAATCGATGCAGAACGGAAATGGGTAGAAGAACACATTGTGCAAAAGAACTTACTTGACGTCCCGAACAATTTCGAAATCACGGCACCCCCATATGTCGAAGGAACGCCTGAGATTGTGACAACAATGCCGGAAGAATATACCAATCCTCAGACTGAGACATTCTGCAATCTCTTGGGTATTAAAAATATATGGGACTCTCTGGTAGAAGAGCGCCAGCAGAGAAGATTAGCTTTGGAAACGACCCCAGAGATGTTTGGAGAGCAGGAAAGAAGTAGATTTGGTGGTGGCAGAGGTGGTGGACGTGGAGGCCGTGGCGGCGGTCGAGGACGCGGAGGACGAGGTGGACGAGGCGGGCCTGGGAGAGGAAGAGGGGGCTTTCATGGTAGATATTGACATTTGACGCATTTTATCAACGGCGCTGGTATGGGATAAAAGTATATTTCAAGAGCGGTTTCTGTTGTCCAGGGTAGGGGCTGCCGGTTCACGGTATGGACAGGTTTAGGCGCCATGTGTCGTTTTATACACCATTGGATTTATTGTAGAAATTCAAAGAGGTATTGAGTTTGAGATTAAATCTTTATACCTCTCCTTTTATTTTACAATTGAGCTTGCATGGCATTGTTAGGTATGAACTGGCTTCTAAGTTTGCGTGACGGAGAGTACCACATTTTACTTCTGTTGATGGCCAGTACAGCACCACCTAGAACTTCAGAAAATTATTATGATGCATTGTAGTCCCATAACTACCCCTACCTATTCATTTAATATAATTTCTTGAAATTATTTAATGCTGAAACTGGCTGGTAAAGTCGCACTCATAATAGACTGTATGCTACAGTGGCAGTTACGTTGAGAGATGTTGCGGCGGGGCGCTATAGAGCAGCCGCCCAGCAGCCCGGCAACCACGGGCAGCCAGCTCCAGTAAACACCCGCCAAAACGTCACCGCATCACCGCGACTCTCTGCCTGTCTTGCCCTGGTCAACATTTCTGTCTTGTCGCATCTCGAGACTCTCTCTCTTTTTAAAACTTCCCCCGATACCCATAGCACCGCCATCGATTCTTTTCATCAATTATCTCGCCCGCACTACCTGCCGCCCGCCTCATTCTTTTTCTTGGTAGCAGCTGATCATTCTCCCACTAGTCCCAACTGGTTTGGCAACCCCGCGATCAAACAAAGCAACATTGCCTAGCTAACCGCCTCTGGAATGCAGACTACCGTCCCTCCCGCCGCACTCGCATAAACACAAGAAAGCCTCATACACCCGAACAATGGCGCAGTTTCTCACCACCGTGTTAGTTTTCCTTTTCCCCTAGCCCCCGTAGCGAATAGTCCAGGTCGACGAGCAAAAACAATGTCTACGCTCAGCTACATCAATCGCAACATCGCGTCTGCCATGGGCCGCTTCGACCAAAGTATCTCAGTCCATGAGGATGAGACTGCTGCGAACGGGCTTGCCAGAGTCGCAGGATCGAAATCCCTTGCTAACTTGCCTTCTGCTACTGTCAGTAACCAGCGAACGAGGAACCAGTTCCGACCCCGCGTCGGTAAAGGCGGCGCGACTAGCTACCAGCTTCGTCAGTATGCCGAGGTGACGCTGGGAGGCGGCAGTCTGCGCAAGGTTGTCAAGCTTCCCGAGGGTGAAGACGAAAATGAGTGGCTTGCAGTCAACAGTACGTTCTGCCCGTGCCACTGACGAGATCAATGGGTTGTACTAACCTGGCACTAGTGGTCGACTTCTACAACCAAATCAACCTGCTCTACGGTGCCATCACAGAATTCTGCTCTCCCCAGTCCTGCCCTGAGATGAAGGCTACCGACGAGTGAGTAATAGAGACAGTGATACTATGGAAAGATCGAGACTAACTATCTCACAGATTCGAGTACCTCTGGCAGGACAGCGAAAACTACAAGAAGCCGACCAAGATGCCTGCTCCCGCATACATTGAACAGCTCATGACATGGGTACAATCTAGCATCGATAACGAATCAGTGCTGCCGAGTAAGATAGGTATGATATAGCTTGGATATCCTTCATCATGAGCTATTGTGACTGACTTGCAGCAGGCGTGCCGTTCCCCAAGTCCTTCCCCGCTCTGGTTCGTCAGATCTTCAAGCGCATGTACAGAGTCTACGCGCACATCTACTGCCACCATTACCCTGTCATTCGAGAGCTCGGTCTTGAAGCGCATCTCAACACAAGTTTCAAGCAATATGTGCTCTTCATTGACGAACACAGTCTAGCCAGCGGCCGTGACTACTGGGGTCCCCTCGGTGACTTGGTCGACAGCATGCTGAAGAGCGACTAAAAGCACAGCAAGTGATAATGAGCGGATGCATGAATAGAGGAGCTGGGCGTTTGGTTTAATATTCGTTGCAGGATTTCATTTTCTTTTTTCTCATCGTGGCGCAATGCGAGACGCTGGCTTCTTGCCAGTACTTGCCACACCGTCAAGCACCCTAGACATATATTTCTTTCCCAAGGCTATTGCCTGACAGAAACACTCTAGGTTAAAAATTCTTTTGTATAATTAATTCATTTTTTTCTTCCTTCATCGCATTTAATATTTTTCATTTTAAGCTCTGCTCTATATAATGATAGTGCCAAGTTGGCTTACATAATGAGTTTTGTGGATGCCTTGTGGATTCTCAGGCACCAACATCCGAAATTGCCGACCGTGAGAAACCTCAACCACGAAAACCAAGCTGTACGGATCTCAACACCCTTCGACATCCAATTCAATCCTCCTCCCACCACTCGCCATGTTCTCTCGCCAGGTCCTCCGCTCCGCCAGAGCCGCTGCTCCTCAGCGCGCTATTACTCTCCGCGCCGCCCCCGTCCGCAGCTTCGCCGCTGCCGCCAACGAGGGCCAGCCCCCAGTCACTGTCTTTGGTGTTGACGGAACCTACGCCAGCGCTCTCGTACGTGCCCGCCCCTAGCAAAATAAAAATATCAAACGGCCCCTATCCGACATCAAATAGCCATTGGCCAATTGACCGCTCTACGGCGGCCAATGGCGTCGTGGGGGTGCGCTGCTTGGGCGAAATGCTAACTGCGTCAATTTCTAGTACACTGCCGCTTCCAAGACGTCGACCCTCGAGCCCACCGCCAAGGCCCTCGCCAACCTCAGCAACATCTTCGAGAAGGATGCTAAGCTCGCTACCATCCTGTCTGCTCCTACTCTCTCCGCCGAGGACAAGTCCGCCATCGTCGCCGAGCTCGTTAAGCAGTCTGGCAGCAAGGAAGCCACCGTCAAGAACTTCCTCGACACTCTCGCCGAGAACAACCGCCTCGGTCTCCTCAAGGGTGTCTGCGACAAGTTCAACGAGATCATGTCTGCTTCTCGCGGCGAGGTTGAGATGACCATCACCTCCGCTCAGGTACGGAAAATCTATATACCCCTTACTTACATCGGGACGTGATGTTGGGGGCTTTGTCAAACCGTTAAAAGATACGCTGTTTTGCTAACATTTCTTCTGTTCACAGCCCCTCGACAACAAGACCCTCTCTAGACTCGAGACTGCTGTCGCCAAGTCTTCCTACGTCGGCCAGGGCAAGAAGCTCAAGGTTACCAACACCGTCAACCCCGACATCGTTGGTGGACTAGTCGTCGAGGTTGGTGACCGTACCATCGACCTCAGCGTCTCTGCCCGCATCGCCAAGATGAACAAGCTCCTCACGGACTCCCTGTAAAAACATCAATCGCATAACTACATCCCGATTATTGAAAATCACCCGAGATTCCTTCGTCTTATTCCAGCACTAAAACCAACCCTACCTAAAAAGGAGTTGCAGTCAACCTCTTTTTTACGATACTCTTATTCCGACCTTACTTCCCCCCTTTATCCTATTGTTAATGCTGTATTGTACGCAAAGGGTTGTTTGACAGTCATGGCAAGGTAGAGGCAAGGTTGCATGTGAAATAGAAAGCAAATATATTCCATTTGTTCTACTAAAATATTCCATCATTATTCACCCGTGAAATTGAACTGTTTCTAAGATATGTTGCGGGTTATGGCAAGTCGTAGAGGATTTCCGCGTTGCCGGTTTGTAGTTTTTTTAGCCTCCAACCCAATGTCTACCTTTATGCATCAGCCTTGGGCTCAAATTCATCCTCATGATCAAGTCTTTCTGACAAGCGGAATCGATTCAGCTGATCAGATACATATTGATGCATGTGGTTATCTGCTTCAAATCGCTCTCTTTCCAATTCATCGTTGATAACAGATGCCGTGTCCGCGTCATCGTCAAGACCGTTGGCGGTAGCATCGAAATCACTTCGTGCTCCAATCGAACGTGCTGTAGATGATCGGCGGATACGAGGCATTGTAGGAGACTGTGGAATACCATTCACAACACTGCGTTGGAACATGTCGTCAAAATAATGCGCCATTGCGGCCGATGGAGTGCGCGGTGTTTGAGGGAGGCGGCAAGTCACACTACTTTACTGTTAGCACTTATCTTCATATTTCTATTGCAACCAACAAACCCAGTGTCATGAATCAGGCGAGCAATAAGACCTGTCCAGCCACATTGATGAGAGGCGCCAAGGCCACGGCCACTGTCACCATCAAAGAACTCGTAAAACCACAAATGGTCTTTCCAATGTTCATCAAAGTCGAGCAAGTCGTTTCCAGCATTGATGCTGCGTCTGCCGTCATCCGTGCGGGCAAACAGATGCTGCAGGCGGTGTTGAATTTCCTCTGATACCTTACCCAAATGCATGTAGTCACCACTGCCAGTAGGGCATTCTACCTGAAGTTCAGGTCCGTAGAAGAGGTAAAACCTTTGCAACGATTCCACAAGCAAAAAGTTGACGCATAGCCAAATGGGTCCACGCCAGTTACTGTTGCCTCCAAACAGACCGCTATCGGAATCTCCTGGGACGTATCCTACCTTGAAGGTCTGACCGTTAACATCCATGGAGAACGGGTGTTCTTTATGGAACTTGGAAAGAGAGCGAATACCATGATCACTAAAGAATTCATCTTCATCCAACATGCGCTTGAGAATCTTCTCCAACCGGTCTTTGCTGACGATGGAGAGAAGGATTCGATTTCCTTTTCCTCTCTTTCGAATGTTGGCCATGTTTCTCTCTGCCAAATCAGCTCTGTTGTGAAGGAACCAGTCAACTCGCTTCTTGAATGAGGGAAGCTTGTTCATCAGCTCGGGTTCCAATGTTGCCGTAGCATAAAGAGGAATCAAGCCGACAAGTGATCGCACAGGCAGTTGTTGGATATAAGGGCCACCCCAAGAGATGGCATCATAGTAGAAGCCGTCTTCTTCATTCCAAAGCGACTTCTCATCAGTTGAACCCGTTCTGAAAGTCATGGCATCGCTGATAAAGATGAAATGCTCAAAGAACTTGGAGGCAATGTCTTCGTAGATTCGACGATGCTTGGCCAACTCTAGAGCGATGTTGAGCATGGATAAACAAAAGAATGCCATCCATCCAGTACTGTCAGCTTGCTCCAGCACACCACCAGTTGGGAGTGGTTCCGATCGGTTAAAGAGACCAATATTGTCTAGTCCCAGGAAACCTCCTTCGAAGACGTTTTTGCCATCGGCGTCTTTACGGTTAACCCACCACGTAAAGTTCAACAGCAGCTTCTGGAATACACGCTCGAGAAAGTCGAGATCCTGGCGCCCGTAGAGTTTGCGTTCAATTTTGAAGACTCGGAAGGTTGCCCATGCATGTACCGGAGGATTGACATCGCCAAAATTCCATTCGTACGCAGGGAGCTGCCCGTTGGGATGACAGTACCATTCTCGTGTAAAAAGATCCAGCTGCTTCTTTGCGAAGTCGGGATCAATCATGGCAAGGGGAATACAATGAAAGGCACTGTCCCAAGCTGCGAAGAATGGATACTCCCAGGAATCAGGCATGGACAAGATATCGTCACAATGCATGTGCCGCCACTGCTCATTTCGAATAGTTTTCCGCTCTGGAGGAGGAGGAGGAAGACCAGGATCGCCATTGGCCCACTGATTCCATACAAAGTGGTAGTATTGCTTGGTCCACATCATCCCTGAGAATGCTTGACGCTGGATATTGCGTAAATCGTCCGTCATCGGGAGCGGACTGATTCTGTAATAGAACTCGTCAGCCTCCTCAATACGCTTTTGAATAATGTCGTCGAATTCTTCCTCATCCAGATAAGCCTGGTTTCTTCTGGTAAATCGGAAACGGACAACTAGATAACGTGTAAGTTGATAGCACCGCTACACAGAGCGAATAGATTGCTTACCGGCACATTCTCCGGGGGCGACACCTCCATCTTCATTGAAGCTAAACCATGCTGCACACTTTGTACCCTTTTCAGCAGGGTTGACGGCCCCCTTCTCGCCATTGACGATGTACCGATGGAACGCATCCTTCACATATGGCTGCTTGTTTTCTTGTTCGTATAGGGCAGCGAAATTGGTGTCGTTTTCGGTATAAATAAGCTCTGGCAGGACATCCTCGCCTGTAGAACCGACTCCAGGGGATGGTGATAGTAGAAAGTGTCGTTCGCCTAGGCTCCAGTGGCGTGTACGGGCACACAGTTCATTCACATTCGTGATTGTGGGCTTCTTGTCATCTGTTTCATGGCCCCAGCTCCAAGTGTTGCGAAACCAGACCTGGGGAATGATGTGAAGGGGTGCTGGATCAGGACCGCGGTTCCATGCTGTAACACGGAAGAGCATCTCATCTGGATCATCTGATTCCTTGGCTGTTTCGATGAAGATATCCCAGTATCGGTTGTCTTTGAAGGCGCCACTGTCTAGAATATTGTACTCGTCTTGGGTTCGGTCTCGCTTTGCGTTTTCCTGTTTAAGATCTTCATAGGGAAACTCTGCCTGAGGATATTTGTACAAGAACTTCATGTAGGAGTGCTACAGCTGGTTAGTATTAGTATCGTATCGCAAGATGGATGCTAAGTACCGTCTATTGTTCGCGTTAGTGTAAGTATACTGTAACTTGTCACTCTCAAATACTTACAGGTGTGTTATCAAGATGGAAGTGTGCCTCCTTGATACTCTCGCCATGGTTGCCCTGAGGGTTGGACAAGCCAAAAAGACGTTCCTTGAGGAACTCGCTAAGATACAGTTAGCCATCGTATGGAACTCTGGAATCTCATGATGACCTACTCTTTCTCATTCCAAAAGCTGAAACCAATGTTTTCCCAGCCATGGGTGTCGCACACGCCCGCAATACCGTCCTCGCCCCAACGGAAGGCTCTCGATCGGGCGTGTTCATGCGGGAAGTCTAAATATAACTAATTAGCTACTAATTACTATATGGGGCCAAAGAATCTGTACTTACGACTCCAAGCGTCTCCATCGGGACTGTAGTCTTCGCGGACTGTGATGTATGTTAGTTAGAAGATACCATGGCGGGGTGTTGGAGTGGCGGTACCAGTAGCCCATTGTCTCTCAGAAACGTAGGGACCCCATTTCTTCCAATACTTTTTGCGTTCGCGATCCTCCTTCAATCGCTTCTCTTCCGCGGTCAAGTACTCATGTCCATCAAAAACCACCATGTTGCTGATTGAGCTTAAGCTTTTGGAGCTATGGTGTTCAGGGCGATGACAGCCTGAGAGCTACAGGCAAAGGTGCTTGAGCAGCGGTTCAACGAAGCTGTGTTGTAGAAATGGCCCAATCCGAAACAAGCTTGCAGTTGGATCTTCGAATAATTAAGCCAGCTGCAAGATGCAAAGTTTTGATGAAGAAGTCGAAAAGGAAAAAAAAAAGATGGGCGGAAAGAGGCAGAGGGGACTAGGGTCTGACAGAAGCGGGCAAGCAATCGTCGGACGGTGGGTGCGTCCGATAAAAGCGCAGCCCACTTTGTGATGCGCACATCCGCTATGACGGAAGCACCACAATTTCATACGTGGTAACAGGATGCGGGGACTTGGAAGTAGAAAACTCAAAAGAGCGAATAGCAAAATAAAAGCTGTGAGAAGAGGAGAATATTATTAGATTTTCTAGTATTATGTCGATACAATATATAATCTATTATACCAACAAATGATAACAGGCTCCGAGGGTCAACATTGCTGTCGATTGGCGTTAGCGCAACTGCAGGGGATGGAGCGCCACTGCACAACGGATACAGTGAGTTGCAATACGTCAGAAGGTGCTATTGCAGGCCCGGAAGATATGTCCGAGATAAGGCTACAGTACTAAAAACTTGTGCATATTACGAGAGTGCTATTTGGGCGATGGATTTTCGCTCCTACATGTGTCGAGCCAGATAGTTGAGGTATCTACAGAATAATTGAACGGATTATTCCTTACTAGAATCTGATACTGCGTTGTCATGCGATCCTCCCAATTGTCCGGACCTGGATCTGCCCCTTGTCTTTGATTTACACTGTCACAGTGGGCGGATTTTCGGAGTACATATATCGCAGTATTGACATGGACAGCGTATCTGACTACTCAGTTTGCGGCTCCAATAACGCATACCATCATCTCAACGTCTAATGTAGCTTTTAAGAATAGAAACAATGGCGAGCAGCCGTCCCACGCCCCAGATGTGCACTCTACTCTGCAACACCCCATCAGACCGCCTCAGCATATACCCACCACCATCAACACTACCAACACCTTGTTAAATCCTGACGAGGGCTGACCTCTGTTCTGTGTTCTAGGATTGGCCAGATGCAAAAGTCTACTGTAGCAAATCGGATCCGCCCGTGGCTTACGTCTCCTTTGAGACGTTTGCTTGTGGCTTAGCGGGCCGTTGACGAACCAGTCTACCAACTCCTTTATAGTTTGCAGTACGCAAAGGACCAGCATCAAATTAACAAAATTCGGTAATAATACTGCTGGGGTGTATTTCCTCGCTAAACGGAATTGAAACATTTTTGATTTTCACCTAAACCTACATCCAAGGCCTTTTTCTGGAGAGCCAATAATTAAAGTTCGCCGCACGCCTCTGTAGTGTTTGGCATGTGCTTGAGCCGGCTTAGGCCCATTGGTTCCCCTATCTGCTTCGTGGCTGGGCGCCGGACTTGCCGCCTGCGAAATCCTCCCCCCAATGGCCCGACCAGCTCCGCCACATGTTAAGGTGGCTTCATCTCTGGTTTTCCTTGTTCACGGCGCATCAGGTGCTGCGCCAACCAACCCGAACCCATTTTCTAGCCAATTTCCGCAGCATCAGGCATACTCTTGCGCTCTTCACTCGCTTTTCTCTAACTGATTTCGATACTTGTGCATCGTCTTTACATTAAGCCCCGTACCTCCCGCGGTCTTTTTCGCTTCGTTCGCCGGCCGCTCGTTTAACAGCCAGTCGTCGTCACCAGCCAACATGGCTAGCACAGGGGGCCTTCTGCGCCGACTGACTGTCGAATCTCCTCCTGGAGAATGGATTCTTAACCAATTACGAGATATCCTCATTGGTGCTCTTAAGCAAGGTCGCGTCCCGCAGCACGTTGCGTTTGAGATGGATGGCAACCGACGATACGCTAGAAACCGTCGTATGGAAACTATCGAGGGCCACCATCATGGCTTCGAAGCTCTTGCAAGAGTAAGACCGTCAGACGCGTAATTTGATGGACAATACTAATTGGCACTATATTTAGATTATGGAAGTTTGCTACAAGACCGGTGTCAAGGTCGTTACTGTCTACGCCTTTAGCATCGAAAACTTCAACCGACCGAAATACGAGGTCGAGGGACTTATGCAGCTAGCCAAGGTTAAGCTTGAGCAGCTTACAACATATGGAGATATCCTTGACCGATACGGTGCCAGTGTACGAGTTCTGGGCCAACGTGAAATGATTCGAGACGACGTTTTAAAGGTGGTCGACAAGGCCGTCGCGAGAACCAAGCACAACACCCAGTAAGAATCCGAATTACTAGCGATCTGTTGTCTTCTGACAGTCACAATTACTAACATATAATACAGAGCGGTTTTGAACATCTGCTTCCCATACACGTCTAGAGCCGAAATTACGACTGCTATCCGAACGACGGTCGACGAGTTTCTCGCCCCTCCCCCTCGCAAGAACACGCCTTTCTCACCTTCCCGTATCCGACAAAAAGTTCTCTCAACACATCTCGAAGAGCGCGAGACTCTTGCTACCATTAAGGATGAATCGCCAGACGAGAGGGCAGAGACAGCTGAAGACATTGACGGAGACTCTTCGTCGACAACTCTATTGCCCGATTCACCGGAACCGCGGCGCCAGAACAAGGCAGATTCTGGAAATTCTGTCAAGTTACCCAGCCCCGAAACCATTACTACGGAGACCCTCGAGCGACATATGTATACCGCCGCAGATCCGCCTTTGGACATATTTGTCCGAACAAGTGCGGTCGAGCGACTGAGCGACTTCATGCTGTGGCAGTGCCACCAAAACACGCAAATATTCTTCCTCGATTGCCTCTGGCCAGATTTTGATCTCAAACACTTCGTATGGGTCTTGCTCGAGTGGCAATGGCGGCAAAAGAAGACTGAGCGTGACGGACGGGCTGTCACGTCTGTACCAGGCGCCAAGACCCAGCGTCTTGTTGATTGATCTGGCAACCACATGAGCACACAAGTTCCTTGATTACTATCGCATAGCGTTGTTGGCTACTCTGGCCAATCATTGTGCTATTTCGTTCTTTGAAAAAATCTATCCTTTTGTCGAATTTTAACGCATCGTCTTGAAAAACTATCTGATTTAGAGCCGAGCAGCTGAGGTGCTGTGGCGATGGCGTCAGGTGGGTAAGGCCCTGTTTCTGTATGGAGCGAATAAGCTGTCTATAAAGAATAATAAACTCTTCTTTCTTCATTATTTTATTTCAGTAGTGCAATTCTACGATGTCACATGTGTGGCTGTTAGCAGCTGCACTCTTATTATTGTTTCCCACGGCGCAATATAGCTGATGACGCTGCGCGTGCTGTAGGAGGCTTGACAGCTGGCGCTGGAGCGTAACGTAGCGGGCGCTACAGCGGGGACAGCGGACTACAATTGTGCAGTGCGTCCACCGGAGACGGCGTGTCGTTTTCCCAGCCCTGGCCAATCAGACCCCACCAACTCGGCTCACACACTCCTCTCTCCCACAGCGGAAGATCAGCGCCCTTTGCTTTGGCTGCTACTCGCCGTGCTCCCCCAAATTCGTCCATTCCGCTTCCTTTGCTCACCTTCCCACCCGTCACCCGCCTTTTCTCTCTCCCCTCTCGCAGCTCACCCAATCTTTTGCGGCCCCCCGAGCATGGATTGCGTGGAACATGTCCTAGAACAGCTTACAATCCTATTTTAGCACGTCGTTATTCCAATCCAACGCACCAACTACCCACCACCGCGCTGCCGCAGTTCTCTGCCGTCTCCCGTCGCGCAGACCCTCCAAAATCGACTCTCCCGACCGACTCCAACAATCCCAATCACAGGCGTCATCGCCGCCATGAAGTCTGCAAAGCCCATCATGGCCGATTCGTCATCGCAAAGACGGGCACAGCCTGTTCGACAGACCAGAACCAACCCTCCTCGCGCCTCTCTCCTCGCTGGCCGCCCGAGCGGCTCTGCCGATGACCTCTTTTCTCGACCACCAGGCGATCAACCCATCGACATCTTCCCAGCTATAACACACTTTGCCGATACTGTCACGGCCTTACCGCGAGAGCTCGTCCGCCACTTTACACTTCTCAAGGAGGTAGATGCCAAAATCTTCACTCCTCAGGAACAGCTTTTCAAACTCGTCTCGGCTGCCACCAGCGGCGAGTTCCCAGAGTCGCGACCAGCCCCAGATGCAACGAGCAATGCTGCCCCGACCTCGGCACCAATGAGTGCCCAGGGCAGTTCACATAGCCACGCGCCAAATGGTACTCCCTTACCCGGTCCCCCGGACGATTCGACAGCTGCCTTGGGTGTCTTCGACCCTTCCAACATCCCTAAGAGGCAGCTCTACAGACAAATTGCTTTCAAAATCCAGGAAATGCTGGTTTCTCTGGAGGAAAAAAACCATGTCATCTCTACAGCCAACGATGCCCTACAGCGGCAGTTGGCGCGTGTCAATGATGTGTGGCCGTACCTGGAGAACGAATTCAGCGACGAAGCCAAATGGGGCAGTACCACACATTGGGCGTATCCTGAAAATAGAAGCGGCCGATCTCAGCCGGAGAAGTTGAGGCGCGACGGTGCCGCTGCCATTTCAGCAGCAGCTCAAGCCCTCGCCGACGAGGCTGCTGCGCGAAGCGATGCCAGGAAGCAGGCGCTTCAGGCCAAACGAAGCATGAAGAACAACCAGTTAGAATCAGACATGGATGATCTTGACAAGCCGAAAAAATCTAGCAAGGCCAGACGCGCAACTGATAACGATAGTGTGGGTTTGGGCATCAGCGGTGCCGCCAACGGTAACCCCCAAAAACGACGCAAAACAGAAAAGGGTATCAATGGAGGTGTTGCAATGGAGCGCTCTATTAGCAGTGCCCTCAGCGCAGCATCGAAAGCCAAGACTGGAAGCCCGCGGGGGACACCAGCCCCCGACGGAGCAAAGAAGCGCAAAGCTCTACCTACGGGCGGAGCACAGACAAAGAAGAAGTAAGCACGAAATCAATTTGGTAATTTTGATATTTAACGAATGTCTTGCTAACAAAATTTTTGCTATAGGAACGGCTTACCAACGAAAACGCCGTCTGCCGTTTCTTCTCCAGTGCTCGGCTTGCACCCCGATCCTAAAGCTCGTGGCTCTCCAGTCATGACAAGTGCGCCTCGCCCTACGACCTCTCGAGCACGACAAAACTCTATATCCGAGCATGGCAAACAGCGTCCGCTGTCTTCTGCTTCTAATCAGGTCAATGGCAATGCAGCCGTTGCCTCGGACGAAGCTAGTACAAATGGCGCTAGCCGAGCTGATGCAGTGGCAAAGGATAGTGCTGCGTCAACGAAGTCCGAATCTGTCAAGGGCGAAAATGAGGCCACTGAAACTGCCCCAGTCTATCAGCCATCAAGTAGAAGGGAGAGTAGAACCGAGGACGTAGTCCCTAAGGTTGAAACCGCCGTTCAACCTCCGATACCTCCGACTGTTACAACCAAGAGCGGACGAGCGAGTAAACCGTCTACCCCAGCAATTGCAACATTTCAGGAAGCTGCATTGGCTCGATCGACAAGGACAAGAGAGAGCAATGGTGTTCGCAAGAGTCACAAGAAGACGAATTCGTCGGCTAGAATTAGTGCCCAGCTTGCCGAGCAGGACAATGGGCGCATTCAGGAAGATGATGAAGAAGGTGACATTGATGGCGACGAGCCCACGTACTGTTACTGCAATAGCGTCAGCTACGGCGAAATGGTGGCTTGCGATTCAGACGACTGTGCTCGAGAATGGTTCCATCTTGCTTGTGTGGGATTGAAGGTCGCACCCGGTTCAAAGAGTAAGTTTACTACCATGCATTCCGATTTTGTCAATCATCTTCTAACAATGTAACAGCAAAATGGTATTGCGAAGACTGCAAAGAACGCCTCAAGCTCAATGGCAAGAAGACTGGCTCTCGATAGCAGATGACAACGGACGTGGACGTGGGGATGCTAATCAAACAGAGAGATGGCGGTGTTTTATATTTTGGTTATGATGAGGCGTTCAATTTGATCTATGGCTTTGTATCTGGACTGTTTGCTTTCTCTGCGTTTCAATTGAGAGCAAAGAAGATCACCAATTGTGCATAGTGGTTTGCTCAGGACTGATGACGGCGTACAGCATGGATCGCATGCTCTGTGGCTGTCTTTGTATTCACAGATTTTGCAGGATCCTTGGTTTGTGGAAAAAGACATTTCTTATAATTGCATTTATGTATAGTCTATTATAGGCACTTCCCTATTTAAAATCGAGACGACTCAAGAAATAGCTGTATAGTGAATCGTTCACCTGTGAAAGGTGTTTTGTGCTTGCCGCTGAGCCCAATGCCACAGGATATAGTAACTGAGCTAGGCTAGCCAATTAAATTCTGGCGGTGTCGTAAGGTTCCGGCTTAGCGGGACGAGGCGGCCAGAAACGACAGGCGGTGGGCGCGATGACTAAGGTGGGCAGAAAAAAAAGTGGCAGGCGCACGATATCTTTACCTTATCGGGTGTAGCGGTATTGAAGAAAAAATTAACACCAAACTACAGACTGTCGACAATTAGCTAAGATGAGGTATGTTACTAGCCAAAGCTGCTATTTATACATTATAAATCAAATATATCCTCTGGAAACCGTCGACTAACCCATGTAATAGAGTTGATCCGTGTTCGTTCTGTGGACGGCCCTCCTACCCGTCCAAGGGTATCACGTTTGTTCGTAACGATGGTAAGAAAACTTGCAATCCAGAGAGCTTATTTGCGGTGCAGACATACTCAAAGAGCTCTAAATTCATTGTCTCAATGCCGTATAACTAACACGGACGTGTATAGGCAAGTCGTTCCGATTCTGCCGATCAAAATGCCACCGCAACTTCAAGATGAAGCGTAACCCTCGCAAGCTCAAGTGGACAAAGGCACACCGCCGCAATGCCGGAAAGGAAATGGTGGTGGACAGCACACTGCTCTTTGGCCAGCGCCGCAACGAACCCATCCGCTACGACCGCGACATTGTCGAGAAGACGCTGTCGGCCATGAAGCGTATCAGCGAGATCCGCTCCCGCCGCGAGCGTGTCTTCTACAAGAAGCGCATGGCTGGCAAGCGCGAGAGAGACCTCGCCACGGCACGCAAGCTTGTTGCCGAGAACGAGCACCTGCTCCCCCGCATGCGTGGCAGCGAGAAGAAGAGACTGGCGGAGATGGGCGCCACCGAGGAGGAGATCGAGGCCGAAGAGGAGACAAGAACAAACAAGAGCTCCGTCTTTGGAAAGGAGAGACGCCGTGTCAGAATCCAAGTCGATGGAGACGAGGAGGAGGTTGGCGACGACATGGACATGGACTAAAGCGGACGCCGTGGTGGTGGACTCGACGCATACTTTGCATGGTGTTTACTGTTTGTTGGAAGCATTTCTTTTTTTGGTTGGGCCTTTTAGGCTGGAGCTGCTGCACGGATATAAAAAGAAACCGGCCCGTTTTGTGTTTTTTTCTCACCCTTTGCTACATTGTTTGTTTTGCCTTGGCCTCGCGTTTTCACGACTCTTGTTTAGTTTTTCTTGTCGTTGCCGGGTGTATAGAAGGGGCACGGATCTTTACGATGATACAAATACAAAAGTTTTATCAAAGCCATTAATTTCTTGATTGTGCTGGGCTTGTTAGTAGTATGGAGTGTTTGCTTTGATAGCGGTCCTAGCTTCCATGGGTTGATTGTGGTGGATGTAGTTGCCGGGTGTCTGGTATACATATCACTTGGCGAAGCGTACTTGAAAATGGACCCTGTATGCATACAAAGCGAAACGGAGCGCCTCTCTTAGCTATGGAAGAAAAGCTGAAAGAAAGAAGAGAGACAGCATAAAAGAGCTGAATGATTCGCCTCGTCTCTAACAGGAGTAGACAAAGTAATCTCGCTGGAAGCTTGCCATATCCACGCCACCTTCTCAGATTTACGCTAGCCAATGGCTAACCCTCAATCTTGTATCTACATATTATAGCCAATAGCATTCTTTTGAAAGCTTCTATAAACAGCTGTACATCCACGATCTACCGCCATCTTGCTGGCCCATTGCGCAACCAGCGGCGGGCGGCTGGCTTCGGATGCGACTGAAAAGTGGGCACCGACAGCCGGCGCCTGCCCAAATTGTCGGCGTCGGCGGCTCCCGAGCATCTGCAACGCAGCAGCGCAAAATGCCACTGAAAGAGACAGCTGGGCGGAGTTGCTGGCTGGTCGACACTGTGCAGAAGATGCTGCAACTCGCTACAATATGGCGCTGCACTGTAGCGTGCGCTAGACATGCCCTTACAGCGGAGAAGCTCCAGCAGCCGACAGCAACAGTAGCAACACGCCGTAATCTGGGGGCAGATCTCTGCCATCGGCCGGCCATTGCATGGGTTTTATAGAAGTGACAGATATGTTTCTGCCATTGGCTACTCTTGTAATAGCACAACGTGATGGCCATTAACGCAGTGCCACTCTACCACAGACCCAGCAGCTCTACACGACTTCAATCGGAATCCCCAACAATTCTTCTCCTCCTCTGGCGAAAGCGGGGGAAAGGGGGCGTCTGGGGGGAAACGAGGCGGCGGGGTGGTTTTGCCTTGTACCAAAAAAGTGTAAGCATCGTGAAGCGTTGCTAATATTGGAGTGTAAAGCGGAGAGAGCCAGCAGCCGCTTGGTCTTGTGACTGCTTATTTGGGGCCCCTTTTTAGGCGGCTTCCCCCTTTACCCCAGATTTTGATGCCGACGTGTTCACTTTTGTTGGCTGAAATGTTTTACCATGTTTTTCCATTTCTGTGTTTGACAGTGCATCGAACCATGGAGGTGGCTAGAGGACGGAGTCCGTAGCAGTGCATCCAATATATGGTAATTGCCCGCCTAACCCAACAGTAGTAAGACAAACACTGCAGACTAAACTGCACTTCCAAAAGCACAAGCTTCTGCAGCAGTTCGTAGATGGACGCTGCAGATACACGTACACACCGATGTTTCCAAGATCCAGACCCAACCAAATTTGCTGAAATAGATGATGCCGAGACACGCACCCATAGCCCAGGGCTTATTCTTCATGTAGGCGCACGCATGGGCGCAGCGCACCGTCGCATCCGGCGTCTCAGACCCTGAACCCGTTCCCAGCACCCACCCACTAGGCTTGGGGGGGCTCGCATCGGCAGAGAGGGCGGTGCTAGCAGGTCACGCGGCGCCCAAACACGACTAACGTAACGTTAAAGCGCCCTAAGCTGAGTTGAGATGGAAGAACCCCCCCACTGGCCTAAAGCAAGTGCCTGACTGAGGGTGCATACGCGAAAGGCTAATTGGTCGACACCACCAATTGAGCGTAGAGGGCCAATTGCTTGTCCTTGCGAGATACCAGTAGAGTCGTCGTCAATGGCAGCAGCTAGCGAGCCACTGACAGCTCTGGGCCACTATAATACAGGGCTTGCAGTAATACCAGCACCAGGGGGGCTTGTAAAAGGGAAAAGAAAGGCTGCTCAGCTGACCGATCTGATCTGTCCCCGGCGCCGGGGTCAACGGTGGTAATGCAGTTTGGCGCACTGTCCAAGCTAGACTAGGGCAGGCTACAGCGGAGGCCTAGGAAAAGCTTTCACCGAGAATACTGTGCTGCGCTGCGCTGCACAGGCCTTGGCTTTTTACGACGCTGCGGCAAGTCAGGGAGATGCTTACAACCTTTCAGGGCGGTAAAGAACTGAATAGGAGACGAGAGCGAGCTGACAGTCCATTGACAGCTGGCAACTGGTGGAATGCAAATTAAAGCCCATGTCGTGGTGTTGCACAATGACACCCGTATGGAGGCCGTGAGTGAGGAGGGGCCTATTTAGGTAGGTGCTACGATGCACTATAGAAGGAGTCTGCACTATAACACAGCACTAGCACTGGCACTGGCACTGTCTTGCTATTGGGAACAGCCAAAGAAGACAACAAAGCAGCAGTAGCCAGCTCCCCATAAATCCTTCTAGAATAGAGAGAAACTCTGAAGATCAGTAAACCATGACGGGGGGGGTCTACACAGTAACAGCAGCAGAAACCACACCAGCCTTGGCAGTGAGAAAACAGAGCCAAACGCTGCGGATTACTCGGAGTCCAGCGGCCTAATGCAAGTGTGTTTTTCTTTAGCGTCATACAGTGTCGCGTCTCGGGGTTTCCAGTTTTTTGGGAGGCGCTGTGCCCCGGAATTCGGGCAACGTGGGCGCTAGCATGCCTGCGTATCGTTTTTTTTTTGCGGCGCCACCTGACCTCCCTTGCTGGTGCTCACTGTGCAGCGCCACTGAAGACGGTCGCCCCCCGGCCTGCGACGGCCCTTGTCTCGCCCCAACTTTACAAGGCCGCCGCCGAAAAAAAAAAAATAGAGGAGCCTCCCCCCCAAAACCTTCTCGAACTTCCCAGGCACCCCGTGATCCGTTTTGTTTCCTCTTATTACCAGAGACCCCGGATTTGCATTTGTGGCTAAAAGGTTCAAGACTGATTCTTGTTTTTTGCCACTGCACTGCTCCTACCCAACATTGTTGTTTCGCGACGCTGCCTTTATACGCTGCCTTTGCTGCTTCAGGCCGGTTTCGTCTACACTTACAGCCCACCTCCAACGAACACCCATACGAAAACGACCGACGACAAGCGACGACACCCCTCCTTGCCACAACCACGCCGATTCTAGTTCTTGTTGCAAAGTACAACAGACGATACTACGAATAGTTCAACTTCTAGCAGCTTGACAGCTTCACTACTCTGCTTTTCTCCCAACGCCGTGGCCGCCGTCCCTTCTCCGGCCGCCACAGCAATACTAGCCTCACTTCCAATCCCATCCGCATATCAGCTGCTTTGCCATGGCTGTACCAAACGGAGATGGACGCCGCCGCGTGCTCGACTTTGACACGTCCATGCTGATCAAAGGTTCCAGCATGGCCCGAGCCATGTCGCCTTTTTCAGAGGCTACCAACACCTCTCGCTCCTCCTTCTCTTCGGTCCGCGAAAACGACGACGGCGTTGCCCAGACCTTCACCCGCTCCAAGATCTCCTCCTATACTGACGTTCCCGAGGAAGTCTTTGACGAATCTCCTTCCAATGAACTGCCACAACCTACCTTCCAGGCACCGCTCACCCAACCACAGAGCAAGCTTCATGGCTTTTGGTACCCCGCGGAAGGCTTCAAGGGCTGGAAGGAGATCCCCATCAAGGGCAAGCCAGCCAGCCGCAGCTGCGAAGACCTTCACAAGCTGCACATGACGTGGGATACCCCAGCACCCGAAATCAAGAGTGAAGAGGTGTACCCTCTGTCTGCGGCTCCCCTTGAACGGCTCCCCAGCGAGGTTCTCGGCGCCATCATCGACCTCTTGGTTGTCGAGATCCCTCCCAACGGCCTGACCACCCGCAACACCGACTTGATGTCGCTCCTTCGTACATCCCGAACTATCCACGCTGCCACCCTTGCGACGCTCTACCGACACATTACCATCCCTCACTCCCGCATCTTCCGCAAGTTCCTTAATACCGTCACCCAATACCCCGCTCTGGCCACCGTTGTACGACGCCTCGACTTCAGCCACTTCAACCCCTCCATGCTCTTCAGTACCGCAGCTGAGCGCGCTCAAACCCAGAACCTAACCGCCGATACTCTTCTGCAGTGCCTGAACTTGACTCACTACTTGCAAGAGTTCCTCGCCCAGGACTACGTCACCGAAGATCTTGGCCCGGATGTCCTGCGCAAGCTGTTCTTTGGCCTGCCTAACTTGCAAGCCATTGACTTCTGCGCATGCTCGTCCAAGTTCTATACCAGCTCCATGCTGACCATCCTTAACGACCCTTGGCCAGATGTGCTCCCCATCACCAAGATTTCCTTCCACAAGAACATGGGTCTTCCGCCTGCAGTTTTTGAAACGATTCTGCCTCGCCTGCCCAAGCTCACTCACCTTGACCTGACTGGCACCCGCGTCACCGACAAGGCTCTTCTGTCCATCCCTGACACTGCCAGAATTACCCACTTGAACCTCACCAAGTGCAAGGAGCTGTCCTCTGAGGTTGCCGTCAAGTTTGCGACTTCACACCCCTCCGTTGTCGACTCTCTTGTCTTCCTCAGCCTCGCCACCGATCCCATCACCCACCTGCTTCTTGGCAAGGCCGATGTCGATGCTCTTCTTCCCGCACTCCCCCGAACCCTCAAATCGCTCAACCTCCGAGGCAGCCGCATGGATGCTTCCCACGTCCCCGAACTCATCCGCCTGTCCCAGTCTCTGGAGGAACTAGCAGTCGGTCGTGGTCTCGCTATGAACGACATCCACCGCCTGTTCTACCACGAGGGCCAGTGGCTAACCCACAACCTGCGCTTCATCGACATTTGCGACATTGAGACCATCATTGGCAGCGCCAGCACTCTGCTTGCACCGGCATCTGCTCCTCTCCTCGTAGTAGAGATTGCGGAGCGTGCCTACGAGCGTGCCGCCAAGCTCAACAAGAACCTTCAGCGAGTCGGCTGGACAGCCAAGGAATTCCGCTCCCGCTACTGGCTTGTTCGCACCAACGGCAACGCTGGTGTGCGCGACTCTGGTGCCCGCTGGTGGAAGATGGGTGCGGAGAGCTGGGGAATGCGCAAGATCCCCGTCGCCGTCGCTGAAGTTGGCGGTGTTTACGGCTCTTACATGTTTGGCGAGCGCATCTAATCATTCCTCCGTACCACTCACAACCCACTCTACTCCTACTTCTTCTTCTTCTTCTTCTTCTCCTGTAACGATACGACCGAAGATTTTGCATAGCGCGCGTGCCATTGTTTCTTCACGATCCGGGCACTCTTGCTCTGCGACACAAAACACACCTCTTCAACGTTTTTCACAAAAGCATTGCACCTACGATACCTACAATATCTCCTGTTCTTTCTTCTTCTCACGACTATGTGTTCCTTAGCGATTTTGGAAAAGTGTTGCTTTTATTCTGACGGTTCTTGTATTGTGATCAAACAAAAAAGGGCAACCTGTGGAATATCAAAAAAAATAGCCACGGCAATGGCGGGAAAAAGTTGGGGGTTGAATCGCAATGGTATACATGACTGGCGTTTTTGGCTTCTGCTTTTTTCAGAATGACATCTATCTGCATGGAATACGTCGATACGCTTTAATGAACAGTTCTCAGTATTAGTAATATTGTATACGTTTAAACATCTACTTCATCTGCCATACAAGTGACTTTAAAACTGCTTCGACATGGAACTCGTAGAACCAGACTTCATGCTTGGGGGACGATCCTCGGCCTTGGATCCCCATTTAGACTCTTCGCTTCCAAGAGTCAACTCGAGCGTGCCGCCGTTGGTGAAGAATTCATGAGACAGCCACGACTTTGTCCAAGGCTCGCCATTGAGCGTGGCGCTCTGGATGTAAATGTTCTTGTATGCGGCGTCGAAACCCTTGCATTTGACAGTTGCCTTCTTGCCAGTGATGGGGTGTGTGAGGCTGATTTCCTCCATGAATGGCGGGTTGATGAGGTACACATTCTGGCCGGCAACGGGGAATAAACCAAGCACCGAGAAGAAGAAGAAGGCTCCCATGGCACCGGAGTCGTCGTTTCCAGGCAAGCCGCCAGGTGTAGCGTTGAACGACTTGGGGATGTACGTGTGGATGCGCTTCGCCGAGAGCGCAGGACGGCCAGCATAGTGGTACATGTAGACGGTGAGGAAGACAGGCTCGTTGGAGATGTCTGCAAGGCCAATGGTGTGGAAGTAGTCGAGACGCTTGATGAAGGCGTCATCGCCACCAAGAAGCTCGATCAAGGAAGCCGAGTCGTGAGGAACATAGCTAGACAGACAGTTGTTAGTCAATTTATATCTAGAAATATAAGTATAGCGTCAAAGACTTACAAGAGATACTGCCAGACACTGGCCTCAAAGGTCTCGCTGGGGTTAGACGTCAATGAACAGAAACCAGCGAGAGCAGAGCAGGCAATGGGATCCTGGTATCCCCAGGTACCATTTTGATACTTGGGCTGGAAGAAGCCCTTAAAGCCCGTGTCGGTTCCGTTAATGAGCGAGACCTGGTCGGCCTTCCAGAGGTTGCGCCAGTTCATGCTGGTGCGCAGGAACTTGGACTCGACGTCCTTTTGGCCCATACCGCCCGCCATGCTGGCAATGCAATAGTCATCGTAGGCATACTCGAGTGTTCTGGAAATACTGCGAGAATTTGTGCCGAAGCCAGCAGGGTCAAAGTCGAGGTATGGGATATAGTCCAGCTTCTTCCAGCTAGCAAGGCCACCGCGGCCATGGAACGACCACTCTAGCGGCTCGTTCTCCGCATCATTGATGACGGCTTTGAGAGCAAGGTCCCAGTCGATAGTTGAGCTCAGATTCTTGACGTAGGCGTCTGCAATGACAACGTCTGCGTTGGAGCCGCCCTGTGTCCAGCCGTTGCAGAATGACATGTGACAGTCTGGCAGCCAGCCATCGTACTTGTAAATATCGAGCAGCGTGTTGACCATTTGAATCTGAGCGTTGGGATCGACGAGCGTCAAGAAGGGGTGCTGGACACGGAAGCTGTCCCAAATGCTGTGTATCCTGTCAGTATATCATGCTTCACCACTCTCTTTGTGTTGAGCCTTACCAGTAGAACGAGTCAAAGTACGGTCTGCTAGAATCCCAGTGAGGGTTCTCGCCCGTGTAATTCTGCGGCGCAATCATGTTTCTGTACGCACCGCTCCAGAAGCTCTTGAGGATATTGTCGCTAGCGCCGCCGCTCTTGACGGAGATGGGGCTCAGCTTCTCGCGCCATGCATTCTTAGCCGCTCCCACCAGACGATTGAAGTCCTCAAGAGGCTTGGAAATTTCCTTTTCAGCATTGCTGCAGGCCTGGCCGACGCTTTTGAAGCTCATGCCCATGCGGACGGTAAGCTTGCGATCAGCACCTGTCTTGAAGCGCGCGTAACCACCAGCCTCCAGGTAAAACAGGTTGAAGCCACGAGTAACATAGAGCTGCTTGGGTTCGTCACCAGCTCGATTGTTCACCCAGACGCCAGTATCGTGGACGTCTGCGCCAAAGAAGTCGGTGCAAAAGTGCATCTGGTACGAGCCGGCGCCAAAGGACGGCAAGAATGTGCCGTTGCCCGTCATGCGGCCCGTCTTTTCGTCAATTCGAATCGAGGCATTCTGTCTGCTCTGCCACAGATCGGTCAAGTCCAGCATCACTAGCGGGTGCTCGTCGCCTGGCGGAAACGTGAATTCGTAGAGAGCAGCATGCTCAGAGACCGTCATCTGCGCTTTAATGCCCGTCTCCAGCTCGAGGGCAAAGAGACCGGGTGTAGCCTTGACCGAGTCGTTAACATAGTGTCTCTTGCGGTCTCCAATGCGAAAGGAGCAGCTGTTGAGGTCGTCGCCGGGGCAGATCTGCGGAAAGATGGGGAAGTTGCCCAAGCTGGGGTTTCCACCGGTGCCACTATCGTGGACGCTGGAGAAGCCGGTGACGTTGCTGCCGTCGGTGCCAAAGCCGCCTGTATTTTGGCCGTCGACATCAGCAACGGCTTTGGCGAGGCCGTACGGGAGAGTGGCGCCCGGGAAGACGTTTCCGCCGTTTTGCGTGCCGATGAGGGGGTCGACGTACTTGAGCACATCGCATGGCTGCTTGGCACTGGCGATGGCCGGCAATAAGCCGGACAAGAGAATGAGCGATCGTTTCATCTTGAACTTTTTTGGGCGCAATTGGTGCAAATGGATAACGGTTGCAAAAAGCCCTAAAAGAAGAGTGAATTGTAAAAGGGAAAAAAAACAAGATGAAAAAGGTCAGACACGGCTGATCTGCATTTTAATTACCTGAACCTTGCTATTGTTTTCGGCCCTAAAGCTGCTGTATGCGGGGAAGTTTGCACCCATCACAAGCGTCACCCCCACGGCACTATGTAACGTCGGTTTCTGCAGCGATGATCCGTCGTGCAGAGCCTTGTTTTTTTTATTCTGTTTTGCATGATAAGCTCCGTGACTGCTAGAGATGTAGCGCAGGGAATCAGTCTTATATGCAGCGAAAAGATCCATGGTCGTGGCGTGCTCAATGAGTTTGTATACCAATGTTGGATTAGAGTAAATTAGGCGTTAAGGGAACTGGGTGCCTGCCCCTTGACTACGGATAGCTTCCGTCTTCCTGTGCCTTGCCAATAACTGGCTCCAACAGCAGAGGCAGATACTCTGCTGCATCCTGAGCAAAAGCAAAATCCTGTGGCCCAATCTTCCTTAGCTCTTCCTCCGACTCTGCTTCGGGGTTCACGACAACGACGCTGGCGCCTCTCTTTCTGGCGTAGCGGATGTAGCCTGCCGCAGGTTCAACCTGAGCTGCGGTGCCAATAACCAGCATGAGATCCTATTCGTTCCGTAGGGTTAGTAAAAGCATAGATTGTAATTGGAAGACGACTATTCTTTACCACTGTATCCTTCTCCATCCAGGCATCTGCCCGCCTCAACATGGCTTCATCCAGGGTTTCTCCGAACCACACTACCGCAGGCCTCTGCAATCCTGCCTTACACTTGGGGCAACTGGGAAGTTGGTCCCGAGGGATTGGATCGAGGGGAAGTATTGGATTAAGGAGATCCCTCATTTCTTCTGGCGTGGCATCTACCGAGGCTGCTTTCAGTGCCGGACAGAATGGATCGTCGACGTTGCCTCTCTGGACCCAATCGCAGGCATCGTCAGAGCACTTGATGTTGAAAAGGTTACCGTGAAGAGCCATGAGCTGGTCGGGAGGGTGTTGGGCACGCTGAGAGAGGTCTAGCACCAGAATATTAGTATCACTAGAAATTATTTACACATTTTGAAAAACTCATACTGTCAACATTCTGTGTCAAGCACAGAAACTCGGGCCTCTTCTGCGCCAGCGCTGTCAGGGCGTGGTGAGCCGCGTTGGGCTTGGCCTTCAATGCCATGTGGCGACGGTAGGCGTAAAAGAGCCATACAAGTCCTGGATCTCTCTTAAAGGCATTATAGCTTGCGAGTGCAGTCGCATCATAATTTCGCCAGTATCCTCCAGCTCCACGGAACGTAGCCAGGCCAGACGAGGCCGAAAGACCGGCTCCGCAGAGTGCAAGGATGCGGCGACTGGATCGAAGGACCTCGTGAAAAGCCTCGACGTTGTTGTGGCGAGCGGGTACAGCAGACATTATCTTATTTTGAATAGTAGCCGATTGAGCGCTTGAATGAAATAATTCAAAATAAGAGGATTGGCAGACAGACTACTTTTACGTCGATGTCCATGCTACAGACGAGGAGGCAGGCAACCAGATAGGCGCGATAGGCAACAAGGCAGACAGGCAACCGCGGCCGCGGCGTGACGCATTTGTCTGCATGTAGCTAGCAAACAGACGAGCCGCGCCTCTGCAAAATATGACTAGAAACGGAAAGAGGTACCAGGTTGAGGGCTTTCTGAATACTTGGCACGGAGCCGAATTTTTATTTGTAAGGTAACGAATCGCATTCGCAGTCTTATGATGGCTTAACAGATCTAGTCAACAAGTAACTTCGGTGGACTTACATCGCCCGTAAAGTAGGAAGCTGTCAATACATCACGCTCTACTCTATTTTTACTAGAAAAATCCTATAAATAGTATGTGTTCTGTGAATGGGGATAATGCATGCTAGTATAAATCGCGTGTAGGCGAGATGTTATAAAAATGTAACTTTTGAGAGAGAGACTGCAGCCGCTCAGTCAATCGCTCCATGCTTTGGTGTGCGGTGAGTTCTAGCTGTCAAAATACACAACATCTGTCGGATAGACGCAGGGCCGAGCCGCAATAACTATAAACGGGCACGGTGCGGCGGTGCTGTGAATCAAATGCGCAGCATCACAGAGTCATGGCGGCTATGGAATGAGTCGAGAGGGAGCTTTTCTAAGCGCCAGAGAGCCAATTTTAGATGGCAATCGCACGACAGTAGTAGGCTGGCACAGCCACAAAAAGGACCAACGCTTCGAGGCCCGATCCACCAACGCCGGATCACGTCCTAGATGGCGGTTGAATACGAGATTTCAATAAATTATGGAAACGTGATCTAATTAATCTTCACCGTCTCTACGGCGGTCATCAGTCACCTCCGCAGGAGCGAAAAGCGCGGCCGAGAGCCGGACACCCTCCAATGTCTCGCTTATACCGGGGGTCTAACGACCTTCCCTTTGGGTCTCGTGTCCAAAGGACGAAAGTGATCGCCCAGTGCATGGTTCTAATTGGTATACTGCAGAAACAGTAGCATTGAAAGGGTCTGAAGTACATCGTCGGCTTGGCTGGTACGTCGGGCGCATGGCATAAACAGGCAACGTTTCATAGCCTGGTTAGTGGCGGAGGTACTGTAAGCAGTAAGACAGCATAAACACCCTGTAACTCCGTTGGACAACACTGTGCGGTGAAAGTTGAACAGTAATGCCCGCAAGATCGTGAAGAATGCACAGGAGCTACAGAAAAAACAAATTCGGCAATCGCGGCAAAATAATGGTTACTGGTGGCGGAGGGAGGACAAAACGGGTGAATAGCGCGGCTGGCACGGCACGACGCTTCTAGGGTTGGTATACTCCGTAGGTAACTACAGTGCTATAGCGTGGCTGCTCTTCAGGCGCGCTGGAGGCTGCTGTTGCAAGGTACCAGGCCATCGGAAGGGACAGTGTATAAAGAGTGCCAATGTTTAGGACAGTATAGTTACTGTGCATCCACTGTTCGCTTTTTTTTTTTTCAACGGTTCTTTTCTTTTCGCCTGTGCAGGTGGCCAATACAGTTCATGTTTCAACGGACTGCACAGTGAAAGGCATTGGCTGCCATACAATGACCACCAAAGCAGAGTGGGTCGGGGCGTTACAGGAACTGACACTGGCGCGTGAAGCCCCGGCGGGCGTGACCGCAGAAGCAAATTCTAAAGCCCATTGACTCGACCAAAAGGAATAGAACGGTGTTGGAAGAAGCAAAGTGTCATGAGGGAATGAGAAAGAACCAAAACATTAAAAGGCTGCGGCTGACAAAGAAGACGGCGAAGCGTGAGAACGGAGAGTGGCGTGACACGGCGAGATTGTATGACACTGGCCATCGCCACGCGGTACAGAAGCATACACAGCGTAGATGCAGCAGTTGTGACGTCGGTTACATTGCATTCCACAATAGACGCTCAGTACGTGACTTCATCGCCAGATGCCATACATTGCAACTCTTCACAGTCGGGGAACGCGACAAACCAAGTTGGTGATCCTTGGCGCAGGCCAAGACCGCCGCCCGTACCGGATCGTGGACAGACCAAGCTGCTAAACAGTTGCCACTGTACCGTGACAGCGACCCGCTGTAAATGTGGCCGATGGGACAGCAAACCACGCAATTGGGAATCATTTTTTGGGGGTCATCGTTTGACTACTGCTCTGTCTCAGGTGTTTACGGGAGGTGCGTCGGCCGAGCGTAGAGAGCTTTAGCACGAAACAAGACCATAGTAGCGAGGCATGTATCGTGAATGCGGTAAAGTAGGTTAGCTCAAATGCCAGTCACCGCTCTGACAGCAAGGAAAAGGCGCAGTCTAGAAAGAACGCAAAACAAGCATCTTTTTTTAGAAGCTCACGCGCTGGAGCAAGAAAAAAAAAGAGGACCACAAGCCAGGCAACACGAGCAGATGGCACCCGAGCTATGCCCAAACGAGGCAGCCAAAGCAGGCTGTGCTGGCTGGCATAGCTTCCGTCCGCACACTGTAGTGCCCCATCCATGTTCCTTTGTTAGTCGCTTTCAGGGGACTAAATTTCACAAATGCCCACTGGGATTGGCCACAGCACCTAGCTCAAGCTCCACACACACTCCGGTAGACGCCCCCCCCTTCTCGCCAGGCACAAGGCGCTGGCGCAGGTACGGCCAACGTCGCCCGCGTAATAAAACACCGTCTCAGCGCCCTCATCTGCCCATCCTTCATTTCTTCTTCCTCTCCAGTCATCCTATAAACACCTGTGCGAATTCTCTCTCTTGTCGAGATCGCCGTTTTCCTTTCCGTTCATATTTCCTTTACAGTTTCATTGCTTCCAGTCTCTCGCTAAACACCGACCACTTACAACTACTGCACCCTTTTTTCTTGTATACAATCTCACACCAAGTTTAATTTCCTTTGCAACCAACAGCAACAATGTTCTCCAAGACTCTCAACGTCGCCGTTGCGGCTCTCGCTGCCTCCTCCATGGTCTCTGCTCAGACCTTCACTTCTTGTGATCCTACTAAGAAGTGTATGTTCTCCCCGTCCCTGCCTTCTCCTGTTGGGCCTGAGCCCCCGTGTTTCCCCCCTCAGATCGACCGCTAACCCGCAATAGCCTGCCCTGCCGACCCTGCCTTTGGCAAGAACTCCGTCAACTGCGACTTCACCAAGGGCAAGTGCTCTGCTTTCCACGACCTCGACGGCACCTCCACCAAGTACAACGACAAGGGCGCCGTCTTCTCCATCGAGAAGGTCAGCAACGCTCCCACCGCCGCCACCAAGAACTACATCTTCTTCGGCCGTGTCGACATTGAGATCCAGGCTGCCGCCGGTAACGGTATTGTTACCTCTGCTGTCCTCCAGTCTGATGACCTCGACGAGATCGACTGGGAGTGGGTCGGTGGTGACTCCTCCCACGTCCAGTCCAACTACTTCTCCAAGGGCGACACCACCACCTACGACCGTGGTGGCACCCACCCCGTTAGCAACGCTCTGACCTCCTTCCACACCTACTCCGTTGAGTGGACCAAGGATGCTGTTAACTGGATCATCGACGGCACCACTGTCCGCACCCTCACTGCCGCCGCTGCTGGCGCCAAGTTCCCCCAGACCCCCATGCAGGTCAAGATTGGCACCTGGTGCGCTGGTGGCCCCGACTCTCCTCCCGGTACCCGTGACTGGGCTGGCGGCTTGACCGACTTCTCCAAGGCTCCCTTCAACGCCTACTACAAGAGCATCAAGATTGTCGACTACGCCGGCGGCAGCAGCGTTGCCTCCAACGATGTCAAGTCCTACAGCTACGGTGACAAGACTGGCAGCTGGGGTAGCATCAAGGTTGAGGGCGGCAAGAACGACGACTCCAGCTCCTCTTCCTCCAAGGACTCTAGCTCTACCTCTGCCCCCAAGAGCACTGGTGCCTCCAAGACCGGCATGCAGACCAGCAACTCTGCTGCTGCCACCAACACCGATGGCGCTTCCACCACTGGCTCCAAGCCCACCACTTCTCCCACCAAGGTCCCTGACAACGCTGCTGGCCGCAACTCTGCCGCTCTCGCCCTCATTGTTGGCAGCATCGCTGCTCTCTTCCTGTAAATTTTCGCAAATTCTGACTTGCTTTGGGCATGGAGAAATATGTTGGATGTGATTTGACTGTTCACGCCCTGTATAGACGTGACGGGCAACGTTTTACTTAGACGGCACAGGAGCCAAACATGAGCAACCGTACCTTTAATACCTTGTACAAATTTTGAAATCTTTTCTTCTTTAAAACTTTACTCCTGCTTCTCTCCAGTGTTTTCTTCTAATGCCGAGTGATACATACAGCGGCTTCTCCATGAATGTAATGACGCGCCAGAATCTGACCCTCTCTTGGCCGTATGCGCCGAGAGATGGACCAGCCTTATTCTGGCTCGGCGCGCTGTGTGGGGCGATGGAAATTGCCCGCTTTGATGTATCAATCAAAAGCAGGCTAAGCCAGCCGGGTGTGGAACATCCCATCACACACAAGGCTTCTGATTTTACAGTACAGATTTGGGTTAGCTGCAGCAGTTGTGTTTGTAGTTGTGTTTGTGACTGCTTTGACGATGGTGATTGACCAAGTGGATTTTCCTATTCGGGGCGGCCTAAGCGAGTGCACACAAGTGTCTCTGTCTCGCACGTGTCGATGGAGCGACAATGAGGGCGGCTGATTCACACCGGCACTCTTTGTGCATAAAGAATGTAAGTCGTGGCTACCTTAGAGTTGCAGCGGCAAAACCTTGATAAGAGAAGCACCGTTTCAGCTGCCCCGGTTAATCTAGAAACAAACTCTATCATCACCAATAAACAAACCTTTGGGCGCACCAGTCTAGGCCTAGTGGCGGCCCTACAGCGGGAAGATGCGGCGGGCGGCCCCAAGGCAGGTGTGGGTGCGCAGCGTGACCAATGAGAGCCGAGCACGCAGCCCATTTAAGCTTTGCCTCCCAGCGAACAGGTGACAGACAGAGAGCACGCCGCTGTAGTTTCAGCAGAAAAGACATACAGTTTGCATCAACATTCAAAACAATAATTGCTCTACCCCAGTTTCTTACAGCGATATTGTTGCTCGCGTGCGCCACGCCACGCCTAACGCTAAATTGCCCCAGGTTGAGCGACTGAGGCGCCCTCGAAGCCTGATTTACACAGCGCAGCTGGCGCCGCCACTCCCACTATAAGCGTGCAGCCGTCGATCTCGCATAGCCGCGCGTTGGTTACGTAGAGGCGTAGCTGAAATGCTCGGCACCTCCTGTCGATACAGCTGCCGAAGCCTTTCTTTGCCAATATTCCAGCCTCAGCTGTACGATTGCTGTGACTGTTTATTTGTCTTTTAGCATTTTGGTTGCGGACACGGGTCCTTTATCCAGCTGGTGCAGAAGGCTGCGTGGGCACAAGTGACATGCATGGGATAGGATACGGGCCTCGTCAGGTTGCTTCAGCGTGTCAAAGAACGGTTTGCAACACCCGTTGTCAAATTCAAGTGTTTAAAGTGTGAACAATATATGGAGCTAAATTTAAAAACAATAATACATAATGACACAAACCACATGCTTTTTCATTGTCGTCATCGTCGAACGGCAGCCCACGGCCCTTCTTTTGTACAAGGTTTGTTCCGTCGTTGTCGGTTGCCACTTGCGCCAACTGTCAAGGCTGCCACTCACAGCTGCCAGGTCACCTGCGTGCTTGCCTCCTGCCTGCAGCACCGCCTTGTTGTTTCAGCCCAGCATCTCGTCGTTCCGTTATAAAAGTAAGCCTTTGCTGGACGCTCTCATGGCTCCTGCTCTCTTTCCTCCGACTTTTGTATAAGTATTACGACGCCCTCTCCCCCATCTTTTTCTACTCTGTCCGATTCCCACATCCCAACTTACACTTGATCTTTGACAAACCTCCACCTAAACCTGCGGTGAATGTCCCTTCGCTTTACCTCTAGATTCTTCTCAACCACCACTGCTTTCCGACATATTGGCAAAATGGCTGACCGATGCTACATCGTTCCTCCCCATCTGCTTGAGGCAATCGCTGAATCCACCCACAATGACGAGGCGATCCGCGAATCCGCCAGAGCCTCGCTCGTCTCCCGCGAGCAGGTTTCGGAATCTCGTAAGGCAGTCTTTGCTGCATTGACTTTGCCTCATGGATACCGCAGAGATGCTGCCATTGAATCCCGCCGTCAGATTATTCCCGAGGGAATGTTGACGCACATTGCCGAGTCTGAGTCGGTCGATGATGAAACCAGAGCTCGTGCCAAGCGTGACTTGCTTCATCTCCAAACCCTATTTTCCAAAATCAAGACCAGCCAGGAGGGTAAGTTGGCCATTCAACCCGTTGAAATTTGATTCTAGATCGCTAATATGACATCGTAGGAGCAACTGACGAGACCCAGGGTCTCGCCGCTGCCAAGCCAAAGGACTCAGTTTACAGGGCTGTCTATGACGCCAAACACGCCACTGATGAGTCTCAACTTCCAGGAAAGATGATGCGTGCTGAGGGAGAGAAGGCATCAAAGGATAAGGCCGTCAATGATGCCTACGACAACGTTGGCCATGTTTTGGCCTTTTACAAGGAGAAGTTCGACTGGAAGTCTCTTGACAACAAGAACGCTGATGTGATTAGCTCCGTTCACTACGGCAGACAGTATGAAAACGCATGTGAGTATTGCCCTATGTACCAAAAAAAGCCTTCTTTGCTCATAATTGTAGTCTGGGACCCTCAGGAGCGACAAATGGTGTACGGTGACGGTGGCAGCTTTTTGAACAACTTCACGGGCTGCATCGATGTCATTGGACACGAGATTACACACGCCGTCACGGAGCACACAAGCCCTCTTGACTACCAAGGCCAGTCTGGCGCTCTCAATGAGCACATCTCCGATGTCTTTGGTATTATGATCAAGCACTACGTCTTCAACACCAAGGCTGCTGATGCAGATTGGCTTATCGGTGAAGACTGCATTTTGCCAGGAGTCAAGGGCGTTGCCCTCCGCAGCATGAAGGCACCTGGCACCGCCTACGATGACCCTAGATTTGTAAGTGTACTTATTACCAAATATGCAAACCCAGTGCTGACCCGTAAAACAGGGAAAAGACCCGCAGCCCGATAGCATGGCTGGTTATAAGGAAACGGCCCAGGACAATGGTGGTGTCCATCTCTTCTCTGGCATCCCGAACAAGGTATTCTACAGTGTTTCAATTGCCTTTGGCGGCTACTCTTTCGAGAAGGCTGGCCAGATTTGGTGGAAGACCATGAACGGCGGCAAGATTTCTCCTCGCTGCAACTTTTTGCAGTTTGCCGATGTGACTGTTGAGACTGCCCAAGAGCTCTACGGCGAAGATGCAGCCAAGACTGTCCGCAAGGCTTGGAATGATGTTGGTGTGACTCGCGGTGTCTAGGGGAGAAGCCCAGTAGATGGGCCTTGCCACCCCTCTTAAGCAATGATTGATTGTTATTGTTGCCATTCAGGCTGTAGTGTTATTAGTATGGTTATTTTACACCACCAGTATGAGTTTAGTCGTTTGCTTTACTCACGTATCATAATATATGATGAGATTCTTTGTTCTGCTCACAGGCCGACTGGTGTTTCTATGGATGTCTAATAGAATGATGGCGAGTGTCAAGACAGGTCTGCCAGCTGCCAACTGTCAGCTGTCGACTGGCAGGTTATGTGGCCTCGTTCTTCCATACTTGCTTAAATGTCGACCTTTAATCTTACATACCAACGTGCCATATAATCCTCTCACAGAGTAACAAAATCTCGACGTTTCTAGAAGGCATGGCATGTCGCAGCTCGACTCTACCAATCTCTTTGGGTAAAGGCGGTCCATCTCCAATAGATAGCAGCGATGTTAGCATAACAGACGATGAAACTTTACATGAAATACAATTACGATACAAAATATCAGCGCCCTCATTCAACACAGTTCGAGGCATTTCGCTGCAACCTGATCGGCACCAGGTTCTTGAGATAGTGTGCCACGCTTTTGAGTTTCGATCATTCCCCTTGACTAGTCTCGAAGCTCCCTTCTTTCGGTACATCAATGAACATACGGGAATACCGTACCATCTAAAAGAACCAGTTCGAGAGCCATGGCATAAAGTGTTCTTACTAGCGCAACTAGAACTCAGTCAGATCCCTTGGCCTAGCAAGATCTCGGCAGAGGGTAGGAAACAACTATATCAAGAAAGGGGAAAGTTGTATGGGCTTCTTGATCGCATGCTCCGATGCATGATTGACTTTATGGGGTATCGGAATGACGGCCGCGGAGTGACTGTAGGCTTAGATGTGCTGCGAAGCATCAAGTCCGTAGTTTGGGAGGGTGGTGGTACGGAACTCCGACAAATCAAGGGTATTGGCCAAGTTATGACGAATAAATTAGCTGATGCTGGGGTAAGAACAGTCCATCAGTTGGCCGATTTGGAGTGCTATCATATAGAGCGCCTACTGAGCAGAAACCCGCCCTTTGGACAGACACTGCTCCGACAGCTCGCTGGGTTTCCGAGGTTACGTCTATCGTGTACCATTGTTGATATTGCACAAGAGATTACAACTATCCGAATAGAGACTTTGGAGCGGATCGTGAAGTTTGACGTTGGCTATGAGAATACCAGCCTTCCCATTTGGAATGAACGGCATCCATGGCTCACTCTTGTTGTCGAAGGTGAAAATGGCAGGCTAGTATGGTTCTGGAGAGGCAACATCAAACTGATCAAAGATGGAAAGAGTATGTATGCAAAGATACAGGCGTCAGATAACGAGGTGTTTACAGTTACATTTGCATGTGAGGAGATTGTGGGCACACTGATTCGTCAAACGCTTACAGTGCAGCCAAAGAACCCATAACCAGACAAACATGCGACATGATCTGCACAAGGTTGGGCTTGGTCGCGTTTACTGGTCTAATTTGGACTGGGGTTAAGAGAGGCGTGTGAGGCTGAGGTCACTTATATGCAGCCCTACTTCCTATTTCGGTGGGCTTGCGAGGCTGGGTAATAAATAAGTACACCACGGTCATTTGCAGTTTGTAGCCGCTTCTTTGCTTCTCTCGTTTTTACCGAAATAATAGTCGATATAATGAAACTTTACTTCCTTACTGTCAGTGTCGCCTCGTTACTCTGCATCGCCGCAGGCCAAGATCTACACGACGACGACAATGCCGTCTACGGCTTCCTTCAAGACGATGATGTGCCATCACTCTACCGCCGTGACGACACGTGTAGCACGTTCAAAAAGAGCTGCGACAGACATTACTGCATCCCTGTGACGGACCACTGCTGCGGAGCCGGCGACGGAGGCTACTGCACAAGTTCACAGTACTGCCTCAAGAGTGGTTGTTGCGGATATGGCAAGACGTGTGGCGGGGATGCGACCAAGTGCAAAGACAGGAGAACACTGTGTGGTGCTATTTGCATTCTGGAGGGTTATACGTGCTGCGATAAAAACCCTGCTAGGGCCTGTCCACCGGGCTGGACATGTTCGGCTACTGGGTGTATTGATAACGCGGTGAGCTCGACAAATACAACGAATACGACGGGGTCGTCGACATCAGCCACAACAAAAGGTAGCGCAGCAACTGCATCAGAGGGTGGGAAGAGTGATTCCTCGACACCGTTTATGTCTATGGGATTAATAGCTGCTGCCGTGGGTGCGCTTGCGCTTGCAATGGTGTGAAGGCGCACGGTAGAGATACATTGTCACGAGCGAAGACGATTGAAGAGTAAAGGCGTTACATTTGCTTTAGCGTTGTTAAAAGATATCTCGAGTTGTGATGATACATAATACATGGTTTTGTTTTTCTGCTTTTTGCCATCTCCCATCGCCTTGCTTAGCGCTGACGGTGTGCGTGGTTTGAGTATTGGTCTGACCCATTTTGCCATTGCGCCAAGTGTTGTAATGCAAAAAAGGAACAAAAACAAAGAAGAGGTTCGGTTGAGAGGGTGAGCTATCGCGTCGGAAGTGGAATCCGTATATACTCTGTGGGACATGGCTCGTTATATTTTAGTCAAGGTCGGCAATGACAACTTTGCTTCACTGCTTAGAGGTTGCGTTGTTGAAGCTGTCCAGTACAGTCTGCTTGACATCTGTCTTGCTTTCCTCCTTGAGTTCGGGGGATGATGCGGTCTCTGACGCGCCGGTAATCTGCTTTGCCATGGTGCGGGCCTGAGCCTCGCCGACCTTGCCGTAGACGCTGAGGCCAGTGGCAATCATGCCGCCGATATCGCCGACATTGCCGGGAACAACAACAGCAGTGCTCTCCTTGGCCAGCTTGGCAAAGGCATCGACGTACTTCTCGGCGACCGTCAGGGAGATGGCGCCCTGGGCACCCTCAGCACCTTGGAGGATGCTCTTCGACACAGCGTCAATACCCTCGGCGGTAGCTCGGGCTTTGAGGAGAATAGCCTCAGCCTCACCATCCGCCTCGTTGATACGCTCGGCGCGCATAGCTTCAGAGGCAAGAATGACACTCTGCTTGCGACCCTCGGCAATGTTGATGGCGCTCTGGCGCTGACCTTCGGAATCGAGAATTTCTGCTCGCTTGCTTCGTTCGGCAGTAACCTGGCGGTGCATGGCTTCGACAACGGCATCAGGGGCGTGGATATCTCGAATTTCGTAACGCAGGCAGGTAACTCCCCAAGCCTCTGCTGCGTCGTTGATGGCTGCGGTGATATTTGTGTTCAAGGCAGCACGCTCCTTAAGGACGTGGTCCAGAGTGAGCTGACCAATCTCGGATCGCATCGTCGTTTGGGCAAGCTGGGAGATGGCATATTCGGCATCTTCTACACCATAACTACTCATAAATTAGTATCACAGTATCATCGTTTCAAAGTTGTCTCGCCTACCTTGCCTTGTATGCGTCAAAGACCCTCGTGAATAGCACACCGTCCAGCTCGAGCGTCACGTTGTCGGCTGTGATGGCGCTTTGACTCGGGATCTCAATAGCCACTTCTTTCAGGCTCTTGACGTAGGCAATGCGATCGATAAAGGGCATGAGAATAGCCAATCCAGGATCGAGGATGCGGTTGAACTTGCCCATTCGCTCAACAATCCATGCTGTCTGCTGAGGAACGAAGCGCACAACAGTGTTGGCTGGAAGGCGCGGTTTCTGGAAATACGAAGGAGGCGAACTGCTTCCTGGGAATCCAGCGGGCAGCAACCCGCGAGCAGATGTGTTGATAAAGCGAGCCTGCTGCAGCGGTGCGCGGAGGCTGGCCCTCACGAGGGCTGACGACATGGCTGCGATCGGTGGTGCTTGAGCCGACGGTGTGATGCTTCTCTGTTTGAAAACTGGAGTATCGGTGTTGCAAGTATTAAGTCGGAGGTATTTCACATGCGATTGATGGCGGCATCCAATATAAAAACACAAACAGCAATGCAAACGACAAGCCACCACCAAAAGTGACGATGATGTAGAGTGCAAGGACGGCTTCTCTGCTTTGGGCAAGCTAACGTAGCTTACTCTTCCCCAGCCGATTGGCCGCCGAGAATTACCCGCTGGCCTGTGGGTGGACCTTGTTCTGGAAGCCGCTACGCCTGTCCGTACCCGCTGGAGAAGCCGCTGTAATTCGCCCCGCCACAGCACCTTGGTGACTTGCTATAGTGGGGGTTTCGCGGCCACTCTGAAGTAGCTCCCTCCCATCTCCAACAAAAGTTTCACATTTACAAACATCGTCGATCTCTGCAGACTTCACGGAGCCGATCAGCCGCGTCACAGTAACCCTTAGCTACGCGTATACGACCGATACCCCTATACACAACCGCGAACTATAGCTGAACATCACGCTGATACTACATCATGAGTGCCAAAGTACCCCGCAACTTTCGTCTCCTCGAGGAGCTTGAGAAGGGCGAGAAAGGCCTCGGTGCTGAAGCCTGCAGTTATGGTCTTGAGGATGGCGAGGATCTCTTGATGAGCAACTGGAACGGTACCATTCTCGGTCCTCCTCACGTACGCCACTCGCTATAGGCCGTCTCTGTAGTCATTACTAACCTCTAGCCCAGTCCGTCCACGAGAACCGTATCTACAGCGTCAAGATGCACTGCGGAGAGCAGTACCCTGATCAGCCTCCCACGATTCAGTTTGTTAGCCAAGTCAACCTGCCTTGCGTCAATTCGCGTAACGGTGTTGTCGACCCGTCTATGCTCCCTTGCCTCGCCCAGTGGAAGCGCGAAAATACCATGGAGACTGTCCTCATTGAACTTCGAAGGTATGTTTAGCACAGAAGTTAGATTGGCATATTTGCTAACAGCACAAAGATATATGGCTGCTCCTGCCCACAAGAAGATCCCCCAGCCTCCCGAGGGCTCGACCTACGAATAAATACATAGCAACAGCATAGACATTGAACCCGCCTGTAAGCACATGGACATGGCAAGGGCCCATTGCTTCCAGATATGAGGATATTGGGGATGAATGAGCATCGGGTAGAGGGCAGAGCTACTGCGGAGCAAATGGCGCATGCGTTTCGTTATTTCAACAAGACATCTTTACAAGCACCACAAATACCACATTTTAGATTTTACTATACACCGCGTAGTGACTGGCCAAAATTAAAGTGAGAAAAACGTATTATTTAATCAGTTGAGCCTCTTCTATCAGAGAACTCGTGTATTCTCGGGAGAAAGGACTTTCAGGCCCGGGGTATTCTGAATATAAAGGAAAATGCAGATATCGTCAGTAGTATAGGCTCGAATGCCTCGCTCGAAAACGCCCGTCGTCATTCCTAGATCTCGGACGCTGCTTCCGAGTATGGAACGTTCATTGGTGTACCCAAGTTCATTATAAAAAGACAAAAAAAGAAACACAGAAATAATACAGTATGCCAGACATATAAAACAGCATGGTCGTTGAGCTTAATCATTCTCGCCCCACCAGCCTGGTTCATTTGGAGGCAGAGAGCCAACAGCGCTCAGTCTTGCTATGCTGCCCAATCTCGATCGAGACGGACCTTCTTCAGCAAATCCATCTGGAGAAATGGGGCTGTCAGGTCGTGGAACATCAGACTCGGCCACTTCATTCTCATCAACTTCCGCAACGGACTCCATCATAGGAATGGCTTTAGGCGAAGATTCGCGCCTAGCAGCTGGCACGCTTGTAGGTGTGTCGGACGCACCGGATGCCGGTGTAGTTGTAGTAGGGGCGCGATTAGTGAACAGCGCATTTGGGTTGTAAGTAACTGCTGGTAGGATGTAGTCGTCCGCCATATCTGGGGAAAGAAGTCCCCCTGTGAGATAGCTAAACTCTTGGAAGTCACTAGCATCGGGGCTTGGCTCGTCATCTTCGTAATTGATGGGCTCTGGTTCCTGCCCATTGATGTCCTCCGCTGGATCGAAGTCGACAGTAGAGACGCTAGACTTCTTCAAAATACTCTTCAAAGGGACTTGCGAGGAGCGCTGGCTGCCACCACCAATGCTCTCCGTCAGGGTATATCGATGAGATGTGCGCTGACCAGTGGTTGAGGTTCGAGCTGAAGGAGGAGCCGGGAAATCAAAATCAAAATGGGTTTCCGACTCGGCTACATTGGCTTCGCTACTATCAGGCGATAACGGGCTATTGTCTTGGCCAGTGCTGGTATGGCTTTGCGGAGTTTGCTCGTCCATCTTCTCTTGATATCGAAGGATAGGCTTCATCAACTCGGACCTTCTTGTCGCAGCTATAAAGCGGGCTGCGCTACCAGGACCGTCAATGGATGAATGTGCCGAGCGAATGTAAAATTCGATAGATGTTGGGCTGACTGGGGGTGTCAACTGTTCGCCAGATTGATCTTCTCTGTCATAGATATGACCCATAGCGTCATGTTCGTCGATCGTTTGGCGTTGGATAGCGGATGCCGGGATATTAATCCGCGAGCTACGGAGTGCAGGCTGCATACGTACGGCGCGAGCTTCTTGGATAGAGGTAGAGGTTGTTGAAATATCTGACGCAACAGACATTCGGTGCATAGACATCTGCGACGGCGTACTGGAACGAGAATCCAACGGCGGTGTCAGAGTCGTGTCCTCGGGATGGTCATTGCCATTCGGAATTGTGATATATGTGTTGGAAGGGGCAAAGCTAGTGCGTTTGCTAGACCTATTAGTCTTGGCTTGTTCAGGCGAGCTCTGTCCGCGAGGCTGAGAAGGCTGCCTTGGTTTTGTAGGTGACCTGCTGGAGACACTAGACTGGTGGTGCAAGGTTGCGGGCGGTTGGGCTGGAGCTGGTGGTGTGTACTCATCTTCAGACTCGGAGTCGGAGAGCATGAGTACGCTCTGCTCTTGAAGGTTAACCGAACCAAATCCTCGTGGAGAGGACCGCGAGGATTGGCTCTGAGGACTGGATATCGAGGCAGGGTTGGGCGAGAAAGTGGCAGGCACCAGCATGGGCCCTGCGCCGTTGGCGAAAGCCGAGCTGTTTCGAAAAGGGACGGTGCGGGGTGGCTCCGGAAACGATTTCGGTGAGCCTCTGCTAGTAGTCTTTTCGGATGAGCTACTTGTGCTAATAGAACCAGATCTCTGGGTCTCGTCGTCTTCTTCGTCTGCACCGTATTCTTCCTGGATGATGGTTCGGAAGGTCATCTGTTCATAGTGATCGTAAAGGTTAGGCACCTCTCTTGACGAGGAGGTGCCAGCTCTGCTACCGGCAGTGTTGGGTCGTTGCATCTCATACGGCGATTGCGGTGAATCTTTTATGCTCCGCTTCTTAATTTTGCGAGGTTCGCGATATTTATCAAGCGTAGGGGTTCTCATCGAGAATATAGAAGGAGATTTGTTGGGTTGACTAGTGATGCTCGTCAACAGGCCATCTGTGCGTAGCTGTGGTAGTGACCCCTTTCTAGAATTCTGCAGGCTGTGCGAGAAATCCAGAGTGGCCGGTTTCTTTTTGCTTTTGATGCCAAGGGCATCAGTATGCATAGAAGGGGGACCCGCCGCCGCCAATGGGGCATGCTGTGCCAGAGGATTGCTATTTGTGTACCACGACTTGATAGTTGATGATGATTGGCTTTTACGAAGAACTCCGTGGACGTGTTGGCGACTTCTTGCTTCGTCACTTAGAAGGCCAGGCAGGACATCTCGATCTTCAGACCAGTCGACATCGGAGTGTGCGATCGCGACGTGATGGTTGTCGTCGTCGTCATAGCTTGGTGTCGTGCTGTCAGATGTTGTCGCACTAAGACTGGACGAGCCATCATCCCAAAGTCGTGGAGAGTCGATATTGATCGGGGTCGAGCCAAGAATCTTGTGCGCTTTGCTCATCATAGGTTGGGGGATGTTGAGTTCAGCAAGGTCCTTTCGCCGGCTCTTGGTAAACGTAAATTTACCCATTTCGCCCAGCTAATAGACACTTTGCGTGTCGAGGGTACTGTATCGTCGTCTGTTGGTTTCTTACAGGCTCTCTTTCTTCATGGCAAATAAGGAGGAGGCGCGGTGTTGGGGGCTTAAAGAGGCAAACGAGGTCGTCCGAAGAATGTCTCAGCGAGAGTGGCTCCCCCAGAGTGGGAATGGGCTTGCTGTCGATGAGGGGGTATGCTACTGTAGTGGCTGCGATATACAGGGAGGAGCTGGTGGCTTTGTCGCGCTGAAGTCCGACTTCCAAAGCCTCGATGTAGCAGATTGAGAATAAGACAGACTTGGAAGGATTGAAGAGAAGCAGGAACTGGCGAGGAAAATGTAAAAGTGGTTGTAGGATTCAGTGAGCGTACCCACTAGGCAATTTAGTACCAAAGCTGCAAATGCCACCAGCCGATCAAGCGCGGATGGGGTTAGTACCAACCCAGGACGCAAACTAATGGAAGCGGAGCCTTGCGCGTGACAGGGCGCCAGAAGCTTTGGGTCGAACGGTTGAAGTTTCGCGGCATGTAGAGCACTGATGGTTCATTACGTGCGTGCTGATCGGCTCTGCAAAAGTGCCTCTTCCAAGTAGCGGTCTCGTCGATCAGCGCACCAAAAGGGTTTTTACTGTGTTCGCGAATATCGTATTCTTTCTTTGAGCCATGCAGAAACGCGGGAGTTTCAGTAATCCCAGTCTCACTTTAGACAGGAACCAAGGGCCTCCCCTACAAATTGGGCCCAACTTGGCTCACTCAGGAGGCGTGGTGTTGCGCTGGGCGGCGTTGATGACAGGGTCACATTCTTTGGAGAGACTAGCGTTGACGATGGCACCTCTTGGAACCCACGCACAGGGGACCAGGGGAACAAGCCCTTCGCTACCTCCATAGCTCAGGTAGGCCCGCCACAGCGCAGCACAGTAGCGGGCCTCCTCAAGGGTCTCCTCTGTTTAGGGGGCTAACGAGTCGGTTTTCAAACAGAGCCAGCGGGGATGTTGTCGGTGCCTATGAACGCCGACTGTGCGAGTAAACGAAGCGAAACAAGTTATTTGTTGCTGCGCCAGGCAACAGAGGGCGCTGTTCCGCGCTGGAATCAAACCAAACACCACCGCAATGAGGATTGCTTGGCTGCGTTGGCCATCAAGTTAACCTCGCAGCACGTATCCCCCATCGTGCCATGCCAATCCCACTGTCGGCTCATCAATGTCCTTCGTCAGCACTGGCTCCAATGCCGGGGGGAATGGAGTTAGTGAGCCTGGTAGTTGTACGGAAATACTGCACACATGCTGACGTTGGTGATACAAATAGTCTGTGCCAGGGTTGCGAGATGGCTTGACGATGCACGACGTGGAAATTACACCACCGTACAGTGATGGCAAGCCACAGTGTAGCGAAAAAGATACATGTGCCTGAGAAGTGGCGTGAGAGTTTGCCAGTTTGGCACCTGGCTGCCAGCTGTCGGACTGGCAGATCAGCCTCGTCCAAGAGCAAATCTCGCTACGTTCACTTTGTTTGTTTCAAATCTGGTTCCTGACCAAGATACTCAACGTAACCTAATTAAATGCCATTGACGAATCGTTCGCCTCGGCCGGGGCAATGTCACCACGATAGCGTCACAGCGAAGCGAGCCCCGTGGCGCCAGTCTTACGAACAAGTTGCACACAATATGGAGTCGCTCTTTGGCTCAGCTACAACAAACCCATTTCCAGGCGCAGATCTGTGTCGGGAAGTACGCCGACCTACAAATGACAAACGTCAGTCATAGCAACCCATCCCGGGGATTTGGTTTGTAGTCCGAAAAGACACAAAGGTATTGTCTGTGTCGCTGGCGCCGTCATCCCTCTGGCATCGAAGCGGATCGGAGGCGCTGCAAACCCTACCAAGCCCCTGATTGTGCTTGTTTATTGTTCCACCAGACCTGCATGATTACAATATTGGGCGAGAATTAAGCTTTTCCGTCCGTAGAAGAGACGCAAAGCTGCCGATTTGGGATTTCACTTACTCTTTTAGACCAGTTCTATCATGCAATGCAATTTCTGACGCAGCCTTGAATGCATATCACGAATCAGTTACGTGCACCTTGAACGCGGAGATATCTACAACAACAGGCAATCGACGACTCCACTACACAGCTGCAAATTTAGCAGACCTGAGCTATAGGAATAGTAATTGGCCCTGTCGGATAGCCCTGTTTTCAATATTCTGCAAAGAACAGAACACGAGGTCAACGGCTGAGATTCACCGCCCCGTTGAATCAAACTAGTGTCGTCCCGTTTGATCCAACGGCCACGTTCTACCATGGATAAAAAACTTCGACCGCAATCTCACAAGGGAAAAGGGGGTTGATATTGCTGTTGAAAATGAGGTATCTATCCGAAATGAAACCCAAACAAACATCCAAACGCCATGCCGTTAATATCCATTATAGCTACATGCCGTAACCGGCCAGTCCTTCGTGCATTGCCGCGTCTAGTTTCCCATGAGACGGGCTATTCACAAATATCGTGACTTTAGCCACTCTTCATTTCGTAAGCCCAAGTTGAGGCCATTGGCGGCCCACCATTTCCGCACCCGGCTTTGGTCTCCTATGCTGTCCTCCAGTGCCTCCTCAATGTCAAACGTCCTAAATTCGACGGGTTGCTTACGACCATCCATGCCTTCTAGTTCGCCGTGAGCGAATTGGCGCCACCACTCCAGCACATCAACATGCTGGTGTACGGTAGCACTCATAAGCACTTCGCTGTCAAAAACCAGTTTGTTGTCGCCCTTGAGCCGTCTCCAAGTTTCTAGTACAGAGACATGACCCCAGCGGCTTGCCATCCGGGCAACACCATCGCCATGCGCAATGGGGATGCCAGATGCATCCCACCAGCGGAGAACATCTGCTTTGCCATGCTGGGTTGCCCACAATAAGGAGCGGCCAGGGCGCAAAACGACACTTTCATCCTGGGCAGCGGAATCCCGCCACCATTCTAGAACAAGTAGATGACCCTTGCCGCTTGCCTGTTCCAGGGCTGCTTCTGTATATCGGAGCGGTAGCCCTGAGCGTCTCCACCACCAATCTAGTACTCGCACATGACCATTCTTGGAGGCCACGTCGACGGCTTCCGCATCGTAGATGTGTTTGTCCTTGAACCATTTGCTCTGTAGCCAATAGTCTAGAACATCTGTTCTGGGGTAAAACGCAGAGGCTTTGGTTGGCAGAGTCGTTCCGTCAAAGGCACGGAACAGATCTGGTCGGTTCGCTTCCATGTATGCAAGAACTTCGATCAATGCAAACCGGATTACAAGTTTTACAACCAGCGCTGGTACATCGACAAAGTTGGGGGGTGATTGCGACAGCTTCTTACAGATCGCAGCCGAGTTGCAGGTGAGGACTGTCCACTCTAGCTCATGTTCGTAGACTTTGAGCGGATCAAGAGGATCACTCGGCTGCAAAGTCCATTGCCCAGGCATTGGCAGGTTCGTATACATTCCGAGTGCCTTGGCAAGTTCCCAGTCACCAGCATAGTCGAGGATTAACGTCCATATCTCGGGTGGTAATTTCGATCTAACCTTGGTGTCGCTTGAATCCGGTATTGTAGGAATGCTGGTTGCGAATTCCACGTCTCGTCCAAGGCCTAGGAGATCGGCTTGATTCTGGATAATGCCCAGCACCTCGTTGAAGCCAGTCCAGTTCAGGACCCTCTTCGGATTGGGCTCGCCTTCAAAGTGCCATAGGATAGGTGTGACTGGCCTGATCCAAGTCCACTTGCGTTGTATTTTTCGTAGTTGTCTTTTCGTCATTGGATTTGTCCACATATGGGTGCTCATGCCCGGGACAAGGACCATGCTTTTTTGTGTATTCCAGCCACGGAGGACCTCGCCAAGGAAGGTATCTGTTATCCCGGCGAGCATTTTCGATATTCCGTCAGCATCAAGCGGTATGCATACCATCAGGTCGGCCCATTCTACCAGCTCAAAAGCTTGTTGCCTGTAAAACTCGATATCATCAGCGCGATCGCCCTGCCCCAGCGCAAAACTTCTGTTTTGCATCACAATAATAGTTTGTGTGAGCCGCGGGACCACATCGTCAACGATAGCACGGGTTTCGATTTGAGGATGCTTCGATAATCTGACAACAAGTGCCTGTGCCCAAGATGTATCTCTGGGACCAGTGGCGGCAACGAGCAGTCGTAGCTTTCGGTTCCTCGGGTTCATATCGAACAACGACGAGCATGACGAAGCCGTGGAGGTGAGGCGGGTAGGGAGGATTAAGTGCGCCATGTTTGAAATGAATGTCTCCCTTCTATATGGTATTTAGACGCATACCTTTAGGTAGAAATCATGCCTAAGCTTCCAATGTATCGCGGCGGGTGATGCGTCGGTGGCGGTGTGCGACAGGCCCAGTGTGGGCGCCCGGCTGATGAATTTTGTACGACTCTTGGATTAATATATGTTGGAGGCGCTGCGTCGTATAGTAAATATGTGTGTCAGCCGTGTGAGAGATGCAGCAGGCGACGCATCAAAATCTTGCCTCCGCGCGTTGGCGAGACTGCGTTGCGTTGCGCCTAGCATTGGCCAGCCCTGTTGCCGCTAGACGTTTAAAGAATTTCGGCTTACGCCCGCCTAGGCGGGACCGCGCGCCTGCTTCAGTGGATGAAAGCGCTGGACTAAGCCGCTAGCGGGGAACATCAACCGCCAACTTTTAGCGCAAGGCGACCAGAGCATGGTGGCCAGCAATGGCAGGGATTCCTCAACCAATGGAGGTTATGATACTAAAGATGAAATGCTTCTGTATCGAAGTCTTATCATCCTTCTTCTTAATGGCCATTTTCTCTTAAATATTTGACCGCCGTATCCATACTAATATTGCACTGGAACGTCCAGCATCCAGCATGTATCCCATCACGTGATTCCACTACCAAAGTCTCCCCGTCTTTCGCCGCATGGCCCCGGAAGCCGGAGCCAACAGCGCTGGCTGCATGTGCTCCGGGTGCGGGACCCTCCAAGGTTTTGACGACTAAAAAAATTTGGAGGCGCAAAACTTTGGTTCAAGGCATCGCGTCTTTGCACCCGCAAGCTTTTCTCGACCAAACGACACAAGCAGTCCAGGACAATTCCGGTTCTTTGCTTCTGGTCTGTCGGCTACAACTACACTCTCTTGTCTCCCACCGACATCTCCCTCGACAACGATAGACATCGACGAAGTCTCGTTTTTTTACTCAGAGCTCCCCCGCCTCGACTGTTCCATACAAAGTCGGCTTCCTTCGACCAGCCTGTACAATACTACCCATCCGTCCTTGATCAATCAGATATGCTCGATCAAATGGCCAACGAGATCAAGCTCATCTCTGGTACCTCCCACCCGGAGCTCAGTGCCAAGGTCGCCCAGCGGTAAGCAGCTGCCATTCAACCTCGGGTCGGTTGACGCTTCTCTCTCTAATATGTTTTTTGTGACAAATGTAGACTTGGTATTGATATTGCCAACACGATGAGCTTGAACTACTCCAACCAGGAGACTAGCGTTTCCATTGGTGAATCGGTCCGTGACGAAGACGTCTTCATTCTGCAGTCTACTGCTCCCGGTGACGTGAACGATGGGCTTATGGAGCTCCTCATCATGATCCATGCGTGCCGTACTGCGTCTGCTCGCCGTATTACCGCTGTCATTCCCAACTTCCCTTATGCCCGCCAGGATAAGAAGGACAAGTCCCGTGCTCCCATCAGCGCCAAGCTGATTGCCAACATGCTGCAGGTGTCTGGCTGCGTACGTATTTCGAGAATACTACAACCGTCCAATAGCTAATTCTTTTTGTACAGAATCACGTCATCACCATGGATCTTCACGCCTCTCAGATTCAGGGCTTCTTCAACGTCCCTGTCGACAACCTATATGCTGAACCCTCTGTCCTGCGATGGATTAGCGAAAACCTCGACGTCAACAACTGCGTCATTGTCTCGCCTGATGCCGGCGGTGCGAAGCGTGCTACATCTATTGCCGATCGCCTCAACACAGCCTTTGCCCTCATCCACAAGGAGCGTCCTCGACCCAACGTTGTTGGCCGCATGGTCCTTGTTGGTGATGTGCAGGATAAGGTGGCCATTCTCGTCGACGACATGGCCGATACTTGCGGAACGGTAAGCAATACAGGATCATGGAGTGAGGTTCACAGGATACTAATGAGGTTATACAGCTTGCCAAGGCTGCCGAGACCCTGAACCAGCATGGCGCGAAGCAAGTCTTTGCCATTGTTACCCACGGCATTCTCAGTGGCAAGGCCATTGAGAACATCAACAACTCCTGCTTGTCTGGCCTTGTTGTTACCAACAGTAAGTTTGATATGATAAATTTATGCTTGCTAAGACATCAATTGCTAACCCATTTACAGCTGTTCCTTGTAAGTCCCAGCGCTAGAGAGCTGCAACGATGTCAACTAGAGCACGCCACACTAACATATAGATATAGTGGGAGACAAGGTTGAGCGCTGCCCCAAGCTCAAGGTCATTGACGTTTCCGGCACCCTGGCCGAGGTAAGCTTCAGCGTCAGCGAAGTCGCGTACTTGTTCTAACCCCCAGATAGGCTATCCGCAGAACTCACAACGGTGAATCAGTGTCATACCTCTTCACCAACGTACCTGTTTAAATCTTTTCTTTCGAATTTGGATAAATCAACATCATAGCAGTTTGAAATTTATGCGGTGTTTTGGTAAGTCTTGTTGGAAATGCACAATGGAGATGAGCATAGCTGACAGTGTAGCGCAGGCGTTTGAACATGATACATTTTGCTACAACTATAAAACAAGACTATGTTTTCTCAACATACACATAAAAAAAGACATGAAATATGACTAGAAAATTTGCACGACTGTCAATACAATCAGTTTTCACAAAAGCGTCCCGTTTTTCTATCTTTACGTTGATACTTCTACAGTAACTACCCGGCATGACGAACACACCCCGTGTCGGTCTGATAGGTTCAGCGTCTCAATAGTAGCAGTGAAGATGCCATCTTGGAGCTTCTATTGTTTTTATTTTACATTTTCGACAATTGCGTATAGTGCAGTCACCGCAAATGTTGGGATATGTATAAAGCACCAGTGCAGACCGCAACCCGCTTTGCCGGAGCCAACCGTCCCGTGACCATACATACACCAGGGCGGCCGACACCCAAAAGGACTCCGATGATGCCGACAGGCGCTGCTAGCATGCATGACTGCAGCAAAACTCCACAACGTTGTCTAGCTGATGGTGTGCAGCGAATGCCACGTTGCCTGGAAACAGTCTGTAGAGGCAAGTAGGGAACAGCCAGGTGGAAACGAATAGCAGTATGAGGAATTGGGAGCAACGGGTAGCCTAACGGCGGGACCGCTGTACTAACTATGAGCAGGCTACGGTATAGCGGGCGACATCAGGGTCATAGCGCAACAAAACAGCGTGCATTGCCTGCTAAACCGTCCGTGTTCTAGGCGTGGTAGGGCGCTGACCAGCGAGCTGGTTTAGTGAGATCTGGGGGATCTGGGAAGCCCCCCAAACCGCCCAAAGCTCCGGGTTGTCTATTCTCTGAGCAACGCTTTTAGAACCAGCAATTTCCACGATCAGAACTACAAAAAGAGAAACTAAAGCCTCAGCTTTCCAACCTCTTCACAATAACATTCCCCCCCTCGTCCTCTCCTTTTTCCTCGGCCACCTCGCTTGCGCAAACAGGAAGGCCAGGTACCGTAAAAACATGCGTGGATGCCCCCCACACCCCACGAACCCGCAACATCCATCATCACCACCACGCCTATAGCCTTCTCCACCGCGCTTCATAGAAAAAAAAATTCGCATCGCGGCGGGCGTCAAGAACCAAGATACAACAGCCGCCGTACCACCAAGATGCCCACCATGACCGCCGAAGCCTCGCATTGCGCCGGCCAACCATACAATCGGACCAAAATGGGCCTATCCTGCGCCTTGACCGGCCGCATTCACTTTAAAATTCCAAGCTTTCAAAATGGATTCCATTCGAGAGAATAACGACATCGACCCCGGGTTCTGACTTCCGCGCCGGTACGGGGATCCGGCGTACCTTCGCGGGGCGTGGAGGTTGGCGATAGCTTCAAAGAATGGTGCCGGCGTGAAAATATCCGCACTGTATTTTACAGCCTGGGGGCGCTTGAAACCTTCTTTTCTGTTGCGCCAGGGCTCAGCTGACCACTCGGCGCATCACACGGACGCAGGTCGATGGGGGCGCCAGCGCCGGCCAGCCAACCAACGGCCCCCCGGGGCTCCGGTGCTGATTCGCGTTTCTGTGTATGTTTTTTTTTGTTGAATGACACCCTGCAGTACTGTGATGTACTTTGCTATACGAATTGAAAGGTATACATAGGTTATTACCAATCTTTAAGAGGATATATCAAAACGCTGCACTCTCCCCCAACGTTAACCTCTGAGATTGTTTGCAACGGCTGGGGGGCACTGACTCTGGCGCTGCAAAGCCCTGTAAAAACACCGTGCGCCATGCACTGGGCCCGCCCTCGCTCCGCCTCGCCTTGTGGAGATTCGCCGTGCAAATGCGCATAGGAGCCCGCAAATAACCGTTCATTTTCTCTCACTCTTTGATTCAGAGCCGACGGACAAGGCCGCCGGATGGCAAAAGCTTTCCAACTGGTGCCCCCCATTCGTCACTGTCGCCAAGTAGACCTTATTACACGCCCCTCTCCATAATGTATATAACTGTAAACTTCCCTTGCCCGGCCCCAGATCTCTTTGGATCTCATCTCATCTACAAGACATCTCACCCAAGAACCCAAACATAAACAAGTTGTTCCACACGTAGGCCTAGCCTTGTAACACAACAACTGTTCCCGTTTATACGCCCCCAATCCAAACACCCCGAGCCTTGAACAATCAAAACACCAACAGCCAAACACCGTCACAATGGCCGCCACTTCATCCACCACCGTCCCTACCCCTACAAAGATGCAGCAAGAGGGAGCTCCTCGATCCTGGTACCGCGATGGCTTCTTCATCTCCACAGACAAGGCTTACTTGAGCCCCGTTGCCGTCAACGATGTCTTCAAGTCTGACCTCATGTGGTGGAACGATCCCCTCGACGTCGCCCAGATGACCAAGATGATTAACAACTGCCTGACCTTTGCCGTCTACTCGGTCCCGGATACCGAGGAGGAAATGAAGAGTGAGTCGCAGGTCCTTGTCGTTTATCCGAGTGAATGAATCAACTTTACTAACCATGCTTCGCTTTTTGTAGACAACGGTGGCTTCCCCTGTGACTCGTCTCTCGCCGATCTGACCCTCGTTGGCTTTGCCCGCCTTGTCACCGACTACGTCACCTTTGCCTACCTCACTGATGTCTTCATCCTCGAGGCTTTCCAGCGCCGCGGTCTTGCCTCCCTGATGATGCGTTGCATCAAGGAGACTGTCGACACCTGGCCTGAGCTCCGTGGCCTTGTCCTCATGACCCACGACAAAGCTGCTGCCCGTATGTACCAGCGTGAACTCGGTGCTCTCGACTTCGACAAGGGCCCTTCTGCTGGACTCGTCCTTCTCGAGATGCCCGGTGGTGGTGTCAAGGATCTCCCCGAGGATCACTAATCGATTCTGGCCTCTGAGATGCTCACGTTACGTTCGAATCATTATAAAAAAAGAAATGGATGGCTGCAGCAGCGTCGATGCATATAACTTCCACAATCCCCCGACGGCTGACTTACGACACGACTTGTTTTCATTTCCACCATTCACCTGGCGCAACTAATACTGGGATGCATATTTTTTGTTTTTTTCATCACGTTTTGATATTTTTCTCGTCATTTTATGTACTTTTCATCTATTTGATGATGCTCTCTTCGTTCTTCTCCGTCATATTCGTTATTTGGATGAAGCTTTAGAAAGCGCAGCTCGCATCTCTACAGCCCGCTTGTATGGCGGCGCTATAGGCGGTTGGACAGGGTCCAGCGAGACATAGTCTTCAGGTAGTTGATAGGAGGCGTCGGAATCAAAAGCCGACAAGTCTCCGCACGCAATAAACGGCGCAATCCAGCGCGTTGCTAAATCGTTTTGTTCTGTTGAATCCTCATTGTCATCGTAAACCTCCTTCTCCTGCACCCTTTCGATTCCCATGTCCTGCGTAGACCCTTGTACAAACATATCCCAAGTGCCACGAGCAGAATTCTGCATAGTGGCATCTGCCACCATTGGCATCTGGCGTTGTCTCTCTTCGGCCAACTTGTTTAAGCGTTGTCCGACGCCCAGCGGTTCTTCCAAGCTGGCTTGGAATCCCGTAGGCGGACGGAAGTTTATGCACACAATAAATGCTTCGACACTGCTCGCTCTGCTGCTTCTGGGCTTGGCCACAATAACTCTTTCGAAGAAGATCTTGAGCTGTGCATATAAAATGTCGACGTTGCGGCCGCGGAAGATCTTGGCCACAAACTTGCCTCCGGGCTTGAGCACACACAGAGCCAGGTTCAGCGCAGCAAACAGCAGTTGCGACTGAACATATATATCGAGATCGTGAAGGCCTGTAACATCGGGGGCACCGTCGCTGAGCACTAGGTCGACAGGGTGCGAGGCTTGCGTCCCACTGGCTGATTTGGCGTCGTATTCCGGGTCTAGCGATGATAGCAGTAGTGGCACGGTAGCTGGATGTGTGATATCGGCTCGCAAGGTTGTGATACCCTCGAGCGGTGAAATGGGCTGCAAGTCAATGGACACAATCTTGACGTCCTTGCGCGGCTGCGACTCACGGTGCTGCTTGGCCACCTCTTCGGCGACCTGCTGCTGCTTCGAGTCGTCAGATGTAGCAGCAGGCAGTATACCAAGCATCTGCTGTCGAAATTTGGCTTCACGGTCCTGCCATGCTGCTCTGCCAAACTTTTCGCCCTTGATGAGCACGCGCGACAGAACCTGAGACCAACTACCGGGGGCGGCGCAGAGGTCGACGACTCGAGATACGTTTGCAAAGAGATCGAATTCTATTTTATTGGATTGTTAGAACTGCTGATAGGCCAAATGGTTCACTGAAGAACGCTATTGACTGCGCCCAGTCTCTTCCTTACCTTCGTCTAATTGCAGCAACTTGAAGGCGCTTCTCGCTCGCCAGCCTTGCTCCTTCGCCAGTCTGTAGTAGGCATCACGCTTGTCTTTTGAAGCTTTACCCATGATTGGACGCCTGCTTAGATCTCGGTCTAAACTGTTGGGCTGCAGCGTGGTCGCTATGGCAAGAATGACAACCTCACCAAAATTCGCCTGTTAACTTTTTTTTTGCGCTACCGCCGCCAGTCCACCACCCCGCCATGCGACCCCGCCATACCGCCGACACCCAGTCGTGCTTGCTATATTCACAAATCAGCCTTCCGAATTCTACTTACAACAGAGATATGTAGAATAGTAGTAAACAATTGTATAATATCCATTCAGTTAGCCGTCTTTTACATTATTGTTGCGTAAATAAAAATTAATAGTATAAATTAATAGCCACTCATTCCTCCACCTGTAAGAGAAGTGCTGTTTCTTCATTTGCAATGTAGACCAGCTGCCTGTTTTAGCAGCGTAGAGTATACTGCAGCCTGAGGCAACCGTTTCTGCAGTGACCTGCATGCAGGCTGTGCCATTTGGATTACGCTGCACTATGTAGTATACTTAACTAAGTTTATAGCAATAGTTCGTTACCTTTCTGTTAAAGCATGAGTGACCCTCTGAGCACGGCGGCCAGTGTTATCGCTGTGCTCCAGCTTGCTGCTACTGCAACCCAATATATCTAAGATGTCAAACATGGGGCTGCGGACAGAACAAAGCTGCATGATGAGATGAGGAACACAATTCATTTGTTTTAAATGCTGCGAGATCGTATCGAAGATGCAGATGACAGCGACGACGAATCGCTAAAGCTCACTCTGAGCAGATCGCTGACTGGCTCAGGGGGCCTATTAGCAACTTTCAAGAAGCTGGCTGAGGATATAATTGCCAAGCTTGCACCTCAAGATAGGCTCCGTCGACTATCCAAACACTTCATCTGGCCGTTTGAAAAGAAGGACATTACGGAAATGTTTGACGCTCTTGAGAGGCTAAAAACACACATTGGTTTACTTCTCCAGAACGACGTTCTGTATGCCACCAATAACTGCAGGGTCTATACAGAAGCGTTGGCTAATCTATCACTAGAATGCTTGCAAAAGTTGCTAACCTAAAGCTTGACGACATTGGCGATAAGATTGACCACTCCGATGATAGATTGCGCGATAAAGAGACGCAAGAGATTATCAACTGGGTCAGTTTACTCTCTTTCCATGCAGCCCACAACGCAATTTTCGATAGCGTCCAGCCTGGTACAGGTACCTGGTTTTTAAACCATGAAACATATTGCAAATGGCTTAATGGGGATATCGACATGCTTTGGTGTCCAGGAATACGTAAGCTCTATGAGCATTCGTTAAGGTGTATCAATTGTTAACATGAATCTAGCCGGCGCTGGAAAGACCCGAAGAGTGTGAGAGAATTCGTTTATTTGGTCGGTGCTTGGGCTTATTATATAATCACAGGTCTATTGCCCTTGATACATTTCGTCGCGACAATATCGTCTCGATTTATTGCGAATACAATCGCCATGAGGAGCAAACCACAACTGCTCTTCTGTCAAATATTCTTCAGCAACTTTTACAAGAATCCACTGGTGATACAATGTTGGCAGAAGTTGGTTCGCTCTATGAGCTGCATAAAAGGTACGGCACACGGCCGACAATAACACAAATTTCCGATCTACTCTGCATGTTTATCGCAAAGCTGCAAAGCGTCCATATATTCGTCGACGCATTAGACGAGTGTTCCGAGTCTGAGGCTACTGCCCTTCAATTTATCTCAGCCGTGCGTGCTTTGGGTACACAGGTTAAACTTCTATGCACGTCGAGATTCTCTACTACTTTTGACGATATTTCAACAATTGTTCAAAATTGACTATCTATGCGCAGAGCGATGACCTTCGAACATTCGCCGATGCTCAAATTCAGAGATATCACCGGCTAGCAAAACATGTGAGCTCAGATTCAGCTCTGAAGGATCTCGTTATCAACACGGTTATCACCAAATCACAGGGGATGTGGGTAAATCATAATTTTAAGCATTATTAATAAGCTAACTTAGAGCTAGGTTCCTTTTAGCAAAGTTGCATCTTGAATCCTTGTCCAAGCAAATTAGCTGCCGGTAAATCGAAGTAGATGGTATATCATATTGTATGTGCTAATCGTTTATTTACAGAGGAGTAAAGACTGCGCTCCAGGCGCTTCCTTCGACTTTAGACGCCATGTACGATGAGGCTATTCATAGAATCTCGAGTCAGGATGTGGAGTCTAGCGTACTCGCCAAGTCTGTTTTATTTTGGATTGCATCTGTACGCCGACCTCTAACCATACAAGAGTTGCAGCATCTGTACGCCATTGGAGAGATTGCGGAAGATGAAGATCTGGAACAAGACGATCTCCCAGATGGCGACATTTTGACTGCTGTATGTGGAGGTCTTATTACTGTCGACGGTGACGCGCAGACGGTCCACCTGATTCATTATTCGGCGCGAGAATACTTTGATCGAGTCTGTCAACCAGAGATTCTCACAGCTAAGGAGGTCACCACACTTGCATGCTTGAAATATTTGATGCTACCGGCATTCGCTTCAGGGATATGCCTGAAGGATGCTGAGATGGAGGAGCGTCTTCAAAAGTATGCATTACTTGGCTATGCTGCAAAGCACTGGGGAGCGGAGGCAATGAACCTTCAATCTCTGTCAAACGATATCCTAAGCGCTATGCAGCTCTTCGTTAACAATCCCATTGCCATTAGCGTGACGAGCCAGGCGTGGGGTATCTCTTTAGCACGCCATCAATATTGGCGTCAGGAATTTCCAAGGGACGTCCCAGCTCTCGTTTTGACGGCTGCCTTTTTCCTTCCAAGCCTGCTAGAAGATATGATCAAGGCTAGTCATCCCATTGAAGGTAGAGGTAGTGACGGCGAGACAGCGCTAATCCGAGCTGCGCGCTTCGGCCATACTGCGAATGTCAGGACTCTTCTAGCCTTGGGGGCTGATGCCAACACAAAAGACTACATGGGCGAGACTGCACTTGATAAGGCTGCATGAAAAGGCACTATAGATGTTATATCCCTTTTAATAGATCAAGGCTTAGACGTGAGCGCTCAAACGTCGTACGGGTGGACAGTTCTCATGTCCGCCGTAGTCAGTGAACACATTGAGGCTGTTCGCTTGTTAGTTGATGCGGGGGCTGCTATAGAAACAGAAACGTCTTGGGGAGATTCAGCTTTAACTATTGCTGCCCGTAATGGGCTGGAAGAAATCACCAACTTCTTGGCCGACAAAGGCGCTATATTGCCCCAAGGTCCAGCAGGAAGACGAGCTTCACGTGCAGCACCACGCAGAGGCTATCACCAGCTAGTCAGGCGTCTAACTGCTGATTATAATCGACTCGCGCAGCAGCCTCTTCAAAGGCAAACTCGATCCCTTTTACGCAACTGCCAAACGTTACAGAGAACGATGAAGGCGATCGTGAAATAGACATGGCAGAGTTCTTTGACAGAACTAAGTGTCTTTTCAAGCTCTCGAGCCGATATCATGTTTTACGAAAAAATTGGCAAAGGTCACTTTGCCGAAGTGTTCTTGTGCACCCAAAAGGTAACCAACTTACAATATGTCGCCAAAGTCTTTCGAGCGCCGAAGGTCGATGAGGGAGCAAAACTTCACGGTATCCGACAAGAAATTGAAACCATGAAGGAAGTCAATACTCATAGACATCCTAGCGTCATTCGATTAGTCGATGTCTTCTTCAATTCCGAATCGACGGAGTTTAATCACGAATATTCTACGATATCCATAGTCCAAGAGCTTGTCTCTGAAGGCGAACTTCTTAATTTAATAGTTTCACAAAAGAAACTGAGCCAATGACAAACTGGACGAATATTTTCGCAGCTATTTTCTGCAATCGATTTCCTGGTAAGAAACGAAGAAACGAGTTTTTGGTGTTAGCTGACATCCATCAGCATAGATTTGGATGGACTCATAGAGATGTTAAGCCTGAGAATATCCTTTTAGCCGACAAAGAATTGAATATAAAGCTGACAGACTTTGGACTCTGTACACGCCTGCAAACGGATAGCTGCCCCGATACGCTTGACTTGAAAAGCACTACCAACACGCTTTGCGGCACACCAAGCTGTGTGTGATAGCTCTATTTACATGTCTTATTCTTTTACTAATTTTATGATAGATATTGCGCCTGAAATCCTTGCCGACCGTGACTTCAGGCAATACAGCTTCGCAGTAGATATATGGTCTGCCGGGTTGTTCTATACATCTGCCTCTGCGGGTTTCCGCCCTTCTCGGACGAGTTACACAGGGAAGACTTCCCATATACCTTAGGAGAGCAAATAAGAACCGGAAGGTTCGACTATCCATCACCTTATTGGGACGAAATCCCGGATGCAGCCTTGGATCTAATCGACAGTATGCTGGTGGTCGACCCCGATGCGCGCTGTCTGGTTGCCCAATGCATGCGGCACCCCTGGATGCAGCTCACCAACCCTACTGTTACCGAGGAGGGAGTACGATCTGAGAGTCCTGAAATGATGTAACGATTTAGAGAATACTCTCATGACCTCTACATTATACATATATTATCATGTAGAGCGAAGCGTAAAGATTATCTCTGGAAAGCTTATTGGATATCATCAGCTCTTTGTTATTCGGCTTACAACACCAGGCGACGATTTGTGATTAGATCTTTGCATATTGATATGAACTAAAGTTCCGGGTCTTATATTGATATCTAAGACCTTCCAGACTTTGTCTAAATCTTAACATATAGCCCATATTTATTTACAGAGTCGCCTGCGTCAAGTCCGTCGAGTCAGACACCTACCGTACAGCACCCAGCGCAGGGTGACAACCGTCTCGGAGAATGGACAATCGCCAGCTATTACCAATAATTTATTTGTATTTATGAATCATCATATATATATATGTACGGTGGCAGCTCTCTCATACCACTCCCAACTCATTACCAATAACATCCAAGGCTTCCCGAAGCAATCGCTCTACCTTCTCATCGCCTCCGACGGCTAATGCCCGTACAAGAAGCGGGTATAAACGCAACAGATGCTTCCTGCTATCACTTTGCGCACCCTGAAGCTCGGGAATGGCTTCGTTGGCGCTCTTTAGCTCCACAAGCCTCTTCAAAACCCAGAGCAGCTCCTTCTTCTGGCTCAGAGGCTGAGGCATCTTGCCTCGCAGCGGCTGATCGGCGACGTAAGAACGGAGCGTCAAGGCGCAGCGAAGAATCACAAGAGGAGCGGCCGTGCACGCAAGACTTGTCCAATGTTCTGCATCCTTCTTAGACTGGCCATCTAATTGGGAGTTTGTTGCAGATACAAGGGCAAACAGCTCATCAAACGCCACATACGCCATCCGCGCTCTCGAAGTAGGTGCCACGACTAGAGTACGGCCAACTCTCGAGTCATAAAGCGCAGCCAATCCTTGATCACTTCCACCGCGTATGATGGCCTCATCAGCAGCTGTAGGGGTGTGTATAATTGAAGTTTGGAAGAGGCTCTCTGCATACGACTTGCGCGTCTTGTCAGAGATCATATCCGATCCCAATCCCGGTATTATGAGGCTTCGTAGCCTTGCGAATGCCGCCATGTCAAAGTCTTCGTCTTCCTTGATGTTTGTCTCCGTGACAGCTTTGGCGCAATCCGCTTTCAAGATGCCGTTAGCCAGCTTTACGACGACTGCCCAAATATCTTGTGTGCAGCTGTCTGCTAAGCTTAGTGGTAGCAATTGTGGGAGTGCTGCTGTCAAAATTTCCAAAGCAGACGATGTTGCGACTTTCCATGTGGCTAAGGATTTTGAGGTAATAGAGAAGTCGTATTTGATGGCTATTGGTTGGCAAAGAGAAGTTAGGACAGCAGTGATGGCGCCACTGCTGTAGATATCCTTGTCATCGGCATGCTTTAACGCAACAGTTTGCAGAAGCTTGATGCTCTCCCTTGATAGAGCAACGTATGTCTTTTTAGTCGTTCTTTGGTGTTCGGGCTCCTGTTCATAAGCTAGCACAGCCAACTTGGAAATTTCCGTCAACATTATCGACGGCACCCCGGTGATGTCGGTGCGAATCATGCCTACTGCTTGGAGCAGCTGTGCTTGGAGGCGAGTCAAATGCTCAATGTCTGCCACGTAGCCCGTTGGTGAAGCCTCGATGGCAACTTGCTTCACAAGTTCCAAAATGCGTTGAACCTGTGCAATCGTTAACGATGGTTGCAGAAGACGGTAGACTTGGTTCAGTGCTCTTAAGTATGCCAATAAGGATTCTTGGTTATCGCCATTCTTCGTCATAGAGACATCCGAAATAGGTATTCCGCGAGACCATAGGTCCCAGGAAGCGATAATAGCAACGGAGCTGAACTCTGAAGAATCGCTTTCAGAGTCTTGTGACAGAATAAGGCTCAGAGCTTTGAATGTGGCGGTATTGATGTCCAGGACGTGGAGGTCCAGTAGCAACGCAAAGTAGTTCAGTAACTGGCTCCAAAGGTCGTTGAAAGTTGCATGTGTCGTAAGAACGTCGATATAATTGGATAGTAGAGACGAGACTCCTTCCAATACTACTACGGCAGTTCCGTGCCATTCAGTCAGGTCTTGATCCTCGAGGTCATCATCATCATCCGCGGCAAACAGGGTTTTCTGGATAGAGTTAAGAAGCTTAAATACAACAGACTTGATGCATATTGACCATGCCTCGGGGCTAAGCCGAGTACCGTATGCATCGAAGATCCGAAGAAGGGTCTGTATAGCGCTATTGCGAAGCTCAAGTCTATCATCAGAGCTAACAGCCGTAAGTCTTAGCAAGAGCAGCATCCACAGCGCGCCTGACGAACTCTCTGCAGAGCTGTCCGCGGCCAGTTGAGTCAATTTGGAAACATCTGCCTTTTCCATTTCGGCTCCCGCAATAGGTAACGACTTGGATTTGCTCGACAAAAAGTCCGACAGGACCCAAAAGAAGGTCACGGTAGTCAAAGCGATATTCAAATCTTCATCCTGTGAGCTGAACTTGTATAAGGTGTCGACGAGGATAAGAAAGCATGAATTTGGTAATGCTGATAGGAAGTCGGAGCAAATCAGCTGCAGAGATCCAAACGCTGATCTTACTAGTTTCGATGACCGGGATGCTAATAGTGTAGCTGAAACCCCACGGGTAGCCTCATCCGACTGCTTGGATATGAAGACCGTTCCAATGATTTCGAAAGCAATGTCCCAGCCCTCGATAAGACTCTCTCCGCATTGCTCGAGAATTCCTCGTAGCCCTTCTAAGGCTATGCGATGAATCTCCAGTTCAGTGGTAAGAGAGACTGATGATGCGCTGCGATTGGTGGCATGGATGGGAAGCAACGCCTCACGTAGGGCGCCTAAGAGTCGCAGCTGAATTGGCCCGCGTTGAGCGTCTTCCAAAGCCGCAGCTGAGGTAGCAGCCTCAAGAATAAATCTGGCGGTAACTTCTGCAGCCTTAATTCGAACGGGTGCATTTGTAGACGACGAACTCAGAGTTGTTATAAGCTGCGTCGTCGCGATATCCCAGCCTGAGGTCTCCGGTGGGAACTCAAGCATTCGTTCCATATTGGCAGCAATAATTTCTCCAATCTTAGCAAGGGCAAATAGCTGCTCTTGGTTTGACGTGGCGCTAGTTGGGGCCGAGAAGCTCAAAACACGGCGATGGGTTCTAGGGCTTGAAGGAGATGTAGCTCGCGATACATCCTTCTCAGGTTTCGCCTCTGGCTGGTTAGGCTGTTGGGCCTCCAGAAGACCGCACATTGCATTGAGAATTTGAACAAAGGATACATTAGGGAAGTCAATGGTGCTCTCAATCAATCGCGAGGCTGCCACTTCAACAGACCGTACCTCATTGGCGAAGTTGGCCATGAGAATGTTGGCATCGCCTTCTGTAGCCTGTTCATTACCACGACCAGCAGCTGGTGTGCGCCCTGCTGTCTTCCCGCTGGTAAATAGTACCAAGTCCGCCTGCTGTAACGTCTCAAGAACAATACTCCATGCTGACTCCAATGTTGGGCCAAGTGCTATTCCCAAGTTGAGCAGGGCTCGGAGGCAAAGGAGGTTTCTGGTGTTTAAGGATACTGGGCCTGTTTCGTTCCCTGTCTGCCTCATCTTGTCACCCCCTGGGGACAGTGGACCGACAGACTCAACACTCAACAAACCTTTAGGATTTGATAGAATGCTGTTCGGAGTTTCGGGCATTGTATTTGGGGTCTGGGGTCGGACTCCCCCGGCTGCCAGGCAGGCTGTGAGTACATTGGGGGGGACAGCCGATTTGCCCAAGGTCGTCAAGAATGCATCTCGCGGAGTTGAGAGTTGCAGTAATCCCGCGACATGAGCAAATCGCTGAAATGCTCTTACAAGTCCGTGGTAGTAGTCTGAGTCTAGAGCAGCAAATAGGAACGTCGAACACGTGGCAAGAATAGCTGGCCAACACTCGTCAACAATATCTGCGCAAGTCTTAATTTCGTTATAAAGCGCATGGTCCTTGAGATCGAGAGGATTTAACGGAATAGGATTCTTCTTAAAGGAACTGGATCTCTCGGGTCGGCCACGTGGTGGTGTAGGCTCAGCTTCCAGGTGTACCGGCCTTGGCGAAGAAGCGTCTTCCGTGTCACTTCGACTAGGCACTCGTTTTTGTGATTTGGTTTCTGTTGGAACCGTAAGAGGGAGAACAAACTTGGCTAGGCCATCTGACAATGACGAAAGACAGGCCAAAATCAGGCTGTAGATGTAAGATTCTGGGATCGCTGGTGGCTCCGTCTTGTCCAGCTGGTCAATACATGGGATACGGATTTGACTCCATTGGACACTAATGCCTATATTTGAAGCCTCTGGTCCAACAGAGCCGCCGATCATGCCAGCCATACCTCCGGCATCCAGAAGGCTATGGTCTGTAGGGTTCCCAGAGCCACCTTGGGGATCAGCCACGGGAACAGAAGACTGGTGGCCAAGACCTATCACAGCCGGCTTTTCTGTACTTATGCGCACAAATGTTGCAGTCAACGTTTTAAGAATGTCTCTTTGCCCAGCTCGTGAATCATACATGGCGTATATGAGTCTCACAAGGCTATGTTCAGCAAAGATTCCTCGAAAAACTTCCATGCAGAGAGCGCGTTTCCAAACAGTTGACTCTTGGTCAAGGAGCTGAGTCAAGGTATCGAGAGCATCGCTACACTCTGTTGGTAGGAGCACTAAGTGCTTTCGTAGAACGGTGTAGAGAATGCGAACCAAGCGGACCGAAGTCGAAAATGATGGTTTGCCCTTTAAAGCGCTCATAATAAGAGGCATTACTCGCATCCTCATGATGTGTATTTGCTCAGGGTGTGCAGTGAGAACGGCGCTATGATTTGTTATTACCGATTCAATGAGCTCAAGACCAAAGGTCTGTGATAGGCCAGAGAAACGGATATATTCCGGTCGTTGGTTCTCGGTAAGCAGGCAGAGGTCGTTAAATATCTGTATCGACAAAATTAGAAACCCATATTAGCAATTCTAGATGATTTGCGTACCCTATAAGCATCCAAGGCTGCAACGCGCAGTTGAATATTCCCCTCTGCTGCAGGAGCCTCTCCAACAAAAGGTACGTCGCTTGTCCTCTCTGTATTGGTATTAGAATAGTTGATATGATTCTATAGCTAGCGTGATACTTACTATCTTCCACAACAACTTTGTCAAACACAGCAACAACCAGTTGCTGCAAAGTAGCTGCGGATGTGTTGTTCACAATAGCATTCTTGCTACTCTGTAGTATGAAACAAACATTAAGAGTTGTAACGAGGAGCTCGCCTTGCAAATCTGGTGCGTAATTCTGCAGAAGGGATGGCAGAGCTTGTAATATTTTCAACTGGACATCTAATCCAGCTGAGGAGGCGTGCATCAGAGCATCAAGAACCTGGTTGAGCTTCGATCGTGGGAGTGCTCTCGCAACAATCAATCTTTGCAGGCAGACGATAGCGATGCCCGTGAATTTGGCATTTTTCGTTCCACATGCAATAATAAACGGGTTCACAAAGTTCGTCTTTTGAGAGAGTACTATATGTTGGGTTAATCGAGTCGAGCTTAGGTCGATGCGCAATCGGTTACATACACTCGGGAGCGGTAGACTCGGTTACTGTGCCTAGCTGCTTCAAGTCTTCTAGAGACTTTTCTGCAGCCTGCAATTATTATGTTAGAGTTTATGGAAGCTATAGAGAGTGGGAAATACCAACTTGGCGCAAATCATTGTTCTTTCTTTTGCTTTCCTGAATAAGGTTGGCCAGCTCCGTGGCAAGCAGTTGGGTCGTCATAATGGCCAGGCTTAGTCACGCATCGTTGCAGGCTCAATATGCAAATCTATAATATTATTCCGAATTCGTATGGCATCAGCAGCTTCTATGGTGTATTTGCGATCTGGTGTTCTGCAATGGACAGATAATCGAGGTTCCTCGGCACGGTGACGCGCGCCGCCCTGAGCCGTTGAGGGACACGGCAGAAAGCTCACCGCCCAAACCACCCCGCCGTGTTCCAGAATTCATCAAGAATCACTTACTGACAGCCACCACCACTTTGGGATTCCACGGAATGGTCTAAAGGCAAATAAATCAATGCAGTTTTTTTTTTTTTTGAAAAAGAGAATTCTTATTTTGCATGCCGGCACGTCAACTAGCACGTAGTCGGAATCCCTCATCTACTACTACTATCCAATAGCAAATTAGTATCTCACGTCATGGTTATCGTCTTCTAGGATATTGGAGTCTCTCTAAAGGGCGGATGTCCCATGATTATTTTGAGCTTCTGACGGAGTTAGTTTCGGGGACTTTTACAACAGTTATTATTTCGCCACCAATAGACCAACTCACACGTCTCGGGTTTACGCCGTCTCCTTTTTGGTACACTTACTTTGCCAAGCCATGGCGCCGTTAGGAATCACCAAGACTATTGATGGTTTACGAAAGAAAAACTCCATCCATGGCAACATCAGGGCGCCACAGCACAGAAATGGTATCATATCCCCGTTTACTTCCCCATACACGAACCACATGAGCGCCAACGATGTCTGAAACAGGCTACACCAAAACACAGGAACAATGGCCGGTTGCAGATAAGCCTACATCTCTATTGGTGAGAGAAACAAATGGGGCTAGAGAGCAAGGCTTCGGCGGCGCATTCGAACGAACTGCTTGGCAGTTGGCTCTACAAAAAATCCAACCGTTTTGGGGTATAGTTCTATCTTTGTGAGCACCCTTGTCTTGCGAGTGACGTCCCAACCCCAGACTTTGCTGAGTGGAGCCGATTAATGCAAAGGTACCAAAGGGGAAAGTCATGGAGCGTTGGCGAAGATTGTAAATGTATTATACCATTTCTCAAAAACGGTGGATGCTGCCAGTGTATGTCGTCAGTTTTGGCGAAGCGACTGGCATATTGGGGGGCAATGGGCTTTCGTAGTCTATCAACGACTTGCCTTCTACGGTACACGATCAACAACACTGCTATCATTAAGTCCCTGGGCCAAGTAGTGTCTAGTCTAATATCTGGGAGCATCACAAGACGAGCGTCAACGTCCAACAGCCGGCGCCTTGGTGGCAGGGTCACAGTATACTTCCCCAGCTCAGTAGTCTATGGGAGGTAATCACCAGCATCGCTAGAGCCCAATTCAAGAGAAGATGAGGCGAAGTGCATACGGTGAATAGAGCAGGGTGCACCTGCATGCGTGCATGACCAGAGGGAGCGAACGAACGGAACATTCTCTGCACGCGACAACCTGAGAGTGCATAGGCCCTCAGTCCAGCCCAACGCCACAGAATGGATTTCCCTGCCATGGGCGTCCTGGCGCCCCCACCAAGAGAAGAAGGTTTCGGTCGATTGCGCCTACCGTGTGGCACACCACCACGGTAGCGCCAAGACAAGCCAAAGCGACGCCAACCAAAAGTTCCAACCAACAGTGGCCAGGACCACCTCAGGGGATGGCCGGGGATAGTGCGTTCGGAGCTCCAAGACGGCCAAGCCAGCCTCCAGAGCACGATGATCTAGCCAAGGTTATTGGCATGTTGGGGCAGCAATAAAATCGACCTTGGCCCAACGACATGGGATGCAACAGCATGGAAAAGAGCGAGCAACGCGGGCCCAAGGGCGAGCGAAAGACACGGCCAGGAAGCATCCTATCTAACAGACTATTAGGTGCACAGATAAGGGTGGTGCCGAACCGGGGCTGGATGCCGCTAGCGCATGGTTCCCCGCGCTGCCTTCTCTGTTTGGGCAGGCTCTATTAAACATTAAACAAGGTTTGCTCCACCCACAACGGCCCACCATTCCACCGAGACTTCCCGCAGATTGCGCCTTTGATGGTGGTAGCGAGAGCCTCGCGCGAGGGAAGCCCGAATCGGTGGCAATGCTAAGGAACCCAAAGAGGAGCTCGCTTGTAAGGAGAGCCAAAGAAAAATGCTCTGCCAGAATGCGCAAATCAAGAGAATGAAACGATGAAAGGATAATATCGAGCGTGTTTGCGAGCAGCGCTAGGCATAACCGTGTCAACTGTTAGATCGAAGGGGAACAAAAGTCCCTCCTTATCCTCGCATCTCCCTTCCTCTTAGGAAACTGGTAATTATGCGACGCTCACCAACGGTTAATAGTTGTCGACGCCCTCAGCCTCCAGGTCCTCCATTAGCAAACAGGCTCCGTGGTCTAGGCTTGGCGTCGCCTCGAGCACGTCTTTAGCGTCGGCGCATAGGCCTGAATGAGAGCGTGTTGGACTAGTTTGGGGGTGGCCATGTGAAGCAGGAGCAGATAATGAACGGCTATGCAAACAACCGAATTTAGAACTGGGCGGCATTGTCCGAGGGGCGTTCCCCGTCTTGTTTTTAGCACCTGTCAACAATACAGAAGGTTAAATGTCTTGCGCTAGCCACGAGGGAACGAAGATGGGATGCATCCATTTTGTTTTCAGACATCGGATTCCTGCCGCCGGCAGAATTGGGGTCATCTTTTCAGCGGCCGTTCAGCTGTACAATTTTAGTTGCTAATTTCCCGCTGCGTTTCCTTTTGTGGCGAAGGCCTTTGGTATCACAAAGTTTGTGAAGGGTGTTTTGCACAACTGGGCTCAGGCGCCGTATCACACAGAGCAAGGTGAAGGGTTCTTTTGCCAGGTGCTTCCATTTTTACGCCTCTGTTGCCACACAATCGTTTTCCCGATTGTCATGTAAATAGCCTGGGGGGAAGCCACAGCGCGAATAGACCGCCACAGACTCTCCATGATATGGTCACAAACGGAAGACGAGGCAGAAATGTCCTGTTGGAGGTGTGCCGTTCTCCTCGTGGCATACATGAGAGTCGCATACCCGTCGGTGCAGGCGTAAAAACGAGGCTTGCGGTGCCAAGCAGACCTTTTGAAAAGGATGTTCGCCAAGATACTACCATGGGGGAGACCAACCAACCACGGCTCGGGGATTGGTCGCAATGTTCACGGAGTGAAGGGACCTTTGGAGAAGGAGTGACAGGATGGCGCCCGCTTTCAGGCCTGCAGCGCAGAGAGCTAGCGATTAAGGTCCACCAAGGAGAGGTTTTAGCATATGCGCCACAGCCATTTTTGGCGGATGGGTGCCCGTAGATCCACCCCCGGGATACCCTGTCCCGCGGTGGCCTCGCTGGTTTCGCTCACTAAGACACCCCACGCCAGGTGCCTGTCCGTCCCAGCTGGTGCCACTGCCAATCGCGTGGGAAAGCATAAAATGTCACGACACACCCTTCCTCTTTTGCTTTCAGAGCAGTGGAATCTTCTCGGCAGTTCCATTGTTGTCATTGTTGGCTTTGTTGTTGTTGTCTTGGACCGTGTCGCCAACAAGTTCAAGCTTCACACAGCTAGTCTATTATACCCTACTTTGGCAGAACATTTGCCCACGCATTGCATACCACAATCATGGCTGAACACCGTGAGAATCGGGACGAGCATGTCATCGCTCCCGAGCCTCAGGGCGGAGTGTTTGACGAGAAGAATGTAGGTGTTTGCTCCATCTGTCCAGCATCAGTGTTGATTATCACCACTAACACGCTCTACTTACGCATATAGCTCGCAAAGGCCACCACACATGACAGAGAAGTCATGGAGCATACCGACAATCAGCAGGCAGAGCGTGATCTCAATGTCACCGAGGACGATCTGCTCGAAGCAAAGGAGCTGGCCGCATCCTACACGCTTGAGCAAACTCGCGCTGTAAGTTGTCGTTGTCGTGTAATACTAGCAACCACAACTAACAATTGCGCTTCCAACAGATGATGCAGCAGGTCTGGAACTTGCACAAACGTGACCCCAACTTCCCCCAGTCTATTCTAAACACCATTGAGGAATTCTTGGGCAACGACAACATCATGGAAAACCCTGAGAAGCACGAGCAGCTCATCAACGAAATGAAGATTGAAGCCGCGCTCATCACAAACAACTCCCCTTACGCCGAGGTCCGCTCCGTCGTCGACAACCACGACGATCCCAACATGCCCTGCTCCACCATCCGCGCCTGGGTCATTGGCATCTTCTTTAGCTGTGCCATTGCCTTCCTCAATGGTTTCTTTGAAATCAGATACCCCTCCATCACTGTGACCCAAAACGTTCCTCAGCTGCTCGCCTACCCCGTCGGCGTCCTCTGCGCCAAGTTCCTACCAGACTGGGGCTTTACCATGTTTGGTGTCCGTCACAGCCTCAACCCGGGCCCCTTCAACAAGAAGGAGCACATGCTCATCACCATCATGGCCAGCATTTCCAAGTCATCCCCCTACACCAACTATCTGGTTTGGATTCAGTACCTTGACCAGTGGTTCGGCCAAGCCTGGGCACTTAGCTTCGGCTACCAGATCCTGATCGCCCTCTCTACCAACTTCATCGGTTACAGCATGGCTGGTCTTTGCAGACGTTTCTTGGTCTACCCAGCTTACTGTGTCTGGCCCGAGTCGTTGGTCACTATTGCTCTCAACACTGCCTTCCACAGCGACGACAACCCCACTGTCTTGGGTCCGTTCAAGAAGATGTGGGCTATGTCACGCATGAAGTTCTTCGCCATCACCTTCATTGGCATGTTCCTCTTCTTCTGGCTTCCCAATACCGTCTTCCTTGCTCTTAGCACCTTTGCCTGGATGGCTTGGATCGCTCCCAAAAACAGGGATCTTGCTACCATTACCAGCAACGCTGCCTCTGTCGGACTCGGCTTTAACCCGTTGCCAACTTTCGATTGGACCGCCATCACCTATGTTGTTGACCCCCTCATGGTTCCTTTCTTTTCCACCTTCAACACCTTCATTGGCATGTTCTTCTCTGGTTTCATCATCATGGCTCTCTACTATACCAACACCTGGGGTACTGCTTCCATCCCCATCACTTCCAACAAGCCATGGGATCGATTCGGAGTCAAGTACAAGGTTCGCACCATTCTTGACGAGCACGGCATCATTGACATGGAGAAATATAACGCATACTCTGCTCCCTATCTCTCGGCAGGCAGCATCACTTCCTACATGTTCTTCTTCGCTGCTTACAGTGGTGTCCTCACGTATGCTGCTCTCTATCACCGTGTCGAAATCATGATGGGTTTCCGCAACCTGGTTGACAGCTTCCGCCCTTCTAAGAAGAAGGAGGTTGAGGATGGTCGCATTCTCGATGTTCACAACCGTCTCATGCAATCCTACAAAGAAGTTCCTGAGTGGTGGTACTTCATTACCCTCGTCCTGTCCGTTGCCTGCGGCTGTGCTGCCATCGCCGCCTGGCCAACTTACACCTCCGTGGGTGTCGTTTTCTACGGTATTCTCCTCTGCGCCATCTTTGTCATCCCTACCGGTATTGTCTACGGTATGACTGGTATTCAAGTCACGCTCAATGTGTTGGCTGAATTCATCGGTGGTTCGTTCGTCGAGGGCAACGCCTTGGCCATGTGCTTCTTCAAGTCCTACGGATACGTCACCTGTGCTCATGCTCTCTCATTCAGCAAGGACCTTAAGCTTGCTCACTACGTCAAGATTGCCCCAAGATTCACGTTCTGGGCTCAAATGGTCCCTACCCTAGTGACCACGTTCCTCTACGTCGGCATTGTCCAGTACCAGGTGCACCTAAAGAACGTTTGCACTTCAGAGGCCCCCTTCGCGTTCACTTGCCCTGGTGAGAACACCTTCTTTACAGCTGCCGTTCTCTGGGGTACCGTTGGTCCCAAGAGACTCTGGGGTGTTGGTGGTACATATTCACCCACTCTCATTGGATTCCCTCTCGGTGTCGTCCTCGTCCTCGTTTTCTACTTCCTTAACAAGGCTTTCCCCCGAAGCGCCTTTCTCCGCAATGCTCACCCCGTTGTCATGATTGCTGGTGTCTTGAACTGGGCTCCGTACAACCTTGCATTCATCTGGCCTGCTGTTCCCGTTGCTGCCTTTTCGTGGCTTTGGATCAAGCGCACCTTCCTGGGTCTCTGGTCAAAGTACAACTTTGTTCTTTCAGCGTCCTTCTCTGCCGCATGCGCCCTTTCTGCTCTCATTCAGTTCTTCAGCATCGCCTACAATGACGTTCCCATCAAATGGTGGGGCAACGAAATTGTAGAGACTGGTTGCTACTCCGAAGGCTGCCTTCTCAAGCCTATGGCCAAGGGACAGTCCTTCGCACCTGCACCAAACGGAACTTGGTAGTCAAGAGGCCATTAGGAAAATGTGTAATGTTGAAACTTTATATATTGCCTGGAGCATTTATGAATTTGCTCATTTATGATTTATGCGCCTACATATAGGGCAGTAGGTTCATTATCTTTGTATTTAGGTGTACCTAGTTTGAATATACCAGAGTAGTCCCTTAGGGCGATCTACAAATCGGTGATCTGAAGTCTTGTCTCCTCCGTAGTCGTCGTACAGCAGCTACTACGGCTTGAGTATACCTACACTAAGTACTCTCATCAAATCCCAGAGAGTATAGACATCAAGCAATCGCTAGGTCCAAGTCTATCTCCAGCATACATGTCACAGAGCAATGAGGTGAAACGTAATTCAAGTTTAAAAAAATTTGTAATGAATACATTCAAGTCGAACTAGAAAAAGGCAACTTCGTGCCATACAAAACATAAAAAGGACGAACTAGAGCTTCACCAAGGACGCACCAAGTCAATCAAGACCGGCAGCCAAGAGAAGTTGGGATTAAACCAGTAGTAACAAAGAGCAATAATTAAAACAAAGAACTTTTCCATCTTTCTCAAACAACCTACTGGGATTGCGAAAGCGCAATCTTCTTCCAGTGGTCACGCTCAGCCTCAAGCTTCGCAATCTTCTCTTCCAGCTCGTCGAATCGCTGAGCCTTTCGCTCACGCGACTTACGAGCAGCAAGTGTATTGCGGGCTCTTTTCATGGCAACAACATCCAACGGATCATCGACAATGATAGGAGGAAGAGGCTTGTCACGCTTGCGCGCGTTGACACCGGAGACAGAAGAGTGGCGACCACCGCTGGTAGGGGAGCCGCTAGCCTTCTTTCTTCCGCTGCCGTTTGAGCCTCGTCCAACAGAGTCAATGTCGTCAGAGCGCTGAGCAGGAGAATCTTCCAGGTTGCTCTGCTCAGGACCGTTTGAGTCCTGAGGGAACAGAGGGTACCAGGCGTCCGTGGCGGTCTCGAAATCGCCGGAACCAAAGTGGGGTGAAACATCGTAGTCAAACTCGGGGGACTCATTGTAGATAGACGGCGAGGTCAATGCAGTGAGCGCTGCCGAGTTGGGGGCAGACATAAAAGGCTCTTGGACCAGGAGGTCCTGGGGAGAGACAGTACCCAGATTGGACGCGGAGCTAGAGACGCTACCGTTGAAGTCAAATGCAGGAGCAGCAGGGGATGAGAAGGCCGTGGAGGCTCCACCATCGAAGATGGGGAGATCGTCCAGGTCGACATCCGCTGCGTTCATCATATTGGCGGTGTTCTGGTTGTTACCGTTGTTCTGATTGAACAGGGGAACAGGGGGCTTGGAGGATTGGTCTCGCTGATTTAGCGACACGGTGGATGAGGGGGCCGAAGAGGCGTAGAATTGATTTGTAGACCGGTTTCCGTTAGGATAGGATTGATGTCCTATAGACTGAAGAATCTGTTGCACTCGTTGGTATTGAGCAGCTTGTGAAGCAGATTTCTCTAGGCGATTGTGATACGAATGACGACGCTGATTGGGCAGCGATGCAGTAGGTCGATTATGATTCTGAGGAGGTGGGTTGTCGAACAAGACAAAATCCTGATTGGGATTCTCTGACAGATTCAACTGATGCTCGGATGTTGCCGGCGGGGCGGGGCTGAGTTGGGGAAGCCATGATGACTGGTGATCCGTGGTGAAGACTGGGAAGTCTTGGGATGAAATGTTGGCGGTAGTTGGGGAACTGGAGCTGATGCTATACAGAGCAGGGCTTAAGTTCAGGTCGACCGAAAGGTGAGCTGAACGGGGGGAGGGTTGAGTGGGGTGTATGTTGTTTATGTCGTAAGACGTAATTTTGACGGTTGGCTTGGGGGGGAAACTCAAAGAGAGTTGATTTAGAACATCGTGCTGGGCAGCCTTAGGGCGCAATATGAACTCGTGATGTGATGTGATAGAAATTTTGGTGGGTGAAGAGAAAGAGAAAAAAAAAGAGGAGAGGCGAAAAAAGGTGGGTGGAAGCCTAGCCGCATTATGTATTCCCAGGCACCAACTCTCGGCGTTAACCATCAGTCCGGGGCGGTACAAGGCCGCGTGCGTGTAACAAGGTGGGTTCTTAGCAGCTTTCCCTAGTAAACTACATACAACAGTGTTAAGCATTCAGCGCAGCGACAAGTACTTTGCGCCCTTCCGAAAGTGGAGCTGAGCCTGTTTAACTGTGACTCACACGGGCTGTGGATGCCAACCCCTTTTGGGCCTAGCGCTAAAGCATGCACCGTATCAGCAGTACCACAGCCCCGTTTAGCGGCAGCCTCGCTACCTGTTTTTTTTCTAATTTTTTGGCGGGTTTAGGGGCGTTTTTAGGGGGTCCTGGTGCAAATTACGGCGCTGAAAGCCCGCCGCCCAGTGGGCAAGGGCCCATCCTGGGGAAGATAAGGAAATGCCGCGCCACGCCCTCGTTCCTCAGGCATTCCGACAGCGACGGGACTGAATAAAGAGAATATTACACCCGTGGCTACTTCTTAGCCCATTGCATGATGCGCCGTAGTAATCGCCATCATATTGCGCTGCGAGACGAACGATACGGACGACGCGACTCCAATTGATACCAAACTCAAAGGGCGCATTTCAAGGTGGCGCGGGCGCCGAAGAAAAAGAAACGGCGACCAAAACGCGCACTACAACACGCAAGCCAGTCCAGCGCAAGGCCACTAAGGGGGAAAAAAGTGCCGCTAAAGGGGTCTTGCTGCATGCCAGCGGTGGATTGGTAATTTAGTGCTCGCTGCGCAGCCCCAGACAAGTTGTATCCGACGGGGCCAGTGCTTACTCTCTGCTGCCGCTATTGGACGCCGGCTAATACGCCTTGCTGTTAGTGCTCTTCGCTGGCGCTCGTCTCGCCCGAAGCCGAGTTGCAGGCTCTCTTGACACACTGTAATTATAACGGCCCGAGACCGGTTGTCTTGGTTGACCCAAGTATGCATGATCGCCTCGATGGACGCCTCATAGGCACTCATCTCAATTAGAATGGAATGTCGGGGCGGCGACGATGTGCTATTGGCTCAGCTAGAGTTGACTATCTGCTTACAAAGGGCGCCATCTCCTGACAGCGCATTTGCTCCTGGTCGCGTGGATTACCCCGGGTCTTCTCGTATTGCAGCCTTTGGGCCTCGTTGGCCAATAGGTACAAGCCGAAGCCGAGCTCCGCAGTACTGCGTCGGACAACTTCCTTGCTCGGTGGGCTTGGAACCTCAGACGTCGGGGCGGGTAGATTGGTCAGTTCTCATTCGTCGATGAGCGATTCCCGTTTATAGCCCAGTAGCCGCTCCGTCGCAACATCGACGGCTTCCAACCCGCCATCCTCCGGTGTCTGCGAGAAGGGCCCGTCGACGAAAATGAATCGCCGGTAGAGAGGCACGGGTCCAAATTGTTCACAGCTAGACAACCCGTACCACTTTTGTAGTAACAATCTTCAAGAAATTATATCCGCCAGAATAAGGAGAGACGATGCGGCTGGTTCGTGTCTGCTCATGTGTCTTCCGGAGCGTTCAACCCTTGTAGGAAACTGTCAGCTTGCCGCTTTGCCTTGCGCGCCTCCAATGCATTCCTTCGTTGTTCAAGCTCAAGGCGCCGTAACGCTTTCTGATCTTCTTTTGTCTTTCGTACGTCATCTGTTTGCTTCCGTTCTTGACCTAGCGATTCCATCTCTCGTTGTCGCGTCTCTTCGTCCTTGCTAAACTTGTAAAATCCGACGCCTTTACTGCGAATTTCCTTGTCCGCATCGTAGTGCTTCTGTTCTGGGGGAGTCGCGCTCCTATCTCGTTTCTTGGCGAGTTCTTCCATCTGTTCGAAATCGTCGGCCTTGAATGCCATCGATTGAATAGCATCTCCGTAAATCAACTTCCCAGGAGCTGATGGCCGAGCAGACATGCGTTCTAGCTCTTCAGCCCCAAGCAGGCCGCGGCGCTGCCTTCGCTCCATTCTCTCCTTTTCTGCCTTGGTCCCTCGACGCAATCGACCGAATTCGTCTTCATACTCAATGATCTCACCACTATCACTCTGGTCGTCATCGGAAGAAGATTCGGCATCGCTTTCTCCAGCGCCCTTTTCTGCCCACTTGCGATCAAAGTCAACCAGAGGCGCCGCTTCCTTGTCTTTCGGCACATAGTCACCACGCTTCATAGCCGCGTATAGTCTTGCTTTATCTTCCATCTTGCGTGTAGCCCGTGCTAGTTCTTGCGATTCTTCGGCTGTTCCAATAGTTTCTTTTAGTTTTAGAGCATCAGATTGGTCCTCTCCTGTCGTTGTATTCTTGCTTTTGCTATTGTTGAAAATGTCGATTTTGTTGGTTCTGCCTGGCCTCCCCCTGCCCGTCCGACTTGACGTATCGGACCCTTTGGATATCAATGAAGTCATTTGTGCTGTAAAATCCAATGATGTTGGAAGTGCTGCTTCTTTGCGAGCCTTCTTTTGCGGCCTCTGCCCGTACAAGTTTGGGTCTTGAGGCGCATTAGTCTTCTGTATGTTGGACATCTTTTGTTTCAGGCAGCCACTCTATTTTCATCGGCGCTGGCTTTTTACACCTGGGTAGTATGTAGAGAGTAGTAAATCCCTTGGGGGGTCACATATACATCGATGGCAGCTGTCAAGTATTTTTACTGCGTTGTTTTGGTAGAGTTGCACCGCTGTGATATGTTACGGAGGCTAAGTTTGTTGACTGTTGTAGGAGGCGTGGTTGTCATTACTGTGGGGGCGTATTCAGCAAGCTGCACGCACATTATCGGCGCCATCACGGCCAGGAATGGCAGTTTCGTTAATTTAATTCCAAAAGAAGATAATTTAAATACAAAAACCATATGCGCTATAGCCTGGTTGGAAGCACGCCATTTGTAAAAGCGCGACGCCATCGTCCAGATGATTCCAGGGTAGCGGTGCTGTGATTTTGTCAGCATGTCGCAAACCCTCCGGTATCCGCACCGGCTTTGGGTCCGGGCATACATAAATTCCCGGCGTCCACTTTCGTCTACCACTGTAACAATTTCGAGGCTGTCATTGCGCAAAGAACATTCACAGACAACCAAACACTCGCAATTCTTCAAAAATGACGGTCAACGTTCTCGAATCGTAAGTAAAATTGTACGAACATTTTCAGGTGGTGGCAGTTAGCTGACATTTACATTCTAGTGTTACCAGTTATCGTGATGCTGTGGCAAACAACAAGCTCGTTGTTCTAGACTTTTACGCCATGTGGTGCGGCGATTGCAGAATGATTGACCCTTTTTACACAAAGTTAGTACTTTGATCCATAGATACAACGCATTGCCAAGCTAACCATTGACAGATACGCCAAAGAGGAACGCTTCCAGCACGTTTACTTTGCCAAGATCGATACCGAAGCCGTGACAGAAGCCGCAGCAGAAGCAGATATCCGCAAATTACCGACGTTCCAAATCTACAAAGACGGAGTCAAGGTTGACCAAATCTATGAGCCAAAGCCCAACGACTTGTTGGCCCTCTTTGAAAAGCATCTGCTGTAGCCTGTGGCATGTAGAACACAGCCACGACGTACATACACAATTAAATAGAAGCCAACCTGGGTTAAACCATGAGTCAATGAAATAAAATATATTTTGCCATGTATCAATATATTACGATAGCAGCTTGGATCGTGCTAAACATATCTTCTCATCAGGGTAATTTTGCGGACACAACAAGGCAATGTGCCTGCCCCTCTGTCCACAACAACCCCGCCAAAACCGGTGCCGTCATCGCTACAAAACACAGCTGCCCCGCTATCGGACTACATGCAATCTGAAAATTGACTCGTCTTTCGAATTTCTTCATCAACCAACCCCATTGAACAGAATCGAAAATCAATCACGTAAACATGGCAGCAAATGCGAACCAGGTTTTTATTGCCGTTATCGGTAAATCAATGCACCACGCCCCAATGCTATGAGAATCACGCTAACCACATCATTCCATTAGGCGCAGGAGGTGTTGGCAAATGCTTCCTGTCTCAGCTCCAGAGTCTGGCTGCTCGTAGACCCTCGCCTAAGCTAACTCTTTGCTACCTGGCGACTAGCCGCAAGGCCCTCTTCAACGACGATTACTCTGCTGTCAACATGGACAATGCTCTGGATTCCCTATCGGCTTCGTCGCGTACCCCACCACCACTGCCTCAAGTTATCGAATACCTCGCTGCCGCCCCAGCCAAGACCATCCTCGTCGACAATACCAGCTCTCAGGATGTGGCCGACCACTACCCTTTGGCTCTCAGCCGAGGTGTGAGTGTCGTCACACCGAACAAGAAGGGATTCTCGGGCTCCTACCAGCTTTGGCAAGAGATCTTCATTGCGTCATCTACGTCTGGCGCCAAGGTCTACCATGAATCTTCCGTCGGCGCTGGACTTCCCGTCATTTCGACTTTGAAGGACTTGGTCGACACTGGTGACAAGGTTACCAAGATTGAAGGAGTGTTCAGCGGTACAATGTCGTTCCTCTTCAACTCGTTTGCACCCACCGAGGGCCAAGGCGGTCGCTGGTCGGACGAAGTTAAAAAGGCCAAGTCCTTGGGATACACTGAGCCCGACCCCAGAGATGATTTGAACGGTCTTGATGTCGCCAGAAAGCTCACAATCTTGGCCCGTCTGGCCGGCTTGCCGGTTGAATCGCCTACGTCTTTCCCAGTGCAGAGCCTCATCCCCAGCCAATTGGAATCTTGCACAAGTGGTGATGAATTCTTGGAGAAGCTGCCTGAATTTGACGATCAAATGGAAGAGACCAAGACTGCCGCCGAGAAAGCTGGCAAAGTCGTTCGATTTGTTGGTAGCATTGATGTCGCTAGCAAGTCTGTCAAGGTCGGACTGGAACAGTTTGATCGCTCACACCCTATTGCAGCTCTCAAGGGCAGCGACAATATCATCAGCTTCTACACTGAGAGATATGGCAACAACCCACTTATTGTTCAAGGCGCTGGAGCTGGAGGCGATGTCACCGCAATGGGTGTGACAGCTGACTTGCTCAAGGTTATTTCCCAACTGTCTTAAATATACCTTTCTTTAGGCATAAAATAAATAAAATTTCAATAGTCATTACATATTACGTTCGTTTCGGCTTGTGCAAATATATTATCGATGTCGTGTTGATCGATTTGCTTCCGGCGCTTGGACTGAGCTCGTCGATGCTGACGAGGTTGTCCCTAGGGGTCGAGCGGCAAAACGATCTGGGACATCGCCTTCGATAGGCATTTCATTTCTCAAAGTACGCCAAGACCATAATGTAAAATCATAAGCGATCATGAATGCTACGGGGGCTATGAAAAAGAGCCCCAGGAACAGCTGAGGTTGACATTAGCAGGAGATATGCATGTAAACATCAGCTTCACCAACCGACAGTCCCGACACTATTCGGACAAGTAAGGACTCTGGTAGAAACCAGTCAAACCACGCTAAGAGATCTTTTTGCAGTGCGTTTTCCATGGCTTTTCTCTGTTTATTTTTGCTTCTATTTTGTGCTCTTGATTTGGGGGGAGGCAACCAGGTCGTGGCTGGCGCAGGGAGGTGACGACAGCTACAACGGAAGTGGACCACGCTGCTCGACCGTCGTGGCAGAATAGCACGACTAGCTGCGACCGCCTTCCTGATTAGTCCACACTCTAAGCTCCAAATAGCAAATTCGACTCAGATACCTCAAGGCTTTTAAACACCAAGATTCACAGCCAAAATGGGAGGTGCACCTAATAAGAAAGAAAACCGCGAGAAGTTTCACGGTAGGAAGGACCACAATGGTGTGGCTCTTCTTCCCCGTAAGCGATTCTACCGCCAGAGAGCCCACGCCAATCCTTTTTCAGACCATACTTTAGAATAGTATGTCTTCGTTTGCCATATCTTGGAAGCCCTATCTGACCCTTTTAACAGTCCAATCTCACCGAAACATATGGATTGGTCTGAATATTACCCAGCATTTGCTTCAGAAGCTTCAGAGACACAGCCCGACTCCCCGCGACAGCTGACAAAAAATGTCGAGATTGTCGACATTGGATGCGGCTTTGGTGGTCTTCTCATGGCTTTAGCGCCCATTTTGCCAGACTCTCTCATGCTTGGTATGCTATATGCCCTCTCTATAGGTACATTCGTACTAACAGAACATCTTAGGCCTGGAGATTCGCACACATGTCACACAGTTTGTTCAAGAAAAGATCTGGGCGCTCCGCGAACAAAATGGAGGCCAGAAATACCAAAATGCGGCTTGCATTCGCGCTAACTCGATGAAATTCTTGCCAAACTTCTTCAAAAAGGAGCAGCTAAGCAAAATTTTCATCTGTTTCCCGGATCCTCACTTCAAAGCCAGGAAGCACAAGGCTAGAATTGTATCCACAACCCTGAATTCGGAATATGCCTTTGTTCTGCGTCCTGGAGGCATAGTTTACACAATCACTGATGTCGAGGCTTTGCATCAGTGGATGGTCGAACACTTCAACTCTCACCCTTCCTTTGAGCGCATACCAGACGATGAGGCTGAGCAGGATCCATGTGTGGATGTTATGAGACGAGAAACAGAGGAGGGAAAGAAGGTGGAAAGAAACAAGGGTCTCAAATTTGTTGCACTGTTTCGAAGATTGGAGGACCCCTCTTGGTAACACTGTCTTTTAGTAGACCATCTGGCGTAAGGACTTTCTTTTTAGGCGAAAAAACTAACCAAAAGTTGTATTTGGGGATTATATATGCTCCACGCTTTATATTTCTATCAGTGCCATAGTTATTATAGAGCTTTTAAAAAGCAAAATAGGGAAATAAACAATTTAAAATTTCATATCCAAGTGTGCAAATAAAATTAAATTCTTTTATACGCTGTACAGTTAGCGAGATTTATAACTTGCCCGAACGCTGCCAAGGGTCCAGCGCGTATACTTAGCTTGTCTTGGGCTAGCGCAAGGGTTGCCACTAATCGATAGTGCTACAGCTCCGTCATACCGCCTTACCTCCATCCCTCCTTTAACCTTGCACCACGCTCATCGCATCGCGCCACGACAATGGCAGAACAACGGAAGCATGCTCTGCTTGCGGCTACTATTTGTCTGGTCGCTTGGTTTTGTGCGGTGAGCTGGTCTGCAGCTCTGCGATGGGCTAGCTACGCCTTTGCCGCCGGGCTCGCTTCCGCCCTACTAGCTGTCATTGCATCGCTACTCCTGACCTCCCGAAGCCCTACCGATCGACGGCCGAGACCCCCGGGTGTTTCTTTTACAGATAAATCGCTGTGGAAAGCGGAAATCGAAGCTCTCAAACAACGTCAAACTTACGAGGCGGCGTCACTAAACCTACCAAGTCCACGTGTCGCATCCGCTATGGATGAACTCTTGGGATTCATCCTTCGCGACTTTGTTTGCATATGGTACTCCAACATCAGCAAAAATGCTATTTTCCCGAACGAAGTTGATCGGGCGGTCAGGTCGTCTATTGATAATATTCTCACCCGCCTGCGAGAAAAGGACCTCGCAGACCTGGTCACCAGCCGCATCATGCCGATTTTGACAGAACATTTTCATGATTTTGCCGCAGCAGAGCGATCTGTTCGTGGAAAGAAGTTGAATAGAACCATGACGGAATCAGAGGAACTTGATTTGGCCATAGCTTCCAAGTATAGAGACGGAAAGCTACATCCAGCCGCCTCACTGTCTTTCCCAGATATGAAGATGATACAGCAAGACTATCTACGCAATTTGGCTCGACGCATGTTACCTGAAGTCCTTCCTACAAAAATGCTAAGAAGTCGAGCAGTATCAGCTATCGTGCGCGAGATTGTCGGCTGTGCTGTGTTATCACCTATTTTGCAAGCTCTCTCTGACCCGGACACGTGGAATCAGCTAATGGAAAACTATGGACGCTCGATGTTGCAAGATAGATCGACAGTTCGAAAACTGCGCGCAGCCTTAGACCAACATGCCTTACCGGCACCGAAGACCGCCAAGTTCGCGGCAACCCCTCGCATCCTTCCAGGCGACAGCGAGCGCAAGTTTGAGAAGTTTATTCGGGCTATTCGGAAAGTTAATAACCTTTCCGATGCTCGCAGATTCCGAAGCGAAGTTGCAAGTCAACTTAAACGTGACTTGTCTGGGGACAACACAGATCCTGTCTACCTTCGGCGGTTAGAAATGGGCAAAAAGCTGCTGGATCAACGTGTCGCTCAACTTGCAGCGGGAGGCGAGCGCCAATCTGGCCATCAGAGTCCAACAGCGCAGCCGATGTCAAAATCAGCGTCTCAATCGAGACTGGAAAATGCTACACTAGTCGAGCTTCTCCGCGATGCTGCTGGATTGTCCTACTTCATGGAATATATGGATAGACAAAGGCTTATGGCTATGATACAGTTCTGGCTCGTTGTTGATGGCTTCAGAAACCCATTGGAAGATGATGGCCCAGAAGAAGATGCCTCATCATTAGCCCTACCAATGTGGTCAGACTCTGATCGGATGGATTTGCAACAGATACAGCAGGCGTACCTATCAAAAACGGAGCTACACGTGTCTGATTCCGCTAAGACCAATGTGAAGGAGTTTTTGCAGGCTGGGAAGAGTGCGACGCCATTGCAATATTACAAAGCTCGACGATCAATCCTGGATACACAAGCCGCAGTATTGGCCGAGATGCGAGATAAACATTATCCGCTCTTCAAGAAATCCGACTTATACTACAAATGTATTGCTTCACAAGAGTCAAGTGTGCAGGCAACACCACATGCCATGTCAGGTCCTGGCGGAGCACGCCCGCCATCATCATCGATATCTAACCAAGGTCCCGTGCCACGACCAAAGTCATTGGCGAGGATTGCCCAAACAACTGCCGCAGCGGCTCGACTTTCTAGTGAGTCGGTGCTCACACAAGCTGACGGTGGTTCCGGAGATCCCCTTTCTGATGCTAGGAAATCAATGGATGAGGATAATTCTCTACCACTGTTTGACGATGACGACGCAGATGTAGATGGCATGGCAGACTCCACACAGAGGTTTGACCCGGATTCCGAGCAACGACAACAACTTGACAGTCAGGCAATTCAAGCGGTTGAAAAAGCCCTCACAAATATCATTGAAAATGATAGACCACAAACAGCCGAAGATTTGCGAGCATCCCTTTTTGGGGCTGATAACGGCGAACCGCTCTTCGAGGCAGAAGATGACAGCCGACGCATATCTCTTGATGGTGCCCGCCAACCACCAGTAAGTGGTAGACTCGGAGATGAAAAGCCCAGCCTCTCCTCTCTTGGCCTTGTTAGCGCAGCATCCCGTATAGGAGTATTTGTTGATGACGACCTGTTTGGGGACGAATACAAAGGTCTCGGCGAGGATGATGACGACGAAATTTTGACAAGGAATGGCGACGAAGAAGACGAGGTACATGAAGCAGCACCTGGAGACCTAGGCTTAGCTGAAGCAATCAAGGTGTTGACCAATGACATTGATCGATTGATTGCACAAGAGGGCGTGGTGGACTCGCTGATGAGGAAAGCAGACCTCACAAACAACACAGCTGAGATTCGTATTCTGAAAAAGTCTAAAGCCAGCTTGCAGCGTGAAATCCGACGAAAGGAGCTCCAACGTCAGCAGTATGTTGTCCAAGAGAGTGACAACAGTTTGTATGGGAGGTCTACAGTCAAGATTAAGTCGATTCAAGTTGGTAAAGAAGACGACGGGAAAGAATACGCGTTATATGTCATTGAGGTGCAACGAGACGCAGGAGAGCGGATGCCCGCTGCATCTTGGATAGTTACGAAGCGCTACAGCGAATTTCATGACCTTCACCAGAAGCTACGATCGACATACCCATCCGTACGGAACTTGGATTTCCCCGGTCGCCGAGTTGTCATGAAGTTTCAAAGCGAATTTTTGCGCAAAAGACGAGTTGCCTTGGAGAGATATCTCAAGGAACTGCTACTACTTCCTGAAGTCTGCCGCAGCCGTGACTTGCGTGCATTCCTTTCTCAGAGCATCATCACCGAAGGTCAGGACCTGACTGACCGTGAAGATAAGAAGGATATGATGACGCGCCTGTACGATTCAGTGGCGGATGGTATGGAAGACATCCTTGGTAATATCCCTGTGCTGGACCAAATATCCGTGGCTGGCCAAAATCTCATCGCTGCGGCAACAAATCAGCTCAACGCCATGCCATTAAATGCAAATGAGGAGGCATTTCCGGCAGCAGAAGCAGAAGCAGAGTTGAATGCATTTGAAAACAAGGAACTCGAACCATTTATTAAGCCCATTTGCGACATTTTCTTGGAAGTGTTTGAGCTGAACAAGGGTAACAACTGGCTGCGAGGTCGCGCAGTAGTTGTGGTGCTACAGCAGCTACTAGGTGGCACCATTGAGCGAAAAGTAAGAGATAACGCGAAACTACTGGTACAGGAAGAGTCTCTGCTACGGGTTCTAGGGTTGGCAAAAAATGCGCTCTGGCCGGAAGGCAAACTTGTGCGAGATCGCAAGGTGCGGACGGCGGCAGAGCGAAAGAAGACGAGAACAGAAGCCAGCCTGATGTTGGCGACACTGGTACCTGATCTGGCGGGTAGTGTTGTTGGACGGGCCAATGCCCAAGCTGCAAGCCGGAGAATATTTGCAACGCTGAACAATTCACGACTCAAGTATGTATTGGACAATGGCGGGAAGAGAGGAACCCCTGTGCTAACCTTGACTAGTGCCCATTTGGCGTTTACCATACTTGATGAGCTGATTTCGATTTTATTTGATGATCAAATTTAACATGGGCGCGATGCGGTAATGATGATCTAGCAAACGAAATACCCTTGGTTGTCGCTGCTCGGCTAGAATATTTTCATTTTGGCTGGGCTTTTTTTTAGGGTTGCGTGTGTGTTCAAAGGGCTAGTAACTTATACATAATTAAACGACCCATGTATAGTACATATATTATACATATAATACCATATGTTTGCATGTATTTGGTACCTCTTGCCTGGATCACTGCGCAACGATAATTTCTTGTTTCCTGGTGGCTGTGGTGTTTGAGTGCAAGTTTGACGAGGACTGCAAACTCTTAATATGAAACGGCCTATTACAGAAGACCCAAACAAATTGTGCCAGCTGGCGCACCTGGCGCAGCTGGGCTAGAGTTTGCGCCTGGCGGGTGAGCACAACCGGGAACCCGCTCTCGCCCAACGCACGTTGATGCACCGCTGTGTTTGCCCGTCATGTTAGCGTCGGCTAGCCCCATGAGATCCCGCGCTACCCCAGAAAAGCAGCTTCCTCAGGCTACTCTCCGCCTTTTTCCACAGCGACGAGAGCGCTGAAAGCCCCACTCCCAGGGGACCTCTACCCGTCCGCCACGGCGCTGCCACTCAGCAAGACGCAGCCGTGCTACCCACCCACCCACCTCCATTGTGCTGCACCAGCTGCTGCGTCGCCCCCCTCTCCGCATCTTCGCTGCTCTTCAGGTTTGCCCCCAACAAACAGTGCGAGCGCTGCTCCTTCCCTTCCCCCCTCTCTGGTCCTTTCCGTGCCCAACTTGTCCCCCCGGTGCCCTACCTGGATTCTTTTATTTCTCAGCTTCACCAACAAAAGCCCGGCCATCTGCTCGAGGACCGCCACCTTCTCTTCTGCTCTTTACTGGCGCCAGCCCCCTCACACCTCTTCTGCTAGGCTCCTGCCCCGTCGCCAACGGCCCGTCGAGGACATCGCCGCTTTCTGACTTGCACAGAAGAGCGCCTGCTCTCTGCCCAATCGATTCATCATGACCGAGGTTTCAAATACCCGTCTCTATCTGGGAAACCTCCCACGCAATGGTCCATACTCTCCTCCATAACTCTCTTACGTATTTTTGCGCCCCCCAGGCAACCCGACTGACCATATCCCCGGAACACAGCTACCAAGGCCGATATTGAAGCTCACTTTGCGACGCATGGCACCGGAGAAATCGTAGAAGTCAAGCTGATGAACGGCTTCGGCTTTATCGAATACAAGGATCCTATGGATGCCCGAGATGTAGTTCCCGGTGAGTAACTGCCGTCGGCGCCATGTCACGAGACTAGCTCGCTAATCTGTTTCTGCTTGCTACACAGCTTTTCGTACGTTCAACTGCCTCTCCGATGGGATATTGATGCTGTTTAGACATCCCAACGGCCTAGCTAACCTCAATCCAATACGCAGATGGCTCGACTTTTATGGGCGAACGATTGACCGTCCAGTTTGCCCGAGGCACACGACCAAAAGAGACTGGCGGATACGGCCACCACGAACGCGGACCCCCTCGACCTCGCCGAACGATTCATCGGATGCAGATTAATGGCCTCCCAACCGAGACTAGCTGGCAGGTGCGTTGATGCCACCCCTTGGGCTGGTGTAGTAGCTATGTCGCTGCTGCCCCCGCCAGGGACACCCACTGGACGAGCCAAACCACTTACCTGGATTCTGGAATAGGACCTCAAGGACTTTGCACGTCAGCCCGGCCTTGACGTTGTTTACTCTGAGACTGGGCGCGATTCCGATAGAGGGTACGATATGCTATTTCTCTGAGACAACCAAGGACTAGTGCACTAACAGCTGCTGATGCTTAGATTTGTTGAATACGAAAACGCTGCGGACCTGAAGACTGCCGTGGAGAAGCTGGACAATACTGAATTTAAGGGCGTCACTGTCCAGTGCGTAGCCGATGTAAGAAAATTTTGTTTTTTTGCCCATTATCTTTTCATCAGTGTCCACTAACACAGGCGGCAGACCCAAACCGAAGTTCCCAGAGATCGTGGACGGTCTCGATCACCCGGTCGGCGACCATTTATGCCTTCGTACGATGGATATGACCGCCGCGGACCTCCTCGTGGATACAGCCCTCGCCGTGAAGGACCTCCATATGGATACCGTAACCGTAGCCCTCGACGAGAGTACTACGACGACCGCGGGCCCTACCACTCCCCCCCACGCCGTCCCATGGCGGACTACATGGCACCTCCCCCTCGAGGCCGATATGATGATTACCGCCACGACTACCCTCCCCCTCCTCCACCCGACCCCTATGCCCAGGAGCGTCAGTACCATCGACCGCCGAGGGGCTTCCCCCCTCGAGAGGCACCACCCTACCCGCCGCGTGAACCTAGCTACGGAAGAGATTATGGACGCGAGGGGCATTATTGGTAAATCCACCCATTTTCTTCCGTGCTATTGGTGATGGGGTGCCAGGTTGGCGACAATGGGATACCGTTGCTGACGCGACCATTTAGACGACGTGCCTTGCCAACACTCTCGACTATCGACATGTGCTGTGCTCGCTCAAGTTGTACTGCCTTCTAATCAGCCTTGCGCGTGATGGAAGGCTACTACTACTGCATAGTCGGCATAGCATTTGGAAGGGTGCGCCAAACCAGCCCAATCTACCCTTCCAGGTGTAACGATACTTTGTATGAATTCTGCCTATTTTGCTGTCGAAAAGCGTGGCAGCGATGTTATATTTGCTTGAACATGTTTCTCGAGGCGGGTTGCTTGATTTGCTGCGTTTACGTTTACGCTAGCCTTTGTTCCTTTTAATTTGCTTTTAATTTTTTCTTCTCTGACTAGGTAAAATTGTGATAACCAGAATATGAAATCTTTAATTGTTATTTTTTTTTAATATTGTATGAAATATTTTACTAGTGATTCTTTGCATCGTAAACGGGAAGAACATAAAGAGAAAGATTGGGCAGTAATAGTTGACGTTTTGCAGACAATCCACTGAGAACAGGAGCCGAACAAAGATGACGCCTTGCAAGGAAAGACCAAATCAAAGGGATGGTGAAGTCCATCGACAAACAGGGACAGCACTCGTTGGTATGATACATTATTGTTGTTGGGGGGTTATTGCCTTGTTTCCATGTCCGTTGCTGACGACTGTGACAACCGGGAGGAACAAGGAGTAGCGTATGTAATGAGTAGCTTAGGTAGTCTTTCTCCACTGGTTGTAGATGCCAATGGCGCTGCTGAGAGTACCGGCAAGACCAATGAAGCCATCGTCAAAGTTGGTCCAGCCGAGGCCGGAGGTGGGGATGGTGAGATCGGCAAAGTCAGACAAGAGCTGGAGCTGGCTGGTAGCACGCTCACTAAAAGAAGCACAGAAAGTGGTTAGCATATTGATACGAAGACACGATTTATGGCAGCGGCAGAAAGCACGTATACTTACATCTTGATGCGCTTGCTCTCGACGACACCCTCGCCGTCCTTACGGTCGATGCGCTGCTCGCGCTGCTTAAGGGTGTAGAGGGTGTAGAGCTGGGCAGCAATGCTGAAGGTGATACCCATGGCCCAGAAGCGCTGGGCCTGCTGGGTGAAAGTCTTTGTGGAGGGCGACTTGCGGAAGCCGATGGCGTCAGGGAGGGTGAGGGCATCAAAGGTCAGGTATCCGGCATAACCGAGCTGTCTGCCGATGGCGGCGTAGCGGAGGACGGGGTCCATGGACTTGGCGTCGGCGGCGACAGCAGCAGCCTTGACGTGCTCAATGTTCTTGCCGAAGCGCATGACCTTGCGGGCGAGGCCGAGCTGCTTCTTGACGGCATCCCAGGGGTTGATGGAGGCCGTGGTGGCGTTGGTGCGCAGCAGGTACCAGCTGTAGAAGCGGGCAAAGTACTGGATCAGACGCAGGACCTTGTCGCGGCCGACGGTGGTGGCGACGAAGCGCAGGTAGTGAGCTACGGAAGGGTGGTAGACGAGAGCGTCGGCAACCATTTTGAAGACAGTTGAGGTTTTATGCGATCGAGGTGATGGAGGGGTGGTGGGTGGTTGCGCTGGGGCGGGCGAACGGGTTTTTGTTAGATGGGAGAAGGCGAGGTGTTGGTGGCGCGAGAACTTACAGAAGTGTGAGCTGGAAAAGGAAGAGTCGGAAACGGTGGTGATTATTTTGTGATGATAAAGAAGGTTTTGAAACGCAGTTGTCCGGTCGGAGAGAGAGAAAGAGAGAAAGCTTGGGATGGCGTTTTCGGGTATTTGGAGAGCACATGCCGAGGTCCACACCCCACAAGCTTGGGGTGCTGTGCTGTGCGATGGCATTTGGCGGGTGGGTAACAGTAACCGCGGCGGAGAAAGACGGGCTTTTTAGTGGGTTTAGGCTGGATGGTAGCATGCGCCGCTTGTGGGATAAGCATCAATGGTTAGTTTTATACATTGGACGAAATGAAAATATGAGCAACTTCAAAAAAAGAAAAAAGAAAAAGAAAAATACAGATAAATCCTATTGGGTGATGTTCGTTAAGAGAATTAATTATTATTCCGAGGCAATCTGCCTGCAGTAGCAGCAGTTAGCCCAGTCTGTAACAGCTTACTTAGACTAAGCAGCTCAGATATACTCAAGCTATACCATACGCTTCATTTCTCTAGACACCCACTCGCTAGTCTCCACGCTTGCTTCTCTTAATTCCGGGTTTTGAAATACAAATTGGTCCAGCTGTAGCCTTGCAGCAACCAAATTCTCCTTTGTTCGAGAACAATGTAGCCGCACAAATTCCTCATGTATGCCCTTGACGTGGAAAGCAGACTGGAAGAAGAGCCTCTCACCTGAATTGTGTAGCAGACTAGCAATGTAAGAAGGCAATTGTTGTGACTTTACTTTTGCCAAAAAGATCTCCTCTAAATAGAGCCCGTCAGACTCAAAGGTTTCCCCTGGTGCTGTTCCGTCGTTTCTCCATTCTGGCACATCGGCCAAGAACCATGGGTGGTGGATTATAGCGGGAAGAGGCGCAATATGCATCCAGTCCCAATCTATTACACTTGTCCAAATGTTATAATATACTGCAGAATTACTGGGAGTGGTAAAAATCTACCCAGCTAGTTGAAAGTCCTTTGTTCGCATCACATTGTGAGCATTCATGTCTCCGTGAGCAAACCCCAAGATCTGGCCACCGTCAAGATCTTTAGAGTAACGGCGCACCATCGACCGCATAATAAGGTAGTCAATGGTGCTGCCCCACCGAGCAGTACCTTGGATAGTTCTTCGGAGTCCGCGGTCGAGACTGTTGGTGAGCCACGCAGAGTATGAAGATGTTTTATCGACTGCTAATTCTGGCTCAACAGGAGCAGTCCATAGTTGTATCGAGAAATCTGCAAGAGAGGCGAGGAAACTGTGTCGCGTATCCAGAGATATTTGAGAGTTCCAGACTGTCAACGGTTCACTATCAATCCATTCTGTAAGGATGATACGGGAATGCGCGTCGGCATACATGGCAGGGGCCTGGATTTGTCAGTAGCTCTCCAGTTAGAAGATTATAATGCATCTTCCAAGAGTCCATAGTGTCCCCTGTAATTGCCTTGGCCGTCATCCAATGGTGGTTTGGGGAAGAGACGATACTCCAAGAACCACTTCCAGGATATGAAGCCCATGTCTTGCGAATCGCAAGATCTAGGCATGAGCTGTTGTGCTTAACAACTTCTGTTTGAATCATGGGCATTGCTCTGAAGAGCAAATGCCTCAGGATATGCACGTTAGCAGTAGTTGGATCCTACGGCATGCCTTGAGACGCATTTGCGACAATAATAGACGCTTCAATAAGCGTAGCAGCTTGCTCTGGTAGAGCGAGAATCGACTTGAGGTACCCGTTGTCTAGGTCAAATGAAGCAACACAGACGTGGGCAATTTCAGATGCTGCCGCGAGAAACTCTGTTCGAGTTTTGTCTTGCACAGCCTTCCCAATCTTGTCCTGTACCAATGTTAGCCAGTCACTGGCTATGGTACGACATTGTTTGAGAAATTCGAGACACCGAGACGACGACTCCAACCCTTGGGACAAGGATAAAAGTCTTGCGGCAAGAATGACACATCCATGGAGCGCGTGGTATGACTCCCAGTTCTCAAGTGTCTTCTCCAGCGTCAGACATAGTCCGTCTAAGGCAACTTCGGCAAAACGGACTTGGCCAAGTTGCCGGTCGCTCTCTCTGTCGATTGAATACAGGCAAGCGGGGCCGGCTTGACCGGTAATTTGAAGTACCATACGCAGAACGTCAGCCTTTTTCAAATCCAAGATTGGCATATGCAGCTGACATAGGATATTGGGCTATTGGATGTAATAGCCACACGACAGCGCCGCGGCAGCCTTGAACTCGTCTAGAGATAGGTACTCTGGACAAACCGACTGTTTGGAAGTGGCATGGTTTGGCGTAAGGCCATTGGGTTCATGAGGTGGCCTGAACAGAAACGGCTGTAGTACTACCCATTGTTCCGATAGTTTGTAAGTGCATGCCTTGGCAACATAATCAGATGACCGGAATGAAGACACAACACATTGCGAGCCACTGTCGAAATATTTGTAAGATAGACCGTGATTGACAAGCACGCTGTTTTCCGTTGTTGTCGCTAGTGTCTTGAGATGGCGATGGGTCTTTTTATTAGCCTTGGTAAGTGATGCAAGTATCAAAGTTCCAGCTGGTTTCATCAACGAGTTCTTTCTCCAGTAATCTTGGAGAGTGCATTCCACTTTGACCGGAGTCTCTTCGTGACGGTAACGAAGAGCTTCTACAATGACGTATCTGGTAGCCTCTCGCCAGTCGCGAAATGCTTCCGGAACCTGCATTTCAAAGACTACATTTGCTGCCTTGGCGGCATTTTCTGGAAGTGGCCAGTCATGTATCTCAATCGTCAAGTTGGTCGCTTGATTGTGGAAACGGCAGCTTGAGCAATTTTTATCGTGCACAGAATATATAGCCCCGGTTCTGCGATTGACCCTTTAGTAAGTCGAATGTTGTGTTTCATTGGCGCGCTGCATATGGCGGGCATACAAGGCCTGCTTCTTCTCAAATTCCTCCTTCTTTCGGGCTCTGTCGTCATCAGCCATACTCTTAATTTGGCTCATGATCTCCTGGTGTTTGATAGATGATGCAACAAACGCCACGCCAAAAGATGTTTCAATTATTTGCTGCGATGCCATAGTTTTGGAGATGTTGGGGGACGGCGCAGGCTGTTTCGCGTGGAGGACTGCTGTTGCTGCCAGGTGCTGCCAGGTGCCAGCCAGGTCGGATGCCCAGTGGTGGCTGCATAGTTAATGGTAGCTTATTAATTTTCTTTCCCAAATCTGTACGATTCTCACGAATTTAGGGTCAATTACGCAGAAAAATAGTTAATACGGTCGATGATATAAGCAGCTATGGCGGGTAATTTATATGCTTGCTATTTATATAATGCTATGTGCTGCCCAACAGTTAGAACACGCGGCTGTCGGCTCTTAAAGATTGCCATTGCAGCTACTGTGCAAACAAGGCGCCTGACAAGCGATGCGCCAGTGAACTAATCTCTATTACAGTACAAATACAGGATTGCACGTGGGCCCTTTCCTATGAAACCAATTTCTTCTATTTTTATAACTTACATAAAACAAACCAATGAGAAATGTCGTCATGCTTCGTCGTCCTGCAAATTGCTGGCCGTCACGTGTCTCCTCTTTTTTTTTCGATCCCGGGAAATCTTCTTGCCCTGCGCAACCAAACCCCACTGAAGACGAGCGCTGTAGATGGCCGCCCGGGTAAGGCACTGAGAACCTCGCTGAGCCGCGTGTTAAGGACAGGGGAGCGCTTGGAGCAACAGAGCAGCGGCAGCAACAAGATAAAAATTCATGTAAAAAATCCAATCTCTTTACATTGACCTGTTTAAACCAGTATTTTTTGTCTGGCTAATTTTTCCCTGCGTCTCAATGTCCGTCTGCACTGCCATGCTCTGCATATAGTACGTTAGTTGTTACACCGGCCTTTTGCTGTGCCTTCCGCGTCTCCGGCTACATTCGCCTCACGCCGATTGGAGCTCCTTCCCGATTCTTTGGGCTGGCCCGAGTCCCGCTGTAGGCGGTCTCTCGATGCCCACCGCGCTGTATGTAGACGCTGTATTCCTTGTAATAAACAGGATCAATTTCAACCATATTCTTATCTAAGTAAAAAAGAAAAACGTTCAAATAGGTTTTAATTTTACTGTTCCTTATCTACAAGCCCCCCAAATCCGCAGCCCTCTCTCGTTCTCTTTTCCCTGTTCCGCTTCATCCTCGTGATGTCGCGCGACTCCACTGCAAAGACTGCCCCTCCCCCGCTGTAAAATTCGGGGTTTGCGTCCCGACGCCCAAGCACTTTCTTTGGCCTAGACCAACCGCAACGGCTCCCTTCGGCAAGAAACGCAAATCCGTCAATCAACGTAAACCACTCGCGCCTGTCTTCCTTCTCAACAACTTTTACCTCTTCTTCCTTCTTTTCCCAATCATCATCCTTTTTTCTTCATCTTCTCAATTCAATCCCACCCGCCTTCACCTAGCTTCTGCTCTGCTTCCTCTCTACAACAGCTAGCTACCCCTCACAAAACACTGCCCACCATGACTCAAGAACCCGAGAAGATCAACACCGACATTGTCACCCTCACTCGCTTCCTGACTGAAGAGCAGGTCAAGCACAAGGAGGCCACTGGTGACTTCACGTACGTCCTCTGTCCGCCCAGCTTCAAGCTGCATCTAACGCACCCACCTCGCTAACATCTCGCCAGCCTCCTCTGCCACGCCCTCCAGTTCTCCTTCAAGTCCATTGCCTACTACATCCGTCGCGCTACCCTCATCAACCTCACTGGTCTCGCTGGCTCCTCCAACACCACTGGCGATGAGCAAAAGAAGCTCGATGTCATTTCCAACGACATCTTCATCGAGGCTATGCGCTCTTGCGGCAAGTGCAAAGTCCTAGTCTCTGAGGAAGAAGAGGAGGTTATCATCTTCGAGAACGCCACTGGTGCCCGCTACGCTGTTGCTTGCGACCCCATTGACGGCTCCTCCAACTTGGACGCCGGTGTCTCTGTCGGCACCATCTTTGCCATCCACAAGCTCCCCGAGGGCTCACAGGGCACCAAGGAGGACATCCTCAAGCCCGGTACTGAGCTGGTTGCTGCCGGGTTCACCATGTACGGTGCCTCTGCTCAGCTCGTCCTCACCATGAAGGACAGCACCGTCAACGGCTTCACTCTCGACAACGGCGTCGGCGAGTTCATCCTCACCCACCCCAACATGCAGATGCCCAAGTCTCGCGCCATCTACTCCGTCAACGAGGGTAACTCTCTCTACTGGGAGAAGCCCACCATTGACTACTTCAACTCTCTCAAGTTGGCCCAGTCCAACGGCAAGCCCTACAGCTCCCGCTACATCGGTTCCATGGTTGCTGATGCTTACCGTACTCTTCTGTACGGAGGTGTCTTTGCCTACCCCGCTGACAAGAAGAGCCCCAAGGGCAAGCTCCGTATTCTGTACGAGTGTGCTCCCATGGCCATGGTCTTTGAGAACGGTAAGTTTTAATAGCTCCTAGTACATTAATGTTCTTTCTTGTTGCTAACTAACTATTTATAGCCGGTGGCCAAGCTGTTGACAGCAACATGAAGAGAATGCTCGAGGTTGAGCCCGAGCACATCCACGACCGTGCCGGTATCTTCATGGGCAGCTACGACGAAGTTGAGAAGGTCAAGCAGTTCCACCTGCAGGCCTAGGAAACGATTGAATAATCCGACCAAAAATACCAACAAAATACAAACTACTATTATTTTGCACATACCCGGCGCTGGAGCAAGTACTAAGGAATGCATGAACCCGTTATGATAAAGGAAAAAAAGGATTTATTTTATATGGAAGGGATATGAGAAGGAACTATAGCACATTAATGAAAACACTGAACTTTTGGGTACTTCGAGATTGTCCACTCACGGGAGCTATACGGATTGCCACTTTGCATTGAGCATCTTGGCCTTGTTCTTACTTTAGATGATGACGTTTCTAATCGGAGACGAACCAAAGACGTTTCTAAGTCTTCATGAAAAGGATGTTATGGCATTGGATCATAGAGAGCGGGCGTAGAGGGGTCACAGTAGCTAACTTTGTCACGTCCCGTCGTTGTATATGAACTAAACGAGTGTATTTTGATCTTCGGCGCTCAAATTGAGACACGTTTTTATTGTGTTTTTAATCTAGCTATGTATACGCCTGCTAGATCCACCAAACTAACAATTGCATCGTCACGGTATATGCTACCCGTGAGGCTTGGGAGATCAACAGACACCGTGAGGTGCCTATGACAACTATTAGACCTGGCCTAATAGACCATTTTAAATCTTAAAATTTAATTCTATCATCATACTAAGGTAAAATAGACACTAATACACAATAGTAGTTCTGGTAAGGAAACCATGGGGCAGCAAATACGCACCTACACATAGGACACAGAGTAATCCGAAGACAAATTACATACTTGAATAGTCTCTCAAGTTCACAGTACAAATTATAAGAGCGTCCTAGCTTCATTAAGTCACGAACTGTGACATTGACTCGTTCCCAGAATCTCCCCTCCCTGCCCGTGGTAGACTCTTTTACCAAAACTTGGGGATCAAACGAGGAGTGTTGTTTCTCCATTCCTGGTAATCCTTGCGGTGGCCAAACTTCTTGTCATACTTAGGCTCGCTAAGAGGAATTCCAGAAACCTTGAGCAACAAGAAGCTAATGAAGGCAGGGCTGAGAAAGGAAATGGCGGAAGTTAAGGCGATTCCAGGGACACCTCCAGAGAGTCCCAAGGCAAACTGAACAGGGCGCTGTGCCAAGATGCCAGCTGCCGTAGTAGCCAGACCCGTCCACATGGTAATTTCTCCAAAGTAGTTGGGGTAGCGGCACAAGTTGAAGAATCCTCCCGTCAAGAACTCCTGGTCGTGGACCTTGTCGCGCTTCTCGCGCAACCAGCGGCTCTTTTGCATATCAGCGCCAACCTCAAAGATAAATCCAGCACCCCATAGTCCCAATCCGATAGCAGTAGTAGGAGAGACCTTGCTAGCGGCCAGAGTGGCCGACGGGACAGCGTTGAGGGCAAGAACAGGCATCATCTGGAAGCTCACCCAGAGGGCTTGCATGAAGAATGTAAAGGAGAATCGAGCAGGGCGGTGTCGGATCTTGTCGAAGCGGGAGTCGGTGCCGTGGTCAGTAATGCGGGAAAGGAGGTACGATCCAACTAGATATATCTGTTAGCAAGCAGCCCGACATTTCCCTTGCTTCATGGTACACTTACGACGTGTCGCCCAGATAAGAACAAGCGCGGTAGCAGCAACCTGTCGCCAATCTCTAGCTCCAGCGCCCTGCTCTGCGCCGAGTCTTCCCACCGACGAAATCATCTGCGTCAAGCTGGGCAGCGCAGGCAGCTTGTCCGGAGCCACGCCATTGACTGCGGCGGCGGCGCGAGATCGCAGCGCGGGCAAGTAGAGGCTCAGCGCGCCGACGGCGAGAAAGGTGACGGATCCTGAAAAGTCAAAGAAGCGCTCTGTGCCGAACAAGATGGACGGGATGCCCGCTGCTATCTGGCATCCAAACGCGGCGGCGACGCAGGGGACGATGCCTTGGAGGAGCGGGGAGCGGAAGCTTGTGAGCCCCAAGAGGAGCTTATTGAAGAACATTACGGCAGTGGCAGTCGATATTTCTGGTGATCTGGATGATTTTCGATGCACAATACAGCTTCTACGCGGTGCAAATTATCGACAGGCAGTGGTTGCTGGTGCGAGGAGACAAGGTTTCGCGCGGAGTCGGTTCTCGATGCTACGTACTTGGGGCGGGGTGCGCATGTGTGGTGGAAAAGAATAGCAGCAAAAGAAGAAATGGTTGGTGGTGGAGATGAAAATATCTACAAGATGGGATATTTTCTGTATTTCTACTAGATTTATCTATGGCTCGATGCGCACGCAATGGGAATGTCGTCACGCATCGAGGCACCACAGAAATCGATGATGTCGTGGCGATCGGGAGTGGTGGTGGTTTGCTTGGCCACGGGGATCGGGCGGGAACACGCAGAGTTCCGAATGCCGTCTTGGCCGACTCCGAAGTCCGACTGCAACTCATGATGGTCTATTGAATATTGGGAAAACAGATAAAACCTAATAGAATGTAAAAATATTGACTTGAAGGTGTAAATGGGGAGCAAAAAGAGGAGTAGGGAATAGCTGCAAACAACACCAGCACTATGGTGCTGATTGGCAATGGCGGAGCAACGGTTTCCAGTTTAAGATTAAGATTAAACTACTATAAGCGAAACAATACGGGATACGCAAATTCTGTTGCGAATCAAAGGCAGGAGAACTCAATGCTTTGCTTGAAGAACAGCATAGCCTCACATTACTAGAAAATAGTTACAATAGTGCCATTGGCCATGGCGACGGGCGGCATCTGATGCTTGTTTACTTGCTATTGTATGTATGTGTCTTGCATAACACGAGACCACCAAATTCAATACCAATACGAGCCAGAGAACAACAGACGTTTGCTGTCCAAAGGACCTGGGGAGGCAGAATACCCTCACTTTGCTTTGCCGTTCTTCAAAGGCCATCACTCCCCGAGATGGTCCTCGCCGTATAGCCGAATGCTTCGACTGCTCGGCGACATTCATATTCATCATTTCGCATCATGGGAATCTGGCATGGGTGTTTGCCTGCATGCTCCGCGTTCGTATTAGCCGCATCACCATTTTGGAAATGCAAACTAAATACTTGCAATCCAAATAGTGACTTGTATGCCATCATGGCACCATCTTTCATACCCCCAAGAGAGCTACAGAACCTAAAGATAGCTGCTCGCACGCCTCCCAATGTCGACAGGGCGTGTTAACATAGCGTGGTCTGCCTTGTGGAGGCGCTTGCTTCCCCGCCACAGCGCCTCAAAAAACCGTAAAAGAAGATCCCATGGATTTCCCGTTTCGGGCAATTCGTCTCGTCATATCGCCCCGTGTCTTACTCTTCGTTCCCAATGGCCTGGCAATACGCCTCGTTGATTTTCCCCATCCACGTGGCTGGAAGGGGAAAAAGCTGTCATGTAAGAAAATAGGCCCAAAGGGACGTTGGTATTCCCATGCCGGCCAGCCCCTCCCAAAATACCATCGCGATATCCACCATTTTCCGTGCTGACTACAGCAAGGCTACTGGGGCCTGTGCCTCTCATTGCCCCTTCTGAAACCCATCCCCAATGGCTGGATCGGCAGTCAAATGGCCCTATAGCCTTTGCACCCCATAAATGGATCCTGCTACTCGCTTCAACTGGCTCTCGCTGGCTCCTGCGGCCCCGCTAGCATGCTTGTCTGTGCATACACTCGGCCATGCCCGATGCCGCTTCAGCCGTGGTTAGTCACTTATCAGTCATCCCCTGTCTGCACTGTATGTAAGCAAATGCGAATCAACTACCCAGAATGGCGTACAGTTCACCAATAACCGGTCGGTGCCGTTGGCTTCCGGCTGTGACGTTTGCGCTGTGGCTACCGCTTCCAATCGAAGCAATGCCACGAGGCAAGCTGGGGAAGAAGCGTGGTCGACAAAGAGATCGACATAGAAGCCATGCCATTTCAGGCCATAATGGACCAAACATTGTATCTAGAGATGCCCTTTGTCTCCTCTGGCTAGACCAAGACCAAGAAACTGTTGAACTTGAGAGTGTTTGATATTCGCGGTCTACAAAGCTTCACCGGCCGATAGAATGACCCGGCTCGGAAAGGTTCTCTCAGGCTCCTTTTTCGTTCATACATCTGTGAAGTCACTTTCAATAGTGTCCGATGCAGTATAGAATATTGCTAGAAGAAATCCACTTTCAAGACCCATCCTGCAGCCTCTCTCGCCAGCCAGTGTTCAAGAAGGGACCAGCTGACTGATCACCAACAAGACTGGCAAGAGGAAGCGCGCGCGAAAGCCACAGCAAACGTGAATATAGGGCAAGAGGTATTCGCAGCTTCACCCCTCTGCTGTCAGTCATACCCTTGTTTTAGATTCTGTATCGTCTGCCACCTCGCTATGCTATCTCAAAGTGGTGCACGAATACCGGCAGCTATAGACAAGGGTTGTGCGTGGGGGAACGCATATAGTAGCGGGGCGGGTATATTGGTGTCTTTTAGCATCCGGCCCAATGCGCTACAGCAGTTTGCAGAATAAACTCATTATAATTATTTTGCAGTTAGATGGGGAAAGCTCTCCGAGTTGCACGCACGTGGCGCTCGCGTGGAATTGGTGCTATGCTGGCGAAGCATAGACAACAAATGTTTCGAGTACATTATCCGTGAATCATCTTTGAGACTGAAATGCACAGCATAGACCATGGTCATGGCTCAAGTCTTTAGTTACATTGCTGCTATCGCCGTTTGGTCGAGAGCAGAGTCGGCCGACGGACACAACCCTTAGGAGGTTGTTGTCGGCATTTGGCTGTTATTTCGTATCGAGATCACGCGGATTGGTGGTGAAGATTTCCCAGGGCCTCAGCTTTAATCTAGACTCGGAATCACCGACAATGGCTAAACCATAAGGGTATTTCTACCGCTAGAACAGGTCTATCAATCTACCCGCCAATCTTGCCAAGCGCCACGGCGTCACCTGCCACGAGGCAGAAAGCCCGTTGGGCCTGTCAGCAGAGAGGTATCGAAGATAGCGGGGGGCGGCAGTGGTGTCTGTGAGAGCCAGGTCCTTGGGGCACGGTTCAACTGATCAGCACTCTGGGTGGCCTGTGACGAGATGGGCTGTGGACGAAGTGGTGGCCAATCCTTCTGTCGCCATGACGAAGAACACTTATGGAAGGATGTGGGCTTTGGTCGACAACGTGGTGCCTGGAAATAGACCGACCAGTAAGCTTGCGAGTTTCAAGTGCGAGGGTGTCGGGGGTGCAGCAGCACCTGCGTGGTGAGGTTGTATCAGACGAGTGGCGGCGCGGGCAGCTTCGCCATGCAAGCACAGAAACCAAGATACTTGCAGATACTTTGTCCAGGGACAGTAGGTGTTTGACGATCCGTGTGCAGCAAGCAGCTGCGGAGCGTTGCAACGAGGTCGAGATGGATGGGGCAAAAATGCTTCTGGAAGCCGCACGCCCCCTCCATGGAAGCTTCCAAAGGAACCCACACCTAAGCCGTCTGCAGGGCTGTCTCGAAAGGGCAAGGTGAACGAGTGGTGGACACAATTTCCAGCGTCGATGGCATACCACAGCCAAAGGTTTATCCGAGAGTTACAGTAATTAACCACAATCAATCTCGATGGCACGCAATGGGCGAGACTCCGCTAGTTCAAAGCGACAAGATGGCGGTGCAGATAGATAGAGGCCCGCTAAACTGGGCGGGGACGGCATTAAGCTTTGGGGTTCTGCTACCATGTAAACTGAGACCAGAGGTACCATTTTATGAGGCCGGCGAAATGCCCGGACCGGACGGCACTTGACAGCGGCAGGCAAGTGAACAATGCACATGGCTAAAACAGGGCTTCCCATTCATGTTTGCAAATCATGAATCCGCACGTTGGAGTAGCACAGACTGATAATTCGTCCGTATACGCCACAATTGAGGATTCTGTGCAATGATGAGCCCACAGGTGAATACGATCAACGGTACTGTTCTGCTAGTGGTGTGTGTCAGCAGGTTTTTCGGTGTGTGTGTGTCGTCACTGGGCTGAGCCTTAGCTGAAGGCCAGCTGGGTGGAACAGCATTAACCAGGCGTCCTGTATCGGGCTAGCGATGTGCAGCGAGACAAGGCGGGGGAGCGGACGCGGCGAAATGAACGAAGAGATCATCCGCTACTCACAAGATTAGCCCACGACGACTAGGGACGGGGCGTGCACGTTGGACAGGCGCAGATTGATAGCACCAGCACCAGCTGGAAACAGTATGTGCTAGCTGGATGGCGAATTTCTGGCTGCGCATGCGCTGCGCACGACTCGGATAGGTCAACGATGGCAGCCGCAGCCAGCCACGCTGCTAGGATCTTCTTGACGCTGCAGTTGATGAGCGAGAAGAGCGAGCAGAACGACGGGTTGGTTTGCGGGGACCGCCAACACTGCTACTATTTGCAAGTTGCCCGGTGCTGTAGGCCAGCTGCCAGCTGGTGGCTACGCACTAGCCAGCTGTCGGCAGTGCCAGACCTGGGACTGCTGCTGTTGCTACGTTGCAAGGTGAAGAACAAGCTACTGTAACTAACTGGAAGGCGCTATGCTACAGTACGCACGCAGGGTCTTTTCTTTGCCCGCCAGCCACTGTGCCCTATAGCGCCGCCGCCGCCCAAATCGACGACGCAAGAAGCTTTGTGCTATTAGGGGCCCTGGCCGCCTACAGGCACTGGGCTAGGCGGGGGAAGGGCGGGGGGGCGTGTGCTACAAACCAAACCCTTTCAGTTTCCATACGAAATAGGGAACAAGAGGGACGCACAGAAAAGCCACAATAGTTTGCTTTGGTGGCACATGGCTGGCCAGGTCTCTACTTTACCTGCTAGCCGCCATCACCGTTCTAGTTAGACCGAGCAAAGGCCCCAGCATACACCCCCCGCCAAACCCCACTAAAACTTTAGTGGCGCCGCTGTATTTTCCTCGAATCAGTGGCGGACGAGCACCCGCCGCACCCAAGTGCCGGACCAATCTCAGGCGTTGACGCTGCACACCTTGTCCGCCCCCAAAGCCAGAACTGCGTGACCACACCTTTGTTACTAAGAATGGGGCTCCGCCGTCGGCCGCACCATCTGAAACACGCCACTAGCAATGGAGAAATCTGCACCGGTGGTTTTTCCACCCATTCGCCGTTCGCAATTCGAGCTACTTGTTGTCTTGCTTGCAGCCTTCTTGTCTCGTTTGCCCAGTCTCATTTTGCAAAGGATCCTTTGCCCAGCGGGAGGAGGATGAGGAGGGTGGGCTTGGGATCCCGCGCCAACACCGCCCATGCCGTCGCAAATTACAAGCTGTGGCCCGCGCTTCGACACAGAACGAAGCTAGCGTGCAGCGCCTCGTCTACTCGACCTACCAGAGGCCTCAGCTTGGGCTGGGATGGGACTGGGCTGCTGCTGACACAGCACTCTGTTTTCCTGTTGTGAGACCGTTTTCTGCCGCCGCAGCCTTTTGCTTACAGGCACGCCATAGCCTGATTGGGACGCCAACCAGGTGCTCGGGGAGATAATCTGATAAACGGCTGGCCGTCTTAAACACCAATACTGATTGCCTCGATAAAATGTTTGTGCAATAGGATCGTACTGTTTCGCCATGATACGATGACGCCTCTCTGGATATCAGTCACTGCATTCACGCCATCAACCCGCCAGCTGCCCCGAGTTACAAAATACTTGGAACCAGCGCCTCCCGGCAGCCACAAGACCAGCTCGCGCGGCGACCATTCTCTTTGACGCGCGACTGTCTTTAACGCATCTCATGCGTCATCTCTGCACTGAAAACAAGCATTAGAGCCTCTCGGCAGATGCTGGCAACGCCGAGTTGATAGTGGCGGCGCACGCTTCGGTTTATACCAAACCGCAGCCCAATATCATACACTATAGTAGAGTACCCGTAGGATCACACGCCAGAGAGGCTCCTATAGTATGATCCTCTGGGGGCTTGCTTCTTTGAACCCCTGGTGGCAAGCCCGGCTTTGACATTGTAATTAACCAGTGTTTGCTTCATCAAAATTTCGTGGTCTGAGCTCACAGCTGCAACATTAGGAATACACTGGAAAAAGACACCGACCCGCGGGAGCAAGCCGTTGCCCCCCGGCTGGCATCCAGCAAGCCACACAGCCAACCAGCTGCGTCCATCAACGAAAGGCCCAACCACAATAGCGCAAGATCGACGTCAGGGCCATCTAGTATAGAGCCCAGATAGGCAACGAGGCATCGTACCACAACCAATGCTCGGCCATTCCGCCCAAAGATTACACCGAGGGCTGTCAATTTAATAAGAGAGCACACACAATGAAAAGAGCGTGTGAGCTGCGCTGGAAATGAAGTGCATACGGTTGCCACCGCATAGCATGTGGTCCAGCGTGTTTGCCGCTTAACAACGGCGTCGCAAAACACCTCGTTGGCCACCAGACCCAGTGTACTGGCGGCAGTCGATGTTGGGCCACCCAAGGGGGGCGTGGCATCGATTTTCGAGCTTCACTCGGCCGACAACAGCTCTGCTACGTTTCATGGGCAAAATCGGACAGGGCCAAGAGAGTCGGTATCGGGTTGCTTGAGTCGGCAAGCCTGCCGAGGCCATTCATTACTCGCTGGTTACTAGAAAAGAAGCCATGCACGCCTTGGCATGCGAAGAAAGCCGCACCGCAATCGTGGGAGAACTGGTGGAGCATCGCCTGCTTTTGTGGCGGCAAACTAGTGACGGTAAACTTGGCTTGGTGTCTTTGGAAACCAGCGAATAGTTTGCATTGGCTCCAGAACACGCCCCCCGTCTTTTCAGCGAGGAAAGCGAGTTTCTTTGCGGACGGGATTTGGAGTCCGGGAATGTAAACGGAGGGGCGGTAGGTAGTAAAGCAGAATAAAAGCATCCGATTCGCATTGTATTGGTATTCGCTGGTAAACAAGCAAGCACCCCTATGAGCAGAATGGGCAATGCAACGCCGCATCTAGCCTGCCAAAGAAGAAGAAGACGGAAGAAAGCCTCCGTAGCGCGCGCGTCTGAAGAGCCCAGTGCTACCAACAACAGCCAACAACAGACAACCAGCCAGCTGCACAAAGCCTGTGCTAACAATTCCCTGGTGCTACCCACCCAACAGCATGAGCAAAGCAGTAGCTGGCTGCGAACAAATGTGCTCTGTAGGCAGGCCCCTAGCGAGCGCGCGCCAGGCCCCGCCCCGTCACTGCAGCTTGCAATCTGAGCCGTCGTGCAGCGCAGTCCCCTGTATTTCCAGCGCAAGCACGCTAAAAAGGACGTATTTCATCCTCCCTGTCCAAAATTCTTCCGGCCTCTTCTCTGCGTCGCTGCAGCGCACGTGTAGCCAACTACGGATGGGCAATGCAACGTCGGGTAGCAGCCATCGAACTGGTATCCGAAGTAGGCGTTTAAGCTTTTTTTTTCTTCTTGTACGACAGGTCAAAAAAACACAAGTACAGTAGTTAATAAAGACGGATTGTTTCAGAGTTGTCCATCGGCCTGCCGGCAGCAAGAAACTTTTCACAAGCACGCCCCCAATTACACTGCCTGCAGCAGCAGTAACTGTAAAAATAAAAACTAAAACGCCATCGGGGAGAACAGAGTAAAAAGGCGAACAAAAGAGAGAGAAACGCCTCATTATGTCACCGAGCTCGCGTGTAAATGGCCCCTCCCCTCTTCTAAGGCCCTCTTCTAAGTCAAGCCACGCAGTAATATACACAGCAACGGCACCGGGCGGCTGTCGTTAGCAAATTAGTCTGCCCGCTAAACAGGAGCGCCAGCTGAGCAGGAAATCAAGGAAGACTCGGCATCGCGCGCAACGGGTACACGCCACCAAAGCGCTTCGCTTCTAACAAGAAGTGCTGTGCTGAACAGCAGCACTATACGGGTAGTCCGATAGCGCAAAGTTAGCGCATCGCTTGCAACCTAGCCTGGGATGCCATGGGGATCGCTACGCGTAAAAAAGGCGCCAAACTCAGGGCCAAGCATGTAGATTCCTTTTTACTACTGCTCCTTCTAATGCTGCATTAGCGGCTCTTCCTACCGGTCTTTTTTCAGATGCTTTTCTCGCTGTTTTCACGGATTGGCTGTTTTCGTTCGGGTCAAGCTTCCCAATGTAGGATACCCGTTCGTTCCCTCGACCGCCTGCAGGATGGATTGTACAGGGTCTCTAAACCAGAAATCCACAATCGTGCACATAGTTCCCACCGGTGCCGCTCAACGCAAAAACCCACACCTGGCAAATGGTGTGCTGCAATGCAGGCAGTCCAAGTCCACTCTATGTATGGCCTCTTGGGCGGGTCGGGATTCGCCTGCCCAGCGCCAGCCGCCAGTGGTGGTCCGAGCCCAGCCCAGTAGCCCCCAGTCGGATTTGGCGACTCGCCCGGTAGTATGGTAAAATAGGCAACAATCAAGTTTATTCAACGGCAGCACAACCAGCCAAGGTCCCATTGCAAGTCACTTTAATAGAGAGAACAAAGATGGTAGTTTTCATAATAAAATGTAAATTGTCTTCAAACAAGAAAATTCTTTGCTACGCTAGTACCCAAAGTAAAAAACAAAATCCCAAGTTCTATATAGCCCTCTGTAAACGCCAGCTGTTCCTCCGTAGAGAAAGCCGAATCAAAAAAAATGTCTTATTCATAACAAGGTCTCCCAAACCAGGAAGAATGCATAATCCTCATCAACCATTGTGAAAAAAAGAATGGTTGTAAACGCCGCTCCGTCTTTGTCTATGTGCTGTTGCCCTGGTTCCCTTCTATTGAATATGTTCGAGAAGAATGGTGGTTGTAATAAAATGTGTTCGTAGAAGGAAGTGAAGAACCAGGAACCAGGGCCAATGTGTGGAAAAAAGTTGATAACACAAGTAGGCTGTGGAAAGCCTACTCTCCGCCTGCATCCCAGATGCCTTGTTTAGATGTGAAGCATGCCGGGAGAGTCGGGCATAGACAGCGGTGTCGTGGGGTACTCGAAGCCGGCATCAGAGCCAGAAGCAGACTGGTCGTACGAGTGAGACAGAGGAGGAGTGTGAGGATCGTAGTTGTTCATGTCCAGGCTGTGCATGAAGCCGTAGCCAAGGTAGCTGCCCATGTTGCTCTCCTCGGCGCTGGAGAAGCTCTCGCGCTTCAAGGCGTCGCTGAAGTGGCTCATGGAAGGAAGAGCAGAAGACATGGTGGTGCTGGTCAAGTAGTTGGCGTACTGCTCAGTGGTGGCAATGCTGGGGTACGGCTGGGTAGCACCGTAGGGCTGGAGAAGCAGCTCGTCGTGAGCAGGGTATGGGGCGTAGGAGCTGAACATGGGGGGAGAGGTGTTGCGCTCGCGGTCATCGAAAGAAGGAGTTCCAAAGATGAGGTCGTCCGAAGCCTCCATAGGAGGAGTGTACTGGCTGCGGGCAGCGGCCTTGGTGGGAATGGCGGTGGCACCCTGCTTGGCGGGAGACTTGGAGGTCGAGGTGCGCTTGGAAGCCTTGGGAGAGACGACGGGCTTCTCAGACTCGCCATCGTCGGAAGAACCAGCGCGGCGCTCGAGGTCTTCAAGACGGCGCTTAAGCTTCTTGCCTGTAGAGGAAACAATGTTAGTAGACTGGAGGGCGGGGGGATTCCTGGAGAGGAGGGAGGATCTCGTACGGTAGTTGCGCTGAGCAATGCGGTTCTGGATGCGGCGGCGTTCAGCAAGATCGGAAATCTTGGTCCAGTCCTCGTCAGGAAGGGCGGAGCTGCTGAAGGCACTGCTGGTTCCGTGGGTAGAGTATTGTCTGGGAGCAGCCTGCTGCTGGGGAGCAGACTGAGGAATGGCGTACATGTACGACTGCTGGGGAGGCATGGCGTAGACAGACATCTCGGCTGAAGAGATGAGAGTTGTGATTGTGAAAGTAGAAGTAGGGTGGAGGAGGGAGAAGAGCGTTTTTGCTGGGAAGACGGTCTGGTGGTTCAAAGAGTCGCCAGGCCGAGCAAAGCAAAGAGGTAAGAAGGTTGGTAGTAGTAGTAGTAGTAGTAAGAGATGTTCAAGTGCACAAAGGCAGACGAAGTAAGAAGATGATTGAAGTTGATGATGGAGTTGATTGCAGGGCTCGATCGAAACCATGTGGGAGGGCCATGAGGTTTATATCTTGGGTGGACGAATCTGCGTCTCTAGTCGCGAGCAGCGTCCACAATCCAAGTCCACAACGTGCTGGTGCTGCAGCCCCGACATCCAGTAGCAACCGGGGTGTGTGAGTTGGAACAAGGGCCTATGCCATAAGGTAGGTACTGCCGGGACATGCGGCAGCTCCAGCAGGGGGGTGGGTGGTGGAATTTTTGGGGCCCTGGCTTTTTCCTCTTGCCTGCCCGTAGAGGCGTGGTCGATCTTGCTATGGAAACTTTCTGGTGCTTCCACGGCACGCCCCCCTTTCCCGGCGCGCCCATGAAGCATGCAGATTTTGGATCTAGCTAAAAAGGAAGGGGCGTGGAGTCATAGGTCATGGTGGGGGGTTGGGCGTGCACGCCGTAAACCTTTGGGCCTTTGGCATCCAGCAACCAGCATCCGACTTGGGACGGGGCCTTTTTAGCTTTAGACTGCTACGCACGGCGTGGCCCAGGCGTTCGTTCCCAAGGGCAAATCAATGTGCCGGCCTGTGGCAAACATGTACTGCTTGTACCGATCCACTGGCCAGCTAATTAACCCGCCTTCTTTCTTCTACAGTGGCCTTGCTGGCTTGTATGTACTTTGTAGTTACTACTGCTGCTGGTGCTACTGCTTGCTTGCTGAGTTGCCCCTAGCACATGGCCTGTGTGTCCCCCCCTACAGCACTCCGCTGGCTAGCCTGGGATACCTGTCTCTCGTTATCCCGCCCGCTGTCGGGCAGTCCTTCAGAGAGAGGTGGGACCCCTCTGGAGGGCCCGTCTATAGCGCACTCTGTTTTTGTTACAGCGCCAGCTCCAGCAATAGTACAGTGCCGGTTCGTAACAAACGTGCCAGTGTCTGTCCTCCCCCCCCTGCGGCGTCTCGCCGTCCCTCTGTAATGTCTTGGGTCCCCCAATGTGCCAGTCTGCGACACCGCTCCCCAAAATAGCTGGCCCACGGCGCCTTTGTCGGCCATTCTTCCCCAGCCCGCCCTCGTCTGGCACTTGTCTGGCATGCAGTTTAAGCATTCTGGTGCGGGCCCGCGTGCATGCACCAAGTCCTTCTAAATTGCTTCCTGAGACTTCGGCAGAAGTAGAAGCCAAACGGAAGGTTTTTTCTTCGAGGGTTGGAGTTTTGTGTGTTCAGCGTCTCGCCAGTAGATGGCCCCCTCCCACTTCCCCCCCTTGCTAAGCTTCATTCTTTGGGTTATTTCCTTTCCAGCCTTGCAAAAATAACAAAGCTCCTAGACAACGTAGTGGGGTTGCGAAATTGGTAGCGCTTGTTGCGCCTGGCTGGTGCTGTTGTTGGCTTGGGGTCCCTTGGTGGCCCGTTGCCAGCTCCGCCCTACAGGGAAACAGCGCGAGTACGAAGAAGTCGGCAGATGCTATGTGCCCCAGAGAAACTCCAGGTTTATTGTATTGTTATTTCCCCAGTGCCCTTAGTAATAGCTGGCGCAACCGAATAGTGAATATGGATAGTACGCCCACCTATATCAAGCCAACTGGGGCGCCAAGCAGGCATAGTGGCTCATGCCGGTGCGATTTTACGCCGCCAAGTAGACGATGGGCGGTGGTGGTCCAGTGCGGTGGGCTCGCTGCCGAAGCCATCTTTGGGTCCGCCATCAAGATTTCCTGGAGCCATTGCATCGATTAAACGAAGTCTCCATTTTTGCTTGGGGTATACGCCTCATACGGCGGAGAAATGGAAACTGCAGTCATCGAAATGGATACCCGTTCATGGTAGGGCGAGATGTGTGTCCCGCCGTTGGTCATCCAAGAACGTCGTCCCACGGATATAGGGCACGCCGTATGGTGGTCTAAGTCCGAGCCCCTATGCCTCCGAGAAAATATGCATTATTCCTGCTTAGAATGAAAATAGGGACCAGAAACAAGGCTCAAGCATTACAGGCTTCATGGCCAGACGCCCTTGGCTCGGAAACATTACAAAGGGGACAATCCAAATATATTGCGGAGATTGATACGGATTTCGGGGAGAACGAAGGAAAAAAAGCTTTTTCTATCTTTTCCCCTACTCTTTTATCCACCACGTATTCGAAAATTAAACCTCCTTTGTGTTCTTGCAGACGCCATCGGTCCATAATTGCGGCAACTCGGGGAGTCCAGGCGTCTAATACAGCTCGCCCATTCTCTTGATTAATTGGACGCCGCTGGCCCATTCTTTGTCATCCATCCGTTTTGGGGTCCTTTTTGCAAGGCTTTCACGGTTGCCCTCTTTAGTATCTCAAATCAAATTGTCCTTTTGTGTAACCCTGTTAAGTGCCCGAGGGCTGCGCCCCCTAATGACAGCCGCTGTGTTGTTGGTAATTGGGCGCCGGGCCGCTGAAGCATGTCATGTCATGGTTGTGCGGATGGGGATCTGCTGGCTGTCTTTCAGCCCCCAGCGCCGCAAGGCAGAGAGAAGCTTGTCTGCGCCCGGCCGGTGCCAGATTTGAGATCCAGGCCCCTTACCTATCGCTGATTCCCGCATCGACACGATATTCCGCTGGACCAGGCCACAATGAACAAAGTCTCCGGGCATGCACACAAGGCGAATACGTGACGCAAGCATCATCCGTTTTACTACACGTAGGCTATGCAAACTTTCCAAGGCGGGCAGCGTGCTCCGGATGAACCGGCTATCGGCCCAATTTCAAATAACTATACTCTGCAGCGGCTAATGCCAAAAAGCTATTTGCGTACAGCAAAAAAAAAAGCACGGCCGTTGTGACGGAGACTTCCGCGTGTGCACTGTTGATTCTTTAGGCAACCGTTGCGGCGACCTATAGTAGGGGCAGTGCGGCGCGTGCTATGGTGCCAAATGAAGATCAGCTAAAGTGCATGTCCAAACGCTACCCCCTTTCAAGGCAGTTGTGCGAAGAATACAGAAAAAAAACAATGGAATCGGCAATAGAGATAAACGCAGCCGTGTTTTGCTAGCGAAACGTAGCCCGTCCGCGCAGTTTGCAACGGGTTCGTTCATCCTGTTCCCCTTGTCCTCGGCCCCCAACAATGACAGTTGCCTGCCAAGAGCGTTGTGCAAGCCACAGTACGATGGGCTGCTTCCGAGGGACAGTCTGGCAGTTGGGTGTGGCATGTGGCATAGCCAATAGTGCACTAGCTACTGTAACAGCCCTGGCTCTCGCTACAAATTGCCACTGAATTTTGGCACAACATGGATTATAGCGAGCGTTACAGAGTCCGACAAGGAACGGGCCACCGCCCCAATGGCACTGCAGGGGGGGTTAGAATCGGCCATGGAGAGAATGCTACGAATAATACACAGGATGCACCAATACGTGTTTAGCATCGTCGGCGCACGAGTTGGGTTCTGTTGTTAGTCAGGGGAAGCGTCGAAACAGCGTGTGCATGACAAGAGCACTTCGCTATTGGGGCTTGCCCGCAGAGCCCTACCTGCTGGGGCGGGTCATATTTCGAGCACGCTAGCAGAATTGAATAGCGCAACGCCAGGCCTTGGGAACGAAGCGACAGCCGAGAAGGATGGGGGTAGAATCACACCTGCTGCCATTCCCGGAAGGTCTTGGGTCAAATGGCCATAATAATTCCCACCAGAAAACAGGGACAATGCTGTCGGTGCTGTGGAGTCTAACCCCTAGGTGCAGCGAAGCGTTGCAGCGAGAAAGGATACCATGATGCGATGCGTCTCTAGCGCTGCACTTTGTTCCAAAGTAAGAAATAAAACAAGTGCTATTTCGCGCTGGGCTCGCTCGCCTCGCCCCCTCTTACAGCCTGAGAGCGAGCGCAACGAGCCCGTAATCTTGAAATTGCATCACAAAAACCTGCACTGTAAGAAAAGTGACAGCTCCGCTAACATGGTTGCTTGGTATGGGGCAGTGAGTTCATGGACACTGCCGATCCAAACGTGGTTCTCTGGCGCTAGCCCATTCTCGTAACCTAGCATTTCGACACGACAGCCGGCAGGTCTGGATGTCGCTGGCCACAAAAGCTGGGTCCCCAGGCTAGTATCCACCACGGCGTAACTTGTGTCCCGCGACAACAGTGCGATCCTGGTTCGGCTGTCGCTCGGGATTGGATGGCCCCGGTTTACTGCTGCGATTTCGCTGACTACTTTCTGACAAAAATTAGCCCACAAGGAAAGCATTGGTGCCGATGCGTCTGTGCTTTCTTGTCTTGGTCAGCTCAATGCGAAGGCTGGTTGGCTGGTTCGGTTCTAGCGACACATTTGGCAGGGCTGTGCTATTCCTGCCATTGTGCTTGCTTGCCTTTGGCTTGTTTTACAGCGAGCTGTCGCCGCCGCCCAAAGCCCGAAACCAAGCCAAAAAGCCAGTCAGTGATGATAGCATGGACTCCATCAGCAATTGGAGAGCTTTGCATGATTGGCAGCTGCTCACAAACAGAGCTCTGTGGTCTCGCTCGTCTTTTACACAAACAAGGAAGTCGTCCAGTGGAAGCAAAGCAATGACGCACAGCGCCACCCCAACGTAGGTCAGCGGCACGCTGGATCGGACGTCCCACGCGGGAGGGCTGAAGCACGGTGAAGCCATGCCATTATGCGACCACGTTGCCGCTTGCTGCGCTCCCAAGCAGGCCAAAGTTAAATCATTTGCAATTTTAGTTTTGAGTTTGCTAGCGAGCGGGTGAAACAGCAAGAAGGTTTACTTGCAAAGCAACGCGCCACGGCCACTGGTGGACAAATTTGCCCGTGGCGCAAACTAGCAAACGGCCCAGCCAAACCTTAGCATTTTGACAGCTTTAGGGCAAACTTTGTTCCTTTAACGGCCCGAAACAAATCTGCCACAGTGCTTCCTGCAAAGGGCTTCTATGGCGTAGTGCGTGAAGCTGTGTGGCAGCCTTCTACTTGCACGTCTTCTGACAAGAGTAATGGTGGAGGGGTGTTGTTTGATTGCATCAAGCTAGGAGGGCTTTCTTCGTCAATGGCAAAGGCGATTGCAAGCAGCACGCTCAGCAGCGGCCTAAATGATACTACTATACTTTGCAGACAAGGCGTGACGCTGGAAATCGCATAACCATCAAGCCAAAGTTAACCCACTCCAGCGGCACGCGGTGGGAAAGCAAAAGGCAGGCCTTGCTTTGGGTGAAGGCTCTCCACCTCGTGGCAAGGACAGGGAAGGGGGGGGCGTGAGACCAAAGAGCAAAAAGTGGGCACCAGAGGCTG